ACTTACGGATACACTGCTACAGAACCTCCCGGTCTGGAAGGAATGAAGGCAGCTGGGTCGACCTGACATCCACTTCCAATATTCATTTCTACGTCCAAACTGCATTACAATATATACCCCCAAAATGTACATACATACAACATCATAGAAATAACAACACCCCAGCAACCAACCGAAACGACTCGAACGCACTCTACCGCTTCACCTTCTTACTCCTCCTATTCTTCTTCTTGTCCTCACCCCCATCCCCAGCGCCTCCGATCGAGGCTTTTCGTTTCTGACCGACAGATTCTACAAAGAACGAGTTCAGTCACACCGTTCCACGCGCAGCGATAAAAACAAAAAAGCGGGAAGACGAGGTCCAAAGGGCTCGAGAGAAGTCGACGAAATGCCTCGCGTTTCGACCGAGAGGACACCAGAAGAGATCAAAACGAAAAGAATCAAGCTGAACACTCACCAGAACTATCCTTCACCGCCGAACTCTTCAAACTCACGATGGTCGAAGCACCCTGCGCACCCTTGGCGATATTCTGCACTTGAGCAGACGCAGCGTCCCAGTCCACAGCAGCATCGTTAATCGCATACCTAGCGACATCGCGAACAGCAACACCGCGAACAGTAACCGTCAGCGCTGCACTTTAGTCAAGATTCAAGCGAGAGATACTCACTTGCGCAAATCCAAACTCTCCAACAGCGCCTTCTGCTTCTCCTTCAACTCGCGCCTAACACCCTCACCAGCCTCATCGAGCTCCTTCTCGATCGACGCTGAGACGCTAGGTTGCCATTCATCTTTCGAGGTGGAGCCCATCTCGACGTCCTGTAAAAGGAAATCGTCGTCAGCGCCTGTCGTTTAATTCGACGACGAACATCCCATTCGATCATTCGTTCCCACCCTCCACGACGGGGCGAACGGACGAAGAAGATGGGGTGAATGACATCTCGGACTCACCTTGACTTCGTTGATCCTCGCTGACCCCTCCGCCGCCTTCTGTCTCAAGTCGGGCACCGTCGCAGCCACAGCCCTCTTCTGGATCTCGAGCAGGCGCTTGCTGATCTTCCGTACAATCTTGACGAGGAGCGCGAGGGCTTGGTTAACGGGGAGCGAGAGCTCAGCCTGTCAAACGGGGTTTCGTTAGTTAACGTTCAAGGTGAAGTGACAAAGGCGATGGAGAATGAGAATGTTGATGGACGCGGGGCAGAATGACAATGGGAGGAAAGGAGGAAAGCCAAACGAGAGCGTCGAATGGACTACTCACCTCAACATCCTCAACGCTCTTCCTCTGCAACCCCAACGCCAACAAAATCGAACTCTGGACAGCAGTCAACCGAACACCACTCCCTCCTTTCTTCCCTCCCTCTCCACCATCCTCACCCTCCTCCGAACCCGTACCGTCGAACCGATGCGTAAAGTAAAGCGACGCGATGGCGGGGAAGAGATCTTGAACGACATGATAGTCGAGGGTATTGTTGGCGTAGGCTTCCAGTCGTTTGAGGTCGAAGGGAGTGAGCAGATAGCTGAGTTCTTGAGCGTTGAGTGGCGTGGCTGTTGGCGACAGCGTGGGCAAAACGCGGTGGAGGCAGGTCGGAGTGTCATCGAGTATGTCACGAGAAAGGTGTCGAACGGCGAGTCAGGGATCAGGACAGGGCGATCGGGTGTGCGAGGGCGAATAGGCGTCGAACAATAATGAAAGCAGGACGAAAAAACCAGTCAGTACCTGGCTCTACAACGAACATCAAACGAACGCACCATCCTCACCCGCCGCCTTCGGAATCCCAGCATTCACAGCTTCAAGAATACTCAACGCGGTCACACTCCCAAACTCCCTGAACTTGTACGAAAGCAGCGAAATGAATCGTCGTCGGAAATCTATCACAAAACACGGTCAGCACACGAGTTCTCTCAAAACATCGAACACACCCATGCGCTCGCACAACGACGACCGCGACGACGGCGAACATAGGGCCCACGGAATAAACAAAGGAGAACAAAAGAACCAACTCACCTTTCGCAAACTCGCCCAACCACTCCAACTCACTCTCGGGCGAGCTGTTCAAGCCACGAACCATCACACAGGTATGCTCGCCCGTCAACTCCGACGCCGTCTGACGAACATACAGCGGGATGTAGCCCGCGCGCTTCCAGAACCTGTGGAAAAAGGAGTATTAGCATCGCGGGTTTTGTGGATGGAAGGAAATTACGAATGGTAAAGACGTGGAGAGGGGTAGTCAGCGAGACAAAGGAACAGGGACCGGGTCATCCAACGGGGGAGGCCGTCCAAGACTCTAATCCCTTACTCAGTTGCGGTGTGGCGACCAACCACCACGCCAACGACGCGCCCTATGCGAATCGTCCGTCTTCCGTCTTCTGCCATCCACCAAACGCCCAAGCCTATAGTGCATCCAACCATACACACCACACCGCGCCATCTCCGCTCCCCAACCCCCAACCAAGAATCCCATCGACCAAACCAAAACAAAAATCGCACATACCTCAACAAAGCAGGAGTCAACCCATAACTAACACCCAACCAATCCAAACTCTCAGGTTTCCTCTCCGAAAGCCGCTGCAACAGGGGCGGCATACTCGATACAGACCGGACGGTGGGCATTTCAGTGAGGAGCGTCGATTCCTGTCGGAGGTAAGAGTTAGCCCAAGTGTCCATGGATCAACCTTGAACGCGGAACGCTGAATGGTCGGTGGGTCACCCAAGGGACGGAATCATCGAGGGTCGACGTCGAGGCATGTCGACGACACTCGATAGGTTTAATCGCCCCAGATCTCCAGCCGACCTGAAGAACCGACACCGAAAACCAGTGAAACGGGACTCACCTCTCCCTCCTCCTCACCACCCCTCTTCTTCCCCTTCACATTTTCCCCCTCCTCAACATCCGCGTCAAAATTATAATACTCCCCACTATAGAAGGCGTTAAGCGCCTCGATAGCCCTCGAGCCATACCCCATCTACAACGAAAAAAAGAAACCAACGTCAGCCATACATTCCTCATCGTGCGCCTCGCGCTCTCTTGCAAGGGGGAAAGCCCGACGAAACCAAAACCACACTCACATTCGCATAATCAGGATGCACAGCAACCCTAACAACCCGCGCACCACTCAACCGTCCAAACCTCCCCTCCTGAAACTGTTGACTAACCAACCACGGAATCAAATCACCCCCCGGCCTCACCCCCCTCCCCAACGAATCCAAGATAACATCCCTAGAAACGTTACCTTCGAGCGCCACTTGGAGGACGACGAGGGGTTCGGGGAGGTGCGTTTCCTTTGTCGTGGTAGATGTCGAGTCTTTGGAAGAGGAGGGATCGGCGGAGGAAGTGGACGAGTTCTGGTCGTGCAAGGGAGGGAGGAGGACGAAGAGGTGGTGAGCCGGCGCGTCGGACATGAGTTGTAGATCGTTAGGTTGATTCTTGTAGTGCGAAGCGACGTAAAGCGCCATCATGCGCTGGAGGAAGACCTCGGAGGCGGGGTGGTACGAGAAGAGGGTGTCGCGCTCGACGTAGTAGAGCTCGCACTGCGAGGGGTGCGGGCAGCCTGCAGAATAACAAACGCGTCAGTTCTGATCGACGAAGACAAGGATTAGACGGATGAACAAAACCATCGCGTCAAGTCACCGTAAACGATGCCCGCGGACGCGACGAAAGCCCCCATCGACGAAACGAAACGACGCCACCAAAAACCAAAGAAACAAAGCCAAAACGAGAAGCAGAACCCACTCACCAGCCAAAGCACCCCCACTCGACACACTCGCATCCAAACACAACAACCCATTCAACCACTTCTCAATCTTATCCCCACTCGAATACCTAATCGGCACATCGAGCTTAATCTCCCTCAACGTCCTCGCCTTCCCAGGAGCCTTCATAACCACCTTCTTCTCCTTCCCCACCCCCATCGTCCCAGCCTCCTTCTCCCTCTCCGCCGCCGACGGCTCCTTACTCAGCGCCGGACGCGTCGTCTCCCTAAGCTGCTGGATGAGCTTGAGGGATAACGATCGTCCAGTACCCTCGTAGCCGTTGATAGTGGACGCCATAAAGACGAGGTAAGGGCCGAGGAGCCGCCTCACAAGCGGAAGAGGAATCGCCGCCGCCTCATCAATAACCACCAACTCGGCCTGGCCCAGGACATGCGCATCCTCGGGACTAACCCACTGCACAGTCTGCCTGTGATCCCTAACACATTCACCGCACACACTGCCCCATACTCTCACTCTTCGCCTGCGCAATATCATAATCCAAATGCTCCTCATACCCCAACGCATCCAAGCCTTTGAAAATGAAGTTGAAGAGCGTCTTGAGGTTCTCGGGCGAAGGCGAGGTGACGAAGATGTTCGAGTAGCCATGCGCGAGGGCGGCGGCGATGGCGAGACCCAGAGCAGCGGATTTACCGCGTCCACGGGCGGCAGTGAGCGTTACGGTGCTCGAGAGGGTCTTCTCCGCGATGGCCTCGATGAACGTGAGTAGGGCCTTCGCCTGGTCGCTCGTCTTGGCCAGCTTGACGAGGTCGCCGGCGGGCTTGGTGTCCGCCAGAGAATCCTGGATCGTCTTGAGGGCTTTGGCGTCGGGCGAGGTCGAGGTCGATGACGGCGAGGAATCTTCGATGGGCTGGATGTCCTTCCCCCGGGAGATGGGGAGCACGTTGAGCTCGTCGTCGAGGAAGAGACAGTCCGCGCACGAGCCGAGCGAAAGAATAAAACGTTCGTTGAACCGAGCGGTGACGCTGTCGTGCGACGAGGTTCGATATCGCGAATGAACATCCTAAAAACCCAATGAACCTCAGGGTTTCTCCAGAAAAGGTTGAGGGAGACGCACCATAGTCATCGTATACAACTGCTTCAAACTCGTCATCGTCTTCAGGAGGAGCACAACCAACCCACCACCCTCAACCGTCTCAATCGTCCTGGCCAACAAATTCGGGGTAATCGCCTCAAAATCCTGCAACACCAACATCCCATACGTGTTTCCTAGGATCTTATGGGATTCCTTGTAATACCTATATCCAACGTCAGATTCCCATTCGTTGAACAGAGATAATAGATAGAAGCACGCACGTATACCGGATATCCGTAACAGTCACAAAAATCTCAAACGGATTCTGTTCATTAGGCTCCCGAATCCCCTTCTTCACCTCCCTCTTAATCTTCGCTTCCCGCTTCTTCCTATGCCTATACCCCAAATAAACGCATCAGCTTTCCCCTCCCAAACCAGATCAAAAGAACAGACGCAGAATACGCACGTAGTAAACCCCAAATCCTTCTTATAACACCACAACACCGACGGTCTCGCCGATACCCTCGCCTGCGACAACAAAAAATGCAAATTCACAATCTACACCACGCGAACCTCATTAGCATCCACCTCCCTCGATAGACGAACAAACAAAATAGATAGAAACACACCTGATCCCTCCCCTTATCTCCCACAAGCACAATAAAACTCCTATGGTTCAACTTCACATTGTTGTTAATCAGAATCGGAATACGCGGGTCGAGTTGTTTCCGCATCGTCGTCGTTCGTTTGGTTGGCACGCTCTAAGCGTTTTTGAGTGAGATAGTCGTATGTTGGTCGTAGAGTACGCTGGGTGTTTTTGAGTAGCCCTAGTCGTCGTACAAGTCGCCGGGGTAGGTCGATAACAAGGTACGTCGAGGAGAAGAACAAGAATCGAATCCGGTAGTCGAAATGCAATACGCTCTGCGCGTTTTTGAGTAACCCCTTTCGTACGTTCGTCTAGGCCGAATGTAGAGGAGGACGAGAGGAGTAACGACGAGAGAGAGATAAAAGCGTTCGCCCAAACGCCCAAAAGTGATGGCGACGGTCAGAAACACAGAGTGCGCACAACCAAAAATTCAGAAACGCGAGATCTGGGCACAGCCACCCCTCGCCATACTCGGTCCGCTTCTCCGCTCCGCCTGAGGCCGGAAGTCGAGCGTTCGATCCCCTCGAAGCACATGTGCATAAGGATTTCTCCTGCATCTCGTTATCGCCGACTGGGACGCAGATGTACTTAATCGATATCGAACATGATATCTAAAGATGAGAATTATCCGCTTATCTGCTCACGCTCGGGTATAAAGGGTACTAGTGAGTGTACACCCTCTACTACTCCATTTCATGCGTCCTGGGTCGGGGTTCGATTCCCCGTACTCAAATACACACCTCTCTTTTCTTACACTGAACGAATACATACTCCTAACCACCATTCCACCGTCGTCCCAGCACCAATATAACATAGGAATCTCGACTCTGCGCTCGCCCGAACCCTCGCCGACACGGGCACCACTCATCACTCTTCCCACAAACGAACTCGAGCTCTAAGCGCCCATGCCCAACCCCGCGCTTATCCCAATCACAAATCCTCCCATCTACAGACCGATATCCAACCCATTACACTCCTTTACTATCCTCACTCACCTCGCCCTAGCAAACCTCCAACTCAACTCTCGTCATAACTTCGCACAACGTCCCTCCGGGACCAAACTCCATTCTTCCCTTCCATAACCGATACTCTGCGGCCTTCTCACCGCCATCACCCATCCTGGCACAAGTTCTAACTTCTCAAGTCACATGCACGCCTCACCTCACCCAAATCTCGCAACCACGACGCAACCACAATTCAAAGAAGAGATCTAGACTCCTCAATACATTCACAAGAACCACCGTAGTCTGGTATAGCAAGTCGGGTATAGCATAAAGGTAGTGCAGCACAACGCTTCTACTCTGAGTACGAACGGGGGTGCGCGTCGGGGTTCGATTCCCCGTACTCGATATTGCAATGTGCGCATACGTACCACCTTCAAGTTCTCTATTTTTCTTACATCCTTCCCATCGGCATTGCCAAGCAATTAGTAGCGTGCCCCATAGATCACAATATTGGGCCAGTCACCCGAGCTCTACTCGAGGGTCAAGACAGCGTCTTGGCAGATGATACCAACTAGGAGTAGTACCGGCGCCGAAAGTGTAAACGTCGACAATCCCGGAGCAATGACCTGCCCTCACGCACAATTTGTTCTCCAATCTTTTTGTTTTGAGGTACCGTCGAATTGTGTAGCTGTGATCCAGAAATAGTTGACACAAGGGCACAGAGACGCAGATCAGGCTGACTTATCCAAACGGTAGCCCAAAGCAACGAAATTCGGGTGGAGTATTGTGGGTTGTGCTTACGTTCCGCGAATGACCATGCTCCTCTGACGAGGGTAAGTCGGTAAGGCGTTGGTGAAACTGGAATAGGACAGCATATCAGCCTTCAGGCTGGGTAAGCGTGGATTCATCCTCGTGCTTTCGCATTGACATTCGACGCTATCCTTACCATGACGATAGGTCTTGATTGGTTATGTTAATCGCTTTGGAGGGCCCTGACATTCTATAGTATGTGCTCAGAAAACATTCTCCAGTCACAAGGACGTCAACGTTGTTCCCTTCTCGACTTTAAATTTATCACCACCTCCGCCCAGGCCTTTAATGAGCCCAAACCGTATGGGCGTCCTCGGCGTTTTCGGGACACCATTCCTTCGCGACGACAAGAAACAGCGCTCAAACTGAATCGATCAGTACCGCGTACAAAAAGATCATTGTCAAAACCAGAGATAGTAGACTGCGGCATCTCGTCCTCGTGGTCGACAAGGTCGAACACCATTAAAAAAAGCAACAATCTCAAATCGACCAACACTCTGATAGTTTTCTCCTCTTCCACTGGCACCAGGCACTAATTCCTCCTGCTAATCGTCCCTCACCGTATTCCATGGCGGAACCAGCGGGCAGAGACACCGCTCCTCCAACTCCAGTTCAGCACCGAGAAGCTTCCTTAGGCCCAAAGGAAGTCGCCTCCGAGAGTCAGACCCCAAGCGCCTCACACAAAAACCTAACGCTACATGTCCCCGACGATATCCTCCAAAAGATATTCATCTTCTACCTCCTCCACCCACCTTTCCGATCCTTCACTCAACCCCACGCCCAACGTAAACACCTCATTTGCTCCGGCCACCAACCCCTCTCCCCGATAGACCTCGCCCTCGTATGCAGCGCCTGGAAAGACCTGGTCGATCACACCCCACAACTCTGGTCACGCGTCAACATCCAAGGTCGACTCCTCCCCCAACACCTAGCAGCGCTCTCAACCTGGTTGACCAACTCCCGCAACCACGACCTATCATTCGATCTAGAGTTCGCAGAATTCCACGGTCGACGCACGACGCACGACGAGTACACACCCAACAAAGACATGGAGTTCAGCGTCCTAATCGGGATCATGGACGAACTGTCCAAACATTCCACGCGGGTGAAAACGTTCAATGTTACCTTGTACGGAGGCTTGACCAACGAACGCGCAGTCTACCCTCCCATTTTCGAGTCGCTGGTGGCCAAGGGGGTCGAGTGGAGCCGGCTAGAGGAGATCGGAATCAAAGTCGACACCTGGAAGCCGACAGGACTACCCATATCCGGCATGGTAGAGGAGATGTTACAGCGAGCACCCAAACTTACCAGCGTCATCATCCCCAAACTCACGCCATACGGGTTGGAGAAATTCAAGACGCGCTACCCATTCCCCGAATACCCATGGTACTGGCTCCAAGAAATGACCATACATGGAATCACAGTCCCCGACCTCCTCACCATCCTCCCCGACCTCTTCGAACTCCGCGTTCTCAAAGCTTCAATCTCAGACGGCACCGACGACGATACACCCCGCAGTCAAATCGTCCATGTACCCTCCCTCCACAGCCTCTTCATCTACGAATACGACATCGACTCGAGCAGATCCAGCGTCGCTCTCTTCCGCTCCATCTCCCTCCGCTCCTTGAAGAACCTCAGCGCCGTCATCAAAGGCTCCCAGCGTCGACTCTCCACGGGGGAGGTCTACGGATCCATCTGCGAATGCCTCGAAAGATCACAAGCGAAGCTCGAATCGCTCACCCTGGGCGACCACTTAACACTAGGCGCGGCGAACGTCGAACAAACCCTCATCCAATTCACGTCCCAGCCCATCATCAAGAACAACCTGCGAAAGTTAACCTTACTCAACCGAATCGTCACCAGGAAATTCATCGACGCACTCACCTTTAGCGACCCTTCTGCCCCTGTCCTCCTTCCCAAACTCGAACATCTCATCCTCTCGAGGTGGTCAGTTGGGTCCCCGACCGCAAGGGGTATCCTGATGAATATGGCGATCACGAGAAGCCAGGTAGCGCCGTTGAAGACGTTGAAAGTCATATTCGGAGAAGTCGCAGCGGTGGTTCCAGATGCAGAGAGGCTCAAGTACCACGAATCTAGACTGGAGAATTTGGAGGTTTTCTTTGAGCACGATAGTTCGGTAATGGATTTGGGAGCATATAGGGCGTCGTTGTGGCTGCAATAAATCGGATAAAGTAGGGGTCGAAGTCGTATAGTGCCAGAGTTGATCTATTTCTGAACACAATAGATAAAGATAGCTTGAATGTTGAAGACAAGGCTGCAGTAATAGTGCCTGAGTTCAAGGTTACATAAAGTGAGTCGAGAACGAACGCGCTGGTCCGACTTGGTACGAATCCGAGGCCTTCGCCAAACACAGCCAAATCTGCCCACACATACCCAACAGAGTCCCTAATTCCTCGCAAGGGAACACGATAAGTACCCAGCACCGCATGCGTTATCCTAAAAATAAGAGTGTATAGACAAGTATACAGGAGGTAACAATCTCGAATACGGGGAATCGAACCCCGACGTGCACCACAGTTCATACCCACCAGAGTAGAAGCTGCGTTGTGCCGCACTAGCTTTATGCTATACCCGAGTCTGGTTGGCTCGAATGTATTAAGTATCTCTGGTATGGAGATAGTATCAGCGTGATATGTGGCCTTCATGTGACCGCAAGTAAGACTTCGCTCTGAGGGCTGTCGATTATCACGATAATCCATGGAATGATGATTTATTCACCGAGGCTTGGGTCTATGCTCGAGAGCTCTAACAAGCTTTGGATGGACGTCGAAAGAGTAACGGGACTAGCGTTGTAATGGAACATGATAAGCGCGCTGGGCGCTTAAATTCGAGCACGCCCACCAACGTGCATCTATGGAACAGGGTAGTAGCGGTGTTGCGATACCTTTATGTTATGCCGGGACGTATGCAACCCTAGAACATCGCTCGATTATCAGCCTCCTACCCAGGCGTCCGTTTCGAGGGCGAATTCACAGTCCGAACAGTGGGTAAGTACGATGAGTGGTAGGTTAGGTCGTAATCAAAACAAAGGCTATATTGAGTCCGAAAAGCTCTTTCCATTCTCGTTCATTCTCCCTCTCCACGGACGCCTGGCAAAAAACATATGCAAATAGATGACACAGCAGCCCGGCTGGCTTCTGGCAATCATTTAATCACGGCGGAGATGTATTCTGAGGGCGAAGCACCGCGTCGACACGACGCTGCGCGTCTCGATATATTACCTCCCAACTGGACGCGTCTCTTCGATTCCTCCTCCATCTTTGGGCCCCGAAACATGGGTCAGTCGCCTACGAAGACGATTCCTACGGTCGAACAAATCCGGAAACGCGTCCAAGATCTTTGGAACATCAGACCATGTCTTTGGCAAATTGAGGTCGTGCAGGCTATCCTGGAGCGCGACGGTGACATTGTTTCTGTTGCGGGAACTGGTATGGGCAAAACGCTCACTTTTTGGATGCCAATCCTATTCTCCGCCCCCGGCAGTGTTCAGATCATCGTCACACCGCTCAACCTCCTGGGTCAACAGCAAGTTGCTACGGCTGAGAAGTTGGGACTGAAGGCGGTATTTGTCTGCGGAGATAGCGCCCCGACGATTAATTGGCATGTAGGTGTTCAGCCTTCTCACAGCAATACCCTGCCACTTATCCATGGCGTAGGATGTTGCGACTGGCGTCTATCAGGTCCTGGTCATAAATCCAGAGCTCCTAATGAGACCGGGTGGCGGGTTCGAAAAAATTGCTCGTCTTCCGTCGTTTAGACAGCGTATCATCAGCCTTATCTTCGACGAAGGCCATTGTATTAGCACCTGGTCTTCCTTTCGTCACGAATACAAACATATCGGAAACCTAAGCTATATCCTTCCCGCGGACATTCCACGAGTAATTACAACAGCTACTCTCCCGGACACTACCCTTGACGACATCAAAAAGACCCTTCACCTCGGTAGTCGAAGACTCAAGCTCTTTCATTTCTCCATCGACCGACCAAACATCAATATCACGATCAAGAAGATCCAAAGCGACCTGAATACGTTTGAAGATCTACGTTTTGTCCTGAACGGCTACGTCCCGGGAAAATCAGCCCCTAAGGCAACATTTGCCGTGTTCTTTGACAACATCCCGGAATCCATTGCAGCCCGTGATGCACTCCTCAAGCACCTAAGCCCTGAAGATTTCGACAAAATACTTTGGTTCAACTCGGAAATGTCTGGTACATTTAAGACGGAGCACGTGGAGGCCCTCAGGACTGGGAAACTGTGGGGTATACTAACCACAGAGTCCTTTGGCGTGGTACGTGGCTTTTGGTTCGGAAGTCGGAGCCCTATCTGAACTTGTTATTGGAATAGGGTCTTGACTTGCCTAATATTGACCTCGTCGGTCAATGGAGGGCAACTTGTTCAATCACAGCACTTTGGCAACGGTTTGGCCGCGCAGGAAGAGACCGGTCTAAAGAGGCAACTGCTGTCTTTCTCGTTGAGAAAGAATACTTCGATGACGAGAAGAAGAGAAAGGAAGCCAAGCGATTGGCTCGGCTTCAGAAGAAGAACAAGAAAGCACGAAACAACCCAGCAACCATCCCTGGTTCAGTCACTTTCATCCAAGAAGGCCAGTCTAATTCATCGTCTTCATCTGAGAGTGACGATGAACTCCCGCAAATTACAACGCCAGCTCCATCAACGTCAGCGCAACCAGGTCGGAAACGGAAGAAGCCTGAGCGTGTTATTGAACCAGAGATGGATGAACTCATCAACGCGAAGCAAAGGAAGTATCCGTGCGTGCGGATCCCCATTCTGAAAGCCTTCAAGGACAACAGAGCAGGTGGGTCCCGAAACTCTGGATTTATGGAAAAAATTCTTCGACTTGCTGTAGCGTTGCCCGAGTTGCGCTGAATCTCCAAGAGTCCTGTGTGTCGATCAGATTTTCGAGTTCGTGCCCCAGATGCGTTTGGCACAGCTGTAGCTCGCGGGTTAGGCCGTGTGTAGTAGTCGGTGTGTCTCCTTTACTTAGGGCGTCGATAATTGGAGTGGCTGCCAGTCGTAGCGATATCACTGCGTCGTGGTTGCCGTAGGTTGAATCCGAGAGGAGGTGGAGAATGAAGGGTCCTAGGGGGATCCGGAGCTTCGTTATGTGAGATAGCGCGGAGTCTATTGTTGCGGAGTCCATCTGCAATGGCAAGAGCCATACCGCAACGCGCCGTATGAGGAGTGTCGAGGTCGTTGTCGGTGTCGAGGTCGACGGTCGATGGCCGATGCTATGGTCGACGGTATGCCTCAGAACACTTTTGATCTCCGCCGTGATTGCCAGAAGCCAGCCGGGCTGCTGTGTCATCTATTTGCATATGTTTTTTGCCAGGCGTCCGTGGAGAGGATGAATGAACAAAAACGGAAGGTGCTTTTCGGTTGTATTTTACAAATCATTTTGTAGTCACGACTTCTTTCCTCACCCATTCTTCAGAGTGTGAATTCATCCTCGGAGCGGGCGCCTGGGTAGGAGGCTGCTCGATTATCTTCGCCATCATCTAATCGATCCAAAAGGGTAACTGAAATAACCGAAATCGTTCTGAAATCGCCGAAATCGTTCGGAAGAAGCGCTTTGACCGTTTCATGGTAAGTCATCCAGCATGTAAAGTTCGAAAAGAAAGAACTTGATACCGAGTTGATGTTCCGTTCTGTTGTAATCGTCAAGTCTGGGTTGTGTGTGGGTCCTTCAGCGCTCTGAGATACCAGTATCCAGTACCAAGTCGTGGGTATCCATGGGTGTCTACCCCGATCGACACTCGATGCCTTTCCTCATCCCATTTACATATGTCCTCGAGAGGGAGTAAGATATGGACAGGACTGTTCGCTTTGCCGTCGGAGATGGATAATCATGTGTAACCAGTTTTTTCTTCCCTTCATTTCGGCGTTGGTAGAGCGGCTGGCACGGTGATTACCTCTGAAGCGCCCATCCCGTAGCCGAGCTGACCTATCCGAGCGATGTAAACACATCCGGGCAGCTCGTGCATAAATTCCGGCGATTCTCTCTCCACAGTGATCTCAACGGAAGTTCGGACGTGCATGCAATACCAAATAGTCACCGCCGAGAAGGGAGGTGTTGCACCACCAACTTGGTCGACCAACTGTGACTTGGGCTGCTAATATTATTTTCAGGACAAACGTCTGACTGTTATTGGGCAAGGGACAGACTAGATCCTCGTTTCATCGGCTTTAATCGCTCATACGACATCCCCTTGGGGCCGCTCAGCCTAACAGCTTGCTATTTGCGCCCGTGCCTCTTTCGTAAACTTCATACCCTGAATAGGAAATGTTGATCATCGCACAGCGCGGCCAGCCCGGGGGGATTCCTTTCCCTGAGCGCGAGCCCAAAGTCATAGCAAGGGATCCTGAGCCTCGAAACGTATAAAAGGCTCCTGACACCCCTCTGTTTCTTCAGCAACCAACCCAGGTAGCTTCAAAGGAATCCTCTAAAGCACTCACCAGCCTCATACCCAAAGCCACCATGCGTTTCTTCGCCACTTTGTCGTTCCTCGCTGCTGCCGCAGCCCTCGTCGTCGCCTCTCCCACTCCCCAAGACGACGCCGTCTCCACCGACTTCGTAATCACCACCGCCCCACTCCCACCCAACTTCAACATCGACGACGACGAAGCTCTCATCAGGCGCAGCACCTCTCTCGAAGAGGACGCCCTCTTCGCCCGCGCAACCTGCGGCGGACCAGGCACATTCACCACCGCGCAAGCCACCAGCTTCATCAACGCGTGGCACCCCGACCCTGCCACCTTCCTCCTCCCACAGAACAACGTCGTCATCATCAGCAACGGTGACTTCCGCGTCTGCATCTACGGCAGCTCGACCACGTCTTTGACGGTCAAGAGGTCCACCGTTGGGTGGGCTGCAAAGCAGATTAGGGATACGTGCTGTGGTGGTGCTACCACCTGCTGGGGAGGATTGGAGACCGGCACTGCCGTTGGCTACAGTAGCCCTAATGTCCCCGTTCGTTTGAGGCCCTCCGCGTTCGCGTGTGTTTGAACAGCCGATCCAGCCCCTGGGAAGAGCAACCATGGTTCGCTCACACTCTCAGGCTATGCCATGCTTTGATCTCTATTAAACCGACTCAGTCCTTTGACCTTCCTTTTCGTTTCCGTTCTCGTCTGCTATATAACCAGATAATCCTATACATATATTTACGGACTTGTGACTCTTTGATGTTGACTATTGTTGTATCTCACGAATGGCATTGAACTTGGTGCTAAAACCTAGGAGGACGTTCGACAGAGGCAATTGGTATACATTTCAAGAGGTAAGAGTTACATTTGAACTTCACTATCCATAAGACATTTTTCTTTTTAAACACCGTCGCTAAAACCGACAACTCCCAGGAGGGGGGAGTGAAAACAGGAAATAAAAAACTGTTCAAACGAAAGCACGCAGAGGAAATCGTACTACAGCCCGTTCCGCTACAGACGTTTACCAAACGGTGATGGTGGCCTGACCACTGCTGAAGTAACCCTCAGTGGCGACAATCTGGTAGTAGTGGTTGGAGCCCAAGTTCATGCCGTGGTTCCTCCAAGCCTGAGCATGGCATCCAAAGTCGACGGTACCGCTAATCTGGCCACCGGGGTTCTTCTTGGGGGTACGGACGCTCCAGAACTGCTGGAAGGTCTGAGTACCGTCGATCGAGGGCTGCTGGTGGCGCCAGGTGGTGAGGATGTTGTAGGTGGCGCCGTTGCAGTGCGCCTGGCCCTTGAGCTCGGCCGCGGAGGAGGGGTCGTAGGTGCCGTAGGACTCGACGACGTAGTACTCAATGAGCGCGTTGCGGGTCCAGCCGTAGACGGCGAGGTAGCTGTTGCCGTTCGGCTGGTAGGTACCGCTGTAGTTGATCATGCTACGGAAAAGGTGGTTAGCAATTGGAATAATTTTCGAAGGGGTCGAAATGGGCTTACCGGTTGTTTGTACCAGGGTTCCAGCCCTTGCCGCCAACGAGGTTGCCGTTACCGGACCACTGGAGGCTGTATTGTCCACCAGCCTGGTTGGTGTAGTACGCGGTACCTTGGTTGTCGGTCCACCACGAGTAGAAGTAGTTGTCGTGCCATCCCTCAGAGCTGGGGGTACCAGCACGAGCTTGGAGGAGGCTGGTGCTGTTGGAAGCGTCGGTGGGGACAGCGAGAGCACCGACGACGGCGGAGGAGACGGCGAAGACGAGAGAGAGGAACTTCATGGCTGTTTTCTTGGGTTGCAAAGACAGATGAGCTGGTAACTCGAGTTGTGTCTGGTCGATTGCAGTGATTGACTTAGCTCTTTTATAGGGTTTCAGCGTAAACCTCGGAGGTGAACGAGCAATTTCAAGACATATCTACGTCGACCAAGCGAGTTCACTCTACCACAACCGGTTTCGCGGTGGAGCAGGAGGAGTATGTGATTTTCCGTGCTGTAGGGTGCCGATTCAATGGCTGCATCCCTATTCAGGGAAGACCGTGGTCAGCTGGAGGCCTTTCCTTCTATCTATAGGAACCCATAGCGCCAATTCGGAAGGCCAAGATACCCTGCTCAAGGATGCTCCGATGTGTACGTACAGCTCATCTCTGTGAAGACGCCCGCTCCCTTCGTCCTTGGATTAGCAGCATGTCATTACGTCAAAATGCTGCAGAAAATGGCGGGTGCTCATGTTCGGACTTCTAGTGTACAGGTAGCACTGTTTACAAGGATGTCGATACGAATTAGTCCTACGACAGAGGTATTTTTAAACATTGTCAGCGGTTTTATCAAAAGCGAGCGACTGCAATTTCGGCTCCTCTCCTGAGCGCTTAGTTTTCCTTCAAACGAACCCCTTGCGCGGATATATAGTGTCCCCACCAACAGCATAAACGAGTTACAGGCGCTCTCTTAAACAGACCAACAACCAACTTTTGTCATTTCATTGCTTCCCCAAGCCACGTTTCTATCGACGAAAGACACCCTCCTTGATCTTCGGCACCTAATGTCCGACCTTCAATAATCCTCTCGACGGCTCCGAGAAGAGTTTCAAGGGGAGTGGATTCTGGAAGCATTAGAACCTCCGGGAAATGGCCTTTCTTCGGATGCGCGGCTGTGACAAGCGTCCAAGTTCCCAAACCCGGGGTCAACTTCAGTTGCGATGCATACAAGTGCACCCGTTTCATCTTTCGAAGTAGAGAAGCCAGCCACACCACGCGAAAAGTGATGAAAAGTGGGGTACCTGCTGGTACCTGTGGGAAACGTGGGGGTGTGGAAGCTTTAACTGCATTCAATGGTCTTGCGTCATTTCACTCTTGGGGGAAGACGATGGTTACCATCGTGGAATTGTTTCAAGTTCAGAGATGGTTGGCTATATTCAAGTTTGGCCTGTTCTGGGGTTCTTCTGTGTAAGTTTATGCCGTCGAAAGCGTCGCTAGAAACCTCCATTACCTCTCTTAGCCTCCGAAATTCAACCTCTCATTCTCCAGCATTCGAGCTTCCTGTAGAACAAAGGCTTCTCAATCCCGTGCGGTCCCGAAAGGCTCTTCAAAGAAGGCTCGAATGGTGATTTGTGCTCGGCTGATCGTCAGATAACGGGTCCCTGATGAAGCCTTGTGACAGAGCACTTACTGTTGGTGAAGTCATTTATGAATAAGCCCCCGTATCACCCGTACTGTGTGGGAGATGCGAGAAGGAGGGGTGGTCAGGGCCACGAGGTCTGGTCATCACCTCCGCATTCCGTCCAACATCATTCGCATTGTCTATGTAAACTTAGCCGACATTGAAAGGCATCTTGAATGCTCACTATCCCTGTAAATAGGATTTATCCGACCCTTCTAAGTAAGTTGTTTTGAAGTCGAAACGGCAGGGAAGCTGTCGTCTTCAAGGTACTTCAAGGATGAACAGGCTGGACCACGAAGGCTGGAAAAGTCGCAGAAGTCACGTTCCTTGGATTCGAGCAAGAGTTGGGAATAGTTCGTCTCTGAGGGTGTATTAATGGGAGTACTGTGATGACTACTTACAACCTTTGAAAATACTTAAAGATGTCGCTTTCATTTGTACAAATTGGATCCGCCTTCGCCTCGAAGTTCAGCTTTGTGGCTGTGAGGTCTGCTTGACAATGTTTGGCTGCACCATCTTCGGAATCGCAATGCTCGAGCTCTCCAGGTATGGCCGCCAGACTCTAGAGTACCCACACCAAGAAAGTCGTCCCCCCTTCCCTCGAAAGGCTACCACTCGAAGGCTCGGCCCACCACGTAATCGCCAACAAGCTGAAATTGAGCCCCTTGGTAATTGCTTGACAGGCGAGCTCTTCCGTCTCCGATAGCTATGTCAGCTTGTCAACGAGTACACGCATCCTTGACACAAGTATTTCTTCAACTTGAAGACTGACGAGTCGACCTTTCTTCCCGTATTCAGGTAGCCCGAGTACGTCTCAGCTCCAACGCCCAATTAGAATGTGCATTATCGCCACCCTCGGTGCTCACCACGCAGCGGAACACTAACCTCATAATCGACTATTGCCTTAAGCAGCCCAAAGTCATACAAACTATCCACATTTATACGAAGGCTACGCACTTCACCTTCCCCCAGCTACCTTCAATTCCTCGCGTGGGGCTTTAGAGGGGGCAACATAACGATGTCGACACCGACTTTCCCCGTTCGAAGAGGTTCCAAGCATCCTAGTATGGTCCTCATAGAAACAGAATCGAAGACCGGAACTCAACATTATGTACACCAAAACAGTCGAAAAGGGCCGAGCTAGCATCGACTAGACAATACTAGATACTACTCTCCCACCACAGCCGAGCATCCGAAGAAAGGCCTTTCTCCGACGTTGGGCGCTTCTAAAGCCGCCATACCGTATATACACTGAATACACGCTATGGATTCGAATTGACCTCTCTCGGTGCCGTGGACAGAATCCTCGAAGGATCGGTCCTTGAACGCCGAAGATCGAAGACCCATGTGTCATCGAGGGCCAAACGCTCATCGATGAAGGGATCCTTTCCACTTGGCAAAGGAATACTACTAAGACTGAGGAAGTTGGAGATTGTCTTCGATGAGCATGCCTATGAGATTACTCCTCGGGATAGCCTCTCTTTGCGGTAAGGAATATTGGAAAGTTACTCGAAGAAAGGCCTTTCTCCGATGGTCGTCGCTTCTTAAGCCGCCATACCGTATCCACCGAATACACGCTATGGAATTGAATTGACCCCTCTCGGTACCGCACAGAGAACCCTCGAAGGATCGGCCGGAACTTGAAAGTCGAAGATCGAAGATTCGCGTGTCGTCGAGTTTCGTTCGGTGAAATCGCCATTCGTTTTCGGAAACACATCCCATAAAACAGTGCGTCGTAACTATCCTTGGTCAGTGCCGCGATCGATGTAGCTGTAGATATCCCAGATCTCGAACACGGGCCATTTTCTTTATCAATACAACGAGATGATGTACTATTAAGCCAAGGACAAATCGAAACAGAAGTGTAGTACCAGGAGAGTTGCCTTTGAACTCTGACTACACGCACATGAAGTTCAACTGGTACATGATCGATAGATATGCCAATAGTTAGTCTATAGGTAGAGTGCAATGGTGCAACAAAGCGATGAGAATCAGAGTAGAAAACGCTCGTCATCCTCGCTCGGGGAAACCTCCTACCCTCAGAGCGTTTACAGCAGGCCATTGCAACCTCCTCTCATTACATGGCGATAACATCAGTATACAAATTCCTAGTTTCAAATTATAGTAGCTCCGAACACCAACTGCCGGACGGCTCGACCACTGACAACATCCAAATCCACGGTTGAAGACAACACGAATCGTCACAGTAGTACCCACTGTACGTACACCCGGAACATCCTTCACCAGGGTCCAGGGGAGCGCGGGAATGAGAATCGTGTTCAAGTTTGTATTTCCACCGTAGTGTCGGGACTCGGGACTCGGGATGTTATCCTATAAGGGAAGAAGAAGTCCTATAATAGGAAGGACTCGAGGTCGGCTCCGCCAGCTGACCACGGTTAGAGTCTTCAAGTTTCCTTAATAATAACGGGTCTTCTACAGGTGTATACAGATATACCACCATCGAAAGGGTATCCTGAGCCACAGAAATCAAATAGAACTAGGGCCCTAATAGGGGCTCCAACTCCACTCGCCAGGAATCGATTTTGAGTGGAGTTGAGGTTGAGATAATGATCCACCCTTGATTCGTACTCGTTTCGTATGCAGAACCATTTACACGCTTTGTAGCATCGCGATGAAACGGTTTAGTATGCTGAAGGACGGGACCAAGATCTTTTATCTCACCTTCTCTCAACATACACGAGGTCGGAAGTGAACCGTGGCACAAACGGCTCAGAGGGGCCCACGACAAAATTTAAAATTGCCCAAAGACCAACGCCAAAAGTATGTATTTACTAGTGATGCGCGACGCTCGTTGAGAAAGGGCGTAGTCAATAGGACATTCGCTAAGCCTATATGCCCTCTAACTATAATCACTCTCGACCTCGCGAGGACGAGTCTGTATGAGGAGGTGTTTGAGCAGTTCGGCAGACGACCCGTCATCCGCAAGTACCCCAAGCTCTTCACAATCCCTCATAACCCCATCAACATACACATTCGCGCCCGAAAGATGCGCAATCTTCGCACACGCGGCATGGATCTCTAGATATCGAGGGCTGGGAAGGGGGAGATTTCCAGGATAGCTAGATCGGAATCGGACAACCCTTGGGTAGGGATAATTCTATTGAGAAACCCGGTATGAGAGGTTTCTCAATAAGAAGCCCGGTATGCGAGGGTTCCTCAAAGCCACCTGGCCGGCCGAAGCCTCGGGACATACGGGAAAGTCGGTGTGACGGCTGATGCATGATGACCGGAGTCGGTCCTCAAGGTAATAAGCGCCCAGCCCACAGATCTGGAGTCGTCATCCATTCATCGTGTCCCGCCCTGCGCAGTCTCCTGCTCGGGAGATACTTCAGCCTCTCGAGTGGCCACATGCTGATTCATTCGCAACCGCCCAACAGGTCCACCTCCTTGTGCACGACCTTCGAGTGCACCTGTCATCCTTGATGATTGGGTCTGCCTTTGGGATACCGGCAATCTGAATTACATTCTATCTATATTCTTCAAAACTAATTTTCGCTCTTTACAAATCATTTTCATTTCCACTGGTGGAGAGGAAAGCTCTCTCCACGGGTTGAGGCTGTGCTTTAAACTGAATTGACGGTATAGAAATTGAGAGACAATTACTGTAAAGTGGTCAGAAGTATGACCATGGATGGCTCCGAGTCTCGATTCATGCACGCAACATCCTCATAACGGATATTTAAGAGCAACCCGTATTGGGACTCTCCCCAAGTGAAGTTGTATCTACTAACGTCGAACGCCATCTCATTGCCTTTCGCATCTCTCGCGTACCTACCAGCCCCCGGATCACCCGGCCACTTTTCATTCTACGGGCCACCATTGATCAGTCACGGAAGAGCCGTCAGGGCCTGGTGATAAGGGCGCCGGTGAGCAAAAGTCGTTGGGACCCCAGGGTGCCCAGTAGACCCGGGTTTCTAGGCTCATACCGGGTTTCTCAATAGAATTATCCCTTGGGTAGGCCTGGAGGAGAAACGGAAGGGATGACTCGACTTTGTAAGTGTTCGGTTCCGCATTTGGATCGTCCTGGGAATTATATAGTAAGGACACACAGAGGGGTTTAGATGAGGTCGGAGTTGGATCCAGTAGTCAACTCACCGAAGGGACCAACCATATCGCGAGCGCATCAAAGTCGCTGTGCACGTCCTTCGCCAACGTCATCACGTTCTCCAGTCGGTTGACATGGTCGCCATTCAATTCCTGTAGGATATGGTTATACCCAAATTCCTCGAGTATCGTCCACACAAGAGGAACCATCGAGCTAGAAAAATTCGATCCGACAAGGAATAAAATTACCTTGCCTGCATCGTTGTCGACCCCGCGGTTCGTGGCCTCCGGCAAGATATAGGAACACTCCGTCCTGGAATAGCGAGAACCCGGCTCCTCTATGGATTTTGCGAGGACTTCTGGCAATTTCTCGCATGCGGTTGTGTCAAAGGCGCCTGTGATCATGCAGCGATAGCCGTCACGTTTCAAAGCCTGGAAAATTGAACGCAGGAATCAAAGGAAGGTCAAGATCTAGACTCATGTACGAATCAAAAGATACGTACGTATAATACTCCTTGGCCGTGCTATAGTCTCCAGGCGGCCCTGTTAGTACATCATCGGTCCTGTCCACGCGAAGATCCAATGAAGGTCGCGACTCGGAGTGATTGGAGGATACCGGTGTCCTCCTCCTGCTATTCCGAACTATCCAACAACATCAATTTCTCCAAACCCCCACTCACACAACCATAGCCACTCACAAAGCCTAATAAAACAATCCAAATTCCCCCCCCCCCCCAACATTGTCAAATTTTAAAAATCTTCTAGTATGCATCTTCTTCCCGGCTACATCTATCGGTTTCTTGACAACCCACGCCATCGCTCTGTCGGTGGCGTGGTGGAGTAGGTAACCAACAATCCGACATCGCACAAGGTCCTCTTGTTTCGTCAACTCGCTCTCGAGATTAAGAATCAAAGAATAGGCACTTTTAGCGGTGGCAAACTGTTGAACCCGGATGATGGGAAGCTCGGGAGGTAGCTTCGACATTGGTGAAACGATGAAACCCCGCGGTGGCGATCCGCTCATCTAAGGCGTTATTACGTAATTAACCCCTTTCTTATTTCAGAAAGGCAAGCCCCTTTTTAAGTTGCGAAGTCGTGTTATCTGGTGGGCTTTTGAGCACCTCCCAGACCGACCAATCTGAGGACCGAGGATTGATGGGCTGGTACACTTTCTACTGCACTAACACCGTCTATCAAACCCCGAGCTCTCCACCATCGCCATCATCCTGACCTGAATAGAGTGAAGAAGCTTCTGGCGTTGAAGCGGAATTTGAGGGCACTACTGCGAATCGATTCGGCAGTCAACTCGTTCCCCGTCTCTAGAGTGTTTTTCCCAAGTCACAGCCCTTCTACAAGCAGTCTTTCACGTACGTTACTCTGTGGTAGCAGGAAATCGGATGCATGCGACGGTTAGGAATCGAACGCTCGACCCCCGCGCCAAGAGCCTTGACCAAAGGCCCCAGCCAAACACACACAAGCCCATTATGAGACACAGTGGCTGTGCCCCAATTTTCGGGTGGCAGGGTTGATCCATTATCTATTCTCTTCCTCGTCGTTCTCTTCCTTCCCCCCAAACGAACCATCTCCCCAAAATGGCCGAACACGACCTGACAAAAACGATAATACCCTACCTAGATCGGCACCTCGCCTTTCCTCTCCTCGCGCACCTGGCCGAACTGTCGATTTTCACCGATCGGGATGTGCAGATTGCGCAGTACGAGTTGGTGAAGGGGACGAATATGTATGATTACTCGGCGCAGTTGTTTAAGAGTATCTATCCTGATCAGGAGGTTCCTGCTGGTGCGTGTAGGTATGATGCTATTGAAGTTTGAGGCTGATTGTGGGACGTAGAGTTTGAGGAGGCGAGGAAGAATGCGCTGTCGACGCATGAACGGTTGCAGCAGGAGGCGCAGGCTGTTTTTGACGTTATCGAGAACCCAGAGGTCGCACAGGCGTTGAGGCAGGATAAGATCCAAAACTTGCAGTATCTGAAGGATAACTACAACGTGCGTCGTCTTATCTATTCTTTATGAAGATATCTAATCTCTGGATGCAGCTCACGCTGGAACAAATCACGGCGTTGTACCACTACGGCAAATTCCGCTACTCGTCTGGAAACTACAGCAGCGCTGCAGATTATTTGTACCACTTCCGCGTCCTCTCGACCGACGCCGAACTCAACACCTCCGCGCACTGGGGCAAACTCGCCTCGGACATCCTCTCCGGGCGGTTCGACGTCGCCCTGGAGGAACTAAACACCCTGCGCGAGACGATCGACACCCGCACCTCGGCCTCGCTCCTCGCAGCCGCAGCCGCCGCATCCTCGACTTCGTCCTCCCAAACGACGTCCGACCCCGCCCTGATCCAGCTGCACTCGCGCACCTGGCTCGTGCACTGGAGTCTGTTCGTCTACTTCAACCACCCCGAAGGCCGCACGCTCCTCCTCGAGACCTTCCTCTCGCCGACCTACCTCAACACCATCCAGACCGCCTCCCCCTGGATCCTGCGCTACCTCGCCGCCGCCGCCATCCTCTCCCGCAAAACAGCCGCCGCGTCCAACAACAGCGCCGCCCCCGTCTCCTCGCGCGTCCGGCACGCGATTCGGGAGGTCGTCAAGGTCATCCAGACGGAGGAGTACCAGTACCAAGACCCGATTACGAATTTCTTGAGGGAGCTGTATGTGGAGTTTGATTTTGAGCGGGCGCAGCAGGAGTTGAGCAAGGCTGAGGAGGTGGTTTCGAATGATTTCTTTTTGAACCAGTTTGTGGAGGAGTTTTTGGATAATGCGCGGTATTTGATTAGTGAGGCGTATTGTCGGATTCATCAGAAGATTGATATTGCGTGAGTCTTCTCTTATCTCTATCTTTTATCGGGTTACTGATGTGGTATGGGTGTAGCGATCTCTCGGCGAGGCTTAATCTGTCGCCTGAGGACGGTGAAAAGTGGATCGTCAACCTCATCCGCGAGACGAGGATGGGTGCTGATGCTAAAATCGATTTGGGCAAGGTGAGGCGACATCTCTTATCGTTCAGGCGTTCACTCTCCCTTCCGTTTCGACCTCCTTCCCCTCCTTCCCCTCCTTCCCCTTTTCCTCGCTCTCATTCCCCTTCCTCCCCCTCCCTCTCTTCCGCCCCATCTAACCCACAACACTTACTAACTCGGTTTCTCCCCCCACAGAACGTAATCGAAATCAACCGCCCCCCTCAACCCGTATACCAAACCGTCATCGAAAAGACACGTGGTCTGGCGTTGAGGACGCAGGCGATGGGTGCGGCGCTTGGACGCGCGGCTGCGTTGACGCATCAGCAACTTGCCCAACAACAACAGCAAGGTGGTCAAGGGCAGCAGGCTCAGGGAGGTCAACAGGGAGGTCAGAGGCAGCAGGAGGCGAAGGTCGCGCAGCCGCCGCCTGCGGGACAGACTGTTGCCGTTGCGTGATGCGTGAAAGTTACGGTTGGGTATGGCTTTGCTTTGTAGGGTTGGAGAAGCTCGTTGTTGTGAATACCATGTCTCGTTTTTCTTGGTCGTGAAGGGTCATGATGTTCGATTGTTGGCCTTGTTGGATTGGTCTGACGCTGCGTGCAGAATATTGCCTTGAAGGGCGCGCAGAGTGCTTCGACTATTGTTAGTTTGAAGACTTCAGCGGTGAAGGATAATTCTGGGTGAGCGTTTTGTCGCCTTTGTTCTCTGAATTCTGGTGTCCTCTCGGTCGAAACGCGTGGCGTTTCGTCGACTTCTCGACAGCCCTTTGTAAGTCATCTTCCCACTTGCTATCGCTGCGCGTGGACCGGCCGTGACTCACCGAGTCGTCCCTCGTAGAATCCGTCGGCCAAAAACCAAAAACCAAAAGCATCGATTCAAGTTGGAGGCGCTGGGGATGGGATGGGGGGTGAGGAGACAAGATTCATGATCAGAAGAAGAATCGGAGGAGTAAGAAGGCGAATTCAGCCAGTCTGAGAGCCTCGATTCGCTTCGGTTGGTTTCCAGGGGTGTCGTTATTCCAATGCTGTTGTATGTATATGTACATTTTTGGGGTAGTGAATCGGCGGGGAGTTTGTCCTCCCAGCTTATCGTCCCTCCCCTTTCGCTTCGCATCGTTTAAACATCGATAGCCTCATTATTCACGTAGTTTAATCAAAGCGAAATGTTTAACTGAAAAATCATGTACAATAACACAGTCGCATCCAAACTCCCCAGGCAGGAGACTTTGCGATCAGACTCACTATAGTAGCCTATTAGTAGAAACAAGTAAGCTACCAATACAAAATCATTGAATTTAACTGCAGGCGGGAGGAGTTTCATCAATAAACCAAGTCGAAAACTCGGCTTTAGATTCCCGTGACCGGAACCACCGAGCCTCTCCAAGGTACCTCTCCAAAGTCTTCATCTGCTCAGGCGTCGGCCGTCGATGATAATACTTGCGTGATTTCGTACACCCAATGACAAGAATCGGCACAGTCCTCACACGGGCGCTAACCGCACCAACACCACCTGCACCCCGCTCCGAGTCCTCCGGCTCCGGGTCTGCCATACCCTCCCGCACGCTCTGCTCATCGGCCCTAACACGATAAAAACAGATAGGATACATCAACCTCGTGATCTGTTCGAGCTTGTACCCAAGCCTCGAAGCCCCAAGCTCCCAATCGTGCAGCGTCGGAAGCCCCAACTTCCGCCTGACCTTCTCCACTCTATCCTTCCGCAAAGGGAACCCGTACAGGAAATGGCAGTCGGCGTTCTTGTAGTCGGCTGGAAGTGGTTTCCAAGTCGCTAGACCGCGATAGGACGGGGAATGGCATGTTGGCATCTTCCGCTGCAGCATCTGCAAAAAGACTTTTTAATAAAAAAAATCACGTCCAACGAGGAGAGAGGAGGTGGTGCACGAACGGCAGCGCGACAGGTGTTGCACTTGATGTGCCCGATCTTGCGCTCTTGCGCTGGGGTGAGCGTTGCAGCGGTCTCAGGGGTGGTTTCCTGCGCTCCGCTGTAGTCAGACAAATATTGGAAGTGTAAGTAAACGGGATCATACCATTTCGGCGAGAGGGTTGTGCGGGCGTGGTTGATGTTCTTGAGCAAGCCTGAGCGGCCCCCAAGTATAGCTGCGAGTCCCGACTCCCGACTCAAGAGTCTCAGACTGTCGAAAACGACGGCCCCAGAAAGTCACGTGCGTGATCGGCACCTCCGCCGACTCCTCTCGAGTCCCCAAGGGAGGCTTGCTTGAGAAGGACGCGATAGTTGGACCTCACTGCTGGTACAGCAAAATCTGGCTTTCGCGAAGAACCGTGACGGAACCTACGAACCTTCGAACCTTGGGAGTGACGCTCGGTCTTCTGAATCCCAGTCTTCCACAGACGCCCCAAACCCGCGTATACACGACTTCAACTCCCTCAGACTCAACCTCGAATGTTTCCATCCCAATTTCCTATAAATTCCACACCACTCCTAAACACTACGTAAAATCCAAATTAGACATCTACAAATACAATCGAGGGACAACTACCAACTCCCCTCGAGATGAAAAAAACATTACATCAACTACGTTCTACAGATCCATATATATATTGTTTCTGGGGTGTTGTTGTTGCTTGTCAGTTGTTATATGTTGTTATGCCTCGTATCCGTATCATGTATGTAAGTATGTTATGGTATATGATGAGTATGAATATTAAATACAAAAGAAATTCCTCGTTCTTCTTGCTTCTTCGTCTTCCGCCGCGAGACCAGGAGCACGAAATCAACATGCCCAGCGCTTCACTTCCTCTTCCCACCCTTCCCCGCCGACTTCTTCCTCGACCTTACCGCCTGTGATTTCGGAAGAGGAGTCACAACACTCAGAGGGGACGTGGCCGAAACCAACCCCTCACCCGTCATCGACCCTCCTCCGCCTCCACCCATACCACCACTCCCCCTCCCCGACGCCGTCCCAGACCCCGAGGGCACCTCATACGCATGCCCTCCACCCCCATGTCCCGGATGCACACTAACAGTCTTCGAAATCCCAACAAACCCCTCCGCATCCTCAATCGCCTGCCGATCCTGCTTATCCCACCCACCCTCCCCCCAAATCTCCTCATCAACATGCCCAACAACATCATCATCCATATCCATATTCGAGTGGATCGAACCCGCAAGCGAGCGCTGGTTCGTCGGCGTATGCGTATGCGAGCGCGAGGAAGCCGAGTGGCGAATCCGGGGAGCCATAAACTCCTCATCCTCCTCTTCGTCGTACTCGAACGCCATCTCGCCTGGGGCGCCTACACCTTCCCCAGTGGCGGACCCATCCCGGTATCGCCCATGGATCTTCGCACCATGCTTCCTAATCCCCCTCCTAATCCTGCCTAGGCCTTCACTAACACCATCGCCAAAGCCCTTAATCGGAATCCCGGGTATCCCAATAATCTTCCCGCCCCTCCTCGAACCAGGGACACCATTCGAAACATCGGCAGCACACTCTCGCTGAGCACTACACCTCTCCCCGGATCGAAGAGGAGTGTATCCTGGTGATTCTCATTGGGTCGAGAATGGCGTGCAGAGGCGAGGTGGTAGTTCGAGGTATAGGACGTCGCTGAGGGGGACGAGGACAGCGGAGCAGTGGAGGAGGCGGAATCGAGGTGTAGAGACCTCGGACGCGCATTGAGCGAAGGCGGAAGCACAACCCCATCGTTCGACTGCACAAACGTAAACGCAAGGGCCGCGTACTCCCTCGGTCCATCTCCCGTCCCATCTTGATTCCCAAGCCTCGATCCTCGAACGCGGACGATAGGCGACAGTTGGACTTTCAACGGCGGATTCTACAACACCACGCCACGCATCATCAGTAACCACTCTAAAAAACCAAGATAAAAAGGACACTCACCAATCCCCCAACATAATCCCTAACCCTCCCACTCAAATGCGCACCCACATCCGTCCGTCCACCAAACGGGTTCGAAGCAAAAACATGAACAGTCCGATTCCTCGTCGTCACTCCAGCGAGCAATCCGTCGGGAAGAACTTCAATATCCTCAATGACAGCAGAGGAAACACCGCGACGAAGGTCGTACAGGTGTATCGCAGTGCCTAGAGGTCGGTCTTGGTACGCTCCTTGAGTTCGGTCCTGGTACGACCCTTGCCCGTGCGGAGGAGACTGGGACGCATACTGCGCTCGACCAGGCGACGTACTCGACTGTACACCTTCCTCTCCCACCCTGGCACCCCGCAGACCCGACGGAACAGGAGGCCCAGGAACAACCTTGAAAACCTTCGTAACCTGCCCATCCCTCGGAACAACGAACAACGTCCCTCCGTCGGTCGAGAACGCAATATGAGCTATAGTCTGACTCCGCGAACGATAAAGTCACGACGACCTTTGGCGTCTTGGTCGTCGAGGGAGCTTTCGTCGTTGTCGAAGATTTGTTCGTCGTCGTAGGAGAAGTCTTGTTCGCTGCCGAGGTCCTGGCCGTCGTCGAAGACTTGGCTGCTGCCAATTCTTTCTTCGCGTTGCCGTTGACATCCACCAACGTCCCCAAATCAACAACACGAACAACAGACCCCCTCTCAACCCTGCCCTTCGTCAAGGGCGAAACCCCACCTCCAAATCCATTAGAATCAGGAGAGACAGAACTCAAACCCGACAGCCTCCTCCTAGCCTTCTCCTCACTCTGCCCTCCAAGGCCCTCGCCAAAGCCCAGATCCGTCGGGGCACTCCTCGACACCCTTCCTCCACCCACACCTCCCATTCCTACTCCACCAGCACCTACTCCTCCTGCGCCAGGACCCACACCCCGACTCGTCATCACAGGCGAACTGCCCGCCGGCGACGCGTCCCCACCGCCAAACCCACCACCACCACTAACACTCCTCTTCGCCACAGCCTCCACAGCCTTCCCGCCAAGGAACCTCATCCCACTAAGCACGCTCCCCCCAACCTTGAGCGCCGCACTCCCCAACTCGGCTTGACTAGTCGGAATCCGGCCTTGCACGACATTCCGGCCTAGTTCCGAAACATTCTTGCCTGTCATGTCCAGTGTCAGTTTCGTGCATCCAAAAAATGTACGACCGCAGTAGTCAGTTCGTACAGCCAAAAAGGTACGACTGTAGCACCGGAAGGAGAAACCATACACACACCTATCTCAGAAATATTCGACAAATTCGAAAGCCCAAAACTAAACCCAGTTCCAGATCCAACACTCGACGGACTACCACCACCCCTTCCCTCTCCTCCCACTCCACCACTTCCTCCACCCCCTCCTCCTACATCCCCACCTCCCACTCCACGCCTCTTATCCCCCACACCCTCGTTCGTCGTAGAGGGTACAGCAAAAGCCAAAAGCCGTCCTGAAAGACTAAACACCGGCTTCTTCGCCCCTTGCGCCGTGGCGGAGGTCGTTCTCCCTACTGGCCCGGGTGTAGCAAACGGCTGCGTCTGCGTAGCACTAAGAATCGACTCTGCAAGGTTACTCGTGGAAGGCAGGTACGTCGACGTCCTATGCCCCGCCGGAGGGTGCGCGAAGAGCGCTAGCGATGACGACGGGACGGTGTACAGCGTTTCGAGCGAGGTGGAGGACAGGATATGGATCGAGGGTGGCGAGGTCGTTGACTAGTGACCCCCAAAAAAGCCCCAAATGTGCGTATGAGGAACGCAGCAGCAGGCGAGTCGAGTGGTGTTAGCGTCGTTAAGGCAGCGATCGTGGCGTTGAGATGTAGATGAATTCGTGGCGTTGAGAGGAGAAAGAAGATTACAAAAACATTAGCACACCCCCTCAAACCCTCAAAAAAGATAAAAGAAATACGCACAACAGCAACAAACCCAGCACTACTACACTCAACCCTCTCTCCAACACCGACCAACCCCGTCTTCTCAACCACTCGATGGTTCTTCAAGGAATACAGAGCGAAGGTGGTAGACGTCTCTCCTTCCCGATCCGTCGAATTCAACCTAGGACAGTAACTGTAAGCATGTACTGGGAATGTCAAAGATATAAGGCGGGAGACGCACAAGATTCCAAGTAAAGGCCTCTCCCCCTCCCACACATCCTTCTTCGTCTTTCCAAGGGGGGTGGGTACGATCTGCGCATCCACAGCTCGCACCTCCTTCTCGCTCTCATGCGCCTCCTCATCAACAAACCCCAGCCTCGCAAGCGTCTCCGGCTCAAAATTAACATTCAAAACCTCCTTCACAGATCCAAGATTGGACGTATCCCAAATCTGCAAACCGTTGGCGTAGGCGAGGATGAGTAAGAGCCTGTACGAACAACGGGGGACAAAGGACATGTCAGCTAGCCTGCTCAAGATACGTTGAAAGATGCCAAACAGGAAACACCAGTCTTCAATAATCAACACACCAATACCCAATAATCAAAACGCCAGTCTCCAACCATCAACACACCAGTCTTCAGCAATCAGTAAGACAAACAAGCGATCACTTGGCGCTCATGGGTAGGTAGTACACACGTCCAACATGTCTCCCTCGACGCCATCGTATCCAGCTCATACCACCCCAAGAAAATAATAATAGGAAAAAAAAGGAAATGAAATGAGGAGACAGAATGAACACGTACCGTCTCCGCCTCCCCCCAACACCAACCCCACTCTTATCCCATTTGGCCCAAAGAACGGTATCAGCCCCACCACCACTACTACCACCAGCACTACTCCGTCCTACACGTCGTCTAGCATCGTCTCTGTCGCGAGCTGCGGTGGTGGTGGATGCATTGATATCTCTACCGGAGGTGAAAGTGTTGACCTCTCTGGCGGCGGTGGGCGCATTCGCAGCAGCGATAGAATAGGCATCGTCGTCGAGATTCCTCCTCTCCTGCCGAAGAGTCTGACTAAGTCCAGAGGTAGCAGACGCAGCTTTAAGCGTATCGTTCCTCTCCCTCTCCCTCTCGCGTCCTAAACCCCTCTCGCGTCCTGTACCCCTCGCCTCCCTCCTCGTCCTCTCTTCTCCGCGTTCATCGTACGCATCCTCTTCCTCCTCCTCGTCGTAGTCATATCCACGTTCCCGCCCACGCTCTCTCTCTCGATGCGAATGCGAATGAGGCGACGGCGATGCCTTCCTCCTCCTCTGCGCCGTCTCCGTCTCCTTCCACGACTTCTGCCTCTCAGGAACAATCGTCCTCGGGGGGAGACCAGACTGCCGAACAGGCGGCGAACCATACGAGAAAGGGTGGTACTCATACTCTCCTTCTCCATCGTCATACCCTTCCCCGCGGTCTACCCCACCATACCCTCCCCCGCGGTCTACCTTCCTATCCTCAGGATCGGCGTAGTCTTCCTCGCGTCGCTTCCGCCCCTCCAAAGAAGCCCTTTCATCACCTCTCCTCCTCTCTTCCCGGTTATACGTTCTCTCCTCCTTCCCAGCAAACGACCCCACCACACCAGGCGCAAGACTCCTAATCGTACGCGTCAACGACGAAGGCGAGATCGGCGACTTGGATCGCGTAGCTGATACCGCCGCTGGGATTGGCGAGCGGGTACGCGGGGCTGACGGGGAGCGGGTAGATGGGACGGATGGTGACCGCGTCCGCTCAGCTTGCGACGTCGACCCTCGGGTACTTGATGCAGTTGTGGAGACGGGTGTGCCGGAACTGGGATTACTGGAACGAGAACCGACGGGCGGTGGAGAACGTGAGGAGCGCGAAGAGGTGTGCGAGAGGGTTCTATACGGGGTAGGTAAGGTTGTTGTTAGTTGATATGATATGATACAGATGATGGTTGAGGAGATTGAATGCAATGGAATTGAGAGATGAAGGGGTGAATGTAAGAGTGTAAGAGATGAAAGCGAGAACGTAAGGGCGAAAGTTAGGTAGGTTGGAATGAAAGGAAGTGTTGAATTGAGAGGAACAGGATGAAGCCAATGCACGTTGAAATCCGAAATCCCAACGACGACAACGCCTCGAAACCATCGTCCAGAATAGAACGGACCAACTCCCAAACCACGAAAACCAACGCTAACAACACAAAAAAAAAAAAAACACAAACGTACCTAGACGGAATAACAGGCTCTCTCGTATGCCCATACCCGTATCCCAACTCTCCATACCCCCTTTCCTCCCTTTCCCCCTCTCCACCCTCCCGGTAATCATCGTCGTCCAAAAGCCGAGGCCTCGTAGGCAGCGGGCTCAAACTCGTCTCTCCACCTCCTCTACCCTCTCCACCTCCCATGGCCACCCCTCCAAGCCCCTCCTCGTCCTCCTCTAGATCCGGCAGCTCCGCAGCCTGCCTAAACGGCGGACTCTTGCTCTTGTAGGCTTCGTCCTCAGCGTCGTGGTCGTCTCCGTAGGCTATATTCCTGTTGTCGTGTTCGCAAGGCGTGGTCCTGTGGTCGTGCTGGTGCTCGTAACTTCCACCGCTGTACGCTGTGCCCTCAAGAGCCAACCCCAACCCCATCCCCGCGACGTCGTCCCCAAAGTCAACGATATCATGCGCACCATAGCCTTCTCCCCCTGCATACCCGTAGCCTTTCGCATGGACAGTGGTTGCGGTGGCATCCTGGGTTGTGCCAACCGTGCCAGGAGAGACCCCAAAGTCGATTAAAGCGTCCACGCCGGGGCTCGAGCTGAGCGGGGGGAGCATGCCACCTCCTCCACCATGCCCCTCATCAACTGAAATGGTAGGCGGCGACTCGGGCGGGGGTGTCTCTGAGGATGAGGAGGACGAGTGAGCCGCTGGTGGGTGGTGCAGGTTCGCGGTGTACTCGTCGTGCTGTAATCCGTGGCGGTACTCGTCTTCGACGCCGTGCTGGTACTCGTGGGCCATAACCGAATGCCCGCCGTGGGGCCTCAAGTCGACCTCTGGCAACGGAGTCGGGAGCTGGCGCTGGCCCGTCGAGGGTGTGGGGAGTGGCGAGGGCTGCTGTGAATGCTGGCGAGAGGATTGTTCAGATGCAGGTTGTGAAGGAGGCTGCGAGGTAGGTTGAGATGACGGCTGCTGGGAAGCGTGTCGAGCGGCTCTGTCTTTGTTCTTGCTGGTTCGTCCATTACGGTTCGGTTTGGGCATCAAGATTTACTCTCTATGCCCCCTTTGTTGTCTGTCGCAACGAACCCGGTTGTCCTCGTGGTCCTTGGCTCCGTGAGAGTGCTTGCCCTCGTAGTCCTTGTGTTCCGTGAGTCGTCGATAACGTTGCTGGATGACAGTGGTTGGTGTGTACGCTGTAGACGTGGTCGTAGTCGAATGGAGTAGCAAGCTGTCCCTAACCGAAATGAAAGCGAAGAGAAGCGAAAGCTATAATACAGCTAAGGGGGTGTATGGGTGTATATATGTATATGTTGCGAAATGAGATTAAGAAACGATGAATGAAAAGGCGGACGTTGAATGTGGAGTGAACAGTGAACGTTGCAAGAAGCCTAACAGTGACTGCGCTATTATGCGCTATTATGAAAGTGGTCAGAACAGAATAGAATAATAGAATAAGCACGAACCGCAAGGAACCAATATAAAGAAAACCCAACCCAACTCAATATGAGTCGAGTCACAAAGGCTCTACGTGTACTACTATTTAGTATAACAGTGCGTCAGTGAGAAGCAGATGTCTCCTCCGACAATTATTAATCCAATCCTAATTCCTGTAGCAACAAAGTTCAAAGATACGAAGATAAGAGTAAACACCGAGTGTTCAGAATCGAGTGTCGTCCAATAGCAAGGGCACTGCAACGGTATACGGTGCAGCTAAGCAGTAAGCAAGCAGTCCAATGACAGAACAGGGGTGAAGAGGGGCCAGCGAACGCCCGTGCCCCACAGTCGTTATCTCCCCGTTCCGGTAATCAGGCACGTGATCTTGATCCCTTACTGTTTTCCCCGAATTGATGATGACTCCGAGCCAATGATGATGCATGATGCATGATGATGACATCGTTGTGATCGGACTCTCAACGAGCATCCAAGCCTCAAGCCTGGTGTCCTCGAGAGAATCCGACAACTTGAATCTCCAGAATCCGACATCCATCAGGCGTTCTGGAGGTCTAGACAACAATCCCTTCGTAGGATCCCCTATGTTGTAGCGAAAATGACGCCTATGACTTAAGAGTACTGTAACGAACATGCTAGAAATAGAATGGTTCTCGGAACGAGTAAGTACAGACTCTTCGAGAACAGGGTAAGTAAGTAATCTATTATTGTTCTGTCCGTAACCTACGCTAATCCTATCGGTACCCTAACTTTGTATCCCATGGAGAGCGCATTTAGATCACCATCACGTTTTACTACTATCTACCCGGTGTCCTCTACACGAGCCTGGCTAGAAATCCTACACGAGCTCCTACACGAGTACTTACACCAAACGCGAGTACCTTACATATTCCTACACGAGCACCTGGTCATACACGAGTACTTGGGAACTTAACCTCGAGGCACGTCTGGGGAAGACCTATATCTCGTCTGGGGTACACCTATACATACATAGACCCTAGCACAAAAACCAAACCCTTAACCGGTGACTGAACTGGATCGACTGAATTCCTCTGAAGGGACCCATCAAAAGCGTATCCTCTAAAGGGACCCATCAAAAAGCGTATCCTCTGAACGGATACATCAAAAGCGTGACATGACCTGTGTACATACATCCAAAGCCAACAGCCCAACGGAAATTAAAAGTCCCAAACGTTTTTCGAGCCTCGAGCCTCGTGCGCGCGGATCTTGAGGAAACGACTCCTGAAGATTTGAGTGTCGTAAGTACATACCTAAAACGGAATGAGCACAGACTTCAAAAAGTACCTAAAACGGAATGAGCACAAGACTTTCCAGTATTTACAGTCCGAGAGAACGCTTTTACAGAGTCTACAGAATCCCCCAACGTGTTGCGTGCCTCAAGTCAAGAAGTGTAATTAAACAGCCTCGAGTGTACTTGGTAGCCGGAAACATAACCCACTCACCCTGACGAAAACGGCTCAGAGTTAGATGCCGATTCTTCACGATCACGATGATCGAATCCATCACGAGCGATCACTGTGATTTACATTGTACAGGCTTTAACGCACCCAGCGTAAACGCCTCGAGGCGTCTTGAGACTGGCAGTCTTGCACAAGTATGTATCATAAGTAGTAGGACAACGTGAACGAGTCGAACTAGGCTCTGCGCTACCCCGTGTAACGATAACACTAACACCGTGAAGTCAGATGAACTGAAGCCAAAAACTCTGAACTGCGCAAATTTCAAAACCTAATTTGCTAGTACGCAAAACACAAGCATGGGCAGATGTACGAGTAGGTCTCTTTCATGTAGGCGTTATTACCATGTCGAACAATGTCGATCACACGGCGAGACTCACCGTCAAAGTTTGAGCTAATCTTCAAAGTCGGACTCAAAGTTTGAAGCTTGAAGGCGGATGGAAATCAAAATCGAAATCGACGCTAGCGCTCGGAAGTGGACCCAAATTGCGACACGACGCATGGAATAGACGAGTGGGGAGTCGGCAGCCACCGTGACTCCTACCTAGTCTACTCGACATCACTCACTTGCACTCCGACTCGCAACGGGGGCCCAACATTCACTAAGGCCCCCCATCCCCCCCCCCCCCCCCACGTTGGTTTACTAGGCGAGAAAGTACCCTCGAACGTGTGAGAAAGCGCTAGTAGTGACCTAACTGACTCCAAGGTATCTATTTATTTATATATAAGTTTATCTCGCTTCTCTCTCACAGCAACGTGTACCTCCACTCCACTCCCTGTTCCATGCTCAAATTATTGACTTGGCAGGCCGCAGCCGATGACGGACACTGGAAAGCAAGACGAGCCACGACGGCGCTCGGAGTTGGAGGGATGGGGGAATGGTTCAATAAGCGCCCATCCACGATCATGACCGTATATTTGAGCCGATCATCACTCAGATGCTGGCCACAGAGGTATATAGTAGAGTTGTGTTTAAATATCTACGATTCGTCAATTGCGAATATGTCGTGCTGGTACGTGTATACTACACGGCTGTAATCTCTACGATACACGTCCAGTAAGCGAGCCAAAGTTTACCCCACACTACCCCGGACCCTCAGGCTACCGCGAATTTCGAACTTGCCGACATCAGACCCTACTGCGAAGGAAGTTGTACCTACCGATATATGTACTTACCGGACCCTATGACGTACTGTATGTACAAAACACGATGATCAAGTGACAGGGATGATCCATGCTTTACAAATTACGCAACATGAACGCGGGGTAACAGAAAGTACGAAATGAGCCTGGTACTTAACGGGCACGATATCTGCATTCCTGGTAGCACGCTGCGCCTCAAGGTGAGGAACGATGCAAACGGCAACTCTCGATGCAAGGGCAATGATACAAACATCAGCCCTCGAGGCAATAAACGATGAAAAAAACAGGCCTGGAATTCGGTAATGAACAACGTAGATGGCCCTAACCTGGAAGGTCCTGTGACTGGCAGTATAACGTGAACTCCAACCCCAGAGCTCGTTGCTACCCTGAGTAGCACTGACACGACGAAAGGAATCCAGATAACACCTTCTCTGAAGGGCTTATTTCAACAAAACGCCGCCTCGTGCAATTGTAGTTGACGTTAGCGCCGTCCGGCTCGGAGGGGGAATATGTATGTACTCTAGATATAAGACTTAAGCTGAGACTCTACAGGGTACCCCTAATAGGCTACAAGTTTGTAGATATCTATTTTGTATTTACATACTTTTTGGGAGTGGAGTGGAATTTATAGGAATTTGGGATGGAAAAATGAGAGGTTGCGTCTGAGGGAGTTGAAGTTAGTTGTATACAACTGGAGTGTGGGTTCGTTCTTCTTCGATATCCGCGCCGACTTAACAAGTTCGCGTTTATCCGCTATGTGTCAATTGCGAGCTGCCAGTGCTGGGGTGCTTCTCTAAATTGCTCTAACCTCATGATCAGTCCCAATGATTGAGCCCCTCCCCAATGGACCTAAACCCTCTCCAAGTCGCTACCCTCCAACCTCAGACTTGTCGATCGTGCGGTCCTCCTCCTAGTACTAGTAGTAGCTCCTTTCCGTGATTCCCTTTTCGTAGGTTTGTCGTCAAGGAAGAATATGATGGACCCGGTGGTCAAACTACCGAATGTTCAAAGCAGTGTCAGACCCGCAAAGATGAGAGGAATGCACACTGCACGCACCACTGCACCCAGATGAAGACTTGCAGCGTGATCAATTGCGCACAATGGGGGAATGGTGATCTATGCCAGGGTAAGGCAAAGTTTATCGAGGTGCGTTCTGTGGAGATGTCGATTGCAATGGGCGTACCTCGGGCAACTATACGTCCCTTCATACATCACAGTCGTCGTCACCCCAAAACCGAGCCACATAACCCAAGTGACGAGCGTCCTACATCGGAAAGGTCAGCACACGCTGATTCGCCCGTCGAAGGATCATCCCAGAAAATCCTCAAGAGCACTCTACGAATGCGATTAGGCGCTCACCAAAATAATCCATTCCTGCTGGGCCTCTTCCTCGGATACCCCAACCACAGCCCCGCAAAGAACAGCACGGTCCAAATCGACGATCCGAGTATGGAGTGTACGAGGATGTCCACTGCTTGCGAAGGTGCTTTGTCGCCCGCGTTGAACTTGGATGTGAGCCAGGCGGATAGGACGAGCTGATACAAATTTCAATGATGAGTGGTGGGTGAAAAGTTCAGGGCCGGAGGACAAGGAGTGGAGCCCACCGTTATGATAGCGCATCCCATCGAATATGCACCTGGGACTAAATTCCACCCGGCGTAACCCCAGAAAGAGAACGTCGAGTTTTACGCATCGGTACTCATCCTCGCGGACCAGAGGAGCAATGGAAACTACTCACTTGTCCAATGTCCATTCCCCGATGGTAAGGTAATCGTGAACCTCCGAGAGGCATCGTCGACCCTAGTAGCAGCCACAGAACTCGCGCTATCCTCCGTGGCCAGTTCCATATCCATCTCGAGCGCCGCAGCTTGGACTGACACACCTAACCTGAGACGCCCAACGGAGAATAGGTTACCGACGAAGAGAACGAAATTGATTTCCAGAACAAACAGCAACAGGTCCTCAGTCGTGGCGTGAGTGCAGTGTCGGAAGGAACGAGCACCGAGTTCGGAAAGAGTAGGACTGGGTGGCCTTCTCTCTTTGGTCTGTTGCACTACCACTCTGCGAACAGAAAAAAGGAGGAGTGAGGGGAGCACCAAAAGTCAGAGTCGAGAACACGAAGCATACCTGGCCTGGGGTGCTGGCGGGAACCTTCCCCATTTCCAGGTCGACTCCACGAGAACCTTTGTTGATAGACTTCTTCGCATCATCCGAAGGCGGTGTGGAAGAGGTCCGGCCTCTACGATCGTAAAAGAACGCCAGGATTTGTAGGACGCTGGAATGGAGAGACTGAGATACTCGCAACGAGTCCGGTCTCGAGGGGACGTACACTACAGCCCAGACGACGACGTGCAAAGCTATAATTCTCCCGCAATGAACACCCTGTCGAGGCCCGCCGTTACTAGTGTCGCAGCTGAGGTTCAGTAGACTGGACATAATATAGAGACCACTCACCGAAATGGACACCCATCGTATACATCTTTACTGAGAGCCGTCATTATGAATCCCGCAATCAACCAAGCTAAGAACAAGGTGAACCTGGTTCAACATAGCAAAAACGCACAGCAATGGCATCGTCAGCGATACCGGCTCCTGGCACAAGTTGGACGAGCTCACAAGACGAGAGGCGTACCTTATTACTACCCACCGGCGTTGATCCCCTCCAGAAAAGCCCACCCATACGAGAACAGCCTGGATGAAGGTGAGGAGGCTGCAAGTCAAAATGAAGGGGTAGACCGAGGAAACGTCTTCTTGTTTGGGTACAAAGTCACTGCCGTGTGCCACGAGGTATGCACTGAGTACGATCTGGGGTAGAGACGAAAGTGTTACTACTATCCGATTTTCATGCAGCGAGCGCAATAAGGACTTACGGCGGCGACGGAAATGATTACCGCCCAGGTCCCAGGGCCTTCGATGAGAGCGTCAGCACCTTGACCTGCCCTGTAAAAGATCAGAGGCTATCTTACGTCTGGCATGCCCAAGTAACAGTTTCGGGTCTGTTCTCTTCGCGTCGCGAGTCGATTCCGCCATCTGGGTCTTAAGTCGGGGAAACAAGGCAGAACTCTCAAGTGGCACGAATTCAAACTTTAAGTAGGGTTTTTCAAGCTCATCAGAGAAGACAAGTGCTGTAGAGCTTCGCTTACCCGTCTTTTGTCCGAGAAGGAATCATGGGAACGGTCAGGAAGGGTGCTCCCCATGAAAGGGCTGTGTGGGACATGGAGGTGAAGTCGAAGGATCACGTGGAGGGATTTGGGCGTCTAAATTTCCCGGGCCTTTGCCGGTCATCGCAAGGTTAACTACGGGTTAACTACAGAGTACTGGATAGACATCGCGATTGAGGAAAATGGCGCTCATCTCGGTCCTATAGGACCAGGATGAAATGGGTTCATTGTGTTGATTCTGTTATGGTACAGGTTGGCGTTTCCTAGCATTACCGAGCATCCTTCAACACCGGTTGCTCTGTTGCGCTGCCATTCTGCGTAAAGAAAGGGGGAGGGGTGAAGGGAGCTCGAAAGGTCGGAGTCCAAAAGACGTAAGTATCATACCTCTCCCGGGGTTCTAGCAGGAACCATCCCCATTTCCAAGTCGACTGCGCGGGTACCTTCTTGGATCGTATTGCTTGCGGGGGCGACATTCGTGGTAGCATCGTCGGAAGGCGGTGTGCAGGAAGCTTCTTGGCCACCGCCCTGGCAAAGGAAGGCTAAAATCTGGAGAACGCTACAATGCCAATCCTCAGATATGCCCGTGAGCAGGGTGGGTCGATGGGACATACATCTCAACCCAGACAACGACGTGCAAAGCAACAATTTTCCCACAATGAACACCCAGGCCTATTCCACTGAGCTCGTCTTTACTAGCGTCGCGGTTGAGATTACCAGGTGAGACATAGGCGCGGAGGCCACTCACCGAAAGGGGCACCCATGGTAGAGATCTTTGCGCAAGGCTGTCATTACGACTGCTGCCACGCACCAAAGGAAAAATACAGAGAACCTGGGCAGAGGAATTGGAAGATTTGAATTGACTCTAGTGCAAATTAAACAATGTAACAAGGAGACGCACTGTATTACCATCCCCCGCCGTCGCTTATGCTCGGTAAGAGTTTTGGATAAGAGAAAAATGTGGGCGAAGGTGGTGATGCTGCACCCCAAAATAAAGTCGTAGACCGCGGAAACCTTTTCTTGGTTGGTGATAAAGTCACTGTCGCGGGACTTGAGGTATGCACTAAGCCCTATCTGGAGAGGCGACATTGGAGACATTATTATGTGAATAAATGTAGCGAGCTCATTGGGGACTCACCGCGGCGACGGACAGGATCGCTGCCCAGGCCCCAGGGCCTTCGGTGGGAGGATCAGGCCCATGATTCGCCTTGTACAGCCCGTGTCTACTCTTACCAGCGCTACATCCACTCGACTGACTAGGGTCGAAGGTCTCCTCTTTGCGACTCGGTTCTGCCATCGAAAGCCCTACTAAGCTGGGGAAACAAGGAGGAGCGCGCGGGTAACAGGAACTGGGGATTCCAAGGTGACTTAAGTAGGATATTGGGATTCCTAGTCATCAGAGAACAAAAATGATGTGAAGCTTCTCCCATATGTCTTTTCACCGAGAAGACGTCCGTGGAATAGTGGGGGAAAGGCGCTTTCCCAAGAGTAGCTAGAGGGCTGTGCGGCAAATAAATAGGAATTTAAAGTTCTCTCTAGATCTGCGATCACGTGAACATATTTGGGCGTCTAAATTAAAAATGCTCTGGGCCCTTGTGAATCCCATGGTAAGGTCAAGTGTAGCGAAGGAGCGCCCATGCAGTTGGCGAGAAATGGAACTATATACTGATTATCTCGATGGTAATTCTGATGGGCAGACATTACGGTCGAGGAAATGGTCGTCACCGCGGCTCCGGAGGACCAGGAATAGCCCCCAACGGTATGGGTCGATCTTCTACCTTTGGATTAGGTAGCAATGAGATCTTCACGCCGTTACATTCCTCCTCTACCTTTGGACCAGGGAGCAATGGATTCGTTACGCTGTGATCCTGGAGGCAGAAAGATATGGGTGAGTAAAGCTCGAAGTACACCACCCCATCTGCAATACTCACCGGAGACGCGCACGGTTTCCCTCTAGTCACGCCCATTTCCAAGTCAACTCCCAATGAGTCCTGGTTACTGCTGCCACTCGCCACGGGAGCATCATTCGAATTTTGTGCGGAAGGAGACGCCTGCGGGATATCGTTGTTGTACCTGAAGACCAAGGCCAGGAAAATGCTATGGTATAGGAGATGAGCACATATCGCGAAGTGCAGGTGCCGGTACGAGATACCTTTCGATCCAGACCATGACATGTAGCGCAACGGTTTGCCCGCAATGGACGCCCTTTTTACCATCCCTGGTCGTTTAACGATTGAACGCCCTGGTATCGACATGATACGAAATCTACTCACCTAAAGCACCCGTCGTAAACACCTTTATGCAACGTCGTCATCAAGATCGCCCCCAGTGACCAGGCTAATAGGAGGCAGAAGAAGCTGGTATGCATAAACAAGATTGTGTGGATGTCAGCGAACCGACCTCTAGTTTCGGAATAATCGGGCCCAACGCAAAGGGAGGGATAGCCTGAGGAGGGAGACGCACTAAACAAGATGCTTTCGGGGCAGCTTCACTTCAGGGAACTTCCCAAACAGGATGAAAACATAGACAGAGGTGAAGATGCTGAAACTTAAAATCCAGAAATAGAATACGTGGTACACTCGTTGGTTTCCTGTCTTGAAGTCGCCATGACGTGATACGAGGAATGCACTGATCCCTAGCTGAGTAGACAACAGTCGCAGATTTCTTAGCTGCATCCGATGAGATACCTAAAGCAATACTCACGGCTATGAGGGAGAAGATCAGTGCCCAGAACCCAGGATCTTGAACGAGAAGATCAGCGCTGGCCCTCGAGGTGTCGTCTAGCCAGATGCACTCACCCGTCCAATGTCCCCTGGACGACTTCGCGGACAGCCTCTTTGTGATACGAATTAACTCGGTCATTCGCAAGCTGTTCAAAAAACGGAGAAATCGAAATGAGCGGCAAGAGTGAAACCTGAAGGAGAGCTTTAAAAAGTCATTACAGTGCACACAAGTGCTGTGGAGAGAAGGAAGCACCGCTCCTGAGTCGTTCAACCTGAAGGAGTGCCTGGGAAGCACATGGAAGGCGGCCGCTGGCAACATCCACAGAGGTGAGATGGTTATCAATGTGCGGGTTTCTCGGAAACGAATAGAGGGAAACTAAGCGCCCCCGTTCTCGGAGGGTCACGTGGATGTACTTGGGCGTCTAAATTGGGAGAACCGGGAAACATTGCAAGGACATGTTGCTAATTGGTACTTCTGAAACCTTTTGAGCAATATATAGTCAGTCCCTTGAGGCCTAATCCTCGATTTCGATCTCTTCCGCCTCGCAATCGTCGCCATTCGTATCCCAAATTCCGACTATCTGCTCGAAATCCTGTTTCGAGGTATTTTAGAGTCCACTTCCTACAGTCGAGAATGTACTGACGTACCCTCTTACAGTCGGATGGACTGGTAAAATATTCTCCAGATACATAGGCGGGGGTCGTCGCGCACATAATTTCCCAGTTATCGCCCCTTTTCAGTCCATCGAGTATACCGGTAAATCGCTGCCATGGAGATCGTTAGTGAGTTCGCATCAATGTTACGAGTAGACTTACTCTGACCACTCTACTGGATATCACTCGGCATCCCTTAAATAAGGACGGACTATTTTCAGAACACCCATGATAAGGAGCGCAAGGCAAATAGGTATACCTTGTCCTGTATATCCTTCCATTGCGTGATGCAGTCTATTTCGTCGATGCTGACCGTCCAATGGCCCCATATACCTCCCCTAAACCCCTGTTAAATATCGTCATAACGAGCTCGACACCAGCCGTGTGGGTGACTCTGCTCACCAGATCCTGGCAAAAGTCGGGTAACAGCTCTTCTCCATGAATCTCCACCTTGGTCTCCCTACAAGCTGCGACTGCCGATGGTCCGTACGGAATACCAGTAAGAAGCGCAGTGTAATCCCGCGTTGCGTAACGAAGACAGTGTTCGGCCGGTCGCAGGTTCTCCCAGTATGGTTGGCCATCCTCGTCCTCGAACGGTGTAGTGAGTACTGCCGTGGAAAAGCCATTTGGCAAAGAAAGGAGAGAGATAGCTCGTCGAATTGCCGGGTCGAGTCTCCAGGTTTCTCGGACGCTGAATAGAATGGTGACCACGACGAAATGAGATATCAGGACCATAGGCACACAGAAGGAAAACACTTCAATGAACATGTATCAGATCCGTATTCACGGCACGGAAGACAGGAGGGTGCCACTCACCAGCAACAGTCCGACCACGTTTCATGTTGTTCTCCCCGAGTGACTTGACCGAGGTCGATGTGCGATGACGGTGGGTCGCAAGGAGGGAAGAACGAGAAACCACCCAAGCGTTAAGCTGCTATAGTAGCTCCTCTGAATGGCGCGATTCCGAATCAAGCATTAGACTCGCGGCAGTGGTTATGAGAGGGCATCGCCAAGCAGAGTAGAAGAGCGCCAAGAAAGGTTGTAAGGGCGTAGAAACCATGTTTAGTAGGATTTAAAGGGGCTCGTTCATTTTAGGCAAGCTTAACTACAGCTATATACGGTGTAGGAGGCCGCCATCGCTGGGATAGGCTGAGATAGGGAGGTGTTGAAGCCGCGTTCACCCGAACCCCACGATTCTTGCCTTCGAAGACGTACAATTGGGAATTGGGCTGACAATGCATGACCGACCACCCGTTGGCGAGGGCCGTAGTTGCTCACAGCAGTTATATGGGACCTCTACCCCGAAAGCTGAGAGGTATTGGCTATTGGACGTCGATGAAGCAGACTGTCGTGGTTTCTGTTCACGGAGGATGTTGAGGGAGAAGCAATCAGGTAGAAGATACCTTGCCAGTGGTCTAACTATCACGATAGGTGGCGTCGAAGGTGTCGATGTCTCCGTGTCGGGTATGAGTCTGGGATGATTTCACACGGCTAGCGCTCGTGAAAACGTCGGATGAGCCCCAGGGGTTCTTGACTCTTCCGTCACGCCGAATTGCGAGAACCTGCACGAGCCTCGCGGCTCGCCGGGTTGCGCCCCATTCATCACGATTCCCATGAACATTGCTGAGAAGCAGAGCGAAACAGGAAAGTTGGGAGACCATCTCGTGCAGATGGTAGGAAGTGACCGTTGAACAGGAAGGTAAAGACAGACATAGCACTACCACCATTGTCGTATCTGGTCCTTGACCTTGGCGGGAGGGACGATATGACGCGAGAACGAGCCTAACCCTAAGCTGAAGCATTCCTCTGCTACAATTCCCAGTATCAGACCGCCATTCTCGCCTAGTTCGAACGAGAAAGTCCGGCCTTCAACTGAAAACTGTGCAGGTCCGTTTCCAGATAGCGAGTCGATTCAGCATTCTTTTCCCAAGCTGTGATTACAGGTGGGTCATGGTCCCCCTATAGATATCTCGATCCTGAGTATTTCCTGCTAGCGAAAGATGACGAGGTTCACAACAAAACCTGTGGGCTGCGTGGTGCATTTCATTGTCTCCGTCCACAGGACACCCTGATATGCGCTATACCTCCCTTATTTCATCCAACTTTCCCAGCCAATCCCATCGATTTGGGTAACATGTCAAGTATTGGGTCCCACGTAACTGTCACCTGCGTAAGTATATGAGTAACTTCCACTCGCAGCCACTCGCCCAAGTTCGCCCAAGTTCCCACTCCCTCCCCGGCACTTAAGCGCTTGACGCCGGTTGTGTCACAGTTGGTAACCCCATCTAAACACCACGAGGTGGGATCCATTACGACGACAGCTTATGCGCCATACTACGTGTGTAGGTATACGTATCGGGGACTACATCCGCCTACATCGATCGCTTATAAGTATACATGCATCCGGTTCGACTACATATGCCCTGCGATGTGCTGTGTGTACCCACTCCGTCAGCGTCACGGTGCCGTCTATCCAGGTATGTAGAAATTACGGAATTCCAAATGCCTTCTTCCCTTCTCCCACCAAGTACCAGATCGATCGAACGGTACGTACCTACTGTAACCTAACCCCTTGGAAGAAAGAAATCACCGAATGCCCGACATCCACGAAAGGTTAGTGCATACGCAGTGGATACTTGGGGATGTCTACTTGACCATCATACTTGCCGCAAGTCCCCGTCGATCCAATACAATTCCCAACACACGCATTACAATACAATTATAAACTTTTAGCCCTTCGTTTCCACCCCTCAAAAAAGTTTCACAGTATGTACAGTGGAACCCCTCTGAGACTGGGTACGATGCATGCCTCGGAATCTCCAGGCCTCGAGAGTCGAGCAAGGTTGGAAGCGCCCAAGCCCAAGGATTCCAACACTGAATCCGGATGAATCATTACTCACCGTAAAAAGCGACCAACTGCAACAAACTACACAGCACTAGCCGCTTTCATAGTATAGTAGTACTCGTAACTCCAGAAGGCTTATCGTAGAGAAAAAAGAAGGAAAAAAAAAATCATCATACACATACACACTAACTAAAGCTATCTACTACATACTCAAATCTCGACGCGTGTATCCTCGTATTTCGTTCGTATTCTTTTTCGTTATCGTAAAGTGGAGTGGGGAGGGTCGTATGTACGTTTGTAGCGGGTAATAGGAGGTCGTATGTTGCGGTTAGGTCGTATGTATCGGGTAGGACTCGGAAGAAGGAAGCCAAAGGGCGATATGGTATATCATATACGTACAAGGCTACACCGACAAACCTTCGAGAGTAGTAGTAGTACAAGAAACGAAAAAAAAAAAAGAAAAAACCGAGACCAAACCAATCCACCAGTCAATAAAATACAAGTCAAAAAAGAAAACAGAAAAAAAAAAAACATAGCATTTGGAATGTGCGATAGCTAACACAACGAAAGCTAGACAGAGAGAGAGACACGAGACAGAGACATGAAATCGACAGAGAAGGGATAGGACGCGATGGATACACATGGACGGTCAGGAATATACGTTGGGATAGCGAATTTGGCCTGCCTGGTATCGGGATATGCCATGTCTAGCGGGGCCTAGAAAAGCGGGACCTGGAGAAGCGGGACCTGGAGGAAGGAAGGAGTCCAGGAAAAGCGAGACAAGAAAAATGAAGAGAGAAAGCCGATCCATAAAAAAAAGTGAAAAACCGAAACCAAGGGAAAAGAAGAAGAAAAAAAGGTGATGATATACAACGACGACAAAAAAGAAACGAGGTAGGCATATACACAGGCGGGAGGTAGTCGTAAACCAAGAAAGGAAAGGAAAAATGGGCCATAGAAAAACGATAAAGAAACCTTTAAATTTTTTCGTCTAGTGATGATGGTCGACCCGCGCAGGCGTCAAAAGTCAAACGTGGTTGGTTGTTGGTGGTCGTGGTCGTGGTGGTGGCATGAACGCGGCGGTGCCGAAGGCGTTGTGTTGTGGGGTATGTGGGAGAGGAGAAGAGGAGGATAAATCAACGGGTTTCGCACCAAAGCGGCCGGAAGTCGAGAAGACAAAACTGGTCGGTCACATCACACACCCCGACTACTCCCACCACTACTATTCCTCTCAGCAGCATCAACAGCTTCCAAAAGCTCAGCTTCCGCATCCCCATCTTCTCCTTCCACCTCTCCTTCCCCATCTCCATCAGCATCCACATCCCTATCCCTCTCCCCATAGCCATCCCTATCCCTCTCCCCATCTCTATACCCATACCCATCCCCATCTCTATACCCCGAGCCATCCCTCTCCCCATCCGCATCCATAGCATCAACATCACCCTCCGCATCTCCAAGCTCATCAAGCAACTCGTCCTCCCCATCCCCATCCCCGTCCCCGTCCGAGCCTACCCCCACTCCTACTCCTCCAGGGTACGCAACAATCCGTCCTCCCGGACCAACACTCTTCCCTCCTCCCCCTCCTCCGGGGATAACACTCTTCCCCGCTCCACCCACATACCCACGTCCAGCCCCATCCTTCCCCGTTATCGTACCCGCGGAAGGAGCAGTGGTGGTGGTGTGGTTAGCGCTACTACTAGCCTCAACAGCACCCAAAATCTCAGCCTCAGCTTCAGCCTCCGCATCAGCATCAGCATCCGAATCAGTCATCGTAACATCCACCGGGGAACGCGTATGCGCAATCGCAATCGGTGGGGACCGGTCCTGATTTCCACCTCCTGCACTACCCGTGTTGTTGCTGGGGTGCGGTCTCGAAGAGGACGTCGCAGCATGCGATGAAGAGGTTGAAGGAGGGTGGTGCGCAGCCGACCTCGCAGACCCATGGTGCAAACTCGACCTCGCAAGCGAAGACGACGAAGAAGAGGGGTTCCCGTTCGTTGTGGGCGCACTTCGAGACCCGGAGCGGGCCCCACCTGCATCAGCACCCGACACCGCAGTACGGACGTGCGACTGGCGTCATAAATAACCCAAAAGCGATGGTCGAAGAGGGTGGTAAAAATAGTCGTAGTCGTCCAGCGTGCGCATATATGAAGTGATGTGATATCGAAGAATAGTTCACGGCGATGTAAACCGTGATGTCGTCGAGGGTGTGCATGGCGATGACGTCGAGGAAATCATAGTGGTGATATCGAAGGCGGCGGGGTTAAGAAGGGTGCATAGCGGTGATACCAAGGAATGGGCGATCCAAAAAAACGCACAGCAAGCGATATCCAAATCCAAGGAGGGGCCACCAAATAAAACGAAGGGAGGGAGGGGGTTCATTGAGCCACAAAATCTTCATGATACGTTTTCAGGGCGTACGTACCACTTTCGGGGGGTTATTCGCCGCTGACGATGACGTTGCCGGTGCCGCCGCCGCCGTCGTCGTTGTAGCCGAAGTCGTCGCAGATGAACCAGGCTTCTCCCTCGCACTCGTGGTCGGCGACGCATTCGCAGGAATCGTATCCGTCCTCTGCAAACTCCTCACATCATGGTGTTGTTGTGACTGCGACACACTGCTCATCGTAGCAGCAGCAGCCAATTGCTGCGCTTGCGCCGCCTGCTGCTGAGCTTCAAGTGTACCCCGCCTCTCTACGCGCTTCATCTTCTTGCGACATCTATTGTAGATCATCCAGTCAGTGATCATGAACGAAAATGGAATAACGACGGGTTACGCACCGATCACAGACAGTTCCAGGACCTAGCGGGCCAGGACCCCACTTTTCCACACACTTGCCATCCTTGTAGCGCCCAGCTTGGCCACACTGCCGGCATATCCGCTGACCCTGGGCATTCGTAGCTGGGAATGCAGGAACAGGTGGCGCATTCGGCGACTGCGAATCTAGTCCTAAGTAACAAAACAGGAAATAATGGGCACGTCAGCAAAAAACGCAAGCAAGCCTAGCTCATCGGAGGGGAGAAAACCACGGAAGAATCGGTTTGACAGCGGAAATGAAAGATGGGGAGGTCAACGCGTTGAAAACGTGCGCCTCGTGTAGGTTGAAGATAAGGATAGAGATACACACCGACTACACTTCCGTGAGCAGCGAGATTGGCACTCGAGTACTTGCTCTTTTTGATGGGTGCGCCCGTGACGGGAGGCGCAAAGATATGAGTTTGATAAGTTTGCAGTTGAGCCGGCGATTGAACGGTATGCTCCTTTCGAAGTGGGATGGATTGTGACGCGGGGTATGTATCGATTCTTCGCGGATACTGCTGCTGTTGCTGGTACTCGGACTCGGATAACGGGACGCCGGATCGCGGTTGAGATCTCGAGTGTCTCGAACGATGGGAGGACTGGATGTGGTGTAGCGGGTTGATCGAGGCCGGGTGTGGGTGTGGGGAGGCGGAGGCGGCGCCGGCGCCGTTGGGCTGAGAAGCAGAGCGGTCATCGGTGGTCGTGCGGAGAAGCATCTCGTCGACGTCCATTGAGCTTGCGCTGGATCGGCTAGAAGACCGAGAGTGGCTCGGGCGACCAGCATGCTTTTCGCCGGTCTGGATGACGCGAATCGGCGGGTGCTGGCGGTGGTACGATGGGTCGCTCGGATGGGGTGGTAGCCCGTGCACCACCTGTAAGGAAACCCAACCTGTCAGGATTGTTTGAAAGGAAAAGTAAAGAGTTGAAAGGACGGACGGGTTCGTTGTTGTAAGAGACACGAGGCTCTCTTGTATCATCGTTTCCTCGTGATCGTTTGGGTGGCGGATACGCGGAATCGAGGCTCGGTGTCCGCGGACGCCTGAGGCCGGGTGCAGCTGGCGGAAAAACGGGGGCATAGACGTGGTTATGACCTTGGCGATGTCGAGAAGACTTTGATGAGGACGGCACAGACGGCGGAGGCATCGGCGGGAGACTCTGAAGCGTACCTGCCACAACTCCTCCTCCAACTACTCCTCCTTCTTTCAACACCCGCCCAAAATTCGCCCGTGTCTCCTGCGCTTTGTACTCCAGATGCCCTAGATAACTCTCCACGGTACTCCACTGCTCGATTAGCAGTCGCCGTCGCGACTCGGCTTCGTCGCGGGCATGCTCGGCGAGTGAGATGCGTTCTTCGAGGTCGCGGATAATCCGAGCGGCAGCCTCGGAGATGACGGGCGTGGACGAGGACGATCCGTTGGTGTTTTCTGCTGCAGCACTGAGCGTCGTCGCGAGTCGCTCTGCTTTGTCTGCCCGCCGCTTCGTCTGGGACAGTTCGCGACGGAGGACGTCGATCTCGGCGTAGGCCTGCGCCAGGAGCTGCGCGAGCTCGTGGTTGGTTCGCGCTTGACCCGTTGGGGAGGCCAGGATGGGAGATGTGGTGGGATCGACGTTGGTGGTGGTTGTGGTGCTCGAAGTCGCTGCGTTCCCGTTGTTGTTGTTGGTGGTGTTGCTCGTCGTACCCTGTGCAGTGTCGGTGGACATCGTCCTCTAAAACAGACGACGTGCTCAGGGAAAAGAAAGAAAGAGAACAGAAAGGGAAAAAGAGAGAGAAAGGAGAAAAAAGGGGGGTGTGGAGGGAAGGGGCAAGCAACAAAGGGGCAAAAGCGCAACTTGAAAGGGTGGGGGAGTTGTATAACCAAAACCTGGGTCAAAAGAAGCCAAACCCCCCAGCAACGGATATCCTTTTCCGGCTAACATTCTCCGCTCTCACCGATTTTTTCGTCCCGAAACCGTACCAAATCGGGTAAGAGCTCGTCATTCGGGCTATCCGGCCCCGCGCCCCCGTTGCGTTGAAATTTCGTGGGAGCCGCCTGCTTCGGGGGCTTTTGCACGCCGACGGGATGGCGTCGGCGCTAGGGGCTCTTGGGAGCCCAACACGTACTTCTGACCGTAACGGAGGTCTCTCCAGCCACTCAACCAGCGCACCTTCGGTTGGTCCCAGAGACCCCCCACCGCCCCAGCAACACCCAACAACCAGTCCCAAGAACAACGTTAACAACAACAACAACTCCAAACTTCTTTTCTCTCTTCTTTACACAAGGGATGTCATTGCCTTGTGTGAATTCCCATTATCGTCGGACGAGCCGTGGTTCCATTTATCGTTCGGATGTACAGGTTTGGGATGTCGATTGCGCCTCGAGGCTGAACTTAAAATGTGGTCGACCCGAGTAAGCTGCGCGCGAGGAGGATCAGATGACCTGCCCTGCCTTCCGACAAGATGCCAACCTGGTGCCAACGGTGGGATGAGGCGGCGTGGGCGGCAGCGTGTGAGGCGCTTAGGACTGGGTGCCTTCCTAGGCTATGGATACCAACCCCCCTTCTGGTTTCCGTGCGACGCTGCTCCACTTTTCTTGGGCGGCCGGCGGTGTTGAATCTTCTCGATCGTTCTCTTGGGCGGCGGCGGCATCCAAGTCATCGCCTATGCTTATGTAGTCGGCGGCGTGCTCCCGTTCTCTTGGGTTGGGGGTGTGCTCCCGCGTTGCTTGGTTGGCGGCGTCTCCCGATTTCTCGGTGGCGGCGCGGCGCTTGGGAGCCTGAGTCCTGTTACTTTCTTTCTTGTCCTGGGAACACCACCACCTCGTGGTTCCCTTCTGAGGTGGCCATGCCACCATGGCGCCATCATCGGCTCCCATCTCCCATCGCTCATCGCTCATCTCCCATCTCCCACATCTGTCGTCTCCCATCTCATCTCCACCGACGGGCGGCACGATCCCGATATCGGATGCTTCAGTGTAACGGGATTCGGACGCTTGAGTCAGATGTGGCGGGACAAGACCGTGACGTCCGACGTCCGCTTCGACGTCATGTCTCGTCATCTCGCATCCCGGAACTCTACTCACATATGTCCCTGAACTGGAAAGGCTCAGCGCTCAGACGCTCAGACGCTCAAGTTGACTTGCGCTACCAAGTCTCTTGCGGTAACGTTCATCCCGTCAGCCTCTGTCCTGTCTCCCGCTCTCGTCCATCAGAGTCTTCCAAGACGATTGCCCATCAGCGTGCTTTCCTTATCTTGCCTTCCTGCTCCTGCTCCCGCTCTCCCATCCCATCCATCCATCTGTCTGTCTGTCGAGTTTTGGCCCATCCATCATCTCAAGACGTCAGTCAGCAGCTCATATTTGGTGACTTACCTCTATGTAAGCTCTACTTGGCCTGATGCTTGCCTCTCTACAAGGACCGAGCTCGTGCTCCCGACACCGCCCCTTGTAATGATATACCCCCGAGCTTCATGATCCTCCTGGTCATGATTTTCGCAACAAAGATGCTTGTGATCCCATCCTCGCTAAGTACTTATTGGTCTCTATGATCCACCTCACACTGCTTTGTCTTGTGATCCCACCTTGGCCTCTGTGATCCACCTTCGAACTAGCTGTTCTCTGCGATACCACTGTGTACTCCCGCTAGTGATTCACCTCACTCTTTGGTATCGGTCTAAAACCCCGTAGCGACTCCCAACGCTCAACTTTCAACAGCATCCAGCATCTGTTACATACCTTTTACATACCTGAAGAGGCAACGAGCGACGTGAAACTCTCATCGTTTCGTCAAAGCGTGTGTTGTTTCAACGTCTGTCTGTTCCCGACGTTCTCCGCCTTCGCGACCGCACCGAGGTCTTTTGCGGTTCATCTCACAACGACACAATGTCTCTGGGGTTCACAACCACACGCCATCTGGAGTTCATCACGACGACACGACATCTCAGACTCGTCACTCTGGGGCTCATTACGACGCCGGTGAGGGGTACTATACGTCTCACAACGAGAACAAGGTCGTTGGATGGTGGGTTCCAACGTTGTGATGCACCCTCCAAAAAATATCGCCCGCCGTGACGACCTTCAACGCATCACTCGAGACAAGGCCTCGTTCACTCCTCCTAATGGTAACAGCCTGCCCTGATGTCGGGTTGGAACCAAAGTACCTATCTACCTCCCCACCGACTATCCTCCAAGTATACTTTAGCTCACCCACGCGGATCATGTATACAGTATTTCCCACGCAGCACCGACGTCCCCGCCCTGGTTTCTCAGCGCTAGCCGACCCTGTTTACCGGGCGAAACAAGGGCTAATCGTATTGAGGACCCTAGTGAGCTGATGATGGGAGGGAGAAGATGCTTTTTTCCTGTTGTGTTCCAATACTGACGACTACAATGTCATCTTCCCAAGAGAAGCTAATGTACACGTCGGGTTGGGATTAAGCGAATGTACAAGCGCTAAGGTAGTGTGTTACAGTATTTCGCCCAACCGCTTCTAAGTCAAAGCCAGCGAACGATCGCGGTGATCACCCACTCGAGGCGGGTACATAGCTCGTTGATCGTCGACACTGATGGCGACTTTACGCCAAGAGATTCGGGTGCGATGGACCCAGGAGGCGCTGATGGCGCTGAATTGGAGCATCAGAGGGGGCGCTGAAGGACGAACTTGATAACAGAGGTCTCATCGGAAGGAACTCAAGATAATATCAGAACACTCAGGCTCGGCCAGTACATTCTCTTTTCGCCTAAAGATGGGTACCCACTACTGTGCATACATGCCTGTACCCGTCATTCAGTTCCCTTCTTGCCTTTCTCAACTTCAAGTTCCTGCACTGCTGCTTATCCATTCCGCCCGTCAGTTAAGCTATTAACTAAACCCTGAACGGGCCTTGCCTACTTATCGAGGGTCATGGGTGCTTGTTCCGCACCTCACACCAGCCACAAGCTCAACCGTCGCCGCGCTCCTGAAGCTTCAAGCTTCAGGTTCGGGTTGGTGGGGAAGGTTTATGCTCATGGGTAGGCTTTCGCACATGGGCTAAGTTTACGCGCATGGTTAGTTCCGCCTTCCGGTGGCGCCGCGTTTATTTAATTAGACCTAGTCTAACCCCAGGTACGGTGTGCACAGGCTCTGACTCATTTGGGACTTGAGGCGGTGTACTGGTATACAGTATAATGTTTTGTTTACAAATTCGATGTACCATTGTCTGCATGAGTATGTGGTTGGATTTGGAACTTACCATCCTCATGCGAGCGCGCTGAGGTACCCAATTACACTACCTACCGCCCTTCTCGAACTCTTTACAGCCACTGCCCCATGGGCATTTGTCGATCACTCAGAAACCAGGAAAGGTCTAGCTGGGCTGCCGTTCGGACTTAATTCCAAAGGGTTAGCCCCACCGTTTACTCTTATGGCCAATGAGGAAAGGGAACATTCACCCCGTTATCGGTTTTTTCCCCCCAGCGTAAGGATGAATTCATACTGGTATGTTGGATGTGTTTATGACATATGCTTGTATGTGCTCAGGGCCCACCGAATCTTATCCTTCAGAGATCAGTTTTAGAGTACACTGGTGACGATATGTATGTACCACCCGGAACAGATACAGTAAGTACTTAGGTCTTTGGAACTCGTCAGTGTCGTTCAGATTCGACTCCATCGAGTGAAGCGCTGATCCCATTTTAGTCTTTCACCCTCGCCCAAGTATCCAAGTAACTTCTACTTCTTGACTCCAATCTTCGAGCACTTAGGCGTTTAGCCTTCTCCACTCCAACGGTATGCACTCGACTTTCTCAATGGGAGTAAGTAAAAGTGCCCTTCCCCATCCGGGCCAAAACCATCACCTCATCTGCACCCATTGAATTGCGGCGTCGCCATGATTCATCTATTATTAATAGTCTCAATGTGAATGCTCGTTCCCATTCCGAAGTGGATGTGGACCCAACATCCGAACTTGGAACCCACACCATTCATATCCGAAGGTGGAACACCCCACCCTCCCCAGTAAAGATTAAATCCAAATACGCCACACAGCTGTGTCGACTTTATGTTAGGACACGCGCACGCACCTGTGGACTGGGCGCCTCCTTCCCTTCCGGGTTTAATTAAGCGCTCGCTTACTCGTAAGCTGGGCGCTAAACTTTTGAGTTCACCGGTGTGCCCGGAGGTGTGCTCGGGAGTCGGGTGGTGTGAGCCGGAGGTTGAGGGTTGTGCGGGAGTTGCTTTATAGGGATGGGGTGGACTTAATGGTATATATTTTGGCTAAGCGGTGAATAGACTTGGGTTCTGGCGGTCTAGTTGGGATGTAAAGCGATCGAAATGAAGGGAGAGGTGAGGCTTTGGTGCCCGTTCCGAGGTCATGAGGGACCGACTCGCTTGAGGAGTTAAGGGAGGAAACTGAGATATCCAGAACGACCCTGGCTCACTTCGACGACTAGCTCCTTGTTGGTGACAAAACCGTACGTCAGACTGGAATTCCGTGTGTTTAAGTGAGAACGTACCGCATCAGACACTCAAATCAGAGTATTTTCTCTTAAACAACATCCGTTTCTTCACCGCGTCGGAAACATATCCACCCGAACTCCGCGCACGCTGTAAACGCCAGGCGCTTATCGCGTGCTCTATGCAGTAAGGTCTTTGGGGAGATCGAGTTTAGAGTTCTGAGACTATCGATTTCATACCGTCCCGCCGACGGTAATATAGTAGAGTATCACTTATCCCAACTATCCTGCGTGCTCGATCAGTTTTGCCGCTCCGGGATGGTACTCCTCACAAGCACCGAGTTTCCGAAGGCCGGTTTTCTTTTAATGTTTCTCAGCCACCAACTTATGAGAAAGGACGAGAAGACGCACTGCCTACACTGACATCGTTTCGTCATAAAACGATCCATGAATTTGTTTCGTCTTGACAGCCCAGACTCGTCACGGTAAATGCATTCAATGTTCTTCGCATCCTCGGATTAACGGACCAACTCACGCTGCGCTGGTCTTTCAGACTATGGGTATCCAACCAACATGGTTAATCTCTTATCTTGTCTCGGAATCCACGCGTTGAACGCGTGTCCGCTCACTCACCTCGGAACTTGAATCCCTTCACCGCACTCCGGAGACCAACCTCTTTACAGATAGGACATCCGGAGACCAATGATCCCTCCTGTCTGCCGCACCTCACGAGTGTAACTCACGAGTCCTGCCATGCCTCCTTTGGAACTGCCACCCCGACAACTGTTCTGGTCATTCTCAGGGAAAGCTCGGCCACGAGCCCCTTCTCGATCACTGCTTCATCACGGGAACAGAGGAAGACACTGCTATCAAGGGTTCATTCAACTCGTGTAGATGGTGGCTTTGAGGTTAATCTACCTTCGTTGTTCTTGTAGCTTCGTTGGGTGATCGCTAGTTGTGCTGAACCGAGTCATTGTTGAGTCGATATCCTTATTACAGAAAGGTACGGCTTGAAGGCCAAAAGGTAGTGAGATGAAGGTGATATACTGGAGCAGCCTCTATCAGATCACCGACGGCAAAGGCGGATTTGTAGATTAACTGATGTCCTTCCTTTCTTACCTCCCATCCTCCAACTCTCCCACGCTCATTAATCTCGCTCGACAGGAACGCGCCATTTCCCCTAAACAAAAGAATCAGGACAAACATTTCCCAGCCCGACCGGTCGACCGCCGCACCTAATCTGACATCTCGCCAGCCCCCTCGTCTTCCGATTAAACAGCTTTAGGAACACCACAGACTTTTGGTCCGAAACTCGAAGCTCCTGTCCTCTTATGTCGAGGTAAGGGAGAGGGTGGACACGCAATGACATCGGCGGCGCGCCTCGTGTCGGGTTAGAAGGCCCGTTGTTTAGTCAACCACTTAGCCCCAATGGTGTAAGAAGTCCAATAGGCTTAGCCAGACAGTCTGTGCTATTCTTATCCACCAACCAGTGATGTACAAGGCGGTACTTGCCAAGTCCCCGCTTCTTGATGACCTCCCTATAAATGGTAGTGCCAGCACCCCACCGATGCTGATACTGGCCCCGAGGGAACCTGGGGAAGTACGAGAAAGAACTTAGAAAAGGTATAGGAGCTGAGCTGAGCTTGGGCTTTGTGCATCGCGAAGTGCACAGCTACCAGGATGATGGAACTGACTGCGACGACCAGGAACCGCTCCCTCGATTGTAAGCGTAACGTAAGAAAGAACCGCAAGAACCCAAAGTGCGAGGATGAGTGAGAAGAACGACCGTTATCGATGGTATCGATTATACGGTTTTGGTTTTTGGGACGGGCTTTGTCCGCCCCGTCAAGTACCCGGGTAGTGAACGTGGCGGGTTCGGCGCTGATTCCGTTACTGCATTTGGAGGTGCTGTTCAAACGCGCGCTGTGGTAACTATCTGTGACCTGTTGTCTCTTGTGGCGCCCGAGTTCCAGGACGAACGTCAGCCTCTTTTGGGAGATGTGCGATGACGTTTCTGGCGGCTAAGAACTGTGCGTCCACAGATACTTAGCGCCGGAGGTTGAGTTGATTGAACTTGATTCGCAGTTGATTTACGATGGACTTTGTAACTTGGTTAATCATGGCCGGCGCTGTATATATCAGATCATGTCGCACCCACCCCCTGCCCATGGATAAACTAGTTTCTCACCGAGAGATATACATATATCGATTGCGTAGGGAGCGGTGATAAGTTCACTTTAGATCTTCCGTGCGAGGATTGGTCCGTACAAGGTACCTCCATCCGCTTCGAGTATAGCCTCCATCCCCGGCCCCATCGTCCAATTTGCTTCCGCTAAGGTTCCCATCACTGTGATCAGTTCGCATGCAATCTGCGTCCGCCTTTCAGAGCAAGCAGCCCCACCTTGTGATACCACGAACGTGATGACTACATAGTGGACAAGTCTCATCAGAACTGATTTCCTAGCCAATTCTTTACCAGTGTGTTGGGTCCAGGAGAACATGTAGAGAGGGGCGGTGGACCGAATATGTACTGGGACAAGAAGCCGAATCAGAAGCTCAACTTCCAATGGGTTCTTGAAGTCCCGCCGTGGATTCTTGACGTCTGTTCAAAGCAGGTCGGGTCCACAAACTCTTCTCATTCAAGTTCCTCCCCCAGACGCAGAAATCTGTTTCCCTGCTTCGCATAGTAGCAATTTGGATCGGATTTGCGCGTTCCCAGTAAGCTGTTACATATCGTAATTGCCCAGTTCCAATGTTAACCAGCCCACTGACCAGAGTAAAGGCGAGCGCGTCTTAAATATAACACGAACAAACAAGACAATCTTCTCTACTCTCCCTTACACGAGGATCGCGACTCCTCGGAATGAACTTCGTATCTGGCATTGGGCGCGAGCGTGTTCTGACCACAAAATCCCTTGCTCTCGCGTCATATCGTCAACCCCCGTGAAGGTCAGGGATCATATCGGAAAGCAGTGGTAGTATGTCTGTCCTTAGCTTCCCTGCTATTTCCGCGATCATATGCAGGAGATGATCTCCCGACTTTCCTCTTTCGCTCTGCTTCTCAGTAATGTGCATTGGGAATCATGGTAAATGGTGCGCAACTCGGAGAGAGTCGCACCATTTGGCGCGACAGAAGAGATAAGAACCCCTGGGGCTCATCCGACATTTTCACGAGCGCAAGCCCTGTAAAATCATCCCAGGTTCATACCCGACACGGAGACATCGACAACCTGATTGCTTTTCCCTCAATATGCACCTTGTACAGAACCACGACAGACTGCTTCGCTGACGTCTGATAGCAAGTTGCAATCCTTCTCACTTGGAATGCTGTTTCACGCAATCCGACGAGCTTGGGGCAGAAAATAATCAAATAACGTTGATATGGAGCAATCTAAGGGGTAGATGGAGAGCTGAAGTCTACCAGGAAGCCCATAGGTTCCGTTGGGAACTCCGTTGCCCTTCGTAGATATTCAGGATCGAAAGATCTATATCGTTCACGGCCAATCAGTCATTACAGACTGAGAAAGGAATGCCGAAGCGACTCACTTCGAATCGGACAACAGACCGGCACAGTTTCCAGTTGGATTTTTGAGAGGCCGGACCTTCTTGTTCGAACTCGACGAGAATGGCGATCCGATACCGGGAGTTGTAGCAGAAGAATGCTTCAGCTAGTCGCTTCCTCTTCGATGTGATGAGACGATAATCGTTGATGATCTTCCAGTACCTTTCGTCCGCTGCAGGACAAGAGGACAATACACCCACGTGCCGCGCATCGAGTTGCTCGTTTAGGTCTCTGACGCCGACCGAAGAGTGGGACGGCGCGCTCGAGTTGAGTTTAAAGATCGTGTTGTTCACAATGATGATGAACTCGTTGACTGGTCGACCTTGGGGGGTAAGAGCTTGCGAGTTCGGACGCGACGTTGTTGATCCCAAACCAGGCGCATTTGGTGTGGAAGTGCCGGGCAGCCTGGCTGTATCTAACACCATTCCGTCGCCGAACTGAAGTAATTCACCAGGTAAGGACAGGTTACCGGGAAGGCTGAAGTTGATTTTGGGGTGAACACATACCATCTCGACTACACTCCATGACATCGCATTCGTAACGGTGTCTCGTCGCCCAGTCGGACCTTTGGCAGGCTTCGCTGCAGTAGACGACTGAGTGACACCCGGAACATTCCTTTGAATCGTAGAATTCACTGTCCTTGTCGGTATGCTAACAATGACATCGATTAGATCATCGATATTCAGCAGGAACGAGTGGGTTAGACATACCAAATCGCCGTCGCAAGTATCCAGGCCCGTCATACCCACTACCTCGTCCATCACAAAGTTCCTGACCTTGACACCAGCTCGTATATTGCTCCAAACTTGTGGATGGATGGCGAGATTCCTGCGACCGAGCATCGTCCAGGTCTTTGAGGGGATCCTCTCCAACGCCATGGCCAGGGCATGATTTGATCTGGAGTAATAGGACGACGTGGATATCACCTTCAACACCATGTCGGCTGAGATAACGCCCTTTGAATTTATCTCGTGATTCCCGGTTGGTAGGAGAGTCGAATGGTGTAGGTAGCGAGTAAGAAAGTTTCCTGTGGCCTAAGACGCGCATTGAATACTTTGATAGCCCTGACAAGGCGCTTGAGGATCCCAACTTGGCGCAATCGACGGTGTACTTCAGGGACGCGGGCGAGTCGCGTGGCCGCCGAGGAGAGGGTGCCGATGTATCCGCTGATTGCTTCAGAGTCGCAATTGGCCGGGTCGAAAAGAGAAGAAACAGTGGTGATTCGTGACGCGAACGTAGTGCAGAAGGCCGGGAGGTATCTCTTTGAGGAGAGGAGGCTCGTTAGTTGCTCGAAGCCGTCCTGGTGAGCCGTGATTTCGTTCAACAGTTGCGCGACAACACAGACAGGGCTGACAATGATGCAAAGAGGTTCTCCGTCGTTATTCTTGGCATACCAAGCCTCGAGGAATACCTCAATCATGGTTGGGGAGCGTAAGATCAAGTCTGCCAGTTGTTCGTCCGTCTTCATCAGTACGGTAGGAAAACTGCAGGCGAGTTCCATCCTCCAAGCTAACTCGTCACCGGAGAAGTAGGAAGCAGAGTAGGCGGTGAAAAGTCGCAGCCAGGCTAGGATACCGTCAAGGTGCTCCGACAGTCTGAGGATTCCATTCTTGTCTTGGTTTTCGGCGATGAAGTTGATGCACGTCCGGAATAGGGGAAGGATATCCGTCAGAGATACCAAAGCCGTCTCAGCGCCGTCGGAAATGTTTTTGGGAGGGTCTTTAACCGTAGGAGATATAGTGGAACGTCAAGAGCTTCACTCGTGAAGGTGCGCTCTGATATAATGCGATGACGAAGTTCACGGACAGCCGGCAGTTTACCCGCTTTAGCTTCTGCGATAAGCTGGGAACAGGTTTTGGTAATTATTGTACCAAGAAGAGACTTGAACAGCATACCTTTGGAGGAATCTTCTTCATGGTGAAAGGTGATTATTTTGAGGATTGGCGTGCGGTGTTGATGGCGGTGGATCGGCAAAGGTGAATCAGTGCGACTGCGCTCTGACGCGCTGTTTATGCAATGTTTTATATTCACGTGGTTGTCTGCTAAATCAAACAAACGCAAGCAAGCACCCTTGGTCTGTCTGGTTGTTGCCATTCCCCGAGGGGCAAGCGTCGGGGATTCAGGAGTCGAGAAGTATCCTATGATCATGAGTAGGCAAACCCAAAATCTCGCCCATTGCCATAGGCGCCCAGGCTAGAGTTCTTTCACGGAAGGAGCTCAAACCAGAAACACAGATGTGTATCCCCGACGTCGCCGCTCGGGCGGCGACCTCTCTTCTGATCGACGTATATTCCTGTTCAGAAGCTTTGCGACCCGGCTTTGACACATGGTCACCCTGGGCTTTATGTAAGAACCGAAGTACTCGCTGAGAAAGCGATGAGACATTTGAAATTTTGAATGAGTGACAGTCGTAGTAAGTACAAAGATCGGAGTGTACAGTATACAGCAGTAAATGTACAGGGTATATGAACAACAGTGTAGGTTACAAACATATTTGGGAGTTGATTCGCCCAGGGGATGAAAAGGACGCTAGAAGACAGTCAGACAGGTTCAAAATGGGATGTTAAGCTTGACGACTCACCACGAAGTGCCTTTCCGATCCGACCCTAGTCCCTCCTAGCCTTCCTTCGCGCAAACAAGAACAACATGTCAACCATGGCGAGGAGAACCAGTCCTCCGACCAGAGCGTTTGCAAAGGCCGCAGGTCCAGAGGCCATCCCGGCTGAGACATCAGACTCTCCGTCCAGGGGATCGATATCTGCGTCTCCTGATTCGATAGGGGGAGACGTCGACGGCACGGTTGACAACGACGAGGTGATTCGCGTCATCGAGGGGACGGTCGACATCACCATCGTGGTGGCTCCATTCCTATCGGACTCAACGAATTCCGCGAAAGTGCGCACGGACGTGGTGGAAGGGCTCGAGGTGGGCGATGGAGGGGGAACCACCTCAGGGGTCTTGGTTATCTCCCTGGGCTTCGACGACGTGACCCTTGGAGGCTCGGGAGCGGGCGTTGAAATCGTCGGCTGTGGTCGGGGCGGGATGACTTCTCCTTCGAGCGCATCGTACTCAATGCGCTCCAGCCAAAATTCTTCCGCGTAGTTAGGGTCTAATCCGTAGATGCCATAGGTCATATTGACGTTGTGGGTGCCGTGAGGTTCTGTCTCCCAGCTGACATACGTGAATGGCTCGTTAGGCTTGATAGGATCGCAAGTTTGGATCCCAGCCACGAGAGGGCCTCCGTTGACGCGCCAGGACATCATGGCAGTGTTGCCAGGGGTACAAGGAGAGGGTAGGGTCCCGATAACTCGAACATGGGTACCTAGATTTTCGGTTTATTGGTTTCTCACTGCATGAAAAGGACGTATGTGCTTACCCTGGAACTCGAAGTAGACGTTACTGCCTACTTTACGAGTTGCGCGGAATGTTCGATCGCCATTGACACGATCTTCCCAATGGCCAGTGTACCGAATTCTCCTAAGGCATAGTGTGGAATAAAGAGAGTGGGGAGTTTTCAAGCGGAAAGGAGTGTAAGGAGTTGGGGGAAGAAAAGCTGGCACTGCCGTGATAAACGGCTCAGTTATAATCTATTGCTCGCGCGCCTGTCTATCACCCAAAGATCGCATCAAATGGTCATTGTTTTCGCTGACCTCGTGCGAAGCAATTAGGCGCTGAGGTGCACCAGCGTGAGATTGTGATGAAGGCCAGTTTGGGCGCTGTTCTCAGAGTGTATGTTTCAGGTTTAAAGTAGCCTACTGTACAGGACTGACTCGCAATGGAAGCCCCAGGCGCCGTTCTTTGGATTTGATGTTCGCAAATGCTTGGCGTGGATGGTTTATCGATAAGGCTGACCTTCAAAGGCAACGCCGCCCTGGCGGATCAGGGCGGGGCGGGGGCATTATCAATTGATCAATGATTTGGTTGAGACTGATTACATCTTGGCCTTTTGCTTTGCTTCCTTGTGACCACCACTGACTCGGTGTCGCCATAATCAACTTCAAATTATCAGTAACGATCCTATCGTATCTGCTCTCTGCTCAAGCCACGTACAACGTACAGGCGGTCTTCTTTGCAGACTCAAATTTTTGAACCGCCATTGTGGAATAACGTACTTGACGGTCACAGGGGGCTTCAGATGCTCTCTCCCTCTACGCTGGCGCTTGTCGACATTCATCCCTTTGTGCTACGTTTGATAACTAAACCCCCCCGGGGGAGAGCTGTTGTTCCTCAACTTCGGAATTCCTTCGGCTCCACCACCATCTCTTGTCTGGGCTTCTTGACTGGTTTCTGAATGAGATGTGAACTGGTGGTCATCATGGAAGGTCTTTGCTAGCGAATAGGATTTCAGCGCTGATGGAAAGTGCCTTCGAATCGAGTTGACTTGAGTTCTCGATGTTCTCAATACAATCTGTCAGCTCTTATAGACCGGGGAGAGCTGTGATAGGCTGTTCTCCGCTTGCTAGGCCTCGACACCTCGAATCATGCTCCTTGTATCAGGGACTAGTCGCCTTAGGGTTTTACTTGCGAGTCTCACTCTTCTACCCCTTTCGAATGCGCTACTTCGTTTTGGTTGCTCACAATTGGTGACCGAGCGTCTCGATCCGTGAGTATTCTCCTCCTGTGGAGTCAATTTGGTACTAACCATCGCGTCAGCCTCGTTACGCCTGGTCAAATCTCACCTCATGTTCATCAAATCGTCGGAGGGGTATGAATTGACATTTCCTTCTTCTATTGTGTATTCATCCTACCCTACCAGAATGCCTTCAATTTTACGATGCACCCCGATCTCGATATCGGCAATCTGGCGACATGTACCACCTGTCGCTTCAAAGAAGATAAGTCGAACTACTGGACTGCTGTACTCTACTTCAGGCACGAAAACGGAAGTTATGCTCGAGTGCGTGACATTTGCTTCTATTACCTCGTAACACAACGAACAAATTCGCTTTGGACAGGTCCCTCAGATTCCAAACCACGTCGTCGGAAACCCCAATGGCGGTATGACGGTTTACTACGTCCAACCGGGAGGCCGAAAGGTTACTGCTTTCCCCAAGGTAAGCCTCTATCACCCTTGAGATTAACGAAAATGCAGTTCGTTTACCGTCTTTTCAGGGCTTCAGAATGATCACTGGGGACCCAATGAAACGCTCTGGCGGACCAAAGGACGTCAATAGCGTCGAATCATGGGCTCTCACTTGGAGATGCTGGGAGAGTACTGGTTTCCTCGACCCTTCGAACCGATACCCACCTGGAGCCGGACCCTACGACACGATCGAACTTCCGAAAAAGAAGTGCGCCGGTGGAATTCGAGCCAACGTCTTCTTCCCTACGTAAGTCGTACCGTCTTCGCCATTGAAAGACTTTGTGCTAACCGGTTCGGTAAGGTGCTGGGATGGAAAGAATCTCGATAGTCCTGACCACCATGTACGCGCGCGTATATTCTGCAGTTCTTCAACAGGCACTGACGAGTGATTCTCCCCGCTAGAGTCATATGGCGTTCATGTCGGGCACAGTTAACCCAGACGTCGGCATCCTTGGGTTCAACGGTGAATGCCCTCCCACTCACCCAGTCCAAGTCCCGCATGTTCTCTACGAAACGTACTGGGATACTCGCCCATTCAACAACCTGTGGAACGCAGACGGACAGAGTCAGCCCTTTGTCCTGAGTATGGGAGACCCGTAAGTACCCCGACCCTATACCTATGTATCGTTCACTCTACGCAATACTCAACGTCGACGTCATACAACTTTCATTTTTCAGGACTGGATATGGACATCACGGCGACTACCTGTTCGGCTGGGAAGGCGACTCACTCCAGCGGGCAATGGATAATTGCCTCGATGGTTTCGGAATGCCAGAAGCCTGTGGCGAGCTGACTGTCATCTCGGATGCGGAGATTAATCGCTGCGTTCAGCAAACCAAAGTCGATGAGATAGTTGAGGGAGAATGTAAGTCGTTTCGATTAACTAGGTCTCCGTGTACTGGTACTGATCGCCATATCATTAAGATTTACGAGAACTTCCGGGCTGTAATCCCCTGCAGTATGGGCCGAATCCCGCAGTTCCGGTGGATTGCCCCCAGCAATCGCGCTGAGGACAATGAAATGTTCATCGCCTCTGTACAGTTTTGTGAAACAGATCTTTCCGTCTGGACATCAATCACAGCTCGCCAATCTTTCCTATTGTCATTGACTCAAAATCAAAGCAACATTGGTTGACGTACTTCTCAGGTGTTTGACTTTCTATTATTTCCACATGCCCTGCAACCTGACTTCGTGTGATTCCACTAGTGAGTGTTACCCTGCGTTCACTCGTTACGTTGTGCCGGTCCATGAGCGCGCTCTTAGGTTTATCTCCGAGACGCATCATGTTTCAATGTTTCGCGCGGGCGAGTTCGTACCGCGGTCAATCGTAGGGTTGACACACGACACACTGCCGAGGTAACCTGTAGAGTGTTGAGCGAGAACTTGAAAGATGGTCAAGATTCTTCTCTTTAAGCTGGAGCTACTGACAGCCACTCCAACGAGGGAGTGGAGGACGAGTTGTTCGACGCCCTGGGCAAGTGAACTGGTTACCATGTATGCGCGACTTAGGGAATTGACTAACCCCAAGGGGAATATCAAACATATCACAGCCTCTGCATCCTCCGCAACGTTATGGAACTCTGCCAGATGTCGTATTTATCCCTTAGTACGTCGCGCTGGCTGCGACAGTGCGACCACTCTTTTCTTTGCACGCTCCCATCGTACTACCCTTGGACGGTCCACAATTCTCAGAAAGCATGTCTTCCTGGTTCTCAGTGGACGACAGACACCCGCAAATCCATTATGACGGTGACTGGTCCCTTCGAACCGTCGCCCGTGGTGGTATGGTCGGACGCACCTTACATGTCACAAACAGCGAAGGGAGCTCCGCGTCATTTCACTTCGAAGGTAAGTAGTAAGTAATCCTCGCTGAGGACGCCGCACTCATCGCTCATTTTGCCGCTCATGATTCAGGAACGGGTGTAATGGTCTATGGCGCAGTGCCGGCCAATTGCACGGACCTGATCAAGGTCGACTTCACCATAGACGACTCCACAACATACCCAGTAGAACGCGAATGCCACACAGAAGCTCAATATGACGTTCCATGGCTGTATCTCGACGACAGCGGGTTCCTTCCGTTCGGAAACCACTCGCTCACAATTACGTATCGAGAGGGAGGGGAGTTTATGATGGATTGGATCGACTACAACGGGACAGATTGGCGAGAGAGGTCCCACTCTGGTAGGACCCGCGTCGCTGGGCAGAATGGGGGATTGTCAACGCACGTTGTCACCTCAATACAGATGGTCGAGACGCAAGCGGCCAAACCCTCTCAGGGATCAATACCAACCGGAGGGATTGTCGGAATAGCCATTGGAGGACTGGTGGTAGTCTCCCTTCTGGTTATTGCCTTTGTTTTCTTCTTTCGGCGGAGGAGACGGATCAATCATAACTCTACAGGTGCGTTTACCCTCCAATTATCTTGCTCTAAAGTGTGCTGATTAGAGATGTTGCCGCGTTAGTTCCATTGTCGACGCCTTTCGATATCTTCGAGGCCTTCAACCCAATTTCGAAGCGTGACCAGGACCCAAACGATCCACCGCCCGCTTACCGTGAAGTCATACTTGATGTACAAACTCGGCCCACGCAGCTACCTCGCACAATGTCGGTTTCGCAGGTGGATCTTGAAGCCGACCGCACAGGTTCTACCGCAAACACATCAGTAACTATGCAATTTACTTTCCGGGGCTTTTTGCAACCGAAAAAGTCGTAAAAAGTGCCGGAAACATGCGAAAAGCAGCGAAAAGTAGTATATTAGGAAAGTTATGTGTAATTTACTGGAAAGTCGGGCCGATTCAGGCACAAAAAGCCAGAATATCAGTGGAAAGTTGGATATCTAGAAAATATGGGTCGGCGAATAGCAGGGATGGCCAGTGAGCGCGGTGTGGTAAGTAAAAAGCAGCTCAACGACGCTTTACTGGACTAGCAGGTACGTAGATGTCCTCACCACAATCAGAGAGGTCCGCAATGTCAAAAACGGGTGCTTCCGGTATAAGAGGTGCCATCACAGGCTCCAAGATCGCCTCCCATCGCCGAGTTGAGAGCCCTTTGAGCTGGCAACTGTAACGCCCTATTTGTTCGCAAAAGTTGTCGCTGGAGAACTTCGGAACGCTCTTTGGATTGTCACTTTGGCTATCCAAGAAATCGGGGTTCGTTAGAAAGACCTGGAACGCTCGATAGAGCTTTGAGAATAATTGCGAAGTAGTCAGAAGCTAGATAGTAGCCAAATTGACAAAAAAGCTTACCGAAGCAAGGATGATCGTGTACAGACCAATTGGAGGATTTGTGGCGCTCATTGGATGGAGAATCTTCGATCCATCGGCGTGTTTCATGAATTTCTTAGCTGTCTTGACAATGAAAGGTGATTGGAACAGCCCATCAGGCTCCTGGAGAAGCATGAGTATGCTTATTTACTCTCGTGCGCAGAGGATGGACGTACCACATAGTTTGCAACCTTTCCTCGCATTCCAGCAACCGCGATGGGCGCAGGTTTGGCATACCAAGCAAAGCCGTCGCCTCTCAGCCCCCAACGAGCATGGCTTCGGACAAGGCCCGGGTTTGTGATGTACTCGCGTCCCTGAAAGTGTAGCTTGACGAGGTTAAAAACCTCGGAGGCGATCTTAGAGCGCTTCACATTGATTTGACGATACGCCTAACGATAAGTGAAGCACCATTCGCAAAGCACACAGTCAGCACCACATACCTCTGAGACTGCTTCAGCGTCAACATCAACGTGTGGTCCATAGACCCTAGTGTAAATATCGGAAACAGTGTGGAGGAACTCGGGAGAGTCGGATCGGAAGTGCTGGAAAGGTTCCTCGGAAAGATATAGAGCATGATTCAACGACGCCGGAATGGACAACTTGGAAGAACGAATGGTGGGGCTAGGAGTAGGAGTTGCGATGGCACGAGGGGGTTTCAAATGTGACGAAGGTTGCACGAACAGTGCCTTCCCCTTGCCTATAGCGGCCAAAGGCTTGCTGGGCTGTGTGGGAGTTACAGTTGAGATCGCAGCAGACTTCCCTCGCTTCAGTACGCCTTTCGATGGCATTGGCTGAAGCACCCAAAGAGGGCCAAGGCAACTTGTAAGGTTACATCTAGCTCTATACTGCAGTGTCCACGTACCTTCTGCTTTACATCATGCTTTAGTTTCACCGGCGATGATACCAGATCGTTAAGCATCCCTGGGTTACGATGATCGTCCTTGAACTGAGGCCGGATGTCGTCAATATCACCCTCGTCAAGTCCCCCAACAAGAGCCTGTTCTTCGTCGTCGGAATCAGTTGGTTCCACAACCCGGCGCCCTCCGTATGAGTACACCTTGGGCAGAAGAGCAGTGTTGGTACTACACAGAGGCCAATGGAAGAAAAGATTAGATCACGAATCGTTGTCGCACAAACAGATGACTCACCTCTGCTCGCTTAACCGTTCCCTCTCTTCCTGTTCTTGACCGTCATCTTCTATTCTGCAGACTTCAGTCACACTGCCAGTCTTGACAGTCGACGACAAAGGCTGTAATCAAGTTGAGTTTTGATTACTTATCATATCGCACGTGGAAGAAACAGACGCACAGTAGAATGACCAACACCGCCACACAGCTCTTTGTCCAACTCAACATCCGAGGCTAACCGACCCAACCTTGCATTGTGTTCCACATCTGGTACAACCATACTTCTGGAGATCCGTTCTGGGAACTGGCGTTGGATAGCCAACTCCCGCTTCCAGTCTTGATTCTTCCGAGCCAAGTCGAGCTGGGCAATCTGGGACAACGCCTGGATCTGGTGTGGCTGGAGCGGTGCCACGGAACTGGTTTTCTTCCCTATACCTGGCTTCTTCTTCGCCTTGGCAGATGGTATGGACGTTTCCTCGACGTTGCTGGAGTTCTGGGGCTTGGAGCCGGAAGGTGGAGTGGCGACGTTGACAGCCATCGGTGTCTGCGACTTGGAGTTACGACTCCGAGTCTTGGTTGTTGTGGTTGTCTCCGGAGACTTGCCAGAGGCCTTCACATTCTGCTGGCGCGCAGAGTGTTGCCTGGTCTTGGGCATAGCAGCAACCGTGTTTGCAGTGTCGCCGTCAGATGTGGCTAGAGCAGGTGCATTGGTTTTTGCCGAACTGCGGGTTCGGTGTGACTTCGTCGACATGGGGGCTCTGCAAGAGTCGAGAATTAAATGTGCTGGCACAAGGCACAATTTGGCCTTCAACTTACTATTCGGAAAGACGGGGCGCGCATCGTACGGGGGTGCTTGGTAATTTGATGGGTGCCCGCCCCAAGCCCCGCCCACCTGACTTTGTATTTGATTTATTCGCCGGTGGTACCAAGTGGTACCTATCGCTCTGCCACGTAGTCCTTCCCTCCATCATATTCGAGTTGCCTCCCCTCGACAGGCCACAGCCATTGCTTCAATGCATAATTGCTTACTCTGCGGAAAGCCATGCAAATCGAGCGGCGGACTGAAGCGCCACATGAATTCCGTTCACAAAGATGCAGGAGCTGAGCTAAAGCCAGCCCCAACTTCACGTCAAAGGCATACCTTCTCATGTGGTACGTGGTTACGATCTCACAACATAATAGTCTAGTCTATACTAAGGCCTGCGATTTTGTACCAGCAAAACCTTGCGATATCAACGGGGATTTTGTGGATGCAGGCCATATCAGCAGTCCCGTCCCAGATCCACCCTCTAGCGCTGCGCCAAATTTCCCCAGTAGTAATCCTTGGGAGCCATTCAACGATCGTATCGAATTTGACACCACAATGTACCATTACGTTCAGCTGGAATCGTCACGAGCAGATATCGGCTCTGGTTTCGACCTCTGGCGAGCACACGCCATCAAACATGGGCACCCCGATTCCTTTCGCTGGAAAACAGCTCAAGATATGTACGATACCATCGATGAAATCCAACAAGGACCGGCGCCATGGACCACCTTCAAGTTTCGCTACACAGGTCCACAGCCCAGCGGCGAGAAACCGAAGTGGATGCTGGAAACCTATGAGCTGAATGCCCGGGACATCCTCTCCCTCGTTGAAGAACAGTTTTCAAACCCCGAGTTTGAATCAAAAATCGACTACCAGCCATACAGAGAGTTTACAGCTGACGGGCAACCCGTTTGGTCAAATCTCATGTCTGGGACTTGGGCTTGGAAACAAGGAGTTCGTAGTTCTTTTTCTCCCTCTACGGTTGTCAGTTTTACTAATTTCGGCGCCTTGATACGACTCCTAACGGACTCGTAACAGGATCTTCTCTCGGAGGACAAAGCTAATTTTGGGACAATGTTTGTCCCTATCGTTGCTGGCAGTGACAAAACGACAGTCTCTGTTGCAACGGGGCACCAGGAGTATCATCCTGTTTACATGTCTGTTGGTAACCTTCACAACACGGCACGACGCGCTCATGGGAGCGGCGTCTTGCCCGTTGCATTCCTTCCCATCCCGAAAGGTGCGCTTCCACTTTCCAATCTCAATGGTTTATTGTGACTTAACATTATCATAATGTTAGCTAGCAAACGCCAGCGAAAGAAGCCAGCATTCCAACGCTTTTGTCGTCAGTTGTACCACAAGTGTCTAGAGACAGTGTTTAAGCCACTCCGACCGTACATGACTACCTACTACGTTCTGAAGTGCCCTGATGGCCATTACCGTCGCGCAATCTTTGGATTAGGCCCGTACATTGCTGATTATCCAGAGCAGATCTGGTTGTCAGGGGTAGTATCCAACTGGTGCCCAAGGTGAGCCTCGAACACCGTCGCGTTTGCTCGTACTTAATTCCTTTCTCCGGCAGATGTACAGCCCCAAGTGGTCAGCTCGACGATGTTCCAGATAGCCCTTGGCGCTCGCACCTCAAGACAGACATTCTCACCCGAGTGTTTGATCCTGGTATCCTATGGGATGACTACGGTATAAGATCAGATTACGTGGTACGTACAACATGTCTCTCTAATTGTATGCTGTTGCTTACCACAGAAATAACAGCCGTTCACGTACTTTTTCCCCCGCGCCGACATACATGAACTCCTCGCTCCCGATATCCTTCATCAGTTAATCAAAGGAACATTTAAGGACCATCTGGTGACATGGGTCGGGGAATATCTTCAACGTGTTCACGGCACCAAACGAAGCGAGGAGATCCTGGAGGACATAGACCACCGGTCAGTGTGTTGTGGCTCTCGATTGGAGATAGATTACTTACCTCATTCACCCATTGAACCAGAATTGCGGCAGTCCCACCATTCGCCGGCTTACGTCGCTTTCCCGACGGGCGCGATTTCAACCAATGGACCGGTGATGATTCAAAGGCGCTCATGAAGGTGAGTGGGCCTGTTACAAATGGAAAGAGCGTAGCTGATCAGTCTCAGGTATACCTCGCAGCAGTAGCGGGTTACTTACCTTCCAAGATGGTCCAGTGCCTCTCGACATTCATCGATGCATGCTACATTGTTCGAAGAAATTCAATATCCGCCCCTGTTCTCGAACGTTTCAAGTCCCTGGTTGATCAGTTTCACGAACTTCGGAAGGTCTTCATCGAGGTTGGCGTCCGTACCTCCATTTCACTCCCGAGACAGCACGCCCTCTCTCATTACGCGGAGCTCATCCCGATGTTTGGCTGCCCAAACGGCCTTGATTCTTCAATTACAGAGTCCAAGCATATCGCTGCTGTGAAGAGGCCGTGGCGCCGAAGTAGTCGGTACAAAGCCCTGCACCAGATGCTGAGTACCCTGACAAGGCTTGACAAGCTGGAGGCATTGCGCCAAAAACTTGCTGCAAAGGGGCTGCTGGTTGGGACCACATCGTCGTACATCGAGGCCGCGCTTGCAAATGCGGAGCGGGCTACCGGGGATACAGAGAACGAGGGAGGCGAGGATGACGATGATGGGAATGACAGCAATGAGCACGACGGTGATGACGATGACAGCGACGACGAAACGGAAGAAACTGATGGCGAGGACAGCGGACCAACGCCAGGGGAGCGCTCGCCAGATGCGATTTTCTCCGTTTCCTTGTCTTCAAGACGTCGTAAGTCGTTACTCGCCCCATTAGTGGACAACAACTCACCACATAATATTCCCTGAACGCAGAGCCTCGGAATCTGTACCCCAGAAACCTTGAGCAGCTGTCAAACGCCCTCCAGTTCCCAACGTTCCCGCTCGAGTTTCGTCGCTACCTCCACGCCATCGACAACCCCGACGCACCCGATCGGAGGCCGCCTCTTGCCGAATGCCCTAAATTTTACGGTCAGATATTCGTCCACCACTCGGCAACGTCAACGTTTTACGCACCGAGCGACGTTAGCGGCACTGGAGGGCTGATTCGCGAGAGGATACGGTCCACTCCGTCGTTTCACGGGCACCCCCGCCGAGATACTGTCTTCGTAGTCACCGACGAGGCTGCAAGCGGGATGCTGGGATTGACTGTGGCTCGCGTTCAGCTTTTTTTCTCGTTCACCTACAAGAAGCGAGAGCACCTGTGTGCGTTAGTCAATTGGTTCAACCTGGAACAAGACGAACCCGACGAAGACACGGGAATGTTCGTCGTCACCCCCGAGATGGACGAAAATGAGGAGCCAACTATGCAGGTGATATCGGTGGATTCCGGGCCTGTTGGGCTCGGGTTCTGTTGGGAGATGGTTTTGCGCGCCAAGGTTTCCACATACTTTTCGCCATGTGACTTTACCATCATGTGATCCCATGAGTTACACATGGCGCGGCACAGGTTAGGCACACACTTATATAAGCGACAGCGATAGGGGCCATGGCCACTGCCTAAGCCCAGGCCTCTTGCCCAACAGGCCCGGATATTTGCCATTTACTGGCCTGCAACCCACTAGTTCGATAGCCCGCGCAGCCCATCTACTTCCGGTGTTTGGGCAGGACACAGTTGACCAGGACTTTGAATACCATACGTCATTGGACGCCTTTCGAGCCTATTTTGTCAACCGCCACGCCGACCACCACTCCCATGAATTCCTTACAAACTGACGACCATGTTGGTAGTCTGTAGATGGTACGGTTATATATTACACAAATCTAGTCCCAATAAACAGCATTTTCAACCATACCACAGCGGTCTGCCAGTGCCCACTGCCCAGCTCCTCTGGCGCCGTTATGCCCTCCTCCGCTTTGGTTTGAAGTTGTATGGAATGTCGTCCTTGATGGGAAAAAGGGTGCGGGATAGAGGGGGAGGGGCTTGAGGCTGGTGCACGCGCATGCCGGGGACTCCTGGTATGAAGTCTGAAACCCTTCAGGGCGTTCCACTCAAGGACAGCGGGTTGAGGCCGACGAGCGTCGAGGAGGCTGAAGGAACGAGAGAAAATAATAAACGAACGGGCCTAATCGCCGGCGCGACCGGCACGCTTTCCGACTTTCCACCTTTTTGGGCCTGGAAAGCCGGCAACGCGGGAATACTGAGGAATACTGCCGAAAAGGTGGGAACTTTTTTGCCAAGTTCCTGATGCACGCCGCAGAAACCAGGATGATGACTTTGAAATACAGGGAAGCACAGATACCTCCCATTTTGAATTGTACTTGACCCTATCTATACCCTCTTGTACATGTTCGATACCCCATCCACTGGTCAATGCAGCCTACTCGAAAATTCATCTGCTCGGCCAGGGTTCGAAACGCGGCGCTGATAAGATAAGATCGCCTAATCAGCGACGCCACGTTTCGCGCAGGAGACTTCTCTATTCTTCCGACCACCATCTTCTCGTCGAAATGGAATTGTTTCATTTGCCTTCCTGCCATTCAACTCATAGGAAAAGGCGACTCTCCATTCTTACCGTCATTATCGCATCCCACCCTGTCAGCTCCTCCCTGGAATCTCCGGCGCTTGGCTAGACCAGGAATGGCACGGCAGTGGGATGTCTTGGAAGTTGAAACAAACTTCGAGGCAAGTTTCGCGGACGAGGATGAGAATCTGGCTCAGAATGGGCCGGATTGGGCTATGGGCGCCTAAACTCAGGTCGCCTGACGTTTGCACTTGCTTGGTTCTTTCCCAGATTGGTCTGTGCTCAAGAGAAACGTGGTGAGCGTTCTTTCTTCCCTTCGGACCACCACAACCATGTCTCAACTACTGTTCTGGCCCAGCAAGTACTTTTTCTATCCTTTTGGCAATACAAGCCCTATCTCGTTGACGGTTGACCTCCCCGTTGAGGAGCCTGCAAAGATGTTGCTCCTCGGATGTGGAGATCCGCGAAACGTTCTTTATACCATCTTCACTGAACCAGACAAAGGTATGCTTTCACGCCGTCCTCTAGTCCCACTTCTAATATCATCCCAGCGACTCGTATCCTCGATTTCACTTGCAGCGACTTCGACCCTGCTGTTCTGGGTGCGTGATTGGGGAAACCTTGAAACAACAGTAGTATGCTCACTTTAGCTGCCATTCAGCGCGAAACATCCTCTTGTTTACCATGATCATCGACGATCAGCCTTTTCAGGTCCTCTGGAACACCTTCTTCCACTTCAAAATCGACAAGAAGTCACGATCGGCGCTGATCGCACAATGCGACAAGCTCATCGGCCATTCCGAATCCATGAGCACCTGGAGAGCTTCCCCCTATGCTTGTTCTCTGCGTATGTGCACCAGCTATACTCTGTCCGAGGTTCGACGTCATTGGGCCCTTTACATGGACATGCCCAACCTTCCGGACGACCGCCAGAAGTCCATCGCCGCCGGCCTCAAGAAGACATGCGACGACAACCGCGACAGAAACAATGCTGCGATACTTCGATCGGCCGGACCGTTAGTCATGAACGGCCCAATGTTCCTAATGGACAGCTTTCGGCGGTACTGGAAAACCGGGACGACTTTCTCCAGCGCGAAGGAAATCGCCGAAGCGACGGAAATCAACCCAACCTTCGTGTACTCGCTGGGTGCCGAAGGTTCCTCCTTTCACTACGGAAGCGACCCCCTCATCCCATTTCACCATGCCGCAGTCATAGGGAACTCCAAAAAGGAGGTCTCGCTCGCCGACGTCACCAAGGCTACCAAGGAGCAATTTAGGGCTTGGTGCGGTTCCTACCGCTTGGCTTTCCTTTCCGTACAGAAGCCCGTCGTTCGTTTCTTCGCCGGGGAAGCTACCGCTGTGTCGCATGCGCTGCGGTCGCATCACGCTACGGGGACGCTGCGGCTCGGTCTTCCAGTTGCCCCTTGGAAGACCAGCCTCATCCAACTCGACCCCGACGAATACACGAACAGCGAAGGTGGCGCGCCCTCGTGCTTTAATGTCATTCATACTTCGAACTTGGAGGACCACATCGGTTTATTCAACGTTATCGTTGCTGCTTCGCCCCTTCTGTCCCCCTCTGTCTTCAGTGTCCTTTACACCGAATCACTCCTCCATATCGGGAAAAACGCTACCAAGGAATTCAACGAGAACATGAAGGCTGACATCACAGTCATGGGCCTCCTTATCGGGATTGTGCCTGTCGACTACCTCTGTGGATTCTCCTCACGATCCAACAGTAATGAGCTTTTGATGAAACAAGTCTTATCGAAGAAGAAGGACGGCATCGACCAGTTCCATCAAGTCACGACATGGAAGAGACCGACCTCAGGAGATATTCTCGCAGCACCCAATGCCACGATGATCCTTCGATCAAACTTTGATCCTGACCAACTGGGTACCCTTCTCTACGATATTTACCAGGAACTCTATGGCCAAGAGACCGCAACTAATTTCTGGGCCGCCAACCAGAAAAATCTTTTGCGGGCGATAAGCGCTTCAAACCTTGCGCGATTTACCCGAGAAGCTTTCGTTCTGTTCTTGAAGCTAGTCCGTACCCATCTCCAGCCGTCCGATTCTGTTTGGAACGCAACCATGGAACGACTCGTCTACCTCCACCATGCTACATTCGCCACTATTCCTCCTCCAATGGATACCCTTCATTACCAAGACTTCTGTGGCCAACTCCTTCGCCATAGCGTCCATCGTCCATCGTTTTTTCACCCCCCTGCTTCGAAAGTCGGGCCTTTCGCTGCATGGGACAGCGTACCCGATCTCGTCCGCATTGTCTTAGTTGTTCCACGTCACGAAGTGGCAGTTTTAGAGAAAGCAGACCCCGAACAAATCGGGACCCCTCCCCTTCAATGCGATCTCTTTGGCACTCGCTCTCATAACATCTTCACCTCGATTCACGCAGCATTCGGGAGGGCGGTTCTAGTCGGCACCAAATCACGGCCCCAAGTTGTATTCGAAGAAGATCGGGCTGGGTGGCGGGGGAACTCTCCCCTCGTCATCTCTTTTGTTGCACCCGCGTGCTCTCTTGTGAATATTGAGCCACCTCAGCTCATGAACGTGGGTTTGAGCGTTAGGAATACCCCTGCGGTATGCATGGTGCTGGTCCCCAAGCTGGGGCTAGAGCTTCGAGTGTTCAGCGCGAAACTTATGGACTCCAACCACGTCTACATCCTTCCCGAAGCACCTCTCCCATCTCGATATTCTTTCCCTGCACCACGCTTGCACTCGACGTCCGCCATAGGGCACGCAATCCTGTCCGAGATTGGCACAGTTTCTACTGCCAGCGTTGAACTCGACGAGCAGTGTGAGCTCGCGATCAGCTTCACCGCCCACATTGACATTACGGCCGACCAATCAATCGGTCAATTCTGCGTCCAGGGCAGCTCCATGGTGCCAACCATCTCACAGCCCTCTCCTTGTGTCGTCCGGGTGTCTCTCGGAGGTCGAGTTCAGGACCTGATTTACCCATTCCCTGTGCAAGGGAGCTCCCATCGTCTTCGCCTTGCACGAAAATCCAGATACATTGAGGTGAATATTGTCATCGTCTAGCTGGATGGAGTGCTTACCGGTCTGATCACAGGTCATTGTCCCTCCTTCGCGGTCTCTCATGCCTGAAGGGATGCAGATTAACCCGTGGCCGGTCGTTTCTCATGACGGAATGTTCAATCCCTGGAGCATCCACCGAATCAACCTCTCCAAATCTCCGTCGGTCGATATCAAAGGCAACAAACTGGCGCAGTGGTTCAACGCCCACACAGGCTCCATGCTGTCCCTTCGCGAGAAGTCCCTTAGAGCGAAAAAGAAGCCTGATATTCTCGTTTACGTGAAGGATACGATCCATGCCATCATGGTTCAGGCTGCCGGCGTTCAGGGAGGGTCCGTCAAGCGTCTCTTCTGTCTTCGCGATAAGAAGACCAAGGACTCCGATACCATCATCTTCGTCTCCGATATCCGCTATGACTTGGGGCTACATACCGTCGCTTGCGACGCCTATGTGCTCCCCCTCACCGAAGAGCGACTCGAAACCATCGGTCAACCTTTCAGTAAACTAATCCACGGCGAAACAATGGCTCATGTCACTACATACGACGGCGAGCTTCTTGCATGGAAGCAACTCCTCCCAGCACTCGCCGAACGGTGTCGAACCTCGTGGACACACGGGCCAAACTGCGAGTATAAGTCGACTGGGAGGATACCCTTGACGGGCCCAACTGCCACGGAAGGAAACCCTCTCTGCGCCTGTGGGGAAGGAAAGGATGTCGATGGTATGATGAAGAACCCGCTTTGGAAGCCCCTGGCACCATACGTCACCCGGATCGCCCTCTCACCCCTCTTCGCCATTTCGTACCTCGAGACCGTCGCCCGAAGTCCGGACAAGCACAAGTGTTCGGTCTGCCGCGGTCAAGGCAAGCCAAAGCTCAAGGCCTGTAGTGCTTGTCAACGCGTCCGGTACTGCTCGACGGAATGCCAGAAGAAGGACTGGAAGGCGCATAAGCCGAAATGCCAGTCGAAATCGTGAAGGAAAATAGCAGATCAGCGCCGGCATGTAATTCTTCGTCTACGCACATATGTAGTGATCCTGTGAATACATATACAAGGCTTTTGAATTTAGGTTCGTTCGGACTATCAGTATGTACATGGCTATATACATCCCATAGAACTCTGGCTGTACTACTGGCCAAGCTCAACCCGACGGCTATCTAAAGACGAATGCGACCAGTGCGAGGGCGGAGGCAGTGGTTCCTGACCTCCACTTCCGAGTCTTCGTCGTCGTCCAATCCTGTCAAGTCAATGACCTCAGCAGGCTTCGAGATGCTGCCGCTGGTTTGGCCAGCGCGAACCTGGGCCTTCAGGGCCGTGAACTCCCTGCGCAGAACTTTCATTTCGTGCTTCAGTCCTTTCACCTCGTCAGCTGGGTTGACCTTGCTACTTGCGGGCTGGTCCTGCTTTTTTTCGATAGTGGTGGTGATGGTGGTGGGTCTGATCTTCTTGGTCGCCGCTGTGGCTCTCTCCGTCCCAACCTCTGCAAGCTCCCGGCTCCTCTTAGTACCCCGAGATGCCGTGTCCTTTGCCAGTCCAGGCCTCGCCGGTTCCATGCCCTTGTTATCTTCTTTGGTTCTCTGCTGCCAGGGAACGAGGTCGGGGTCGTTGATCGGGACACACCTGCGGCAGGTGTCATGGCAGAATTCGCATGCAGTCCCTGGAGCTAGCCTCTGATGGCCTTTCGAGCTCGAGCCAACAAATGGCTCGGAACGGCGGACACAGACGATAGGGGGGCTTTGAGATTCGCACTCCACGCACGGGTAGATCGATGGTCGGAAGGCCTGCTTGGACTTGGATTGCCTGGCCGTGCGGTGCTTTACTACGGCGGGTTGAGCGGGGAGTGGAGGGCAGCCGTGACGCAGCGCAGCTGCGGAACTAGAAGCATTTCTTACGGCTGGGGGCTCTACGTACGATGAGATCAGTCAACATCGACGTGAAAGATTGAAGTACTTACGCTTTCGCATGTTCGGATTCTTCAAAAGTTCCTCTGCCTCTCTTTCCAATCGCTCTTGCTCCCACTTCCCCATCTGAATGGTTTCATTGGAGACGTTTCCTCCTTCCTTGCCCCCTTTCCACTCTTTCCTCTCTTTGGCCCGTAGATTCCGCTTCTCCTCGGCGATTTTCTTTGCCTTCTCAAGCTCCTTCGCTCGTTTCATCTCTTTTAATATCTCTGCCTCCTCCTGGTCCCATTCCCTCTCCCTTCTCTCTCGGCTTCTGCGAAGTTCTGAAAGGCGATTCTGGAATTCGGACACGGTAGACATTGCACAAGACACGATAGAGCGAGAAAGAGAAGAGGGTCCTTCCAGGTGTGAGGGATGAGATAACGTACTGCTTCCAGAGACGCCCCATTTTCACTGGAACCGTCTAAAGTGACCCAATACGAGTTCTTGCCTTACAGCGTTCACATGTCACTTAGAGGAACCAATAGAAGACTGTGTTCAGTACTCGTGGGTGATTAGCAAAGTGAAATAGATGCGCAGCAGTTCATTTATACGATCGCTGCGAGTGAATGCTCTATCTTGTCACCCTCTTTCCTAAATGGAATGAGCACAACTGTCCACTACCTTCTATGCAGATAGGAACGTGGCCATCTGATTTGAGCGCTATCGATGGCCTGAGCAGACGATGTCACTGGCTTGGTATCGCCGTGACTGATTCTCAGCGCGATAGTTGTATTCGAGGGTGCGTACGGTGCATACTAGTTGCTTGTGAATCCAGCCAAAGACAACTCGCCGGACAGTCGTGCGGCATTCTGGTAGCGTCTACAGTAAGCGCTCATCGACGCGCCTCGAGCGCTGCGCTCGGAGCTAGCGGGCCCGAAACGTGCGGCTCGTAGTTTGGATGCCTGTCAAGTGTTGCGGATTATTCGTGAGTCAGGCCTGCGTAAGGACAACTGTGGAGAGACACTGACCTCACCCGTATCAAGAATCTCGACATGGTTTCTCATCCCATCTCTCCGCCTGTTTCAGGTAGGCTGTGACAACGGGCTTGTAAGTGGTATGTACAGACTTGGACGTCGCTGATCACAGCAAGACCCAGGACGAGACTAGACGCTGGCCTGAGCAAACACCAATGAATGTGTATCAGACTCGCGTTCTTGGAGGTGTGGGCGGCAGATCAGTGCACACTGTGCCTTGACACTGCTTCCGAACGTGTCGCGACTGATGTATGTAGTCTCGCTCAATTCCTTCGTTTGCCGACGACGTGGGGAACATCGTGCACCGAGGAGAGGGCTCGTAGATGTGAGTTGCGTCCTGGAGCTGAAATACGACAAACTCGGAACCATCTGAAGGAGGTTGGACTATGCCAATATTGACACAATGCAGACGAAACTCTGCCAGCCCCCCAGGCCAGAATCGTTGGAGAACAATCAAACCAAACCAGAAGTCCCAGGAACGCCACCAAGTGCTCGATTTAAGTAGCGTTTGCCCTGGTATTTGCCTCGAATCCCTCCCATTACCTTTTCGGGCCTTCGGGCTCTAGCCTCTGCTGCCGTTACAAGTTAGCAGCCAGCCCGTGCCAGCTAATGATGCGCCACTTGCCATATGCAACCGACCACCTGCGAGAGCCCAATGAACAATTCTGCTTGGGCGCCCAAACGACTTAGAGCTTAAGCGCTCATGCTCCCTCATTCCTCGATCGCCTCCACTTCTCAGGCTTTCTCAGGTCTGCATCGGGGCATCCCTCTTCAACTTGGACCCGAATAACCATGCAGTGAGCCTCGGACGAGAAAGGAAGTCCATACCAATCGGACAATTCTAAGCGAGATTTGAGTCTCGCTTGCCGCCAACATGGAAGGCACCGTCGCCACATCCCTGAAAGGACCCTTACAGTTACGGCAGTCATTGGGAACGCACCAATGGCACCGGCGTGGAGTCTTTCCTCGTGGAGCGCTTGCCCCTTCCAACATCAGGCTTTACGAAAGTCGCTTTCGCCTACGCTCGCCTCTGCTAGCGAGCGACCTATTCAAAAGGTAGCTGACTCCGGCGTCCAAACTCTTACTTTGGTCAACCTTTTTTTCATCGTCTCCCCGCCAGGCTAGTGGGAGCTCCTTCCACCGAAGGCTCCATCGTTCCTCGGGTCCCAACTTTCTCGTAGGAGCTTCTGTGTTCCACCATGTCGGATGCTCCTGGACTACCCAGCCCTACGCTTCTGTAAGTGTATGATTTGTGATACTCCAGTTGATTTCAAGTTACTTACGATTGCCAAGTGTTGGCCCTATTGTGCGACTTTCATTCTGCTCTCCGCTGAACGCGATCTGACATCTCGTCCACTTCCACCAGCTTGTCGGTGCTCTGGCCTCATTCTTGTTGTTTGGGGCGTTCGTCGTTCAAGCGTGTAAGCTTTATACTCTGTGTCATGAGGCCAGTATAGCTGAACAACCTTTCCAGTTCATTACTGGTCCACCCTTACCCCCGATGACCGTAAGAAGCTGCCTATCTTCGGTGCGTTCCCATTTTCTTACTACGTATACCACCAAGTCAACTGAGAGGTTCAGTCGGCTTCATCGCTGTCATCGAGATCGTCAACATCGCGTTTATATTCGATAGCGCGTGGCATGGTCTTGTTGAGTCTCTTATTGACCCGTCCGCCATGACCAGACCCCCAGCGACGGGGCCGATTCTCCAGATGTTGAGCGGGCTAGGTACGTTTACATCCTTTAGTCCATGAAATGGGACTCATCGCATACCGCTTCCATAGTCGCCGCTTCGGTGCAGACCTTCTTCGCCTGGTAGGATATGATTTAGCCACAGAGAATTTCTGTTCCCAATCCTTTTCTCTCAGGAGAGTCTCAGTTTTGGCTTCCAACATCTGGGAGAAAGGCGTAGCGGCGCTTATTGCACTCGTAGGTGGCTTCTTGGGATGCACATGCGCTATGATAAACCAAAACGATCTTTAGTTCGCCGCTGCCGAACTTATGCTCGCCATCACCGTGGGCGCGCAGTTCATCATGTTGAATCGGGATGGGTCACTTATCCAGAAGATCGGTACAACAATCGGATTGCAGTTGGGTGCTGCTCTCATCTGTGACTTCCTCATTACCATATCCATGGTCGCCTTGGTGAGTTGAAACCTTTTAGTGAACCTTGTCAGTGGAGGATCCGGGCTCATCCTTTTAGCTTTCGAGGTACAAGGGACGTATCGCCATTGCCGAAACGAAGAGCGTTCTCAACTCGATTACGCTTAATGTCATTGAGAACGGCCTCATCACAACCGTCTTTGCCTCCCTCAACCTCGCGTTCTTCTTCGCCAGGCCTGGTGACCAAATCCATCTTGCTTTGTGAGTACAGAGTTGGAATAGTTGGCTCTTCGACGAACTCATCGCCTTCGCAGCCATTACGTTATTGGTAGGCTCTACGCCAATGTCCTCCTCGCCAGCTTGAACAGTCGAAGACGACTCCACAACTCCCAACGTGGTGCAACCACCCACTCTACCTCCCATGGCGGAGCCATCAAATTAACAGCTCGAACGTTAGAGCAGCCGCACATTATCTCGACTGACGCGAAGTCGGGTATGTTGACGTCTTCATCGGAGACGCAATTCACTAAACCACACACCCTCGGAGATTTGGACCTCGAGGAGCGAGGCGAAGGACCGAGTCCAAACTCGAACATGTTGGTCTCAATCTCCAAGGAGGTGTTTGTGGAAAATTAGCCCTAGTTTTCGGCCCGATCTACTGTAGATAATCACCTGTTATATGGTACTGTATAATGCCACAATGTATTTCAAGTAACCACCAACTGTCTTGGTGTATTGCGTTCTCTGGAGAATCGTCAAGTTTTCATGATAGAAAGTTCATCGTTCAGGATCACCTATGTTTTTCAAATTCCTTCTGAGTCTTCTAAATTCCAAATATGTACATACTTTTATTGCTGAAGCCATTTTCGGTGCGCGATACTCTGAGCCCAAGTGCAATTTACCCTTACAAGGTAGTCATCGTAAACAGTCCGCGTCTCGTTGCTGAGACTAAAATTCTAACAGTTTTACAGCGGAAGCAATGGACGAGAGGAATGAACACTCCCATATACTCCCGTATTCCCTGATAAGATGTCACTTAGGTGCCCTTCGTTGGTTGATGGAAGCCAGAATACTTCCGTTAGAAGGGCGGGCTCGCTCATTTAGGACGGGTCCTCAGCCTTCAGGTCCCCGCTGGTACGCCCGTTGCCAGAAGCTGGAAATTAGGGCGACCTTCGCAGATCTTGCATGTGTTGTAACCCCTTCTACCACCATCCTACACCGGAGTCCGGGCCACCCTCGATTTCTGCCCTCATTTAGTCGAATTTTTGCAAAATTTGCTTTGTTGTACATTTCATCACTAAAAAACCGGGTTGGCGATATGCTTCACCGCCCAAGTATATAGTGAGACTTAAGTAGCTATCAGCACCATAGATTCGGTCTCTATAGTTCGACGTGAAACCGGAGCGGGGGGAGCCTTACCTCACCAAAAGCGAGGCGGTGAGGTTGAGATCGCCCGTAAGCGCCGAGAGGTCGTGAGATCTCACGCCTGCCGCCGCGCCGGGTGGGCGACCTCAAGAACTACGCCACGACTTTGAGAGGTCTCATGGGCAGGCTTGCACTCCTTTTGTTTTATTCTAGCACTGACATGCAAGCACAAGCCTTTCCTTTTCAAAATACCAAATTTTCTCCATTGACTTGAATGTATAGGCAACAATACTGAGGCGAACCAGACCACGAAGAGTCGGAGTTACATCAAAGTCATTCAAACCCCGCTCGGGATATCGTGCCTGGGGGAATTACTTATGCATCCGTCGTCCATTCCTTCTTGACTTTCAACCACATCCATCCCCTGTGCCCACTTAGATCTCGCGCGTACCACAAACCGCCCTGCCCTAGACCAGCGTTCTCCATACGAATAGCAGCTGCAGAACGCGTTTTCAGAAACAACGCCCGGGCCAGAATGTCCAACAGGTCAAAATCAATCGTTTCAAGGTTCTGGGGCTGGAACGTTCAATGATCGTGAAAGGCGAGACTATGGACAAGTCGCCCAATATAAACTCATGTTTTCTGCTAGGCGGGTTGCCCATAACACGGGAAGAGGTCCGGAAAATGGCGACGAGGGTGCTGGGGCGTGGTTGAACCGGGTTTGATGGTATGTTGAGGCTTCCGATTCACCTTCAAGCGCTGACCAGTCTTTTCAACTTATCCAGTACCTTTGACATGTGGTATTACATTTGAGCAGGTCGAGTCGGGTGGATGGCCAGCCCCCTTCGGTGAGTGTAGGTATTCCGCGTAGATAAGTTTCGGAGATGTATTTGCACTACGATGAAAATATATGGGATTCTAATTCTCTTTATACAAAATCGAGAAAAGACTCGAAATATGGTGTCCTAGGCCCCGATTGTATCTTGGTACAGGTGCACTTGGGAGATCGCACGGAGACCGCACGCGCGAGTGAGATCTCACTCACCGCGGCGACGCTGTGGAGACAAAGCATCTGGTGACTCTCGCACCAGCGCCGCCGCGATTGTGTGCGCTCGCGTGCGGTGACCAGGACATTGTGCGGCTAGGGACATCGCATGGGCACCGCCCAAATATCTCCAACAGGGTTTTTTAGTGATGTTGCTGCGCGATCCGTGGACCGGACTTGGCGGGCGGGAGAGTGTGACGGGAACTGGCGGCGAGGGCCTGAAAGGGCGACAGTGAGCTCAATAAGGCACCATGCCCTGACTTTTTATGACCGTCATTCCTACCCCAGTGCTCCCGTTCCTTTCTTCCCAGTTCTCCTCTTTCCATACCCTCCTTTCTCCTCTCTCCGACTTCAAAGGCGTCTGGCCTATTTCTGTCGTTACGTGACCTGGGTGACAGAGGAAAATGTCGACTCCTACGACCGACCCCCGACTGACGTGCGTAAACCTTCTCAGTCATATTTTCCTTGGATCTGACGCGGCTCTCTCCAGAGTTGGTCCCATTGTATGTGAAGTACCTACCCCTCCTCGTGGACACACTTGACACTTTGCCTGCCGTAACCTAGCTCGTGGGGTCACTCGCCTCATTCATGTTCTTCGGCGGATATTTCATTCAAGCTTGTAGGTCTCTGGAATTATTTCCCCTCGAGGCCCGGACTGACGCACAATCAAGTTAGCTATACCCAGGACGCTCTCAACGCCACGCACCAGCAGAAGCGATTTCACATCCTCGGTGAGGACAAAGCGATACATCTATTGGGCCCTGCGACGCCAACACTGGTTTTGAAAGTGGCATTCGTTACCCTCCTGGAAATCGCCAATTTATCGATGATATTCCACTCTGTATGGCATGCCTTTATCATGGCGTTCAGAGACCCCGCCCTTGCTACCGTTCCAGCCACGAGTGGACCCGCACTCCAAATGATGAACGGCGTTGGTAAGTCCTCTACTGATTGGGTTAACTACATGCTGATAGGTATCATGCAGTCGCCTGCACCGTCCAGGCCTTCTTCGGCTGGTACGTTATCGAAGTCGAGTTCCTTACGGCCATCAAAATCTCACTCCACAGCGTCAAGGCGAATCTGGGTTCTTTCCTCGAAGAAGATCGAGAAGGGATTGTCGGTGATGATCACCTTGGTGGGTCACTAATGAATTACCGAGAAGGAGTGACGCCTAATATCAACACAGCTTGCGGTCTCGGGGCTCGCGCTCGCCATCGGTGTGGCTACGCAGGTACATGGACCCGGATCACTTTATCTCTGCTGGACTTGAGTGACGCCCTTCCAGTTTATTTATCTAATCAGCGGCCGTGCACCCACAGCGAACGTGAATGTCCTTGCTGGACTCCAACTTTCGTTTCACCTCGTCTGTGATGCGTTGATTACCCTCTCGATGATCATGGTGGTGAGTACCCTATGTGTCGTCGTTTAAGGTCGTCACTAATGGCATCAGTTTGCGGGATACAAAGAACGTATTGCAATTACTGAAACGAAGAATCTTCTGAATGCGCTTACCATGAATACGCTCGAGAATGGCCTTGCAACTACTGTGGTCGCTTCCCTTAACCTCGCCTTCTTCTTAGCCAGACCCGGTGACATGATCCATGCCGCCTTGTAGGTTTTCCCACCTCCCGCAAACAGACCGCTAATTCTTGAGCTCAGTCACTATCTCATCGGGAGACTTTATGCCAACGTTCTCCTCGCGAGTCTCAACAACCGACGTCGCATGGGCTCTTCACACTCGAGGAATACACACACGACTTCCAGCCATTCGATTTCCATCAATCACCGAAACCCTACCATGCGCTTTGGAATCGGGATGACTACGCTGGGTCCTTCGAACCACAGCAAGCGGGCTTCACGTATCGTCTCCGGCGGTTCCGTTCACGACCAGGACAAAAGTAGTCCGGACGTGTTGATCTCTGTATCTAAGGAAGTGTACATTAGGGATCAGTAAACGGTTATCTGACCCAATTTTGCATGTAATATACTTTACTTGACCATCGCATTAATTTCACGAACGCTTGTTGTGGTCCCAACGGACATTGCATCAAAGTACACCGTTCAAATCTTGCGATTGTAGCCGTCCTTCAACGGCAAATTAACATGTTGGCAAATCACGCATGAATATAGGTCGAGACCGATGCTATGTAACAGCGTTCAATCGAGTTCAAGTTCTGGGCTGTGGGTAACGGATCCAGAGAGACCGTTCTTGCTAGCAATACTTTGGCTCCGGGCCCTTGAATGACGAATATCCGTCCCCTATTCAGACTTCGCCATTGGGCACTATCGACACCTAAAGTATTCTCGTTAGTGACTCTCCCTGGACAGGCCATTGGTAAAGCGGTAATTATAAACATAAACGTTACTGTATTGCTTGCCCGCTCGACTAGGTCGTAATCTTAGGGGAGACGACTCTTTCTGATTGTCGCATCAATATCAAGGAACCGGAAGCAACACTTGCGTGGTCGTAAGGCAAGAACCGACGGAATCGGCCTAACATAAGTCCTGCCTCAATCTTTGAAAATAAGTGTGCTCGTCAAGTGTCGTCTAAGTTGATACAAATCGCTCTGGGCTACAGACCTGTGCCTCGGATGAAAGGGCTCCTTTACTGGGCAATTGATAGTATGCAAAAGGGTCGAAGCTCGCCCTAACTAACCGGCGGTAAGGCTGCCTGCCAGAGGAATACCTTTCTCATGTTCGAATCCCACCAACACACGCGCGCTCGAAGGACGTAAGATAGGATCACACGAGACCTCTCGACGAGAACACTCAGAGCCGTGACTCTCACCCAAACCCACTCAAAAGCGGGAATGCCCGCAAATGTCGTAAACGAGGACTTTCTTCTCGTTCCCAAGACCTTCCATCGTCGCTTCTAACGTATTCTATCACTGTCATAAACGTAACGATATCAATCCTCCGCACAGGTACCAACACAACACGGCGCACGCGCTTGAGTACATACCCAACTTGGGTAACCCAACGTTCCACATCTCGGATCCCGGTCCCTGTTTTTCGCAGAATTTGCCAGAAATGGGATGAGCCTCTCATCGCACCTCATCGCCCAAAGTTCTCCCCTTCGAAGTTAAATTCTCTGACGGGTGTTATTACTGAAAGGGGCTAGCAGATAACGTACCAGCCCACAGGCGGGTTTTTCTTCCGTGGGGAAGTCGCGGAGATGTGAAGATACAAAGTCGAGGGGTTGGCACGGTTCAGTTACCCACCTTTCCCTTTCGCTCTTTTGTAAAACCACTGCGCTCGGCGCGTCCTGGCTCCCACCACACACGGAATACAGGTGTTTCTTCGCTAATCGTCGAAGGAATAATGTCAGATGCAGCTCCAGAGGTTCCGCTCAACCCCGCTTTGGTGTATGTCGTTCGCCCCTCTTTCTGAAGTTGGTTCACTGACCTGCGACTCTAGTGGAGGGCCTGTGGTACGCAGTCTCTTTAACTGGGCATTATTCTTCAAATTACTCAGCAGCACAATTCTAGCTCGTCGGGGCTGTGCTTTCGTTCATGCTTTTCGGGGCGTTGGTCGTGCAAGTTTGTGAGTGACATGTCCCACTTATAGCCTCGAAGATGTCTCTTAAGATTGCTGCGCTAGACACCTACGCCAGCAATGCAACTGGGAGTCGACAAAAGGGCCTTCACGGATATGGTGAGTGCACTCCCTTCGCGCTACTCCGAAAATACTAACACGATTTCTCTGTGGCAGTCACCTTCATGGTCCTCTTCGAAGCGGTGAATGTGTGCCTTATATTTCACAATGCGTGGCACTCGCTCGTGCTTTCAATAAGCAACCCGGCCCTTGTCTTCACTCCTTCGATGAGTGCCCCAGTCCTCCAAATTTTCAACGCTGTTGGTGTGTTTCCCCTCGAGCCCTTTTTCTCGAAGCCATCCGCTCACCCGATGCAGTTGCTACCTCGGTTCAAAGCTTTTTTGCTTGGTGCGTTGGTCGAACAGAGAGTCGTACCGCTTTCCCTTACCTAACAATAGGAGAATTTTCATTTTGTCGTCCAAGAAGATTGAGAAAATCGCTTCCGGGGTTGTGGCTTCTGTAAGTGTTCCTTCTTGTTGAGCTTACAAGCCCTTAATAACATTTTACGGTCAAGCTCGCGGTCATTGGAATGGGCTTTGCAGTCTCAGTTGCTGCACAAGTAGGTTACAGAACGCTCCAGACATATCTCGCTTACCGACAAGATTGGAACAGTACTTCTTAATCCTTGGAGGCAAAGCTCCGACTGCGAACGTCAATTTGCTCGCCGGCTTGCAGTTGGGAACCCACCTTCTGTGCGACGGTATTATCACCGCTTCGATGATGGCTGTGGTGAGTAACTTGGCTTAATCCGCTCGTATATTCAGCTCCATCTGGGCCTCTTTAGTTCGCCGGATACAAGGAACGTATTGCAATCGCCGAGACTAAGGATCTCTTGAACACTTTGACCCGCAACACGCTAGAGAACGCCCTCGCTACCACTGTCGTCGCATCCCTGAACCTCGCATTCTTCTTGGCTCGCCCCGGAGATCTCATTCACGTCGCCTTGTATGTGTTCTCCTTCCCAGTACATATGCGTTCGGACTAAGCTCTGCCTCCCTCGTTAGCCATTATGTCATTGGTCGCCTGTACGCCAACGTCCTCCTCACCAGTCTCAACAATGGACGTCGGACTGGAAGCTCTGGTTCGAGAGGCGGCGCTACCTCTAGTCACTCCATCTCACTCTCCAACACGAGACTCAAAGTCTCACAAGCTCACCCAGGCGCCTCTCGTGTCGTTGCCATGGAGGATGACTTCGGAAGACACACACATCGCAAAGACAACGATGTGCTCGTCACCGTCTCGAGCGAGGTGTACGTCAGCGATACGAAGTAAGGCCGACGCACCAGTGTATTATCGCTCTTTCTATCTTGTATGGTCTGTAGGACCAGTGTACCAGGCTGCTATTGTGCGCCATATCTGTTAAATAATCTCACTCCTTGTTGTGACCATAGACTTCGATTTATTGTTTTGGAATATGTACCGGGTTTACTAGTTAGATGTTACGAACTGTTATGACTACATTGAGTTCCCTTCGTTCTTGACTGGGAGTGCGATCTCCGGGGAGAGTTTAAGCGTCGTGAGGCAGCAATAGGCCATCTGCGTTGCTTCTTTTCTGGGATCATGTGGTTCCAGTTCCAGCTGCTTCGAACTTTAGAGATTCAGGTTAAACCACCTATGTATAGACAATCGGATATCCGAGGTGCCCAAATTCCATGTCGAAGACTCGTCACTTAACCTGTGCTTTAGGTGGGACCCCTTCGAATTTAGTTACGATTCAAAGAATCTGCGTTTCAGCGCTTTGGTGTCGGTGATCTCGATTGGTTACTGTCACTATCGGGAACATTAGCGGATCCGAGGCTGATCCATCCCTTCTTTCAAGTACCCGCGATGGTCTTTTTTTTTTAGCCCAACACAACTTCTCCAGCAGGAGACTCCGACGGGCGTGAGCCAAAGCCTCTGCGCGCACTAAGTGGATGTCCAGGTTCCCGAACATTGCCCGATTTCGTTTAGGTTCGGGTGCGGTTGACCATGGTTGATCTCGAATGGAATGCGATGGGATACTTCTCATGTCGCGATGTCGAGCAACCGAGGTCAGTGCAGCCCCTTCTAGAACGGAGAGTACAAAAGGCAACTCAAAGCACTAGAGCAACTCACGTTGTGCCTCACATTAGGTCGTATTCTGATGGTGAACGGGCTCGCGGTGGGTGATTTGCTCACGTTGAGCGCTCATCGTCCTTACCGCTTATTCAAGATCATGGCATTCACCCTAGTCATGGGATTAACGAAGGCCATTCGCCTACGATATAGCCGAACTACGGCGTGGGCTCCCACTGGTATTGCTATCTTTGTCGAAGTTTGTTCCCATTGCTTCAACTTGAGAAAGTGGCGTACTGGCTCCTGGTGAGATGAAATCAATAATCTGAAACGCCTCAGAGGACGCTGAGAAATTTGTTGAAGAGGGGGGATTATCTGCTTTTTGAGTTTGCACACTTGATTTTGTTGAGGTTTGAATGCAAAAAGCCGCTGACCGAAGTTCATCAATCGTGGAAAGTCGCGCAGAAAGAATATTATTTAGAAGTGAACTATTCCAAAGATATTATCAATAGTTGTCAAGCGCCGCACGTCGTTATTCGAGCAAAGAGGTGTGGCAATGTTACTTGCGTCGATTCGGCTGAAGAACCGACTCGCGGGAGAAGACAGGCGCGTCTCTGTCGGGAGGGAGAAGAGATGCTGTTGATCCGGCGTAGACGGATGTCGCCGTCCTCATCGTCCTCGTGCTCCCGGCATCAGAGTCGAGGCGGTGGAGGGAAGGGGCAGGGGAGTTTCTTCCCACTTCGTGGAAGATTGTTTGGTCATACGAGGGAGGGGGAAGGCTGCCGCATTCTAGATTGCCAAACCTACCCGAGGTTGGAGTGGCATCGTGGTATGGAGCGGGGTACAATCGCGACTGGGTCACTGGGACTGAAGAGAGTCTCAGGTTTGTAGCCGCATGGAAAATAACAATGAAACTCACACTGCGAAAGGAGCTCACTCTGACATCCTTCTTTCTCTTTCCCACTCTTCCTCACCTTCCTCATGCAGAAGATGGACGAAAGAATGACCACCGCCAACACAAACAACCCACCCAAAGCCCCGCCCACTATCCCCCCAACTGGGACCGAGCTTTCTGACGCAGCGCCCAAACTGTCCACAGACGCTGAACCCGATGGTGTGGGTGCCTTGACAAGCCGGGTTTCAGTTACCACGTAGTACGGGTCCTCCGTGGTGCTGCTCGAGACCCTAGAGCGCACTGCAGCCATGCGGCTCGTAGAATTGGCGCTCGAGGACGGAGTGAACAAGTCCTCCGTTGAAGTTGGAACGGACGTCGTTGGGAGCTCCGACTCGGAAGAAGAGGGTGTTGGCTCGACAGAGCTTGACGTCGCATGCGATGACGAACTGGGTTCGACAGACGTGGTCAAGGATAGAGTGGGGCGAGAGGACGTCGGAGGTGGGGGAGGCACGGGCTCGTACTCGATCCTATCCAACTGGAAGTCCATGTCGTTTGCTCGATACACCAACGTAACCGTGTGCTCCTCGTCCGGAGAGAGCGGGCCAGCCTGGTACCACAGCTCGTTGTAGTAGGCTCGCTCGGTACTCCGGCGGTAGGAGGTGGTGACCTGTCCTCCGTCGAGTTGGAAGTCCACTCCAACGACCTGACCATTGCCTTGAGGGATCGTTCCGAATACAGCGACGTGTGTGCCTATTCGCGGGACGGGCATTAGACCCAAAGACGTCTTTGAGACTGGGAAGACGCGTACCTCGAAAGGTGAAGGACGCTCTGGCACCCCAAGCCCACGTCGAGTGGACAGTCATCGGAATTTGCGGAGGACCTCGGGGGACCCAGTCACCCGAGTATCGAATCCTCCCTCCGTCTCGATCATCAACGACGATTGGGCCTGACGACATTCTTCAGGCTTGTTAGGGCTGTAATTCACGAGTTATTGAAGGAACGAGAAGGTCGACAATCTACAGTCAAACCAAGCAAAAGGAGAAAGGACAGGACGGTTTCCCTTGTTGACGATGCGTACGGGTGGTGGGGGAGAATGAAGATGATGGGCGGCGACGCCCAGCGACCCTTGGACTTATAGGTGTGGGCGACAGGTTTCAACACACTCCTGCCATACATCATTCGTTTACATTGGTGGAATTCGTCCACTGGTGATGCCCACAGTTACGGGCGCCCCGCCCAAAGGTATCGTTCGTGCTGATGCCAATGGGAACCTGATGGAAAGTGTAAATCATACCTAATGGCGTAGGATAGCATTTCATAGGATAGAGAAATATGCGGGGAGAGGGCTGACCACTGTTGATCCGTAGCCCTAGTATAGCTAAGATGCAGGCCCCTTCTGAAAGACAAACACTTTGAGACAGAGTACTCGCGGGATAGATGAACACTTACCATTACTTGGAAATTTACCCGACCCATTAGCAGAAGGATCGTGGATACCATTATTCTGGGAAACAGGATAGGAGTTATTGAGACTAGCAGGAAAAGGTCATTTGAGGTGGGTAAGGTAGAGGCGTTTGCATTGATGTCTGGCAGAGCAGCCAATGTTTGCGCTTGCTTGGCTAAGCCGTCTCAAACCTACATACGCAACCCAATACCGCTCAAGCGACATCTACGATTCCAAAATCAATTCTCCCCTTGCGCGCGAGAATGCGATAGAGCTTGGAGATTTTCTAAAGGGATACCGGAATCTTCACCGAATGTCGTCAAATGAGTTTGATTGGTTCCTTGAGCAACAGGAGTGAAATCCAGGTTTGTTATGCTGCGACCGGTGTCCATGATTTGCGATCCGGATCGAACTTGGGCGCGCATGTTGAGGAAGAGTCGGCTCGCTAAAACTGAGTGCATAACTCGTTGCAGCCTGTAATCATCAAGGCGAGTCGGTGATACAGAAAGGGATATCGATGCAGGAGCGACTTACAAATTCAAGGGATATATCTAAGGCGGACAGCAGTGTTGGTGGAGGGCGGTGGGGGTAGAGAAGGTATGGGAACTTACGGAGTCCATCAGGTAGGTAATAATTGCATTGACGACCGAGCAGGCTGCAGAGGGTAATGGTTAGGGGTCACTCATCGTTGATCATCCAGAGTATTACGCACAAAGCATCGCAACGATGTAGAAACCGCCGTCTCGATAGAGGACACTAAGCAGCTTCCCTCGCTCCTCATTCCGTCGCTGGATGGAAATCCAAATAGACATGGCGGCCAGTACTGTGGTAGTCAACGTTAGTAGGCTGAACAGTCAAGACGAAGAAGGCAGATCCGCATTCACCAATTTCTCCTCCAACCAAAATGAAGTACCCGATGGCGAAGTACATGTCTTCGTTGTTCGTCTGGAGGACACAGCTGAATTGGCCCTTCTTGACTGACACTAGAACCCATGGTTAGTATTTCCGCTCGACGTGGCTCACATGCACGGGGCACCTACCATCGATCGCGCGCAGGTATAAGCTGATAAGGACGGCTACAGCCACGTTACACGCCTAATAACACGAAACCTTCAGCTTGGCTCGACCTTCAGTCGGCAGATACTCTGTCAACGCACAACAAATGCGATCGAAAAGAAGATCAGGTGTATCCGTTTCGACCCTAACAGCGCATAGATGACCATTATAATGATACCTTGCATAGAGTTAACCGAGCAGTCCATGATGCGAGTACCTGAAGTAAAACTCACCCTCGGAAGCGGACACTCCAACAACTGCGGATACTATACAGGTCCAGACCTTCAGCGCTCAGTTGAAATGCCCTCATGTTGAACCACGCACGGTTTCCTGTCGCCAAAAGATTACGACATTTCTGAAGATGTTTTAGTCATCGTGCAAGGTATCGGGCAGGATGTCGACTCACAGAAACATCTGAAGGATCCATAACGTTGACTGGGAGGACGTTTCGCGCGTTAAGGAGTTAATACGTCTCGCAATAGATTCATCTCACCGAAGTTGAGAATGGGAAGATCGATGAATGGCGAGTATCGCGCAACGAGGTACAAAAATGCCCCAATATTCAAGCGGCCTGTCCACACGGATGAGACCTTTCAGGACCACTGCATTAGCTCACAACGTGGCGAGATGTATCTCCCCTATGGTAAGTAGGGCACACCTCTCTGGTTATAGTATCGAACCAATCATATAACTGCAAGTCCTGGATGAATAGATCTGACGTGGAACTGAATACACGGATAACTCACAAAGATCATCCCGCTGGCGACTTTGTCGACCGGGGGGTCGGAATGGTCAGTACTAGCACCCTGAACGGAATAGAACAGACCAACGATCACAGGACTACCATCCCAATGAAACATTCTCGTCAGAAAACGAATGTTCCTGTCAATAATTTCCACTCACAGTCTGCACGAAGCTGAGGTAGACGGTTTGAGCGTGATCTGAGGTACTGGGAGGGCCGTTCATCTTCTGTGACAGGACGAGAATGTCGATTTCGCTGTGGAGAGGAAGCTGGATCAGCGCTCATTGTCACTCGTCACGTCGTTCGTTGTGTCGTGTATGTTTACGGGCAGCGCTGCAAACAAAATGCCACGGACATACATACAGTCCCTGGGAGTGATTTGTACCCTGTTGAAACTTGAACCCTGTCAATTCAAAACTTCCGAACCATCAATCAGAACAAAGGCCGGCGTATTCGGGCTAAGGAACCTGGGCGCTTAGTTGCGCTAGGTGCGACTCGATTAAAATTTAAACCAATTCTTCCGGTCTGCCTGCCCGGTCATTGGATGCTACATCACGTGCATGTTCCAAAGCCATACAGAGAGCCGAGGGACCTCCACTACTTATGGGATGTCGTCGCCGTCTGATTGGTCCCTTGACTGTCGGGCCCAGAGAAGTTGATGTTTGAAATGCTGCGACCGGTGCCAACGGTGCTCTGACAGGTTCCCGAACGAACCTGGGTGCGCATCTTGAGGAACAGACGACTCGCTAGGACCGAGTGCATAACTCTCTGCAGCCTATCGTCATTTATGCATCCGTCAGTGTACAATGTGATTGATAATCGCAATTGGCCCACATATTTAACGGGTATATCTAGGGTGAATGGTGCTCGTTAGCATAGGGATGCGTTACCCTGAGTAGGCTTAGAGGCTTACTGTTTTCACCTGGAAAGTGGTGACTGCATTGACTACCGAGCAAGCTGTGAGAGTTGCGTGAGCGCAACCCGGCCCCTCTCGTCGAACAGAGGTTACAGAGCACGTACAAAGCATTGCAACGATGTAAAGCGCTCCGTTACGGTAGAGGACACCGATCAATCTTCCTCTCTCCTCATTTCGCCTTTTGATAGAAAACCAAATCGACATGGCTGCTATTACTATGGAATGCAACGCTTATTTGTATCCAGGGTATGAAGCGTGATAGAACTTACTTATCTCTCCCCCGAGCAAGATGAAATACCCGATGGCTATGAATATCCCTTCGTTGTTGGTCTCAAAGAGACAGCTGAAGTGACCTTCTTGCGCCCCCTCTAGTAGAAGATAAGTCAGTGTTCACCTTGAAATGCAATAAAGATGAGAATGCACCATAAGAAGCACGCAGGAACAATGCGAGAAGAACGACTACCGTCACGGTGCATGCCTGGCATGAACATAAGATAAGCTCTCGTCTTCAGCCATTGGACTTTCTGCCCACGCACAAAGAATGCAATAGAGAGGAGAATTAGATGTTTCTTCTTTCGTCCCAGTAGCGCGTAGAGGGCCATTGTTATGATTCCTGGAAATAGGTGAGGGGATATTGGCGCCTCGGGACGATCGAATCCAAACGTACCTTCAGACGCGGAAATGCCAACCACCATGGATACTGAATTGGGACTCGCTCAGCTTGATAGGCTCCATTGGTCAAAGGTTACGCACTATTTCCTGTAGCCAGAAGGGGCTGGCATGTCTGAGAAAGCGTCAACATGTATTCAAGAAATAGCGGCCATGAGTACGTCGCCCACTTACAGAGAAATCGGAGGGTTTCTTAAAATTGACTAGAGGAGGTTGGGCTACATTAGTAGGGAGACCAGCGCCTTGTCGAGAGAGCTTACCAAAGTTGAAAATAGGGACATCAATGAATGGGGAGTATCGGACGATAAAATAGAGCAGCGTCCCAATGCTCATGCGAGACGCCCATACAGACGAGACCTATAAGGACCACCATATCAGCTAATGGCTCGGCGTTCCGAAGCACCGTGCTGCGCTCTTCATGATCCAGGTACCCACCTCGTCAGACACGGTATCGAACCAGTCATACAGCTGTAGGCTTTGAGCTCTCTTGTCAGGCACTGGTGTACAGACGACTAACGAAGATAATGGCACTGGCAACTTTACGAATTCAGGGACGAGCCGGTGAGCGCCATTGCCTTCTGTGGAATCAAATGGACTAACGATCGGTTGACTGCCACCAAGATGCACACTCCTGGGTCAGCGGGGTTGAAACTCTGGGGACATTACTGTACTCACATTTTGTACGAACAGGAGGTATGTCGTCTCGGGATCCTCTGCTCTGAGGTACTGGTCCATGGCTGTTGAGGCTCCCTGTGGTAACGCCGGACGGAAGTTCGGTCGGTGGTGCTCTCCACTCCGAGAGAATGCAGCTACCTTATATACTGGAGTAGATAATGTGTTATAGATAGAATCTCAGCGCTCAGCCCTTAGACATGATCATCGGCGAATCAAGGGGGTCTGCTGATCTTACCGTAAGGCTATAGCCTTATTTTTAGACCAGGCCCTTGGACACTTTACACCTCGTTCTGTCCACGCCCGCTCACGACACCCTTGCTGTGATGGAGAGATGTGAACCACCATCAGATCCAGGCCTCGTCGTCGCCAGTTCTATTTCCTGAATTTTATTTCCAGTCCTAGGTCCTGACGTGCAGCCTCCATCGCACCGCCCAGAGTGAGCGCGGGATATCTTAGGCGCCCAAGGCAATGTTTGGCTGTGCTTGTCTAGGGCCTGAAATAGGGTGCACCGATGGGCGGTACTGAGACCGGGTTTGGTTTTAACTTTTCGCTGTTCGGGCTCGTATCAACGTCGAACTGAACGTCGCAGCCTAAACCTACCTCAACTGCGCCATCGCTTAATCTTTACACCCTCGTTGAGCCTTTGTAATGTTGCAGTCGCACCGGCAACATGGCACCGATCAGGGGCCCAAGTCTGCTTGCGATGGCTGGTGTCGTTCTATCACTGCCCATGTACGGCTAGGGTTCGCGGGATGAGGAGGATGTACTGTCCATGGTGAGTGCATTAGAAACAGCAACCCAGAGTACATCTCAAGTCCATAACCAGCCACCTCCCTCCAGGTCCTCCGCCACAACCCCCTGGACACCCTCCCCGCCTCCATCTCCGCCCCCAACCCATCTGCACTCATAGCCACTCCAATATGGGGCCTGGCCTTCGTAGTCAAGTCTTCTCCTTGACTCCAACAGCAACAGTAGTCGTCGTCCCTGCACCTCTCAAGCGAGACTCTCCACCTGGCACCTTGACTGTTTCCACTCGGCCTTTGGGTCGACAATTTCTCTCCCCCCGCCTCCTCCTCTCGCACCCGGTTCCTCAGCGCCAACACCCAAGCCCGTGGTACACCCTCCGCTTCCGCATTGGTCGTATTCCTGCACCTTCTCGGTATGAATCAACATCGTCAATTTCAAGCCAAGGAGCACTCACATTGTCGCAATTTCCCCAGTAGTCAATGACGATACCATGCACTGCGACGCAGCTGGCTGGATTAGATGTTAAGTCGAACATCGCAACTGGATAAAGGAAGGCACGCTCATGGTCATCGCTGCTGAATCCATCTCCTCTTCCACCCTTCCGGCCTCGACTTCGGTTCCCCCGTCGCTGTTGTTTGGCGTGATGCTCTCGCAACCGAGCCTCGAACTCCCGCTTCGCCTGGTCATCCCTAGGAACGAAATGGACAGCATTATGGTCGCTCGGATGGGTGGCCAAAATGGAATCTTCGCGAGTTGGTGGGGAGAGATGTGAACCTAGAGACCGTGATGGGGAGATTGGTTGAGAAGCGATGAGGGTGGATAGGCGCTGGCCGATTGTGTCGCCTGGTGGTGGACACCCGCAATACGTGTACGAGATTCCAAAGCGACGCTACCGAGAACTGACCTCAGTACAGGAGAAGTGCGATTGATATCCTTAAACCCACCTTCCATGCTCGACACGTAGCATCAAACGAACTCGACAGCTTCAGTCCATCAACTTTGTCGTCGCTGAGAATCATCAGTTGCCGTGAAAACAGCAGGAGGGACTGCTCACTGATCGATGAAGCGCCCAACGTAGGTGGTACAATCTGCTGCATAATCGACGGAGCGTAACTGATGGGTGTGCCACACTAGATCAATGTCGAGGGTTGGGACGAAGAAGCTACCGGGATTCGAGGCAAGGAGGTCTAGGAAACTATTTGGCTATCAGAGTCCATGTCGTACATGAGGAAAAAACTTTCACTTGCGCGTGGTATCGAGCGACGGCGCGATGCAAAGCCGCCTCATCGTCATCGGTGTCGAAGAACCCTGGTCGGATCCATCCAAAGTCGGCTATTTTCTTGACGAACGTTCCTTGGCGTAGAACCTAACTAGCGGCATTAGCAGTCGTAAGGTTATGATCACCGTCAGCTTACCGAGCCAGCTAAGTCCACCGAATACATCATTGGCTCGAGGTGAGCAGCCATTATCCTCTCGATTCTAATCGGAAGTTAACTCATAAACCTTTCTTTAAAGGCCCGCCACTTACATCTCGTTCGATCCCAACATGTCTCTGAGGCGCGCAAGAGAGAAATTACACTCGTCAAGTATCCTCAGACACAGCTCCTCATCTACTCCCCTTCGAACGTGCTCGAAAACCATTTTGCCTTCCACCTTCATCCACCCTCTCCCTGTGGTATCGGGTTTGTATTTGACGAGGTCCCATATCCTACGTTTCATCGCAACACTCTCGTCTCTGTCGGAATCAGTTCCATTGAATGTGCCCCTGTGGACCAGAAGTTAGTATCCCAACGTGGCTCCACGATCCAGAGACTTGCGGGAGAAGGGATAGTGGTACCCCATTCGGTCCGTCGTCTGCCCATGCCAGATTCTCAGCAAGCTTGCGGGCTCTCAGTACATCCTTTGTGATAGAGGGAGATGTACATGACTCCTTGTTGCACCAAACTTTGAATCCGGACTGAAAATAACCGTCTCCCTGTTGGGACATGCACGCTAAAAATCCGTGAGCATTCATTTTCCCAGCTATTGACTACGACTCACGAGCTCTTAAGGGCGTTGTGCACACAGGACATAAAATCGTCTTGAATCGAAGTGCACGGGCCGAGTCCAGGGGGTCAAATGGTAGCGTAACACGACGGCCGAAGAACTGTTCGCGAGCCACTGAGGGCGGCGAAGCTAGGATCTCTGGTAAACGATCCTTCAATCCACCTCGTGAGCTCTCATTCCCCAACACCCTTGATGGAAATCCTCACCAGGTTCTTAGCGAACTTCTCCCCAATCCCTTGCAAAGAGGTTATGCAGTCTAATCGCGCCATGTCTTCTGCGTACCACCTTGGGTTGAGCAGGTAGGAGTGGAGTACCTGATGCGAATCAAGGTTAGGAATCTAACGTTTCATTGCGTCGCACACTTGAGCTCACCATTAGGATGTCTAAAGGCGGCAATGTGGTCTCGATCGGCTTTAGCCAGTCGGTCTCTGCCAGGGCTTTTACCCAGCGGTCAAACCTGGAAGTAAGTGCGCTCGTTAGGAATCAACAAGTATGGTGACTATGGTGACTAAAGCAGACCTCTCAGCCGACATATGAACAAACCACGCCCATCGCTTCTCCGGCTCTGAGGGTACGTTGGGAATATCGTGAAGGTCGGCTTCCTGGACTTGTTTCTTGAGGTCTGAGAACGCGCATAGGAGAGCAAGATGGCCTTTGATTTCCGGAATCGTCACGAGAGGTCCTTGGGTCCTCATGGTGCCTATATTGTAGCTCGTTGGGGGAGTGTGGACCGTAGGCTGTGAAGGGAGTGGTAGCCCCGCGCCTGGCAGGGAACTGTAGGTGGAATTGGGAGGATCTACGTCCATGGTCGTGATTCGTGTAGGAGTAAGAAAGGATGGTCAAGAGGAGGCAGGTCCGAATCGGTTCAAGCGATGGTAGCCGTTACTTTAATATATCGAACGCTCACAGCAGGAGGCTGTTCAATGTGATAAGGATCACTCACAAGCTCCATGGGTTTCGACTGGTTGCAAGGCGCTATGTTTATTGCAGTCTGTTATTAATCCGATTTAATTGAAAAGCCAGCATGTACCAATCATTCAAGAAATTAAGGACCAAGAGACGTACTGAGAGCCAGGTTCCTAGGAACCTCGATATAGACAATGCACATGGTATAGGTTGAGTATATGCTATACACGAGCGGCCAGAACCAAGTTCCATAATGTAGCCAACCCAGTCAAATCCACATTTGAAGACCTATAGGTTCAGGGATATTAACGTCCATGGTTCCCCGGAGTTAAAGGTGGTATGTATCACAGTCAAACACTCACCCAATTCTAATCATCCCATTCGTAACGCGAAACTCGGCGTCTTCTCCGGGTCCCAGAAACTGTTGCTGAAGCCGAACCATGACCATGAGCTCAATATTACCAAACGTGAACCGTGCCTCTGCAAACCGAATTGACGGCGACGGTCGGGAGACAGCCTCATCGAGAAAGACTTCCAGCCTCGCTGTGAAGTAAGGCGAAGCTTTGAAGCGGGGAGGGCGAAAGGCGTATTTCGGAATTCGGTTTCGAGACGCCTCGTTGGGATACCGAGTGGTGTCTATGACCAGAACGTGAGGCTCCATGATGAAAAGAGACATGAAGTCATCTGGGGTGGTAATTCCCTGGATGATCTTCCATTGTTTGTTGAAGAGGCGTTCAACAGCAGCGATGTAGAAACGCCTCATCGACTTTGTTACCCAGGAGTCCTCTCATTTAAGCACTGTCAGAATGTTAGATAAAAGATACAGGCCGAACTGGGAGGCAGGACACCGACCGTGATAATGCCCGGCTGCCTCTCGACACTCGAGACGATGGAGCTTCTTCCAGTCCATCCTTTGGCATCCAATCGAGCAGTATGAGACTGTATGACAGCGTGAATAGAAGTATGTTTTTAGAGGTTCAGGATTGTCTTCAGGATACAGTTCGGAATGCTAGCGCGTGGCCTGATCAATGAACGGAAAAAGAGACTCGATATCTAACTCACCCGAAGGTTATCGCACCATCCCCGTCGCATCTTTGCCGCTTTGAGTGATGGCGCGAGATACGTGATATCATCTCGAACTTCCTTCCATTTCTGGATTCCAGGACTCGCCAGATTTTGTGGAATCCCAGACACAAATTTACTGCGGTAGAATCGAATCAACGAACGCAAAACCCGCGGGGAATGGCACTGGATCACGACCGTGCTCACTGCTCAGGAGTTTACTGACATGGTCGGCCATGGGGTTCCGGGTCGTAATGATGTCGGTAAAGTTGTGCATGGTGCCAGGATGGCATGGTCGAGAGTGGTTCGGGGATGTCCATCCAGGATGACCATCTCCCATAACGTAGAGGTTGCAGTTGCAAAGGAGGGGGAAGGGATGCCCATGCGATATGCTTTGAGAGTGAGCGAGCGTAGCGCTGTAGCTAGAGATTGCAGGCAATCTGGTTTTAAGAACAAGGCAAAGAAGGTGGGGTCGGTGTTTAAGTTTTGGAGAAGCGCCAGAATCATTCTCGCGTTCCGTTCGAAGAATTGCGCTTCTCGACTGTTAAACCGTGCGTCGAGAAGGCTGAAGCGCATAACCAGGGACTTCAATAGCCAGTCGCTATACCCCGGGATCCCGGTAATCTTCCTCCTTTGGCCGTCGGTGAGCTTGCCCCGTCCGAAAGCCGAGTGGAGAAGCTGAATGGTGGGGCAGCCATGGTCGAAATTGGTGATGAAAAGCGGCTCCGATGTCGAGCTTGAGGATCCAGGGATCTCGAGCGTAACGACTGAAAGTATGGTGCTGAACTCTTCTTCGAGATCGCAGATAACAGATGCCAATCGTGGATCGCTGTTTAACAGAGCCATCAGCGCCATGGTTATGACCAAAGCGGCGGTCTTGGCCTTCTCGGATGAAGAAGAATAGATGGACATGGCATTGTGGGCTACAAAACGTATCCAAGTGAGGATATCTGTGATGTGAAGTAATAGGCCAGTGAAGATGAATCCACGGTGAGCTGGAAGCCTTTCATAGCGTAGAAAGGTCGAATTAATCCCCTGAAGCGCCATGATAGCCAGCTCGACGCGATTCCGATCATCGCCAGCCAGAGCGACGGTGGGTATCCGACTTGCCGTTAAATGATGCACAAGGACCCCGATAAATTCTGCTGACCGCTCTGAAGGCCAGTGGAGTACAAGAGTTTGAAGGGCGGTAGGTGACCCCATTTTCGCGCTCGCGATGAGCTGATCCTAGATCAAAATCAGTGGTGGCCTCAGATTGGCGAGGGTTAGGTGGATACCCAGTTGGTTCCGTCCATTCTGACTCCGTTTTGTGCAGGCATTCGAGAATGAAAACCCAAAGATGTCGACAAAGCGCGAAGGGGTCGTGTTCAATGGTTCTTTCTGTTTGCTCCTGTTATCTAAACCAGCGTCTGCCAAATAGAACCCAAGAGAGAAGGTTATCATTGTCTCTTGGTTGGCTCTGTTTTCTCTGCGCAAATACCCCTCCGAGCAGGCGCCAGGCTAAGCGGGCTGCCACCGGTTCTCTGGAAGATCGTTCGAAAAGAGTTTTCCCATGATGCTTTGGGACCATTGATTGGAGAAGTGATTCTTCGAAGAACTGTTTGTAGGTACGTACTATCGCCTTGATTCTTCCGAACTGGCTTAATAGGGGGACCTGGTCTCCGAGCCAGGGACATCCAAAGATGATACGAATTTGCGCTATAGTCTCCCTTTTAACCACCGTTGCTCATGGACTGCTTCGTTTTCCATGCTCACAGCTCGTCACTCAACGTTTCGATCCGTGGGTAGTCCCCATTCTCCTCTCCCCCGAATCCAAGTTGACGGGCCTGTAGTCTTGTCACTCCAGGACAGGTCTCTCCACACGTCCACCAGATAGTTGGCGGGGTACGTCTCCCTCACACACTTCTCCGCTCTAGCTATGGATTAAGCACGAATTTCGGATATCCTTAGAATGCGTAAGTACAACTGAACTCCTAATGTATAGCTTCCATTGACCTTGGTCCTTGATGTAGATTTAACCTGACGATGGATCCCGACCTTGACTTGCCTAACCTCGCGACTTGTACGACCTGTCGCTTCAAGGAGGACAAGTCGAACTATTGGACGGCGGTGATGTACTTCAAACATCCGAACGGAAGCTTCATCAGGGCGAGTTTCCTATTATCGCACCTTGAGCAATATCTGAAGAGTAGTGTAGGTTCCTCAGGCTGCCAATCACGTCACTGGCGCGCCCAACGGTGGTATGACCGTTTATTACATCCAGCCTCCTGGGTTAGAAAAGACTACGGCTTTTCGAAAGGTCAGCGCGACATCCATAATCTCGGAATTGTATCCTCTCAGCCCTCTTCTAGGGATTTAGGATGGTTGTGGGAAATCCCATGCTGCGGTCCGATAAAGCGTTTCCGCCCAATAGCTCGGAGGCGTACGCCCTTACATTCAGGTGCTGGGAGACAGAAGACCTACTCGGCTACTCGAACCTCGGTGCCCCCGGTACTGGAGCGTACGACACCATTAATCTCCCCAATAGACCATGCCCAGCAGGTATACGCGCCAATATATTCTTCCCTTCGTACGTGACCTTTCCGTCCCTTTCGTGCTCGGAGAAACTTACTCACTTCTGCGTTCCTCTAATACAGTTGCTGGGACGGTGTGAACCTCGATAGCCCAGATCACAGGGTATGTGATTAACTTCATTCGATGGGCTTCTCTCATTCTTAACGGTTCTTCTATCAGAGTCATGTCGCATTCTTGGAGGGGCCAATCAGACCTGAAGGTGGACTGTTCTTTCGGGAGGGGACGTGCCCCTACACCCACCCCGTTCGGATTCCGCTTCTCTTCTATGAGGTCTATTGGGATACCCGGCCTTTCAATTCGCTTTGGCCGGAGGACGACAGTCAGCCGTTCGTCTTGAGTATGGGAGATCCGTGAGTTCCCTTGAGGTTCCAGCCATGCCTGCACCTCACGTCAATCTTAGAACTGGGTACGGGCACCACGGCGACTACGTCTTTGGATGGGAAGGTGATTCGCTCCAGCGCGCGATGGATATATGTACCGATGTCCGTGGACGCCCGACCGACTGCACCGAACTCACTGTTCTCTCCGATGATGAGATTAACAGCTGCACGCAAGAACCTCAAGTCGATGAGATAGTGGAAGGACAATGTAAGGCACTTGAAACCTACTCCTCAAAGGACCTGAATCGATCTCATTCTCCATCTTTTAGATCTTCCAGAACTCCCTGGCTGCAATCCTATTCAACATGGTCCGGCACCTGCAATCCCGATCGATAACTGCGATGCGGTTTCGACTACAGGATTCGGCTCAGCCACTCGGGCCCTTCGTACTCTGGCAACTGCACGTCCTTGAAAGGTGATTCTGGGGAATAACTAGTACGACATCGCACGGAGTGTCAAGTTTGTGCTGTATATAACCAATCCATACCAAGTCTATATGTGGTGTTGAATCTCGATGGCGAGGTCAAAAGAATCGATAGTGCTGTGCCAAAGCTTGAGAGTCGGAAGGAAGGAGACCCAATCCCGAGGTGTCTTCACATCTGGGTGGCTCGGACATGACGAATGACCGAGGCTGGAGAATAGTATTCTGAAAGATTTCAATGCGAATCCGTGAGGAGATCGGTCGACGGAGCTGAAAAGGGCATCCACTTGCTGCAGCAGTCGATGGAATTGGAACGAGTGTTGATTTCCTTCGCACGAGCACTGGACATGCAGCTCGATGGTTTGGATGCAAGGGGCAAGGAATGCAGATAGGCTAGGTGCTATGGAGGATTGGCAAGCGACATAGTGATCATGCCAGTAGTAATAGACGAGTTGGAGGTCGCGAAGATTCATGGGTTTCTCGCTGCAACCTGACACCTCGAATCCACCTGGGGACACGATGGGCCCATCAGCAAAAAGCGGGTTAGACACTCCGAGGAAAAGCAGGCTTACCTTCGGATTTACAGACTATGTGAACCTCAAGCTCCGAAAGCGAGGTACTGGTCAGATTGAGGAATTCGGGTATGTAGTCCAGGGAGGTGGAGGGGGCCGTAAGACGCGCTTTCCGTAGCCCGCGCAACGACAGAGGATGCTTTTCCACAAAATGGGCCAGCGCGTCTGGGACAAGGATATCGAGGGATCGGAGTGGTGGGTAATTATCCACGGTTATGCTTGACGCCCATGGCTTGTCTGAACCTGGAACCACTGCGATGCTCTCGTCCCAGCACAGTGATGACAGGGACGAAGCAGCTGTCCATAGCTCCTGAGGAAGCGCCGCGGATTGCACGGAAAGAGACTTCAATGTCGGAAGAGAGCAGATGTGTCGAATGCCTGACTGTAAAGCAATGTCCGCTGAGCACCACCACTGCCGATTCGAGTCTTTGTATCGGGGCAGGTGGAGACGAAATGTCTGAACCTGGGTAAGTGACCGTAGGACCTGTGGTAATAAGGTGTCGTCCAGGAGCCACATCGTCCCAGCGGAGCTGGTGGAGGTAATCTCCAGCTCGTGAACGTAGCCCGAGATCCTTGGTTCAGCTCTGGCGATGTCGAGGAAGCTTTCCAACTTGCGACGGATGTCGCTTTGTGAGATCTGGAAGCCAACGCAGAATGTGAACTTGCGAAAGAGATGAGGTCGTGTCTGAAGGTGCCAGGTGGTAGAGACGGACATGCATGACTTGAGGGATACTCTGTCGTCGGATACATAGGACACGATGGAGGATATGAGCTCCGGAGGAAGATCACACATATTGGCTCGTGTTCAAGGGTCGATGCGGGCCGGGAGGAGTCAGACTGGAGCAATATTATAATCTAAAGCCATAGGCCAATACGTGCAAATAATCCACCTGCGTCCGAAGAAGCAATCTGACCTCACAAAGAAGAAGAGCGAAGTTGAACAAGGCGAAGATAGTAGCGTTGAGGTCATTCTCAATGACATTACATGTGGCCAACGACGACTGAACGTCGCTGAACGACGTGGAGGAAAGGGGGAGGATCTGACTGGAGGCAAGGCGTGCCCTTCATTCCTTCCGGATGCAACACCGTAAATAAAACATTTGGTCTATGAGGTTACGTTGCCTGCCACTGAAGCGCACTTCTCGCTAAACAGGAAAGGTTTGACGTGAAGGTTGGAAGCGCCCTTTAATTGATCATACCGTAACTCCCAGGGACCTGTCAAGGGAGATGCGGAGACTCCCGTCGTGCCTCCCTTGGGTGGCTGGTCAACTTCCGGACGACGAGCCCCGCCCAGGAATTGAGAAAAACATGGCGCTCATACCGTTGGTACTCGGCTCCACCCTGGCCCCTTCTACTCGTCTCACAGTATCGTAGGAGGTATGATATGCACTATCGACCGTACCCAAGTAGGAATATGTAAGCCAAAATTCAATGCGCGGATCCCTCAAGCCCTAGTTTGGTGACTTTCGAGCCGAGACCTTGAAAGGGTTCCGCGATGGTTCACGGGAGCAAAGGTAATAAAATCTGAATCTGTGTGATTGACCTTGTGGCGTCGTGAAGGGAATACATATGCAATTCTGCAACGAGGCGACGGGGTTGTTCACTTTTGAGCGCATCGCTCGTCGAGGCGGAAGCAAAAGCCATCGATTCATTTGGATCGCGTACCCAGTGGGAGGAACCACGGCTATGCGTCCACATCTGGATCGATCAGAATAGATATGGTTCAAAATTTCTGAAGTCAAGTTTGCGAAACGACCACTGTCAAAATCTGTGAAGCCATTGCCTTCTACTCTGGTCGGGATGACCACGTATGTTTACAAAGGAACACCGTCTACAGCTGCTATTACAAAGGAACACCTACAGCTGCTATTACAAAGGGACACCATAGCCTATAGCTGCTATTACGATTATGTACCTCTTAGAGAAAGCTATAAAATACACAAGAGAGCAAATTAAGTGGGATTATTTTGGAGACCTTGTTCTCTAAGCTTGGGTCATCGAGCCTCTCTCTATGTACACCTCCTTCGAAACGGAGATAAGAACATCAGGGTTTGGTCCGGAGACATTCTCCCCTCTTTCCTCTGAATCAGAATCGCCCAGAGCCCTGATCTTTGACAATTGGATATCCGACGTCGATGCCCGGGCAGTAGACTTGATGTCAGCCGAGACAACGCGAGTTTGCTCTGTAGCCCGGTTGGTGAACTGGAAACCGCCGTTCGAAGTCGTGAAGGCAGTTCCACTGCGAGAATTGCTGAGTCGTTGGCGATTGTTCAAGCTAGCCAGCAGGACGTTGGCATAAAGGCGACCGATCACGTAGTGGCTGTTGGAAGGTGAGGAGCGATGAACAAATCCAGTCAACGATGGAAAGACCATGGACAACTCACAAGGCCATGTGGATCATGTCGTTTGGTCTTGCGAAGAAGAACGCGAGGTTGAGGGAAGCGAAGACGGTCGTAATGAGGCCGTTCTCAACGACGTTGCGAGTGATAGCGTTGAGTATGTTTCTCGTCTCGGAGATCATGATGCGTTCCTTGTATCTCGAAAGCTGGAGTGTAGTAATTTAGTGCCAGAGTCGTACAAACGAGCCAAAAAGCACTCACTAAGGATACCATGGCGAACGTAATCATCGCATCGCAGATAAGCGCTGCGCCGAGTTGCATCCCGACTGTCGTGCCGATAGTCTTGATAGGGGAGGCGCCGTAGGCAATGACAGATATGAACTGGATGCCAACGGCGATTGCTAGACAAAGTTCTGCGCCAGCCAACTATGAGGAACGAAGTCAGAGATCGCTCCTTCCAGGAAATGCGTTCGACATACCAAGGCAATGAAGACAGAGATGCCTTTATCAATTTTCGTAGAAGCAAGAATCCACACTCGCCTAGGAAAACGTGTCAGACAACGGCGAAAAGAGAACGGGATGAAACTTACCAAGCAAAGAAGCACTGGACGGATGCGGCGACTTTTGAAAGACGATCGATACGCGGATGGAGAGACATGAATTTATGCCACTCACCAAATCCACTGAGAATCTGGATAACCGGTCCTGTCGCTTGAGGCTTGACCAAGAGCACAGGGTCAACGAGCGAGGCCACCAAGCGACTCCACACATTGTGGAAGATGAAAGAGAGATTCAAGATCTCAACGATGACAATGAGGCCAACTGTTTTATGCGTTCAGCTCGCTAAGGGCTCTGAGAAGCACGAGGGGCCACATACCTAGGTAAGGAAGCTTTCTTTTGTCTTTATCGGTGAGCGAAGAGATATAGTGAACTAAGGCAGGAAACAGTCGTAAGTTCAGTGTTTGTGATATCGGGTTAGATTGAATGGAACTCACAAACTTGGACGAGGAATGCTCCGAATAGTAGGGACGAGACAAGAGACCCGACCAACTGTAGAGTGGGTGAGCGCTACTGTTATGTGTCAACGATTGGGAGGTGGACGACATACAATTGGTCCAACGCTATTCGATGATAGTGTTATAAATAACGAGGATGGGGAAGAAACTGAATCAAACTCACACCAGAATCAGATTCTGAGGTCCGGGAGCTGCGTCCGACATTATCCAAAAGGAGTGTGGGGGGAGAGGGAAGGAGTGGTTTTTAGTAGAGCGTCCAGCGAAGACTAAACCTCGCCGGGCTTGGAGGAAGGAGGGAGGGAGGGAGGGCGAAACTCTGTTAACCGTTTCGGGACTTGGCCAAGTGGACAACGCCGCGATGGCCCGCGGAAGCAAAGTTAATTTAGCTGGGAACGGTTTTGACCGACCTGGCCGAGATACAACTTGAGCATAGATGGATTGGTGGCGTGATGGAGGGAAACGGGTCCGGGGCGAAGCGCCGTCAATTGTGCGCACTGCGAGAGGTGAGATATTCGACGACGATCATTTGGTGCCTCGAAGGCTCGAGAGTCGAAGAATGTTTGGGACGATCCGGGACATTTGCTTCCGTCCTCCCAGTCTTGCAGGCGTGAAGGTCTTGCCTTCGTCGCTCTCAAGTCGCTCTGGTATCGATTTCAACCGCCTGAGTTTCGTGTTCAATAGTTCAGAATGAGGGAAAATTTCCGAAAAATCTACCCTTGAAAGCACTCACCGGATCCACCAGCTTCAGCGGGCACCCGGTCATGTAGACGTCACCTTTGTGAAGACAGCGGGGGCAAATCTCAACCTGAATCGCCCAGGGACCGGTAGGGTCTGGATTGTCGAGTGGCAGGAACGGCGTTATGTGTGATGTAAAACATGTATGAAGTATGTACTGAGAAACATAACATATCGCTAGACAAAGCAAGCGATCTGGCATTCGAAACAAATATTACGCATGAAGTTCGCGTTCCCAAAGATCAAGATATTCGATCAAATCCCGCATGTCGTACTGTCGTCCTTGCCCTACCGAATACCTAACGAATACGTCGTCGTCGCCATCCCAATAATCTCGTTGTTGGGCTTCTTTAGCCTTTTCGACTTCATGTGCCTTCCACGCAGATGCAGCACTGGGAAGAAGGTATCAGTATTGTAGTACATCCCATTCCGGGTGACCGTGAACGTTTCCTAGGTCTTACCCTAAACCGACACCTCCCAGTCCTGCAAGAGTGACGAAGGCCCGCTGGAGTGCCTTGCCCCGGGAAGAGCGACCAGACCCAGGGTCTTGCCTCGCTTCGATTGCGGTGCCATCTTCGAATCGACGCGGTTGAGGGCCTTGGTTTGTGTTCGGCCCCTGGTTCTGCTGCTGAAGCGGCTTCGGGATTGGTTTGGCCAGATCATATATCCTGTAGAGATGTATAATCCTGAGCACCACTCAGCAGGATGGACGATATGCTATAACTCACGTTTTACCGATTTCCATGGCCTCGGTAACGGCGGTGAATGCGTTCGCGCCGGCTTTGCCCCAGCCTTGCATGCTGAATCGGGCCTCGATACCATCTTCAAGACCGCGTTTCGAGTTAGACGGGGCCACTCGAACGCCGAAGTTGGTTGAAGCGGATGGGCTATCCATCGAGGCTTCTGCCAAATTCTGAAATGCAGCAGAACGGACCGCGGAGGGTGCGTTTTCGCTTTGCCGCGAGGGTGCCATCGGGGCCGCCAGCGCAGGAGTTATAGCCATGACAGCAAGGGCAAGTGAAGTCGAGAAGTGAACCATTTTGTAGTCGAGAGAAAGGGATTCGGCAAGTAAAGGAGTAGGTTGGGGAGAGGGGACGAACTACGTCTTATGAGAAAAGAAATGTGAAGGTGAGACCAGCTGACGAGACCAATGCCAGGACTGCTCAGAATTTATACCTCGTTGGGCTGTTGAATGTGTGTGCTGAAGTCCGTCTCGGAACCTTCAGGACATCACGATTCACGAATCACAGCTGTATCCAACGAAACTCGATGCCCGAATTTATCGGCGAGATCGTGTTGACGAAAATATCACTAGAGCAATCAGTTGTTACGTGGACAGGGTTACTCGTTCTCGATTGTCAACATACACCAGATATGACGGTGCGGCCACCCCGGGATGTCCATCTTTCAAAACCAAGGGAGACCACAGATCACATCCCTCCAGAAACCAGCAGGGGGAGAGATCTTAACACTCGTATGGCAGTGTGTTGGTCATCCATCCAGAAAGATGATCGATGACGGCTAGAGTCGTCCCCATGTATGTCCAATGATTAGAATCCCATTTGATATGACTGGTTGTAACTTAAGTGCGACTGACGTACCTCGATTTGGATTGGGGCATGTACGGAAAGGAGCATCTAAGGAAATCCGACAAGAGCACGCATGTGGATACCGCAAGCGCTCAGGAAGGAGGAAGACCACGAGATCAAGGGCGCGTCAATTGGACTTTGTTTGTTTCACAGACTCATGGCAATCATTGGTAAACAAAAGCACTTTAACGGGCACACTCCTTGGCGATATGGCATCAAACAAGTTCCTCCTCCCTGCGTCCTCAATGAAGTCGAGATGACTGAAAGTTAGAAAATCTCCATGCTGCTCTCAATCCCGACTTCAACGCCAACGCGTCGACACGATGTTCTCGGCGTCCAAGCTTGGTTATTCGCAGGTGGCCGACGAGACCTCGGTCAGATCAAAACCAAGTTTCGCAGCCATTGTGTCAAGTATTCCCCCGTCTAGTCGCGCACCATACCACATACCTGGATGCTGATGTTCTAATCTAGTCCGTGCACCAAGGCCGGTCTTCTTCTCGCTGAAACGTTCGCGATGGACGGCTCGAACATGACGGCCTCCACGGCCTTCCGGTTTACGGCAGCTCAACTTAGACAAGTACACACTTCAATCCTTCCCTCTTCTACCACATATCATCTCGCTTATGGATAGGTACTTTAGGGCGGCAGGTCCAGCTCAAGGTGCCTGTTGAGACATGAGTATCGGAAGCGCTGTTAGCACTAGGGTCAGCCATTGAAATACGTGCCAGACTGAATGAGGCGAGCCGAAGTGCGTTCCCTCTATTGTGTTCGACGAGGCATTATCTCTAACATCCAACAGCGATGCACCGCATAACAGCCATGTTTCGCCCTTCCGTCTTCGCTTACTCCATGCCCCTGCGAGAGTGATCTTCGAGCAATGACCAAGGCAATACATTCATCCCGTCAGCCCCCGCGCTAGTATACATTTCGACGATGATCGCATTACGACTTTAGGTTAGGCGCAACTGAACGCCCAGGGGCAGGCCACTTTTAGCTTGATGGCATCAATTGCCATCAAGCGTACGATAACTTTGCTCCTGATGGACCATGGTTTGCATGACATGGCGTTCTGTGCGAATAAAGGCCCCGTCGGAGCATTTTTCGTGTTTCAACTCGACAGTCACCATCGCGTGACGGGAGGGTCTCCTCGTACGGCCTGGTTTCCGTATATAAGAAACGGGTTCATGAGGAGCTCACATTCGGTTGGATCCCTTTCCCCTTCGCACTTCCCACCATGGCCTCAGACTGGATCTCGCTAATGTACGACCAAATGGTCCAGACGGTTTATCTCACCTTGATTCATAACGTGAGTCTCCTTTATTGCGATGTGCTTCTCTCCGCTGATTCGGCAAAGTACTTCGATGGTCAGCTCCAGAGTCCAGTTCCCTTTCGCAGTTACCTAACTCGCTGAATGCAAGTCGCGAGCTTCGCCGTTTTCGTGAGTGACAGCTACCGTGCGCCCTCACGAGACTCTTCTAATTGCAATGATACGCCATAGATGTGTGACTTTAGCCATACCTTGGAGCGCGAGGTACAAAAATCTGGACTTGCGTTGCTCGATCTCAGCTCAGTTTCGTTCAGGTCTTGATGGTTTGGCCGACAAGAATATGTGTTGGCAAGCTTTTGTACCTTGCGGTGCGATATACACCATTCATTGACCTCACGACCTTGATGATTAGTGAGTGAATGTACTAGTCCTGAGACCTCGTTTCTAACCCACTCATTTAGTCAACTTTTCTGTGCGACTCCCTCCCGCTGTAAGCAGGACATCATCGAAGCCATGGTGACACCATCCTCACACGAGTCTCTCTTTCAGGCATGTGAGGCAGTTCTAGTCATCATGAACGGTGCGTGGAGAAGCTTTGAGAGGTAAAAGGTTTAGAGTTAAATTCGCTTTTCAGTATCGACAGTGATTGGGATCGCCGCGTCCGAAGGTACGTTGCGACGTACCATTCTGTGAGGAGCACGGTCTTAAGTCTCCTAGGGATACTCGTGATGTCGCTTTATGCCCTTCTGGGAGCCCGAAGGTCACACCTTATCTTCCTAACCACGGTCACATGCGTATGTGATTCCACATCCTCCTCGGCTTCCGTACATCCTGACCACGATACCGCAGGCGTCCGTGATGACTACCTTTGTCTTGAGTGGTTTTTACCTCCGATCCGCCAAAGGTAATCATTTACACGGTCGTGATTGTAGTGGCGAGGAACTCAGATTCTACTTCTCTGACAGCCGGCCCCTCACCGTATAGTGCCCTCCCTCGTTGCTGGTACAACTTCTTTCCGCTTGAGCACGCGTACTATATCAAGTATTGCTACTATCTTCTCTTGGCTGCCGAAATCGGTGTGTATTCGCCACCTACTCTCTCTTTCTTCCCTCTCTGAAGCGAGATAACCTGATCCGGTTTATCTCTCAGTCTTCACTTTGATCGCAATTGCTTTCGGCCTCAAGAAGTACCTCCGATTGAAGAGCCGGCTAATGGGCATCCTATACCGCGATGGAACCTTTTACTACATCGCACTGACAGGTACGAATACCGTTGCTCCATCAGGTCCGTGCTGTGTCCTCAGAAGTCTTTCAGGCTGCGCCATCCTCAATATTGCTGTGAATCTAATCACAGGGGTGAGTCCGCTATTCTCTCCCACTCACGTCAGGCGGTTACTCATTCTCATTCCGTTCCGTGTAGTACGGGCCCTTGAACAAGTGCGCCATTACCAAATCTGTGCTTTCCGTGCGCTACTGACCTGTGCTCCAGTTTGCAAAGAGTCTTGCACTCCGTCCTCGCTTCTCGACTTTTCCTCAACACTCGCTCGACCCTCAGGCCGGACATCAAGTCGTACAGTCGGAGCGGTTCAAGTTCCATCTCGAACATCAGATTCGCGGAGAGGCAACCCATGAATACACGTTAGGCCTCCATTTCCATCGCTCACATGGTCAAACCATCTGTAATAGTATCTTTTTTGCTGTCGTAATTTCTGATCAATGTATGTATTTACGTAGGTGTTTTCGTTCTGCAATACCGAAGGGACTATGGGCGCTGTGACGCCAACCGAAAGCATCCGTTGCGCGCAGTGAGGGGATGTTTCAGCACCCGACAGACCTCAAACTCGAAGAGGGTTCTGAAAGGTTCTGAATGTAAGTGACCAGGTTTCTATGAATTTAGGCTAGGGAACTCGAGCTAGTGTGGGCGCTTTGTTACTCTTGGCCGAGATGCCCGGCAACTTTGAAGTTTCTGGCATCTGCTAGCAGAAGCCCTCAAACTTCACCGAAAGGTTAGTCTCCAAACGCCACAATGACTCTGAGTAGGACCGCTGTCTTCCGTAAAGGCTTAGGCCCGGCCCCTTATACCCTTCTTGCGTTCCCAGTCCAAGAGCTCGACGCGTCGGGCGGGCTTATGGAATGGTGACGCTGCCATTCAGACATCAGCGCAATCAAGGAGTCCGGTACCAGTTTCCACTGGAGGTTTGCATTCTCCATGGCCTTCCAGGCAATTATGCATAGCTAACTATTCCAAGTGAAAGAACTAGTAACCTTAGGGCACTAACCCACTCAATCTGTGGATTGAATAGGCGCGACAAATACAAGATTTCATCCCTGTGATCCTAGAAACAAACACTGAACCCAAAACGGCAATGCAGCAGGCGCTTGTTCTCTCGGGAATTTTGCGAAGGGGGTTGTCTGATACAAGAGGATCTTCTTTTTGCGAAGATCGGCTTATTCTGGAAAGTCAATCAGTCTTAGGGACTATATAAGGTCGGTAACTCCTGCCGCGTCGTGGAGTATTCATTCTTCACTTCCACTGAACCAGATACGCCGCAATCAAGGCTCGCGACGGAAGACATGGAGTCGGATTACACCTGGGTTCTCTCTATCAGAGAAACCTTTTTGAATACCAAAGTAAGTCGATCGCTCTTGCAGTGCTTGCAACGTTCGAACAGCTAATACCTTCGATAGTACCTCAATGGTAAGTGGTTGGTCTATCACGATGTCGATCTTCGAGTGCTCACCCAACGATCACTCCTTCAGCGGCTGGAGCGACCATTTTTGTGAGACGACCCACCAATTCATTGAAGCGGAAATAACTGATCATCTTTTGAAGTTATACGACTATCTCCAAACACTGGATCAGGAGGTGCGTCACGCTACGGCACTGGCGAAGTAGGTACGCTGACGCGCACTCATCGCGAAGGTCGCCACTGTCTGGCCTGGGCGCATGTGCACGGGAAAAGTGCTGTTTCTAATCACGCGATACACACCCTTCATCGACTATACTAATCTCATGGCCAGTGCGTCTATCCCTCTATCTCTTTGCCCAGTGACTGGAGCTGAAAGATCATTGTATAGTTCGCTTCTGGCCAACTGCACTCCCTCCATCGGTAGGCCATTAATAACCAAACCTACGTTCGAAATAAGTTCTGAAGTTTCCAATATAGCTTTGCCACGCATTGTTCCTTGTCGCGAACAGTGAGTAGCCCTGACGATTCTTTGAGGTCACCCGAAGTCATAAACTACCGATTCGAGCAGTTGGTGCCATTGGTGTAACGGCCTCTGATGGTAAGTATTCCGACAAGTTCTGTTAATGCATCGTCGATTGGACTAGGATAAGTAAGCATTGACACTGATGCCCAGGTATTCTCGTGGTCTCCCTATATGCCCTACTGGGGGCGAAGCGGAGTCATATGATAGTGCTTTCGATTATTGCGCTGGTACGCAGCGCCGCCATAGAATCTCGGTCAAGGGGGTGGACTGACTGGCACCTGATCTCCTTTGAATCTACCTAGGCCTGTATCATCCCAACGTTGGTGCTTGTTGGTCTATTCCTGAAGGCATCTAAAGGTAGAAGCATCCACATTCATCCCAGCCTCTTTTCGTGACACGCCGTTTAGGAATACCAGGGGAGTGGCCATTGGACTTTTCGCATGTTATTACAGCTTCGACCCAGAAGATTATGGACTAAACATTATGCGATGCTACTATATTCTACTTGCTGGGGAATTCGGTGAGCTCCATACCTTTCCGGCCGTCATGACTGATTGGAACCTGACGTGAAACAGTGATAACAGCGATGGCTGTCATCCTTGGGTTCCGAAAGTACTTGAGCTTAAAAAGCCCACTAATGGCAATTCTGTTTCGAGACGGAACGATATACTTCGTTGTCTTGCTCGGTAAGCACAACTCATCTCCACTCTGGGAAGCGTTTGTTGAGTGATGTATAATAAGGCTTCACGACGCTCAACATCGTTTTCGATCACTTCTCACCATTGGTACGTTTCCGAATTGCCTCCTGTCATGAGATGCCTGATTTATATACGAAATTTTAAAGGCTGGACTACTGAATGGGTTGGTTCCAGTCATTACATCACTAACATTCGACTCGCTGATTCCATGCTTTCCCAAGCATCCAACGAGTGATGCATGCAATCCTCGCAAACCGACTCTTCCTCAATACGCGATCCCAGATATCACAGAATGTGGACGAATCCCGGGTCCTATCCAATCTCAAGTTTGCCCAAACAGAGGACTCGGAAATGTCTTCTCAACAGGTGACAGCATCAGTTCCTTAACGGGTACTGGAAGCCAGTTTACCTGGTTGTGGATTAGGGGCACAGATATTCTACAGGAATGGGGGTTATTTAATGGGATATACGGATCGACACTAGAGCTCACATAGACTTAAGTCGACACACAAATATATGTAGAATCTTCCAACGAGCGCCGAGTGTTGCGCCCCGCGAGTACAGACACCCGCTGTGCCGTGTTGCCGAAATCTCTAATCAGTGATGGCATCAAGTCCAAGTCCCAGCACATGGAAATGCAACAAATCATTTGTTTTTCACCAACATATTCAGCTCCTGCTCCATCTCACACAACCTAGATCCTGGGCGGCGTTCCAAATTTCCGAAGGGTATGCAGGTCATCCTCGTACCCACAGTCTCCTGAATGGAGCCCTCGCCATATCGAGCGCCGACCAAGGTAAGCATCAGTCTGTTGTCTACTTTACGGTCGCTGATGTTCGAATGGGCCTGTCGATTCAGGCCTTTGATACTTAGGCACTTGTTCGTATCTTCAAGCGTACAGCCAGTGGTCTCCGCCAACAGCCCGTTGGATTTTAATCACTCCGTTGGGCGCGCACAGAAGAAACCCGATACCACGCACCGGATTGAAACTTGAAGCGCTTGAAGTCCTCAAACCACGCCTTGCTAAGGAACTCGTCACATGTCAGGACAGGTACGTCGTCACCGCCGTGGAGATTCGTGGATTTGGGATGGCCAACAACGTTACCATGAACCCCAGATCGTCCTCCACCCTGTGGGAGTTCCGTCGTCTAGATCTCGTGCGAGAGAGCACAGGAATTGGACCACCGCTGCCAAGCCACTCCTTGACATGATGACACTTCACACCCACGATCGCAATGCCTTCTGTGTGCTCTTTGAGAGGGCTAATGATTGACTGTTCGAGCGCAGCCTTGTCGTGACGATTACGAGGTGTGTATCTATCCCGATGATTTGCTTTGTTTTCTCATCTTCTACGGTCAAGGCATCTATCACGGTCCAACCGCGCTTGCTCGCCTGCAAAAATTTGCTATCCTGGATACGACGATAACGTCGTGCGTAGTGTCGACAATGGGCCCACAGGAGATCCCACCTAGGCGACTGTCTCGGACTATACCTCCGCCATGAACTCCTTCCGGCCGCAGCTGCAACGAACACGAGTATAAAGGTCTCGCCTTGGACAACCAAAGTTCCTCAGCTGGTCTCACCTCCCCGCCGTTCAAGTAATTCCTACCCAACCAATACTCCGTTCAACCTACTCTTCACTTTCCTGCATCCGCCACCATGGTCCAAATCGCCAAAGTCCTTGCTTTCACAGCCCTCCTGATGGCGTCTTCTCTCGCCGCTCCTGTGTCCATGCTTTCCGACAAAAGTCTCGCTGAGATTACTTCCAGGCCCAGGCCTGAGCTGGCAGCTCGCGGACCCAACCGGCGTGATTGGGGCAAGTTAGTCAACAACGCAGCGACTGCTATTGATCTAGCCTCTACGTACGTATGCTCTATCGTAATGCCATTGCCTTGCTTACCGTTCTACTTTACAGGGTTGTGGACTTCATTAAGCCGCCGAAGTCGGCACCCCCGCCCCCACCACCCCCAGCGCCCGCACCAGCTCCTCCTGCACCAGTGCCACCTAACCCACCCCCGCGCCCGCATCCCAACCACCACCGTAGCTTCATGGACGACAGCGACGATATTGCAATGCGTGATATTGCATACTCGGACTACGATGTACGAGAATTTGTAGCCGAATTGGTGGAAATTCTTGAACGCTCAGGGGACTACTAGACTCTGTAGTCTACTTGATTTGCGCATATAAGATTCGAGGCACCCAATCAATTATAATTTTCTTTCTCTGATATTATTGACCTTCTCTGGACGTAATTCCTCGATGGCTCCTCAACAGACAACGGAGGGACAGTCTTCATCCTCTGAAACAGCCCCGGTTTCTTCTGATGTCGCCGTCTGCTTTGATGATAGGAAACCATCGAGCGTGGTCTGAGTCGCCCATGCTGCCTTGTATCGTCGCTGTGTACGAGGCGCCTTCACGGAGATGTCTGGTCCCGTGGCGTACTTGTCTGGTCTCTCTGTAGGCTTTCGTTATTTGACGCTGTTGTGGAGGTGAAGCGCCGGGATATACCTTTTCGCTGACTCTTGTTCCTCTCCAAGTCTCTTTTCTTCTTGGGAGGCATCCACTCGTCATCATCAGGACCTTCAACCTCCGCAGATGCAACCGCCGCGCTCTTTCTCTTCTCCTTCCCACCAGTGGTAACAGGACCGGATGTCGGAAGTACTTCAACGTGGAGAGGCTGGTCTGTGGACGACTCGACGCCTGAGGACGACGATTGGTTCTCTTGGGGTATGGATACGTCTGACTTCTCCTGGTCTGGTGCTTCTATCTCCGTTCGCCTCTTCCGTCCCACTTTGAGGTTTGCAAGTGTGTTCGGATGGACATTCTTTTTTCGAGGCGGCATTGGTTGGGTGTGCTGGCGGGAGATGCCCCACGATTGAATCTCGTGGGGACCAGTCTGGCAGCCTCGTGCCATGCCCGTTCTGCTTAGAAATTCAGGGTCACAGGTATGAATTGAACTTGTATGTACGTCACCTCCCCGTTGATTTCTTTCTTTGGTTAAGCGCCCGCCGGCCCGAATGGATTCCGGTGTCCGCTACATAGTGGTGGTGCTGGACTGAAATGGTATGTAGTTCGATACGCCTTGACATGCTAGATCTGGTATCTAAACCTCGGGTGCTTGTACCCCAGTTGTTCAAGCTCTCGCTCATCCTTTCCTTCCAAACGATAATCTCTCTCGCCTCGATCACGTTTTTGATTCTCCCATCGGATGTAGAGTGCGATGATAACGACGAGAACACAGATCGTGGACGTCGACGCCAAGTTCGCGAGATTCCCCTTGCGGTAGTCGGGTGCGTCCACGGCGAGGTAGGTCCATACTCTGTGTTAATATTCGAAAGATGGGTGTTAGCTTTGATACTGTGGATGGCAACTGTCTAGTCGGTCGACACGCACCCCAAGATTGCACCAAAGGCACCAATGCCAGGAATAGCCGCCGTAACCACTGCACGCATGGTATCCGGTGCGGCATTGTCGGTTCCCCAAATTAGAATCTGGAGGCCCTTTTTTAGTAATACCGCTGGGCAAACGGTGGAGCGCTCACCATTGGTCCACCTACGGAAGCACCCATGAGAATGAGGAAGCACGCCGCATACCTGAGGTAAGTGATAAGCATGGTGGCAGCCATAGTGGAGAGGTAACGTACCTTGCGGCTGAATTCTTTGTAGAAACTGCGATGGTGTAACCCACAACGACGAGCAGCATGTTGTACAGTAGAGGTAAGAATCGTTTTCGAATTCGAGCGCTGAGATAAGCGTTGGCGACAACCCAGACTGCGCTGGCGAGGTATGGGGGAACGCTTCGGAGCTGAACTTCAATCACACCTGCAGAGACAGAGATAAGTTCGTTGTCTTGGCGTCAGGCAAAGGTGCGTATACGTACTGAAGTTTCCGACTGTTCATCCAGGACATTGAAGTTAGAAATGGTAACAGCACTGTTGGACAGAATATGCTCACGAGTGTTGATGACTGGCGGTAGGAAGAGGCTAAGACCCTGGAAGGATGCGTTCAATAGCAAGAAGCATATTGTCAAAGCAACCGTCTGCGTCGGGGGTCAGCTCCATCGAGACTTGAACGATACCGTGAGTTCAAATGTCTCACCAAGAAATTGAACGAACGGTAGACCAGCCTCCAAGTCGTCTTCTCTTTAACACCCTGCGTCTTCACCACTTGGTCTGCATCCATCCTCGCCAAAGCCAACTTTCTCTCCTCCTCGCTTAATAGTTTTGTTGTCCGAATGTCTTCGGGGACGATGAAGAACAAGGCGAGTCCGAAGATTGTCGTAATGAGACCTGGAGAAAATCATTAGGCTAAACGACTCCTAGGCAGAGCTATCGGATCGAAACCACCTTCGATGAGGAAAATCTGAAAAGCCAGTTAATTACTAGAAACGGTCAATCAAAGTGACATACACACCTTTCTCCAGGTAGTGATGATCCCAAAGTCCTTGATACGGAGAAGTCCCGAAGCCAGAAGCCCTCCAACTTTACGAGTGTCAGCTCGATCGCGTAACACCAATCGAAGCAACGACGAGGGACTCACATGCACCGGCAATGCTGGGAGCAACGCCAAAGAAGATTCCGACTCGCAGAACGAGCTCATGCCTTCGGTAGTACTATACAAGTCAACAGTCAGCACCCTCATCCTTCCCTCGAAGAGTCGAAGATCGTCGAGAGCCAATCGCCGTCATTTCCGTAGGTTCTGGACTCGAAGAACACTCACCCTGGCTAAAATATACACCAACGCAGACTAAGAATAGTTTCATTTCAAATCCGTAGCGCAGGAGGTGAGGCATAATTGGGAGTACGTTGAGTCTTCTCTTCTCGGTGTAGGGTATGTTGGAGCGTTTGCTTACCAGTGTGCCCCCTTCGGTTATTCCGAGAAAGACGCGACTTGCGATGAGTCCTCCGTACGAAGTCATGAAGGAGGAGAAGAGCGTGACGACGCCGAATCCGGTGACCAGGAATGCGAGCCATTTGGAGCCAAAGTGCTTTAGGAGGAGGTTGGAGGGAATGTCGGAGATGTTGTACTGGTCGTGGTCATGAGCCGCGTGGAGATGGAATGTTGAGAAAGGTGCATACGAATATATAGAAGACGGTGAGTGCGACGTTGAGGTTGAAGCCAGTCATACCTAGGTCCTTCTCGAGCCCTGAGCGCGAAGGAATGATAAATCCGTGTCCATCAGAGCGCCTACTCTACGTACTCACCCGCAACCTTTGCATTCCCTGCGATAGAGTTCAGTCAAGGTCCTGCATGCATAGCAAATCCTAAACACACACCTATCGACGTTCTGTCGATGAAGTTACAACAGTCTTGAGGGGAATTAGTACGGACCGAGGTGGGAGGCAATAACGAGACACACATATCGCTGTGAACATTGGCATGAAAACCCAATCCAGTTTCTTCAGCAGCTTCTTCTCAGCGACTGGGTCAATCTCGTAGGTCTCTGACTCTGTCTTGGTGCTCGGTGCGGAATCTACTGCAGACCCAGTATGCTCGATCTTCTCCACGTCGACATCTGATGCCTTCGAGTCGTCATACGCCCCAGAGTGACTTTCCTTGATGTCGGAACCCATTGCCAATGAAGTATCCTCGACCAGATTGAAAGGATGGGGGAGGCAGAACTTACATCCCATCCCCCAGTTATCCCAATTTAAGCACTCCGTGTCTCCACATGGAGTGAGTTTCTTACCTGGATGGACGAGAAGTAGCTCACAACAGATGTGGATTGGATGGAAGACGAGGGTTTGTCCGTTGCATCGTGGATGCATAACTATAAATGGTCTCTCCGGGTATGCTTCTGCGATTGATATGATGATGGACTGCCATTAACAGAGTAAGATTTCGTCTCGTGTTCCCTACGATGAATTATAGCAGGATTTGGGCTCCTCCTTCCCCTCATCGAAAGGACAGGGGGTTTAACAGAAATCTGGGTTCGCTTCCCTTATGTTTAGAGCGTACGAAAGCGATGCCTTAGTGGGATAATGATTTGGAGTAAAGGAGGTCAGCCTACCAGTGGATAAAGAGTTGTTCCTGCTTTAGCGCCACAACCCTTCGAGGAATAGCCGAATCATCACGGTCTATAGTGTACCCTTCCTAATCCCTCACTTACATACCAAAGACACGCAATTACGACTCAATGACTCAAAAGTAAGTAAATGGTAGAACACGCAGAGAATAACATCAAATTCAGTCCTAAAGCCGCACTCGCAGCCTCAATACATACACGCTAACAATTCTGTGCACACATAGGACTATGTTCCGATCTTATCGACCCTCGTTTTTGTTCTGCGGGTTAACGAGGGATAATCTACCATCTCGTGACATTACTACATGTGTCCACTCTTGTTCAAGAGGTTACCCATTGAGCCAGGATCTCGCGTTAGCGCCCGTAAAAACGCCACAAACCCATCCGCACTCTCACATACTCAATTGAAATCCAAGGGAAATTGATTCTGTCAAATCTATTCAAAAGGCTAAATAAAGTCTGCACGAATACAAGGTAAGAAGCGGGGTGAAGGCGCGACTGGGAAGGACTAGTTTTGAGAAGGGTTATGTGGCCTTCTTGTGTGAATTGCGGACTCTGAGGCCAAACGGCCCGAATAGCTCCCAGAGTATGGAAGAAGTCGTCCTTCAGCGTGCCATTGGACTTCTCGTCTCTGCTCGAGGATGTGCTTCGCGAATTCGCAGTTCTGCTCAATGTGTAACCCTTCCGGTCCGCGGATCACGTTCTCATGAAGCTGCTGATCTGCCTATGTAAGGATCGCAGACCACCCCAGCTTGAAGGTAGCGATAACGCACTCTGCCTTAATGCGAGTCAGAAAAGGACAACGGAGAGCAGAGCCACGCCGTCGGTGGGCGGGGCCTCGGATTGGCCTTGTATGGCAAGGGCGTCCGAACAGTCGGCTTGGGTTATGGTTACAGACGTCGGAGTTGGCAATGTCGGACCAGGCGATAACCACCATGTCGACCTCGCGACCTTTTCCGCCGGAGCTAGTCTCTGCAGTACTCTCGTATGTCTACCTCTCCAAAGATCAGGAACTTTTGAAGACCTGCATGAAGGTCTCTACTGAATGGCACCAAGAATCACTGCCGTTCGCGTTTCGCGATCTGACCATCCCACCGCCCATTCTAGGGCTGTCCCCATGCAATCCCAGCATCGACCAGGTCCTTCAGCGCTTGCTGGATCTGCTGGAGGATAACCCACAACTGGCCGTATGCGTTCGAAACCTTCATTTGGACCTCAAGTCCGGGACCTGGGCTACCCAAGTCGCGGAGAGCAAGATTTTCCCCCTGGTGGCGAACAAATTAGGCCTACTCGAGACCTTCCGACTCGAATTAACGCCAATGTACCGCAATACGATTACATGGCTCCTGACCAGTAGAGAAGGCGTCAAAGAAGCCATCAAACGCGTCTTCTCTCTCCCCACCCTCACTTCACTGGAGATAGGGAACGTTTTTGTTCCATGGGAGTTTTGGGGATTTAACCAGAACCTCAGGAACTTCACCCTTCGCATGCCAGACATTCAAATACCATCGGTCGGGCCGTACCCCACTCCCGATCGTCCGGTCGCCCCTATCCAACGCCTCACGATAACGAAGGGGAACACCTTGGAATGGATGGCCTTTGCTCACCCCTACCTCCTCGCTCAGGTTCAAGCGGCATTGCTCTACATGTACGTGTACCGACAGGATCGCTCCGCTATCCAGGCGTTTTTGAACGAGACTGGAGGATCTCTTCAGACTCTCGAACTGATCACTTACGTGGATCGATACGAGAGGCGATGGTCAACGAGAGTTGGCTCTGAGGCGGCTATCCCTAGACGTCTGGTATGGATGCCTAAGGAAAGAAGGAACATGCCAATTCCACCCTTCGAACGACTCGATACCCCCTGGAGGTTGGGAGGCGTTGTTACCTCGAGTTTACCTTCTTCGAGAGAAGGGGATAGATCTTTCCGTTAACATTTCCCAGTCCTTACGAGATCGTCGCAGCGTGTTCTGAACATGCTACTCGTGGGTATCAAAAGTGATGGCAAACCCACGGTTTCTCTGCCACAATTGTGAATTTACAACCTTCATAGCTACTCACCAAGAGGTCAAATCTCGTTTAAATTTTGTACAGATGACCGCTTACTGGATCCGTATATCATACATGATTTTGAGATTACAACGTCCATTCATTGCTGAGCTTCTTTTCTCTCACTTTTGAGCTTTCGACACTAACTTCGTTCGTTCTCCTCTCTTTTTGGAACTACCTTACATTCACTACCCTGGAATAGATGAGTTACTTACTACATTCCTGAATGCGAGAGAGGTTGGAGAAATCTCTACTTATTGTCGAGATAATTTGATATTAGTGACTTGCCATCACTTTTGAGACCCATGAGTATAGGTAGAGCCCTGGCAGGTAGATATAGAAATGGAATGCAAATTGATGTCAGCTTCGCTCTCGACGAGAGAAGGGAGCCGACATTGACAACGATGTTTCCCAGACCGAGAAACATCATCGAAGTATGTTATGATTCAGACAAGCATTCAGTGAGCGAGAAGGTGAAAACATATCCATATGTTCTAGAGTAAGGCATACGTGTGGTCAACGGACCGTACGCAATCTGATTGATTACCACTGCCTTCCACGTGCAAGCAATTCTCCTAATTCCTCGAGCATCTGTCGTCCATACATATCTGGATCAGCGTGGTATCCAAAATTCCTCGCCTCGAAGTACGAATCTCCCTCGAGTCCACGCGCCTGGTGAGGCGGGCCATGTGCGGGTGGTTGACCTTGAGCGGGTGGCGCTGGGGGTGGTGGGGGAGGCCGAGGCTTCAAGTAGCTAGCAACACTGGAGGAAGCAAATCGAATTAGTCCAACATAACGACGAGACTTGATGATAAAAGACCTACGCTCCAGCTATGTTAACGGCGCCGCTAACACCACTGATAACATTGCCCCAGTCAATGGGCGTCTTCTTTCCTCCGGCTTGGGGAGTGCGTGCTTCGAGCTCGCCGTCCCGCTTGGAAAGGTATAATGGGCGCCGGTAGAAGGGCCCAACGGGCCTTGGCCTGTGCACGTATGGTGCCATGCGGTAGGGAGGACGTCCCGCAGGAGCGTTAGGCCTGCATCGAGACCGGACTCCAGGTCGTCCACCGCATGGAGCGCGAGGTGAAAGGTCCTCGGGAGCGGAAGACTCGATAAGGGGCGCCCCGAGGGCCGGGGCGAAGAGGAGAGTGGCGACGGCGAGGGATTTGGAGATTTGGACCATTTTTGGGGATGTTTGGAAGTTGTGGGAGATGGGTTTGATTGAGAGAGTTGTTTTGGGAGAAGGGGTGTGAGACCAGCTGGGGAATCAAGGCCAGTAATTGAGGGGTTTTTATACTGTCGTTGAGCGGTTGTGTGCTTGTTTCGGGAGTGTAAGATGTAGGACCCATCTCGTCTCCGTGAATGGAGAACGACTCACAATCTGTGCTCACTGCTCATCCGTCAGCCGTCCGTGTTCTCCCAACGAACAGCACACACACCGTGATTGAGAAAAGCCTGCATTTCCAACTTCACGAGCGTCCGGGATCCACATCCGCCAACCATCAATCGAAGCACGATTCCGACAGGTGCAATCGCGATCGCTTGACTATCGTCGACGAAAGGTCTCTGCTGTCGCGAAGCGGAGCAGTCTAAAAGGAGCACTTTCAGCACCAAAATCAGACGGACGATCAAGGGAGACACACAGACCTTGTCGACTGGACCTCTTAATGATTCGCGTTGCGTACGCATTGGATTAGGATGCCTTCGAACAAGTGATATCACGTATTGCTTCGTATCAGAGGATGGATGATATCGATAGAAAGTTGGGATCTGGTCGGACGATAGCTGGCAAGTAAACATGAGATTGCTTTCGTGAGGGGATAACCAGGTCGAGTGGACTCACCGATTGTTGTTGCTTGAAGGATGCGGGACTCCGGGATGTGACAGATGCGCCCAGGGTGGTGCGTACACCTTTATCACATCCCTATCCTGTCGGAGCAGCAAGGCGGTGAGCGCCAATACTAACGATCCAGGGGACCCGACCTGTAAGGTCTGTATTGACGCGATGAGAAAGCATCAGTAGGCGGATGGACTGGCTGTCGATGACGGTGGGTGATTGTTTCCACCTTGAGTCAGTCTGACGAGTGCTCGTGTTCCGTGAGGGAACCAGGTCCACGATGTTGTATCTTGTCTGAGGCGATACAGTGGCTTCCGGTGAGAACAGTGCGAGCGTGAAAGATTGCGCTGGGAGGAAGCAGGGCCGGACTTATTTACTCTTGCTTGTCAAAAGCTTCAGAAATGCCGAGCCCAGAGCCGAGTCCAGCCGCGAGTGTGCTGCTGGATTGACCGGATTTCCCGGCGTTCGCGTTGGGTTAATCATTCACGGTTAACGAAGCTAGACCATTATTCAATACAGTATGACTGCTGGTTTATTCCATGCCCAAGTTGAGACAAAGACGCGATCGTGAACATACACGCGATCGCGAAGGCATCGTGGTTAGGAGCTCGATTACCACTTTTGGTGAGCCGCCTGTCGAGTTGCCGAAGTCGTCCAGAGGAAACCATGACGGAAGAAATATGAGTCCGCTGGAAGGAAGAAAAGAGCGCTCTTCATAGTTCGGAGGCAAGGTAAACTCCTACAGCTCTATGCACCCGGTCTCATTCAATATACACAAGTGTTCGAGACTCTGGGAAGATTGGCCCTCCGACTGGCAATTTCCGAACTGGAAAGAGTCAACTGTCGCTTTGAGATGTTCCTTTGTCTCTCGACACCAAGATGTCCGACTGGCCAGGCAGGCCCAGCAAATTGGCGCCAGGAGAGAAGGACTTGGTAGGTTTCAGCGCTATCTCCAAGGTACGAATTTGACGTCTCTGCGTAGGATTCGATTCTGGAAGGATGTAGGACTGGGGATATCGACTGCTTGAAAGAAGCAGTGTTTACATGGCCTATAGAACGGGCAACAGAGCTTCTCGCGGCCATAGTTCCCCATCTCGACCTGCGAAAACTCCCCAAACGAGCAGCCTCGGACAAGAAAAGCGCCAGCGCCCAGATAGACACCATCCACCGCGCTCTCCTGTCCATCGAGGCGCTCGAACAGATAACAGATGGACCACCCGACTTCAAAGTCTCCATTTCCACACAGATCCTACCACACCTCGAGGAAGTTCTAGATTGGGCCTTCTTCATCACGCACAACACAAGCATGTACTGCACGACCACTGACATGGCGCGGGGACTCATCGTGCGGACAGTAGCATCGCTGGTGAACATCCTCAAAACGGACGACCGGTTGACGAAGGAGGCGTTGAGGACGGAGGCGCGGGGTTGGGTCATGTTGTCGTTTCTCCACCTCAAAGTGCCCAAGAAGACTTGGGACGATCCACCTGAACCGGTTTTCGTCGCGGACGATCTGAGGGGGTGTCTTCTCCTCCACTTGGCCTTTGTCCTGTTCTCTGGCGAAGAGCCGCAGCAGGTGCTTCACATCCCACGGTTCACACGGGATCTCATCGATATGCTCCTTCTACGGGTACCTCTTGTGGGCGCATCGGTCTCCGGAGCCAAGCTTGAAGACCTCGACTGGAGCACCGTCGCGTCCAACTATTGGGTTATCGTCTTTCTGCTGAAGCGGATCCAATCTGCACTGCCTCACATCGCGAACCCGATGCTAACGACGAAGGCCTTTCAGCAACTTATGGACACGACAGTCAAAGTGCTGGATCAAGGGATTCTCAGTGACCAGAAGAATAGGTTTGCCAGCGCGATTGGGACGCTTCGCCAAATGGCTTTGAGGCACGACCGGGTGCACGATGGCCTCCTTGGACTGATTAGGGGTGGATACTTCCAGGCTCTGATGATCGTTGGGCGGCACCCCACTGACATCTCGGCGAGGACAGAGTACTACTTCCAGACGGCCAGCACCTTCCCTCTGACGCCTTTGACGTTGAACCATATCTGGAATTTCGTCAAAGGGGAAGAGGCTGCACGAATTTCGGAGGCCGAGCCGAATCGATTCACTCCGTTGTGGACGAGGTTCTGCGACGAGATGACATCCCTTTCGGCTTCGCTAAGGGTTCTGAGAGTCAATTACGGCTATTGTGACTCCCCTCAGGTATGTGTCACGACTTTCGTTGTGGTTTTGGTAACTGAACTCGCATCCAGCACCCACACATCGATAATGTCAACCACCGAATTCGTCCACACTTCTGTTCTTCATGTCATACTGTGTCCTATTGCTCAAGGGGTTGCCAGAAGCATGACTGGAAAGCTCGTCACAGGGACGAGTGCGACGACGCCCGACATCTCTACCTCGGTACAATCCCTCAGGCTTCCCGCCCCCTCTCACCTAGTCTAACCTCCCCAACAGAACACAAAACGAACAAAACATGGATCTCCCGCTCCCTCAAACGGTTCTACTTCGCCTGCATCGAGATCAAATTCAACATCTACTGGCGCTCCCTCCAATCCTCTTTCACCCCTTCCCAACTCGAACTGATCTATCAGATAGAGCCTTGGGTCACCTTCTTCAACACTACGCTTTCATGGGCTTCAATCCAACGTTTCCCAGCAAAGAAGTATCCGTTTATTTTCCCGCATCTGGTGACGAAGCCCGAGTTCCTGGATCGTTTGGATTCGTTTCTGGAGCCGTTGGGTATTGGTGGGTACCAGGATGTGAGGGTTGCAGAAGGGAGGTTTACGGGACCGAAGGGTGTAGCGGTGTTGGTTATGGTGCGGATGCAGTTGGAGACAGTCGATCCTGGAGAGCAGGGGAGTTACTGGGTGACGAATGGGATAGTCAGGACTTGGTGAGTGCTTGTGTTTCTAGACAGCGATGTGAAGGGCAGATGGCTGATTTCCTTCATCCCTGCTCCCAGCGACGCCGCTGCCTTTGACGCGCAGTTCTTGAAGATGACATAGAGAGGCGTACGGAGAAGGGTGACCCGGTTTTCTGTTATTAGGGACTCACGGGACTGGCGTTCGACGCATGGTCAATGGTAGCCGGTAGAGCGCAGCGCTAGCTTTCTTGGATCTCGAGGCCCCTGTCCAGATTCAATCGGAGCTCCAACTCCAATGCCATCGGCCGACGGCCTTCCAGGGACCTGATCGGCTTCGACGACGGCAGCGGCGACTGGCCCCTCAAGCCCACTGCAACCGGAGCAGATGACGATGACCTGCTGGAAGTTTACATCCAGCTCGACTACAACTTGAAGCCTCTGAAACCACCGGAGCGCCCAATGTGCAAGATGCCAATGTCACGGTCGACGGTAACATCAACCCCAATGGCCAATGTCCACCACAGCAGTGAAATCGCCTCGGTCCTCTCTCTGTGCCCCAATCGCTGCTAACGATAGCCTTCTCCACACCACCAAGCCCGGAGAGATGCTATGGGTGCGCATGAACCTTATCTCTCTTCGAATTCTGAGTTGACCCAGGTTTGCAGGCTTGTTCCAAGACATGCCTGCGTTTCAGAAGGCCATCCGGAACCGTTTGCACGGCCTGGACTATGGCCTTTACCATCTGTCTCGAATTCGCCACTGTCTCTGTCAGCTGAAATAGGGGACTGGAGAGTTAAAGAGCCACGGCTCATCCCCGCCTGTCGATTGCAACCACTCCCGCGACCTACTCTCATCAGCCACGCAACAACTCATTCTCCGCTTACACGACGCCTGGCGCATCCTCGTCTATCATCTATAATCGCGAACTCTGTCTCTACGTCAGCCAATGTAGAAGACAGCTTTGGGACAGTCATCCCCACTAGATTTTCGCCTAGGTCAGCCTCTGCTTCTTCTATTTAAAAGGGTTGAGAGACCTGTACTGACTGGCTCTCATCCTTCCCGTGCCCCGCAGATTTTACACACACTGAAACTATTCACATTCGTCCGTTCTATATCATCGGCCGTTCTTTACTGAATCCTCTTCTTCGACTGTTTGACGATTTGCTGCATTTATTCTTTGCCGATTCATTTCTTTTGACATATTTTCTTTTTTTTTTCAATCCTACTTTTCCAATCCTCTCTTCAACTTCTTTCTCAAAATTGTCCCAATCCGATCGCGACCCTACCCTCGCCCTTCATGAATGGCTCTCACTCACGCGGCAACTTTGACGCACCATCGGTTGCGCACGATCACTGTGATAAAGGGCAGGTTAGCTTGGATGAGCATTCATTCCTGGAGTTGGAGGCGTCGTCGAAGGTGCGTGACCCTTCTCTATGACTCACGCAACCCTCGCCTTACCGCAATATCCAGGATCTAACCGAGTCATTGCCACCCGCATACGCCGAAGACCCAATCCACTTCCCCGACGACTCTCCTCTTTTCTTCTACCCCTTCATGGCCGGAGCGTCGCCCAACTCCCCAATCCCTCCCTCCGCAGCTCGGCTGCCCGCCATTCCCTACTTCGACGGCCCGCACCTCGATCTCCCAGATGACTGCGACGTTCTATCGCCCTCTCCAGCATCTACGCCCTGGATGAACGAAGAAAGCGGGTCCTTCAACCACTACGACGTATCCTTCAACAGTGATTCTACTACTTCAAGCGCGGATACGACTTTCGATATGTCGCAGGGCCCGTTCACGCCCTCGCATTCGAGGGCCGAATTTCCGAGTCCGTTCCCTACCCATCTCAATGCCCGGTTTCACGGTTCCGCGAAGAGAGGTCTTGGTCTCGGGATCATGCATGCTGCGAAGAAGGAAGGATTCGGGCAGTTTCCGGAACTTGAAACCCTCTCGATTCAGTCTAGCGACGAGTCGTACTCTAGGTTCAGTGAAGGGATCAGCGGGGCTGACAATATGACAATGATGTCGCCGGCTTCCTCTGCTCACGGCACCTTCGGACCTGCTATCCCGGAACGATTTTTCTATCCTATCGAAGGTGGAGGGGAGGAAGAGGAGGATGTAGCGGATTCCTCGCTTCTGACTGCACTGTTCCACGAGCCATTGTTGAGCCTGGGCACGAACGAGGATGGAGGATACGGCCGTGCGCTCAGTTCTATCCCCGAGTGCGATTCGTGGTATGAGATCGACGAGGCTCGGGTGGCGGATATGGAGGTTTTGCCTCTCATATCTTCGTCTGACGAGGGTGGCATTGACGATGGTGCGTCGTTTTCTGCCTACTGCTTCACTCTTGACGACGCTCATGATTTACTGACCCCAACCCAACAGAACCCTCCTCCACGTCGTCGTCATCCACCTCGGCCAAACGCTCTAAGAAGTTCCCTGGTGACCTAAAGCGTACATCCTCGCTCCCCAAGTCGGCGTCTCACCGGTTCTTGATGTCGGCTCGGCATGCGTTTAGCTCGAAAGCCAGGTCTGCGCCTACTAGTCCCAAGTCCTCGACCTCGAATCTTGGTGTTTTCGAAGGTGCTCAAGGGAGGGTGTGATCGACCGTGAGTCCGTCGGCCAGCCGTGTATGTTTTGGTCTTTCGATATTTTGGATAGCAGCGGGGCGAGGAGTATTCAGCGATGCGTAGATGTACTGGATGTCAAGTAATTAACAACGGCATACATGTGTTTGAACCCACCCGCGAACGTGTGTCTCCTAGAAATCCCTTCGATCGATTGCTTAGACGCCAGTGCGCTGCTGATTGAGCGCCTCCCGCCCTCATGCATCATGTTCGGCAACTTCCGCCACCATCAAACACGCTAAACAACACCTAATTTGCAATTTCGTTTCTTTCGTCTCCACCAGATTCACGATGCTCCTGCCACGTTGCAACCTCTGCGCAACCACTGAAACCCAAAGCCCCAGTCTACGACGATGCACTGGCTGCAGGATCGTCCGATACTGCAGTACCGAACACCAGACAGCCGACTGGCCATCGCACAAGTCGACATGTAATGAAATCAAGAAGAGTCGCAAGAGGATGGAGGTCGAGGAGGAAAAGTTGCGGAACACGCAAGGAGATGGTCTCTTCACCCCTGAAAACCCGTTTGAAACCGCTGTCGGTCATTTTTGGGGCATTTGGTGGGTCCTTGTCTCATCAGGCGCGCGTCCAAGTCTTGGAGAGCAGAAACCTGATCATAAACGATCATTTACAGGGATACCAGACCCTACATGCGAGCGAGGATTGACTTTGTCCTCAAGTACCTCAAAGTACCCACACTGGACTCTGTCCAGAGCGGACTCGACGACCTTCTCGACATGCTCCGTCTCTGTCGAGGCGATAACTTGGGTGTCCGGGATATCGTTCCGGGGCTTTACATCCGCCTCCAACGCGACCAGACCTGCTACGACTTCTTGAAGTGGTATGCCACTGAGGGTGAGCGCGGCGACTACGACTGGGGCGATATGTCCCTCCCGTATCTGAATCTCAAGGACGAGGATGTGATGGAGGACCCTGTGGGGCTGTTCAAACCTCAGTGGCATGCCTCTCATGTCGTTCCGGTGCTCTTGATCAAACTCAGGATGCTCCTCGACCTCAAAGACCTCGTCGCATCCAAGGTCCTTGAGAGCCTCACCCTCCCCTCCGAGAAAGGGCCGGAGCCAAAACTCAACTTCGACGTCCTTCAAGAGATTCGCCGCGAGATCGCGACGAGGAGTGGGGTGTGGTCGAGCCGACCTCAACTGCTCGAACCCAAAGATCTGGAGAAGAGGGTGGAGACGCTCGAGAAACAGGTGCAGTGGCTGTTCACGGAGATTCATGGGGCGAATAAGTTCCTTTGGAAAGGGATGTTGGACTATGAGGAGTGGTTGAAGATTACGCCTGGACCTTATTCGCACGGGACGAAGTCGGAGGCGTTGCTTCTGGTTCATAACAACGTATGGTCGTGGATCGAGACGGAAGGGGCTATGGAGTGGTTGAAGCAACAGGTCGCGCAGCTCAGGTGATTGGATATGTTTTATAGTGTACATTACACGTCCTGGACCTTTCTCGTTGTACGGTATACCTATGTTTTGAATCGTAATTTTACCCCACAATTGCTCAGTTGGCTTGGCATCACGGTCGATACTGATTGACGCCCAAGGCCGCAATCTGGGCCAGCTCAATCTACGCGTTGACGGGCGCCAGTCGGAAGTGTACGTTGGCCTATGCTCACTGTGCGTGTGCTTTTTAGGCCCATACTAGGTGAATCAGATCCATGGTCACGTACTCATTGCTTTTTTTCAGCTACACTGCGCCAGATAGATCCCAATACCTTGCATGGAGCTACTTCAATTTGCTAGCTGGAGAATCCATGGTAGTTCACGAGTAGTACATCCATATACGAAATATCTTACAGCCAACGGGTGAAATCCGCCTATACAACAGCCTCTTTTTCATCTCTTCTAACTTCAACAATTCCAAGTTCCGATTGCTCGTCCGACCTCGATGCCTCTGAATCTTGCAGTCCATCTCCACCTCCACCCCCGAGACCCACAGTGCCCATCTCATTCCAGGTCGTATTCTGCCCCCTCCTCGAGGCCTGGGTGTTTTTGAATTTGAGGTCGGATACCACGGCAGTCGAGCCTCCGGGCCCGATATAGTTTGCTTTGAATTGGCGACGTGTGTCGAGGAGGAGGCGGTTTGCGAGGATCGCGTGCATTGCCCTTTGCAATCTGTCCAACAAGAGGTAAGGATGTGTGAGTCTTTCTGGGATGGCTGAATGGGTCTTACAGGTGCAGTGGTCCGATCTGCAGTGTAGTTTTTGTCAGATTCTGAGCTGAACTGAATGAAAATGAATGTCGCTCACCCCTATCGCAGAATTATGTGTTGAGAGGTTGACAATGGTACACGCTGGCCCATCATGTTATGAGTGCTGTACCATGCAAAAAGAGACAAAACGCCTACTCAGCAGTCCAATGTAGTACATCGTTCCATCTCGATAAAGCACGTTGGTCAATCGACTTTTCGTCCTCCAGTACTTCCTGATACCCACGACGACGGCGATGCTGGTCGCGACTGTGGTTGGGCGCTTATATCAAATCATGTTCTGGGGCGAAGTAGAGATGCCAATGATTAGGTTACTTACTAGATTCGCCTACGAGTAAGATTAGATACCCTCGGGCCAGGAAGTGAGCCCTGTCTGCGGGTGAGTATATAGTGTAGCACCGCTTCAGTGGCCATGGTGGCGGGACGCCTTTGAGAAAGATTAGACATGGGTCAGAGTACCACAGCGGAAGAGGAAAATCAACTGTACCTCGCACACCATCCAACGCTAAACCAGTGAAGACAGCGATTACGACTGCATGGGCCTGTGATGTTGTTAGAGCTTCACCTCATCAATGTACATTTAAGCTGCTTGTTCGACACACTGCAAATATGGACCAGATGATCGTGGATGATCTCTTCGTGACGCCCACTAGGGCGCTTAGCGAGCTGACCAATATGGCTGATCGAGTCCGTCAGCGCACTGAGCGCCTGTGAAAGGTATGAAGATCAAGCTTACCTTCGCAGGTTGTGATACCCAGAATGGTGGAGACTGAAGTGATTTTGTAAGTAGCTATTAATGAGCGAGGGCTAGGATTCACCTAGCGCAATCCCCTGTAGAATCCGACATATCTGCAAAGGTCGATGTAACCTCAGCGGCGCCCAAGGTATCCAATTCAGTGTTGTACAAACCGATGGATGATTAACGAGTTCCGGGATATTCACTGTTCCAGAAGGTGTATATTAACCAAGAATTCGGAAGGTGAAGTTGAATCAAAGACTCACTCGAAAGGAAGAAAGTGAGGTCGATAAAGGGCGTGTACCGTGCTACGATAAATAGCACTTTTCCCAGGGATAACCGGGATCTCCAAATCATGGTGACCTTGAATAGCCCCAGTTAGCACACCCTGATCATGGGTGATGAAGTCGGCGAACCTCATCGTGAACGGTCTGCAGATAGTCGTATAACTGGAATCCGAACATTAGCGAGCTGAGATTTGGACCTCGAATCTGGATCCGTACAAAGACAGACACTCCTGCGACTTCTTTCAGGTTAAGTCATCTCGTCTTATATCGGAGTGGCGGAGGCTACGAACAATCGATACACTATAATCCATTCGTCAGTTTTGGGAATGAAATTAGTTTGAGACTCCTCACCGTTTTCACGAAGAATAATGACGACACCTCCAGTCCAAATTCGTAGATAGAGTCCGCATCCGGAAGTGCCATCCCGTCCAGATGTCAAAGGAGATGACTGGGCGCTTGTTCTCCACGTGTTGGAACTTCCAGGGGCGGCGGAGCTCTGAGCTCACCTACGCGTCTCTCTCGTCGTACTTCTGGGGATGCAGGGAAGATGGAACCTTGTAATGCTTCCATGTACACACCTCTATATACATTCTAATAGCGCTTCTCCAGGATCAAGCCTGGAATTTTGTCATCACCGGGATTAGTCAAAAAAGAAGACAAAAGTTGGCGCGTCCTTCCCATGTACATTGCTGTAACGCGTGGTTCATGGAGGCACGGGTTTCTCGGAACTGAGATAGGAAGGGGGCTGGCTGTTATCCATGTGTTTCAGGATTCTCATCACTTCGTTGATGAAGCTGGCTGAGGGCTATCACGGTACTGGGATGTCGCAAATGATGGCATTATTGAGAATAGAATTTGTCCTAAAGATATACAGACCTCTAGTCTGTGTCTAGCTAGTCAAGATTCGGAGCTCGAACCGTCTCCGTGATGAGATTGAGGTGGCGCTGGAGTTGGTCGCCTTCCTCCGACTCGGCGGGATATCCAAAAACCAGCCTAGTATCTTTGACGAAATGCAAAGGAGAAGGATGGTCGTCGATGAAGAAGTTAAGATCGCCGTAGGCAAAGTGCAAAGCTGGCCACAGCCAAGAGGGACATGATGGGCGCGTTGCATGCCCCTATTCCGGTGCCTAGCTTCCTTTGGAAGTTCACTCTCTTCACTCCCTTTATATCTTAACTCTACGTGAGCTTCAAATGCTACGTGACCTTGAAAGCATGCTAATCATCAGGTTGCAATGCAAAGCGTGCGTCTCCCTCAGAAGTCGGGAACTGAGGATCGGCAAATTGCGCTGTCATTAATATATTCGACCCCATGCCAGTCGAACGCGCTGCCCCATCAACCCCACCTTTTCTTCGTTTTTCATCATGCTGCATCCTCGCTGCCACCTCTGCGCCGCCACAAAAATTGAAGCGCAAACAAAACTGCGTCGGTGCACGGGCTGCAGAGTAGTTCGTTACTGCAGTACAGAGCACCAACATGCCGACTGGTCAGATCACAAGGCGCTTTGCAAACTGATTGGGAAAAGCCACCAAAAGCTGGTGGAGGAGGACGCCAAAGTGCGAAACGAGCCTGGACACTGGACTCGACCACTCGATGCGGCAAGGCCTTTTGAAACTGTTGTTGGGCGTTTCTGGAGTTACTTGTACGTTGCACCATCCGAGACTGGCTGAAGCGAGGTTAACAATTCGCGCTCACGCTCAGAAATACCCGCGACTATATGAGAGCCAGGATGACCTATGTCATCGACATTCTCAAAGTGAATACCTTGGACTCAGTGCGAACCGCACTCGACGACCTACTCGACATGCTGCGGCTTTCCCGAAGTGACGGGATTGGTGCTCGCGAAATTGTCCCCGCACTTTACATCCGCCTCAACCGCGACCAAGCGAGCTACGATTTCATCAAGTGGTATGCCACCATAGGCTTTGGAGAAGGATACGACTGGGATAATGTCTCGTTGCCTTTCTTGGACTTAAGGGACGAGGACATTTTGGAAAGCCCTTCGGTGGTCATCAAATCTCTTCCCGGAGAGTGATCCCTCGCGGTCCCTCTGCTTCTAATCAAGGTCCGAGTTCTGCTCGACCTCCGAGACATACAGGACTCGAAGTTCCTGGACACCGCTACAACTGGACGGAAGCTCGACTTCGACATCTTGCAATACATCCGTTCCACGATCGCCATAAGGAGCGGGGTATGGTCCAGTCGTCGCCAGCTTTTGGACGCGGTAGCAGCAAAGGAGAGGGTGAACAAACTCGAGAAGCGGGCCTCGCAGCTTTTGGTTGATATTCATCGGGAAAACCAGCTGCTCTGGAGGGGATTGTTGGAGCACGAACGATGGCTGAGAACTCCTTTCGATGAATCCAGGATCCGTACGCATGGAAAAGAGGCGGAGATGCACTCCCTCGTTCTGTCCAATGCAAGGGCATGGGTAGAGACGGATGGGGCCTTGGCGTGGTTGAATCACGAACTGGCGGTTCGTAAAGTGTCATGTCCACATTCCCGATGAACATGGCTGTGTTTGGGTTGCGACGAGAGATAGACGGTACCTGATCAGAGTTAGACACAAGTCGTTGTAATTCTATTTTGTAGGGGCTCTTTCGTTACCCGCTTATCAACAACCAGCATCCATGCCAATTTTCGAGCACGGGCGCCCCATTCGACATAGACGCCAATTCTGACCCAATGACGGCGATCAGGATATGTGATCCGCTTAGTCATGTCGTCCTGAAAATGGCGTTCCCTGTCTCGTCAGAAATCGAATCTCTCCTTCCACACAAGAGCTCGAGCATTACAGCAATACGTTCGGCATGATGTTGTCTACTTTGTAATCTTTTGCATTGTCGAAGTGGATTGCCTGGCTGCATCAGGCTAAATTACGCTCCCAAACTGGCGACGCACCTCTCTATTTCCATCCAATTAAACGTTCACCGGACACTAATGGTACCCATCTCGCATCCCTTCGAATTCTCTGGCGACACGAGATACGGAAGGCGACAATCTATCACCCCATCAGGGGCGACTAAAACCAATTAGTTGCGTTACGTTGCTCTATTGCTCTTCTTTCGGCGGCTCACAAGAGGCTTTATGTGATTCAATGAATTAACGGATAATACGAACGCCATCCTTCTATCCTTCTCGAGTGCCTCTCAAACCCCTGGACGATATGCAGATTCATATTTCGCTCGTGCAGGAGTGGAATGTCCTTTTTTTTCTCTTTACGAATCCACCAACTCGTTTCTCTATCGTCTGTGCCCACCTCCCAGTCGTTCTTTTTCAGTCGGTTGATGTCAACCCGCAACGCCATTTTTGACAGCTCCAAATATGTATCCTCGACAGTTCTCATACCCACTCCGACTTCAATCATTCGTTCCTTCTTTCACCGTCGGATTACCCAGCGTTCTCCTCACCCGCCGATAACCACGTTCGAGCCCGATGCCACTGGCAGCATCTACTCCAATGATCCCACCCCTCCTGCGTCCTACCCAAGTATAGCCCCGTCTGCTGGGGGCTCGACTTCGATACCGGCTACCAACACATCTATCCCCGAACCTAGTGGAAGCGACCAGTCGAGTGAAAGTCCGCTTTCGACCCTGCAGATCACCACCGTGGTCCAGTCCTCTGGCTCGCAAACATTTACGCTCATTATCCCATTCCCATCAACCCCGGCCAGTATGTCCACTCCTTCATCTAGCGGCGGGTCCGCCTCACAAGAACCAACGATAATATCTGGGAGTGGGGTAGGGGATGATGGAGGTGTAGTACTACCCTCGGGGAGCAGTTCAGTAGAAGGATCTGAATCGCTCACATCTCCGTCATCATCATTGTCACCGTCTGTCTCGCCTTCGAGTTTAACCGGCTTCTCTAGCTCGGCTTTCTCAACTCTTCGCCCTGCCAGCTCTGCATCGATCTCACCAGGCAGTGGTGACGATGATGGGGGTTTAGAGCCTGGAGAGGACGAGTCGGACGACATTGGAGCACCAGTACGAACCACAAACCCTGGCGTAGTCGCTGGTGCTATCGTCGGAGGTGCGTCCTGTTTTTTTCTCTCTATACTCGCATGTGAACCTCCCTTCAGGTGTCATTAGCCTGTACCTCCTTTTCTTCCTCTTCGTCTTCATATGGAGGCGTCGCAAACGTCGTCGAGAAGGCACCTCAAGCCTGAGGAACAGTATGACGGAACTAGACCGCGACATGCACTTCCCAGGATCAATCTATTACCCTCCGCAGGGCGGAACGTCGAGGAGTAGACTGAATGTGAACGTTCACGTTGAGGTGGACGATGACAGACATCGACCATTCGGGAGGTTTCCGAGGGACTGGGATGAGTGGCTCGGGTCGAGGGAGAGCGTCAACTCGGAACCGCTGCCAGCTTATCACCCGAGATAACGCTGTCTGCCGGGGACCTGGAGCGATGGGAACACTTGAATTAGGCTGGCCTATTAAACTTTCGGATTCAAGGGACGATGCGGATTTCTTTCGTGTTTGGAGGACTCGCCCGTACATTACTACCTAGACCCAATTAACAAACAAGAATTAGTAATTGTAATATCAGATCAGTTTTTTCTATCTCCCAGATCTATGCTAACCAATGTCCTGCGGACGACGGGGAAGGACTGGGTTCATTCTCCTCGATGTGTTTGGGCTGATGTCTATCAGTATCCAACTTTTGGATCACTTCCAGTTCAAAGCCATCGATCGATGGCCTACTGGAATCCTTGGAATGGGTAGTGGGGTAATTGAATACGCTGGTGAAGACATGGTGACTCGTAAGTGTCGATGGGTGCTCGTATTCCGTTTCGAGGTTTTCGGTCGACGGGTGGAAGAAACCACGCCGTCGCAAACGACGTTGAGCGTTCTGCTGCCTGAGAATCACGAAGACAACTCTGTTACAGAGGACGGACTCGGCCACACGCTGCGGACTATAATTGTGACAAATAGGTGAGGGACTGAGAGTCAATGGAAAATGTGTAAGGCGTACCGGACAAAGAGGCCAGCGTACACCGGCGAGGTCGTGAAGGGAAAGATAACGTTGAGAAGGCTGAATACTGTGGAGGCGTTGGTACATATATTAATCGGAAGAAGAACGCTCGGAGAGTGACATACGGAGTACGCAGATGGAGTAAAGGATCCCGTTCTTGTAGAGCTGGGAAACCCAAGATGAGTTGGACCGTCGAACTTGGGAAGGTGGCCATCACTGATCAGCTCCAGGGGAGGCTAGAGTGGAAATCAAACCTGCTTACTGTGTTGGCACGCTTTGACGAGCGTGAGCCCTATGGTCACTGGGAATAGGATGAGCATCCTTGGTTGGACACTCGAGCGCTGAGAGAAGAGAAACGTACCAGCCTCCGAGAGGAAAACGACAAGGTAAACATAGCGAGGATAATGTGTCTGGGCTGTGCCGACGCATCTTCCGTATGGTTCTTTCACGCTCCCTGGTGGTCCTGATGAGTCCTAGCACTGCTTAGCCATACTCGCTCTAGCTCACTTACACTCCATACGACTCAGATGAATGTAATTCAACACGATCGAAATCACCACCTTAGCCTGTGGGAGGGATATGTTAAAGGAGACATTCTAAGCTGGACTCTCGAAGAGTCACTCACCACTAGGAGGAAAAATAATGGGATTGCAACTTTGCGTTTGTTTCCCCAGATGGCGCAAGTTTGAAGATATATGATTGCTTCATACTCTTCGTCAGTTTCTTGTCGGGGTGCAGCCAACTTCCTTACTGTAGACTACATTTCCTCCAATGGTGGTTAACGCTGTGTTTTCATGGTCAGTAGCGCGGTTAGGCTGCGAGTAAAACGTCCATTTACTACCTATCCCGGCCCGAAGGAGTCTGGCACATTCCTAGCTTCCCCGCCGCTACTGAGAACTCGCGGACCATAGCTTGAGGAAAGGATGCGACGCACTGCGGTTGTTCTGTTGCGGCCTAGGTTGACTGTGAATGGAGAAGATCGGTGTCAGAGCCCAGTCGAAAGGATGGTAAAAGGTAGTACAAGAAAGTAGTACTGATTGGTCGGCGAAGACGCCGTATCTGTTGATGTAAAAGAGGGGAAGTGCAAAGGACCATGGGCTTGACCAAACGTATGAAACCTGAAATGAGGCGAGAGTGAGCAGGGAAGAAGAAGAGCGAACTTGAAGTTAATCAACTTGAAGATACCGACCTCGCGACCGAGGGTAATGAAGTAGTCGTAAACCTGTTGGATCTTGGATGAGTTACCTCAAACTTGAATGAAAGCGCCGAGAGAGTCTGACAAGAACTGTATAACAGGCGAAAGCGATGATGTTCGATGCTATTGTGCCCAAAGGCATCTATTTCCCTGTTTGGAACAAGTTGGACGGGTGTTGAAACACGAGCGGCGCTATAGCCTTTTGGTCGATTAGAGAAAGGAAAAGACAGGAAGACGTGAGGAAAGGAATGTGAGGTATTTAAAACGATGAAACGGCCTGATAATAATGGGTGGGATGAAACAGGAAGTGAAAGTATGGGGACTTGCTGGCAAACGAGGCCGGATGCTCGGCAACGACACGGCGGTCTGAGCGCTGTTTTCTACGTACAAGCTTTTCACATCGAAGCGGAAGCGACAAAGGTGAGAACACCCTGGTCTTTTAGAAATGCTAATCATGCAATCTGCGGACCTCTGCGCCGTTCTAAAAGCATCAATAGGAGTGGAGCAGGCTCGTGCAGGGGAAGTATATAAGTATGAACAAGGGTCGAATGCAGGGGAAGATGCCGGCCCCACCTGTCCCTTGGAAACACTACTTACGATCGCGAAGTAGTCGGGATGCCGTTACCTTTCCCCTTGCGTGTTGGGCGCTATTCTCGTCTTGGAGCGTCTAAATATAAGCTACTCGACGCCCGCCGAACTTCAAATTAAGTATGTAGGACCTTCCTCGGCTGCCTAGACTTGAGAAAAAAGGCCGACTTTTACTATGCTAACAACACATACCTTGGGAACGTATCTACAACTTGAAGCAACTCACCTTTTTTTCCTGTAGTCAAATTAAATTACTAGTCGATTGCGACCGGGTCCCGGGTCCCCTCCATCGTCGGCTGGCATCGCGTCTGGACTAGAACTTGCGGTTAAGTGTAAAACCCTTGACGGGAAGGTGACATGGTGTATGCAATGTGGCGTGAGCATGTGGGCCTGGGGATGTGGGCGCCTATGTGTTGAAAGATAGCCTTTGCTGCCTCGAGGCAAATGGTGGGTGGTCGCTGGGATAGACCCAAGGCAATTCACAACACTTCAGAGCCATTCCGTCGACGGGCGTTAGTAAGGTCAATTAAAGTCCATGAAATACTAAGTATACAATAGATCAGTAATATGGAACAATCGCGCTCAGCAAGCCTGCAAGTTGCAAGCAGTGTGATCCAAGTTTCCATCGCGCTTCTCGTTACGGCCACCCATTATTGGATTCAACCTAGAGCGGCCTGATTACATATTACCACCTCCTCTTAATCCTCTCTCCGTCCACAATCATGGTCTAGAACTTGCATCTCCCACTCCACCGAGCTCCTCGTGCTACGATTCGACACAATCTCGCCCTGTTTCCTCCTCGCCGTATCCGCTATAGGTGGGCCAGATAATCCGACTGTCGCTGGGACTGTTCTAGTCCCAGTACCCACAAAACCAAATGCGCTCGTGAATATGTCGCGTGGACCGGACAAGGTGGAAAAGAGGCTTCCCGTACTACCACCATTGTAATAGTAGAAGTTGTCGTCGTGGAAGGAGGTCGAGTAGCGCCGCCGTTGCTGTTTGAGGATGACGAAGACGATTCGGCTGCATAGGACTGATTCCATTACGCGCTGAGGGCTGCGGTGAACGAGGGATGCGCGAGTGAGGGTGTGATTCGTGAACGAACGAAGGTGGGAGGACTCACCGAACGAAGATCCCGGAATGCACGGGAGACACAAAGGGCATCACGGCGTTTAGAATGCTGAGGACTGTAAGGCTGCTATGAGGATGGATTGCTAAGATATAAGGAGGGGGACGTACGCAGGACACAGACAGAGTAGAGGATTCCGTTCTTGTAAAGCTGGTGCACCCATGACGATCCCGACTGGCGAACTAACGGAAGCCTTGTTCAGTTGTCTGAATTCAAGACTTATATGCGCGACGGAAATGGCTGACCATGTTCAAAGGCCTTGACTAACGTCAGGCCAATAGTAACTGCAAAGAGATTCGCCGGGCTGAGGGCGGAAGTTGGGCGATGGAAATTGTTGAGCACTCACAAGTTTCTGAGATGAACACTGAGAGGTAGATGTATCTGGGATATTTCGTCCGAGCTATTCCCTTGCACTTCCCCACCGGCTCTGGATCCGTGTCCCCTGAAACCAGTGGATTAGCTAAGATGCAACAGCCAGACTTGTAGAAAATTACCCACATATTATCGCCTCGAGGTGCAAGTGGATGAGCACGATGGAGACGAGGACCTTGCCCTTGGGACATGCTCTTTAGTCGGGCATCCGTGTAGGCAAGACTCGTAGAGGCGTACTATGAGGACGAACAACAAGGGAATGACAATACATCGTTTCCTTCTCCATATTGCGCAGGTTTGGAGATAGGTTATTGCTGTCGTCGCTTGAGTTGCATCTGGAGCCCATAATAGGGGGGATAACTACTTACTGTACGCAATGTTTCCACCCATCGTCACAAGCCCTGGCATCGTCTCATTAGGACCTTCTAGACTGCCGAGAAAAGAACCTCACAGGTTCCAGATTTCAGTAAATGCTTGCATAGCTGCGTAATGCGGTCAGTGTCGGACAGATCGGCATAGTGGATAGATGACGGACCTCCGCGTTCGCGTCCCGTTTATGATAGTCTGGCTATAAGTATCTTGACTCCAACATACGAAAAGGAACTCACGGTAGAGTAGTAAGGACTGGTCAATGAAGGGAATGTATCTGTTGAGGTAGAAAAGGGGTAGAGCCGGCGACCATGAACTGGACCAGATGTAAGAGACCTGTAAGGTGAATCTATCCTCTGCGTCACATCTTGCGAGTTACGTGGTTAGAAAGTACCTCGTCATTCAGTGTAGTCAGGTAGTCATAAATCTATGGAGCGATAATTAAGCACCACGTCGGATTTTGTAAGGGAGTTAAGGTGCTGACCAAAACCGTGTATGCTGCAATTGGCACCAAATTCGAAGCTGTCGCCGCCATCTTCAGTCTCCGGGTTCAAATTGCCAAGTGGTGACGCCAGTTTGGTTGACCGAGAGTCCAGAGTCGAGGAGACCCGGAAAATAAAGAGAGAAATGAATGTGAAGGAGATTCAAGATGGGCGAAGAAGGAAAATGTGTGCTGGCATCGAGCTAAACGAGAGGCGCTCTGAGTCAATGACGCTGTAGGTACTGACTAGGCAATGCCACCGCGATGTGCGGGGTAACGGTGAGAAGATGCGTGTATGTAGTTCGCCTCATTGGCCTGAGGCGTCCAGGTTTAGACACCGATTTGCCCCATGATGATTGCCGATATCGCTTCGTCTTGAACTCCAATAACGTCGCATCCGAGCGCCGACGACCGCCCAAGCCTGAGAAGAGGCCATGACAGGTTTTTATTTGGCCAATACCATCTCTTGGAAACACGACGAAGGCTGACGAAGGTCATTCAGAGAGACGACAACGAGCGGCTTACAACGTAAGAAGATGGAGTCAATGAATGATCATGAGAGTGCGGTTGGAGCACTCGATGGTGAAAGATTGATGGTGGCAGCGCGCCTCGTTCGGTAGGACGCCCACAGGTCATAGATCGCGTCTTGCAATTCTCTTGGGCAAACAACCTGTCGTCAAGGAATGAAAGGTCCTCGTGACCCTGACCGTTTCCTAAACGAGAAGATGAGCGCTGTTCTTCTGAAATCGATGTCGAAGTTTCCGCCGGCTGTAGACCCAACTGTGGATCATCTGGCATCACGTCCTCTCTTGTCCCCGAGGTTCACAACAAGGTAAGGTTGCATCCTTGACTTATGGGGATCGATAGAAGACAAGTTTTCTCCGCATACCCCAGGTCAAGACTTCCCCCACACTGTTCAGTGTTCACGAGGCCCTTCCAAGTCGGAACGGTACGTCAAGGCGGCTCAAAGTTAAGCGCCAGGAAGCGCTCGGCATGACTTCGGCACCAGAGCCAAGGCGGATTTCCCCACGCTGGGTTTGACATCATCCGTTTGGGTATAGGTGGAACATGGTTTATGCATGGAGCCACTCACCGACAAAAAGCTCTGGCTTAAGTTGGGACGATGGCTGAGCTTCTACTTTCTTCCTTCAACTCCCATCTGCACCAGAGCTTGTGTCCACCGCTGTCGTCTGCGCTGGCCAATTTCTCGCCTTTCACCGGAATTTCCTCAGCCTAGATAACAACGACGATGAAGCCTACTCTGAGACTTCGGAACGCCTCTTTGGCAGCGGCCCACAAGGCTCTGAAGCCCTCAGCAGCGCTCCTAGAGCGTGTTCGACGACCCGCGTTTTTGAACAAGCTCGCGAAACCGGAGGATCTCGCACCTTTGTTCAGGGTGAGTTGAGTTATCGACAACCAGTTGGGACAATACTGACCACCTCGCTATCAGAACGATGACTATGTGAGTGCTGCGCATTGTGTTTTCGTCTTCACAGTGGGTTGACGACGGCGTAGATTGGCTGGTCAGGTTTCACAGGCGTCGGATATCCCAAGATGACGCCCACGGTGAGTTCTTTTTGCCGTTTTGCGACCACCAGCTGCTCACTGATTCACAGGCCATCGCCGACCACATCGAAGCCAACAACCTCCAAGCCGACCCTCAAACCAAGAAGAGGTTCAACCTGTTCGTCGGTGCCAGCTGCGGTCCTGAAGTTGAGGACAGATGGGCCCGCCTCGACATGTGAGTTCCAACGCCCATCCTTCCCTCGCCGTTCTGACATCCATCTAGGATCGCCCGCCGTTATCCTCATCAAGTCGGGAAAGATATTGCGAAGGGAATCAACGCAGGTCGGATCGCTTTTGCTGATAAGCACCTTTCCAGTGAGTCATGACATCGCGCACGCCCCGACGCACGCTGAAAGGCGGTCTGCAGTGTTCCCTCAGGATCTCGTCTACGGTTACTACTCTCTTAACAAGAAGCACGGCGACCCAACCAAACCTCTCGACTGGGCCATCGTCGAAGCCACTGCTATCACTGAGGAAGGTCATATCGTCCCTGGCGCCTCGGTTGGCGCAACGCCTGAAATCCTTCAATGCGCTGAGAAGATCATCGTCGAGGTCAACACCCGCACGCCCAACCTTGAAGGCTTGCACGATATCAACCAGTCATTCGTTCCTCCCAATCGACTGCCATATGTCCGTTTTTCCTTCTTTATCATCTCCAAGCAACGATGAGCTCACACACGTACAGCTCATCACCGAACCCAAAGATCGAATTGGCGTAACAGCCATCCCTGTCGACCCAGATCGTATCATCGCTGTTGTCGAGTCCGACAGACCAGACAACACCGGCCCCAACGCCCCAGAGGTACGTCGTGTCTCTGTTGAATACCTGTCGCAGCTAACCCGGTCCACAGACGGACGAATCTCGGGCCATCGCGGCACACCTTATCGAATTCCTCTCAGACGAAGTCAAGGCGGGCCGCCTTCCCAAGTCACTGTTGCCCCTGCAATCCGGAATCGGCAACGTCGCCAACTCAATCATCGGCGGTCTCGCTGATGGTCCCTTCGACCAAGTGCAGGTCTGGACTGAAGTGTTGCAAGATACCTTCATCCGATTCTTCGACTCTGGCAAGCTCTCCTTCGCCACTGCTACCAGCATCCGATTCTCGCCCGAGGGCTTTGATCACTTCTATTCCAGTACGTGGCGATCTCGCTCATTACCAAATAGGCAGCTTACAGTTCACTTGTAGACTGGGCCAACTACAAGGATCGTCTGCTTCTTCGATCCCAGCAGGTCGCCAACTCTCCCGAGATCATCCGTCGCCTGGGTGTTATCGCCATGAACACTCCTCTCGAAGTCGACATTGTGGGTCGATTTCTACGTTCACCTCATTTCCTTGGCTAACTTCTCAACCCACTCCAGTACGCCCATGCCAACTCCACCAACGCTCTTGGCTCAAGAATGTTGAACGGCCTCGGTGGTTCCGCGGATTTCCTGCGAAACGCCAAACTCTCGATCATGCACACTCCCTCTGCTCGCCCTACCAAATCTGATCCTACCGGTATCAGCTGCATCGTTCCCTTCGCTTCGCATATTGACCAAACCGGTACGTAGTTCCCTTATTGTGACGTGTTCGCCTACTCATCTCCCCGCAGAGCACGACTTGGACGTGATTGTGACTGAGCAGGGTCTTGCTGATCTCCGTGGCTTGTCACCAAGAGAGAGGGCCCCCGTCATCATCGAGAAGTGCGCTCATCCTGATTACAAGGACATGCTCAAGGACGTGAGTAGATTCCCTTCGTCGTATGCTTCCCATGTAGCTGATTGGACCCTGCGTTGCAGTACTACGACCGAGCTTTGTTCGAGTGCTTGAAGCGAGGTGCCGGTCACGAGCCCCACATGCTCAGGGTGAGTGTTCTTCCTTCTTATTCCGCGGATCGGATGTCTGATTCGGTTTGCTCGTGGCCAGAATGCTTTCAAGTTCCACACCAACCTGATGGAGAAGGACTCCATGAAGGTCGATAAGTGGGATTAAAACAAGATGGGAGAATGATATTATCTTAGACGATTGTTGTATAATACATGTAATGCTAGAGGTGAAATCGTCGTACATTATTCACTCCACTATACGAGGTCGCGAAGGTCTGATCCTGGCAAAGTACTAAGTCAACTTCACAGTTTGAACCGGGAAGTGTAGCTTTTGTCGTCATGGTTGAGATGTGGATGCAGTTCCTTGGACCAGGGGAACGGTGAATACGAGGTGACTGTGAGCGCCGCGCCTGGTGTCCGGTACCCTGACTTTCACCAGGGTACAGGTGAGTTACCGCGTTCCCTATTGAATGTCACCCATTTCACCTGAGGCTATTAAGGGCGGGGTAAAGAACCACATTAGAATACCTTCCTATAGTTAAGCGATCTGACATGTTCTCATTCCTCGGGGAGGGAGTGAACTACAGGGTAGCAAGTTTATTGTGCAGAACCAGCTGTACATTGTCCATCCGAAAGAAGCGAGAGTGAGAACATGGTACATCGCATCCGAGCTAGGAATAATAAAACCCTCGGAATAGTATACCAACAAATGAAAGGAAGATGCACAGCACGAGTATCATACCCCACCTAAATATGAAGCTTGAAGACGTTACAACTTCAGGTCCAGGTTCAGTCCCAACGGGTTCGATGAAGGCCCTGCCCTCCTCTTTTTCATTCTCTGACCAGCGTCCACCACACCAGCCACATACACCACCTTTACATTCCCTTGAGCGCTGTAACACATCCGTAGCCAAACTCGTCATCAGCCTTTCCGCGTTCCTGAGCACGCTCATCACCTCGTGCCATTCAGCTGGACCACCAGCTTCCGCCTTTGCATCTGCCAGGGTGTCAAGATTTAAACCGCTGGATTCGAGGTTCCGGATGACGCGGTTGGCCGCTCGTGCAAGCCCTCCGTAAAAGCCGAAGACCTCTGGAAGACAGGCGGGGCAGCGGACGATCTTGGGCGTAACGTCGACCCGTCGTTTGATCATCGCGTGCACGAGTTTTATGATCTTGATTGCAGCTTGAGCCTTGGAAGCCTGCGAATCGAATGGGGATGGGACGACGATGAATGCGTCTCCCGTGGATTTGACCAGTCGAGTCTGGACTTGGTGTTGAATGAGGTAACAATGTGAGAGTGGGAAGCATTCGTACCTCGGTGAAGATTTGCTCTAATGCTAGCCCAGTGAGTCCGTCGGCCTTGAGATAGTTGAGACCCAGCTGTCATGAGGAAGGTAGGCGAATACTATGTGAGTTGGAGGAATGAGCACGGAGTTTGGAATACCTACGGTGAAAGTCGTCTCGTAGCGAGCATCGAACTCCCTATATCCAACTCCGCGCAAACCAAGCTTGTAGTTGTTGTAGGTACTTGGAGAGGCTAAATCAAGACATCAATAGACCGTAACATCTCATACGCAGGTACCCACGATCCGAATATACGGTGAACTTGGTTGGACTAGTCTTCGCGGAGATCCCGACAAGGTGGATGACGTATGGGAAGCTTGGATGGGTTTTCACTTTGTATATTGATTTTAGACATGATATAGAGGGATTCACATACTGCATTCGCCTCAAGCGTTTCACTTCCTTGACGAAATTCTGATCCAAGAATTTAAGCGCCCATACGCACTCCTCGAGCAATGGTCTAGCAGCGGACGAACTCACCTCTTCAGGAGTACGAGAAGAGTGGTATCGGACACAATGAGACCTTCCTTTCTCCCAGATTCATGCTTGAAAGACGCCTTCGTTAGCCGGAGATGCAATGTCGATCCCGCTGCTGCGGATGCTGTATCGATGAGCTCCAACGGTTCCAGCGATTCTTGGGTATATTCTGCCAGCTGTAAGGGCCATTTTGACGTCAGATGAAATGCAAAGTATAGAGGAGATTCGGCGTACCCCTTCGAGCTCGGCCCTGGTATCGCGCGACATGCCTGCAGGAGGGAACGAGGAAGCAGGCCCCTGAGTGCGAGCTGTGGAGTTCACAGCCCACTCAGACTCCGACGGCGCGGTGTGAACCGGCCCTTCGATAAGTCGAGTCGGAGGTGGTCCAGCCAATGAGTGCCAATCCGGGGGCTCCTCTGAGCAAGTTGGGGGGATTGGAAAGCTGTTGAAAGACGCAAAATTACACGCACCATAGTGCTCGTATACATCAGGCGGCTCGAAATGGGGACTCTCTGGCGCAAGTGAAACGTTTCCGCCCGCAGAAATAAAAGTCCCTCCTGTAATCTTGATTCTTCTAGCCCCGGTGAGGATGCCTTGGGAGTCTGGCGTTGTGACTGGGTCATAACCGTCGCCTTTGAAATGGATGATATTTCTCAGTAAAATCTATTAGAAATGCCTACGTGATCGTTTGGGCCGTGCCCTGAGACCATTCTTGGGCCTGACGACCACCGCACCTCCAACCATAATTCTCAGCCAGAGTGAGACAAAAAGGCAGCCTGATTCAGCTTTTCAGCTTGAAGAGGGGGGACGAGTCGGTAAGCTCAGGTGCGCAGTCAGTTGCGGGCTTAAATGTGGGAAACCAGTCACAAGTCAAGTCTCGTGTCAAGGTGGTCCGTGCTATCATAGTTTGAATGAAATTAACGCCCAAAACTTCTTCATATGAGGAACGTCTAAATTTAACGGGATCACGGTGACTTTGGGATAGCCCTTTGCCCTCGGCTTGTATAGAGCGTATAGAAACAGGGGCTACGACGCGCTAATCAATTCGTTCGCGTCGCGAATTCTCGCGCGTTTTCTTGGCGTCGGCGTGGTTCAGTGGATGGGCCTGAGGCCTGAATCCCCGCGGTGATTCCAGTACCGCGTAATGAAGGGAAACCAGAAGGCTTGCGTATATTTGTTTCTTTGAACAGTGGACAAAGTCATCCTCGACTATCACTCCTGTCATCGCCTGAACTCCCCAGTGTCATTCGGGGATCCCTTGTGAAGTTAAGCTCGGACATCCCCGTTGCGGCTGAGGTAGAGTGTAACCGTTGTACCTACTTTTGGGTGTGGATCAAGAGTCTGCTTGCGAGTATCGCAAGCATGGATCTCTGAAATCTGTTTTGGTTGCACAGCACTCTCGTGAATACCGTGCCGCGATTCCCAAGGAATAGGAGGGGGAGGCTCACAGCGCAAAGCTCACTGGGCTGACGTGGAGCGGGGCATTGGTGACCATGTTAATGATTGTGCACCCTGTGCTATGTTCAGTGGATGTAATGTAATTTATCTAACTCCGAAACACGTACCAAGCAATGCGATATAGTAGATCATTCCGTGCCGGTATAAGACGACGGCTATCCTACTTCCCTCTCGCCAGTGCTTCCTAACTCCGACAGTAATGGCAACTGCAGTCGCAACCACCTCGGCGATTAAGAGAATGTAGAAGGTTCGGGGAAGGTATAATGCATAACTGGGCGGGGAGTTTTCGAACCAGCACCGGGCTATGACTGATGGCCAGGGGGATGGAACACCTGATGGAATATGAGCACTATCTTAAGCACCATATGATACATGGTGACTCACACGCGACCGACTTTAGATACAGGCCGCTGAAGACAAGGACGATCGCTACGCATACCTGAGGGGATCATTGGCTGTGCAGGTGAAGTGTCAATGGGCAGAGACTGACCACAACAAAGCCCCATACGAGAGTAGTGTAGACCAACTTGGCTCCAAGGAGTGCGATTATTGTGGTAAAGAGTATGGCTGCGATGAATATATGGTCAAATGCTTCTCCACCGCTGAGGAGTTATTTAGTAACCTTCAGAGGCGACGATTCCAGCGATGAAGCTGACTGTTGTGCAGTCAGTGCGTCAAGGGAAGTCTTTAATCGTGCAATAGTACGCGTACGCTGAGTGATAATCAAGAAAGTAATGCAGGTCTAAAAATCTCCCGATAAATCAACAAGAAGGAACAAACAAGATAAAGATCGCCTACCTCAGGTTCAAGGGCCAAGTGATCGACATTGACTGTGTGTAGGAGGTTTCATCATATTCATCCAAGAAAGAGACGAGGATGGTAGTACCCAGTAGCAGTGGAAGATCCAGGAAAGGTGTGTAACGGTTTACCAGGAAGAGGCATTTCCCAAAGGAAAAGCGTGAAGCCAAATCATAGAAATCTGAGTCAGATATAAGTCTCGAGCATGGAGTAGGCCTGCGCGACGTAGCGTATTGCTGACCTCTTCACCGAGGGTTATGGCGTAGTCATAGAGCTTCCCGAATCCAAATAATTCGACTTTCTCAAAGAGTCCAGTGGCTAAAGGCTTGGTACTCACGAAGACAGACACGCTCATTACTTCGAAGTTGAAGATGAAAGTAAATTCAATGTATAAGTGTGGGAGGTTCGTCGAAGAGATCGCAATGGACTCACCCTTCGAATAAAGAAGAGATAAGCAATACCTTCGAATGCAACTACATCAGACATTGCAGGAATAAAGAAGGCGGCAAGGAGAAGGCCCCTCGCCTCTAGGAGCTTTCTTATGTACAAGGTTCTCAGTGCACAACTTCTTTCGCATGAAAAGAAGAAAGCAGCAGAATAAGCCTGACAGAACTTGAGTCGTTCTCCACTCATCATAGATCTGCCACATTGATTGATAATGGAATCGCTGGTGAGAGCCTTGGCATGGTGACAACAATCTACATCGACTCCTGAGGAAGATGATTAAGTTACGACGCCGAAGAGTGGTTATATTCGCCCAGAGTCCGACCTGTCTACCACAGAAATACCACCGTCATCATCATTGACACCAATCGGTCGCAGGGTACTTGTAGGGCCCGAACTTCCTGACCTTGTCTCCCGATTGCGAAAGTTTTCCTCGCCCGTTGATTGGGAGTCCATCGCTTTGGCTTTCGCATTCATCTCCATCTGTTCTCCCGCACTGCCGAACTCCATTTCGGAGACCGGTCCTGTTCTCAGATCTTCCTCCGTATAGTACCGTTGGAATTGTCGTCGGGTGTCGAGTAGCAATCGGTTTGCGAGGATGGCGTGCATAGATCGTTGAAAGCTATCGAGTGAGAATGAGGGCAGGTGAATGGGCTACAGGTTGAAGAGAGGGAGGGGATACTTACAGATTGAGAGGGCCAACCCCGATCGGTAAGTTTGTAATGATATTGAGAATAGTGCATGCTAAGAAGATGGTGAGAGACCCGAGAGCCTGGGTGAGATTGGAAAGCCGTCCTACTTACTGAGTAACGCGATATAATATATAGTTCCATCCCTGTACAGGATCGTCGTTATCTTAGTTCCATGCCTCCAGTATTTCTTAACGCCGACGGAGACTGCGATGATGGCAGCGACCGATTCCGCAGCAAGCAGGATATAATAAAGACGGCCCAAAAAGAGGGCCCGGCTTGGGGGCGAATAGCGGAAGTAGCAGCGTGTTAGAGGCCACGGTGCTGCGATACCTGTCACAAATGCAGTTAGTACCATCAATACTATCGGGCTTCGGTGAAGCGAGGATACTACCTTGCACGGCGCTTAGAAATAGGATACTGAACACCGTCGCTACCACAACGCAAAGCTGTATTGCCTGTGAGCCAATTTGGCTGTGGGCGCAGACAGAAATTGAACTCACAGCTACAAATATCCACAAAATAGTGGAATAGATCTTGCGTGCGCCCAGAAGAGCGCAGATGCAGCTGATGAGAATCGCTGAACAATTCGAGGACGGTCAAATCCACTTCAAACTCCGAGACTATACTAGGTACCTTCTGAGCAAGCAATCCCGAGCACGGTGCAGACTGGCAAGGCATTTCGAAGTCAATACCCAATCGCCTTCGGGTAAGGTTGACTCGGAACGTACGTTCAGCAATTGCCAGCATTGCCACACACGTCTGCGGCGTAGGGTCAGTAGGGGTTCGTATTCTGGCAGAGAAAACTCGAGATGCACGGATGGGCGTGGTACGAGGGAGTCGATATTCACTAAACCCCGGCGGATAGTTGAGCGTCAGATCAACGCAATTCTAGGATCGCATCGACTCACTTGACAGAAACAAGGTCAGGTCCACGAAAGGAGTGTATCGAACTACCAAGAAGAGGACCTTTCCGAGGGAAAGTCGGGCAGTCCAGATCATGGTCACCTGTAGTATGCATTCAAATTTGTACGACTATCGCCAAGGTCATTTCGCAAAATCTTCTCACCTCGTCATAAAAGGTTTGGACATAGTCGTATAGCTTTTCAGTCCCTCAGTGATGTTCGAGGACGATGTACGCGAAACGCACGAATACCGTGATCCCTGCGACTGATTCAGACTGTCAACGAGTGCTCAGCCACCATTTCATTAACACTGACTGTCAATGCACTAGACCTTCGAGTCAGCATTGTTACCATACCGGAGAATGGCGGAATTTACACTCACTGTCTTGACGTAGAAGAGGGAGGCGACTTTGATACCAAACTCGTACGTGGACGCTACATCGGTCATACCGACACGCTCTGGGGCATAGGTGGTGGTTAGAGGGGGGTTGGTACATGTACCTTCTTTCCCAAGCCCTACTCTTTATCGACATCCAGTCCTATGGGAAAATCTGGGAGATTGACTTCTTTTTGATAACGAAGGACGCTTCTGCCATCTATTTTGTATTTGCGGGACATGTGCATCCTGGCGCCCGGTGGCTCGTCTTGTCCCTTTGGGAAACGATGCACACGAAGACGTGGAGCCGGCTTCGAGTCGGGCAAGAGTCGGGCATGCATAGTCGCTGAGAACAACTTCGGTCACGGTGGTCGGCTTGAACGGCGCTTGCGCGAGTTTGGTTTTGTTTGTCTTTAGCTTCGGCTAGTCACTAATTCGGTATCGGTTCTGCGTCTGTGGGGTTCCCCGTCATCCCCTATCACGAAATAATAGAGACCTATTCCGAATTCTAACATACAAGCGAGTGTCTGCCAAATGTATACAAGGCGTAATCTACAAGCGATAAAGCTAAAACAATTAAGAAGGCAGTACTGATACATTACGCCGCGATGAGCTACTTGGACTCAGTCCCAACGTACACCTCTCTCGAAACAGAGATCAACATCTCTGGATTGGTTTTAGCTTGGCCGCGGCCATATTCCTCCAATTCAACTGCTCGCCCGGTGGGTGGAACTGCTGAGACGTTGAATCGAGAATTGGAGAAGGTCGAGGTAGGGTTCCTATTTGAAGTCGAGTTCGATCGTGGGCGACGCTTGCTGTTAAGACTCGTAAGAAGAACGTTGGCGTACAAACGACCGATGAGATAATGGCTGCAGGGATTGAAGTGAGGAGGATTCATCAAATCATGTCGTCTGAAACTTACAACGCAACGTGGATGTTATCACTGGGACGAGCCAAGAAGAGCGAGAGGTTTAAGGTGGCAACGACCGTAGTCGCGAGGCCATTCTCGAGAGTATTTCGGGTAATTGCACTTAGAAGATTTCTCGTTTCGGCCACCATACTACGTTCCTTGTAGCGCCAGAGCTAGAAGACGGGAGGAACATAATCAGCACGGCACATGAAAGATCTAGCATCGGACTTACCACTGTGACCATACCGAAAGTCATGAGAGCGTCCGTTAACCGATGGCAACCAAGCTGCAGACTAATGGTAAGGCTGATGCGGCTCAAGACTGTCCCATCGCTATTGAGCATGATGAACTATTTGGCATGTCAGAATAGAGGTCAACAGGGAGAAGCGCTGCACAATTATACCTGAATGCCAACGGCGATTGCCAGTGCCAACCCCGTTAATCCCAACTGTCGTGCGAATCGGAGAGCTATGATTCAATTTCAACACAATCTGAGACGAGCCATAAAGCTTACCAAGGGGATAAGGCCGGCCAAGATCCTCTCAGATCTCCTCGTCGATAAAATGTAGATTCGCCTGAGTTTCCCGTCCTGTTATTGCCTCGTTGTTGCCAGAGATTGAAGAAGCCGCATACCATCCGAAGAAGCTCTGCACCAAACAGGCCACTGTGACGATGGGCAGGTTAGCTATATGACTTCTGACGGGGGAGAAAAAAAAAAAAAAAAAGAAAAACCTACTCAGTCCATTCAGCATTTGAAGTACGGGTGCAGTATTAGGAGGAATGAGGGCGAGTGCTGGGTCTCCGAGTGCGAGCACGACAGATTGCCATGCCGAATGGAAGATGAAGCATATGTTGATGACCTCGAGAGCAGCGATGGATCCAACTACGGAAGCCTTCAGTTAGAGCCCGGAGGTAAATTCTCCTATATAATATCTCATACCCAAGTAGTGGTGCCATCTGTTTTGACCGGGAACAGCTTCGCAGGCGTAAGAGTCTGACGAAAGTAGACTCGTCAGAACGGTTGAGAAGTGATGGTCGGACGACACGTACAGAGCTGAACAAGGAATCCTCCGAACAAAAGGAACGAAGCCACAGCCCCAACCAGCTGGAATGGGTGTTGAGCCCGAACGTTCGAGATTTCAGGAAGGAGGGGACACGTACGATGGGACCAGAACTATCCGAATGCTCAGCAGTAGCGCAGAGTTTGGATAAAAAGGGAGACTCACATTAATACAGGGTCAGGAAGTGAAGGAGCGGACATCCTCTCTTATCAATCCAGTCACACCAGTCGTTCGATGGCCCTTAAACGACGAAGAGCGAGACTTGGCGGCGTCTAGAGGCTGCGCTCAGGATTCAGCGCAAATAAATACTGCAAAAAGGAACGAGAAAGACCGGCGGCAAGCAACCAAAACCTCCTTCGATGACCATGTTTATGTAGAAAGGGCTGTCAACAAACGTTTACGTTGACGTCGGTAATTCTCTACCCCATGGGAGAGATCTCTGAGAAGAAATCGCAAGTCCTTGCATAGGCGAAGCCACAAAAGGCGAAAATAACGATTAGAAGGAGTCTGAGATCAGCAACAGTCCGTGTTCATTTGATCCCGAGCGAGGCCAGGTCGTCGGTAAAGACGAAAAAAGATTCCGGAGGGTGCGGCCGCCGGACATTCAGCTCGCGCACAGTGGAAAGGTCTCGACACGTGGAGATGGTACCTTCCAGGTACCTTTCGGATGCCATTCGCGTACCGTCCGTTAGACGGGAAGGGCGTGGAAGGAAAAAGGTGGCGTTCTTGGCGATTGCCCTCCAGTTAAGCGCCCAACCGATATCCCCACTGACAGACTGTGGCCCCAGGTTGTATCGACTTACGATATAGTTACGTGGTCGATAGGCGCCCCCGAGAACTCTCGACAGGTCGCCCCCGAGATGTCGAGAGGTTGTACACCTGACTTTGGGCTACCTTCTGCCGACTCGGATCTGTGCATTATCTGTGGGATTGCAGCGATGATCAAGTGATCGCTTGGACCAACCTGCAAATGACCGGTGCGACGCCCGCGCGTATGTACTGGTCCAAATTTGTGCTGGTTGCGCTTGCTGCGAAACCTCGAGAGATATACCCCCGTGAGGAAGGAGATGGAAGCAAATTTGACGGCTAGACTCTGACGGAGGCGCCTACATGCTTCCGCACGAACTGGGGGCTTGCCTTTGCGTACACATGTGGTACGCATAGTGGTTGGGGACCTGAATTTGTCCCTAGAAGGGGTTGTTAATTGGTACATAGGAGAGGCAATTAAAGGCACTTGAATGATCACCTAATACAGCGCATCCATCAGAACGCCTCTGTCCACCCACTGGGATCAGGCATAGACAATCTTCAGGGACGCAGTCGCGCTATCACGCCAAGCTACCCAAAGCTATCGGTCGTTCCCCGAAAAACTCGGTGAGTCTGCCGCGACCAAGGTACAGTAGAGGATTCGTATAGAGGCGAGGTGAAAGTCAAGGCCCCCTAGCCCCTAGATAGCGCTGTGGAGCGCGCAAGTTGGGAGGTCGATGTCGGTCCATAAAATTTAACCTCAAGAATTCCAGCCTGAGAGCGCGAGAGGGCGTTGAATACTGCATGAGGGCCATTCATTGTTCCATTCGTCCGTAGACGTTGGATACTTGGATGATGGTAGCGCAAGTATTCGTGAACATCGGAAAGAGCAGGCCAACCGTCCAACGGGATGGTGACGGTCAGAGGACAAGCATCCGACAAGGCCTTGGCTTGGCAGCCATCAGGAACGGCAATTTGTGGCGATCAGAACCGCCATCTGCCGTTGCGGATCCATCATTGCGGATATTCAAAATTGAGGACGGCAACCAAGCGGCAGACCGCCATCTTGCCGTGACGAGCGCGCGCTTGAAGAGCTACGACCTCAATTGCCTAAGAAAGTCCCTATTGGTTTCCATGACTTCACCTAGAGGCATAATTTTGAGGTTGGAAACAGGCTGACCTCCAACTCGACACCAGCAAGGGTGAACGCACCTTTTAAATTCGGCGTCTTCAGTGCGAAGATATCGCTGAGCAGGCTGTCGATGCGCCTCCATATTACTAACGGGGTAGACTGGAGTCTAATCCTGATACATGCTAATCATCAGGTCACAATCGGTTGGATACTATCTGTACCTGTATCATCTCAGAAGAACACAGCTCGCCTGACGTTGGCAACGATTTGCGAGAAATACGTATGTATCATGATAATTCAAGGCAGTGCGCTCGTGGTTGATAACGAATTGCGTTTTCGCTGCCAGCGCCGCGATAGGGCGTGTCTACCGGTTTTTACGGGTGGACCAACGTCAGTAAGCTGGCATCCCTGGTCTATCTGCTAGTGTACAAGCGATTTGACTTGACTAAGTCATTAGTAAATCGTCCCCGTGGTGATCGAAATCATCCAAGATGAACGGAGCTCTGTGCGCACGCGCGTGTCACCGACTCTGAGAGACCTGACCGCATGAGGTTTCTATGCCAATACATACATTGGACGAGGGTTCGGAAGTTCGTTACCGAGAGCTTTCCCTTCGCTCCCGCTCACGAGGCGACGCGTGAGACCGAGCGCGAATGGATCGAATGAAGCTAGAGCACAGTCGGTGGTCTCTAGGTTCTCCACCCTTTATGTGTTCACCTGGGAAGCGCCCGACATTCCCGCGCTGAGCGGTGTCGCATAGGGGCTGCGTACGTACGTTTCCCAGTGGTCCGACCAGTGCACAAAGATTTTCTGTATTCATCATTTGATGACTTGACTGATCCGTTATGTATGTCAACAATCGCCAGAAGCTCCTCATATTTTGCGCGTTCATTGTGGGTCTACTATGGGCGCTGTCCCCTCCTCTTTGCACTATGATCGGCGCAAAGAACTCTAGTCAACACACTATGAAGAGGCTTTCTGTTGTACGAACCCTCCAACCCAATTTACACGACGCCACCCTTCAACACATTGACACTAACCGAACTTGTTTCAACCCCTGAACCCTGCAGCTGGCAACTGGCAGATCAGTTCCGGGCGCTCGCCAAGTGTGATCCCCAGCCTCACCTCACAGCGTCACAGCATCACTCCCTGCGCACCATCTTGGCGGGTTTCGGCGCCGGGTGTAGTTAGCCTCAGTTCGACCTCATGGCAAACGCACCAAAACACCACCCGTGCTGTGGTTTAAAAGAGGGTGGTGGGAGCGGTGATTGGGGTTTCTCCAGCTGGTCTCACCCCACCCCCATCCTCCCTCGAGTCGTCTCAAAGCGTTGATCGCTTTTCTCGTTCTACTCTCCTCTCTGCATATTCTACTTACTCTAGTGCTTCTAATCTACCCACACACACTCTCTCTGCACTCGACTTGCGCCCATCCATTCTTTTCCAGTTTTAGTATTAACTTTCAGCTATAATGGTTCAAATCTCCAAGTCTTTCGCTGTCGCCGCCCTCGTCGCTGCCCCCGCGCTGGCTGCCCCTATGATGCAATCCTCGGAGGAGTACATGGAGGCTCGGGATTTCAATGATGTCGAGCTCGTCGAGCGTAAATTTAGCGGCTTGGCTAGTGCATTGAACACATTCGGCATGCTCTCGACTGGTGTTTCGCTCGCTACTGGGTAGGTGTTCAATCTCCTCTTCTTCACTGCATAGGATCCTGACCTAGTTAATCACTTAGTCTGGGATCCCTTTTCAAGAAGAAAGAGAAACGTGCTTTCGAGGAGGACTTATTGGAAGCAAGGGAGCTTATTGATGAAGTCGATGCGCGCAACCTTGCCGGTCTTCTGAAGAGCGCTGGAGCACTCAAGTATGCCTATCCCGCTCTTGGCGGTCTAATCGGTGTTGGTCTCGGGTTCGTCCATCCCCTTCACCCCTTCCCCCTTCACAACCACTAACAACTTTCTCTTTAATCATTCAGCGCCGGCTCCGCATGGCGAGCCAACAACAAACGAGACTTCATCGATGACAGCCTCATGGACGCACGAGACTTCCTGGACGACTCGTTCGACGCCCGGGAGTTCATCGAAGATTCATTGGATGCTAGGGACTTTGAAGATGTTCTTGATGCTCGTGCTGTGTTGGAGGACTTGGAGCTTTTGGAGCGAGGTTGGGATGAGCCGATGGATGTGTATGAGCGGGAGTTCTACGACGATCTCGATTAAATAATTAATTAATTACTATCGTATGGAGGTACACTAATGCATTTTTTTTTGCTTGTGCAATTTGTGTCAGAGGTGGGGGAGAGGCAAGAGTATGGGCGTGTCGGGATAGATGACCTGGAAGCAAGTGTTGGAAGTCACGCTGTCCACAAACTTTGACTGTTGGTATGGAAGGGGCTTCGACGAGGTGTACGGAGGGCTGTCTATTCGACATGAGCAGCGTATTGAGTGAGATGCATACCGAGACCAAGCCTACGTAGGTATTGTTCTCTGCATCGGACGGTAAGCCATGGTAGTTCAATTGCGACCTCAATCGCAGTAGCGCCAAGAACAATTAAGCGCTCGCGAGTCACGGGCGGACCGTCATCCGGGCTCCAAAGCTGGGCGTGCGAAAGCCACGTTGCGACACGAATAAGGCAGGTCATATAGGTCCGTTGGTTCAAGTTGTTCCGCTACCGTCTTCTTTGTCTTCACGTCGCTGGTCCACAATGCGTGTGCTAGCATTGGGCTCGTTATTGCTGCTGGTCCTCCAACAGCAGGTCGCTGCAGACCCAGCAGCGGGTGTTACCCCGCCAGGTTTGGTTCCGCTAATAAACAGGGCCAATGTTTTGCTTTCTTCGGGCAACTTTGGTGAAGCAGCCAAGATCTACACCGAGGCTATTGGTGCGTAGTAAAGTTTTGTATATGTGGGCGAAAGCTAATGAGGTCTATAGAACAATCGCCGTCGGACTACTTGCTGTATTACAAGCGAGCCACCGCGTACATGTCTCTGCAGAGACATACTGCGGCTCTGGACGATTTTGACAAGGTCTTGTCGCTCACCGGAAACACGTTCGATACTGCGCACTACATGAAGGCTCGCGTCCACCTCAAGGAGGGCGACTTTGTTCAGGCGCGACAGTCTCTGGCTGCCTACGTCCGAGCGAAGAAGGGTGTGAAGGACAAGGATGTAGAAGAGTTGGAGACCGATATCAATGAAGGAGAGCGGCTGAAGAACAAGACTGAGAAGGAGAGACGGTCGCAGCTGTGGACTGCTTGCGTGGACACTGCAGGTCAGACGCTGCGGCTCGCCAGCCACGCCGCCGACGTCCGCGTGTGGCGAGCGGAATGCGCACTTGCCTCTGGAGACGTTGAGAGCTCCGTAGCCGATCTCTCGTAAGTATACATTTCCTATCGACCTGGAATTCTCCTCACCAGTCGCCAACCATATAGACGACTCTCGCTCCTCCTTCAACCCTCCACAGCACTGCTAACCAATATCGCCCGCCTCGCCTACTTCCTCACACCACCATCCGGTACCGCCATGTCCACCCTCAAGCAATGCCTACACTACGACCCCGACTCCAAACCCTGCCTGAAACTCCACCGCCTCGTCAAGGGTTTCGACAGGAGTTTCGTGCAACTCGAGAACCTGCTCGCCAAATCGGACTGGAAAGGTATCGTGCGGTTGCTCGTAACGCCCGGCGGAGGGAAGAACGCCAACCTCTACCAACGCTGGGAAGACGCCCTCCAAGCCAACGTTGGCAACTCTGAAGAATTGTTCCCCCTCGTTCCTCCAACGCTCCTCCCTTCCTCAACCTCCCACAAGAAACGCAAGCCATTCAGCCCTATCACCCTACCTAACCCCGAGAAATCGTCGCCGCAACGTCAGCATATCGTCCGGTCACTATGTAAAGCCTACACCAATCTCGCCGAGATCGCCAAATCTTCGGAAGAGTACAAGAAGCAGCGGTCGAGGTGGTGCGAGGAGCTGTTGACGCTGGATGGATGCGCTGAGGATGTGGATGGTCTCGTTGGGAAGGCGGAAGGGCTGTTGGCTGAGCAGGAGTTCGAGGAGGCGGTCCGGATATTCGACAAGGCGTTCGAAGCCAGTGGTCGTTCAGATCGCAATGTAAGCACCTCACCCCACCCCCGCTCTCTCCCCACCGCTGAATGCAAATATTGACACCTGCCCTCTTATAGATCCAAAACAAACTCCACAAAGCCCACCGACTCCTCAAACAAAGCAAACAGAAGGACTACTACAAGATCATCGGCGTCTCGCGCGACGCAGACGAGCGGACGATCAAGAAGGCGTACCGCAAAGCAGCCAAGGCCGCGCACCCCGACAAGGGTGGTTCAGAAGCCAAGATGGCCGCGCTCAACGAGGCGTACGAGGTGCTCTCCAACCCCGAGCTCCGCGCGCGCTTCGATGCCGGCGAGGATCCCATGGACCCGGCCAACCAGGGACCCGGGGGCGGCCACCCATTCGGCGGGGCTGGGCACCCGTTCGCGCAGTTCTTCCAGGGCGGAGGAGGGGGCCAGTTCTTCCAGCAGGGCGGCCCGTTCGGTCCTGGTGGTGCTGGCGGCGGTGGTGGCTACCAGTGGCATTTCAGTCATGGTCGGTAGTGGTCCAGTTTATGGGGTTTTTGTGGGGAGAGGAGGAAGATGGGGGCAGTCGGTTATCAACGCCTCGTCGCCGCCTTCTTTGGGGCCCCTCTTGTACATTATTGGTTGTCCTTCACGTTATACATCGTATCTGTTGTTCGTCGTTCATTTGCTGCATGCATCATACATACATACCACATTTGTAACTATTACTCTTTGACGACCATAATACGCCTTTTTACGATGCAGTTACAGCTGTTTGCAAAAATAATGACAGTCGCCGCGTCGATCAAATAAAAGAGAGCGCAAACCCCATCCTAGGGTCAATGCCAATTCTACTACTGTGAAGGGGAGTCCTGCTTGGAAAAAGGTGGTATTCGAAAGTAAAACATGTTATATGCATATTCTAGCACGTACTTTGGTCCCAAGGCCATACACTAGGGACTGGTGTAGAATGGTCCTGAGTTGCTCGGGAGGGCTGACCCTAAACTAGGGCTTGAGAGACTCACAGGTATAAGACAGGTATAAGGCATTTCTCTTCACGGTTTCTTCATCCTTTCAGGAAGTGAGCATCTGAATAGGTCCTTAAGAGCTACTACCTATGTCAGAATTCTAAATAACCGCGAGAACCAGCAGGAAGAGAGAGAAAACAGAGCTGCCCCTAAAGTTGGGTTTGAATCTTATATATTTGATCGGAAGGCGCTACTCGTTGTCGACGGGGGACAAGCGTTTGGCAGTCACCAACTCGTTAGATACTTACCAGTAGTTTATGGGAGCTTAAATCGCCTGCGGCCGCCTCGAGGCGGCTTGGCTGTGATAGCGATCTGACTCCAATCATCATCGTGTCGACGGGGGACAAGCGTTTGGCAGTCACCAACTCGTTAGATACTTACCAGTAGTTTATGGGAGCTTAAATCGCCTGCGGCCGCCTCGAGGCGGCTTGGCTGTGATAGCGATCTGACTCCAATCATCATCGTGACCGCTTTCGTCCTGCAACGGCCAACAGGGGTCCCGACACCCTTCACATAGCCCTTTCCTCCCTCATCGGCCTGGTCAGTGGTCTACAAACAGAACTCTATGGACACCTCCACCAAAAGTGCACACTATGCATCGGTTTCGTCGGCGTCGTTGTCACCTCGGCGCGCCTACATGCAGGCACGAGCGGGTCGACGGGCGCTCGTCCCTTTACAGCACTATTGATATTGCTGTACATAGCGGGTTCCTCTCGGCTCCTTTTGTGAGTGTACGAGATGGTACAAAATGTGAGAGACCCTGATACCCCGAAACGAGGATTTGATTCTTGCCCGGCGCCCCCCACTTCCCGGATTTCGTTCCTCACCAGGCCTCCGATTCCTGCTGTCCCAGACTTAACGAATACCAAGACCTCTTCGAACGCTCAATTGATATAGGTAGTAGAGATGGCGCAGGTCTACGTACGTTCTCAATTCATCTTGTTAGCGACTATTCTGATATTGATTCCTTCCTTCCTTCGTTTCGCAGAACGAGAAACCGCAAGCACCTATGGGCTATGCCCAACCACCTCCTCAGGCTGGAGGGGTCTACACCCAACAACCACCTGGAGGCTATGCCCAGCCACCACCTACAGGCATCTATGCCCAACCACCTCCTGGAGGCGTCTACACCCAACCCCCACCCACAGCTCCTATGAACATGGGAGGCGGGAACCGCAACGTTCGGGGTCTTCCTTACGACGCCAATGGTCAACGAGAATGGAGCCACGGACTTCTTGGGTGTTTTGGAGATATCAAGACTTGTGAGTTTTCCTCTCTATGGCTTTGCATGAAGTAACCTTTCTAACGAACGAATGAACGAAAACGAACGAATACAAAAATCAATGAATGAATGATTGAATGAATGAACTGTGCCTAAATACTTATAGGCTGTCTGGCATCGTGGTGCCCCTGCCTCGCGCACGCCAGGAACAGGCGCCGGCTGCACCACCTCGAGACGACTGGCCAGCCTGATCCTGACCGTGACGGTCTCTGCGGCCCTGATGGATGGCTTTACACCTGCTTGGAAGTTGCGTGTGATATGGGGTGGATCCTTCAGGTGTGTAGTTTTTCTTTCTCTCTTTCTCCCCATCTACAATCTTCTCCCTCTCCTCCATATACAACCCACCTCCCACCCTTCGAGTATCCGTGGGCGGCCTTATGTATAATTGATAATTCTGATTTACTTACATCTCGACTTACATCGTTTACCTTTCTAGATCGGTACCCGAGCCGCCATCCGCCAGCGCTACAACATCAGGGGAAGCGACGGGGGAGACTGTATGGCGGCGTTCTGCTGCCAGGCTTGTGACCTCGTGCAGGGGAGTAGGGAGCTGGAGTTGGAGGAGGATAGCTTTGGTCCGCAGTATGCGCCGGCCCCCCCTGGTGCTCATGGTGCTCATGGTGCTCCTCAAGGACCGCAAGGGCAGGTCGTTCAGAAGGTGTAGGTAGACCCATCCCGGGCCATGGTTACTGTTTGTTGTTTGCATGTCATGACTATGTATTGTGTTATTGGCAGATTTACTCTTTTGTGTATGAGCGTGAACTGAATGCACCGTCCTATGCGGAACCATCATCTTTACGGAGAGGCTTCAATAGCATGAGTTTCCGACCTTCATTTCTACAACGAGATAAAACCAGTTCCCTCGATTCCGAAAAACTACTGTCTGGGCCAGCGCTTCGCCGATTCTTTGCAGAATTCCAAACACGCCACTCACAAGACCTGGGGAATGCTTCTGAGATATTTTGGGACATTCGAAAATCACCCTTCCTTATAGGTAATTCTTACCGCCGACGACGTCTAGATTTCTTATCCTCATGATGTGCCGACCTAGCTCGAGTCTCGATACTCTTCACCTTTCCCTCTTTCGTATTTCGAAACTCGTCCCAGCGAAAACTCGGGCGTCTCGCTCACGGGCTCTGAATCAACAACTTGGAACCCTCGCAAATCATCATTCACTCCACCTTACAGGCTGCACTTCACACCTTTTCTGATATCTACTCAACCCGTGGTAGCTCTTGAGCGCTGTGGGTAATAATACCCGTCCCGTCGCGTCCGAGGTGAGGATGGCCCCGCGATGCCAATCCATGTTACTAAGAATAGGCAGACAATCTTGCAGGATCCTCAGAAATATTGCGGTTGTAGAATCGTCGAGGTCGATCCGACTCTGGCGCTCATGATCATCAGTGACGGCGCTGATCTTTATTTCGTGAAGTGCGTGCTTCGAAGGTTCTGAGTCACACCGGACATCTTCAGCCCCCCATCTAATTATAAGGAGGATGAACCGAGAGACTCGTCGGAGGTTTCATCCAATGGGGCGGTTTTGGGTGAGAGTGACTTCATGATGTCTTACGCAAAACGACCACAGCTGGGACAAACCTTCAGCGTTTGCTTCTGAATTATGATTCGCAGGTAGATCCAAAGGGGCCTCAGCTGTTGGAAGCTTTGGGAGATATTGTGATTGAATCGGGCGCATTGCAACATTTCCACCTGACCTCGAGATCTCTTCGTGGATCGCCTTGGTTAATGAAGGGCCAGATATCATGTCCTGAGGATGTCAGGAACCAGGTGTCGTAAAAGATGTGCGAGATGATTATCGGCGGTGTACGCGGTACTCGCAAAGCCCGTGCTTCAATCTGCTCTCCCATGCCTGGAAGCAATATGCACATTTGCCGCCCATCAGCCAAGCGCCCAGTGGCGGTGTCGAGTAGCCTGTCCCAGAAGCCGATGCCAAACATTGCCGCGATCAGGCCCCAAACACATTTGATTCTTTTTCTGTCCATGACGTTCCATTTGAGAGACGCCAAACCGAATGTAAGTCATTTCTTTATCTCGTTCCACCATGACAGCCAGACCTCACATCAAAGCTCTTCTTATAGACATCTCTGGGAATCTCCATGTTGGGTCAAATCCGACCTCCAATGCCGTAGACGCCTTGAAGCGTCTACGGGGGTCGAGAATCCCGTTCCGCCTGTGCAGTAACTCGAGCAAGGAATCGACTGCATCTCTGATCGGTCGCTTGCGGAAACTAGGTTTCGATTTCCAAGATGTCAACGAAAGTGGTGGTGGTGATAAGAAAGAAGTTTGGACAAGCATTGGAAGCGTCGCCCGTTCTCTGCGAGAGAAGGGCTTGAAACGGTATGGCATCTTCAATTGCATCCGTTCGAAACCTCATGTAACTGATAACCTTTCTCTTGACATTCAACGTTTATTTATGTTTGAATTGAATCTATCCTAGACCGTACTTGCTCCTGTCCAAGTCGGCAAGCGAAGAGGTTCTGGCCGAACTTTCTGGCGAACCAGGGACATCCACTACCAATGGTACGGCTGAGGGCTTCGATTCAGTGGTTGTGGGCCTTGCGCCGGGTGTTTTCGATTATGATCACCTCAACAAGGCATTCCGGATTCTCATGGGCGAGGAAGGCGACGGTTCTCCGAAAGGACCTCACCGTCCGCCTCTCATCGCAACGCACAAAGCGAAATACGTAGAGAAGGACAACCCTCCTGGTCTTTCTCTGGGCCCAGGACCGTTTGTCACTGCGCTTGAACACGCCTCGGGAAGCAAGGCACACGTGGTGGGCAAACCTACCAGAGCGTTCTTCGAATTGGTCATCCGGGATTTCGGTCCCAGCGAGTTGAGTCCGGGCGAGGATTCCGAGGGAAAGATAGCTGTTATCGGCGACGATGTTGAAGCAGATCTTGGTGAAGGAGCTCTGGAATTGGGTTTGTGGCGAGTACTTGGTGCGTCAATCTTGATTACCATCTCTTATCACCTCTTCACTAAGCAAACGTTATCACCTGTCTGGACTTCAGTCAAAACTGGAAAGTACAGGCCTGGAGACGAAAAGAGGCCAGGAACAATACCGCCTGACGAGGTGTTCAACTCGTTTGCTGATTTTATTGACGACCTGCTCCGCACGCAACTGAAACAGCCCTCCAATTCTGGAACAAGACACGATGATAAGCCTCCTCTTAGTATGTAAACATTCCTCTGTGTCTCTATGCGTATACTTCTAGTAACATTCTCCCTTTCGCTCTTTCGGATTAGGAACTCGTTTGTAGTGACTCGTTTATCACAAACGGACCTTTTTCATTCTGCCCTTGTTTTCTGTCATGTGAGTGCGATCGACAAGACGATCGTCGCGGATTCGACGACCGCATTGGGAATGAACATCGAGGCAGTTCACAAATGTGCCGAACACCCCCAAACCCTGAGCAGCGAGATCTTCAGAGATCGCATTCATGCTTGTTACCTTCTTTGGCTGGGTCAACGTGCTCAGACGCCTTGCAGTTTTCGATGCTTTCACACTCAAACTCTAACGGACGTCCGTAGGAGGGCGGTCCTAGTTTGCATGATTCCTTTTATTGTCACATTTCTTTTTTCACGGTAGTGCCTCTCCCTTGCGGGCTTGACTGATCTCTCCTACACAGGCTGCCTAAACGCCGGGAATCCATGCCCTTCCCGAATCGTCCTGCTTGTGAAGATTTCCGAAGTTAACCCTGTATCCTTGACCGCTTACAGGGGGCGGGATTCTCGCCTGCAAGCCTAAGAAAACCTCTCTTCTTCGTTAATTATTTCAGTGCGAGGTTTTATTTCCGTACTTGATTTATCCGAAGAATATGTCGGGTGCAACCTATCCGTGCGTTGAACGCGGATGATTTCTCCGCTGCAGTTTCTTCTCGCCAATGCTTCCGAGTGGCTCCGTTTTGCATTGAGGTCGTATTTTCAACGATTCTCCGTTCCTGTTTCGCTCACTTACCTGCCTTTTTCAGTTTCCACCCCAAAACCCCGTTTACACCCTTGGTTGCAAAAGGCGTATTTCCTTTCTGGAGAGGCTTCCACTGTGACGTACCCGGGAAGGAATGGGACGTGGTTTCTTCTCCCGCAGGGTGCTGGAATACCCGACTGTGACCACGGGTGTTCGGAAGGGTTTGGAACCAGTCTGGAACCATTTGCTATCGAATGCACTTCCCTGGCCGCCTACACGCTCTCATACCCGTGACTGGATTGCTCTCGAGGTCGGCTTTCAAAGATATGAGCGAGAGTATTTGGGCGGCGTGATTGTTCATGACTTCCGTGGCCAAAGGAACCAGAAACATGGGTCAAGGGGTTGCGGCGGCCTGCAACGCGCAGTCAACGGCGTCTTGACTCCGTCGAGGACTAGGTTCCTCGAGTCTGGTTCGCAGGCCAGGACGCCAATCAACTGCAACTCGAGTAAGCCCCACCTTTCTGCTAATCCCGCCTCTAACGTGTCTTTAGCTCTTTCATTCATTCATTGTTAGGGACCTCTGGGCAACCTTTGTTTATGGTAGGCTGCGGCTGGTCGCTGCGACGCTACATTTGAATCTGCGATGTGACGTGAGGTGAGGGGCCCACAGGTGTCCCAATCCGGGTGGTGTGACAAGCTGTGGGCGATTTCGGTCGTTCGTTCAATTGGGAACTATAACCGTGTGCCTCTTGGGCCATTGTGTGTATAACGCTTTACGCGCAAGCATGGGTTTCATTCAGAATGATTACCAGCAGGCCGATTTGGGGCTTGGTTTTCGCCGGAGCATACCTTTTCATGATGGCTCCCTTTGGCTAACTATTAGTTCGCTCTCACATAGGCACCCCTTCATTGTTGTATGCAATGGCGCCGGAAGGTAAGTACAGTAACAGTGCGCGGCGCCCCCTCGTCTACCTTCGACCACACAAACCTCGCGTCTCACCTCACCGCCCGAAAAGCGATGGGTAACGTTGAGGGTAAACTGCGTCGGGAATAAATGAATGGGGCGGCCCGTCTGGCCATTCTTCTGGTCTATGGACTGGCAGTATCACCTCCACTGTGAAAGATCCCACCGCGATTTCGTGGGTAAGTTTCCTCCCTCGAGGTTTGGGAAGACTGCAACTCAATGAGCCAATGAGCACTAGACAGCCTAGGCCGCGGGAGACACCTTCGATAATGTGCATGTGCTGCCCAGCTTCTGCATCCCAGGTCAAACGATTTCGTCCTTCGAATGCTAGTATTAGCCAAGATCAGACTGGAGGCAACGGCTTCAATATTAATGGGGAGGGAAAGGTCGAGAAACATCTTTGGTGTACGTTGTTCCTCGACATCTATAACGACTGCATTTGATCAACGATCCCGAATTCTACATTGCCCGGGAGGTCGAAACAATGGAGACTCTGAACCTTTCCGCCTTCATCATTCAGGGTTGAACGTTGAATGACCAGGTGATCTCCAAAAAGCGCCCATTCGATGACCCCTTTCGACCATCCCAGTGAGCCATGCTCGTCCAATGTATTACCCGCCAATCTAGGGTGGCAACCACAACGGCGGCGTTCCATCTCGGAAGGTTCATTAATTGGCATTTTTAGCTTTGGGCCCATGGCTTCCAACGACTTCTCCCGCAACTCAATGAAACACATGATAAGTCAGGGCATCGATTTCGTTCTGGGTGGGTATTCCTGCGATGCATTGCATCGCTGCGTGCTGTCCTGGCGTGTGGGTCGATGTCAGCAGCCCGGCGTTCAAAGATTAAAGCGAAGAGAAGGCACCTAGTCTGCCTCGAGGATCGTAGTGAGGCTGGTGGAAGTGCTTCTACGCCATGATCTCCGACCAGGAAGGCCTTGCTGGTCTAGGGAGGGCCTACTCTTCTCAACTCATTACCGCTTCTTGACGGTGATCGATTGCCGACCCAGGTTCAACTTCCCCAGGCTCCTGGTCGACAATGGACGTTGAGACATACTACCACTCGGCGTAAGAGGCTCTGGCGATAACACCGATCGAGAACAACCACCCCTGAATGCTGCGGCATCTCGAACGTTTCACGGAGTTTTCGGTTGTGGTCTCTATTTTCAATGTGGTGTTTTGATAATCAACCCCTCGAGGCTGAATACTAGATCGCTGGACGCTACCCCAACAATCGACCGAAACACCTTTGTCGTAATATATGCCCGAACCATCTCATCACCTTCCTTCTCCGACTCATCTGCTCGATCCTGGACCTTCTCATTCATTCAAGCTGTTCAACTGTCGATCGAAGAATTCCGATGGTTTGTTCGATTGTCGTGAAGCTATCGCAACATTGTATGGGTCATGTAGGGGCCATATTGGCGGTTGATACCGTTCTTTCCAGCGTTTCGTTTCACTAGTTGAGCCAAGAAATTTCGGTTAGCCCACTGCCGCCTGCCATGGGCTTCAAGAGTTCAAGCAAGCGAACTGCGATGTTTGTGGCAGACGCGCTCAGCTCAAGCGTGTGCTTTGGCATTGTGGGTGTGTTGTTGATAATTGAATTATGTTACAACTGAGGTACACGCACGTATACCTATGTGAATTACATAGAAATCGGTGATGCCGCTCGTTCGGCGAAGAGAGGGACGGGCGCTGTTTGGACATGGATGTACTGTAGGCCAACAAGCAGCGCGCTTACCATTCTCTCCAACATTTCAGGACGATAATGAAACGGCAGACTCCCGGAAGGGTGATATTTAAAACCACTTGGGATTGAGCTTTCGCCGATCCTGCATTACAGATTCGGCGAGCCATAAATACGACAGAGTCAAGCGCCCAAAGTTAAAAAGTTGCGGGGTGGATCCTGGGGGGAGCGATCGACTCGGAATTATTTCGAGCGCTCAGAGTGTTAATCCCATTTATCCAGTTTCTCTCCGTTTCTTCAAGAAACTAGTGTCACGGGCTCGTCGGTGTGGTTGAATCATCTTCCAGGGGACCACTCCAATAATATCGCTTGGCTTTCAACGTCAAACCCCCAAGTTCTTTTGACTAACAGCTGATATCGCGCCGGATGGCAAGGTCACTTCACGAAGCTCCCGGCGCTGTGCAGGGGGTTTCATGGACTTGCCATCGATATAAGAAAAGACTACACGGTGTTACCCAAAAATACGGCGATGGCCAGCGAGAGACGTCAGAAGCCCAACGCCCACCTGATTTTATTTCCAAATACGACAAGTTTAGCTGTGGTGTGAGTGTCTACATGTACCGAGAGAAGCCCTTCACTTCAGATGGATACTTACATATGTAAGAATCGAATCCACGCTATTCATGGATCCACGTCCCTTGCTCACAACAGCGATCCTGATATGATATGATGTGCGAGCATCGCCTTTCTCCATACATACCGCCAACTAGGCAATGGGGAATGACATAACAATCAGCGCTCAATGTTTCATCGGCCAAGGGGAGTCCGGGGATGCAATGTGTCGCACCATTGAACGTCGTCCAATAGTGCCTTACTTTTGGTCCATGATGTCCATCCTCCCGCGATAGCCAGTAACGTCCTGAGCCCGAAATTCCGATTCAGATTACTCTGCAACGGAACTTGATTGAGTCCATCCAGGAGGTTTGACTGATGTTAGCGCCCAGGGGGCCTTACCAAACAAAGTCTCCCCCAGTGGGCTGATTTCGCCATGACATACCAAATCCTACGCGACCACCGTAAACCTTTCCTTTCTCGACTAAAATCAAAGATGTTTTTAGAACTGAAGGAGAGTCCTTTGTCGTTTCACGGCTTTCCCGGGTTTAACCAGGGATGCTGGTTGCATTGAACAGCAGCGGGTTAGTACTACGATATTCTATATGCGTTTCTGTACTTTGCGAATAGTTCGAATAGCGCGGATCGTTACATTGCAATTGGTTTTGGTCTCAACTTTGACACTGTTGCCTGTTCGGCGCCCGACATTTTGTTGGAAGATTCTGCCCAAAAGTTGGGATCAGGAAAGGAAGTCGAGATTGGGAGGAATTTTTGGTACTGCCCCCTCTCGCCTGTTGCAGAAACGCCGCCCAAAGCTTCGATTTTTTTTTCTCGGCGGTCAGAGGTAGAACAGAAACAGAAGGAGAGTCCGAAACTGGGAACGATCATGATCAGAGCCCAAAGTTGCGACCTAGTACATCGCAGCTATTCTTGGCTGTACTCAAGGCGCTGAGTTTGTTACGTACCGTACCTCCCTAAAGTAGCCCATTTAAGCGCCCTTAGACTCTGGGATTAAGCCCTCAAAAGTGAGCTATGAGAATCGCTCCACACGAGGACCAGCAAAGGATCGCCAGACCTAAATTGGACAATCCGAGTTGCACGTACAAGGGGATCCCTATCTGCGCACCAACTGATATCCAACCGGTTACTCAAAACCCCCCCACCAAATTCAGTATAACTTACATTCAAGGAAACCCAGATCCCCTTCACAAAAATGTGAGGGATCGCCATTGTTCGATAACCGCAAGCCACGCGAGCAATGGTGCCTCGAGGTCGAGCAGCAGTGACGAGAGACGAACACGTTCCATTTCCCCCGCTCCCTTGGCCACGAATCGACTCGGATTTCCAGGGTTCGGGGATTTACATCCACCACTTTCCCTTTCGAAGCGGTTAACCTTAAACTAGGCAATCAAAGTTCCATATCTAAAATGAACAACTCACGCACACTTCAACCCTACGTAAACCACTGTGCGACGAGAGTAGAATAGAGTTAAAGGGTTTTGCCAATCGTCCGAGTTTCGTTTTTCACTTCTTCTCTTTTGTATTCGTCGCCGGTGAGCGTACGGTCATTGAGAAGGAAGGGAAACAGGTAGAGAGACTCAAGCTTTCAAAGTGACAAGGTTGAGAACGGGTGATGCTCTACGCTGAAAAAGGGGGGCGTGCGTGTTCGATTGGAAGGAGGGCAGAAGCGTTCGATGATTGCCCAAGGAGTTTTCTATTTGGAAGCCCGGCATTCAACTGATTGAGCTACGAGGACTTAGTAACCGGTATAGGATCAACCTGTACGATGGATGAAGTCCGAGAAGACAGCAGATTGAAAGAGTCCATTCTGATTGGAAAAAGCTTCATTCGATGAGTGACAGTTAGGAAACCCATCGGCGACTTGGGATGAAGACGCTCATACCAAGACCGTGTGATGAAACTGAATGTGTGCGATTGTGATGCTGCACGGGGCGAAGGTGCGTCTTGCGAAGAGATGTAATGAAAACAACAAGGTTACTTATGAGTAATAACGAAGGACGCAATAGGAAGGTAGCGGGGGTATCGTTGCTCTGGAGTTCAGTTAACCTTTGGCAACGCACGGAAAAGATAACAGGGTGATGCTAGGAGAGCGATCATGCCCTTCACAGGGTTCTAGCTCGTGCCACGACATGATATTACCTGCAAGTTCGGTGATACATATGTAAGTGCGCATGCAGCCTAGTAGCAGCACCGACGGACTCACCCTCTACCTCTGTCAGCTACCTGCTGAATCAGTTCCGCTCCAACATCAAGAGAAACGGGTCTAGAATGTCCAAAGCGTTTGGACAAAAATAACGAGAGACAATGAGAGACGTCATGGTCCGCGTTGTCCAAGGGCGAATCGTTTAGGGAACGTCATCTAACATAAAAGGCCGATTGCTCGTCCTTCCCTGGGTTCATTTTGGATCCGTAAGAAGCCCAGAGAAACAACAGATAATGCCGAGGCAGGTTACCGAAGGCATCCCGTCTGGGATTAGCATATCCTTATTTATCGATCCGTTCCAGGTCCATCTGACTGGCTCTGAGCATCGATGATAGCATGATAGCCATCGATGATTTTCATCCGTGGGTGCAGGGACCTATCCGTGAATGGGTATCCAATGTGGATCATGTCTGTAACGAGGCAGGGTCCGACATCCTTATGATTGTACAAGAAAGGGTGCAAACATACCTTGTGATCGACCGCCTCCATCGATAAGAACTACCAAACGATGGAGCACAGGGCCGAGAGCCCCAAATAGCCACTTATCGATGGAGGCATGGAAAGTTTGTTTTTTTGGCTATACATAGAGCGTTCTTGCCTTTATGCCCAAAGTGAAAAGTAGCCAAGACGCCTGGGTACAGGAAGCCACCCGTGAAGGTGATGGACGCAAGGATGATCGTTGGACGGATGATCCACACCGACACGCAGATTTAGAATGCCGGGACAGCTGGTATGCCTGGAAGCAAGGAAATTAGGCAAGCTGTCGCAGAAAGGAATTTGGGTGCCCATACCAGCCAGAACGTTCGCTAGACGAAGGGAACGCGAACCGACCGGTGTCTGAGTCATTGGCACGGAAGGTGCCCCTCCAGGCGACACCCCAGTGGCAGAAAGGCACGAGTCCACGGCAAATAAGCGAGTCGCCGGGATCGTACATATGCGGCTGAAAGCGAGGCGAAATTACATTTGGGATGGCAGAAGGCCTGATTGACAAGGGTCGACCTTCTAGAGGAGCTGTTGTTACCTGATTGACGGAATGGCGGGTTGGGGCTTTGAGTTTGAATTATATGGGTGTCGAGAGACTGACCTGTGGTATGAAGGTAGGAATGCATTTGAAGTGGGACGACCCTGCATGGATGGAGCCAGAGTGCGAGCTTGTGTGTGGGATATCAGAGAGTCAAACAGGAATAGTTCTAGCGTATAGAGCGGACGCAGATCCCAAAGTTAGTCTTACCCAGAACGGCTAGTGGAATCCCACGTGAACAGCGTAGCGAGTGCAGGCGCAGTAGATACGTGTCAGGAGGGGTTGTGCCTCCTTGAAGTGCTGTAACGCGCTCAAGCGCTCCGAATTGGCCGTATAAAGAGACTGATCGTTGGAGAGAGGCGCTGGAGAGGAATTGAGATCTTGGAAACAATACGAAATGATGAGTTGTCGCCCGACGATCCGCAGTGCATCAGCTGAATCGCGATTTGTGCAGGAAATTATTTTTTACCGGAAATCCCAAAGCGGAGAATGAAATTTGTGGTGACAATCGGATGCGCCAATCCTTGCCGTTTGGAGAGGGCCAAGACGGTAGCGTTAATCCTTAAAATGGAGGGCGAATCCATCGGGGACGTTCCCAACGTTTGTCGCCGATTGCCATCTTTCTGTTTTGGTTAGTTTTGGCGTCAATTCCGCTCGGCCCAAACTTGTTTCTTCTTCACCTCGTTTTCCCCTTGCTTCTCCCCTTTGCCGCTTTAGTCCACACCGGTATTCAAATAGCTCCCGATTCATCTGCGACCGCCTCCGAACATATATAAACCCTCGCTGCCTCCCGCGTCCTCCCCTGCGCAAATCACCCGCTTGTCATTCAAATCATGGACTCTCCGTCCTCTTCCTCAAAGACTGTCTCGTTGCCTAGTATACACGAGATGTTCCCAGGTATGTTTCTTCTCTCCGTCGTCATTGGAAAATATCTGACATGCGACTCTGGCAGAACATATAGAGCGGGCTCAAAACAAGAATGACTTGAAGGAAGTTGGATCGAAAGGGAAATCTCGAGTGAGTACTTTGACATTGATTTCACTTGGATAATCCAAGTTGACGATATGTCAGGAATCGTCCGAACGTTCGTCGCGATCACCCAAGGGTTCACCGTCGTCGAGGCATTCAGAACTATCCACATCACGAGGCCGACCGGTTACCAACGAGGGACCCCACGACGTCTCCTTTGACGTCCTTCGCTCAGATCCCAGCAGTTCGTCGCTGCAACACCTGACATCGAGTACCACATATCCAAACCGGGGTGCCGCCCTTACATACCAGTCTGGCGCAGGCGTCGAGCGTGGTTCAGCCCCTGCCTTTCGTGTTTCAGTTTCTGCGACGCCACCCCCAGGCCCGCCATCAGACGCATCATCCGCAGCCCCTCCCTCGACCTCTTCTCAGCCGCGTGGGAGCCACAACTTGCCCGCTGACATGGCTGGGATGCACATCAATGACCCACAGCAGCAAGCGCGATCGGCTGGCACCAATAACCACAATGGATCCACAAGTTACCCCTCCATCATCTCGTTTCCCGTTTCCGGACAGCGTCCTCACTCTGGGGGCCCACTGGCTTCCCAAGAAGATAATGTCGGCAATGGTAGTGAAGAAGAGGGTGCCAATGAAGCTAGCTCAGGAAAGAAGCATGTTTGCCCAACGTGTTTCAAACGTTTCAATCGACCGAGTAGCCTGAGAATCCATGTCAACACTCATACTGGCGCTACTCGTGAGTTTCATCCTCGTTATGCCCTACGTTTCGAGACTGAAAGATCGTCACAGCGTTCCGTTGCCCATGGCCGAACTGTGGTCGTGAATTCAACGTCAACTCAAACATGCGACGTCACTATCGCAATCATGCATCCCCTGGATTCGCCCGCCAGCCCACAGAAATCCGACGCAGGAGACGTCGAATCGACAACTCGATGCTCGAAGGACACCCTCCTCATTTGAACGCCCCTCATCTGGCACCCATGCGTCGCGTTTCTGATCCTTACGGACGGTCAGTCAATGGATATCCTGGGAGTGACGAATCGGATGGGTACGACTCGGATTATGGAAAGCACGCACCTCGCCACGACGACCTCGAGTACGATTTGCACCCTGCCGCGTGGTCAGGCAGCCCGCACGCGATGCCTCGCGCTCCTCATGAAAGATCATCGCGATCGTCGACGGCTTCGATCCCTCCCCACCATTATCCCTACCATCGTCGGTCCCCGCACCACTCTTCTCGCCACCCGGAAGACGTGCCTCATCAGTACCAATACCCTCCGCCTCCTCCGGGATATGGTAGCCATCACTCGCCGCCCCCACCTCCGTCGCACTACCCACCCCATCGCTACTCCCCCTCGATGTCTTATCACTACGACTACCCAAGGTCTCCGAGGCATCACCCATACCCACTGCCTGGTACTCGATCCTACACGCCTGCTGGCTCGAGCTTCCATTCCTCCTCACCATCTCCCTCGCATCTCCTCCTCTCCATACGCCATCATCTCATCCGTCCAGGTCCCATTCGCACTCACATCCTCATTCCCATCCACACGGGCCGCCAACAATCCACAAAGAACCAATCTACACTGCCTCGAATCCATATCTTCGGACGGTGACGGAGAACCGCATCGTTTCTACGACGCTGAGGCCAGCGTTCGCCTCGACACCAGCTCGTGCGCCGGAACCACCGTCCTCCAGGCACAGCTATTCCGGGCGAACCTAACCGAGGATCATTATCGCATCGCCTTCGTTTCTGCAAGTTCCAGTTCCCTGCTACCTTCTGCTGATGACTATCTCCTCTTCCTCTTATCACATCATCGACTCGACTTTATCTGCTAGGTTCCTCTTCCATCGAACGCTAGGGGCATCTTCCCGGTTTCATGGCATCATCTCCTTTTTCTATTCCCCGTTTTCATATTCCCCTTCTTCACGATCGATCATGAACTTTTTTTCCTTCTTGCAATGTATCATATCGCTTCAAGCTGTTCCAGCGCCCTCGCTGTTTCCTCCTCCCTTTTTGATACCAACCAACCCCGCGCCTAGATGCTTTGCACCGAGTTTTCAGTCATTCAGTCAGTCAGTCAGCCAACCAACCGTCCGCCGTCCTCTTTCCATCATCCATCCTCTTGCATCCAACATTTTATCATCCATCATCCATTCATCGCTTTCGTCATCGCATTTTTAGGTATTCTACCACTACTACCTGCTAAGTCTGCTGATTCCTTCACGACTACTGCTACTTCTTAGTACTACCCAGTAGGTTACTGTTACAGATGTTCTATCATTATTCGTATTGATATTGGAATCAGACTTTCTGCGTTATCATCATCTTCATCGTTATCAGTTATATTGCATTCATTCCAAGTTCGAAATTCGTAGAGCGTCAATCGAGGTGCAGTGAATACTGGCATGCTTGGTGGACAGATCCTTCGTGACTGCTGAGCGCTGACTAGTCCTGATCATGACCCGCCGGGCTTTTGGTAAGACTGATCATGACACGAGCTTGCTTCTGATAAGATGGGGAGTACGGTATGAACGTAAGATCGTCTTTTCAATTGGGTTTCTCGGGGATGATTCAATGAATTCGGAAAGGCAGACATCTGAAGGGTCTGACGAGATGCTTAGCAAGGATCCTTAAAGGGTGGCCGCGATGAACAGTGAACTGCGGCCAGAGAGCAGTTGCGTTATTATAACGTGTCTTGGGCTGCGAATCAGGTTCGCGGCAGCGGCATGGAGTCGGTGGCTCAGGCTTGCGGCATGGATGGGATACCAATTGAGTTCGATGCCGGGTACTGCATACCCGAGACGTCCGATCCTGCTAAGTCCTTCTTGAAACTGTTACCAAGGCCTTCTCCAGCTTCTAACGATATCTCAAGTCATGTTTCCTACTTGCTATTTTACGACATGTATCTTACGAACCTCAGATGATCATACTTTCGGTGGTGAAATGAGCGATAGTTCCGACGCTGATCGAAGGTACTTCCTAGCCTCCTTGGGGTTTCTCTTCTACCTTGCCCCTCCGCGAGCAAATTGCACTTCGGATTCCTCGAGTATATCAGTATATATGTACTCTGAATGACACTGCCCTTCGATTTTTGAAATTGGGAGACGGGTTGCACGGTCTGACGTCCGTCTCATTCTTTAGTAGATAATTAGATTGAAATTTACTTCAGGGGGCAATTTGGAGTCGCTGGCCTTTGAATAGAGTCAGGAGGTTGGTTTTAGCCGAATCTGTTGAGCCCTTTGAGTAGAATCTGGTTCTGGAACCATTCTCTCTTTCATTCCTACGTCTTCTTTCGTTCCTCCGCGACCATTATGTCTTTCTTTCCCTTCTGGAGGACATGCATGCTTTCTAAGGTTCGGTACAAAGACCAAATACTTTGGGACAAATCCATGAGGGGTTCGCACAACTTCGACTTTAACGAATTTCAAGGAAGTAAGCAATCGCACACTTGCTTGGAGAAGAGGTATCATTCTGGAGTGTGTATTGGAGTCCCCTAACTAGGAAAACAGGGATAATCCACCGGGAAGAGTCGATCCAACCCTTCCAGAAGAGGATGTAAAGATGCAGGAATGGCGTGTTTCAGCTCCTACAGTGTGCACGTCTATGTACAAGAACTCCAAAACCCCGAATACATACGCCATACAAGCAAAGAGCCCGAGCTCCAAGAACCCATTGCGAACACATGGGAGTGGTGTCGATTGCGTCGCACCCAGCTCGTCATGGTCAGGTTGTGGTAGCGCCAATCCACAATTCAAGGAATATACACGGAATATACGTGGCTATAATATTTCCGGATTTCGAACGAGGTGACTTGCGGGAGCGACGGCTCAATTAAGTTTCTTCTCTTCCTCTTCGAAAGGGCTGGTGTTATCTCGTCATTTCGCTGCTTGGCTTAAAATTAGAGGCTTCTGGGGGGATCGGCGGGGTGTTTCGCCGGGGAATTCATTACATAGTCGGTGGTGTGGTCGGTGAGGAAGGTTGTATGTAGTGGGTGGAAACATGAGGCAGCGTCATTCTTGTGTGTTCGTAGTGTTATGGCGTTTCTTCGCCTTTCCCGGCGTGGCCGAAGCCGTGGGCTTGGTGAGGGCGATCCTCCTATTTATCGGGAACCCATGATCTCGTAAGTAGCAACTCCGCAACACACATACGGTATACATCGTAGCCTACTATGGACCTACGATTTGCGGCCTTTCCAACACTCGGATCTAGGCCAGTGTGGTATTTCGAATGGTCCTTTCGCGAAAAGGTTTGGGGTGTGTGTGTGTGCTTTCAGGCTATGTATTTGCCCATAACGAGATTTGTCAAACGGTGCTTCGAGCTTCGAGAACCCTGCCCGTGTGTTTGTGGCCGCTTCGCAGGTGAGTATGTGTGCTTCTTGTGGATCGTCACCGAAGTTTCAGTGGATTATCGATGGATGTACGAGTAAGGTATACATTCGGACGGGTATTTCCTACAGCCTAATTCAAAGGAGGGCCGTAGAGGGTTGATCCAAGTCCTCAAGTCTCCGAGGATGATGAAGAAGCTCTGCAGATCCCTCGAGCTTCGACGCGTCTTCGAAGTACCAAGCACCCTTGGTCCGATATTTCTCCTCCCGCGAACTATGAATAGCAAGGAAAGGCGTTGGATGATAAGAGTGTCTACAACATACCACAGGAGTTCGAAAGAGAACGGTTTGTCTGCGCAGGATCGTGGGTTTGACCGTCCACCACGAATCACACGAGTTCCTCACCTCCAACAAGGAGAGGCGCTCGCCCCGAATGACACGGTCGACGTGTTCAATGAATAATCAACAGGAGTCGCGTTCTCAATACCACCGAGTGAAAATCTGCAGAACTTCCTTTCAAATTCCCCGTCCGAGACAGAAATCCGGGCAAAAAAGAAAAATCGCAACAAAAGCCGCAGTTTGTTCCATTCGGTTCTTGTGGGATCCCGAGTGAAATAGTGGGCTCGGGACCTCGGGTATGACGGTTAATCCAAGCAGCCCTTGTTGCGCCGTGACTTCCCTTTCAGTCGTGCCTTCCCCGAAAACATGAACCCGTATCAAGCTTGGGATCAAAGACGATCTTCGTGCTGTGACAGTTCTGGACTGATGGACCTATCGAACGTTAGCCATCCAATCTGGAAATACTTTCCCTCGAGGAAATCGTACTTTTGCGTCCTGGGTATGATGAGAGCGCTCTGTGAAAGCGCCGGGGCCGTCCTCAGCGCTCACAGGAGGACTCGGCCTCCGAGCTGTATTGACGATTACCAATGAAATATCCTGATGCTGTTAATTGTCCAACGACATAGATTGGTTGGGTTAGGCAGGTTTAGGCTGACACTAGTACAACTGGTCTAAGATTTTGAGGGGTAATGAGTGGCGAATGAAATGTCGGCAAAGACATAACCGTATGGGCGGCAACAATTGCAGAGAATGCAATTGGCAGCGACGATGTGGCAACCGTGACCAATTCAGTACCATAAAAGGCGAAGTCTTTCGGAAAAAGTGTAGGAAAGGACGACAGAGCGAGAGGCACACGAGGGCCGCACGGCAGTTGAACTCCCTATTGTACCCTTCTCGGCCATACAGTCTTTCTGACCAGTCTCCGTCAGGGAAACCCCAAAGTGAGAAAAGACTGACTTGACCTTCACGCGGGTCCTCGAACTTTGCGAAGTCGACACCAATTCTGGCCGTTGAATGTGCGAACGAGTCATGTCAAGGAAGGTGGAACATGAGGCGGCTGTGCCAAGAATCCCCGGAGGCAAATATCGGGAACACATCTTAGGGATCGGCGTGTCCATCCCGAGGATCCCTCCCCATCTGCACGATAATCATCGTGATGGACTGCCATTGACATACGGTGGACTCGAGCCCTGGCAGTTGCTATGCACGATCTTCGCGCATTGGGAGAGGCTACGTGCCGTATACATTCGATTGAATGGTTTAGAGGCTGGGCACGTCGGCAGAAAATACCCATGTGCCTGTACATCTTACCAATTCAAACGAGTGGTGTGGTGTGGGTGTATGCGCATCAAGTATGGGCTCTGGCCTGGGAACGAGGGGGCGCCTATGTGTACCCAGGTTCCGGCGTGAATTGACCAAGGATGTCAACGCCAGGGACAACTCACCATGTTGTTGTTCTTTAACTGGTACTCATCGTCCCAAGTGTCTAGATTCTGGACCGTCTTTGTGACCTCTTAGTACTTTTAAAGCAGGTAACTTAAAAAGGATTCTGAATAGGTTGCGGCCGGGGGAACTAGTCCCGAAGGGTACGATGGCGATATCGTGATTGTCGCGCCCCTTCATGTCAATCGCAGTCCTTCCACACTTAACGGTTCTAAAAGGGGATTATGGGGCTTGTGCGCTGTGGACAATCGGCCTCCGTAACAAGCGCCCAGACAGGGGTGAAAGAGATGTTAACTTATAAAGTGGCATCTGGACTGGGTGCGGGAGACTAAGCGAGAACATTTATCGCAGTTGAGACTAGTTGAAGCCACGAAGGCCAAGGTCGTTTCAACTTCTCTGTCTTAAACAATTGGAACTGAATGCCTGTAGGCTCGCCGCTGACGTCGACGTGGCCGAGCACAGCACTAGCGAGAGATATCTTAATCAAACCGAGAGAGTGGATGGCAAGTGCTGTGAAGTCCTGGATAAACTTGTCTGATACGGCCCTTCACAAGGATGTAGATCCGTCAGTCGAGGCTTAAGCTCAGTTTTAGCGGTCTGTTCGAGATTACAATCATAATCAGCTGTCTTTGTACCGCGAGCATGACTTTGGTCCTTAAACGATGTGAGCCAGAATTCGAACATCTGCTCTCTTGTAGAGATGGTATTATCAGACTCTAAGAGGCAGCAAACAACATCTAGGAATTGAGAGCTGGATTGGTATACTGATTCCTGAATACGCTGTGCAGCCTTCGTTACCGAGATCCCCGAATACGGCCAGGATTCACGGACCTATTCCCCGTACTAGTATGGGGACTGTACCAAAAGGACGCAGTTGAGGCTCGGGAAGCCGTGATGACAAGCTTCCAAATACCGTGCTTTTTTAAGTCCGAACTTATCAAGGCCTAACGGGAAGCCATTCATGGCGAGGAACGCGGGTTCAAACGGGATGAACACTCTCGTGAAAGGAAAACGAAAGCGTACTTCTTGGTCAGCATACTGGCGGTTTCTCTCAATGACGAATGTCGATGGTCTCGTGTTTCAGGGCTGAGGACGCTTCCACGGGTAAATGAGGATACCGTATATCACCTGTTCACGGATCTTCAACCTTGCCTTTCGCGGCAGGGTCTGATTACTAGGTGAGTATTTCCCGTTAAAATGGGTCGCATATCGAATAGCATTATAGCAGGTATCCTCATGCCCTGCACTGCCGTGCTGGTACAAGTCAGCGATCTTTTTGCATGCGTTACTGTCGTGTTGCCCAGAAAGACAGGTTGAAGACAGGGGCCACTTGCCGAAGTTGACGACATCCCGTGATGTCGGAATAGTCCCTTGTGCGTGCAGGTTTGAAGCGGAGCTTCAACTTCGCTCTTCTCTCTCCCCCACATTCAACACGACCTCCAGGCTCCAGATTCGGGTCCCTCTCGAGGCCACATACCCTAGTCGACGAACGTATACTGGCCGGTCGGTAGATGAAGTCTTCTGGGCTATACCACTGGGGATAACCTCGGTGGTGACGACAGACCTCATGCTGATGACGGCTCGCCCAAGACATTCAGGGTTTTGTTTTTCCTGGTGCTTACATCGAAGGAGCCTGGGCGTGCGGTCGTGTTTTGCAATGTCATTTCTAGATGCTGCTGTACTGTTCTCGCTTCATATCGGGTCAGAATCCCTGTCCTCTGAGCAAATTCCTCTGGACCCCAGTCGACCCTCAACAGCCTGACTGCAGTGGATGCGCCGACAATGTCGCCACGGATCTTGTGCCAGTGGAGCTCCTGTCGACAGGTTCTGACGCGATCCCTTCTCGAAGTAGGATAAACAGCGCTCGGACGTACACACTCCAACTTACTACTGCGCCACTTGGTAACCTCATGATCTCTTGAGTTAGAAGTCCTCCACCGCGTCACGTCTTCACTTCTGCGGACCCCTTCATTCACCGCACCGTAGGCGAAGGATCGGAATATCGCCGGCTACTGGATTGAACTATTGCTATTTTGTCCTGAGTCAGGTGGGGCCCTTTCATGCTTGTGTGGGGAAACAAGCTTCGTCCTCGACGTTGACCAGGAGGACCTTGTCAGGGAGGGTTTCCGTAACTTTGATCCAGACCAGTCTTTTACTATGGCTCATGAGGGAGCCATAGCTGTGGCATCTAGCTATATGGACGCCACTTGACGAGCGCCGCACGTGGCGCCGGTGAAGGGTCTTGCTTGGATGCTGTCGCGTTGCCGCATCGATGCCTCAAACGTGTTTGGAGTCGTCCATGGACCCAACGTCAGCCAACGTCCGAGTCCAGATTCAAATAACCAGATGCACTGTATTCCATGGTAAAGTAGGACAATTATAAGCGTATGAATATAACAACAGCATTTGAATGAGATACTAAATTCCCCTTTAAAAGGCTAAAGATTAAGAACACGAACGTTACAAGGCCGTGCGATGATACCGGGTTCGTAGGTGAATATAGAGGCAGAGGTCGATTCCGAATGCTTTACTTATAGTTTAGCTTTTGGATCAGCGGCCTCAGCCTCCTGCTTTCGAATCTCCTCCATGGCTTTTTGGATAGCCTTGTTACGGGTGTTGGTGGCAACAAAGCCGACTTCTCTGTCCGGCTTCCATCCATCGGGCAAGCGTTCTTCCCCCAACCACCTCTTAATCCACTCGATAGGCGAGCCGACCTTCTCTCCAACCTTCTTCTCCCACACGGCTTGGATGATCGCAAGCTCTCCACGAGCTATCTTCGCCTGAACAGATGTGAGAGGAGGCGATTCTTTCTCTCTCCGCACGCGGGACCTTCCCATGTCGAATATGCTGTAGAGGGTTTCCGTCTTCTTCTGCTTTACGCCGTCAACTTCGACCTCGGCTTCGACGACCGTCTGAGCATCCTTGACGACTGCTTCCACAAGTCCCTGGTCGATTTCGATAGGTGCGTATATCTGGCCGGGTGGCGTGTCGTGGTGCACGAGGCTGGCGTTATGCTCCACCACCCCATGCTTTCCAATCTCGTAGAGGTCGATCGGGCGGAATTTACGAAGGAGAAGGAATGTCGTGTAGGAGAGGAAGATGGAGAATGGCATTGTTAGGCCATAACATTCACGTAGGCCCTTGGCTATTGACCAAGCGCTCAAGTTTTTGCCGTCTCGATTACTAAAAGCTGCGTCAGAGAATGTCATTCAATGCGAATACGAATATAGACTCACATGTAGCCATGGTTTGCCATGGTATTTAAGGCAGGACAGGGTGAACGTGAGTCGCCCTTCTGTGCAGGGCAATAGCCATGCGCACTCCCAGTGACAGGACATCCCGCAGGACTGTGGGCATGAGGCCCATGAGACGATAGAGAAGAGCTGTCAGACATCTGGATCAGAGTGGGACGCCCCGAAGAGAAGGAATAGAAGTGTTGGGGACTGTAGAAGTGGTGAGGTTTATGTAGCAAAGAAGAGAGCCGTAAGCGTCGGGACGAATGCAAGCTGTAACGGAGAGATGGTCGCATGTTGCATTGCCCGTCAAATGATAACACACGGCGTGTTTAAGCACCGGTCAAATCCCGGTGCCTGAGACTTTACACGCCTCTTGGTCCCTTATTGATCTGCCCGTTCATTCTGTCAATAGTGCGCTTATCTATCAAACGGACAGTTGGATGGGGCGCGTCTTGCGTTTGAAACCTCTAATCCTGCCACTCAAACTATTTCAGAGCTGTTTATACCTGCGAAAATGTCGTGCTTTAGGCGGCAAAGCCCACATCGGATTATTTCTACCACCGGTTTCAGTTACATCATCCCTGTGAAGGAATAGACGCTATGAAACTACATTGGGCGCAAGAACAATTGGGCTGTGTCTCTTAAGCTATACGATATCTAGTATTCAGCCTGATAATCTAGACAAGATTGAAAGGCATTCATCTTTCCATGTCAATGCCCAATACACCGCAGGAGTCCCGCTTCCATCTGACATCCGTTTGGCTCGGCGCTTCTCCGAAGTGCTTCGATTCTCCCATCGCCTTCGATTGGACTTGCACCACCGCGAGGTGATCGTCTAGAGTGACCCGGCGCCGCTTACTCTTCTATTACGAAGCCTCGAGTCGTCATCGTACGCATGTAGGCGAGAACCACAGTGAATACCGTCATTGATTGAAAGGGAGTCGTCCCAGGTCGACAGTCCAATGGCCATCGGCGCTGGTCTTTTCAACCACTCTCATCTCTCCGTTCTGCAGTTTTTTCCGGGTCGCCTACTTAGGTATAACGGATTTAGCGCTCGCCAGAGGTTCGTGAGGACATTCCGATGACTCAGTCAATCAGTTGGGGCTAAACGGGATAGACTGAAGGCGCTGCAGCAATGAAACAAGCTGATCTTCACATATCATCAAAGTTCATTGCACCCCAACTACTCGACGATGGTTGTCAACCACTGCCACCATTCCGAATGGTTAGCTTAACTCTAGCTTCAAATAAATCTAAAGATATACCCGGAGCGACGGGGAGTCTGAGAGTCCGGAAACCAGTGCAATTAGGCCGACCTTCTGAGCTTAGTAGATAGAGGAAGAGCAGAGTATATGCCGAAATGACGTCGGAACGGGAGTCTCTGCCTCCATGGAGGTAGGAAGGAGCGACGCTTTCCCTATTAATAGACTGACCCGACAGTCTTCCCTGTTCTAGAGTCGTTAGCTGACCATTTATCATTACAATCTTATCACTACAATCGGCTTGGTGTCAGGGTTGTTTCGTTGTCTGAAGCCATTTGGAGATTATGGATCAACTAAAATGCTAGGCTAACAATTTCAGCGCCCTTTTGTCGATGCGGAAAAGGCATGTAAAACTCACCATTACCGATGGTGAATAGTAAAAGTTGGCATTGGCCGGACGATCGCAGAATAAACGCCACAAGGAACTGAAGGTAGGAGGAATTTCAGAGACTCCCTTGTTTCTTCCGACAATCTCTGATACGCTACGATATCCATCACGAAGTCGAGCTTTACCGACGACAGTTTCGGAAAGTCCTTTGAATTGGACAGCGCGGTATTCAGCTTCTTCCACAGTTCTGCCGTCGTCTTCAGTTCATTGGCGAACTCGTCTTCGCTCTTGGTGTAGTCGAGCGCAATGGTGACTGAAGTGAGGCTGGTCGCTCCTGCTCGAGAGAGGGAGGCTACGGTGTCGTTGATGACGCCAAGTATTGTCGCGAAATTCAAGAGGGCTGCCGCCCCGGAGAACGTGAGTCGAAGATGGGTGAATTGCTTAACACCACTAAAGTCGATGGGGAGCCGTTCGAAACCGAACAGGCCGTGATCTTTCGGGAAAGGTTACCAGCCGAACACGATGGCAAAATCGCACTTACCTAGGAAGTTCAAGTCGAGCTCGGTCAAGACCCCGCTTGAGCAAGAGGCCCGGATTAACCTCTGGAATGTGCCAACTGTGTGTTGAGTGGCCGTCCCCGTCAACTTGGCAATCTTTCCGAAGATAGGGAGGCTGGCGACGTCCTGGGGAATGTCAGATTTGGTTGTCAGATGGAGGCTGCATCCTTGGGTGCCGACTACGGGGGACTGAGAGACGTTGACCATTTGAAAAACAGTCGATCCACAAAAGGTCAAGCATGTCAGGTTGGGTGAATGGGTGAATAGCGTGGTCGGTAGCTCGAAGATACAGTCAAATGCCAATGATCTGATGCTGGGTGCGGTACACAATCGGAGAAGCGACTGCCTAAGAGGCGCGGGTAGTCTCCCGTACCGAATGTATTCACTGGGAAGAGGTGGTCCCAGAAAAACCGATGAAACGGAATCCAGTTTGTCCAGTAGACTCGAGAAGGCATCGACTTCCACGACAGGGTGGGTAACCGAAATGGCTATCACCACTTTCTTGACCAGAGGCGCAAATTGGGGGTACTGTGAAAGAAGTTTGTGTTTCTTCTGCACCAGCGAGACTGGGTTTTTCTGGAAAGGTAGCGTATTGACCCGGAGAACCTCGAAGATGAAGGGGCGAAACTCCGACGCGAACCTTTTGCAGACTAGGCGACAGGCTGCAAGCGTCCGGTTCCTTGCTATGTAGTCTCCATTGGCGGTTAGAGAGGCTATAATACCGATGAGTTCCACAGGGAGATGGGCGAGGGATTTGGACATGGCGGTGGAGGTTAAAAGATCACAAATGAATGCTCGCGAGTCGGCCGCGATACGGACAAGCCCGGCTGATTCAGACTGAGACTAAACTTCGGAACCGCGGCTTCAAAGAACAGGAGCTGCCAGAGGGGAGTCGAAAGGCCTGGTCCTCGGCTCACACAGAGGGTAGAGTTAGGGGTGTATGAAGAGGAACTCCTTTCACTCGCTCCTCGATGCTAGCAACGCAGACCATAGGGGCGCTGCTGGCCTTGCACATGTCATCACCTCTCCTTTTCAACCCCAAAAGTGACTTGACACGAGTATATATATTTAACCAGATCAGATTGGAGGCCAACCCTACAGGTATTTTAGCTATATAACTGGCGATCAACGCCTTCGTGTAGCAGGCCCGCTAAGAATTTTGAAAGCATCTACTCAGAATTCCGGGGACTTCGGTTGAGACCCAACATGGCATATCGAGTTCCATCTTCTTCCCCTGTTTCCCTTTCGTTCGACGCAAGAAGCCACCCCGGATGAAAAATATTGAAGGTCCAGAGTGCCAACACGATCATCGCGCCGTCGAGCCAGTCTGCCGGCAAGCAGGTGAAGGTGAACAAAGGAATAATTTCGAATGATCGACAACCTTGACTCACTGAAGTAGATCTCAGTTCGGAGGATACGTCCACCCCAACCTTCGGCCAACTCAACAGTGCGGTACAGAGCTCTGGAATAAAGTGTTAGACTTCGGTGAACTACAAAGGTCAAGCTGAGATTCACGCACCGAACAAACAAGCATAGGGTGTTGAACGTCAGTCCAACGAGCATGAGCTCGATCCTCTTGGTCAACCGGCCTCTCGCAGTGTAGTGCTTGTGGGCCAAATTGATTTTGTTAAGAGGCCTTTCGATGACGAAACGAATGTAATATTCAACGGCGAGAAGGGCGTAGAAGACGATTGCGACTGGGTTAAACCGATTGTTGTTAACTTGGCAAGGGACGTCGCCTGAGCCGCTGCGACTCACCGACGTGTAAGATGATGCCCCCCAGCATTATCAATCCACCCTAATTACAGAAGACATCCAGTATCCATTATGAAGAGCATGGACTCAGCAGCGCACCTTATTGGCTCCCTCCAGTGTGTCCGAGTTAATGGCTGCAACTGCACCCCCGCCTCCTTGGATGAACAGAGACAGAACGTCCTAAAAAAGCGTGGTGGAGAGGTATGGTGAGAAACCTGAAGGATACCGAAGGTCAAGTGGCTAACGGACAATTGTGCAGAAGATACCAGTATCTGGAGGCAAAATTAGGCGACGGTTGGAGCGGACGATTGATCTATTAAGACGTACACCAACGAGGCGACAAGCGACTATAGTCTGTCCCAAGAACCCTGATAATCCGTCCAAAGATGACAAAGTTGGCGGCCAGGAGCGGGGTAGGTCCAAGTACGGTGGCGACCGTCCTAAGCACCGTCGACGAGCGAATTAAGCAGATCCTCGAGCGTCTTCGAAAAAGCGGGACTCACTGGATTTGATACGGAAGCAAATCGAAAGGGTCGAAATGGGATTTCAAGCGTGCACTCCAGCCAACAACCTCGAGGATGCCACAGAAAATAGCTGTCGCAAACAGAAACCATTGCTTGCGAGCGGTTGCTTGAACGATATGACCGACTAGATCCAGCGAGTGAGCTTCCTAGATGGCGACCTGCGACGGGCCCGGATGCTCACCGGTGGAGATACTGAACAGAACGACGAAGGCAATGGCTACAGATTTGGTGGGGGCGTAGCCATATGCATTGCCTAAATCTTCTGTTGAGATATAAGTCAGTGTTTGAGTTGCTAGTGTGGAGTATCTAACCGCTAGCCATGTAGGGACGAGTCGATATGCGAAAGTTCGAGTTCTGAAGTTGAGGGGGTAGATGCGATTTCCTCTCTGCGAGCAGTCGAGCCTTTATACCCTGAGGCTTAGCACCCGAGGACCGCAGCCAGAAATATTTTTCATGGTATTAAACAACTGCAAATTTTTTAGGGCCGAATTCCAACACTGCTTTGCAATGTTCACCACGCAAGATTTTCGAAACGCCTGCGGTAAGCTGTAGAAGGCGACGGTGATCTATCGCCTCGCGGGAGACAAGGCACCGAGAACTTCTGTGGAGAGAATTTCCACATCGCTGCGGCCCGCAGACGTCAAATCAGAGAAGCACCAGTCGGTAGCGACCAGATTTTCGCAGGAGGAGTACAACATAACAGTTAGACATGGGCAACTTGAATGGTATGAAGTATATTTCGTACAAAACTGAAAGAATTTGATTAGAATACTGTCAGAGCACAATATACCTATATGCCTATTACTGACAGAGGTATCCACCCCATGCAAGTAATGGTGGGAAGCCAGTCGCGGGTCCCTAGAGAAGGTGTTGACAATCCCGGTGCAGATCCCGCTGCGGAACGGTGTTCTCTTACCGTCGAGGTTTCGTTCCCTCGCACACAGTTGCTCTCACCAACAACGACGGAGAATTCAAAGCGGATTGTTCCCTTGGAAGAGTTGCTGCGCAAGATAAACTTGCGCTTTCAAGCTTGCCTCGACGTGGATCCCGAAGGGCTAACAGGATCGCGAAGGATGCCGACAGATCCTGAATCAAGCCGGTTTGATGATATCAAAGCTCTTCGAGAACGGCCATCTACGAAAACCTAAACTCTGCAGCGATCCTCCATGATGGCTTGCCCAATCCTGGACCTTCCTTCAGAGCTCCTAGCAAAGGTGGCTCTTCACACCTCACATACAACAGAAACCCACCCTTCAACCGTGAAATCCTGCATGTTAACGTGCAAGACTTTCGCAGAGCACTTCCGACCCCGCCTCTTCCGGCGCGCAGCAATCGAGTTGGAACGCAGCGGGCCCATCGAGCGTCTCCTCGCGATCCTCTCCGCGAACCCGGGGTATGGAAAATATGTCAAGAATTTGGTTATCGCGACATCCTCGCTGTCCACCGTGCACTGCCCCGCACTTCCGGACTTGCTCCTTCATCTCACAGAGGTCAGCGACTTGGCGATGGACTCGATTTCGTTCCTGTCTCTCCCTGAACCATTGGCACAATCGATATCATCGCTTTGCACAAGGAGTCCCCTCTCGACACTCCGTATCTTCGCCTGTAAAGATTTCCCACTGGATTCGGCGCTCAACCCGAGGGCACAAATGATCACCATATACGAGCCATCGTTCTGCCACTCGGAAAACGAGGGGGAGCCTGTCGATGCGGGGACGCGTCAAGGATCGAATCTCAGAGTTCTCAGGGTCACCGTCCCCTCCAAGGACGTCTTTCCGTGCCCCCGACGCCTCCTTACATTCGCTGCTAATTCGTTGGAGGTGATGCAAGTCAATGCGCTTGGTGAGTACGGATGGTCTCACGCTCCTGTCCTGATATCACCGCTGACTGGAACTCCGAATATCAAACTCTTTGGCATTCAGAAATGCGGCCCTTCTCCCTCGATCTTGAAGGCCTCGTCTGTCTTCGCCACCTCCTCTTCAGCCTATCCGGCGTATGGCGCATCGACGACGCACTCCACCTCGTCACCAGCCTCGCTCGCTCGCTTCCTTCCGTCGAGCAATCGCTCGAAACGATTTCGATTTCCTTTGATATCTTAGACCCGAGCGTCTTCATGCACCTCGTCGATGCAGCGGCCGAATGGGGGGACCTGGGGGGTGCTCTGCAGGATCGGACGCGCTTGCCGAGGCTACGTGAGGTGCAGGTGGAGTTTGGGGTTAGGAATTTGTTCGCTGCTGGGCCGTTACCTGAGGAGGATACCTGTAAGCGGAAAGCGGAGGAGATGGCGCGTTTGGCCTTTAAGGATGTGGAAGCAAAAATCCGGGTCTCTGTGGAGATTGGGAATTCGTAACGTGGTGGTTATATAAGTACTAAAGCCTACCATTGACACTCTATTCGCATGCCATATTTTATGCCCGGAGAGGAATGTGTTTGCGAAGCTCCGGCCTTGTGCCCTTCAGGAATCAGAACTTGACTGCTTGTAGCACACGGGTAGATCAAGCTTGTCGCTAGGGATGGTCAAGGGGTTTTAAAACCCCCGGGGTAGAGGCCAAGGGTAGAGCGGGGGTAGGGGTAAGGGTAGATCTCCGGCTACCCTTGGCCAAACCCCTACCCCCGGTCGGGGGTAAGGGTTTTGATAAAAATCAATCAAAACCCATTTATTTCAGCATCTATGTATATTTTCTACTAAATAACTGCTGTATGCGCAATAAAACACATAAAAATATACATATAGACAACTGTAAGTAATTGTTAGTGCCAAAATGATTAAAACCCTTGGTCAAAACCCCCAGGGTTGGGGGTAAGGGTACTACCCCTACCCCTCAGTCAGGGGTAGGGGTTTTGGGGGGTGGGGGTAAGGGTAGGTGTCCGGCTACCCGGGGGTTACCCCTGTCCTTCCCTACTTGTCGCGCTCGATCCCAACTCAACGGATGAAACCTCGAGCTGGAGGCCGTTCGTTATTATGGATACTCTGAAAACTGGTGTGTTTGTCTTTTATGTTTCTTCCTCGCTTCACTGTCGCCCGCCTCTCAGAACCTCTTTTCACAGATTTGATGTCATCGATTTTCATTACCTTGACGATTGCATTTACCAAGAGGCGTCAGATTCCCCGATCCAGGCCATGGTTTCTCACGGAGGAGGTCCCCCCCCCTCCCCCCCAAAATGGGGATAACTACTCTGATTGCCACGGCGGCAGGCTTGACTGTCGAGTCTGAGTTGGGGGTGGAAGATTGTCCTAGGGCCCTTTTTCATCGAGTGGAGTGTTTCCTTCATCATGGTGACTCGTTCCAGGGCTCACCGAGCGCAGACGACGAGTACAGCCCTCCATGTAGCTGTCTGGAGAGCCTCCCTCGTACTCTGCCGACGTTCAGTTCGTGATCCATGCTGATACGAACAGCGGAATTGTGATTGCCATCATTCGAGAACCTATGGCGTGGATCGGTGAATCTGCCGCCTCTTGGCATTTACCACTCAATATTACTCAATGTCCAGTGAAGTGCGCCACTTCGTCACTTGCGTGGCTTGGTCATTTTCCTGCTCCTCCCGCTCCTCCTCCTCCTCCTCCGAAGAGCGATCACATCTACTATCATTCCAGCGCCATCTTCACCACTAGCAGTACTAGCGGAAACAATCTCGCCCTCCCTCGAATTCACCAACCTAAGACCTTGCATCAATTTCGGTTCTTGAAGGTAGTATATGGCGAGTGCAGCGCTCGCAATGATTAATGTTATTGTATTAATAATTAAATAATTCGGACGGCCGACTGGAGGGAATTTATTATTAGACGTGGTCCTTGCGGATCGTGTGCGGCTACCTAGGTCCGAGACTGAGGCCTTTGTACGTTGAGCTTAGACTTAGTGATAGTGAGCAAGGTGGGGATTGTGTCGACAGGGACTGCCATGGGTGTAGCCTGTACCGGGTAGCATACTACTAGCATCGGTAGTACTACCAAGTGCCGCGGAGGCTGATCCCGAACCTTTTCAGGTGCAAAGGCCAGGTTTTTCCCCCTCCCTCAATGATGTGGAGACTACGATCTTTTTGGAACTTGAAACTTTACTTTGTACTACTAGAATGAGTCCGGATTCCGATCTCCCTCACGAAACCACTGGATGATCATTACATCACTACTTTGTGTTGGTTGTCCTAGCCATGGCTCATACGCACTGGCAGCGCGCCGATTGCGCGCATAAAAGTGGTCATCCGAGTCACGGTGTCCACTCAGGCCACACTCAGGCTGGACTCTGGAGACTCGGGCCATCATGCATCAGCGCTCAGCGAGGCGCGATGTACAGTAGAATGTAAGTAGGTAGTATAACTTTAACTTGTACTATAGATAGATAGATAGATAGATGTGTAGTCCACGTCTATGGGCTATGTACACTGTTTGGTAGAACAGGCAATTTAAAAGCCATTGGCTTCTAAGTTCTTTTGTGAAGGTGGACTCTAGATCTCCCGGCGACGATTTGGGATAGTCATGGTAGGCAGTGGCACTGGAAGTGGTGTGTAACTAAGCACTAAGTATTTATCCTCCGAAGAGACGAGGATTCAAAAGAGAGACGAGGTCGATGACAGGGGATGGGATGGAATCAGTGTTGAGTTTAGAGATGAGTAAATGGTGATACTTAGATGAGGCTTGAAGAACGGGAGCTTACATTACTGGAACACGTCGTTTGGAACGTGGAGGGACGGTGGTTACATACCGACCACGAGTCGTGGCAGCCGTTCTGATCGAAAGGAATTACAGAAATTTCTTTCCTACAGATTATTTTTATCTTACCAGCCTAGGAGGTATTTATCGTCATAGATATTAGGCGTTGCGCTATATTTAATCACCTCTCAAAGCAATAGATTGGTTTTACACATTTGTAGGCTATATGCAAGGCCTCCTCGACGTCGAGAAAGGACCGTAAACCCCTAACTGCGCGGCAAACCAAATTAGGGGTTAGATAGGGTATGTAATCAAGAATTAGTCATAACAACCCGCGTCACCTAGGCAACGGTGGCTCGATGGACCCAAGGCACCACCAACTCGAGTCCTATTCTCTTCTCAGGCAAGAACATCGCATTCAGCATTCACCCCGTACCTTTCTTTTCCACCTTCGTTTTTTTGTTTCTTGCATCCTCGTTTTCAACTCGTCTTTCTTCAATCTATTTTGCTCGACGGACGAGGCGATATTGTTGAAGGACGACTGACACCAGGGGCACCCGTTGGTCTATATCGGGGGTCGAATTCTGAAACGCACGCACGCACGCAGCGAGGGACGACCGACTGACCGCAGCAGGAGAGAATTGATAGTCGAAGGAGAAAGGGGTATAGGGAAAGGATTGAAACGCCCGCTTTGGAGAGAAGAGAAACGTAGCCTTGGGAGGGTGGATCTAAACGAGCACGCTATTATCTCGGGATAAGGATTGGACCGTTGGTTGATTTTTCTGCGGCCGCCTTTAAACGAACCATCGCACATCGTACGTTTGGTCTATCTCCTCCGCATATCTATCCAGCTGACGAGGGGTAAAGACAAGAACGTATTGAAATCGAGGAAAAGAAAGGAATAATAATAATGGCGACGACGGTACAAGGTGAGGAGGTCTATTTCGATTTTTGATCGCCGTTTTGGGCATCCAGAGTTGGAATCAGGATGCCCACTGCCTCGCGGATGACACGAGCGAGCCATAACAATAAAAACAAAACGACAAATACGGATGGAGGTCGATGTATGGATTAGTGGTGGTTGCATGCAGGCCTCACGTCCGTTGAATGTGAACCATGATCGCTGCTAGTAGCGTCCTCGCATCCGCGAAATTCATAGCCTCTTTTGTGGTGGTCTTTCTGTCGTCTTCGGGGTTGGCGGCACTTATCATCCCCCGCCATCGTCTTTGGATCAAAATCAGGATGCTAACCGCCTTCCGCGCTCTAGCACCCCACGAAACCACGACCACAACCGGCAACAGCACCAGCAACTCGACGTCGTCGTCCCGCGGAGGAGGAGGCGGGATATCGTTGGAAGCTCCGGCACCTGCATCGGCCTCGCCGTTCCCATCGCCCTCATCGTCGTTCTTGCCGCCGCCTACGCCTGGCGCGCACGAGTTTGCGGTTAAGCCCCCGCCGAGGAAGACCTCCGCGAACGCTTATATGCTTGGCGGTGCCGGCTTGGGGATCACCAACGGCACTCGGGATACATCCGCCACTTCGACTTCGACTAACATCACCCCTGCACTGAACGGAACAGCAGCAGTCAACGGCCACGGTGTCGATTCATCGGCAGGACCCATGAATGGCATCATCGAGGAGGAAGACTCGGTCGTGCCCAAACGCAATTCAACTCCGAACGCAGCATCGACGAATTTGAATTCAAAGCGCGAAAGCGGAAATAGTAACCCCAAGAAATCAGGCCAGACGCCAACGTCAACGGCGACGCTATTGTCTTCTGCTGGTAACCCTCAACCCCACATCACCACATCTCAAGAAGACTCGAAGATGGTGGTGTCCCCCGTGACACCTACGCCTTCGACTTTGGGCTTCGCGAAAGACAAGTCTGACGAGATCGTTGACGACAAGAACAATAACAACAACACGCGGGCTTCGAATTCGACTTTGAACTTGGGGAGTGTGAATGGAGTCAATGGTTTCGTTCATGGTGATTCTTCGATAACGACTGCGACCACCGGTTTACCCGGTTCCACAACCTCGACTTTGACCTCGACCGCGACCTCGACATCAGCGATGCCAGCAACATCATCCACACCCTCGAACATCACGATACCCTCCAAACGCCTCTCCCAAGAAAAAACACCAACGACACCTCGCAGTCCCTCCGGGTTCAACCCAACATCATCATCCTCGCGCCCACCTTCATCCTACTTCCCACCCGACTTTTCGTTGACCTCCTCGCGCCCCGCGCCGCCCTCTCCAGCACTCTCCGCCACGACCAACTCGCCGTCCAATTCGAAACGCCTCTCGGCTGCGCTGAGCAGTTCGAGTCGGTCTGGAGGAGGAGGTGGTGGTGGTGGTGGGAGTCGGCCGCCGTCGGGGGTGTTCACGCTTGGTCACGGGCATTCCAATTCCAATTCGTACTCCCATTCCCATTCGCATTCTGGCTCGCTTTCGCGCGCCAACTCGCTCTCCCAAAAACGACAATCCCAGTTGAGCAGTTTTGTGCTGCCGAGTCCGTTGGCTAGTCCTACGCAATTTGGTGCAGGTGGTGGGAGTGTGTTTGCGAGTTATCAGCAGCAGCAGCAGCAACCACCGGTTACGCCTACCGCTGCTTCGTCAGGGGCTACAAGTGCAGGCGTGGGCAACGGGATAGGAGCAGGTAGTGGAGACGTATTCTCGCCTCCGCCGCCCAACTCGGCGAGCAGTGAGGCGAGTGTGGCGAGTACGGTTACGCCGCTGAGTGCGCCTTCACCGACGTTTGGCGCGTTCCCGTCTGGGACGAGGGAAGACGAGGCGTCGTCGTCGTCGTCGAATCGTAATAGTCTCTCAGCACCACTACCTTCAGCATCGTCACAATCACAAGCACAACCAGAGCCGGGGGCGACGACGACATCGAACCGCAACAGCCTGTCTGCTGCACCGCCGTCATCTACGATTAAACGCGTCTCCAAGACGGTATACATCAAGATTCGAGATTTTGCTTTTCCGGATGAGGATGAGCGGCATCGGGGGTTGGGAGTTCATGTTCCGAAGAGTAATAGAGTTGCGAGGTTGAATCGGAGGTTGAGGAGGGGGTGGGTTGTTGGTGAGTGTCGTTTTTATTTTTATATTTTGGTTTTTGGGGTTTGGGGTTTGGGTTTTGTGGTTGGGTTGTTGTGTGTGCATTCTCGTTTCTCTTTCCATTTTCCGCTCTTCCATTCCCTCCATTCTTGCGCTTGTTTGTTCGCCACTAACCACATCCCTTGCTCTTTCTCCTTTCCACAGCCCGCCGCGCGCAACACTCCCGCCGGACACACAGTACATCCTCGATCTCATCCAACAACTCGTGGCGGTCATCCACCTCTTCGAACGCGTCGTCTACGACGTCTGGTGACGAGGAGGAAGAGGAGACGTGGGGGGATGATGCTGGGTGGGATAGTTTTAGGATGGGTTTTGGGAGGTTGAGTTGGAATACTGGGGGGTTTGTTGGTGGTGGTGGGTATGGTGGTAGTGCGGGGTATGGTGGTGCGAGTGGGGGAGGAGGGGGGTTCCCGAGTCGGAGTGATCTGGATAGGAACTTTATGGACGCCGACGACGAGGATTACGACGACGGTCCGCAGTACGGCGAGGATCAGTTCCAAGACGGGGTCGACCACGACATGGATGACGGAGAACTGGACGGCGAGGAAGAGGAAGAGATGGAGGAAGAAGAACCGATGTACCCGGGTATCTACCGTGCGCTGTTTGCGTTTGAGCCGGAGGGTACGGCTGAGGTTAGGTTAGTGGAGGACCAGCTTGTGCGTGTTGTGGGACGGGGAGGTGGGGTTGGGTGGGCTGTTGTTGAGGTTGGGTGGAGGCCTGGGAAGGATTTTTTGGAGAGTTTGAAGGCTTCGTCTTCTTCCGCGTCTACCTCATCTGCATCTGCTACGCAACAAACACCTTCAACACAACCACCTTCAACACAACCACAACCACAAACACCAACGCAAATGGGAGAAGGAGGGGCAGACGACAGCATGGACCTGATCCCCCTGGAAGTAACGGAAGAAAATGTACGTGTTACGGAGGAGAATGTGGGGATGGGAGGTGGAGGTGTTGATGTTGTTAGGAGTGATGGGACGAAGGTGAGGCATGGGCTTGTGCCGGAGAGTTATTTGGCGCCTGTTAGGTTGGAGGTTTGAGGAGGGGGTGGGGGTTTTAGGGGTGGGGTTTTAGGGGTGGGGGTGAGACGTTGGGAGATGGTGCATTTGATTGATTTGATATCCACCGCTCTGTATTCTGTCTACCTTTTTTATTTTCGTTCGTGAAATGTGTCGTATTATTTGCGTTTCTTTCTCCTTTTTTTCTTTTCTTTTCTCCTTCCTTTTCGTTGTTTGAATATTCCTGTTCTTATTTGCTTTTCATGTTCTCCTTTCTTCACCTGTCCTGATATTGTTTTTTGGTTGGCTCTGTCTCTTGTCTTTTTTTGTTGCTGTCCTCGAGAGCTCGTGTAGTGCATGTAGGTGTATGTCCCCGACGCGTTATTATTTCGTTGGTTTTTATTTTTGTTGAATTTATTTTCTTTCTCTGCTGATGGTGGCAACGTGAGTATGAGTTTGTGGACGTTCACTGGTCAGTCCTCTGGTGCAACAATGGTCGGTCAGTCCGGATCTGAATCCTCTACGGCCATTGGCCAACAGTCAGTGATTTGATTTGCCCCCAGCATATAGTCGATCCTCTATCATTAGGGCTCAAGGCCTCAGGCCTCAGGTTCGAAGTGGCCGCTTGACCCGAGGGGTGTAGGTACCGGTCGCGCTTCTAAGTTCTGCTAGGAGCTGAGAGCGAAATTGAGGGTGGAGCGGGACATTATGCGGGTAGCAGCCTGATGGCTAGAGGGCAATGTTGATGTTTTGGCCAAGTGCAAACACGCCGGTCTGGTTGGTTTTGCCTGATTGGCGCTTTCGAGATAATCTGACCTCAGTGTGCGAGGTGTACAGTATAAGTGATAGGTTCTGGACGACTCCCTCCTGATCATGAGTTTCAACGGTTTGCAGTAGAAAGTAAGTAGCAGTTCTCGTTAGCGCGAGCGACTGCTGCTATTTCTTTGAGTATATATAACCCAACGACCCAAACGCTGGCACCCCCAAATCACTCGTCATGTTCATGTCCTTTTCTTCGTGATCCTTAGTACTACTCTCGCAATGATCAGGCTGGCAGCAGTCCTTACTACTCTCGCGCTGATCAGGCCAGCAAGTTTTCCTGCCCGCAACGACTTCTTGCGTTCACTCGTTGGAGACGCTGACACTGCGCCAAACGTCCTTTGGGGTGTCCTGTCCTGCCTCCATTCGCATAGATGCTGACCCACTCTGGTGTCACCCATGCAGAAACCGAGCTTGAACATGAACCGCTGTGTCTCGATCTGGCAGGACTGGCTCGCCTCCGCCACATCCACGTGGCTGCGACCTGTCCACTGGTACGTCAAGCTCGCAGCGACCTCATCAGAGGCATGGCTCGGTCACTTTCCTCCTCCTCTACTTCCTCCCCCACCTCTTCAGCGACGTCAACCCTAGAAAAACGGTTTCCCTCTTCTTCAGAATTAATTGCGACGACCAAAAGGAGTTCATGGATCACATCGACGCTACCGCCGACTGGAAGAAGCTGGAGGACGCCCTCGCGGATCGTGTGCGTCTGCCTAGGCTCCGGGTTGTCAACTTGAATATCCGTGGTAACGTCGTTCGCGGGCGCAATGTACCTGACATCGAGCTTTTCCGGCAGCACGTAAAGGAGAGGCTACTTTCTTCCCTCGACGTGGAGACTACAATCCGGGTCGAGTCAGTGATTGACGGCCGGTAGTTCATAGACGGGGTAGTTCGTAATATCAAGGAGTCACCGATGTGGGTGAAGAATTCCGGGTTGGGGGTCTTGGACTGCTTGTGTCAGATGATAGATTGGCTACCGACTTGAACACTGGTGTTTGAATGTCGCGACCCATTTCTAGTCTCTTCGCCGTAAGACCGGTGTCGGTTACATGTGTTGTTTCTACTCTTGTCGCTGCTGAGATGATTTTGGTCCTGCTTCTCGCTGTCGCATACACACCTCCATCGGCGCCCCATTCTTCTTATGTCCGCGAAAGGATGTTCGCCATTTTTCTCTAATCGCGAGAGCTGTTATCTGAAACTTGGGATAATGTCTGTCCCCTGTCATCTCATCGAGCCTGGAATGGGCAACCTTTGTCCAGAAATATATATGATCGTCCAAGTTATGTCTGTTACACAAATGACAAGAAAAATAATAATGTCCATTCATGCATTCCAACTAGAGTCCAAGTCCGTCAATATGTATATGTATGGTCACCTATTCCTTCCGCGTAGTGGCACACTCCGACGCCCGACATGCGGTCTACTCGACGACAGGAACGGTATACAGCTGGATGGGCGTGCAATCCCCAGGTCCATCGCTAGACGACACTTTGTACCAAACCTACGCAGAAATCCGACAGTCAATATCCGCGACATCATGATTAACACCCATCACACCCAAGGTAACAGTTGGGAGTGGGGATTTGGGAACCCGGATGTACACTGCACACATACCTCCTTGGCAGTCCCACAAACATAAAACCCTCCCTGCCAATTAAACGTCAGCCTCGAACCCAGCTGGCTGTTCTCGGGGTTAGCCTCGAGGTAGAACGAGTTGTAAGATGCGCATTTGTTAGTGCTTGCACCAAGGACGTTGGAGAATTGGCCGTAGGTTGCGCAGGTAGCGGTTCCTAGTGTGAGCGTCGTGTGTCAGCATAACGGTCGCGGTAATTACCAGACATTGTTAAATATGTTAACTCGCTTTCGCTGAGAAGGGGGAAGTTCGAAGGAGGCGATAGTGATTCATGACGATAGTGATTCATGAAGGAGGAGGGAGGGGGTCGGAGGAAGGAGTGGGAGTAGGACTCCCAGGGACCCAACAGACCAACGTTGAACCTACATACCAGTTTGCAAAGTGTTAACCAGCGGCCTCCAGTTCAAAGTCCCATCCGGATAGTTGGGATCGAGAGCGACGAGCTGGCCTTGGCGGAAGTAGTACTTTGCGATGGGGCCTGTACCCGTTAGGACAGATTGGATCGAGCCGCCGTGGAGTCGGACGGGCTAGAGAGGTAAGTGGTGTAGTTAGTACTTGGAGAGGTATTGTGGGTGGTACATAGAGAAGTGATGTGGTTAGTACATAGTAAGTAGTGCATGGTACGAAAGGACAGGGACGGTGGAAGGAAACGAACGACGAATGGCAGACAAAATGCAAAACGAATGTACGCACCAAGAAATTAACACCAGCAGAGTCAGGTCCGCTGGCTACCAAATAGAACAGGGGTGTATCCCCTCCAGGGACGGTCACACCATGTACCAGAGAGGGTACGAGTGCGATTAGGCCAGAGAGGAGAGTGGAGGGCTTCATTCCCAGAGGTATGTGTGGAGTGGGGTGGGGTAGGGGGGAGGGGGGAGAGAGGGGAAGGACTCAGCCTAGATTCGTTGAGCTTCGAGAATGCCTCGCGCCTGCAACGCGTGGAGGACTTATACATGAAAGCTACCCCTTCATATATATAGCCAGCCGGGTGTCGGACTAACGGGATGATAGTCATCTATGATCTATCCCTGCCCTAGGACTCGTAGTGCCTCGAGGCGAGATTCTGACCTCTGAAGGCACAAGGCCGAGCACGTTCCTGTGCGGCCTGCATACGGCATGCACATCAGTACCTCCCAGTACCTGGAACTCACATAGATACTTAGTACCATAAGTATACACCGACGGAGCGTATCATGCTATGGCCGAGAGATCGATCATCCGAGCCTTCCAGGGACCTCAGAGTCAAACTCCCCAGCCATCGGACCTCGAGTAGAGTAAAGGCCCGTTGCAGTGACTGTCGAGCGGCCGAAACGCTTGGGCGGAATTTGGGAACGTTCTAGTCGAAGGTCGAGCTACGAGCATCGGGTTTCGGGTCTCTGGATCCAGGGTTGAACGTTGAACGTCGAGACTGCTGGCGGTACCTATTGGGCGTTCGGGACTGTACAGCTGTATCCTCTGCAGTCACATTCCCTGGGTTCCGCACACAAACCGTTGCAATTGGTGAATTGTGAAGAGATTCTGGAATCGCGGCTCATTCAAATGAAATCGTCGACGGAGAGAGTATTCTATACAATAGCCCGAGAGTCCGAGCGTGATAGAGATCTTTGAATGGACGGACGACGACGTCAAACAACTTTGAAACGACGGAGAAGATTTCCAGTTATGTAAATAAGGCGCTGGTAAAGGAATGCCGGCCGATGCTTGCATACATTTGGATTCTTCCCCTAAAATCAATCTTATGTACATAATGTGAGTCTTTGTGGGACCGAGCGTCAATCTAGTCTGTGAACCTAGTCAGCGAAGCGTAATCGTTCTCTAGGTCTACTTGATCTCGCCGTTCACACAACCCCCCCTCCTCGCTTCCTTTCTGAATCAATCGACCGTCCCATCGTTGCTGCAATGCCAGGATCGACGAAACGAAAACACAGGTCCAGTTTTACAGATGTGGAACTGCCCATCGCGCTGAGCGCCCTCCGGAATCTGGCTAAGAAACTCCGGCAAGAAATGGAGGATGGAAAGGAGGAGTTGGGTGAGGGGACAGAGTTGGACAAGGAGGCAGAGGGCACAATTATCGCACAGATCAAAGGACTGAAGGCGCTCCTGCAAGCAAACACTGACGGGCCACAGGTATGCATCTGATCCCTGGACGCAGTAAGCCACAGGTCTTATTTCTTCCCGGAGATGGGGGAGGACGAGGAGGAGGACGACCTTCTGGACAAGATGGGCATACGATGTAACGGTACGCTCAAGGTGAAGGACGATGCCCCTACCCGCGGGGCCATGACGGACGCTCTCGGAGAGAATTCGCTCTGGTCGGCGAACACGCTCTTTGCCCATCTTTGTATGCTTGAAACGCTTGTTCCGCAATCTGTGCGTTTCGATTTCTTTTTCAGATATCTCTGACAATGACATGCTGGCGATATACCCCCTTCACTGTGCCTCTCCCTTTTAGAGCGAAGGCGCCGTACGTCACTGGACCAACGCCTTCTTTTACCGTGTCTCCAGCATGGTACCTGAAGGCTTCAAGATGGTTTTATGCATGGAACAAGTTGCCCCTGCTGTCACCCTCTCGGACAGGAGCCCACACACAGAGTCAGGCTTTGTTGATTATGCAGTCGTAGTGATGCCCCAGGAACAGCACTGTTCGTTCACCTTTTATTAATATTGTGTAGGCTTGTTCTTACACGCATTTTCGCAGTCCATTTCTTACGGCGACCTATCCTGCGGCCCGACGATTCTGTGCTGTTGGTATCGGAAGCCAAGTACTGGGGTAATACTGACCTCAACAAACACATTCCTCATACCATCGTTGAGATGCATGGATACGCAAGACGTGCAGAGTAAATCTCGTTTCTCTTTGCCCTTGCCCGTGCCCCATGATTTATATTCATCTCGAATTTTCAGGAAAAAGATGGTCAGGGGTGTTGTGACGAATGGGTTTAAATGGATATTCCTCATCCTCACCCTGAACGATGACGGAACCGCTACCTATGTCCAGTCCTCTGAGATCACATACGCAAAGTTAACGGCCCGACCCTCCAAGGAGGGTGTTTCCATGATCTCTGCGATTCTCACTCATTGGGTATGTATGCCGAGTCGGTTCTTCAACTTGGAGAAGAAGAAATGTCTGATTTACTAATACTATCGTCAGGCTGTGCATAGCCACGAGCCGTTCAATGGGGACACTGATAAGTTCTTCCTGACTACCAACTAGGATGTGAGCCGCCATTGAACCGGACGGCTTCGAGTTTTGATTCGAGGTTGCCAGGGCTCGAACCTTGCTTGTTGCGTTTTGTTTGAACTTTAAAACTCGAGACTTGACTCGGGCTGCGACATGGAGGGGCGCTGGGCCTGATTCTATATGTCTCGTCTTCTGGAACGATTACCAGAAGGCACCGTCGCCTGGCCATGTAGTACTAGACTCGAAAACGCCATTTCTGTGCAGTGTGGACAGAGAAGCTTCCCTGGGCTAGCGCTTACACCACCTTCAACAGGCGAAAAAGAGAACCAAAAACTCCGTAGACGACACACGGGTCAAGGTAGCTAACTGGTAACCACTACAGATCGCTCTCAACGGTGACGCAGACCCGGATTTCAATACCCAGGTCCTCAAGTGACGAAACCAACCTCTCCTTCGCTCGCTGGTTACAAAGTTCCAAGTCTGGCAACGGATCAGCCGTATACCGGTGCACAATCTTAAATTCCAAATTCACACCCCGGAGCCTAGGCAAACGCGCCCGATCTGCGAGTATACCCTCGAGTTTGTCCCAGTCGGCTGTTGCATCGGTGAGATGCATGAAGGCGTTTTGGGTGTCGAGTGAGAATGAGAGTGAGATTGTTTCTAGTGGTGATGGTGGATCTGAGGAGGGACTCTGGGATAGGGATTGAGTGAGGCTGGTGACGAGGTGGCGGGCTTCGTGGGGTAATGAGGATGTTGCTGATAGGCGGATGTGGCGGAGGCGCACTAGTCCCGCCAGATTAAGACAGAACGGCCCGGGTTCTGTGGTAGCGTAGTGTAGTGTAGTGTATCCATGACGCAGGGAGCCGGTCAGCGTCTATGCAAAGAAGGGAGGAGATGGCCTGAAGACCCACCACAGGGCGTTAGGCGCAGCGTTTCCAGTGAACTAGCGGCGAACGTAAGGAGGCGTTGGGTGTAGGTGAAGATTTTCTCAGATGATCGCCTGATGTCAAGTTCTCGAAGGCGGACTTCTCCACTGGAATTGGAATCAGAACATGCATCGGCGGGCATCATCGTGCTCTCCGAACCACAAGAGGTGTGAAATATCCCGATATATTCCAGCTTCGGGTTGAAGATGAAATCCAGAGGTAGTCTATCACACCTGTACGCCTCGAGTCGCAAGAGGGGATTCGTATTGTAAAACGAGAGCATAGATTGCGAAATGGACGTGGGGAGAGAGGGGAACGACAGTTCTATGATCATCAGTTTGTTGACCTTTTTGAGATGGAGGAGCAAGTCGGGGAGAGCTGGACAGTGTATGGGAGTGTGAGAGTCTCCGATGGCGACCAGAATTTTGACTAGATTCCCGTATTGCGGGTTCCCGTTAAGAATGGCGAGGCAGCGCTGGACGTGCGCATTATCACCCAAGTCGATGATCGTGCATTGGAAGAGTCGAGGTCGGAAGTGGTCTGCGAAGGTTTTGCACGCCAAGATACAGGATTTCAGGGTTGATGGATAGGTATTCGGAATATTTGAGACATGAAAGGCTACTTCTGCTAGGATTTCAGGTGGAAGGTCGAGGATTGAGCTGGGCATTTGTGGAGGATCGCTGGAGAGTTCGCTCACCGCTCCTGGCAAGCTTTGGTCATTTTTGATATCATCAAAGCGGCTTGATTGCGTTATCTCCGGCATCCTCACCAGCCCTGCGCTGCTCACGGACCGTTTCAAAAAATCCACATTTTGTGGATGAGGAAGAAGCGCGTTTTGCGAGTATGGCTTCAACAGCAACGAAACACCTTGACTTGCAAGTCACAGTGCGATATGCAGAGGTTGAGCGACAATTTTCAGGATTGAAAAGGCCACTCGGTCCTTCACGCATGAATAAGGGGCTTGGGTTCAGATATGCCGTAATGAAAGCGCGTCACGGCTGCCATCGTATTGCCCAGGGTTGGACCACGACCACGACCACCACGCGCGCGAGGAACTCGAGTTCGTCGCCATGCGCCGGTACACGTTACTGACGACCCTGGCCCTGCTGGGCTCAGACCTTGGGAGTTGTCACAGCAAAGAGACGTCGCCGATAGACTATGTCAATTTGTGAGTCTCCATAGCCCAAAATCGCACCACTCAATGTACTCACAGACAAGGTTACGCTTACAGGCGAATAGGAACTACCGGGAGGACACCTAATACCTCAGGTGGAATGATACCCTCGGTGTCTCCACCCTTTGGAATGACGCGCTGGGTAGCCCAGAACCAAGTCTCGTATGTTTCGGCGACGCCGTATAATACCTCATGGGCTCTAGAGGGGAACGAAGAGGTGCGAATGGCTTGCTACCATCCTATTTCGAAGAGAAATTCTGATAACAAATGCGAAATGATAGGCACCACGCAGAATCCACGGTTTCATGGCCACCCGACAACCTGCAATCTGGATGGGCGAGAGCGGGAGTATCGCTCTTGTCCCTGGTTTCTCGACTTCATCGGATAGTGCTAGTGGACTCCCTGACCCGGGGGAGATTAAAGTGGACTTTGAGGCACGGGGGTTGGCTGTGGCGAAGGACGACCATGGACGATTCGAGGAGGATATAACGCCTTCTGCGTATACCGTCAGGCTTCATGGTTCGTACGAAACAGAGCCTGGAGATGGGGATGGGGAGACCGTGTTGTGCAAAATGACGGCTAGTAAGTCGGTCCAATCACTTCAGTCTATCATGAGATTGCTCACACCTCGAAGCTTCCCGCGTCGGGCACCTCTCATTCGACTACACAACCGGCAACCCCAAAAATCGACACAGGTACATCCTCCTCGAAGTAGCCAGACCTTCCATCATGACCTCCACACCAACGAACATCTCCTACCCCCCAGGCTACGTCAACATCACCCCCAACGAGGACACGTTCAGGATTTGCGGCTACTCAACCGAACGCCAGGATAGCATCATCACGCCTGTTTCGGGACAGAAAGCAGCAGAGGGCTTCAAAGGGTACTTCTGCGCGGAATTCGAGTTTGTGACAGACAGTGACAGTGGACGGACGGCGGGGGGAAGTGGAGACTCCGAGGGGGAGGGGTTGGAGCTGGTGTATGGAGTGATTCGGAATGGGACGGTGTATACGGGCAAGAGGGAGATGGAAGGCCCTCTGTTGAGCGCGTTCGTCTTCCTCCCGAAGGAGGTTACGCGGGTGGACGTGAGGGTTGGCACGTCGTTTATCTCGATTGAGCAGGCGAGGGAGAATTTGGGGGAGGTGCCTGCAGGTGAGATCCTTCCTCTCTTCCTATTTTCTCTCGCATGATTTTCCTAGGTTTGTCAGTACTCACCATTTAAACTATCAGGATCACCCTTGTCCACCACCGCAGACCGCGTCCACAACGAATGGGCCAACATCATGGAGAAGCGGGTCCAAATGAAAGTCGGAGGCCTGGAGGACGAAGAAGCGCAGGTGTTGCGAGAGGTGTTCTGGACGGGTGTTGCACGAACACTTCAGGTACGCTCCTTTCTCAAAACGTAGTCCTCGTCCTCCGTAACCGTAAGGCTGATTGTTGTCCCCCAGTACCCGTATGAGCAGCACGAAGGCAATCGATATTGGTCTGGGTACGACGGAGCTATTCACGAGCTTCCGCCTGGAGGGGAATCGTACACGGGGTATTCCATCTGGGTGCGTATATGATTATCCCCTGCATTCGATGGAAGGAAGAGGATTGACCACAGTCTACGAATATAGGATACGTATCGCGCAGCATGGAGCTGGCAGATCCTCTTCGTCCCCGAACGCATCCCTGGGATGGTACAAAGCATGCTCGCCGACTACCAGCAGGTACGTGCTTTATCCAACGCATCTACACTTCAATGTCCACCCACGAATGAACTCAACTTGTACTGACATTAATCCATCACTTCAGAGTGGTTGGCTGCCGATGTGGAAGAACATCGTCGAGACGAACATCATGGTGCGTTTTCCAAATATTAGACCTATCGCTCTCAGAATAGCTTTCGGATTCTGCATTCTGGATTCGGGAGTTCTGGAGATGAGATGAGAAGCTGATATTAACATCGACACCCATGGGTTAGATCGCAACACACGCAGACTCGCTTATTGCAGAAGCAGTCCTAAAGAAGATACCCGGGTTCAATCGGGAGCTTGCCTGGGAAGCGGTGTGGAAGGACTGTACTGTTCCTCCTGTTAACGATGCTACCACTCGGTGCGTGCTTCTCCTACTTTCTTATATATATATATATATTATGGCTTCACCTTTCTTTTATGGCTTCACGCGAATTTGGGCTGACTGACGTCGTCGTACCCTTAGATACGATGATCGTGAAGAGGTGAGTTATTTACACAGAAATTGAGGGGTGGTGAGGTTGATGGGTGTTCCTTTAGTTCGTCGATTACGAAGCGAGAGCGGGTTTGACATCCGTGTACAACGTCCCCGGCAAGGGATGGGTAGCTGATGACACCCACTCCGAAAGCGCTTCTCGAACATTAGGATACGCATGTATGCCCCCCTCCCTTCCTCCACATCATCATCCCTCTCACTGAACACCAAATGCGAACCAAATGCGAAATGCGCAACTGAAATCACCCTCAGACGACGACTACGCCGCCTACGTCCTCGCCCGCGAACTCGGGAAACCTCAAAACGTGACTGACTTCCTCCTGAAGAGGGCGATGAATGCGCCGTTTACGCTGTATAATGATGAGACTGGGTTTATGGAAGCTAGGAATGCGGATGGGTCGTGGGCTGGTGAGGATCGTGGTTGGACTGAAGGTACGTACGGATGGCTCTTTCGTCCGGGTCTTGGTTATTGCAAATCTTCCTCTCGTTTGACGCCTGGTTATGGCAAATCTTGTTTATGCCCAAGCGCGAGCTCGACGTCGATCATGGACTGACTGACTGATTGGTGGGCGTGCAGGCGACAAATGGGCGTACACTTTCGACGTCGTACATAACATCCCAGAGTTGATCAACCGACGAGGAGGGCGTCTGGCATTCGTGAAGAGCCTCGAAGAGCATTTTGAGGGTGGGCATAATGATCATACTAATGAGGTACGCCGCTGTTTACCCCTATCCTACTATCCCGATGGCGTTTGGACATTTTGAAACTTGATTCAATCGAGCGTTGCTGACTCGTTGTTGTTGTTAACTTGTAGCCCTCGCATCACATACCCTACCTCTACGCCCTCGCCGGCGCGGCATTCCGAACTCAAGAACTCGTACGGGAGATCGCAAAGGAGAATTACAACAACAAGGCGGACGGTTTGACAGGGGTGAGTACATACTACACAACCTATATATCCTACCCTTTCCAGCCAGAGGCGGATCTGAATGTGCCCGTGATAGAACGAAGATTGCGGACAAATGAGCGCCTGGTTCATCTTTAGCGCTATGGGCTTTTACCCCGTCAACCCCGTCTCGGGGGAGTACGTTATCGGTTCGCCGTTCTTTGAGGAGATTAGGCTCGACTTGCCGTCTCCCACCGACCCCACCTTCACAGCTCGCAAGTCGACCGAACGGGACAATAACATCCAAATTACCATCCGCGCACCCGGCGCCCGCACCAAACCCTACATCAAATCCCTCAAGATCAACGGTGTGGATTGGAAGGAGCCTGTCATACGCCATACGGATCTCGTCGATACTCAGACCGGAAAAGTGGATGTGGTGTTTGAGATGAGTGAGAATGTGGAGGAGTGGGGGAACGATCCGGTGGTACTTCGTGCTTTGCGAGGGGGGGTGGTGAGGAAACAGTATGCGGACGAGTTGTAATGTATGTAGGACAGCCAGATATTCTAGCGCAATATTCCCGGTATTTGGATTTTGAAAGCAGGGCTTATTATTACAACAGCCTTGCGTAGATGAATTCCAAGGGATTTAAGCAATCTAAGAATCTGAGTCACGTTCTAATACACTGGCCTTCAAGTGAACCGGATGAACAGGGTTCGGCGAACCGTGCTGGTCGCGAGCTGGACAAGATGGAGCTGAAAGACTGGCAAGAAACGAAGGAAATTGAAGAATCGTCGGGGTCGACGGAGGAATCGCAATGTTCGTCGTCCTCGCGGGGTAAATCACCTACGATCTTCCCCTTCGCGAGGTAGGGGTGGCGCCGGGTACCATCCTCCTGCGTGCCAACATCCTGGTAGCCCTCTTCGTCCTCATGCAGACCCTCCGATTCGTCCGCCCTCCCTTCGTCCCAGAAATCCACGCCCCGAGTGACGTTGAACGAAGCCGAGCTGGCTTCGCCGCCATCGCTGAAGAAAGAATGCCGAGCTCCAGAGGCGGTATACAGACAGATGAAGGTGGGAAGCCGCGAGAGTCGTACTGGCTGGTGAGTACACCTCTGTAAAGTCTCGCTCTGCTGTGTCGTGTCTTGACCAGGGATTTCGGGAACAACAGCTGAACGAGCCTCCCCGACAGTGGTCGTACTTTCGTTGGGGTCCTGGACTGCAGATAAGCCCCGCGTCCGCTCACTAGCAAAGGTGGCGGTCGAACACGATGTGGAAGTGACGAGTGACACCGTCGTGAACGAGAGGGATCCAAGGTTGAGAGAGTCCGCCGCAGGGAAAGCTGTCGAAAGGGGGCGGTGTCCCAAAGGCGCGAGTTCGTCACAGAGATCGGCAACTCGAGTTCTCCGTCTGGGAGAAGGTTGGACTGGCAACTGGGCAGAGAGTTCATCCTGAGCTTCTCGGCCGAGTGGGCTGGTAAGCTCCCGAACGACGTTAGACGGAGAGGTCTCCCGTTTCTCTGAGAGATCTGTGACGAAAGGGGTCTCCTGGAGGTCGAGAATTTGGCCGAGGGATACGCGACCTGGCAGAGAAAGTGGTCGGGCCCGCCAGTAGACGGGTGAGGGTGGGGCACGCGGTTCTGGATCGTCCTGTTCCTCGCACTGAGATTCCTCCTCATCGCATCCAGGTTCATCGTGCTCGTTGTGATGGACGCTAGACTGAGGGTATTCACTGTACATGCTCTCAGTGTCGGTGCAGTGGCTGTGTGCCTCGCTGCCCCAGGTCAGAAGGGGGGATCGTCGGCTTCCTCGGGAGGCGTCCTCCGGGAGGGCCTCGAAGCGGAACCCTGACCCCAGTCGATACTGATCCAAGTCGTAATGATCGTGATAGAACTCGTAATAATGGGGTTCAGGCGCTGAGATGGAGGGTCGAAGGGAGTTGTCGTGGTCGCCGACGCTGCTTGAACTGTCGACACGTGTCATACCGCCCTCTCCTTGTTCATTGGTGGACGCAGAAGCCGGCAGACAAGAAGAAGCAGGAGACATCGAAGGAGTGGAAAGAGATGGAGCCATCCATCCCAACTCAAAGACCATGCTGATATGGGGCTCCGAGACGAAGCTCAGTCTGGGGAGCAGGCTTCCCCGACGCGCCCTCCACGAAGAACTGGGAACGACGCTGGACGCGGCACCTTGAGTGTCCGGCGCAAGAAGCGAATAGCCGGTTTCCAAAGAGGCGAGACACCGAGGACCACTTGACGTGGCTTTGGAACGCGGAGAGGAACTGCGAGGTCGGTCGTTGTCAAGAAGGACAACGCTTGTATGAGGGCTCGCTGCGGTGTTTATTCCGGTGACCGAAGTAAGAGGAGTTTCCCGAGTTCCGTCGGCAGCCGTCCATTGGGAGTACGATTGAGAATAGAAATGGAAATCAGAGTTGAAGGAGGGGTCAGAATGAGACTCGGATGGACACCGTCGGGATTGTGTGAGAGAACGTGAAGCCGAGTGAGAGGAGATGATGGGGGTGGAGGTGATGCAAGGTGCGGTGGAAGCGAATGGCGAGCAGTTGGGGCTTGTAAGGATTGGAAGGGACCGTTCCACCAATTCAGAGAAATTCTGCGCACTGGGCACGATCTCCGAGAGACCCAGACCGACACCCAACGGCTTCCGTTCAGCCTCCGTTTCACCCAGGTTGGAGGTCGGGGTGAGAGGCGGCAGAGGCGAGTCCCACCATTCGCTCTTGCGTTTCGCACCGGTACCCTGCGACCGAGAAATCCCCAACAACTCTTGTGCCGACTGGGACAGGGAGATGGCACCGTCACGTATGTAGGACGAGAGGATGGCGGATGTCAACGTCGCATGTCGAGGTTTAAGCTGGATCGACGATAGAGGGATGGGGTCTTCAGAGTTTCCGTAGTGTCCATCGGAGCAGTCCTTTCCCGTCATCATCGAAACGTCAACGGTAGAGTTGAAAGGGTGAAATATTCCGGGGCAAAGAGGGGAGGAAGGTGGCTGGCTGGTCGAGAGGCTGAGCGACTGGCTTACAGACGCCATTACTCCGCGTTCCAAGTCCATACCAGTCGTGGAACATTGAACAGACGACTGGTTGAGCGGAGATGAAGGCAGTACCAGCGTAAATGGTTCGCGAGTGTGGGCGTCTCCTCTGCACAACGGCAATTCCTCCACACTGGGCGAAGTCGGTGCATTCTGCCGGCCAAACAGTGCCTGGAGTCGGTGGAATAGGCTCCCGAAGAATATAACCACTGCCGTTGCAGCAGCACAGATGCCAGTCGCCACCAGAACCAACACGCGGGGTTGCCCAGGCATTATTTCTGCTCGAAACGACGCGATTAGATGCCTTTCATCGCAGCCGGGTCAGACTTACCTCTTTAAAATTAGGGAGCGCACTGAAAGGGGTAACCTCCTCTAGAACAGGTGGACGTTTAAGAAACATAGGATTGTCAGCCTCAAGGGCAGCGGCTTTTGAGAGCAGGTGATCCCAGTCATCCACCGCGGGCTTTCCCAAAGTCAACCCATGTTTTGGCGCATCCTTGTCCCCTATTTTCAGTCGGCATTGTGCATATAGTCCGTGTGGTGTATGCCTTCAGGATTGGCAGGGCCCCCTCGGTCGTGCTCGTGGTGGTTGGGGCACTATATGTGTGTCGGCCCTTCAAGGGCCTTACTAAACACACATTCGTCAGTCTGACTACGGGAGACTATGGGAAAGCGTTGATTCGCCATTTTTGGATGACCTCCTCTGATGGTATTGATCGGTCATCACATACAGAACTTCGGCATCCCAGACTGGGATGGCTCGCTCAGCCTTGGCAGACGGCGGCTGTTTTCAAGTTGTGCATCGAGTTAGCACGGCGAGGTTCATTTCGATCCATGATATGCACACTGGGTGTGCTATTTTAGCGCCCCCTCTGTCCTTTCAGCCAAGGAATTCGGCATTGTGGACATTGCCTGTCTGGCCCTCGGTGCAGACTTTAACCGTCTTACCCCGAGTTGTCAGTAAGCAGAATTTCGTTTCGCCGTCGCTGGTGCATCCTGGCCGCCCCTTTAGATGTCACTATATCCTGAAGCTGTGTGAGTGATTCCTGATCGAGCGCTCGCCATCGCTCCTTTCAAACCTCCTTCGGGGTATTAACTCCCTCTTGTCCAAAGCTGCTGGTGAAGGCGTGCCAAGGGAACCGCGGTAGATCTCTCATCGCGTTCGATCTAGGAAAGGATACCCTACCGACTTGGGCTGGTTCAATCCAGAAAATAACATGCCATGCTTGAAGGCGTTAGATATCAGTAAGCCTTCTAAAACTTTATCTTTCCCTTTGTTGAAGTCTATGCTGAATGAATATGGGGTCCTCGGATGTCCAGTGCTATCCTGGGGAGAATACAGCAGGATGGCGAAAGTCTTCCCGGAACATTCTGACAAACAACGGGATGGGATCCGCTCGTCGAAACCTTTTATTCCATGCCATGTCGACAATGGAAACGGTTAAAACAATGGTCCATGGCAACTGGCTTGTCCCTCGCACCCTCGGCGCTGTCTGTCATCACGTTTGGCTAACAATCATGGCTCGTGGGGTATGGCTAGTGATTACAGAGCCCCCTCTGCGGAAAGCTGTAGGGAGACTATTTTTATCGTTGGTGCTTGGATGAATATATAGGGTGACAATTTGTTGCATCGTGGACATAGTCTTTCCTTTCCTTCTTCCTTGCCATCTGGAATTATGGCTGGTGGTCACTGCGGCACCGGTGCGTGCTCACTACTGTCCAACAGTGCTATAGACTATCCGCTAATATTTTGTTGCATTACAATTAGGTGCTGACCCGACCTGCATTGAGAACGGTTATGGATACATTCCTAGTCGATCCGCCACCACCATCATGGTGGTTTTCTTCTCGATCTCAACCAGTAGGTCCTCCGCTTCCTCGGCCTTCACAATGTTGTCTGAGGATCCAAGTTGTACATATGGGCCAAGCTACCGTTCGTAAACAGTGGTATCTCTTCCCCACTGCCATCCTTTGTGGAATTCTTGAAATTCTTGGATGGGCATACCGGTTGAAGTCGCACTTCGAACCTTTCGCGAAGGATCCCTTCAAGATCCAGTAAGCTTTACCACGTTGAAGGCGCCCTCAGACCATGTCTAACGCAACGCCTGTGCAGAACGATTGCCACGATCCTTGGGCCTACACCCCTCCTTGCAGCCAACTTCGTTATTTTCGGAAACATCATCCGGGCTCTCGGGACAGACTACAGTCGTATCACTCCGAAATGGTGTAAGCACATTTCGTAGTATTTCCCCGTCGCCGTCGTAATGACTCGCCATTAAAGACACCATCATCTTCTGCGGCTGTGTGAGTGGTTTCACCTCATGCACACGACGATCATATCGGGCATTAACCTCGTTCCTTCTATAGGACCTTATCTCCCTCTTTGTGCAGGGTGGTGGTGGAGGCGTGGCCGCGAGCTCCGGGGGAGACCTTGAGATTGCAAACCGAGTAAGTTTCGTTACTATTACACTCCGAAAGACATGAGAGGCTCACTCGATGGTACTAGGGAGCCAACATCATGCTCGGCGGTATCATTTTCCAACTCGGTAAGCCCCCTTTCGTTCCACTCGCTTGCCTCACTCCCTCAACCACTCGACTCCGGCTCAGTCGCGATCGTTGCCTACTCCTGCCTTTGCACAGAATATCTCATCCGATATACCAAGAAACGACCCATTGCAAGGATTAATCAAACTCACAAAGACTACAGCTCGAGGGGAGAACTGACGAAGAAGCTCAAGCTCATGCTTTTAGGTCTGATTTTGAACTTGACGTTCTTGTTTATTCGGTAAATTTTGATCCCCTAATCTGTACTTCGGATGGCTCAAAGTCCCCCTTGATCCTAGAGCGATCTACCGAGTCGCGGAGCTGTCGGAAGGATGGACGGGAAGAATCATCAAAACTGAAGTGTACTTCAGTGCGTTGCCGCTTCTTCTACTTGACCCCTAGCTGAATTCTTTCAAGACTGGCTCGACGGTGCTATGATTGTCCTTGCCATGTATGCCTTCAACTTCTTCCATCCCGGCTGGCTTCTTTTCTCCCGCACCACCTACAAGAACTACAAAGAATACAAAACGGCCCCACTCGAAAACAAGAGCAACATTGCCATGATTAACTACAATCATAACAACGTCGAACGACAGGTCGCATAATGTCTTCTAATTTCGTTGCTGGCACTCAGATTACTCCATCATGATCACTTAATTGCTTAGAGCGCACGGATAGCTCTCGTCGTTGTATTTAGTACTCAGCTTTCTTGTTACCTAGATCTCATTTCTGTACGTATCTCGGACATCTGCATTTTACCCCTGTTGCTCTGCATCTTGTTCTGTACCAGTCTGTACCCCTTTGATCTCTTGACTGTTGATATACACGTCTGGCATGCTTTTATAGGCTTTGAATGTACGAAAATGTAGCATAAACGTAGGTATGAGAGAAAGATCATTGCTGCAGGTATGTTTTCGCCTCAAAACTGACGCTTTATCAGTTAAACGCCCACTACTACCAGCATTAAGCGCGCGATGCTCCTCTATTTGGCCATGTTTTGAATCCGGTTCCGATCTGATTATCGGTGACTCCCAGGCTCGAACTGTTCCGTTGTTCAAAACCCCCTTCCAAGGCCTGACGCGGTCTAACAGAACCAATATCCAACATCCAAGCACCTCCAGAGGCGGCGGTAAGTTCTTCCTGAATATCCAAACGGAAGCCTAACCTCAGAACCCTATTCAGACACCCTGACATGGGTCTTCCACCTGCAACAGACCTCCCTCCCGAGATCTGGATCTTAATCTTGGACTTTGCGACCTCATACGACGATGGATCAGCTGCACTTTCCCTCTGCGAGGTCTCAAAGGGTTTCTACCAGCTTGTCCAGCCCCCTTCCGTTATCGAACGGTTAGGATTACAGGGTGGAAGAAATTGCTTGCATTCGACAGGCAGTTCCACTCCGACAGTGTGGCGCCTGCCAGCAGGGGGATTATAAATCTCCGCATCGAAATCGACAGTCTGTATCCTTTGATTTACCCACCAGAGTCCCTGGACTCCGAACAAGACGAGGAGGATACCAGTTATGTCGACGAAGAAATTCCATCGGTTTCAGGGGATGGGGATAGGGAAACCAGTGACGGGGGAATCTATCTGGAAGGGGGAGAGGAGGCAAAAGCGAACGCTACAGGGGCCATAGACCATGGAGACGATGAGTGCGATAATGCGTCAGACGAGTCTGAGGATGGAGACGGCGACACGATTTCCAGCACCGATTCGGACTACGAGTACCAAGAGGTATCGCACTCGGATTTGGATTTTGAACACGAAGCCCAGAGGGGCCCCGACACCGAGGAGCTAAAGACATACCTGTCCACCCTTCCCAAACACGGCGATGGGACCCTGGCTGACCTGGCGCGCATCCCAACCCTCCTGGCAGAGGCAGAACACACGATTTACTCCGCCATCCGTAGGATCGTCCTATCCTCGTCCCAAACGCTCAGAATAGTACATATGCACATCACAGCCGAATACTTTGTTTCGATTACGTCGATCTTCCCAGTCCTCCCGAACCTGGAGATCCTGGACATGAAGAAGGGACGGTCAGGCAAAGTCAGCGGATGCACGCTCACTATTCGTAAGGTGGATACCCCGTGTCCGGTTCTTTTTCCTCGGTTACGGTTGGCCGCGTTCGATGATGGGTTCAATAACGATCGTCAACTGGAGGAGCTCACTGGAGGCTGTGAACCTGAAATGGGTGATTCCCTGGTATCCTCGGAGCAGGATTGGATAGCTGCAGTAAACGGTAGACTGGGATAGATTCTCGACTGCTATGCTTACGCACTACCTTGATGTTTAAAGATGTTCTTACGAAGGTCTAAATGTTAAACGCTTGTCGACGTGTTGCAATAAATCGTGATACGCGTTTCGACACTTGGGTGAGAGGAAGGATATAGTATCACATCGTCCATTGAGGCACGTTAAACACATAACATGACGTATGAGGTTTAGCTTAATATACAAGACTCCGAATCGTATACACTTTCAATTTATTCGTCCAATAACACATTTCCAATACTTTGATTGATCTCCTTAGTGGCAGGCGCTTACGGCAAGCAGCACCTGACAGTGGAAGGGCCAGGGCAGTAGCCTACCGACGATTCATTAGCTCTATTCGAACGCTAGACGAAGAATACATTTATTCTTTACCTGTGAGGGTTCTGCCGCTGGGGCACGAAGCAACAGGGCGGCATCTGCCACTGCCAAGGGTGTCAGGGCAGCGCTTGAAGCAGCACCGGACGTCTGCGGGGTCGTTCGGGCAGTAACCAGAGAAGGAGCCTCCTCCGCCGTTGGCGCAGGTGGAGGTGTGGAGGCAGGTACCAGGACCGACGCCGGGGATGTTGCAGGGGCCGTTGAGGGCGGCTTGGGCGACGCCGAGGGTCAAAAAGATGGCGAAGAGGGATGTGGTGAGCTTCATCCTTGAGATATGTGTAGGCAGATGTTCTGTGGGTTTCGACTTTGGTTTGGTTTATGAGCTCCTACTCGACTCTCGTACGCTCTTTTATAGATTTTGGTACTGTTCGCCAAGCCGCATTTCAGGTCCTTATGACGAACGGTGTACTATTTCTAGAGCAACGAAGCAGCGCAAAGGGAAATTTCCTACGGTTACATCGCACAAGGAAGATCCGTTTACCACCCTTTAACATGTTCACAAGCCACGGAATGGAAGACAAACCAAAACTTTAGATATGCTGAGCTCGCAGTTCACAGCGCGACTGGCTCGGATTTCTCTTTGCGGCAAGTTCTCGGGCCCCTTGAGAACAAGGAGAAGAGAAGATCGATCGTCGATGAGCTGCCTGTCAATGTCAACGTCAAAGTCAATGTCGACTGCTGTCAACGCCCATGTCAAGCTGTCAATACTCACTAAGTACTCAATGTCCATGTAACTGAGCCCATATGCTCCTGGACAAATGATTTTGAAGTTCGCAGCTTCGATGACGTCGTCTGTCGTTCACGCTTGGGCATGGTCACCCAAACTAGCAAGGTGTGGGTAGGCATCGGTATGGCCATGATTTACCGTGGAGCATCATGCATCCTGACAGACCAATTAGATTCGAGAAGGACGTTTTCCCAGGTCGTCCTTCGGAAAGGGGATTCGTGCCAAGCGAAGGGAGCACAGCATTCCGGGAAACCACAACCAATGCCTCGAGTCCCGACAGTATCTCTCACAGTATACACAGAGGTGTTTCAAGCTCTACGGTTGTCCTGGCTGACAACCGGAAAAGGTTCTACCCTCAATAACAAATCGAGCACGCATTTAAACTCCGACTATTGGCCCCCGGGCGCTTAATTTTGCTTCTTAACCCCTCACTTTCCACGATCCAGAGGTGTGCTACTTAATGAGGATCACAACCAAGGCTTGAGCCATTAAATGAAGGCTTCTATGCCTTCATATTTGAAATATGGCATGAGTTCTAATCTGATTACTAATAGCGGGGTAAGACACTGGAAGACCACCAGCGTGACCAGCGAGCGCTTGGGCAATTGGAAATCCAAAGTCGGACCAACTTTATCAGCTCGGTGATCTCAGCTGCGTCGCCGATGAAAGCGCTGGTATTTGGAGCACTGCAAGTCGCAGTCAGCCAGCGAAGAAACTTCTTCGCCTACTACATCCTTGACATTTGCTTTTGACAGCGATTCCAATCTGGCATCGTGGACCAATGCACGAGCTTCTTGGACAGTTGAGATGTTGGATAAAATCTTATCAGCTCGGCGAAGTCAATTACATTGCTTCAGGATGCCCGAAGCAAACGCTGGTAGTACTAGGACGCTGCGCACAAGTGGTGTATAACTGAATTATTCGAAGTTGCCTACTAGGGCGTTGAAGCCCGAGAAGTGAGATCTATTGATCCGCGGGAACTTGGAAGGCTCGAATTTCTATGGTTCGAAGATCCCAAATTGTTGTTGTCGAAGCCTTTGACACGGCGCGCAAGTTGTAATTGCCAGCCGCCTTGCTAAGCGTCGTGGCCCAGCAAGGTTTGATATGTGATCATGCATGACTAGCCCATTGAAGCCAAATGAACAGATAGCGAACAACATGACGCGCAAGCATCTAAGTAAGCGCCCGTTATCCATAATCGCCGTTTGGAAAGACTCGAGTGAAGCAGACGACGCCAACGGGCCAGGCTGGGGCACCGACTCGGACGACGAACTCTACCGCATCGGAGTGGGACGGTAATGAATCCAGAGCCCATCGATCCAGCCAGACTCGGCGCATAATCTGAGCCTCGTCAGCCTCCCAAGGCAAGCAGGCGGGTCGTTCGAAGACCTCACATGGCTCCCTACGAGCTCGAGCCCCGCTCAGACAAGAGTCCCATGTCTACACCACCGCCCGACACATTCTCGCTTCTTCCCCCTACCCACTCAGATTCAGTCTCCTGCAGCTCGACACAGACTATCTGAGCTTCAGGGAGATCCTCTTGTTCGACAAGCCGTTCAAAGGCTAGTATGACAGGCTTTTAGAATACGATGTATCACTATTTATCCTTCGTCTTCTCTCCATCGGCACGTTGTAATCAGAGGCAACAGTTTAGGTTGTAGTGGCAAGGCTGTGTGGTGAGTACAAAAAAGCGCGAGACGTTCTTGGCCTCTAACAGCCCCACCAAGAGTGGATTTACTCCATGACCTTTTTGTCCTCTGCCGCGGACGTGAAAACAAACAACTACGCCTCGACAAGTCCAGTGGAGGTTGCGGAACTCCACCTCGCTGTCGAAACTGATCTTAGACCGCCTTGGTGGTGGCTGGAGAACGATTGCAAACGTGCAAGGATACGATGAAGCGATCAGAATCATTAGGATTACAACACGGCGAGTAACAGTAGGAAATTGGATAGGATGCTTAACGAGAATACGAGAATGAAGGCGAAAATGGCGTTGCCTACTATAGGTCGGTGGAATAGGTTGCGTATGGAATGGGTTGGAAATGATGGCAAGGATGGAGGTGCAGGTGGCAGTGGCAACGGGAACGGGTATTACGAACGACAATAAAGACGAGAACGAGAAACCGAAAACGGACGACCGTGTATCCCAGAAAACCGAAAGGTATATGATACGGTAAGTTAAGAGGAGTAAAAGCGCTTGCTCGCCTTGAATATTGAATCTTGGACGTTGTTCGATTAAATGTTTTGAAGTTTGTCAATGGGTCTACGATCCTTGTTGCCTTGATACGTGCCCGAGTCGAGTCAGCGTTCTCTGTCGTTTGAAATCGAAAGGACAAGAAAGGAGTATGGGCACTGTTCGGGCAAACGTCGACACCGTCCAGCCCAGACGCCTCCGGTCCCACGTCAACGCGTCCCTGACACGTCCGCGTTCAAACGCCCTCGACCACCGCCAACCGTCCATGGGCCCCTGCTCTTCCAACGCACGCCCCCCCCCCCCTGTACCCTCTGGCAGTCCATCACTGACCCAACAGACATGGAGATTGATTATACACGAAGACTGCCGGAGGCTGGAGCGACGCGCCCGCGGCGGCGCTCACGAGGGTGCCACTTATCACGGGTGCGGGTGTTGCTGGACGTGGTGGTCTATGGGAGGCGTGGGCGTCGCTGACGTCTGGTGTAATATCGAGTGCGCCGGGGCTGGCCCTTGTGCCAATAGCGATTCAAGCTAACGGGAAGCGAGTAAGCCTGACGGACGCCAATTAAATAAAGACGTGACGTACCTGCTCCACGATATTCTGACTCGTACCTCCTCTGCTGTGGTTCGAACCGTCGTCCCCAAGGTCCAGCGGCGACTGACCGTCTGTCAGCACGCTCGGGCTATGCCTCTACAACGAAGGATGAGTATCATTGCCTGGCACGCGAGAGGTGTTGACAACATACGGGATCATCCAGCGGCCTGGTGACGAGATTACTCGGCTTCTTCGCAGAGGATGCGCCATGAAAAGACATCTCCTCCCTCGGCACAATGTCGATCAAAAAGTCAAACTGGTCAGACTTGCTGAGCGCTTTGGCAATATCTGAGCGGGACAGCGTCCGGCGTTTATTAGAGTCGGCGATAATGAATGCCCTCGCGGTTATTTCGGATATAAAGACTAAGTGAAGAGGTTTAGTTGGATTCAGACGAGGGGGACGAGGGGAGAGGGAATGCTGACTTTCGCATGCTTTACAGAAGAGTATGGGTGCTGTGGTGGAGTAAGGAATAAGCTTTATGTTTTGGAGCGAGGTGAAGACTTGCCGTCTGCAGCAATCATCTAAAGGAGGACGATGATTCGTCAAAGATCTCTGGCCAATCAGCGTCGCGGAGGGCTCACCTTGACATCAGGATCGCTCTTCATAACCTTCTTGATCCTCGCCAAAGGCAGCGGCGGATGCCTATAATCCGGTGTCTCCTGCTCAGCCGCATCCACCTGTCGCTGCCAAAAATTGCGCAAAAAGTCGTTGAGGGGCTCCCCAGGCTGGACAAAGGGCTGTTGCGACATGTTTCGTTGTTTGGCGCGTAGATCGCTTTAGGTGTGCTTAGTTATCGGCAGCACGCTAACACAAGCGGGAAACTCTGTGGTGGGTTGAATGCCAGCAACCAATCGTTGAGGAGAGATCAATTCCATGCCCAACCTCGAAAACCCTAACCCCGCACTTTCCCACGAGATCTCAAATCAATTCAATCATCGCACAAAATCTTATCAGTCTCCAACACCGCAACCACAAAAAATGGCCTCCACCTCCCAACCGCCTGCAACTTCAGTTCTTTTCGCTAGAGGCGTCATCGCGCGACTGGCAATATGGCCAACCCTCAAAATCGCTGTACAGGAATCATGGGGCGGTCCTGAATCGGCACAAAAGCGCAGTTGGATGGCCTCGGTCGTCGTTGACACCTTCGAAACAACAACCCCGCCTCCCGACGACCAGTACATTGAAGAGCTTTTACTCCAGATCATGTCAGACGAATTCGAGGTTTCAATAGAAGATGGAAGTGGAGAGAGTGTAGCGAGGGATTTGGTTCAGCTGTGGGATGAGACGAGAGAAGGGAGGGACGCGGGGGTATTGAAGTTCGAGGAATTGGCGGAGAAATCAAAAGGAAAGAAGGTGGAATACGTGGCCAAGGACCAGAGTGACGATGAAGATTGGGAAAGTGATGACGGAGAGGACGATGGCGACGAAGAGATGGACGAAGACGTTCCCCAGCTCCTTCAACCGTCAGAACCACGACCAAAGGAGGAACCAGAGGTAGACGAGGACGGCTTTACGCTTGTAAAATCGAAAAAGGGACGAAGATAATAGATGTGGATACTTTGCTTCTGTTCGTGCCGCTAAAACAGCCATTCCTTGCCCTTGATGTTTTGTTCACATTAAGAAGGAAATGTTATTAGCCGAAAGCATCCAGAAAGCATCGGAAAGACCAAAAAAGACTACCAATGGTCCACGGATGCATCAAGGGGGAATCGAACCCCCGGCGGATCGAGTCAAGGTCGTAGAGTGGCAACGATCCAGGTTACCACTACCCCATTGATGCGATACAAACTGCCATGTTTCGACCCATTCGATTCGGTTTGGGATCTACAGCTAGCGCTCAAAGGCATGCTATTGCTGCAATTACTCACAGCATTAACTGCGCTTACGACGGGCTGAAGCGAGAGTTACTTTAAATTCGGAGTCAGACTCGAAGTCCAAAATCATAGCGTAAGCCCAAATAGGGCCGTGGTGCTTCAGAATCAAGAGGGCTGCATTGGCAGTTGGCGCTTAAATAGCGGAACGCCCCTAGTCGGGGCTGAGGATTCCTTCCCCCATCAGTGTCTTAGACTCTCTGTTGCGCCCATGCGTTGACCGTGTTTACAACATATCCGGCACGGCGATGAAAACGATAAGGGTAAACTGCTGGTCCCCTGGTTCCGAGTTCAGCTGACACATGATAAGTACGCGTGTATATTCCTAAGACCCAAGTCGAATCCATATCATATCCTACAGTCGACCATGGATCCCATCCTCCCATGCCGAGCTGCTTTCATAAAAGCTCGACTCCAAATCCAACGTCGAAGCTTCATCTGGATAACGATCAACATCAAACTGATCAAACCGCAACCCCCTGCGCAGCCGGGGGAAAGGACTGGGTTTCACGCCCTGGTCCTTATCAATGACAGGCTTAAAAGACCTGAACTTCCCCAAGGTAAACCTGCTGAACAAGAAAATCTCCAATTTCGGAAGGACGGGAAAGAGGGCGGTGAGGGAGATGTAGTTATCGGTGGCAAGGCTCATGAGGATGAACCTGAGGGAGTGGGACGAGGATACGAGGATGCGGCGGATGGCGGTGTAGACTTGGAGCTCGGCCTGCGCGATGCGCGTGGGGACCCGCGCGAGGTCCTCGAATGACCCGTCACCGTGCCTTGGAGCGCTGGCAAGGTATGCGTCGAGGCTGGCTTGATCGATGGGCTCTGAACCGTTGTCCCACTCCGATTCATCCACAAGACGGTACTCGTAGTCAGAGTCGGTGCTCGATACAGAGCTACCATCGCCGTCCGCTTCATCCGACGCAAGATCATCCGGTTCACCGTCTTCATCCGTATCACCCTCCCCGTCGTCTGTCGTTTCTTCGTCCACATACGTGAGGTCGTCATCATCGCCATCTTCCGCGCTTACTATAGGCACATAAACGTCCCGATGGATGGGAGGAATCTTAATGTAGAGGTTCTCAATGGCCCTTCCTCCCGGTGCCACCCTGTCTGAATGGAACTCCCCCTCAAAAGCACGGAGGCTACGCCACCCTACGATCTTGACAGTTCGAAACCGATACGGCTGAACGAGCGCGTAGAAGGCTTTCGATACCTGTGACACTGATAGTGCTGTCGATCCATCGTCGTGGGTGGTTGCCCAGTCCAAGATGCGCATCCAAATCTCGGACGGGATGTCGGCCGCTGGTGAGAACTTGAAGCCCATGTGGCAGGTGTCTGTCAAGTTTAGTGTTCAGGGTTTTGAGTTCAAAGGGTTTTTCTGTGGGACATGCAAACCGACACTCACCAAACTCTCAGCTACGGTTCCTTGAATAAGGTCTCGAGTCGTTACGAAGGGAGAAAGCAAGAGCAGTCACTGATAATATCCACGACTGACGAGCTGTCAGGTCATTCACAACAGAGTGGACGGGTACTATAGGAGCCTGAGGTCCTTTGGCCACTTTGCTGATCGCCTCACATAGGCATGCAGCCGTCCGCATTTACGCCATTCTCTATGGGTGATGGAATGTCTGTCATGAGTCCAGGAGCATACACATAAACACCGGGCTCGAGGTCGAACTCGCGAGTTCGCTAGTAGCCTGCCGTATCTGATCTCGACTCTCCTCAAGTCCATCAGTTCTGTGCTCCTCGAGATACCACCCAACGCGCCGAATTATGTCGCATCAATGGGGTAGTGGTAACCTGGATCGTTGCCACTCTACGAGCTTGACTCGATCCGCCGGGGGTTCGATTCCCCCTTGATGCACTGAGCTTTTTCCATAACCTTTTGTTATTATGTCAAATGTGCGGCAACTTCGACCACTTTTTAACCATTTCAAGGGGTATGTGCGACGCTCAGCAGATTCAATGGTAGGCTATGGTGGGTTGACACTTGCAGATGAGCGCTTCAACGACGATTCGGATTCCGATGGTTTCAATTCAGTTGTACTTACACCATCTTTCGGCGTCCTACGTACGACACCTGCCTCGGACACCTTCAAGTTGGTCAATTTAGCTCCCCGAGCTCATAAGGCTATTATAATCCCTATTGTTATCTCAATGGAAGCACCCATTCACTGGTCACGACGTCTCCATACTAGTAGCTCCAGCCTCGGGGTTTCTCAGGCGGCTCGAACACCTGGTATGTCCGGTGAAGAAGTCTTCGTTGTTTAATGGCTGCTGAAGGGTCCTACCAGCGCCATTCTTAGCTATGAAGAGTTACAGTACTGATATGGTGTCCCGACCCCAAAACGCCGTTGCCCAATCCTCGTCGACAGGTCACGATGACTGAAGCTCAGAGCATGTCAGCGTCCCACCACGATAAAGCCTTACGGAGGGCCTTGAGGATGTGATTAGAATTCACGTCAATATGCCAAGGGTGAAAGCGAAGAATTCTTGTTTAATATTCAATGGCTGTGGGCCTTCTTAGCACCTCTGGATCGCTGAAAGTGAGGAGTTAAGCGCCCAAGTTATTCAGTCTGTGGGAGTTGGGACGTCAATTTGCCCATCGATAACCGACGGTCGTTCCCTCCGCTGTCTGCTCGTGTATGCTTGGAACAAACGCCGCGGTGTGTTCTGTTTTACACGTGCCCAATTACTCACACCTGCGGTCGAGGTCCATGGCTGCGAGGATTCCAGAATGCTGCAAGGCATTGAAGGCTCCCTTTCGTTGGCGAGCGGGCTCACACAGTTTAACCTTTCCAAAGGACAACCGGGGAAAGCGCGGTGCTCGAGGCGAGTCGGTCCATTGACAGTAATTGATGCTCCACAGTAGGACAGGGTTCAGTCGATGCCTATCAAATACCCAGACATATAGAAGACGTTGGGTAACGACCACACCGTCTACTGCTAGTCCGTCTGACCGTACCCAAGCACCGCATATCCCCTTATATAGCCTTTTGGTCGACATAAATGGACGGTGTAGTCGTTATCCATCAAGGGTGTTACATACTTCGAAGCCTTGAACTTCAAAATCATTTGTTCTGGAGCGCTTGGGCTTGACATGGACATTGACAGGCATCTCTTCGAGGCCCGTCGATCCCCCCATCTCCATATGCAAGAGCTCCGAGAAGTTGCCGCGAGAGCGATCTGAGCGCGTTGCTCTGGGGCCAGGGGCCCTACATCTCAGGTTTATCTTCCATTTTATGGATGGGAAATACCAAAGGACGCCAGGATATCGTAAACTAATCTTCCTTGTGAGATGCCACCGCAGGAAACTCCCAGTATGCCCCACTCATTGTGTAAAGTGACTTCATCGTTCATCATAGAGACCGAGCTGAAAAGCTTGGTGAACAGTGCCAGAATGTATAAAAGAGCGTACGAAAGTCGACTAAGAGCTCAGAAACCCAATCCACGGTTGGCACCCACATAACATCTACCAACCCATACCCTAAAAGATGAAGTTTACCACATCCCTCTTCGCCATCTTCTTGACCCTCGGTGTCGCCCAAGCCGCCCTCAACGGCCCCTGCAACATCCCCGGCGTCGGTCCTGGTACCTGCCTCCACACCTCCACCTGCGCCAACGGCGGTGGCGGTTCTTTCTCTGGCTACTGCCCGAACGACCCCGCAGACGTCCGGTGCTGCTTCAAGCGCTGCCCCACATCTCTTGGCAGTGGCAGATGCCGCCCTGTTGCCTCGTGCCCCAGCGGCAGAACCCTCACAGGTAAGAGATATATCTCTGATTTGGGCTTTGGAGTTGGTCTGATGGATTTACTTGTAGGATACTGCCCTGGACCCGCCACGGTTAGGTGCTGCTTGCCATCATAAGTGTCTGAGAGGCCCAATCAAAGTACCAACCGTAAATTGCTTATCAAATGAAATATACATGGAGGCTCTCTACCTACGTGGTCTGTATCGCCAAAGTGTCTGTACAATATTCTCCTATTTGCCGAAATCCGAGGTGTATATCCAGAAGCCTAGATCCATCGAACTCGTCTACTGGGGGGTCCTCAGGCCTCCAAGTAAGCTTTGAATTTGAATTTGAATTCGAAGGTTCAGTTACGGACGTAGCGCAAATGTTACATAGATTTCGATATGTGTACAAGGGTATAGTACGGGTGCAGAGCAGGTGATTAGCGAAGTGCATGATAGCAGGTAACAGCACAAACAACGGGTGATAGCTAATGTACAACGATAGCATGAATGGGAATTGAATATTTGAATACAGGACTTGGTCGGTGTTATTTCCAGGCTTAGTTACGTTGTTTGCGCCCTTTGGTAGGACGTCGGAGCTGCAGATCGGGCAGCTCCATCTGAGGCATCTGCTCGGGAGAATCTGAGCGAATGGCAGGCGGAGGCTGCACCTGAGGAGCCAGGGTCGTATCGTCCGCCATACTCTCCCCAGAGCTCTGTCGTCGAACTACTCTTGGTCGACGGCTCAGAGGGCGAGTGCATAGGTCCCCCAAGTTCTTCCACAAGTGCTGTTCGAGGTCTCGCAGCTGCGCAATGTCGACACCTATGGGTGGTGGAGTCCAGGGGAACAGGATCCCATGCGTCCCTGGAAGTTTCACGCCTCCAATACGCTCTCCCAGCTGCCAGCAACAGTAGCAGCATTTCTTACCCACGCCGATGGCGCATGGCGCCTCGGAACCTGGAAGCTATGACAATATTAGCCGACTGGCACTGAGGTCTTTCAGTAAGGAATATACTCACAAGAGCACAAAGGTTCTCCAGGCTTGCGTCGTCTATATCCGCACCATACGTGATACGTTCGCCATGGGCTTGCGCCTGGTATTTTGCCACTGCCATCAGAATTGTCTCCGCGTGGAGAGTACCGGTAAACCTTGTGCGCGACCCCAGTTGTCGGTATAGGTGTTCGAGTGCTTGTGTCTTGAACCGCTCGTGTTTTCCCCGTCGGGCGCGTTGTTGCAGAGCATCGAGCCGCTGCGAAGTTTGCAGGTCAACTTCAGCCTCATCCCAGTTAGGATCGGACATGACCACGTCCTCGAGCTCCCCGAGTTCGTTTCCATCGAGTCTGTGCTGTACGTCGTAAAGCGGAAGTAGGTCGTGTTTTCGGTAAGAAGCAGTGACGAAGCCGGTCTCGTACGATCCAGGGAAGACCGAGTGTTTGCCGTAGTAAAGCTCATAAGCTGCCCAATGCCAGGCAAGGATCTTCTTTATAAAGCCGTAGAGCCGCATGGCAGGCGTCTCTCCCTGCACTGGGGCATCGTCAGAGATGATTTAGAGAACTCGCAGAAGAACTTACCAGCGCCTCCCCTTCCAGCAAATTCCGTATTTAAAAGCTTAGCCAATGATGTTCCCACGAGGAGAGTCTCGAGTAGTTTGTGTCGATGAAGTTCCAAAAGGACGATGCACGACGCGTTGATTTGATCCATGCAGGTCGCGGCATCTGCGTGGAGCGAAGCTCCAAATGGAATCTTGCCTTCCAAAACGCGGCAATGACGATCGATCTTGCAGAGTTGCGCATGGACCAGAAGCACGAATGATTTTACCGAAGCCGATGAGAGCTCCCAGGCCTTCTCATTCTGAGGAACATCTTTGAGGAGAAATTCGTCCTCTGGTGTCAAAGAGGTAAGGGCGACAGTGCGAGGGGTTTTGATCTCGTCTGACAGTGGATCCCATTCTGACAATGGTTCCCAAAATTCTTCGCCTGTACGGCCGTTGAAAATCCTGGGATAATAGAGGAACCTATCCAAGAATTTGTAAATGCTTCTCTGCAAGGCGAAGAGGCAGATTTGATCAAAAGCGCCCATGGTCTTGAAGGCGTTGCAGAGGGCGTGAAACTGGCTTGGCAGGGATGGGGTGTCGTCGGAATCGCTGATAACCGTGTTACGAGTTTGTTGGCGAGGAAAAGCGAAAAATACTACTTACGAAGGGTCCACCATGTTATCCTGCTGAGCCGCCGTCGGCTTGGCCACTGAGACGACGATCCTTGACCCCGGTTCGGTCGAATTAACCCTGGGGTTCTGCGCTACTAGGATCGCGCTCGGAGTCTGGGGGTCTTCTGGCAAAAAGGTGCCGGTGACCGCAACAACCTGCTTAGCGTCCCTGTCTGCCGGGCTTCCACATGTCAACAAATTGGAGAGGTGCCGCAGAACTGGAGGGATATCCGGGTTGCCTACGTGGATGCCCACTTCAGCACCGCAGTATTTGCCTTTGTGGAGTAAGGTAGTAACGGTTTGTATGTTCCTTTCTAGCTCTTCAAATTCGGAGGTGCTCGATTCAGAGTCTGTGGGCATCGCTATGCCAGTGGTTTACAACATAGAGGGTGGTGGGAATCAAACAGAGGCGGTCCCTCCTGGCAGTGGTTGTGCCTGTTTGGTCTGTGGCTGTGACATCAGGACTTCATGCGAGAAGTTCGGATGTGTGTGTGCTTAGACCTCTACCGCCAGCTCCACCGTTGTGATTGACGAGCTCGACGCTTTCTATGACTGTGATGACTGAACCTAGCCCCGTGGTGGACGAGTTCAGTCAGGTTGAACAACGAATCCAATCACTGACAACGCTACTTTCAAATCTCGACCGGAGACGACACAAAACACCCAACGATCCTTACACACCTCCAATTCTACAGAGTATCGCCACACTTCTGACTTGCGAGCAGAAGGCTGCAGTCACAGGCACTATAACTTCAACGGATGCCGATATCCTCATTGCGACAGACGCAACTCCTCTTGATTCGGATTCCGGTATCGGGGTCGGTATAGAACCAGTTCACTTCGATACCGTACCCTTCAGGACTACGCTGGATGATAGCAGAGGGTATGATACCAACTATCTGAAACATACATGCAGCGTTAACCGGGTGCAGCAGCCGTTTTCACGCCAGAGCGAAGCTTATCTGGACGGCGCTCGTTCACACGGACTTCTCAAAGCCGGCGCAAGTGTCTCGACTAAATCACTACATCCTCGTCCTTGGTTTCCCTCAGTTCATCGAGCGGTTCTCCATGCACGAAACTCTTTTCTCGACAGTTGATGGTGACGCCTTTTACCAGTACTTCTGGGACTGGGAACCATCCCAGTCGGATCGGGTTGCAACACTGGCGGTCGACGCTATCAATATCCCAAGTCTTCAGCCATCCGCAAGCCTGCATAGCGCGGAAGGCGAGGGAAAGTGGGAGTTCTCCACTCGCACGTTACAAACTTGGGCGCGGCTACTCTGCCAACTAATTGGCGAACTGGACGAGGCGCTTGACGAAGTTGAAAGTAGCGAAGAGTCGCCAGGGACCAGCACGGGTTGGGAGGATTCCACCATCAAGGTCAATGAATATTGCATGGCGCTGCATACCTTGCTCCGAGAGGGAGTACTTGAAACACTCCTTCTCAGGACGTCACTCGGGTCGTTCCTCGAAGAGAAACTTAGGAACTGCTGTTCTGCGGTCTCCCTTCCACAGCACTTTATCGAGGACGTTACGATCGGCGAGTCAAATTCTTTCAATGACACCGTGTCACTCGACTTACAGATTTTGAACACCGCTACTTAGATGTTCAATGGCAAGGAAACGAAGCGCGGGCCAACCAGGTCCTTCGCTTTTTGGAAGGCCTGTTATCTTGGCACGATGCGGTCCACAACCTCCAGAAGAACGTCGGAGAGATTATGTCTCTTCCTGCAGACAAGGTCAACGTTGCCATCGTCAAGCAATCGGCGGTAGCACACGATTTACTGCCATTGTCTCAAATATGTGACTTTATAACTGGAAGGCGCAGCGATGCCCAAGATTCCGAGCTATTCCCATCATCCGAGGATGCACAAGGTCTCCTTCGTTCGTTGTGCGACTACGACGAAGGAAAGAAATTCGCTGGCAGTGTACATCCCGAAGCGACATTACTCGGTCTCGTTACCCACTGGAACACCCCCCATCCAGTTAACTACGATGCTGAGATCAACGACGTTGAGGAATTGGCCATGATGTTGCAGAAGGTACGCGCCAAACTTCTTTCATAAATAACGCTAAACGCTCTCTATCCAGCGAGATCGATTTATCGCTGTCGGGTCTAGCAACCAGTGTTGCTTCTGTTGTCACATCGTTGGGAGACACAAGGAGGAGGATGTCATCGACGCATACCCTGGTACAAATGGTGTCATTCATCCATGGACACCTCCTCGCGTTGGCGTAAAGCTTTCCATTCTGAAGGACGTGGAGGCCTTCCTCTGGGATCAACTGGAGTCGGTCATCAAGGCCCACTGGGATCCCCCACTGTCATCCATAATGCGGTATCGGTGCGAAAGCCATTCGCCCACTTCGCAACGCGACCCCACTGCACCCCTTCTATTGGGATTCCATGATCTCCCTCCATCGCCTCCGAGTTCGACGTACTATCGCAGCACGATATCGCCCGACGTCGCGAGGAGACTCCAAGAAAATCGATCGCAGGACCGCATCATCCGCGAAATGTTCCACTCGCCGACCAGTCCATCGCTTCGCGATCTGGACTGCATCTCCGAATGCGACTCGAGTCCTTCCACCAACGAATCCGAATCGATTCCTGACATGGAGTGGAGGAGCTTGCTACGGCGTGGGAGTCGGTCTTCAGGAAAAAGAGTTGTCAGATTGCCCAGTCTCCCAAGTCCGCGGCAGCGCTCGCACAAGGCTCTTGAGCCTGATGATTCCGACGCAGGGTCAGATGGAGGATGCCCGTGTTCTCATCCATTCTCGAGTGATTTCCTGCAGCCCAGTTTGTCGAGGAGGTCGAGTGCAGGGCCCTTCCACTCAAACCATGATGCCCGGCGGTCCCATCGTCGTCTCAGCCAAAGTAGCGCTGCTGGAAGACAACATCCGTATAGGTAATGTTGTGGTTCTTTAGTCTCCCATGGACTCTTTGTTTGTGCCATGCAGCAGCCACGATCACGATACTTCGCTTCGCTATGACACGACTTACACTGTACTTCTAGCCATCGACTTCCGTTTGTATCCATAGTACGTATAGGCTGTCTCAGAGGAGAACGAGCCGCTCCCTCTGTCCAGCAGGGGCGATGCGAGAGGCATGATGTTACTGCGCCATCAAAACCAAACCTCATCAAGCTTGTAAGTTTCCAATGTCTGGACTAATCAATTCCATCGTGGTATATAGGGTTCGGTATTAAATAAATTACAGACGGCCCGTCAACCAAAATGTGTGGTTAGACGGATGGCGTGGATGATACATTACAGCCGGGGAATCGGCAGTGGAGTGGAGAAACTTGGGTCGATATCCCTGAATATGTCAAAGTTTCTGACCAAGGTAATCTCCTGAGCAGCCTACACTCATAGTCAGAACAGCGCTTCAGGATAGAAAGCGAGAACAAAAGGAATGACACGTACCCCCTTTGGCATCTTCAGATATGCCCGGTGCAGACGACCCTTCACCCCACCCCGACTTTCATCGCCCTCGTAACCGAGAATAGTTCGCCCCTTCTCATCCTTGCCCACCGCCACCGGGTTAATCGTCAGCGCACCAAACGGACTGCTCGAAAGCGCCTGCACTTGTGCGCGTTGCTCAGCCGTATTCTCGTTCCCCTTCAGAATATCCGACAGCGTCGAAAGGATATAAAACTGCGGAGGCATAAAGTTGATCTTTCCAGCTTTCGAATCCGCGATAGCCTCGGAAGGATGGACGAATCGTGCTGCGATCACTTCTTGACCACCATCTGTTCATGTAAGGTGAAGCCCGATGTCGTCGACAGATAGAGACGTAGGATCATCAGGGGAAAGAAGACTGGGATAGCGAGGCACGAAGCGTACCAGGAGTAGGCAGCCTCTCTTTCTTCTCTCCAGACGAGAAGCCAGAAACCGATGCCGACGGCAGGAACGTGACGAAAAACTGCGTTTCGAAACGCCTAATCATATTCCGTTGTTGTCGTCAGCGCTAGGTCAGACAAGCATTAACACGAGACGTACTTCGGAGGTCCAACAGGGGTTATCCATTTAGTGAAAGGTAATAGCGAGCCAATGTCAGGTGTGAGGCTGTTCTCCGACAAGAAATCCTCAAACAGCTTTCGCTGCTGATGGATGGCGAAACGTGCTTCATCGAGGACAGATTCGGGCACTGTAGAGTTGCCCGAGGACGGTGAAGCGAGCAACAACCCCGACTCCTCAAACGTCTCGCGAATGGCGGTTATGGCGAGCGATTTGTCCTGCTTCTGGTCGTAATTCCCTCCAGGGAACACCTATCGTCATCTCAGCCACCTCGGAACATCCGGACGAGTACGAGAAGGACGACGTACATGGAATCCACCAAACGCCGTCGCCTTGGGGTTCCGCTGAACCAACAAAACCTCGTTCCGGTGGTTGACAATGACCAGGCTCGCAGATGGACGTGGTACCGGCACTTTGGCGAGTCCAGGAACAGCTGAAGGCGATATCGACATGGGGAAAACAGGCGGAAGTCGTTCCAGTACAGTAGCTGCAGCTGCTGCAGCTGCGGCCTGTCTATAAGCGCGGAAAGGGGCTCGAATCGAACCAGGGAGTCGGATATTGACGACGCATTGGACCGGTCTCGCAAACACCGTGATCATTTATACCAAGAGAAAAAACCGGGCTATTGGAATGTGATATTGATATCGATTCACTTGGGGATGTTTTGAATCTTCAATCCGAATCCGAATCTGAAATCTGTGGTCACTGGATCCACCGCTGGTTGTAGTAACCCGTTCCACCCCCTTGCTTGCCTCCGTTGATGTAGACCTGGCCGGTGCCCCTGCTGCAGGTGGTCCTGTGCATGCGTCAGCTGGTACTGTAGCATTTTTCTCCCCGGTGGACAACCCCGGAAATGGCTGTGGAGTGGTATCTACCTGCAAGAGGGTGGTGTGACACTGTGGTCGAGAGGAAAGAGCGTGGACGCCGGTTGGGCCGTTCCTGTGATGGAGGTCATATCCCTCGTGATCAAACTCGTTGTCAGGCTGCCCTGCCGCGATACTTGCCAGAGCCTATGCGCTAACTGGCTGGAAAAAGGTTAATTCGCAACGCAAGAATATACATTTCAAGTTCCCTACAAACAAGCTGGGAGGTTTACATATGTAACTGATTCGGAGGTGGGTGAACGGGACTAATGCTACAGTTGGAATATGTGCTATCATAATGGAGTGCGTATGTATGTGCAGAGCGGGTAGACCAAAAAAATGACGAAGGGAACAAACATAGAGAATAAAAATAGCGTGTAATGCGCAAGACTAGGAAGGTGCAAGACTATGAAGATGCAAGACTAGGAAGGTTCAAGACTGGGAGGGTGCAAGACTATAAGAAACAAGAGACCAACCCGACCGTCGACCCAGCGACACGGACACGACCAAAACAATAGAATGAATCACAGATACGCCATCCTCTGCCTCATCTCCATAATCTGATTCCTGCTCATCTTCAACATCTGCTCATGAACAATCGGATGCTCCTTGACGATATGTTCACTCAACACAGCGAACGAAGCTCCTATTTCGAAACGAGCCACACGGAGTGGTTGACTGTTCCCAGGTTCTCGAGGGCGTGTCCTGTTATCATCGCCGAAGAAGAGAGAGAGAGTCAGCGCTAAGCAATGGACAACACATCCGACAAAGAAGGAAACTTACATGCACGACCGGCACGTCATCTTGTTGTTGATTTCCGAGTAAAGCAAGGGGAGGTGCATGACGCTAAGTTGACTCGGAGGTTTGGGTTTAGCCTTTGGTGATACCGATGCCGCAGGCGTACTCGCAGCGATCGTACCGGCCACAGCGGAAGCAGAACTCGAGCTCGTCGCAGTGGCCGAGGCAGTGGCGGTGGCAATAGGCGCCGAAACGACCCGCCGGCCATCTGCAGGTTCAGCCTTCACATCCACCGGCATCCTCACCGACGCACTACTGGTATGACGATGACCAACGCCAGCAGCGGTAGGGGTGACGGGCCTAGGAGGAGGCCCCGGTACAGTGGACGGCAGACCTCTCTGTTCCACCGGCTTTGGAGTCTCAGATTCAGTGATCTCCCCTTCCTCCCGTTCGTCGTCCGTAGCCACGAGTTGATCAACTTCCTCTTCGTCTGGGTCAGGCTTGATGTTTAACGGGTCGTCATCGATGCTCATTTCCCGAGCCTCGCTGGGCCGTGGTGGGACTGGGCCTGGGGAAGCAAGTGACCCCGACACCACGATGTCTCTCGAAGGCGTGGAACTTTGTTGCCCAGCCAATGTCGTCGTCGTAGGTTGGATTGGGTCGGAGCGATGGTTAGGCGTAGGATTACCATAAGTGGACAGTCGTGGAGAAACGGTATCTCGAACATTAGAAGAGGGCGCGGAACGGTGGGGTTGTTGATTGGATAGATCAGTAGGAGCGGTCGTGGGAGTAGGATGATGACGATGTGGTACAATCGGCGAAGCAGTCGAGGAATTAGGACGTTCAACGGGAGAAGTAAGCTGAACAGACGCTTGCACACTTGGGGCTCGAGGCTCCTGCAGCTGGGCGCCGTTACCTTGTTCCGGTGGCGAGACAGTAGAGTTAGTGGCCTTCGCGGCCTGGTGATGCTGAAGGGGCGACATGCATGTCGACATAGAGGGAACATCTCTTGAAGTCCCAGTGGTCGTCGAATTCGGACGAGAAATCGACGGAGGGGTAGGAAGGACCTGTGACTCTTGATGTTGTCGTTCAGCAGAACTTGGCTTGGGAGTGGGCGGCGAATGGGAGGATAGTTGTTGAGGTTGGTTTTGACCTTGAGTGTCACTTCGTTGAGCCGCTGTCGCAGGATCGTCAACCACTTGATCATGTGGCGAAACCCCAGAACCCAATGTCGAGTAAGGGCGTGGGCTCCGCACGAGCGGTGGAATACGAGAGTGAAGGCGCAGATCGGGGGAAGGAGTCGGGAGAGTCATCCCGGGTTCCCCATTCTCTCCTGGACGCTGTTCCTCTGTCCTTGGTTGGGAGGCCTGTGAGAGTACAGATGGCGCGTCCTCTGTGTTCTTATTCTCTGAGCTGGGAGAGCTGAGTTCCTCGAGCCGGGCGCGTGTAGCAGGCCGCTCCTCACTGGCTTGACCTTGTGATTCTGACCTCTGTCGTTTAAGAGCCCCTTCGAGGACAACAGGTGCTCGATGTTCAGAACCAAGGAAAGTTGGTCTTGTGGGCGAAGGATCGTTGCTGTCGGGTAGAATAAGGGGCTGGAGGTGATCAAGAGGTTCGTCTGACATGTCGATGTCGAGAACGATAGGGGTATCTTCGGATTCCCCATTGGAAGGAGAGCGCTCGGGCTGGGCGGGTGCGGTGAGTCGAGCGGGAAGAGCGGGACTGTGGTGATTCTGCGCAAAAGGCTCTCGCTCTACCTCATACGCAGGGAAGGGAGGGCGCCCAGCCAAAGCCGCGGTGGTGGGAGGTTGTACGGAGGGTCGGGCCGGAGCTCCGGCAGCTCCTGGGGCAGCGTTTTCGGCGGCAGCGACGAGAGCTTGAAGTTGCGGAGGTGTGGCCGTACGATTCCCAGCAGATTGTTGGTCGAGCTAGGCAGTTCAAGGGTTAGCAATTGCAAAACGACAAAGGCGCATTCAATGGGGTGTCATACCATATGTTTAAGCAAAGCAATGGCGCGTGCTTGTTCAATACACCTTCTCTCAGCCGTGTTCCGCTTCGTCCTCTCTTCCGCAATCTTCGCGAATGCGACTTGGAGCTTCTTCTCGACTTGATCCACAAGCTGTTGTCCGACCTTGGCGTACACTTCCTCAGCTGTGATAGTCGTCCCCGATGAAGCAACCTGGTCCTGCTGGAACCCATCCAATGCTTGGTACTTGGCCTCGATCGCGCTCTTCTCCGTCTCCAAGTTCGCAATAGTGGAGTTCGCTTTAACAAGTGCATCAGAAGTGGCAGCCAGCGTCACGCTAAACTTTGCGTTCTCCTGCTCGATGTGGCTCACCCTCGCGTGGAGACCGAGGTTCTCGCTCTGCAGTTTTATCTTCTCGCCGGTGAGCTTGTGTATGTGTCTTTGCAAATGAGAGATCTGGACTCTTTCCCGCTCCAGCTGAGTAGTGTAGTCTTTGTGCAGCTTCTCGATGACAGCGCGCAGTGCATTGACATACTTGGACCAAAGACCGTGGATATCCGCCGAAATTGGGTCGAGGATGGTGGCCACCGCACTATCAACTATGGCGCGGCTGTCAGAGGTGGTCATAGTCGAGCGCGTGATGGGTTGCGTCGGTGTGGCATATTGAGGTTGTTGTTGCTGCGCAGCTACACCGTAAGCTGGTGGGCCTTGGGTGGGTCCCGATTGCGAGTGGTGCTGCTGAGCAGGGAACCCATGCCCCGATTGGCTTTGGGCGGGAGTAGGTTGGGGTACTTGCTGTCGAAGGTGGCTTTGAGGCACCGCGCTCGGCTGAGGACCCATGGCCGGTGGGGTGAACGCGCTGGGAACACGAGGAGTGCCGGGTTGCGAATTGGGTGCAGACGTTGGGCCCTGCTGACGTTGGAACGTCGTGGTGGGCGGAGGAGGAGGGGGTAGTGGTTGAGACGTGTGGAATCCAGACCCCGGCTGACCCGTGGAAAGAGGTGGTGGTTGGACAAAGGGACTTGGCTGTTGCTTGACATGTGGACCTGGTGGTTGGGTATGAACCGAACTGGGCTGTGGAAAGGTTCCCGAAGCGCGTCTTGGAGGTGGCGGTAGTGGTGTGTGGTTAGGATGCCCCTGGTGCTGCGGTGGTGCTGCTGGTGGTGCTGGCTGTGGTGCTGGTAGTGGTCCCTGTCTATATCGGTTGTCCTGCAAGCCCTCGTAGCGGAAGTGCAGAGACGGTGACTAAAACAAAGCACGGTTAAAACATTCGTACAAGATCGAAGCATCCTGTCTAACCTGAGGAACCTTTTTCAAGTCAACAAAGATGTCAAACATCGTTATAAGGAGCTGAACTCACCGATGTAATGGACTGGGCTGGCGGTGGCAAATGAGTGGCAAATGCCTGTTGCTGCTGCTGGTGATTCATCGAAGTTGACGGTCCAGCAGCAACAATCGAGCTCGGAAGACGTGCACCCTGACAAAGGAACGTCAATTCCCACAAATTCGATATCCAGAAAAACGAAATACCTGAGACTGGTGGCCATTGTACTGCGGCGGTCCTGGCGACTGTATGGATGCCATGGCTTGCTACCTTCGATAGGCTTTCATCGATATCGTGTTTTTAAAGCTTGATTCTGCTCCTGCGGCTACAGCCGTCGCTTCTAGAAGTTGGGGAGGATCTAAGGGTCCTCGAGGCGCACAGATGAACACCTTGTGATCTCCACGCGCTGAAAATAAATTCAGATTGGACTATATCGCAGCTGTAATCTAGTACATTCTGTAAGTTTCCAAATGTTTCGAAAAAACAGTTGCCTCACAACTGGAACCTTCAGGGTTGACGCGACATGGAGGTAGAGAACAAGTTGCATTCCGAGTCAGAGCGCGCGACGATCAATTCAATTAGATCGGTTAAGTCCGTTAACAGCAAAGATAACTCATAAATACAGTAAAACTAAAAATACATTAGACTTAGCAGGAAGGATGTACAGTACGGATCCGGAGGCTTCTCTCAGGACTCGGGGAGAAGATAATCGTGATAATAAGGGAGGACGAAGAAGCTCAAAACATTTGCTGCTGGAACTGCCCACCAAATCCATTATCCTGATTGAGCGCTGAATCGACATTGGCAATGTAATGGCTCCAATCTGTCCAACTATAAAAAGGACGAGCGATCAGTCAAGGAGAGAAACGCCACAGAAAGACTAAAACATACTCGAGAGATGTGGGTACACCAGCCCAGATTGTCATGTTGTCCAGCCCGATACCTTGAGGGAAGAAATTGGGAATTGGCGATGTCCCGTTCGCAACAGGGATTTCATTGGCACTTGGATTACTAGGCCCAGCTTGTGGGGCCTGAGCTCCTCCAGATTGAGGGCTCATAGCACCAAGCAAGTTCCCTCCATTCGACGACATAAAGCTGTCCCAATCGTTATTAACTGGCGCAGGCCCCCCGCCAGCTGCCGCTGCAAAAGACTGGGCAAACATAGCTTCAAAGTCAAATGGCTGCCCTCCCGCCGACGACACTGCCGACGACACTCCTGCACTCGACGGCGGAGTGCCCGCCGCCGAAGGCAGGTGGAACGATTCGAATACAGGTCCAACGCTCAGTTCACTGCTGTAGACGGGGAAGTTGAACACTCCTGTCAGTGAGCATCCGATTTCCGAGGTGGCTGGCTGAGAGGAAGGAGGCGATGGCTGAGGGTCTTGTGTTGCGCTAGCAGAAGGCGAAGCGCTCCACCACGCTGGTGCACCAGAGTCGATAGACGATTCGGGGAGTGGGAGGTTGCTGACCGCTGCAAGAGCGCGGAGAACGTCGCTGATGAATCGGGGTGATGAGAAGGTTTGTCGATGGTTTTCGACCGAGACGCCTACCTGAATCGACCAGCAGGATGCCACCTGCGTTCAAACATTGCCAGAAGTCGTGCACATCGATACACGCTCTCCATCTCCTTCTGCTCGTCAAGTGGTATCCCAGCCTGTTTAGCACGCCAAATACTCAGCATGAGTATCAGACCGGACTTGAATATCGTCGCCTGAAACAGGTATTAATTACATCTCTTCGATGAGGTTTTGAGACGATAGCTAGGACGTACCTGGACTTGCGGCAAAGCCAGGAACCCTCTCTGCGAATGAAGCTCCATGATCCTACTACACGCACGAGCGGCATTGGTGCAAATAGCGAGCGACGACAACGACAATTTGCTGCGTATAGATATGAACGGTCGGTGGATGAGAATCTGGACCCAATAGAAGGTGCTGAAGATCAACGCGGATTGGTCGAAGAAAATGGGGTTGGGGTTATTGGGATCCCAGCGGACTGTATGGAGGTTTCAATGGACATATTCCGGTAACAGATGGAAGAACTTACGGTGTTCAGGAACAGTGTCCACCCATCCGTTCAATAGCGAATCTAGGCTGGCTAGGTTGTGCTGTTCCCATTCTTCTGGAGAGGACGCGTCTGGTGGAACTGTCTTCTTGGTGGCGTACTGAGCTGCACAGTCAGGTGGACTGGAAGGGAAGAGGTAAATATACACCGACGCACAAATACAGCTTCCGCAGACGACAAAACATTGAAGAGTTCCAGTAACTTCACGAGACACGTCGTCTGGGCAGGTTTTCCTTGAGGCTGTTTGAACGCCAAAGCAGGGTCAGGATTCTCCCAATACTCGTCATCGCATTCTATCGGAAGGTCGACGTCAAAGCTGCGCGATGAGAGTCGTCAGTATTAGAATGTCACAGATGTGCTGAGATTGCTTACTCGGAAGCATGGATAGCCCTCGGACGTCCATTCGAAATCGAAACCACAATGTCTGCGAGAACGAGTGCCCACCAGATCCGTTTCCGCAGTTCGCTTTGGACGGTTGGTGGACCTCGATGGCGACGATGAATTCCCGCATCCTGCGCCGCTCGAATAGCCATTCCAATCAAGTACCAGCAATCTTCTGGTGTCGACGCTCCATGGAGGTACGTCGCAGAAATCTACGCACGTCACTTTTGTCAGCCAGATCAAAGCAATTCACAGCCCTAAACAACTTACCCAGTACGTCTGCAACTCGTACAACGACGGCGTTCGAATGAACGACTTGCGGAATAACCTCAACTGCTTAAACCACTGATACCCACAGCTCAACTCGGAGGTGACACCCTCAGGTATAACCCTCTTATCGCTCGAATACCTCGAAGCCACAGCACATACCGCTAAAAGACATCCTCCAAACCCACGATCTTTCAAGTGCAGACCGGCTTTGACGGACTTGTCAAAGGTCGGCCGGTGGAGTACAGGGATGAAGACATTGCACATCCGGAAGTACGTGTCCACGAGGTGCTCGAGGAGGTCCGGTTCGGGAAATACGAAGGGTTGTTGGGGTTCTGGCGGCACGATTTCCCACTGGATGTGACGAGAATGTGTCAATTAGAGTCAGTGTGACATGGGGAGTGGGAGATAAGAAGGAAATGCCGTAAAAGACCAAGAGCCCCAAGGGTCCCCAACAAAGCGAAGAAACAAGAAGTAAAAGTCAAAATCAAATTGAATAGAGACACGTACCTGTTGGACTGTCCAATACTGTGGGCGCTTGAACGCCGCCACCTTCATTATTGCGCCCGGGTTACACGCCTGGGGGTTAGTCGCATACTGCCTGCTGAACTCCAGCGCCGCCTTGACCAGCATCCCACTACTCGACGGCCCAAAGAACCGATTACTCTTCGCGTTTATCGTCAGATTCTTCTCCATGACATTGGAGAGCTGCGTATCAACGTTATTGCTGTTCCCGGTGCCGTTACCGTTGCTGTTGCTTTCGTGAGAGTCCTCAGAGGTCGGGGAGCCTGTAGGATCAATCATGTACTTGGGTTCACGAATGATTGGGGAGGTTTCGGACTCTGGGGACGTCCGTGTTTGTGTGGAGATGGAGAGCGGCGATGGGGCGGTTGCACCAGACTTGGGGACTCGCTGTTCGAGTAAACGTGCGTAGGAGGCGAGGGAGATGAGCGTGTTTCGGATAATGGCTGGGTTTGTTGGGGCTTGATACGTCGCAGAGAGGATTGTCTCTAACAAGGGGTTCATCTTCTCCCGGTGTTCGTCCAGAGATTCGGGTTCGCGCAAACCGCGCTTTGGAGTTGGTCTGTCAAGCTCGTCCTAAGTCGAATGTCGCATAAAGGAGACATTGGCATACCTGAACTTGTACACCGTTTTCTACAGACCACCAATAAGCATCCTAGCATCCCCAATAAACACGGGTAACGCACCTGGTTAACATGGACATGCGTACACTCCGCGTTGAACGCAATACAATTCGAACATCGATTGTCTGGCATCTTTGCAGAATCGCCTACATTTTCGATAAACATGCTTGAGATTTAAGAAGGCACGAGCCTCACATCTGACTGTAGCACCCAATGAGATCTTAAACCAACACCCCCAAATGAAAAGCCAACGACGACGTACTCTTTTTCTGCCGACAGATATCGCATGCCCCCTGTAGCCTCCGGCGCTTAAACTTCACAGTTGGCGCTTCTTCACCGGGCATCGTCGCCTCTTCCTTGGTGTACTGTTCGTAGTGAGTTTTGAGAGCTTGATTTCAAAGTGTAAGATGGAAGGCCGTAGGTGGTATAAGGACAAGGTCAAGCCGCGACGACCACGAACCCCGCAGGGGCCGTTTTCGGTTTTCCCCATATTCCTGTGATTACCCCGGAATCAATTCCCTTTAATCAGGCTGAAGAGGCCCATCATACCTTGGCGCTCTTGGCCGTCAGGATTAGGAGATCTCGTCCGACTGGGGCGTTTGGCGATGGCTGACCTGTCAGAACGCGTCTGACTGTCATGAACTGCGACGTGGGCTGGCTGGAGGATCTGGTATGGGCCCTCTTAGTAAGTAGGTGGGCCTTTGTCTTGTCCTGATCCTAGTCGGGAGGTGTACACACAATTGGTACTAACATATGCATCTCCGACACGGCGAGAGGTCTTCCTAGTAGTAGCAAGTGGAAGGGGGCAGTGGGAGGCGCCCAAGACGCTCGGTTGGTTTCCCAGTGTCAGAATGTCAGCCCTCGTGAGCTCTCAGAAGCTGTCTCGTCTGTACACGAATGGAGACAGCGGCCACACATATGTAGAGAAGAGTACCTTTCCACCACTGAAAGACACCTGGGCTCATACAGAAGCGCTAACAAGCCTCCGAAATCCAACGACTCCGAGGTGTAAAACTCGGAAAACGAGGTAGTACGTGAAAACGAGGAAGGTGAAAGCGAGGTACACGAACACGAGAAAGGTGAAAACGAGGAACAGTGAGAAGTTGAAGAAGGGAATGAAAGAGAGGTCGTCTACGGAAAGGGGTTCGATGGTCATTTGTGTGCGGAACCACCATGTTACGCTTAGTGCCAGGGATAGGGGGATGAGGATGGAGGAGCCTTGGGTTAGGAGGCTGAGGGCTCGGAGGACTAGGAGCGAAGAGTCATCGTGTCAGAGGGTGCAGAAGCGACGAGTAGAGCGAGCGAGAGCTAGAAGGGAGGTTGTGCTTACTGGGGGCGGAGAAGTCGTGGTGGAAGAATAGTGGCCATTTTGGGGGTATGCTGTCTTCGTAGAGACCGAGCCAGTACAAGCTGTAATATTTAGACGTGCTGTTAGCATCGAGAATGGAGCCAAAAACAAAGGGGTGTCATATATACATACCAGATAGTAACGATTGACCCGTAAATCCATTCAATTTCATTAGCTTCGCCCTTTTGACCCGTATACAATAATCCAGCCTTTGCAAGTCCGAACGCTGCAGCACATATGGATACGAGGATGCGGTACCCCGTTAATCCCCAAATAGCCTTGGTTCGGGTGTAGGGGAAGCATATCTCATGTTTGCGTGGGCGGTCGTCGCTGCAGTATCTTGGAACTGGAATATGGAAGAACCGGAGGAGGGAGGCGAGGGACTGGAGGTAATCGTGTGTGAAGAGGAAGTGTGGGAGGTAGCTCGCGGTATTGAGGGGCCATTCAAGTTTTCGATGGAGGGGGATGAATAGGGGGTAACAAGGTGAAGAGTCGCTCTCCGCAGATGATTGCTAAGGGTACATTGAGGCTGTCAGAAAATGAATAAACTCTGCTATCCATTCTTAGCTTGCATATAACGGCAACAAATAGCCTGTCATCGATCACAAAACGTACCTCAGGCTTTTAGCGCCCACTGAGATTGAAATCGTGATTGGAGATCAATTTTGATCGCGGCACGCAGACCTGAGTTTGTTGCTGAGGTTCAATATTTTTCCATCTTCCCGACGAGCATCTCGGCTCTCCCAAATCTCTAGACTTCTAGCGCCCTCAATAATGACCTCAATTCCCTGAACATTCCCAACTAACGAAGAATAATCTAAACTACACGAAAAAATGGCCCCGGTTGTCAAACAAAATGCGCGAAAGGCGCCAGAAACGACTGGCGTTGAACGGAATACCAAACGACCGAGATTGGAGGAGTCGAAAGTGGCCAAGTTTACTTCGATTGCTGCTTTGCAGGCTGCGTTGAATGCGAATAATAAAAGGCCGTGTGCTGCGTTGGTTCAAGGTGTGTTCACCAGCTCCATTATTGTCACAACTGAACGCTGAATTGGGTGGGGTTTGTAGCGCTTACGACTCTGCGTAACCAGATCTCTCTACGCCATGCTGAAGTCGAAGCTTATATTGAGGACCCTAGAACGAAGCTTGTTCAACATAACGATGAACGATTGCTTTTGGCGGAGGAGTGGTGTAAAGTCAGTCCTGGACTGCCGGTGTTGTTTGAAGTCTGGAATGAGACGTTTGACGAATCTGCAGGTACGTCCATGCGAGTTTTTCGACAGGTTTTCCAGAACTAAAGTCTTGTTTTATTTTTACTTGTAGCGGCTGCCAATGGATCTCAAGGCGTAGCTATGGCCAATTCAGTCGCGTCGTTGGTTCTGTCGGTCTTCTCCTCGATCCTCACACTGTTGTCGACCTCGTATGTGTTCCAAGCGGCTGGTATTCAGATCATCAAGAACTTCACCCCGGACCATTGGCGGCGGCTCAACACCTATGTGACTGGACAAGGGAGGGGAAGGAATAACCAGGGACCAAATAACGAGCTCATATTGGTATCTCTGCGTTTGTTGGCGGTTATGTCGGAGAAATGGGACTCGAAGCGGGTGTATGAAAGTTTTGCTTGGGAGTCCAAGGTCAATCTTTTCTTGTTTCCTAACCGACTACTGTGCTGACCGTGCTATAGGCATTGCCAAAACTTCTAACGATGCGCCGTAAGGGCGATTCCTCAGTCAATCCACTAGTTAAACCCGACATCCGAACGGCGTACATCGTGTTCCTCCTCTCCTTCCTCTCCAACTCGGTCGATAGCCGTGTCAGCTCGCAAACAAAAACGACGTTCCTATCGACACCAGCATCAGCGTCGGCGTTCCATCCTATTTTCAAAACTCTGCACTCGGACCATGCGACTGTTATCAAGCGTGTGTTGGAGGTGGCTTGGGAGGGGGTGTGGTGTGATATAAGAATTAGTAGGACGCTCAAGATCAGTGTTTTTGGGGATTTGCATGGGGTATTAGGACATGTGAGTTTTGCTCCGTACTATGTTTGTTTCCTACTCACACAACTTCCAGTTTCTCAAACTCTACGACAATACGGATGCGTCTGGTGCCGACTACAGCCCCGCCGACCTTGTCCACCACTTCCTCCTCGCCATATGCACTCGTCCCGGCGTCGGCCTCTGCTTCAAGGACCGTGGCTGGTATCCCAGGGAAGGCGAGGAAGACGCCTTGGAAGCAGCGGAAACCAGGACGACGAAGGATTCGGAGAGGGGCAAGATCTACAATGTCATTCTCTCTGGTCTTTTGCGTATGTTGAAGGTCACCGATGATCCTCGCCAACAAGAGTTGGCTCTTAAAATTCTGCAGGCGTGTCCGGAACTGGCAGCGGGGTAAGTGCAGCCCCGAATTCTGGTTTCTTCGCTGTTTAAACGCGTAGCTAGGTATTTGCCGGCATCCGGATTGACGCTTGACCCTCCCCGACTCTCTTCAAAATGGCTGGCCAACATCGCCTTTGTGACAGGTGTTATCAACCTCCCTGTACCCGTCGAATCGTTCCACCTGCACTCTACGCAACAGTCGACCACCTCCGAAGGTACCCTCTACAATCCCGTACCGCCTCCTGTGGCCACTATCCTCGGCAACATCATCCCCGCCAGTCAAAATTTGAACATGAAGAATGTGTTCACAAAAGGTCTGCAATTTACGACCACTCCAGCAAATAGCGGTAGCAAAGGCTCGACTGCAGCAAGCACCACGACAACGTCGCCTTCCCTCGGAAACCTCGTCCAACATACCACAGCCCTCTCCCTTATCAAATGTCTCGACAAGCTTGCTAGAGTGAAGGAAGCGTTTGAAGAGGTCGCTTCTGCTCTAGGCGAGGGTGAAGCCGAAGGACAATGGACACGTCGCTTGAAGGAGGTTATGCGGGAGGTTCGAAGGCGGTTACCTGAATTCCAAGTCGTGGTCGCGTTCTGCAGTGCCCACCTGCGAGCGTTCGCGCCCGCCGAATCCACCACCACCAATCCATCCGTTGTTCAAGCCTCTTCTGACTCCGGGACCTCGTCGGCGTCGTCGGTATCGCTGATCAAGAAGAAGGCGTTGTTGGCGGAGTGCGCGATGCGTCTTTTGTGGATGTACCAGAAGTGCTTGCCGGAGGTGGTTGAAGGAGCTCGATTCGATGTTGGGAAGATTTTGGTTGGGTTCGAGTTTGCGTTCCCTGGTGTGGACCCGAGCGATGCGATTTCTGATCGGGGGGAGGACGAGAGTGACGAGGATGATGGAGAGGACAAGATGGATGAAGATGAGGATGGTGAGCGTGAAGAGCCTTCTGAGGGCGACGAACAGGACGAAGGCGAGAGTGACGGCGGAGAAGACGGTCCGGCTGCCGAACAGGAGAAAACCCAAGAATCGGAAGACATCGACGTTGCTCGCCGCCTGCATCGAATCACTCAACTCCACATCCTCCGTTTCTTAAAAGAGAGCAACACCTTCGTCGCCTCGGGTGGATGGACAGGGAAAAGCCATACCAGTGCCAGCGGGCAAAGTCAAACCCACCTCCACACCCTCCTCACGCAGTTCATCCGGTTCCATCCATCCAGTGCAACCGGCAATTATGAGCTTTCTATTCATGGGCAGATTACCTCGCTGGTCAAGCATGTGTTGGCGTCGACGTTGTTGTTCCAGGATGACCCTGATGAAGTGGACTTTTGGTTGAATTCGTTGCCGTATGGTGTGAGGAGGGTGAAGGTTGTTACGAGGTCGGTGAAGCGGGAGGGTGGAGGGGAAGGCGAGGACGCAGGCAGAGATGAGGAAGACGACGAGGACGACGAGATTCAGACGATCACTGTCTATCCTGAAACGCCAGATGGCACCCCTCTCACGGATGAGCGAGAGGCTGTCATTGCTTTCCTGGACGAGTGTGTGCAGAGGTGTTTGAAGGCGCCGTACAAGTATATCGAGGAGATGGAGTCGTTTGCCAATGCTGACTCGACGGCCATGGACGTGGATTCGACATCCGACTCTGCTCGACCTTCGCCCAGTACGACCGCGTCGATCTCAACGCCCAGCCCGCTGCTCTGCACCGTTGTCGAACAACTCGCTGCCAAAGTCCGAGCTAAACTCCTTTCGCCGTCGGACTTGCTCGCTATCACGACGTTCCTGCGCAAACTCTTGTTCGCGTTGCTTGGGCGAACTGATTTGTGGACCGTCGAGGCAGCAGACGGTGGTAGCCTCCAGACGCCCAATCCCAATCTCGCTGTGCTTGTATCGATCGCGAAGAAGATTTCGGAGAGTCTGGATGTCGAGAAGTTGGTATTCGGGGATGAGGAGGAAGGTTCACCTCGACATGGTCTGATTAAACAAGTGGTCAGACGGGAGGTGGATCTCATGGTTGATTCCCTTTACGCTCGACTTTCCAACGCCTCCTCCTCAACTACCGATGCACTCGCCACCGCCAAAGAGCCACCATCGCAACAAGAAGTAGATGACATCGACGACTTCCTCGAGTTGGTTGAAGGACTGGACCTCCCACCTTCCAAACGCGAACGCCAACTTACAGCGTTCGAGCTGGTTGATTGGGTTCGACTACTTGATAGTCCGCTCAACGCAGCGCAGACGAAGAAGATATTTGAGATTGTGAAGGAGTTTGGGGGTGCGTGGGGTGTTAGGGACTTGGTTGGTGTGTTTGATGTTGGTTCTACTCCTGGGTTGGTGGAAGTGTTGGAGGTGGTGGGGAGGGAGGAGATGAGGGATGGGTGAGTGGTTATCTCCCCGCGAATGTCTATCATGCTAACGAAGCTCGTGTAGGCTGCCGTTCGAGTATTTGTTGCGCCATGCAAGCGCTGAAGACCTTGTGAACCCCGAATTCCAGAAGGTCCTCGTGGATTCTGCGACGCAGCATGGACCGAAGAGTTTCTTCTACTCCCCTGCGAACTCGGATTCGGTCGTGGTGTATGCCACAAGAGTTATCCGCGTCATCCTGCATCATCTGCAGCAGTGGAGAGCGAAGGGCGAAGGCGGTATCAGCAATGCACTGTTGCTGGTGTTGGTTTCCTTCTTGGCGGCTTTGAAGAGCGCACCACAACCTTTTGAAGCTGTCAAGAGTGTGTTGTTTGGTGGGCAGTTGCCTGCGTTTAAGGGGATGCTGTTGAGTTTGAAGGCTGTTTCTGTTTCGGCTGGTGAGTGCATTGTCGTTTCGGTTTTACGGGTGGATGGTACTTTCTGACCTTCCCATCTTGCAGCGATTGCCAAGATTCAGGCCACTTGTCTAGACTTCACCTCCGCGAAGGATAGGGAGCTCGTTCGGGATACCGCCATCTTCTGGCGTGACCAGTTCCTGTCCTGGATGGAACAGCCTACTGCCTCTAATGCCTCTAACGAGCTCGCACAGCAGCAGGTCGATTACGCGCTCTCTTGGATTAGGTTTTTAGATCCGCTCGCCCTGCTTGATTGTCTCGAGTCGACACTCGCCCTCGCGTCCACTACATCCTCGAATCGAACATTCCTCGCTCTGCTTCAAGTGGCTGCAGACCCACTGAGAGCGTTGGCTTCCGGTAGTGGATCGTCCGATAACGTCGCGTTGCTCAGTTCGCGACTTTCTCTTCTGTTCAAGTTGCAAGCGATGCTTTCGACTTCGGCTTCGGCGCAGGATGGGCCGGGTGACGAAATGCTTCGTGGTGCGTTGGAGGAGTTGATTGCGACTGCCCTGGAGTCGACTTTGCCTGTGGGTGTGATGGGCACGTCGACCTTGTCTGGCCCGCCTTCGTCGCTTGCAGAGTTGTTGCGGGATGCGGATTCGAGGTGGAAACAGAGTCGTCGGGAGGGAGTGGCAGCTAGGCTTGATGTTGCCTCTCTTCTCGGCCAAGGGACGTTCACCAACGCCACGGGGAGGATTATTGCGAGCCTTCTGTATAGGGAATCGGGTTCGACGGAGGGTGGGTCGGCTGAAGAAGCTGTACTCGATTGGCTCGAGTCGGAGGGGAGCAGCAAGTCTCCTCTCGAAGACCTCGTTCCCGTCCTCCATTCGGTGCTTCATACTACCCTCCATCGTCCTGAACGACACAAGGTGCTCTCGTTGTTCGGTGACAACAAGCGGCTATCCAAGGTCCTTCAGCGGCTTGCCAAAGCGTTTGGGGACGAAGGCTACAGTCCGGTTACTCGAGGTCGGGTGCAGGCTGTGGTGAAACTATTGTTCCAGCATGGACTGTCGGATGAGACGCGAGTCGAATCGGTGGAGCATTGTTTGAAGCAACTGCGCAAGGCCATCCCCAGCGAACCAGCCTTTATCTCTCCGGAATGGATCTCCCTCGTCTATTGGGTTCAAGCTCACCTGCGGTCCTCGAAAGAGTCTCGGTCTCTCGTCAACGAGGCTATCGAATCGACGCTGCAGTACCTCACTCGTCAGTTGGGTGGTCAAGATGGGTCTAGTTGGTCGGACCTGGAAGATCTCGCTCGCAATCTCTCAGGTTTGGTGGAGACTTCGAAGGACGCAGAGTTCAATCAGGGGACGATCGAGACTTTGTTCCCTGTCATTATCGAGCATCATCTTGCACAGCCTGTGTATTTGATGTTGGTGGAGGCGTTCCTTCGGGTGGCCAATTTGAAGGTACGTCCCTCATATTGTTGTGACGAGGTTTGGCAATGGTCAACTGACGTTTCACTATGCCTAGCCCCTTGTCGTCAACCGGTATCTTCAAGCAATCGTCCAGCATCCACGGTTCTACAGGCTGCTCAGCACCACCGCTTCACCAGAATCCCTATCGATCAAGGAGGCCATCACATCCGTGTTGCACACCCTGTTCCACCTTCACCCTTCCAACACCTGCCAAGTGAGCCACGTCGAACCTTTGGTTCGCATCTATCGCGGAACGTTGTCGAAACCTGATCGTAGGATTCTGGATATCCTCCAACTCTTCGAGGGGCAGCGCAAACTTTCCGTGGCTGAGCTTTTGGCCAAGTGGTCGAACAGCCAGATCGCTTCTTCGGTCTATACACCTTCGTCCAGTTCGCTCGAGGCGGTTCAGAGCTTGGATGCGACACTGGTGTTGCAGACGGCTTTGGCGTTGCCTTATTGGAGGCATATTGACCAAAGGGGGTTGGGTGTTGAGGCAAAGGGCAGGGAGGAGCAGCTTTACGACCCGGTGTTCTTGATGCTCCTGTTTGGCCATGTTCTTTCAGAGAACCCGCCTTCTGGACCAATTGGATGGATTGAGCTATTCCGTACGAACGTTGTCGGGGTTGTTGTGAGGACGTTGTCGTCGAGTCATGAACCTACTCGTCGGTTGGCGCTCTCGCTGTTGGTTGGTGTGTGGAAGTTGGTTGAGGTGCGTTTCTGGTTATCCTGTTTATGGTTCCTTACTGATCTCATTGTTAGGGTACGGAGCTCCAAGAGAAAGGACATCTATTGTATGTCATGAACCAGATCAAGAACCTCTTCCCATCGCCTTCGACATCGTCTAGCGACGCGTACCCGCCACGGCTCCCGTCCTACATCACTCTCCTCCTGTTCCACGCCCTCCGTGGGATCTTCAATCCTTCCCACTTCATGTACCCCCTCACCTCACGCTTCCTGCTGCAACGCCCAGAGATCGACATGACCGACGTCCCGATGCTCTACTCGTTGCTGTACAGCAGTGTCGACGATCGGTGGAGGAAGGAGAGGGGATGGATTCTGAGGTTCCTCGCGGACGGCATGCTTGCCACTGGATCTGGCTCTCAAGACTGGAAGATCCTCAAACGGAGGCATACCTGGGATCTACTAGCCAGTCTGTATCAGAGCGCGTCTGAAGCAAGCGTGGATAAGGAGAAAGGGTTGAGGCAGGCTATATTGTGTGTCCTCGTTAATCTTACTAGGCATAGCAAGCCGTGCTCGAGTTTGGTGCTGAAGTCGGGGTTGTTGGCGTGGATTGAGATGCAGTTGAAGAGGGAGATTGGTGTTAGTGGTGGTGCGAGTAGGAATGAGGGTGTGGCTTGGATCAAGATTATTGAGAACGTTGTTCTGGTGCTTGATAAGGACAGGCTGGAGGGCACTTCGCTTGAGGGGGAGTGGCAGGCGACACTGTGGAGATCTATTGCCCTTTTGTTGTCGAAACACGGTGCGTTTGTCCTCTTCTCACTGGGAATTATTTTCTGATAGCATTTGGATTCTAGCTTTCGCTACTCAAGTCTTGCCGTTTGCAGCCCGTGTCATGCTCAGGCTTGGGAAGCATACCGGTCCCGACTGCAAGGCGTCTGTGGAAGCAATGTCACTCGCAGTCCAGCGATTGGAAGATCTCGAGGCTGGGATTCAGCTCCCGGATGCCCAGCTTTCAAGTTCCCATGCACTGCCGGCGCTGGACGACCTGCTCCCACCTGCCCTTCACGCCTCGTATGAGCTCCATGACAAGCCTCAAGTGGAATCGACCTTTGCTCTGTGGGGTCGGTTGGTGGAGATAATGTGGAGAACGGTTATGGCGATGAACGCTGGGAGTGAGGAGAATGAGGCGATTGGGGCTGTATGGGCCAAATTGACTAGTCGGCTGCTGGTTTGGGGTTCGATAGTCGGACCGGGTCGCTCGGAAGAGGCAGAATGGGCGAGGATAGAGTCCGTTAAGCTCCTTGGTTGAAGGGCTAGCGAGTTTCTGGATATATAAACGACGAGCATACTTTTTCAATACTATTTTCACCGGTCGAATTCAGACTTCACGATACTCGGCGCTGTGAGTGGGAGAATACCTTTCACATGAGGCTGGTATCCGTCACTCGCATGGACGGTCAAGTCAAATTCTGGACCGTGTGAGTTAACTTAAGGAAACCCGCGACAAACAAGGGCCTCTCGTAGATCAATAATCTACAGCGCTGGTATTGCTGAAAGTTCCTGGTTTCCCGATCCAGACTCAGATACAGGGTCCGGTATGTCATATGCCCCAGAAGCCTTCTTCAAGTTGAGACGAGATGCTAATCAGTGAGTAATTCTCTTACTAGTATCCATCGGGACACGATGGGAACTTCTCTCAATCCATGAGCTATTTACTTTCAGGGAGTCGATATTATTCAGATTTACTACCAAACAGACTCCAGTAGTATCATATCCTCCAAGGTCCAGACTCAGCACTTCCTTATGCTTGGGTGCAGAGAACCTGCTCTCGTGGTCAGAGAAATGGAAGAAGCATGCAGCAACAGAATACGTACCAATCCGGGATAAATGTTGCTGCAGAACTCGTTGACGTTGGGGTTGTTCTCGAGTACCTTCGCATATGTAATTCCAGCGGCGGTAGCGATCGATACGCATGTGTCTCCTTCGCTGACTGTGACAACGGGAGAGCAGTCGAAGCCCTCGCGGGCGAGGCAGATGATCTAAACATGCTATATTAGCGATGAAGGTGCCATGGCAGATGGAGACGGGTACTACCTGGCCAACCCAGAGATTGCTGCACTCCGCGTTGATGACGGTGAGCGGGTTTACAGCCGCAATCTGGAATCTAATTGCTTTCGTCAGTCTGGCTCGCTGTGCCGTCAGAGAGCGCTCCAACATACGAAGATACTCCTTGCGAGTCGGCGATCTTGTCGCAGGTATCGCCTGCCTGCACCTCGTAGGTTCGGGTGCAAGGAGGGAGCTGTGCGTCGACAATCCCAGTAGCAACCACAGCGAGGGCAACGAGCTTAGAGAAGGAGAACATGCTGAAAGTGGGCAATTGAACGAGTAAAACTGTTCAACTGAGGATTGAATCTCGGTTCTAACGCTGCTTTATAGGTTTCTGGCACTGGGCGCTTAATGCCTTGCCGTCACAAAACCAAGTCATAGACCAAAGATCATAGTCGGGCATTTCGGGCGTTTCATCCGGAACGCGGAAGGAGATGGCAGCTAGGAGCCGTCAAAATGACTTTGAAAATGTGAGAATACCGCAGTCCACTAGTTTCTCCGTACGACTCACAATTGTTGAGAATGGCAGGGCGTGTACCAAATGGGGTGGTCCAGCCGCCTTTTTGTGACTCTTTACTCTTCTCATCATGCTGATGCGCTCGTTCTGGGAATTTCCTGCGTTCCGACACCCGGATGGAAGTCTTGGGGATTCTGTTCTCCTGTCTGATCCACCTTCAGACAGTATTCTCTCCGTGGTCGTCGGTGAAAGTGCCGTAGTTGCGGATGTAAGGCGTAAATACTAACGAGGAAACCTAACGAGAGTAGTCGGCTGCCAGTGACTCCAGTAAAGCCAGGGGGAAAGGACGTGGGATTGAGGAATTTCTTGACTCAGATTCTATCCGAGTCGGTGCACTTAGTCTGATTGGCCCCGGCTCTTACGATGGCATGTGGGCTCCAGGCTCACTGAATTCTTCCGCAGACAGTACATACTAACAACACCTTCAACGACGCCAGAGAATGATTCGGTACATAGTAGCGCTACGGAAATCTGGGGGTTCCCTCTATTCCAATCTCGCTGTCTTCTTCAATCGGGTGCAGGATAAACAATCAGGGCACAAGTGTCCACTGAATGCCTGTACTGGGCCGGGATCGAACATCGCTACTCAGGCATGGTCTCGGACACAGTTGCCATCGTGGGAAACAACCTGAAGTTCTGCAGCGGTGACAGTGCCTTTGCCTTCACCTCACCAACGACCCACCACCGGGGACGCCAAAAGCCAAAGAATAACACTTGGGAAAGGCTCAAAAGGTAAGAAGACATCATCTCACACGCTCACAGTTATATAAATGTGTAATAATGCACTCACTGATCACAGTTACCTACCGTTAGCGCCCCACAGTACATGACCGTCGATAGACGCCCTGACCTTCCTCCGGAGCTATGGATGCGGATTTGCGAGCTGGCATGCTCGAGTGACGATGGAACCACAGCACTTTCGCTATCGCAAACATCGAGAGACTTCTATAACCATGTTCGGCCCTCACGCTATCATTGCGTGGCACTGACCGGGTGGAAGCAGGTGGTCCGCTTCGAGAGGCAGTTCCACTCGGACAGTGTACTCCCTCAACACAGGAGGATCCACAACCTTTGCGTTGATCTCCCCAGTATTGATGAGGTGGTGTATACCGAGGATACGTTCGAACCCGAGGACGAAGGAGAAGATGAAGATCCAAGCTACGTGCCTTTCGACGATGAATTTGAAGAAAATGCAGAAGAGCGTTCATATGAGGAAGACGACGACTCCGCCTCTTCGACTAGCGATGATTCCGATTACTACGAATACCGGGTTCTCACACCAGATGAATTGGACGCTGAGGACCACGATGGCGAGATCTCCACCATTCTAGATGGTATCCTCAAACCCCAAATATAGTCCTCGAGGATATACTTCGTACTCCTTCCCTTCTCGCAGAGGCGGAATACAACTTATATTCGGGACTTCGGCGCATACTCGAAACTGCCGCCCCTACACTCAAGATTCTCTACATTCACTACGCACCACAGACATCGTTTCTCTTCGACGCCCTCTTCCCCATACTTCCTAATCTGGAGATCCTTTACATCTCCAGGGGACCCTCCCTCTTTGGCGATAATGGAGGAAGTCTCAACAAGTGGTACAGTCGGGAGAGGATGAAGTTGCCCCGATGTCCCGTTTTATTTCCGCGAATTATAGAAGCGATTATCCTGGAAACTGGCCCGACGTGGACAGACCAGGAGAGGCGGGATTTTATGGATGCTACGGCGCATATTCTACCCAATCGACGCAGAGAGGTCGCTTCGGCTCAATCAGACGATCGTTACGAGCTAGACGGCGGTGCCCAAAGGCTATACTACAGACCTGGCGATCAACCACTGCTGAATCTGAAGGTCCCGTGGCTTCAAGCTCTCACAGGAAATGTCACGTTCGGGTAGTAACCTGCACAGTAGTGGAATTACTATATGTTTGGGTCGTAGGGCTTTTACTCAATGACATGTCTTGAACTGGTTTTCCTCCAAGTTCCAGGCCTCCACTAGCAGTTGGGCTTGAGTTCTCGCTCTTAATCTCCTGAAAAGTACTCGCGAACAAATGGTTCAAGACTCCGAGGGGGAAATATAGGGGCGTCAGGAGGCAATACACGTTGATCATTTCCGATAAGTAGTAACGAGAAGACCTCACTTTCTCCGTGAATGGGCATTTGACCATGATTGATTGTTCAAAACCAATAACAAGTCTGCCGGGGGAATAGTGCCATTGGGATGACCAGTAGTTATGGAACGATGATCTACAGGTCAGTGACTAGCGCGTGGGCATGAGGTTCACTTTGAGACAAGGTTTCCCGCGGACGACTAGAGAGCCGTAGGCAACGGTTCGCCGCTCGTAGAAGGGACCGGCCCACTGAAGGTTATGCGCGGCGGTTCCAACATCGATGAAGGCAGGGAGATTGAGTGTGACCGCTCAGAGCTTGGTGTGGACTCGATGACTGAAGGCAAAGGCTCGAAGCTTGTAGATACCGTGGGGAGCGACCGTGTCAATGGAATGCTTATAGACGGTTGCTCGCTCGGGAAAACGAGTGAGGTTGAAGTTGGTCGGCCAGGTGGGAGGCTGATATTCGAGGAGAACAGTAGCAACCGGGTGCAAAGAATCTGATACATCGCATATGTTGGTTAGCCACGATCTAAGTCTTTACATGACAAACATAGAAAGCTTACCAAACCGGGATAGATGTTGCTGCAGGCTTCGTTGATGTTAGGGTTGTTAAAGCGTAGATCGTTAAAGGTAATCCCTGCGGCAGCAGCAATAGCGTCACATGTATCACCCGCGTTAACTTTGACTACGGGTGAGCAGTCGAACCAGCCACGGGCAAGACATATGATCTTCATTTGAATTAGTTAGTCGGTCTCTCCTCAGGAAGGTGGGTTATGGAGATTACATGACCGGGCCAAAGGTTGCTACAGTCGGCGTTAATCACACCCGCATTGACAGCTGCGAGTTGGTATCTAATTAAACAGTAGAATCAGCAGGAATTGTGACGATTTCGCGTTTGGGATGCCCTTTGACGGTTGACGTACGAGGAAACGCCTTGCTCGTCGGCAATCTTGTCGCAATAGTCTCCAGATTGAACCTGGTAAGTCCTCCTGCAAGGAGAAGGCTGAGTCCTGACAGCGACAAGAGCCATAGCGAGAACAAGAGCGGTATACTTGATGAAGGATAGTCGATGAGCGCTAGCAAAGTCGAATGAGCCCGTTATCGTTCGAAAGACCTTTCCTTCGCGTAAAAAGCGGGCATTCATGCAGCGAAGATCCCTGAATCGAGACTAGTGCGAGAGAAGGCACTTCGAACGTCGCCGCTAGCCAGACACAATGTCGGTGAATATGGGGAATCTAGGCGACATCTGTGTCGAATCAGAGTTATTGGCTTCGAGAGGTCGAGGAAGGGTGCCAAATGTCGAGACGTTTTGTAGGGATATTGTCCATGAATTTAGGACGCAATTCTGGTGGGATCCAAGCTGAGATGGTGATCGTCCAGAAGAAAGTTGAAAACAAAGCCAGGAGGCGCTGCTGAGAGATCATGCCGAGCTGCCGAGGCAAAAACGGAAGGTCATTCCCACACTTTGACAGTGGGTGTGACACTCCCGGGCTTGCTTGGCACGAAAGTATCACAGGGACAGTGACGATGGGGGTGACCATGATTCTGCGCTTTTGGTCTGGAGTATCCTCAACTTGCGGCGTGTTCTCTTCGAACTCTTAGAAGTTGCTCCTTTCCCGCGTTCTCCCGTGGAAGAGCTCTCCAATCCCTGGTCACCACCCTTTCGAGCTTCTTCAATTGTGCTTGGTCTATTTGGATGGGCCATACCGTATCTGTTATTGAAATGTCAGTCCATTTCATTTCGTTAGCACCCCTTTCTTCTTCTTTCCCATCGCTAACCGACCTGTTCTCTCCAGTCACAGCTAAAGGATCCAACAATACCGCGTAACAGTCCACCATGTCACTGCGAAACCTCGATGTCAAGCCATATCAACTCGCTCCAGATGCAGACTATCCGCTTTTTGTGACGGCGAAGCGCTATCGGCTCCAGCACGAGGGGTCCGCAAAGGGAAAGGAGCGCGAACAGTTCAAGGCTGAATCGCTCAGCGCAGACGGGCTTACCCTGATCGTGCTTCATTCAACCAGCTTTCACAAGGAAACCTGGGAAGCAACTCTGGAGACTCTCTTCAACGTCAACGCCAGAGGTCGCGGCCCCAACCTGATCCAAGAGGCCTGGGTTATTGAAAGCCCCAATCATGGCGAATCTGCTGCCCTGAACGAACATCAGTTTCTCCAACCGGAATTTGCGACCGAATGTTCGTGAAAAGTTTACCTCTCCTGTCGCGAAATTAACCTTTTGTCTAGTTGGCTGCCACGGATACGCAAGAGCTGTTCATCGTTTTCTCCAACGAGGGCCTGTTCGCTTCTCTAATCGAAAGTTGGTGGGAGTTGGGCACTCGTTAGGCGCAAATACCATGTATGTGCTCCTGGTCCAGGTTTCCACCCATTCGAGGCTCATCACCTCTCAGAACCTTGCTTCAAGACCTGCTAACCAACGGCGACGGCCTGCGCTTTTCCTCCCTGATCCTCATCGAGCCCATGGTCAGCCCAGAAGGCATCTCCCATCTTCGACCACTCCGCGACATACTCGTCGCTGCCGCCAGAAAACGCCCAGACACCTGGCGAACGCAGGACGACCTACGACGATATCTGAAGGGGAGAAAAAGCGCAAGTGGGAAGTGGGATGAAAGGGTTATGGACGCCTTTGTGGTGAGTCCGCTTCTTTTGTAGTCTGCCAACTATCGATCGGAACTGGTTCTGATCCATCAAATTTCAAATTTCACCTCAGAAATTTGGAGTTAGGCAGAGACGTGACCAGTCTTGGACGCTGGCTTGCACACGTCAACAGGAAGAGGTAGGTACTCTGCCATTTTTATCGAATGTATCTGACCGAACGATTTCAGGCGATGTACCTTGATACCCGAGGACCTGTAGACCCAATTCCTGTCCTGGACCGAATTTCGGTGCATATACCCATCCATCTGGTTCTGGGAGGGGTCAAAGACTTTATGTATGCGGTCTGTTTCTCTCCTCGTTCGATCGGGACTGATTCTTGATTCAGACCAGCGCATGTGCACGAAGCTTTAACGAGTCCGACTTCTGCTAGACGGTATGCCTCTGTGACAACTATGCCCAACGTCGGTCACTTGGTACGCTCCATTCCTTCTCACTCGCAAGGCATTCGTGGCTGATGTGATCCGCAGATTGTTCAAGAGCAACCCGACGCACTGGCAACCACAATCCAAATAATTTTGGAACGAGACTCTGCCCATCGACCAAAGCTTTGATATTCTCATCGTGTGATGTGCATATAATATAGCAAACCCTCGGATCCCAGCTCTTTCGTATTGCATTACGGGCCTGTGATGTATGAGGTAACTCTCACCGTTCCTGCAGATTTCACGCGGCCTCACATTCACCACAGATATTGTTAACACTATCTTGGTATTACATTGGGAATGCAACGAGGTCTTCGGATTCCGAGCATGCTTTCAGAACAGCTTCAAGCAAGGAGAGCAGGCGTTCAATAGCGGGAACGAGTCGCCCACCCACTGTGTGGCTTCCTGTTAGAAGGTAATGCCACGCACGGCCCTCGCAGATGGTGTCCATGTCAGACCCAGGAACACAGGATGAAAGAGACATCCTGGTTTTGCGTTTAGCCTCGCTGCTGAAGTCGTGGAGCCTGTAGCCCATGATAGGCGTCATCAGCATCCTGTGTTGTCGCTGTCGCTTACACTCGCCCCAGGAAAGCCTTGGGCATCTAATCGGGGGGAAATCCGTCAGATGGATATCCTTCAACTACGCACTAGTATGCGACGTACCGAATGCTATCCGCCGAATTAAAGGACAGCCTTGCGTCAGAAGAGTTCTTCCACTTGTGCTACCGCTATAATCACCACTTTGCTAACCATAAATCCCCATTCGCCAACGAGACGAGAGATCATACAATGTCACCACCCTTTGCGACCTACCCTCTAACGCCTGACAGTCTCGAAGCAGGTGCTAATCTGGGCAATGCTTGGATTGTTGAAGGACTTGTGGATGTTGAGAAGGTCCGAGCTGCACTCGATAGGCTCTTCTTGAACTTTGTATTACGACTAATGTACTCTAGTGTTCACTCCACTTGTGATGTGTCTGAGAGTCGGGAGTCCCATTCGCTCACACTGGACTGCCACTCCCTGACGCATACGCCCCTATCTCAGATGACGTAAAGAGTTCGGTCCTGGTCGGACGGTCCACCGCGTCCCACTCCGTCAATTTCTTCCTCCTTTCTTTCTGTCCGCTTTTTGCTCGCTTTTTTCTCGCTTGGTGGTACTCTTGAACGGCCCTGCTTGGAGGCCGATATGCGATATGATGCTCATACGAATGACGATAAGATGCCTACCCCGTCGATCTAGCTCTAGTACCCACGACCTACAGTGGCTCGACTGCGCAGGCTACGTGCTCTCTCGGCTCAGGACTCCCTGACTATATTGATCGACTCCGGAAGAAAGCGGCGTACCAGTAAATCGGTTCCAGAGGCCTTTCTTTTCACTCGGACCCAACTATACTGGGGAACATGAACGGGGACTAGGACCTCGGAAAGTCTGACGTCCATTCCATCCGTCTAGATCTATCACCCCCGGGAACCCTTTGCGACAAGGCGAATTGGAATTATAATAACGAATTACGGGAATTCATCCAATGTTCAATGACCTGGCCTGGCGCACTTAATTGGCTGGTGGACTGGTTAGGGTCTTCTAGGCCGTCATTTCTGGGCGGTAGTATGGAGACGCTTTGGCGATAATGCTGGTGTGTCGGATATGGATATACTGGTGTCGGATATAGATATGCTGGTGTCGGATATCATGGCGTCAAGCGTGGACTTCATTTGTGGCTTGCTTCATGGTATCCCTGGTGCAGCGCTTCATCGGCTCCAAGGGTTTGGTACTTACATACTCGTACTTCGTCGGGATCTGAGCGGTCTGACTGACTGCTTAGTACTACACCGTGAACGGTTGCGGACGGTTCTAAGTATACCACAGACTTGTGGCCTTTAGTATTCCTCTCATTATTTCCTCCCTCGGTGTTCCTCTGGCTCTATCTGTTATCATGTCGACGTCCACGTCTATTTCAGACCACAACACTTCAGACCCCAACGTGACCTCAACGACGACGTACGCCATCTACCCCCTCACGCCCCTCGACACCATGAGCGAAGCGGCCAACATCGGCAGCGCGTGGATCGTAGAGGGCCTTGTGGACGTTGCGGAGATCCGGCGGGCGTTGGATGGGGTGGTGCGGAAGTGGGGTGTGTTGAGTGGGAGAGTCGAGTTGCAATCGTCTTGTGCTGCCGGGGAGGGTGGTTTGACGAGGGATGGTGATGGTGGTGATGGGGTGGTGGGGGATGGGTGTAAAGTGAGTCTCAGTCCTCTGTCTCTCGTCTCTCTGCGAGAGGTTGTCTATCCCGAGATTGACTGGTTCCCTCCCGCCCCGTAGAGATACCAAATTCGAGTCCCGCTTCACTCGGACGGGGCCCTAAATTTTCCAGAGGGGTACAAATCCTACGGTTTAACATCGACGACATCGCCCTACCCGTTAAGTCACTACGGTATTAAAATCCGCTTTCCAGATGCGACTGCGAGTGTCTCGGACGTCCCGCCGATGCACCTGTTCGTACCTGAGGAGCGGCTCCGGAGGACACAGTGGGGTCTGGCGGATTATGTGAAGAATGGGGAACCGCTTATGCATTGGCATGTTACGCATTTTTTGGGTGGTTACAGGGATGGGGTTGGGGGCGAAAGAGAAGTTAGGCACGAAGATGAAAAGGTCCGAGTCTCGCTAGGATCGAGAGAAGGCAAAGACGACGAAAGAGAGGACCTGGGGTACTCGTGTATTGGCGTCCACTGGCCACACGGGATCTTCGATGGGGTTGGAATTTCTATCGTCATTCATGCCTTTGAGGCAGAGTTGAATGGGAGGACGTGGACCCCTCCTCCGAAGCTTTTGCCTGGTGTTAATGAGAATGTGTTTGAAGGGCTTGTTAGGGAGGCGCTTCGGAAACGAGGAGGATCAGAGGGGGTTGGTGGTGGGGAGGAGGAGGGTAAAGGGGTACCCTCCAATCCCGAAGCTCATTTCTCGTCTTCGCCCTCGGAAGAGAACACATCTCCCCTCCCCTTCAGCTCGTCCATACCCCGAACCCACTTCACGCTCGTCAATCTCTTCGTTCTTATCCGTTTCATACTGGGGATGATGTGGGTTAATTTCGTACTCAAGACGTCGGAGTATACGGTTGTAATACCGTATGAGGTTCATCGGCGTTTGGTGGCAGAAGTGAGGAAGAGGGCGGAAGAGGAGGGGTTGGACGATGCGAAGAGGATTTCGACTGGGGATGTTGTTATTGCTTGGTGGATAAAGGTGCGTACTGACTTCTACCTTACATACTACCTTGCTATTTGTCTATTTTCTATCTCTTTCTTCTGTGTTCCCGGGTAGATTCAGACCTACTGACGAACTGGTGTTTTTGGGTCCTTAGACGATGTATGGAGATGAGAAAGATCGCAGGATTCATTTAGGGAATATTTCTTCGCTTCGGGGTGGTGTGGAGGGATGGAGCGAGGTGTTGGGGATGTACCCGCATAATTGTATTAGTACGATTGCGTACCCGCTTCTCACCTCCCATTCCTCCTTCTCCCTTTCCTCTGTGTCCTCGCCGTTGAAAACCTCTACGAACTCTGTCTCAATTTCCCAACCCCTCCACCGCCTTGCCCACACCCTCACCCAAACCCGGCTTCACCATACCACCCGCCTCTCCGAGCTTTTAGCCATGTGGGATTTGTTACGCGAGAAGGAGGAGGGGAGGAAGGAGGGCTGGGGGTGGCCCTATGAGGTACTACCGTATAGACGGGATGCGAATGAGAGTGTTATGGTTACTAATATGTGTGCTGGGGGGATTGGGTGGTTGGATTGGGGTGGGGCTTTGGGAGGAAGCCTCGGTGGTAGTGGTGGCGAAAAAGGAGGACTTGACGAAGACGAATTAAGAGAGAAAGCGAGGCGAAGGAGGAAACGAGGTGGAAAAACCCTCATGCACTACAAACTCTTCCCCGGTCCTCTCAAGATGCCTGGTATTCTCAATATTAATGGGAAATTGGAGAATGGGGATTTGGTTGTTAGTACGTTTTCTACTGTTGCGAGGAGGAGGAAGATTGAGGAGGGGTGTAGAGTGTTGGAGAGGGGGGTTAGGGAGGGGGATTTGGATGGGGTGGTTTATTAGGCTTGGGTCCATGAGTTGTACTTTACATGACATTGCGGACTATGAATGCGCTAATTCGAGCTCGAGCCTTCACTTCAACCTTCAAGCTTCACGAGCGGCACGCAGTCTCAGATACCCACAGAGGTAGATTCTAGGAAGAATCTGATGAATTTACGAGTTTCATCATATGTGGGTGCGACGAGTCGTCCTCTTCCCAGAGGAACTAGATAAAATGCGATGATGATATTTGAAACGATAACTTTAAGGCCATTTCCAGCGCAAGAGACGCCCAAGACGCCCACATCCGAGGATGCCAAGAGGATGATGGACAAAGTTCCCACGGTGGAGAACTTCAAGATGGAGGGATGGAGGGCAGGTTGTTACCATCACCACCGCTTTACTTTCGACTCCCTTCATCGTCCCCGGTCACTCTTTTCCGGCTCCATTATTACGACTCTTCTTCTTCAATCTTTTCTATTCACTTTTTAGCTCTAAACTAGAGCCATGGCCTACAACACGCCCTACAAGGAGGGTGGTGCTGGCTTCAACGAGTCGTCAACTGGCTTCATCCAGCCACCACGAGCCCCAGTTCCCAAGAAGAAGGGCGTCAGTCCCTGGATCAAGTTTGGTGTCCCAGTCATCATCGTCATTGCCATCGCTGCCGTCGTTGGAGGTGTCTTGGGCAGCAGGAAGAGCTCGTCGGACAGTGGTGACGATGGCGACAGCGACGGCTCGACGAGCGGTGGAAAAGGAGGCAAGGGCGGCTCAGGCAGCAGCGGTACGCCTGGCGTTGCGACTGCCACCGACAAGCTCGACGCTGGCCGTTTTGCCACCGCAACCAACTCCAAATACATGATCCCAGTTTATCCCTCTGCGGTGCGTCCATTTTACCTGTTACTATGTGGTTCTCCACAGTTGTTGATAGGATGTTGGTTTGTAGACAAACACAGCGCTGTTCGCTGCACCCACGATTGACTCCAGGGCTGCCACCTGGCCTCAAGATCCCGAACAATTCGATAGCCCCAGCCCACTCAACGTCAGAAGGGACCGACCACGGCTTATCGCGCCTGCCTACAAGTGGGAGGCGCTCCCCGACTTGATTCGGGCAGACCCCTACCTCGCCGGCTGGAACGAGACCATCTTCCGCAATGCCTCCGACTACCACGCCCTCCCGCCCGTCCGATACTTCATGGACGGGGACAGCGGTATCCTCGACAACGCCCGTGAATTCAAGATGCGCATCAAGGCCTTTGCCTACGCCTGGCGTCTCTCCCAAAACACTCGCTGGGCAGACCGTGCCTGGCAGGAACTCCAGCACGTTGTTGGCCCCGACTTTGGCCCCGATTCTGATATCAAATGGCACCCAACCCACTTCCTCGACACCGCAGAGTTCTCTGCTGGCTTCGGTATCGCCTACGACTGGATTTACGATTTCTGGACAGACGAACAGAAGGCGTTCATCCGTGACAACCTCATCCGATACGGCTTGTCCCATGGCGCTGCTGTCTTTGAGGGCGGCACTGATTTCGGTTGGTGGGCGGGCGATATCACTGGTAACTGGAACTGTGTGTGCAACGGTGGTCTCACCCTTGGTGCACTCGCCATCCTCGGAGACGACACCACCGGCACCGCCGAGGCCATCCTCCGCAACACCGTCGACAACGCCAAGGCCAACTGTGTCCGCGCCGTCACCGACGACGGTTCCTGGCAAGAATCCACCCACTACTGGTACTTTGGTACCACTGGTCACGCCGAGATGGCTTCAGCCCTCATCACCGCCACAGGCTCGCACCACGGCCTCCTCGACCAGAACCCCAACTACTGGCGCACGGGTACCTTCCACATGTACGTCTTCGGCCCGACCTCACTCTTCGAGTTTGGCGACCACGGCCCCAACAAGTTCTCCACCACCGCCAACTCGATGTTCCTCCTCGGCGACCAGCTTGGCCACCCCGAGTTCATCCTCCACCAGCGCGAGCAGGCTGACGCAGCCGAGCCCTGGAGCATGTTCTGGTACAACCCCGCTGTGTCGGGTGCGTTCTGGTCTGGGCTCCCGCTTGACCACTTCTTCGATTCGCCACCTGTGCAGTGGGCGTCGATGCGGAGCAGCTGGACGGACAAGGATGCCTCGTTCCTTGCTATCAAGGCCGGTCTCAACCAAGGCCACCAGACGCATAACGACTTGGACGTTGGAACGTTCGTCATTGATGCCCTTGGGACTCGGTGGGCTGGTGAGCTTGGCTCGGGCGATTATCTCTCTGCCGATTACTTTAGCAGTGAGGCACAAGATGCGGAGAGGTGGAAGTATTATAGGAAACACACGATGGGCCAGAACACCTTGATGATTGGACGCGCGAACCAGAATGTGGATAGTGCGCCTACGGTTAGGCATGATTCGACTGGGGATGCGCAGGGTTCGAGTACTGTGTATACACCTGGCGATGATTCGACTGCGTTCTGGACTACGGATATGACCAGTGCTTATTTCGATGCGTACGTCCCCTTTCACTTGTCAACTTCGACAACATACTGACATCTATGATCTCTTTCAGCACTTCTGTGAAACGAGGAGGCCGCTTCCTCAACGGCCGCCGCCAGATCCTGATCCAAGACGAAGTCGACGCGCAAGCCGAGATCCAATGGCGCATGCACACCAACGCGACGATCTCCATCGATTCATCTGGTACCTCCGCCACGCTCACTCTGGACGGCAAGGAGATGCAAGTCATCCTCCTCGATCCCCCTGCTGGTGCGCGGTTCAGTGAGCAGCCGGCTGATCGGCAGGGTATTGAGCCTATCCCGGCGTTTGGTGATCAGGCGAATGATGGGGTTAGGGTGTTGAGTATTGTGCTTGATGCTGGGAGGTATACGTTGAGTGTGTTGTTTAACCCGCAGTGGGATGGTATGAGTGCGGGTGACTTTGTTACGCCTGCTGTTGTGCCGTTGGATGATTGGAGTTTGACGAGTCATAATTGATTGACCTGCGCGTAGTATTTTGGACTGACTGACTGCTGTTATGTTTGGAGTAGGATGATGATGATATAGCTTACCACCCCTCTGACCGACCTATTGACCATAGTACAGACACTACTTTTTTTTCTTGTTTCTTTCTTTGGTCGACGATTTTTTTTTCTTATTCTAAAATGTAATAGACGTGCCTAGCAGGCGTGTCCGTTTAGATACATACATACATAGCCCTTTGGACTATTTTTTACGCACTGGTTTTTTAGTGTGTTTCCTCGACGCTCGTTTGATACCCTCGTTTTGTAATTGTATGGGATACGATATGATACGGATTCTTTTAGTTCTCTCCTATTCTGGAGTACTGTACCACAGTAAGATCTCCCACTCGAGAGTCTACCACAGTAAGATTGTTGTCTTGGAAGAGTCACGACTCACTGGCCTTGGAAGAAGGAAGGTACCATTTCTTGTCTTGCTGTTATCGCACCACACCATGCAGCATGTAGAGGCGCTTCCATTCTTTCTGTCTTTTGGAGGGTCTAGAAACTGGGAAGAACCGGGCACTTCCTAGCCGTCAAAATCTTCTTCGATCCAAGGTACATATCGTCTCCCTCATGATAATGGCGTAAGATTACAATCGCCCTTTCCACCTCTTGAAATTGAGAGCGCGACAGTTAATAATATGGAACGTAACCTGACACTGAGTCCATACCATCTCAGAGCCACAAAAATGAACGGACGCTCGTATTCCGTGCGCATCAGAATTCCTTGCCATGTCACTTTACACCACCTCCTCTGCAATTTTAGCTCCCCGTACGCCCCAGACTCGCAGATATCCAGCCACTGCCAAAGATTCCATCCCAGCAGCTCGGAAAAGACAAAAAGGCTCGTCCCATCACTGAGGTAACACGACTTCTTTATTGGGAGTCCGAGATCACGGAGCGTCCGGAAATGGTAATGCAGTGCTCCTCCACCGAGCTTCGAAGTCGTGTCGTTCCCACCCACAACTCTCTTTTGTCTTTTATTGTCTTTAGGCGACGTCCTCCTCCCTATTATCCTTTTCTTAACCCGAAGGCTACATTCCGAGTCATCCTTCTCGCACGAAACGTCTGACCTCATGGTTGGCCTTATTGTCCTGCCCAATTGTTCGAAGAAGGGGGGAAGTAAAGTGGGATATGCGATCTAATTGTCGCGGTGAGCCATCCCGCGAGTCGAGAGCTCTTGCGTAGCAACGTTTCTGACAGCGGAGAAGCCACTCCTAGCATTTGTGAATTGTTTAGTGAAGGTGCTTCATTTGGGGTTCTCGGGACCTGATTGTCATGCTGGGTTAATTCAAAAGCGATGCGCTTTTGGGTGTGGGTTTTTGGGCGGACCCACTTTGTTCTGCTATTCGTCTGATATCGTGTCTCTCTTGACCGCTTGACTGTGTCTTTACCTTTTATCCTTGTGTGGATTAGGGGTATATAGACTGCTTAGAGCCCTGGTTTGGTTCAGCCTCCCTTTTCGTTCTTGATTGTTGTGAACGACTCGACTATCTATCTGTCGTCTTTCTGTGCCGTCTTTGCGAAATGCCCAAGAACGGTTTTGGAGCGCAGATTATGGTATGTCTTTGTATATTATCTACGTCGAGTTGACGCGCTAACACGAAACGGACACTACTAGAAACGCCAGTCCTCTGGTGATTCCACCATGAGCGATGGGGCATCTTACTCCTCGCACCCGCTCCAACCTAAGAGCGAGCCTAGTCCCTCTCCGACCTTCATCCACGCACAGGCACTGCCACCTACATACCCCCAGATTCAATTCGTCCATGTCCCAGGACACCCATCCGCCAAACCCATCCGCCGTCCAACCATCGACACGAGTGACCTCGGTCCCAACGCCGCTTCCCTTCACCCCCACGCATCCATATCCACAACATCACCAGCATCCACCTCCTCCTCCACCGGCATCCCCGTCCCCTCCCAAGGCCCCCCACAAACCGTCCTCGACATCCAATCACTCGACCTCCTCCTCACCCAAACCTTCCAATCTCTACAACAGCTCCAAGCGCTCACGCGGCAGACGGTGCTGTATCACGATCAAGAACGGAGAAAGTGGCGGAACCACTGTTTGACGTTTAAGCAGGAGAGGGATTTTGCGAGGCGGCAGATGATGCTTTTGAGCCAGGAGAGGGTGAGGTTGATGGCGAAGGTTGGGGAGAGTCAGGGGAATGGCCAGGCTGGGCAAGGGCAGGGCGCTGTGTCGTCGACGTCTGGTGGTGCTGCCTCGACGGAGCATCAGAGGAGGAATAGCGAGCCGATTGTTCAGAGCTCTTCTGATGCTATGGATACCTCCTCGAATGGCCGACCTGCTAGTCCCAGTGAGCAGCGAAAGGCAGCACGGGATTCGAGGCGGCATTCCCCCTATTTCAACGATATCCTCCGCAGATCGACGTCTCCCGTTGATTTTGCATCCAACGACCACGAGACGCCACCTCCATCCGTCTCTTCCACTACAACCGCCTCTTCGCTCGCCCATGGCGCCGGAGGGCGTTCGTTCTCCTCACCACCCAACTCGGCGGCGCAGGTGTCATCGCCAGTTCAGCGTCCCTATACTGCCACTCAACTGCCCCCCTCCCGTCCTCATTCGACTGCTAACCTGTACGTCACGCCCCTGTCTAGTACTTCATCATCGGAATACTTGACGAGCGCCATCTCAGATGACGGAACGAACACGTTCGCCCGTATCGATGTCGAGGAAGTGCACTCCTCTCCCGCTGAAGAGCTCGAAACCGACATGGACACCGGCGTCTCAGAGGGCGTGGCACCGCACCCACACGCACAAAGAACAGAGCAGCATAGTATTATGGGCATGGTCGCAGGCGACCCGCGCGTCTTCCCCGACCGGTACCCCCAACCGCCCACACCCGAACCCACACGGCCCATCCACACACACCACCTCGACGCCATGTTCGCGCATACGAACAATGGGCAGCGGCTTTGTCGGTTGTGTGTGTTTGGCGGGCCGGGGGAGGAGCAGGGCCCGTGTTGGAGGGGGACGCCGGTGTATTCGGTGGAGGTGAGGGAGGAGGTGTTGAGGAGGCATGTGTTGAGGTATCATTTGGAGGAGGGGGAGAGGGTGGCGGGGATGGAGAGGGAGGGGGTTGAGGAGGTTAGGAGGGGGTTGAGGGAGGATCCGAGGTTGATTCTTCCCAGGGAGGAGTAGAGGAGAGGTGGGAGGGGTGGATGACCGCGGTGCGGGAGTCTGTTGGTTGGTGGTTTAGTTCATTTCGTTTCTGGTTTTCCTGTTTTCTTTCTCTCTCTTTCTTGCTTCTCTCGGCATTGTCTCCTCGTCTCTCAGTTCCTCATTCACGATACTCCACGTCGAACCTTGCATCACCAGATTGTCACATAACATTTCCTTTTCATTCTCTGCACTTTTTTCTCTCGCATTCGTCAACTCATGATATACCTCCGAAACAAGATACCTCATGTAAACATAGGACTTGGGATATGCCTTGTACAAAATCACTCGTACCCGTCGTCATTACATATGCTAATCTAACCGATCTACCATGATCTCTTTAGCTCCCGGATGAGATAAAATGCAAGCAAGGCGCAGCCAGTGTACCCATTGCAAATGAGATAGCAAGAAACACAATAACAACCCGGGTTACGAATACGTTGGGATCATGCGGTTAGGACGAAGGTGGGGCAGGAATGGCGGGCAATCCTCTGATCGTGTAGTTGAACGCTTTAGACCAGTGAACAGTCGAGTTGACCACCCAAGCGAATGGGTTTTCGCTGCAAAGCCGGTCCTTCGTCAGGGGTACCACGCGAGACCGAAGCTTCAAGTTGCTTAGTTTCGAAACGATTTCTTCGAATTGGGTCACTGCTTCCTTCATGGTGATCCTCTCCTCGGGCTTTTCCTTCATCATCGCGTCGACCAGAGGCCGGAGGAACTCGACTCCGTGAAAGCCACGCCGATCGGATTCGTCGACGTGCCCCTGAGGAAAAATAGCTCAGGAAAAGATACGCTTCCAAAGGCAAGAACTTACATCTAGGAAGTCCATCCGAATCATGTTGCCGATAACATAAACGTCTAGAGGGAATGGATCGCAAGGCTTCGTGAGATCTTTGAACTCGGGAGCCGTGTTGTCTGTTGCGGGTTTAGGATTCTCGGATGGAGGCATCTCATCCGGACTGTATTGGGTGGAAAAGCCGAAGTCGATGATGTAGTACTTTGGTCGCCGCTCGGTCCTCGTGTATTTGTGAGTGGCATCGTTGGCTGCTCTCAGATCGACTGCTGGTTTCCCCATATCCCAGCGCTTGTTAGGATTAAAGAAATGGAACCGTTCATATTCCAAGGCCGAGGGGTCCATCATTATGTTCTCAAACCTGACGTCGCTAAAGGGGTATTAGCAATGCCGCATGGCTAGCGAAGCAATCCAAAAGCACGTACCGATGAGCCACTCGGTGCTCGTGGAGGAATGCAAATCCCTTCTCAAAAGTCGTTACTAGATATCGGATGGTTATTCGAGAAGCTACGCACCTCCAAAATCTGGCGGATGTAGTCTACAGCTTCGCCGAGTGTCTCCAGTGGCGGATCGTCGTAGGCGCGTAAGATCGGGATCACGACGACCTCGATCTCGACCTCTCCCGGTGGATGCAAGACTGCCAATAGAGGGACGACGTGATTCTCTGATTTAGTAGACAGATCTTCCTCCGAGAAGTATTCCATGATGGAGATTTCATGAGGATGCTTCGTTTTGTTCACCTTCTTGAGCGCAACATGTCTGTTATCTGACAATTGCACGGCATCGTTGAGGTTCGGGTTCTATGCAGGTTCGTGTCCGAGCACAGTTAGCTTTCGAAGACAATATAACTGAAGTGATCACTTACTGGGAGAAAAAGCGAATCCTCTGTCCTCCCGGCGCGTAGATTCTTGTCTAGCTCCCAGGAAGGGACCCATTTGGGATTGTAACGCGGACGGAGCTGATAACCCTGCTCGAGGAACCAATCGTAGTGGTCTCTCCAGAAGAATTCAAACTGCTCGAGTCGGCCTGGATCTGCCATATTGACCGAGCTTAAAGCTGGTGACAATGGTTAGTCGACAACCTGAGCTGTTCAATCCAGAATCAGTGTGTCGTGCGCAAACCATGAGGTATTGTGTGTATCTGTGTGGATGTGTGGGCATGGAAGGACAATGATGCCGTACAGCCTCCCAGTCCAGTCGCCATCAGTAGTGGCAAGTGACTTGGTATTGAGGAGTTAGCATCGACGCCGTAGGGACTCACGACCTCTATTTGTACCTTTGCGACGACCACTCCTAAGGGCGCAACACCATCATGTAAGGGAAAATTCATTTCCATCGATCCGCCTAGTAAGCGACATCCCACCAAACCCCGAGCAGCACAAAGGCAAATGTTCGGTAGAATTTAATTTACTTAGCTTTGGCCCCTTGTATCCAAAATCTTTATGGGGCTTGAGGTGGGGTCGGTGGGTATTCTCCGAAAAGGTGTGCCGTGATAGCTGGAATTGGTAGAATGGGCCCACACTGGGGCTCGGCTCTTATCGCAGTTTGTCAATGTACTATACTGCAGCGCTGCACTCCGGCCGAGCCTCTGCGGGTTGGAAGTTTCATTGGTCCATATCTGGAACAAAAGGCCTGTAGAGTGGTAAAGAGAGGCCTATCCTGTCTGGCGTCCATGTCGTAACAGGCCGGGTAATAAGAAGTCATGTGTGATGTTTGTGGGCGCCGCACCAGATAGTTATGAGTGAAGAGAAGCGTAAATGAGCCCTTTTCCTTCCAAGAAGTTCCATCCGTCATCGTTATCGCTCACTATCATCTCTCTCCTATCCTGTCTCACAGCTACACAAACCATGTCGGAGGCCGCTCCCATACTACCTGCGATCTCTGTCGATATTCCACTGGCAAAGTTCAAGAAGATACGCAACTGGGATCCCAGGAAGGAGCCGATGCCGAAGCGAGAGCCCCCTGGTCTTAAGGAGAAATTGTTTGATTCCTACTTCACTGAATTTACCGCCTTTTACCTCCATGTCGCAAACCTCATGGAAATGGACCACAGGGCAACTGTTGCCCAAGGTGTCGTTTACGACACGGAGGATGAAGGCACCCTGAAAGTACTTTTCGACCGGTAAGTCCTGATATATGAATGGGTTCCTTCAATGCTCATTTTCTCCCTCTAGCATCGTATATCTGGAGGGAGAGTGGAGAGAATCAGTGAAGACCAAGGATAGACTTCACGCTCAGGGGTTTTCTCGTGAGATCTCGGAGACAGTGAAGGCCTATGACTCTCGTCGCCGGGTGCGTCAGCCGACTGTATGCTCCTAGAAATATGTCCTCACCTTTAGTCACTTGCAGGCAAGCAGCCGAAAGGCCTACAAACTCTTGCAAACTAAAGTCGCCCTCAGGTCGCCAGGTCGCGTACACGAGTTGATATGGTTCTCCGGCCCTTATGTTGACACGATTGATAACAGGATATAGGATACTTCTCAAGAAGAGACGACTGGAAGCGTCGCTTTTCTATGCATTCCACAGGATCCAAAAGTTCAACGCCGACTTCAACGAGGATGTTGTGGCGGACTTCGCAAGGTGGATGAGAAATGTCTCACGCCAGAAACCCGTATTCTGGCTCCGCGGCCATGACAGATGCGGCAAAACGGTGATCACCTATTACTTCGCCCAGAGGTGCAAAGACAATGCAGCCCTCGCCGCTAGCTACCGCTTTACCGACAACATCAACTTCGAGGAGTTTCAGACCGACTTCATCGCCAGTGTAGTCGGCGAGATGTCGAGTTACCTGGGAGATTCCTTCTCCGAGTCGCTTGCCAGGCTGACAGACAAACTCGACTTAGCGAACCCGGTCGTCGAACGCGAGTTCTTATCCCGGCCATTGAAAGACCAATTAAACGAGCTGGTCGTCCCTGCGTTCAACGCTCTTCCCGAGGACGAGAAACGGCCCCTCCTTGTGGTCTTAGACGGAATAGAGCGATGCGGTGATCCGGAGTGCTGGGCATTGGCGTCGTTGTTCGACTTCATCACGGAGGCGATGGCGAAACTTCCCATTTGCTTTTTTATCACCAGTTCGACAAGCTCACCAAAGGCAGGCAAGATTAACCGGTTCTTTACCGAGACTCCTATTGCTGCTCAAGTTGCAGGACGCGAAATTGCGTACGACCCAATGAAAACCCCGAAGAGAGCGACCTTTCCGAGTAATTTGTACACCGACGATTCCGATGACTCGGACCCTGAGTGGGAGTAGCACAAAGAACATTTAATTGTATACTGTGTTAGGCTTCACCTGTGTCCATCTATGTGCGTCGTCTTGGAAGAGAGCTTCACCTCCACTACGGTCTCCGGGTATTCCAAATGAGGAATACCTTAGTGATCGATGACTTGGCCAAGCTTGGCCAAGAGTCATGCCCCGCAAATATTTCCAACACTCGGCGCTCAGCACTACTCTCATGGTGTCCACTGACCTGGTTCTTTCCAAAAATATGCAATCAACCGCGGCTTCTCGGCCTACGTGCATAGCCATGCCTCTCCCTCTTTCTCATGGCGTCCACTGTTCTGGATCGGTATGTCGTCACTGAACGAATCAACTCCTTCGGCTGTCCTATTACCCTTCGCCCCCTTTCAAAGTGCCTTTCATTTCTTTGCACTGGTACTCTGCATAAGGCGCTTTCAATTATACATTACACCTCATTACCGTTGGCCCAACTCGTACTCTGCATGCGGCGCTTTCAATAATACATTACACTTGTACTCTGGACATCTACTCCGAGGGTGACGAATATTATTCTGCGATGACAACTCCGAACGTCCATCAATCAATGTCTTCCTGTCAGCCTCGACTACATAGACATTGAAAGGTGATAAGTGGACCGGCAAATGCCGCTAAAGCAAGGTCAACAGTCGCGGGACGCGGCCCTTTATACGTATTTACACTGAAATCTCAGGACACGACGGCTTGCACTTGTCTTTTGGCCGTGATGGGCGCCGATCTCTGAGTCTATAGAAGGTAATCCCGAAATCTTGGCGAGAGTGTGGGAGTTAATTGTGCCCCAGGGGAGTCGCTGATGCGAACACCAGCGACATCAGAAAAAAAAGTCGATTTCGGATCCTGCAAGAACAGGCCGGACCAACCCCAGCAGGTCGGCTCTGGAGTAGGCCACCTGCCCATCGCTGGCACAAGTTCGGGTTCCAGAGCAGTCTGTGGGCAGCCTGCCGAGGTTGGGCAGGATGTCCTATCGAGAGCAGGACTTGAGCAGCTACCAGCAACAGCGTACATATAGAATTGCAGCAACGTTAATACTACCTCATGGGAACGCAAGGATTCATCAAAAATAAATGCATTACCAGTACACTACTACCGCCTACGGCGTACAAAGTAGGAGTATCCAGATACCGACTCACCGCTCGAGGGGTTCTACACGAATCAAGCCCGCACATCCAAAGCCAATGATGGAGAGGAACAAAGTTCTCGTCTCAGACTGCTCCATAAGTTATAACGGCTCTGCCTCCCACTTTTGCTCGCGGTGACCCTCTCCCGAAGCTTCGGCGCCCCAAAACGCGCTGTCGTTGACAGACTGGAGAAGAATAAGCGTCCCGCCTTTGCTGGAACGTATTGAAATGTCGTCCTGTGTGGTCTAATCAGCGAAGAAGGTTGCGTTATACCCCAGAATGTAGATCCCACAGCTCGCAACGCACGCGACCTAGAACCCATCGTTCGAGCGCTGTCGAGCGCGCCGACGCGTGCGACTGTCGATGATTCAACCGAGGAGGGCAATACACGTCGCCATCGTCACTGGCGGCAGTGGCGGGATGGATATGTACAGTGAGGGGGATGATGGGGGAAGGGAAGAAAGGAGGAGATGGGGAACGACGCGTCGCGCTGGTTGTTTAAAGATGGGACGCGATCCGCTGATCGCCGATCGGACTTTGATTCGGAACAGGTTGCCGCCGTCCTTGGGCTTTTAACTTTTTAAGTTCTTCTGTCATGTCCGCGAATTATCTTTTGGTCAGAGGTATGTATTTGATTCTCAAGTAAGTCAATAGTTCCAAGAGAAAATCTTTGGTACGCTTTATGAAAGAGAACACTTGGGCAGGCCAAAGCTTGCACAGGGCAGGATGCCATCGCGAAAGCCAAGCCAGAGCCGACTAGAGCCGGATGCCGGCGATCAGGTCAGGCTCAGAGCAGGATGGGAGCTGGCTAGCGCTGCCTGCCCAATGCTGGCTCCACGACTGAGCTTCGCTCTCGCCAGCCTGCTTTGACATCCTCTGGAGCGGCTCAGGTCAGAGATACCTGACTTCACCAGGTCAGCTCACGGCATGCAGGAGTCTGCCCTAATTTGACCTGCCTGGCGACAGTCAGAGCCGGAAACGACTTTTTTTGTGACGCCGAACACCCTGCCGTTGTTCACCATCCTGCACCTCCTCCCTTTGATGTGTGATGATTTGATGCACAGAACAGACTATAATGCAACATCTGGGTCGGTGCCTCATTCTTGCATATTTGTGCTACATAAGTGACCGTAGCATTTTCGGTGCTTCGGAAACGTTCTCTGGGGTCGCAGAAGTGGTATCAGTCGAGACTCCTCAGACTTTGGGTCCAGCATCGCACTCTCAACTGGATATGAATAGGAAGGGCATACTCTCAGAAGCTGAGGAGATCGAAGAAGGCGTATCGACGAGGGACCCCTAAACTCTCAGCAAGAGTGCTCCAAGTACCACGAACAGTTGGTGGACAGAGCCAACTGCTTGCCGTATTTGGTGCCCTGTCGGGTGAGGACCAATTGCAAAGGTGAACGCAATGATTCTCTGGTTCCGATTCTGGCGGCTCTTCGATGCAGGTAGGAATAGTAGGAATCGAAGGCGCTTCTGGGTGGTCGAATCTGAGTTTTCTGTCCAAAACAACATCTTGTCGAATATACCATGATGGCATTAATACTAGTGCCACACTGTGTCAGGCACCAGAGCAGATTCGAACTTCAGCGCTCAGCTTCGAAAGTCGACGGGCAACGAACTGCAGCGCTGGCATTTGCTACTAGACTACGTGTTGGGTGAACAACTACTAGAAGTCACAGTTGTACCTGTTACATCCAAGCGCCCCTCACCAACACCTCACTGATTATTTGTTGTCACGATGACGTGCTGGAGGGAATTGGCGGAAGTCGTTTTACAATGTACCTGAACCGTCTGCACCAATGCATCGTCGATCTTGTGACAGTTTGAATGGGACCTTCTTTACGGATGCGCCCTTCAGGCCTCGGTATCACGCGAGACCTCAGGGTTGCCGAAGGAAGCGTGGCCACAATCGAGTCAAATGTCTCGAGGGCGTCTTTCATCGTTATCCTCTCCTCCGGGTCTTCCTTGGTCATTGCCTCCACCAGAGACCGCAAGAACTCGAAGTTGAGACGACCGGTTCGGTCTCGGTTGTACTCCCCAAATCCCTAGAGCATTTCCGTGTGAGAGGCTGAAATGGACAGCATTAGCCAATACTCACGTCCAAGAAATCCCTGCGTAACATGTTCCCGACATAGTAGACGTCGCTGGGGAATGGATTATAAAGTTTGGACTGGTCCTTTAGTTCGGGCAGTGAGTCGTCGCTTGTCTCAATTGCCCGATCGCGGGGAGGCATTTGTTCCTCGGTATATTGACTAGAATAGCCAAAGTCGATTATATAGTACTTCGGTCGACGCTCCGTTCTAGAGAACCTCCATGAAATGGGACTAGCTTTCCTTCTATCCTTAAATTCATGGGGAATTCCAGGGAGGCAGAAGTGGAATCGTTGGAACTGCATGGCTTCGGGATCCATCATTAGGTTTTCGACCTTGACGTCCCTAGGGCGTGCGTTGGTGGAACGTCAGCGAATCAATAAAGCTGAGGACATACCTGTGGGCCACTCTGTGCTCATGAAGAAAAGTGAATCCCTACAATCCCGTGTCAACAAGGATCACAGTCAGTAGCGGAATTCATCATCATCATCTCACCTCGAGAAGTTGCTGGATGAAGTCGATGGCTTCACCGATCGTCTCGAACTCCGGGTTATCGTATTGTCGAAGGACTGGTAAGACCACGATGTCGTGGTCAGGATCTCCCGGCGGGTGTAAAATCTCTATCAGCGGGACGCAGTGATTTTCTGGCTGCGAAGACAATGGCTCCTTGGAGAAATAATCCAAGATGCTAACCTCCTCCGGGTCTTCTGACCTAGAGACTCTCTTCAGAACGACGTGTCTATCTTGGGAAATTTGGATGGCGTCGTTGATGTTACTGTGCTACTTCAGCTCAGAAAGTTAACTTCGCTGCAGTCTGTGACTCTCACTTACAATAAACACGAGGGAGTCCTCCGATATTCCTTGGACTTCCGGGTCCTTGTCCCATGAAGGCACCCATTCTGGACTATATCGAGGACGTAGCCTGTATCCCCTCTCCAAGAGCCAGTTGTAGTGATCTCTCCAGTAAAGTTCGCCGTCGTGAAGAAGGTCCCGGAAATCGGTGGGCACAGATTCGGGGGGAGGTGAAGATGATGTGTCGTTAGCTACATCGTCCAAGAGTAAGTCGATTAATTCCTGAAGGGATTCCTCCGAATCAGACCGTGCTGGGGAGGCTGGAGAAGACGAGCTAGGTTCAACAGGCATGCGAGATGGCACAGAGCGTGAATGATGGTTCGCGACTCGCGCCAAACGGCCGTTATTGTGTGGTCTTATATGCCACTGTGGGCGCCCTCTAGATTCTCGTGAAGCCGAACATGACGTCGCCGGAGGTTCTCACACCCGTAATGTCCGGGAAGGAAATCGGATAGGCTTTGAATTATCTTGGAGGAGCCAGGAGGAAGCAAGACTCGTAACATGTGCATAGTGACGGGCCCTGCCGCGGGATGCATGTGGATCTGTTTCTTGTATTTTCCGTACCCAGCACTGAGCAGCCACACAAGTTGAAGTGCTCGAGCATTCCTTCCAGGTGTCACTCAACTATTTCGTAACCAAGATACCGTTATGGGAACAATGGCGGGAGGGTTCTCCAGAATTGATGTGTTGGCCTCCCGTTTATCTCCTCGTGTAATACACTCGTCCTCCCACCGATCATCATCCATTCATCCCCATTCCTTCTCATCTACTGCCATGCCCAAAGCGACATCCGATGGCGTCGATTTCCCCACCCTTCCTACTATAATCCAAGGTTATATTCCGGAGGAACACCATGCAGACTTGCCCAGCGGCTTCATGCAAACCTGGTGGGACCCTTACTACAAAAAGTATGCGGCATACTGGCTCTACCGTGCGGATGTAGTTGGAGCACGAACCGTGGCACTAAAGACGAACACTGGAAGGGACTCACAGAGGTCACATCCTTTCCAATCTCCTCGTCATGTAGATATCAGGGCCATAGAGAAATTCCTTACGAAGTACGTTACCTTCCCTCTGAAGCGGTATCTCGACTTGGATCCAGGGCAGCTCTAATAAAAACAGGATAGCAGACATCGCCGAGAAGTACATCCTCGATATCCAGCGCGGTGACAAGCGCGCCGCCCAATCTCGGGCTGAAACGATTGGGACTGAAGTCAGGCAGTTAGAAGTTTTTGAGCGAGTATGTAACTACCAAGAGTCGAGGCCCTGGGATACTAATGTCGTTCGCACAAACAGCAGAGCAACCGGCGCTCACGGGCGCGAGCAATAGAGTTATCGTTCGTCACGAACGACGAGAGTGGGTTGCTTCCTTTACCACTCTGAATTGCAGTACGGAGGGATTCATGATCTCGTTTTCAGCGTACCAATCTATTGTCAAAAGGAGAAGAGTAGAGGCCAGTCTTGTCCACGCTGTCACAACTATCCACGACTGGAACATTGGCTTTCGACAGCGAATCATTCTCGACTTTGCGCGGTGGCTCGAAGAAGACGGCCAAAAACGCATCCTTTGGGTATACGGAGAGCCTGGCTGTGGGAAGTCTGTCATCACATATTGGTTTGCCGACCATTGTTCCCAGCTGAAGTCGTTGGCAGCCAGCTACAAGTTCACTGCTTCCTGCACCCAGCGCATCGTTCAAGACACATTCCTAGCCAACCTGGTAACGGACTTCGAGACATATATTGGAAGTTCGTTCACAAATGCATTGGCCGACGTCGTGGGCGACTTCCGACCACAGGACCGAGAGGACTTCTTCCAGAGGCCCCCCAAAACACAGCTTCTTGACCTAATCGTTCCAACCTTCAACAAGCTTCCAGAACGAGATAAAAAGCCCCTGCTCGTAGTGCTGGATGGAATCGACAAATGCGATGAATGGGCCGCCAAGGACGTCTTCCATCTCATCAAAGTCGCGATCGAGCATCTCCCCATCTGCTTTTTCATCTCCTGTCATCAAAATGACACGATCGACTACTTTCTTCGAAGGATACTCGCAGACCACGTCGAGAGGTGCGATGTCCCATTCAAGCCCAACCCTGACTCGAAGAAAAATAAAACTCCCACTGCCGCCAATTTTACGATCCCGGAGCACTTCGACGCGGAGGACATGAGCCCACCGATGACTCCCCTACCAGACCTTTATCCCGCTAGCGACGATGAGGTAGACGATGACATGACATAACGATCCAATTCCCTACCCATGTATTTGTATAGGTCATATTGTACCCCTAATATAGAATAATGCCAATAGTACAAACTCACACCGGGCCTCTTGCTTAGGGCACCGTGGCACGGCTTGAGCCTTTCGGTACCAATGGTGGACCGTGAATCTGATGATGCGGGAAACGGACGGAAATGCGCACGCGGCCCGGATGGCGGATGAAGAGCACCGCGACGAGCGTCTATCCTTGAATCAGATAAGCGCCGAGCCATCAATTGGGCCTGGCTTGGCCGATCGGAAGCAAATCCACATGCGGAAGATTCCCCCTATCTAAGGCACTTTACTCTACACCTGCCTACATTACGAGGAAGAGAAGGGAGAAGCGAAGCCACCGTTCGCCTAACCTCTTTCAACTCGGGCATATAAAGTCCATCATGATGAAGCTGAAACTCCACCCTGACCGATTCCAGGGCCGGAAACGCCTTTCCATCCGACAACATTCTATCCAACTCTTCCCACCCCATGTCCGATTGTATGAGCGGCCCAATAGGGTCGATCATCCCAACGTCTAGTTCGATGATCACAGTCTGAAGAGCGTTCCAGCGCTCGACCGACGAGAACATCTTGTGCAGCATCTTGAGGCTTCGCCATACGCCCGGGACAGTCGATCTGGAGTATGCGAAGCGAAACGCTCGAAGGTCGGTTGCTCCTGTCAGATCAAGTTTGGCGGAATCGATGATAGGCGCCCGTAAACTCTCTAAACGAAGGCGTTAGATAGGAGCTGAGGATGAATCTGTTGTCGAACAACCTCACCTTGCGAGTTGAACGACAAGTCCAAATCCCGAAGCCTCCCCGACCTCGAACACATCCTAATCACCTCCTCTATAGCCAGGAATCCATGTGGCGAGCCACCAGTGACCTCGACCGACAACTTGTGGACGTGCCCAAATAGCCGCCGATGCGGTGACCTCAAAAGAGGTGCGATCTGCAGCTGGCTATTTGAAAGGAACGACAGTTTCAAATTCTTGCTGTTGCCCCAATCGAGATGCTCCTCGTCGTCTTTGATGTCTTCAAGCCTAAATGACGTGTTTTGGATCGTGATGTCGTTCAAAGAAGGATGAAAGGGGATGTTGGGAGGGAGCGACGTGCATCGGAAGAACTTGAGCTGGCGAACAGTCGGTTGGGTACAAAGGTCGATGATGGCGTCCAAGCTAGCTTCAGGGACAGCTGAATTGCTCGATCCCGTAAAATCCACACCCGAGATCACCACACTCCTGACGTTCGTCAAGAGCTGCAGGAACTCGGGGAAGACTGCAGCGTGCGTCAAAGGCGAATGATGCCACGAAAGTATCCTGATCGTCACAGCCTTGACGAGGTACCGAAAGTCCTTGTTCCCAGACAGAATGTCATACAAAGTTTGTAGTCGAGAGACATTCTGCAAAGTGACGGTGTGTAGGATGAAAGGACGAAAGTGAAAGGCGAGAGTTTTGCAGGTTAGCCGACAGGCCTTTAAGGTTTTCGTTCCCGTGTGTCCTTGGTAGCCATCGGAGCCATCGACGACGTTAGTCCCGATCTCTGTGAGGAGTTCTGCGGGCAGGTCGAGCAGGCCTGTCGGCCTGGACATGATGGTCAAAGGACAAGAACGAAAAACGAGATTCGGCTGCCTCGTGGGGCCAAGAACTAATTAGTCGGGGTTTGAAAACAAATGATCACCGGCGGAACGAGGCGGCACCGCGCCGCCGCCGCAATTTCGCTGTTCGATCCTCGCTTGCGCCGCATTTTTTCTGTTTTCTGCGCCAGGGACTGACGAGTCTGGAGTCCGAGCAGTGGTTCTGAAACGAAAGTGCGTCGTAATGGCACATTTTTGACTGGGGCCCTGTGTCCAAGAAGTAAATCATCAATTGCATGCCCACTAGTTGCGAATATTATAGTGTTACACTGAGGGTTACATGTTTGATAGTGATGTTGTACAATGCGGAATGGAATGGCGGTCGTTAGATCATGAACGAGATTGAGCAGGCATATGTTGAGACAACGTTGGGTCATAAACATTCATATCTGATTCGTAAAGTCAGGAGACGCCCTCGATCAGTAAAGATGACGCTTTGAAGAAAACATACTCTGGGCGTTGATGTTGCCGTTGTGCTGCATGGTTTGTTGGTTGGCTGTAGGTCGCATTGAGCATCAGGCTGCAAAGACGGAGAATGTGGTCGTACCTTGATGAATGGTATCGTCTCGGAGCTCCTCGGTCGTCGTGCCCCCACTATTCGATGCGGAAGGCTGGCTGTAATCGATAACGGTCTGCACAGGTGGCAGCTCGTGATTTCCTGCCTTGCCGGACGGTCGACCCTCAACTCGTCTAACGAACTCACCCCAGCACGCACGATCATCCGTACCAAGCGCCTCAAACTGCTGCTTCAACCCAACATCCGCCTTCTTCCAGATGGCGCGATGCCGACACACCGTGCTTTTCACATACCGACTCCCGAATACCCGCTCAAATGCGACCTTCTGGGTCATATTTGCTCCGGCTGGCGATTGAGCGATCAAAGCGTCCATCGCATTGAAGCCTACAGTGAGCTCGTACACGGTGTAATCGTTGGGCCACCGTTTGAGAGGCGGGTGGGGGTGATATGGGATCGGTGGAGTCGCGGACTTGGGGTCGGTGAGGTAGGATGGAAGTGCTGATGTCTGCGCAGGTGTGGGTGCATGATAGTACTGTTGTTGTTGCTGCTGCTGTTGCTGCTGGGGGCGGTACATGGTATAGTCAGTCTCATTGGATGTTTGTGTCGTGATAGAATCCCCAGTGGTCGGTGGAGTAGGGAGACTTGCCGGAGCCTGCTGTTGCTGTTGTTGCTGCTGCTGTTGCTGGGAATTGTTCTGTGCGGAGGAAGACGTATCGAGTTGATTGCTATAGTATCCGTTATGGATATGGACCTTGGAAGGATGGGACGATTGGAGCGTGTCTGTAGCATACCGCTTCTGGCCCGTGTTTGCTTCATGCGAGGGCGATGCCCGATTGGCCTGCGAGTTGATGTTATCGAGCTGATTATAGTGATTCTGTAATTGGATCTCCTCTCTGAGACCAAGGCAATCCTCTTCTCGAAGTCCCTCCAGAAGAGACTTTCGAGTTCGATAAAGAAGGCGCTGCTGAGTCTCGACCATCCGAACAGTCATAATGGTGTGTTGCTCCCATTGCGAGGAAGAAGCGTTGTACGCATCCATGTAGGACGAACTGTCCAAGCCCAGATCCGACACGACAGGGCCTAGTCGCGAAAGTTGGAAATAAGGGAATGAGGATACGGATTGTTGGATTCGAAGCGGCTCAGTGTTGGCCTGCGCAAATCATGAACGTCGATCCTCCTTGGCTGTCAGAGATAGACGTACCTTGTACCAGAAGATGATCGTTACAGTCTTTTTGTATTCCTCCGCGAACTGTTCCCTTTCCTTTCCAATCATCAGCCAATCACCCCAGGTAATAATTAGCTTAAAATACTCACCTGGTCTGCAGAATTAGAAGGGTGCTGAGCGCTCCTGGCATTAGAGCCCCCCGTCGACTGCCTCGTCGCGTTATTTAAAGAGTTCACATAGTGGTTCTCCATATGTATGGACGCCCGCCGTTCAAGATTCGTATTCGCGTCCATCGTAATGCCCATCGACTCTCACAAGTCTGTTGTGAACGGCCGTCGAAAGGGATTTGGCCTTGGATTGTCGATGATCGGCGTTAGGTACGGTCATCGTCGTTGTTTGAGCTGTGCACTTACCGCTTCTTGTCGCGAATCCCGGTCTCCGATATACGAAGACGATGGGGGAGGAGCGGGACTGGCAAGTCCATCGATACCGCTGGTCGACGGCGACCACGAGGCTCGCGTAAACATTTCAAAACAAAGTGGTGGACCTCGGACCGTGGACTGATCATCAAAGTCTTCGGTAGCAGTCCGCGTCGACCAACGGGCCAGGGCCTGGCAGGGGACATGGAGGAAAGGACTTGCGACTCATGAATCGACAAAACGTCCTCGAACCCGTCGCGACATCCGAATCTACTCGGACTGCCCCACCGCCCTCCGTTTGTCAACCCCATACGACTCGACACCCCTATTTCCTACTTTGCGCGGCATTCAGAGCTGAGCTCACCCAAAGAACCATGCAGCTGGAGGCAGGGTTGCGAAGGACGGACAATGATTTGATGCTCTACGGCATGTCGAGCCCATTTCACAGTCATGGGACATGAAAATTCAGGGACAACGGGGCTGTGAAGTAGCCCTTGTCAGTGATTCAAGCGTGCATTCAGAGGTTTCTGTGTTGATGAGAAGCGGCGAATATCAGGCAACAGGGTCTGGTGACCCCAGAGATAAGACGACCCAGCTCTTCCCTGTCATGAACTCCACATACATCGACCCCACGATGTCCAACACCATCTGCACTGTCACCGCGACAGCCTGGGGAAAGTGACGAAAACCTTGCAGACCGCCGACAGGTTTCCACTCCACGTCCAACAAAGTACATAAGACCGTACATCTCAGGGAGAGAGTTGTAGCCTGTCAGCGGGAATATCCCACAGGAACCTGCTAACATATTCTTAGTACGAGAATCGCCTCCCCATTCCCCAGCCATCTCCCACCCTTAACGTTTTCCTACCCACATTAGCACTCAAGCGATGACCATCATCACCTTCTTTGCCGTCCTCCTCGTCTCGAGTGTCGCTCAAGCTGCACTTGAAGGCCCTTGCTTCATTCCTGGAGTCGGTTCCGGTGCCTGCCTCTACACGCAGACCTGCCTTGATGGTGGAGGAGGGTCGTTCCCCGGGTTCTGCCCCGACGATCCGGTAGACGTTCGATGCTGTTTCAAGAGGTGCCCTACAAGCACTGGAGTGGGACGGTGCCTCCCGACTAGTGTCTGTTTTACCAACCTCTCAGGTATGATATCGATCTTGGCAGGATTTATCAAGGGTGCTCAGCATCTGATTTATGTAGGCTTTTGTCCTGGCTCTGCCGCGGTAAAGTGCTGCGTGGCGTAGAGTAGGTGCATAGGCGACGGAACATGAGGGAAGATTCTGTGCCAGCCATATGTAGGCCTCCATTGGCCACAGATTAAAGAGACTCTGTGCGAAGCTCAATTAGCGTCAATGGACCTTGAAAGCTTCAAGTTCACTAACGACACCCTGTCATACTGCAAAGATTAATGAATGTGATGTCCAGAAGAAGTGATCCATTTGAATTGGGGCAAGATGGCTACCCGTAGAAAGAATCGCTGCATACCTCATCAAATCCGTCCTGATAGCCACGCCCATTCTTTCTCTGTCTGAGAAAACTATTTACGGGTCAGATCAACACGGTCTTGGATATCCTGTAACCTTCTGTGGCTGGGGCCCGAGACGAGATTGACAACAACTTGAACAAGCGCCGATCCTGATACAAATGTGATCCGAGAACTTGCCGCGTGGAGAGTGTTGCTCCAAAAGATATGATATTCCATCGACGTACCATACATCCATGACCGGGAAGAAATACGAGGGCTGTCGAGAAGGAAGTGGAGAAGATGTTTCCATCACTAGGAACACAAACGTCAACATACCAAATGTATATAAATCCTTCTACTCGAGCCCAGTAGATACCAAGGATTCCGCAGAAGGTCCACCCTCGACTTACCGCTATCAGCAACTCAAGCAATGAGCCCCCTCACCACTCTCCTCGTTTTCATGACAAGCGCTGGTGTCACTTACGCGGCGATCGATGATGTATGCACCATCCCCGGCGTTGGAGTCGGGGCCTGTCTCCCAACTGCCGCGTGCCTTAACGGCGGGGGAGGGTCCTTCCCTGGACATTGCCCCAACGACCCTGCAGACGTCAGGTGCTGCTACAAGCGGTGTCCCGACGCTTACGGAGATGGATGGTGCCAACCAGTCCGTTCGTGCGTGGGGAGGACGCTCTCAGGTAGGACTCCTAGGGTACTAGTGTAGTAGAGAGTTGAATGAGCTCATTATTTTTCGCTTAGGATGGTGTCCCGGCTCAGCTAATGTCAAGTGCTGCATACGATGAAGCTTTTGACGAGCATAATTGAACAGTGGAAGCCCCAAACCGGAATGTATTACATGTTACCGAATAATTCAGATGTTATGAAGAGACTTGAGTGGTGCTCATCAGTCAATGTCGATTCGTCTATGTAGAAAGAGGGCTTCGAGAGTAAGAGTCACGTCGAGAGATTCGCTGGACGGGCGCTCCGATGGCGTCTCTCCGCGCCTGGACCGTTATCCACGACAGTTACTGTCCCTTCCTCCACCTTAATTGCGAAGTGGGTCGTTCGGCGACTAGTCGAGCGAACCGCATATCAGCGGTCGTAGGAGGCATTGCTGACTTCTGTGCCCTTGAGGTATAAGGCTGCCTCCTCCCGCTAGTGGTACTTATAAGTATGATCATGAGTTAACGGAACTACCGCTATCCCCGGATGATCTTTACCACTGCCTGAGTACCGGTTAACATGGGTCTTCCGAGATTTGGGAGGTATGGGTAGCGGATGTGGACGAAGTGATAGGGTTACCCGAGCACGGAGGTACCTCAAGTCTTTACCTATCGTATACGGCGGAAACGAATGCACATAGTGTTACATGATGGGCCTCGTGTCCGATTTCTGCATATAATCGTGGTCAGCTCGTAGCTCGATTGTTTGGCAGTTGCGCGGGGATACGTCTTCCTCGATTGACTTACCTACCTCCTAAATACATCCACTGCTGTTTGGGCAATCAGGCATGGTGAGGTGCATACGCAGAGAAGATCGCACCCGCAGTTAGCGGGTGGTGTACCTCGAGTAAACTCCGACTTGGAAGACGATATCGCCGTGAATGGGGTTCCAAGTTCCGGCAATCGCCGCACTAACCTCCGGAACATAGGCCACGCAATCGGTTAGTTTTTACTTTTGAAACGAGGAAGAGTGGCTTTTTCGCACCCAATATTAACATACGACCTTGATATTAACATGCGAAGTGCCTCGAGTCTTTAAAGTTTTGCAGTGGCGCGGAGAAATGGGGGATTGAGAGGGTATAGAACGTGGGTTATTCCGTGATCTTCAGTCACCTTAATCCAGCGGTGACATACAGTGTGGCATACGTACGTACCCAGAGAAGCCCCTCAGTCATCCTCGATGTTGCCCACTGACGAAGAGGACGGTGCCTCGATTTGGTGTTCCCAGCCGGAAGGTGTGATTCCCAGAACGGCACGCCCCCTTCTGATGCGTAACAAATGGGGCGATGTGCGGTGCTGCCACACACTCTACGCACATCCACTCGTTCTTGTAAAATATGAAGCATTCCGGCGACATTTGAATACCTATTGTTGACTTTCATGGAAGGAGAGCGTAAGATGGAGATGTGCTGGGTCTTGGAAGGGGGGCGTTACCTCATGGAACGGTGTAATGCACCCAGGGCTTCGGATGGAGCGGATTGATGTGCGCGGTTGAGATGGGCCGTAGGACCGCCCGCGCGATGCTACCGACGGGTACCTCGGACTCGGTTCCACACGCTTCAAAGATAAGAAAGCAGCGCAGAGCGGAAAGTAACGAGGAGGACAAAGACGTACATTGCATCATGATAAGGGGCAGAAGATGGGCGTCATCCGGTGATGAGATGACCCAAGGGGAAGGAGCAAGGAAATTCATCGGGAGCCGCCTACACGAGACGAGGCGAGGCGACGTGATGCTTTCGACCCCGGATGCTGCGATGACGGCGGCCTGTGTGAGTTTCTGGGGCCAAGAGGGGCGTAAATCCAGCGGCTCCTGCCATATTTGTACCCGTGCCAAGGTCAGGTGTGTCCGACGACCGGATTTGTGGGCAAAACCAATCCGAAGACCCCCACAGGTGGCGATATGCGATGGCTTGATGCGATATAGCCAGTGGATATGGATAGGGTGGTAGATAGGTTGTAGGGTGATAGGGAAGTTGAAGAGGGGAAGAAGGAGAGAATCGGGTTTCTCGGGGTCGGATACTGAATTAGGAGAGTTCCGGCTATCCGACGTGAAAAAAACAACGTGGTTGTGAGCCGGCTTGCAACCGGGTCTCCGAACTTGGCTCTGGTTCTGAATCGGAGCGTGATTTACCCACGAAACGTTATTCCCTGACATGTATATCGCTAGTGCGGAAGGTCGGAAGGATTCTCTTTCTGTTCTCGCTCCCACCCCGCTAAGCCACACACAACACAACTGCCACCTCACTCCTCCGCGCGACCTCCTTCTCTCGTCGATATCGTTGGTTCCCCGTCAAGTGGGCTCCGTTTGTCTTCGATGCTGGGCGTCATGGTCGCTGACAGACAAACACCAGGGTCCGGAGTCCAAGACGAAAGACCCATTATCAATCCTGGTGAGGGCGGCTCACACGGTGGTGTCCACAGCTTGAACCCGTACCACATCCTCAAAATGGGGCCTGACATCCCTCCAAATCCCGCTCCGACAAAGAGAAAGCGACTACAGGGGGCTTGTGACAACTGTCGGAGGAAGAAAGGTGCGTCCCACCCTCGAATACCCCAAACAACTTTTGAAATGCTAATTTTCTCTCGTGTTTTAGCGCGATGTAAGCTGTTTGTGCTCGTTGGTTACCGCCTTTGTCTCATTGAAGATTCCTAGGCGATTCGTCTGTTATGCCCGACAAAAAATGCACAAACTGTATCGCTCTCGGTTCAGAATGCACGCACCTGTACGCGAACCAGGTCAGTCACCGCTTGGGCCGAGGGAGGCATCCGTACATCCGTATCAACTAACATCCTTCCTTCTTTCAGAAACACGCACAAATACTCAACCGGTATGTCCTCCTCGTCCCCTGTGCGCTGCACAACACTCATCTGGTTGTAGGACGCCACTGAAGACGGCGGTCGAAGGAGCCAGCTCCGGGACACTCGGCGAGTATCGAGATAAGATGAATGGACTCTTGCAGGCTGTGCTCTCCTCCACATACCAAGCCCCATCCCACCCAGCCATCCTCCGCGACACCCTCGTCAGCCTCGCCCGCTACGCCCGTGCCCTCGAAGAAGTCCTACCAGCAGACACATGGGCATCGACACCAGTACCAGCCAAGTACGAACCACCACCACCCATCATCGGCGCCGGGTCACATTCAGCATCAGGATCGAACTTTGGTGAAGGAGAGGATGAATCAGGGTCAGAGCAAGGTGAAGGGGAGGGGGATTCGTTCAGCGAGCACCTGAAGGAGGCGTTCTTCCTCAAGGCCAACCAGTGTGTCTTCACCGGACCCTCCAGCACGTCACACATGCTCGCCACCGCCCTCGAGTTCAGCAAGGACTACAATCGCAGCCCACAATCTACCGATGGTGTCATCGAAAAGTACAAACGGCCCCAGTATTGGAACACCCAACCCGTACGGATCCCTTCCCGCTCTTATCACGCTGGTCACATTCTTATCATTTTTCATAGTGGGATTCTCCGCCCGCACAGTCCCGCCAGCCCTTCACATTCCCTGAAGCCGACCTCATCAATCACCTAGTCGATCTCTACTTCACCAAGGTCCATCTCTTCATGCCCTGCCTCCACCGCCCTACCTTTGAGAATCATGTGAAGACACGCATCCACTACACGAATGCAGAGTTTGGAGCCTGCCTCCTCGCCGTCTGCGCCCTCGGCTCGCGATATTCCGACGATCGAAGAGTCTTTGAAAATGGAACGAGCTCGGAGCTCGGTTGCGGCTACCAGTGGTACCGCCAGGTCGAGAACTTTTTCTCAGTCTCGAAGGCACCATCACTATACACGGTTCAAGCATACTATGTTGGTACCTTTCCCATCTGCCACTGATACCCGCGCTGATGATCCCCCTCCCCCTGGTTTAGCTTGCAGCAATTTATGTCTATTCCACCTCGACCAGCGAGAAGAGCTGGTATTTCCTGGGTATGGCTATTAGGTCAGCCCAGGATTTGGGCCTCCATCGGCCACCAAAGGGCGATAAGCCCAGTGTGCAGAGCGAACTCCGGAATCGACTCTGGTGGGCGCTGATGGTGGCAGAATGTCTCATTTCGGTTACGGCTGGCCGACCTCCTTCGATTCAACCATGGGAGTACGTACCACCGACTTGCTCCAAGGACTATCACCTGAGCCTCACCCGCTGTTCCCTTTCTTTCTTACCAGTTACAATGTGGACCTCCCCGTGGACTGTGATGACGAGTACTGGGAAATGCCGGATCCCACTTTGTCGTTCAAGCAGCCACCTGGGAAGTTTTCGTCTGTGACACACTTTATCAAGATTGTTGAGCTCTTCACGATTCTAAGCTCCATTCAGCGCTCGCAGGTGGGTCTTAGTGTTTTGGAAAGGGAAGGCACGGGAACTGACGAATCTGACAGTACTCTGTCCGTCCGCACGGCAAGGAGGAAGACCGGACACACTCACCAGGCGCGATTGATGTTGCTCTCAGCTCTTGGGAGAAATCGGTGCCCCCATTCCGTAAGGCCACCCCGTACTCTTATTCAGCGCTCATGCTCATTTTCGTTTTGTCTGCAGTTCGGATAGGCACGCCACGGCAGGAACCGAAATTCGTTCATCAATCGATATCGCTATGGATGGGCTACTACTTTGTGCAAATGCTTGCTAATAAGCCATTTGCGTCAAGGAGGAACTTGAGGTCGGCGGCGATGGATACGTGCATACATGCTGCGAGGTTGTGTAGTCATGTTATGGACCACCATATGCAGGATAAAGTGCCGCTTATGCCTGCTGTTCCGGTATGTGCTTCTCTGTTCCCCCTGGCATACAAGCATTCAGTTGGTTTGATGTAGATGTTCTCAATATCCATGGCGGGGTTAATACTCCTTATCGACATTTGGAGAAAGGAGTTGACGGGTCCTGGGTTGGAGAATAGTGAAGAAATCCGGAACATCCATAGATGTATACGGATTCTCAAGAATCATGAATCGAGGAATGCGGCGTTGGGACGGAGAGTGTACGTTCCTTTCCTCTCCTTTAAGGTGTTTTCAGATTCACTGATGAGGGTGTGTGTGTAGGGACCTACTATTGGCGTTGTTGGCGGTTACGAACCTTCCTCTACCTCCTGATTCCATAAGCCACAACGAGCCGATGGCTATCCAGCCCGAGTTTAGGGCGGTGTCATCGACGAGTTCGAGGCCTAGTCTCCCGCCTCCTTCGTCTTCGTCGTCGTCGCAGCCTGTGTATGACGATGTGCCTCCTCCATCTTCGACTCTATCGACACCGTCGGGATCGAGAGAGTGTTGGCTGGATCTCCTGACAGATCCTGATTCTCTACGTACGTCCATCCCACCATCTGCCTTTCCCCAGGCGCATACTGACTCGATCACAAACCACAGGCACACCAGGCGCCTCATCCTCCTCTTCCTCCTCCGGCTACCCATACAAACGCCCTTCCTATGGACGTAGGAACAGCAGTGCGAGCAGCGGCGGGAGCAGTTCGCGCGCGCATGATGAGAGGTCGAGTAGGGTGGACAATAGGTGGCATCCATTCCATCCTAGTTCGAGTTCGAGTGGGAGTGGGAGGGGCCCGTCTGGGTTGAGGCATATGCATATGTACCATGAGGGACCGGTTGGGATGGATGTGGATGAGCCGCATCATGGTGGTGGTGGGCATCTTGGTGGGCATGGCCATAGTCATAGTCATGGGCATCCGCATAGTCACCATTCGCATTCGAGTCATCATGGACATCATCATCTTTCGCCTTCGTTGCATTCGGCGGGGCATCATGGTGGGAGTAGTCTGCATGGACATGGGCATGGACATGGGCCAACGCATAATGGCCCGACGGCCCCTCCTCCGCCGCCGCCGCTTGGACAGAGGGGAAGGTTGATACCTGTTGGACCGACTGTGCATGTTCCGGAGACGAGGGGTGGGTCTGGTGGAGGGAGTGGTGGAGGGAGTGGGAAGAATGGTGCTGGAAGTGCGGGTGGGGGTGGGCCGCCGGTTCCTGGGTATGGGGCTAATGGTGAGTGTTGGTTTTGGTTGTGGTTTTTGGTTTTGCTTCTTTGGGGGCTTTGGGTTTTGGTGTTTTGGTGCTCTGGTTTTGGTGTGGATGGATGGGTTACTGATGATTTTGCGTGGTATAGCTCCTAGACAATCGGATGGATGGAGGAATCCGTATGTGTTTGATGGGACTGCTGCGAGCTGAGGGGTGGGGAAAAGTCCAAGGCATGCATTGGTTTGGCTTGGTTGGTTTGGGTTGTGGTGTGAGGGGTCTCTGTGGTCCGATGGGCAGAGTTAAAAGGCAGTCTGAAGAGGTCGTCTGACGCATGGGTTATGGAGATTCTGTTACGTCCGTCTCTTTTTATGATACTACTATGAACTCTCCTCTTTCCATCTACATCTCTCTCTCTCTCTCACACACACATGTACACATACACCTCTCTTTTTTCAATTTCTCTATTCTGTCCCCTTCCTTTTCTTTTCTTCTCTTCTCATCAAGCTGACGAATGTATGTGATTTACTCTTCTTTTTTTATTCTCTCTGCTGGTGTTGTCGATTCAGAATATTGGGTATAGCTATAGGACTGTTCTGTTTTATACTTCATTCCATGATTCAGTTTTCACAGTTTAGGACTTCCCGTCTGTTTTAGAGTCTTTTTCAAAGTAGTCTAGTGTATTATGGTATAAATAGCTCTGTTTATATGGATACTTCTTTGTTCTTCTGGTGCGAAATTTGGATAGGCCGCTAAAGTCAGATGTTTGGCCTAACTAGCGCGTTTTTGAAATAAGGTGGTGGGCATTGGATGGGAACCCTGACACTACTTAGTGCATGTGCACTCAGGTTCTTCGGGGACGGTTTTGGCTGGTGATGGCACCTTTGGGAGAGTCTGCTGATGCCCCCTTCCGGCGAGTAAGGGTGAGGTTCCTCTGTCCACTGTTACCCGACGTAGACTGTCATAACTCTCGTTGATAAGAAGTTCACCTCGATCCGAGCCCATGTGTTGGATGTGCGTAGTCTGCCTCGACTGTGATTCTGACTATACTTCTGAAAGGAAAAGGCAGCATTCGGTCCCGCGTCCTCGGCTCACAACCGCGCGGTTAAGTCTCTTCTGTCAGTTCCGACGAGCGCAGTGAAGATGCTTCCATGAATTGGAAGCCGTGGACCCGCCTCGGCTGCTAGCGCTGGTAGAATATTCCATTGAATTTCTTAAGCAACCGCTACCCATCGTACTTGGTGATATTAAACGTGGGTCCGAGCATGCGTTGGAGACGTTTAGAAGCATCGAGGGTAGAGCAGAGTTGGTGATGGGATCCAGGACTCGAGAAGATGATGCTATGTTCTTGCCCGATGAGGGAAGGTGATATGTGGTCACTGGTGCCCCGATGGGTCGGAGTAAACCTATCGCGGGAGGTACTACAGCGAGATTATCTACCGCCGGGTGATAACGCTTAACCGCGAACTTTTTTGCTTCCGCTTTGTGATCTCTTTTCCTCTCGCTGCTCACCTCGTTGGTCCCAGGGTTGTGCTGGTTAGTTCGTAATCATGTCTGAAGAAAATGGTGGGTTTTTGGTTTTTGGAGGGCTTGGATGGATGGAGGGGTGTTCTGACGCTTGGATTGGATAGTCTTGATCGGCGTTATTGGTGGTAGTGGATTGTACCAGCTCGACAATCTTACTGTTGTGTACGTCTATGTTGGTATTTTCACCTTGATCTTAGGGCACTGACGGGAGCGCGTAACGATAGGAAGACAGTCAATCCAGAAACAGTACGCCTTTTTCAGCTAACCGCTTTCCTTTCCCGTTTCTCTAACAACGTGCGGTTGACAGCCCTGGGGCTTCCCAAGCTCACCTATTACGATCGCCGCCCTCCCTTCTGGCACCAAAGTCGCATTCCTGGCGCGCCATGGCATCGGGCACGTCATCCCGCCCTCGAGCGTCCCCAGCACCGCCAACATCGCCGCGCTCAAATCTCTCGGCGTCTCCGCCATCCTCTCCTTCAGCGCCGTCGGCTCCCTGCGCGAGGAAATCTCCCCCGGGTCCTTTGCGCTCCCCTCGCAGATCATCGACCGCACCAAAGGAATCCGCGATTCGTCCTTCTTTAATGGCACGAGTATCGTTGCGCATGCGATGTTTGGGGACCCGTTTAGCAACAAGTTGATTAGGTGGTTGGAGCCGAGGGTGAGGAAGGCGTTGGAGAAGGAGGGGAAGGGTAAACTGTTGTTTACGGATAAGACGATTGTGTGTATGGAGGGCCCGCAGTTCTCGACGAGGGCGGAGAGTGTGATGTATAGGCAGTGGGGAGGGGATTTGATTAATATGAGTGTGTTGCCTGAGGCCAAGTTGGCTAGGGAGGCGGAGCTTTCGTGCGTCTATTCTTTTCTATCTTTTATGGATTGGATACTTATTGACTTGGGGATACAGGTATGCTCTTATTGCGATGGCGACCGACTATGACTCGTGGCGCCCCCACTCGGACGCTGTGACCGCGCACGACGTGGTCCAGACCCTGCACGACAACGGTGCTTCAGCCAAACTCGTCCTCTCGACCATCCTCGACGACCTGCACACTACTATTAATACCCATCACCGTGCTCTGACGAACGGGAACTCTCAGGATTTGGAGGCGATCAGGGAAGAGGAGGCGCTCCTCCAGGAGAGGGGATCCATGAAGTTCAGCATCATGCCTGCCTCGCCACAGCAGAAGGCGGAGGATAGGAAGAAGTTGGCGTTCATCCTTCCTGAACATTTCAAAGATGCTGCGTAACTGGGATCCATGGAGGACCTGAGTAAAAATGGACGGGAGAAGAGGATTAACTTGGAAATATTGTACCGATGTATGTTTTATACTCGATTGGACGGGGAACTTGTAACAAAATGATGAATTGGATTTTCTGGAAGTGGCCGTTTACTTCTTTCCTGTCATTGGGGTTGGTGGCGGCAAAAAAGCGCCCATTGGAGAGATGGGAATGAAATACCAAATTCGTACATAGCTAACTCTATCAATTATTTTTTCCGAGAAAATAATCACGAAATTGGAGCGACGCGTCCATCAATCGAGGGTTCGAAGACGCCTTGAACGACGACCACGAACGACGATGAAGGCGACGACGGCTTCAGGATCGAGCTCGACGCCGGCTCACAATGCACCACTACCACCTAGCGCATCTTCAGCAGCGCGATCGTCGCGTATCGCACCACACTCGCATATCAAAGGTCTCGGATTGAATTCAGAAGGGTACGCGACACAGGACACTGCTGGGTTCGTTGGGCAAGCCCAGGCGCGCGAGGTGAGTTACAGGTTAATTATGACATGAATTGCTGATGAACGATCTTGATAGGCCTGTGGAGTTATCGTTGACCTTGTAAAATCGCGCAAGTTCTCTGGTCGGGCGCTCTTGCTCGTCGGTGCACCAGGAACTGGCAAAACCGCCTTGGCTCTGGCCATCTCGCAAGAATTGGGATCCAAGGTGCCCTTCTGCCCGATGGTAGGCTCGGAGGTGTACAGTACCGAAGTCAAGAAGACGGAGGTTCTCGCAGAGGCGTTTAGGCGAGCCATTGGTGAGTCTCGGGGTTCATGATGGCGACTCTTCCATCTATATTCACTAACCCAGGGATAACCAGGTCTGCGAATCAAGGAGACTAAAGATGTCTACGAAGGCGAGGTCACGGAGCTCACACCGACTGAATCTGAAAACCCGTTGAGCGGATACGGCAAGACGGTTTCCCATGTCGTGGTGGGGTTGAAGACGGCCAAGGGCACGAAGCAGCTCCGTCTAGATCCCACAATATACGAGTCGATTCTCAAGGAGAAGATCGTTGTGGGAGACGTGATCTACATCGAGCATAATACTGGAGCTGTGAAGGTGCGTGGGGGTTTTAGACTTCTACACGTGCCTTTTTTTCTAATATATCATCGTTTGTAGCGAGTGGGTCGGTCAGATGCCTACGCTGCGTCGTACGACTTGGAATCAGAAACATACGTACCTCTTCCCAAGGGGGATGTCCACAAAAAGAAAGAGCTTGTTCAGGATGTGACGTTGGGAGATCTGGATGCTGCGAATGCCCGTCCTCAAGGCGGACAGGACATCATGAGCGTCATGGGAAGCCTGGTCAGAAGTGGAAGGACAGAAGTCACCGACAAGCTCAGGAAAGAGGTTAACAAGGTCGTCAAGGGATATGTGGATCAGGGCGTGGCCGAAGTCGTGCCAGGCGTCGTCTTCATTGATGAGGTGGGTGGTTCAAACCTTCCTTGGTTTCGGAACAGCCCATATGACCTATTTTCTTTCGTCAGGTGCACATGCTTGACATTGAGTGTTTTACGTATTTGAATGCGCTGCTAGAATCCCCGATGGCGCCTACCGTTATTCTCGCTACGAATCGAGGCAATTCATTGATTCGGGGTACCACCGACATCATCTCCCCTCACGGGATACCGGTGGACCTCCTCGACCGGTGGGTTCTTGTATACCGCATCACGAAGTTCCCCCTGGTCTAACCTCTGGGATGGATAGATGCATGATCGTCAAAACGGATGCCTACAACACCGAACAGATCGCTAAAGTCATCCAGCTGCGCGCGAATGTGGAAGGTCTGAAGTTGGGTCCTGGTGTTCTCGACCGCCTCGCTGCTGAAGGCGAGAAATCATCTCTACGGTACGTTGCGGAACCTTTTTTATTTTTTGCTGTTTACGGCTCTCTTCGACTTTTTTTCATTTCATTAATCTCGCGACAATTTCGCGTTCTATTTTCTATTTTCGCCGAATGACATGGATGGGTGGATCATAACTGACGCGTGTTTTTTAGGTATGCCCTGCAACTTTTGACTCCCGCTTCAATATTGGCGGGATTGGCAGGAAGGGACCAGATTGAGGTTGAGGATGTTGGGGAGATGGGAGAGCTTTTCTTGGATGCCAAGACGAGTGCTTCGCAGATTAGTGAGGCGGGGTATAGTACCTAGGTGTTTCGTACTTTCCTCGTAATCCTATGTATAGGTGAGCGCTTCTTTCTTCTTTACATCCTCCCGTCTCCCTCGGTTGCTAACCCTCTCCGTTCTCTAGTACCTATATCAATGGTAGACAACACCCCTGTTGATATACTCTGTGATCACCCACGTCCCGCGAAGACCATAACCTTTTTTTCAGGGAGTAGGTTAGGTATGTATTCGTCAGGTGCTAACATCCTGTAGATTCAGATGTGACGTGGAACCGGAGCAAGAGCCCACCTTTGAGGGTGTCACACTTCGCGATGGCACCCGTGTCCCGGGAACCTGTGGTTCGCAACCCTGGAATAGACCTCGATAGGGGATCGTGGTCCCGTGGAGTCGTATTCGTAGTGAGTATTGAGTATTGAATGCGCAGGTGGCGTTGTCGTTGGCTTGTTGGGGATTTATGGATGGCTGCTCATACGGTGGAGGGTGTGCACGGTGTCGATTGGCGGAGGGCTTACCCCAGGTTGTCCCTCATCAGAGTTTTTGGTCGTCTCGTAATGGTCGAGATGACAAGGTTATGGGCGCCCCCTACTGCAGTGGGGCACGAGAACTCACGGCATTATGGGCATCTGATCATTGAACGAAGACCTTATTCCTCGTGTGAGGTCAGAAGGGAGGTCTATGGATCTTGGTATTAAGTATTACTTGCAGCTTGTTTGGAATTCCTTCACCCCAAAGGAAAGGTAAGGCAGGGTAAAGTAAAGGTAAGGCATTCATTCATTCGTTCATTCGAACTTTGTTATGGAACTTTTTTATGGGTAGTATTTCACATTATCACTTTACCCGCTCTTCACACTATTACTAGTACTATTATTCCCATTGCTGCCTTCCATCAGAACAGAAGGGGACTCGGAGTTGCGCACGTCTAAGTGAGTACATACATACGGCGGTTACCGTGGGCTATTATTGATATATCCTTCCAGTATTAGGTCTAAACGACCCAGTAAACCAGGATGCCCCTTGAGATTGAGGACGTCCTCGGGAGTGGTGACGTTGGAAGTGACGAGCGTGTTACAGTGTGCGAAGGGGTGGAGGTTGGAGGTTGGTGTGTTTGACGAACAGGGTACTTGGAAGGGGAATGTTTTGGGCGATGAAGATGCGAGCGAGTGAGGAAGGTGCTTCGTCGACGGTTACTTATTCTTCCAAGTTCGTTTGAATTCAATTCAGTTTTTCTGTTCCTTACTTATTTGGTTCCTTGCTCGGGTGATTTTATGCAGTACCGTATCTCTGGCTTGTTTAAGATCTCCGCCGGTTGGTGGGGATTTCTCCGGCCCTTTGGGTGTTCCCTGTATTGGCAATGGGAAGTCTATCGAGATTGTGACGGGTTATTCTGATTTCCACGGATGTGGTGCACTCACTGGTCAGTCGAGTAGGACTTGCTGACTGTGACCTTCCCCTACTAGGGTTAATTCTTCAAGTTTTCGTCGTGCGACTGGTTACCAAGTATCAGCCGTGGAGATGAGTCGATGGGTTTTTTGGATGGCACGAGTTGTGGTCTCCTGACCCACTTCACTTACTTTAGAGCTTCTTTGAATTTGAATTTGACGTAGACAATGAGTTAATGACTTGACTGACTGACTTCTTCTTGACAATGAAAGACGTGGAGGTGAGTGAGGACTCGGAGTTAGAGCTCGGTTGCCATTTCTCCAAAGGAATCGAGGCCTGGTTCGCGAGAGTACATACTGAAGTATGTAGGTTGGCAACTGCTGGCAATATTACTGCGGGCGAGATGTCAAGCTAATGTCCGATTTTCTGATTCCTTTTCGCTCGGTTATTGAGGACGCGAATGCGAATGCGCGGAGCTCGGGGTGGAGAAATCGAGATTACTCGGGAGGGGCAGGGGCAGGAGTTGTTTGCAGTGATTCGCGGTCGGGGGACAGTGCTATTCAACTCTGGAAGCTTCAACAAGCGAGTAGGAATAGTCAGTACACTTCGTAAGTAAGAACAGAAGGTTGATGATGAATAAAGTGATCTTCTAAGTTCGAATAGGGATCTACTGTATAGACTCAGTAATTTAATGGAGAACGCCGACGCCGCAGCATAAGGCAATTCGCATGGATGAGTAAGTGAGGAAGTTCCAAGCTCTAGTTGCCGATCTTGGCCATCTCAAATTCCAGAGTTGCCGGGGTGAAGTGGCCTCGTGTCTCGTGTGCTTTGAGTCGATGGAAACCCGTTGGTCACGGTGAGCCTCGAACTGTTCTCGTCGCAAGTTCGAAGTTCGAAGGAGAGCGGCGTTCGTGCGTCCAGAGCGAAGAAGAATCGGAGGAGTTTGTCGGAGGAGCTTGTTTGCCACACAGTGCAGGGTGGCAGCTGGGCGAGAATTCGAAGGGGACCCCTTGATGGAGACAGATGTTCGAGCCCAGACACGGACTCTAAGCGCGCCTATCAATTGGGTCAAAGATACGCAAATGGTAGACACCTCTCGGGATATCAAATGACGAGAAGTTCAGTGCGGGGTAAGTCAAAATTAAACAATGTACGTCAACCGTAATGGTTGCCTTGGGAGGCAAGAGAGCGAAGGGGTGAGGTGAACTGGTGAGGTGGCAAGTGCCTACCACTGCACAGTGCATGTCAGCACGCCTCCAGGTCCGAGTGATTCGCTGCGCTTCCAACGGCTCTTGAGTGTTCTAGAGACCCGTAACTGATTGTGTCATCGGTTCTTTCATGGGGTGATCAGGATCTCCCATGGACCTGTTTAGGAGGTGTTGTGGGCAGGTGTAATTGCCGCAGGGTTCGGTTTCGGTATAGTCGTAGCGCATGATCAGACGCCGGACGGACGCATCAGTATGATGCTACTTCGGGGTTGGATCGCTGGTACGCTCTTGCCCTTCTTGTCTTGACATGTTCTTGTTTGGATGAGGGAATTAACTCCAATTGAATGTTCGAAGGCTGCGCCGTCTAGATTGAACCCCGTGTGTATTGGATGTATATAAGGACGCCGACTTTGTTGGATGGATGGCATCACCCACCGAGCTCACCCCTCTCACATTCAACGTCCCTTGATAGCTCGTCTAACGCCTGTTCCTCGTCTTTTAACGAACTCACGACCGACATGAACTCTCTCAAGACCGTGCCTGTGACGTTGGAGGACCGCACGGGGGCGATTACCAACACGGATTTCGACGACATGTACGACCGCGTTTTCTTACACGTAGCGCGGGTCCCTGGGCACAGCACCACCAAAATCTTCGAAATGCAAGTACGGGCTTCTCGACACCGTAATGCGCAGGCAGTACAACGTGCCACGCCGACTGTGTCCCTCGATTTCATGCCCGACGAGTCCCTGGGCACAATCACCTTTTCAAAATACCGCATGTCAGTGCCTATGTCGCAGTACCTCCGGAAACTGTCTTTCTTTGGACCGTAAGTTTGCTTCCTCTCTGTACTCTTCTTGGGTGTGACGTCAAAGCTAATCAACGATGTCTCCTTCATTCTCGTTCGTTGACTCTTTTAGATCACTGTGCCGCAAGTTTGTTGCCTCGGACGGGAGGGAGTATAAATGGAGCTATAGAGCTTTGGATGACCATGAATGGACTGTAAGCCTGTTCCGCTATATTGATAAGTGTTAAGGCAGTGGTACTGATGTCAGCGCCGTTTTCTTTCCTTCTAACCGGATATGTATGTCTAGTGCTCTACTGCTGACTCGAGCAATTACCTTGTTGCGCATTATGACTTGAGGGCACCCAATACGCCTATCTACGATACATCGGGCAACAAGTTGATTATTTATCCGCACTTTGCGCACTTGACTTCCGGTGAGTTTTGGTCTTCGAGTTTGGGTTGCCGGCTTAGTGCTGACGTCGTCTTCTACAGAGCTTGTCGCTAGTCTGCTTATCATGCGACATATTGCGCAGTTCAATCTCTAAGCATCTGGGATTATACCCTCACTCATCGCCTCCTCGTCGCATCCGCATTCGCCATCCTCTCGCATTCACATCCAAAATACCCCCCTGCATGGACTACTTGCTTTCGACATCTTTCTTGGGCATCTCATTGGCACAACGCATCGCTTTCCCTTCGTTTTCTCGCAATCACATTTGTACTTGTACTGTTACCCACATTCGTCCCCCCGACTCGCATCCCTCTTTGCATTACCCCATTCTGTTGGGGCTGTACCATTATTTCGCAAATTATGTATACCGAAAAGTGTAATATTGTAATACGTACTCCTGTACAACACGTAGCTATTCTGGACTCTGAATGACCATCGTTTCGTTCTCCGCGATGATCTCCAGCTGAGCTCTCGTCAGTTTGCCTTCAACAAAATTAGGGGCAAACCCTAACCTAAGTCTTACCCCTGATTTCGGTTCCGTCATTGCTTGTTTCCTGACTTGCACCATCGACGGCGGTGACCAGGTCAGAATGTCTCGGAGATTGAACAAAAGGCAGCAAAGAGAACTTGAAGAGCTTCAGGCTCTTGGAGGATCTCCAGGACTTGATCAGGATGCAGCAGAGTCGGAGGAGGAACCCGTTGCTCGGCCTCAGAAAGCTGCAGCTGGTTTCGCAGCGGTGAGTTGCTTTAAGGCTACAGGTCTGGCAGAAGCTGATGGCTGTGTATAGTTAATGGGCACTGAGGATGACAACGAAAACGAAAGTGAAGACGATGAGCCCAAAGCGAAGGCCAAGAAGGTTGGGAAATTCATCGAGTTCTGTACGGGCATATCTGACCATGTTTTCAGTCGAAGAAGAAGAAAAAGAAGGCGGGAACTCCTGTTGTGGAATCTCCCAAACCAGCCAGTACACCCCCTCCAAAGTCCACACCCACTCCAACCGCCAAAAGCGAAAAGAAGGCGCTTAAGAGGGCGAAACAGAAGGAGAAAAAGGCGGCCGACGATGAATTGGAGCAGGCTTTGAAGGAACTGGCGATCAAGTATGTTCTGGTCATTATAAGAGACTGATAATTACTGACAGGTCCTTAGGTATCCCCCGTCACAAAAGATCAGTCAGAAAACGGCTGGTGGACAAGGTTTCTCAGATCTTATCTCAGTCTCCCCTCAACATCTCGACCCCGATGCCGAAATGCGCAAGTTCTTTGGAAGCAAGGTCGTACAAGCAAACAGGGCTGGATCATCCTCTGGTGCAAGCGCTCAAGCTCGTCGCAAAGCAGCTACTGTGCGGTCCGTTTTGACACGACCTCAACCGACTTGGTGGGCCGCAAAGGCGAGGGAAGGACTGTCCATTCGACCCTTGACGGATGAGGAGGTTCAGGCCAAACTGAAGGGCCAAGAGTGGGAACCTGTGCATGATGATAAGTGGTGGACGGTCGAGTATAGCAAGAGATACAAAGCGTTAACCAAGGTTTTCATGCGGACTGTGGCGTCTGGAGGTGAGTTTGCCCTGCGTCTAATCAGCGGGATAGCTAATAAGCGATAGATCCTCAGGGATTCTGGGACCTTTTGTCGAGATCGCCCTGGCACGCTGATACTCTTCTGCAACTCTCGGAAGTGTACAGACACCGCGAAGGTGCGCTCTCAGAAACCGTTTGGGCCATTTCAAGCTGACAGGAATTCAGAACACGCCCAGGCCGTCGACTTTGTCGATCGAGCCCTCTTCACCTATGAACGTGCTTTCGTTGGTGCCTTCAACTTCACCGTAGGCGCTAATCGCCTCGACTTTGACCGCGTCGAGAACCGCCCCTTCTTCCTCGCCATCCACCGACAGGTCGCGTCAGTCCATATGATTTCTTCGTCACCTCCCTACTGACCCTCTGTCTAGAGACCTGAATCGCAGAGGATGCGTTCGGACAGCCTTGGAGTTTGGGAAACTCCTCTACTCCTTGGACCCATGGGGTGATCCTCACGGGTCCTTGCTTCATTTGGATTATCTTGCCATCAAGGCTGGGATGCATCAGTGGGTGATCGACCTTTGTGACATCTTCACTGCTCGTCGCGAGGAGACGTCGAAGTCGAAGGCGGATGCTCGGATTGATCCCAGTCTCCTTCCTGGGTTTAGCTACGCTCGAGCTTTGGCTCTACGGATAGCTGAGGAATCTGGTCAGGTATGATTAACGCTGGCAGTGCCGCTGATAATTGCTCACATAGAACATGTAGAAGGGCCGTACATCCAGCACGGAAGCTTTGAAATCTGCCATGCAAGACTTCCCATCAGTATTACCTCTTTTGGTGGACAAGCTGGACGCTACTCTTCCCGTCGCCATTCGATCGCATCCAGATTTCAAAATTGAAACAAACGCCGAGTACGAGATGTCTCTGCAATCATGTTTGCCTCTACTAATCTTCCACCAGTCCACTTTCAACCCCTGTTGCTGCTCTTCATCTCCTTTCACACCTCTACGTCCAACGATCCAATACATTATGGAAAGAACATACCGACTGGCTGACCACCACAGCCACCGAAACGTTTGAAAAGCTCCCCTCCCGCCTCCCAGTTACCCCTACCCGCCAGGCCTTCCTCGACCTCTACGAGCACCCCGGTCCTCGCTTCGCAGCATACCGCCACCTTATCGTCCTCGAAAGTGATCATCGAAGTCTATTCCCATTCATCCCTCGAACGGTGCAACAGAATTCGAGGTCGCTGAGCTGCGATCCACTGCCTCCAACGACGGCGGTCAGCTCCTACGATGAGGCGTTCTTCGATGGTGTTGATGATCTACTGTCGTTCAGAACGCGCACACGGAGGGAGAGGGCAATGGATGAGAGGCGCTTGGCGCAGATGATCCCGGATGCTGCATTCCGTCAGCAACTCGAAGTGCGTGACGGTGTCTCTTTGTCATGATACACTCTCATCGTTGTATTCCAGGCATTCTTCAACGGCAACCGTGGCCTTCAAGAACGGTTCCAGGGCGGAATTCTTCAGTTCGCTCAAGCCGTCGCCCAGCTTCCACCAGAAGTGCTTGAGGACATGATGCTAGCTGAAGCCATGGGTGGAGGACCTGGTTTGATGGCTGGGGGTCTTGGAGATGGAGGTGGGATGCCGGGTGGCTTCGATGAGTTGGAAGCTGCGGGGTTGGAGATTGCAGATTTGAACGCGGATGGTGCCCAGCCTCTTGCAGTCCACTTGCAGCAGGTTGAACGAGCCGGTCAGGAAGAGGAGCAGGAGGAAGAGGACTTTGAGGACGATGAAGAGGACGAGGAGGATGACGAGGAGGATTATTCGGTACGCTTTTACCCGCTTTGGTCAGGAGTGGTCAGGAGTGAGCTAACGCCTTTTGGACTTTTGGACAGCCCATGCCGCGTGCGATCAGAAATCTCCTTGGAAGGCTTTGGGGACGAACTGCGACCGCAGAGGATGATTCCTCCGATGATGAGGAAACTGAGCTTCTGGACAACAATGGGGTTGATTAACCCTAGGCACGCCTTCCGTCACCACCGGTGCCTGGATTTGGTTTAGGGTTACGAGGGGTAACAAAGGTAGAAGAATGTAAAGGAATGTATGTAGGGAAACTGTCGAGGTATGTGTGTAATGGTATATGGAAAACGCTGCTCCCCTTTAGTTGGTGGATGTGTTGTGAATGCATGTCTTCATTCCTGGCGATTGGGATAATTGGTCGAGCATACTGCGGACGCTGTCTTCTTGCAGAGGTGGCAATCCTCTCTGGATAGAACTCGATTAATTCCCCGATGCCTTTGTGTGCGAGGTGGGTCTACTAACCATCTCTCTGTGCAGCGCGTTCCCGTAGGAATAAATCATGGACACCACTTCGAGCTTTGCGGTGTTCCTGTATTCTTCGACGTCGATGTTAGCCTTTCTCAATTCTTCAGCCCCGTTGTCGACCTCTGATAAGCGCCAGCTACATACACCGTTTCAAAGAACAATCAGCCCATCGGACTTCATCTCGACCTGTTGCCATTTCAAAAGAGAATCTCACTGATAAAATGCGCAAATTGAAGTCCTAATGTCTTCTTTGAACTTGGTCTGCATCTCGTCGGCCACGATGTCGCATACGCTATGTGGGAACGGGGCGGCTTCATCTCCATTCAGACTTGCGTATTTCTCAGCTTTGGACAAGAGCTTGCCCATGATGTCTCCTTGGTTGTTGTTGTGCATTTTGTTGCATTCGAGAGCGCGCTGGGTGCTGTCGTACCAGGTTTTGAGAGATGGATCTGACATTGCGGGAGGCTTGGATGCGGAGGTGAAGTTGCGAGACAAGGGAGGACAGTTGTGTGCGGGGATGTAGAATTCGAATCTGCGCCACGGAGACGCGGTTTGATGTAGTGGAGGTATGGAGAGGAACAACGGATGCCACTTGTCGTCAGGGTGTCAGGATGGAAGCGCTACGAAATCGTGTGGTAAAACGACATACCTACCGCCTTTCGAAATGAGAAATAAAAGCAAAACCTAAATATCGCGAAGAAGAGTGGTGGGCTCAAGGTAGAGTGGCACCGGACAGAATTGTCTGTGAATATCCTTTATATCTATTTACATTTCCACGAATGTACCTGATTCCGGAAGTCTGCGAATAAAGGAAGAGCGCACACTGTGAAGTCACTTCCTCTTTTGTAGTAGCGCTATTCTTACCATTCTCGAGGTACATACCAGTGGACACAATAGAACTGAGTTCGAATTCAAAGCATGTGCGAGTGGCATGTTTCTGGAAATCGGCCAGATAGCAGAAATATGTGGGATATAGGCACTAAGCGCCCACATCGCGGTGTGTTGGGATTGGTCTTAGTTTGCGTCTTCGAAGTTCGCGGTGCTGGTTATGGATATGTTTGGGGGACGAACAGGCCAGTGTTCTGCTAGTGTTCTGCTTAAGTTGGTGCTAAGCCCGTAAGCAGGGTATCGATATACTGTGCAGCAGACAGTGAGACGTCCTTGGTATTGTTAGTCGCATATGTACATGAGAGTGGTGATAGTGTCGAATATTCCATCCATAAAAATACTCAGACCCTCCAAGGCCCATAAACAAACCTCCCCGCCTCCTCAGCAATCTCCACAACCGCCTCCATCCACTGCCCCACATCCATGGCCACACCTTCAAATCCATCCAACTCGCCCTTCAAGTCCTCATGCCCCGGAATAACAAAATCGAATTCACCTTCCCAACGTTCCAGCACGGGCATCTGACTACTGCTATCCTCTGACTGCGCATGAGGATCAGGGTTGTGACCTTCTACCTGCTTAAAGCTTCCAACACCACCTCCGTCGAGAGGCCGTCGGGATGGGAAGGGTGTGCCAACAGGCTTGCATACTGTACCAGGCTCGGGTAGTTTACCGGTGATGAAATACCTGCGGATGGCCCCGCTCGTGCAGAACGAGGGTGCGCTGAAGGAGCAATGCTGCATAAAGATTTCGACAGTCAGTTAATGAGGAGATAAAGTCTAGTGTAAAGGAGACGCACCCCAGGCGAATCTTGAGTTAGGACGACAGAGTTGTTGAAACCTTTCGACATCTTCTTCGCGCTGGCGGGACGATCTCTTGTTAAGAGAAAACGAAGGTTTAATTGAGTTGAAGTGCTTACGAAGAAAGAGGGGTAACCGGGTCTGTAATGAGATATCATCAGTAGCGCTTTTCACAAACGACAGACATTCATCCCACCTGCAGTATTCCCAATAACCAAAATCGGATGACTAGTATTCGCAACGAACGGTCCCTTAAAGGACGCTGCAGGACTCTTCTTCGGCCACCCCCTACACCCAACGAACGGGTTCAACATTCATCAGTAAATCACACATCCAACCACCACTACCACCAAAAGAAAGATCCACTCACAAACAACTCAACCGAGCCCACGCCCAAACATCCGCCCACTCCGACTTCTCACTCAACTCTTCAAAATACGCCTGCGACTCCTCCAAACTCTCGGGTACTTTCTCACCATCCGTGCACAGAATAGCCACAAGCGAATCTCGCACGGAGGCAAACTCGAGTTCCTCAGAAGGGTCGCAAGAGCATTGGAACGGTGGTGCAGCGAGGAGTGTGAAGAATGGCTCGGGATCGCCTTGCGCCAACTTGGCCAATACCTCTGCGAGAGCTGAGAAACCTCCGTAGGGGCTATAGAGTATACTGAAGACTATCGCTCGGAACTTGGCATAGTCCAGAATACCGTAGTACGTCCGGCTGCCTTCCTTCTCGGTGTACACAGGTAAAGGACGGCGTCGAAGTTCGTCCGCGAGGCGGGTGAGGTTTCGCTTGATATCAGATGGGTCGGGGGCGTGGAACGCGCAGCGGTCAGGTCCGGCGGCTGCGCAGCTGGTGTAAAAATGCTCCATGACTTTGGATGCATCTTCGAGGTTGGTCTTCCATCCGGCTGTCAGAGGAAACGGTTAACCGCGAGAGCTAGGCGGTGGTGGAGTGGAGCGCACTGGCATAATAGTCCTCTGCATCCATGACGCCGTCGATGATCATACGTTCAATCTTATCCTGTTCAGGCGTTTAGCTACGCACTGGACCGTCGAAGAGGCAGCTCACTCACAGGGAACATCGTCGCGAAGGTCGCACCAAGGACACTCCCATACCTGCACAGTCCAATCAGCAACCCCATTTCCGCCGCACAACAGACAGCACATACGAGAATCCCCAATACTGCAACTTCTCCCTCCCGTACTTCTCCGCAATCCGAAGCATATCGCGAGCAGTGTTAGGGGTGTTGATGTGCTGAAGGTAATCATCTTCATTATGCGCAGCCGCCAATTTTCCAATGACGTGACCTGCAGCCCACGTCCTCGCAATGCCTTCAATCGTATCATTCTTGATCGCAGCATGTCCAAGACGGGAATCGGTGAAGAATGCTCGCTCAGCGTCGGTGGAGAAGAACGATGCGCGAGGAGTAGAACGGGCGACCCCTGTATGATCAAAACCGTACAATACGCAGTAAGAAAGTCGAACAGGGAGGAGATTGCAGGTTTACCCACCTCTCGGGTCAAACGCTACAATGTCGAACTGTGGACCAATGACAATACTCAGCGCCTGACCGAGAATACGGAGGAAATCAACTCCACTCCCTCCAGGTCCACCTGGGTTCAACAAGATAGGACCCCTGTAGAACCTTGAGGTCGGAGGAAGCCATGCACGTCTGCGAGCAATCGCAATGGCTGCCTGAGCACCTTCTGGATCTGAGTAGTCCAGAGGAACTTCCAATCGAGCGCACTGAAGACCAGGGTAACAGTCATGCCAGAGAAGGTCTTTGCTGGGTATGATCTGTTCGGAGGGACGTCAGAGAGTTGATTTTGAAGAGGCCGCTGGAAGATGACCTCACCGAGTTCCAGGAGAAGGTACCTGAGCTCGAGCGCGACTGGCCGACATTGAATTCTATGCCCGCATAATCGTAGCCTGTGAGTCTGACGCCCGACCAGAACCAAAGCCCAATGAGCGCTATGAGGGGCAACGTGGTGACCAGTGTCCTTCCTCTCGCCATGGTTTGCTAGAGTGAGGGAAGGAAGAAGAAGAAAGAACTTGGGCGTCCGCAGCTATAAAGGGGTTCTTGATATATATCATCTTCATTGGAGAGGCTAGAGCACAGTGATGGTAGCCTGAGAAAAAAGGCTCCGGACCAGGGTCAGTGGTCACATTGTCACCGCTCGAAGCCCCGCAGTCTACACAGGGGTGCATCAGAGTCCCAATGGCTTAATCAGGGATTGTGGGGCTTGTGTCTTTGGGTGATCAAGAGAGCGACGTTCAATGCTGGTGCTACAATTGCAAGAGTTGGGACGAAGCGACGTCACCATCCGCCAACGCATCCAAAATCGAATTGATCTCCGACCGAAATACACCGGCAACTGGGCGGCTGGCCGTGATAGGCGCCCAAGATCTCCCCAGGAGTCCAGGACAACTTCGAAACAGCGCAGTACGATCAATAAAATTAAGCCATATCGGCTCGCTATGACGGAAAAAACAGCGTAGACGGAAAGAGGTCACAATTCAGCCATTCAGACGTAGAGAAAGAGGCGAGCTCAGATCCTCAAAGGACCATAGGCATGACGAGCCGCAGCCTCCTTCGAGAGCTTCTCAACAGCATCCATCCATTGCTCAACATCCACACCCTCCAATCCAGAAGCACCGCTGAAACTGTCCTCGACGTCCCTGCGAGACCTCCTAGCAAGACCACCTGGGAAAGGCGAGCCAATGACATCGCAGACAGTGTCGGGTGCAGGAAGAGATCCGTTGATGAAGTACTCGCGGATGGCGAGTTGCGTGCAGAAAGAGGTCGCTCCGAGGGACGTGTGCTAATGAGTAGTATGTTAGCATGACTTAATGGGAAGAGCGAAGTTGAACATACCCCGGGAGCATCTTGAGTAAGGACCACGGAGCCGTTGAAGCCCTGGGAGACCTTGTTTGCACTGATTATGTGGTCAGTCGGCAAATGGCGCGCCAAAAAGACATCGGTCTCACTTGGCGAGAGGGGTGACAGGATCTGAAGAAGCAACTATTGAGTCGCACGTATTCGGAAGTCCAATCATCCAACGACGTACCAGCAGTGCTTCCTATGAACAAAATCGGATGGCTAGTATTTGCAGCGTACGGGCCCTCAAACGAAGCCGCGGGCGTTTTCTTCGGCCACCCACTTCAACAACAAAACACACCCCTCAACACATATACGAGACGAAACCAAAGAGACAGCACTCACAGACAACTCAACCTCATCCAAGCCCAAACACCTGCCCACTCCGACTTGGCACTCAACCCCGCAAACGCCGTCTGTGTATCACCAAGTCCCTCCGGAACCTTCGCACCATCAGTGCACAAAACAGCCGCCGTCCCCTCCGTAACAGCCTGCATCTCCTCCTCCTCTCCCCCAGCAGCATCACAATCACACCGGAACGGCTGAGCCCCGTCGAAAGCAAAGAACGGCTCCGGATTGCCATCCGCCAACTGCGCGAGTACCTCAGCCAATGGCGCAAACGAGCTGAAAGGACTGTAGAGCGCGTAGAACACGGCTGTCTGGAATTTGGAATAATCGAGGAGACCGTAGGTTGGGGCGCCAGATGTGCTGGTGGTGTACACGGGGATAGGCTCGTTGCGGATTTGGTTGGCGAGTTGGTAGAAGGAGGCTTTGATGTCGGCGGCGCTGGGTTGGTGGAAGGCGCAGCCTGAGGGACCGGCGGCTGCACAACCTGTAAAGAATTGTTCGAGGACGTTGTCTGCGTCTTGGAGGTTGTCTCCCCATGCAACTAGAGAGCATAGTTAGCGATGGTCGTGAGGATATACATGGCCATCATACCGGTATAGTGGTCGTCCAAGTCTACCACTCCGTCGAGGACCATACGCTCAACCTTGTCCTGTGAATGCACTGTTAGCAATACGTTTCTAATAATAAGAAATATGACAACTCACAGGGAACATAGTCGCAAACGTAGCTCCCAAAACACTGCCATACCTGTAGAACAATTCCTTGTCAATACCCCATTTACTCTCCAAAAAACACCAAAACAACATACGAAATCCCCCAATACTTCAACTTCTCCTCCCCATACCTCTCCAAAATCCTCACCATATCTCTCGCAGTATTAGGCGTATTAATATACTGCAAATAATCCCCCTCCTCCTCATCATGCGCTTTCGCCAACTTGCCAATAACGTGCCCGATCCCCCAGGCTTTTGCGACACCTTCGCCGGTTCCGTTCACCATCTGGCTGAGATACGCGTTACCGAAGAATGCGCGCTCGGCTTCGGTTGCGAAGATGGAAGCGCGGGGAGTTGAACGGGCGATGCCTGTATCAAGGTGAAGTCGCTCGTTATCAGATACAACGTCGTCTCGGATATTACAGCTTGCTCGACGAAACAAGAAGGCCGATCCAGGACGTACCTCGCGGATCAAACCCAACAAGATCGAATTGCGGACCAAGTCCCATCGCCAATAAGTCCCCCAACCCAAGGACGAACTCGACACCACTCTGCCCAGGGCCTCCAGGGTTGAACAAGATAGGCCCTTTATAATCCGCTGAAGACGTTGGTACGCCAGCTGGTTTACGCGTCAAGGCGATAACGGCTTGAGGACCTGTCGGGTTGTCGTAGTCCAACGGAACTTCCAAGCGCGCGCACTCGAATGTGGAATAGCATTCGTGCCAGGTAAGATTCTGGCTGGGTGTAATCTGGGGTATAGATGGAATGTAAGGCCTTCGTTGAGTGAGGAGGAAGACGAATATCGTACCGAGTTCCATGAGAACGACTGCCCCAGTGCGATAGTTGGCAACAAAGAGAGGAACAAAGTGACAAGTGCTCGAGTGCTTCCCTTCATCTCTGCAGAGACAAGTAAAAACGGAATGGAGGACAGTTGGAGAAAGGGAAGACACTGGCAAGGAGCTATTAAATATCCCTAAACTGAGCAACGAGCCCATCTTATGTACCCTTGCGCATGCTTTACAAACGTGCCTGGACTCTGATGGTTCAGGGAAGCCGAAGCGCTCAGGCGCTTCTGAAACGACCAAGCAGTGATACCGCCGTAATCCCTCTCGACGGGGGTTCGGGCGTCGGGGCCATTCGGGTAACACAGAACAAACAAGGCGAGTATTCCTCCGAATTTAAGTTGAACTTACCCAACGACTCTCATCTGCGAGTAACCATCCAGCCAAATTTCATTCGGAATTCCTCTTTTCGCCGTTCGCAGTTCACACAGCTAAAGTTCAAACTCGGAGTAGTAGACGGCACGCAACGGCACCCAAAGATCTCACTCCCAGCCTTATCTGATAATCCCACCTAGACATTGCATCCTCCTACTCCCATTTGGGAAATCCATGATGCTATCATTCACCAGGATTCTCCCTTCCCTACCGTCTCTGGCGCCCAACGACTTCTGAAACGCGCATGTCCTACTTACTGGAGTCAGGAATAACAGTAGATTAACAACGGACTCGTGCCTCACGACCAGACCTCACAACCCACATTGCACAAAGATCGCGTACCTCACATGTTGTATTGGTCGAGGTCGGTGACTTGAAATCACATCATTCAAACCAGCTAAGGGACGTCGTACAACTGTGCGAATGCCTTGGGATTTTCGAAGCGTATATGTAATCATGAAACCCTTCCGATCCTCGTTTGCTAAGAGCTTGAAAGTTGCACCGAAGGACATCCATTGGCATCAACTTCAATCACGACCCCTCGCGAAACTTTGGTGTGTTCCGAAAGCGGCGGAACACATACCAAACCGGGAGGGTGGCTGTGCACCGAGACGCCTCATGGCAGGCCTAGGGGGAGCAAAGTTCAAACACCGTCGCCTCCATCCAGACTCGAGACGATGACTGAACTTAGAACGCTCTGCGAGCGGGAGTCTTCCATGAAATCCGAACCCACTGGAAGAGTCGCTGAGTGATTGTCATCTGGATCCAAGTACTAGGTTACACAGTACACCTGTCTTAACAAACCTCTCTCAACCCGCCATCACAAAGGTCCATACACCCGCCTCCCAGCAGCCTCCTTCGCCAACTTCTCAACAGCTTCCATCCACTGCTCCACATCGACTCCTTCCAAGCTTCCTCTAACAGCGAGTCTTTCTTTTACTTCGTCCCTCTTTGCTTTTCTATCCCTCTTCGCCCGAGCCACGTCTTCCATCCCTCCATCCTCATCCCCATCCCCACCAGCCGCCGGAGAACCATCACCCTCCCCCTCCCCATCCCCATCACCATCACCACTCTCACCAAACGGCCAAACAGAACCAGGAAACAACGAACCCACAACCTCACACACAGTTCCAGGCTGTGGCATCGTGCCGTTGACGAAATACTTCCGGATATGCAGTTGGGTGCAGAACGAGGTGGCGGCTAGGGATGCGTGCTGAACGGAAATAAACAAAAAAAAAAAAAAGAGGGTCGTGTCAGCGACTGCAAGTACGGCGTGTATGACATTAAACGACTCGAGTGTGTGTAATTTTACAGAGCTCGAGCTCGGACTCACCCCCGGAGAATCCTGAGTGAGGACAACGGCCCAACCTGGGAACCCTTGGGATACCTTATGCGCACTGTAAAACGAGGAACACTCAGTACCCAGTACTTCTTAACTGTTCGGAGACGACGTACTGGGCGAGAGGCGTAACAGGGTCTAGTATCCACATCACAGTGAATCAAGTCATTACGCGTTCGGGATTGAAGGGAATAATTTAAGTGGGGAGGGGGACGTACCAGCAGTATTCCCAATGAACAAAATCGGATGACTCGTATTAGCCACAAACGGTCCTTCAAAATCAGGCTTGCCGGGTATCTTCCTCGGCCATCCCCTGTATATAGAAAAAAATCAAATCAATAAAATTAGATCCAGCACTTTCCTATCACCACTTCCGCCACATCCCCAGCCCAAGAGTCCAAGAAACGGCAACAACAACAACAACAAAAGAGGGGAGACTCACAGACAATTCAACCTCGCACCAGCCCACACACCCGCCCACTCCCTCCACCTCCCCTCACCACCACCGCTAAACGCCTCAAACGCCCTCCGCGTCTCCTCCAAACCCCCACCCCCACCCCACCCCGCTGCATCCGCACACTCGACAGCCATCCGGCCCTCCACCACCTCCTCCCCCTCCCCCACCTCCTCCTCCTCCCCGTCCTCCCACCGATCACACTCGCATTGAAACCCCCTCGAACCGTCCATCGCAAAAAACGTATCCGGGTGACCATCCAAAAGGTCCTTCAAAGCTCGCGCATAGAAGCTATACGCCAGATAGGGAAAGTACAACCCCATCAACATCACACTCTGGAACTTTGAGTGGTCGACGAGCCCGTAGATCGGGCCTCCCCAGAGACTTTCCGTATGCACCGCGATAGGTTCATGTTTTATCCGATCAGCGAGGTCGTAGTACCGCGCCTTGATGGCGGACGCGTCGGGGTCGTGGAGAGCGCAGTTTTTTGGGGACGCGGAGGCTGCGCAGCCTTGGAAGAAGTGATCTAGAGCGGAGGAGGCGTCTTGCAGCTCGCTGCCCCAGATCCCTTTTGATAAAAAAAAATTATGTTAAAAAGACAGGTGCGCGGTTGGTTAGCGTTGGCTCTTTCTAAAAGAAAAAAAAAAAAAGAGATATCGGTTGCCAAGAGAGAGGTTACGTACCGTTGTACCAGTTCTCGATGTCGACGACGCCGTCGAGGACCATACGCTCGACGTTGTCCTGTACACAATACACACAGACACACCCCGTCGTCATCCAAAGCTTTGCGAGTGATCTTAGATATAGGTTACGCACCGGGAACATAGCAGCAAACGTCGCACCCAGCACAGTGCCATACCTAGCCCACCAAATCCAGATCAGTACGAGTCGCACAGCAGCCTCTCGACTCTCGAGGAAGAGAGAGAGCGCCTCGGATAGATAGGTAGATAGAGAGAAATGAATCGAAATAAAAACCTAAAACCACTCACGAGAACCCCCAATACTGTATCTTCTCCCTCCCAAACGCACGCACAATCCTCAACATATCTCGAGCCGTATTGGGTGTATTGATGTACTCCAAATACCCTCCTTCTTCCTCATCATGCGCTTGAGCCAGTTTTCCAATGACGTGTCCCACCCCCCACGCCCTCTCCACACCCTCCCCACTCGCATTGACGATCCGGTCAAAGTGCGCCTGTTGGAAGAACGCGCGTTCGGCGGGGGTGGGGAAGATCGTTGTCCGGGGTGTCGATCGAGCTATACCTAAGGTAGTCAAGTAAGTACTAAGTACCAGTAGTCTAGTAAATACTACATAGGTACTTGTCGACGATCGATTAGACGTATGTACGTACCTCGTGGATCAAACCCGACGATATCAAACCCAGACCCGAGCGTCTGGGCTAGGTGGTCCCCCAACCCCAAAACGAACGCAACACCACTCTGCCCAGGCCCACCCGGATTGAACAAGACGGGTCCTTTGTATTCCTTCGAGTTAGGCAGGACACTGGCTGGCTTGCGGACTAGAGCTATGGCTGCTTGACTGCCGGTAGGATTATCGAAGTCCAAAGGAACCTCGAGGCGAGCACACTGGAAGGATGAGTAGCATGGATGCCAGGTTAGGTTTTCTGTCGGTGGGATCTGGAGAAGATTGAAGGAAGAGTTGTAGTACAAGTGTGAGTGGTTTGGTTGATGGAAGAGGAGGAGGAGAGAGGGAACGAGGGAGGGAACGTACAGAGTGCCAGGAGAATGCGTAGGCTGGTGCAACTATCGTCGACATGCCGAGGGCGAGGAAGAGGGTGAGAAACGCGGGCGCGCGGCTACGCTTCATAATGTAAAGTGGATGTAACAATGGTAGCTGGAAAGGAGAAATCACAGTCTAATGAAAGACAAGGGCACCTCCATATGTGTATATATACCTCTGCAGAATCCAAATCTCAACGTCTACAGGTGGCCCCATGATGATGCGAAATCGTCCCAAGAAACCCCCGTCCGCAGCAACTCTGAAAGCAGCATCCAGAGTAAAAAAAATGCTGTAAAAGCTCTTAAAGGGCCAAGCATCCAACACCTCGTAGACGATGGGGTCGACACCGCGCGTAATTGCAGTTGGGCGCTCCTATCCCCGTTTCATCTGGATCTTCTCCCCGCCCGGCGTCAATCGAGTGAGTATGCGCAGCAAAAAGTAACGCTGAAGCGCCGATCTTATTCCACACGCCGGATTCATCGTCCCAGAGCTACAGCCTTAGCCTACAGGCACGCGTATGGGGTGCATGGTTGTCAGAATCCAATCATGTCGACAGGGTATACTAGTCCAGTAGCACTCCCAATTGCAAGGCCGTACGGAGCACGAGAGACGGCGTTCAGCGGGTACTTTGTTGGACGGACGTAGCGGGCGCTGAGGCGAGCAGTAAGGAAGCCAGTCACAATGAAGTTCGCTTCGGGATGCTGCGACGTTAAAGCTGGGGACAAGCTTAGGGATCCTTATCGTGGGGCATTTGCAGGTCGGCAGGGTCTGGAGGGTGTTGGTTCAGGGCCAGGCTGAACTTCGGCTAGGCTGAGCTTCGCGGCTGGGATGAGGATGATTCGGTCTTGACTATGTAGATTGCATAGGAATAATCGGTTCGTCATGAGTAAAAAATTCGTTGAGACGCGACATTGTCCTAGAGCCTGAGGCGGGCACCACAGTGGCGGTCGAGGACCAAGAAACGACTGGGCAAAAGTTGGGCGAAGGCCAAACAGAGACCCAAACATCAATCCAGCCCCTGTCCAAAGCCTTCCTCGAAACCTTCTCTCCCTAACCCCCTACACTTGAATTCAGGACATCAAATGCCCTTCCTACAGAATAATTACACATATGGAAGAAAAGTTGAGACTTGGAATGCGCAGAGTTGTTATCTGCAAGGTCCGGTGTGGACAAGCGAGACCCGCTGTCCATGCGGCAACCTAAGCACGCACGGTAATCACCCCAATAACAATCCATTTATGTAACCCTTCTTCTCTCCACCACCACCACACCCCTTCCCTCTTCTTCACTTCCACCCCAGCCCACACAATGTCCTCCCTAACACCCGAAGCCCCCAAACCCCCCTGCGCCCCACCCCAGCCCGCCAACGCCTCCAACACCAACCTCGCCCACCTCAACCCCCTCCCGCCCAGCGTCTTCACCCTCCCGCAGACCGCCCAACTCGAAGCTCTGTATACGATCATCAGGGACAAGGAAACCTCCCGCGGCGACTTTTTGTTCTACTCGGATAGGATTATCAGGCTTTTGGTGGAGGAGGGGTTGAATCATTTGCCGGTTGTGAAGAGGACGGTTGAGACGCCTACGGTGAGTGCTGGTGCTCGAGTGTTTGAGTGGACGGGGAGGATTGGAAGGGTGGCATGGGCTAAGCTGATATATCTGGAATGTAGGGAGCAACATACGAAGGCGTCGGCTTCGAAGGCAAGATATGCGGTGTCTCTATTCTTCGTGCGGGAGAGGCGATGGAAGCCGGTCTAAGGGAGGTGTGTCGGAGTGTTAGGATAGGCAAGATCCTCATTCAGCGGGTGCGTCCCCTTATTCCCCGTCCCCTCAAACCAAATTCCTAACAGAACATGGATTGGATAGGACGAAGAAACGACCCAACCAAAACTCTTCTACTCCAAGGTACACGCCACGATCTCTTCACCAAAGCTACGTTGCTCAACGATGACAGTTCCCACCCGATATCGCATCGCGCTACGTCCTCCTGCTCGATCCTATGCTCGGTACACCGCGTTCCTCCCTCATCCTCCTCGATCCATTTAACTAACCAACATGCACACAGCAACGGGCGGATCAGCAATCAAAGCCGTCGAAGTGCTCATCGAACACGGTGTCCCAGAAGAACGCATCATCTTTATCAACCTGGTGCGTGCGCCACATCCATCTCCGTGCACTATCCTTATCATTATCATTAACCCTCGTAGATCTCCTCACCAGAAGGCCTCACAGCCTTCACATCGCGCTTCCCGTCGCTCAAAGTGGTGCGTACCCTCCACCCATCCCTATAGCCTTTGCATCCTCACCTGAATCTCGCGACGCGCTTTACAGATCACAGGCTGGATCGACCAAGGCCTCAACGAAAAAGCATACATCATCCCCGGATTGGGAGATTTCGGCGAGAGGAGGTGCGTCTTTTACCGTCCTCGATTGTCTTCCGCTTGTCTCACTCGCGTGCGTTTGCAGGTACTGCACATAAAGGCAGAATCGATTAGGGCTCTGTTCTTCCAAGTCTCGGTGTATTATTTCTTGGATATGGATACGGATTTGGGTTTTTCCGGGTTCAAATTCAAAGCTCCCAGCTGTGCACTTTCGTCTCGTTCTCGGTGGTAAGCAACGCAGATCTTACACAGTGTACTGACCATACTAGCCAGTACTCCGGTACACAGCAAGCGAATTCAAAACGAATACATACATACTTCACATTGCATAAATGCAGCAAAAAGACGCGAGGCCACGATGACAGTCATGACCATTCAATTCAACCCACTCTTCCGCTCATTTCACGCAGTTCTCTCCTCAGATCTAACCTCGTCCATCCGGATCCACAGGCCTCCCTGTACAAAGAAAGAGATGTCAGTTCGGCGCTCAATCCCCATGCCCCACTCCCCTATCTTCAATCCTCGATTTTTTCTCCTCCAGCATTCCAGGATCGGAACACATCCCCTACGTCCAGAACAAAAAACCCCATCCCCCACATCCACCACACAACCCCCATCCCCCACCCCCTCCAAAAAACCAAAAAACCAAAATCCTAACTCACCTTGACATACAACGTCAAATGCGAACTAGGCCACACCTTCTCCCTCTCAACCACCCTCCCCCCAAACCTCCCTCTATCTTCCCTCCAATGTTTCGGGGGTTTCGTGTCCTCAGTCATCGCATCCTCCGCCAAACGGAAGTTCGTAAACTGCTGGATGAGCCGGATGAGGAAGAAGGATGTTTCGTGGTAGGCGAACTGTTTCGACTGGTTGTTAGTATGCCAACTCTAAATTTTATCGCATTCTGAAGTTTGAACACGCACCTGTTGCCCTAGACAAATCCTCGGACCCGCATTGAACGGACAGAAGATGTACGGGTTGGGTATGAGGTACTTTTGGAGACGGGAGTCGATGAAGCGGTCGGGGTCGAATTCTTCGGCTGGGTTGGATGATGTACGCGGGTTGCCGCCCGTAAGGGTTTCGGTAGGGTCGTGAAGTGGTCAGGTTGGATGGGGTGGGCCAGTGACAACGGAGAGTGGGTCAGCGGCAGTGCGAGGTGGGCCAATTAGAAGGCGGGTCCGCCAATGATAACCGACGAGGATGACGAAGACGAAGACGAGTCAATCAGAACGCCCCTGCCACCCCAAAGAAATGTCCAAGCCACATACCATCAGGCCCCCACAAATCCTTCCTCCTCTGCATATACATCACCCCATACAGAATCCGCGTCGAAGCTGGGATATAATGTTTCTTAACCTCCCCTTCGGGCGTTTTGGATTCCCAGATCGTTTCGTTTACTGATACACTGCATAGCGCGAATTCATGGCCAGTCAGGAATTTAGTTGTGAAGAGGATGTCATGAGGAGGGGTAGGTGGAGATAAGACCCTAGAGGACGTACCGACTATCAAACGGTCTACATACATAGCAGACAAACGGAAATCAGCCTTCGTCTTGGAGGCGGCGGGAGAGGAGTGGAAGGAAGCCGAACGTACACAGGAGGGTACAACCTCAGAACCTCTGTTCATTCAAACACCAGTACCGTTCATCCAAACGCCAGTCAGTAACCTTCAAGCCTGACGAATCAATGATATCCAACGTGGACCATGCTACGCACCATTAACAAACGCCCTTAGATACTTCAACTCTTTCATATCCTCATAATCCGGTCTCCTACTGTACCCCACTTTCGATATAACCTCGTTGCGGAGCTTGGACTCGACGTGTGGGTGTTGGGTGAGTGCGTAGAGGGCGAATGTTAGGAGTGTAGCTGACTGAGTAGGAGTTGATAATTGGCCGGGTGTTTGAAGGTTGGGATGATAATAGGTGTTACGAGCATCCGAGGGTGAGGTGTCAGTTTGGATACGAATTGGAAGAATGTGACGTACGGTATCTCGACCTGCTACGAGGAGGTTGACGAGCTAGATATGAGACGGTATCCATCGACGATCAATAGCCGCTCGTTGAATGAACGGGCGCCTATCTCACCTCGTCCTTTAATATCTTCCGATCTAGACAAGATAAAATCGCAAGATCGACATCAGTGATAGCCTTTCAGCGAGATCAGACGGATGTACCCTGCGTAGTTCGCACAAGATGCTGCAAAAGCGTCACGTCCTCCTTACCCTCCCTCTCCCTCTCCCCTTCCCCCTCCGCCTTTCCACTGTTACCCTTCTCCCCAATCCCCAAATTCAACTTACGCTCCTCCTCCTCCTCCCACTCCCTAACACCCCTCTCCAACACCGCCTCCACAAACCCATCCACAATACCCCGTTCCTTCCTAACCTTATCCCCCCAAAACTCTGCTAGAGCCCACTGCTCCCCCAGCCGCGTACGGAAGGCGGAGCGGAGTTGAGCAGATTGGAAGGCGTGTACGAATGTGTTTGAGGGGTGGGTTTCGAAGGTGTGGTTTTGGTTGTGACTTTTGTTGGAGGAAGCAGAAGAAGGGGGAGAGGAAGGGAGGGGTTGGGACGCAGCAGTGCCAGAAGGTGGGTAAGCCAATCCTGCTTCCAGCGAACGCACGTCGTTGCCGAAGAGAAAGCTCGATGCAGAGTCGAGTGTGAACCGCGCTGCCAGGTCCTACATATCCAAGCGTCATAAATCAATCGTTCGATACCCAGAATTCAATACCCATTAACGTCCGACGTTCACTACCCATCAGCGCACATACGCACCTGGAAATCAATAGGATACCCCTCCCGCAACCGCCCCCGAGCTAGGTGGAGAGCTTCCTCGGCGTGCGTGTCGAACGTTTCAAAGTCGCTGATACGTTCGCGGGTGAAGAACGGGCGGGTCATTGAGCGGTGGAATCTGAATTTCGTAAATCCTTAGGTTTAACCTAGTGCTCTTTTTTTAAGGTAGGGGTGGAGAGGAGACGTACTTCCACATCTCCCCTACAATATGCATTCCGTCGAACGATGAGTTACGGGAAGATGAGACGGGTATGGTAGGGTAGAGGGGACGTACCGTCCGAATTGAACACGCCCACTCCGAGTAGAGAATCCATTTGAGCCTTGAATATATCGCCTACACGGAAGGTAGCGGCACATAATAGACGATTTGGGGTAGTGAGTTTCCTTCTGGGTCTAATATCCCCGCCTCAATGATAGGGTGGAAGGAGAGAAGCGTACCTTTGATGAAGTTCTCGAATTGCGTCGCTAGGATGGCCTATGATTGCAAGTAAGTACCACGAAATGTCGTCAGTTGACCGCCGAATGGAGCTTGAAGTTCTCGAGAGAAAGAGAAGGAGTGGAGGCTTGGAGGCTAACCTTGATATGATCAGGTTCGAAGGTGATAATCTGTCCGTTCGCAAGAAATTAGAATGAGTAAGAGATGGGCTTATAACGTTCCAGTGAGAGGCGGGAGGTAGAGGTCTCACCCTACTATCAGTAGGCGCACGGAGCTGAAACGTATTCCCATACTCCTTCATCCAATCGAGGAAGACCTCCGCTACACAGAATCCATTAGCGACCTCCTCAACACTAAAAACTCCTCTCCCAATCTCGAAGCGGGATTCCGTCCCAGGCTTGGAGAAGTGGAATCCCGCTTCAAGCTCCACCGCGTACTCGGACTTGTGCACTCACCCGGATAACCATCCCTAAAACTCCTCATAACCTCCTTCATAACGCCTACTCCAAGCACACTAGGCCACGCCTCCCCAACAGCGGGCACAACCTCCGCACCCACCGCCCTCGCCCTCCTCGCCTCTCGCCAGAATCGTGTATAGCGGTGGACCGCGATCAGGGTTGAGGTTAGGATGCAGAAGAGGGGGAACTTGATCCATAGCGAGGCTGAGGCTGGGCTGCCAGTGGGTAGAGCGTGGTGAGATTGGTATATTGAATTTGACAGCGAGTTTGAGAGAGCGTTGGTTGCGTAGATGAGGAAGGCGAGGATGGGGAGGGTGGGTTTGCTGAGGAGGTAGCGCGGGCCTGGTGGGAGGCGCGAGAGGACGCGGTCTGTATAGAGGCTAGGAATTGTTATTGCCATTGCTAGCTTCCAGCTTTGGGTTCAGCTTCAGGGAGGAAGTGGAACTGGAGACTAGGGTTCAAATCGATATGGTGCGCCGTCAAGAATAGAAACCTAGTTATAGGCTATTATATAGGAAGTGCGAAGTGCGACCCCACGATCGCCTGATTGGTTCATCGAATTCGAATTCAGAAGGAAGTCCTATCTGGAACTAGTATTGATTGGAGTTGTGTATCGAGCTTCTCGCACGACGCAGAGCTCCTCATCGGGTCTTGAGCGTAACGGCGGCGAACTTGTCTATCTTTAGTTCTTAAGCACCGAGACATGTAGAGTACATGTTCAAGTGGACATGAGAGTTGAATTATTGAACTTGTCACCGGTGCTCGAAACGCCGGTGTTGAATGCGATTCTTGTCAATCGCCCTGAGAAATCAACTTGGAGTTTATGAGCCTGTAAGGAATGTAATTCGTCACCTGTCACGATTTGTGAGCATACATTTGACGGCACGCACTCGGGCACCTGATTTCAAGGCTCTCCAGTGAAAGCCCGAGGGTTTGTGGGTGCCAGCGCCCCGGTGTCCCGGCTATACGGCCACAGCGGTCTGCAGAGGAAGCATAGACTGTTGCAGACGCCATGTGCTCACTTCTGTAGAACCTTTCAACTCAATGAAACGATGCTCTTGCGTCATAGAGGTCGGAACCTCGGGGAAGCACCTTGGAAATGGAAATTGATGCCCCTATTTTTGATTGACTGGGCGCGTCTTTGGGAGATAGGGGGGCACACTGGACGCGTCTGGGTTCTCCGGTGATATATAATAAGAGTTTGGGGAGCGCAGATGAGTTTCTGTCCATTCTGTCGGCGACTTCTAACCCAGAGGGAGCCCACAAGAAGGAAGAGTGGATTTGAAATTCTGAGACAGAAGATAGGTTTGGAATGTATATTCTAATAATACTCTTCTATTCTACAGGTCTGTCCACCGTACCGGCTCTTCTTCGCACACAAACGCAGTTACTCCGGCTAAGAGAGAGAGCGCGCTTACTGAAGGGTAATGATGAAGACAATTAGGTGTCGAGTTGCTCGACATCGGGTGGGAAACGGGTCGCAAGAATAGCAACATGTCAGGATGAGGATAATCTGAAAGACAACTGAATCTAGAAGACGTTTGAAGCTAGACAACTTGACATTCTTTAATACGATAACCTGCGTACAAGTGTAAATGTCTCTATTGATATTGCTAAACTTGGAGTATCGAGGACCATTGAATACTCAAGGTGTCAAATTTAAGCTTCTTGTCAGTAGCCGCTCGAGTGATCGCCGTGTGTCGATGTGGTACTATATGGGAGCTCACCAGAGACGTGTATTAATCAAGTCACAGCTGAGACTGGAGAAATAAATTCCGGGATATATTCAGCCTGAGTGCGACGTGAATTCGAAGGACCGACGTTCGAACGGGAGACAGTAGAGACGACCCAGGCACCGCCACATCCCCTCATTTGGAAGGTATCCCGACTTTTCGGGTGATTCCGCGCCCGTCGTTCCTCCACTGGCCCAACAGAATCGCACGTTCTCATGCAGAGTTTCATCGATAGACGCCGCCTTCACCTCTACGCTGAAACACAGACGAGGATCCCCGCATTCCCCCGCCAATGCAGGATCACACTGGAATCTACGCTCGGCTCTAGTCCCAACGGCAACGGCACCAGGCTTGAGCGCTGAGTCGGCTCCCTGGGACGCATTAGGAATCCTAAAACGAGCGCGTGGATGTTGACACTAAAGGTGTGCACCGTGCACAGCTATTTTATCGGCCTAAGAGCTCTTATTTAAGAGCTTTAGGATATTCCGATGGACGGTCTTTTTCACCCGTCCTCTTCCCTCGCTTCTCTGTTGAACTGCGATTCGTGATGAAGAAAAGCATTCGATCGCTTGTTAGTTTGTTCTTTGCGCTGTTAAGCCTGTCGGCGTGCGCACAGGCCCAATCCGAGTCGTTCTCATGGGATTCAGTGCGTCCCTCCATCTCCCCGACTAACACAGCGCTTACAGTTCCAACCAGATCCAACCAACCCAGACCGTCAACCTAACCTGGCACCGCTGCAACTTCGACTTCGAATGCTCCACTCTGGAAGTTCCCTTGGACTATACCAACCCCACAGGACCCAAAGCCTCAATCGCCTTAACGCGCATGCCAGCAAGAGTTCCACGCACCTCGGAGGAGTACAAAGGGCCTATCCTCTTCAACCCCGGGGGGCCGGGGCAAAGTGGAATCGACTTTATCCACACACTTGGGTACTGGCTCGCAATTGAACTTGGTCCTCATTTTGATCTTGTTGGGTTTGATCCGCGAGGTACGTCCCAGTCCGCCAGGATCACACTCACATCTCGAAGTTTGCGTATTGAAGTCCGTCCCCTGTGATCTGACCAATATAAACTTTCAAGGCATCGCCCGTTCCACACCCCGCGTCTCACTCTTCAAAACCCAAGCCGAGCGCACTTTCTTCGAAGAAAACTACTTGAAACAAATGGTCAGCGGTTCCGGAGAAGGCGTGTCTAAAGCATGGGGTCTGGGACATGTCATCGGTAAACTCGCCACAGCGCACAACGCAGAGGAGAACAGGTATTTAGAGCATATAAATACACCCAATACGGCTAGAGATATGTTGAGGATTGTGGAAAGCTTTGGGAGGGAGAAGCTGATGTATTGGGGTATTTCGTGCGTTGTTCTTCTGGTTGTTTTCTTTTGGTGTGTGTGCTTGGGGTTCAAACTGATGTTGGAGCATTAGGTATGGCACTGTTTTAGGCGCGACGTTTGCGACTATGTTCCCCGTAAGCTAACCCCGCTTCAAACCTTGGACCGAAAGGTAACATGTTCTGACTGTAAATGTATAGGACAAGGTCGAACGAATGGTCCTAGACGGCGTCGTCAACATGGACGACTACTACAACCGTGCGTCTCCCCCCTCCCTCCCCTCCTCCCCCTCCCCTTTCCCTCCTCACTCACACAACCCACCAAACTCCCCCAGTCACCTTCAGCGACGACCTCCAAGACGCCCCCACAATCCTCACCCACTTCTTCGACGCCTGCGCATCCGCCGGGCCCTCCACCTGCGCCTTCCACGAGTCCACCCCCTCCGGCATCCAATCCAAATACCTCTCCCTCATCAACCAAATCCGCAACTCACCCATCCCCGTCTATTACCCCAATCGTTTTGATGGGAGGCCGGTCTACGGACTCCTCGACTACTCGAAATTCCAAACCGTCGTTTTTTATTCGTTGTATAGTCCGTATGCCTGGTTTCCGAGGCTGGCAGAGGCGTTGGCGGCGCTACATGACGACCGAAATCCGCAGCCGTTTTTCGAGTTGGGCGGGGCGCGGGCGTTTGAGTGTCCTTGCGAACCAGATCATGAGGACGAACCGGATCGTGGTGTTGTGGTGGAAGGTGCGGCGGTTATCGCATGCAGCGATGGAGCACGAATCCCTCCCGGCTTGGAGGAGATGAAGCAAGCTTTTGCGGAGTTTAGTGCTAAATCAGAGTGGGCGGGTGTATGGGCGTGGGGGCGGATGAGTTGTCTGTGTGTTCCATCCATCCATCCTCTTGGGTTGTGTTGTAATTTTGCTCCATTGACAGGGGATGGCCTAAGAAGACGCCCGGGCCTGCGCTTGAAGGACCGTATGTCGCCAATACGAGCCACCCCATTTTGTTCATCGGGAATACCGCTGGTACGTCCTCAGTTCAATTTCCTCGCGAACCGCTCCCTCAAGTTTGATATTAATTAACGCCTTGGATGCTAGACCCCGTAACCCCACTCGCTCAGTACGCCTCTCCTTTCCCTCCTTCAACAACATCCAAGAGCTAACTAACCACCCATCTCCGATTTACCTCTCCCAGCGCAAAGAAAGTATCCAAAGGATTCCCCGGCTCCGTCGTCCTCACACAAGATGCTCCTGGGGTACGTTGGACACTCTTCATTCATCAAATAAATCTAACCTCGTCTCTAAATCATATTCTAACCCGTAATACCGCATCCCAGCACGGCTCTATGACCACAACCTCATTCTGCACCCAACTCCGCATCCGCGAGTACTTCAACAACGGAACACTGCCAGAAGTTGGAACCGTATGCGACGTTGATGCTTCGCTTTTCCCGAGTGACAACGAGGGTAATAAGAGGAGGAACGAGGGCAATAAAGGGGACAATGTCAGCGAAAGTAATAAGAGGAGGACGAAGAGGGACTTACTTGCCGACTCGCTAAGCGCAACAGGAAGCTTGGAAGGCGTCAATGTAGAACAATGGATGGACGCTGTCGAGAAGATCGCGAAGGAAGCTGCGGCTCGTCGTGTCTATGGTCCTTTGAGGACCTGAATATACTTTAATTACCTGTAAAGACTCCGTAGTTGTATGAATATCGAATACATAGTCTGAATAAGAGATTAAGTACAAATTTGCCTGTAAAGAATGTGAACGGAGCCTTCAGGGCCTAACTCTTCTTCGTCCTGTCTCGTTAGGCGATCGTGTCACGTGAGCTGATCATTGACTGTAGTTTTGCATAGTTGCGTAGTGGAAAGGGTGTAGCAAAGGCTCTCATCAATTGCCGCAAGAACTCACCATACGGCCTAGGGTGCCTGCCGTCAAATCCGCAATCGAGCCGACATTGACAGGAGCGCTAATGGGGAGAAGGGCGCTTAACTTCAGTATTACCTATTAAGGAAAAACCGTCCCTAACACCTGAGGCCATACGATCCCGGAATCCCCCGACCACCTCCCCAACGTTCCCTTCCCTTCACACTCATCACACACACACACAGAGCAGAAATTCGAGAATTATGCAATGTAATGAAAATTATATGCACCTCAAAAATGCTCTACTCTACCATCTAACCACCGCCTACTCATAAAGCTCTTTTTAATCGTTTAGGACTGAGCGACGAAAGCCTTGCCCTTCTCGATGTTCTTCTTGAGCTCAGGGAGGCAGGCCTCGAGGAGCTTCTGTTCCTCAGCAGAGATCTCGCCAATGGGGTGGATCTTGGCAACACCCTCAGTCTAAACATAGCAAGATCAGCGTCCAGGTATATAGAGAATCATGAGAAAGAAAAGACGTACGCCAAGCTCAACGTTGGAGGAGAAGAAGTCGATGCCCTGGCTCTCATAGAGGGGGCTCTTGACAAAGGTGGGGGTGATGACGCCCTTCTCTCCGTTCAAACCACGGAGCAACGAGTTGGTGAACTTGGCACCAGCATAGGCCATGGACAAGGTCGCGCTTCCCGCGCCGTCCTTCGCCTTGACGACTTCATCACCGCCATACTGGATGCGGTGGACGACCTTGCCGTAGGCCTCGCCGGAGATGGTCTTGCCGGTGGGGGACTGGGAGAGGAGGGGCACGATGGTGGGGCCGCTGTGGCCGCCGACGACGGTGATGGGGGTGTCGAGGGGGTTCTTGCCGGTGACCTCGCCGACGAAGCGGGCGGCGCGGACGACGTCGAGGGTGGTCACGCCGAAGACGCGGCGGGGGTCGAACTTGCCTTGCTTCTCGAGGGTGGCGGCGACGATGGGGACGGTGGAGTTGACGGGGTTGGAGATGATGAGGATGTGGGCCTCGGGGGAGACACGGCCGATGGCGGCAGCGAGATCTCGGACGATGGAAGCGTTGGTCTGAGCACAGAGTTAGTTCATTGTAAACTGGGAGAGTTGGGGAAGACTCACGTTGAAGAGATCGTCACGGGTCATCTTGAGAGGATAAATGAGCTTAATGAAGTGGTAAATTAGACACGTGAAGACTTACACCGGGCTGCAGGAAATCGTCAGTTCATGAACACGCGTTAGAATGAGCAGGAATACACACCTTACGGGGGACACCAGCGGGGATGACGACGACCTTGGCACCCTCAAGGGCCTGGTCGAGTTGGTCGGCAGCGTATCCCTTGACCTGTAACACCGAGTTAGCAATCCAACCTGGTTCGGAAACGCGGTGGAAAGGATAGCATACCTCGCTGGCGGTGTCGACGTGGCTCACATCAGCAGCGACACCAGGAGCACCACGGATATCGTAAAGGCTCAAAGAAGAGACCAAAGGATCGCTCTTGAGCAGCAAGGAAAGAGGCTGTCCAATTCCTCCACCAGCACCGAGAACGGCGACACGAGTCTGTCTGACGGCAGAGGTCGAGAAGGAGCGGGCAGAGACAGTCCTGAGAGCAGCACGAGCGAACATTTTTGAGTTTCTGAGAAACCTTTTGGATGAAGAGGAGAAGGTGGTGGTTGTGGAGAAAGGTAGAAAAACCGGTGACACGCCCTATAGAATGCCTCCGTAACTTGTCGGACGAAATTTCGGTCGGAGTCGGCACGTCACAAATGGTTGGGGCAACTGCAGCCGGCCCGTCCCCCCGCCCGACCCTTTTCCTCTGACCTCATCGTTCTCGACGACGAGCTCGTCACAAATGGCGACAGACTTTTGGGCTAGCTCCCACTAGTAAGGTCGAGCGTCTAGTATCCAATAAAAGACAGTTCTGACTAGGTTATAGCACGCGATGGATTGTAAACCGGGCGGTACTCAAGCAGGCACGCGCAGACGACCTCGTCTACGTGTCCGACCCTGAACATCTAGACTTTTTGGCCATCTATTTCGCCAACAGTGAGCATCAATATCCTCCCCAGAAGAATTTAGCTGAGCCACGCTCCAGTTATCACCAGGTTGGGGAAGAAATTACAACTAAGGCAGCGAGTGATTGCGACCGCTACCGTCTTCTTCAGGCGATTCTACCTCAAGAACGCTTATTGTGAGACTGAACCGTTCTTGGTCATCTCAGCCTGCATCTATGTCGCTGCTAAGGCTGAGGAATCACCCGTGCACATCAAGAACGTGATCGCAGAGTCGAGGAGTCTTTTCAGCCGTACGTCCCTCGTAGCTAACCACCAGCGCTTAAAGTTGATTCGCCTCCAGACCACTATGGCGTCAAGAACTTTCCCTCTGACAACTCCAAGCTAGCAGAGATGGAATTCTATCTCGTCGACGATCTCGAAAGCGACCTCGTGGTGTACCATCCATATCGCACACTGCTCGCCCTATGCAGAACGTCTTCTGGCGAGGACTCTGATGGTGAGGAGGGCGAAGAAGGAGAAGAGGAAGAAGCTGGCGAGTTGGGTGGCAACCACGGTGCTGGTGTGGGTATAGACAAAGGATCGCGGTACTGGGGAACAGGCGAAGGAAAACTCGTCCTGTCCAAAGAAGCCCTTCAAATAGCCTGGTTAGCAATCTCCTATCATAAACCAATGAGACCCAACTAAGTTAACCCCTTTCAGGTCTATCATTAACGATACCTACCGTTCTGAACTTTGCCTTCTCTACCCCCCGCACCTTATCGCCATCGCCGCACTCTACCTTACGTTCATCCTCCACCCGCCAGATCGCACATCTAGCACCGACACCGCTGATAGCCACGAGGACGAGAAACGCCAGCCCCGCCGGTCTTCCCGACAAGCCCACCACCACCACGCACCCAAACCACCCGCCAAAAATCCCGACCCCATCACCTTCCTCGCCCAACTCAACGTCTCCCTGCCTCTAGTCGCCACCATCGCCCAAGAAATCATCTCGCTCTACACGCTATGGGAACGATACAAGGAGGACGGTGCCGCTGATGCACCCGTCGCCGGTCTAGCGAGCAGCTCGAGCAAGAAGAGTATAGCTTCCCGCTCGAGCAGCCATACCGATCTCAAAGCTGGTCTCTTATCATCGAAAGGCAAACCCCGGAGCGGGGTACACGTCACCTCCGTCTCCAGCGAAACAACCATCCCCGTCAGGAGCTCCCTGGAACGCGAGTCCCAGTCTGCACTCGCGCTCCCCTCCGCACCAGCGCCAGCGCCGATAACCACCGCCTTCCTCTCCCAGATCCTCCTGGACATGCGGGAGTCGCGGCTACTCGATCTGGCGTATGGAGGTGAAGGCGAGTTGTTGGGTTTGCCCCCCAGTATGGCGAGTTCGGTGGCGCTGCCGGGGCCGGGTGGTGTACCACTTGGTGGGCTGCATGCGCATGATCAGGGTTCGGGGACGTCGTCTGCTGCTTCGTCGGTTATGACTGGGGTGTCGATGAATCAGCAGTATCACCTTAATAGGGTGTTGGGGATGAATGCTTATGGGTGAAAAATCGTAGTTTTGCGTATGGATGTACGTCCTGGATTTTCTTTCGGCTGCTACATCCTGACACCCCTCCCAAAGGTATTATTAGCTCTACAATTCAAGCCAATCAATGTACCTTTAGGTCCGTCCAATTCAAAACCCACAAAGTGATCGCCTCATTAATCACTGTCGTCTCTAGCGCCCATTCACCCCTACCTCAACCTGAAATTATATTTGGGCCCGGTGTTATTGCAAGACTTGCTCCAACTGCGGTATAATCTCGTCCGCGACTACCGAGTGGTTCCCAAGAACCCGAGTAGTGCTAAATCTCCAAGTACCGACCAAGTTAGCAAGCTTCCCGCGGCACGTCTCGATCAGAACGCTCTCTCCCAGGTTCTCTGCACGGTTCCAGTGATCATGAAACCCCCGCAGGGGCAGCCTTAACCTACCGGCGCAGGGAAACGAGCGATATCTCCAGGGATGAGCTGCCAAGAGTGTACTATGTTGCCACATGGTTGGCAGATGTCCCAATCCCTTTGCGATGTCTTCGAGGAAAGTAACCTACGATCTGAACGGTACGTCACTGTCTTTGGACACTAGCTGCTGTTGGTATCAGGATAACGTTTATCTCTCCCCTTCTTAGATGACAAGGTTCACATGGATGTGCGCAGAGAGACTCGTGCGCGCGTTTGGGTGATCTCCTGATCTCCCAGTGGCGGATGCGAATTTCAAGTCGGGTGCGAATCTGAATTTCAAGTTGATGAAGAAGCTACTCCGAACCGAGCAACGTTACTCCAATCTAACTATGTTGGGGGGACGGCGGCTGGGATAAGGGACAACATGTTGCATGTTGCCTCATCCCCGTTTCTGGCGGCTCGAAGATTTCGTGTCTCCACTGAGGTGGGGTCTGCAGGGGTGAACCTTTGAACCGTAACGACTTTGAAGACTTGAAGAGGAGAAGAAGCTATTCTAAGGCACGCCAGTCCAATGCGGACCCTGTGGTTTCTGCGTTTCGCTGCTGTTGGACGGCCGGGACGACCGAGTGCGCAGACTAGAACTCGGCTTAAACTAAGGTCTGGTTAGCCAAACGCCTAACATCTTCTGTCTGAAACTTACTGATCAACACAACAGGGGCTGAAGGGATCATTGATTCACTTGTCACAAGGGTCTGTTTCTGAATCTGTTCAACGCTATCAACGCTACGTACGTATGTACATTCTCGCTTTAAGTATCCCTTCTCGTAAGAGCGAAGGGATCTTTCGTGGTGGCGAACCATCAATGACGGTTTCGTCGGTTTATGTTATGGGTAGCCGTTACAGGGTAACATACATCCATGCTGCGTAGTTGCTGATTCGTATAAAAGACAGAAGGGATTGTGTCATTGTCATCTTTGATTTCTTTTCCGTACGTTTCCACTTACGCCTCTTCAGTAGATCCCCCTGTTCACTGCACCCCGTTGTCCTCACCAGTCGACGACGACTTTGACCTACGACGTCCCCCGTTCGACTTGGCCTTCGGCGGCTTCCACTTGGACTTGGACTGGACTTGGACTTGGACTTTGGCGGGCTTCTAGATCTTCAGATGGATATCGACGCAGAGGAACTTAGGTTGACTGCCTACCATTTGTACGTCGTTGACCATTGGGTTTAGACTGTGTCGTATACATTGGAGGAAGACAGTTCATTGACTCGATTTTATATTCACCTTTGTTAGGCTAGTGGCGAAGTACATCCAAGTTTCGGGCCTCGGGATATTGCTCTATGATCATTGTGCGTCTCGTCCCCTTCATAATCCTCGTCCGCAACGCAACGCTAACGTTAACGCTCACTTCTCCGTTCTGGGTTCTAGTCATAACATTCGACATCGAGGTGCACTCTCTCTCCGAGCACCAAAGGAACGCACTACTCACTCTCCCCACCGTTACTCCACTCCACCTTCCTGCCTAAATGCCTGAATGGATACGACCCCACACCCCCGCTCACAGCTCGAGAAGATCTGGAAACGGAGGGTCTCCCTAGGTTCAGCGTTGTTCCTTGTCAATCGGTATGGAACGCCGCTGCAGTATGTGGCAATTATTAACGGTGAGTACAACTTGAGCTTGAGGGCACATGATGGGGTCCCGTGGTCAATTATATTCATTCATCGACTTTGACTCTACCCAATACAATACGATACTTAGCATTCCATGATCCCCGGTGGACGAAAGAGGTTGGTACGCTTTTACCCCACCACCACCCGCTCCGTCCTCTGTTTGGTAGTACCGGAACTGACGATACCCCTTTTGTTCATATGGAATTCAGCTGTGGGTACTTTGCTTTGGACAGGAACATGACGTCCCCTAACCGTCCCGAACCCACGCTAGATGCGACAAGTACTCCGTTTTCGAAGGAGCGTCGAGTGTTGCCATGGTCGGAAGTGCGTACATTGTTATACCATCAACCATCTCTGTTCCGGCATGGATCATAACCTAACGGACGTGTGCATGAAATGGCAGTTTGCGAGCGTGAGTCTTCACTATCCCTTGATTTTATTTTGTGGTATACGTAATGTCGAATACTAACGAGCCTCACTTCACCGCCGACATGTCTTAGTGGTGATGATACTCCGCGTCTACGCCCTCTACGCCCGGAGTAAACGCGTTCTGGTATTCCTGATGACGCTGTGGACAGCACAGATTGTGCTATCCGCCATTGGTCTGAGTACGGGATTCGGTACGTCCCCGACAGACAGCGATATTGGATGCCTAACGCTGAATCAATTTTGATGATGATGCACTGTTCAGCCATCCCATTACCGCCGGGCTTGGTAGGCTGCATCTACACCGGAACACACCATCTTTTTCGTAAGTTTCAACGCTTATCAAAATCCTCCGATGAGGAGCTGATAGATGATTGGGTGGTTTGGCGGTCGACAAAACAGCCTGTCTCTGGGTTACACCACTCGTAACAGACTCGGTTATCTTTTTCATGACGATCTGGAGAGGAAGGAGGTATCTGACGAGTTTTTCTGGATCACCGTACGTCCATTTTCCTGCCTATCGCAGATTTCAAGTGTATCTGATTAGAGACTTTGGGGATGTGGACGCTTAGGACGAATCATGTCTTCGTACGAGACGGCGCCATTTACTTCCTTGTCATCTTCCTTTCCAACTTGGCCAACACATTAATCTTCTTCGTGAGTCCACTCGTCGCTCTTTCTCATCGCTCCATCTCTTAATTAACCTCTTCTGATATGCATCCAGGTGACGACAAGAGGAGACCTCAAACCCATCGCCGCCTCCTTCAACCAACTCCTAACATCAACAATGATCTCCCGCCTAGTCCTCAACCTCCGCTCAGCAGGTATCCACGAAGACAACCAGCCCCCGGGGTTCACCATCCCCCCAATCTCGCACGACCTCCGCTTCGCAGGTCGTACAACGGCAGCACAAGGTTTAACCGCCATCTCCACTGTGACTGAGGTGACAGAGACGACGGAAGGACAGAAATCGGAAGATATCATGTTGTCGGATTTCTCTCAGGCTCCGGCGATGGATTTCAAGCGCAGTTTTCCTGACCCCGGAGAGGATGTAGAGTTTGATCGGACGAGGTTGGTGGGGAGACCTCGGGCTGTGTAAAATAATGGATGGAATGACATGTAGCCGAGTTAGTACGTGTGTACATCAGCAAACCCGCACGCGTCATGACATTGTACATCTGACCACCTTGTAGAACTTTAAGCTCTCCACATTCGTTCCTATCGGAGTTCCCTGACTTCTTGCGTCTGTATTACCTACGTAGTTTTAGGTTCACTGCGGCCTGTACTGTATGGCCTTTAGATTCCTCCACTGCAAGTGTCAATGATTGAACGGGCCTCTCAACCGGCCAGCGCTGCCTGTCAAAGTTGAGGGTATCACGGTGATCAATTAGCACAACCCTCCCTGTGCATCAAAGGCGACTGGATCCAGGTTACGAACCTGTTGATTCAATTCAGTTTCTGCAGATCATGTGCGTATCGTGACACTTTTGTCCGTTGCTTGAAAGTTGGCACAAAGGCCTAATCACCGGGATAGAGCATTGCTTCAGCTGGATCAAGTTGCCAAGTTCGGGCGTTCCGGACACTTTAGCGCCCGCTTTAGCCGAGAGCTCCGAGGACTCGGATCCAAAGAACATGGTCAGCGATGGGTAGGGCTTCCCGCTCACATAAAACAAATCTCCTACTAAGGAGACATAGCAAGTCCATAGTGCTAAGGAAGGATGGACGCAAGGAACTTCTCAAGCGCAAGCTAACCACGCAAGGGAATCCAGAGCAATAAAGATACCGTTTATATTCGTACATTCTACATCTTTTAGTATTTCACTACCCAAAGTCCATTGAAAAAACAGATCAGAGGCGGTCGACGTTGCCGAGGTCCCTGCAGGACTGCTTAACACGCTCGGCCAAAACCTTCTCACCCTCGCGTATCCAGACACGGGGATCGTAGTACTGGGATAGAGGGTCAGGAAATGTATGAGCGGAAAAATGACTTGAGAACTAACCTTCTTGTTGGGCTTGTCGGCACCTTCGGGGTTGCCAACTTGAGTTTGGAGGTAGCCAGACTTCTTCTCAATGAAGTCGCGGACACCAGTGAGGTATGCGAATTGGGTATCAGTGTCGACGTTCATCTTGACGACGCCGTTCTTGACAGCAGTAGAGATCTCCTCGAGAGACGAGCCAGATCCACCGTGGAAGACCAGGTACCTGTTAGACTCTCGTCAGCAACAAGATAGAAAGCGTATTAATGGCGAAGACGTACAATGGCTTGGGGTTGTTTCCACCGATCTGCTTGAAGGCGTACTCTTGGTGCTTAGCCAAAAGCTCAGGGTGGAGCTTGACGTTTCCGGGCTTGTAGACACCGTGAACGTTACCGAAGGCAGCAGCAATGCTGAAGTTGGGGCTGATGGCGCTCAAGGCCTTGTGGACGTCATAGACTTCCTCGGGCTGGGTGTAAAGGGCGGCATTGTCGACGCCAGTGTTGTCGACGCCATCCTCCTCACCACCAGTGATACCGATCTCCATCTCCAACCAGATACCGAGGGGCGCCATGCGCTTGAAGTACTTGACGCAAATCTCGATGTTCTCGTCCTTGGATTCCTCGGAAAGGTCCAACATGTGAGAGGAGAAGAGGGGCTCGCCATGCTCCTTGTAGTAGGCCTCGTTGGCCTCGAGCATGCCATCGAACCAGGGGAGGAGCTTCTTGGCGCAGTGGTCACTGTGCAAAATAACAGGACTGCAAAATGGGATGAGTCGATTGTCCGGATCTTGAGAGGAGGCTGACCACTTACACGCCGTAGAGCTTGGCAACATTTCGGATGTGGAGAGCGGCGCTGACGGCACCAGCGATGGAAGCTTGCTGCTTGTCGTTGGCGAGACCCTTTCCGGCGAAGAACGCGGAGCCTCCCTGCGACACTTGGAGGATGATAGGGGACTTGATGTCACTAGACGCGGGATCAATATTGGGACGGCTTCGCGAATCTCATGGGCCTACCGAGCAGCTTCGAGAACCGCGTTGGCAGTTGAAGTCGAAGTTACGTTCTAGTAAGCAATCAGTGACCTTGTCCATACAGTTCCGATATCCAGTACTCACGATGGCCTGTTCAATGGATCCAACCCCTCTTCAGTAACTTATCATTCCAGTCTACAAGGCGCATTGCGAACTCACAGGAATAGCAAACTAGAAAATCTGTTCAGCGAGGATCGCCTTTAGCAGTTGGATGATGGCATACCTGGTTCTCCCTAGCATACTCGAAGACCTTGCGAACATTGTCGCCAGTCAAGACGCCAGCCTATAGATTCGATCGCGCGTTATCAGTGACAACGGACTAGTGATGGCGAGGACACCGCGCTGCTCGCTGCGGCTGACGACGAGGACGACGATTACTTACGGGGACGATGTCGAGGAGACCCATTTGTGAAGATTGAGAATCGAGAGGACGATGGTGGTGGTCCAGAACCAAGAAGTTAGCGACTTATATACCCCCCCTTTTAGGCGGGAGATGACGGTGATCGATGTCATCGCTCATCACGTGCCATGGATTTATCGGTGCCCCGCCGCCCCTATTTGGAAGTCCCGGAAGCGCCTTGGCTCTCGTTTATGACGATTAGCTACCCGAACCGTGCCAGTGCTTAATTACCGGCGGATCTTAACAATTTTATAGGAGTTTCAGAGATGCAAAACCAGTTTCTAGTCTCCGTTGCTGACCTAATCGCCAGAGATGAGAAGTCGATCTCTTGGCTGAAAAGGTCTGCTCCCATTTGCCGCGTCTTTGGCTGGTGGGTCGATTCGGCCATCTCGGTGATGGAGACGCGAGCCTTGAGAGCCCAAAACGTCATGTGACAGTCTCGGATATATTCGAATTATTGACCTATTTATTGACTGAATTACCGTAGAGTTGCTCGATCGTGGTGTAGAATGTCTCAATCACTGTAGATTGGCGCAAATAATGTTCATCGTGCACGCATCCATCGTCTCAACGATGTTCGGGTCCATTCCTTTCAATCCAGGAGCTCAAACTCCACAGAAACCAAGGCCGGATGGAGGCCAGCCTCCCCAGCCTCCTCCCCCTCCTCCCTCAGCCTCCAAAACCCCTCGAGCATCTGCGCGTACAGCTGAACAGAAGGTCGATAATGTCCTTCAAGCTATAACAGACAATAACCTCAACCTCGCCACGTTTTTGTACCTCCTCTTCCGGCTCGAGAAGCGTGATCCCCGGAGCAAAGGTGGCCTGGATGGAATCAATCCTTTCGACAAACTCCCTGCCCAATCCGATCCTAATCGAGCCACGCGAAGCGAGAAGCATCAACGTATGCTCACAGCATTCTTTAATGGCACCTCAAAGCCGCACCTTGGGGTAATATTAGCAGAGATTTGGAGAAATGCTCGAGAGACAGGAGACTCCCCAGCAACGACACACCCCTTCGAAGATAAGAAGCCTTTCACGGAAATTCCCCTTGCCATCAAAGCATTTGCCACATTTGCGAGTCGTGCCGTCATAGATATGGTTGGAGAAGAAGCTGAGCGGATGGTAGAGAGGAGGTCAGGCTTGCATATCCGTGCCCAGCTGAAGGAAGGAGGCAGAGGGAGCCGTGAAGACGAGAGAGCTAGCTGGGCAAAGATAGAAGACTTCAGTTTTGAGAAGGGTGCACAGATTGCGAAGGAGAACGCACCGGTTCTCTGGAACTGCATGCTAAAGTTCACGGGTTACAATGAAGAAGAAGATCAGGGCCCGGTAATTAAATACCGTCCGAAGCGACTGGTACGTGTCCGTAACCGTGATGTTTGTAGTGACACTTAACGGACATCTTAGGTTTGCACTAATGCTATAATGTCACTCGCCTTTGCGAAATCCAATCGTGCCAACCTCATTCCTTTATGTCGAGGTATCTGGATGTTTTCGGCGCTTGCACCAAAGACGATGTTCCGTGTTGAGAGCCGACTCGGAATGTCCGTTTCCTACTCATCCACCCATCGAGCCCTCAAAAACATGTCCAAAGAACAAGGAAAGGAGGTAAGGGAACTCGTGGTCGGGTGAGAGGTCGTCGAGGAAACATGTGTGGTGTGTCAGCGACAATATCCAAGCCTACAAGAAGAAACGCGACCACGGTCTGGGGAGGGTTAGTGAAATGGTCAAAGGAATGGCGGCAACTGCAATACAGATGGATAACATCGACCCAGAAGCTTTCAACCTGACAAACCTGCTTGAACGACAGGCGAAGAACGAACGACGCACATTAACAGCTGATATGATACTGGACGATATCGATTGGACGCACCTTGAACGAGTAGCCGCCTACCAATTCCTCTCCGTCCTCATCCATCATGTACCCTCGCTTTCCAACTCCGACCATCGAAAACACCTCAAACAGTTCTCCGACAGTGGCCTAAAGAAGTTCGAGCGTCCGAAGAACTTTCAGTCCAAGGTATATCCATTGGCGACGAACAGTGCAGACGAGATGAAGGTTCAGGAGCTGAGAGAAGCAATCATTGATTTCGCATCCACTCAGCTCGGCATAACGGAGGAAACCATCGACAATCGTTGCTGGCCCTTCTCCGGCGATGGAAAGACATTTGACGCCTTTCTTCGCCTGCGGAAGCAGTCTTCAGTTGAAGAGCTTACCTTCGAAAGCTTTGGTTGGATGATCCCACTGCTGGAGGTGTGGCATGCCAAATGGACTGACTTATCGCGGGTCGTTCGAGGACATCACGGCGACAGCACCGACCCAAGCTCTTTGGCCTTCTTCGCTCAGCTCACCGGTTGTCCCCAGCCAGCCGATCTCCGAAAGGTTGATTTTTACGATGGCCAGCACCTTGTGAATCTTTCATTTGAGGCATTGGTGTTGAATGTATGGGAGTGAGTGTCGTCTCTCATCTGTGTATCGAGCAAAATGACTAACTGAAACAATGCAGGCAGGAGTTCAGAACAACCGACCTCGTACAACACTTCGAACACATGAGTACCCTCCCTCCCTTTGGGGATCTTGTCTCTCGCGCCAGACGGCTGTCTCATAGCCACGCATCTTCACAAGCCTATCAATTTGTGTCTACTCCTTCCCAATCCATGAGGAATCCCGGCATACCTGTTGGCACTGAGTGGACAACCTCCGAAGAGATACAATCGACAACTCCAGCAAATCCTGCTCCCAATCCGACACCAGATACGGGACCAGCGACAAGTGATCTTCAAGACGAGGGAATTGCGATTCCAGACCCCGACCCACTCCCGGTTCCCCAGCCGCCCGATACCAGGGAAAGCGATAAGGCTGCAGCCAATATCACTTTATTTTTACGTGACGCGCTGTGGTGGCGGGAGGTCTGCCTTGCCGTTTCCGAGGGTGACACAGGTCGATTGCTTGAAATGTTCAAAGTGAGTCGAAACTCCACAGCAATCGCACTTACACTCACCGTTGTTCATCAGGTTTGGATCTTCACATTTGCTGGGAGCAAGAACCCATTCTATTCAACCTTCCTTCTCGAGATTTACTGCAACTTCAAATGGGAATTCTCCCCGGAACTCCGACATGCGTTGATGTTCTATTGGCTGGTTAATTTGAGTGGTCTTCCGGGTTGCTATATCGAACTTGACCTTTTGCAGGAGCATTTTAATTTCTGGCTGGAGGAGATGGTTCAGCACAAGGGGAAGTCCTTCGATGATCCTTTCTACCGCGAGGTTGTCGCCCGAAACATCCACCACTTCCTTAAACTGAAAGATGAAATGGAACAGAGGGTCCAACTGCAGGCACGGACAAAACGTCACACCAACCCAAAGCTCGACAATGAACGGAATCTTCTCCTCAGTCATATACGGCAATTCCAGTTGAACAAATATCGAGCTGGACGGACATACGGGTTCTCGGTTCAAGACGATTTTTCCGTCGGGCACGACAAGATTGTAGACGGCAAGTTAAAGAAGTTTATTGCGCGGTCGTCCGAATATGCTACGCGGCTACAGGCACGCGGGTATGGAGCTATCGAGGAAGGGAGCGAGGCAGAGAGGCTTGAGCTGGATGAGGACCTCGAGTTAGAGGGACGAGGACTTGCGAGACGAGCTGGAGGACATACCAGTGACATCACCTCGTCCGCGGATGGTCTCTGTTGATGGTGAAGTCTTTGTAGTGGAAGGAGACAACGAGGAGGATTAGAAAACGGATGTCATCAATAGGGTAGCTAGTTAGACTTACCGTCGTATGTATCCGCAGTCGCTTTGCAACCGTGGGCTGGTTCTCCTTTCCGAGGGACTTCGCATTTCGTTTGCGGGTTTGAGACGATGTGGTGCACCCATCTCTGATTGTGCACAGAACCGGGGGGTTGTAGCTGTCTTTGAGTTCGTCTGGCACGTGCAACGGGGGTTGGACTCCCTGTATGATTGTTGACAGTGGTGGTGGGTCGAACTCGTCTTCTAAGAAGTCGGGTACTTGTGATAAGGTCGAACGAGGTGGTATGCGAATAGTCAGCGGCAACTGTGGTGGCGGTTCATCCGGTCGTGCTTCAGCATTACGAGCAGCAGTGAGTGCTTGAAGATCATGTAAGTAACTGGACACGAGAATCACCGAATCGGCGTACCTTTGTTTCGTGCTCTCGTAGCTGCAGCTCTTGCGTTCCTCACAATCCGGGCATCCTCAATGTGCTTCACGTACACTGAGATCAGTCTGGTAAGCTGCTCAAAAAGAAGCGGACCGTCGTCCTCTAGATATGCCCACCCAGAAACCGCAGTCTCGAAACTGGTGTACGAATTAAATGTCGAAAGCCGTTGACTAATGACTGATACTTGGATTCCTTTCCAATACCTGTGAAACGGGGCATAGCGCGCTTCTGGAATGTCCTTCTGGCTCCACTGCTTGCGCGCAAAGTCGTCCAGCCATAGCTTGAGGTTGTCGAGCATGGATTTGGTGAGCTTGGAAGGAAGGCCCGTGGTTGCTCCTTCGGACGGTTGCGATGTTGAAGTCGGTGGTGGGTTTGGAGCTGCGCATAGCTGATCAAGCTGGATTAGAAGTGGAGCCGAAGTGTTGGGAGTGGAAGTGTCGGGCACGCTCGGTACGGCGACTGTTGGGATGGTCGAAACAGTCGGTGGTGGTGGTGGTGGAGGTGGTGGTGGTAGGTAGCGTTGAAGGCGAACGTGCCACTGAATGTCACACGAGCCACATGGAAGTGTACGTTGGGCGGCGGTGCATGTGACAGCAGGGTCATAAAGCGGGTTTCCCAAAGAGATATTCTTCTCGCACTCGAGGCAAAGGCCTAGAAGGTATGCGAGAAGAAATCCCCGGAGATACACATCCAGGCGATCGACTGGATCTTCCTTAGGTTTCTTGGTGGTGTTCGGACTGGGAACCCGGATTCTCTTGAAGGCGATGGCCCGTTGATACAGTGCTTGAGGTGAGGCGTCGTCGTTGTTGAGTTCGGCGATGTCCTTCCGGAGAGAGTCGAGAATGGATTGGGGGACGTATGTGAGTCCGAACGCCTCCATCATAAGGTTCCTCCCTGCCCGGCCATTTTGTTGCACCAAACTTTCCAGGCTCTCAGGGACACCGAGGTTGATAGAGAACTGAATGTTGCGAACATTCATTCCCATGCCAAACGCGACCGTTGCAACGATGACAGAAGTCTCCGGATCTTGGGCGAAGAGGTCGAGGGTTGTCTGGTTGTAACTCGCGGATGTCATGCTGCTCCAAAGGCGAACAGCTCGATGTTGCCGGCGCAAAGGGTAGAAGCGCCATCCGTACGATGCAACCCGCCATTGTAGGTCAAGCGAGGCCACATAGACGACCCGCTTTGATGCCAGGCTGGAATAGCCATTTGAGGTCGGGAAACGAGGTCGACGTGATTGGGTGGGTGAGCTCGGCGACGGCAGTGCAGATATTGGGACGCTGGATCGTAGTTCGTAGGCAATGGAATGACCCTGGAACGAGGTGAAGCTCCTTGCACAGGTCGTCGAGGCCCTTCTGAGTGAGTGTTGCTGTGACGGCGGCAAACGCGCAATGTTTTGGTAGTCGATGACGTAGTTGGGCCATCTGGCGGTATGCGACGCGGAATTCTTGAGACCATGGGACTAGGACGTGGGCTTCGTCGATACCCAGGAGTACGAGGTTGTGTCGAAAGGTGTCGTCCTTCAAAATCGTCCCAATTTCGTCTGACGTGAGCCTTTCAGCGGACAAAAACACCATCGACCACTGACAGTGCTTGATCTCCTTGTAAAGATCCCGCCCCTCCTCCCGTGCGACTGCCAACGTATGACTGTTCACAGAAACAGCCCGTATCCCAAATAGCTTCATTTCCTCGGCCTATTGCAGCGCTTTAGTGAGCCATTGAGCCAAAAGTCATCGACAACGTACATGTGCATTTCCGAGCTCAACCAGAGGTGTGACAACCAAGACCACCGGTTTGGGAGGACAAAAGGATGGAACATTGGGTCTGGGGTTTGCACCAAGGTACTGATAAACAAGAAGAGGCGTGAAAAAAGTCGCCGTTTTGCCCATAGCTGTCGAAGCGATGACGATGAGCGGCCTTTTCTCCATAACGCTCGCACAGGCCTCTACTTGAAAGTCCCTGGGTCCACTGGGCCATTGCTCGATTAGCGATTCAAGAATTCCGCGAATTAAGGCCCTTTTTGCATCATCGAACCACGAGAAGGGCGCCGACATTGTTGAAAGGGGGCAAAGACATGTCTTATTGGAGGATGTGGTATGGTGACAGAACAAGGACCAACAGATCAACGACGCGCGACGCGGTGCCCTCCAGTGCACGTGAGGCCTCCTACCAAATTAAGGATGGCCCGATTGATGTCCGATCGGGTTTATGGCCTTAGTAGGGCCGAATCGACCCACCAGCCAAACGCGCGGCCAATGGGACAAGCCTAACCAGTTTCTACGCAAGTTCCATCCATTTTCCTCTTTTTCCCTTATCGCGATGACACCAGAAAACTCTTGTATTCGGCCGAGCGTTTGATGAATAGACGAGCATTTTTCCCAACTGGCAGGCGCCGCCTGCGGCCCTGCGCAATCGCTCAATCGCCATTCGCCACAGAGTCCGATCCGAAGAAAAAGGGACTATGCTGGAAAGGGAAAGAAGGTGCTCTAGGGTACTCTCGATGTGCGTCGGGCTGCTTCAGGCCACGGCCAGAGACACGATTAATCATCATGGGTGTGAATTCACTTCGAAGACGTTGAGGACTTGCAATGGGACCATTTCTTTCCAGACTATTCTGGAAGAGTCCCTTTTTACTTCCGTTGAAATTGCAAACACCCGGGAACTCTGGGGTATGAAACATGTAGATGAAGTCACCACGGGTGGCCGCTAGGATCCTTAGTTCCGACTTGTAAACTTCAACACTTCCGGTAAGCTCCTTACGTGACGGCGTCCGTGTACATAGTACATACTAGTAGTACAACTTGCTTTCTTTCTGTTTAGCTGACGTAGTGCCAAGTTAGATAATCGAATTTTGCAGCCATACTCGCTGCTCGGTGTAAGTGTCACGACACCGGGCTTGCAATAAGCATGAAGTCTTGAATTGACAAGATGGCCAGGGTTAACCGCATGGACACCGCGACGTGACGCGAATTCCCTACCTACCTACCTACTTACCTAGGAACTTTGTCTCATTCATTCAAATTGGGTCTCACTAACGACTTCTAATTGGCGCAACTACGTCACGGGCGCTTAACTATTCCTTGATGTCCGCGAATGATCATGATCTCGCAACACTTCCAATGGACATTTATGTATGTATTCCGAGCAGTGGACTCTCTGTCCCTTCGCATGTCTAACCCATCGCGCTTCGAGTTTGCACCCACCTTGCCTTCAATTCTGCTCTGCTAATTCGACTGGGATGCAGCGTGACGGCAACGGCACCTCTCAGCAGGTTCGGAAGTTTGTGATGGCTAACCGACGAGTGACATAAACAGTGACTCCTTGCGACGGGTGATCTCGCGTATCAGTTTTGTGAATACCTCCACGTTGGTTACGCTGCCAGGGCAACTGTTTCACCTTGCCACTGAGCCGCCCTCAGGCAATCATCCCATTCGACCATCCAGTTTCTTTAATTAAGTGCTCAGTACTCTGGCGGCTTCGACCCACGCATCTCTGCTCCATGACGTTGTCTCAAGGAAAGCTGTCCGCTACTCCGCAGCGCGCTCTCGGTTGGACGGAAGTTGTTGAAGAGTGGTCATCTCGGTCTTAAGACGCGCAGTTCCACGCAACTCGAACAACACGCGGTCCTTGCCCGCCCTGCGAGATCTGAATCATTGATTTGATGGAATACACCAACACTCTCACCTGCACGGGAGGATATGCTTCTACATTTGACCTCCTCGACTGACGTTATATAGCGAACAGTCATCGCACCCACATTCGAGACGTCGACACAAGGTGAGCTGGGTGCATGAACCCCTGGTACGTCGTTGGCTGACCCCTGACTCAGACAGACAGCATTACCTCCCTGGCAGGTCCAAGATATTGAGAGCATACTCGACATCGCGCAGCAATAACGCGACCCACAGACTCCAACCATGGCTTCCAGCTTCATACCACCAGGAATTGCCTACCTCATCAAGAACCTCCCGGCACTCGCCTCCCCACCCGCCCTTGCCTACCTCCTCGTCCGAGCGCTCGAGCACGGACTAGACATCGACATTCCGCACTGGTGTCTGGCATTAGGCATAGCGCTCAGCTTCCCCGCTGCTCTGACAGCAAAGGTCCAATGGCGGCGCTTCGCTGACGAGCGCGCAGCCGCGCGGCTAGGTGCGGTCATGCCCACGGAAGTTCAGTTCAGGCTCCCCGCGGGCTTTGACTTTCTCTTGGCAAGCATCAAGGATCTGTATCCAGGTTAGGAGTTTTAGCTTGCGTGAAACGTGCGCTGGTTGGCTGACAGACTCTCATACATACAGGGAGCATCTATGTAGGGAATGCGCCGAAGTACGGCTGGACTCATAACATTAGGATCCTATTCGGTAATCGCGTAAGTTCTCGATGTTGCCAACTGTAAACGGCCTCCTTTGACCGTGTCACTTTTCAGTATGTCACCTCGGAGCCCCACCTCGTCAAGGTGGACTATTCTCAGATTCTTCTTATTGTAAGTTGAAACTGACACCATCCAGGCCTATCTTGCCACCCAATTCAACGAGTTCGAGAAAGGTTCGTCTAGCTTTGAACACCCGGAACATCCTGGATCTAACTGGAAAGCAGGGGGAGAGACCTCGCGGATTTTTCATCCCGTACTGGGAACAGGCGTTTTCGCAGTCGACGGTTCGTCCAATTGACACGTGCTCCCTCCCTCCACCTTACTCACCACCTCCGTTCAGGGGAGGAATGGAAGTAAGCCACATTTCCTTCACAACCCCATGCACAGCAACCAAACACGTTCCTAGATTCCACAGGAACATGGCCCGCCCCTTCTTCAGCAAAGACCGCATCAGCCACTTCGACAACTTCGACCGACACGCCAAAGCTGCTATAACACTAATGAAAGCCCGATTCGCCGAAGGATACGCGGTCGACTTCCAAGACCTCATCGCCCGCTTCACACTCGACTCTGCCACTGAATTCCTCTTTGGAAACGACGTTTGCTCCCTGGCTGAAGGGCTTCCTTATCCCCATTTCCACCATGATAGTGGCAACGATGCGGAGAAGGCATCATTATCTGAATCAGAGCCAGCGTTGGGATCGTCGTCGGAGCAAACGACGACCCGGTTCGTGCAGTCGTTCAGTAAGGCTTTGGAGATCGTCGCCTTTCGGACGAGGTTTGGCGACCACTGGCCTTTGAGTGAGTTTTGGAAGGATAGGTCGGTGGAGCCCATGAAGATCGTCCAGGGGTACATTGATCCTATTGTCAAAGAGGCTATTCGACGGAAGAGGGAGTCGAAGGGAGTCGAAGTTGACAGAGATGATGAAACCTTTTTGGAGAACTTGGTCAATTCGACGGAAGGTGGGTAACTCAGCCTTGCCGCTGTTTTGACATACTCAAAAGCGACGATACTGTAGACCCCGCCATGCTGCGGGATGCTATCATGAATATGTTGGTTGCAGGTCGAGATACAGTAAGTCCATCCAACTATTGTGCTCATCTTTTCAGCTACTAATGCGATCCAGACGGCTTGCGCCCTGACGTTCATCGTCTACATGCTCTCCGAGCATCCCCGGGTGCTGGAACGCCTCCGCGATGAGATTCTGTCTAAACTTGGACCAGACCGTCGCCCAACCTACGAAGACCTCAAGGACATGAAGTTCCTGCGTGCGGTTATCAATGGTTAGTCTTTCTCTTTTTGCGTAGTCTGCGATGATGGGGCTGACGGGAGAATAGAAACATTGAGGCTGTACCCTCCCGTGTAAGTCCTGAAGCTTATTGTGATCCACTGTACCTGACGAGCTGTCCCAACCAAAGTCCAATTAACATGCGGTAAGCTTCTGTGCCTCTATCTCCACGACGAGACCTCTAACAAGTTCAATGTTCAGAATCTCAAAAGTCCCAACACTTATTGAGGGGAAAGGCCCAGATTCCCGTCCGATCTATGTCCCAGCCAACACCCGACAAATGTACGTCATACTCGCCATGCACCGAAGAAAGGATCTGTGGGGTCCGGATGGTATGTTCCAAACTCAATCTCACCTCCTCCTTGAACGAAGACTAACATTTGCCGACTACCCAGCGGAAGAATTTGACCCAGACCGCTTCCTCGACGATCGAGTTCAGAAGTACTTGGTCCCGAACCCATACATCTTCCTCCCTTTCAACGCAGGTCCACGAATCTGCCTAGGCCAACAGGTACGTCCGATGCCCTGTCATGTCCGAAACCGCTTTATCTTATCGCCGCTTTCCTCCCAGTTTGCGTATAATGAAGTCTCGTTCTTCCTCTGCAGACTCCTCCAGAACTTCTCGTCCATCAGCCTATGCGAGAAATCCCAGTCTCCCGAATGCAGGCCTCCTACGCATTGGTCGGCGAATAATGACGGCTCCAGGATGGCGAAGGAGAAGGTAAAGCCAAAGTCCCATCTGACTTTATACGTTGAGGTGAGCGCGTCCTGCTAAACTGACCCATTTGAGGTACAGAAGCTGAGATGTTTACTTTCAGGGCGGTCTTTGGGTCCAAATGGCTGAATAGGCGTGTATTACTACTGAGAACTGCGGCACCTACTCAAGCTCATTTCGGTTTAGGCAATATACATTCTTTAATTTATTGGAGTCGACGACAGTGCAATGTATGCAGAGAGTACTAGTATGCTAGGTAGGTATGATAGGTTTGCGCTGGAAGTCACTAGGATGAACCCAAAGGAAGTCCGAAAGCGAGTCCGTGATTGAATAAGTAGCAAGGTCCATATCCTGCAAGGCTAAATAATGTTGTTTGCGAATGTGGAGGATGGCTCGACAAGCGAGGATTGAGTACATTGTCCGTTCGATTCTGCATCACCCGACCAATTCCCGTCGAAAACAAATCGAAAGAGGTTAACAGTCGTGAGTTTCAGAAATAAAATGAGACCAGCGCTCGCTGGGATGAAGGGGGTCAACTCACGTTGCGAGGATGTTAATGTATTCGAACTGGATGTTATTCGAGGGAACATGTCAATGCCGTGATGCCAGAGTGCAATCTGTACTCACTGGAAGCAGGAGCATGATGACGACGTTCATCACTGTTAGTACTGCAGGACAGGAGGCGGGATCAGCGTTTCGAGCTCATTCCCGAGACGGGCGCTCATGGCGTTCACCCCGTTCGGGCCGGCCAGAGAGATAATCTCACCAAATAAATAAAAATAATATATGAGGCCTGCATGAAACAAGAACTACTGAGAAAGAAGCTAAAACGACTGGAGAGGTGTACGCACCATATCGAAAGACGGCGTTCTGTAGACGAAAACAGTTGAGGGCTGCCCGCACTGTGGAGAATCAGAGAAGGTTTAAACTTCGAGCTGAGCTACCTCAGTTCAAGAACGATGTCGCTCGTACTCACAACATGGGATTCCGCGGACAACCAGGAGAGAAATGAGGACTGTTCATCACTCGTTAACATCCTAACTAGGAAAAAACATATAGGAGCTAGAGGTTTACCTGTGTCGTAGATGAGAATGATCACCCACAGCGAGACGATGTAGAGGTTGTTCCCGACTCGAATGCTCAGACAGTGGTGGCCGTGTGGCTGCGGAAGCTTGAAATCTAAGCGCTCTCAATGGTAAGGGCAAAGTCTCTCTGAACGAATATACCCAAAACTCACAACGAACGGATTGGAAGTAGATGTTTGCGAGACCCATCAAGAGGCCGAACGAGACCAAGGCGAATAAAGTGAGGAATATCCCCACTCGACGAGACCTATCCCATACGGCCCATATCCGGACTGAGAGGAGAACTTTGAAGTTGAAAGGGCTGAGTATTACTTGAGGATGGTGGAGTGAGTGAAGACGCACCTTCCGCGCAGATAACCCCAATGACTTGCATCCCTAAATCCCGAAGTGAGAACGCATTCTGGCGTCAAAGTGGGTATGGACTAAACTGACAACCAATGGCTCGATACGTTGTCTCGCATTGGTACCACCATTCGCCATCCATGAACACATCTGAAAATAGTTTAGAGTCACAAAAGCAATGACGAAGAAAACGCGTCACAATTTATCAGCGGGAGAAGTTCAAGGAAGGGGAGGTAGCGCGTCAGGAGAAAGAGGACCTTGACGGCGTTCCATCTCGACTTCCAGATGAACTCGATTTCGAGGTCGAATGTAAGCAAGTAATCGTACACCTATGACATGAATTAGAGTGACAGCCAACTTCAAAAACAGTCAACATACCAGTAGCACCATCCCAACCGCTATCCAATAAAGAAAAGCCCACAATATAACCCAATCAATACACACCGGTCGTCTGGTTGTAGCTGGTTATCGCACCTGCCAACGACTGCTGGCATCCCTCTTAGAAAATCCACAAAAATAACGGAAATTGCACTCACGAATATAGGCCTCACATCCGGTAAAGCATGGGGAAGTATCTGCTGCTCCGATAGTTGCCCAGCAGCCATCGAGGGACGTGCATCAAAGAAAGGGTGAAGGGGGAAGAAACCAGAAACACACCGCTCAGTCTCACGTCAAGATATAGTAGGCTATAGCACCCTTGAGTCACCGGGTCTGATCATGGCGCTCGCATACTACTCCATCGCTATGCGATTAATTGTATCAACAAGGCCGGAAACTGTTCCGCGGATGTCGTCACGGGATGTGGTAGTATACGGAGAAAGGAGGTGTTTGAGCTGCGAGCTAAAGATGAGCGTCTCAAGGCGCACCGGTACAGACACGGACAGGTCAACTGAGATTACTGACGAAGGCGACGCAACATATCAAAGATAAAGGATCACGAAATCATTTCGCTTCGAGATATGGCCTTGTCCCGGACTCATTGTGACCTCGTGGCTTTGACTTGAAGTTATAGATGGAGCGAGAATGTTGGCAGGTGAGTATAGACTACCAACGGGTTGCACGCCACAGGGATCCACCGCGACGGCCATCGAGAAACGGCGGCGGCTGACGGTCGCGGTTCACGCACAGCCAAAGCGAGGCGGATGGGCATGAACGCAACTGCCGCGCGACGGTGGTAGCAGCGCTACGTTTTCGCACCATACGCCCATCCAACATCCCTGAGAGGCATTGAACTACTGTGATGCCGAGGCGGGCCGGCCCAGGAGTGCGTTCCGATGAAGTCGAGACGGGCGCTTATCTTCCCAAAATTGGGCACTCAGAAAATGGCGATCTTCACCCCCTGTCTGGCATGTGCATAAACTGCAAAAAACACAAACGCTATGTGCATATAAGCCAAGCCTAGGCAGGTTTTACCATTAGGGACGTCCCCAGCTACGAAAACGGGCGCCTACTATCAACCCAACCAATTCCGGAACGCAGCTTGAAAATAAACGTAGCCTCCGCCTGTAAAATTAGAAGTAGGCTACTTATCCGTTCACGTTTTATCCTCCATGACGTACGCAGGTGACCCACGAGGCTGGCAGTTTATCACACCCGGAAGATCTACAAAACGTGGGCGCACCTCACGGGCGCTTATCTCTCCATGTTCCCTTCCATGCGCTCGAACGCCTATGTTCGATCAGGCTAATTCAGGAACGCGGCTTGGAACACACGCACTACCCTCCTACATCTCGACTCACAAATATACGTATATACATAGAAGGGCGCCCAAATCGCTTCTCCCCCGCTGACGTATAGATGCCTGTAGATCTTCCTTCACGTTGGGACGGGCGCTTATCGCAGTCAAGTCCATGCGCTCATGATCTACGGGGGACGAACGGCTGCCAAATTTGATTGAAGTTCACTATGCGCTGTCCACTGGCCTGGAAGATACAGTACCTGTCCACTACACTGCCACATGCTCCCCTTTGAGCAAGCAGAGTCTTTCGGCCTTTGTTTTCGCGGCCCGGGAACGGATTTACCGTCATAGAGAATAGAAACAAAGACAGTCTTCGTCCTCGAGGGGAGCACGCGTCCAGTCATCTCAGTTGGTCGATGATGGGTTGCATTGGACGTGGCATAGGACAATGATATGCCAGGCCAGTGGACAGCGGGTTGTATGCCGTGCACCAACTTTAGGCCAGGATCATGAACCTAGGCAGAAAAAAGAATTACAGCGGGAGGGCTATCCGTCTCACATCTCTACCGCCCTGACGTACGCAGGTGATTCACCGGGATCCCCCAATTCATCGTTCCCCGATGAAAACGTTGGCACGGGCGTTTATCAAAGCCTTCATGTGCTGGCAAGTCTGCTCGATCGACCCGTTCTGCTCGGAATATTACATACAGTTCACGTATTGCAAGCTCGTGGAAAGACGCGAAGACGCAAGCAGACTCGCCATCTTCCTTCTATTCTCCACTCCCGTCCACCTGGGCCGCTCAACTCGTAGACTCAATCACATCCAGATGAAATGAGAGGAGAGTAGAAAGCCATTAATATTCTAAAACGAGTGTGTGGGGGGTGTAAATAAATAGCCAAAAAATGTCGGTTGAGTACCGTTCGTTTTACAAAGGGCTTCAACAAAAGAAAAAAAGGCTCGGTAGGTGGGTAGGTAAGTAGAAAAAGAAAGTTGAAAAAATAGGTCTTCTTCGTATCATACATACGAATACAACACAAACCACCAAAACGCGAAAAGAAGAGAAAGGAAGCTAAATCCAGTCCATTCAAATTCCAACTCCAAATTCGAAGAAAAAGAAGGACGAGAGGCGATCCGAATAAACTATCAAGGGGCAGCTGCACCCTCACCTCCATACAACTCCTCCGCAACCTTCTTCGCAGCTTCCTGCTCCTCATCCACCACCACCACATTTTCATCCTTTTTAGGCGCTTCAGGACCCTCCACAGGACCCTCTTTCTTCGGTGCTTCAGGACCCTCCACCTTCACCTCACCTTCCTCCCTCACCTCCTTCTCCTTCTCACCAACAACTGTCTCATCCAAACTCAACTTTCCCTCCCTCGTATCCGCATCAGGTTTCACCTCCCCCGCACCCGCACCAGTCGAACTCTTCACCTCCTGCCCAACCGGCTGTTCTTCAAACACGTCACGACCCGGTTCGGGGATACCAACTCGCGCAGCTGTCGTTTCGAGGTCGCTCTTCTTCTGGTCGGCGGGATTGTTGTCATTGTTGTGGTTGATGACGGGCGCTTTCTCCCCTGCTCCGATGGTTGGGACGACGGCTTTGGCGGGAGGTGTGGTTCCGACTGTCTTGTACATCGAGTACTATAAAGAAAAAGCCCAATCAGCGTCAGCCCAAATTCCCCATCAATGACCAAAAACCAAAAAACGAAGCCAGCAAAGCAGAAACAAAGAAAAAAAAGAAAACACTCACATCAGCATAAAAATCATTACACGAAAAATCCCAATGCTTCAACCACTTGGCCTTCTGACACTGCGCCTTAGTCCACGGCAACCCATACGCCAACGGACTCAAATAATAAAAATTCCACACCGCCAACACGATCAACAGCGCGGCAATCTGCAAACGGATCTTGGGCCTCAACGTGGAGGTGATGAGATCAAAGACGATGCACCAGCACAGGATGGCAAAGTATAATGCGGGGAAGTAGTGGTGAAGGAAGAGTTGGCGAGCCATCAGGAAGAAGGGGAAGTAGTGCAGGGCCCAGCCCATGAAGAAGAACCCGCAGAGGGAGTCGTATTTCACGACTTTGGCTGTGGTTGGAGTAGAGGTAGAGGGAAGGCGGTTAGTGATGATGAGATCGATGGGGAGTGGGGAGGGAACGTACTATTGTTAAAGTCCTTGTATCCACGTTTAGCACGGAGAATCATGAACCCTCGGACAACAGCATACGCTGCCACAGCAAAGGTACTCAAATACCACACAAACGGATTGCCGATCAAGTAGATCTGACGGTGATCCTTCACCCAAAAGTTCTATACCACAAAAACAAGGACAAAAGGTAGATGATCAGCAAACAACCCATGCCTAGATGTGCGTTGAAAACTCACGATACCGCGACGAAGACGAGGCCAAGCATCAGGACGCGAATCATAGGTATGACGATCAGTCAACCCAGCGTTCGTGGTCCACATAACCTTCTGCAACTCCCAGAACTTGCCAAAGAAGCCCGGAAGCTTGTAGTTCACCTTGGGTGCGTCGGGAGGCACTGTTCCAAGTTCCAACAAACATCAGTACATCCATCTCCCTAATTAAAGGGGGAAAAAGAAGCACTCACGAGCAGGATGCGACGAAGTCTCAATATACCACAACGAATTCGCCCTCACCGCATTCTTGTTACACGTAACCTCCTGCTGCTCATACCCCCACTCCGGCAGCTTAACCTTGTGCGAAAAGAGGTAGCACCCCTGGTACGCATGCTTCAACCGGAACACAGTCCTAAGCGTCCTCAACCTCTTATGACTCTCCTTATCCGACTTGTGCCCGCGCTCAATCTCAACGATCCAATCGTCATTGCCGTCACCCGCGAACCCTTTCATACCATAGGCAGACACTTCGTTTTGGAAGTCGACTTCGGAAACGGGTGGGCGGTGGTCGTGCGAGTGCAGGTGCTTTTCCGTGGAGATGTGGCGCAGGCGGAGACGCATCCCTGGGGTGATGTACTTGAGAGGCTCGTTTTCGTAGTCGTATTGGGCGACGCCGTCTCCGGTAGCGTTGAGAAGGAGCCAGTCGTTGTTGGAATCACGATGGGGGTAGAGGGTGATTTGTTGTTCTATTGAAATCGTTAGGACGTGTGCGGTCAGAAAGCAGTGAACGCTACTTACGTTTGCTACCAGTGGGATAATTGTGAGGATGCGAATGAAGATATCCACCTTGGGTGTTCACATGGCGAATCGTCACTTTCGAGCCAAGCGCAACATCTAAAACAAAGAATATCAGCAAACCCGTCATACCACGATCAAGACCCAACATCACATACCAGCAAAGGTATCACTCATCCCCCGTCCCTTGAGTGTATGCTGGAACTCGGAGCTCATAAACCCATCTCCCTCTCCAGACCACCTCAAAATCGCAAAATGCACCCCAAACATCGCCATATAGAAGATAATAGGGATAGCAATCAAGCAGATAGCACGAGCAATGAAGTGCCTCATGAACGTGCGCGGCGAGACCCTAGTATCCCCAAGCAAGTTCCAGAGATGATAGACCGTGTTGAAACCGATAGTAGCAACGGTGAACAAGCCGACCCATTTGCAGCTCAAGGTAGCGCCGAGAGCGAGACCGGAGAGGCTGAGCCAGGTCCACCACGACTTTGTGAATGGGTGGTGCTTGTCCTCGTTGCAGAAGCCGACCCAGAAGAAGGTGGTGAGGGAGGTGAAGAAGAGGAGGGGCGAGTCGAGGAGGATGTGCCGGGATTGGGTCACGAGGCCGTTTTCGAAGGTGATGAAGAGGGAGGCGAGGAGGGCCGTCGTGGCGCGGCAGTCGAGGCCTCGCAGGGTCAGGTATGCGAGTGGAATCGTTGCAACTCCGAGCGTCGCTGGGAGCATGCGCATGGCGACATAGGGAACGTTCTCGTACACTCTAATAGAATGCTTGTCAGCACTGAATCCCATGACCCCTTGCAAAGTTGTACCCACTTTCCGATTTCCTTAAAGTCGAATTTGCCGTCGTACCCACCAAGGAACCCAGCGAGCGTAATCAACAGCTTCGCTAGCGGAGGGTGTACATCCATAAAGTACCTCGACCTAATATACCTCGAGGCGAACTTTCCAAAATGCACCTCATCGAACCTACACAATCATCAGCCTGGGCTCAATCCCCTCCATCCACCACCCAAACAAAAGAATGTAACTTACACAACACTATTAGGTTCAGACAAGCGGTAAAACCTAACACCGCACGCAACGAGCAGAATCAACGCCAACAACTTCCACTCTCCCGAGGTAATATTCAGACCTCCGGAGGGGAACTGCTTCGTCCTACTCCCAACAGGTCCATATCCCTTCGAAGCCGCCGCCCGTCGTTCATCAGCGTCCAAATGGTCTTCTCTAGGATGTGGAAAACGTTGGCTGGTCATCGGTGGGACGCCCGGAGACGGATGCGACATTCCTGGCGGGGGCGACGCTGGCCGCCGCGCCCGCACGTTGCCCGTGAGCGACATTTTAGGTGTCCGTAGTGGTGACGGTTGAAGAACGGCTCAACCGTGCCCTCTGTTCAGAGGTTCCCTGTGTGGTGGTGGTGTGGTGCAAAGCGCAATTATGTCGCCGCCGTCACTCGACTTCCACGGTTATCGACGTGTCTGCGGACCTTTTATAGAATCTTCCAAATGGGAAGGTCAGCCCCTGTCTTGCGCAGCAGCGTCTTGACGAAAGCTCTGGAAAAGGTAGAAAATGGGGAAGAAGGAATGCTTTTCAGAGTCTAGTTCTATTAAATCTTGGTTCCCCATTTTTCGGGTTAAGACTTCCGTGCGCTCGTCTACGTGGTGATGCCAGATGGCCTTGGATCGCCGTCCGTTTCCACAGCGCCCAAATGGACTTCAAACACCCGAGTCCAAAACCTTTACTGTTCTCACACAACAAGCAGAAAGTAGCAGAGTCTATATAGTTGTACAGTACAGAATATTCCTCCTTGTTATGATTGATTATACTGCTTCCCGTTTACGAGGTGCCGCACGCAGGATGTTGTCGACCCTGATCAAGTCCAGTCAGTCAGAAGGTCACTTCCGTAGTAGGGAAGAAACGTACCGGATGATCATCTCAGCGGCTTCAGTAGCACTGAGCACAACCTGTCGCTTCAACTTGTAGCTCTCAGTAACACCAAGCTGCCTCATCGACCCAATCGTGCCATGCTCCATATCTACAACAGCAAAAACCCAAGATCAGCTTTTCTCCTCCACCTCACTCCAACAAAGCATAAAAGAACTCACCAAGCCCAGTCTCATTCTGCCCCTCAAAATGTGCAGCCCTCAACTTGGACACAAGCTCTGAACTATCAAACCCAGCATTATCAGCCAAAATAGTCGGAATCTCCCTCAGAGCCTTGGCAAACGCCTCAACCGCCAGCGCCTTCTTGCCCTTGATACCCCTTGCCTCTTCTTCAATCGCACAGCTCATGAGCATCTCAGAGCACCCGCCTCCGAGGACCGTACGGGTTTCTTTGACGGTTTGCGAGAGGACGGAGAGGGCGTCGTGCAAGGATCGTTCGGCTTCGTCGACCATTTGGTTTGTCGAACCGCGGAGGACGACGGTGCAGGCTTCGCCGGCTGAGACACCCGAGAACTTGATGAGCTACACAACACCACTTATTAGATCCTTTCCTTTTGTGCGCTGGAGTGGAGGATAGACGTACCTTGTCTTCACCGATCATGATCTCCTCAATCAACTCGCATTGTCCCAACTTGACGAGGTCAGGCCTATCGAACGTGCTCGCGATCTCGCCGCCAGTAACAAGCGACAACCTCTCCACACCCTCGAAATCAGCGTGTTCGATGACCATGATGCCCTTCTCAGCGAGGAGGGATTCGGGGTAGTTGTAGATGAGCTGTCGGTTGACGAAGACGTTGATGCCGTGCGAAGCGATGGCGTCGACTTTGGCTTTCATTTTTTCCTGGAAGATTGCGGTTGGATGAGATTAGGATCGGATGCAGGGAGGAGTATTTGGCCAGGGGCAGAGAAGAGGCACGTACGCGTTCTGCACGCTCAAGTTCCGCGAGTTTACCAGTCCCATCGACTTTAAGTCTTGCACCAAAGATCTTGATCTTGTCAGTGTCCATAGCTATTCACACCATCAGCCCAACCCCCTCCACAATCTTCACCAACCAAAAGCACATACAAGTATTAGCGATGAGGATCTTGGCATTCTCAATCCGCTTCGGCGAGTTGACAGCGATAGTTTTATCAAGGATGAACCCTTCATCGAGGTACGAATCCGTCAGCTTGCCTCCGACCTTTTTGATGATCTGGATGTGCTCCAACTCTACTGAACCCTATACGCCAAATTCAATGTTATCGTCAGATCAAGGAACGTTGTGAAATTGGAGAGAGACAGACCTTCAAACGAAGCACAGCATCCACCGCCAAATTCGCAAAGTAATCCTTGTCTTGGGAGAGAACCTTGGACGAAAGCGTCGTCCTCGCGATATTAAACAGATCTTCTCTAAACTTTTGCTGATCCCCTCTACAAAAACCCAAATCAACATCCCATCCCTCCACATATCCCCACTCCCAGGTAATAACTCACCGATTATCCACAGCAGCAGCCTCCAACGCCTTCAACGCGGCCCTACTCGCAATCCTATACCCCTCCACAATCGTCTGCGGATGAATCTTCTGCTGAATCAGCTTCTCCGCCTCCCTCAACAGCTCCGACGCCAACACCGTCACACTCGTCGTCCCATCCCCAACCTCATCATCCTGCACCTTGGATATATTAACCAAAATCTTCGCAGCAGCGTTATCGAGTTGGATCGCTTTGAGGATGGTGGCGCCGTCGTTCGTCACGTTGATGTCGCCCGTGGACCCGGATTGGAGGATTTTGTTCATGCCTTTGGGACCGAGCGTGGATTTGACGAGGTCGCCTAGGGCGAGGGCGCCGACGAAGGAGGAGAGACGCGCGTTTTCGGCTTTCTCCTCTGTCGCCTGTTACGATCCGTTCCCCAGCCATATACCACATCGAGATCACAAGGCGGACGAAGAGGTAAAAAGAAAAATAAGTTCAGATCCATCGTGGTTAGCGATCAGTTTCACCTTGGACAGAGAAGGAGAAGGCTTACATTTTCACCAAATATCTGCATCGCCATTTTGGAGTGGTTATCGCGAAGAAAAGGGTGGTGAGGTTCTTGCGATGGTGGTCGTCGTCCAAAGTTACGGTCACCCTAAAACGCGTCCTCTGATCCCGGACGTCACGTCCTTCTTTTGGTAAGTTGTTGCCACGCCTATTTGTCCTTATCGAGCAAAGGGACCGTGCGCCTTGGGCGCTTAACGACGAGGTGCTACTTAGGAGTAAACGGGCTGTAGAGTGTTTAACGGGAATAGCATTTGCAGGATAACTGGAAAGATGCAAAGTCATAGACAGGGAAGGGCGCCCAACGGGTTTCGAACCCCGAGAGTTAACTCCTATCTATCCAGGTACCAAAAGAGAGACCAACTTGACAATGAATACCGACTGACAGCTCAGCCTCGAGGCTCGAGGATAAAATGCAGATACGTCATCACTGAAACACCCTTTTATCGTACCATTCTCCCTGTAATGATCAGACATCCCAGCGTAGAAACTTGAATGAATGAAAAGACAATCATATGACCCTTCACCTGGCAAATGAATGTCGAGGTACCATGCCACGCCTCCAGATCAGAGAAAGATAATGGCAATGCATAAGTGACGAGAGAAACTAATATTGTACACACAGAGAATTAAGATCTACCTCCCCAAACTCGTCAACACCCATTCCAATCGACACGGACCTCGACATCAAGGACCGCCGACGGAACTCACAACTCCACCCTACCGCACCTTCCGTCATTCATACCAACCTCCCCCCTCCCTATCCTTACCAAAGCCCATGAACTAACAAACCTATCCCCTGCCCCCTAAAGCACCCCAACCCCCGCCCTAAACTCCACAGCCGCCATCTCCCCGAAATCCCACAACCTCACAAACCTCAAATCCGCCTTCTGCGCCAACGCCACAAAATCCTCCAACGTCCGCTCCTGCGCATTCAATAACGACATCATAACAATGTCGAGGTTGTATTGGCGGATACGCCCGATGCCGTAGTTGGGTAGGAGCGGCTCCGGGGCTTGCGGTTGCACGACTTCTTTGGAGTGCGCGCGGTTCGCGTGTTGGATTATGAATTCGTCTGCAGGGAAGGGGGAGGGAGGGGTGTGAGGAAGGGGAGAGGAGGGGAGAGGGAGGAGGAGACGTACGGATTAGGACGCGGCTGTGCGGAGCCATGGCTTGACGGACACCTTTGAGGATCTTGACGCAGTCATCATTCGGCCAGTCATGACTACACCAGAAGCGCCGTTAGCCCTTGTCAGACTCTAACCCACCAAAACCCAAACGTACATAATATTCTTAAGCTGCCACAAAAGAAAAGCACCCATCAGTCCTCACACACACCACACACACACGCAAAATCAACCCCACTCACATAATAAATATCACACCCAGGAATAGGCGCCTCGGAAAAGAAATCCATAGCCTGAAACTCAATCCTTCCCTGTTCGATCGCCTCGGGGCACTTCAAAGGCCACACCTCCTCCCTCGCCTGCCGAATCCTCTCCGGTATATCCTGCAACTTCAACTGCAAATGCGGGTGAGCCTTGGCCAATTGCATCGTGATATTCCCAACACCCCCGCCTACGTCGCACACGGAGGCGCCTTTCGGGAGTTTATTCCATGGGTACTCTGTGTGTGTGTGTGGGTAATGTGAATTGGGATTTAGAGTTAATGTTTTGAGTTGTGCCGGCGGTATCGAACCGGAAGTGGGAAATGGAAGTGGGTGGTTAGGCGTTGGTGCGGAGATCGGCTATTTAGAGAACGTACCGTGGACGACGTTGCCTGCTTCAGTCGCCGAGCCCCAGCCCATCATCGCAATACCGAACTGAGCGCCCATTTCTGCACCAGCAGGCGTACCCTAAAACAACAACCACAACACAATCAGTCTCTGAATCTCGGACATTCGAAATGGAGTGCACTGCCAAATAACTGTAACAGAATGGAGCGTCTTGACTCACCGATTCGAAATACTCAAACAAGTCACCTTCAAACCCGGTGTAGCGGTTGAGGGCAGTCTGCCGGGGGTCCCTCGAGCTTCCCCACTCCGGATCCTTGAGTACCTCGGTCAACGCTCCCGCGCATTTACCGCTTTCCTCGGTGCTACATATAGTATTCGCGATTAGTGAAGCTGACAGACACCCGGCATCCGCATATAGGCAGGAACTTACAAGTGACATCCTAGATTCCACAAGGGGTTGGTTGAGAGTAACTGCATGCTCAAGCGGTTGTTCGCAAAGACATCCGTCGAAGCTGCATGAAGTGCGTCGTTGGTATCAGTCAACAACGCAAATTAGGATTATCACCATACTGACTGACCTTCACGGAAGATATGTCTCGTAACAAGCAACCGAAGGATCCTTCCGAGTTTATTAGCATCAACCCCGACTTTGGAGGATAACTCCGAGATATGCATCCCCTCCGGCTTATTCAAGAGGACATCGGCAATCTTGAAGCGAAGCGCGACGTTCAAGCAGTGCGGTGAATAAAGCTATTTTTATAAACGAAAAGGGTGTCAGCGGGAGCTGTCAGAAAATCATAACTGTGGAGGAATAATAGCCGGAGGGATAGGGATCTAAGTATTACTCACCTCCATCTCCCGCTAGGAGTTCAAAAATACGTTCAAATAGCGGCGCAGGGTGGCATCATCGTCGTGGTAGTCGTGGTAGTGGCAGTACAATCCAGGTGTAAGCATCGCAGCGGGAATAACAGGTAAACGTCAGCACATGCCAGCAGGGGACACTTCAGAGTCACCCAATAGACCAACAACACGTACGTTTACAACCGACCGATTCGGTTTAGCGACGGTTGCGCATAACTGTGCGCAAGCTGCCTCGATGGTCTGAACTGCTTTCCGCAGCTCTGGCGTGTAGAGCTGCGTGTCCAGCGGGTGCTCCTCCGTGTCGTCCAGAGAGGGCACGTACGGCTTCGAAGAGGCTTTGAAATGCGCCTCGACGATGGCTGTAGCGTCCGAGATGAGCGAGACGAGTGTCGAGAGCGAACCGTCTTTTGCGACCATTGTCTTCAATATTAATCGAGTGTAGTGGGCGAATGGGAGATTCGTAAGAATAAGCAGACGGTTTTTATAGAGAGTTGGAAAGTCCCAAGCCGCCGAGAGAATCGCACTCGTAGGGGGTATAGTGCAGTAGCTGGATTCCGATGGAGCTGCGACCGACTATGTCAGGTATCAACTTATAAGTGAATATGCCGGCAAGGAGGAGTCTTCCATTCGTCGTTAATCCATGGACCTGATCCGGTGACAGTTTGCGTACTGTCTACTGTCGACCAGTATGCGAAGAGGAAAGCCCAAGCGCTTGATTTCATTATGGCTGGGGTGGTAAGTTAGAGTTCAGTCCAGGCCAGTATGGTCACCTCAAGGCCCACAAACGCCCCCTGCGCTGGGCGGTCGAAATGCCCATGTCATGTCCTAGGAACATGAAACGGGTTGGGTGGGGAGAGGTGTAACCTCGACAGGAAAAGAGAATGGAGACTAGCTCGGACATCAGGGTTTTGTCAGAGTTCGTAGAGTGTCAAGGGACGCAGGTAACGGGATTAGGTACCGTCTGTCAAAACCCTACATTTCCATTCAGTAACTCGAAAGTATCAAATCACAAAAGGCGTACCATCGGTATTCAAAAGCCCACCTCCTCGCCAAATGGTATGTGCGACCTTCACGGACTAGCGCTCGTCCGTGGCCCTGATCAGTGGCACATCCATCCATCCCAAGGGCTCAAACAAGGTTTGGCATCAGGATATCAACCCTTGTTTCAATTTAGCATTTAGAAAGAAGCCACTTGGGCCGTGGACATTTAGCGCTTCGTTAGAGGAGATACTTAGGCTTTGCAGAGCGTTTACAGAGCAGCAGGAGCAGTACTTACGCAAGGTGGGTGCGTCGAGCGTGTCGTTGTTAAGTTGTGACCGGGAACCCCTTTACCGGGTTTCCGACCCAAGTCTTGGCGGCGATTGCCGACTCTATCGGCACTGCCACTGATGCACTCTGATTGGCTGCTTGTGCATCCGTTACCGTCTGATTCGTCGACCCCATGTCTGCGCAGGGCGGCAGGGGCGGAATATCTCACTGACCGACACCAACCCAGCTGTGGAATGCATGGTGTGCACACTTGTCCAGTAACCAAATTCCCACTAACAACAGGACTAGTCTAAACCTAAATCTCCGATTCGTGGCATTCATGCACGCAGCCAGAAATGCTGGTTGGCAAAACAAATTTTGAGGCACCGCATCGCCCACAATTGGGCCACCAACTTCCCAAAACCACCATCATTCGTGATGTACCCCGAGATGCTGATTGGTCAGGGTATGCCGTTGACCCCTAAGTTCTTACTCCCGCTCCACGGGCTTCCACTGGGCGCTCAGGGCAACGCCGCTCCAAGCCTCCCATCGGCTGCCTGATGCCTGCAGGCTGTTACAACAGACCGCTCTCCCCATATAGCACACCCCATGCGTCCGGGACGTGACATGCATGAGAGTGCGTCGTGCTTGTGTACGAAACTTCTTTCTTTCCTCTTCGATGATGATATGACGCATGCCTAGGACCCTTTTTCCCATTCTTGCACGCTGTCGAAGCGAATACATATAGGTAACACTACTACTGCGTAAGGCGAAGCTCTCCCTTTCCAAGCCCCCCTGTTTGCCACCACAGGCATGGTCGACTCTGGACTCTCTGTCGAGCAGTTTGGGACCGCGGTTCATCGTTTGTGAGTAGCGCCCGTCTTTTTTTTCTTTCTTTCATCTTGCTCCTTCTTCGCTCCAGCTCGCGCTCGCGATATAATTGGATTCCCGGACTGATCGTTGTCACTTACTTTCAGAAATGCGGTGAAGTACTTTCAATTGGCGGCATTTGTGGTGCTGGTCTATGACCATGGTATGTTTCTTTCTCTATACCTACCTTGGGTTTGGTACTGAAATAGCTCTCGCTTCGTGTCTCCACAGCTCTCACATTAGACCAAGAAGCACGTCTTGTCTCCGCCCTAATCCCAACCGACAATCCTTTAACACTTCTGTTTTCAGGTTGCGCGGATATGGAAGCGGCCACTGTCCGGCGCCTCGATTCTATTCTATATCAATCGCTACATCACACCTTTACAGTTCATTATTATAATCAACGGTGCGTTCAAATCTACATTCTCAACTTGTAATGTCTTGGTGGTGGTCATCTGAACATGCCTCTTCGTCCTTCCTTCGTCTCCGATCGTTACAGCTTTCCATGATCCTAATTGGACAAAAGAAGTAAGGCTCGAATTAGTGTACCGAAACTTGCGGAACTTCGCCAACTGACATCGTAATTCTTTTGTTATTACAGGCGTTCGTCCTTTCCTATCGTCTCGGATCCAAGACAAGAGGCCAATGATGCCCTTTATGCAGATGTCAACGATTCGTCGCCTTTGAAGGGGCCTCCACAGTAGCCTTGATAGCAGGTACGCCTCTCTTACCATCTCGGTTCCACTCCACCCAATACTGAAGGTTCTTCACTCCAGTTTGCCAACGTGCGTGCAGTTCACCAATACGATGGGCCCGATGCCCGATGTCCACCACCTCCCTCGAAACGCCCACTGATCCGAACCCGTGAACCTTTTTTTCACAGTTTTGATGATACTCCGCATCTACGCTCTTTACGCCCGATCCAACTGGGTTTTGTCGCTCCTTTTGTTTCTCTGGGCCGGACAGATCGCCGTTTCTTCTATTGGTCTCACTACCGGCTTTCGTACGTCCTTTGTTCTCGCTCGTGTACCCAGGTGTGGAGACATGTATGTACTGAACGCACTTCCGTTTTAGCCGCCCCTCTTCCTCCAGGTTTGGTTGGTGAGTTGATCGTTCTCCATTTCGTGAAGTCCATTTTACGAGGATGGAATCATTCTGTTAATTTCCGCTTGTCTGTCTGTTTTGTTCACCTTGACTGATGTACTGCACTTCTCCGTTTACAGGGTGCATCTTCACAAGCACGTCGAGATTCTTCCGTATGTCACTGATGAAACTAACTTTGCACCCTCAAACGTGTTTTGCTAACTTCTTTTGCTTTTCCAGCGGCGCTCTGGGTTGCCCCGTTGGTCACTGACAGTGTTATCTTTATTTTGACACTCCTACGGACGAGAAGTTTTCGTAAATTAATCAAAGGAGGGACACCGTGAGTTTTCTCGTTCTGTCATTTTTTTGCTTGTTCTTCTTGGTTGGTCTCGTGCGCATGTTCTGCGTCTAAATGGACGTCGATCTGGCGATTTACGTTTTGTGCGTTGGATATCGATCTAATCGAACGTTTTCTAGGACTTTACATGTCTTCGTCCGAGATGGAACAATCTACTTCCTCGTCATCTTCCTCGCGAACTTGATGAACACCATAATTTACTTCGTAAGTCATTTCGTGTCTTATGTCTCGTGTCCCTTCGACCCTTGCTCTTCTCCGCCGATACGGAGACGGCTCTTCTTAATTTATCGAATCTGAGAAAGGGTCGGATGTCGTCCCGAATCTCTTCTCCAACCTACCTTCCTGATCTTGACAACTATACTGACATACACACCCAACCACCAAAAACTATAATCTCGTAAAATGACAGACAGCTCCAGAAGACCTAAAAGCCATCGGCGCCTCGTTCAGCCAACTGATCACAGCGGCTATGGTCTCCCGGCTGGTCCTCAACCTCCGCTCTCTCTCCACCTTTGAGCACTTTGACAGCTACATCCACGAGACGGAGATCCACGGGCACCACTCGCAGCTGCGGTCGGGGAGGAGTGGGATTGTGGTTGCAAGAGACAACTTTATGACGCGGACGTTGAATGATTTGGGGGATGGGGAGGAGGAGGGGGATTCGTTGGATGGGCGGGGGATGGAGTTGGAGGTGAGGGTGGATAATGTGGTTTTGAGGACGGTGGAAGGTGGTGGTGGGGAGGGGGAGGGGGAGAAGGCGAGGGTGGAGGTGGTGCAGATGCCCGTACTACCGGTGCGACGGAGGGAGCCTGTGGGTTCGGACTCGGATGCAGAGAGGGGAGGGTTGGCGTCGACGTCGACCACGGAAGACAAGGCCCCTGTTGCACTATGAATTCATTGGTTTTTGGCCGATAGTATACCTACATTTAACTTATACCATTCCTTGCATATTTCTTTAAGCTGGTGCTAATGCTTTTGTTGTATGTACTCCATTCGCTTTTTTGTAGTTCAACAGTATATCATGGGTTAGGCGTAGTCGATGAGGCTGGGCTACGTGGATTATTTAAATGCCTGGTCGGCTTTAACTATTCAACTCCTGGTGCATAGAGATATTAGCGCCTCAAGCAGGGCGCGAGGTCTCTAATCTCTAAGGCACTGAATCTGGTTAAGGAACTGAAAAATTAATGGTGACCGTCGATTATGGTTCTTCCATAACCAAATAATTATCTTTTGAGTTTGCACACCTACTCCGGGCAGCCTATGGCTCTCACAGAGTGGAGGTGAAGGAGCGACGGAGATAACTCGGGATCACGGCTTCCCCACAAAAGGAAAACGGATCAGATGGGTATATGTAGTTCCACGTGATCTGACATTTCGCCAGCTCACTTGTTTCTTTCGAGCGGGCGCGAACACGTCGCCAGTGACGCTTCTTTACTTTTCCCTTTCGCTCGCTTGGCCGTCCTCAGAGGCGTGCTCTCTTCCTCTCTTCCTCGTCGTTCCTTCTTCCTTTATATCGGCCATTTACACAAAATCCCTAGTTTCGACTCGATACCTATTGGAAGATTCGGGCAGCCTCATTAGACGATAACTATTAGGCAGTAGCCCAAGATGGCCGCCTACGAATATGACGAGGCCGGTGTTATGGCCACATATTTCCTCTTGACGGTGTTGGCTCTGGTGCTGATACCGGTAACGTTGGCGTCGTTGGGTAAACGCTCAGGTTCGTCCACCTCTATTTCATCTAAATCCCTAATAATTAGGCTGATTCTCCTTTCCCTTTGCTCAATAGACACGACCAAACACGGCTGCGACTGCAAAGCCTGCCAGGAACAACGAGCGCGGATTAAGAAGCGGGAAGGATCCATCTTCTCGCTCAAGTTCTCTACCAAGTACGTGTGGTGGCGTTGGCGATTGGGTTTGGGGTGGAAGTTGACCGGTATGCGTTGGACTTTAGGACCTACCTTCTCCTTGGAGGCTGGACATTGGTTGCACTGCTGTCATGGCGCGCTTCCAAGCTCAAGACGAACAACAAAGTCTACGACCCCTTCGAGATTCTCGGTATCTCCTCCGTACGTCTGCGACTAGCTATGGGCGCGGGTTAAAGACTAATGGACGTGTCCCATAGAGCGCAACCGAGAAGGAAATCAAGTCCCACTACAAAAAGCTCTCCCGGCAATTGTGCGTTTGCAACCGTTCCCGTGTCGCTATGAAGACATATCTAACGTGTCACCAACCAGCCATCCCGATAAGGTTAAAGTCACCGCCGAAATGACGTTGGAGCAGATTCAAGACCGTTTCGTGCAAATTACCAAGGCGTATAAATCGTATGACCTACCCTCCATTGCGCACCGGTGGAAGTGCTGACTGGAATCATCATAGCTTGACGGACGAGAAGATTCGCAAGAACTGGCTCGAGTGGAACAACCCTGATGGACCTCAATCCACCTCTATGGGTATCGCCCTCCCCAAATGGATCGTTGAGAGCCAAAACAACATCTGGGTACTCGGGTTCTACGGTCTCCTGTTCGGTGGTGCCCTCCCTGCTGTCGTCGTACGTGTACCCCTCCACGTGGCGTTGACTGGACACTGACCGTCTATTCATAGGGCCGCTGGTGGTTCGGCAACCGCCAAAAGACCAAGGACGGCGTTCACGCCCAATCCGCTGCTACCTTCTTCAAGTATGTCCGCGAGGAATCCAGCGTTGATGAGATCGTCTCCTCCCTCGGCAAGGCGTACAAGTGGGAACTCCCTCAGGTCAAATCGGGTGTTGACACCGAGTTGGCTGAGCTCGAGAAGGCTATTGTTGAGAAAGTCGGTTCGCGGTATGCGGAGGTTAAGAAGTCGGCGAAGGATGCGGATGGAACTATTCATCCCTCAAGAGCGAGGGCGTTGGCTTTGATTTATGCGCACTTGTGTCGGATTGAGGTTAAGAACCCTGCTTTGGCTGAAGGTGCGTGGATATCTTCTCTGGTCTCCCACACGCTTTGTTGACAAGTTGGCAAACAGAACAACGCAGAATCATCCTTTCGACTCCCCTCCTGCTTTCCGCGCTCCTCAACGTCGCTATCGCTCGCAACTGGCTCATCCCCACCCTCTGGGCTATGCGTCTACACTCCTACATCGCTCAGGCTCTCCCTCCCGACCCACCCCCGCGTGTCAAGCTCACCCAACTTCCCTTGTCCAAGGCTGATATCGACTCCATGTCTCCCCGACCGAAGGATATGCACGAGGTTTTGGTTGCGCTTGAGGATAAGACGGACGAGAAGAGCGTTGAAGCCAAGAAGGCGCTGGCCAAGTGGGGTCGCGTTGAGATTGTTGATGCAGGTTTCAAGGGTGCGTAAACCCCGTCCCTTTTTCAATTGGTTGGGAACGCCAAACTAACACAATTGCGAATTCGAATTACAGTTATTGGCGAACGCGTTATTTCCCCTTCTTCGATTGTTTTCCTCGTTGTCAAGCTCCGGTTGACGCCGCCTGGTGTATCGGTTGAGCCTAAGGATTTGAGCGTGGAGGAGACGAAGCGGGTGGTTAAGATGAATGATGAGAAGGATGAGGCTTTCTTGCTTGCCAAGGGTGACGCTGAGGAGATTTCGGAGGAGAGGATTCCTGGATATGCGCATGCTCCTTATTGGCCCGCTGTACGTTTTGCTCTCTCTCTCTCCCCTCCCGTTTGGCATGCAAGGCTAACACATTCCTTGATCTTACAGGGTCGTAAACCGACGTGGTGGATCGTCCTCGGCGACGACAAGCAGAACCGGATCGTTGTCCCACCCATGCGTGTCTCTGAGATCCCCTACGCTGATTCTGAGAGCGAGCGTGATTATAGGAGTTATAAGATCCAGTTCCAGGCTCCTCCGCAGGTTGGCTTGTTCACGTGGAGGTTGTATGTGGTTAGCGATACGTATGCGGGTGAGGATGCTGTGCGGGATGTTCAGGTGCGTGTTCCCATTTGCCTTTCTACCCGAGTCGCAAAACTATAACTTATTTGGATGTGTGTTCGTTTTACGTTTGCAGCTTAAAATCGAAGAACCGGTACACGAAGACGAACCCTCTGAAGACGACATTTCGGATCCTGACGAGGACACGTTGGCGGGCCAGATGGCCGCTATGCGTGGTGGTGCTGTGAAGAAGAGGAGGGATGAGAGTGATGATGATGATGACGACGATGATAGTGACGAGGAGACGGAGTATAGTGATACTACGAGTGATAGTGATAGCGATTAGACAGACCAGACGTCTTACTGCATACTTACTATTACTAGCGCCTCCTTGTACTACTCTTTCAGGTGGTTGGGTTTCGGATTCAGACTGTTTTTCGCTACCCGCTAACCTGTATGGTGTCCACTCTCGTTACAGATCACGCGCAGCGCACTCGCTCCCTCCTGACTTTGTGGTAGATTGGCGCGTTGTTCATCCCGGGTTTATATCCTGTCTTGATCCTGTCGTTGTTTTTCTTACCCGTTTGTTTTATATTATTATTTTTTGCGTGCAATTTGTAACCCTACATACAGTACGTATTTCAGCACCATCCCATCCTCGTTCGTTCGTTCGTTGAATGGTTCTTCGTTTCGGGGCTACTTTCTGGGGAGGGCCTTGAGGCTCCCGATGGCGTACTACCATAAAAGGAGCACCCCCTCTAATAAGCGCCCACCGCGTTCGGCTAGCTCGATCGTGATGGCGGGGTGATCGTGCCTAATCTAGATCCACGAGGCGACGCGAGCCTCGAGGCCCATCGTTCTGGTTTCGAGTCGACTCGCTCATCAATCGTTCGCTACTTATCTTCCAAGGTTTTTGGGAGTGTGGTGGTTTGATTAGCGCCGGCGCTAGGCAGTACAGCACTGGTACTGGTACTGCCAGACGAAGTCGAATCTTGAAGCTTGAAGACAGAGGCAAGAGATGGAAATGCCAGGTCATGATCCAGCCCGAGCGTTGTATGGGCCCAAGGGGCGTGTTGCCCAGATCCCAGGTGAGTTCGTCGAAATGGACTCTTAACTTAACCCCTGATTAACGTTCAACGTTTAACAATAATGCCTATGTCATGTAATAATGGCCCCTCTCAGTTATGGTGACGAGTTCCAAGAGGTTTAGACCGCGAAGGAAGCCGGTTATTGCTCCGGAGGTGTTGAGGGCGTTGAAGATGGAAGGGGAGGAGGAGGATGAAATGGGTATGAGCGTGGATGTGGATACGAGTGTGGATTTGGATGTGAAGTTGGACGGTGGGAGCGTGGGTGGACAGGGGGGTATGGACGTCGACCTGGAGGGGCCTACGAATTCAAATCGCGTCGTCGAGCATGTCAAGAAAGAAAACCTAGTGTCAAGTTTTGGGCGAGTTAAAGTTGAGCCTGCTGAGGGGGTGACGATCCAGCAGGAGACTCGCCAATCGCTACATCCGATATGTTATGTTCTGTTGCCGACGCTGGAGCAAGTTTTGCGGAGGTATCGGAGAGAGAGGGTGGTGAAGAAGGAGGAAGATGTGGAAGAGGCTATGGTTGTGGAGGAGGATAAGGTTGTAGGGAAGAAGGAAGAGGAAGAAGAGCGGAAAGTTAACGTTGCGAATGGCTTGAGCGGGCCATTGATCAAGACGGTACGATTCAGAGTGCCCACTGTTCAGGTATCGCACAAGCTCATTATGTTCTTACTATTTAGGACTCTGAGCCTTTGCATGAGTCTGAAGACACTGTACATATAGTGAAGCATGAGGCTGGGACGACGGACCTCCCAACACCCCCTGCTTCCGAGTCAGTTTCCTCGCAGGTAAGTAAGCTTGCTCTGAGCAATAGTATCCCGTACGCGGACTGATTGGATTGCTAACTTTGCTTGTTCGTTGTTCTCTATAGCGGGGATCCCTCTCTCCTGAAATTGAAATCGTGGAGTGGAAACCTCGTATAAAGACAGAGCCCAACAGGGCAGGCCTGGGAGACTCCACGAGCTCCTCAACCCGAAATACCAATAAGCGAGCTAGACGTTCGGAAGAGAGGGATTTTGGCGATGTTGTGCGGAGAAAGGTGTGTTTCTCAGCATTTTGCTGGGTGGTAGGACCGTTCTCAATGGATTGTGTAGAAAGTCAAGCGAGAGCCTTCTGCCTGTGACTTGGATGACTCGGACACCGTACAAGCATCACCGCCAGCAAAGGTCAGCTCGATGGCAGTTTGCTGGTTGACATCTGGATTAACTTAGTCTTACAGACCTCGCCCAGGCGTAAATTGAAGAAGACGCAATCCGTCCAGCGCCAGTCTGGGGTAACCGAAACAATTGCCGAGCGAGAACTGTCTCCCGAGATTGGCCTCCCTTTCCAGTCTCCGGCTTCTCGGGCTCTTGATGTGCAAGTCACGACGACAGCGTTCGTCGACTTGTCGGAAGAAGGCGAGGTTAAGACCCAAGAACGGACAATTAGTCACCCCATTGCTGGTCCATCGGGCGGCACTCGGGCTTCTCCAGCACGCAAAGCGAGGGCGAGCAAGGAGGAACCCGTTGTTGCACCTGTTGTGAAACGGGAAGCGTCGCCCGAGATTGATCTCGCTTTCGGCGAGGAGCAACTGCCTCAAGCTATTGCTGGGACTAACGATGCTGGGGCTGCAGGTGATCACCCGAGAGTGCAAGAAGAGACTCCTCCCGATGACAGCAGGGTGCTGAAGCAAGCAGCGACGAGCGCCGCTCCACTCACGCAACAGCAGCGTGAAGAGATCGAGAAGACGTGGAAGACCAAGGCGAGTAGATTGAGATCTACTCTGTCACTTCAAGTTTTACAGCATCCTAAACTCGCCTACATCAGGGAAAGAAAGTAAAGAACGAAAATGCCCAACTACACAAATCCATTATCTGGTCGCGCCTCCAGCAAAATGGCGTCTCACCCGAACTCTTCGAAATCGAGTTTGACCAGGACATGCTGCACCTCGCCGTGCCTAGGCTATTCATCAGCAATACCTACGGCGGGAGCATGCAGTGTACGTTCCCGAGGATTAGCGGGGACAAACTTAGAGAACACGGTCTGGACGACTGGTTTTTCTTGCCGTTGGATTACCAACCTGAGGCACCTGAGATACCTGGTGCCCCGGGGCTGTGCCAAACTGACTTTGTCCAGAAGTATAACGAATGGAAGAAACGCCCGTCAAAGACGAAAAAGTCAGCGTCGAACGGGAAGGCTGGGTCCTCGAAGAAGACGTCCTCTGGAAAGTCTTCGACCAAGGCCAAGTCGCCCAAGAAGCAGTCGGCTTCGCCCGTCAAGCGCGAGTCGGAGGAGCAAGGACCCTGATGTCATTTTCTACGTACTCATCTACTGCCCATATCCAGGTGTGGAGAGCGAGTAAGGCGACCCTGATATCCAGACGGCAACGCCCGTCGAGAATCTTCAAGCTTCATTTTTGTGAGCACCCCAGACTACGTTTTACCATACAGAGTCTTGAATCTATCTAATTTCCATGCAAGGCACGCGAGGTACTGTAAATACCCGGACGCATGACCTCCAACCAGGGGACCATCGTTGGGCTGTGGGCCCCCAGCTGGCAGTCATACTTAATATTCCTTTGATGACCGCAAGTGAGAGAGAGAATCCCGCGATGCACCGGTGACCGGATGCGACAAAGGATGCGACAAATGCAAACACGATGGGGGGCCCCCGGTTACCAACGACAGCCAACGACTCGGAGCACTCGCATTTCGGGTCACCCGTTGCACTTTGCCCCACGCCCTCCGCCCTCCAACTCTGGCATGTTTGATAAATGACCGCGATAGAACCGATCGCTGCTACGCGACTGCCGTCCAGGTGGCCCGGCGACCTAACATTGTCACAAGCGCCGCTTGGCCATCACGCGAGTACGCGTAGTGCCTCGCTTGTGGCTCAATATCGATAAGTAATATCGATATCGGAGACGTCCATCCCGGGGTGGCGCGCGTTGACGAAGGATATCCATGGCGATTTATTCAGGATTTCTTCTTTTTTTCTGAGCTTTGCCTGTTCTGGAAGGAGGACCTGGCCCGACAATGTGCAGGTTCATTTGTTTTCTCCTGTTTCTCTCTTGCATTCATCATTGCATGATGTGTAGATCACTTGACACCATGAGTCCGGCGCCGCTACGGAGTTGGACCCACGAGGTTTGCAGGGTATATATAAGAGTTGGACGGTTGGAGGGCTTCCAGTAATTCACTGCTTCCCCTCTCGATCATATCATGACCACCGCTGCCCAGAGCCACACTGTCACCTCCTCCGACGGGACTAGTATCTACGCTACTGCCGTCGGAAACCCCGACCTTCCCTCCCTCGTCTTCATCCATGGGTTCAGTCTGAGCTGCAAGGTCTTTGAGCCATTGTTCAAGGATTCAAGACTCCTCGAGCGCTTTTACCTCGTATGTTTCTTTCCTCTTAACGGTCTGGAGTAGTATTTCATTTATCCATGCCTACCCAACAGGTCGCCTTCGATGTGCGAGGCCATGCACGAAGTGGGAAGCCACTGACCCCAGAAGGTTACGAAACACGTCTGTTCGCGGATGACTTCAAAGCTGTATCGGATCACTTCAAGCTGAAGAAGCCAATCGTCGTGGGTTGGAGTCTTGGAGGTTAGTAGTAGTACACCTCAGACAAGCAGAGTCTTCTCTTCTAGCAGCGTCTAACTTCACCATCCATATAGGGCTCGTCATCACCGACATCTTCGCTCACCTCCCCATGGAGACGGTGTCCGCCGTGGTCTACCTCAACTCGATACCCTGGGGCGGAGCAGCCATCCCTCAAGTCGCCACCGCTGAGACCCTCGCCATTCTTCCTCAAGTGTTGGGTGCCACCGGAAGCGTTGACGACACCTTTAACGCAAGAGTGAGGTTCATCGAGACGTGCTTCAACGACCCCTCCGACAACGTCCCGATCAACCTCAAGTGGGAGTGGCTTGGTACGGGTGTTACGCAGCCTCCATCGGTTGCGGGCATGGTCGTCGGTCGGGCGCAGGATGAGAGCAAGTTGGTCGAAGCAGGCAAAGCAGGATTGCCGGTGCTCCATATTTATGGAACGAAGGATAGGGCGATTAACGGGTCGGCTGTGGAAGGCATCCTTAGGCAGACCTTCACTGCCCTTGAGGTGCACAAGATTGAGGGTGGCAGCCACTCCCCCTTCGCCGATGACGGATTTGAAGAGACGGTTGTTACGCTCGAGAAGTTTGCAAGCAAGATTTTTGCATAATTGTAATGTTAGCTGTATTCATTATCAATTGGTTCAATGTCAAGTTCAATTAACATGTTCCAATTACGTTCTCTTTTAACGAAGCCCCTGTTGCCCCACTTTAATGAGCGCGCCGCACTTTGGCCGCACTCGTCAAGCTCTCGTTCCCCGAGATCCCCGAACGCGCTGTGAGAGAAAACGCACGTAAATATTGAAATATTGATACAAACTACATAGAAGCATGCATACATGCTTAAAGAACCTTACAGCCTCTCTCTCTTGACGAGCCTGATAGGCACGTTCTTGATCCCCAACGTAACAAATAACTGGGCGTCCACAATCCGGGCCTTCCACTGTTCAACAGTCTCGCCGGGGTTCAGTAGCGGTTCGATCTTCCAATCCCTGAGGAAAAGACTCAAGAAAGAGACCGCCTCGACTGTCGCGAACTTGCGTCCAATGCATGCCCGTGGACCTGTGAAAGTGTCAACATTGTGGTTCGTGCCAGTCGTAGCTTGGAAAAGGTTCAAATGACTTACCCAGGCTGAATGCTGTGAATGCCTCAGAGTCATTGGGAATATTGTACCATCTCGAGGGCTTGTACTTCTCAGGCTCGTCAAAGTACCGTTCGTTGTATTCTGATGGGTACGAAGTGGGGGATAATGAGATTAGAGCTGCACCGAGGGCCGAGGGAGCTGGATTGAGCTGAGCTACTCACGAACGCCAACCATATCAACGACGACCATGGAACCTTTTGGCAATGGCAGGGGATAAGTTCCTTCTTCCCCCGGAGGGTTTTGAACGCGCAGTACTGTATCCTTGGTAGCCTGACGGAACATGACATGACCGGCGGCTAAGGCGCAAAGGAGTGTTAGGCGGGCGCTCGTAGCAGTCAGAGTTCGGTCGCGAGGACTTACGGAATAATCTCAATGCCTCGTAAAACACGGCGAGGACTTTGTTTAGGCTGTTGTAATCTTCGAATTCCTAGGGGATACAAGTCAGTCGACAGTAGCTCCCAGATCCACGGACTTACTGGGTCCCTATCCCATCCAACTACGGAGAGAATTTGCTCGAGGACCTCTTCTTGGATTTCAGGATAAAGAGCCAGGTGGGCAAAGGTTGCGGCAAAGGTATGGGCGGAAGTTTCTAAATGCGGGTACTCGATGAGCCGACCCTTTACCTCGTTCCACAGAGCCAATGCTTACCGTGTCCAGCAAACAGCAGAACGAAGACATTGCCAATCTAAAAGGATCGCAGGTTAACTGCTATGTTTCCATGGACAGAGATCGATGAGAGGTACCAGCTCTTGGTCGCTCAAGCGGAATTTCTGCCCTTCGTCTTCGTTCGCCTTGACAAGCAAGGTGAAACAATCGTCCGGTAACCGCGGACCAGAAGCATCGTCGCCGACAACGCTATTGCGAACGAAATCCTTTCGCAGCGCGACTTGCTCCGTCATCCACTCGGTGAACTTAATTTTAGCTTCGCGGTATTCATTGAAGCTTCCGATCATACTCTATTAGAAGCATCTTCGGAGCTCGCAAAATTAGGTACTCACTACTTAAAAGGGAGGTTCTGAATCCATTTCGGGAGTTGGAGGACGATCTGCCTGTCGTTGATGAGCTTGAGGGCTTCTTGCATAGATACTTTGCCGTCAGCGGACACCGGTTGGTCCGTCCAGCTGAGGTTCAGTCCAAAGCCACATGCGCCCATAATAACCAGCGCCATCTGTCCGCCGTGGATGGTTAGTTACGCCCAAGGAGAGTCAAAGACCACACACTTTGAAGATGTACTTCTGAACCGAATTGATCTCCACGACCTTCTGGCCGTCCCAGCCTTCGACGGAGCTCATTTCGCGGTAGGTGGCGGCTGTCTTTGACCATACAAGTCGGTACCTAGACGCCAAGTAAGCAACCAATTCAAAGATACTTGCTCCTACTCACAGATTCGTAGAGAAGGACGGGCCCAGTACGCGTCGATGCTTCCTCCATTCATCTCCACCCTCAGCAGCAGCAACGTTCATTCCCCATTGCCTATCAGGCGTCAATTGAAGGCCGGGTTTGGTTGGTGGGATTTCAAAGCACGTACATTAGCCCCCGACTAGCACTCATTGGCTTCACGAAATCGGACTTGGCTCCTCCAGCGACCTGGCGCAATATGTCCAGATTGGAGGTGAAGATGACAGCGTTTCCACCTAGCCATCCTATATAAGAGAATATCTCGGACTTGAAGCGCTTATAATCTTGTTGGATATTTCGTCAGCCACAACATGCATTGAAGAAGGGAGCAAGGGTTCTCACTGTGATATCTCCAGCGCCAGAGAAAGACGTATCCTGGGTTCAAGAAACTGCTTGGGAAGAGCAGGCCAGGGATTGAATACGGGAAGAAGGGCCTTCGATATCCATCAACATAACCAACTCTCTACAACGTAAAATCAACAAGGGAGCCACGGAACGTTGCAAGGCCTCTTACCGCGAGTCCACGGAATAGCTTCACGATTGTGGAAGTCGTGAAGATGGCAATGATGCTTGTAAGAGCGAGAAAAGGTAGATTCTGTCCATCGTCGATGCGGAGTGACAGTCCTTCCAGAATTTGCGAAACGGTTCCACCCTCTAGAAGGCGGGTCAGTGGTCCAGGAATGTCGATGGCCATGATGGTAATTGGGAAACCCACACTCGAGCTGGACGGAGACGACGGGCAACGAATGTTAGACAGTATGCAATCCACATTACTCATTCGGAGCTCATTCTCCGGCGGAGGTTTTGACAATTCCCAGAAACGAACGCCTACATGCCTCCACACGCACGTACATCCTGACGATGGTTTTTCTTGAAGTTGGGAAAAAGGGGAACGACGCTTTCTGCTTTGTCTTTGGATATATCTCAGTGAGGTGCATAGAGTCAGAGCTGCGTCCAAACCACGTCCACCACAAGCCGTCGTGGGTATAGCAGCTGGGAAAGAAATGACGGAAACATGGATGTCTTGACGATAACCAGGGGGATCGGCGGCAAGGGTTCGGCAACGGAGGACATTCGCACGATAATGCCGAGCATTAGCCGAAGGGGATGTGCTTCCCCACCCATCCCGGTCTGAGGGGCATCCACCACATTGGCATTGTGCTTGAGGAAAAGATAAGAAGGAATTGTGCAGGATCATTTGAAGGTAAAAGTGCACGTAATTTAGCTTGACGTTTAGCAGGCATGAGTTGAAAGACGGTTTTGTAACAGGAGAGAGAATACTAGTCCGAACATTGACAGACACGTATAGTCGGGGGCTCACAAGAAAGCGAACATGAATCCAGAAGCACAAATAAGCAATGTAGCAACAGGAATGGAAGGTGCACTTCCGAAAGGAGCAGAGCTGGCCTGCGCTTCTGGGGTTGCGAAAATAGGGACCTCGAAAGCATCGAACTGGGCGAAATGACCATCTGACGGACGGTCCGGAACGTTCTCCGTGTAATATCCCTGATAGACGAGGGAGATGGTGTGCTCGGTTCGGTGCTCAAATCCTGGAGGTAGCACCAGGAACGGCGGGAATTGAAGTGCGCGGCACACAGGCCCTTCCGGGTCTACGCTTGTTGGTCCGATATAGGTGTCAATGATGGAGCTGGTGTTGAAACCGTCGATAAAGACTGCGAACACCCCACCGCGGGGGTGAGATACAGTGTGGACGATGACACTTGGACCTAGCATAGTTAAGAAATGTCAGGTGCGTGCATCATACAGCGGAGTCAACCAGTGAAAACTTGCCTGAGAAAGTGAAGTTGACAGAGGCTCCTATAACATCGGTAACGCGGAGAGTGTTGCTCAACGTCGAGCATCCAAGGTCATCGCTCAATCCGGTCTCGTTCCAGGCTCCTTCGCGACTGAAGGTAATGGCAGGATCGGTTATCGGGACAGCGGAAGCTGGAGGCTTCTCAATCGAAGTCGCGGTAGGATAGGCTGGAACTGTGACGCCCATTGCATCGACACACTGGATAGGGCTTTCGGGAGTACTCCAATGGCAGATTGTCCCCAAAGCTATTGAGTATGGATAAGTACGCAAGCGCAAGGTCAAACGAGAAATGTCGCCCTACTCACGACAGCAGCTAGTCGCAGGTTCAATCGCGTCGCAGACGACTGAGATATTCATTAACCTTCGAAAAAGGACTGTGTCCTGGAAACTTACAGAGGTCAACATCAGACTCGCATCGCTTATGACGATATTGGTTGACCCATTTGTCACCGGCGAGGCAGAGTGGTATTCCTCGGTTTATGTTGCACATTTCATCCGAGGCGCAGCAAATTTTGTAGGCACCTCCGCATTCAATGGTGTTCGGTGCACAGGTCTCCTACAAGTAAATGATGTTAGGACTGCTGGAGAAGGTCGACTTTGGTTGGAACAACCTACGTTTGGTGCCAACGCAGCAAATGCTGGACGAACATGAGCAACCAACAAAAACAATGCGAAAACTCTGAGAACAAGTGCCATAGCGTATGGGTGGAAGCCAATCACAGAGAGGTTAGTGGGTGTGGAGCTTACCATTCCCCGTCTCACTAATGTTGCTGTTAAATAGTATGTCGTCGAATATCCTCCACACGCAAAGAGGCCAAGCGTGGAAGGCCCACCACGCTGCAATTGGCTATACAGGTGAGACTCGGATGTCAGGAAGCTTCCTTCCACACGAAAAGCTGTTGCACAGCGTAGTAGTCCGTCTTTATGAAAACCTTCCCAGGAACAGGTGGGGGCCCCGCCCACAGCCTATGGGTTGGGTTTGTAAACTAGGTGAAGGCTGTGGCGAGCTATTATTGTCGATGAGCGCCTACTAGAAAGAAGGCATTGTTGGGCTTCGGAAAGATAGAACCCCAGGGTTACCAGGAGGCATGTCAGGGATAAGCGCTGAAGAAGCCATAGATAGGCGCTGGAAACAATCGAACCCTTGATTCAGCCGATTAGAACCCTAGAATCACCAGCAGAGCTGCCTCGTGGAGCAGGAATGAATTAGACCCCCGTGCAACATCGTACGACATTCGCAATGGTGTGCAATCTGAGGTGCAGGTGTGAATGCGGCTCCACTGCCTTGAACGCATGGAAATGACAGGGAAGAGAACTCGTCCCAAACCGTAAAGTTTGATCCCCCAAGTACACCTGACCGACTGGCCTGAATCCACAATTGAAGTCCGCTTACGTTCAATGGCGATGCAGGCGGAGTAAAGGCACTGCGCTCGTTAATTAAACGTGCGAATGCTAGTAACCCAGAACCTTCAAATTCTTGTCCCTATTACACTGGGAACGAGGTTCTGAGCAATGAGAGGTCTGCAGTGAGAAGGGTGGCCGTGGAAGCGGACTGGTGTATGGGTTGTAATTATAGAATACATGCCTGGGGTATCGGGATCGAAGTCTACAACAGTACTAATACATTCAGGACGTCACAAATTCAGTACGTCACGAGAAAACCGGAAAACATCACACGACAGTAGACCCTGCGGAACTGGATGAAGTGCGACGATGTGAAATAACGGGCAGGACGGGAGCCGAGTCCGGAACTGGTGTCAGTTCTTCTGAGGGTTATGTTAACTGTGTTCCCTTCAGAAATCGAGAAGACGAGACTCACGTTTTATGTCAGGACCCGCTGATTCCTTCGACAATCGTTCTGCTGACTGCGCTTCCCGAATGCGCTTGTAGAGAACGGATATTAGCAGCACAAAGCTCTGCACGCAAGTTGAGGCAGGTTGACTGGACTTCAGAGCACTACGTTACCCACCGAAACGGAGGTGATGATGAGCACTGGGACGATGGAAAACGTGTCTGATGGCGCGACGTCAGCTCAGCACTGGTTCCATTGAGTAGCACAGGGACCCACCTAGTACAGTGCCTGCAATTCCCGGTTAAACGGTTATTTTTAGATCGCCGCCGGAAGTCTTCATTCAAAGTACCACTTACCAAAGCCTTGGGGAGCGCCCGGTAAGTTCGAACGGATGCTCGTAAATGCGAACAAGGCACCGATAGGTACGACAAACATCTCGGCATAAATCTGATGGTTTGCGTAAACGCAGGACGCTGCCACAATGGCCAGGAAACCTATCGTCACCAGCCCTAGTCGTAGCAGGCGTTAGCAGTTGGAAGCACACGGAGTGAGATATTCAGCGAACATACAACTCATCACTGCCGTCGCGTAAACGAAGATTTGGACGGTCGAGGATCGGGTGATGAACACGGTGACTTGAAGCTTACTATCTCCAGAGCGAGGTCCCGGAGCGATATACGAAGGACCTTGGGCAAGGTTAAAGCTCCTAACATTGAAAATGTCAGATCGACTAGGCACATCGAGTATCACCAATAGATTAATACCCACAGAACTGGCCTGGTTAGATTATAGATGGCTGGAGCTGTCATGCGTCCAGAGACGCGGTCAATTACCCCAAAGTCGAAGATAGCGCGGAAGCTGTGGGACAAGGGGCTCAGCTACAGCAAACATGGGCAGTCGGAGGTGCGCACCGTTCACGAGGGTAGCGTTGTTGAGACGACGATGATGCCGTTTGGGGAGCCTCGACCCGTCGGGAGTCCACTGGATACAGTTTGGTCACCGTTCGGAAAGAGACTTCACCTGGCCATAGGTTGACGGGGCAAAGTTCGGTGGAGTTCATAATAAAGACCAAATCTGGCCTCTCATCCCTCGAAGTCGGGGTAGATTCATCCAGGAGCAAGCTGAAGGATGGTCGCTCTAAGCTTCTGGGCTAATTCGATGTTGGTGGAGACTTACCGATGTAAATAGATCTCGCGTTCGAAAGGCGACGCCTTGATCTCTGTACAGTTGAGAGTACCCGGAAACGGGAACCAATCCATTGTTATGGTTCGCCCCTCAAGGTCGATTGCAACGACTTCGGCGGAAAGAGACACCTGTCAATTGCAGTTGACCAATGGTGAAGGACAATCGGCAATTGGACGCTTACCTCCGCAGACTCCCGAGTCACTGGATCATCTGGCTTGTCCATAGACATGGATGGTGCTGCCGTGAAGACGGTGACAAGCCCTGAAATGACGAGGAGAGAAGAGAAGTAGAGCATGTATTTGCGAGTGCTGGGTGAGCGGCCACCCCAGAAGGCGCGGATATGGCCTATAAGCCTTGGGATCATTGAGCCAAATCGTCGAAGACCACGGAATCGGAAGCAGAAACTGGGCGAGGGTGTGTCCAGTGCTTAAGAGCCAGTGCCCATCTGGCCCTTACCATTACGCTTAACTGCTAAGAGGATTACCGAGCGTCCAAGAATGGATATTCGCCAACGATTACTCAGGGTGGTGTGTACTCGGGAATACACTGCGCAGCTTCGTCGTCCATCCTCGACCTTGAATGGGTAACGTACGAATACTGTACAAACGCGATCAATTGTGGCGGAGGTATGCGTGACTCGGGAGACTTACAGAGCAGTGGGCAGTGTTCCTGGAGAGTGCTGTCGAGAAACGGTATCTGTAAGAGAGTGTGTGTTCTTCGAAGTCAGGTATTTCTCTTCCGGCGAAAGGTTTTGACCTGGAACTTCTGATGTCACACAGGCCACATGGTCAATGTGTTAGAGTTGAGTGAACGGTAATTCTTCGACCCCGGAGTTCGATGCTGTAAAGAGCGCACCCCGAATTGTATTAGTGCTCGAGTAGAGAGAAAAGGAGGGTCTTTCATCGTCGATAACGAGGCCCTGGGACCGACGATGACGACAGCAGTCCCCCAAAATAACGTCCAACATAGAGCTGGAACACTTTCGATAACCAGGATTCCTGTTCATAACTGTATACTGTGTACACGGTCGCAGTTAAGTGGGATGTAAGCTGCATGGAGTACTCACAGCTGTGTAGGCCGTCTTCCGCCGTGTGTCTGAGGAAGAAGTTCTGAGCTACCCCCGGGCCAGCTCCAGCCAATGATATGGCGAGTCCGGTGTGAAAACTGTAGTTCCCTCATCTCCCGGATATTGGCCGATAAGAAGCACACGCTATAATCGTTGAGCCCAGAGGCTACTGGCAACATAGATTCACACCATTGAGCCGTTCCAGGAATAATTTGGTTCTGGGATGGCATAGAGGTCAGTCGTCACTCGGCATCACAGAAGCGAAACAAGAACCTTATTTAATTAAAGGGCTTCGGCATGGCTGCCTGTCTCTCCTGCGTAGGTTCCAGTGATTCTGGAGTTAGAAATGTCGCGTAACAGCCTTTACATCGTGGTCGTGGTCGTCATTCATCGACAATCTCGTCAATGTCGATGGCTGGTCGATTCGGACCATGCCGCGGCATGCCCCGCCGCGGATCAACCGGAAGTGATGACCGGGCACCGCCACTTCCAAAATTCCTTCCCCGACCGGCGGGAAATGCATCTCAAAGCCTTTCTGAAGTCTTTCTAGGTCTGTTTTGCCCCGCCAATGCCAGAACAAGGAGTCGCTTTCCGGGAAAAATTAAAATGTTTGTCTCCTTCTATTGGATTTGATAAGAGGCGTTCAACAGCTCGGCACAGCGTTGTATAGCCCCACTTGGCCGTATTATGGCGGGGATAACTGAGCAGCTTCTGCATCAGCTTTCCAGCGCACGCGAGCACCGTCAGGCAAATGTTTATCAATTCTCTCGCAGATACCGGTACCGCAGCCCATTGTGCATTAATATCCAGTAAGAAGCAGCTCTCCGCGTTCGGTTGAAACAACACCGTCATCCAAGGTTCCCTATGGCGTCCTCGCTTCCCGAGACATCCTTCTCCCCAATAGCCTCCAAGTAAAGCCATATGAGTTCGAATGACATTCACACACCCAATCGAGCCATCGTTGCCAAAGGGCCCAAATGCCCTGTTTGAGAGAGATTTCGGACACGCGGACGCCGTACGCAATCGAGAGTTCTATAGGTAGTACCATGGCAGTACTAGGCAAGAATGTGGAATGGGAAATGGGAAATGGTCGGCGGATCATTTACTCGGCCAACTGTCCCTCCAATGAAACGTTCAGTCGATCCAGGACATGTTCCCCTTAGAAGTTAGTACGAGTACCGGGGATAGAAGGGCCGAGTGTGGATGGCACAAAGACGGTGTACTGGTCCAGTGAAGTATGGAGACATTCGACTAGCTGTCGATTCGCCTAAATTGCCACTGCCACAGAATCGAAGATAGACTCAGGCGGAACGTGTAACATCAACTTGAATCAAGGCCTTCGTGAGACGTGGAGTTTTGAGTTAGGGTCAAAGCTATCCGAGAATCCATTTCCCACTTCCCTGCACATAAAGAGCGGTGTATTGAGGTTTGTTACCAGGCATTCGGGTCCAGGCAGCGGTAAAGGCAAAGGTTTCCGAGCCAGAAGACTAGCGCAGTAGCATATGCGCTGAAGGGCGATTACCGAGGTCATTCCGGGAAGTTCCCATCCAGTACTACAAACGATAAGCCATTCAAGGGAGGCCATCTCTTCACATCCTTTCACTGCTGTTCGAACTTCCAGTGGGATGGCCAATAGATATGCCCATCAACTGCTCGTTGTTATCCTGCCTTACACCGGAGACGAAGCCATTAAAGTCCGGTGGTCGAAGGCGAGGGATAGAGTTGTGGGTGCTGTCTATTGAGTTGCCGGGGTTGTGGCTAAGGTAGAAGCTTGTAGAGGATGCCCACATCCCGGACACACTAACGAAAACGAGAAAGAGAGAGACAGAAGAGAACAAGAGCGAAAGTTCTGCCTCGTGCGGTTTTCCAGCTTTGGTATCCCCGATTGATCCGGATGGCATTGGCCAAGAAGCCGGTCGGCCCTGTTGTCCGGTGTACGTATTTCTGTTTTTTGTCGTTTTCTTCCTTGTTTCTTCTTTTCCTTGTTGTTTTGAGCGAACTAGAGCAAAATTCATTTCAGCCCTTTGGGTGTCAAGCACGCTAATGTTGTTTACAGCGCTCCCAATCGACTTGGGAAATGAATTGATGTTGCAGGGGGACTGCACGGCTGTTTTGTTCTTATTCTGGGCGAATTTCTGCCTCGAGGCAAGACAGGCCTTCCAAACCCGGATGCCGACCTCGTTGTGGCCTCTCAATGCGTATATCTGACGGTATACACGTTTCCAACGTGCTTTTTTGTCAAAATCTATAGAATCGGCCTCGAGGAGCGTTTCTTTATCTTTCATTCCTTCCGCCAGGTCCATTGTAGTCAGTTATCATGGCTACGACCTCCCCACAGCAGAGAGCCTTGAACCGACGGTCGCATGGCCAGCCTACACAGAGCAACCCAGGTCAGTACCTTCAAAGGGGCGAGATTCGGTCACACGAGTTCCGGAGACGAATTTCAAAAAGATCGACCCCCGCCCTGGCCTTTGTCTTTTTCTCACCGCTGATTATCACTCAACCAGGTCCAATGCACAGTGTGCAGCAGCAGCAGCAACGAGAGACGTCTCGATCGCCGTCGCTTCGCGAGCGACCGCGGAATATGAAGACACAGTCCATGCCCATGGTACCGTCTGCACAGCAGATCTATGCTGCAAATACCGGTGGTGTGCACCCACCGCTCGTGCAGCAACAGTCAAGTCCAACCATCCCTGCCACAGGCATGCCTGCGCGCATGCTCCCAATCCCGCCAGATCAGCAGCAACATCCAAATGGACAAGGAAATCACGATGATATTCCAGATCGTCGCCCATCGTCCTCCCCTGGTCCCCAGTACCCGATTTCCCAGAACCATCTCAACACCCACTATCCTCGACCCCTTCAGCGCCAGCAACCGGCATTTCTCACGAAATTTGCTGGGGTGGAGACCGAGCAACATATGACAGAAGTTCTTGCGGATATTGAAAGGGTAGATCAGCAACAATCGCAGAATCAGTTCGCCTCGAACAATTCATATCCTTCGCCTTATGTTCAGTCTCGTCGCTCGGAAACCCCTTCGCCACCCAAGGATCCCAATGTCGAACGACTCCGAGGTCTGGAGCGCAGTAGTCCCAACCAGCGCCAACCGCGCGAACAAGCTCGTGAAAGCCCCAAAGGCCGCCAACCCACCTCCCCGAGTCTCCCTTCGTATGGCACTGGAGTCCCGACGCCGGAAAGGCGCGCATCGCCCGCAGTCATTGGGGTCGAGCAACAGCATTCCGCACAGGTCTACTCCAATTACAACGCACGGGACTCCCCTAACGCTCCTCGAAGGGGTAACACTGTGATTGTGGCGGACACCCGTGGTTCCTCCTTCACACCCCCACTCGCTTCTGTGGCTCGCACGCCCGATAGGGATAGATCTCTCCCTGTCCAAGAGGAAGCGGAAGATGAATTCGCCATCGCGTCGAAGAACAGGTGGCAGACGAGCGACCAGCAAGCTCATCACGCTTCTTCACCGACCCCATCCTCTGACCTCAATCCAGACGGCAACGCGCAACGATACGACCACTCTGGTGGACGGGATAGTCGAGCAGGTCGACCCGGCGATGATAGCACGCAACATGAAGGGAATGGAAGGTACAGCGAAGAAGACTCTGGTGGGAGCTACACGCCCCGCTCTCCCACTGCGCCTCTGCCACCTCTCGAATCTTCAAGGCCAAGCGAAAAATACTATCAGCCCCAAGCCCCACGTCTGTCGCCTAAAGCTACGATTAAGGTTAGGACGAGGAATGGTTCGACTGATGGTCTGGGGTTGCGGTCCTTGACTCCGTCCGCGTTCGAGAGCCCTTCGTCGACTTTGATATCGACAACCTCACATCATACCCAATCCGGTTACTCCGACCATCGACAACTGCACGACAACCACGGGCAGCGAGGACCTGGTAATTCGCCCCTCCAGCAAGCGTACCATATTCAGGCGCAGCAGCAACAGCAGTACCAACACTCCCACCAACAGCAGTCGCAACAACAGTACCAACAACATCAGCAGCACCAGCAATATCAACAGCCCCAGCACCAACAACAGTCGCAGCACCAGCACTATCAACAGACCCAGCAGCAGCCACAACAGCAGCAGCAGCAACAGCCCCCGCAACCTCCTCCCATTCAGACTCAACAGCCCCAACAATCGCAACATTATCGTAACGATGGGTCCCAAGCTAGCAGTCACCACAAGAGCAATGGGTACTACGCTCCTCACCCTCAGGTCTACCCAGACGATTTCCAGAACTACAGCGAAGATCCTGCTTCCTTCTCGTATCTTCACGCGTATCTGGCCTCTCCTCGACCCGATGCGCCCATTCCTCCTACCCCGCATAGCCAATCGGCCGCACCATCCCCTTCACCGTTCCCCAATTACGGGAAGCACATGCCATACAGCCCGGTGGCTCCTGTTGGCTCGCCGTACCCATACCCATTCACCCACGTCCCTCGCAACCGAATGGCCGGGCCCAGCCTCTCGCAGTACTCCTCCAATTACGACCCCAACCACCCCGCCGCCGTCCAAGAGCAGCTCGCGAAGCAATGGCAAATCTACCTGCAAAACCAAGTCAACGGCAACATCACCGACTCGACCTTCTCGCCCGCTGCCACGCCGTTCCAAGGCGCGAACTACAACCCGTTCTCGTTTTTGCATACGGCGCGGCTGATGAGGCAGATGCAGGCGAAGGATACGATGAGTATTAGGTCGAGTCCGAGTCATGAGCCTGTGCCGTTGCCGCCGCCGCCGATGTTGGGGAGGAAGAAGAATAAGTCGAGTGATTTGAGGAGGCAGGTTACGATGAGGAAGCCGCCGCCGAGGGTGGAGAGTACTGTGCCGAGGGATACGACGCCGGAGCCGACGTCGTCTGGGGAGGAGACGGCGGGTGAGGACAAGTATCATCATGCGGCTGAAGGAGAGGGGGAGGATACACCGGGCCTGGGGATTCATGCGTCGACGTCGGGAGTGTGGACGAAGCCGAAGCAGGTGGACGATGACGACGCGGACGCGGAGGTCCCAATTCATATCGATGATGACGATGACGACTGGATTGATGAGGACGACGAGGATGGAGAGGATATGCTCGATTTCGAGTTCCATCCCAACTATGTTAGCAATTCGGATAAGCGCCGTCGTCGCTGGGAAGTTGGATGGGATGCGTTGGTGCAGGCTGTAAGTTTCGTTCGCTGTTTGTTAGCCAATGAGATGCTGATTCTCGACTCTAGTTCCAAAACTTGGATCGCCAAACCGACGCGACCATGGTGGTGCTGGCTGCTCCTGCTCACTCAAGCAAACTCTACTCGATTCGATCTCGTTCCATTCGACGGATTTCGACTCTCTCCAAGTCGACCAACATGGCCCAGATGCGCTCCAACTTCAAGCGTCTTGCAACGCAGCGCAAGAACCTGCGCCCCCTCAGGCCCATGTCGATCGCGGAGAAATTGTTGGAGAGCCAGAGCGCTTCTGGTGATGGGTCCGATGGAAGCTCGGAATCTCGCGCTGACGACCTTCGACGTGCGCTCGAGACTGCATTGGGAAGTTTGAACCTGCTGAACGGGATGTACGAGATGCGGGAGACGAGGTGGCAGGAGGAGATGAAGAGGATGCAGGAGGACAAGGAGAGGATGTCGGTCGTCCTTCGACAAGTTCTTGGAGATTTCCAACAAAACGGTTTTACACCCAGTCTTCCATGATTTTATTCTTTTACGGATGGATTGGGTTCTTTGGATTATGCATATCTGACTCTTTTCGGCGCACCTTTGCCTTTTCGATTCGCTTCACCCTCGTTTCCTTTGTAACTTAAAAGTTCCTTTGCCTTGTATTAGCGGGAATTAGAATCCGCTTTTTGGCGGGAGAACTTGGTTTTGTTTTGGATTAAACTGTATATATGTAAGATAGGCTTTTTACGTAGTTCTGGCGCTGCAGGTCTGGACCTAACGTCGTGTACAACTTTAGATTACTCTGTACAACCTACTACTATGACCTCCACTCTTTTCCCTTTCCTTCTTTCTTTCCTCTGAGGAACTTCGGGATTTCGTCAGTTGGAGGAAACGGATTAGAGCATCGGCAAGTACCGAGGGCGGACTTGGAACCGGTTAGGACCAAGCTTGCGACACAACTCGATCAGCGGCCGCGAAAGCTTGTAGCTTGTCCCGGACTCCCTTGTTTCTTTTGGACCAGAACCTCGAGGATGGCATCGACAACGCTCAGTAAAGAGTCAGTACTGTCCGATACGAATATGTGAACAAAGTTTGGGAAACTGATGTTGATAACTCTCCAGAATACTCAAGATTTATGACGGATTGCCACCGGAGGCCCAACGAGCGTTTATTGAGAAGACGTTTGCAGAACTACTGCAAAATGCGCCTGAGGGAAGGTCGGATGAAGGTGCGTGGCCGGTTCTTGGCCGCGAAACGGTACACTGACAGCGATACAGTCAAAACATCAGTTCTGAACCTCAAACAACGGTACGATGGCGCTCCAAAGCTGGATCTATTCGGGAAACACAAACAAATGGACATGTTGTTCGAGGTGTTGGCGAAAGAGTCCAAACTCTCACTTTTTGGAGACCGGAGCAACCGCGAAGAGGTGTTGGCGGAGATTGTTGTGACCCTCACGTCGTGGCTTGGGGACATTTGGAGGACGGTCTATGAATATCGGACCAACTTCAATCTGGCGCATAGGTGTCTGCTGTTTGTGTCAGATTCGTTGAAACAGCTTGATGAAGGCGCAGGATCTAGGTGCGTGTCAGCCGGTGCAGGTTTTGTCGATGACTGACGAGTCGCGTGCATTCCAGATGTCGCTGTGACTTCATTAACATCCCGGTCCACATCGTCATCAAGGACAAGACCGGAAAGACAGTGAAGGTTCTTAATGCCAGAGGCGCACAAGAGATTGAACGCGTTATCTTCTGGATATGGCGAGACATGTGCCTCTGCATTCTCTCTGAGGACCCGGAACAGGCCAAAACTGCCATCCCACGGATGCTCGAAGACATCGAACATGTTTACGGCTTCCCCAGCATGAAGAAGCTTCTCTTTGGCGGAAAGAAAAGTAAATCATTACCCTCCACAAACCTGACATATCTCACAACTTGCGTTATTCAGCTGAAGAGGAGGAAGAGGAAGAAGAGGATCTCGACGGCTATGTGGATGATGCGATTTATGATGAAGACGAGGATGGCTATGAATCGGACAGCTCGTACGCCATGTGTCCGTTCCATTCGAGCCACTGGGATGGGCAGTTTGGACCTGAAGCCCAGCAGCTTCGGGTGATGGTGGAAGAATTCATGTTCACTGTCTTCACTGCGACTCCTTCATTGCCTTTGTACAACCTCATTATCGACGTCAGTGCCGACAGAAAGGCAGCTCGGACTCGGGTCAGTACGATCCTAGAGGAAGTCGCTGGAAGCACCGCCGAGTCCCTCATCGCAGCGCTGGGGATTGCCATTACGAACGACAACACCAATGGCATTGTCTCGCTGCTCGATGAGTATGGGCATCTTCTCCGACCCCGGGATGCCACTGTTCTTCAGGGAGCGACTGCCACCCTCAGCAACTCCGAACACCACGCCCGTGCCCTCACCATCCTCGAAAGCGAACTTGACGACACGCTCCAGTCCATTTACAGGGCTGTGCGGTCATCTTTCTCTCACTTCGAAGAACCTCAGCACTTGAAGACGCTCTCGGAGATCATGAAGATGAGATCGGGGTCTTCACAGCGTCAAGATAGGATCGAGACCTGGACCGAGTCTGTCTTGACCTCGCCTTCAGGTTCTATGGGCTCCATGGCCTTTGCAGCCATGATGATTGGTCTGCCTGTACCTGGAATGGGAGAGGAAGGAGAAGACAACAGTGATTTGCTCAACCTGATTGATATGGAAAACCCACACGACCCTGACTATGACGACATTCGGGAAGAGTTCAGACCCAACTTGAAGCAGCGATTCGAAGGGTGGGCGAATTTGGGTTCAATCATGAAGGGTGGACCTACCACTCTGGCCAAGTTGTATGCAAAGGCGATCGAACTCATGCCTTTCTTGAAGGCGGCTGATGTCACACAGGAGATGGCTGCACGGTGAGTTACGGTCTCTCGGGTTGTCTTTATTCAGAGGCGCTAACATTTCGCAGATTGGGTGATCGACCGAGCAAAGTATACGTTTCCGATGCCCTGATGGCCCTCTCCTCATTCTGCAAGAGCCAGCGAAAGAAGATCAACGCGACACGGAAGGACAGCGAGAGGAAAGCACAGAAAGCTGCCGCTAAGGCCCTCCGAGCAGCCATCGACGCTGCTGACGCTCGTGCAGCTGCTGAGGTCGAAGCTGCTGGAGCCAGTCCCACACCTACCTCGAATGGCGTCTTCAGCTTCGCTGGCGGACGTGCTTTTGAGGTTATTAACCCCCAAGCCTCCGGTTCGGGATCCAGTAGCGCCGCTGCTGGCACCTCATCTGCCCCTGGACCTTCTTCGACAGCCTCAACAAACTCTGCTCCGGGTCCATCTCAGAATGGATCCGATCTCGAGTCGATGACCTCCCGCATGCGTATGGCAGGTCAAGCTGCCGCCTCTGCGGACATTGCCAGTGCTTTGAGTTTTTTCTTGAATTCGAGGACATCGACGAGTGGTGCCTCCACGTCGTCGACTCCTGCACCCTCCACCTCGTCGTCGACTTCCGGGGCAGCTAGTTCGACGCCCGGCCCGTCCACTTCCGCTGTTCCTTCCTCCTCATCCGCCACGCCCTCACAATCTACCTCTGTCGGACCGTCGTCCTCTTCCACAAATACGTCTCCGCCATCGCCTGCTGGCTATGGTGGATTCTTCCCGTTCGCGTTCCAGGGCTCAATCCTTGGGCCGCTGAACCCTTCTTACCCAAGTATCGACGACGTCGATTAGTTGAAGGGCATTTCAAGTACTTCCCTTCTTTTTTTCGTGCGACCTCGCTTATGCCTAATAACCGCTAGCTTTCTTATCCTTATTGATATTCTCCTCTTCCATTTCACTCCGCAATTTATATTTCCCTATATACACTACCACCCGACTATTTCTCCCTTCTCATTTCCGAACTCTTAACCAATTGAAATCAAGTTTTGTAGCATAGAAATTTTTTGTCGTCCGAGTCATCAATGAAATTCAATCCAACTCAGAATGTACATGAACACGATCCGGGGGGTTGGTGGTAGGTAACTAGGTAACATGGGAGGTCAATCAATCACGATCAATCGAGATCTTGTTCCCTTTCTTGTCCTAGCCAACGCGGCGATTCTTCAAGGCAAGGACAAGCTCCTCAAGTATAAGACGCCCGCTTTGGAGAACAAGAACTACATCATGGGCACCGGTGAGTATTAGACGAAGAGAGACAGCATGCATCGACTTACACACATACTTTTACTGCCAGTATTGCACCCCAACATGCGCTCCCGCTGGTTCCGACGCTTGGCCGATTTCGACAGTGATAAAGACAAGTATGAGGCCAATATCGCCCAGAAAATAGCCCAGATCGAGATTATCGTTGAGGCTATTTCACAGCAGTACCAGGACGACATGGAAGCCGAAGGCGCGCCTCCACATGCTGCCCCTACTGCAGCACCTCGCCTACAACGTTCCCATTCGTCTTCGAGCTTCCTGGACAGCATTTGCAGCATGGAAGACGTTGATATCCCGGCCCCTGTCCTTGATGATTCACACAAGAAACTTGAGGATGAACTTCGAAGATACTTCCAGTTTGACGGTGGTCTTGCAAAAGACACTGCAGACCCACTTGCTTGGTGGAAGGTAGACCCAATTTCTGTATATTTTCGACGATCAGGCGCTAACATACCTCCAGGACAATGCTATCAAGTTCCCTGTACTCTCAAAAATGGCTCGTGACTTTCTCGCCATCCCGGCAACAAGTGTTTCCGTCGAGCGATTATTCGCGAAGTCACGCCAACTCTGCACCGATGTTCGAAGCTCCCTGCATGCAGAAACGGTACGTGAAGCACTCTTGACGAAGGCCTGGATCGGAGACGGTTTGTTTGAGATTGATCCCAAGCCCAAACCGGTGTTGAAGCATGGGAGTAAGGAGCTGCTATGATCGTGTACGATTTTTTGTATATACCCTATGTAATATACTCTATAACCCTCTATATAGCCTATTTATACTATACGAAACCGTATCCCTATAAATACCCCGGGGGGCTTATAGGGATAGTATAGGGTTGGAGCCTTACCAACGCCTTTCCCTCTCCGCTCCCGTCTTCGCTCTCCCATTTCATCTGTTTTTCCATCCTGGGTCGATAGTTGACCACGTCGCTTTGATCATCGCTGTTAGATTCAGAAGAATGAGATACTTTGCGTCGTTTCGGGGGTCGCTCGGACTGCTGCGCCTTCTTGCCAGACTTTTTCTTTCCGCCTCCACCTCCACCTCCAGCTCCCTCTTTCTTTTGTTGAGGAGCTTTAGGAGGTGGAGTCCATCTCTCCCACTCCTTGATCAAGTGTTTTTGGAAACGGGTATCGTAGCCGACACACTTCATGGTGAAGACGGTGAGGGTCTGGGATGTCTATTCAGCTTCGAAATTGGAACGAGGCGACAAAGCCTACCTCCTCTCCTTTCGTCAAGGCCAAAGCGATCTCTTCAGGGGTAATAGTCTTGTCGAGGCCTTCCGCAACTATACCTTTCCATTCGTTCTCTAGTGGTTCGCGCTCATATGTTTTGCGGATATAGATTCGGGCTCTGGTTTGAGCACCCCACCCACAACTCGGAAGGCCGAGTTCGCGAGCCCACATGTTTCGAAGCTAGAGAGCGGAAGTGAGTCGCTCTTCTTCGAGGAAAGATGACGCAAATACGCACAGCTGGTGTCTGAGCTCTCCATTCGTCTGCTGTTAGAGATTTACTCTGGTCGATGTGATACTCCCCGCGGTACTGCCACTTTGCAGGCGTTTTCCTGGAGACCCTGACTAGGACTTTTCTAACGCCTAGGTCTCCTATCCCATCCTCGGTCCCTACGCTGATAAAGAGACCGGGTTCTCCGGGACCTTTGGGTGCTTGAGGTTGGAAGGAATCTGAGAGGAAGAAGAGGTGGTTGAAGCCGTGTATTGCGAGTTTTGCGGGAGCCATGGTGGGGTACGCCTCTCGCATGTTCCCGCCGTAGACTTTAGAGATAAACTCTCGAGTGATGAGCCCACCATTTACGACTTCGTTCCGTTCGATGGGATATGGGCCCAAGGATATGGCCTTGCGCTCGAAGCGGGAACGCATAACATCAAGGGAGAACGTCATGGTTTCTTCTTTCTTGATTCTCAGCTGTGAAGACGGTTTAGCGCATTGCTTTTATCCCAACATAAGAAAAAGGAGCATACCTTTCTCTCTGTCTTGACGACTATGGGTTTTTCTTCCTCCTGTGAGAGGCATCCCATGGCTTAACCTAAGGCCCACCAAAAAGATCTGTTGCCCGACTTGCCTTCTTCACTATGCTGGGAGCTTGTTCCTGTGATTTAAGGCCTTGCATGGACTCGACCTTTGGCTTGGCTTCTTGATCTTCCTCTTTCTTCTAAGCTATACGTGTTATGACTATACCCATAGTAACGAAGAGTCTGAAACCCGGCGTACCACTTCATGATCATCGTTGAATAGGAGCTCCGGTGACGTGGACCTCGAGTTCTTGTAAGGCGGGAAAGGGTTTGCAGGGTAGCCTTCAGATTCAGTCTTAACCTGTATGTTATTTCCCTTTCTACTCTTGATAATATGTTTGATCGTGAGTAGGAGGACGTAGTCTAGCACGATCCTCCCGCTTTTCTTCGAAATCTGTGAATCGGGCCAACCATCAGCTCAATGTTGTCTCTGGAGTGAATTGGATATTCTAACATGCGAAGGTGGACCTAGATTCTCTGGCCGATCTGCTTCTAGCTTTAGAGCTGCGAGATTTGCCTCGCTTTCCTCTTCTTTCTTAATCCTTGGACCCATCTTTGCAGTCAGGACGGTGTACGAGGTTGTGCCACGCGCCCAGGGGATGTTGAGTGTGGTACAAGAGTATCTTTTGCAAGGATAAAGCTTTCGCGGCTCTTCAATTGGACCTTGTCCAAAAATGAATACAAGACGGGGAGATAAGCGTCAAAGTGGAACGGGTCAACACTCAAGCCTAAGGGGTGGGACCAAGACGAGGCCGTGTGGCAAGCGCCCGTGTTGTCCATCGTGGGACACTTTTAGTGATGCAGTGATGGATGATCTGCCGATTTCGGCGAGTCATGGTACTTTGCACGTTTCCTTGCACGCTCATGAGGCTCTCTCGCCATCGCTCGTCATCGAGTCATCGCACGCTGTCAGGTTAAAAAATGAGAGTATCTGGAGAGACGACTCTATAGTTTCTGCACAATGCGGATCTCGACACATCGGCTTGTGTCTCCACCTCAGCCTGGGTCAAGCGCAGTTTGGTCGCGGGCGATACGTGGCGAGACGACGACCAACAAGAGAGGCGATACGGCTTCGGTAACGACGAAGAAAGGAACAATTGGACTAGGTGCAGGTATTGGCCTGTTCCACCTTTCAAACCCCACTTGCCGTTCCTTCTTTCGTGATTCTCCGTGCCGGGCGTTCCAACTCATCATAATATCCCATCTGTGATCCACGAGGCGCAGCATCGGACATCTCACGCTCAACAGCATTACAATCGAGATTGCGACGATACGAGCGCTCTTAGCTGAGCGAAAATAACCCTGAAGGTAAGTGCAGCCTAGCGGATCTTCTCTCATCATTCACCAGACCTTTCGCACCCACATGGTGCGGTTCTCAAGGTTCCCGGGCGTCTATTGGAAGCCGGCGTGGGCATGTAAGCGAATAAATGTCCTTCTATATGTCTTAGCGCTTTTAATGGCAGGTTAAATGGCACACGGTGAGTGAAGTCTTCCAATCGGGCGTCAGGTTCGCCCCTAAGTTAATCCGCGTTGGCAGAAATAAGCGCCCAGATCTCCGAGCGATAGTGGAAAGTCAGCTGGGCAATCCTCGATGGGGACATCCCGCTACGAGAGGAAGACACTTCGAATAAGATGGAATCCCGATACTTCGGCACTAACTTGGCGTGGATGAGATTCTGCGTCGGAGCTAGGTAATCGATAGTTGTGAGTGGCACAGTGGAGCACGCCTCTTGAGAATTTACACCGTCTCCGGATTAACCTTTCACTCGATTACAAAACGATTCTATCGTTAGAGAGGCATCAGTATGAAGATGCCTCGCCCAACGTTCTGTCCACTGCTCATAGCACTCGCACACAGCCTCCTGTCGCTGGCCAGTGCAGTATCCCAGGCTCCAAAGGGAGGTTTCGATTCTCCGGTACGACTCTTACACCCCGCACCGAACCCGAAAAGCTGAGCCTCGCTTACTACTAGGTCTCGCTCGCATCAGAAGTCGTCTCCATTGATCTCGATGCTCGGGCGATAACCATGGATTGGTTTCCCTTGCTCGAGGGCAACTGCTCTGAGTTGAGCAACGATCCCACAGTGGTCGACATCTACCTCCACCCGTGGGTCTCGTGCGAAACCGCCCAACCGTTGAACTAACCCATTCGTCTCCATTGTCGAAATAGAATGCTGATGCACCATTCCAGCCCAACTTGGCGACCAGATACACTGCATCCGCCAGTGTTCAGGCTGGACAGTGGGGATCTCTGCCCTGTTCGCTTGTGGCCTGGCGAGGTTTCGTTCAGGACTGTGACCAAGTTATTTCCGGTCGACTCCCGAGTGACGCAGGCTCCCAAGGCTTTGATATCTCGATCTCTCTATCGTTACCCTAGGGAAAGGTAGGTCTTTCGAGTGCCACCAGGTCTACAGAAAGATAGTTATGCTGTGTCGCCAGGGTCAGAGCTCTGTTCGAATTTAGCGTGAACGACACTCAAACGGGGCGGATTTCAGCGCTGACTGTGTACAACCTCACTACGTCCATTCTGTAAGTCTTGAAGCGCCCATTAGTGAGAATTTCTTCTTACATCTGACGTCCTTTCTTATCGCAGGAACTTTGATATCCAACTCGACAGTGCCTATGTCAAGCCTGGACCCCGTTCGAGGGACAGCATTTTGGCCTTTTCCTTGGTTATCACGAGATCTTCCTCGACCCAGGTTATTGTCTACGTGACAGCAATCATAATCTGTAAGTCCCTCGGTGTTCTCTGGGGCCAAGGGCTAGACAAAGGCCATTTACGAATGAACCCTTGAAGGGATTGCTGCGATGGGTATATTCGGAATATCGATGCTTTCTTGGAGAGAACATGACGCGTACAGCACCACCACAAGAGCGTGGCTCCTCCCAGTACCATTTGTCGGCATTTTCCTGTTGACCGACAGCCGCTCTCACCTTCCTGGAGTTTACGCTGAGTTCGGTACGTCGGAAACCCGAACCATTACGTCGACTGACACTTGACCTTCTCTAGGAACCCTACTCGGTAATCTTTCGCCTTTCCATTGCTTTGTCTGCTGTTGACCACCGCCTCCGGGCTCTTTCAGATGTACTTGTGTTTCTCCCAACTACTCTCATACTGATGATCTCGGTAAGAACATCCGTATATCATTGAGAGTCACTAATCTCCGGGACTTACTACGGCCTTCGTGCGTGCACTGGCAGGCCCTATCGCTGTCAGTTTCGACCCTTTATTACCACATACAAAAAATCAGGCTTGAAAGAGGCGACAAGACATGTAATTAAGCCTCGTAAGCACGTTTGTCGGCTACCTTCGAACACCAAGGGCTTACTTGCTCCACAAAGCAAATGGTGTGTGGAAGTTGTGTGGTCTCTTCTCCACAGAAGACCTTGTGTTGCATTCCTCATCATCAAACATCGAAATTACCCAGCTTTTTCATTGAGAAATACCAACTGCCACCGTGGTTTTTGATTTGAAAGTCCCAAGAATCGAATACTCCAACTCAACCGCCGCTTGTCTTCGTTCGGAACACCATCGCCAACAACGCGACAACAGTGCCCCTTTAACGCTAACGTATCGCCTTTCATCACGTGTAATAGTATAAGAGAAGCTTTCTACTTATGGACGGACCGACGGTGTCTGTTTCGAAGAGATGATCAGAAGCTGAGCTCGCTTTGCATGGAGGTTGCTCCCTTTGCATTGGGCGCTTATCATTGGCGCCCGCCAAGTGTTGTGTGGAAACGTCCACCAATGCCCTGGTACTTTCACTCGCCGCACATATCCTTCAAAGCGCGACTCTGTGTGTGGTAACGCAGTAAGTATAGCGTTTCAGCTCACGCGCTTTCTTAGACTGGAAGCACGAGTGGCAGTCTTCGTTGCATCTGTTTTGATGGCGTATGCGCGAGAAATTGGTCCGTCCTACACAGAAATACGTTCCGATGGATTTTCTTGATCCTCAAAGCTATGAGACAATTATGAGCATTGTCATCCGTTGCCCCCAAGTACATTATTTTGTGGAGCCAGTGCTGTCGACGATCGTCATTTTTCTACCCGTTGTCAACATGCACATCTTTTCTATACCCTTGCAAAGTCTATATCACAAATGCTGTGGAGCCTTGTCAGTTTGACGTATTATATCATGATCTCGAGCTTCAAGAACAGATGAGGGAGCCTCGGAGTCGAGATCACCTCCGCTTCCATTGAAGGCGCTTATATAGGCGCCGCACAAGTTCCACAAGGGCTGTGGGTGTGCTTCCCGAAATGACGAGTATAGGCACGCGAGCACTGCAATTCCTGTGCATCAAGGGGCGGAACTTGGACATAGGTCAGATTCTGTCGCATAAAAAGAGTGCATCGATGTCATCAAGGCAAACACCACCCACCTCCACCCACCTCGCATAACAACTCGCACTACTACTGCTGCTCATGATCAATCGCCAACAACCACTCTCGGTGATGGAAAACACCGAGTACAACGACCTACCCACCCTCGACGCTGCAGACGCCGCTTTCACGAACCGCGACGAGGTTCTCAAGAAGCTCGCCCAGCTGCTCACGTCCCTCCCGGAGGAGTACAAGGGGTTATACGCCATCAGCCTCGTCCACCACCACTACGACCTCAACCCGGGCGAGATAATGGTCACCAACGACCGCATCACCGCGCCAGAGCTCATCGCATCCATGCATGACTCCGCTAACGTCGTGCCCGAACGTTGGACTGCGGCGGGCATGCCGTTCGAGTACGTCCGCCTCAAAGAGGGCGAAGTGGGCGTCCCGCCGCCTCCCGACTTCCTCCTCGAAGCCTTCCAGAAGATCGTCGGGTCTCTCCCGCTTGGGCTTATGGCCGCGCCTGACGTTCCACCTGGAAAGATCGTCAAAGACTCTACTTTGGATCCGGAGAAGCGGAGCCAGGTTTTGGAGGTTGTGGATGAGGATGTGTATGGGGCTGAATCGACGTCTGAGTTTTCGCCGTGTCGGATGATCACGGCTGCGTGGAATGCTCGGGGCGAGGGCGAGGTGGTTTTTGTGGTTGCGTGTGGAGGGTGCCGGTGGCCTGTTGGTGGAAAGCCTACTTGTTGGTGACGGTAGTTGGCTTAGTATGGCTCAGCTCCTGGTGATTATATGATTGCTGTTAGATGTTAACCACTAGCCTAGATTGTCTCCAACTTATACGTAGAGCTAGAGTAGATTGTCAGGTCGTCACGGATATCACATCTCTATTCATACTCTCATGGGTTTCGCAGGTTTGGGATAATTCTTTTGGAAGGACGCTACATACTATGCGAGGTTATAAAAAAAGGTTAGCAGAGAAATACTGATATGCCAGCAGAGAATGGCTAGAAGGCATGTTACAATTAACTGAATGCCCCGTCTAGGTGATAAGATTTAGGTTTGATATAACCCCAGAACCCCTCTATCTGGCTGCTGGAAGCATGTCGTGCGACCACCCACTGATCTTGCGCACGCGCACAACAGAAACCGATAGCAGTGAGCGATAAATGAGCACAATAAGAACCCAACAAAACAGCATCAAGAAACAGTGGGCAAGACACATTCAGTCACGAAGTACTCGTGGAACCGGTCGTCTTTGGTGAGTTCTGGGTGGAAGGTGGTGAGGAGGTGTAGGCCCTGACGGAGCGCGACGTAGGTTTTGGGTTCGTCGGAGTGGTCGGGGGATTGGAGTGCTGGAGGGAGGAGCGCGGGTGAGAGGGAGGCGATGACTTGGATTGGGAGGTCCTCGGGTTTGGGATGCAACGCTACGACGACCTAAAGAGTTGGATGCACAATGTGAGAGACTGTATTGATGGAGGGGAGGTAAGAGAATAATAGCGCACCGGAGCTCGGATGAAGAACCCTTTGTATGGTTCGCCAGAGTTGCGGAGGCCGTCTACGGTCAAGTCTCCCTCGAAGGACTCGACTTGGGAGCCCCATCCGTTTCGGGCAATGGTGATCGACATGCCACCGAGGACTTCCTGTCCTCCCTTCTTGGTGTTCTCTACCTTCTCGGCGAGGAGGATGGCGCCTGCGCATGTACCCCACACAGGCTTCTCTTTAACGAATTGTCTGAGAGGCTCGAGGAGGCCGGAGAGTTTGGCGAGTAGAGCGATCGTTGTGCTCTCTGGAGTATACATAGTATGGATTGATTAGATGAATTCGGAGTGAATGGATGAAGTGGGAAGACGTACCTCCTCCTGGTATAATCAGAGCATCGCACTGGTTGAGTTCCTCGAGAGTCTTGACCAGGATGACTTGAATCGTTCTCGACAAACGTAATCTCTCTAACGAAGATTGGTGCTCTACGAATGCACCTTGGAGCGCTGGATCATTGCCATCAAGTCAGAAAACGTCAAACTCTTTTCAGATAAGGCAGTGGACTCACCTAGAATGCCTATATGAACGGGTCGAGCGTCGACAGCCATCGTCTACAGGATGAAGAAAAAAATAAGGAGAGGTTTAAAGTTGCCGAATGGCTACGAGCACTGTCGCAATCGGTTTCCTATGTATTCCGGGAGTCACGATATGCAAGGATTTATATACTCTGGACGACTTAGATCCGCCCATTCCCCCTGTCAATTCAGTACAAGCTTACAGATAAGCGCACCAAAGCACCGGAAACCTGCATACCAATCGTCGATTTTTAGCACCAAAAACCATCATCGTCGAGGGTCAGCGGCAACGACGTCCGACTCCGATGGCGTGACATCCGATGGCCCGAGCGCACCTGATTAGTCACAGTCACAGATCACGTGCGTGACTCATTTGCCATTTTGCGCACCTGCAGCGCTGTGCATTCCTCGACTGAAACATTGCTCGACAACCACCACCACGACCCTCGCCACCATGTCCGACCTCGACGCTGATTTGTACGGAGGTATGTTGTGGACGGTGTTGGGGACGCTGAGCTCGACGCTGACGATGGAGGGTAGACCTTTATGGCAATGACGAGACCGATTTCAACGAGCAGAACAATGAAGAGCAGCAGCAAGACGTAACTGCAACTGACGCTGGCACCAAGGACAGCGAGGCAACCACGACACCAGCGACAGAGACGAAGCCAGCATCGAATGGGACAACAGCACAGAGCTCGACGACCAACGGCCAGACCTCGACCACTACGACCACAAAACCTGCTACGTCAACACCCATTGCGACATATACCTCTCAGCAACCGCAGCTCCAGCAAATTCCGACATATGAGGAGCCCCAGCCAGTACAGTCGATATCGCGTCCCGACAGCGGCGCGCTCAACAAGATTCCGTCAGGCGAGCGGACGGTGCGACCGTCGGAAATGAAAGACGAAGGGTGAGTTCCGTTCCTTTCTCGGGGTGACTGATAGACCAGGACAACACTTGGTGGGGACTGTGGGTGAGCTGGACACAACTCATACCACAAGGCTAGGTGTAGCTTTTAAAAAAAGAAAAGGCCGTCTGTAGATGACTCAACGTAGTCAGTCGCACAACTAGGCTATAGCGCTAGTATGCCTCGTTATTCTCTAGGCTAGGCTACAGTCGTCAGTCATCGTCGTCGTCCGCCACCACACACACACACACACACTATCTCTCTCGTATCGTCTCTCATTTCTTTCCTCTGTCTACCACCGCCCTGTTCTACAATACGGATGCTAATAGGAACTCATTTCTATGCATTTTTCGATACTTGTCAACCCGCGCGTCATTCGTCTCCATCAATCGCAATTCAAATATCCAGCAAGATGTTCATTGGCGGCCTCAACTGGGATACAACAGATGGTATATACTTTTTACTTTTTGTTTCGTTTAGGGACTTGAGCTTATTTCTGTATTCTATAGAGGGTCTCCGGGACTACTTTTCGCAATTCGGAAAAGTCGATGCGTGCACCATTATGCGCGACGCTGCTGGACGGTCAAGATGCTTTGCCTTTTTGACATTCGAAGACCCAGCTAGCGTCAACGCTGTCATGGTTCGAGAGCATATTCTCGACGGCAAAATCGTAGGTCTTCCCTTTCATATCCATTCCATTCCATTCCCCCACCTTTCTAAAACCAATACCCTTTTGATTAGATCGACCCCAAACGTGCTATCCCCCGCCAAGAGCACCAACGCGCCACCAAGCTCTTCATCGGTGGTCTCCCGGGAAGCGTAACCTCGGAATCCATGCGCGAGTTCTTCTCGCAGTTTGGCAAGGTCATCGACTCGACTGTCATGTTGGACCGCGAGACTGGCCGAAGCAAGGGTTTCGGTTTCATCTCGTTTGAAGATACGGATGTCCGGCCTTTCCTGGGTTTCGGGAACCTCGAAATTGACGGTAAACTTGTACGTTGTCTCTCCCTCTCCCTCTATGCTATTTCCTCAATACAATATACTCACGTTGTTATTACACAAATGTAGATCGACGTCAAACTCGCCCAACCCCGCTACCAACGCGACAACATGAACAACGAAGACGGCCAAAACCAAGACGGGTACGGCGGCGGCTCAGGCGGGCGCTTCAACGCACAAGGCTCCTCCGGCGCAGGCGCAGCCGGGAACTTTGGCGGTGCCGCGGGTGGTGCGATGGGCGGAGCTGCGGGTGGAGCGGGTGGTGCAGGCGCAGCGGGCGGGGCGACGTTCGACCCACAGGCCCTCGCTGCTCTCTACACGCGCATGATCCAGATGGCGGGCGGGGGCGCGATGAACCCGGCGATGATGGGGAATATGGCGGGTATGAACCCGATGATGGGCGCGATGGGTGCCGGCGGGTTTGCGGGTGGGATGAGGCCTGGGATGGGGATGGGCATGAATATGGGGATGGGGATGGGTAACCCGGCGATGGGCGGGATGGGCCGTGGTGGCCCGGGTATGATGGGTGGTGCGCAGGGTGGCGCGGGAGGAGGTGCGGGTGGTGTACCGAGAGGCCCGCGTGGAGGCGCGCCAGGTGCGCAAGGCGGGCCACCCGCTGCTGGGATGGGCAACGCTGGTGTTGGACCACAGCGAAGCCAGAGGGGAACGCACAACTTCCATCCCTATGCTCGGTAGGCAGCTATTCTAAAAAAACGCTACTACGATTCTTTTCGAACCATCCATCCCCTTCTCCACTTTTGCAATGCTTTTGGTTTGGTTTTCGTATTAGACTTCCCTCTGACCTTTTTCTTCTCTCTGTGCACCACCCAGTCGACGCATGTAGCAGCAACCACCCGAGCACGCTCTTACTTATCAACCGAACCCCTCTCACACACTTCGAGGATTGTTTTTATATGGCTCTTCTTCTCTGTATCCATCGAAATAGTTCGTATGTAGCTAGCTGGCTTTCTGTTGCTTCATTTGCCTCCCTTCCTCATCCCCTCTGCCATCCCTCTTATTCCTTCGTCTCCCCCCGCATCCCAAAGACTTGTTCCGTTTCTCCCCTTCTATTACGTTAGTCACCTCCCCTCATAAATAATGTACCTCTCATGTTGTATGATACACTCACTTTGAAAAAGAACCATAACCAAAATGGCATAGTTAGTCTATTAGATTTATCGCCATTCTGCCAGTGATGTAGTACAGACTGATTGACTACTAAGTAATGTGCGTGTTCCAGGGAGTAAAGTGTACGTAGCTATAGGAAAGAGTTTGTAAGGTAACTAGAAGATACTAGGTAACGGTAAGTAATTCAAAGTTGAAGAGAGACTGGGTATCTAAAAGCGTTTTCCAGAATGAACTTGGTAGAGTAGACGACATTTATCTACTCGATCCGACCCCTCAACCAACTCAACAACCCCTTCGTACCCTCCCTCTCCCAAATCCTTCTCTGCGGAACACGGAACCTACATCATCCAAAACCATCAGCATCAACAAAACACAAAAAAAAAAAAAAAACGAGCGCTACTCACACATTCCCCTCCACCAAAAACACATCCAACGGCATCAGCCCCATCTCAGCCGGCAACCGTCCAATCTCATTATCCCTCAAATCCAACTCTTCCAACTTCCACCCAGGCACATCCCGATTCCCTCTGAACCCTCCCGCAACCTCCTGGAACCCACTCAAATCGTCAATCTTGTTACCACGCAACCGTAAATGGCGGAGTCCTGCTCGAGTGGGCGTTTGGAGTAAGAGGAGGGAGAGGGTTTGAGGGGTGAAGGAGGAGGAGGTGAGCAGGTTGTAGGAGAGGTTTAGAGTACGGAGGCTGGGGAAGAGTTTGGCGAGGGTGGGGAGGAGGGGTGAGGAGGTGCGTGGTGGGGTTGTGGGAGTCGTCCCATTCGCACTTGCACCTCCCCCGGATCCACTGCCGATTTCTTGCAGTTGAACGGGGACTGTATCGTCGAAATTGCACCCCTCCAAATCGAGCTCTTCGAGCCTCGGTAAGAACCCTGACGAATCCTCTTGGGGGATCGAAGGCACCAGGAAGGACCGGTCCAATCGCCGGTTGGTGAGCACGAGAACGCGGAGGGTGTCAGCAAAGGGCTGGGCGAGGATGATGGAGAGTGGGAGGGTGGGTGCTGGCATCGCCAGTTCTTCGGACGTCGCCTTGCGGGAGAGGCTCGAGCTGAAGGATGCGGAGGGTGAAGCGAGAGAAAAGGCGCGGGCGTGGCCTGGTCCCTTGGCTGGAGGTGCGGACGAGGGGAGTGTTAGGGTATCCGTGCCCTTGTTGTAGAACTTGGGATTGTTGAGGATGTTGGTGGCCGACGGTGCCTCCGGTTCGGGAGTGGGCTCTGGAGGCTTGATTTGTGCCTCTGCAGCCGCTGCAGCTCGAGCCCGCCGACGCGCACCTTCCGTCAATAGGCCCTGCTCAGCCTCGATCACCCATGCCTCCTTCTCAACTTCCTTCTTCGGAGTAACTGCAGGCTGGGATCGGGATGCACGAGTCGGAGTCGGGGTGGCAGCAGGTGGTGGTGAAACCGGCTTCCTCTTCGGTGGCTCAGGATCCCAGTCGCCACCCAAATCGAATCCTTTCCTCGCTTCCTTTCGCTGCTCCAGTTCGATCTCCCAGGCCTCTTTGATGACCCGTTTGCCGACCAGAATGCGGAACACGCCCTCCGGAGGCTCATCAACAACGAAATCGTGATTGAGTTCCTGGGACATGGACTTGAAGGTCTCCTTGACGGCGTCCAGGGTCACCTGCGTCTCTGATAGATCGAGGATCTTGAGCACAGGGAACGGCGCGTTCGAGAACAGGTCGGAGGGAATGGAGTCGTTGCCGATGCCCGCCTTTTCGAAACGGAGTTCCTTGAGGCGAGGAAGGGTCGACAACTTTTTCAGCAGCGCATCCGACTTTCCGACGGGGTTCGAAGACAAGTCGAATTTGACCAGAGAATCGGGAATGGCGAGGTCGATACTCGAACTGGTGATACGGTTGTGAGATACATCCAGGTTAATGAGTTTCGGTAAGGGTGTGGCAGCACGGACGATAGCTGGAGTGAAAAAGTCGGTGCTTGCGTAGGAGTTGGGGCCTGTTCGTGATCCAGTGGACTTGAAGGGCGCGCTGAAAGGGATAGAGGTGAGTTTGTTATGTGCTAGATTCAGGGTGGTCAATTCGGGGAGAGCCCAGAGGTTTTCCGGAAGTTCCTTGATCTCGTTGTACGAGAGGTCGAGCACGGTTAGGAAAGACAAGTCGGCGATTGTGTCTGGCAATGATGCTATCTTGTTTTTGTGCAACCAGAGGACTGTTAACGGTCGTAATTCAAACAGTGAAATGGGACTTACATCCAGGGTCTTCAATGAGCCAAACATCGAAATCTCGTGCTGGATTTCGATGATCTCATTATTCCAGGCCTTCAACACGGTAAGGTCTTGGGCCTCGAACCAAGCAGGAGCCTTGCCACCGCGCCTGGGAGGTGCCTGTGGGTCTGAAGGTGGCAACTTTGGCTCATCTGGCACAGACTTGAGAGGGTCGGGTGTGACGTTTAAATGAATCTCGAATAGTGCCGAGGGCAAACAGGGCAATGAACGTGTCGCGATATTCAATGAGCCTTTCGAGGCCCTTCCAATGAGTTCAGCTTAACACGAGTCTTGTAACAATGAGCTTACCTGTGCTCCTCGATTTCTCAATGGCTTCTCGCAGAGGCAGACGACCGAGCAAGTCCGGTTCCTCCTCTACTGGCCGTACGGGTAGAGCATCCTCGAGGCTGCCCAGGTCATCCAAGCCACCCTTCTTCGGAGTCGCCTGTGCCTTTTTAGCCTCTGCACGCTTAAGTGCAATGGCCTCCTTGATGCTGAGAGCGGGCTTTTTCTCGACCTCGGGTTCACTGGCCGTGGGCGACGGTCGACGTGGTTTCGGTTTCGTCGGTGACGCAGAACGGCTGATGGGCCCGTTTTTGGCGACGGAGGACGGGGTCGTTGGTGTGCCTAGACGCGTCCTCGTTGGCGTCGACGGTGGCTTCAGCGGTGAGCGCGTTGAGCGGGCTGGGATTCGTGAGGACATTGGGGGACGACGGTTTGGACGAGTCGCTGCACGCGAACAGGGACACTGGGACACCAGCGCGAAGCCTTAGCCCATTTGTTTCCGTCTCCGGCAATCACCGCTCCATCGGCATCACAAGCCGACGCGACTTGGTCGAGAGCGCTGAGTTCGATTTTGAATTCGCACCTCCACCATCCTCTCCAGAACGCCACGAGCGCGTCCATCTTTTGTAAAATAGGTATGGAAATTGGAATAGACGAGTTTTGGCGCTCTATTACTCCTGCTGATCCACAGACCAGCTTCCCGGTAAACTCAGACGGACACAGAACGCGGTCATGTCCTGTGGCTCTACGAACAATCGTTGAGTATACGCTGTATTTCATAGCTGCTTTCAGGTCGTAACAAATGACAATAAGAATCTGGACTTGACGGATTCTTCGGATTTGCAAATGTGAGTACGCTATTCCTCGCTAATTTCGATAATCTAAGCCTAACAAACTCGTCCAGGGAGCCTCTACCGCACATTCAGACTACATGGTATACCCACCGAACGTCACAGTGACGTTCGGCACATCCTCAACCCAACTAAACGTCGCCGCACTAATCAAGCAAACCCTCCTGCTGATGGTTAGGAGAGAGTTTCCTCAACAATCCACCGTGGATGCCATCGTCCAGACTGAAGCCAAACGCGATGTAAAGGCTGAAACACGCGTCCTCGAACGCTTGAAGGGCTGCCGGTACGTTGCGAAAGGGACGCAGACTGAGCTGGTGGATTTGTACAAGGATATTCGGGAGTTGCAGACTGAGAATGATCGCTTGAGACGGAAGCTCATTGAGCTCCTGAAAAACCTCAGACGACCTGTGGCCAGTGTAGGTGCTCACTCGAACCCCTGCATCCTCGAAATACCCTCTCATACCTTGGGCTTGGGCGGCAGGCGATTTCCCCATATTCCTGTCCCTCTTGTGCCGCTCGCCAGACGTCTCCGCAGCCAGCTGAAGAACCACGGCCGCAGGATCGAATCGACATGGACATAGACAAACCTGAACGACACCAAAGTGGTAAGCGAAACTTCTCCCTCTGCTTTTGCTCACGAAACGAAATGACATAGCATTATCACCTTCGAAGCCTAGTCCGGCGCGATACGCATCAATAGCGGTTCAGACGGACCAACCTGCCCTTTCAGCACCTAGTTCAAAAGACTCACCATGTGAAGAGGACGGAGACGTCGAAATGGACTCCTTAGAGGCTACAAGGTCATCCCGAGTGTCTCGTCTCGATTCACTACCTAACACCATCTCCTCCAGTGGCCACGCTTCACCCCCACTGGACTTGCACTGCACCAAACAGATACCGACACCAACTCTACGCTACACCCCACACTCCCGTAGTTCACCCAATCACGACACGGCGCCTTATCGCTCCACCTCACCCTCGCCCCCGATAGACACTTCGAAAGGTACGTATGTCAATTTCATTTCGGACCTAGGAGGTTAAAGCAACGTGGTTGTTGATTTTACCGTTGGGAGCAACTTAGGATCGGGACCCCCAAACCTTCAAACAAGCTTTACGGGAACGGGAACGGAAAAGGAAACGAGAATGCCGGGGTCGCATCGAGGGGTACAATCCAATGAGGATGCGGTGAAGCGAGGGTTATCAGAGGAAGCCGATCGAGGGTCACACAACGCACTCAATCAGCAAGTGTTACCCGACGACGAACCTAATCGACGAGTCGATCTCGATCACGAGCAAAGCCATTCCTCGTCTGAACAAACCGTGACATCCCGTTCTACCGAACCGCAGCTGCAGGGATCCGCAGACCACGGTAAGCAGTCCCTGAGCTGTCTCTTTTCAATTCCCATCCACTTACTCACTTGCTTACATAATGACTTGCTTTATTGCGAAACGCTATCTTCGTCGCAAAAAATATTTCTCCTCCACTCGCCTGTCAAACAGACGCAGTAGTATGGGTGACCAAACGCCACATCGAAATCCTCTACAGCTCCACGATCGACCAATCACAGAACACCTTTTATTATTCCTGTCGGCTATGCGAGTACGTCCATCTTTTATTCTCGTGTTTCTTCGAGCTAAGTACTAACTCCTACCTTCTTACTTTGAACCTTTTGCAAACAAAGAGCCGACGAACCACCCGCCACCGCGTCCTTCCCATCGAACGCTCCATATTCCGCACTACAACGACATTGCGAAACGGCCCACTTGGAGGATAGTGCGACGTTACGAGGTCTCTCGGCCGCCCAACTCGAGGAGATATTTGCGCGGCTTAACGATGATTCGGAGTAGTGCTTAAGTGTAGGACTGTCGGGTGTTCCGTGAATTCGTCGGTATTTACACCTTTTGTGGACGCGGACCTTGTAACTGCGGGGCTACAACCTACAGCGATGGCGCGCCCGGAGCAGACTCCTGATTGTCACATCGAGTTCGAACCTCAGGTAGTAGGTAGATCGCGGTTTGCACCGGATCTCATTGCAATACATCGAGGTGGCCGAGTCTGTGACCGGAATAGCAATACACGTACCCAGTCTAGAATGACGATAATAATAAATTAATTGTCCAAATGATAATTCCCCAAAGGACGGTCTCCGAGATGGCCAAACATCGGGGGACACCATGGCAGCAAATTCGGTTTGCCACAATCTCAGCTCGCAGTTTCAGCCCCAGTTCCAACAGTTCCTCACTACACGCTTGGCATTGGGCGACCATATTTTCGTGCTCTACTCCTTTGGGGGTCTCTCATGATGCATCCTACGGTTTTCCCTTGCAGCACACTGACACAGTGACATTATTGCTTCAAATGTCAAGCTCAACTTGTTCAAACTTGAAGAACCTCTGCTGACTCAATATCCTGTCTTAATAATGTCTCTCCCACTTCAGTGGTCGCATTATAGGCATTGGGCAAGGATCCACTCTCCTGCCAGGAGAGTGGATCACCTGTGTAAAGTACCTTTACAAAAGCAACCAGTGGTCCCTCAGTGCTTTCCCCTCACTGCTCAAGCCTCACCCCAAACAAAATATGTTAAAACTGTACCCTGCAGGGGCTTCTGTTGGCCTCCAAGCATTTAATCTCCGCAAATGCTCGGGTCCAGGGCCAAGTATGCCCTAAAACCCCAGTTCTCTCCAAACTTCTCAAGCATTCCCGAGTCAATCTATCCAACAAGCTCTCACTAGAAGGCTGAAGCAGCCCAAAATGTCCAAAAAACAGGTCCTTGTGGGGTACTTGTGGTCTGCCCTGCATTCCCTTACATAACCTTTATATTTCCGAAGCACCTGGCTACGTAAAAACGTCACGGTTGTCCTTGAGACAAGTACCATTCATTTATTTAGACTCAAACATCTTTTTTCTTTAATTTCCGTCATGTTATGAGAGATAACATGTCGTCCCTTCATGTATAACAATTTAGGCATATAGTGTACGTCTTTATGATGATAGAGCGAAAATTCCAAGTGAATCGGAGGAGAAATGAGCTGTAGAGAGCCTCGAGAAGCGGACAAGCGCCGGGGTCATTTCCCCGGTTCCAAGTTTGGCGCCCGTGGTGCCATCAATTGGCTTGTCTCCCCAGGCTCGGTGGCGTCTTGCTTCGCGATTGTTCCGTCGAACGCGACCCTGGCTCCACGACCAAGAAAGTAACAGATAATCGATGGACCGCGTAAGCCGTATGTAATTAAGGTATTGGGTGTGCAATGGAACATTGGAGGAATACCGAAGAAAAGACTATATATAGTGGACGATGGACTTGAGGCTGGTAGACAAACGGTCTTGCTACGAAATTCTCTCTCTCTCTCTCTCTCCTCTCTATTATTTCTTCGCTCCTCTTTCTTTCTTCGTTGAAGTGAACAATCATGCCGGCCCAACAAACCAAAACACGCCATCGCCTCACCTACACCCTAAAATCTAAACCCCGCCAATACGCCTACTTCCACATCTACCACGGGGCCTCTCCACCTCACGAACAATTAGGCTCTCTAGCCGACATTTACGTCCAACGACGTCGTCCGTCTTCGGAGCTCCTCGACTCTCAATCCGGAATTACCGCAAACGAAGGAGAAGGCGACGACACGCTCGCAGTTTACGCGAAGCTGGAAGGAGGCTGGTGTAGATGGATCAACCACGACGTCAGACTCTTCCACCCCTTGCCGAGAACATGCGGAGGCGGACCGCGTGTCCTCGGCGTCACCACCAAACACTGCTTCAGCTGGATCCCAGTAGAGAAACACGCGTCTCATTTAGGCACCTGTAAGTTTGTTTTCGCGTTTTCTGATTTTTCAAGTCTACGGCCCGGGGATGTTGAGCTCGAGCAGGTACTGAATCGAGGTGCTTTGTTATCTTGCTCAGACAACTCCATTGAAGCCGAAATCAAGGCCTACCTCAATCAATCGTCAATACCGTCGAAGCCAAAACGCACCCGCTTTCGCAATCTTGGACCGGATTCCGAATGCTTTCGATCCTCAACTCCACCGAAGGTCATTCCCTCGACAACCACCGGTTTCTCAGCACAGCACCCACCTTGCATGGCGGTGGTTCCCCCAGCCCACCCGAACGTATCACGCACTCCGTCTGCACCCAACGTCGCCGGTCCCAACCTGACCAACTGTTTACAGTTGTGGTAAAACCACCCCGGCGTGTGCACGCATCCGGATGTACGAAAAGTGTCGCTATTATAAGGAAGGTATTACACTAATTCGCTGGCACGAAAATCAAACCCAACACGCGTAGATACATAACTTAACAAATACAACCACTATTTCTTCGTCTTCCCTTTCGCAGCGGGGGCCTTCTTTTTCTTCGGTACCTTGATCAGAGAATCCTTGGTTAGGTCGTCCGAGTCGTCCCCTTTGCCCTCTTCCGAATCCGAAGCATCGGGAATTTCATCGTCGACCTGATAGCAAACCCGCGTTAGATCAAAAACATCAAAGTGAAACACAATACTTACCTCAAAGACCTCTTCCAGGTCGGGAGCAGGACCTCCGGCCAGTTTCTTGGGAGCCTTGCCCAAGTCGGTGGCCTTGTGGAACGGAATAGGGTGTTCGGTAGCGTTGTATCTGCGTGGAATATTAAATAACCAACTATTCGGACAGAGGAGATGCACATACTTTCTGGTGAACGCCGACTTGGTCGCAGTCGAAATCTTCTTCGCGACGAGGTCCATATTATGTGTGTCAACGCCGAGTTCGAGAATGGTATCCCAATCTTCTCTCGAAAGGTAGTACTCGTCCATGCGCCCGATGACCTCGTCCACGGCGCTCTAAAGGGCACGATTTAGTGACTATCACAGAGCCCAAAGCGAACGAGACGTACCACTCCCTCGTCCACGAGTGGTTTCACGATATGAGGGTACAACGCAGGGATATACGATTGTCGAATCTCGTTCTTGTCACCCGAGACCTTGAGTCTCATCCGAATTTGGACGTCACCGAGTTGTCGCATGAGCTTCATCCGCTTCGAGTTTTGACCGAGCCATCTAACGTGAATGTTAGGATCGGCCTTCATGAATGGGGCAACGACGTACTGAGGGAATGAGATCGGGTTGTTGCCTCCGTAATGAGCGCCTGCTCCATAGAGGAACGATGCCGGTCGCACAGTGGAACAAACGGCATGCAAAGGCATCAAACCCCAGTGCTGTTCAGGCCTATCGGGAAGAGGTCAACTTCGGAAAATCATAGCCACGCTCGAATAAAAGACCTACCCATGAATCAAAGCATCCACAAGGTCTGCGTCTGAAATACTCGAAGCAGCCTTGTCCATCAACTCCAACTCCTTCAGGTGTCGCTCGGGTCCATCGAGGTTCTTCAAACGAGAAGGCTGAGTCTTAAGATAGTTCTCTTGGATGAACAAGGGAACGAAAGAATGGTCTTGGAAGTAATACTCCATCTTGTCGCCCAGAGTTTCCCGGGAGGTGGCCGAGAACAGGTATGGTCCGAGTACCTTCGACGTAATGTCGAAGGGGCTGAGGATCTGATACTTTTCGTTTTGCTTGACGCTGAAAGCAATCAGGTGAGGGAAAGGAAGGGCAGCTTTACACAACTCACAGCTCCTTTCCTTCGTCAAAGTCCATCGTGTTGCTTGACAGCTTCCATGTCGACAACATGTTCAGGACCTGCCGGATATCAGATTGGGCGCCTGCGATGAGTTGGTCGATAACGTTAGGCGGGATCTTGAGCTTCTCCCTATCAAGGAAACGACGTCAGTGAGAGCAAGTAACGGGTCTTCCCAAACACACTGACTTGAACGCAATAGTCAGGATACGGGAGCGAATCATGTTGACTTGAGGCCTAACAAAACGCGTCACGAAACTCTCGCAAACCAACAGAGGGAATCGTACTTGTGGAACGGAAGGCTGAATGTCGTGCCTTGAAGCGGCTTTAGCTTCTGAGCGTTCCTGTCGTTTGCGATACAAATGATTGGTACCTGGAAGGGGCGTTAGGAATCGCTCCCTCATCCTCAGTGGCTTCCCGACTCACTTTGGTCTTCTTGATGAGGGCATTGAGAGCGCCGACACCACCGCGATCACCTGCAGACATGCCGTCGACCTCGTCCATGATCAAGCATGTCCGGTCGGTAATGTCCACACCAACAGAGTTTTTGGACTGCGAATTTATGAGGAACACTGGGAATCGGAAAGGTCAATTCACTTACTGCTCCTTTGATGAAACCGTCCAATGAGGTGTTGTTGATGTTCATGCCGTTTTCTACAAGCTTCTTGCTTCGAGCATCACTGGCGTTAAGCTCGATCGGCGTGTAGCCGGCCAGTTTGGCACAGAGGTGGGCGCTGGTGGTCTTTCCAATGCCAGGCGAGCCAGTGATGAGAACGGCGCGGTAGATATTCATGCCGTTCTTCCCTGGTTTCTTGAAGCCTGCCTTCATACTGGATTGCCTAAATCTCAGGTGAGCCGACGCAACGGTTCTTTCATAGCAATAACCCTTACCAGTCATTCAACCACTGCTGTAGCTTCTCGACCTGGCCCTTGTTTCCACAGATCTCCTTCAAGTTTTGTGGAGCATAGCGCGTTGTCCAAAGCTGGGTCGAAGGATCTACCCCCTTTTTCTCGCGGTTTTCCATCTCCTTGGCCGCCTTCCTGATGTCAGCCTGTTCCTTCTCCAATTTCTTCTTCGTCTTCTCGTCTATCTGGCCGTTCCCGAGACCCTTCCGTGTTGCGATAAGGTTGAGGAAGCCGTCCTCGTCCAAGGTGTTGAGCTTGTGCTTCTTGATAGCCTCGAGTTTCTTGGGGCCAGCGTCCTCGCCGAGGACGACATAGTCGGTTTTGCTTGACGGTTGACCGACAACGCGTCTGCAGACAGAGTGTCAGGCGAAGGGAGTCGGTAAAAGCCAAGGGAACTCACCCTCCGAAACGTTTGGCCAAGTCAACCGCCTCGTCACGAGAGAACGCGGTTAGCTCTCCTGTGAACACGAATGAGAGTCCAGCTAGGGCGTCCGGTGCACCATCAGGGATAGGTTTGGACCCTGGTGCAGCTGGTTGCTTAGCCAGCTTCGCTGCTTTGGCAGCCCAACTGTGGAGCAGGGATGAGAGCCTGTACGGTATTGCAATCTCAAGGCACGTACTTGAATTTTGGTTTCGTTTCAGACTTTGTTGGTTCGGACTTGCTCGTGGATGCCTTTGGAGGTGGCTTCTTCGGCGATGCTTTCTTTGCAGGTTTCTTGGGTTTCTTCTCTTCTTCCTCGTCCTCTACCACGAATTCATCGTCGTCACTCTCGGAGGAAGCACTCATGTCGTAGTCTTCGTCCTTGTTCTTTCCCTTAACCGACTTGGTGGACTTGCTGGTGCTCGCCTTGGGAGTCGGTTTGGAAGATTTAGAAGACGTGACGGCGGCTTTCTTCTTTGGAGGTGGGGAAGCTTCCTCCTCCTCATCGTCGCTGGAAAGGAGGACAGCGTTCTTTCGCTTCACCGCCGAGGTCGAGGCGGCGGGTTTTGCAGCGGGTTTCTTGTCAAGAGGCTCATCGTCGCTGTCAACGACTGCCTTCTTCTTGGGTCTTCATAGAAAATAAGCACTCAACGCGCTACCAAGCTATTAGACCCCTTACGGTTGGACCTTATTTGGTGGCTCGTCGTCGTCGCCTGTGAGTAAAGGGTAAGTCGCAGTCCCCCGACGCGCTCAAAGGCATGACACTCACTAATGGTTATCACGGTCGACTTTTGGGATCCTGACTTGGAGGTCTACCCAAATGTCTAGCCCAGCGCCAACCCAAACGCGACTGACCCTCGACTTACCTGTGATGACCCATTCGGCTTTGGTGTTGGTCGTGAGGCGTTCGAGGAGCTCTTGAAGAACAGTCGCAGGTCCTTTCCGGCCGGTTTGGACGTCTTCGTCGTCGCTGGTGCCATGGTGGTCGTGGTCAACGGTGGGCAGAGTCAGTAACGAGCTCGACGCGACCGTGACACGCGATGACAAACTGGCCCCGCCGCGATCAATTCTCGGCAACTCCCTTATCCAGCGACCACCACCATCGAATCCGACAAAATTTAGCGCTACAGTAGCAGGTTCGCTATTGAAAGGGGTCTTTACAGGTGTCTTTGAGCTTTAACTAGCATATATTGGCATTAACTGAATTTTTGTTGTAGACCAATGTCGGAATTAACTCGAATTCCGGTCGTTCTACCTCAAGAACTGGTCTACAAAATCTTGGTTCACGGCGCAGAGGATTCGACCAGTTTCAGTCTAACGCTATGCAGGACCTCCAAGTTCCATTACCAAGAGTTCTTCAGCCATCTTTACAACACGGTTGTGATCAAAAACTTGGATGGAAGCAGGAAACTGGTGAAGACACTGCGCACTCCGGAATATGAATACAGTTTCGGAACTTATCAGCCTGGCCTTGCTATCGAGAATCTTTAGCTCGAGTCCATCTCCAATTACGCCGTTGAAATTTACCGGGTCTGCACCAAAATTTCGCGGTTCGCCGCCCCGATGGACAACCTGTACTGGTTGATCCATGTCTCTACATCGAAATCCTTGACTCACGGCGAATGGACGACCCTCGACCCCATTAACGTGGCGAATAGGCCACCTCTCGAGGTGCTCATTCTCGGTAGCGGTAACTTCCGCGCGCAATTCAGCGGGCTCGTCTCGAATAACCGAAGCCTTATGTCCCCGTTCTGGGATAACATCACCAAGCTCTGGCTCACCGAATGTGATGACGACTTCCGCGAACAAGGGATCATTTTCGACAGCTTCCCCAACCTTACGCACTTTGCAGTCCCAATAACCCCCGCTGTGTCGCCTCTGCAGCCGAACGATATTCTTGCCCCCTTCGAAAGCCTCGTGCAACACCCCTCCCTCACACATTTGGTTCTGGTAATCTATCCGGACCGACTTGTCCCACAAGAACGAACCGATATAATCGCAGCTCTTCGTAAAGCGTTACGGAACGAACCCAAGTTGTTGGCCGTTGAATTCAATTATTCGGATCTCCAATTGGTTTGGGACAAACGATATGGAGAAAAATCCATCTGGGAGATGGCAGAAGCGTACACTAATCGCGTGAAGGAGATATAAGGTTGGGTCATCATGTTATCTCCGTTTCCTTTCTGATTGCATTCAGTATTCAGAGATGCTTCATGGGACCGCACCGGGACATATGTATTTCAGCTACGATACATCCTGAGTATTAGCAATTTGAACATAAACGTCCCAATTCGCATGCTGCCTTCATACGGTCTCTTCTTCGCAGCGGCCGGTTCCGAGAACGTCGCTCGGCCTTCTGATCCTGGACTCGTTCTTCACCACTTCCACCTTCACCGAATCACTCCCGGCGGTTATATCGAGTCTATTTACATTCCCATCTAGAAGAATTCCAAGATTGCCGCTTCACATACACGCTCAACCTCTCAGGTATTTTTCTGATCTTGGCGAACCCTTCGACTTAACTGCATTTCTCACCTTTGCTGTTTCCCAGAGAGGCGGTTGTATCAAGAATCATTCCAATGGAGCGTTTGACTTCATATTTGCATTCCTCCTGCCTGGCCACCCGGGGAGACACGTTCGGACACCTTGCGTCTACCTCTAAAGGCAAGCCGTTTGTCATGGCTGACCGAATTCTAAAGGGGTTGTGGACCTGCCGGTACGACATTTCTGCTGGTTTCTGATCCACGCCATATCTTTCGGGCCGTCCGATAGCCCTGTACCTTGGCGCCTAGTGGGAGCCTTCGAACATCAAAAGGAAGGTATAGGTCGTAAACGCCAGTCTCGAACGCGTTCTTGTCGACAGTTCCAAGGTACCAATCACTGTGAACCGGGACGAGACACACAAATACTTGTGTGCACAGTGCGATATCGGATAGCTCGCGGCCTCTACAACCACAGTGACGGCAGAAGCAGATCATTTTCTCAGAATTGTCTTGCGCGGAGCGTCTGGTATCTTCGTCGAACTTGCAGGGCGCTGCAAACTCAACAACTATAGGCTGAAAAGAGATAGGCCTTCAATGACTCTCATCGATGCCCAGGTATACTGTGCATCGAGACGTATCTGCGTTGGACTATCGGGCATAAGTCATCGGGATAGTGAGTGGACTGCGGCCTCTCTTGGCTCTCACCTCGTGGCCGTAGATATCCTGCACCATCCACATGCTCTGGGGCCACAAGGCACCAGGAGACACCACAAGAGTACGAGAGGCTTCAACTCGTTACGGCCACTTTAATTGTATGTCGAGACGCCTTTACACAACGGTAACCTCTGATAGCGCCATGATCACGAACAACCCCCACAGACAACGTTCTTTCCGGGCTCTCGGAATGATGGTTCTTCACTGCAATCTATCGCCGACCATATCAACGCAAGGCTGACCTTTTGTCTCAATGGCGAGTGATACCAGTGTATACAATTAGTAACCTCCTCTTACTGCGGTGATTCTTAGGAATATTGCCGTTCCGCCTCGTTGACGGTTGGATGACGTCTATCCTCTCATTCAATACCCATTGGAACGGGACAAGGTCATTCCGTGAGTCCGCTGTCAGTTACTTGTACGACAGTCATTCAAGGGGAGTGTCAAAACGACACTGATCATCTGCAGAGAGGTTACGCCAGCATTCTAATCGCGGATAAATTGTGCGCTGGCCCCAACGGAATGAATAGAGATCAGGAGGTTGTGTACTAGTTCTTGTGTGCATGTCTACACGACTCAGTCAGAAAACGAAGGTTCTCTGTGGGTGCACTTGTTAGGACAACAGGAGCGCCGGTTCTGGTACTACTACCGTGGACGGATAAAAGCAGGCTGATTACTGCCTTCACTCCCCAAACCAGCGGGTGGTTCTTCCCTGTACGAATACCCCTTCTCTCCGCTTTATTCCCCCTTCCGACGCTGCGACATGACCATTAACGACCTTGACAAGACGATCCCCAACGAACTTCCCCATTCGGACTATGGCGCGATCGCCACCCCGACAACACCCAAGTCCAAACAAGCTATCATCTACTTGTGCTACGATATTACCCCTTGGGTCCAACTGACCCGTATCCAGAAATACGGCGGCGCATTGCTTTTATTTTGGCCTTTTGGTGAGTCCAACACTCCGGTTAGCCGCCCGCTCCACGTCCATATTCTGGGGCAATATTGTCAATCGAAGTGGCGGCAGTGGGCGTTGATCCGGCTCATTTGAAGCTAATATTAATTCGGTTATTTCAATGTAGCTTGGTCACTCACAATCGCTGCGACTGCTTTGAAACTGCCATTGCCGACGTATCTCGTCTATCTCGGCTACAGCTTTGTTTTTGCCAATCTGCTCCGAAGGTACGCCCACATACTCGCCGATAACCCACGCGCTCTGGAGAAAGTGCTGACGACTTAATGCTTCCAGCGCGGGATGCATTTGGAATGATATTCTAGACAGAGACTTGGATCGGCAAGTCGGTATGGCCTTCAGACGTCTCCTCTCAATCGCCATGTCTGATATACTGGAGCAGAGCGGACAAAGAATCGCCCGTTGGCAAGTGGTGCAGCTACGGTGAAAGGTGCTCTTGTGTTCCTTTCGATCCACCTAGTCTTCCTAGTCGCCATGCTCGAGCCACTAAACACCTTTGCGTACGTGGCCAGCGCAATCTCATCACCTACGTTGTGAATAACGTCAGTTCCAGTCGAGCGGTTGGCTTGATTGCCATATTCATTCTGCCAGGTCTTTACCCGCTGATGAAGCGGATTACATACTGGCCACAGGCCTGGCTCGGTGCGCCCTTCGTTCTACTCCACGAAAGCTTACCCATGCTTATCGTACCGTCTACATAGGTTTGGCGATGAACGCCGGAGTTCCGTTAACCTGGGCATCCCTCACCGGCCAGTGTTCCTCTCCCGATCTCGTTTTCTTCGCCGGTACATGGGCGTAAGTCACTTCCCTTCACAAACCTAACCACGCTCACCTCGAGTCCGCAGTTGGTGCATATGGTACGACACGATCTACGCGTGTCAGGACAAGAAAGACGATGTCAGCGCTGGCATCAAATCTACCGCGGTACTGTTTGACCAGTATACGAAAGCCATCCTTGTCTTCTTCGGTATCCTAACATTCGGGTGCTTCTCCGCGGCGGGATACCTCAACGGAGCGAGCTACCCTTATTACTTCGTCACAATTCTCGGAGGGATCACACACTTCGTATGGCAGTTGAGGGGTGTCAATCTCGACAATCCCAAGAGCTGTTGGAAGATGGTAAGTCCGACCTCTAGATCTGAGCCTTGTTCGGTCCAAGCTGACAGAATTGCTCCCAGTTCGCCTCGAACGCGTACTCATTTGGGTACATCATGTGGGGTGGAATTCTAATCGAGTATCTGATGTCTGTGTTTCTTTAACGATGTTCGCATTACCCTAACGTCTTAATGAATAAATGCGCCATGTCAAAGCACCTCGACTATACGGGCGCTTATTTGGTCAAAGCCCTTCTACCCGGACCTCCCAATGTGACGGTCAAAGCGAGTAAACGCCATTGCTACTATCTAAGTACAGTCAGTATGTAATGTCAAAGTGGTCAAGTATGCCATGGTATAAAAGGTCAGTTGTCCAGCCTTCTGGTTCTTTCAAGTCTCAACATAGGCTACTCTCAGTAAAATCTTCCAAACAATGTCGCAACAGCTTGCTCCGCGTATCGCACCCATCCTTTCTCTCCCTGTAGAGGTCTTCCTCAACATCATATCCCTTGCCACTGTCACTGTCTTCGACGTCATCAAGTACACACAGGTCTCCCGCCGATTCAACGACGTGCTCCGCGGAGACCCAACCCTCTGGACCAAGGTCTACTTTCTCATTTCGAACTCTGGTCAGGTTGAAAGGCTCCTCCGCGGGATCGACCTCGCCGTCAGTAACTCAGGCAGTCTCCCACTGGGCTTGTTACTTGAAATCGCTGCTGTTCTTGCCGACGACCAGCTCAACAGCATCCTCGGCCGCATTGTGTCGTCATCGTCTCGATGGGACAATGTGCTCTTGGATGTGTCTGACAGCAACGGCCTATTCCGCGCTGTAAGCTGGGCTTCGCACCTGGCACCGGCCAGATCCCCAACTCCGTTCACCAACATGCAGTGCTTTGCTATCAACGTGTCGGGAGCTGCGCCAGACCACGGAGGCGAAGGGCCTATCACGAACGTCCCTGTTCCGAGTTTCTACAATCTTGATGATTGGAATCTTCCGCAACTCTTCCCGAACCTTCGCGTGGTGGTGCTCACTGGGTTGGATTTTGCATCAGGCCACCAGTTACCCGCTCAGTTTGCCATCACGTCCCTTGAAGAGATACACCTTGACGGTGTCTTCAATGAAGCTCCACCACTCATGGTGAAGGAGATCTTGGCTCGCGCCGTGAACCTAAAGCACCTAAATTTGGGCACCTGCGACTGTAGCACCTTTAACGCTCCTGGGGTTCCGACTTCGAATTCAACTCCTTTCCGACACCATTCCCTTCAGATTCTAGAGATTGATGCCGGAATTCACTTTATCGGAAATCAAATTCGAACCTTAACCTTGCCATCCCTCGGTACCCTCTTCCTTGGAAGTAAGGGGAAAGACGGTGTTTACGCAGGCGATTTTGTGGGAGACTTTCTTGAGATGATAGGTCGATCCGGTTGCGAGTTGAAATACCTCGAACTCGATTGTATTACCTGTCTCTCCAACGAGGACATGGTCCGACTCTTTTCAGGCCTTCCACACCTCACGTGGATCAGGATCTGCATCACGGGCACAGATATCGACGAGCGCCTATTCACCATGCCATTACAAAGGTCAACCAACGGCTCGATCCTGCCCCGATTGGAGTTTTTGGAAGTGTGGACTGAGGGCTCTGGTACCTTTCCCACTCAGTCCTTTATAAATTTCGTCCAGGATCCTCGGCGGATGGGTGGTGGTCCATTTGCTTATCTTCGAGCGGCGTCGCTTAAGTTTGCCCGTAGCGTAGCTTATAGCCGACCTTAGTAGACTGTTCCTTTGCTATCCATATACAGTTTTACTCCAAATCGTAATAGCACTCCGGATGCTTGCATTCCAAACATAAATTCAATTAATTGGCCCAGTGTACTACAAGCCATATAATGGGTAATAGTACCCGTCTGACAACACCTGGAAGCAAGTCCGACTGCCCTTGTAAAGCGCTCGCCTCACGTCATTTATCCACAATTCCCTCAGTTGGAACTTGGTGTAAGCTCAGACTGTCCGGCAATTCACAAAAAGCAGCAATAAACCCGAACCAGGCAACCCACGCACCTATGTAGTCACATTTCATTTAAGTTTGGGCTATAGCTTTATTGTGTTGCCAAACTGATCTGGAGACCAACAGACTCGACATCGCCAACCGATCGGTGAACATCCTGGAGGTCTGCATGCCGTGCAGTTGAATACGTTTGGACCGGTGCTCCAATGGACGTTCGGACTCATGGCGAGCTGGTACCTTGGCACTACTTCGGGATTACAAAACACGGCATTGCGGTGACATCTTTAACCACGAAATACCTCTGCCAAGATCACATCATCTTGAGACCGTGCAAGTTAATCGATCCCTAAAGCGAGGCTGACTATTTTGCCTGACAACGGAGGTTTGCACCATTCTGTGGCTGAGGCTCATGCCAGGACCATGTCAAAGCGGACAAATGGGACTGCCATCAAAGTATCCCCCGCCCTTGGGGACGCTTTGACGTCAACATCGGATAAAAGCTAGGCATGCAACCGTCTGGGTCTCGATCCTACTACTGCTCACAGTCTTCCGACCCTCCAAAACAATGTCTCGACAGCTCGCTCAGCCTCGACCACCGATTCTATCTCTACCGGTAGAAATTTTCCATAACATTATAGCTCTCGCTAACTCCCACCCCTCTGGCATCTCCATATTTGAGGTTATCAAGTACATGCAAGTCTGCCGCTATTTCTATAATGTACTTCAAAGAACGCCCACCCTTTGGACTCATGTCGCCTGCGTCGTTTCGAGTCCCGATCATGTTGGAAGGTTTCTAGGCGGAGTCGATCAAGCAGTTGCGAACTCGAGAAATCTGCCATTAACTTTGCGCCTATGCATCGCTGCCCAGATTTCCAATGATCAGTTCAGCAGCATTCTCAGACGCATTGCCTCGTGCGGGTCCCGCTGGGAACACTTGGGCGTGCAATTCGCAGGAAGCCACGACCCGTCTCACGCTGAAAGGTGGTTTCCGCACCTCTGGGAGATGGCACAGGCGGTCGGACTGCCCAATCAATTTATAAACGTGCGTTCCCTCTGCTTCGACACCTTTATGGGGAGCACTCGAGCTGTACTGGTCCAGTACAGCGCTGATAATTGGAATCTTCCCCAACTCTTCCCGAATCTTCGCAAGGCAATGGTACTCAGCTCCGAGTTATCACACCACCTAACATCGACCTACCGGCTTCCAGATCAGCTTTCCCAGTCCCTGGAGGAGTTGTCCCTTAAAAGTGTATTCCATAACACTTCATTGGTTATGGTGAGGGACATCCTCGCTCGTGCCCCCCACCTAAAGAAGCTCAGCCTTAACGTGTACGATAACTCCACCTTTGTTACTTCTGCAGCCCGGCCATCGACCGCTCTCCGACACACTTTCCTGGAGGAATTGGATCTCGAGGGTGACGCGGATTTCATCCCTAACCAGATCCGCTCGATAATCTGTCCTTCGCTCGTTTCTCTTCGTCTATCCAACGAATGTCAAGATGAATTCCTCTACCAAGGCGATTTTGTCGGTGAGCTGCTTGCATTAGTAGGTTGGCCGGCATGTGAATTGCAAAGCCTCGTGCTTGATTACGTGACATGCCTTTCCAATGAGAGCATGGTCCGTCTCTTTGCAGGGCTTCCGCATCTCAACGCCGTAAAAATCAGCATCACCACGGACCCAGGCATCGACGAGCGCTTCTTCGCCATGCTTTGGCAAAGGTCCGGTAATGGCTCGTTCCTTCCTCGGTTGGAGTCTTTTGAATTCGAGGTTTGGACTACATTTGGCCACGAGGACTATGAGCTCTTTTCAGTCCAGTCTTTCGCCAACTTTGTCGAGGATCCTCAAAGAAAGGGCAGTGGTCCGTTTGCTCATCTTCGTGCGGCGAAATTTACTCTCGACGGGGACACAGTTTATAGTAGTGGAGGCATTCATTTTCCTGTTATATAATTCGGACTGTCACTTATGCTACCTTTGACGCTATTGTATAAACCAGCGACGTGCTCAGGCTAGTGTTCTGACAAAGCAGCGCGTGAAAATTACACAGTACCTCGAAGCGATCCTACAAGGACCTTTCATGTAAAAGCAGAGGCAAACACTTGCTATCAAAAACGCGTTCCGAGTGTCAAGGTCAAAGCACCGACCTGCTTCCACCATCCCGGCACATTCGGGAAGGGCTTCCAGCCACCGTGCTACATCCCGTCACAGGCTCGATGCCATGTCGTTCCCAAAAAGGCAGCGTTTAGCCCAATTCGGGCAAACCAGCACAAGACACCACGCGTTCAAACCTCATCCCTGGCAGCTCATTATTCATCCAAAATCGTCTATACATTATCATCATCCTCGTCCAAGCCTACATACAAAACATCGTAACGGAAACTCCAAAACCAATCACTTCATGTCTATAGTTCATGATACCATACTGTACAAGAAAAGAATAATTCGTTCGAAAATTGGTGTAGCCGACCTACGTCGACAGGGAGGAGCTGAGTAACAATAGTCTGCGGCCTGCTAGCAGCAGTAGTAAGAAATCAACAAGAAAGAGGAAGACACAATTCGAAACATAGATAGCTATAAACCTGTTATGTACGTAGGTAATATGATGATGACAATAATGCTACAGCGTCCAGGGGGAGAAAGCGTGACGAATGAAAACGATGATGCGATGGGAGACAGAATGGGGTGGGGTTGTAAACGACGAACGACATGCGAAAATGATAGATTGGGATGATTAACCAAGCAGGGGCAAGAAAATCTATGAGGGGTATGAGTTGCGTATGGGGGTGGCGCATTTTGAAGAGGCTCGAGAGTATCGACGGAAGGTACTGCTGGGTTTTTGCTGATGCTGATATACAATTAAGACGAATGCAATGCGAGGATCGTATGGTAAGCGTGATGTCGATGAATGGTTGTCCGTGTAATGTGGTTGTGTTGCCAATTAAGAACTTGTACCGAATGATTTGAATCCGAAATAGCGTCGTGGAATAAGTTATATGTTTGCGTTGGCGATCGTCGGGGAACGATCAGAGTCGAGCGAAAATCGAAAGAAAATCATGGCAACACCACGGTGGAATGGTCAACCATTACACCACTGATCCTGTTGAACACAGCCTCGGGATATTGTCTGCAAAGAACGGACAGCGATCAGCAACCAACTTGAGCGAAACGAAAGCCGAATGGACGTACCGAACTTTAAGTCTCTCCAACAACTCATACGCCCTATCCCTATTCCCAACACCCAATTCCGCACGAATCATCGCCTCCCAAGTAGAAGGCTCCCTATAAACCGGTTCCATCACACCAACACTCTCGCCCGCAGCCGAAGGATCATGAGGAGCATGGTTGTTCGGCGCAGCAACACCAGTAGGAGGGTCGCTCATGCTCTCAAAGATAGACCTGGCCTGATCGATATCACCGACATTCGCGTAGCCCTTGATGAGGAAGTTGGCGACATAAGCCGTCATGTGGACCTGGTCTTGCGACATGCGCTCCATGAAGGCGGGGATGAGGTCGGTACGCTTGTTAGCCACCAGCGCGTTGACCATCGCTTCGTAGACGACGGCGTCGGCGATGAGAGGCTTGCCATTGACGAGGTGAGAGGGGATCGAGTCGAAGGTCGCGATAGCCTTGTCGAGGTCCTTGAGCACACAGCCGTAAGCATTGACGAGCGAAGCAAAGTGGGTGCCTTGGAGTTGAATGCGCGGGTTTCGCTTGAGCTCCTCAAAGACACGCTCCATCGAAGCAATGTCGAGAGGCTCAACCGATCCGTAAAGGTCCAAAAGCAACTACAAAGAAAGACCATCAGCACACGCTCCGACTCGAAACACCCAAACACTCTATAAACTTACCTTGTAGGTATGCGCAGTAGGATGGACGCCAGCCTTCTTCATCTCCTCATAGTACCAAAGCGCACGCTCCCGATCCGGCTTCGTAGTCGTATAAACCTGCATCATGGTGTTGTACGGAGGAACCCTAGGCTTGAAATTGGTCTGCTCAACCATCTCCCGGAACAACGTCTCGGCCGAAACGACGTCCCCAACCCTAGCACAAGCACCAATGACCGCACCATACGTGATCGAACTGGGAACGATACCCTGCTCTCTCATAGTGTGGAACAACTCGAGGGCGTAGTCGGCTTTACGAGCGCGAGAGAGCTTCGAGATGATGTTGTTGAAGAGATACAAGTTGGGGGTGACTCCAACGCGCATCGCCTCGTTCCAGAGCATGAGCGAATTGGTGGCATCGTCGGTCGTGTCCTTGATATGGAGGATGAGAGCACCATAAGCGTCCGCACTAGGAGCAGCCCACGGGAGAGCATTGCTTCCAGTCGCAGCAATCTCGTTGGCACCACCATACTGCAAAATCCTTCGTCGATGAACATGAGCACCCTCAACATCACCGGCATGCGCAAGAGCGATAATCATCCCATCCTCAACCATAACCCACAAATCCTTCCTCTTCGCCTCGCTCATCTTGTGCCTGAGGTTGGTGATCATCATCTGCGCGACATGGTACACCTCCCGAACACGCTCGAGCTGGCCCAAGCGTCCACAAGCCTGAATCAACCGACTGAGACTGGGAACATGGGGGACAACCTGGCGAGTCTCGAGGGCAGTGTGGAAAAGTTGGTACGCCCGTTCAGCACGCTCTTCGGTAGAAAGCGACATGTTCTTGAGGGAAAGGTCGACGTCGCGGCTGAGACTGGCGTGTTGAGTGAGGGCACCGTAGCTCTTGGTCATCTGCGGGAGTGCTTCCATATCGATCCTCTCGGGTTGCTGGGCCATCAATGGTTGCGAGGGAGCAGCCTCTTCCAACTGGTTCTTCAATGCCTCATAGCGCAAGGCGACCTGCTGTTCGAAAGCCTGGGCGTAGCTGGGTCCGAGGTGAGTGAAGAACGGTCGTCGCTGTTCGAGGTTGTGTCCACGGCAGACAACGTCAACAGCGTCGAGTCGGGTCTGGAGGTCGGTGAGGTTGTCGTCGAAAGCAATACCATTGGACGCGATGTGTTGAAGAACCGAAGCAGTCAGTCCACCTTCCTTGGTCAACAGGCTGGCGGGCCACGTGTAAGCAATACCGGCAGTCTCAACGTGAATGGAGCATCCGAGCAGGAGACGAGCAACCTCTGGTGCGAGAGGCTCGTTTGCAGCATAGGTGGTGTACGAAGCCAACAACCAAACAGCTTGGTCAGGGGTGATCTTCAAACCAAGGCTCTCAGCATTCAACAACGCCAGACCAATGGCGACGTTCCAAGGAAGCATGGCCCCCTCGCGCGCATTGAGAGCCTCAGCGCACCTGTCCCAGAATCCCAAAGCCATATTCTGAACCTCCAAAACAACACCAGCCGGTCCTTCAGGTCCCTGCCACAAATCGTCGGTGCGCTCCGCCCGGTTCAAGAGCGTAAGCCACTCGCCGATAAACTTGTTCATGACATCGAAGCCCTTCTCGAACGCGCCGTACTTGACGTACATGGCCGCGAGACCATCGACCATTTGACGATTGCCGAAATCCCAGTGGCGGGGCGAGGCTGAGGGAGCTTGAGGAATGACCGTAGAGTTCAAAAAGTCCAACCGTTGCATGACGAATTCGAGTTCTTCGGGTGTCGAAGTCGGTGCGTCCTTCAACCAGTCCATGTTGGCGAGGTAGACGAGGTGCCTGTACGACCTGAGGACCCGGACACCGTCGAGCGACATGGGCTCCTCAGTGCCACCAGTACCCTTGACTGCACTACCAGTTCCCGAAGTACCCTGTACCAATCGCATAAAGGTCTCGTTGAGCTCGGTGACCTTCCCAGCGGTAGCAAGTCCGTCCAACATAAGCGTCCAGGCGACCTGATCGGGCTTCATGGCACGTCCATCAACAGCACCGACAAAGGGATCGTCGTGAGGGGTGTCGTTTTCCTGAAGTAACCGTTTGAACCAGAGATATGCAGTCGAGACATCGCCCATCTTGATGAATCCGCCGATGATGGTGGTGAACGTCGAGCTGGCCGGGGAGGGAACCAAAGGAAGCGCGCTGGTCGAAGCGTCGTCGGTGGCTGGAGTGGTAGAGGCCTTGAGCATGGAATCCAACAAATCGACCGCCTTCTCAGGCTCGCCCTTCCTAAAGTAGGCCTCCAACATCTGGTTCCACATCTGCACCTGCATCCGTTTGGCAATGCTGACCTTGCCGTCCGTGAGTTGGAAGATCTGGCCATCGGTCCATTTCTGCTTGAACCCTTCGAACACCTTCTCAGCACCTTCAAAGTCTCCAGCGTTGGTGAACGCCTGGAGGAGGTACTTGTACGTTTCGGCGTCAAGATACGTGCCCTTCTCCAGCCTCGACTCCATCTCACCAAACACCTTCAACGCAGCGCGCACGTTCCCATGGGTGGCACACGTCCTCAGCAACGCCTTGAACAACGTGAGGTCCGGAATGTTGAACCCATCCGTAACCTCGTTAACGGCGTCGAAGAGTCTGAGTGCGCTACGGAAGTTGTTCTCAGCTTCCGCAGTCAAGGACTGGATGCGACGTAGCTCGGGGGCTTGTGCTTGGTCAACCTCCATCTCGGCGCTCGTCCTCACCTCCCGGTTCCGCTGGTTAGCCTTGAGACCGACAATCATCCTGTGAATATCCCAGTCCCGCTTGGTGAAGGCATCGATGAGGAGCAAGTAGGTCCGCGCGTTGGGCCTGATGGCCGCGCCCGGTCGCTCGCTCTGTCGCATAAGCGTCTCGTAGAGCTCCAAGATGCCAACGATGGGCTCGCCTTCGGCACGGTAATGCAGCAAGGCTTGGATCCCCTGGTTGTAGTCCGCCGTCGTGGGCCAGACGTAGCGTGACCTGACGGTGGTGGGGAGGTCCTGTTGGGGCGGATTGGAGGCGTCAATCAACGCCCTGACTGCCTCGATAGCCTCAATTTTGTCCTTTGCCTCCTTGATTCGGGTGCCGTGGTGGGTATAGGTGGCCTTGAACTGGAAGTGCCCTTCCTCGGCGACAGAAGTAGCCTTGGTGGAGGTCGACTGAGCCTCAGAGACCTCAGAGGCAGAGGCGTCCGAGATGGAGGGCGAGGCGGGCGTAGCTGCTGGTGAAGCCGGAGCTTCTTTTGCGTCCTTGGCCTGAGCGTCAATAGGAGCAGAGGCAGTCGAGTTCCTCCTTGCGAGATGCACTTCGACTTGAGTTGGCTCTTCAGCGAACAGGAGAGGTGAGGCGGGTCGAGACTGTTGAACAGAAGACGTCGAGTTTCTTCTTCTCAGAGGGGAGCGAGCTCGGGGGAGGGGGGAAGCGGAGCGAGAGGCGGGTCGTCGAGGCGAGGGTGGTGATTGAGATTGAGTAGCCTCGGCGCTAACTGCAGCCTTCTCAACCCCCTCAGTCTCCACCTCCACTTGAACTGTAAGCTCCTCGCCACCAGGGGCGGCGGCGTTCGAGGTGGATACAGAGGAGGTTGGAGTGGGAGGTTGTTGGGCCGCAGACGCGGTAGCAGCCTTTGTAGCCGCGGCGGAAAGCACATGCAACGACCTAGCCTGGAGCTGCACAGTCTTTAGCACGCTGATCTTCTCCATCACGCCGGGGCTCGCTCCATCCTGATCCTTCTCGTTTCGAGGCAAGAGAGTGTTGACGCTCGAACTCCTCAACCTGGTGCGGCGTTGCGATGCGCTGGCGTTAGCGCTTGAGGATGATGCCTTGAGCAATGCCCGACGAGATTCCTGGGAGGCGGAAGGGGATAGCGGTGATGAAAGTGAATGCGAATCTTCATGGGATGATAGCCCAGAAACATCTTCAGTAACGATAATCGCATTGGCTTGGGTGACGGCTCGAGAGGCGCTCTACACAAAACAACAAGTCCGCGGTTAATCAAAGCCTGATGGGAAAAATATCCAGGAACCGAAAAACTCACGTTATAGCTAGTGTAGAAGCGCCTACCCGCTTTCGGATTTTTCGCACCGCCGTTGGACCCTGAGCTTGATCGTCCTTGGCCGTTGTTGCCAGCGTTCGAGTTCTCGGCACGCGCACTGGGATTCGCACCGGTAAAATAGTCTTGAGACTTGGTCGACGAGCTTGACGACGAAGCGGTGGGGGCGGCAGGGGAGGCAAGCGACGAGCCAGAGGCGGTCACAAGCGCGATAGTAACTGGTTTAACAGCTTTGGAGGGTGCCGGAGTCGTAGGTTTGGCAGCGACCGGTTTCGATTTCGAGGGTCCTGCAGTTGACTTGGACTTGGTGCCGGACGCGCCAGCACCAGAGGGACCTGAAGCACCACCCTGGAACACATTCCTCAACGTACTCGTCTGGTTGTGGACTGCAGCAGCCGCACTACGAGTCGTCGAGTGCAAAAGATGCGTCGCGACTTTGGGGAGCATATTGGGCGACTATCACGGGTGTAGGCCCAAATGCTTGGTTGTTTTGGTGCGTTTCTAGACCGTTGTGGTGGATCGTCGAGGGCGATATTCTAGTCTTGAAGGCTGTGAAGACCAGCCTCTAAGAGTCGAATAGGAAATATAAAAGTCAACAACAGAAGAGAATAGAAAAAGACTAGGTCAAGGAACAACACTGTTGTCCAAAGAACCTGTCTTCCCTGAGTGGTGGTGAGGGAAATCGAACAAGGGCCGAGTTGAAGGATCTGGCCCGCCCAAGCTGGTTGCTGGAATAAATCCAAGTCAGAATGACTGCCGACTTGCTGCGTCACCCTATCCCATCAATTCCATGGGAATTCCGACGAAAAACGGAAGAAAATCGTGACAGGGCGGCTCCCGGCTTGACCCGACTCATAGTCCCCGGATCATTCCCTCCTCACGACGCGTCGCGTAATCTCAGGGGCACTTGCCTTTTTCGATGGCAAGATCGCGGTGCACCACAGTCGCCGCGAGGCAGGAAACATTCCTCAAGACCCTGTTTTTCAAGAGCAGAACATTGGAGACACCATTCTGACTGTCCCTCAGCCTATTGCATCAATTACTGTAAAATTGACGTACTCATGGTGACAAACCCACACCCGACTCTCTCCTTCATCCTCACTCATCGGGGCCAATAAGCAGGCAACGATCGCCATTACACAACTCCACCTTGAATGGAATTACAAGATCACGACCCTCCAATGACCAACCACCGCATCCCATCCAACCGCCTCCTCGTGACTTTCTTCCGAATCTGGTTCCTCGCCTTCACTGGCCTGAACGAGCCCAAACGCCATAGCAGTCTCCGATCCCTGGAATGGCTTCTTCACATGCCGAATCGTCAAAGTGTCCCCGTCTCCGTCCACTTTCGTAACCTTTCCGAGATTGAGCATCATCTCCGGGGAGAACGTCGTAGGATTGATAGAGAGTTCCTAGAATAGACAAAGTTCGTTAGTTCACGGCTATCGTAGCAGGACGGAAAAGGCATAGAGATGCTTACCTTCCACCCGAGCAACATCCTAACCACAACCTCACTCTTCTCCTTCACAACTCTAAAATTATCCCACTCCTTCTCCGCCTTCTCCCAATCAACTTCTCCTTCCTTTTCCTGATCCTTTTGTGCCTCATACGGCCCATCATCGTAAACCAACTGCATAACGCCATCTTCCTCCGCAGCCGGACCCGCATCAGCATCAGCATCCATAAACTGTCCATCCTCCACTACCTCCTCCTCATACAACACATCCTCCACATCCCTATTCTTCTTCCTCTTCTTCTTCTTCGGTCGCGAACCAGTATTATGCTGCCCATCCCACATCCCCTCCTCAACATCCACACTCGTGACAAATATATTCGCCGGTAAGCGCCCTTGTTCTTGAAGTTCAGATGGCGGCACGAGCCGCGGCCTTGAGTAGGCCCGCTTCTTCGTCGGCGAGGGTGTCGATTTGGAAGTTGAAAGACCAGTGGCGGAGGATTCACCGGCTTCGTACCCCATCTCTTCTTCTTCGTCCGCGTACATGTCCTCGTCTTCCTCTTCATGTCCACCCGCGTCCATTTGGACATCCCCACCCCCTTCCTCACCCTCCCCAAACCTAATCTTCCGCTTCTCAGGCCCGCCATTCAACCTATCCATCATAACCTGCTTGAAAAAACCCTTCTTCTTATTCTTATTCCTCAACGAGGCCATCATGATCTTCGGGAACGCGTCCTCGTCCGCGCTCGAGTTCACGACGAGAGCGCGAGCGCCTGACTGCGCGCCCTTCATCGTGGAGGATGAGCTCGAGGTAGGCTGTGGTTGCGCATGATTCCCCGGCTGGACAGACCCTCTACTCGAGCCTCCACCGACACCCGCACCAACACCTACCCCTGCCTGGTCAACCTCCATCCCAATCCCGCCCTCCGCATCCACTCCAACTCCAGTCCTCGACCCCAACGGCACCAAATTAGCATCCGAGCTCCCTTTCGGGGGAGGTGCACTCCCAGCGACGGCTGCAGCGGCCTCCTTCTCAGCCCTCCGCTTCTTCCTCCTCCTCTCATTCCTCGAATGAGTCGTAGGTTTTCCGAGGCCTGGTGGGACGTGGGTCGTGGCCGTACCAGGAATGACAGATTTAGTGGTTTTCGAAGGTGCGGGAGGTGCGCTTTTGGTTTTGGGTTGCATGGGAGGAGGTTTGGGTGTTGAGGATTGTAGTGATTTTCTGTACGGTTTCATGAGTATCGTAGAATAAAAATTGATAAAAATGCGAGAACGAATGGATGAAACTCACGAAACGGCCTTCTCCTTCCCATTCGCTTTCGAACTAGAAGGCCCAACTCCACGAACACTCGGAGCTGACGATCCAGAGCTCGAGGAACCCGAGGAGGTATCACTCGAGGAAGAATCCGAATCCGAACTTGACGCTGAACTCGATGAACTCGAACTGGAACCTGAACTCGACGAACTATCACTCTCACTTCCACTCTCACTCCCACTGTCACTCTCTTCCTCGTCACCCTCCCCAACCAACCCCTCAACCAACTTCGCAACCTCCTGCACAAGCTCCTCCCCACCTACATCCTCCCACTTGGCTCCACCCTCATACATCTTCTTCCGTTTCCGCATTTTCGCGAGGAGGTTCGCGTATTGCTTCCTGAACTTAGATGGCCCACAGGTAGTCTTGGACGATGCACCAGAAGGAAGTTTGGAAGAAATGAGAGAGAGAATTCGTTCAGCAGCCAGTTCGTCTTTAGATTTGGAGTTGGGTTTGCGTTTTTTGGCGGTGTGCTTGGAGGATGAGGTCGAGCTTGAGGAAGAGGAGGACGAGGATGATGATGAGCTTGAACTCGACGACGACGAGCTCGAACTCGAGCTGGAGCTGGAACTGGACGAACTTGAACTCTCCGAACTCTCCGAATCACTCTCACTCTCCTCCCTCTTCCTCTTCCTACTCTCTTTCCCTTTCTCCTTGGCCTTCCCATCACCCAGACCATCCACCACCGCCTCCTCCCTATACCCCAAAACAACCAAATCCCCCTCCCTCAACAACCCCACAACCTCCCCCTCATCCAACAACTCAAACCCCTCCATCGACAACACCATCCGCCTCCAATCCAACTTCAACTGCTTCAACCCCGGTAAATTAGGTATCACACTCCTTTTGATATCTTTAATCGTTCTGATAGTTGGAGCAGTAGTCGTGGTATGACCATGGCTGGGTGATTGCAGTCGAGATTGCGTGGCATGAGATTGGGGTGGTGGAAGTGGAACGGTAGCACTCGTGGATGGGCATAGAGGTTGGAGGGGAGGGGAGGGTACGACGATCCAGACTCGTAGCGGTGGAAGTGTAGGACAGGTTTCGATTCTCAACCTCATCGTTGAGCCAGATTGGTCTGTGCAGTCTCGTAGACCGCGTAGCGTTCAGAACCGACAAGAAGTAAAGTAGCAAGTAGCAAGGTAGCAGGTGGGTCCCTTTGGATCCACAGCGTGTTTTTATCCTGTGATTTTCAGTGATCAGCACCAAGAAAAAACGAAGACTAGTTTGAGCGGTACCTAATAGACGAGAAGATATGGCCTGGAGGTCGTCGAGGACGCGAACGACGGGAGCAAAAGGCAAACTCGCGCTGGGCGACTCGTCTGCTCCCATCAATAACGGGCTGATGGCGGGCCGCCTCAGGGAACACGGGCGCTAAAATCACGGCTCTCGCAAAGGTACTTATGAAGGCTGCAATCTCCGGAAAGTAGTCACGTAGACAAATTCATTCCGGAATGGTATAAAAACAGTAGGCGGTCGGCCTACAGAACAATAGTCATTGCATCAGACGGAACAGTGAAACCGTACTGCGGATCTTTCTCTATAAAGTCCATCATACCCTCGTCCCAATGCACAATGTTCTTGGGAAGAGGAACATACTCCGATATACTTAAACTCGGGGCGTCAAAGATGCTAACTTCAACCATGTGGGGCGCTCTTCTGGCACCACTGGCAGAAATCCACGGCTTTATCCTTTCTTCAAATAGCGCTCCAAGTCTCTCCAATTTTTCGCAAGGGAGCATCTGCAAGATGAGACTCTCCAATGGTGCAGCCTTTCCAGTTCCCTGGCCTACAAATTTTAATGACACCACCAGGTCGACGAGTAGCCCGCAAACCATGTGCATGAGTGCCTGTGCCTCCACTTCTGGGTGGACAGGCTCATCTATAAATGGAAGCCTAAACGGGACAGCGCAATTGATTCGGAGCCGGCGGAGGGAGGGAAGAGGGGGCGTCACGCTCGAAGAGAGATGACGGAACAAATTGGCGAGATCGTTGCCGCAGCTTGGACCGAGGATTAATTCCTCCAACGAAGACGAGGCCTTGAGGAAAGGAGTTAGGTCCCGCTGGAGGTAGGTGAGGCTCAGGCCCATCAACGTCAAATGTGTGAGGGAAGGAAAGATAAGGTCCCGTTCCTCGGTCTGTATCGTGTCGGAGAAACCCTCCCGTGGGTAGCAGAAAAGCTTGAGCGTCGTAAGATTGGGCCAATGGAAATGGTGAAACCGGCTAGGACGAATGGCGTGTCTCTGGGTGACGATTAACACAAGCTCCGAAAGTTCGTTCTGGACAATCTTCTCATCGGTGTCGAATGGTGAAATGGGGAGTGCAAGTAAGGGTTGCGGTCCGTCCAAGTTCTGCGGAAGAACGAATGTACCCTTGCGCAAGCTGCAGCAGCTTTCCATGAGTGCGTCCCATGCCCAAGGGCTGATGCCTTGAACGAAGAGGTGGGTGAGTTGCCGATAGAATGGCACATCCAGCTGGTCGAAGAACAGGTCAGTAGGCGTAATGAAAACTGCTTTTCGGAGTTTGGGGAGGGGAGGCAGTCGCTGGGAAGTGGAGAATCCGCCCAGATCATCCTGTTCGGGGTGTTGAAGTACGAGCGACTCCAGGTTCCCCATCATCGACGGGTGGCGGAGAAGTATGTCGTCCAACACGTGTGCAATGTAAACATTTAATTTGGTGAGCGAGCTGGTGGATGAATCATTAAGGATCGTGGAGAGAGGCTGTCTGTACGGCCGCAACCCTAGGTCCTCGGGCTCCAGAGGTAGTTCTGGCAGGGACTCGTCGGCTAGTGAGACTGATTGCCCGCGAATGTTCAAAAGAAGCACTCGCGGCTGGCCTCTCATAAGGGCGAGGGCGCTTTGGTACGTTGGGACCAACCGCCCGGGGACTAGATGCTCGGGGTAATGGGATGATTCCCAAATCTCCATCGCCAATGGTGGCCAGAATTCTGGTGAGGCTCGGATTGCTCTCTCCCACAACAGGGATACCAAGCAGAGTGACACCGCCCGTATCCTATATGGCTGAACCACCCGCAACCCTCCGTTTTCTCCACTATCCTCTTCCTCCAGCCGCATCTTCGCCGGATCAAGGGCCCTTTGGTTAACTTCTATGCAGTAAGAAAATATCTCCTGCAGAAGCTCGGATGGGAATCGACGTAGCGAGGAGAGCAAGCTTGCGCAGGCTTGAATCTTCCCCTCGAGTTCACCATGGCGCTCGCCATCTGTGGGGTCGAATGAAAGGTTCTCCAAACTGCTTTCGTATTCTTTCTTTGCAACTACAACGCGGGCGCGCTGCGTCTCTGACAAGTCTCCGCAGGATCTCGCGATCTCAACGATATCGGGAGGTAATCCCAACTGTCGTGTTAATTTGTCGTTCAGTTAGCTGTATACCATGATGGCCATTACCCTTCAAGTTCTACGGCTCACCTCGGTCAACGAAGAGCGGTGGCGGAGTTTTTGATACTTACCTTTTCTACCTCCATCCAGATTCCGACAAGGCTACTTTGGACTTTGTCAGAGGACAATGGATGTAGAACGAAAGTAGTTCCTGCGTGAGAAACAAGGGACCACTGCCCATCGAAGGTAGGTTAGTCAGTAATTACAGCCGTTTGCATTAGTCTTTGCGCGAGCGATGTCGCAGAAACCAATTGATGGCGTGTCGGAAAACTCCGTATGGCAGCCCAAGTCACGCTCGACGACCGTCGTTCAGGCTTCGGTATGAGATGTTTGCCTCATCCTCGTACCCTTACCGTCTCTCTTTGTACTTCCAATGGTATGAAACAGCGAAATGTCCCTTTCACACCAACAATTCGTAAAATCGGCCATGTATTCGAGGAAGAACCTGGTTGGAACCTGGCAGGTGGGAACCCCACGGAATTTTCCGACACGCCATCAATTGGTTTCTGCGACATCGCTCGCGCAAAGACTAATGCAAACGGCTGTAATTACTGACTAACATGGCAGGGCCGGCGCCGTGCCAATGGGATGGCACGACGACCGACAGCTTTGCATGTGCCGAAGTTCCGGGCTTACTGAGACTGTTGTAGGCTAACGTATTCTGGATGGCGCGAGACCTGTTCACTATATATAAAACCCGTTCCTAGGCGACGTTGAATAACGTGTAAAAAGTGTACCCTGCGACAAGCTGGACTGACAGGTGAGTTACTAGTACCGCCAGGCGAACTCAAAATGTCAAAACATAGCTTTCACTGAGAACCTCTGAACTCTCCTGGGGCAGAGAAAAAGCAGGTTGGGCTCTTGAACGCACTGTAACAACCGCATACTAACCAACCGGCACTCCGCCGCAGAGAACGGTCGAATGTGAAACAGCGCCCAGTTTCTCCTCGCATCACCGGACTCATACTTCCGTTTGCAGTTAATCCACACCTGTCGGCAATCCTTTTGCTTGAGTGTCGATTCTTGAGGAGATAATCGCGCTCAGAGAATAAGCTACGCCGAAATTAGGGCGTCGATCATCGGTGAGGTTCGACACCGCCACTGGGCGCTTACTATTTCGGCGATTACCAGAAAGTCGAACTGATTTCCCTCTGGCGAACCATTGAAACAGTACATCGTTTATCCCTTAGCTAGATGGCCAGGGGGCAAACGCCCATGATCCTTTTGTTCCCTCAACCGAGTCCTTGGTGCACGGATGAAACTCATTGGGCAAGGACTGGATTTCAAATTCATCTCTAACGTCCACCCTATCACGTTTACTGATAGTTCAACTCAACCTTGTGTGTCCTCTTGCTACTAGTGAGGCGGTCTAAGATGAGGCATTGAGAAAAATTGACAAGACGTTGAAAATTAAACGCCTCGTTTCATCCAATCGTTGTTATCTTCCGTATTCCACGCCAGAAATGGCTCTACGTGTTAACGGTCTGTACTATGCCTAAGTATGAGCAACGCACACCAGTATATCGTTTCAATTTTTTCGACCCTTTGACTAACAGCCGCCAGACAAGTAAAGAGATCGCGGCAGTCGGAACTCGGGACGAAGGACACAAAGTCCGTGCCTCTTCCCTGGGCCTGGAGCCCTTAGTATGTAGATCGATAGCGTCTGTCAGAAGTACATAAACGCTACTTACTTACAAAAGCCCATAGGCCGTCTGACTACAGTCTCCACTTCCAAGCGTCAGGAGGTACAAGTAGTCGTTCATGTGATTGAAAGGTGGATAAACAGATCTACGTTTTTTGTACACACGGAATGTCAGTGACAGCATCTGTTGTACCTTGGCCGCCTAAAGCGAGCGGCAACTCTTATTAGGAGGCCTAGGACTTTGTATGGTATCTCTTTCCATCAGTTTGTAGATGAACTCTCGTCAGCACTCAGTCACCGGGCCTACCATGTTCAACCCCGCAGGCCTTCTGTTGCTTGTGGGTCCAGTATATAGTGGTAATGTCGCTGATGGTCGACGGCGGGCAATCGCAGCTTCGCCGACTCGCACTCGGACTTGATGGTATCCAATGGGGTACTGTCGAGGGCAGGCCTCCGGCTCCTTCTGCTAACAGTCAAGGCTTGCGATAGAACGATCCATCCGTCTCCTTGGACCGTTGCAATTCCTAACCGACTGAATACAAATGCGATGGTTCTCTTATCTGGAGTCCGAACACCGAATTGCCGAATAGCACTTTGCACTGAAGAAATCAGAACGAATAGAATGTTCTACCCAGATATTTACAAGGTGGACCTACTCTCAACAGTTCACGAGGTCGTCTAGCCCATGAGGGCCTTGATAGTTTGAATAGTGGTAACAAGACCTTGTGAGCGCCCGCATCAAATCAAGTTACGACTTCTTATCACAACCAACAAGGGTCAGTTGCCCGCGAATCACAACACCTTGATGTCATTTATCTCAAAAGGAAGACTACGATCCATATTACGGAAGAGTGGAAGGCAGCGTATGGGAAATTCCATGCCTGAATTGAGGAAATTCTCCATCCAGGGCTTCTAAGAACATCTCGTTACCCCGTACGGCGCTCTATCCACCTTCCGTTGCCCGACAGATCTGCCCTTCTATGGATCCGAATTCTCTGGAGTAGGAACAAGAGTGATGTGAGTTCTGATTGTAGAATTGCAGTTAAGCCTTGTTCTGTTAACCCGTTAGAACCCTGGAGAAATCGAGATCCCGAAGTTCGAACCTGGACTTGTCTTGAATGTACGGTTGTGGACTTCCGCCAGGGGTCGGGGTGATAGCGAAGACGGAGGTGGAGCCTACAGCTGAGCGGAAGTTGTCATCGGTCTTGCTGATAAAAAGCTCGTCAGGTTGTCAACCACATTCCCCGTGCTCAGGTTCGCTTCCTCCTTCCCTCCCTGCGCCATTCCCATCCCCCCGCCTCCTCTCGTGCTGGTCGTCGAAGATGAGCGAGCTTGATAAGACTACGTTATTCGCCAATGGCGATGCCCACATCTATGGCACAATTCCTCTTGCAACTACGACCAAGCCCGAATCGACGATCGTCCTTTTGGGCCATGATATAGCACCATACGTTCAACTTACTCGCATTCAGAAATATGGAGGGGTGCTGCTTCTCTGGTGGCCTTTCGGTGAGCCTCACTCCAAACCACGCATTTAGCGAGACTCGACCGTCGTCGCTTGCATTGTGGTTGATCCGGAGGACAAATGGCTGACATTGGTTCACTAATTATAGCATGGTCGCTTACCATCGCTGCAACGACATTAAACCTTTCCTTCTTCGAGTTCTCCTCGGGATTGCTGTATAGCTTTGTGTTCGCAAATCTTCTTCGGAGGTACGTGTACGGGAATGCAGGCTTCGAACTCGAACCCGGTTTTGACAATTATTCCAGTGCAGGGTGTATTTGGAATGACATTCTGGATCGTGATTTTGATCGGCAAGTCGGTACGTAGAACGAGGACAACAAAACCAAACGGGAGTCTTACGTTCAGTACAGAGCGAACGAAGAACCGCCCTCTCGCCAGTGGCAGAGCAACTGTGAAAGGAGCTCTCGTATTCTTGCTGATGCACTTGGTTTTCTTGGTCGCTATGCTTCATCCATTGAACCAATTTGCGTACGTGTTAACTGAAATGTGTGTTCGCTAGCACACGACTTACGATACTCGAAAACTTTACAGGCGGATAGTTGGCTTCTTCGCCATCTTCTTTTTCCCCGGTCTCTATCCTTTGATGAAGCGTATCACGTACTGGCCACAAGCATGGTTGGGTAAGTGTTCTCCGTTGCAACGCTGGACCGACGTTGACTGATTCTCACAGGTTTGACAATGAACATCGGGGTCCCTTTGACATGGGCAGCGATCTCTGGCGAATGTCCAACGCCTGCTCTGGTCTTCTACGCTGGAACATGGGCGTGAGTAGTGATCGTCGAAAACTGTCTTGCAGGGTTGCGAATTGATGTAACTCTTCTTCCCAGCTGGTGCATCTGGTACGACACCATCTACGCATGTCAAGACAAGAAGGACGACGTTAACGCCGGAATCAAATCAACGGCGGTGCTGTTCGACTCGTACACCAAGGTCATTCTGGCCTTCTTTGGCATGATCACTTTCGGGTGCTTCTCCGTAGCGGGATATCTGAATGGCTCTCACTGGACATACTATGTCGTTACGGTCCTCGGAGGTATGGCGCACTTTGGATGGCAGTGGAGTAAGGTCGACTTGGACAGCCCGAAGAGTTGTTGGAAGATGGTACGTCACCCATTCTCAAGGATGCTCTGATATGTGTCGTATTGATATTCCATCTCGTCGCAGTTTACTTCCAACGCCTTTTCTTTTGGTTATGTTATCTGGACAGGACTGCTTATCGAGTACATAATGACGGCCTACATGCGATTGTAGGCCACGACTGTTACGCATCGATCATGACTACGCATTGTACATTATTATCTGTATTCTAGCTACATCGTATGAACTAGTAATCGGAAGCTGGTACTTCCATCCATATCAGACGCACCGAGTACCGCAAAGGTCGATCCTCAGTAGTCCATATAAGTAGCTCACGAGAGGTGGCTCTCGGAACAAAAGGGCGAGAGGCCCATTCATTTGTTTAGTTCTTCAGCGATTGTGGCGCTTCTGACCGTACTTCAATAGAACCATGTGCTCAGGCTACGTCTAAGCTCAGTTGAAAGCAAATGCATCTTTGAGACACAGTGGGTCTAGTTAGTGTTCGAGAGACAAGGATACTGGCCTTCAGTTGTAGTTTTGCTCGAGCTCGACCCGCAGTTTAGACCCTCACCCGGTTTCCCACTGAGATCCAAGGCCAGGGTTCCATCATTCTACTGTCACGAGTGGACCTGCTCTCTCATGGCCAAGAACCTCAGACTTCAATTGAGACGTTCGCACAAACCCCACCCCCTTTCTAGAATTCTGACAGCAGACGCCCACTTAAGCGCTCTGGGCCCGAAGTCCGAGACCTCCGGAATTCTACCGAAACGAGGAAGCGCTTAGATAATCCGATCGTAGCACGTGCGCCAACGCGTTGAAGGCACGCGACTCGTTTGGCGCGGCGCGGTGCCGTGCCTTGACGGTTCCTTCTTCTCCTAAAACCACCACCACCAGACTCGATGCGCTGCCTTGCCTCAGCGCCAGACCTATCACATATTCAAAATGGGGAAATAAATAAGAAGATACTGGGGACGAAGCCAAATGAAGACAAGCCACAAGTGGCACCACGACCTATTTTAACCTTCGAGGAGCTGCAGAATGCCAACAACCCAAGCCCAAGAATCCCAGTTGTGAAGCTAAATGTCGATAAAATATCGGATACTTTAGCGGCGCGGCTGGCTACAAGTTTACTGGCAATGGTTCTGTTCTTGAAGAACCAGACACCACTGTGAGTATCAGCGCAATAGAACAGGAGGAAAACTAATTCGAAGAGCAGCCCTGTGCAGCAGCTGTGTCGAATGTCTGGCAAGAATGTACGTATCTGCCGAATACAACCATCTGGACTACTTGGGAGCTGACTTTGTGCCCATTAGACGAACACAAAGGCCGCGAAGCAACGAACTGAACTTCTGAATGCTTTCGACACGCTGTCATCGCATCTGACGACGACGTTTACCGCACTGTCAACTGCTCTAGCACGGTCAAGCAGTAAGGAGAATAAGGACGCAAGCCCAGTGGATCACCGTGCATATGTCGCCATCTTGTTGGGCCCTAGTCTGGGAACAGCAAAGTCAAAGGTCTTCCTCGGTGTGGATCAGTTCGATGCGCGTATCTGGGGTATGCAGGAGGAACAAACGGGTGGCAACGATGATGAGGACGAAGACACTGATGAAGACGACGAGAGCGGCTCTGAGGCTGAGAGTGGCGACGAAGAAGCAACGAGCGATGAAGAGGGCCCCAGCGACAGTGAAAGCGAAGGAAGTGAAGGCGAGAGTGATGGTGAGAGCGATGATGAAGATGGCAGTGACAACGACGGTGGAAGCTCCCACACATCCGAAACTGAAGAGGCGACATCGAAGGAGAATGGGAAGATTCTCGCGATTGAAGTCCCTCGAGGCCCCAGGATAGTAGCCCCACCGACCGTGTCATTTGCAGAAGAACAACGCTTCCTTCAAAACGCGGAACGCCTGCTCTCGCGAACGCTTGCAGCAGCGGATGCCAGTGGCTATGGACTTGCCTCGGAAATGCGTACGTCCAGACTGTTACATGCCTATGTCATTCCCTCTCATTCCGTCCTCGTAGCTCCCACCCAAATTCACTTCCTAATTCGAGCCCCTAGGGACTTCTCACATCCCGCCTGGATTCCTCGCCAGAACGTAACTCAAGCCCTGGATACAAATCTTGCGGCATTCCTAGCGGAGTCCGGAATCGATGCTTCCTGCGATACTATCCCACCAGCGAAGGGACCTAAGAAACAGCAGAAACCCGAAGGCGTTTGGCTTGCGAACAGAGATGGTCTCAATTCTGCTTCGCAACACAGTTTGAACGCAGATCAGGAGGACATGATTTGGTGGAGCTGGGATGGCAAATTGGTAGGATTCGCGGACTGGTAGGATCGGACAAGCAATCCATGGTTCAGCATTTGTACAACACAAAGGACTATTTATACATTTCTGCCTTTTCTCGCTCTCTTTCTCTCACTTGGCGACGGAGATATCGCCCTTCGACTTCTTCCTCCGCAACGGACTGAGCACGGACTTGAGAGAGGTGCGTCGTGTCCGCTTCTGCTCTCCTCCCGCCGTTGCCGACGGCGCAGCCGGTGCATCGTACCAGTGCGTTGACTCTCCCGTCTCCAGGACGCCCTCGATCTGGAACGTGAACCTCCTTAAACCGGACGTCGGTGGCAAGCTTTCGTCATAGATGAAGAACCTCTTTTTCTCCCCATCGTATCCAGTCGTGCCAATCCACTGTGGAGGACCTTGTCCACCACCATCCAAGAGCTCCAGCACGTACACATTGAAGTAGAGGAAGTCGGGGAACCATTCTTGTTTGGTCGGCTGCAGGTTCCAGGGGATTTGTGCGTCATCGGGGTTGTTAATTTCGACTGGTGGAGGGCGTTCAATGGCTGCGACGACGTCCCAAGTGAGGGTGCCATCGAGGCTATTAGTTCCAGCGGAAGGTGTGAACAAAAGCCACAGGAGGGCCGGCTTGAACTCCTTGTAACGATCGGGGAGGTGGGGGTGGATGGTAATCTGGCCGACCAGGAAGGGGAACTCGAATTGCTCGGTAGTTGATACGTTCGAAACTGCAATGACCAGGCCGATGGATGAAGGTACGATGATGGACCCTCCTTCAACTGGCGTCTCGATCTCGAACAAAATGTGCACCTTGCGCCAACCGTTTCCAACTTCCGTCGTCGTGTTGGAGATGATCTTGCCTTGGTCTTCCCCTGTGATGGTTCGGATACCCACCTCGTACTTGGCATCGAAGCGGGTCTTCCCACTCAACCCCGGCTTGTAGACGATCGAAGCTTCGTACTGGCGCCGACTGGAGAATGTGAATGTCTGGATGGGAACCCAGTAGGCTCCATACGTGGTCGCTCCTCCAGGGACGGTGAGGTTGATCTGAAGCGAGTTTCCTCCATTCCACGCATCGTTAAAGTTGAATGCCGCATTTAACGTAGCCTGACTGGCATTTTGAGATGGAAGATCATAAATCTTGGGTCGGGGCCAGACCAAGTCGCCAACCGTGGTCTGCTTGTCCATGTCTGTCCAACCCGTCTCGGAGCGGAAGACCTCCTTGCCCTCAACGAACCACGCATCTCCGATACCGGGGCAGAAGTTGGTGTAGAATGGCAGGTCTAGCGGGTCGGGAGGTGGATATGTCAGGAAGAAGCTGGAGATGGGTTGGAAGGGTCCGTGAACGCAGGGGTATTCGCCAGGTTTGACGGTATGGTCAGGTGCCTCGACAACTCCGGGAGGTCCAACCCAGAGTTTAGAGTCGTAGTCCCAGAACTGTGCCCAGTTCCAGCCTGGTTTCTCCTCCTCGGTTTCCCAGGTCCATCCTTGAGCGAAGAGGGCAACGCTAAACCCGAGTCCTTTCGGGTCTGCGTGCTCAATAGCTTTGTAGGCACCAAATCCTCCTCCACCATGCGAACCGCGTCCCCAGACATCCACACCGATATAGATATCTTGAATCGTCTTCTGCAGGTTGTATTGATGCGGCTCAGCGGTTTGCCCGGTGAGATTCGGGTCAACCCTCGAAAGGAAGTCGATTTGTTTCTGAGGTGCATCGTTGTACCACTGGGAAAGTGCCAGTCAGTTGGAGTCAAAGGAACAACAAATCAGCCACATACCCAATAGTTTGTGAAAATTCCCGAAGAATTCAAGAAGAACGGCAAGTTGAAAGCGTTCAGCCTGTCTTGCCACCACAGGTCCCCACGGACAGTGACACTGTCGTACCAAATGACCAAGCCATGTGGGCCAACCTTCTTCAAAACCTCCTGCTGCAGTAGCGCAACCCAAGCAGCCAGACCTCGTGCTTGCTCTGATCCTCCCTGCAGACCAATCTCAACGTTGAGCAGCCAACCATCGAATCCACGCTCGACAGCCAGGTCTGCGAAGAGTTCTGCGTAGTACGACGAAACTGGTACGGTGTACTCCGCGTTTCGTTCGGCGTGGAAGTTGCTGGTGCTTCCTGGTGTTTTCCCGATCACCATCCGGAGGATGTCTTCGTCGCTTCCACCTTCGAAGATGCTTGTGCATGGTCAGTGTGAAGAAAGGTTTCTGGATCGAGTATCACGTACATGGTGCCGAGAATAGGTACACCCTGGCGATGAGCAGCGTTTATCCATTCCGGAGGGGGAATGGTTATCCGGTGGTGAGCGAAGCTTTGGGATTGTTCGTCAACCTCCAGGGACACAGGTAATTGTACGGCTCACTAGTTGAAGCTATCCGTCGAGAACCACCAATTGAAGCTATACGACTTGGAAAAGGGATCTTCGACGTAGCCTCCCTTGTAGTCATGAGAAACCTGAAATGCTTCCAATGAGCCCAGAGTCGGAAGAGTACCTGAAGCAGTGGGCGCTTACCAACAGTCGACCTTTCCCTGCGATATCAGCAGGCCGAATCTTCCGTGGAACGTACTTGAGAATGCCTTCAGCCGGACGAGCCTGAGGTCCAGTCTGAGTGGCCCGCCATTCGTCCATCTCCCGGAACGTCCTCCAGAACTCAGGCAGAGCCCGGGGGTGGAACTTCTTCCCAGCGATAGGCATGGTGGTTGGGTACTGGAGAGAGGGGTCGTGGCAGCTGGTATGATAACATGGCTGATTTTATTCTTACAGCTTAAGTTTGCTGTGCGTGGCGCCTGACTGTCCAACTGTAGAAAACTCGGAGGTTATCGTCCTTCCTGCGCTTGGCGCAAGAGTGTGACCCAAAAGACTAGCGATAGTCGCACGACGTGTAGAAACGTAAGTCCTGGCGGTTCGATTTCTGAAGCAACTAAGATTGGGAGGACATAAGAAGACGGTCGGTTATTTAGGACCCCGGTGGATGTTGTGGTCAAGTGTCAAGAACGGCATGGTGAGGTTCTCACGAACTTTATCTCTGTCACAAACCACCACCAGACGCGATGACCTAGTCGCCCAATCCAACGTTTTCCCTCAGTTAAAAGAGAAAATACGTAGTTTTGGCTTGACAGACGCGCTACTATGACCGCGTTGGAGCTGACCCAGTTCCGTTACACTCCATACAATTCAAAGAATCGCACGAAACCTACGGCTTCTACCCCGCTGCCATCAGGATCAGAAGAACCTCTGCCTACAGAACCCAAGCCAAAACGTGGACAAGAAGAACCGCATTATCCTGTTGGTCATCAGGCTCGGAAAGTGTATACAACAACCTCGGGCAAGGTGCGTGCCTCTATCAGAACCTGCTGAGGACTCCGGACCATCGAGTAGCTCACATGTTTCTCCGAAACAGCGATTAACGCCGTACCAATGGAAGGTGTACGACTTTATTCTCAGAGTCCCAGCAGGTAAAGTCACAACCTACAGGGACGTCGCGCAAGCCATCGGTGGCTCTGCCAGAGCAGGTGAGGCCAGTTCATAAAGGGATAGGTCGAAAACCTGACCGCGCCCCAGCTGGAACTGCTTTGTCCAAGAATCCCTTCAGCCCTTATGTCCCTTGTCACCGTGTGATCACCTCGGACCTCTCTATTGGCGGCTTCTTTGGCCAGAAGAACGAGAAGGGCAAGTCGCATCCTTCAATCGAGCGCAAGAGGGCTCTTCTTGCCGCCGAAGGGGTCCTATTCGACGGGAACGGACGGTTGTGCAAACCTGATCTAGTCGTGCAACCATGAAAGAGAGCGTTGAAGTGAAGCCCTTTTGTCCCCTCTACTCTATGGCCGCATTCCACAACTTGACTCAACAGAGCGACATTCGAGAGATTCAATGTTCCTTCATTGTACTAACCAAGGTACCGCAGTAGCATGTATATTTTACACTTGTCTCAAACAAAGTCGGGGCCCGTATCATAGGTGGTCAACTCCAGCAGGGTATGCCCAGTCTTCGACTCTGCTCCTTCATCTTCGTCATCAGAATACGCATCCTTCTTGCGACCAGCCGGTGCGACCTTGTCAAGGTTGGCCTTCACAGATTGTTGAACATCGAACAGCTTGATCAAATCCCGCTGCTGCTTAGGAATCGAGATGACCGTTTGCTGAACCACTTGCCAAGTTTTGGAAATGTCCAAGTCTTCACTGAAAACTGCTTCCTTTTCTTTGGCTGCTGGCGCTGGGGGCAACTTCGCCTTCGCTTCTTTGGCTGAAGCCAGCAGGCTCTCGAGCGTCTTGATAAACACTTCGAAATCGAAGGCGAATTTCTGGGAATTGGCTGGCCGGTCTTCTGCGATAATGCTAGCTACGGTCTCCTTAAGGCGAGGGATTTCCTTCTCCAAGGAGTCGATATCGACTCGCTGAGGGCCGGGTGACGCCCTTCGCACGGAAACAGTAGAAATGCTAAAGCTGGTCTGATTGCGTTGGGTTTGAAGGCTACTCGCCAAGTGCTTGAGGTAGAGGGTCTCATATGGGGTGTGGCCAATACCGTTCTCCATGAACAGACCGCCGTACTGAGTTGCCTTCAGCAAACGCTCGGTTGACTTGGCTCGACCCGTTTCAACAGCGATGTGGAGAGCAGTTTGACCATCGACGTTGCGCACCAAAGCAAGGTTGTCGTCAAAGTTCAATAAGATGTCGAGTGCCTTGTAGTGGCCCATTTTGGCAGCAACGTGGAGTGGCTGTCATCCAGCAAGGATCGTCAATCAAAGAAGCGATGGGTTAACGACAGGCGACATACAGTGTTAAGACGGGTCTTGGATCGCTGATTGATCAAGACCTCGCTGACATCTCGAGGGAGCTTCTTGATAAGATATTCAAGAATTTCGGGACGATTACCCTTCAAAGCGGCGAAGTGGAAAACATTCCAACTACATCAACAGACTGTGAGCAAGCATGATGGGAACCGCTTCGTAAAGTACGTACCCTCTGGGCAAGTCTCGTTCGACCGGGGAAATCGATTTCGCCAACAAGAAGTCCAGAATCTCGGTCTTGCACCCTCTAGAGATAGCCAGCATGATGGCGTTGTAGCCAATGAAGTTCAGCCTGTTACGGAGGTCAGCACGCTTTCAACGTCGAAGGAAAGTCGCATTGGACAAACTCACTTCTCGTGTAGCGTTGTTTTCATGAATTGAGGCTTCTTTGCGAAGAGGGTCTTGACCGCCTCTATCGAGTTGCCCATAATTGCCGCTGTCAAAGGCGACTCCCCGACATGGTCGATGACCCAGCCCAACCAAGATGGCAACGCCTTTTCCAGATCAGGAACTCGACGCAGCTGCTCTGCTCGCGGAGTGTTACCGGCAGTGGCGTGGTGTCGGAAGGCAGCAAGGGGGCGTTCTCCTGCAAGGTACTCGATGATCTTCACTGCTCCATGTTTGGCAGCTAGCCACACCAGCGGAGGACTCTCGCTATCGTTCCCAACCGCATTGGGGTCGTTTTTTCTCGCAAGGTCGGCACGTTTCTTTCCGTGGACGTTGAGGCCGAGATAAACTCGATTAGAGTCATTGATGATCTGCGGGAGATGTTCCGTCGCTTTCTTTGCCTGCTCAAAGTCAAGTCCGTGTCCAGTTCGGCGGATGTACTCGTGAAGGATGTCTGGATCATCAGCGGCGAGAATCTTTTCGAGAATCTTGCCATATTCGAGGTCGACGGGCTCGGAAAGACTGTGATACAGGTCGGCTATCTTGCAGAAGGCCTCCCGATCGTTCATGAGGGCAGCTTTACCCAAGAGATTAGACGAGCTGACTTTCCGTTCTTCACCTCTTTTCGCGGGCTTTTGCCAGAAGTGGACAATGGCCTGGGAGATCATGTATTTCGGGTGAATGTCGCTCTTGACGGAACCAGATGCTTTGGCAATGTCGACGAACTTGACCTCGTCTCCTTGGACTGTATAGTCGGAATGTGCGTCAGAGTCATCGCTGTCGTAATCAGAATCGTCGTCCTCTACATGGTGAATGAGTGACAACCTCGAGCGAGCTAAAGCACTGCAGAACCCACCCAAAGCGACCCTGGAAATCGAGAAATGGACCTTTTCCTCCTTTTTGTCTTCAGGAGTATACTGCGCCGCCGCGATGGCCACGATTAATTTAGCCGTTGACCACCGTCGGCCTTCACATGCCGCCCACAGTGGAGTCAAACCTGGGCGAAACAGTTGAATGAGATTGTTCTAGGAGACAAGCAAACCGGACCTACCAGATTTCTGGTAATTCTCTTCATCTCCGCTCTTGAATTGAACATTGATGTTGAGGAGCGGTTTCTTTGGGTCGACGTTACCGTCCTTTGGCGGAACGCAAAGTTCCTCGATTTTAGCGTTGTCCCCAGTGAAACAGGCTTCATAGAGCTCATCATACGCATCGTTCAAATGTGAAGGAACGGCGGAAGCGCGCCAACTGTTTGAGATGTATCTGTACTTCACCACATTAGTGGTCAGAGTCTCCCCAAAAACGGCAACTCCCGGGGCACCTGGAACCGACCAGGGGAGGCATTCGATATCGGGGAACAATTCCTTCCACGTCTTGGCTGAGCGCGCCTGGAACAGGCGCTGAACGTCGAGCAAGTAGTCCTTCGTGCCGTTGAGAAGCTGGAGTTTCTGGGCCTGCTCGTACTCTTTCTGCCCCTTTTCCTTGCTCTGATCCCCAGCGCGCATAAATCGACGGGCTTCGCCAACGTCTTCAATAAGCTTCTGAACCCCTCCAGCCGAGACTGAATCTTGCTTCTCCGGGTTCTTGGGGACAACCACTGTGTCCAAAGCGTCGATCTGCGTGTTGATATGTTGAATGGCGAACTCGACCCAGTCGCCAAGGGTAAGTCGATCCCCTGCGCTCGCGTAGTTTCGGACGGCGCCCTTGATAGGCAGGTTGGGATTGGAACCCCAAGAGAGTAGGAGTTGGATGATATCGTCGTGGTTAACGAGGGCAGTCTCCAAGGGACTGTGGCAATTGTCCAGGTAGTTGGTCACACCGTAATAGAAAAGATTGGCACGGATTCGGGGGTCGCTAATAGAGGGTGTCAATAAAAGTTGTAACAGCGCATAGTGGGAAGTCACTCACGCAGCATCCCGAGCACGAGAAACGTCTTCTTCTTCCAGGGTGACTTTGGCGCCATGGGCAAGTAGCACTGCCAGCGTCGAGTAGTCCTTTTTCCATATAGCCGTGACGATAGGGAAGAACACAGAGCTGTATCTGACAGCAGGGAAGTCGATGACGGAGGAGGAATTTTTGTCGCCCTTGAGGATCGTAGCGACAAGTTTCGTTTTCTTAGCTGCAACGATCTTATGGAAGATAGTGAAGAGATTGTTGTCTGCCGTGGAGGAGGTGGCACCCCGCTTGAGGAGCCGTTCAGCGATTGCACAGGCTTCGTCTTCATCGTCCCGAAGAATGGTCAAGGTGAGAGGGTGAAGCTGTTCAGCGCCGTGATGGTTGGCGGTGGTGGCCTGGTTGAGGTCGGCGCCAGCTTCCACGAGAAGATCGATCATCGCGGGGGAGGCGAAAAGGATCGCATAGGAAAGAGGGCTGAAACCAAAGTCCCAGTCGGTAACATCGATTTCGAACACGTCGGGTTCGTCTTCATCGTCCTCGGGTAAATCTCCAGCTGCTGAAGCAGGAGGCCCATCAGGTTTGGACTCCCCCGTGTCAGAGCCATCGTCGCTGCCTTCACCGTCCTCGCCGTCCTCATCATCTGCATCTTCATCTTCATCTTCATCGTCCGCATCGGCCATCTCCACGTCCTTTCCGTCGTTTTCGTCTGAGCTCCAGTCATCTTCGGAAGAGGGTCGGACGGGATCCACTTCCTTCTTATCCTCGTCCATCGTATCGTCGTCGTCTTCCTTCCCAACCTGCTCCTTGTTCAAAGCATTGCGTTCGAGCAGTTTCTTCACCACATCGAGTTGGTCGAACCTGGCAGCAAGGTGCAGAGCATTCCTTCCGTCGGCCATACGCGCAGAGATCCGTGCCCCCGCATCGACCAACTCCAGCGCGGCCTGAGTGGCGCCGGAGATGATAGCGACGTGAAGGGCCGTTCGACCGACATGGTCGCGGTTGTTGAGGTCGATGCCTTCGCTCTTCAGATGGGTTTTGACTGCCTCGATGTCGTTCGCCGCGATGGCGGCGAAGAATTGCTCAGCCTGCCTCACGTAGACCTGCTCGCTCCACTCGCCGACATCAATGGGATTGAAGCTCCCAGTCATGCTCTGACGCCCAGGGTTTTCTTCAATAAATCTAGACGGCGATTAGCAAGGCACGAAACATCGAGCAAGTGATGCACTCACTTGATGCGGCCAGTAATGTACATTTCGGATTCTTTCGCTTGGAGTTCCTTCTCATCATCGTCGATGGGTTCAGGGCAGTTCTGGAAGAACGTTGGCGAAAGGGAGTACCATAAGTGAAATTTCACGTACCTCGCAGCAATCCTCTAGGCACTCCTTCATCGTTCCGAAGAAGGCAGGGTGCCTGTGCAGACGCCGGCCCTTGTTCTTAGGGTTGAAAGTGGCTGTTGAAACGATTAACCCTTCGGTTCAAACTTCATACCAGAAAGGCAGAGAGACATACAGTTCATTCCGAGGTCCTGCGGAAATAAATCAGCAGAGGTTAGATGGACGAACACACGAGCGAGCTCACCGTTTGGTAGACAAGCTTATCAATACGACGAGCATCCCAGCCAGGTCCATACGGGATATGGAGGGAAGCAACATCATAGTCGTTCATCTCTAGCCCTCCGATGGCATTCTCTCCCTTGAGATCACCTTTGTACTTGCGCTTGTTGCGGTGGTACCTGGTGAGTGGATTCGGACGTCCGCGAAGCTGTCGGCGAGACTCCAAGAACGAATAACGCGCGTCACCGTCCTTGAGCTTCTCGAAGACGAGCAGCCTGGCAAGGCCTTCCATCTTCACGATGGATCGCTCATAGATCTATGAGATTGGTGTTAGTATTTTTTCAGTAAAAACTGGAACGAGTTGACGCACAGTGGGATCAATCTTATCGCGAACGAGGTCTGGTACATAGACTTCATAACCGCGGCTAGCGTACTTGGCGAGTCGGACCTCGTACGAAGGTGAACGTCTGGTCATATCGACTGTGTTGCATTGGCGCATCATGGCGACGATGGCACGCGGGTTTCCCCAGACCTTGGAGCCTGAAACGATGTCAGCACCAACCTGATTGAGCCAGTGATAGCCTACAGCTACTCACCATCGTACGCAAAGCAAGGTGCGTCGATATCGAATCCAGCAAGTACCTCAGCCGGGGAGTGATAGAGCCTTAAAACAATCTGAACAGAACGGTACGGGTATTGAGCTAGTAGCGACGCCCGTCAGTGAATGCCAAGACATGGATATAGCCATGGACAGCTCACAATGAATAGAAACGGTATGCTTGGTTCGAATACAGGTGACATCCCAAGGAACAGAGTCACGAACAGCCTCATAAATGGCATTAATCTTAACCTCAGCCTAAAAACCCAATTCAGCAAAACGATCATCGACACCGCAAAAGAAGTTCCCAACTTAACATACCTGTTCAGGGGTCAACCCCCAAAGAAAGAGATCAACATCAGACGTGGGATAGGCCGCATTATGGTAATGCTTTCGAATAGCCCTCTTGGACTCCTTATTCTTGTCCGACAACGGGGTCAAGCACGCCAGCACCGAACCACCGGCAGCAACCACATTGCTCCAATCCTTCAACTGGGACAACGACCCCTCCGTAAAAACTGTCCAATTCTTCTTGAATTCATCGATATCGGACACCATCGCAGGCGCGCCTTCCGGTCGTCGGTCAGCAGCCTTCAAGGGCATAACGTGCTTCGCGCTGAGGTCGACTTCATCAACGACGACGCGCGCCCTCGTCTGTCTGATGTCTGCGGGGGCATCAAAGACGTCGACGAGACCGACATAGGGGTCGGAAAGACGCGTGTTACCGCGATCACTGGCGAAGTAGCGACGAAGCTCGGCTTCATCCTCGATCGAGGGTTTGAGGACGTCGTCGAGAGAGACGCCAGGTCCGGCTGGCAACGCAGCGATCCTGGCTAAAAACGCTTGAGCTTCTGAGTTCTGGGGCATCTGTGGGGATGTGTGAAGAGAATTCAGGGCCGCTCATGGCTCTTTTTAAATGTCCCAAGGTCAGGGACCCTGATGAGCGGAATTTAAGATCGAGTTCGGAGACAAGCGCGATAATGGTCGCGACCATCAGTAAAGTGACTGATGGCGCGTCAACCGCAGGCGCAGATGCCTTTTGGAGAAGGGCGGAACCGACGAATTTCCTAAAACTGTCATGAGCGGCGGACACCTGGTCGCCAAGTGGCTACAGCGTGCCTCCTTGAGACTGAAAACGTGTCATACTACTGGGAAATACGTGATTACATCGATTAAATAAGGATGATAGCAAGGGTATCGAGGGAAAAAACGAGGGTGATACAAGAACGAGTTGGACATAAAAGACGTACACGACATCAAGCGAACAGGTGAAATGAGAGTCACGAGTCAAAAGAATATTATTTAGATCATAAAAACCATCTAGAAAGCGCTGACTGGAGGTCGAATACACCCATCGAGCATCTAGAACCCCAACGTAAGCCACACGGTCGCGTAACATAGTTCGTAAAACACATACCTTGTCGATTTCTTCCAGCTGCTTGAATGCAGGCGCATAAATCTCCCGAACCTGCGGGTGTAGAGATTCAAGATCAACCGGGACACCAAAGAGGATTTTGTCGACTGGATTCGGCGGAGGCGCTGGCTTCTTAGGCTGCGAGGCCTTATACTCGATGATCGCCATCATATGGGAGATACCAAAATCGTCCTTGAGCAGCACACCGGGCTTGCGTTCCGTTGACTTGGGAGTTTCACGATCAGGCATGTTGGGCATGGAAGCCGGCGTTGCATAACCAGACCCATCCGACATAACCGATGCAATCGAAGGCTGGCGACGATCCACCACGCCCGGAGGCGTCGTAGCACCAATCCTAATCGCAGGCGCCTGCCCAGCCGCACCCCCAGCGGACATCTTCGACCTGAACCCAGCCGAACCAGGCGTCACAGACCTCGAACGCTCGCCATCATCCGAATACTCCGAGGGAGACACAGACCGCTGACTATCAGAAGCAGGCACAACCTCCCGCTCCTTGCCCTTCTCCTGCTTGATCTTGTTGAGCACACGGTCAAGCTTGTCGGCGTCCCGCTTGGCGATGACACCCTCCAAAAGGTCACCCCTAGTCGGCGAACTCGTCTCCCTCCACTCCTCTTCGATGATGTCGCTTATATCATACGTCTCACCGTCGGTATCGACATATGAATAGCGCATTCGATCGTTCACATCATACCGTGAGCTACGGAGAACCGCGTTCCCTGGGAGAAGAACGTCCATGCCTCGCACAGAGTTCGTCTGAGCTGACAAAATAGCACGCTGGTTCGCCCGTGTAGCAGCCCGCTGAGCAGCGATGATCTCTTGCCGCGACGGCTGCTTGAGACCCGTGTTGGCGGCGGCGGGGCTGCTGGGATCGGATTGGATTGACGAGGTAGATTCTCTGTGAAGGTGCTGGAGAGCGATCTCGTCGAGAGGGGCCGAATTGCGATGTCTCGAGGACACCGAAGTGCGATAGGAGACGGCGCGACGGAGAATGAAGACGGGGTCATTGGGGTGAACATCCTCAACCGAACCGAGTAGATGTCCCGCATCGAGGGAACGACGCTTGAGGCCAGACATTTGACGGTCTGCAGCACGAAGAGTAGGCGGCGAAGGGAATGCTTCGATGACCCGGCTTGTCGGTAGCAGCTCTCGTTCTGTAATCCAATTAGTTCATGGCTTTGCAATCAAGGCAAAATGACGTACCGCGACCATCACCAGTATCAATAACAAGGCCGTACCGCACACGGTTGTTACTTCTCCGCTTGGTATATTTATCTTCCACCTCGTCCCCACCGTCCACAACACCTTCAAGAATACCGAACCGCTCCAGCCCAAGTTCAATAACCTCGGCCACGGTCACGTTCTTGGGGAACATGAAGACCTTGCGTCGGAAGTGTGCCGCTGACGCGGGAGAAGTAGGTGTAGCATCCTTCAAGGTATCCTTGAAGACAATGGCTTCTGTAGTGGGATGGAAGACCATGTCGTCAGGGAGATCGTCAGGATAGATAACGAGTTGGAGTGCGAATCTGAAGGAAGGCGAAGTGAACCTCTCCGGAGTGACGTTCGCGCCGCCAGTCGAGACCGTCAAGTATTGCGACCTATTGGAGGAAGCGCTGTCTACCGACTCTGTATGCGATGTATCGGCAATGAGCGTCTCGTCCTCGTGACCATTCAGACTATCATCTCCATCGTCCGACCTCCTGTTAAGGTAGAACTTGACCGCAGAGTCGTCCGAAAAGTCGTTCATCGGCAGTTTGGTGATGGCTGGGTGCATGGAGAGATTGCTCGAAACAGAGCTTATGCTTCCCACACTGCTCCTTTTAACTTTAGGAAGCTCCATTGTTTCGGTAACAAGGTTTTCGAAAACGCCCAATGGGTGCTCGTCAGCTCGAAGGACGGCTGATGCACCACCTTCCACCTGCTTGATCGTGAGATAGTAGTCGCCAGCGTCCTCGCCTGCGGGTAGGCGGAATCGCTGCATAGCTTGTTTGACAAGGTCGGTCGAGGTGGTAGACGCATTGAGGAGGACAGTCTTGAAGGTAGCTTCGGTTTGGACGTTCTTGCCAGCAAAAACGCGGACTACACTGAGCTCGGGGACGCCAGGTCCGTCGATACCAGCAGGTGTCAAAATTAGAGAGCCAGGTCGCGGCCGAGAAACTGGTGGACCGAGACCTGAAGAGGTCGAAGAACTCTGAGGCATGACGATGGGAGCTGATTGGAGGCCATAGTTAGGTTGGGCCTCAGGAGGCGAAGAGGGGGAACGATTGAGGTATTGCTGATAGAGTGCTTGCTGCTGTTGGTCGCGTTGACGAAGGGAGTTAGCAAGCGGTGAAACCTGATAGCCTGGCTGCTGGAAGGACCGTTCAGGTGTGCTAGGCGCGGCCTGACCAAAGGATTGGGTTGACTCGCTGACACGGATGGCTTGCTGTTGGTGGAGTGCCAAGTTGCTCGTCGGAGATAGTGCGCCACTGCCAGGAGCATGGCGTGCACCAGACATGGCAGACTCGTCGGAGCTACGTGCAAGGTTCTCTGAGCTATCCATGGAGGTAACTGAAACATTGTCGCCCTTTTTATCCTTCTTCCTGAACATTCCGCTGAGGAAACCAGATTTCTTCTTCTTCCCTTTCCCGTCCTCCTCCTCTTTCTCCTTCGAAGGCTCCTTGCGCAACTTGCCGCCAGATTTAGTGGGGGTAGCCTGGGTCGAGCTGACAGGAGGGGGCATCTTGTCTTTACCCTTGGCCTTCTTACGAAGTGACTCCTCCGCCTCCTCTTCGCGCTGTCGCTTGAGACGTTCGTCTTCCTGAATAGCGCTAGGCAAGTACGGCTGACCAGGAGCGCGCTCGTCTTCTCGTGCAATGGTAGGCGTAACAGTGAGTTTGCGGGTCTCCGTAGCCTCGAGTGGGTCGATTCTTCGAGAACCAGAAGATTCGGAGGATCCATCCTGCTGCTTCGCCGCCTGCTGTTGCTGCTCCATTTGTCGTTGTTGAAGCTCCTGCTGTTGCATTTGTTGCTGCATCTGCTGCTGTCGCACCTGCTCCTCCCTTTGCTGCTCCAATTGTTGCTGTTGCTGAGCCCTGAGTGCAGCCTGCTGCTGATGCTCACGGGAAGCGCCGCCTGGTAGCAAGGCTGCAGGAATATTGTTGATAGCCTGTTGCTGCTGCTGCTGTTGTTGTTGCATCTGCTGTTGCTGCTGAGCGGCCACGGCGCTGTCGTCCCACTTCATAGGGTCTTCAGCTTCCATAGCTTGCATCTGCATCTCCTCTTCGCGCCTGCGTTCCATTTGCTCAAGAGCAAGTTCCTCGTCCTCGTCTTCATAGCCTTCGTCGTCCCACTCTACATCCTCTTCGTCGCTCATCTCATCCTCTCTCCAGACTGCGGGCAAGTATCGATGAACTGAGAGTGTCGGAGTGAACTGAACGCCCTTTGGTTTGCGTCCGCGAGGAACAGGCGACGTTCCCGCGAGGTTGTTTCTAAGACGGTCCTGCGTTGCATTGAGGCTTTCTTGAAGTTCTGCCTGTGTCGCAGAAGCAAGCTAGTAAAATCAAAGCAAAATTTAAGCCATTAGATTCAATTCGAGAAAAGACGCCCGTACGTCAATGTTCCGGTGCTTGTTGAGACGAGCAAGCCGTTCGAATGGCGTCTCGATGTTTTCCGCAGGGATATATCCGACTTCCTGAGTCTTGAGAACGCGGACAAGCCACCAGTAGCTGTTGCTGTCGTCCATCAAGAATAAACTATCGCCTTTGACGACATTGGCCTGGCCGTCGACCGTTGCCGCAAAACTGTGGAAAGCATAGACCAAGTCAAAGTCGATGGACTCGTTGGGGATCGAGAGGGACGAGTCGTCGTCGTCGTCGATGTAGTCTTCATGGTCTTCCCCATCCGAATCGTCCTCTAATACCGAATGCTCCTCGTCGTCGGTGCCATAGTGGTTCACAGCGTCTGCGTGCGCATGCATATGGTGAGCGTGGTGGTGGTCGTCCGCGACGAGCTGGTCCCGCAGGTCATAAGTATCCTGACGTCCGCCTGCGACTCGAGCCATGCATTAACAATAAGAAGGAGAGACTAAAGGCTGGATTATCGGCGAGTCGACGTCGAGCAGGTAACGAGCACGTCGTCAGAGGCGATGAGCTCGCTGTCAGGGTATTGTTGTTGGTTGTTTGTTATGCTTCCTTTTGCGGCCAAAGTGCTGTTAGCGCTCGTTCGTGCTCGTCCACGACGACGAGCGCAGTATCACCTCGAGCAACGACGTCTCAGCGATTAGGTGCGCGCCGATGAGAAACTCAGTGTAGACTCAGACCGACTAAACCGTCTTGGGCTCCAGAACTGCACAACGAGTGAATCTCTCCGTGAATCGCTATCTCAGCTATCGAAATGACATGACCCTGCACTTGAACAGTGCCTCTCAACATCGAACATGAAATCGACGTCCTAAAGAGTGAGAAAACTCCAATTCACTGCTCTAGGTCTTGAATAACCGTCAATTTTAGAAGCGATCGAAGACTACGGCACAGTCAACGCAGAAGGCAAGAAAACCGTAGCCTATGGCGTTCTCTTCGAGAAGACAGTTGATACCCGTGAATAACCACACCTTATGACCTTATGACCTCCAATCTGACGACACAACTCAAACATCTGTTAATAGTGGAAGCATTGAACGGAACGTTGCGGGCAGCTAAACGGCAGAAGAAGGTATGATCCCTTAAGCCCGTTTGAATTGGAGTTGACCAAAGTTGAATGTGTTAGGTCGCTTTCGACGCGGAGCTCTTGATGATGCCCCGGGACAAAGACGTCCAAGTAGTCCTCTTAGAGGCTTGATTATACTCTTCTCTACGGCTCTCGGTCCCCGCTGAATGTAAAGAACCCTCTCACCTTCTATCAACGCTTCTAATCAAATGAAAACTCTAACGGTGTAATCCTGGCAAATCTAAAGCACACATACCACCCAGTGTCTCGTTACTGTTGGACCGGTTCCGGACCCCACACTTCCTCAATCATTCCTTTACAACGGCGGCCGAACATTCAAATCGCAAGCGCACACCGCTTCTCTCCTTCTTCCTTCTCTCTTCTGCGAGAAGAGCTTGGACGCTTGGCTCACAACCCAGCCCAATTACGCCGCACTACACGCATCCAACACGTCCGTTGACCCTGCGGCTGAACTTCGAGTCTTTCCGAAGCGTTCAGGGTGCAATCCTAACGCACAACCCATTCATTCCACTGACAGGTCCGCATTTTTCACTCCATCCTGCAGCTGTTTCATGCATCGTGAAGCAGGCCCGGGAGGATCACATGTGCCAGTCACAGCCAGGCTGAACGGTACGCTGAGGCCCGGGACTAAACAACCCCAAAGCCCCAGTCCCGTAGGTAATCCGTGTATTCACTGGGTGATTCTCGCTACAACTACCCTGGAGACAAGTCCTGGGCGACGACAAGAAGCGCGAAACGACGCGGGTGCGATCACTCGCAAGAACCTGTCTCTACGCGATGGCGGATGATGCAACATTTCCCCGGACGAAGTTGGCACAAAGAATCTTCGAGTTGGGGGTGCCGTATGGCACGGAGTGGGGAAGTGAGTATGGGATGGGTGGGGAACGCCAGGGTGCTTTGGACTTTCCTGTATTAGCAGCCGATTTTTTGGAAGACTATAAAAGCGAGAACGATTCGTTGAGAACTCACCAGGAATCCAACAATGAAGTGGTTCAACGGCCTCGTCGTGCTCTTCGGTGCTCAGCTCGCTTTGGTGGGTCCGCACCACTCAGACTGACATTTTCGTGCTCACCTCATTCCCAGGCGAGTCCCTTGGGATTAACCAAGCGTGCCGCAATCAGTGATACTGCCAACATCGGCTTTGCTACTCTTAACGGCGGGTAGGACGCCTTTCCTGTCTATAAATCCGATCTTTGACGCTGAACGCCATGGTAGTACCACGGGAGGTTCTGGCGGTACCACCACCACCGTCTCCACCCTCGCAGCTCTGACCTCCGCCGTCTCCGGTGACGCCAGAAAGACTGTCATCATCTCAGGTATTCACCATCTCTTTGGCGGTACGTAGGAGGTCCACTGACCTTTCCTCAACACCGTAGGCACCATCTCGGGCGACATAGTCGTCAGAGTCGGATCCAACACCTCTGTCATCGGGAAGAGAGGATCAGGTGCGTCGAGCCCCTACCCAGTCTCTACTGAACATGTCTGATGTTTACCACGTCCTCTACAGCCCTCGTCGGCGTCGGCCTGCGAGTTTACAGAGCCTCCAACGTCATCATCCGCAACGTCAAGATCTCCAAAGTCAAAGCTAGCGCCGGCGACGCTATCGGCGTCCAGGAAGCCTCCCGTGTCTGGTTGGACCACCTCGACCTCTCCAGCGATCGCAACTCTGACAAGGTACGCTTAACCACCACACGCAGCTCAGGGGGACCAACTAACCCGCGTTGTTTCTCGCTTGTAGGACTTGTAAGCCTTTCTCTTTCTCTTTTCCTCCTCCCTCCCTCTCACTCCCTGGCTCTCTGTTTCACCTTCGAAAACCCCAACTAACCCACCCTCCCCACAACAGCTACGACGGCCTCCTCGACATAACCCACGGCTGCACCTCCATCACCGTCTCCCACTCCAAATTGTACAACCACTGGAAAGGCTCCCTCGTCGGCCACTCGGACAACAACGCCTCCGAGGACCAAAAAATCACCGTCACCTACGCCTACAACTACTGGTCCAACATCAACAGCCGCACCCCCAGCTTCAGGTTCGGCACCGGACACGTGTTTAACAACTTTTTCGAGAATGTAGGGGATGGGATTAATACTAGGAAAGGTGGGTGTATCATCCTATGTCTTCCTGCCACAGACTGTGGTCAATACTTAGATCTCTTACTGATGGGTAACTGTGATCCGAAAAACGAATGTTATAATTAGGCGCCCAACTCCTAGTCGAGAACAACGTCTTCACGGGCACCAAGAAACCCCTCTACTCCACCGACGGCGGGTTCGCTGTTGCAACCGGCAACGACTTTGGCGGTGGCTCCAATACCGCACCGGGAGGTTCCTTCACTCGACCACAGTACGGCTACAACTTGATGGGCACTGGCTCCGTGAGGTCGTCTGTCACCCAGAACGCCGGGCAAACCCTTGACTTCTGAGAGGTGTTGGTTGCACTTTTGATGTGACGGAGGAATTGGGCTTTACTTTCTTTCGATAAATACCTTTGTTCTTGTCGCGTTTTACTTGTGTGTTGGTTTTAGTGAAGAAATTTCCATCTTCTGGTGGTAGACTATGAATCAATGATGTATCACTCACTCTAACCCACCCCTCTCGAGCCCACTTAGCAAGAACTGATCACGAGTGGAAAAATCCAATGCAATTGAAGACTGACACCAAAACCAACTAAAACATGGATACCCTAAAATATATAATATAATACAAATCCAAAAAGTTCCCAGAAAAGGTTCACAATTATCTACCTCACCCCCTTCCTTTTCCTTTCGCCCCCGTCCCTCAGTACTCCACCCCTTCCTCTTTCCTCCCCCTTCCTCTTCCCTTTACCCCCTCCTTCCCTTCACCCCCTCCCACCCCGAGTCCTCCCAGCCATAGCCCTCCCAATCTTCCTCCGATCCCTCCAACTCGCCCAAACAGTCAACCCAATCGCCAAAAGCGTAGCTCCCATCGTCAAATACAACGACTCGATATAACATTCCAGGCCTTTACTGCACCTAATATGGATTGGGTTGGGATGCGGGTTCGCAGTGGCAGGTGTGGTTGCGTTGGTGGAAGAGAGAAGTGGTGGCGGTGGCAAGGAGTCGGGTGACTGGGCAGCGCGATGCAGAAGGGCCGGTACCGCAGCTAGCGCCCGTCGAACCATAGAGACTCCAATCGACCTAGGAGAAAGGAGCCCATCATCACTCGCAGGCGCATCCTCAAAATCCTCATTCTTATCCAGCGTATACCCAAAAACAAGCGAGAAAAAGTTGCCCGCGAACATAGGCGACATCGAGAGGAATCCCCAGTTCTCCGAAAAGTGCGCTGCAAAACATAAAAGCCATTCGTCAGCACTTCAGCACATATATTGCCAACAACCCAAAAAATCCAGTCTAGGAGAAAAGAAAAACAACACTCACGCATCCCAAACCACTCCAAACAAACAGTCGGGAACAACGAAAAAACAGCTCCATAGCCCAACCCAAGCACAGAACTCGCAACCCACAAGTCGGCGATATGGTCAATACGGGAGGCTACCACTTGCGAGAGGAAGCACATAAAAGCGACGAGGACAAGGCAGTAGGAGCGTGGGAGGGACCAGCGGTTTTTGCAGAAATCTGAGACTATACCTGGAGGTACCGGGGGAGGGTGGGAGGTGGTATGATTAGTGGTAGGTCTTTTGGATCGAGGAGAGGGAGAGGGAGAGAGAGAGAGGAGGGAACAGGGTGACATACCGATGAAGATTCGACCAAGGCAGTTCATAACACTAATCGCGGACACCTGCATAGCTTGCCATTTCGCAGCTTCGACCCGGTCGTAGGATGGATTCTTGAACGCATAGAGAGCTTGAGACATCGAGCCCACGTTATTGATGTCTGTAAAATCCCAAAGTCAATCAGCACCTCGAAAACGCAGCGAAGCGCAAGGAATGTCACGTACACATAAGCCCAGTTCCGCTCACTATAAAAGAAGAGAAAGCACGTCAATAGATCGTCCTGAACAGCACAAAAGAAATGGAGACTCACACAACGACAGACTCCAAAACAACAAATAAAAATCCAAACTCTTCCACAGCTTATACCCATGCACATTAGGCGACAAGTCCAAAGTCATCGCAGCACCCCGACTCAAACTCCTATTACCCCTCCTTCCACCCACCGAGTCAACATGTACATCAGAGTCACCTCCACCAAGCCGTTGCGGACTCATCTCCACATCGCCCTCGTCTGCTCGTTGTTTAGGGCTGGGAAGAGCCGAGGTACCTTCAGCACCCGAGTAGCTATGATTACGCTGATGGAAAACGTGGTCTTCGTCGTTCTCGTCGTGGTTGAGCAGGGGAGCGCGACTCCCCGGGCCATCCGTCGCGCTATGGTACCCAGACCCACCATCCTCCTCGTCATCTTCACCATCTTCGTGGTCGAGCAACGGGTCATGCGAGGGTAGAGGAATAGGCCTCACAGTAAACAAACCCAAAAACAGCGGAACAGACGTTCCAAACGCAAGGAGGCTTAGGAACGAAGAGGTATTCCCCGCATACACAGTCTGCGAAACCGTCGAGAACAAAAACGCCGATAGTCCAAAACCAGAGATGACCAAACCCGTCGTCGTCGCTCTCTACACCACACCATACCACAACACACCATCAGCTCTATATTGAAACACGCAAAAGCAGATAAAACCACACACCATCTGATCAGGAAACGTCTTCGCAGTCGAATTAACCGCACCCGCAAGACCAGCACATCCACCCGCACCCGTCAAAAAACAACACAGCGCAAGGAACACAAAGCCCAGCGTCGGAATCCCATCCTTCGTATCCTCTTCGCCACCCTCCTCCTCCGCATCATACATAAACTTGATTCCCAGGTATCCAGCGAGGAGAAAGGCGCAGGCGGACGCGAGGAGGATGCGCGGACCGCGTTTGTCGACGATGCGGCCCCAGATGGGTCCCGTGCTGTACACGCCGACTATGGGGTTTTAGTCCAGTGTAAGGAAGGGTGGAGTGGAGTGGATGAGCAAGCGCGAATAGACACGTCCAGAGGGGTAGGACTACTGACTGTTTCCAGCGAGCGCGACGACGTTGAGCTCGGTATGCGATATACCAAGTCGGTTGGCGAGTTGAGGTCCATACGCTATATTCAATCAGCATTATTCCCCCTCGTCGTCGCGTTGCTCACCAGAAAACACCTTCAAACCCAATCAAAAAAAGCACGTTCCCAAATGCAAGAAGAGGACTCACATAATTAGTCCCAGAAGCCAACGCGACTACGATAGACGAAACCAACGTCACGAAACGCTGAACGCTGTATATAGGGGGTATCGGCGGGTGGTGGACTTGGGTCATTTTGAATCTTCACGATGTCAGGTTAGACTGCGGGGTATCGAGAACTATTGGAGACTGAGGGGTATCGACAGTGGGGATAAAGTCTTGAGGGTATCAGCAGTGGAGTACGTTCGCTAAGAGCAAACTCCAAAAACACGTCGTCGCCGTCAAGCTAGGAGGTTATCTAAACAGCATAGCGCCTTCAGGCTCGGAGTCGGAAATAGTAAAGTTCTAGTGGTGAGCTGGTTGAAAAGAAGAAGAGTCCTTCAAGGCGGGCTGTCATGGGAGCTCCCTGATCACCGAATAGCCTCCGATAAGCGTGGATACACGTCCACGTCGCTATCTTATCTTATCTACCCGAGCCAACCACCATCAATTCAAGCAAGCTCAAGTCAACTAGTCAACGTTCAACGGTCAAGCTCAAGCTCAAACTTCAGCGTAAGGAAATCCCAAGACTAGTGCTAATAGCCAATTAGATTGCGTTCTGTATATAACCAACCATCTGAATCTACGTACTATAACCAAGTCTGTGCACAGAACTAGAGAAAAAGAAAAGTAGGAAGAACAGATCAAAGCGTCATGCCAGTGCAAAACGCTTCCAAATTCCAGCCATAAAACAAAAATGTCCGTGGATATTGCATGTATGTATGGATGGATGACGGGGAGAGTCGTGGTGTGAAAGACAGGAAAAAAAAAAAGAAAACGCGACGGAGAGGGAAGGAGAAAGCATGGCAAAAGGGATGCTCGTTGAGATGTTCGTACAATGAAACAGAGGCAGACAAACCCAGAAAACGGAAAGAGAATAACAGCATGAGCTTGCACGGTGATAGAAGAGGGGGGATAAAGGTACACTAAAAGATTGTCCAATAGCAGAAAATAATTGCAAAAACACACCACACCTCACTTCACCCTCGCTCTCCCCAACCCCGTCCCATCACCTCACCCCACTCACAACAACGCCTCCCTCACATAAAACGCCCTCGCAAACTCCAAAAGCCTCTCACTCTCATCAGCCCACGCAACCTCAACAATAGCCTTACTCCTCGCCCTCGCCTCCCCCTGAATCATCTTCGTAGTAACCCTAAACGCAGCACTAACAGGCCGATGATCAGAAACAGTCACATCATCATACCGCTTATAATGCAACTGCTTCATTCGACCGGGGACTCGACTCCGCCATAATATCCTATCACACCAGGAGGGCGTACGCCGTTTTTCTGAAGTGTCGTACTCGTGTGAGCGTGGGTCGTATTTGTAGGTTGGAGCGAAATTGAGTGGGCCTTCGTTGAAACCCCGCAGACGGAAACCGCGGTTCGTCTTCATTTCGCGCAAGAGTTGGTCGTGGGCGCGGAGGAGCGCAAAGTCGCCCAACTTGATAGCTGAAAGCGCGGCTTCACGGCGTAGGTCGATGCGGTAGTTTAGATCTCCGTTCCACTGCACGTAGCTCACCATCAGTCCAATCCAAAGAGTGCGAAGAGGAAGGAAAAGCACATACGAGAACAAATTCATGATCCAAAATCATCGTCCCATCTCCACCACCAACATACGTCAACTCATTCGACGACGAAGGGAACAACGTATTGTTCTCAATAAAAGTCGTAATATCCGCATGCCGCCGTCGAACACTATGCTGTCCAGCAGCAAGATGACAATTGACAAAACAGAAACTCGAATCTCCAACGACCAATCTCGAAATGATCGCTCCCTAGCACCCAAATCCTTTAGTACATGATCAATGTACAGAGACAGAGAGAGAGGAGACACACCTTATTCCCATACTTCCCACCAAACCCAGTCTTCACAAACGTCATCGCAATATCCTTAAGCATCAACGGCGGACTACTCTTCTTCACAAACGTGCACGAAAACAAACCAACAAGCGACTCAACAGCCACCATATCATACTCAAGCCCCATCGGCCCATACTGCGTCTTCAACGCCAACACAAGCCGATCATACCACCTCTTATAGTTTCCAGTAACCCTATCCGATAGGGCGTCACCCTTCTTCCCGGTGGTCATGAGGAAGACACTCTTGGTGAGGATACGCCGGTTTTCCAGATCCACGACTTCTTGGAAGGAAAAAGTGAGAATGTCAGGTGGTTGGTCCACACTAGCGAAGAACTCGTTGAAGAATTCTTGGTTCCCGGGGTCGGTGTTAAGCGCGTCCGGTCGAGAGGCGCTGATATTGAACGTGAGCATGAGCAGCGTAATGTCGTGGAACGTGCTGAACGATCCTTCATTCTTGATGAGTTCATTATCTAAAGAACGAACACACCATAAGCACCTGTGTACGCTCCCAACAAACACAAGAAAGCAACACTCACCAACCCAATCCAAACTCAAAAACCCATCCCAAAACCTAACACACTCATCCCTCCCCAAACTAACAACACACATCCTCCTCCCCATATCAATCGCATAATGGTTCACAAACAACTTCATAACCGGCAACCCAGGATGCGCAACCCAACTATTCGTCACAGTCCACGGCGTCGAACTCACATCGTACGCAGTAATCATCCCTCCCCGCCCACCAGCCCACAGTTTATCATTCACACCCTCCAAACTCATCACATCCGACCCCGCCACCTTCACAACCTCCTCGCACTTGGGCCACCCATCCTCCGTATTCAAATTCCACACCGACACAAAACCTTCCTCGTGCCCCAGGTACGCATAGTCAGGCCGACTGGGCATAATCGTCCCAGAGGTCACCTTCCCGCAATGCTCACTCGCCAACACAGACTTGGCAGAATTACCAGGACTGAAAATGTCAAAGACGCGCACCACAGGGAAAGTGCGACTCGTCCCATGGCTCGACGTCCCATGATACTCCAACTTGCCCGACGTCCACAACTTGCCATCCAAAAGCTTCACAAACTCTTGCTTGTCAGTCGTCCGGATCGCACGTGGCTGCGAGTCTTTGAGGTTGATATCGATGTCGGGGTGTTCAGGGTCAGGCGAGAAAATGAGTGCTTTGCCCGACTCGTCGAGGGTGACCATCGAGCGACCATGTCGGAAGATGTAGGTGATGGAGTGTAGATGGGCCGAAGGCTTCATCGACGTGACCGTCCCTTTACGTATATCAAACTCGACAATACTCCCCTTCTCCGTACCCATCCACACCAAGTACCCGCGATTCGCCTTGTTCGCACAAGGTCTAAACTCCATACACGAAATCTTGGTATCCTTCAACCCAAACTCCTTCATCTCAACACTATGAACGAGCGTTTCAGACGCCTCGAGGTTGTACACCTTGAGTTTCTTCTCGTCAGCCACGACGACATGAGGCCCTGCTGCGATAACACAACCGGTATGTGGGTGATAAGGGATACGAGGTTCAGGATATCCAGGTCGGAAAGAAAGAATGGGAGGCCGCCGCGACGAGGTACTGAAATCGGGGAGCTGGTCTAGAAGTCTGTCTTCTTCATCTTCCTCATCGGAGGATTCTGCAGAAACAGGGCGGACGGGTGTAGGGACTGCGCCTATGGCGACAGTTCGAGTAGGCGGAGGAGGGAGCTTGCTCGATCCAACTGGACGTCGTTCCATCGGTGAAGGCACGGGTTGGTCGGGAACGGTCAACGCTAAACCCATAGTCTCGAGTCTAGGCGAAGGAGGAGGCGGAGGGCGGAACTGACTGTTCGTGCGTGAAGGGGGTGGTGATCTCGGCAGAGGACTCTCATTCTGCATCGGGCTGCGGCGGGTAGGAAGAGGTGGTGGAGGGGGAGTACACGTTGTCGCAGGCAGCCCGTCGATGGACTGCAAATTGGGAGAAAGCGAGGCACGATGTCTTGGTGGAGGAGGATATGCTGAGAGTCGAGAGGACCGTTCACTGTCAGCGTCTGGAACAACAACACCGGCTGTCTCATCGTCCGACGGCACAGGCGACGCCTCTGGCGTTGCATACTGAAACGTCGACATTGTTGAAGGTCTCGGCGGAACCGGTGGTTTATCACTATCCAACAAAGGACGAGTATGAGCACCAACCAACGTCATCCATGACGAAAAGAACCCTAAACGCACCTCAACGGCTTCACGGGCTTCAACGCCGACGCGATCTCCCCTGTCCCAGTCAGGAGCGACGAAGGAGGCAGCGGCACAGGCCTCGTCAACGGCGACGGCGTGACGACACTCGGCATGGGTGACAACGAACGTTTATTCTGTAGTTTCGAATTGCGCGATGGCGGAGGAGGCGGAGGGGGTCGTTTCAGTGCAGCAGCCTTGGCCGAGTCGCTCTGGTTATTAGACGTTTCAGAAGCCGAGTCATTCGAGTTCAGACTGCTCGTGTATGTAGGGGTTACTGCTTGAATCGCAGGTGTCCCTTTGAAGATGCTGCTGCTGCTGTTGCTTGAGGTCCCGCTGCTGCCCGCCGTGCTGGTACCGCTGCTGGTGCTACTGCCCGCAGCGAGCTGCTCAAACTTGGATCGCAGGCTCTTTTGATTGTAGGTTGGCTCGGACGACGACGATGACGACGAATCGTATGCATTGAGTGCACCTGTAGACGTTGGCGAGATCGTCTGAACCGCATCCTTCAACTGAGGCTGGTAAGCCATCCCATTCCCCGCCCTCCCATTCCCGCTACTGCTGCTACTCCCAACCGCGAGCTGGTCAAACTTGGATCGAAGACTCTTCGCACTGCTCGAGGACTCAATCGACGATGATGGCGTCGACGACTCGCCATTGATCGCCGGGCTGGCATTATTGGAGCCACTGCTGTTGTTGCTGTTCCCATTGTTGTTGGCACCAGAACCGCTGGCGGCGAGCTGCTCAAACTTGGATCGAAGACTCTTCACAGCCTGCGAAGCCTCGACCTCGATTTCAGAGCGTTGTTCCATACCTAAAGTCAAAGATGAACGTCCAGCACGGCGCTTTATATGTACAACCGGAACAAACGACGCACCGACAATTTGAATAAAATGGACCCTTTCACCACGCTAATAACCCGCCCTGATCACAGTTGTTGACCCTGAACAGTAGACCCCCCGCTCCCGTCGTAATTAAACCCTTTTCGAACACGCTTCGTCCCGTACAGCAATAGGATTGAGAAGAGAAGTCTAGGGGGAAGGTTGATTTAATGTAGTGGCGGCGTAGTAGTGGGGGTAGTCGTAGTCGTCGGCGATGGCGGTAGTGGTAGTTAGAGAAAAAGACAGAGGGGGTGGCTGTCACTAATCCATGCGGTAGTAGCACGACCCTACGCTCCTCATTCCCCGAACACGACTTATTTTCCTACACAACGCCGAAAGACCGTGGTACGCGTCGTGGACAGAGCCTATCGGTCTCGGGACCTGATATCACTAATCCAGAGTAAACGTTACTTATATCAGACGATCAATCCATTTAGCGCCTTCCCAGTCAACGATTATCGTGTGACTCTCACACCTATCAACGCGGTGACGTGACACAAATTCGGGGTAATAAAAAAAAGCCTAATAAAACAAGCATAATACAGATGGGTTATGTAGAGTACAGATAAAAGAAGAAAGAAAGAAAGAAAAACGAAAGCACAAAGTACCAATAAAAAAGTCTTTCACCCTCACTCCTCATCCCACTCCCCCATCTCCTTAACCTCCTCCAAAAAGTCATCCACAACCTTGAACAAAACCCTAACAAGCCCATCCCGATCCCACTCCTTCCTATGCCTCCAAACATCCCCAAGACACGTCGCCCTCAACTGCTCAAGCTGCTCGACATTCAGCCCCTCCGTCTCTTCCCGCAACTTGCGCCTCAACTTCTCCAAGAGGGTCTCAGAAACGTGGAATTCAGGGTGCGGAGGCGTAGGTGAGCGTTCAACTACAACAGCCATCGGTTCGCCTGCTGGTTGTTGTTGTTGGTCCTGGTCTTGTTGCTGTTGTTGCTCTTGATTGTCACCGCCTTGGGGCGACTTCCTCACTTCCTCACCCTCAACCCGCTGCTCAACCTCCGGCGTCTCCGTCACTTGCGTCGAAGGAGGACGAACACCAGGTTCAGGCGACCTCGACTCCGACAACCTCTGCTGCGGCACCGGAAGCTGCAACTGTTCATGTCCCGGAGTACCCTGCCTGCCATCAAGCGGCTGAACCATCGGCGGATGTCGATGCATCACAGCCGAAGCAGGAGTATAAAGCGGATTCTGAGGATCATCATACATCGCAGGAGGGGACACCGAATGCTGAGGAAGCTGGTGCTGGTGCTGTTGATGTTGATGCTGCTGCTGATGGAAAGGCGGTAACTGCCTCTCATTCGAATACCCCATCCCACCTGAAGGATTCACACCCCCAAACTGCTGAGCAGGTTGATTATATCCTTGCGAAGGCCCAACTCCAAACGGCGACCCAACCTGCTGATGATGCGGCGAATGAGGAAGATGAGTCCCCCCGTAGGGCAGTTGATGACTTTGTTGGGGCTGCTGGAACTGCGGTTGCCCAAACTGGTTGTGGTGCTGGTCGACTGGCTGCACAGGGTTCAAGAGGGACGGATCGAACCCATCCATCCTCCTTTGCGGGGTGTTGCCCTGGCCCATAAGTCCATACCCATGTCCTTGCGACATACCCCCCATCTGGTCCATCGGTTGTCCAAACTGCGGTTGCGCAAGCCCATGCATTTGAGGTGGGCCGTAAGACGACTGTGGACCCATCGACCCACCCTGGGCTCCATAATGCGGTGGCTGCGGCTGCTGCACAAACGAATGCTGCCCATGTCCATGGTTCATCGGCGACCGCTGCTGATGCATCTGGTTCGGATGGTGATAATTCATCGGCGAGGGACTAGCCTGCACCCCACCTGCCCCAAACATCCCACCACCACCAGGCGCCTGAATCTGCGGCACAGAGTTGGCAAACCGCACATGCCCAGGGCCCACCCGATCCGACGGACTAACAATATTCATCGGATCCTGATCATCATCCTCCTCATCCGGCACAACTCTCGACCTCTTCGCATTCCTCGGCTCCTGCCCACTCCCATGCTCCTCCGCAGACCCACTCGTATGCCCATCCACACCATCCGCATTCGCAGCAGCCGAATCCCGCTGCCTCTTCAACTTGCGCTCCAACTTGACAGGATCCGTCATCAAGAGGTCCACAGTCCCATTCTGCCGCGTAGACCGCCTCGTCTGGATCCCGTTCGCTTGGGTATTGGCAGCAGTCTTGTTCTTCTCTTTCTCCCTCTCCTTCTCCTTGGCCTCCTCTTCTTGTCGCCTCTGCATCTCCCGCTGCGCCATCCTCTCGCACTCCAGCCTAAACGCCCCGTCGAACTCCATAAGACTCAACTCCGCCATCGTAAACATGGCCTGAGCCTTATGGAACCTATCCGAGTCTTCGTTTTGGAACACTTCAGCGTTGTGCACGATGCGCCGAACATCCTCGAGGAAGTGCTGAGGGGTGAGGTAGCGGCCCTTGTACAATTCAGAATGCATCTTGTCGAGGTCCATGTCGTAGAGGATAGGCGATTGTAGCATGGCTTGCTGGGTTGCCTGTTGCTGCTCCGGTGCCGTGCCATCGGGCTGGGTGTCCATAGCATCGTTTGTAAGGTCGATGGTCGCAGTACCATTAGGCGTCGCAGGAGCACCAGCCGTCACATCCACCTGCTGGTACACATACCCAATCCCATTCTCGTCCGGTTCAAAGTTGTATTCCTCCTAAAATCGACGGATTAGCCACGGCAAATACCCAGAATTTCCACAATACTTACAGTCGCCCGCTTGGTAAACCTCTTGAACTTCCGCTTCAACTCTGAAAGGATCGGACCAAGCCTAAACTTGAGGATGACGATCGTCTTCTGATCATTCTCCCTCTGAACCGCCAACTCCGCTGCGGTCGGTTTGCGAGGTTCCAGCGGGGGTGCGATGGGAAGTACTTCAAGTATCCTCTTCCTCCTCTTCATACCGTCCGCAAACTGATTCGGAGGCCGCTGGATATCCTTGATCATGGGCTCGAAGAACGCTTCGCGCTGGTCGGCTGAAGGCGCCTCAAGCGCAACACGATTCTCCTTCGAAGCGCCGAACCATTGCTTAACGTCCTTTGGCAGAGCTGAGAACGGACCATCTACGACAGCCAACAGAAGTATAGGGTCAGTGGGTAACAGCGTCTCGAGCATCGCCCGGACAGTAGACCGCGTCGTCTCATTCACAGCAGCACACCACCCAATGAGCGACGGGATGTAGATGACTGACGGCTGATGTCGCTTGGCTTCCGTGAACAACTGAACAATCGCAGCTTCGACAGTCTGCAACACAACATTGACTCAGTGTGAGCGCTAATTAGAAAGCCGGAGTGACGTACCCTAGTTGAGTCGCTCATCAAAGAACCAAGCTCTAAACTTTGGATGTGATAACCTTCCAGATGATGCAGTGCAGCTGCGCCAATGTAACCTTGACCCATCCCCACGGGGCCGTGAATGATAACCCGAGGGCGATAGATTCGGAGAGTTTGCATCGCTAAAATAAGGTGGTCAATACGTCAGTCCCCGGAGTGGAGGATAAAGTAAACTTACATTGAGAAAGCATCTCCCGTTCGAGAGCACCGTCTTCACCACCTTCATCCTCGAACTCGGCTTCCTCCAGAGCGGTGAGCTTCTTCTCGATAGGCATGACGCGTTGGATGGCGTCCTTCACTCTTTGCAGAGGTCCGGAAAGAAGAGCTTCGAACTGAGGTGGAAGGTTCGTAGCTGCGGAGGTCGCAGATCTGGCGGACGAAGGGACGATTTCTGTTGGGATTGTTAATCATCAACACAAGCATACGAGTACGAGGCGACGCACTTTTGATTGAAATCATAAAGTCCCGCAATCCAACATCGATGGTTTCAGGTTGGAGGAGCAAGCGGTCATTGGACTTGTAAACTTGGGGATATCGTCTCTGGATGGCATTCAGAGCAGCCTCGGTGCAAAGAGCCTATTGGGCCATCAGCTTTTTACAACATTCCACGGCGAATGGTAAACGCACCCTAAGGTCAGCACCACCATACCCCTTCGTCAACTTCGCCAGACCCTTCAACGTCTCCTTCACCCGTTCACCCTTCTCTCCCTCCTGGTTGGTATCCCACCCCGCCCACTTCCTGGTCATGATCCCCAAGATCTTCTCCCTCGCCTCAAGACCCGGCAATCCAAAGTAAAACTCCCTATCAAACCGACCAGGTCTCCTCAAAGCAGGATCAACAGCATCAGGCCTATTCGTAGCACCAATAACAATAACCTGACCCCGTCCATCCATACCATCCATCAACGCCAACAATGTCGACACGATAGACGCATGAATCTGGTCCTGCTTCGACGATCGCACAGGCGCTAGACCATCAATCTCGTCGAAGAAGATGATCGAGGGTTGGGAGTTGCGCGCTTCTTCGAAGAGGAGGCGGAGCTGGCGCTCGGCTTCGCCAACCCATTTCGAAAGGCAGTCGGCACCTTTGCGCATGAAGAAGGCTGATGGGAGGGTCATTGGCATACGCGCGGGTTGATTAATGGGGAGAGTAACGTACAGATTTGACGCCCGTCGGATCTGCAGCTGGCTGCGAGGGCGCGAGCGAGGAGGGTCTTTCCAGTTCCCGGAGGTCCATGGAAGAGAACGCCTCGTGGAGGAGTAACGCTGAACCGTTGGAAGACTTCAGGGTAGAGTAGCGGGAGCAGCGTCATCTCCTTTAACGAATGGATGTCTGCGGAGGGTTAGCTGCGAATCCAAGGATCACGGGAACGCAACTCACGTTCATCCAAGCCACCAACTTCGTCGAAGGTGACATTGGTGTTGACACCGAGTGGGTCAGCATCAGCAAGGGCGGCATCGCCGATCTTTCCCAGATTAGATGGCGTCCCAGCGACGAGGTCTCCAGGAAGTATGCCACCGGCGGGGATGGCGTTCGACCCGAAAGGATTGAGGCCAGCGCCAAATGGTTGTTTTCGGGGTGTTCTCGTTGGATGGTCCGAGTCCTAGATGACCTGAGTCGTGGTGCAAACACCGAGATGAGCTGCAACATACCGAATCGTCGTGAGGATTGTGTCCTCCCATCCAGCGAGCGAGCTCTGCTCCCGAGGCACTCCATCCCAATCCCTTCTTCTTACCACCACGGTATCCATTCCTTCCATGCTTGGGTGGCGGTTTCTTCATTTCCTCGATTGGAGGAGGGATGGCGTAGTTGATCTTCGCCCTCTGCCTGAACGCGTACGGTTTTCCGTCGTTGTCGTCTTCAGGTTCTGGTGTGGGAGTACGAGGATTACCAAGGTCATTGATATCCTCGGAAACAAGTTGCATCTCGTCATCCGACGAACCTTCAGCGTCAGCCTGCGACGAAGCTTCCTCCTCTTCCTGGTAGTCGTCATCTTTGGCTGCACGCCTCGAGTTGCGCGTTTGTCGTCCCACTGGTTTGGGCGGAGGGTCCGGTTTCTTGGGTGGTGGTGGTCTTCTACGAAGTCGTCGACGTTGCCCGTGCTCTTCGTCGTCATCTTCGTCTGCAAACTCGTCCTCCGAGGCAATGAACCCGGCCAGGTCTCTTGATTTACGATTGCGCAGGCTTCGGCGAGGTTGAGACTGGGAATCCTCTGTTTCGACACTGGCCCTCTTCCCGCGTCGAGCCGGCTTGCCCTCTACATCGTCGTCGAACAAGTTGGCAGCAGAAGGGCGGAATTCTTCCTCCTCGTACTCCGAAGACTCGACATAAACGGCCTTCTTTATCCTCCTGCCTCGCGAAGTTGTCGTCAAAACCACCTCTTCCTCGACCTTGGGCGACGGCTGTTCCTCTTCATCTGCTGGTTCGCTTGCACGATACGACGACTCGGACGCATCTGATCTCCGGCTACTCCTACGAGTCTCGACCATAGCTGGTAATTTTATCTTCAAGCGAGTGTGAACTGAAGTCGAAGGAGTTGTGTCTTCTTCTTGTTGTTCTGTGGTAAAATCGACCGAATCCCCTTGCGCCAATTGACCGTCCTCTAGCATAAAGAAGACGTTCCCTCTCCAAATTAGGCGGCCAATTCACTGGAGAGCTGTAAACTGGCTGAGCGGTCGTTGCAGAATTGCGTGCTGGTCGTGACAAATGTTGGCGGCAGTAACTGAAAGAGGACGAAAGCAGTCGTTCCCAGGGTGGCGGTGAGTGTTTGGCGCTGTTTACTCAGCTTCCAAGCGACTTCCTCCCCGACGTTCCTCGCGACTCCGACGGCCTCCACAACATTGCAGAAGACGAACAAGCTCAGAAAATGTTCCGAAGACGATGAAGGAAAATTAGTTGACCCATAATTTGTCATTGTCGAGTAGCCCAACAGTACATCTGCGAGTCAATGAAGTTAGTTCACAAATGATTAGAACGAGATGACCAGAACTCACAATGTGTTTACCGACTACATGAGGCGCACATAGCCTCTCGTCGCTGTCCCAGACGATGACGACTGCCCTTGTTGATAGGATGTGGCGGTGTCATTGACTTTGCCCCTATTTGTCCCGCCCCCAACCACGAGCCTTCCGTCACCTCGAGCGGTCGATTGCCCGCTCACCCCTCCTCCACCAAGTACCCCCTCCCACTCCAAAACTTCACTCACCTCATCCAAATTCCACCCCCTTCCCTTGTTGATTTTTCACTCCAACAAAGTGGTCGAAAGAAATCCGCGAAAAAGCAGGGAAAAAATGGGTAACACCCAGACACATCGTCGACGACATCTTCCAGATGGTGGGGGTTCAAAAGAGAGAAGAATCGAGCTGTTTTATCGCCCCTTCGACCTTGAAGTTGGCCTTTGATCGCGACCTGTCCCCGAGCGTGAGAACTATGAGGAATTGCTTACGTCATGCTCCTGATCGCCGCGTATCCTTTGGCGCCTATCGTGGCGCTCAACGAGGTGTAAGTACTGGCGGCCTAGCCAACGGAGACGACGATAATTGACTGCTCTATGTATGTCTTCGACCGAATGCAGGACTTAAAATTACTCGTGAGGAACTCTCCTTTGAAAACTCGAATTGTCTCACTTGTCCCTTGTTTGTAGCGGCTGGCCTGACAAGTCGATTTTCGGGACTATCTTTGACCCACTTCATATTTATTGCGGCTAGGGTTCTCTCCCCTTTGTATTACTCTCTCCATTGCCCTTGTCGACCATGAGCACCCAGCCAATGTCAGGTACGCAATCTTGTGGTCCATTCAATGTGTAGTTCTCAGACCACAGAACCAACAGCGGAAGCCCTGAAAGATCTTGCGACTCAACAATTCAGGGAGAGAAAATACCGCGAAGCAATAGCGACGTATAGCACTATCATCAACCGCTCCAGACACCTCGCAGAACCTCCCGTTCCAGTGCCATTGCTCCGCGTTGTACTCTTAAACCGAGCGCAGTGCTACATCAACATCAGTACGTCCATACCGTCTTCCACATCCTCGAACAACTACCAACATAGACCCTAGAGGACTACGATAGCGCAGTAAACGACTGCCTCCGCGTCCTCCAGCGCTACCATTCATCACGACCCGAGGATGCTCAACTAATGAAAAAGGTCCACTGGCGCCTCGGGAAGAGCTACTTCAACCTCGACATGCTGGACGAGGCCATGGAACAGAAGAGGCTCTACGATCAGTTGAATCTGGTCTTTTCCGGCGTCAATTTTGACATTCCAAGCTCCCTTGCGCGGCCCCAAGCATCAAAAACCTACGACGAATTCATCGCCAACGTTGATGCTCGCCCTTTCAGATTCGAAGTTCGGGTGATCAGAGGGGGCGCCGAACGTCCAAAGGACGATCCCGACTTTGTCTATACCGAACAAGCCCCAGTTGATCTGTGTCGACTCGGCGGCATGATGCTGGAAATGAAGGCGATCCAATTCGCCAATTCCGTAATTGACAAACACTACGACGAGATACTTGGCTCGGAGCCCCGCTGGAAATGTTGCCTTTGCGCAAAGGAGGCGCCGGTAGTGCTTCATAGGCCTCAGCCAAGCCTCGACCACGAGCCCCCTTTCGTAGTGGACATAGTGTATCCCCTCTGTGAAGACGGTGGGAAGTGTCACAAGGATGCTGCGAAGATGCATTACACCCTGATGTGTTTGGAGGGGACCTTTGGCAAACAGGACAACTGATAGAATCTTTCCCTTGTAATTTCTCGTAGTTTTCAGAATTCGTACAACATCGCCTGGATTTTTTCATCCGATTTTCCCTTCCAATCCCCCTGCCTTGTTTTGCAAACTCATATACTGCCCGATCGATCGCTAGCTTTGGTTGGCCACGAGCTCGGGCGCTTACCATACTCCAACCCCCAATTCGTAAAGATCTCACTTCGCTATTGTTCAAGCACAAGGATAATACATTGCAAATGGAACGCCCATTGACACACGGCGGGAAATTACCTATTCCTCGAGACAATTTTTGGGGCACAAGAATTCCGCCAGCATTTTGCTTAACCCACTCCACCGATCGACCATTGGACTACTATTTAAAGTCGGCCAGGTTCGATTTTTTTCGTGCCCGCACCTTTCTTCAGAACCGCTGCCATACCCGCTCGCCTCAGACGACAAAGCTTTCAAGACTCAACAAGAAATGTGCGACAGACAAATGTCAGGTAAACTACTTACATCCATACCCTCCCCATGGACCGTATTCAATTTAACCAAACCTAGCCGAAGCGTTGAAAGAGCTCGGAAACGAGCACTACGAACAAAAGAGATATAACGAAGCTATAGCGAGCTATACTACCATCATCGACCGCCTCGGCGGTGCGGAAGCACCAACAATCCCTCTCCTCCGCACAGTATATGCTAATCGCGCACAATGCTACATCTGTCTTGGTACGCATAATTCCATGTTCCTATCTTTCAGAGATTCTCAAAAGTGCGACAGAGGACTACGAGAGGGCAAAGAACGATTGCCTTCACGTTCTCGAGAACTACCCCTTCCCCGCATCCCCCAACGCTGACGAGCGTCGAATCATGAGGAAGATCCACGAGTGCCTCGGGGTCAGCTACTCCCATCTCCGCATGTTTGATGAAGCGCTGGAGCAACAAAGGATCGTGGAAGAGATGAGAGGAACCAGGGCTTACCGTCCCATCATCGTCGATCCGCCACCAGAGCGTCAAGCTCCCTCCAACGTAGCAACTCGACCCTTCCGCTATGAAGTCAAGGTCTTGGAAGGGGCCTCTCCCATCGCCTCGAACCGCGACACCTTCATCTACACAGAACAAGTCCCCGTCCATTTCTGTGGAAGGGCAGGTCTAGCGGCGAACCCGTCGGAGGCGGCTCACTTCTTGAACTCGCTGGTCAGAAAGCACTACCGGGAGATCTGGGATTCGAGCCCTAGATGGAATTGCGTCGCCTGCGATAAGAGGGCGACGCTGATGCTGCACACCCCTCAAGGCCATCTTCACGAAGACCCGCCATTCATCTTCGACATGGCCCATCCCATCTGTGAAAGTGGAGGGAGGTGTGAGACGAATTCACGACAGGACACCAATGATATTATGTCGCTGAGGGCCAACTTTGGACCTCGAACGGCCTGAGTAAAAAAGGATCCCTTTCCTGTAAATATTAATAAAAAGAATCGGGTTTCAATACGATTACTTCTTTACTTCGTACTTCGCCCAGCCGACATGTTCCAACTCATCACGACGAGATACTCGCCTCGGAGCCCCGCTGGAAATGTTGCCTTTGCGCAAAGGAAGCACTGGTAATGCTTCACATGCCTCAGTCATGCCTCGACCGCGAACCACCTTTCATATTGGACATAGTGTATCCCCTCTGTAAAGACGGCGGGAAATGTCATAAGAATGCTGCGAAGATGCATCACACTCTAATCTGCTTGGAGGAGACCTTCGGCAAACAGGACGACTAGTAGCTTGTTCTCTTCCGAGTCTTGTCGCTACTGGTCCATTTGCAGTAGTCAGTAACGTTCTAGCAATCTCATCTGGGCTTATTTCCTCGCCTCGTTCCTCCCCAATTCCCAGTTTGGGTGCTTGTTATCGTCTGGCTCACCGATCGATCGTCGGCTGACAAGAACGATGGCCCACCCAGAGGCACAACATCCTTTGCTAGCATCTCTCTACCATCCCCACGTTTTCCAGCCTCTCCAAAACCCAGTGCACGCCCGATGGACAGCGGACAAGTATCAGGTAGACAGCTGTCTGGCAAGGCCATGCACTAGCGCTCACTTTCCCCTTCTCATCCTATGGTTTTTCCCTGTAGCCGAATCTTTGAAAGAACTCGGAAACGAGCAGTACAAGAACGGGAAGTACGAGGAAGCAATCAAGACCTACACACTCGTCATCACCCGCGTCGGCGAGCAAGACGAACCGCCTACAACCACTCTCCGCGTCGCCTTCGCCAACCGTGCACAATGCTACATCAATCTCGGTACGTCCCGTATTCTCGATTCACCAGTCCTGAAGTAACCCACCAGCCGCTTTCCGGCAGAGGATTACAACAGCGCCAAAAACGACTGCCTACACATCCTCGAGCACTATAGGTCCGCCGCCGCCTCGGGAAAAGCTATGCGTACCTGAGCATCGATGAAGCCTTGGAACAGCAGAAGATCGTCGAGAAGATGGGTGGAACCAAGGTATACTACTATTCCGCAACCTTGGACAAACCCCATCGGGAGGCCACCGCCAAAGCTACAACACGCCCCGTCAAATTCAAAGTCATTGTCCTCCCAGGAGACAGACCCACGAATCCCAGAACCGACAGCTTCGTCTACACCGAGCAAGTTCCGACGTACCTCTGCGACAAAGGAGCGAACACAGCGGAAGTGATCGACTTCATGCGCTCGTTGGTGCCCAAGCACCACCCAGAGATCTGGAATTCGAGTCCGAGGTGGAATTGCTATCTGTGCGGAAAGAGGGCGACCTTGATGCTGCACACTCCTGGAAGCCATCTCGACGAAGCTATCCCGTTCATTGCTAACTTGGCTACTCCTATTTGCGAGAGTAACGGGCGATGCGAGCAGGAGATGGGGCAGAAAATGGCGGACATAGCACCCCTTAGGAAGATCACTTTTTAGATGGATGTTTGTAACCTGTTTCCCCTTTCTTTGAAATGTATGAGATAACAAATAAAGATACATACTTTACTGGCCTATTTCTTGACTTCGTATTTCTCCCAACCAACCTGTTCCAGCTTTTCTACCTTTCCGAGGACCTCCTTCTCCATCTTCTCCATGTACTCCTCCATAGCAATGACCAACCTCGGAATACCAGCACCCAAAATCCTCACAGCCAACAGCCCCGCATTCGTGCTGTTATTAATCGCAACAGTCGCGACCGGCACACCCCGCTACAAACCAAAACTGAGCCACATATCCAATCCACAAGTCCCAAAAACCACATACCGGCATCTGCACAATACTGTGCAACGAATCCACACCATCCAAGGTGCTCCCCTTGACAGGAACACCAATGACAGGCAGAGCAGTCATAGCAGCCACCATACCCGGTAGATGCGCAGCACCACCCGCACCAGCTATGATAACCCTTAACCCCCTCGTCGCCGCCGACTTTGCGTACTTGACCATCCTATCAGGCGTCCTGTGCGCCGAAACGATGCTCAATTCGTAGGGGATCTTGAATTGATCGAGGATACGCGCGCCTGCGAGCATAACGGGCAAATCCGAGTCTGAACCCATGATGATACCAACAAGTGGGTTGGGATCTGAGAATCCGGCGCCTGGAGTGGGCGTTTCGGGCGCGTATTTGGCCAGTTCTTCCGGGGTGGTGTCGGGGAGTGCGAGGAGGAGGGGTCGGAGTCGCTCGCGCAGCTGCGCATCCGACTCGGCGACGACGGTGATATGGCCCATCTTGCGCCCCTTTCGACACTCGGCTTTGCCGTAGAGGTGGACGGAGGTTCCTGGCGTCGACAGGGCGACGTCCCGGACCTTTTCGATTTCGCTCATGGAGGAGGAGTGCCCGATGAGGTTGAGCATGACGGTGGAGGGGACTTTGAGCTCGGTGGAGCCGAGGGGAAGGGAGAGGATGGCGCGGAGGTGGTTCTCGTATTGCGAGGTTTCGCAGGCTTCGATGGTGTAGTGACCCGAGTTGTGTGGTCGGGGTGCGATCTCGTTAATCGAGATGTCGCCTAATGAGATCCATCAATATCAAAAAGCACTTCTTCTTTAGATAAGATAGACGCCCACCGTTCTCCAACAGGAACATCTCAACACCAAAGATACCAGCACCCGTGAACGATCGAACAGCGTCCTCAGCTATCGAGCGCGCACGGTGTGACAAAGTAGGATCTTCGCTTCTCAGAGGCGCGAATACAAGGTGGCAGATGTTGTCCTTGTGCACAGTTTCGACGACAGGATAGGAGGCGACCTCTCCGGAAGTCGTGCGGACGACCATAACAGCAATCTCCTTGACGAACGGTACCCACTTCTCTGCGTACAAGGGGCGTCCCCCCAGTGCAGCCAAGGCGTCCGGAATCTGGCTCAACTCCCGAACAGCATAGTTTCCTCGACCGTCATACGCCAGTGTCCTGCTTTTGAGCATCAACGGGAGCCCCAGAGCTTTCGCAGCATCCTCGACAGACTCCACAGTCCCTTCCACAGGCCTAAACTCCGAAACGGGCAATCGATGACTCTGGAGGTGTTCCTTCTGGCGATATTTGTCCTGGATGATGTGGATCGTCTGTGGGCTGGGGTGGATCGCCAAACCGCTCTTCAGACCAGACTCTTCAATATCTTTGAGAGACTCGACATTGACGTGCTCGATCTCCATTGTGAGGATGTCGACCTTTTCTGCGAGTTCTTTGATCTTTTGAGGATCGGCGAAGGAGCCGTCTACGTGGGTGAGGTGCGGTGCTGTTGGTGCTACGACCTGTTTTGCTGGTGCATTGTCGCCTGTGTCCAGGATAACGACTTTGACGTTGAGTAAGGAGGCCGATGCAGAGAGCATACGGCCCAATTGGCCTCCACCTATTTAAAGATTAATCGTGCTCGATTTTGAGCTCGATAAACCTATCGAGAAATCGATTAGACCGGTTCTTATTCATACCAATTGAGAACTTACGCTCACCAAGGATACCAACGACCTTTTCTGACATTTTTTTGTAGAGTTGGATGACGAGCAGAATGAAGTCCTAATGAAGGCAGAGGGTATTGATTTATTTTGAACCCTAACCCCGGATTCGGGTTAGAAAAGTCAATACACTCTGAATACGCGCTCTTCACAGAACAACACCGACCATGGCACCACCAGCAGCAAAGCCAGCTGCACCACGACGCAGAAACAGAAAACGAAAGCGGAGGGCAGCGTCTACCTCGTCTTCATCGTCGTCGTCTTCCTCAGATTCAGATTCTGAGGTTGAGACCAAAACCCCGCCAAAACCCATCACCAAACCAACAAAACAGGCTGAAGCTTCGTCTTCGTCTTCGTCGTCGTCCTCAGAATCTTCAAGTTCGTCTGAATCAGACTCGGATTCGTCCTCAGATGAGAGTGTAGCACGAGGAAGACCGACATCAACCAAAAATGCCCAGCAGACGGCAACCAAAACACCTCGACAACCTTCAGCATCTCCTCCTCCACCTTCCGCCACGATACCCTCTTTCCTGAGCTCAGGAAATCCAAAAGAAGAACAGGAGATGAAGGATAAATTCCGAAAATTCTGGCTCGCGACAGTCGCAGATGGGTTCAAAGATGATTTAGAGGAAATTCGCAAGGTGTGTCTGGTCGCCCTCCTAGATCCATACCTTTACCGACCTTTTCGACTCAGGAACCCAACCTCGGAACGTCACGACTTGCACTTCTTATTGACTCCTTAGCCTCAGGCGCCGATGTATTTGCCAACCAGAACCAGAACGGTACTAGCGAAATGGACATCGTTCTCAACTAAACGCTGCTGTAAACATGTCAAATGCGCCACGCACATTTCTTCATCCCCGTACACCCTTTCCTAGTGAGTCGGCGACCCTACAGCTGCGCGGATCGAACCTTCTTTTTCCGTTCAACGTCATTACTGCACTTCCGAAGGACATATTTTTGGCTTCGGCAAGGTTTGCAGCGAGGAGGGGAAGGTTGCTACTTTTGGCGATGCAGCCGGTAGACCTATAGCACCCAAGCCGAGTCATGTTCTCTGACACCCATTGTCTCTATGTGCGCTGAAATGACTTAATTCAGTATCCCGGTGAAGAATGCCGGAGCAAGCTTTGCTGTACTGGGTGTGCTGTCGATTCCGAGCTTTGAAGGTTATAAAGCTATTGTGCTCGCTTGCTCGGTCATTCACTTTTCCTTCCTCCCACTAACAGTTTGTAGCAGTCTATGACTACTCCCACTTCAGACCTCGCTGTACCGTTTCCCAGCGTCCAGGAACCTTCAGAGTCGGATGGGCAGTCTCCGCAGAATGATTCGGCGACTGGTGAGTTTCCTGATCTGTTGCTAGCCGCTGAATCGAAAGCTGAACGTTTTCTAGATTCCCAAGCTTCGAAGATGACTTCTTCTGATAAACTTACTGCTCTGCCTTCGCACCGACCGCCACCTATCGATACCAGCCATCGTCTGCGAACACCATCCCGGGCATCCCACTTTGGGATTACCGCAGCCCAGAGGGGCTATCGCCGCAGCTTAGACGCCTCCACCTCCCTTCCATCACTTTCAAACAGAGATTTCGGTTTGCATGCACCAGCAGACCAAGATTACGAGTCGTGGCGCCGTCGTTCGCCTGCTCGGTCATTTTTCAGACACCATTCCCCTTCTGGTCACAGTTCGCCGGGGAGGGAGACGCCCAAGGCTCGAGTCTCTTCTGAGAGCGAGCCGTCCCATCGGCATGGGCACAATGTCGTTCAAGGTATATCTTCTCGTTCTATCCCAATGACGTGTTTCTGACGGTTCTCCTACAGCAACGATAGCCCGTCTCTCAGGTAGCCGCGGAACAAGTGAGCCATCATCGATGGCTGCATCACCTCCCAAACGATTGTCACCTCTCCCTGTACCCCACAAGCACCCTGAATCGGAACCTTCAGCAGGCTACCCACACCACCGAACGGACGTCCCACCCACGCCTCCAAGGATGCGCAGCCGGGCTGTGTCGCCGCTGCGCATCTTCCAGCAATGGTCGAACCACGGGCACTCGAGGAGCCACCGACGCGAGGAGCCGTTCGTCCCGATCAACCCGTTCAAGCGGAAAGGGCAGGTCAAGGCCAGGCGGCCTGGGATGGGCTCACGCCCGGGCACGAACAGCACCCTCGACCACGAAAGCCTCGGCGGCTCGAGCGGGCCCTACGAATGCCAAGACGTCCTTCCGACCTCGACCATCCAGGAGCTCAGCGAGGACGTGCTGTTCTTCGTCACCGACACCTTCCCGCGGCAGCTCTACCTCAACTTTTTGCTAAGGCTGCCGGCGATGTATTTTACCCGCGTGTCGAGGATATTTGAGGATGCGGAGGTTAGCAAGCCGGATATTGAGAGGATGATTGAGGCGAGTTTTTGTGATCGGGAGAGGAGCCTGAGGGATGAGGAGGAGGGCGGAAGGGTGCACCATGATCATGATCATGAGCATGAGCATGGGCGACATCAGCGTCAGAGGTCGGGTTTTGGAGTGTTTTCGTCTCCTACTCGGACTGGAGAAGAGGCGTCGTTGCCCCGGCAGACCATTTCGCGAGGACTACCGTTTCCGGATGAGTGGACGCCGACTTCTGTTCCTCCTTCGCTGTTCAGGTTCAAGCAGTCTTGGGAGGCTTTCATCGACTCTTTGTTGCGCGAGTGGAAGACGTTTAATATTGTGTCTGCCTTGCTAGCTTCGTATGTCTGCTTCCTTATCGTTTGGGAGTTTTATCTGACCAGGATACTTCAGGGCGATTGTGAGCATGTTCCAGGTTCCCGAGGCTGTAGAGGATCCGATTACGAGGACGGCTGCACTACTCTCCCTCATCTGCGCTTTAATGAGCCTGTCCTATGGATGCATGTACATCGTCAGGTTCGGAACGATGAGGAGCATGACTCGAGCTTCCAACTGGGCTGAGGTGACTTCTTTCCTTCCCGAAAGCATCTAGCGAAGTAATCCATTTTGCAGGAAGCGCAGAAGACCAAGACACTGATTTGGTGGAATGTGTGGGTTATGTTGGCGATGCCCGCGGTGTGGATGGCGTGGGCCATGCTGCTTTTCATCACCGCGATCATGTCCTTCGTTTGGAGGGTGGGTTCCGACGCCGACCCTCCCCCAGGAGAACGGCCTCCCATCCCGTTCAACACTGCTCTGGGACCCAGAATCGCGATCACCTTCGTCTTCGTTCTGGGAATGGTGTACCTGTTCCTCATTATCAGCACTCTGAAGCGGTATGGTGCATCCAGAGGCAAGGCTACAGAAGCGATCCTGCGTGCTGGCGTTGATGATGTCAGGATCAGTGTGGTTGGGGATGTAGGAGAGAGTTTGGCTGCTGTTGCTGTACCTTTGGCTCTCAAGCCCAAGGGAGATTCTAGGAACCATTTCAGCGGTGGAACTGAAAGGAGAGGTAGAGAGAGGCATCGGAGTCCGTTGGTAGAAGAGTCGAATTCGGCTCTTGGTTTGGTTGATATGAAGCCTCTGGCCTTGAGTAAAGTAGAATCTACTAGTAGTTTTTAGGAGATGGACTTTTGAATAGACTATGCGTTACCCGAGAATCGAGCGCGTTCAATCGGCAGGCGCGCAGTCCACTTTTGATGGTGGCAGACGGCCCGAGCGGGGGTCAAAGCCCAACGCGTGGGAGACGTTCTGTGACTCTGTCAGTGGTCGGTGGTGGCGAGCTCTGGCTCATTTCTTGAACGTTTTCCCTCAACGTCCGACAACGAATCTGATTTTGTTATGGACGAACCACAAAACGACGAACACAGCTTCCAAGGCGAAGCCACTCAACCGACGGAAGAAATTATCGCTGCGCTGAACGCCAGCAACGCCTCCGAACAGTCCAACCCTCCGCAAAGCGAATTCGATGGCCTATTCTCAAAACTATCGGAGAACCCGTACGACCCTGATGGCTGGAGAAGGCTTATTGACCTTGCAAACGAGAGTGGTGAGATTACCAAGATCCAACAAGCCTACAACGAACTCTTGAAGCATTATCCAAATACCGTGAGTCTCCGCGCGTTTATTTGGGATCCGAGTTGTGCAAAACTGAATCTGTGTCTGATTAGTCTGCTGCTCAAATCGCGTATATAAACCACTTTCTGAACAAAGAAGACACCTTCACAGAAGCCGAACAACTCTTTATCAAGTTTCTGAGAACCTCTCCCAGCGTCGACCTATGGAAATTCTACCTAACTTATGTCCGGTGAGTGGTGGCATTAGCGTGTACACCTCTTTCTTGGTGGCTAACCGCAGTAGGCGTCGAAATGTAGGGCCCGCAACGCGGGACATTGTCCGAAAATCATATGAGTTTGCCCTTCAACACGTCGGTCAAGACAAGGAGTCCGGTGAAATCTGGAACGACTACATCCAATTCCTCAAGGCAGGCGAAACGTCCTCAACATGGGAAGAACAACAGAAGATGGACGCGCTCCGCAAAGTGTACCACCGTGCCGTGCAAATCCCTCTGGACAACGTCGAGCGGCTCTGGTCAGAGCTTGAGACCTTCGAGATGAACCTCAACAAGATCACCGCGAAGAAATTCATGTCCGATCTCTCGCCTGCCCATATGCAGGCCCGAACAACTCTAAGGCAACTTTCAAACCATATGAACGGTTTATATCCCCCATCGTCCTCCAATAACGACCTCTTTTTGCCGTCACAGCCCAAGTTTGATGCCGCAGAACGCAGTCTCGTCGGCAAGTGGAAAGCCTACCTGAAGTGGGAAGAAAGCAACCCCCTGGAGCTCGAAGACAAGGACAAGCAGACTTTTATCACCCGGTTACAGGGTGTCTACCGCAAGGCCGTCATCAGAATGAGGTTTTATGCGGAAATCTGGTTCATGGCATATACTTGGACGAACAGTGTAGGCAAGACCGATGAAGCCCTGGCTATCTTGAAGGCCGGAATGGAAGCCGTTCCGTCAAGGTTTGTGAAGACCCAATTCGAAGAACTGCGTTGTTTGACCCATATTTCAGTTTCCTGCTCACGTTTGCTTATGCCGAAGCAATGGAGCTCAAGAAGGATTTCGCTGAGGTTCATTCCGCTTACGAGAAACTTTTGAGTGTCCTTGTGAAGGAGCTGGAAGCGCTCGAGAAGTCTACGGCCAACGCCAACACCAATGGAACACAGCAAAATGGAAGTAACCCGAATAACACCAACGATACCTCGTTCAATAGCCAGTCGTCCGATGACAAGCCACCCAAGAACAGTGAGCTACAGGAAAAACGGACAGAGTATGGCTTAGTATACATTATGTACATGCGATTTGCTAGACGGACAGAGGGGTTGGCTGCTCTGCGGAGGGTGTTCGCCAAGGCCAGGAGAGATCGCTTTTCTCCTTGGGAGGTGTACGAAGCGTGTGGTATGTTCATCCGCTTCGTCCGAAATCGTATCACAATCTAATAACGTCTTCAGCGCTGATGGAATACCATTGCTTCGACGACAAGAACGTTGCCAGCAGAATCTTTGAGAAAGGTTTGGAGCAGTTCGGTGACGAAATCGATTACGTCCTCCGATACCTCGGTTTCCTCATCAGCATCAACGACGGGAACAGTGAGTACTTTGTCCTCGTCTCCGCGGTTCTGGTCTCACTCACATGTCATTGCAGATGCACGAGCGTTGTTCGAGCGTGTTATCACAACATTCTCGCCTGAGAGGGCACGTCCTCTATGGGAGCGATGGGCGAGGTACGAGTACCAGTACGGAGACTTGGAATCAGCTCTTAAACTCGAGAAACGAATCGCCGAGGTCTACCCAACTGGTATACCCCTTTCGCTTGCTATCACCACTGTCGCTTGGACGCTGACTCTCCTTTCTTTCTAGACCCTCCCATCAAGCGTTTCGCTCAACGGCATATGTATTTGGGCACCGATGCCATCGCTGCTCGGGATCTCGGGTTCTCAATGGCCAAACGGGCTGGCACGTCTGCCTCCTCTTCCAACAATTCACTCGGCCGCACCGAAACATCAGGATCACTGCTAACCGGTTTGGGACCATCGAATGCGGCCAAACGACCTGCTTCGCCGGACAACTATCGTAATCCGAAACGCGACGATAAAGGCGGCGACTATGGCGCTGGGCATAAACGTGCCAGAGGTCCGGCCTCGCCTGCACGTGAACGCGAGATACCGCCGCCCAGGGATAGGGATCGTGACGTGCAGATGCGGGATAGAGATAGGGGGGATAGGGGAGATAGATGGAATGACAGGGGTCGAAGAGGATCACCTGGCCCGGGTGGATGGGACAGAGATCGGGATGATAGAGATGGTGGTCGTGGTCGCGGTGGTCCCGCTGGCGGCGGGCGCGACGGTGGCCGGGATTACCCTCGAGGGCCTCCCGAACCACAGATCCCTCCTCTTGTATCATGGTTTATGGGAGAACTTCCACCAGCCGCTAGCTTCGACGGTACGTCGGCATGGTTATGAAACTTCCACTTACTTACAACGTCTTATCTTTATCTAGGGCCCATATTTAAGACGGACGATCTCATGAAAGCTTTCAAGCAAGCGCAAATACCAGCTGCAGCACCGGCGGGTGGACATGGCGGGCCAGCTGCTCCAATGGGCCCTCCACACTCTACAGCTGGTAGAAATCGGTCACCCGCACCCACATATCCCCAGCATCGTGGAGGTAAGCTGCATCTTTGATGTTGTTTTGACGAGCGCTCGCTGACCGCAGTTGATGTTCCTTGTTCCTTGTAGGTGGGCGGCCACCGCCGGATTATGGTCCATATCAAGGGCCAGGGGGCGGTCGGGCGGCTGGGCGGCGGTACTAATGGATCAAGCGCCCTGTCGACCGAACCCATTCTTCGCCTCGACAACTGCCCTAATTTCGCGGGGTGGTGTCACTTTGATTACCCTTCTCGATGGCCGATACCAACAAAACTTTTCTAGTACATAGGTTACACCTTTCTGTTTTCTCCTGCACATTGTTTCTTTCACATAGCGGATTCCATGACATAAAGTACACACTTTGTTTTCGCAATAGTAAAATCGCCTGTCGTTTGACCCTTCACTGTCCAGCTCACGTGGGGCGCGCGGCCCATCACTGACGCGAGGCTCGGGTTTCGCGATTCCGAGTCGCTTCATCGGATCCATCCTGTGTTCAAGGCCGCGATGAACGGACGTCTCGAACAACACGACGCCCACATATCTTTACATACACTGCTTTCCCCGAACAATATACAAGGACCTTGTGGTGAGTACAAGCGACTATAGGTTTCCATCTAATTGCTTGATGCTGACAAGATTGTCGGTCAGATGTAGGTGATTGTGGGTTGCCAGCGCTAGTCGGGTCTTTTGATGCCGGTAGCTTCTTCCCTGCCTCGACCACGTTTCGAGAAGTTAACCCGGTAATTTCTGTTTCTATCGTCCGAGTATGAGAACGCTAAGTAAAGTACAGTCTCTAGAAGCCTCCAGCGCCGGTGTTTTACCTTCCAATGACGCAGGCACTCGTGGGCACAAGATGAGACGCGGGCGCCCACACACATGTCCGGTTAATGTCTTCCGTTGGAAATACTATCTCGCTGAAATGAACTTCCTCCATTCAAGTTTTATCATAAATAGAAACAACAGACTTCCAGTGAGTCTATGCATTCGTCTAGCCCAAAATCAGCGGTATCATCGAAATCCAACTGACCCTTCTATTCCCCGACTTGGTTTGGAACAGTTTGCTATTACGGCCGGATATGGGTTTCATGAGACCCAGATCAAATCCTGAAACTCGACTGGTTTGCTGGTTGGTGGCCGGTCGGTGCGCCATACAATTCGTTTACGGGTGCTCCATATGTGGTGTGTGCTCGCTTGTGGGGGTTACGGCCAGAGCGTGTTGTTTAAATACTCGTGGCGAGGTTACTGGGGAACCCGGATAATTCCCCCTCGTTGGTACCCTTATAACAGCAAAACTCACAGTGTTTGTGAAGAACGAACTTCGAATTTCTTACTATTGATACCATGGCTGACTTACAGAGAACGTGGTCCGGTGAGTTGATTCGCTTTAAAACCGTCCCAGGTTTTCTTCTACCTTCGGCGCATTCTGACCCTCCCCATGTCGGTATCAGGCTCTACTCTCTGTAGCGACTTCAATGAAGGTCCATCTCGTCCCCATACGCCCACAACATCTGAAAACTACCGCCTTGCCGTTTCCTATATGCAAGACGCCCATGAAACCGAAATCGCAGGGAGTTACAAGAAGGCTTTTAACCTCTACTCTCGTGCAGGAAATCTGTTTGGGACTGTGATTGATGACGCCGACCGATATTCGGTTGAGCGAGCACGGTCGAAGATGCAGTACTGTGTCGCGAAGACGCGGAGGGCGATGCTGATGCCCGCTGCTACGAAGACGGGACCGCCGCCATCGTTTTATCTCCCTTCCCGGAGAACGGTTTCTCTTGAACTGGAGAGCGACTCGGGGATCGTGCCCTTGCCATCGGTCAGTAGTTTGGTTTCCGTGGCTCCAAACATCATTGAACCGACTCCAAACGCTTTAGATCGAAGCAGAGCCACCCGCTTCAGATCGCTCCTCAAATGCCTCCACATCTACCCGTTTCTATACTACCCGACTACCAAAAGAGACAAGCTTGACATCGTACCATGTCTACAGCGAGATCTCCAAACGGGCAGGCAAATACCATTTCGACTTCCAGGTCAAGGATTCCTCAAAAATTCACACCCTCTACACCCTCTCCGCCAGCCGCGCGCCTTGGACACAGTTCAAGACCTGCACGCTCTCCCGCGCCGCCGAGTACCACGAGAACTGCTCGCGAGTCACTATCGAGCAGATTGACTCGTCGCGGTGGGCAGCTGCCGATGCCGCCCAAATAGGGAGGACCATAACCGCGACTGTTCCTGATGGGAGGGGAACAAAGGTATCCACCGTTCCCGACCGCGTTGATAAATCATGGGCGCCCCGGCGGTTTACTTATGGCGGGAGGCGGTTCGTCTGGAAACCTACCTGGGACCTTGGTGTTCCGAATCTCAACTCCACCGAGGCTCTGTACGAGGTGAAGGATGAGTGGGACTCACCGAGGAGCAAGACTGGGAAGAAGATGGATGAGACGTTTGATCGGCCGTTGGTCAAAGTCCAGGGGAAGAGCCTGTCGATTGATAAAGCGGCGACGGTGTGGATAGACGCGGCCCTTGACCAGGTGTTTCGGGAGTTCATTCTGGCTACTATCTTGACGAGGTACTTGATTGCGTTCCACGGACATGATTGAGCGCTCCCTTTCCCCTCTCGAGATTCCATCCTGTCCTTTGCGATTCCTCTTGCGTCCTTGGTTCCCCTCTTGCATGATACTTTACGATCATTCACATACACTGCATTCTCACTCATTTAGCTGCATCTACCAACGTTGTATCATTAGCCACTCGTTCGTCACCCTATTTATTTCGTCCCTTAGATTAGTTTGTATCACTAGTGCTGTCGTCTATTATTTATTTAATTCTAGGTATACATAGGAGCATACGTATCACAAAAATGAATAACCAGTATAGATTTGTAGATATCGAGAACAAGCAGCCGGGTTCCGATTCAATTAGAGGGATAAGACCTGAGCTGAAACGACATCGATAGCGCCGCGGGTTTCTGCTTAAGGCATGGTGCCAGGAGCACCATTAGGATTGCTGTCCGTTATGGCCAATTCAATTTCTCATGTGATGGTCTCCTGTTGAGCTGAGACCGCTGGAGTTGCGCTTCTGCTTCTGGTGCGCTGGGAACCCCCACGCGGTGTCCATGAAGTCGTCCACGTTCCAGCAGAACGCTGAACTGCCAATGCCCACGAGGGCACAGTGAGGAATTCGGGCCAGGGATATGACATGAAACAGCGAAACCTGATCATAAACTTCTTCTGATTGGGCGCCTAGATTCCTTCTGCCAGCCGTCCTGTTACGCTGGTATGTGACCCGGAGTCAGATCATATCCGATTCAATTTGACCTGTCATGAAAACCGCGCTGCAGCCAGACGAGACATGGGTGTATCCGAGTAACGATTTCGAATCCTGACGGGAGCATGTGATAGGACATAAGTATTGAATGACTTACGGTGTAAGTGGTAAAAGGTGTAAGATCCGGAATAGAATAATTCGAAGTGTATCTCAGAGTAGTTGATGGAAACGTAGTACTTAGCGGCGGTACTATGCTTCGACCATCCTGATTGGCTGTCTCTTCTCTATGGAAGGCACGACACCCAACTCGAAAGATGACACAATGTCCTTACTTGTCCACATTCGTTGACCGCAAATCCCGAAAGCAAGGCGTAAAGCGCCCGTGATCAAGCTCAAAGTCCGGCGCAGTCGGGTTCTTGAGCCGGAGGTTTCAGAAAGGAAACTACCGCGTGGTTGTTTTGGGATCAGTGATTATTGAGAGGACGAGAGAGGGGGATCCTAAATTTTCTGCGTATGTCTCCCCCTTGTTCTTTTCATGCGTCCTTTAAACGTGAGGCTGATGTGAATAGGCGCCCACTCTCAGCATGCCATGCACCCGGCCCGAGATCCGAAACTCATCCGAATTGATGGATTGATGATGTGGCCGCAGCTCGTGCAATTCTGACGGATTCCACCACAAGAGTCAAGCGCAATGAGCACGGAGCCAGAGCTATCTCCAATTGTCGACAGTATCCAGCGTCCCCACCCATCGGTAGCAGCAGCTTCTGAGCTTGCTCCAGAGCTCGTGGCACTTATCCTCAAAGAACTCGAAAACGACGGAACCACCCTCCAGGCATGTGGCTTGGTAAACAGAATTTGGGCGCAATGCGCCCAGGAAACTCTTTTCTCGTCGATTACTATCGATCTCCCCTCTTCGGCCAGAAAACTCCTGAAAGTCCTCGAAGCTCGACCAGACCTGGCTCGAAAGATCCAAAGCGTCGCCATCCAGATCAGTTGGGGGAAGCGCAACCGTTATGCAGAAGGCTTCAGTTGGGTCCCTGTTGTAGACAAGGAGCTCATCGCCATCTGCGCGTACCTTGTTCAAGTCAGAAAGGTTTCTATTGGCACTGCCGACGAAGTCTTCGTAGACTGGAAGTCGGAGTTCTCTTCCAGCTTGAGGGCTGAACTGTGGGACCTCATGGGGCGAGCAAGGGAGGTTGAATTGGTCAGTATTACGAATATGCAGGTCCAGCCCCTTGTTGGGCTCGCAAATCTGGAGAACCTGATTCTCTGTCGCGTGATAGAAGATCCTGCGGAGGCGGCGGCATTGTTCCCCTTGAACAAGGTGGAGTGGGTTAGTGAAGAGGAGCGGAAAAGAGGGCGGCGATTGAAAACATTGGTAATACGATGGACGACCTCCTTCTCAAACCTTCTCTTCAAGTGCCTTGATCTCGCGCAGTCCACCCCTCCACCTTCTTGCGTGTCGCGGGGAATGCCACCACTTGTCCCTCTCACGCTCGACTTTCATCCCACCATGAACGTAACCTATGCACCGTGGGGCACGCGCGAGGCAACCAAAGGCATCAATGCTATCCGGCAGCGACTGGCGCAACACGTCCACTCATACCGCTCCACTCATCGATGGCTCTCCCCCGAGGAGCTTGCGTTTCACTGTTTTCCCAATCTAGAGATACTTGACATTGAAATAAGTCGGCATCTTCTGTGGAAAGATGTCCAGAAGATTCTTGGAGCTTTGGAAGATTTGGGAAAGCGAGGAGAAGGGAAGCTCAAGTTGAATACCTTCATATTCTCGCTTGCGTTCCAGCCCCTCGGTCCAGAAGCCGAAGCAGAGCTGGAGGCGTTTCTTCTTCAAGGGTACACTATTCTGGAAGGGATGGACCGCATTCTTTGCAACGAACAAGCATTTCCAAATTTGCGCCAAGTCATCATACTCTATGAAGATTCGCATATGGACCGTAAATTGGATGCCTCAGTTGTCAAGTCCCTTCGGGTGCGAATGGGGGATAGGATGAAGGGTTTGATGGAAAGAGACATGCTGGATGTGATGCGGTGAGTCGTTCGACTCGTCAAACTCGTCGATACTGAAGGATTACCGATTCCAGTACAGATGCTCGGCCCTGACCGATCAGCCACCGTCTTTACGGGGCTCGCTTTGCTCTGGCCTGAGTATGTAGTTCTCATTTTCACTGTGACTCAGCAGACCACTCATACAGGCCGTCTACAGTCCTTTTCTTACCTTTCTCCGTAGGCTCTTAGTATGTGACCTGCAATTTCGTGTGGACTCATGAATTCAATGCGGGCTCAATGCAATATTCTAGTACACACGCAAAAGGCCGTAATAAGGTATCCAGAGCCTAAAACAGTTGATAAGCCACGTTGTTAGATCCAAAAGACAAGGACGCCAATTTGAGATGGGAGAACGGTCCGTTGCCAGACCTTTGAGGATCGTTAACGAAGGCGACAAAAGCTTGAGTCGGGAAGGTGTAAGTGTGACTATGTGTTGTAACCTTTAACCGCTCCAATCGTGGCAAGACAGAGTCATTAGCCGATCGTTGCAAAAGCGTCGCAAAAAGGTTGTCGTTGACTCCTCCAACGTCGCGTAGGAAAATATCGATGTGCTTTAGATGAGGGAGGCCCAAAAACAGGCGGACAAAGTCTTCGTTGGACAGATCTGGGCAGCCCAATATCAACGTTTCCAATTCGCACCCAGACTGGCTCACCATTGTGAGTATGGCTTCGACCAGATCGGTAGTTCCTCCGAGCTGGGGGCTCGCATGCGGATAATGATCCAAGTCGAGATACGACAGAGAGGGACAGTTGAGTGCCCGAAGCTGATGAGCCATGAACTCCAAGCTCTGAGAGAGAAACAGTCGCCTTAGAGAAGTATGTGGCTGAGTATTTGTAACTGTTCTCATGGCCACGACGTCCATGTAAGTGGTCACGATGTGGCCGACGTAGAGCACAAGTTCTGTCAATCGGGGAGAGTGAGCAAGAATGTCCCTTACAATAAGAAAAGGCACGTCGCGAAGACGTGCAGAAGTCAAATGGAACACCTCCAACGTTGGAATTGCCAACTGGGCAGGTAGGCGATAGAATAGCTGGAATTCCAAGTCATGCAAATGCAGAGTTCGGAGGTTGGGGAAAAGTTGATGGAGAAACCAAAAGGTGGCATTGTAGACTTGACCATGCGAGCCCCACGCCATTGTGCTGTCCAGGGATATGGCCAATTCCTGCAAGTTTATGAAAGGCGAGATTCCGCCACTAGCTTCTGTCAGAATCCAGAGTTCGGTAAACCAGCGTTGAACGTGCCAAGCTGGGGCCCAATTCTCGCGGAATTCCAGTAACATTTCTTGCCACCTGCTGCCCGACAAGAAGATATGACGAAGGATTTGGCTGAGGCCAGTCTCTCCAAGTAGCGTATCGATTTCGAGTGACAGATGAAGCGGGAGGTCGACAGAGTTCTCGATGGCGCGGGACATTCCGTTCAACAATGGATCGACGTCGAAGGAGCTTTGAACGGAAAAGGCGACAAGAGTCCAGAAGGTGGGTGCAGCATAGAGTACGTTGTAGAATCTCCGGCTCACTTGCGCGAGTCGCATGACCTCGAAGACTGTAATACCATATGGGTGGACAACATTGGCGAAAGAGGCGATGAGCAAGAATAATTCCACAGGGAGAGACGCGAGCGGGGTTCGAATTTGTAGTGGTCGGTCCATGAGTGAAGTAACTTCCGTTGAACATGGGGAGTTGCACTCCCTTTTATACTCTGACTTGAGTGAAGGCTTTGCCTGGTGTCCATTGTCCCCTGGTAAATGGTGTATCCACGCGACGTCGTAGAGCATTGTTCGCTCCAAAGGGTCGTGTCCCTGCCAAGCCTCGCAAGTACTTGCCTAGGAGTCCAGGACTCGAATGGACAATATGGGTTGCTCAGAACCATTATCTTCTCCAATGAATCGCCTGGCTCACGAGACTATGCTCAAGTGTCCATTGACACGTAGACACTGTCAAAGCGAACTCGTGATTGGGGTCTACATATTAAGGCAGACTCGCGTCGTACTGAAACCGTCCATCATCTGGTTCAGTGAAGCACATACTATCCTGCAAGTTCGTTGACTCGCACCATGAACCAACAACTTGAACCCCAACCACCCATTTTGACCCTTCCGGCAGAGCTTCTCGCTCAGATTGTGTCTCTGGTTAGCACACGAAGTCGCAATGACGGACCTACGGTCTTTGAAATTATCCAGCTCATGCAAGTCTCTCGCCAATTTTACAACGTACTCCGTGCTTCACCAACTCTTTGGACTCGCGTCGACTTCTCCCTTACCCTCCCTGCCTCTGTACCGACTTTGCTAAATGGAATGACTCGCGCTGTCACACTTTCTGACGATCTCCCGCTTAGCTTCAGGCTGTTTCTGTCACACTCCCCGACCAGCCATGAAACCCGCCTAATTCTCGCTAAGCTTTTCTCGACGGGCAGCCGATGGGGCGAGCTATACTTCCACTTCCACGGTCACCTTAATCTGAACCTTGCCCAGGTCTGGATCACGGAACTCGAGAGAATGAGGCGAGATGCCGGTGGAATCAGCCCCTTTACCAACGTACAGCAGGTCACGTTAGCCCATCCAGGATTCAATTATAATACACTGCCGCGCAGAACGGAGGCTTACAATGCCGCCCTCTGGCCTTTAGCCCAGCTCTTTCCGAGCTCCAGGAAGCTCGAGCTGAAGCGCATGGAATTTGAATGTGGATTTTCATTACCAGCACAATTGTCCATTCCTACTCTGGAGTTTTTGACACTGGATTTCGGCTGCCTTCACAACGTCTCTCCGGCCGTGGTGAGGGATATCCTAGCTGGTGCTCCGGCATTGAAATTCCTTCATCTCTGTGCCAGGCATGTCACATACCACGAGTCCCCACCACCTGTCAACCTCCCTCCCCATATTTCGTTGGAAACTCTTGTGCTCAGGCTTTTCCTGCCGATAATCTGTGAACAGCTTCAGGCACTCAATTGCCCATCTCTGGCGCATCTCCATATTATACACAATCCCGCAATACCTCTAAATGGCTCCAGTGCACCGGACGACTTTGTCGAAGCTATACTTGCGATGGTAAATCAGTCTGGATGTCGACTGAAGTCGCTGGACCTGAGACGGATAGACCTATCCAATGATCATTTCGTGCGGCTCTTCGCAGGTCTCCCTTACCTGGAGAAAGTGTATCTCACTCTCCGGGCTGCTGGAGGAGTGGACGAGAATCTCTTTGAAAGACTTCTGGAAAGGTCGACGAATGACACCATCTTGCCCCGGCTGAAATCATTCGAAGTTGTGACAGACGAGGGATACACATTCTTGACCCAGCCCTTCATTGACTTCGTCCGGGATCCGCAGAGGCTGGCGACGGGCTATTTATTAATGTTCTTCAACACGCGGTGCTGTCCTTCGGCCACGGGAATGTGGCATACCGTCTGCCCTAGGCTTTCCCGTGCATCAGAGTTATCACTTGACCGGCTGCTTCGCCCTCAGATATTAGTTCTTTTTTATGTACCACCCTAGGCCTTTTCCTGCTAATAAACCGACGTGAACGCATCCCAGATCAGAGTACGTTCACACGGAAACCACAGAAGGTTTGTTTCTTGCCAATAAATGTACATTTTGCTACGAATTGTCTAACATACGACCTCGTTATTTGGCCCCTTCGTGGGCTGAACCACCCGAAGACGGTGCTCTGCTGTCTACAGTATTTGCCGACTCACTCGTAAAGAAACTCTGACGTCATACCTAAAGTCGAAATAGGGGCTCGCGAAATGGAGCGTACTGGTCTGCGCAGCAAAGGACTCGGGTGATTCGAGGCCCCGCAGTTTGCTGAACGAATCGTCATACAACGTCAGCATCCATCGCCACATTTAGCCTTTGCTGTAAACCACGACCATCCTGCCTCTGACAAGGCACACTCCACTTTCACAACACATAAGAAGAACCAAGTTGCCCACCACGGTTTCGCTAAAGCTACCAGCAATCTTATCTCTCCTCGCACTCTCCCAAATCGCCTTATCAGCTACGATGTCCCCTGCCTCGAACTCAAAGTCTTCCAAGGCTGGAGAGGAGCAGCAGTTCCACATCTTGCCTCATCCTGCTGTGCGTTCTCGTTCCTTGTACCGTTCTCCGACCCTGTTACTGACCGCGAAATGTTCATCAGAAATCCAACGACCCCGCAGACCTCCAACCTAAGCAACCACAGCTCGGTGGAAGGAGGAGTGACGCTCCTGAAGGGGCGATCGCCTGCGATGCGCCCGTGAACGCATTCCATGCTCGAGATCCCTACGTTCCCAGTCAAGAAATCAGGGATAACATGCCTCCTGCATCTGTGCGTTCACTTTTATTGTAGTACCTTTTCGATTGGAGTCTAACAAGTTCCCTTACAGAGCCGCGAAGAACTTCAGAAACGACAAGCCCAGTTGAACCAAATGCAAGGAGGTGGCAACTGAGCGAGTGTTCGGGATGACATCACCCTTACCTTTTACTCCCGCTCCCGATCGTCGCCTTCAAAGTCTTTCCACATCCGCGCTTCCGTACTGTGCTTTATTTTCCCCAGTAGTCATCTAATACATATTAATACGATGGTCGGATCTGTCTTCAGTTTGGAATCTTGTTGAGGGGAATACGACGCGACAAGCTCTAAAAGCTAGCAAGCTGTATTAGCAGGCGACTGTACACGATCCACTGCAGACCTTTTTCTGCACTGATTTTTCCTCGCACCGTTCCAACTAAACCCACTGACAAGTCAACATCACCACATGGGTCCAATAGGGCCCACCAGGTGGTTAGCCTCCGTCGACTCTTGGCTTTCCCAGTACAGCTCTCCCCGCGCTGTCTCCGAATCCAATCCCTTAAATCTGACCTTCTCCTCCTGCTCGTTCCTCCCTCCCGTCAGCCAAAAAGGATACCAAAACCTCTAATCGAAGCAGAGTACGTCGAGGAAGGGCGCAAAAAGGGCCTGACCGGGAATTGAACCCGGGACCTCCTCGAATTTCCAGAACTTGAGTGTGCTCTGTGGTCTCGCGAAAAGTAGACCCGAACGAGGAATCATGCTACTAGACCATCAGGCCGTGCTGGGAGGCATTGTGAGTTAGCGGGGATGTCATTGGATGCCCGAGGATGAGTACAGTTTTTGAAGTGGAGGTGGTCCTCCTTGGGAATACGCTCAATGTCAATTAGTCTGCTAACATACGGGGCACTACTCATCAATCCGAGTCAATTCTAGGCCCAGGGGTTAGCTGAACAACGTTAATATTTTAATTCCATGAAATTAAGATAAGGTATCGGCTATGAGAGATTATTGAGGGACATCTCCAAGGAATGAAGGGGAGCATGGAAACAGGAATTCGAGAACCCGGCCATTCAGGGCCTACTATAAACGACGGTAGTACCAATCTTCAACGACGCTATTTTAAGACTAGCAAAGGGCCCACCACCACCCCTCCGAGGGTCATCAACAAAGTTAGTGAACGACTCAACAAAGGACGATAACTCGGCTGGCGCCGCACTCGACGAAACCTTGAATGATTCCAACTTGGACAAGAACGAAGTGTGATCATGATCGCCCGACCCACCTTGGGCGAAGAGCATCATGAAGAGCGCCTGGTGCGGCTCGATGTCCCTAAAACTGAGTTTGACTTTGCTGAGATGAGGAAGACCGGTGAATAGCCGGACCATGTCGCCGTTGGAGATCGTGATCCAGTCCAGTTCGAGGGAGTCGAGCGTGCACTGGGAGCGAGTGACCATCGCAAGAACGTCGCCGACAAGGTCGTTGGAGTTGGTGCCACCACTCGCATAGTTCCCGAGATAAAGATGTGAGAGCGACGGGCACTCTAGTGGCTTCACCTGCCGAGCGATGAAATCGAGGTCACCAATGAGATGCAAGTCCTCCAAGACAACATGCCGAAGTGGGTTCAACGTCCAATCCGCAGTGGGATAAACCTCCTCCTCCTTCATGCTAAACCGTAGCACCTTCAGCTGCGACGCATTAGCCAGAATATCCCTCACCATATACGGCGCAGACCCATAAAAGTACCCCGAAATCGACAGCTCCTGAAGGGACGAGATGGCCAACTGAGCAGGTAGCAGGCGGGCGAACGAAAAGTCCAAGGACAGAAACACCAAGCGTTGCAGGTTAGGGAAGAGCTGCGAGAGAGGCCACTCACCAGCGTTGCACGTCCCGCGGAAGGCCGCAATTCCCGAAGCATCCAGACACAACGTCCTCACATTCGTGAACGGACTGGTGGCAGCAGCACCCAAGTCTTGTGTCACCCTCCACAGTTGCGGGATCCAACTCGCAACGTGGAACTCGGAGGAGTTCTCCAGGAACGAAACGTACATATGCTGCCATCGAGCACCAGAGGAGTGTATATGACGGATGATGCTGTTGAAGCGATCTCGAGAAATTGGGTTGTTGATCTTAAGACGCAAAGTAAGCGGGCGATCCTCCGAGCGCTCGATTGCACGATACATCCCACCGAGAAAGATTCCGACGTCGTTGGATCTAGAGAGGGTGAAGTACACATGGGTCCAAAGCTCGGCAGCGGAAACGAGGACGTTGTAGCACTGGCGGGAGATGCGCATGTATCGAAGGACGTCAAAGACAGAGATACCATAAGAACTCGAATTCGCCAGAGTGACAATCAAAATAAAGAGCTCTACGGGTAGAGTCTCGAATGACGCTGGAGGCTCGACTGAGACTTGCTGATCCATTCTCTGGAGGTTGTTCAACGTTCTGCAATCTGGGGGTGGTTTCAATGTGGAGAAACTCGATCCCTGAGTCTTTATGAAGCACAGATTTGAGCGTGCTTTGACACGTTCCCGTTGAGGAAGCGCTTTGATCCAGCCCGCGGTGGACCTGGCAGGCGCCGGATAGGCGCCCGTGAAAGTGTTGTTACGATGGACCCTCGACGGTCCAACCTCGGCGCCTGAGACGCCCCTGTTGATTTTTCAGGGGACCGCAGGAGAGTTGAGGACGAGTTCAGCCGCAATGAAGAAACCGGGCTAATCATATCAGGCAGGGTGAAGATGTAAACGTGTATGCGCATGAAGTGAAATTGAAAACCAGTCAAGTGTTGCTTTGTTGTGTTGTACTACTAATACTGTGCGCGCGAATCCGAGCTAGGGATCATAATGCATGGGTCTAGTATCTAAATATCATATCCGAAACCAGTGTTTAATGCCGAGTGTTAGAGACCGTGAGCTTGTATACTACTAATCGTAAGAGGACGAAGTGCGACTCGAGAGACATAACCGTCCGGTGAGAAGATCCATAGAGAGAGAAAAGAGGCAAACGAGAAAAAGGAACAAATCGATGCAACGAGACAATGCAATGGGTAAAGGAAACGGACCATGAAGGGCGACTCGGACGCCGCATTAGTTTTTTAAGGAACAGGAGGCAGGGTGTGTCCCAAGAATGAAAGAAAAAAACTATTACCACCCCACCAAACTCCACTTTATCCCACCCGCCTCTTACGCCCTCCTCCTCTTCTCAACAACACCCACATTCTCCCCCTCCTTCCCCTCCGCTCCCCCACCCCCACCAGATCCAACCCCAACACCATCAGACTCCCTAGCCCTCTTCAAACCCTTCGTTACCAGCCCTTCAGTACTAGCCAGAGCAGTAGAGTTGCCAACAACAGACAGACCCATAACAGCCGTTCCTCCCCCTGATGTACTACCACCAAACTTAACCTCACTCATACTCTTCACATTCCTCACAAAACTCCTCTTCCTCCCTGCTCCCCCTACCACTCCCGCAGCACCAGCACCACCAACAAGCCTCCCACTCTTCCCCCTCGACAAAGGACTATCAGGGACAAAATCAGGTTCGACAGTCGTAAACGTGTTGGCCGCAAACTGCGCCGAGGGTGTCCGGCCGAACGGCCTTTTGGTTCCTCCAGGTAAATGTGGGGTGGCGGTGGATGAGACGCCGAGGCCGAGGGAGCTTGCTCTGGCGTTGGTCGCAGATAGGGCTGCTGCCGCGGTGGTGGCCGTGGATGGAACGGGCGTACTAGGATCCACAGGAAGTGGTTTCGTACCCCCAGTCGGAGTCTTCAATCCCGCACCCCCTCCCCTCGCCGCAGTCGTAGTAGCAGCACCATCCTCAAACCCATCCTCCCCATCAAAGCTCAACGCCCCTCCCAAGCCCGCAACCTGCGTAACAGGCGGAACAATCATCCCACTCTCATCCCTCTCCTCCGCAGCAGAAACAGTTGGAGCGGCACTCCCTTCCCGCCCTCCAAGCCCCAGCCCGTGGGTGGACCCAGTAACGGTGCTGACCTCGCTCGCCGTCGTACCCTCCCTCTTCAACACCCCTGCTCCATCACCGCTAGTTGGAGCGGTAGGAGCAGCAGCCTCCTCACTGGCCCTCAACACCCCATCCTCTCCAATATCCCTATCCATCTCCTCGAGCAGAGCCCTAAACCCACTCTGCACGTCATACCAGTACCGCGGCTTCTTGGTATATATCCTCAACATCACCTCCGCGAAAATGGGTGGGAGGAGGCCGGAGAACACGCCCGGTCCGGCCGTTGTTGCTTCTACAGGGGCGTATCAGGGCGCGAATGGGGAAGAGAACGAGAAGTTAGTAAAGGGTTGGCGAGAGGGGTAGGTAAGACGCACCGTTCATCTTCCTCTTCGCATAAAACTTGACATTATCCAACGGATTCCTCGGACCCATACCATGATGCATCGTAGCAAAGTCAACGATGATATCGTCAGCCGTCAACTCATCCTCTTCATCCTCCCCCTCTCCTTCCCGACTACCACCGCCCTCCGCTCCCTCCATATCAACATCCACATCGCCACCACTCGTACACGGCGTAGGAGGATCAATCAACTCGCTCTCCACATCCCTCTCATCCTCCACCGTCAACTCGTATCCACCAAAACCGTCCTGCTCATCCTCGCCCTCCGCAGACGTAGACCCCAACGTATCCCCCGACCCCGAACTCTGAACGCTCGGACGAGGTGGCCTCGGAGGGAGCTTTCTAATCGCCTCCACAATCTTCTCGGGCGTGATATAGGCTCTAAACAGATTGTTGAGGTTCCAGTCGACCACTTTGTAGTCGACGCAGCGGTATAGGTCGCGCTCGCGGATTCGGGTGAAGATGGCGCGTGCTTTGGCGAGTTCCTGCAAGGGTTGATGGTTAGCTCGTGGGTCTCAAAACGTTCGGAGGTGGTATGGGTGAAATGAGAGAAGGGGGACTGCTTCGCACGAAACTCGGAGACGAGGGTCCCGCATCTGAGCACCGAGCAACAAGAAACGAAACACAGAAGAGAAAAGATTCAAGCAAAGAAAACTCACAGGTGCAGTACTCTCCTCGATATTATTCATAATCACATCGGAGAGATGAAGGAACCTGTCAGGGTCAAACACCCTATCCGAGATCTTCAAGTGCGGGTCTGCACTCAGCAGCGCATCGACAATCATATACTCGATCGCCTTAGCTGTTCACAGGTGTAGGTCGGGTAAACGAGGCATAAAAAAGAGCGCATATAGTCAGCTTTATGCCTCACTTTCAAGGGTCCTATCCCCTAGAGACCCGAGGAAAGGTTACGCACCCGACTTGTGGTTATAAAAAACCTTGTGCAGCCTAAATCGCGCAGCGCAGATGTTGTAAATCGAGTCAGCATCCTTGATGTTGTAGCATATCTCGTCCTTGATGACCCGCGCAGACTTGAGGATGCGGGTGAGCGAGATGGACATGGGTTCACCCAACATCCGCGAATCGCGCTGAATGTAGTCGAGTCTATCAGTGCAAAAAAATTGTCAGTCACAACACCGAAGAACCCATCCAGAGCAACGAAGAGGGTAGTAGCAGAAACACATACTTATCCACATCAATCCCATTCGTCTTGTTAGCCACAATATGGAACAAAAACTTCTTCTCCTCCGGACACCTGGAGGGTTCGCCTGCGATAAGCGCCTTGACGAAAGCGATGTCGTCGTCTTTCATGAAGATTGTTTTGTTTCGGTGGTGTTTGATGATCCAGTCGAGCATCTTTTCGGAGCCATCTTCGTGTTTCCAGGTGCTGTTGCTGTTGGTGGGTCATTATGTATTGGTGGAGCAGGATGCGGCGTTGGTGATGAAGGGACATGTTGGTGTCGGGAAGCAGCGGGGACACGGGTAGAAGGGATTCCAAGGTGTTCGAATAGCATATAGCCAGGTTTAAAGGCATATATTGACTTTCATTAGCATAGATCCACTTAAAAAATAAACACAGACGCACGTTGCTTTCTTCATGAAAATCCCATCCCAAACGTGGCTCCAAGGACCGTGTCCGAGGTCATGGCACAACCCCGCAATTTCCACACATGCCACATCCCTATCTGTTATCCCCAGCTCTGGTTGGTTCTTTTGGAGGTGCTCTACTAGGTAGCGGGCGAGATACGCTACGCCTGCACGTCCAATTCGTTTTGGCTGTTAGCAAGCGTCGAGGTAGAGAGGGGGAACGCGGGCGTACCTAGAGAATGCTCAAATCGCGTATGCGAAGCGCTGGGCCAGACATAACACGTCGTTCCGAGTTGTTTTACACTTCGGAGACGCTGGAAGGGTTTGCTGTTCGCGAATTTCAGTATCTGCACGGTCTTCTCGGCAAGGCAACTGTAGGACTCTTACGTGTCGATAAAGCTCGAAAGCGATTCTGTTACTGGGACTAGGCGATATCAGTAACGATTACGAGGTAGATAAAGTAGAGAAAAAAAAGCGTACTGAGATCGTAGATGATATCCTTGATATGACGTTTAGCGTCCGGAGACCAGAACCCAGCGTATTTGCGTTTGAGTTCTCCTGGCGAGAGCGTCGATCTGCTTGACGATGTAGGCATAGTTTTTGCGTGTATCCTTGATTCCAATGGATGATGGGCGAGTCTAACAGTCGACGGGGGACTGGGAAGCGCAGCAGGAGGAGAGTGGAGAAACCTCGCGACCGAAGCGGAAGACCCAGTGGCTCAGAGTTAAATGAGCAAATGACTCGTGTCAGCCACGCGTTAGAGCGTAGTCTATTAGTGTCGTGATAAGAGAAGAGGAAATACGGTCACAAGCTCCAAGCGCAGTGGTGCTGGTGATGGTCAGAAGGAGCGAGAAGGCCGGGAGAACACTAGTGACCTCAATGTCATATGAGACGGCTTGTTCTAAATGACAAGATCAGTTCCGTCAATTCGGCTTCAATATTTAAATAATTTACTCCGCGATTCGAGGTGATAACAACAATCTCCGCTTAATGCCTTCTCCTTTGTTTCGAGCAAAGAACAAGGTACCTCCACCAGCTATGAGACAGCTTCTCGGCTTCCAAAAAAAATCGGAATCAATTGCGAGCCTAAAACGCGCACCGACGGCGGGATCGCGTGTTTTCCAAATCGGGAGTTCAGGGGCGCATCAAAAGCTTAGTCATCCCTGATCGTGTCACGAAGCGCGTGAAATCCATTCCCGCTTACTGCGTGTCTGACGTCGACCTCGACAATGGCGACGCTCGACTACGTCGACATCCCGCCAGGCGCAACTCGTCTGCGCTCAAGCCGCAGCGCAACTTCGACGGACATTAGGCCAGCCCCAGCTGTATTCACGTCGCTCCCCAATCCCGATGCATCGTCGTCCTCGAACAATGGTTTCAACCCTGGCCATCGAGCCCGGATGTCATCTTTGTCGCTGAGCGCGGGCGTTGGAGGTTTAGCGTCGCCCACACTGGGATTCATACCCCAGCTCTTACTCTCCTCGTCCTTCCCTGGGCTTAACACCGATTCCTCACACGACGATTCGAATGGGAGTTCAGCAGGAGGAGACCCGGTCGTTTCGAATCCACGACAAAAACTCGACCCGGAGAAGTATACGTTGTTATCTACGAAGGACCCGCTATCGTTACCGATAATGACCAACAACTTTAAACGATTTGTATCCAAGATTGGGCCTGTGTTTTGGTTGCAAGACCGGATTGAGGAGATCGTTCTCTGGAAACGAGGGTGGAAGGTCACGCTAACTTGGATGGCTTTATACGCTTTCTTATGTGTGTCTCACTCCATTACTCTTTATTCAACTAACCACTAACCGGGCTAATCAATACTAGGCTATTTCCCTAAATTCGTACTTCTCCTTCCACATGCAGCAATAATCGGGATTATCCTATCAACATACCCTTATCCTCCTTCAGGGAGCCCATTCTCACTGAACACCTCCGCGCCCTCTTCATCCGACCCAAATGGCCAAGATACAGCGCACCTCCACGCGCCAGCGACGGCACCTGAAGGCTCTATACCCTGGCAAGCCAACATCCAAGGTATCCAAAACCTAATGGGAGCGGTGTACGTATTACCTCCTTGTATTAATACCCGAACTTAAATACTGAAACTCTGAAATTGGATAGCTCGGATTTATTCACAGCAGTCGAACCCTACGTCTACCATTTTGTCTTAACACCCGCCCACCTGCGCGAACCACCTTCCTCCCGTACTTCCCGCTCCACCACCTCAACAGCGTCAGGGGGCCAATCCTCTTCCCACTCTGTACCTCCCACGCACTCCCCCTACACACCCCACATCCTCATCCTGCTCACAGTCACCTTCCCCCTCCTCGCATTCCTCATCTCCCTACCCACCTTCCCCACCCGACTCGTATTCCTCTTAGGCGGCTTGGCACCGTTTATGGCTACCAACCCCTTGGTCCAAAGGGCTGTCAACAGGCTACGCAGCAACCCCCTGGTGGGCGTGGCCTTACGCAAATTCGTACTCGAGAAGGTGGTGCCTACCATTCGCACTGCAATCTCAATAGCACAAGAACGAACGCGGTGGCTGGTTAGTTTCTTGGGGTTGTTCCTCGGGCGTGGTCTCGGTAAACGCCCATCATCCCCTCCGAAGCAAATCAAAGATGCAGGGAGTCTATTCGGACCCGGGGCAGGCACTACAGGGCCAGGCACAGGCAGTACCAACGAAAAAGATAAAATATCCCTACTCCTCAAACAACCCCTCTCCACCGTCGTACAACGCATAATCGACAACGACAGGCTCACCGACAAGTGCTGGAATTCGGAGATGTGGGAGGTGGAGTTGTGGGAGAACGAGAGGTTTGGCGGGACGCCGTCGTCTTCCTCGTCGGACCCGCTGTCCCCGCCGCACTCGGCTTCCTCGTTTATTTCGTCGTCACCGCCGTCGACGGCGTTGGTGAATGGAAAATGGAGTAAAGCAAATTTAAGACCTAATGAACGGAGTGCGTGGACGAGGGGACGGGATGGGGGGAACGGGGGTGGGACGGGGGTTGAGGTTAGTGGGGAAGTTAGGTACGTCATGCTTTTTTTATTTTGCTTGGTGGTGGATTGCTGACTGAGTGCCTTTTCCCTTTCTCGTTTCCATGTCGTTCTTCGAATATGGCTTCTGTTGCAACAACTAAAAAATCGACCGCGCTCGACCAATTGACTGCTCACGAATATCTCTCACCGCGAATACTTCCAAATCCAGTAGCAACCTCACCTTCTCACTCGCCCCCGGCTGGTCCTTTGTCGAGACGGAAGATTGGAGGAAGGACGTGGTGGGAGAGTGGAGTGGAGTTGGTTGTGATGAAGGTTTGTTGCTTTATTCGTGCGCAATATAATGAAGACTGACGAACCATCGACAGACGGCTGGGTATACACCAACGACGCGTGGTTAGGCGCACGTCCAGCACCGTACACCGCGGGTGGAGGGAGTGTTACACGCAGGAGGAGGTGGACGAGGCGGGTGTGGTTTGATGTTGAGTTGGCTAAACTCGAGGAGGGGAATGGGAAGAGTGCCAAGTAGGTATAAAACTCGAGTCGGAATTCCAGAGTGATTGTGTAGGATAATAGTTACCTTACTTTACATACCCTTAGTTGGATAGTGTCAGACTTCTGCTCGTGTGTTGACGGCGACTCCCATGCTCGGACCATTGCCAAATCTCGGCATCCATCACGGGCGCTTATGTCCGGCGCCAGGACGGTTGGAGTCCAGAGCGAAGGTTGGGCCTTGAAAAAAGCTTTTGTGGGCCCGTGTCCAAGCTTCTCGTGTCAGAGCGTATGAGAGCCTCGCACGTTCATAAAGTATAAAAAGCTAAGCCTCTCTCAGATTTTTTCCCTTTCACGAGTACTACCCTCCGAGTCGCCGACCTAAATAATTAACGCCTCGCAAATTCAAATGTCTTCGCGTTCAAGGCCAAACTCTACCACCATGTCCCAACGCGCTCTCCGAGTATCAGACCGATCTCGAGTTCAAACTCGCCCCCAAACCGAATTGCTACTGGAGGCTCAGGCTCGTCGTACACCTCAGCACAGACAAGGCCCACTCGCCTGCCTCCCCGCCGAGCTCCTCTGCGAGATCATCCTCCACGCCAACTTGATCCATGAAGAGGGAACCACCGTTTTCGAAGTGATGGACTACATGAAAGTTTGTCGGCGGGTGTACCAGGTCCTCAAAAACTCTTCCGCACTCTGGACTCGAGTCTCCATGTGCGTCAAAACTCGCGAGGACGTCGCGATGCTAAGTAAGGGCATCGAGTATGCCGTCGAGAGGTCTAAATCGCGTCCGTTGGCTTTCTCAATTGGCTTTGATGACGCGCTTGTGAAGGAGGAGGATGTGGTCAGGGTTGCAGGAGAGGTCTTCAAGGTCGGTGAGAGGTGGGAGGAGATATCGGTTGGGTTCAGGTTGACGTGCGACGTGGCGCACATCCAGACTTGGATCTCCGAACTGTCGAGGCTGACTTCTCTCGCGGGCTCCAGTCCGTTCACCAACGTCCAAAGCGTCGCTCTATTCCGAGAGGTCACCCGCAGCGTCGTCCACGACCCAGCGCTGTGGCCCCTCAAAGATATATTCCCCAACGCCCAACTTATCCAGCTAGAAGATATAGAGTTCCACTCTGCTCACCTGCTTCCAGCGCAGCTCGCCATCCCAACGCTTGAGATGCTGACTATGACCGTTCACCGCTTGAGGGACGTGCACTCCGAGACGTCCTGGGTCGGGGATGTCTTAACCCACGCTCCAGGATTGAAAGAGCTTGACGTGTGCGTCGAGCTCGATGTAACGCACCTCCCGCCTGGGCTGACATCGCCGCCGAGTTCCAGCGCTCCCGTTGCCACTGGCAGTGGTAATAGTAGTATCGTGCCCGTCTCTGGTGGTGCGACGCCAAGGTCCTCAACGCCGTCCCCTCGCGTGCATACATCTCTGGAATGTTTGTCTTTGGGCCAGGATCGCAAATGGACGGTAGAGGAGATGCGGGGCTGGGTCTATCCAGCACTTAAACGTCTCGAGCTGCTCCACCACCCTTTTCTCACCCTTGAAGACGGCGCTCCCGGCGCCGACATCGATATCGTCGGCGAGATACTCGCCATGGTCCAGCTCTCCAAATGCCGGCTGGAGTATTTGGACTTGAGGTATATGGGTCTACCCAACGAGGAGCTAGTCCGTCTCCTAGTCGCACTTCCGGATCTGAAATGGGTCGAACTCTACGTGGCGGAGGAGGTCGACGAGAGCCTTTTCACTATGTTGCGGGAGAGGTCGGCGGGTGACGAGCCTGTTCTCCCCCACCTGCAGTGTTTGGGTGTGAGGACGTGCATGTGGCCTATGCACGGTGCGAAACACACTTTTGATACTCAGTCGTTTGTTGATTTTGTTGAAGATCCTAGGAGGATGGGGGATGGACCATTTGCGAAGCTTCAGGGGGTGTGCTTGATGTTTGATGAAGAGGTTAAGTATAGCCGGAGCTGAGCGTCGAATGTTGCGCGCTTGGTGTATAGTATTCTCTGTGTACAATTATACTTTGTAAAACGATGTGTTCATCTACGTGTGTTACCTTCCGGAAATCCAAATTGATTGGCCAATGAACGGTGCTAGAGTTTTCGAGACCATCTCCTGCCAAGTTGGACCTTCCAGCATCTTGGCAACACAAGACCAGATGGGACCTGATGGGCGCTTATGCATATCATGGTCAAGGGCATTGAAGGCGCATTGACACCTGGTCAAAGCGTATTCCAACAAAGGTCTTTAAAGAGCTGGCGGTTGGAAAACGCCGTTCAACCCCCGCACAGTTTGATCATTCAGACAATGGATCAGCAGGTATCAGCACGCGCTCGATCTCCAGTCGAGTTACAATCTCTATCTGTAGAGCTTTTTATCGTCTTCGTCGCTCTCGCCAATTCAGGCCCCAACGGTATATCCGTCTTCGACGTCACTGAGTACATGCTAGCCACCCGACAGAGCTACAACCTACTCTTCTCAATTCCCGCACTCTGGACACAGGTATACTCCACCCTGTCGAACCCTAACAACGTCGTTGATCTTCTCACCGGAATGGGTCGTGCGATCCGATATTCCGGCGAACTCCCCCTTACACTGCGTCTCAAGATTGACACGGAGATTACTCGAGATCACCTCAACAGTATTACCCGCCATATTTTTGTGTCTGGATCTAAATGGCAGCATATGTACGTGACGTTTCGAGCCCAGTCTCCCGAGTTCTGCGTTCAGAACTGGATTCCGCAGTTATGGAAGGTCACAAGAGACGCCAATCCAACTACGACTCCTTTCACGAATGTCCGAACTTTGTCTCTAGATGCTTTGGCCCGGGCAGCCATTGGCTTCCGTGGACAGCGGGCAAGGTGCGACGTTGGATCTTGGCCTCTCTGGCAGCTCTTTCCTAATCTGCGGCGCCTATTGTTACTGTCCTTGGATTTTGGATCAGTTCGTATGCTGACCACTCAGTTAGCCATCTCGTCTCTTCAAGAGCTGACCCTTTCGGGATATTTCTACGAGTCTGTGCCGTACATGGTGAGGGAGCTTCTTGCCAACACTCCGCAACTGAAGATGCTACGCCTTAGCGTGAGGGAGGAAACGATCTATCCCGCTTCGGATTGGACGCTGAAACCTCTTCGACACGCTGCCCTGGAAGAGTTGCATCTAATTGGCAACCTGGATTTCATCGTACGCCAGTTGAGACCGTTGGAATGTCCGTCGCTCTCCCGCCTCTGCCTTGGGAACTTCGCGAGAGGCGACGCCAGTGGGAGTAGCATTGTCGCAGAGGTCTCTGCGATGGTCACTCGGTCGCTGTGCCAGTTGGAGACTCTCGAGCTGGACTGGTTTGACATGCCCAGCTACGACATGGTCCGCCTACTCATTGGACTCCCTCGACTTAGAAGTGTCAAGCTCTGTTTCAGGGATATGCAGCCGAACGACAGTCTTTTCGCAACGCTCTTTCGTATGTCTGCAGATGCTTCGTTCTTGCAACAGATGGACTCTTTCCAGGTTTTGTCGAATATGGTCCCCTTTGAATCCTCCTCCCTCGTCGAATCATTCGCCAAATTCGTTGAAGATCCTCGGAGGGGCGGTGATGGTCCCTTTGCTCCTCTTCGCGTGGCAACTTTGAAGCTCGGAAATAACCTCGTCTATAGTCTTTCGTAAGAAACATTAGCTGGGTTCTCTCGCATGTTCTCACTCTTTTATATCAGACAGATTACCTGACAGCTGCAAGTTAGACTTTCCTGCCTACTTTTATAAATTTAGAATAAATATGTCATTTCTAGCGTGGCTTATGAGGATTCTGTCTGTGAGATATATTCAAACGTTGGAAATTAAATGCAACTGCAGTAGGTGAACGACTCACCGCATTACCTCTTTCCATCAGACCCTTCACCTGTCCCCCACTCGTGCTCCAAGGGACTTGAAAGCCAGAGAATCCAGTTTATCGACCAGATGCGAATCGTCGATGAGTACGATGACTTGGCGCGACTGCGGAAACTCCGTCTCGTTGCAAAGAATGCGGTCCATCGGCGTCAAAATAGTTTCTCGCTGAAGAAACGACTCCACGTCCGCTAGTAGGGGCCGTTCTCCCGGGCTCGGAGGTTTGAAGGCAAGCCAGAATACGAAGGTCTTCAGCTGGAGCTCCCCTTCCCATCGCTTTCCCAACTCTTCCAGGCTTGCAAGAATCTTCTGGAAATCGTACTTCTCAAGATGTCGACACGTTTCCATGTGAAGTGTCTCCAAATTGGGGGAGAAAGTAAAGGTAAAATCCTCGCGGGAGAGCCATGGATGCGTGGAAGGGTACGAGTGAACGCATTGAGCCAGTCCGGATAATATCGAAGCCCAATCAGGTCCCACAGTGCGGCCCTCAAGCTGGGGGAGACTTCCAGCTTCCAATCTAGGAAGGCCCTGTCGGTGGTGATGGAAACCTTTCTTACTTGAACAAGAAGTGCGAAGAGGGTGATAAGGTCCTGCTCTGCAGCGCATATCCAGCCATTCTCTTCAGGATAACGGACGCGCTTCTCCCAACTCTTGTGGATGGCGATGCGCTGGATATTTCGAGCCAGATCTGGTCGGCCTTCGAGGACTTCGAGGAGTCTCCTAGCCGAAGAAGGGAGGTCGATAGTAACCGACGCAAACAGAAGGAGCTGGCGCAATGCAACCAAGTGCCGTTCACCAAGCTGCATGCCTGGAGGGTGGGTTTGTCGTTTTCCAGTTCCTTGACGATAGCTCTGGAGCGAACCCAGAAACTGCTGGTACCCTGTGTGGGACGATTCCCAGAGATTCAGACGGGTACGGACGCTGGGGAGTGTCAGAAATTAGAAATGGCTCCGGCTCCGTGGTCATTGCTGTCGAGGTTCGTGGTGGAAGCAGAGCTGCACGCAAACTGCACGAGTCCCCTGCGATCAAAGCATCAATCCGGATGCCGGTCCGGATCAATACGGCGAGCCCCTATTCAAACCGTGCAATCTCCCACCGACCCCCCAAAGGCACGACTTTATTCCTTCACCGAGCAGACAGCCCACTTCATCGAGAACCACAGAATCAGTCATACATGAGTTTTATATATACGTATACATATCACTATAATAATCAAAAAACCAGAGAAAGAAAGGCCTGAGGATTAATAGGGGTACAAATACAGCATAGGTTTTTGAGCAAGTCCAGTCGCAGTCCAGGAGTCCGAGGGTCCGACTACGAGAAGCAGTTGGGCGTAGCGGACAAACCGATAAATGCGACCTTAAACCAGAGGGAAAGGAACATTGTCAACGCGCAGCCGGGTGGTTGGACAACCGAAAGCGCATTGGAAGAGAAAAAAAACGGGTGGAAGGAGAAAGAAAAAAGTAACTTTTTCTGCGAGTTGAAGTGCAGATACCAGAAAGCAAGGGGGAGAGGATTGTGATACAGTTGTTGAAAAATGCAAGTGTTGAACGTGTCAGCGGTTGGGAAGTCCTCGGATATTGTTGAAATGCAGGTGTTGAACGTGGTTCAGTGTCGTCGGGACGTAAGCAGTCGGGTGTAACAGTTGGATGCCGCTTGAATTGATGAAAACTATGGCGGGAATGAGATGCCAAGAAACTGGATGTGAAGTGGATAAGAACGTTGGTTGGATCCAGGTGGAATTAAGGAGGCTGCGGGAAGTGTTGTAAAGGGGTACAAGAAACGTGCAATGGGACGAATATTGAAGACAAGTTGACGGAAGCGGTCGCGGTTCTCCGATGCCATGAACCAGATGGAGGAGTCGTTGAAAGGTGTTACAAAACGAACGTGACCATAAAAAGAAGGAAAACGAAGAACTGCATAAGATAAGCCGCAAACCGTTGGCGGATCTGGGTTTAGACAACGTCCCAGAGTTCTTCGAGTGCACAGCAGAACTGAGAGAGGAAGCGAACGTGTCAGAACAGGAGGGTAAGAGGGAATGTCGAATATCTGACCTTCCCGCAAGCGACGCTAGCGCTGAGAGGGTAGTCGCTCAAGCTGATCTTCGTATCGACGTAGGCGTCAGCGAAGTCATCCTTGCCCCGGGCCATGGCGCCGACAAAGACAGCGATGTTGTGTGTTGTCGGAAGGGTTGGCAGGTATCTGGAGAGCCGCTGCGTCGGTGCGTCACCGGAAAGAGCTTGAGAAGTAGGAGTTAACATTGACCCAACAGTCAATCAGGATGCCTGGGGTAGACGTACTGATTTTGATGGTGTTCGGGGGTAGATGATCAACAACGGGATTCTGCAGAATCAATGTGAGTTGGTAAAGGTGATGGGAGCTCAGAAAGACTCACTTTGATGACCTTAAGAAGTTTCTCGGGTCCATTGACACCTCGGATCGAGAGCTTGTGAAGGAGTTGGACTGTGATGGGGTAAAGTAAATCAGCATGAAGTAAGTAAGCCAGAGCTACGTACCCATCAATCCACTGAACCGTTTGAAGGTTCGAGGAATTCGAACATGGGGGTTAACCTCGATGAGGACACCTTTGGCTGTATGGATATAGACTTGCAGCAGTCCGGCCTTGTTGAGAGGGGAATCGAGCAGCGTCAAGAGGCACTGGGGAATGGAACGATGAGCACAGCCGTATGTCATACAAATAGGCGAAGAAGAGCGAAAAATGACACGAAAACTCACCTGGTGGGTGATGTCAGGTCTAGCATCTGCGATGTCCCTGCCCGTCTTCGCCAGAATACCCTGGTGATCGTCACAGTTCAACAAAGTATATTTTGCCTCCCCATCCTTTCCATTCCTCCCTTTTCCTCCACTCGACGAGACTTTGTATGCCTCCAAGCACGCCTGTTCGAGAATGACATACAGCTTTCGCTGGGAGGGGCCTTTTGCGACCTGTGCCTGGACGGGAAGCATCGACGGGTTGGCGACGGGTTGAATCGGTGTGTAAGGGTTGACTTGTTGCGCTTTTCGTGACTTGGACGAGGGCAGAGGGCGTGTTGGTCGAGACTCCCCGAACTCCCCTGACGGTTGTCGCTGCTGAGCCTGAGCTCGAGGACTGGCGTCGTTCCCAGCCAACGACTTGCGCGAACCATTAGCAGCGGCCTTGGACATTTCTCGATTGTTGTTTTTCAAGATTGTGACGGGGTTTGTTGGAGTCGGCGCAACTGGGGAACTCTCAATCTTATCGTGATCTAGTGGTTTTCGGTTTATTCATTAGTTTTGTCATTTTGGGTTTTCTTTATTACTTTTAGAACCGCGCGAATTTTACCTGGAGCTGTCTCGTTAACCTCGTCGGCCTGGTTCATACCCACGTCCCCATCTTGGTCCACACCACCATCTCTTTCCCCCTCTGATTCCGAGCTTTGCGTTGGGCTCCTCTGGCGTCGGCGTTGAGCAGGCCGTTCCCCTGGAGATGACTTGGGTCTCGGTGGGGGAGCAACCGTGGTTCCCCAGGTGGTTCGAACCAGGGAAGACCCTGAGGACCTGGCTGGTGCTGGACTGTGAATCGAATGGTCGCTAGTGTCCATCGAGTTCGAGTGCCTCCGACGGCGAGCTGGGATCGTCGTTTTTTCGGTGCTCATTGCTGGAAGCGGCCTTGAAGCGTCTTGGGTGTCGATACTAGACTCTTGGTCGTCGTTTTGGTCGTGAAAATTCAGGTAAACGAAGGGACTATGGAGGGCCGGCGCAGAACCTGGGGAAATGAAGGAAGGAAAGTCGGGAAAAGAGGTTGAAGAGTTCGTATGTAAAATCGTTGGGCCCGACTCTTCGTCCATTCGCACCGGTCCTCCGAATCATTCGGAGGCACGTGCGAACCCTGGTTCGGTGGCTGTGCACCACTAAACTCTGTTTCCTCCTCGTGTTTTCAGTGTTTTCCTTCTCCGTTAAACAGACGACTCCACTGTGACTCTGCAAGCTAAACCAAATTTGACTGCTCCTCATCATTCCTAATGAGAAAACGGGTAACTAACTCACCGGCAACGAAGCAGAAAACTGGGAGGGTCTCCGGACCATCGCTCCTGCTTATCCATAAACTTACAAACCAATACATGCAGTCGCAGTCTCTATCGCCTCGTGGCCAGCAGGGAATGTCCTTATTTACGAGAAAAGGGCACACAAGCCCTGGCGTTTTATTGCGCATACTGGTTACCCTTTGCCCAGTCATATAATCCCCTGTCACAAATTGACAATGCTGACTGAACTTTAAATAAAACGATATCCGAATTGAAAAGGCCGAAAATTACGATCCCTGTCAGGCGAAGCTGTCTCTGTGAGCAGGGCAGAATTTGAAACAGGGTTCTATTCAAGTTCGGCGCCATTGACAGGCTCGGCAATCCGGACGAAAGAATTCATGATAGGGCCGCCATCGGCAACAAACTCATGGGTTTCATTCTAGGAAGGTAGATTAATAGATTAGTAGACTTCATTTGTTCAATAGCCAAATATACCACCGCTGGTAAGAAATGCATACACCCCAGAATCAGAAACGATTAGGTAAAACAGAAAGGAAAGGAAGGAAGACAAAGAGACGGACCCAAAATCAAAGCTCAGGGCCTGACCTGAGAGAACACGACACCAGCCGGCTGAAACGCGAGCGTGGCTTTCCTAAGCCGAGCAAACGGACCTTGACCAGACCTCCTCTCATCCTGGACAAAATCAACAAACCCGTTCGATGGGAAGGTGTACGGCGTCCCCCCTGCTCGCTCTGGAATCGTCGAAACCGAGAGCCGTTCCAACCTAGGCAAAATGGGTTCCGAATTTGACCTAACCAAAAGATCTGCTAGGAACCCACCATTCGCTCCGCCTCCATCTCGCAGGATAAGGTAAATCGTACGGAGATGGGGCAATTCGACGAATAGGCGGACTAGATCATCGTTGGAGAGGGCAAATTTCTCGAGGCGGAGGGAGGCTAGCCGACATCGAGATCGACTGACCATCTCGAGCACCTCCCCGACGAGATCAAATGGCTCGGGTGGGTTAGCCGATGTATTCCTACTCGGTTTCCACTTGAGCACGAGGCCAATGAGAGAGGGACAATTCAGAGACCGAAGTTGGTTCTTGAGAAAATCCTGGGGGCCTCCCAAAGTCAGCCGTTCCAAGCAAGCATGCAGCGTGATAGCCAAAGGGGAATCTCCTACTTGACTTGGCACAACCCGATAATTAACCTCCCTCGCCTTGAACTTGAGCACCCTCAGTCCGGGAACCTTCTCCAGAATATCTCGCACCAAAAACGTCGAGGCCTGCCAGAAAATACCCACCAATTCCAACTCTTCAAGACTGGTAATAGCCAATTGCGCCCCCAGCTTGCATGCGTTCTGGAAAGAAGCATTGACCAGCCTCAGTTTTCGAAGGTTGGGAAAAAGTCGGGGGAAGTGCAAATGTTCAACGTTGTAGGGTGTTAAGCGACCCAGTTGGTGTACACAAGCGTCCGTTGGGTCCATATTGAGTTCTTCCATGCGGGTGAAAGGAGACGCCCCTCCAGCTACTTCGGTGAGTGTCCAGAGTCCCAAAATCCAAGATTGAGGATGGGACATATTGCACTCCCCGATAAAAGTGATCCTCATAATTCGCCAACGGCTTCCGGAAGAAAAGACTCGACGGACGACCTGGTTGAGCACAACGACGGAAGGGAGAGCAGTGACCGAGAAGACCAACGTGAGGGGCAGGGTTGCAGAGTTCTCGAGAGCTTGATCAATCCCAGCAAGGATGCTGGTCAAAGCATCGGCTTGAAGGACAAAAGCAACGCGAGTCCAAAGAGAAGGTGTTCCAAGGATAACGTCGTGGACGCGCCGAGAGACGGGGAGCAATCGAGACGCGTCCCCAGCGCTGAAGCCAACGACGAGAGAAAGAGTATAAACGAAAAGCTCGACGGGGAGATCTGCAATTGCAGACCGAGTGCGTGGTTGATCCATGTGTCTTGATGGAATTTAGAGTTACACCCCAACAGGAGTTCAGCCGACTATTTATCCACGGACTGGGCGAGGCGCTTTGAAAGACATGCCGTTCAGAATCCAGCTCAAAGCGCATTCAGGGCGACGCGTCCCTTCCGATGCCAAGGCCCCTCTTGCGGTGGCTAGGGTGTCAAACTCAGCCAAGTGGGTCAAAGCGCTGTCAACCTTGAATCAACCGGCCATTGCCAGTGCGAGAAGACCGTGCTTGGACAAAGGAGGCCGCACCTGCGTGAGCGATACCAGCAAGAGGATGCTTGGATAGTATTGTGGCACTTTTCTCACCAAGTATCAAGAATTAGAGCTCATATCCAACGCAACACGGCGATAACATCCCATGAACGACGGTCCATTCTTGATGATTTCAACATGCGATAAGCATTAAGGCGAACAGGCAGGCCAGATCTACCACAAGCTCTATTCAAAGATCGTCGCCCTCGCGGAATCTGTCGAGTGAGATTTTAGCTGAGCTTTTGATTATGTATACGACAAAAAAAAACTCACTGTCGCACTTCCAGGATACCTCGCTTATTCAGCCCAGCAAGCGATTTCTTGACTGTAGCCTCCAACCTGCGCCATGCTGCGTGATCGGTGTAACGACCGACTTCCCGCACCTCCGAGTCGACCAGCACCTCGACCAATAAGCGCACGCTTTCCAACTTCGGGAGGGACTCCTCGTTCCCCAGAATGCCGCCCAGTCTCCCAAGCCACTGAGGACTTTTGAAAAGAAACGTTTTGCGGAGATTGCCTTCCAGACTCGTGCAATCTATGTCTTCCGTGACGCTGACGATGAGAGTAAAGTGGGAGAGCGGAAGGGGTGGTGTTTGAAGGGACAGCGTGGAAAGACCTTCGAGGATTGTCGCACCGTGGCCGCTATTCCAGGCCGGAGGGTATACCAGCTCGGCGTTCATATGGAGGGTGAAGCTCGTGAGGCGAGGGAAATGCTTCATATCCATAAGAATTGGATCGAAACCCCAGTCCACATGGAGGACATAATGTTCCACCCGAGTAGAGCAGAATTGTATAACAGATGCCCATACCGCCCGCTCGTCATCGGTCTCATCTGGCATTGTACCAATGGTAAGCTTTTGGATATGGCGCAGGTTGAGGGTCTGAGCCTGCGAACCCCGGGAATCAGGATCCGATTCAAGCTCGGAGCCCTTGAGTAGGACTTGCACGGCCTTTGGAGAGTCGAACAGATCAAGCGCCTTCAACGTCGATACCTGCCCACCACCGACAAGAGTGGCCTTTTCAATTTTTTTCGGAGGTAAGATCCGAACTTCCTCTTCCTCGTCTGCCACGTCCACGGTGCGCAGTTCCAGCGCTTCCAAGTGGTGGTAGTGCCTGAAGGGTGTAAGGTCCATGTTCATCATGTCTACCAAGACAATTGACTTGACGTGGGGCTGCGAAAACAGGTTGTAGAATGCCGTCTTGACGTCTGGAGGGATGAAGGACCAATTCAGGAACCCAGGATGGCTTGACAACCGGACTACGTGCACAGAGGTGAGCAGAGGAAGAATGTAGGCGATGTCCTTTGAGGATTTGAGCCAGCCATCGGAGTACTTGCTCCTTTCACTCTTTGCATCCTGGACGATGTCGACGACTTGGACTGCCCTTGCGAGATTCGGTTGAGCCTCGAGAAGCTTGCGGAGTTGTTTGCATCGGATGTTCGGTTTGGGTGCCCCAAGTAGGACTTGTCTGTATATAAGCTCCCGAGAGGGCTGTGACCAGGCTTTGTTAACCAGAGAGCATGCCTTCAGCGCCGGTTTGTCGTCAATCAACTGGTCGACAATTAAAGAGACGAGTTCTGTTGGGAGAATTACTGTTGGGAGGCCCTGTACGGGCTGCTTAGACGCTGTCAGACGGGTAGAGCGTCGCATTTGTGCAGCCAGTGCGCGGACCTTGCGTGCTGTTGGGGTAAATTGGCGCCTCGTCGTCGTTGGTCAGCGTGCAACGTTCAACGATCAACATGGGTAGCGCCCACGTTCACCGTGGAAAACATTTCAGACTCCGCTTGAACATCACGGCGAGGCGCACTGTATTCTTCGAGCGCTTGGTCACCTTGCTTTGACCATATGCAGTTGAACTTGCATCATGAATATAGGTCTGTACGATCATTGTGGGAACTGCCAACAGTACAAGTCAAAGTGCGACTCTTTATCTTTCCACGTCTTTAGAAGAAGGCGATAGGATTGGTCTCATTCCCAAAAATCCTCTGCACACCATCCCAATGCTCCACAAAACAGGTTCCTTCAAACCTAAAGGAGTGCCACGCGGCAAAGGTAACATTGATACTGGGTAGGAGGAATTTGAAATGGACAAAGCCGTAGCCTTGCCCGGCGAATATGTTGAAGGGTGTCATCGCAACACTTGGGTCTGCGAAGAGGGTCGTAAGACGCTGGATAGCATTATCTCTGCCCTGTTCCGCATTTGGACTATGGTTGATCCACTGCCTATCGAAAGAACATCGCATCGGTAAGCAAATACCTTCTCCATTGAAGTCGCAACTTACCCAGGAATCCAGCGGTCGAAGGAACCAATAATGTCTTCATTCTCGTAGAAGAGGACAGCCCAGTCTGCTAATGCGGCCTGTTGCCTTGCTTGCAGATGCGGTCCCCTTTCATTGGGGTTGCAGACCGCGGGTGGCCATGGACCAGGGCCAGGTGGACGAGGTGGCGGCTTAATGAGGCGACCCCGAACGCCATGCTGCTCCGAAACGAGGACAAAGAAGCTCACAAAGAAAGACAAGAACAGGAGGGCTCTTTGAGGGATATGCATGTAGCACTCGGAAGAAGAAATGTCTGTGTCTTGACAGTTAATCCAGAGGCATGTTCTTATTCGATTCTCAAGAGTGTGCTACTCGACTTGGTGATGTTAGAACGAGCGCCGAAGTCCACACGAACCCTTCATCTCCGAGAGAGAAAGGGAATGAACGGCCATATGCAGAATAGTCGGAGAGACGAAAATGGCGAGACGGCGTCTTCTTATCCCCCAAGTGACATGATGCCAAGGGGTAAAGGTACCACGATAATATCGCCTTCGCAAGTGATTGGGAAAACGCAAATCACGGACCGGGAGGGAGCAGGCGCATTGCGGTCCTTGGGGTCAAGTTATCTGCGACTGATTACACTGGTGAAGGAGTTCGGCCCTTAATGATTTGATTATTAGACTAAAAGCGATCGAAGATTCCCGGCATCGGTTTTACAATCATATGCTTTAGAAGTACGCAATCGGATTGGGCTCCTTTCCCGTAATCTCCTGCACAACATCCCAATGCTCAACAATGCATGTCCCTTCGAACCTGAAGTAGTCGAGTATCGCATAGGTAACATTGGCCTTCGGGCGCGTCGACTTGAAGTGAATTGCCCCATATCCTTGTCCTCCAAAAAAGGTGAGGTGCGTGTTGGTCACCGTCCCATCTGCGTACACGCCGTTCAGGTAATCTATGGCTGGCTGACGGCCTTGACCTGTGTTCGGATTATGCTGAATATATTTTCTAATAATGCAATTGAGCTCCCTTTCTCTTCTGGTGCGTAGAAGGCCAGCGACTTACCCAGGGATCCATCGGTTGAAGGCGGTATTGATATCGTTCGCTACAACATAGAGACGCGCAAAGTCCGCGAGGGCTGCTTGCTGTTTGGCTTCGAGATGAGGACCTTTGGCCGTATAGTCGCAGACCTTTGGTGGCCAGGGTCCTTCATGACTAGGTGGACGATTGCCTGGAATGGCAGATGCGACCGCGACCAACCCGGCGAGAACAAATGCGATCCAATTTCCAGTGTAGAGGTGCATAGCGAAGAGAAGGGTCGAGAGCAGAACAGCCTCTGGAATTCATCTTCGTCAAGCTATGTAAATAACCCAGTGGAGTTAGAAACCCCTGGGTATGTTCGGGGTTTTCAGTCAGCAGAACCCTCAGCGGAAGAGAAGAATATGGTTTCATAACTCTCGTAACTATGAATTCCGAGGCCAAACGTAACTAAGGGTCTCTGAGCTTGGTGTCCTTCACGCAGCGTCAATGTCACTTTCATCTAGCAATAAATTTGTATGTTCAAGATGTCGTTCAAGGGCATTCCTGTTGGTCTAAGCGCTTATCAAGCGCGCAAATCGATCATGGGGGTCATCGATGATTGGAGTGCCAGCCGCACACGGCCATCTTTAATTGGAACGAGCTTCACAAACACGACTTCTTCTAAATAAAACCTAAGTTAGAAATACGCTATCGGATTCGTAGCCTCAGGGGACATTGGCATCCACGCATCCCAATGCTCGACGATACACGTCCCCTGGAATCGGTAGATAGCCACTGTGACGTCAGGAATCGTAGCGCCCGGGATTTGAAGCGCGAAGTGAATAACACCGTATCCTTTCCCTCCAATGACTGTGACGTTCGATATTCTGTGTTCTGGATTTGCGTAATATGGACTGAGGAAGTCTATCGCCCATTGGCGACCTTGCTCCGCCCAGGGACTGTGGTTGATGTATTGCCTGTCACAATCTAAGTAAAGGTTCAATTGGGACAGTGAAGGTAATGATACCCACCCTGGAACCCATCTGTCATAAGCTGCCTGGACGTCTCGTTGATTAAATAGAATATCGGTAAAGTCCTCCATTGCAGCTTGCTGTTGCGCTTGGAGGTGTGGACCGCTGGCGTTCGGGTTGCATACAGTCGGAGGCCATGGGCCAGGATGACCTGGAGGTTTATTGAGACCAGGGGGAGACGCCGCAGCGAAGACGGCAAGTGTAAGAGAAATGAAAGATTTTAGAAGCAACCGCATGACGTCGGCAAATGCACGCTCAGGATTCAAGAATGAGTCGGTTCCCTCTGCTATTTATATCTCCAATTTACCGATAGAAACGGTAAATTCAGAGATGTTCCCAGGTCCAAGAGAGACCGCCATTGTCACAAAATTGAGAGCAACTGTTTTCAATCAGCACGGGGTCATGAAAGGTGCCGCCACAAGCCCATAACGTCTCCAATCAAGTCTGCAGATCCCAAACACTTTCCAGAGCGGCGAGTAACGTGGGTAATCAAGAGGGGGAACGGACAAGGGAATGGAAAGCGCCCATGGAACCTGCCCCTTGTTCACTCGCGTCCGTGTCTTCCAAGCACATTCCATCCGTTTCATCTTTGTCTGGTGATCAGACCGACGCGTTCCTGGTTTCGGATCGCAGCGAGTACGGCTCTTTTCAAGTTGGTAGAGTCAGTAGTGGACATACAACGCTCAAGATATCAAGGTTTAAATTCAGAAATACGCGATAGGATTGGGCTCGTCCCCAGTAATCTCCGCTCCAACATCCCAATGCTCAACGATACACGTTCCCTCGAACCTGAAGTAGTCCATGGACACTACGGGATTGGGTTGATCCGGGAAGAACAGCTTCAGATGGATGAAGCCATACCCGCCTCCAGCAAAGGAAGTAACGTTCGTCGTAATGAAATTCGGGTCGTCATGATATGGCTTGAGGAACGCGATGGCGAACTCTCTCCCCGACTCGGCGAAGGGGTTATGATTTATGTACTGGCTGACATCGGAGGGGGTTTAGAGTGTGTTCAACAGCAGAGTCTGAGCTAGCCGTCTGAAGATGCTCACCCTGGAACCCATCGATTGTAAGCCGTCAGGATGTCGTGCTTCACGGTCAACAGGTACGTATAATCCACGAAAGCTGCTTTTTGTTGCGCTTCAAGGTGAGGCCCCTTTGCTTTCGGATTGCATACCGCTGGTGGCCAGGGACCATGATGACCTGGAGGTCGCTTACTAGGACCTTTATTTGTGACGGCAGCATATGCGATGCTAACGAGCGATAGAGCGGCGAGGAGGTTGGAGAGCCGCATTGGATAGACCGTGTACAGAGTTAGGCTCGTATACAGGCTGTTCTTCAATTAGCAGAGCTATTAATATAGAGCTCAAACGTGATATATTATACTTGAGGCCCCTTCAGCCTTGAAAGCGGGGTGTTAGGCACAAAGAACGAAGCATACCGCACGTTTCCGAATTAAGCGCCAATGTAGCCTTTCTCGTCATCTAGCCATCAATCAGAATCCACCTGAGCGCCCATCCCTGTTATTTCACCATATACGTACCTAAACTAGACCCAATCTGGGTCTCCCTTTGCAAACCCCATGCCTCCAGCACGCATACTATGGCTCACCAGTACATCGAATCCACCACTGAATTGAATCTCGTCTTCCACTGGCCCAATCGACCTGAAAATTGGAACGACGATTCCAGATGACTACTAAATGAAGATGGTGCACTTTTTTTTGAAGAAAACGGATGGGATTTGGAGGTAGGATGGTTTGAAGGAAGGCGGGGGCATCAGTAATTTGTAGTGCCATCGGCGAAATTAGTGATCGAATTGATGAATGGTTACGATTTTGCAATCAAAATTCGATTCAGTGGTGGATTCGATGTACTGGTGAGCCATAGTATACGTACCTCGTAGTTCTCTATCTACAGTCTTCCGAACGGAACAAAGAAAACAGCGATTTTCTGTCTTGCTGTCAACTGGCGGCCCGCTGAAGGAACAGTCTTATCACGAGCCCCTAGCACCTGGCACGGTTTGAAGTATGTAGCGAAAAAAGAAAAGGAACGACAAATACATACGATAATTACGCTATATCTGCAAAACTAAAACAAAACAATTAGTCCATCAGCACACGGGGTGGTACCTAACGCAATCCCAAACCACCTCCACCTCCACCAACCCTCAAACAGGTATATCGAACACACCAACGAAAAGTTGACGAAAAGCCAAACTCCAATCTACAAACCCAAAACCAGCTCTAATCAAACGATCAACGATCATCTAATCAATCCTCCCCTCCTTCGCCTTATACAACACATGATCCCCCCTCTCCAACCTCGCAGCATCACTGCCTACCCACTTGAACAGGACCCAGAACAAGACTCCGAGGCCTGTCAAGAGGAAGAAGATAAACCGGAAGGGGTAGGTCGAGATGTATACTTCGAGGGAGATCATTTTGTTGTTGATGGTCTGGAGTATCAGAAAATGGGTGAGTGAGTATGAATGAATGAGTGTAACAGGGGAAAGGAAAATGACGAGTGATTAGGGAAATGAGATGAAAGCGCTCACCCTAGCAAACCGCTCAATCACATTCTCAGAGTTCTTGTATCCAAGTTTTCCAGAAACGATATCATCCAGCGCCTTGAAGAGTCGATCTCCATGGGTAAGCTTGAACCTCTTCCCAGAGCGATCCTGGTCATAGTACACCAAATCCTACCCCACATCCCCAATCAGCGTCCACACAAAACCTAAAGACTAAGTTAAGATCCCAAAGACGTACCTTATGCCTCGCAACGACAACCTTCACATCATCCAAATCATCCTCATCCGAATCAATCTTGATCGAATACATGCTCTTCATCCAATCCTTCCACCTCTCTCCGTCCATCCACGTCCACACAACATCCTTGCCACCAACAACCCCACTCCCCCTATTCCTCTTACGCCACTTGCGACCTAGCTCCTCCATCTTATTCTGGATCTTATCCTCGAGGATTTTGTTCGAGGTAGCAATGACAACAAGAGGCGCGTGTGGGGCGTTCATAACACTCTGGAAGGTATCCTGTGTGAGCTCGAGGGAGGTCGGTAGACGATTGGCAGTAAGCCACGCCTTGAGGTCCTCGCGCGTCGAAGTGGGCGTACCGTACAGCGTCGCAGAAGGCGTATCCGAATCGTGGTCCTTGAGCGCAACAAGCGCCCACGGGACACTAACAGGCACACCATACTTCTCCCTAACAACCGCGGAAGGCGTAGCATAAATCGGCACCGAACCCAACAGCACCGACGAATCCTCGCGCATGATCTTGAGGATATCCCGGTCGTTCGAGGTGTAGATGAGGACGTAGGCGACTTTATCCTGTTTGATGTGTTTCTCGACGTCCGCGGGGTTCTTAAGGAGTTGGACGGTTTCGGCAGAGGCTTTGTCCGCAAAGGCCTGCAGCTGGTCGAGCTTGCGTCCGCCTACGTACTCGGAGCGGGCGCCGTTCTGGAAGTAGACGAGGGTGGGGTAGCCTTTGATGTCCTGCGACTTGCACAGTGCACCTTCGTTGTCGCAGTTCACTTCTGCGATCTGCGTACGGCCCTTTTGTGAGGAAGCCAATTGCATCCAAATTGGTGCCAGTTTCTTGCAGTGGCCGCACCATGGAGCGTAGAACTTGACGAACGTCGGTCCGCGGTTTAGGGCCGTTTGGAAGGTCTTTGAGGTGAGCTCTTCGATTTGGCCGGAGGGGTTGAGCGTGCCGGCGGTGTGTGCCCTGTGGGGCTTGTGCTTGTCGTCGTCGTCATCATCATCGTCGTCGTCCGAGTCGCTGTCATCATCGTCGGAATCATCATCGTCGACGTCGTCCCCGACTTTGACGTGCTCCTTGAGGAAGCCTTTGAGTGCGTCGAGTTTACGACCTCCCTTGAACTTTTCGATGATCTTGCCGTCTTCGAATAGGAGTAGGGTGGGGTACCCGGTGATCTTGTTCTTGTTACACAGATCTACGTACATCACGCTCAGCCATCTCCATCCTTCAAAAGAAATACGACCGAGAACACTCACCACCATGCACCGCACAATTCACCTGCGCCAACTTGACGGCAGGAATCTCCTCCTCGGCTTCATCGACCAATTTCCTCCATGTAGGCTCGAACGCCGTGCAGTGCCCACAATACGGGGAGTAGTGCTCGATAAACCAATATCCCTTGGACACCTCCGAGTCAAAGGTGTCGGGTGTGAGTTGGAGCAGCTCTTTGGCGTCTACGGGTAGCCCGAGCGAGGAGACGAAGAACGAGGCGACGAGCGCCGAGAAAAGGTTCGACGAGACCATCATCGCTGTCGCCTTCTGAAGGGTTGTGTGTAGTCGGGGTCCAAACTGCGATTATTATGTTGCGTCAATCCAAATGCCCTCTGAGTCGCTATCCTCCTCGATGTAGCGTCGTTTTCGGTTTTGTTGAGGTTGCCAGCCCTCTGAATTAAGGAAAACCCAGGGAAAAGGGGAGAATAGACTATAGGGAACGACGTGGAGGAGGGCAAGAGTGTAATCAGAGGCGGTGCTGCTGACCGCCGCTGGACCACGACTCCCGCGCGCTGATGGGAGACGGGATTGTTATTTATGTCCTTCAACCACGAATGCCACGACGACGACGACGGCGGTATTCCGTGGATTCAACCCGACGTTTCCTGTTACAATTCTTTGCACTGTGTTATTGGATTTCTCCAGTCGTGTATAGACGAGAATTCCAGGTCAGACGACCACCTTTGGTCGATGCTTTGACCTTGAAGCCCGCTCTTTTCTGTGTCACCATACGCCAATTCAGTCCTGGAAGATAACGCTAATATCAATCCAATGGACATGGAGGCGTTAAGGAGGACCCAGCCACTGCTCGAGGCCGCCATCAGGGGCGGTGCCGACGACGAGCACGCGTCTTCAGACGCGGTACTATTCCTTACTTTTTACCATCGACACACCAAACTCTCAAACCTGCAGTGAAAGGTTAACGAGATATACAGGTTCTATAGTATCCCAGCCAACATGCCGTCTCCACATCCATGGCAGTACCGTACCACCGAGTCCAATCTCCATAACCTCAACCACAGGGCGCTTATCTAGCTTTCTTCTGAACCACCACCACCCTCCCACTCCGGTATTCCATACCCACAGGTTTTCTCAAGAACTGGCCTGATTTCGCATACGACCCACATACGACGAGGAACCAGCATCCATCCGACCAGAAACCACCACTACGGCGCGAACCAACGTCCAACGAGAACCAAAACCTCATCTGCGACCCATGGACGGCTTCACCTTCCCGCACTTCCCACCCACAAAATCCTTCGCCCAATTCGCTCTATTCCGGCAAGTCGAAAATGCAGCCCAACTACGCAAGAGGATTATCGAAGCCTCGACGATGGAGGGTGAGAAGGGTGAATCGGAGAGGGAGGCGGTGAATTTTGCGTTTATTGAGGCTAAATTGGTGGGTTGTATTGTATATCTCGTTATCTGGATTTGAGGGACTATGTGCATTCGTATATCTTATCTTTAAAGTCGTTCCTCGTCGTGGGGAGGGTAGTCGACGGCTCTGGACGAATGCTAACAGAACGAAATGAATCCATAGATCACAAGCAGACTGCATCTCCAAACCGCAATTCACCAAGCAATACTAGCCTTCACCCAAGACGCCCTCAAAACGAAATACGTCCACTCCGAGATCCTGTTCGCTCTAAACCCAACGAACAATGTACGCTCTCGCCATGTTCCCGACTGCCCTTCATATACGATCTCGCTTCACAGATCACAGAAGCCATCCGCCGCTATGGCGTCTCAGACACCACAACCGACATGATCGTCGTCCGCGTAGGCGACGTAGCCCTCCCACCCTCCAATGCACAAGAACTCATGAAAGACGTCGTCATCGGGCACATCGTACCCTTCTCTGAACTCGAGGAGATAACCGATTGGGCGGCTATCAAGAAAGTGCGTTTCTTATCTATTTTGTGTTTGATTCGTGGATGTGTCCGTGTTCCAGGTAGACTGACAGTCGTTTGTAGTACTACAAACTCAACTCGGAACCGGCGATCAAGGCTCTCAAAGGTGCAGAGGAGCGTACCGCGATTGATAAGATTGTGGTTAGCACCGTCGCAATGAAGAGCGTCATGCAGTAATCTCCCCCAACCCGAAGATACTTAGTACCAATGAATAATAGAACTGAATCGAAAAAAAAAACAACAAATGCAAAAAATACAACGTCCCTAGCTATAAGCTCAAGACAAAAGGCAATCATGACTTCTTCTTATCATCCTCTTCCTCCTCCTGCATACTCATCTCGATAGCCCTAGCAATAGCCGCATCTTCGTCCTCCTCTTCATCCTCCATCTCCACATCCTTCTGTTCGGACATGGCTAGTGCTTTAGCGAGCTCGGGGTCCATCTCCGTGTCTTCGTCTGCCGTGGATGAAGCTGCAGCCGTAGCGGCAGCAGCAGCACCGGCGGCAGCACCACCAGCGGCGGCAGCCGCAGGCGCAGATGATGAAGATGACTGAGCTTGAGCATTTGACGAAGACGCAGCAGCCGTCTCCGCCGCCTCGCGTGCTTGCGCTTCTTGCATCGATAGTCGTAGAGCCTACCACCACATCCATTAGTCACAGTCTCAAAGGGAAAGGGAGAGACATACCATTGCAAGCTCAGGATCCAAACTGGGATCAACGCCGAATTCAAAGTCGCCTCCGGACCCACCTGCGCCTCCTGACCCGCCAGGTGCACCGTCCTCGCCCATCCGCAGTTCTTCGGGTATCAGTGCACCTCTGTCCGCTGCGAGGACGGAGGAGGACATGATGCAGTCGGAGAGGAGCGCTGAGCCTGGGGGGATCGTTACCATATGCCTGTCCAACACCCGTTAGCTCCTGCCTCCAAAATATAATGATAAGGGAGGAAACGCACGAATTATCATTACTATTAACAGTCTCCACAAACGTCTTCAAAACACTCCTTCCACCCTCACCCAACCCCTGCCCCTCCTCCTCAATCCCATCCCCAAAACAAATCATATCCACCGCCACATTATTCTTCTTCAACTTCTTCGCGAGACGGATCATGGCCTTTTCGTCCGCTGCTTCACCTTGCAGGGGGGAGCCGACGAAGACCATGATGCGCTGGCGGAGGTTCTTGTTTTCGCGGTGTTTGAGGGCGAGTTGGGCGACGGCGATGGCGGTGGGGATGTCGATTTCGCCCCCGATTTTGAGGGAGGCGCGGTGCAGGCCTTGCAGGACTTGGCCGAGGTCTTTGGTGTTGGTTACTAGGACTTCGGGGCTGCCAGTGCATCGTTCCAATGCCAAATCCGAGTCCGCAATCCAATCCCAGGACCGATGAAAGACGCAATACAAAACACAGAGTCCATAGTCAGATCACACTCCCCCTTCCAACTCATAAACCTCCAAAAGACTCACCCAGGTCCAGCCATCGTCATAACCCCAATCGTACTCTCCGGATTCGAATCAGTCTTGGTCTGGAAAATGACATTCACAGCGTCCGACTGGGCTTCGAAGCGTGTAGGCTGGTAGTCCCCGTTCCGCATGTACTCGGAATTGTCGATTATCATCATCGTCGCTTCTAACGGCATCTTGAGCTATGTTTGAGGTATAGGTGTGTGTTGGTCGTAAGGTATGAGTGAGATGAAAGGGATAAGGGATGGAGATTAGGGGAGTGCAAAGGGAGTGTGATTTTGATGAGGCGTAATCGACTCTTGGGCTGACGCGTCGAACGCGGTGTTTGCTCCTATTTTGGAAACGGATCTGCGCGCCGCGTCGGGAAGAGAGATAGGGGCTCAAGAAAGTCGAAGTTCAGCAGGAGTTCCTCTCCGTGTGTACCGTATGTATTACAAGGTCTCTCCAAGAATATCGATCATAAGCAGAAAAAGAAGTTTATTTGGTAACACGTATGCATCAGAACAAAAGTCAGGACTACATAATCTCAAGCCCAAACCCAGCATATCGTACAACTACAAAGTTTCGAAGTCCATATACCCTCCCAGTATAGATACACGCAAAGCCCTATTCACACACAACTCCCTAACCTAACTTACACATTCTCCTCTCCACCAGCCTCCTCCATCCTAACCCAACACCCACCCATAACCGACATCGTCAAATAACTCTTAATCCTCACCCCATCCACGCCCTTCGGGCCCGCACTCCCCCTCCACCTCGCTGGCGGCCTCGACCACACCGGCTGCGCCTCGGGAACATGCTCAATCCTCTTAAACTGCTGCAACAGCCTGATAAGGAAGAAGGACGTCTCGTGGTAGGCGAATTGCTGCCCCAGGCAGATGCGCGGCCCGGCGTTGAAGGGGAGGAAGATGAAGGGGTTGGGGGTAAGGTAGGTTTTGACCCGGGAGTCGAGGAAGCGGTCGGGGTCGAATTTGTCGGCTGTGGGAGTGGGGTTAGGGGGATTGTTGCGTTGTGGAGGGAGGGGGACGTACCGTCGGGACCCCAGAGGTCTTTGCGTCTGTGCATGAGGAAGACGCTATATGCGAATCTGAGGAAGGTTAGAAACTGTAGTGGAGTGAAGAGTAGGGAATGCGTACTTGGTATTGGCAGGGACGTAATGATCCACGCCTCCATTCTTTGAGCGAAGAACGACGGGTCTGTTCGAAGTCCTTGAGGTATCTCGTTAGCCAGTTGTGGAGTTATGCAACAGGGCAGGCACTCACCGAACATTGAAAGGCACAGCAGGATAGAGACGAAGTGTCTCGTTGATCACGGCACGGAGGTACTTCATGTCCTTCATATCGTCGAACGTGGGTCTTCGGGTTTCACCCACGACTTCGAGGATTTCTTGACGAAGACGGGCCAGGACGTCTGGATGCTGAGAGAGCATGTACACGGACCAGGTAATACTGTTCGTGGTCTACGGAACGGGGTGTAAGAGTCAGATTAAACGCAGAAGAACTGGGATGCACATACCGTATCACGCCCAGCAAGGAGGATATTCAAAGTTTCATCTCTCAAAACCTTCTCATCTACAAAGTTAACCCCAACTCAGTCCATCTTCCAAGACAACTACGCAAACCCCAAAACTCACCATCCGTATAATTAACCAAATGATCCAACAAACTCTCATTCTCCTTAACCTCCCTCTCCCCCCCAACACCCACCTTCTCCCCCACCACTCCCCCACTCTCCCTCTTCCTCTGCACCGCCGCCGCCAAAATAGGATCAATAAACTTGTTTATAGTCACCATCTCCTTCTTGACCCTATCGCGCCAAAACTCTGCCAAAGGCCAGTTCACGCCCATGCGGCTTCGGATGGCGGTGAGCCGTTGGGCTTCGTCGAAAGCGAGAGCGAATTTGTTGGCGGGGTGGGTGGAGGCGGCGAGGGAGGTTGAGGCGTGCAAGGGTGAGTCGTGTGGGTAGGGGAGGCCTGCAGCGAGGGATTGGACGTCTTTGGCGAAGAGGAATTCGGTGGCGGAGTCCATTGTGAAGCGCGAGGCGAGGTCCTGGTAGGTGAGGCGTTAGAATCAGTGCATCGAGGGCTTTAACGTTGTTCGAGGCTTACTTGGATGTCGACTGCGTATCCTTCGCGGAGACGCGCCTTGAGTTGGTTGAGCGCGTCGGTGGCGTGTCGGTCGAAGATGTCAAAGTGGCTGATTCGGTCCCTCGTGAAGAAGGGTCGCGTCATGGCTCGGTGGAATCTGCGAGCGATCATGCGTTCCAGGAATTATCGAATTAAGAGGAGTCTGCAGAGACGTACCTCCACATATCCCCGTCCGAGTTGAAGACACCCGTTCCTAGGATGGATCCCATGAACCTCTGGAAATTCGGGCCTAAGGGTCGCGTTTATTTTTAGCGACATACTCTCGAAGGGCACGTAGGGAACCAAATGCACCTTTCTCGAAGCTCTCGAACTGGGTAGCGAGGATCGCCTTGATATGATCCGGTTCGACGGTGAAGAACTGTGTATCGGAAGATCAGTGTGATGAGACACACATACGGCGATGGATCGAAACATACCCTATCTTCGCCCAAGATCTTGAAGTTGACGATATTCCCGTATTCCTTGACCCAGTCTTCGAACAGTTCACCTAAGCAGATCGTCAGCGTTTCCCTCCTACGAGATGCGAGGGAGGTACAACTCACCAGGATACCCATTCTCGAAATTGTCCAAGGTAGCCCTCAACAACCCCACTCCTCCCGGTAAAGGATCATAAATCTGCGGAGGCAACACAGCACCATTCCTCGCAGCATCTCGTCTGTCTTTCAAACCCTTCAGCAGAGCTTTGCCGACGAAAGCTACCGGTAGCGATAAAGCCGAGGCGAGTACGACAGCCCAAACGGGGATGGCAGATTCGACGACTCCATCGAGCAAGTCAAAGTGGTATATCAGTTTGGTGGAAGCGAGGACTGTGGCGGGTGGGATGGCGAGGGAGGGGAGGTGTTGGATGAGGTAGAGGAGGCCTGGGGGGAGGTCGACCATTGTCGATGATGGTGGGAGTTGGGTGGAGAGTCTAAGTCTCGGTTAGGGGCTCAATGTCGCGTCGGGTTGCCAGAAGTGTCTAGTTATTTAAGCGATTTCGGCTGTGTGCCCGCAGGAGACTGGAAGTGGGTGGTGAAACAACGGGAGAAAAGAAGAGATGGAGCAGAGTCCTAGAACCAGAAGAGAGCTATTTGAAGGGTCTAAGCGATCGTGAGACGTGGGTGGTGTTCATGTGCGCGGGGATGGATGTTGTCACAAGGTACACCCAGACCTGTCGAAAAGGAAATGTAACCGGCGGCCACGATGATGATGACATATCCTCAGTTATTTCAACAAGACACATGGTGCACCCGACGTCCGTGCGGGGTTGGCCAATCACTTTCCGGTATTTGTGCGAGTTCTGACTGGAAAGGTTTTCTTTTCGTTCGAGAAGAGGATTAGGCGGCGTTTGGACGTTGCTCGTCGCCAGCGTGAATTCCAGGCCTCTCTGGGTTGACTTCCACGAGTGTGAGAGGAGAGGGTGGAAGAGGAGGGGTGGGACAAGTGCCGTCGGTTACGCGGAAGTGGGGACGGGGTCACAGTTCTATTCTTGTATAGGATCATGTCTATCCGATCATGTAGGCCTTGCTGAGTTGAGAACACAATGAGAGAACGCAAGAAGGGTCGGCGACGGGCTTTCAGATGACCAGCTGGCTATAAGTATCCATGTCTTTCCGTACACCCGTCCCTTTCGTTTACACGGAAGTCACTTTATCTCAAGTATACACAGTGTGGTGAGTGGTCAACGTGCAACCGTCCTTTGCGTTAGCCACGTACAGCGTATCACTGACAGCCATGGTGTGGTGCACTTCTAGCACTTTCTGGCGACGTGCTGCGCGACAATTCAAACTCGGGATCTTTGTCTTGGAATGTGGTGGGAGGAAATTGATACTTCAGCTTTCAGAAAGTGCTCTCAAGCTCTCCACCACTTGGCCTTTGACTCGACAGAATGAAGGACTTTGAGCAAAGTGAGCTCGAGTCGCCCCTATCGCCTCACAGGCCTCGGCAAAGGGCCGAAAGAGGACGCCCGCACAGCCTTTGTCACGTGACTGTGAGCAAAGGCCTGCCCTAACGCAATCGGATAAGGCGCGAGGATGGACAAAACCGATTCCCCCTCAACCCAACACCTCTCATAAATCTCTTGAGAGCAACCGTCAGGTAATGTCCACTTCATCGTCCTCGTCGTCGTCCGCGACGTCCGCAGCCTCTAGATCGCAGTGCTGACCCGCAGTTCTCTCCGTGCCTCGCGATCTTCCCATCTGCTGCGGATTACCTGGCGCCATATATAACCTTCGTCGACATCGATCTCGACATCACCGCCCGCCCTACAGCTCTATCAACCACCAGTTTTCTTCCTTTATCCCACTTAACGAATAATCACCATGGAGGACGAAGTCGCTGCTCTCGTACGTGCACAGTGGACTCTGATGTGTTGGCAGCGGCTGAGACGGGTGATCTAGGTTATTGACAACGGCTCCGGCATGTGCAAGGCTGGCTGTACGTGTTTTACTTTACTTTCTGCAGCGATGGCGCGCTAACTTGTCTTTCTACAGTTGCTGGTAATTGAAATCTCGTTGAATCGCGTAGGTTTAGGTCGCTGACGTGGATCGCAGGTGACGATGCCCCTCGTGCCGTTTTCCCGTAAGTGACCGCTCCTTGGGCGATCTCCACGTTTCTCATGGATTGCGGATAGATCTATTGTTGGTCGCCCTCGTCACCAGGGTGTCATGGTTGGAATGGGCCAGAAGGACTCTTATGTCGGGTACGTCGATCCACTGTTATCGCTGGCATCGGGCTGACAGGTCCGCCAGTGATGAGGCCCAGTCCAAGCGTGGTATCCTCACCTTGAAGTACCCCATCGAGCACGGTATCGTCACCAACTGGGATGACATGGAGAAGATCTGGCACCACACCTTCTACAACGAACTCCGTGTCGCCCCTGAGGAGCACCCCGTCCTTTTGACCGAGGCTCCCCTCAACCCCAAGGCTAACCGAGAGAAGATGACTCAAATCATGTTCGAGACCTTCAACGCCCCCGCCTTCTACGTCGCCATCCAGGCCGTCCTCTCTCTGTACGCCTCCGGTCGTACCACTGGTATCGTCCTCGATTCCGGTGATGGTGTCACCCACACCGTCCCCATCTACGAAGGTTTCGCTCTCCCCCACGCCATCCTTCGTCTCGATCTCGCTGGTCGTGATTTGACCGACTACTTGATCAAGTGCTTGGGTGAGCGTGGCTACCCCTTCACCACCACCGCCGAGCGAGAGATCGTCCGTGACATCAAGGAGAAGCTTTGCTATGTTGCTCTCGACTTCGAGCAGGAGATGCAAACCGCTGCTCAGTCTTCTTCCCTCGAGAAGTCCTACGAGCTTCCTGACGGCCAGGTCATCACCATCGGTAACGAGCGGTATGTTACATTGATATCTGTATCGATGACAATTATCTGACGCGATGTGTCTCAGATTCCGTGCCCCCGAGGCTCTCTTCCAACCCGCCTTCCTCGGTCTCGAAGCTGCCGGTATCCACGAAACCACCTACAACTCCATCTTCAAGTGCGATCTCGATATTCGTCGAGACTTGTACGGAAACGTTGTCCTCTCTGGTGGTACCACTATGTTCTCTGGTATCGCTGATCGTATGCAGAAGGAGTTGCTCGCCCTCTCTCCTGCAAGCATGAGGGTCCGTGCACTTGGATCTTGGCTTGCATCGTTGAATGCTGACATATGTTTTTTGCCCCATTTAGGTCAAGATCGTTGCCCCTCTCGAGCGTAAATACTCCGTCTGGATCGGTGGTTCCATCTTGGCATCGCTCAGCACCTTCCAAAACCTCTGGTGTTCCAAGCAGGAGTACGACGAGTCGGGTCCTGGCATTGTTCACCGCAGTACGTCTCCTTTGGTGTATCTTGCAAATCGTGTACTCACACCCTCGCCTTTCAGAATGCTTCTAAACGACCTCCTTACGACCCTTTGCAAACTACTATCACGATAATGTTGGGTGTGTGGGCTGAAGGCTGCAAAGGTTGCTTTAGCGAGATTTGGGCGTTGTTGTTGGGTATTACGACGATGTTCAGCCTCTCGATCGGAGTAGTATCTTTGTAGATCGTCATTGCTTGCGTGCTGTTTTTGTTTCCCTCTCTTCCGCGAAGAAGTTACACATATAATCCGTCTTTTTTTCTTTTTCTACTTTTTCGAGATTCAATTTGAGATATAAAGCGGCAATGAATATAGTTAGTATTTGGACGATTCTTGTTAGGTGGAGGATGAGACTTCGATGACGAGGATCCGGCGTTCCGAGTGCCCTTTGAAGATCAGAATGTGGTAGGGAGGCGTGAAGACGCGCGGTCGGTACGTTCTCACTAGTATCCCTGCTATGTGGATTGGGCATCTGACACGTTCGAACAGGACTGGGTGGCTTCGAAAAGTCGACATTCGCATCGATCCGATAGTTGGGGGCAGAGATCTGTCATTACTTTTCATTTCCTTTGACTTGGCGAGGACGGTGGAAGTCTCTCGGGGACTAGATATCGATGGATTATTGCCTTCCAGCTCGGGAGGAGGATCTCCTTGCCTTTCTCGATATTGGGTTCCGAATCTCGAAGGTTATGCTCCCGGCTTGTAGCAGAGAACTGACCGCTGAGCCTTTGTCCCGGACAAGCTCGCGATCCCTTTCAGAACTGCGAGCCTGTGAGTGGCTACTTTGGTGACTGGGTTCCCAAGTCATCGCCTTTCATAAATAGCGTGTCCGTTTCAATGGGCTCAGCCACAGCCGTTGTTGCTTCACCTTCAACTTGAAAGGGGTTGCCGCTTAACTCACCCTGCTTTAGGCGGATTGTATGGAGGAGGGTCGCCTTTGTGGTTTTTCGAGGTTTGGCACTTTAACGACCTGTGGCTTGGTTGAATGGCTGCAATGCCCTAACGCCGCCTTGTGGCCTGCCACCCTTTGAAGTCAAATTTGTATTTAAAAGGAGGTGGAGCTTGAAGGTGAGCCTAATCCATGTCTAGTTTCGATATGTCGTCCAAGGCGGGTTCGATGTCGGAGGATTTGAAGTTGTTCGAGGTACGTCGTGTCGACTCTTCATCCTGGATGAATGCTCATGGCTTCTGTTGTATAGCTCGGTCTACCCGACCAGACCATCGCACTCGCAATATCCTTCGGTTCCCTCTCCACCTCCGAGTCCGAACGCGTTCTGGCGTACAAAGAAGAATGCAAAGCTCAGATTATCGCTCTCGCTCAGTCGGTCAAGTTCAAATGAGAGCCAATAGAAGACGAATCCGGCGCTCTCCCCAAGGTGATCCTCCTGGACGCAGCCACATACGACGAATACCGAAAAATCCAGCGGCGAATGCAAGTCTGCGATGCGCTCCTTTCTGATATTCGGTCCCTCCCTTCGGATATCCTCGACGAAATCTTGACGCACTTTTTATGGACTCCGCCCGTAGAACCCTGGTCTGGGACCTTTCAAACCAGGCAGCACAAGGATGAGGGGGTCATCCAGGCTCACCGACGCGACATATTTCGACAAGTATGTCGTCCTTGGGACGTAGCAGCCCTGTCGAATCTTGAGCATTGGTTGCCGATGAAGATCGAGTGGTGCTCTGATAAGTTGAGGAGGCAGGCTGTCGATGCTCCTTCGGCAGGTGGATCGTCCCGGCTCCGTGGAGGACAACGACGCTTCCCTTTCTTCGACCGTCGACTGGAATCCGCGTATTTATCCAAGCTTGACTTGTTCGACGCTCTGGCGTACCCGTGGAGCCTACTCTTGCATGTCATGGTTATGACCTTTCTTACCCTTTCTACTTGGCTGGATCTGATGGAAGCGTGTATCTCCCTCGAGCGGGGTAGTGTTTCAGCATCAATGACGATGGACGACGAGAGGCGTCTGCGGATGAAGAGAACAGGGTCTGGGAGATCAACCAACCGTATCTCACCCACTTGGTCATCTACTCCTCGTCTCGATTCGACATTCCGACAAACCCACGCTGGCCGTCTTTGAAGACGTTCAAATTGATATTACCGATGTTCGAATATATGCAGACGCTGCAGTTTGGATGGCATGGGGCGATACAGAGCTTCAACATGGCAACGTTGGACAGCTTTCGTCATCTGAACCACTTGACTCTCGACGGGGACATTCAGACGGGCAGGTTTGCGACGGAGATTGTTCCGTTCTTGGAGGCTGCCCCCCAGCTCACGGAGTTGTTCTTGCGCCTTCTCTGCCAGGATAACGACGAGGTTGTTCGGTCCCTGGTCTGAGATTGCGGCTCAGGCCCTCCTGGCTGTGGTGTCGTCTGTCTCCCTGGTGTGACTCCCCGTCGGCTGTTGCCAAACCTTGAAGCTCTTGGCTTTTACTTCCACCGAAACGAGTTTGAGTTCTGCGAGAGGTTTATTCCTGCTGACGCATTGGTCGCCTTGGTCGAGTCTCGGCACCGAGCCATTGTCAACGACACCTCTGTTGAATACAAGCAATGCTCTCCCCTACAAAGCCTGGTCATCCGACTGGAGCACAGCCTACAAGAAGAGACCCGACTCCAACTCCAGATCGCCCCATCCAGACTCAGGGCACGGCTCGCACCGTACACTGAGGATGCCAATTCTCTCCTTACATCTGGGTCTGGAAAAGAGGTGTCTGGACATCGAATCAAACTATCAGTTGTTCCGACGTTGCAGGATGAACGAAGATGGGGTGGGAATGATGGAGCGTATTTCGACCATTGGGACGATGGGTTCCTTGACTTTACTGAGAATGGGCCTGCGTACTCTCCATTCGCGGTCTTGGAGCAGTCTGAAGCTGGGAAGCATGATTTTATGATTTCCCCTTCGTATTGGTCTCGAAATGGATGGGTGTGGTTCGTCGGATATCGATGTTCACAAGTCAAAATGGGTCCTCAGAGACGTTAGGTACCTGAATGGTAGACAAGCGCTGGCGGTAAGGTAGCTTCATGTGAAGGGACATTCACAACAACTATGTTAGTCTAAGATAGGTATAAATGACGGGATTCTCTGTGCCGTGGATTCAAAAGCCCTCTGGGCGCTTGAATTTTCAGATATTTTCAAGCGGAGACTGAACCCATTTCCCGATGTGGACCGGCGACAAATCTCCACGTGTTAGCCGCCAACTACGACAACCGACGCGCCCATTTCTTTCGCCCCTCCTCAGCGCGACTGTGATAAGCTCAAATGCGACGCGTTACCCGCTCTGTAACCCGAAACCAACCCATTCCAGGGATCCCGACCGTCGACATCCCTCCCGAACTCATTTCCATGATCGTCGACTATTTGGAAGACGACAGGCCCTCCCTCAAGGCTTGTTCCCTCGTGAACAACGCGTGGTCACAGCGTGCTCGAGAGCTTCTGTACAGGGAAGTGTTTCTCGGACCGCCGAAGCCCCACATTCGGTGTAAACAACTCCGCAAGGTCTTTCAGGCCCACCCGCGGCTCGCAAAAGGAACACGAACCCTGGCTATTGTCGAGCGGGCCAAGAGCGTCAAAACCGACTTTGCGGACGGATGGCTAGTATCGTCCAAGGAGATCGCATCTCTCCTCCCCCTATTTACATCCCTGGAGGAGATACAAATAGTGGGCGATCCGGAGTACCTGAATTGGGGCTTGGTTCCTGTGGATACGAGAGAAGCCTTTTTCGACCTATTCTCGCGGCCACATGTCAAGACGATCATCCTGGACGGTATCTTCAACATGCAGATCACCCCGTTGGTTTTCCTTCCTCACCTCGAAGTCCTTGAAATACGCCAAGTGGAGGTATACAGAGGGGAGGAAGACGCGTTCCTACCACTCAACAAACCTTCCCGGATTGACGCCGGAAAGGTGAAGGGCCTGAGGGCTCTTGATGTGTGCGACTCCCCAACGGCCTTGGATGTCTTCTTCAAGTGTCTGGAAGTTGCTGGTCCCGATCCCCGTCCCGATGGGTCGCGAGCCGCGGTCCTGGATCTACAGCGTTTGGAAGAACTTTGGCTCTGTACTACCAAGGACGAAGAAACATACCCTGGGTTCGAAACGGTGGCAGTGGCCACCCTGAAAAACTGCTCCAACGTAACCTTTTATAGCCTCACTCTCGATCACGGATTCTCTCCCACTGTCTTCGAGGTGAACGGTTTCCGCAACCTCACCACTTTCTGCATCCATTTTACGATTGACATGATCCATATATGGTCCTGGAATGATGGTGAAGGTGGAAAGATCCTTGAAGGCCTTGAAGCCTTGTCCGTACACCCTTCGCCGCCGCCCCTCCAACGATTCGGACTGATGATAGAGTCTATGGACCCGAAGGAAACGGGCATTGATTTCGACACCCATGTGCGCAATTCATTCGTACACCGCACCGTCTGGCTCCGCCACGCTGCCCATGCGTTGGCAAAGTTCCCAAAGCTGCAGAGCGTCTATGTCATGCTGGAAGTCTCCGCAACCGGCACTGTTCTCCCGCCTGAAACGTGGCGTGACTTTGTTAGGGAAGTGGAGGGCCAGTTATCGCCTATCACGAGCGGAAAGAGCGTGACCTCGTTGGTGATGTCTCAGTGCGTAGTCTCTCTCGTAGATTGGCTGTATCATTCTGATCACACCACAGGATGCAACGAGGTGATGACCATTGGAAAAGATTCGTGGCGTCAAATTAGGCCCGCACTGTAGCTTGATGTTATACGACACTCGATATTTATTGATTCCTCGTGTAGCAATTCCTTTCACTTGGGAATAAAGGCGGCTTTAAACTACCCAGCGTACGCGCTGTGGCGGATCCTTGCTCAACCACTCGTCGTCTTCGAATTGTTGCTCGACCAATATGTAACGCCTCCCATCCCGCCATCTCTCAGGCCCAGTCGCCCAAGCGATGCTTATTCGAGGGGACAAGGTCCCCAGGCGATGGAGTTGCAGAAAGTGTACAGTTCGGTCGTCAAGCTTATGGTCTTTTTAAGCATTGTTTGCGGTAGTTGCGGTAGTTCTGCGGGTAGCGTGAGCACGCACTGCACTAATGTTTGAAGCCGTTCTATGGTTGCTTTCAGCGAATGCAGGGCTTGGAAGGACCAGGGAGGTAGGCGCGTCAGAAGTTGGGCGTTTATCCACTAGCCGGGGTTGGTAGGGCTCTGAGCCTTTAAAACCGGGCCTTGGTCACAATGTGGAGTGTGGAGGGTGTACAGTGAGCGCAACGATATCAACTTGAACTTCCATGATTGGTATGAGCAGAAACGGAGCCCCGTTTATGGTACGGGCCCGCAGGATAGGGCTGGTATATATGGGGTGAGCGGCTCTAGATCATAGAGATGCGATTTTCATGATGAGACTACAGTTCAGGTAGGAGGTACTCAGTGGGTGGTTTCTGTACCATGTAATGGATGAATTAATCCATGTGAGATGCTGCAAAAAGCTGGCTGGTATTGCAGTTTCTAACACCGGCGCTTGCTTCCTTCGCCTCCTGCCACACTTCCTCCTCAAAAACGGCAAAACGATACGCTCCCTTGAATTCAATTAGGAAATCAAAAAGTTTGACAACAGTGGGATTCGAACCCACGCCCTTTCGGACCAGATACGTGCTTTACGACCTGATTCTGGCGCCTTAGACCACTCGGCCATATTGCCATGCAGCGGAAGGTAATTACGACTTCTATGAGCATACTAAGAGAAGGAGAGCCGCGTGAATGGCATGTGATACCCTGATTCCGCAGTGGTGCGCGCTTATCCTTTCTCTTCCTCACCATCACCACTAGTACAATGGCGCCTGCGCCAAAGCGCCCGGAAGAGCCCTGCGTAGAGGCCCTCCCGACAGCGTTTTCTCCGACGACGTGTCTGAGACGAGGCTTGTGCCCTGTCACCAGCCTCCGAGGCCAGGACGAGACCGTAACCGATAGAGTGCTAGAAAGCCATTCACTCTACTATGAACTACACGCTCCTCCAGGTGTAAAGGAAGGAGAAGCAAAGTTCAGAGTGGTCTTTATTATGGGACTGAACTCCAGTTCATTTGCATGGGTTCCACAAGTAAACTGGTTCACCCAGGCATTGCAAGGCATGTGGAGCTAGCTTTCTGGAACCGTCTCCGTTCTGACTCTTCGTTCCATTGGGCAGATAACCCTGAATCCCCAGGTCCAGCCGAAATTCTCCTGTTCGATAACCGTGGAGTTGGGAACTCTGGTTATCCCAGAGGACCGTACACTACGTCTGGAATGGCAGAGGACGCTATCTGTCTCTTGGATTACATCGGGTGGACGAATGATAGGGAATTACACGTTGTCGGAATCAGCTTGGGAGGAATGATATCCCAAGGTAGGTGTCCATCTTGCTTTTGAAGCCTCTCACTTACCAGACTCCGGTTAGAACTCTCCTACCGAATTCCTCACCGAATCGCGTCATTAACGTTGGCCGTAACTACACCTGGAGGCCATGTCTGGCAGAACCTTCCACCTGTGCGTCCCAACTACCTATGAGCGTGAACTTCTTCTCTCTAACACGACACGTGGAACTCCAGTTCTCTGGCGTACGCTCGCTTGCACGCCTTCTCTTCACACCGGACCCTGTGCAGAAAGTACCTCTCGTTTTGGAGATGCTTTACCCTCCAGAATGGTTAGATTCCAAAGCCGAGGGTGACGACAAAGGGCGCACGAACAGAGAGATCCAAACCGAGGTGAACACGTCTTCCATACATCCCCGACAGCTGGCTGATTCTCAACTCGTCCGGCAGGCCTATCTAGTCCGAGTCTCTCTGACAATACCCCAGCAATTCGTCGGACACATCTCACAGATGGCAGCTGGTCTCACGCATCGCTTCACGCCATCACGCTTGAAGACCATTGCTTCCAAGATACCCAAGGTCAGCCGCCCCCAACATGCTGCATTTTAGTCCGGCGCTTACCAAAACACACAGATCACTATAGTCACAGGCGACGTGGACAACCTTGTAGCTCCAAGGCGGTCTAGAGAACTGGTACAAGGAATGGGACTTACAATTGACGCTGCGGCTTCAAAGCACACCAATCCCCGGGACAACACTCCACGCGAAGCCTCCGAGATCCAAAGGATTGAACTCGTAGAGTGGAAGGAAACCGGTCACGGTATTAACCATCAGCGCGCTGAATGGTTCAATCGACTCTTGGAGAGGACCTTCGAGGAGGGAAGAAGGGTCGTCGAAAAGGAGAAACAAGGCAGTGCCAACGAGAGAGTATATTAGACGAATGATCTCCGCACTCCCCAGTTGAACTGGGACGTTATTTTGGCAGAACTCTGATGCGAATGTCGGTGGTCTCACTCTTGCTGAAAGCTCAGAAAACGCTGCGCAATCCCCTTGTGCCCAATCCGTCTCGCAGAACTCAGAACCTCCCAGTTCGCAAGGTCTATCCGTATCCCTCTCCACCCAAGTGGCACCTCCACAGTGTTTTCGTATGTACCCACCCTCTGCAACCATAGTAAACGTTGTCAGCAACGTTCGCATCCACCCCTTTCAGTAGCAAAGGCTCCACGATCCCAGCACAACCATATTCAGAGGCGAGTGTCAAGGCAGTGGAGCGCTGGTTGCACGATACCACCACAGAGTCAATTCCTGGAACGCGGAGGAGAGCCTGGACGATGGGCAGGTGGCTGCGATACGAGGCGAATAATAGTACTGTCCATCCTCCCTTACCTGCCTGAACGCTCGACGACAAGACTGTATCCTGAACTAGGATGCCGCCATGAGCGCTATTAAATATGCCTGGATGGTGTGAATGGTCCACCATATAGCTCCAGGGAACTGAACGAGTTGCTCGACAACTCCTATATGTCCATAGTGAGAGGTCTCCATAAGCGCTGTCCATCCATCGTGGTCCGTCGCATCGACATCGATTCCATCGGGTTGTTGAGTTGCATAGAACCGCTGGGAGCTGATCCATTGTTGCCTGCGCACCCACCTTTGAGCACCGCTCCGCCATTCTGCGTTAGGAGACGCTCACGCAAGGATGGTCTTCCCGGCACCCGCGTAGCACGAAATTTGAGAATTAGCATCCAAACGATAAGCTTATGGCCACGAGAGCACTTACGCATCCCCATTCCCCGTTCTCGCTGTTGTTCCATTCGCAGTACAAGCAATTGCCAAACACCACGCTCTAGTCTTGCTCACAGCTTTGGTGTGAGCATCTAATTGAATGGCTCTAAAGTTCAACGTTCACCTAAGATCCTAATCGCCTTGTGAAGTGCTTCAATCTTGCAATGGCGGGGTGTCAGCGAGTTGAAATCCATCATATGAAGAACTGAACAATCACCATCGACTGTTTCCTCTCTGGAGTTGTCAATGCACGTCCTGGTGGACGGGGCCAGGGTAACGAGGTGGACTCCGGTGGTGCACATACAATGCCCGCCGTTGATTGTTATATTGCATGGCAGCTGTTTGGGAAAATGAAGCTTGGTGCTTGCTGCTCAGAACATCGACGATGAAGGCTATAATCTGGAGATCAGTATAATGGTAAATCGTCCAACAAATTCAATGTTTACTGACGTGAGCTCGAGGCAGTTTCAGGTGCAGGTTTCTCTTCAAAATCGACAGGCTGGACGTGTCAATCTACGGTTTGAAGGGTCAATGCAAGGTAACTGTGCCGAGTCCATACTCACCCAGAAGGTTAACATCTGCCCCATTGTGGCATCCAGCGGTCCTGGAAGGGCGAACGCCAGTCAGATATGGCCGCCAGCGCTTCGTCGGCGCTGGGCGAGGGGTGGAATCTGATATCAGGGATCAGGGTAAAAGACCAACCCCTTGTCGACCGGGGAAATATTGTCATGACCGCTCGCTGTGCTCAACGATGGTTGGTAGATGTGTGCTGAAGTTGAATGTCATCGAGGAAGGCGATTTCTACAATTTCATCGTTCGAGAGGCGTTATGGACGCCAGGTCCTGGAAGGATGATGGCGGTAGCTGTCAAGTCGCGTCGCGTCTGCGAACGCGCTACGACATTTGGCTTGGCACACGCCCTGACAAAGGCACCAGAGGAAGAAATGTGTATATTGAACGAAGCAAAGCATACTGTACATCTAAACCTTGAATTTATGTGGGCAAATAATACATACGGGCTAGGATACAGCTCTAAAACCCAAACATCATCCCCTCGCCATCCCAATATTTCCTTGGCTCCTTTAGGAAACCCTCCTTCCTCCTTCGAGACCGCTCAGATTCGATGTGGACTCCCAACCCGTCACAGTTCACACCAACTAGAAATTGCAGAGCTTCAAACGTAGGGTTGTCCGCCAACCAGGGCACGTCCTGGAATCGAAGATCGAGTAACTTGAGCTTGTTCATGTCGCCAGGCAGCGTAGGCAGCGATGTCGGCTTGCAACCCTTCCAGGATTCGATCAGTCGTATAACCTCGTCAGTCGGGAACGCCTCTTCGTGTCGGTGGCTTCCGTGGTCTCTCCCGCCTTCAAGGTGGAAGTACAGTTTCAACTTCTCCAGGGCGGGTAGGAAGTACCGTTTCCTCCTCCACCCTGTTCCCTTCTCCCGCTCAATAGGATTGAAGACCCTCCCGTCCCTGTCCTCGTCGATGAAACCACCAACCATCTCCCAAGGGCAGGTCCACATGTCCAGCCTCAAGTATCTCAACCCCATCGCGGCATCCAATACTTTTCCTACAGTCGAATGGAAAGGTAGGTAGCGATGGGTGGGATGGAGGATGGTGAGATGCGTCAGATTCGATGACGCGAATACTGGGATGCTGATAACGTTCCAGGGTTTGCATATGGACATGACAGACATTGCAGGCGTTGTGGAAGGGTCCGACGAAGAGGAAGATCCTGGGATTCTTGTGGCAAGCTTTGCTGATCGAGGAGCCGTATTCGAATTCCACTTCCCCACATCATATCCTACCACACACAGTCTCTTCAACGCTGGAAAGGCGAGGTGGTGATGAATGGGATAGTCGGTTTGAGAGAGCAGGTAGTCGTTGATTGTGAGGTTGGTGAGGGAGGAAAGGTACGTTAGCGGTGGATGAGCGGGAGTTAGAATTGACACCGAAAACGACGCGGTGAAGAATGAAGGCGGTGAGGCGGCGGTCGGAGTTGGTGCTGGTGTTAGAGGCGTGAAAGACCCTTCCTGAGAGGTGAAGCTCGAAAATGGCGAGGAAAAATTGAACCCCCCAAGCCCGAAACCAAAACCAAACCCCTCTTGAACCTTTTCATCCGGTTCGGCGACAAAGAAACATGCGTTCTTGAGTACGCTCTGGGGCATTTGAGTAGTCGCGCAGGTCACAACACATCGCTCAACCACGTTAACCCACTTCGCAACCGTCATGCCCTCTAATAGAAGGCTTTCAGCTTGCTCGAATGGGTACCAGCTCAAACTGGAGTTGCTTGATAGAACGTTGGCAAGCGCCAGTCGCTTGATACGGGGAATATGGTGGAGAGGGGGGATGGGGTGGGTCAACTCGAGCACCGGCGAAATGAGGGAAGCAGAAGAGATGGAGAGCGAGAGAAGGGATGGGAAGTTGAGGTGTGAGAGGTCGGAAGACAGGGAGTGGGACCGGAGAAGGCAGGAAGATGGTTGAGTAGACGAGATAGATAGATGAGTTAGGAATTTGGTGGCAGTGTGCGATTGCAGGAGCGCAGGGAGGTGGAAGATTGGCTGGGGCGATGGAGAAGACGGCAGTGTGTCGATTTCCATCTCGTCAGTGGAGGAAACCATGATCTTCAGACCCCACGGTGCACCCCCTTCAAAACTGGAAATCTTGTCCATCCAAAACTTCAATCCTTTGGCTGAGTGCTCGTGAAGGAAGAGTTGACGCGTCCCATTGTACTGAAATGCCTCCAACTTTGCGTCGCTCCATAACGCGGGGGTGGAAAGTACGAGGTTGCGCCAGAGGGTACAAATCCAGGCAAGGTGGATAGGACGGGGGTGCGCAGCAGCCCAATCGACGGGTGTCGTGAGATACCACGCGAATATCTCCAGAAGTAGCTCCGCAGGTAGTCGATTCACGTTCAAGGCCTAAAACTCTCGTAAGTATGACCACCGACACAGTCTAGGCATATGGCTACACTTACCTTTACTGATTCAAGCATAAGGAGGGAAACGCAGCAAGGAAAGTAAGCTCGGCGTTGCTTGTTCATCTTCAGCCTTTTTATGATAAGCAATGTCGCTCTTCGGTGAGTATAAAGGGTCCAGGCCGACAAAACCATGTTGAACATATAACGCTGGTCCGCTCTCCAACACAGCTCGGTGAATATGGGGCGATCAAATTGTCGCCTAGACGGTCGTGGTATGGTCCCAGAGGTCTACAGTGGCCTCGGGGATCACCTCGGCGACCATACTCCCTCTTTCAAGGCGAGATAGTGCAGGCTGACGATGTTCCTGCCATCCCCTCGCCCTTCGGGCAACACCTATAGCTGGGACTTGGGAGACCTCGGCTTCGGCCTGTTTCCGTTGTAGACAACGGCGTGCGTAGATAGTGCTTCTGTCGTTTATCGCATTGTCGGGGCTATAAAGGCGATTTATGTGGTTTGTGAACGACTTTAGACTGGGAGACACTGAACCAAGGTCGTCTGCGGTCGCGGAACGAGGGTGTCGGAAGTTTCCGGTCCAGTCTGTGGACGCGCACTCGCGCGTTCGAGTCCCAGAGAGAAACATCCTTTTCTATTCTCTTCTCCACCATGCCGACCGTTACACACCATGGAACACGATTCCGTTTCGACTCCAAACCAACGCCACGTTTCTGTTCTTGGTACTTTCCTCTATATGAGGCTAGGAACGCGTTATTCTTCTTTGGCAGAACTAAAATAGCCCAGAGCAGCGCCACGATGAACGTCCAGGTGACCAGAGACCCGTCTGCGGTGGGGCATGGGCGTTTACGAGAAGAAGATTGAGCTCTGACCCCATCCATTGAACATTACCTTCGGTTCTTATGATGGGCGACCCTCACAACTCGCCCAGCGCTGTGGACAACGGATTCAACATGCTGCAAACCGTCATTCAGGGCATGAAACTGGGAAAGGACGGCCTCGAAGACGCCTTTCCTCTGCTAAAACGGTGCTTGGAAGAAGAACAGATCGGTCCAATCCAGAAAAAAATCGCAGAACGCTATCTCATCCAAGCGTTCTTGATTCGCTATGCGTGCTACGGTTGGATTGAGGATTTGAACGAATGTGACACTCTGATCGAAGAGGAAGAAATTGATTCATCTTTGGTGCGTTTTCTTCGCTCTTACTAGAGCTTCTTGCTGATCCATGGCCAGGATGGACTGGAGATTCGCGAATCTCCGGAGATTGAACATGCATCAGCGCTTGTCGATGCAACGCGACGGTCTATCGACACCGTGAAGGTGGAAGAACTTATCCGCACAGTTGGGCAATCCTTGTCAGCGCCCCCTCCAGGCACTGATGTAAAGAGCCCTCAGCTTCACCTTATCCTTGGGCGTGCCTTAGTGCTGCGATACTTCGCACGTGGCGACCACGATGACCTGACCCAGGCAGCGACGCATTTCGAGATCGGTAGAGATCTATGCATTCCCGAAGAATCGTTGCGGTTGGTCTTTGCCTTGGCCAATCGCCATGTTGGCTTCATCAGGTGGACGGAAAGAGGGACTGAGGAGGACGGAGAATTTTTGTCTCGGTGGGAAGAGGAGGTGGGGAATGAGGATAGAGGAGGCACCGCATTCCGAGAGGGAACAATGCTAATGTTGGAGGACGAAACGCGGGCTGACGACGCCATCGATCTTTTGTCCCGATCGTTGAATCACCGCCCACCACCTCATCCTGTCCGTGGGCAATCCATTGGCATGCTGGGCACTGCTCTTCGCAGTCGTTTCGAGAGAGAAGGAAACATGGACGACCTAGAGCACGCCATCCAGCTCAACCGCGAAGCAGTCGCCCTGAGACCCCTACCTCATCCGGAACGCTGCGTCTCACTGAACGACCTTGCGTCCTGTTTGCTCTTACGTTTCCGGCAGTTGGGGGATCTGGACGATTTGAACGCATCCATAAATCTCCGTAGAGATGGGTTGGCTTTGATGGATCTCCATGACCCACGGCGACCATTTTCACTCAACAACCTTGCAGCCGCTATCGCCACTCGCTTCGACCATGAGGGGAACATCGAAGATCTGCACGAGCCCATTGTTCTGTACAAGGAAGCCTTAGAGAGAAGGCCATACCCTCATCCAGACCGGTCTCTATCGCTTACCAATCTGTCCACCTCCCTCTTCACTCGATTCGAACAACTCGGGGACATTGACGATCTCCACCAGTGCATCTCCCTTCAGGAAGAATCGCTGGGACTGACATCACGCGCGGACCCGGATTATTTCTTCTACCTCAACAACCTGTCCGCAATGATATCAACTCGATACGAACACCAGGGGGAAGTCGATGATCTGAAGAAATGTATACAACTTTATCGCCAGTGCCTAGAGGCGACTCCCTCACCGCACCCTAACCGACCATTAATTCTCAACAACTTGGCCAACGCCCTTAGCGATCGGTTCAAACGCGAAGGACAAGTGGACGATCTCAATGAATGCATCTCCCTTCACGAGGAAGCTTTGGAGTCGGTCCCGTGGACACACCCAGAACGGGCATCATCTCTGAACAACCTTGCGAATGCCCTCTCAGATCGCTTCACCCACACAGGGGCCGATGAAGATTTGGACAGGTGTATCTCCCTTCTGCGGGAAGCTCTGACGCTAGAAACCACCGCACATGCGCACCACCTAACGGTGGTGAACAGTCTCGCGACGGCGCTCTTGGTCCGGTTCAAGCACCAAGGCGAATTCAGCGACCTTGACGAAGCCATTTCTCTTTATCGCGAAGCCATATCATCGAATTCCCTCTCTCATGTAGACCGACCTTTCACTCTCAATAACCTCGCAGCTGCCCTCTCCGCACGATTCAAGCATAAGGGTACTTTCCAAGATCTGGATGAAGCTATCGTGCTTCTCCGGGAAGTCTTGCTCCTTCAAACAGAACATAACCCTCGTCGTCCTGAGACGATCCATAGTCTAGCCGGCACTCTATCCAGTCGGTTCAGTTACTACGGTGATTTCAAGGACCTCGAGGAATGCATCTCTCTCCACCGGGAGGTCCTTTCTTCAACTATGCCCACCTACCCCCTTCGATTCTCTACGTTGAATGACCTCGCGGGCGCCCTATTGATCCGCTTCGAGCACTTGGACAACCTACGCGATTTGGAAGAATGCATTACACTCCACCACGAAGCGCTGCAACTGAGGCCTGCCCCGCATCCCGAACGCCCGATCTCCATGATCAATCTAGCAAATGCACTTTCGACGAAATTTGAGAAGACTACAGACTTTGCAGTTCTGGAGGATTGTATCAGCCTCAACGAGCAGGCGCTGTTGCTGATGCCTACTGGTCACCCTCGACGGCCTATTTCCCTCAACAACCTTGCCAACGCCCTTTCCAAAAGGTTTGAGCACAAAGGAACGAGGGAGGATATTAACAGTTGCGTGGAGCTCCTAAGGGAGTCGTTACGGTTGACTACCCCCTCGCATCCTCTTCGCTTCGCCCTCCTGAACAACCTCGGGGGAGCCTTGCGAAAGAGGTTCCACCACTCGGAAATTGGATCTGATTTGGACATGGCTTTCGACTTGTTTAGGGAGGCCGCTGGTTGCGAGGTTGGATCGATGTTGGATCGATTGAAGGTGACGAAGAATTGGGCTTCTTGCGCACGAACATATCGACCGCAGACCCGTTCGGAAATGGACGCTCACCAACACACCGTCGCACTCCTTCCTCGTCTAGCTTCGCTCGACCTCACATTGCAACAGCGTCAAAATGTGTTGGTTCATGCCAAGCAGATCTCCAGTGATGCCGTTCGATGTGCTATTGAACGAGGGGAACTGGAAATGGCCGTTGTTTTCCTAGCTACGGGACGCTCTGTCTTTTGGGCACAGGCGCCTGTTGAACGTCTGAAATCGTCGCAGCCAAGGCTTGCACAAGAGTTCCTTGATGTTTCTCGACAACTGGAAGGTGCAGCGCCCACTTCGAAGATCAATGGCCATGTTTCGTCCAAGGATGCCGGGGACTCTCGCTTCGAATATCTCTGTAGGGAGAGAGAAAGAATCCTAGGGGAGATCAGGAGACTGGACGGATTCCACGGGTTCCTGCAACAACCGTCGTTCCAATCGCTCAGGAAGGCGGCAGACCATGCTACCGGTCCCATCGTGTTTCTGAATGCCAATGGGCGTGGCTGCGATAGCTTGATCATGGACAAAGGGGGCCGGTTGCGACACGTTCCGTTGCCGAAGATCGACCACGATGGGCTGAGCAAGCTGCAGGCTGGGATTCAGAAACTTGCCCAAGGAATAGCGATTGATGGACATGGCGTTGATGAGATAGAGGACTTGGTTAGAGGAGGAGAGGTTCGCCTAAAGATGTCTCGCGTGCCGCATGGAAGAGCGACTTCGATGGATGATGGGTTCAGGACGATTTTGAAGGTGCTCTGGGTCGATGTTGTGCAGCCGATCGTTCGTGCACTCCAGTTGAAGAAGGTACAGTGATTCGCTCTCTCTGGTAGAAACAATGCTCACACGGATACAGGGAGAAGAAGTTACTAGGATTTGGTGGTGTGCTACTGGCCCTTTTGCGTTCCTCCCAATTCATGCTGCCGGGATTTATCCTGCTGACGGAGTTGAAGAAAGTCTCCTCGACTATGCTGTGTCGTCCTACATATTCTCTCCACAAGACCTTCTTTCTCCACCCGCACAAGCGCCCGCTGACTTCAAGCTCCTTGCTGTCATCGAGCCAGAGGGCACGTCTAGCGGAGGGAGACGACTCCCGATGACAGTCCTCGAATTGGAGAACATCCAGAAGCACGTCCCATCCCCAGATCACCTCATCGCCCACATAGGCTCCCGGCGAGAACCAACAAACGTCAAACAAGTCTTGAAGGACATCGAGAATGCTTCCATCGTTCATTTTGGATGTCACGGAATTCAGGATCTGGGCAACGCCCTGGAAAGTTGCTTGCTATTAGGAGACGGGGAGGTGACGATGGCGAGGTTTATTCGGGAATTTCATCACCTTCATAGGTCTGGAGACTCTTTGGCGTACCTTAGCGCATGCGAAACCGCGATGGGTGATAGTGACAGGCCGGATGAGTCGCTTAGTCTCGCGGCTACGATGGTGTACACTGGGTTTCGAGGTGTGGTTGGAACGATGTGGTGAGTCCATTGTGATAACTTTTCAAGACCAACCTTTAATCTGGTAATGTATTGTAGGTCGATTTATGATGTGGATGCTCCCGTCGTCGCGGACTGCTTTTACCGGTATCTCTTCAGGAATGGGAATTCAGCGCCTCCAAGCGCAAGTGATGCGGCTCACGCCCTTCATCTGGCTGTGAAAGAGCTGAGGGAGAAAGGGAGATCTTTTTTCAATTGGGTTCCTTTCGTTCATTTTGGTATCTGACCGGATAAAATCTACTTATATCTCTTCTGTAAACTCGCTAAAATGAACATAGTTGCCGCTTGCAAAACGCACCCCGTCTACACTCTGAATAGGCGCCCAACTGAGTGCCATCTGATGGGTTCGGCATCATCCGGACAGGGGGCGTGATTGGACTTGCCCTCACGCTGAGTCTGACTTGGATCCCACAAAGAAGGACGCCTGGTGCTCCCCTGCATGGACATCTTGGCGTTGTCGAGCGACTGCTTCGAGTCGCGGGCATTCAGGTCAACGTTACAGTCGCGAAGGGGTGGTCACCATTGGCACGGGCTTGTTATCTCGACTACTCCTCCAGTTCGACGGAATCGATGTCAACCTCGCCTGTGGCCACAACTCGACGCCTCTATGTCTGGCGGCGGAGTACGATAAGGAGGGAATTGTCGGGCTGCTACTACAGGCTGATGGAATTGATGTCAACGCTGGCCGATAACGAGGGGGATACCGCCTTGATTATGGCCTCTGCAGATGGCCATGAAGGTATCGTGGAGTTGCTTTTGCAGGTGGAGGGGATACGACTCGACCTCGCCAACAAGGCCGGAGAGACAGCACTGGGCTCCGCGCTGAAGAATGGTCACGAAGCCATCGTTGAACGGCTGTTGAACTTCTAATCAGCTTCCAGCACTCCTTAACCAAATCTCGACTTTCGATTCGTTGGCGCACTACGGTGCATCTCGCCCGCTTGGGCGACAACACGATACCGAGATACCATCTTCCTCCCCTTCGGCGCCAATTCCAATCCATCCCTTGGCTTCCTGGGCAGCATCCGCGTAGCGGCAAGATGGATTGTTGGGTGTTCCGAGTCTTGGCCTACATCACCCATGGTCCAGAAGGACAAACCGACCACCATCTCGACGATGTCAGCCTCCAGCCTACGACCGCAACGTCCTTCCCAGCCTCTTCTTCTTTCATTCATTGACTTAACGTCTCGCTTCTTCCCGTCGCTCAGGCTTTCGCTGTTCATGTTGTCCGTTTAGGGTTGTCCCAGGTTTCGAGGTTATCCTGATGCCTCCAACAGTCGAGGCGTACAACGACTACCTTAAATTTCGATCAGCTCCTCACCTGAAACGCGAAGATGTTATTGCCAGCCACCGGATGCGTACTGTCACGCCAGCCCCCCCTCCCGCGGTCCCCCAAATCTTTCTCGGTCGCCCTTATTATCCATCCTCCCCTTCCCCTACGATGGTGAAGAGAAAGTTGGGTTACTTCGATCCTCAAGGTGTCGGACCAGGGCCTGCGGAACATGTAATGGACGCTCTTCCTGCCAGTCCTCCAAGTGCCGATGTTATATCCTCCAGTGGCGCCACTCCTTCCTCCGCGGAGGAGGCTAGCATCACCTACCCCTCATCGTTTCCAGAAATCAACGCTGCCGCAGCGATCAACGACGGTACGATTCCCAGTCCGCCTCTCCATCCCAACGGCTCCACCCTCGAGCAACAGCAAGACAAGCAATGGCAGAATGACCAGGACCATCGACTCGTTGATCCCAACTTTACGAATGCCACGCCATGGCCGTACCTTGCTTTGGGAGTTATCAGTCTGATTTTGGCGATTGTCCTGGGCTATGCGCTGTGGAATTGTTGGAGGAGTGTGAAGGTAGTTCGGCGAGGAGATGGAGAGAAGGAGGGGAAGGAGGGAGGGCTAAAGATGATGGTTTTAGGAGCTGGCACAGGTTCGAGGTTGAGGGAGGATGACGAGTCGTCTGTGAGTGACTTTCGGTTTGGCTACATCCACGAGGGTGGTCGCTAATGATCTGGTGCTGCTACAGGGTTATATCAAGGACCCAAACAACTCCAATCGTCTTCCCCCGCTCAAATCAACTCATTATCAACCTCACGGTTTGATCGCAACTTCACCTGTCACGCCAACCTCTTCCTCGAGTACCAGGACCCTGCTCTTGTCGTCCTCAAATAGTGCGAGAAAGCATACCTCGTTTTTGGATTTTGGCAATGAGGATTCGTATTACTCTTATTCTGGGCCATACGCCTTTGGGAATCCTCATTATTCTTCGGACTCTCCTGCTCGGAGTGGACGACTAGGAGGGAAACCTGGTGGATTGGCCAGGTTGTCTGCGTGGTGGAACCGGGCGAGCCGAACTGGCGAGAGCAAGAACATTGGAAACACGGTTAGCTTGGCGTCGATGAGGGGTCTCAAGTCGCCTACTGGGACGAATAGCGCGGCTTCGAGCACCACGACTCTTGCCCTCCACAATAGCCACAACCACAACAATCGCACCCCAGTCTCAGCGAATTCGACCTTTGTTGGGAGCAGTGTTCATGGACACAGTGTTAAGGCGATGGGCGACTCGGGCTCCAGAAGGCATTCGGTTATTTTGAATGGGTCGATGTTGAGTCCCAATTCGCTGAGGTCGGGAAATAGCGGTGCGAAAGGTCCACTCGGAGCAGGGGGAGGAGAGGCTCCGATTATCAGTCTCCCGAGTACGTGTTATATTCCGTATACGCCTACGGTCAAGTCTTTAGCAGAGAAGGATACAAAGGGGAGCGGAGGCGGTACGAAGAGGGTGATCGGGCGCTTTTGAAGCTAGAGGGCTAGACGGGCGCTTGTGGAGTGCTTATCAGGATTTAGAGATACCTTTGTGACGTCTTCCGGGCTCCGTACCAGTGTTTCCGTGTTACTTCATATCCCCCGCGTTCGCATGCGCTTGTTCCATTCGTTTGTTCCATTCGTATGTATTTCCTTTCGACCCACCAGGTACGATTTCAAATAGATCTACTCCATTCGCTCCACTTCGTATGGCTTTTAGTCATGTATCAAAAGTACCAGGCCCCAGTGTGAAGTGGACCCCATGGTCTTGTCTTGATTGTGTGGCCTTCCCTTCGGCCCCCGCGTTCACCTTGAGGTTCGTATAGATAATGGTATCAAGTGGTAAGTACGGGTGTATAGAGCCGTTCTAACCGTTCCAATTCACTTTCACGATGACATCTAAGTATAAGGGGCTTACTCTAGAATGTTCAAGGCCGGCCCATCGCGCTTCATTTCCACTGAATGTATGTAGCAATGCCGCTCCGGGTGAGCGGACGTTGACCAGTCTCCAGGCCTCAGTTGGAATTGCCAAGATTATCACAAGGATCGGTGAAACGCCCGGTAAAGCAACCGATGCATCTTTGTTACGAACCACCACGTTGTCCTCGACGTTCCCATCCAGCGAATAGGTGTTTACTTGCCAGCGACGAGGCTTTTGAGGACATAAAAGACGACAACGAGCAACCGCACCTCGCAGTCGGCCGAAGCAATGAGTCAAGCTCTCCATTACCCCGACCCCCGACGTCAGGACGCGTGCCAATACCCGCCTGTAATTTTTTTGCATTCCCGCCATGGCCTTGAGCGCATTGGCGAGCATATGGTTCAAGTTTTTCTTTGACCGGCCCCAGAACGTTGAAGATTTATCCGACGTTATATTTAGCTTCCATCCATATGGTCTGTGGATCCTTGGGGCCCGCAACATGTGGGGGCGAGCTCCATGTGCAGCCACATACGTCCTCACTCCGACGGCAGCGTCTAGGACCAGCTCGAACCAGGGTATGCATTGTGGGGTCTAGTCAATGCGTTTTATGAAGCAGCATTAGAAATACTTCAAAGAACCATCCATATCGCCCCACCTGGTCAAAACTGCCGCGTGCGATTCGCTGAGAAGCCAACCAATCTGCGCAAGTCTCGCGCATCTGTGGAGACGACGCGCCAAGTCTTTCAGGACGGAACTGGGGCGATGTACCTCGTGGATCAATTGGGACCTGGATCCTCGAGACTTCCGTCGTTGCACCGTGCAATTTTGGGAGCAAGGCCAAGTCCGACATGATTGCGGGCATAAGGGCCTAACGGCTTCCTTCTTCGCTCCGAAGATGCCTTAAAAACCTGCATGGGCGAGTCCATGGATTGATCGACCTATTCTTCCCCAACCCCCTTCGTCACTGGTCGACAGCTGGTCGGTCTTCTCTAACCGCCAGTCTTTAGCTCAAGCCTTGGTCATCACCGGACAAGGCTCATCTCGCCAGAAGCATCCACCATGTCGTCGGAGAAGGATATGAAGGTCGACGAGAAGCTCGGCGTCGTGCACGCCCCTTCCATTGACGAGTCGTTGGAGAGCGATCCCAACAAGATCATTGTTGGCTCTGAGGGTGTCACCCAAGGAGAGTTCGACACTCTTCGCCATGTATCAGACTCGTTCCCTTTGGCTGCATGGTTGGTCGTCATCGTTGAATTTGCCGAGCGGTAAGTTACCCATTTTGTGTCGTTCGATCGCTCGAGGCTCATGTTTCCTTCTAGATGGACGTACTACGGTACCGCCAACCTTTTCAACAACTACATTCGTGCTCCTCTCCCTCGAGGTTCTACGACTGGTGCCGTTCTTCCAGAGGATCGGGATTCGGGTATCGCTGGTGCCCTCGGTAAAGGCCAGACCACCTCTTTCTCTATCCGAACAGTACGTGTTCTTTCCAGTCCCCGGAAGTTCTCGATTGACACCCAGCCGTGTTCCAGTTCAACACTTTCTTCGTCTATGTCACCCCCTGGCTTGGAGCCATCATTGCCGACACTATGTGGGGTCGCTACAAGACGATCATGGTCTTCTCTCTCATCTGCCTGGCCGGTCACGTTATTTTGGTTGGTAGTGCTGCTCCAAGTTCCATTGCCAATGGTGATGTTGCGCTCGCCCTCCTTGTCGTCTCGATCGTTATCATCGTACGTTATCCCACCGATTCCGACTGTCTGTCATACTCAATCATATCGTTTCGCGGAACAGGCCATCGGTGCTGGTTCTATCAAGGCCAACGTATCCCCCATGATCGCTGAGCAGTACACTGGCAAGTTCCGAAAGAGTATGTCAAGTTCGGTCACCTCGATATTCATCGGGCTAATATCCCTCTTCAGCGACCCTCAAGTCCGGCGAGGAAGTCATCATCTCGCCCACCGTCACCGTTCAGCGAGTTTACCTTTGGTTCTATGCCGCGATCAACTTCGGTTCTTGCGGTGCCATTTCAGCCTCCTTCATTGCCCGTGATCACGGATACTGGGTTGCATGGCTCGTGCCCACCTTGATCTTCGTCCTTGTCCCTGGTGTTCTGTGGGCCGGAAGGAAGCACTATGTTGTCACTCCCCCTCGTGGTTCCATTCTGTTGGAGGTAAGTTCCTTGCGGTGGTATCGTGCACACGTTTGGCTCATCGCTTTGTGCAGACTATGCGCGTTATCGGTCTCGCCCTGGCACCTGCCTGGTCCGCCAACCCTCTTACGACCATTCGAAACATGAAGAAGCCCGGCTTCTGGGACCCCGCCAAACCCAGCCACTACCCTTCTGGACAGGTTCCCGCCAAGATCACTTGGGATGACGAGTTCGTCGGTGAAGTTGCTCGCACTGTCGATGCATGTGCTGTCTTCCTGTTCCTCCCCTTCTTCTGGCTTTGTGAGTGATTTCGCTGCTACCCATCAAGATTCGAGTTGACCCATTCTCGCCAGGCTACTCCCAGATTGACGGAAACTTGTCCACCACCGCCGCTGGTATGCGATTGGATGGCACCCCCAACGATCTTATCCAGAACTTGAACCCCATCGGTATCATCATCATGGTTCCTTTCTTCGACTTCCTTGTCTACCCCTTCCTCCGTCGCCGCGGTATCGACTTCACTCCCATCAAGCGTATCTTCGCCGGTTTCCTCGTGGCAGGTCTCGCCATGGTTTACGCCTCCGTCCTTCAACACTACATCAACACGGGATCGCCTTGCGACAACAATGAACCCTCTGCCTGTGAAACTGAGTGGGGTACCCCCAACCCTGCCGACATCAGCGTCTGGGTCGTCGCTGGCCCCTACCTCCTCGTCGGCATGTCCGAGATCTTCGCCTCCATCACCAGTTTGGAGTACGCCTACACCAAGGCTCCCGCCCGGATGAAGTCCGTCGTCATGGCCTTCTCCCAGTTCCAGGTCGCCCTCAGCTCTGCCATCAACTTCGCCCTCACCGCCGCCAACGCCGAGAAGCACTTCGTGTGGTTGTACGGAAGCTTCGCCATTGTTGCATGGGTTATCGGAATCATCTTCTACATCACGTACGTTCCTTTCCCTCCTTTCACTCGCAACCACCTTTGCTCACTGACATCCATCTAAAGTTTCCGCAAGGTCGATAAGATGGAGCACAAGCTCAACGCAATCGGCAAAGGCGAGCGTGCTGGTTTCGCCGATGAGCAACCAGCCAACCTCGTCACCAAGTCGTAAACCGAGGGCGTTTGAAACGTTTCTAACGGCTTTAAAATGATTTTGTACGTCTTATACCTTGTGTAACTTGTAGTTTAGTTTTTAAGACTACTGCGAGGGCGCTGGTCATCTTGTCATGATTCCCTGACAATTCCTGTAGTATTAGAATAATTGTATACCATCCGGAGCTTCTTACGAATATAATGATTGAAATGCTCTTACCTTTGGTCTGATTGAAGTCGACGTTTCCGCTTAATTCTTGGCAGGATGGATAGGTGTTATAAATTCTCGAGTAAAGCTACACCTTCTCGAATATGTGCTTCCTCTTGGTAACCCACTCCCTCAGACTGGTCTTCCCAATGTACACCACTGGATCGAGGTGCCTGTGCTCTTCGGAGCCAGCCTGAATGCCCTTGTCGAGATTCCATAACCACTCGATGCATTCCATGTACTCTTCACCGTAGAGTTGGATGTAGAAGTCTTTCATCTCTTTCCAAGTGACGATGTTTGCTTCAATTGGCCGGCCAAGGATGGAACTAAGGAGTTCAGCGATCTACAAGTTGATGGTATATGAGTTCGAGGATTGGTGTAAGTACTGTGCGAAGAGAGTGACGTACATCGGAGAAGCTGTACAGGTCAGGTCCGATGATGAATGGGTCTCGTCGAGCGAATGGGATCTTCTCGTTCACGATAGCTTCGAATGCGACGCGGGCCACATCTTCGGTTGAGACGAAGGGAACACGCCCGGTTGTGATTGCGTTAGTGAGTGTGTCCTTTGTGCGGACCTCTTCGGCGTAATCCGTCTCTAGGTTATCTGTACAAGTTGGTTCTCTGAGCATGAACTTTAAACTTGGTGTGTGGGCTGCTCTAAGAGACTAACCTTGGAACCAGGTCGGCCTCAAAGCCACGTAATCGAATCCGTTGTCTTCAAAGTACCCGGGCAACTCTCCCAGTCCACCCGAGTCATTGTGGCGATCAGCAATGGTAGCACTGAGGTATACGAACCTCTTCACTCCATGCTGCTTAGCCGTCTCGACGAAGGGGATGATCTTGGGTGCTGCGTGCAAGTCGGTAATAGGTGCCATGAGGTAGACCGAGGTAATTGGTTTCTTCAGATTGGACGATGTGAAGGGGTTTGTGAATGTCGACGGGTCGTCCCAGTCGAGCTGGATTGAGGGGAATCCGGCTGGGACCCGCCCTGAGCGGGAGCCGAAGATGACTTCGCGGCCTGCGTCCTTGAGCAAGCGCGCAAGATGAGAACCGACTTTGCTGCCTCCGCCTGTGACTAAGGTTGTCATTGTGGCAAGTATATGGCTTGTGCGTCCACGAAGAGGATGGGGTGGTTAACTGGGGCAGTCGGTTGATGGTCCTGTAGGCTCGGCCACCTGACGACCGTTTTATAGGCAGTGGGCCCTGTAGTCAGCTGCTGCAAGACCCCGTTTTAGTTGAAAGACGTGGTGAAAGTTACCTGGATGGAGATGGGTCGGTGGAAAAGGGTCCCCGTTGGCATAATCGGTCCCCGGTTACTGGGCAAGATGCCCATAGTCCGAGGCCCAAAGGAGAACGTTGGGCGAGGGATCGACTCTGAACCCGACTCCGAGTCGGACATCATCGTTTTCCTGCTTATCGCGACCTCAAGACTTGAATGCGCAATGGATTGTGTGTCTGTGAGCGTAAGAAAGTTCTATTTCTTTCACTTATGTTCCACCATCGGCATGTGGTGGAGATTGGAAGAGCTTACGACATGGACAATGCCTATTTCGGTGACATCTGGGCCACCGCTCACTTCGACTCAGAAGAATTTGATTTCACGGAGACGCCGGTCCTGTTCATGTTTCAGCCAGCCCGATTGGTGTCCCCTTCTAATTATACAATGTATATAGCCTCGCACGTTTGAAGTCCAAGGGTCCTTCCGTTCTCCCTGTCACAGCCCTTGAGTCTACTAGTATACTTGGAACATGACGACAGTTATCACAGGTGGAGGAAATTCGGATCGTTGGATCTCAACTAGCCAAGCTTTATGTGCTCCCAGTCGACGTCGGATCTGACAGGGATGAATTGGCTGAGTGGATGGTAGACATGGACAGGGGCTGTGGAGAAGGGCTCGGAGGAAAGGATTGCGATGCAATGTGGCGTGGTAATAGTAGGGCACACAAGTGTGGAAGAATGGATAACGAAGCACAGTGAGTACTTGTTCACGAAATAGAAATTGGTATCGGAATCAGGTAGTCGGAGGTCGGAGGCCTGCTTGGCCGAATGAATATGTAATGAACGACAGAATACCTCCGTTGGGAACCCGAACTACATATACGGAGTAACAACCTCATTGTCTGTTTATTATTGGATTGGATATGGGAAAGTTGAGCTACCAAGCCCTTCGAGAAGACAATATGATGGAGTCCGCAATGCTATTCGTTTTCTATGTATCAGCTCGTCTATAAAGGTTGTAGTAACCGGCCAGTGTGTGTCGTTTACATCCCATCACCACATCCACCACTTCAAGATAGTATGACAACGCTTATAACTGGAGGCGGAAGCAAAGTGGGCTCCAAGCTTGCCCTTCTACTTGAAGAGGCTGGACGAGCCGTTCTGTTTGGCTCGAGGTCAGGCCGTGTGCCTGAAGGCTTCGACTCCGTCCACCTGGACTGGAATGATCCCTCTACGTTTACCAATCCCTGGTCCTCCTCGCGAACTCCAGAGATTTCTTACGTCTACATCGTCGCTCCTATCACAGATCTCCATCATGCCCCCAAAAACATTCCATTCATTGACCTCGCATTGGAAAAGGGTGTGAAAGTCGGACGTTTCAGTAGTACAAGTGTCCCTGACCAGCATGTCGCAGACAACTTGGAGTCTGACTTTCGAGAAGAAATAGTCAAGCATGGAACAGTGACAACTTGTATTGCACATGGTCGTACCCCTTTCGTCGCTGTGGATGAAATCGCCAAGGTGGCATTCGACGCCATCGTCAACCTCGAGATTCCATTCTTGAGGCGAGACCCGTTGATTCTGGGTCCAGAATTCCTTACTTACCAGGACGTAAGTAACACCGGTTTATAGATTGCTGGTTAACCTGGATTAACCCTTTGCTCTCAAACTCAGGTCGCAAACCTCCTTTCTGAGGTTCTGAAAAAGCGCATCAGCGTCAAACTAATCAGTTTCGACGAAGCGTTGGCGGTTTATCGGGACATGTATGAAGGGTCTGGGCTCGATGAGGTCGCGGAATGGTTGGTTGAACTGGACAAAGGCATCGAAAACGGTTCAGAGGAACGGTACGGGTCCGAGCCAGGAGTGGTACTAGGGAAGGTGACCATGAGAGAATGGGTGGAAAAGAATAGACACCTGTTCGTATAACCGGAACAATATACATACGTTGCCCGAGTCTTTGCGTGCGCATTTTACGCAGCGCCGAGCTGTTTGCGCCAAGTCCTGCAACTCGAACTTGTGGGAAACGACAGACGTCGGGTGGATCATGGAGAGCACGGTACTCTCTCCCGCAAATACCGACAGACTTTGTCAGTAAACGCGCTTTTGTAGGTGGGCGGAACGCTCCTTGAAGCTTAGGGAGCTCACGTTCATCGTCAAGTTTGGAAGGCATTCCGGGAGCTTCACTCACGCTTTGAGGAAGCCTTTTCTCTGCAAAGCGAATCCGGAGCATCACGGCTGGCTTAGGCACCTGGATCGCATCCTCGAATACAACGTCCAGGAGAAAAACACTCTCCTTCAGTTGAGAGCGGTCCACATCATGTTGGAACTCACTCAAAATGAATCCAGGGCCCCAGGAGGCGTTCCATGGCTCGAACATGAATGGAGGCAAAGCTTTCAGGGATCAAGAACATCTCGACTGTAACAACAAAGATTTTCTGGTGAGTCTCTCCTATTCTGTTCTCTTCGCTGCCTTACGTCGTGTGCTAATCAAATCTCCTTTGTCAACTTGGCATTATAGCGTCGAGAAACTTGCAAACGGGGAGATGAAAATCAGGTTGGATCTCGATGACCACCCTCTCCCTCCTCCAGACGGGAGCTCGGACTCAGAAGGCTCCAACGCGCCATCTGAGAACTCACCCACCTCGTCCTCTGTGTACCTATCTCCAACCCCCGAGAGCGTGGAAATCCACTGAATTCGGCTTGTAAATCACTATGTATAGTTTTGTCCCTTTTTAAACACACCGCCTGGGATCAGCGACGATTAGTATATGACATCTCTCTGCATATAGGGACAAGGTGGTGTACACATATACTTCGCACAAACTCTTGACTCTCTCTCGCCGGGGCCGGAGCGCTGAGCAGGCATCATTGTCTGTCGGAAACTATTTCCTTTTTCGTCATTTAACTAGCCCCTGTCAATAGTTTAAATACCTGCACGCCCGAGAAAGTTGGGTCAAACGAGTTTCCTTTCGACAACCACCTGAGCTGAGCATCATGGACAGACCTCAAAGACAAGACCATCGATGTAAGTACACTGAATAGTCAGGGTATCACTTGGGACGCTAACTACCTGGTTGCAACAAGTTGCTCCGACGGCGATCGACTTGCCCCCAAACGCGGCGTTCGATTCGCAGACATGGGAGTGAAGCCACAGAACGCCTTCAACAATCTACCTGGGCGTACCATCTACTGCCGCTCGAGCTGCAACAATCAAACAATGACACCGGGACTCTCAGAAGATCGCGACAAACAAGTTGAAGACAGCCCACCCCCGATAACCGTAGCCACTTCTATTGCCAAAGCCAATGCCAAAAAGTGCATCCTTTCTAGTGCCACCGCAAAAGAGGGCCGGGTCAACAAAAACAGCGGCTACGAGCTTCTCGTTCGCCTTGGGCTGCGGGACGGTGTATTCACTCACCGTGCCAATCCCAATATCACCTTGCAGGCTACCGTTCCGCCCTCTGTCGAGCGCGATGATATGTCCGGTGGCATCACAATTGCCACTTCTACCCAGCCAGCCACCAAGGTTACAGTCACAATTGAGCACGACGAGTAAGGTGTCGAGGGAACTGTGGCAATCGTGACGCGTCTCAAGCCTTCGCCTTCATATCCACTTAGTCCTGCGACCTTCTTTCTCAAAGACATGGCCAACGGCACCGAGAGTGAGCGCGAGTTTGCGCAGGCTGCGATGAACGCCGATCGAGACTTTAACCCTATGGGACACGGTGATCCTGGCAGGTCCTGTACCAACCGCGACCATGATTGTTGACCGAGTGGCGTACGAACGCGACGACCAGAGCTTCCAATCTATCGGGTGCCACTGTTATCGCTCGTCAGTCCTGTATTTCTACATCACACAACCATGTCTCATACCAAATCCTATCAACATGGCTGGCAATACTGTCTGTACTACTTACTATATACCCTGCCAGATACAACTAGGCTCCTATGCATTCAGAGAATCAGTGGAGGATCAACATCGCGAAACGCTTAGAAAGCACGCAAATGACGGGCAATGGCTTCATGTCCCTTGGAGGACGCCTTCATGAGTGCTGTGGATCCTGCCACGTCGACGAGATCGACACGAATACCCTCCGCCAGGAGTAACTGCAAAACAACCCCCTCGTGACCATTGCTCGCGGCCTCCATTAAGGCTGTCCGCTTCTTCTTGTCGGCGTGGTTAACGTTTATCCCCTCCACCTGGAGCAACTGCCGAACAACGTCTTCGTACCCCTTGCTCGCCGCGTCTATCAACGCCGTCCACCCATTCCTATCGATCAAGTTCGCCTGCACACCCTGGGCTTTGAGTAAGGACTGGACGATTGATGCGTGGCCTTTACTCGAGGCCTTCATCAGTGCCGTTCGTTTCTGCGAATCTATGGCATCGACTTGGATTCCGGGAGCTTGGAGTAAAAGTTGAACGATGGAGTGGTAACCCTTGCTCGCGGCCTTCATCAGCGCTGTCCTCCCTCCGTTGCCCGCCAAATTGACATCCACGCCGTTTGTTTGAAGCAGTAGGCGAACGATCTCTTCGTGGCCATTGTTCGAGGCCATCATCAACGCCGTCCAGCCGTTGCTGTCTGCAAGATTGGCTAGAATACCTTGGGCCTGGAGCAAGAGCTTGACGATGCAGATGTGTCCGTTGAGAGACGCCTCCATGAGGGCAGTGACCCCTCTCTTGCTCGCGAGATTGATGTCAATTCCTGGGACTCGAAGAAGGCGCCGCACGGTTGTTTCGTGGCCATTTCCGGCTGCTTTACTGAGGGGTGACCATCCTTTGGCATCCAGGACGTTAACCTGAATGTCGTAGGCCTCCAGCAACAAATCAACCATTGGTTCATCCCCATTGCTCGCCGCCTCCAGTAAAACTGTACGCCCTTGCTTCCCCGCAAGGTTCACCTGAATGCCAGGATGCTGGAGTAACTGTCGAACGATCTTCGTGTTGCCCTTGTGTACGGCCCACATCAGCGGTGTCCACCCCTTGGTGCCAGCCACGTTCACTTGAACACCGTCGAGCTGGAGAAGGCTCTCCACCACCTCCTCGTGATTGTACTCCACCGCTATGGGTAGTGCGGTAGTTGCGACTGCACCGGTCGTTTTCGAGTTGATATCCCACACAGCCTCGTCTGTGACCAAAACGTCCGGTAAAAACGAGGCGAGACCGTAACGTGCGATGACATGCAAGGGATTGAGGAATTCAAGAGAGTCGAATTGGCGGTCCCATACAAAGGATGTACACCGCCGGAGGAAATCCAGCACGAACGCGCGGATTGTGGGGCTGCCTTCGCACTTCAGGACATGGGAGCCCCAGTCCCGATGAGCGGTGCGGAGGAGGGGGGACTGAGAGAGAAGGTCTTCGAAGTCTTCTGGCTTTTCTAATCTTCTCGACTCATGCATGTTGACGGATATAAGCCTGTTGACTAGCACCATGGCAATATGTTCATGAGGGTGTGGGTAGGATTCCAGAACGAAACGAGAAAGGCATTCCTTGGCGGTGAAATCTGTTGAATAAGGTGTCAGGCAAGTGGGCTCATGAGAGGTCTGATTGACTGACGGATGAGGCGAACGCAATTACTGGCGTGGTCCACTTCAATGAGGCCACAGCACACGGACAAGATAGTCGACTCATGGACCCATCCATCCTCGTCGAATTGGTGGGTTTCGGGGCATGTTGATAATGCATACTGGAGATCCTTGAGGGATAGCGGTCCTTCGGAAAAGATGACCCAAAGCAGAATACGCTGTGCGAGGGTAACATGTTCGGATGGTTGCGCTTTGATACGTTTCAGGGTTTCGAGGTACATGTCCTCAATCTTGGCAGGAAACTGCTGGAGGCTTGATTTCAAGCTTTTGATAGTTGGACAGCGATGAAGGGCCTCTATTTGAAGGGCTGCGTGGAGAAACCTACAGACCGTTGGTTAGTGGACGGTAAAACGGAATGATTCCAGTAACTTACATCCCCGCCGCCTTGTCGACAATCTGGCGAATGGTTTCTTGCCGATAGCCATGTCGATCCAGGAGTTCCCGAAGACCGATATTGCGATCCAGTCTCTCCATAATCAACAGCTCGATATCCTCCCGCTGAGCACTAATCGTGAAGAACACCGCATACTTGAGCGCTGCACCCAAGTGATCCAGTGGCCGAGAAGTAAGGATAAAGTTTCCCTGGAGTCTGTTAATGGCCTTTATCAAGTCGAACTGGGTATCGTCCTTCGCTTCATCGACGCCATCCAAGCCGTAGTAGCATTTCTCGAAGAAGGTCTCGATCTCGCCAATTAGGGACACCAGCTCCTCATCGGAGGGCTCGGTCTTTTCAAGATCATGTTGCGCGTAGAGAGATGAAATGACTGCGTGGAGGAAGGGGTGTCGTTCGAGGTATTGTTTGATAATTGCTTCCAGTATCTCCCTGGCTGAGAGAGGCTCAGAGTATCGACAGTATACCAAGATGACGCTCGTCTTCTCGTTCTCCAAGAGCAGAAGATCGTGCAGAATGTTGGACCTATAGGCGAGAGTATGTTGAGTACCAGGGCGATTATACATACCAGATATTGTACCCACGTAAGAACTGTTTTTCCTGTACCGGCTGTGCGCTACGATCAGACAATCGACTCAAGAGCCGAAGACAACTCACGCATTCCCATGCCCCAGAGCACACCGCCATCGCTTGCTTTCCATTCACAGTACAGCCGACTTGTGAGAAACCATGCTCCCGTCCCTGCACTCGACTTCCTACGAACATCGAGGTGAATGGCTCTGAAGTTGACCTTGGGCGCCAATCGATTCAATAGCCTCATAACAACCAAATCTGAGCCATCTATCATCAGAACACTTCTAATGGAAGACAAGATCAGTGCATGGCTTACGGTTCGGAGGGCGCCTTTTGCGGTGATGGTGCTGTGTAACATGGCCTTGAGCGGTCGCTGATGGCTCCTGTACTACGCTGGTGAAATTGAAGGTGCCGCTGTGTATAGTAACATGTCGTGCAGTTTCGACGAAGGAGGGTTCCCCCGCACGGCATTCCTCTGGAGCAGGATTGGATTGGAGCAGCTCAAGACTTTCCAAGAAGATCAACGAACGTGGTGGGCGGGAGTTTGTCCCGTTTCCGCTGCGGTTCAAGGGCTGTTGAGCGTCAGTAAAAGACGGACTATAATAACTGTCGTGACTTACGACGAAGGACACCTTTTGTCCCATCCCCGAGTCTCAACCTAGTTGGAAGCGACACTACAGGCGCCCGATAGGGACGAAGCCCCTTGCCTTGCGAGCTAGTTCTGAGCGGGGGTGTGGTGGTGATCGTGGTTCAAGTTCAAGTCGCTATATCTCCCACACACCGCTAACGAAAAGATGGCTGTGATGGCAATGGTGGGTAAGTATGAGTATCAGTGGAAGACGGTGATTTGGCGGATGATATTCATCGTCAGTGACGTTTGTAAGCACAGCTATTCAGAACCATTCAATCAACTCGACGCGGTCAGCTCTGCGAACAGTCACAGAGGCAAATGATGGAGCCCGGCGCGTCGAAAATACGAGACCGATCTGGGCCCGGAGGCACGGGTCTTGAGATGTTTGAAAGTCAAGCCAGAACCTGTCTCTAGAGTGGTGGTGTATTGAAAATTAGTTAATGGATTACATTACTTTCAATGTCCTTGGGGTAAACCATCTATGCCTTGCGTCCTGTCTCCGCCTGCCATTCGCTAATAGCCTTCTGGATTTTCTCCACGACCTCCTCTCCCGTCACGGACTGGCCGAAGGCCTCTACGAATTTGCCGGCAGGGTCCATGAGGTAAACGAATATTGAGTGGTCAACGAGGTAGTCTCCATTGGGATCGGCATTGGGAGGTGTCGAGAAGTAGACGCGGTATTTCTTGCAAATGGCCTTGGTGTCAGCGTAGTCTCCGTAGAGCCCAACGAAGGAAGGATGGAAGTCTTCGAGATAACGGGCAATTCGGTGGGGCAGGTCGCGAGCTGGGTCAACGGTGATGAAAAGCGGAAGGAAAATGTCGCCATGTTCCTTCTCTGAAAGTCGACAGTGCTGAGTAAACACAGTGAGGTCAAGCACGAATTAGAGTTACGTACGGACGGCATTCAGGACCTCTGTCATTTTGTCCAATTCAGCAGGGCAGATATCGGGACAGTTGGTGAACCCGAAGTAGACCAATGACCACTTTCCTTCCATCTCCTTCTCGGTGAATGGTTTGCCTTCGTGGGTTGTTAGCGTGAACGGGCCACCAAGGTTCGGTCGGCCATATTGTCTACTCTGTCGCTCCTTCTCTAGAAGTTGAGTTATAGTCAGATACCCAAAACACTCCAAACAACGGCGACTAACCTCGCTCCTCGAGTAGCCGTGCCTTCTCATGACGGAAGTAGAACCACAGGCCGACTCCTGCAGCCAGGAACAGGGCTGCAGACTTCGGGGTGAATACCTAATGTGATAAATCGATATTTCAGCTAAGAGACTATTTTCCATGCAGCGAAAGGCAGAATACGTACGCCCATGCTATTCCGCTCTCTCATGTCGGAATACGCTCGACGCTGTGGTGGGACGCTGAGACGCTTTGGCGTCGACCAGCTCCCTCTTTCGAGCGTATTTCGCGTCCATAGCGACCTAGACAACGAAATCTGGTTGCGCTGAAGGGAAAAAGGCAAAGATCTACGCAAAAGTGTGGACGACATATTCGACGACCAGAAACCGCGCTTGCCGTTCCGATGTCACGTTTGAAGCGGAGTTGAAACTGCGCTCGAAATCAAGAGCACCGCCACATGACGTCTTTCTCCGAAGGAAACGGGGCCTGCTTTCATCCTTCCCTATTACCATCCAAGGTTGCTCACTAATTTCTCAGGTAATTGCACGAATAGTAACTCTGGTAAGATTATGCGCGCTGCGAATGTGATTCACGAGTATTTCTTTCGCTCGAGTTGGACTGCCGGGGTGAGACATATTGCAAATCATCAGCTCTCGCATCGTCTCAATTTCTGGTCTTGCTTTGCGTGAAACTAGATTTGGTGAGCGATACATCGCAACCCCGTTTCCCGTTCATTAACTAACTGAATTCTACAGGGCCTCTTTGGCGGTCACTTCCTTCACTACGTAACTGGGGAATTGCAGCGCAAAGCTGAAACGAGTATAACCTACATGCAGTACTTCAATTTGGCACGTGTAGTGTGGACCTTTCGCAAGAGTGTGCTTAATGCTCAAACCTCTAAACCTCTTCAAGCACTGATGGCGGTGAATCCGCGTAGCGTGTATGAAGTTACTGTCGAAAGTCAAAACATTACCATCTCGATTGGAAAATGCTTACTGCACCTGTAGGAGAGAATTCAGGGCATCTGCGAATACCCTGCTACGAATAATGTTAGTTGACTACTTATCGTCAGTCCTTTTTTTAACAATCTGTGCGCCCGATTGTCGCAGAAACTCTAGGCAGGGTGAAGAACGACGCTTGATGGGCATTGAATCTCCGGATGGGAGTCACAGCAGTCCGCGGAAAGCGGGGGTCGCGATTCCGAAGTGAGTGCTTCGATTGGTCGTTACGAAAGGCACGGTGAGTACTTTGCAGGTATTGCCCAATTCCACACTGAAAACTGGTGGCCCTGCTTATCTTCTGGCAGAGAGCCGCAACGCTATTCCAACATTCTCAGCCTGCGATCCCCGTTGCTAGACCGGCCACAGAAGTAGTGAACGTGCTTTGAATAGAAGGTTTTACATTACTTTTACACGGAAAATCGAGCAGCGTTAGGATCACCTCAACCAACGATTACGTGCGCTTTTTCTTCTTTTTCTTCGGATTGCTGTCATCGTGTTTTGGCGCAGCCTTAATCGCACCAAACACAGCAGCCAAGGACGGGTCTTCACCCGAGGACTTATCCTTCTTCTTCGCCTTCTCCGGTTTCGGTGTCTCCTTGTTCTCTGAGGTCGCACCAATCCCGTCGCCCAAAGCCGCTTTCTTGATCTTCCGACCCAAAGTCGCATCGAATAGTTCTTCAATCTCGTTGTCGGCTTTCGCTCGTTTCCGTTTGGCTGGCTTGGCTGGGGCGGTGGCATCCGATTCCGCACCCGGTGTCCCGTTGACGGCTGCTGGAGCAGGTTTGGAAGAACGTTGGTTTCGCGCTTGAGCTTGCTCAGCCTGGATCTTCTTCTGCGATTGCATATTTCTCCATTCTTCCGGTCGACGCTGGAGGAGGTGGAGGTTGAGGTTCCTGACAAAGAACTTTCCATAGAACGAGCCAGCCAGTTGTGACTCGTATTTGAAGAGCGACCGAGCGATCTTTTCCTGTTCATTTGGTGAGCCACAGCCCATGAACCAGACGTCTGAGCTTGACTTACCTTCAGATATGTGTCACAGAAAGCCCAGCAGCGGTCGGCAACACGGCTTCCGATCCTGTCGTCCACGAGTTCGTGGTAGTGGCCAATGAGCTCCATGATCCATTGCCGTTTGGCTTTGGATGGAATGTTGGCGTTTTCCAGGAAGGCGTCATACACGCGGGATGCAGAGGGGTCGTGGCAAATCTTAATTTTGTCTTCTACGGGAACCTGCTGCAATCTGGAAATCATCGCGTTAGATGTTAATCGAATGGATGAGACGAAGAGACTCACGCCTCTAAGACAAAGTTGATCTGAGGTTCTGGAAGCTTAAGCAATGCTTGCAGCAGTATTGAGCCTTGAGTTTTGAATGCCAGAGGGTCGGAATCTTGCTGGTTGCCCCTCCTGTGTCTCTGGTTACCGTCGCGCTGGGCTTTAGGTTTTGAGGTCGCCTCTGCCTTGTAAGCTTTGTAATCCTCAAGTGTTAGCACCGTCAGAATGCAGTGGATCAGATTCGCGTCTGCCGACTCGACTCCAAAGGCACTTTGAACGGCTTGCTTGGTTTCTTTTTCCATGGCATTGAGGACAGCGGAGCGTTCAATGAAAGCTCGCAAGACTCCTGTTCTTGATGTGCCTTCGAAGGCGGTCAGAACGTGTCAATTAGAGAAACCTACTCGACTCACGGATATTTTTGTTCCATGTTCCCTCTAATTCAGACGCGATATCTTGTAATTGTTCGACGGAGGCACGCTCTATCGCTTTGGCAACGACAAAGTTGGCGACAGGATGAGCTGCTAATCGAGCCAGCGTGCCCTTGAAATATAGTTGCCATAGGGTCCCGAACGAAGATTCAGGACATCGCGAAACGATGGCTTCGAGCAGATGAGAGGATGCAGGATCTCTGAGCAATGTGCCGACGAAATCCGATGCTTCAGGAAGAGTCGTAGAGCCGGAATCTGCATTTAGACGTAAAATGAGATCGTCAGAAATGGCACATGCAGAGAGCACTTACGGGTATGGCTGATGACGCCCATTGTAACATGATCCAAAAGGGATTCAGGCTCATCTGACAAACCCAGTTCTGCCTCCACGCCCAACAGGACCTAAGGAGGAAACATTTTCAGTACGTGTCACGTCGTACAAATGCTGATAGATGCTCACTTTCAGGGTCGGACTTGCAACCTTGCTGGCAGCCATGGCTCTCACTTCGTTCCCGCTCAGGTTAGTTCTCAACTCTTGGATGAACCGACGCGACATGTTTGTGAATTCTGCCGGGACGCTTCTCCTGGTGTCTTCCTTCTGCTTTCCCTTGTTGTCCGCGAACAATGACTTCATCGAACCTTGCTTCGCCTTCCATGCCGAACTCTTTTTGGAACGAAGGATGTTGTCCTCTTCCGCTGCGGTATTGGGAGAAAGGAGCAAAAACAGCGCTCGGAGAACGTGAGAAGCAAAAGGATCAAGGACCAGGGAGGAAAGATTTGGAAGCAACTCCTGCATTCTATGTGAAAAGACATTCCTGGTGGTGATGAGGAAGGACGAACCTCGCAGATATCGAGAGTCAATTGGGTCAAGGTTCGCAATTCACCGCTGTCTTCCTGTCCCTCCATTTTGGGAAAGAATCCTCGAGTCTACAGGGGATGAAGGTAAGCACAAACGGAGGCCTGGTGGCCGATAACTCGCTGACCTCTCGAGCAATAGTCTCCCTCGCAATCACGAACAAAGTTTGCACGACATGAGAAGCAAACCGGTGCTTGGCCAAGATTTCGAATCTGAATACTTATTAAACCTCTGTAGAGTGAATAAGAGTGGGAATAACTCACGAACCGGCCAAACTATCCACGAAAACGCGTCGAACAAAATCGTCCATAGAGTGAGCCATACGCTCAAGAATCACAGAACAGTCTGGATCCGTTGCAAGTTGTTTCTCTTTTTCACGCATCTCATTGAGAGCTGCTACAAAGAAAAGACGTTTCTCTGCAAAGAAAACAACGTCAACGAGGTTCGTATTTGTTGTTAACCTCGACGCACCTTCATTCGGATCGTTGTCCTCGTTCCCATCATCAACTGCATTTTCTTGCCAATCTCGTATCTGTACGTCGACTGTCCTAAAGTATGCCTTGACATCTTGGTCGACATATCCAAATGGCGCCTCGGGGTTGAAGTCGTCCTGATCCCTGGGTGCAGGTCGAATCCAAGACGGCTCTCCGTTTTCAACAGGTTGTTCAGGCTCGAAGTATTGCTGCTCCTGATGCGCTTGTTGACCAAAGCTCTCTTCTTCCTTCGGCTTTTTGTGTTTCTTCCCTCTTTTTCTGTTTTCTCGAGGCATTTTTGGGCGCTACTGGAAGGTTGATGGTGGTGGGAGGAGGAAAAGAGGCCGGGCCGACAAAAGATTTCAGCGCCGCGCCTACCGCCGCCGTTGATTTGACCCTTCTTTCACCAAGACCACCACCATGATTTCATTTGTCTCGTTTCCTGAACGCTTAGACGACGCTTATCGAACGACACGGTCATATCAGGACGATGAGGACAATGATAAGATGGATCTCGATGAAGACGGACTTGCCTTGTCCAAATTGACCTGCCCAGGCGAAACCCTCACCTCTTCTCATGAATACATGAGGTCAGCCAAACACGACCACTGCAGGCACAGCCGACTCTGATTCTGTGATATAGAGGTCATGGAACATACGTCGAAAATGAAGAAGTCATTGCTTCAGTGACAGGAACCATTGAACGCGTGAACCGTCTCGTTACGGTTAGACCAGCAAATTGCAGGTGAGTTTATCCCCCTTGCCCGCTCGAAACTTGGAAAAACAAATAAATGAAGCCTCCAAGATACAACCCTGAAGTCGGTGATCTCGTCGTCGGACGTATAACCGAGGTGCAGCCTCGAAGATGGAAGGTCGACGCTAATTCGAGGCAAGACGCCGTCTTGATGCTGTCCTCAGTTAACCTACCAGGAGGTGTACAGGTACTTGGCTCGCCTTTTCTTATCATTCTAGACTCGTCTACAACTCCACTTCGCAGCGCCGGAAGTTAGAAAGTGACGAACTCCAAATGCGAACCTTTTTCGAAGAAGGCGATCTACTGGTAGCCGAGGTCCAGTCCTTCTTTGCAGATGGAGCCATGTCCTTGCATACTCGATCCCTGAAGTACGGAAAGGTATGCCCGTTACTTCCATTCTTCACCCCATACTATGCCTCCTCATCACTTCTATAGCTGCGGAACGGCCAGCTTGTCTGCGTGCCCTCGGTGCTAATCCGTCGTCTGAAATCCCACTTCCTCACACTGCCCTGCAATGTGGACATCATCCTCGGACTGAATGGATACATCTGGGTTAGTAAACACATTAAAGAGAGCGAACAGGAGGGAGAACTAGGCTTCGACGCCGAGGCCGTCTATTCCAATCAAAACGATGTGAGCTTTCTCGAACCTTTCCTCGTGTATGAGAGTTAACCGAACGGGTCACTAGGAAATCGATACCGCTACTCGGGAAGCAATCGCCAGAGTTTCAAACATCATCCTAATACTCGCTTCTCACTTCATTCCTCTCACCGATACCCTCCTATTGGAAGCGTATACTTGGACTACAAAACAGGACAGTGACATCAACGCACATTTGCGAAAGGGCTATGGTGATGCACTAGTGGCAGCTGTCTCGGCACCAAAGGAATAGATATGTTCTTCTCGTCCTTCCTGTGCAACCGTGGCCGATGGAGGAGCAGCACTTCTTCAGAGATCTATTGACAACGATGGCTTCAATTTCCCGATCCTATGGACAAACGAAGGCGGTGTACATATTATGTCCGATTATAGTTGTAAGTATAATCCTCGTCTATGAAGTATACCTGATTGCAGTCCGTGCGATTACTACTATACACTGTGGGCTGTGCAAGTATGCTGCGAGTCTGTAAGCTCTAGGGTCTGTCCGCACCGGTCGGAAACTCTACAGCAGGACCACACTATCAATATCCAAATCCATACCACTCTTCAGCCATTCCCCGGTTCGCTGACGAGCCCCGTCGATCACTTGTTGCATGGAATAGAACCGGAAGCGTCCAAGCGCTGCATGCTTCGACTTCGAAGAAGCCGACGCGCTGCCCCGGGATTTGATGAAGTTCAGGAGAACCGCCTGCGTACAACGGGCCCCTGTGCATTGCAAATGGAGGCGTCGGAGGTTGGGTAAGAGTGTAACTGGTTCCGGGGGCGCGGATGCACGAGGAGATACGGTAGAGCTCTTTGACCCACTACCAACGCCTTGAGTCTGGGGCCCAGAGCCAGGTAAGGTCATCGCCTGCAACATCCTATCGGAAATGGGATCGTGCACTTGATCCGCAAGTGAGAAACGCAAATCCAGTGCCTCGAGTTGAGGAAGCTGCGTTAACGTTTGGATGAGTCCGCCTTCTCCGAGGGGAAGGTAAGTGATTTCCAGGGAACGGAGGGATGGAGATAGATCCTTTACAGATGCCATAAACGCTGCTTGCACTGAAGACCATTGTTCTGTCCTCTCTCCGTCAACGAGCCAGTTGAGACCGAGACGAGTTAGGCTACAGGCCGCGAAGAGGCCGAGAAAGGAAGTCAATGAGGATTCTGGAGGGAGGTGTGATGTCGGTAGCTGCTGCGCTGAGGCTAGGCCATTACCATCTCCCTGGAGGATGAGGTGAAGGGACTTGAGTGATGGAAGCACCAATCGTTCACGCTGAGTCGACTCCAGCGGCATTAACCGGCAGTTGGCATTAACTCGACAGGCAGTCATGCTCGTGGCATTGCAGAGAAGATCGGCCAACTCGTCGAGATCGAGTAGGTGTTTGTGATCCAATCTTAGATCAAGCTCCGTGAGCTGACTCCATGGTACTTTCAGCGCTTGAATGTCAAATGTCGGAGAATTCCAAACACCCTTCATGTGCAGGGTTAAGGACTTGAGAATGGGGAAATCGTCGGGGAGGATATGCTGGACCGCTGCGAGACTCGTGCTCGGCACGATGATTTCAATGTGGCGCCAACGGCGAGCTTGTAGGACGAACATGGCGAGGATCTGGGCAGAGAGTTGATTGGGAATGCGGCCGGTGGGTATGTGGATCAGGCGAACTGATAGTGGCTGGTTCTTGGACCTTTCTAGCCAGACTTTGACGGTGCTGAGAGCACGCAGGCTGTGAGGTGAATCCGCCACTGCGAGGTCATCCGAGCTCGAATCCTCGACCTCGATTTCGAACGAGGACCAGAGCCTGGGCGTGGAGTGAGCCAGTGCCCGCCACGCTCGGCAGACTTGGGCGATATGCATTGGGGACTCGCCATTGCCAATCTGAGGAAAGGCGGGCAAGCAATAGGCGAATATCTCGGCGTGGAGCTCGATAGGGAGCGTGTCGAACAGAGATGGAGGTCGCTACATCGAGCGTCAGTCTAATTCTGCCCGACCATGAGCAAGCGTACTCACGTCACAGAGCGTCATCAACGTCGTCGTCGACCAAGTTCGTAGGACGTGCTTTCGAGCCGGGGTGACCGTCTCAAATGAGGTGGTTGGTGTGGTAGGCATTGGGATAGTGTGGGGTGGTGGATGAGCGAGAAAGTGCCTCAAGTCTTCGCGTCCCTTTTAAGTGCAGGCCAAGATGATGATGTCCTGTTTCGCTGACTCTCGTCTGAAAAGGGGCTGAATCCCGTAATCGAGGGATCTTGAAACGCCGATATTACCAAGGAGAAATCTGACTGAAGAGATCTAATTTAGGTTGGCATAGTCGCGATGGTCCCCCTGTTAACGCCTCAATATATACGTCGAAGCAATTAGTATATCCCACGCACCTGCGTCACTGTTGCGCATGAAACAATGGCCAGTGGATCCTATGACGAGAGAACCCCCAGGTTCGGTGAGCAGAACAATACATACTGGGAAGGTGAGGGCTTTCCACAAATCCCGGTTATGGGCTTCGTGAAGAACACGAAGCGTAGATACCTTGTGTTCAAGCCCAAGCTTCTTGAACTCCGGATACTTCGCATTTTGGAATTGGTAACTTGACAGATCGTATGTCGCCAGTTAACGTTTGAGCGCCCAAATCTGTGCTATTCCTGGTACAGCAGGTCTCATCCAATTGTATGTGTCACAGTTACAGTGGGTCACTGTGGGCACTCCCAGGCGCCCGCTGTACCTCGCCCACGAATTGTTGGGAGAGAGACCCGAACAGCAGGTGACATTGCCTATCTTTGTGGAAAGGAAGAAGAAAGAAGCAGGACACGAGGCCAAAGGGTGTTGATGTGGTAGTCGTGGCGAAGTACTTTGGGCATAGCACCGCAGTTGTTCCAACAGGTTCCAACCAACCGCTGTATCGTCGGAGATGGGCCCCGGGTTTGATTTCGTTCCTCAAGTTGTACCTTACGCGACCCACAAGGACTCAAAGCAGATACAAACGATGACAGCAGGCAAAGCCACCTCAAGACACTAAGATCCCGATGTTGCGCGTCAAACGACACAACAGAGCGCGTCAAACAGACGCAGAGTACATAAAATCCCAGAAAACAATCAAATTCGTGTGTATGAAACCCCTTCACTGTAACGTACACGAATGTATACAACAACAGTGTCATAAAATAAATTCGTGTCAGTGGGCGTCTCGAGCGTCGAGCTTGTTTCATTTGAAGAACTTGGAAAAGTCGTAACTATCTCCGGATTGGTTGTCCTTCAATTTTGCAGAAGCCGCCTTGTTGGCGACCTTTTTGTGTGCCTCGGCCTTGTTACCTTTAGGCTTTGCAGCGCTGGAGGCCTTTGTCGCTGTCGTTGTCGAGGCGACCGAAGATTTCTTCAGAACGCTGGTCAAGGTCTTCTCCTTGGAACTAGGCTGAGACTTGGATGGTCTTGTCGTCGTGGTGGGTGCAAACGCGACCTTTTTCGCCGGAGGCGCACTGGTTTTGGAACCAGCCTTCCGCTTCCGCTTGCTCGAAACAACCGGCTCTTCCTCCTCTTCCTCCTCTTCCTCGCCAGATTCCTCCTCGTCTTCATCAAAACCTTCCTCCTCGTCATCCTCCTCTCCGCTCTCATCTTCATCATCGTCGTCCACCTCCATGGACATATCCACATCCTCCTCTCCTTCACTCTCACTGTCACTTTCTTCCAGAGCAGCCCACGTCTCGCTCAATTCTATCTTCCGAGCATCAACACTCCCACTCGAAAGCCTAACCAACCCAACCCTCTTCCGCAGCTCTTTCCTTGGAGCTAATGTCTGCAAAACACCCTCATCATTCGCGTAAAGTTTTCGGAGCCACTCTGTCGTTGACGCGTCCTGTCCGGACTCGCTGGCGGCGGCGGGATCCTTCGAAGCTGAAGGCGGTGGCGGAAGAGCATATCGAGCGAATTTACCAGTGCTCCAATCGCGAAGCACTGTCCGCGCAGCACCTGCCAAGTCTAGATCTCCTCTCTGAGAGTATGTGGTAAACGGAGAGCGGCATTGCAAAACGAACAGTAAAATAAGAGCAAGGAGAGATGAATGTCAGCTTCTGTTGGGACAGCGGAGCGTTTGAGAACTCACTAACCTTCTTAACAAGCTGATGGGCTCTCGCAACGCCCGATAGGAAGGCCGTCTGGTCGCCCTTGGCAAACGCCGGGAGATTGTACAGCAACATCAGGTCTTCGTGATTGCACCTTGGAGTAATGTGGTCCACTAAATGAAAAATGAGAGTTATTTTCAGGACAGGAATCCGAACAGACAAAAGGACGGGTGCGTACGCGGCGGAGAGGGGTCCTTGAGCCTGTCGATCCTTCCCCTGCTTCGCAACAAGATGTCGCGGCCCCTCGCTAGGGAACCGCTGAGGCCATCATCCGTCTCATAAATGAACGAAACACCAGGAGTATCGATTATCCGTAGGGACTGGCCATTGGATTCAAGTGTCACCTCTTGGGGCAGCTCAGTCGTTGTGGGCCCTCTTGATGCGCTCGCCTGGGTATAGACAGGCAACGCCGACTGTTTCAATAGGGAATTGATGAACGAACTCTTTCCAACCTATCCAAGCCATTATAATGAGGATTAGCTCACGAAGAAGAATGAAGAAAAAGAAAGAGAAACTTACGTTGGTGATCCCCGCCACAGCAATGGTATAGGGCGCCTCTGAATCAGATTTCGTGTCTTTCTTTTGTTGTGCCCACTGGCCGAGGCAAGCGAGAATTGAGTCTACACCCAAAGCGTCGCTCAACGGAACCGTCGATTTCCCTTTTCCTTTAGGTGGTATTGGCTGGGACGGAGCCTCAGCAGGGTTTGAAGGGATGAAAGCCGAGCAAGCTCGGAATGGGAACGCCGCTTCATGCTGGGATCGAAGATGCGACAACCAGCCCGAAACTGATTCTCTCGGGCAAGTATCTAGAATTTGTGATAGGAGAAGGTTAGTAAAACCAAACAAAAAGAACACAGGATCGAGCATAGCAATACACGTACCAATCTTGCTCAGCACCAACAGCAACTTTTTGTTTTTCTCCGCCGCGTATTCCTCCAAGAACTGGCTCCGCGTTTCAAGTGGGTCCCGAGCATCCACAACTTCCACAATCGCATCTGCTGCTTCTAGCACCGACTCGAACGTTGGGAGGTCGCGATTGATGAGAATCGGGACCTCTTCCCCATCGCTCTCCTCGACTTCGATATCCTCGTCCTCTACCTCCTTCAACTGCCCTTTAACAGCCTGGGCAGCCAGACCAGCAATAGCCTCAGCTCCAACGTCGAGTTTATTCTTGCCGGCGGGGAGTTCGTCCTCGTCTTCATCCATGGAAACATCCTCGTCTGCACGCGCAGATTTTGCCTCCGCGCGAGCAGCAGCTTTTTCGGCCTTTTTGCGTTCCTTTTCTTCGGCTGCCTGTACACGACATAATAGGCGTTAAAAGCGATAATCAACGAGAACAGTTCCAGTTCACTGACAGCTCGTCGTTGTGCTTGAACTTCGGCCAAGATCTCGTCCTTGTAGGGGAACTCATTGGGAATACCGGGATCCTTGGGATGCTCTAAGCGACCAATTAGAGATCAATGCCGATACATAAGAGAATTAATCACGCACTAGACTTCCATTGGGGATTCTTCTTCGCGTCCCTGGCCCTCTTCCTCCGAGTCTCCTTGACCTTCTTCTGGATGCTTGCCCGGTGCTTGAGCGACACCCGTTTCGATGTCTCTGTAGAAGAAAAGAGTCGGTTAAGCGTTATTTACATAGAGCCAAGACTTCATAACCGCACTTTTCCGAATACGAGGCATGATGGGCGTTCACAATCGTAGAACAAAAATCTGGTGCTCGTCGAAGGGAACAAAATTGGCAGCGGTTTGATTGCCTAAACGGGAGTTGGGATATCGTGGGAACTGACATGGCTGCGCCAAGCTTACGGGCAACCAACTCCAGTAGTGACTCCGTTCAAAGCTCAAAAGTTCGCATACCATGGACTATGTATGTATGACAATGTCGGAGCTCATGCAGGTAGCGGCATACAGTGGTGCAACAAATGGTATATTGAAGCACAGAGATGTAGTGTACATTGGGACGGGCTACGGCATCGAAGAGCACGCACCTGATAGATTCCGCCTTAAAAACTCCAAAACGATCTCAAGACTGTGCAAACGGTGGCAGGTAACAACGATGACGGTTTCTGGCTGGGGAGTACGGCAACTGGTAGGCTTCATCGTGTGATTGTCAGGGTCCAGCCTTCATTACTCCAGCGATAAGGGCGCGGCCAAACAACAAGGCGTGGCCGAGGGAAGTGTCCAAACTTGATGGTGCTGACCCGATTTGCAAGTCGAACTTCCACACCTCCTGGTTCCAGAAGGCCACGCACCGAATCGATAAGCGCCATAGGCTTGAATGTGCTTTTGAACTTTCGCGGACTTGCCCTTTGTAAGTTGGACGATCTTGCGCTTGAACAGTTGCAACAATTATTTTGAATAGCGAAGGGTTCTGAATGTCTAGAGAGCACTGGCACAGGACTTGGAAGAAACTTGACAACTTGGGAATATTTTGTGGCTACTTGAAACGGGATGGTCCAGTTTGGTAGACGTATTAAGGTTTTGAAGTAGAACTTGAGGTTCATAAAGTGGCCAATCAGCTTTGAGCTTCTGATGACTGGGCTTGACACATGGGTTTGAGTCATTCCGTCCTCGAAGATAAAGCGACGCGGGGATACCAGTATGGAGAGCATAAAGTAATAAAGCGTCAGAAGATAGGAGAGCACATAAGATGGCAAAGAAAGATAAGGCCTCGAACTGTCCCTTACCAACGCGAGGAAGAGTCGCCGTTGCCATTGGTAGAGGCCGGGGCATCATAGTCACGGCTACGGGGAGGGGGGCTGCGGGGTGGGGGGCTCCTGGAGTAGCTCCTGCGGCGACGGTCACGATCACGGTCGGGAGAGTAGCGGCGAGGAGGGGGGCTGCGCCTATCGCGCCAGTCACGGTCGCGGCCATAAGGATCACGATCCCTGTCACGACGGTCCCTGTCGCGGTAGTCGCGATCATGACGATCGCTCCTGTAAGAGTCGCGCTGACGACGATGGCCCATGTACTCGCCAGGGGTGGGAGCATGGGGGCGATCAGTAACGGAATAGTCGACACGAATGCGGCGACCATTGAGTTCCTATGAAACCTGTCAACGTCGAGCACTTGACGACGGGAAAGGTGGTACTTACGATACCATTCAGCTCTTGAATGCAGCGAGTGGCTTCCTCAACGCTGGACATGCGGATGAAACCAAACCCACGCGACCTGTCGGACTGCTGACTAGGGTTAGTTCCGGTCTTGTCAAGCGAAACAACTGCACCGACCCTTTGATCATAGACGATGGTAACGTTTTCGACGCGACCGAACCTGCTGAACTCGTCGTCCAAGTCGCGTTCCCGGGTTCGAATGCTGAGACCAAAGACGCCAAGAACGTTGGAGGGGTTGGGGGCCTGAGAAAGAATCAGCATACAGCCTTAAAAATTTATGAATGGACTCACGACTGGGGTCCTCTTGGGAGGCGGGGACCGTCGACGGTAAGGAGGAGGGCTGCGGTAGTCGCGGTCACGGTCACGGTCGCGGTCCCTGTCACGGTCTCTGTCGCGACCGCTGTCCTTATCCCTGCCATTGGTGCCAGACGGGCTGCGGGGTGGGCTGCGGGAGCGAGACCTGCCTCGTGGAGCAGGCTCCTCAGAGGGGGGCGCAGGAGGAGCCGGCGCCGTGTAGGCGTCAGAGTAGGGGTCGACAGTCTGGCTACCGTTGTTTTCTGCGTACTGAAGCCATGAAACGCGCCAATTAGTGCAAAGTCCTCGATTTTGCCTTGCCAGCAGCGCTTACTCACCATGGTGGTTCAGGTTAAGAAGCTGTTTGCCCTTGTTTTGCTCGCGCGAGGTTGATGTACTTGGGGGGCGGCAGCCCATCCCCCATCCTCGCTTTTTGTCAGGTAAAATGTGGATATAACTTTACGGAAGTACAGAACATTCATTTGGGATGATTCGGAACAATTTCTGCGCGAAACAGGGGAGGAGAGGGGCTACTAGGACTGGTTCAAATCCGACCGGTTCAAGCGGAGATCGAAATGACCCCACGTGACAAATCGTTGCCGTCCGGCGATCAACGACTGTACAGTTTGATCAGCCGTCATCAAGCCTCACTTTCGTATCATCACGCGCAGCACACCACAATCCCGGCAAGCATCCAAGATGGTGAGCTCGTCGTTGCGCTCGATGGCGAAACCATGTTTTCTGACGTTCTGGGTGCGTAGGGTATCGACATCAAGAGGCACCACGTCAAAAAGGGCCAGCGTTCTGCCCCCAAGAGCGAGGACCCATATCTACTTCTCCTCGTGAAGGTGCGCAAATCGCAACTGCATTTTTCGACCCAAAATCATGCTGAACGAATTTCTGTAGCTTTACCGATTCCTCGCCCGCCGCACCGACTCCAAATTCAACAAGGTTCGCTCAGAAAAGACTCGGAAATAGCGATTCAGTTTGGTTTACGAAATTGGTGTTCTACTTTGTCAGGTCGTCCTCCGCCGCCTTTTCCTGTCCAAGAACAACCGCCCACCCCTCTCCCTCTCCCGTATCGTCAAGGAAACCACCAACACCCCCGATCGTGACTCAAAAGTCATCGTTCAGGTTGGAACTGTGACTGATGACTCTCGGCTGACGGAGGTTCCCAAACTCTCGGTTGCTGCTCTCCGATTCACCCGTGCGGCCAAGGAGCGCATCATCAACGCCGGTGGTGAGGCAATCACCCTCGACCAGCTCGCCTTGAGAGCACCTACTGGTTCCAACACCGTCTTGCTCCGAGGAGTCAAGACTGCCCGGGAAGTCTACAAGCACTTCGGCATGGGTGTGTTTTCTTGTGCTTATGGCTCCAATCGCTCGCTTATCGGGTTTCTCCAGGCCCCCACAAGAACAAGAAGCCCTACACCATCTCCAAGGGCCGCAAGGTAAGATTCGCCCACGATCGCTCTCAGGGGATTATTCACTCATATCTCGCCCTTTTCTCTAGTTCGAGCGTGCTCGTGGTCGCCGAAAGTCTCGTGGTTTCAAGGTGTAATTTTTGTCGTACACGAACCGAATGCAAAACGGCGTCCATCGCGTTATCCCATCGTTGGTGCTTTGTTTCGGCTGTGGCGGAATGCCATGCGGGATGCTATGTCTATGCCACGACCCCCTCTACATCACTCTTTCTGTATGCACATACGAATCGATATGCAAGCTTGCCCGAGACTGGGTGCCCAGAAGACCTTGCTTTTGAGTTGGGATCGGTGGCTTGGGCGGCTGGATTCTGATACTGACGGTGCAGTATTTTTGGGAGGGCCCAATTACTGTTTTATGCTGGCCCATGATTACGCCTTGAGAGGCCGGATGAGATCGATGACCTTGATCGCTCGCTCAGATTCACGCGAGAGGTTGGAATAGTTATGAGTACAGATTGAGGTTACAAGAACATGATACAGGGGCAATCTGCTACAGAATGGCTACAGGGTTACAGAGGGTTACAGGTGGCGTTGGGAAATAAACGGAGGTAAACGGGTACGAAAAACGAGTGGGGTTAGACTGGTGTGTATCCGAGGTTCCGAGTACAAGTAAGGAAAAGTGAAACGCAAAGGAGGGGAAAAGAGCCGAAGCTCGAAGGGTTGAGTGTCCGAGTCGTAAGTAACGAAGAAGGAAGATGATAGCGATACGATATGTGTATTTAGTCGTTTCTGCGAGTAGAGATAAAAGAGATCGTGTAGGTAGAGAGTAACAGAGAGATAGGAGACTACGAATGAAGGAATGTGATACAGTAAATTGGAAATGCGAATCCTTTGAAACTAGGTTAAGTGCTACAGTAGGACGACTCGGTCAGAGTCTGGCTGCGTGAGGAGATGCGAGAACATACAGTAACCAAAACAACGAATGCGAGAAAACTTGGAAGAGTCCGAAAAACGATATGAAAACCAGATAAAACGAAGCAATAAGGATATGCAAAAGTATGAAACTTGGTGTGAGTACTGATGGATCGAAAAGAGCCATATCAAAGCAATGCGAGTGTGTGAGTCTCGTTAGGAGACAAAAGTCCGATAACATGAAAGCTTGAACGATAATGAATGCGAGGGAAAACGAATGTGACAGCAAGTCGGGTATGGGGATGGCTTGGGGTAACGAATGATGTGGATATGTCGAGTCCATGATATATGTCGTGGTAGTGGTTGGTCATCATGATAATTCGTCGTCAGCGTCGTCGAGCCTTCTGTGAAAAGGGAACGTGAGGATTGGCCACGGCCAGCATGGCGTAAAGTGTTCCCTGGTGCAGTCGGGATGTCGTCGATCTCCGACCCGAAACCTTTAGAAATTGAGAAAGGAGGCGAGGAAGCTGTCAATGAACTCTGCCTCCCCAAGGTCAGGGCTCGTGTCCTCGACCGCGAGTTGTGACATTTCATCAGCCAGGTATTCGAACAAATCGATGCCCAAGGACACTGCCTCTCCAAGGTCAGAGTTCGTGTCCTCGAAGGCGAGTTGTGGCATTTCGTCAGTCAGGTTGAACGCCGAGGGTCCAGTCAAAAATGAAGAGGTGGCATCGGGAAGGAAGTCGGGGATGGCGATTGGGGAAGAGTCCTCGACGTTGTCCACGACCTGGACTGGGACTTCAAACTTGTTGTAATTGTATGGCGTAGCGATGGGGATAATAGTCGCGGCATTGGCGTTACGTGTAGTTCTGGTACGCTTCTTGCAAGTGTCGCGAGCATCTTGGCGCTGAGGGGCGGGCGAAAAGACAGCAAAGGCCATCGGATTAACAGTGGCGTATGGAGCAGGGGAGGATGGCCTGGGCGTGGCCAAGTATCGCAACCACTCGGGCAAGTCGAAGTTGGGAATGTCAGTCGTGGTGTCGATGAGTGAAGCCGCAACCTCAGCAGGTGTCGCAGGCCGGGGGGTCGGGGTTGCAACTGGGGTGGGCGAATTGGGAACGGGAGGCGCGATGGATTCTGCAGCTTGGAGGGTAACAGGCGTATGAGTGTCTCCTCTGGCCGGTGCGGGTCTGGGAGACGAGCCGACGGCGCCGGCGGTGGTCGCGCTTTGAGTATCATCTCCAGTGGGTCGGGGAGCAGCGACGGGGAAAGCCACAGGCTGACAGGATTGGGGAGTGCGGGTCACAGCAGGTTGAGCCAGAGTGGTTGTGGTCGGAATACCAGAAGTCAGGTTCGCTCGAGCTCGAACTCGGACACGCGCGGGGGCGGGGGCTGACAGCCGTCGCCTTTTGGAAGGACGAGGAGGCACGTTTTCTCTTTGCTTCCTCGCCTCCTCCTGGAGCTTCCACCTCCGCATCGTCTCTTCCCACTGCTTCACATCCTCTCCATGTTTGGCGTAATCTTCAGTGGTGGTAAATTGGAGTTGTAGTACAGGTCGCCGGCCAGGGTGGGTGACGAGTTCGGTTCCAGCTGTACCGCTGGAAGTCGATTGTGCATTGCCTGGAACGCGTGAGCAGATGAGGAAAATTGAAATGCATTAAGGTGCGCCTTACTGTTTTTTAACGGCAACGACATTGCGCTTTCGACGACAAAGAACAAGTAGAGCGTGGATGCGGCGTAGATTAGTGGCGAGTGTAAAATGGGAGGAAGCGATAAGAGAAATTGAACAACGCCGAAGAGGAAGAGGGAAATGACAGTTTCGGGGACAAAACGGTTGGATTTCGCGTTTGGCGCAATGAATTACAGTGGAATGGGTTCAGCAATTGAGCGGTGTGTTCGGTCTCACTCAAAGAGAAGAATAATGGAGGAAAGTGAGGAAAGGAGTTTGGATAATCGTCAAGATGGTCGTGGATAGAGGACAGAGAAGGAATTCTTGGCATCACCGTGTTTGGTAGGTCACCAGTGGCTAGTGGTCACTGAGCGACGCGGGGGTATTAAGGTTAAAAACCCAGATAAGGAAGTAACCTCCGCCCTACGCCAGCGTACTCTGCACCTTGCCATCGTCAACCAGATCAGTCTGACCAAGTGCTCGGAATGTCGCGCGATAGTACAAGTTCGAATGTGACACCCTCGATCCTGCCCCCATTGCCACACGATATAAAGACGACGATGTCGATGGTGATTCCAGTTTTACAGTCGGGAGAGCCACCGGGGCGCCGCCGGTAAAGGCCAGGTCACCCAATGCCATTCAGTTTAAGACATTGGCTGGGGTAAGTCTCCAGCAATTGGAAGGCGTTCGGCGTGAATACAATCAGTGCCCTAAATCCGCCTTAGAAGGTTCAGAAGTGGATGCTGTTTTCAGCCATAAGATGTAGGGTCCAAAGGTATTGCCGTCCTTTCCCGGTGCGAGGATTTCGAGCGCAACGCGATTGCGCACCATCGTATCGTTGAGGCCCTTCTCGATGCATCGCCCACACATTGATGACGGACGACGATGGACATGTGTGTTCTTACCGCCTCCATTGCCCAAACGTAGCAACGAGTCGAACCGTGAACAGCAGAACCGACTAGTATCAACCGCGAACCAGGCCAATGTAAACCGAGCTGCAACCAGTAAATCGCTCGAGTCGCCAGCGTGGAGCCGACAGCGGGATGGGCGACGAGTTGCACAATTGACAACAAACTCGAAAATTTCAGGTCCAATGTGGGGAAACGGGGTCCTTTGCCTGCGGGTGGTTCATGCAGAGGCGCTTGTGGTCGAAGATGACCATGGCTGGTGAAGCCGGCATGTCGGGGCTGACTGAGATAGTGTCGAGATTTTCTTGGGCATGTTGTCTTCCTGTCGCCGAGGAGTCTTTGTGAACTGAACCAGCTCTTTACGAAGGACCATGAGTCGGCGGGGCCAGCTATTTATTCGAAGCCAGAACATGGTCGACAAATGAGCAGGCACCGGTTGTTCTGTTGCAGTCCCCGTGCATGGACAGCGGCGCTCTGTTTCGAGCGAGCTTTCTCCTGCGAGAGAAATTGGGCAGAGACCGATAAAAAGTGGGAAAATTTGAGGGGAAGGGCAAGGCGAGATAACTTTCATAACCGTTTGAATCAATGAATGTCCCGAGACCTGCCGTTGGATAACCTAAATCTGGCAGGCCATTCGTGGGCAGACTGATGGTGGCGGGTAAACATCATTGCCTTTTCAGTGATGTAGAGCCCCTATTCAACGCACCAGGCGAAAGCCATGCAGGGTTCGCGTCTTAAAAAGGCGGCAATGAGCATGGAGTCTCAGCTTTACAACCCTCGGATTCCATGGAGTACTCAAGGTCCTCTCTTGAGGCGATACCCTGTATCCAAATCATGCCACAACTTAAATATCGCTGGGGCTCTCAGATCTCATTGCTTACGTTCAATGCCTTCCGACATCCCTAAGGCAAAGCATGTGTCTGTCACCTACTGCCCAGTAATTCTCATTCTGGGTCATGGATACCAGTTTCTCCCAGTGCACTACTGAGCATAGAAGTTTTCGTGGAAATTGTGCAACACTTGTAACTATTTGCAAGTTACGCTTGACTGACACAACAGCGCGAGCCCTACTACTGAACGCTGTATACTTGTAGCGAAATTACGCCCCAAATGGCGAAATGTAGCCACTTGACTGAAAACCTTTTTACGGAGCCTTGGCCCCTTAGGCTGAAAACAGACACCTCATAATAGCGGGAATGTGGCATCTACATAACTGGCGCAAACCGCAGACACTCAGGCTCGAGCCTTTGTACACTGGAGCCACAGTGGCAGAATATGAACCAGGATAAAGACACTCTTTCAGCAACACGTCTGAACAACCAAGGGTTCTTTCTGACTCTTTCGACGACGGGCGTGACGATTACACTTGTTCTGCCATCGAGGTCCCATCCCCAATCCCCAATCACGTCAAGTCAAGAAACGCGACCCGGGACTAGAACGAGAAGCTTTATCTTCGCAATGGTCGCAGACAGTTCTGAGTCACCCAAGCCCCTTTTCGGAGATACGAATACACCCAAGAGGCGCAAACGTTACCACCTCGAACATACCCCCTTACGTCGATCCAAACGCCTTCGACCCTCACTCGGAGATGGGGAAAGTCGAGTAAACGCGCTACCTCAGTCGTCCAGCAAGGAGAAATCACCAAAGGGCAACTCTTCCGACGACCCTGATCATGAAGATGGGAGGGCGGCGCAGCGTGAACGCAAACTGCCGACAGTGAACTGTCCTTTGGCTCAGGAGTCCAGGAGTAGAGCTGACATGCCCAAGCCATCCGGACACCCCAGCGCGTTGGTGCCACAGGGGAATCCGAGAAAAGCACGACTCCGCCTCATGCCACAGGGGAGACTACCACCAGGGATACGACGGATTCTGAAGGATCAGAGAAACGAGAACTATGTGAGGCTTCTGTCGGCATTTTTGACAGGGGTAAGGAGACCTCTACGGGAAAGCCTGGCAACGATGCAAGCAGCACCAGAGATTCCGTGAAGGAGGGAGCCAAGCGAAGGGAGACTGACTCGGAAGGACGTACTATTGACCCACCCACGGCACCACAGCGAAGTCTGGAAGTCGCCGCAGCTGATGACGCTCCCATTATCAGAAATATCGATGTCATCCAAAGGACGGTCGAAGTCGACAGCCTAACCAATGTCACACCCATGCGAACAAGCCCTGAGATAGTGGAAGAGCTCCTAACACAAGCGGAGGACGAAACCGACGACGAAGCCAGTAGTACCATTAAAGTCTCTGACGGCGACTTCAGCAGAAACCCTTCTCCCGAAAATCCCACTGCAGAGCTCCAATCCGAACATACAGTGGCAGGTTCGGGCTCATTCAAAATGGACCAGTGGTGGGAAGACTTTATAAACGATTGGCCGGAGTTCAAAGAGGCGATGGAGTGGCTTGAGAAGAGTTGTCAATAGGCGACGTGGGATAATAGCCGGTGGTGTCGACCTTCTTCGAGTTCAACATCCTTGTCATACGTGCTTCTAGACCTTGCGGAGTGTAACGTACAAGTAGACATTCAGGTGGGGTGAAGAATAGGTGTATTCTGGGAAGGCGCAATGACGTTCTCAGTGGTTGAATGCGAAGATCATATCGGTGATGTACCTTCCCAGGGGACGACAACGAATGTCGGGTATTCCCGACAGCCTGTCGTCACCAAAATTAGCCGCCCGTATGGTCGTTCTTGGCCCCTGGTCGAGCATGATATAGTCTCTTTACTTTCGTACGCTCTTTCAATGGGCGATGTTGTGCTTAGGTGTAATACCCCGTAAGCACAATTGCGAACAAACCGAGTCCTGAGCCCTGAAGCAGTGACCTTGGGGTAGCTGTGAACGGGCGCTTATTTAGAGTTTGTCATGACATCATGTTCAGTTGCCTCGAGGCGCGTACCTGTTTCAAGTTCCATGACTCTAGTTCCCTTCTTTCCAACCCTGCAGGGTATGCTTTTACGACGTCGACACGTGCTCGAAGGTTTTCAGGGCGGTGAAAAGGGATCGCTACCCTGTGTTGCTCTTGTTTACATTAGTCCGATCGACAGGGGGAAAGGGTGTATTCAAAAGACCGCTTACCAGCTGCCTACTCTGGATCCCTATCTATACGAAGGCCCAAGCTCCCGTGCCCTTCGAATTCAATTCGAAACGACTTCATGACTCTGCTGCAACATGCGTCGCGGACCTGGTCAGCCGGTTAGATCGTCGGACTGTTTAAACGGCTAGCAGTGAGACGATAAGTGCGGATTCGAATAGGAACATGGAGAGGGCTAGATCCGAGCTTCGGGAAAGATATCGGAAATTATGTTAATGGGAAATCGATAGGTACAACTTGAAGCTGCATTTCGGCGTGTAAAGAAAAGTCTCCGCACCTCGAGGTTCGGATATCTCCAGGAATCCGCCAGGCGGCGGGGTTGGCGCCGTTTCCGTGGGACGGCTATTCAAACTATTCTTGTCCTGAAGACGCTAATCTTTCTCGGCAAAGGCTGCTGGCCCTAATTCAGGCTAAACCGGTTTGGTTATGGGACACCGAGTCGATGTTCCAACGCGGTTGGGTCTAGGCTTCAATCAGAGTCGTGTGACGTTGCTCCGTTTTCTCTCTACACCAAGTCATGAGGCCCCAAGGTCTCCGCTGACTCTAATTTAGCGCATTGAATAGCAAGCCAGAAGGGAAGGAGGTTTTACATACATAAAACGCCCACCCTGAAACGCCTCTGAGTTCGAAATTTGGAGGTTGGCTATTTTGGTTGCCGGCATGAGATCGGTCAGAGAGAAGAACAAGCATTCGAGAGTTTTGGAAGTCGATCAGACACACAGGGAAAACGCAGCGAGGGTTGGTTAACTCCGAATTGGCCCCGAATATGTTTCATTGAAAGGAGGGAGAAGAAAATTCATGGTAGCAAAGCCACGGTGGGCGCCGTTTGAATTTGGGAATGCGGGCCTGGTGTGGCACAGAGTAGGGAAGGCAACCCGAAATGAAAAGGATGGCGCTGGTGTTCTGTTCGAAGAGGAAGAGCGAATACCTCAACCCCGACCGGGATTTTGCGTGCCTCACGGGATTTCAAAAAGAGTGAGCATAATAAGTGGGAGCCTGCTTCGAAGGTCGTCATCAGAATATCAGATAACAGCGATTGTCGTCGCACGCCGCTGACGTCTATGGTTGTTCCTAAATCGGAGGGTTAAGCGGGAGAGGATTTGCGAGAGGCCTACGACTCCGCGAAACGTTGCTGCAATACTTACGGGAGATGGCCGCGAGATATGGTTCCAACGGATCAAGATATCCCCCAGATTGTAACCAAATGAACAGAAAGCCCGTGCCGCAAGGCGAATTTACGTTGTCGCGGGATGGCCCCGGGCGGCAGAAATACGATGGAGATCGGAGGATGGTCACAAGACGTATTTCCCCCAGCCAAGACGAGCCTTTACAACACAGAGGTAGGAAATAAGGCGTTATTGAGAATCCGGCAGGTTGGTGAGGATCCAGAAAGCATGGCGCCTCATGTTGCGGGGAACGGCGCGAGGAGTGAGTGTTGGCAGAAGTGAGACAGAGCCGTCGATGTAGTCTAGCGCGGAGTCTGATATTCCTAAAAAAAAAAATTGTAGCGGACCCTGTGGGGAATTTTGGGCAAGTGGATTGTTGAAGGGAGGAAGAAAACTGGTGGGCTGGGGCCGGACAATATTAATTGCCTTGGACCCAGGGCCACGTGCCTGATAGGCGCCGCGTTCCCACGACTAAAGGACCTACCATACGCTCGTCATGGCCCGCAAATGGCCACCGAGCCAACCTTCGCCTGGTCAACAGCAAACCATATCCCCCGTCATTCCTTTGTCCACGCCGTCCCGCTCAATTTCACCTCGCTGCTTGCTCGACGTCGTTGATAGCGATGAACTCGCTTCAACACGACAAGAAGACCTCAATAAATAGCCTGCTCAATCCAGAGGCGTCAATATATCCTCCAGCCCACTATCCGACTGTTAGCACCAACTCGGTCCCACCTCATGGCCACCAAGTATTGAACTACACCGGGGCCCAGTATACCAATACACCTTCGACCTATGGCTTAAGGGCAGCCAACTGGGGGTTGGAAGAAGCAAGCAGAAGAAAAGAGGCTGAGCAGGTTCAAGCGGGCCATCACCGTCGTTCGAGTCACTCTTCAGACATTGTCCCACCCGGGCACATGGGAACTAATAGTCATGATTCGAGAATGGTCAGGCCCCAGATCGATCGCGCCCCAGCCAGGCTTGAAACTGTGCCCCAACAGTCACAACAGTGGCAAGGTTCGCCAGAACCCATGGGAGGGATCTCTTACGACGCTCCCCATACCGGACGCGCCTATCCTGAAAATCGCGGGGGTAAGGCATTCGCTCGTGAGCAGGCTCGCGTGTTCTAAGCGATTTTTTCTCAGCTTTACAAGACGGGTTCCAGACGCAAAGTCAGTCTGATGTCGCTCCCAGTGCAGACGCTCGTCTGACTAAATCTAACACCAATTCTAACCAAAAACGCAAAGACATGAGCAGCTACAAACCTACCGACTACTCGGTCTCAGGTAGGGTTTTTTCCTGCTACACCTCCTGGGGAAGTGCTGACAACTTCTATCTCAAGCATGGCAAACATCTGAACGGGTCTCTGTTCGCTTAGCCGCTCGAGAGCTGATGCCTGCACCCCAGCCCACAGGTGGGCACTCTCAGCCATTGCATCAGTCTCATCACGCATCGCACCCTCCATACCCACCAACAGGGGGGTACATTTCGCATAGCTCTAGCCACCATATCAGCCACCCGCAGCCGTCTTCCCAGGCACAATCCCAACAAGAGAAACCCTCTTCGAAACGTCAGCTGCCTGAGAACGAAGCGGACGCAGCAGCACCAAAGGCAAAGCGTCCTGCTAAATCGAAGCCCAAGTCTGGGTCTGATGGAGTTCCAGGTGAGGATGAGCCTTCTACCTTCTAGCCGGCGCTTCTTTTCTCTATGCGCCCCTACCCACCGAAACCCTGTTTCCAACGGTGCTAACATACTTTCCCTTTAGTACCCTCAAAGCGCGGATTCAACTCCAAGAAGCGAAGCGAAGCAGCTCAGATTGCCTCTCAGGACGGTAATTCCCAACCCCTTTCGCATTAGGAACTCTCTAAACGGCTGTCAATCACAGCATCTACAGTTTCGGCACATGCCCTTGCTCTTCCCACTTTTGCACTGGAGAGGGGTCAGCAGCGCACCGCTGACAGTAAGTCAATCGCGCTCCATCTGTCGATTAGGCGTTCATTAATTTCTGACCGGACTTTTTTCTTCACTCACTTCTTGCAGCCCGATTCTACCTCACGCCTGCTGTAAAGCTTTTCCCCGAACTACAATTTGCGCGATGCATGTCCAATCGCTACAAGAACCAGGACTTTCCACGCTGTGTCTCGTGCACAAGGCGGTGGGCTGGGGACACCTGTCGGTTCCAAGGCATTCGCTACCTCCTTAAAGACGAGTCAAAGAACGTCGTTGCGTGCAGCTTTGGGGATCAAGCTGAAGCTCCCGCCCTACATTTCCCGGAACAGTGGAATGTACCTATCCGGAAGGACCATATCAGCAGGTGCAAGGTAAGGCTTGATCGAACCTGGTTCATATCTCCTCGCTGATTATTTTGCACAGAGGGTGATCGCTAACGCCCTTCTACCTACCCTCAAACAAGAGCGTGAGCATATCAATGCCACTGACTTGATCAGGAGGACCCGAGAAAGCGAGGTTCGTGTGACCTGCGGTAAGTTTTTTTTTTCTTTTTTTTTTCCTTCTTTCTTTTTTATTATCTTCGCTGAACGGAGGTGTGACTTATGGATATGTTCCATTCTTCCTCAGATACCTGCATGACGTCAATATTCTCATCATCTTGGATGTGTCGTCTTTGCGGTCGGGAAGCCTGCTCAGACTGCTTTGCTCTGGTGAGGGAGCTCACCGAAGACCGACCTGGCGCGGACCCAGCTGAGATAGCAGAGATGCGACGAAGACGGGAGAAATATGCGCATAGCAACCCATTCTTCTTATGTTGCACTAGAAGGAACGAGCACGACGCCCAGCATTTCTCGCCTATGTCGAGATTTTGGCTGCAAGAACTCCAGGAAGCCATCAACGAGATGGAGCAGTTGCTTCTCCGTGAAAACGCTCCGATTCCAATATCCAGCATTAGCTCAGGGTTGGCACCTGCTGGTCCGGCGCCGACAGCAGCTAGTCTGAAAGTTGACAGCGATCCGACTTCAGGTGCCCCGACGGCTGCACTTGTAACTGAGCCTGTCAATGAAGATCGACCGTGGACAGAAGTCTATTTGGCAAACCAGAAAAAAGCCTCGTTCCTTTCTGCACAACTTGCTCCCACCGGCGCCGCGGGACCACAGTATATCCCGCCTAACCTAACTCAAGCTACCGCCATGGTGCCAACCTTGGAACCATATCGTTTTACCGACCAGGAGGTCACGGGGGTTGATTCGGCGTCAAAGTTCGCCAAGATCTGGGAACATGGCGAGCCACTCGTTGTCTCGAACATCCTCAACAAGTTCAAGCTCGAGTGGACCCCGGAATACTTCATTCGCGAGTTTGGAGATCGGGAGTGTCTGATCACCGAATGTGAACAGGATGTCAACAAACGGACAACTATCAAAGAGTTTTTCTCGAGCTTTGGAAACTATGCCTCGCGGACGGAGGTCTGGAAGTTGAAGGTTAGTTGTCTACTTTCTCTATGGCGAGTAGCCTTCTAACTGTGCGCCCTCGATAGGATTGGCCACCATCTGCGGACTTCAAGACGGCCTTCCCCAAGCTCTATGAAGACTTTGCCAATGCTGTTCCCGTGCCCGACTACGTCCGTCGGGATGGTGTCTACAACATCGGCTCTCATTTCCCCGCCAACGTGATTGCTCCAGATCTCGGTGCGTCGACTATATCCCGATTCAGTGTCCTTATCTTGGTGCTCACCAAGTTTGAATCTAGGGCCTAAGATGTACAATGCTTATGCCGCCAACCAACGACCCGGGGGCAAGGGTTCGACTCGGTTGCATATGGACATGGCGGACGCTATGAACGTGATGCTCTTCGCTTCCAACTGCCCTGATGGTACCCCGGGTTGCGCCGTTTGGGATATTTATCGCGCCTGCGACAGTGACAAGATACGGACATTCCTCAGAACGACACACACGCTTCCTCCCAACTATGACCCCATTCATGGGCAACAATACTATCTGGATGATGACTTGCGGCTGCGGCTGTTCAAAGAGTACGGTGTGAAGAGCTACCGCATCTATCAGAGACCTGGGGAAGCGATATTCATTCCTGCTGGATGCGCCCACCAGGTGAGGTTACTGGCACAACTTTCGCTGCATGGAGTCTTAACATTTGTCTTGTCAGGTCTCTAACTTGGCCGATTCAATCAAGATTGCCATCGACTACGTTAGCCCGGAGAACATTGATCGATGCGCGCAACTGACTCGAGAGTTCCGAGAGCAGAACAAGAGCAAGGTCTGGAAAGAAGACGTGCTCCAACTCAAGTCGATGATGTGGTTCGCATGGCAGTCCTGCAGGAGGCGCGAGATGAAGCTCAACGGTTCCAGAGCGACACCCTCCTCGTCTTCCACCTCTTCGAATACCCTCTCTGACGTCACCTCTCAGCATTCGATATGAGGATGTTGATGCTCCGCCCTTCTTGGAACCCAAGCCTCTCTTTTTCCAAACCAAAAGTCCTCTGTAATTGCTTCGCTTTCAACTTGACCCAATTGTACATTAGACCACTGCATGCTTATACCTATTGACATTGCCAATGACAAGGAAGAACAGTTGCTTCTGGATCCTGGACGACCATACCTACCGTCGATTGTGAGGGAAAGAGACGGTCGGACGACGGACCTCGGACAGGGGTTTGTGCCGCCATCATCCCGATCACGTTACCCTGGATTATCCCATCGCGTCACAAAAACTTGCGGGGTCTGACTCTGACATGAAGGACCAAGCTGTTTCTTCTCCATAGTCTCTACCTTTTCTTATTCTTATTATTACCAGGTAATTCATCTTTACCTGGAATCCAGCGTCTTGCTGGCAAGGCATGAGCGCCCCACTGAAGAAACAACCAGCTAGTTTCTTCTCCTCAACAGCCGTCGTGCGTCATACCTTAAACCCAAGTTCAAAATCTCGACAAATGGCTTACTTTTTCGCTGAATTTATAGGACCATGCCGTTGCAGGACTCTCCGCTGGCGTCGTAACGACGCTGGTGATGAACCCACTGGACTTGCTGAAGATCAAGTTCCAAGTGAACACCGGGAAACCTGTCGGTGGGATGGGAATGCAGATGTGGTTGGCGTTGAAGGGGATTCAGCAGTCTCAGGGTTGGAAAGGGCTGTATAGAGGGATTAGTCCGAATATTGCTGGAAACGCGTCTAGTTGGGGACTCTACTTCCTCTTGTGCGTATCCCGTATTCTGTTTGATGTCTTATGTGTTTTGCTTACCACGTTCTCGTAGTTACCAGATGCTAAAAAAGCGCGCTGCGGGAGGGGACGTGATGAAGCCGCTATCGGCACCTGAATATTTGCTATGTTCAGCGCAAGCCAGTACGCCAACAATTCGATTTCAATGCGCGGGTGGAAGCTAAACTATGTTCGTTCTGTTGTAGGCGCGGTCACGGCTGTTATCACGAACCCCTTCTGGCTTATAAGGGTACGGATGTTTGCTACGACAGCAGATACCCCGGACGCGTACCGTGGTCTTTGGGGTGCGGATCTTCTTTTGTTTCTGGTGTACTTGGTCTAATGACTCGGAAACAGACGGATTGACACGGATATTCAAAACCGAAGGTGTTCCTGGACTATTCCGAGGAACCACGCTCGCACTGGTGGGCGTTGGAAACGGAGCCATACAATTCATGGCGTACGAAAAAATGAAAGGATGGGCATTCGAGCGTAAACGACGGAAAGCAGAACGGGAGGGCATGCATTACGATCAGAACACAGCGAAACTGGTGTGTGGCTTCTCTGTTTGCGAACGTGCTCTAGCTAACTTATCCGTGCAGTCTAATTTCACGTATTCAGTCATGTCAATAACAAGTAAATTGATTGCTCTGGCCACAACTTATCCCTATCAAGTTGTTCGATCCCGTGTCCAGGTACGTGGCTCTATGTCGTGTTTCATCCCCGGCGCTAATTGGGCCGCGTTTGATCCAGAATAACCTACAGCAAGACCAGTTCCCCAACATTCCTACAACTGTGAAACGAACGTGGAAGAATGAGGGCGTCAAGGGGTTCTACCGCGGATTGGGAACCAGTCTCGTCCGTGTGCTGCCCGGGACATGCGTTACCTTTGTGGTGTACGAAAACGTGGCTTGGCTTCTACGGACTACTGCTGCACGGCGGGAACAATCGAATCTAGATGGTGTGGACGACTGATCTGGTCTATACTAATCGTCGTCGTTTGTGCGTGATCTACTACTATCCCCTTCTTTTTAATGGTTTTACCTTGTTGTGGACCTCTTCTGCTACATTACTCCCGCTTTCAATTCGCCAACCCAAGGACTTAATAATTTTCTTTCTGTCGCTATAGGACACAGACTACTACTATTCTTTAGCAATGAAAACCATAGATTCTGTACTGCTATACTTTGCAATCGACCACCGCCCCCACTTTTTCAACGCCTTCGACGTGCTTCCCGACGACACATGGCCAGGAGTCTGTCCACAAGATGTTCTCTTTCCAAGCGCTGCTCACGTTCTTCTCTGCGTCGCTCACGTTCTTCCCTTCGCCGCTCGCGCTCTTCCCTACGACGCTGAGCCTGGAGCTCCCAGAAATAATCCTCCTCAAGGCGACGCTCCATGCGGCGCAATCCCAGCCGGGGGTAGTCCTCCCATTCCGTCCAGTCCACGAAGCCACGGTCCGGAAAGTGCCCCATATAATAATGCTCGTTTTCATCTCCGCTGTCTTCCTCTTCGTCGTGGCTGACCAAACCATGGAACTGGTCAATGCAGCGTGTCGATCCATCTGGGTCTTGAATTGTTATAGTCGAGAAGATAACCCGCGCAGCACCTCTTTCCTCGTCGACGTCTCCGATATAACCAATGATGGAGTTCCTGGGGATGGGGAATTCCTTTAATTTGTCTCGTCTGTCCTTTGGGATACAGCGACTGGGGATTGGGCGCAACCCTTGGTAGTCCCCGGATTCGTATGGCCTGTTGAAGAATCGGGTGACCTGTGGGTAACGACTTGAAGTTAGTAGTAGCATGGAAAGATTGGCTGGAGCATAAAACGCACCAAGGGCCTTCGTTCTGGAAGAGGATTTTCTTCGAACAAGAAGGCATTCATGAGGGCCTTCCTAACGTCTTTCCCTGTCCTTTTCCTGACGGGATTGCCCCTGCGACCTGTGAATAGGGGGTTTTGTCAACAGTCTCAAGACTGCGCAGAAAGCAAGCCAAGTGGAATAAACTCACTGTATTTCAAGAAGAATACGTCTTTTTTATCAGGTATGTCGATCGCGGCCTGCATCCGAGCAGCTGCGCGTTGGAGCGCTGCCTCTACCCCCTCTCGAACCCGAGCTCTCTGCCTTCTCTCCATATCTCTCTCATGTTTCTTTTTGGTCAAAGCGCTATGCTTCCTTCTCAGAAGCTCTTCCATGCCGTCCTCCCAACAGCGTTGCGCCCCCCTGGATTCCTTCCTCGCCTTCCTATGCAGCTCTTTCTCTCTTTGCCACTTGACAAAAACCCTAAAATCGAGTTGCCGGATGGACGCAGCGACGAGGAATACGTCGTCGACGAAGACGTCTTTCTTGTATCGACGCTGCTTTTTGAGAAAGTAGATGTTCTGTGCCATCTTTCGGTGGCGAGCTTCGGCCTTCTCAGCCTGTTGCCTTAATGCATTGGCGGCGTGTTTTCCGATTGTGGTTGGATGGAAGGTTTTGGCCAGGGTGATTTGGAGCCCATTTCCAGCTTGGACTACAGGGGAACTAGAATGTCCTCTGACGGCAGGATCAGCTGGACGGTTGTGGGCCCGGCGGGGCGAGTCTACGCTCGCGTCCGCGTAGTATCGCATTGTTAGCAAGCGCGATAGCAATGAGAATTTGAGTGGGCGGGGTGGCGAGGGTCGGTGGACTGGAGGCAGTGGTAGATGGAGGAAAATTGCGCTCGGTTGTCTTGCAGGCCGGGCATGCATCCACACGGCCGACGGGGGCGTGCCCAGAACATCCACCCGCCCATACAAGTCGGACGCAATAAATTGGCGTGAATAGGGGGACCCTTTGCCCAAAACGTGCAGTATGACCCCTGTCGACAGGAAGTGCCTTTCAAATGCATGGAGGGAGCCCTTGCGTTCTTTCGAGCCTTTGACTGCTGCGATTCGTCGAACGAATGGATTAAATTTCGGGAAGTCTTGTGTGACGAGAAAGGAAACCTGACGGCCATATTGGGCAGAGCTGGACCGTGATTCACAGAAGAATCAATGATGGGAGAAGTTGCCACTGGCTGTGCGAAACAGCCCCGTACCGAATGCAGAATGCCGAGAGGAAAAGCACAGTGAACGAAAAGAACTAGAAATCCGAAAGACAAAAGCTATAAAACTACTGGTACAGGGGTATTGGAATTCCACAACTCGATGCCAGGTAGACATCTACATAATTGACAGTTCAAGAACCCTCCGCACAAAGCCTCTCCACCTCTCTTACAAACACATCAAACTTGGCCTTATTCAATGAAACGTCCAGTACCACTGTCCCATCGTCCAACCTCCCCGCGATATACACCGCGTTCGTAAACACGACTTTCGTTGGTGTCAGCTGGTATCGGTAGCCGCACACTGTCTTCTTCGAGCCGGCTAATGTCCAGTCGGTTTGTAATATCCGGGAAGCGGAGACGTTGGAGATCATCAGGTCGTCGTCGGCTTCGGGATGGTTAGGGAATAGGATAGTCGGCGTCTTGAGCATTTGGTAGGCCGAGAGGACGTGGCCTTTGGATAGGGAACGTCTGTGGTCGGCAAGTTGGCTTGTCAGGTCGGGGAGGGGAAGTGAGCGGAGTTCGGCTGCTGTGAGTGTAGGATAAGGGATTGGGATGAAGGCGTTGTGAGGATAGGCTAGGATGTCGGGGTCGTTGTTCGTCAAGTATGAGCGGATTGCAGCGACGTTGCTGCAATGAACGCGTAATGATTCTGAGGACTCGAGAGAGTAAACGGTCTAGAGCTTGCCATTAGCAAGTCAAGTGAAAGAGACAAAGGGGAGGGCTGACTTTGTATATCCACGCCACTAGTACATCTCCAGAAGAGACACTCGTTGGGTCTTGATTTCTCTCTTGCAGCGCTGTCTTCACTGCACCAATGAGGGCATCAAAGGCACTCTTCGGCACCAGTACAATCCGCCTATCCGCGCCTCTCCAAAACCTCTCCCTCAATTGCCATGCAATGAGTTTGAGGAACCCTCCAAGCCCCAGTATTGAATAGCCTTTATACTCCAGGAGTTCACTCGTATTCTTCACCTCCTCTTCCAGCCTTTGCACGAGCGGGTTTGCGTTAAGTCCTTCTGCCGGTAATTTCGGGATAGCCCACTCCTCCCCCTTCAACTCGGCAACAAGGGCTTTGGTTACCATAGCCGCTCCTAGTCCGTCAAATACTCCATGCGAACGAGCAAAGCCGATGGCTGTATATGCCTTTCCATCCGCGTTCAAAGAGGCAGGGAAGTAGGTGAGGTGCCAACAGGTGAGTGGATGGGAGGTCCGCTCCCAAGCCGTGTATTGCCGGGGCGTGGACGGGTGGACGAAGAGCTCTGGCGGCAGCGAGTTGGAGACTTGAGGGATCGGAGTGGTGACGTAGGTCGATAAAGGGACGGTAGATGTCGTCTCTGTTAATGCAAAGGTTGGGTAATCCGATGGGAGAGGACCGAGAGGCACCCGAATGAACCATTTGGTTTCCTGTTGTCGATATCGGGGATAAAGCCAGTCAGCATCCAGAAAAGAACCACCGAGAATCTCTGGCAAACGAGGACCTACATTGTTCTCTCTAATAGACTGGACGCGCCCGGCGAGCATACGCCATTTATCCGTCACTTCTCGCAGAGCAGTGTCGATAGCAGCGGCGTCGACTGTTCCCTCGACCAACCACCCGGTTACAAACGTCGTCCGCTCGAAGACTCTGTCAAAAACAGTGAGCGGGAGCAGTGCACAGGGCTCGGGTGCAGAGCTCATTGAATCCAGGTGCAGAGATAGGCTGCAAAAGTGCGGGGAAAGTGGGGGGAAGCTGTTGCAGGTTCGTCGTTTGCAGAAAGGAAGGGAGAGAGGGAGCTCGTTTGTTAGCTGCCGGTATTCTTATTGAATGGGTATGTTAGAAGCCGCCCGCCGGGAACCATGGCACTTGAGTTTACCGTTGAGGGTACCTGATTGCGTACAACTCTCACGTCAACTTTGCCCTCCTGAGCGGGGATCGATGGAATTCTGATCGAAACAATAAGCCGCAACTTGGAGACTAAAGAAAGTAAACTCAGCTCGAGAGAGGCTCTCTGCTGCATTTCAATCAAACGGAAAAACGAGAGCTTCTCGAAGCAAATGTTTATGGTCATTCAACAGAGTATGTACTTACACCCATTTTGCTCTTTTGAAAGGTAGCCATTAATCACAAGTGCCCACGCTATTCCTGTTATGAGCCTAATTAAATTGATGGAGGTTGCTCAAGAGATCGCCGGAGCGGCCTTGTCAGCGCCATGTGCCAACTTTCTTGCGTTCGCATCGACACGTCGACGTTAGCGACAAAGACATGTTTTCACTGCCATTCCCGACTTGCACTAGCAGGCCAATTCGAAGAACTGGCGAGGGGAGGGGAGGAAGCTGAAACCATCGGGAAAAGCCACAGGAAACGCGTCAACGCGCGCCCCTGTCGCCATAATCATTAGCCCCTATGAGAGTCTCCAGCCCGCTCCAATACCTCCCCGATTCCGACCGGTAATAACTTCGACAACTTGCGAAAATGAGTCACACGAATCCTCTAGATGTATTATAGATGTAAGTACCAACGCGACGACAACTGTATCCCTACTCCTGCGATCCAGAGTCCATTCTCTACGAGTGCTCGCGTCTCTAAAACCTAGTGTAAAACACAGGATCTACTTTTGTGGTGGAATAACCTTGTCAACCGAGGGAGGCAGGACAAAGTTCTTCTCGTTGAGAGGGGTCTCGGTACCCGACTGGGTCCCATTCCCATTCGCCTTTCCGTTCGCGGCGGGGGCGGCAGCACCGCGCCTGGGAGGAGGCGCAATACCCATCTGCTTCTGAAACGACCTGCACAACTTGGTTCCGCCGGCATAAAAGAAGAGCAGGCCGCCAAAGACGAGGATGTGTCCGTAGTACCCGAGGTTCTTCCAAGTGGTGAAGGAGTCCTTGGCGGAGAGGATGATGAAGGGCGATGCGGCAAAGTTGAGGATCATGGCGGAGGTGATGATACCGACGAGGTCGTAGAGGTGCTTCCAGATCGAGGGAGGCTGGCCTTCGGCGGGGAGGAAGAAGGGACGGATGTTGGCTCGGACGAGTCGGGCAACGGAGGTGATGAAACCGCCCATGAGGAAAGTGAGGTAGTAGCCGCTAGCAATACCGTGCTACAAGACAGGCGATTAACTCGGCTGCACAGCGATAGCCTGTATTGAATGACACGTACCCAGAATGCACTGGTGAAGAAGGTAATCATGCTGCTGGCGAAGCCGGGTTTCTTGCCCTTGGGAGTGACGCGCTTGTAGACACACTCGCGGAGCCAGACGTTGGTCTTCATGTTCCACGAATCGAGGAGAACCTTGAAGTTGGGAGGGAATTCGATAGTCCAGACTTTGACGTTGGCGGCACCATTCCAGTGAGCCTCCCCATGAGGACCGAAACCAGTGAAGCCAAGACCGGTGAGGATACTGGCACCCTCAGTGAGAGTCCAGATAGCGTAGTACTTGCAACGCTCGACAGGTCCGAAAGCCTGGAAGTGGATAATGCTAAAGGCAGGAGCATAAGCGGCAATCCTCTAGGACCAACTCAAGCTAACCTACCGGCGAAGCAAGCTCTGCTGAGCGAATTCCTCTGTGGCACCCTTTGCGTAATAGAACTTGGGGCCGAACACGACAAAGACACCAAGGTAGACAAGACCCATGACGAGACGGGTGTAGGCAGCACGCTTTCGGTAAGAAGGGAGGCGACGGCCGGGCTTGATCTTTGGCTTGATCTTCTCGTCTTTGAACATGGCTTCGTTGACGAGGTCCATGTATTCGGCGTAGTCGAGGTAGGGGCCAACAAGGATACCAGGGAAGTAGAAGCTGGGAGCGTATCAGGATGATGTTACGTGCCATCAGGATGATTTTGACGTACGAGTAGCCCAAGAACTCGAGGATGGAAGGGTACTTGGTGACGCGTTTGGCGAGTTGCCATTTGTCCAATTCCTATACAACGAGGAAGAAAGTTAATTGGGAGCCCAAACGCGCTTGAATATGAGGTGACGCACCTCTTCTTTCCGTCGACCGTCATACACGTTCCAGGCGAACGTGGTGAGCTTCATGGTCAGCACCATCTGGGGTCCAGTCACTTCCATAGTCTCATAGCTGAATCCATAGATGGCTCGAATGACGTGGCTAGTGGATAACGACGTTAGTTTTGGCCTTTGACGACAACGAAGTTCCTTGCTCACTTCACAGTCAAGTGTCCCATGACAATACTGTACCGAACGCGTTAGTTTCCAATACGGCCGCAGAACGAGAGACCACGACTTACACAAAGACAACCCACGGCATCTTCTTGCTCTTGTCATACTTCGCAATGAAATACGTTGCCAAAATGCTTCCCAGCAGTTGGAAGAACGCCGAATAGATCTTCAGGATGGGGAAGAAGAACAAGACGGCGACCGTCACGCTGTAAAGGTGGCGAAGCGCTGGCTTCGACGACGGGACACGCGTGAACAGGCTTCCTAGCGGATATGCGACCAGCAAGCAGAAGATAAGCTGTTCAAAGGGTTTCAGTGTACTGTCGAGGTAGTTGTAATATCATATGGGTCCAGCTCACCTTGATCTGGTCCACGCTGGCGCCAACCGCGTTGGCAAGCGGGGTAAAAAGTGCATCCATCCTCGACTACCTCCCTTTCTTTTCCACTGCGTGACGGTGGTCGTGGTGGTGGTGGTTAGAGGTGAAGAAGAGAATAAACTCAAGATTTGCGCGACTCACCGAGGTCGACAGAGGGAATTGAGGCCAAGTGCCAGGTGTCAAGAAATGACCCAATTTTTCTGCTTTGGGGCACGACCCGCGGAGTTCCCCTTTTGGATGCCCCAATTCCGGGGCCCCTGTCGACCCTGACGCGATCAAATCCGTCGCGTTCAGAGCGCGTCTGGGACGACGATGGGCTGAGGCAAGCCTTCAGAAAGCGATAGGAATAGAGTACGGGGTCGGGTACAGTCAGCTGGAGATATGGTATACTACTATACCTTGCCCCGGTCCAATAAACTCAGGTTCTCTTGTTCTCCTCAATCTGAAACAACCTCCGACGATCCCGAACAATATTCAAGTGAAGGCGATCTTTGGCATTCAATTCGGACTACAGAGCAGGGTATCTTACATGAAAGCAGAGTCGTAAAATAAAGAGAGATAGAAAAAAGGTATCCTTCAGGCGATCGTCGACCTGCGCGCACTAGTTGCGCGCGGTGCCAGCGTGCCCTCGGAAGAAGCGGGAAGGTGAAGACGAAGATGTTTGCGAATCGTCACTATGTATACACCGCAGGACGGTCCCGCGGGATCATAACTACGCATGTGAAGTCATTGCACCTGTCGCGCTCGCCGTCAAGCCAATTTAGACTTGAGGAGACGAAGGCACGGCGTTGACGGGCTGGCCGGCGAAGCCAGGATTGGGCGGTTGAGCGTATCCCGACTGTTGAGGAGTAACAGGTACTTGTTGAGGAGGATAGCCTGCCTGCTGGGGTTGCTGTTGGTTCTGCTGAGCGAGCTCCGGCTGCTTCTCGAACTGAGGAGCAAGTCCAGGGTTGGCACCTTCAGCGACGGGAGGGACCGCAGTCTTGTTAACGGCAGTATTGAAGTCGAATTCCCGGACGGAGGAGGTCCAGACGGCGCTGGTGCCCTTGACGTGGGACATGATGGAGAGGACGAAAAGGGTGGTGGTGTAGACCATGACTAATGGAAGTTAAAGATAGAGAGATGGCGTGAGATTTGAACGTAAAGGCTGAGTTATAGTGGAGTGACTTACGGAAGATCCAGTTGAGGAAACCAAAGGCTTGGACGGTTTGAGCCTCTGAAGCGAGTCCACCATGAGCTGAAGGGTGGACAACAGCGGCGGTGGAGCCAGCACTGGCGATCCACATAATCCAAAGGAACCCTTTGGAGATCGATTAGCCTTTTGCCGTCGACGGAGATGAATGAGACTTACAGAGCCAAGCAACTTCAACTACAATAAACGAAGTGAATGCGCCAGTGCGTGTGACCGAGAGCCAGTACCTGTCAGACAAGGGGTGGTCAGTCAGTCTCCGTGACGAGGTGGAAAAGACTGTAACAACTCACATCACTGGCAGAGTGAGGAAGGTCAAAATTCCAGTTGCGAGCGAAAGGGCGGCAAAGTTCCAGTAGAAGCCGTAGCCGCGAGTGTAGTCAATAATGTGCGCCGACAATGCGAACACAATGACCGATAGCAGGGTCACGACACCTATACTGTGAATTAGCGCGCTCGTTCTCGCTCGAGCAATGTCACTAGAACATACCAAACAAGATCATGCGAACGAGCGGCAACAAGCTATTGAGGTTCACCATCTTCGACTATTCGTTGGAAGGACGTCGGGTCGTGAAGGTAAGATGGAAAGGGGTGTCGAAGGGTCCAAACAACCGAGATGGGTGGAGCACTTTTCAATGAAAAGGTTGGGCCTTTAAGAATGGAAGCCTAGCACACGGTCGGGACTTGCAACTGAACGCAAGTGGGCTGGGCTTGGCGAGTCGACGACGACGGACGGTGGAACGGGTGTTGAGGGGGGGAACTAGTGGGGTTGACACGTCCTGGCTCCACCCATCGAGTCAACCCAACCTATTTATGTTCATCCCATTGATGATACCCATCGTCCCTGACATCGGTTGGTTGGACCCGCCAAGCATCAAATCCATGATCCATGGCCCAGGAGTCTTTCCCTATTCGGGTAAAGGTACATAGAAAACCAACGAATTAGGAAGTCGACGGTGGATTTTTCTGCGAAGCGTCGGGTTGGGTTCCTGGGGGCGGTGAGTCGGTGTCTTTCCTTTGTTGTGTGAGATGACGTGCATCGCATTCACAAAAGTCTTGGGCTCTTGAGAACCGACCGTCGACAGTTGGTCACAGTGAAGAGTTGACCAATACGCAGAGATAGCTATTTAAATGCGGTAGTCGTTAGAAAAAAGTAAAGTCTATGCGGGACCGAGTTGAACAACATTTCGCCTCGAGGCAAGTCATGGGAATGATTGCCAATTGATCCCCCCGGCAAAAGCCGCCGCTTGTTAACGGGCGCTTGACGTGGTAGATTCAGAAGAAAGTCCACATTTGGCAGTCGCTCATCTATCATGGGAGCAAAGCTCTACAGCAATTTTGTCTTGGACCTTGCTTGGGCTGAAAGGCGGTGTACGGGGTGGACTGGGCCTCGAAGGATATCACGAATTGGTAAAGACCACTGTCCACACTTGATGGGCGCCTGTCCGCCGCTCACCATCTATACCTGTACCCGAGCAGTACGGGAAGCTAACCATGAGACGTTAGCGATGGTCGCAAGGAGACACTCCGCGAGGCATCCCTGTTCTGACTTTGAAGGCCTCGGATATAGCGGCCAATTCCAATTGTCTATCGCAATAAACTATGTCATGGCAGCCTGCAGGCAAGTCAATCAATAAGTCGACGTCGTCGAAGTCTATACCCCAAAGGTAGTAGTTCTTAGCGCCTCTGGATAATCTCAGGAGACTGTCCCATCCATGCTCACCAAGACCTGACGACCATCGCACCTTCGAGCGATTCCACGAACTCGTTTGGATCGGGCGAACCTTCCCGTGTCCAAGAGTTTTTAGGCCATTATTCCGAGAAGTGACGGTAGCGAGGCGATGCATGTCTGCAGTCTTCGGTCCCTTCGAATCTACAAACTCCTGGGTATTTTCTCACTGACGACTTGCTCTCTCTTGGAAGGACGCATCACGTATTCCAACTTAGCCTCCCTCAATCTCGTTCAACAACTGAGGCGAAACGTCCACCTCTAGACCCACGAGTTGTACTGAGTCCACGGTCCTCACTCAGCGTCTACTCTGCACTCGCAAGCTCCGGATCAAGAACCTAATCCACTCCTGCTCGAGAGGACCATTCCAAGTCAGTCCCGAGCACCAAGCCTTGGTATGATGTCATCCCTCCTCTCGCTCTGCTCTCGTGGCACCCGAATCGCACCTCCAGTGCAATGCACCATTCAATATTCACTTCCCCTATCTCTCCTTGGAAAGGAAGAAAAACGGTTCGAGGCTCCTTGGCAACCCTCTTCTCCGCCGGTTATGAGTCTGTATAGTGTACTATGGGCCCAGAACAGACCATCTCATAATGAAAAAATCATCCTTTGGATGAAGGCGGTGCGCGCGATTGCGATCTGCTGAAGGAACGGTACGTTCGGACCTGGGTTCTGCATCCATAACGACCCTCGCTCGACTGACTGGCTGGTCGACGGCTCCACATGGCTTGGTACCTTAGTAGCGATCAGAGTTAAACGACTTGTTGGACCTGTAGGCTGTGTAACAAAGTCTCATCGACGTTCGCATAGGCGCTAAGTGCTCGCGTACGACTCGGAGGAGTTCGTTGCGGGAGCAGCTACCCACCTTGTAGTCTTGTCTGAATCCATTTACTCCCACTGAAATACACACGATCTGCCAGAGCAGAAGCAACCGGCATCTTGAAAACCACAACGTCATTGACATTGCAAGGAAACCGGTAACGAACACATCTACTAACTAGTACGAGGAACCAAACCGTCAGGATACGTAGGTCTATTCGAGGTATGTAAGTACTTGGTATATGAAACTGTCAATGAGTTTGTGTTATAGCAGTTATAAATAACCATGTTGGAAGGGTCCAGTTAACAGGAGACCTCTAAAGCTTCGCTCTATTGTCACCACCCACGAACGCGATGATGAGAGACAGGACGAAACTGGAACATCCAAACCGAACGAAAGCAAATATGCACAACGAAAAAAGAAAACAGATAGCCGATCGACTCCAGTCGCATAGGAGAAACCCCCTCGATGTGACGGTTGGGTGGAAGTCAAAAGTCTGACCAGCAGACCTGACGAATTCCATCCACACACCGTCACGAGATTAAACCGCGGAAGAAAAGGATCCCTTGCAGCCATGCACAAAGGAATCCAGAGAACGTAACATTATTTTTGGGTCCGCAACCGAGGGGAAAAGCGAAGAACGATAGACCAAAAGCCAAGCCCGATTAAACCATAAAACCGTCCAACCAAACCATAAGGTAACCGATGTAATCCAAACCGAGTGCGGAGGTGAGAGGGCGGCGAGATTTACACCTCATTCCTAGCAGCAGCAGAGCGCAAGGCAGCTGGGAAGCCAGTAGCACTGGCCAGCCCCTCAATCGACGCGTCCGAGGAAGCAAAAGCAACCCCTGAACGCCTCAACGAGATCCTCCCATAATCACCCAAGCCAAACCACCCCTGCCAATCAAACCATCCCTGCTTAACCGCGCTCCCCACCCCCGCATCAACCACGCCAGATCCATCAACGCCCGACATAGCCTTCATCGACCCCGCGGACGAGGCGATGTAGTGTGTGAAGACGTGGCAGAAGACGAGCAGGAAGACGATCGAGGCGAAGATGATGAACCGGCAGGGGAGGCGCCGTTTGGAGGGCGGGTCGTAGTGCCATGAAGCGGGTGCGTTGCCGGAGACGGGGGAGGTGATGGGGAGCGCGATGGGAGCCTGTCGCGATGCGGACGTCCATGTTCTCCACTTCTCCCTCCAACTGCATTGGCTTGAAGTGCTGATTAGAGGAGGAGAGAACCCGGCTGTCGGCGGAGATGTCGGGGGTTTGGGGAAGAAGTACTCGGAGACGCGTTCCCGGAGGGTGGGCTTCTTGGGAGGAGCGAGGAAGGCGATCGAGAAGTCCTTCGTGGACGAGGGCGATGAGGGTGTCACGATGATAGCGGGCAGCGGTGACTTTTCGGTGGCGGATTCGATGGAGAGGTCGTGAGGCGCCGGGATTAGGATGTAGTCTAGGTTCAGGTGCTTGGGGAGTCGGTGCACACGAGGGCCTTGTCCTCCAGCATCAGCAAGCAATTCCTCCTCCAAGCGACATTCCAATTGCACATACCGGAACGAGTAGACTTGCGCGCAGAAGACATGATTTCAATAAGTGTATAAAGAGATGATAGGATAGGCTGGGATCTGGTTTATAGCCAGTCGTGAGCATGGTTGTCAAGCTGGCAACGTCATAGATTACAGGGACTCACTTGCAAACGCGATAGCAAGCAAAGGACAGTGATTAGAAAAGAATGTGAAGATAGCTCAGCAGGTCAGAGCTAAATGAGGGTAGGATGATGTCCTGAGGTTTAACGCAGGAATTCGACCGAAATCCGACGATAAAAGCTAGGTGAAAAGAGCAGAGTCGACCGCTGAAGGAGGGCGAAAAAGCAAGGGAGACGGAGACGGCGACTGAGGGAGAGGTGACTAGGAATTACAGTTAGTATTTATACAGGGGAGTTCTAAAGGAGGAGGAGAAGAAAAACAAGACCTACAAAAGAAAGGTAACGTTGGAAGGCGAAATTGGGCAGGAAATGAAATGTCAAAAGGGACGCCCCTTGCATGGAAACAAACAACTGCACTGCCGAGAGCATTCTTGTTGATGGCCACAGTGATGGCCGGTGTTGGTCGCGATATAGCTTCCGACTCGGTCAAGTATGTAGACGCTCAAAGGATTCCAGGCTGTTCAATACAAACTGGGTATTTGACAATATACAAGACGGATTGCCCCTTCTACTTCACTTTCTAAGCACTGCATCGACCGCATCCCTCCACTTCCTTTGCAACTTGACCGTCTCGAGGAAGATCTCATACTTGACCTCAAGCAACTTCCTTTCAGTTTCCGAAGTGCCTTTCATAGCCTCTATGAACACTCCCTCGGGTGTCATCTCGGCCTGTAAAGAGGAAATGTCACCCTCAAAGCCTTTGGCCTTTAAGCGAACCTCGTTGACTTACCATAATACCCCAAAGCAACGACGCCACCTTTTCGTGGTCCGACTTCTTTCCAGAAAGCGACGCTGCCACAACTTCATGCGCCATACGCCCCAACATCGCCGCCCCAAGAACAACCGCGCTCACACCACTCTGTTTCCCCCCATTGTTCGACTGCGTATCCGAATCGCTTGAAGTGATAACCACGCCTTTGACGACACCAGATGAACCATGGCATGCATCCGCGAGCAATTTCATCAGGATGGGATTCTTGGCTTGGCTCCCACTCACGTAGAGTTTGTCGATTTGGTGGCCTTTGGAGTTGAGGGTGTCAATGATGGAGCGGGTTTGGAGGGCGATGGCTGTTAGGGTGGCATGATAGAGGAGGGCAAGGGATGAAAGGGATGTGTCGAGATCGAGCCCGACTATTGAGCCTTTCATGCGAGAGTCCGCGATGGGAGAACGATTTCCTGGTCTGAGATTAGTCGAGAGTATCCAGAGGAGATCAGGGTGGCTTACCATGGAAGTCGGGGTATAGATGAAGTTCTTTAGTCAGTTCGGTATACGACCCTGCGCCTTTTTCTACACGCAAGGATTCTAGCTTCTTGTGCAGGACTGCATCCAAACCGTCAGAACTCGGTGAAGGACGAAGTGGTTTCCCTATTACTCACCTTCATAGATATTTGAACCTGATGCTTTAGCCTGTTCCTTCAACTCAGGATATGCCGGATGGGTCGTGATGATATGCTCGATCAACTGGCACACAGTCAGTTTCCCGTTCTTCAAAGCGTCTGTCTTTTCACTTGCCTGTCCTGTGGAGGACTGCCCTCCTTCATTCATCCACCATCCGGGGAAGATAGGATCCTATACAATGTGCCACACGTCAGCCGATGCGATATGACCCAGTTCGAGAGGTGGTGAACCGACCTTGTACGGACCCCATATCCCATCCACGAACACGCCTTCCCTGCTCTTTCTATGGTGTTAGATCCAAGCTACCGGGCATGCCAGAGAGAAAAAAGCCTACCATAACGATATGGCACGTACTTGTACCAGCAACAACCGCAATCCGATGCTTCGCCTCGTCCAACTTTGGGCTCTCCTCCTTCCTCCCCTCCGCATCCAAGCACCGTGCACCAACCGTACCCAACCAACCTGCATACCTACACAAAGTATACATTTGGGTCAACGAACACCGTCCCAAGCGCCAAGCCACTCACGCATCAATCAGAGCACTCCCAACAGGCGTTCCCTCTCTCAACCCCAGCTCCCTCGCAGCGTCTTTAGAAAGCCCAGAACCAACCGGCATCCCAGCCGTCAAAACCCTCTCCCCATTCTCATCCACAGCACCAATCTGCCCGTACCCCCTCTCAACCAGCTCACCCAGGCCAATGGTTTGGAAGAACTGGTCGTCCCAGCCTGACTTCGAGTCATCCCGGTCCACTGGAGAGGGAGCAGTGTGACCGTCCTTCACAGCCCGAGCGGCCAGAGAGACGTAGGAGCATTTACATGTGAGTGAGCAGCAGGATCGCGATTTGCTGCCCGTTGCGCGGTAGGTGAGATAGTCGGGCAAGTCGAAGAACTGGCAGCGGCTGAATAGCTCTGGGGACATGTTGTTCTTCAGCCATAGGATTTTGGGTATCTCCATTTCCAACTGTACAAGTCGGGGGGATTCATATTAGGGAGGAAGGGTCGTTTGGGGGGAGGGAGGACGCACGCTAATCTTCCCTCCGACATAATCCAGGACGACTGAACCCGTAGCGTTGATAGTTTCAGCTTCCTTCTCTGCTCGGTGGTCTGCCCATAGGATGATGTCCCTCTCGCCGTACGAGCCCAGATCAGGCCCCTGAGTCACAGTAACACCCTTCCCGTCTACATCCGTAACAGCCAGAGAGCAGGTCGCATCGAATCCAATACCGTGTACTCGTCCAGCAATCTCATCTACCGAAACTTGCTACCGCCCCTGTTTGTCAGTACACTCTGGCCTGACGACGGCGGATCGCTCTCACCGATACGCCCGCAGCCTCCTCCAAACACCTCTTTACTGCACCACAGATCTTATTCCAAATATCATTCGTCGATTGCTCGAATATCCGATGGTCGGTGGGCGATCGCCAGGTTTGGATCTCTTGTGAAGAGGTAGAGAGTAGCTCCCCGTCTTTCTGTACTAGAGCAGCGCGAACAGAGCCTGTGCCGACATCGATACCAATGTACAATGGCTTGCTGGAAGGAGCAGAAGTTGGACTCATCGAGGTAAGAAGCAAGAGATATCTTATCGGTATCAGGACAAGCCGTTTCCGGTGTGGGGTCGGATGACCTGATATCAGAAAAGGCAATCTTCCGTCGGGAGAGAATTTCTGAAGACTCAGAGCACTGGGACAACTGGGATATAGGCTTTTGCGATGCGTGTGGTTCATTGGATTGCTCGGATTACATATGCCTAGTGAAGCATAGAGACATGACACAAAAAGATGGGAAAAAGCGCAAAGAAAACTCTCTAATCGGATGTTGTTGACCGTGCTGTAATTTAACGAAAAATTAGCCCCCAACCAATGCAGAGAAAAAAGGGACAAGACTGACTGTAGATGAGCTGAGCACCGTGGTGCACAATGCGCTTAATGCTACCCTCATTCTCCAAATGCTTGATAGCAATGCGGGCCAGGCTGCCGTTGATTTTGAGACGTTCGATGAGGATGCTCTGGCTGATGAACTTGAAGGTGGGGACTTCCTTCAAGATACGGTCGTAGGTGGCCTTGTCGAGGACAACAGAGTGGACGGCCTTATCCTTGACCTTTCCCTTCGACCACTTCTTCTTTTTTGCGGCCTTTCCGCCAGATGATGGCGCTGCGACTTTGGCTTTGGCCTACGAAAAATCGAGAGATCAACAAAACTTCATCGACCGTGAATCGAGTGCATCCAGCAGGAAAACGGTCCAGCGCCCGCGATTTCACGCTAGGCGGGCATAGATGCGACCTGTAGGATGCCTCTCGTCGAATTATAGGGCAAAATTTCACTCACCATGATTTTGTTGACCGTCGAGGATGAGGGTCGTCGTCGTGTTGTCCCCTCTCGATTGACCCCCAGCGATTGAAACTCCGATCCGGATCAGAATGCTGAGTCAGCAGGGACTTGGCACGATGACACCTACGCGACACGTCGGTGGGGATTCATTGGAATTGCAGTAAGTTCAATGGTTGTCTAGTACCATGGTGTCCTGGCTCTTGCTTCTCCCTCTCCTTCCACTCTCCGTCACCGCAGCAAGCGGTCGAGACAAACTACTAGGCGTCGACCCCGCGTTAATCAAGAAATATACACCGTCCAAGTCTAACACTTGGAAGTGTCTGGATGGGTCAAAGGAGATTCCATGGAGTGCTGTGAATGATGATTATTGCGACTGTAGAGACGGAAGTGATGAACCAGGTGTGTGTGGATGACCAGAGACGAGAAAGACTAATTAACATTTGGTTAGGAACCAGCGCTTGCCCGAACAGTCGATTCTATTGCCAAAACAAGGGGCACATAGGATCCTTTATACCCAGTTCGAGAGTGGGAGACGGTCTTTGCGGTACGTGAGCTGTTATTATCCCAAACAACTCAAATTCATGTCTGTTTAGAGCCCGACTGTTGCGACGGTTCCGACGAGAAGCCTGGAGTTTGTCCCAACCGATGCAAGGAAATCGGAGACGCCTATAGAAAGGAGCGCGAGGCTTTGGAGAAGATTCAAAGGACGGTGTGTATCATCATCCCTGGCTGAACGAGTCCTTGTCTAACGAGTTTTATAGGGCGCTAAAATCCGCTCGACCTATATTGCCTTTGCTCACAAGGAAAAGGCACGCTTGGAGGCTTCTATAGAGAGACTGGACAAGGAAATCAAGGAAAAGGAGAAGGAGGTAGAGAAACTGCGAGGTAGGCTTTCCCTGGTCCCCGTTCCTTCTCGTCTCACACGTTTTGTAGACGTCGCCGAACGCACAGAGTCTCTATCCCAAGCGGCTATCGAACACAAGAAGCAGTCACGTCAGTACCCCTTTACCTCCCTTTTCAACGCGCGTGCTGATGGTCCTCTAGCTCTGTACAAGTCCATGCAAACACACAACATCGCCCTCCGCTCCCTCCAACGCGAGTACAAGAAGCACCTCGAACGCGAGAAAGCCCTCGGCAACATCCTCGACGCCCTCCGTACCGGCTACAACCCCAACTACCAAGACATGGCCGTCCTCGAGGCCGTCCGTGGATGGGAAGAACTCGCCGGCCTTCCTCACATTAACGACGTCAAGAAGGGCGACGACGCGGATGATGTAGAGGTCGAGGTTGAGGCAAAGGAAGAGGAGGAACCCGTCGATGATGGACTCTGGACCCCGGATCAGGTCGAGTACCAGATTGACAATGTCATCGCTACGGATTATACGGCGTTGCTTTTGGAGCATGAGGAACATATCAACCAACCTCTCGAGGACAACATCTGTACGTCCCTTCTTCCTCTTCGAAAACGCTCTACTCACTTTGCCCAGTGTTTGATCTTGCGAACTACATCCCAGACTCCCTCCTGCCTTACTTCGACGACGCCAAAGACGCAGTGGTTGGGCTGTTGTCGAAACTTGGTATTGTCAAGGATGACTCGGTTTCCAGCTCAGCCACCGCCGAGGCTCAGCGTGCCCAACAGGCTCTCACCCAAGCCCAAAGCGCTTTAATGCGTCTGCACAACGAGAAGGCTGAGGCCCAGAAGGACATTGACGAGGTCTTTGCCCCTGAAGCGTTCGGTACCCGTGGAGAGTGGAAGAAATTGGATAACGAGTGCCTGAACCTTAACACTGGAGAGTGAGTCCTTGTCTAAGCCTGAGATTGTGGAGGGGATGTTGACGGAAGGTTTCCAGCTACACTTACGAGTTGTGCCTGTTCAAGGAAGCTAAGCAGAAGCCTAATAGCGGTGGCCAGACTTTCAGTCTAGGACGCTTCAGCTCATGGAATAACGCTCCCGGTGTCGAAGTCGGCTCACCAGAGTACTACTCGAAGATGTTCTACAAGCACGGTACGAGGTGCTGGAACGGTCCTGAACGAAGCGTCGTGGTACGTATCTCACCCTTTTTCGCCCTTACTCGGCCAGAGTTATCGTGATCCGACGCTGACACTCGCGCCGCAGGTTCTATTGAGCTGCGGAGTCGAAAACGCTGTGACGAACGTTCAAGAGCTCGAAAAGTGCGAGTACCAGTTCACTGCAACGACACCTGCGCTGTGCTTGCCGCTCGATTCCAAGAGTGGTAATGCTGGTAACAAGGAGGAGCTCTAGGTTACCGCTTCAGTGAGCCATTGGACTTCATCGTGGTATCTATTTGATAGAAATATCGCTATCGCTAATGAAATTATTTGGAAAGGACTTGTACCTGGGCTTGGGAATGAGGCGAGTGGTCCTCCTCCGGTGGAATACTTTTTCCGGCGAGGAGAAGCAAAGCACGAACATACCGACTTTTCCAATAATTTGGCGCACCAAACGTAATTCTATGCAGCCCCCGCATAGCGACTGTGACAATCGATGAGTACGCCCCTCATCTTTTCTCGGTCACTTCTTTGTTCGCCTCGTTTCGACCTGTGATGTGCCCCAGTTGTCGTCACTCTTCCCGTTTGACAGCGTCATTAGACAGGAAATGTGGGCCTGAACGAACGCCCGTTATCGGTAATGAAATGCCGGGCGTGGAGAACGTATTTGAAGACGACGTCAAATCCTTTTGTTCAGGAATGATAGAAAACGACAGAATGTGTCTATTCGGCTGATGATTCTGGGCGTCTTCGTAGAGAGCGAACAAGGAGGGAGAGCGAGGAGCAAAGTGGAGACGGACGCGCTATGTTGGCGGGTTTGTCGTCATACCTTGCTAAACGGTATGGAAAGGCGCTTTTACTATTGACAAGTTCCAGACTGGCCCAGGATCTTACGTCGTCGCTGTCACTGATCACTATCTGAACATCTTCCATGGAAGGTCATCATCGGTACTTTGAAACGGCGGGAAAAACAAACACCAACACCCCCAGATTGCGATTAATTTAGGGTCCGGGGGTGTTTGATGTCACATCCGAAAAGCCGCTAGGAAGGATAAATCAAGAATACAAGGCATCAGATTGGAGAAGCCGCCCCAACGTCGACGTCGTTGACACCCTGAATGTTCCCATCCTCATCGATAATCGTGGCATGCCCGGAATTGGGGACAGTTTCAAGTTGACAATGGAGCAATACGTGAACGGGATACGATTTCGTAGCAATCGATGAGCAGGTGACTGGTCGGCATGGGTGTTCTTCCAAGTTTCGAAGATCTTCGAACTCCTTCCTATCCAAGTCCTATCGAAAGAGTTTGGGGTGCGAATGTGTACCCCGTAACGCTTTTGAAATGCTCTCATTTGAGCGACCCAGAAGAGGCAGGTGCCTTTTGTGACATACATATATACCCCGTCGTGCACGTTGAAGAATTAGCAACGAAGTCCCCTTCGACTGCGTTACACAAACTCTCCATCCTCTCCTCAACAGACACATCGCAATGGGCTTCCTATACCCAGGCAAGCATGACACCCACCTTTCTCATTCGCATTCTTTTTTCATGAACTCACCCGTTGGCCACAGACAACGAGAACCGCGCGCGGCGCTTGCAGCAACTTATCGATAGCATGGTCAACATGCAGACCGACATCAAACATGTTGCCGAGGAGATGGACAAATTGGACAAGAGGATGAGACCCACTATTGACAAGTTGCTTCACGATAACCACATGAACGGCATCGATGACCTGATCAAGAAGGCGATGGAAAAGATGACTCCGGAGGAGAAGAAGCAGTTCGAGGCGGTAGGTCGGACTAAGTACTTGATCTAGAACTGCAGCGCTGAACGATGCCTTTAAGATGATCGCTGCTGCGAAGAAATTCGATACGGTATGATGTTTCCTGTTGGTCCTCGTCTGATCTCGCGCTAAGGACACGTTCGCTTCATCAGGGTATTGACATCACGTATTTCATTGGCGGTCTCCTCTTCCTTCCCGAGGGACTCGTCCTCTCAGGTTTGACCATGATTATAGCGCGCTTCCTTACACGCACTAACATGCTCACTCAGGGAAGCTCGTCCTTGCGGTGGGCAAGTACATTGGCAAACTCGCAATCGTCCTTGGGGTTGCCAAGTTCTTCCGCATTGCGGCAGGCGGTGCTGAAGCTGCCTCTGCTGCTGCTGCAGGTAGAAGTTTACGCCGTCTTCCATGAATATTACCGTTGCTGACAAGTCTTCAAATAGCCGCATCACAGCTCGAGAAAGCTGCCATGGAGGCTGAGGCGATCACCAAGGGTAAGGCATTCCTATTGCTCACTCGTGGACCGATCGTTTACCTAGTACCTCCTCTCTTTATCAGAGGCTGGCCTGGGAGCCGAAGCCGGGGCTGAAGTAGCGGAGGCTTCGAGGATCTTCGCCCGAGTCAGCAAATTCGTCAAGATCCTTGGAATTGTGGGATTCGTCCTCACAATCGTTGTCTTCGTCATCGAGGCCATCGAGGGGGCGCAGCAGTGAGTCACGATAGCACATCCCCAAAGCATACCTCTCACCGTATAAATAACAGGAGAGCACGCTTCATCGAAGCCATTCAAAACGCGCAGCCTTCCCGCCTTTGCATCGCCCGTTACAAGCGAGAGGCGATGAGCATCCAGCAGAACATGACGACCATGTCGACCTATTTGGACGCTTTGACTGACGGGGAACAAGAAGCCGCTAACTATGTAAGAATCGACATCTCCGCTGATACATTTCTTGTGCTGTATTGACGCTCATATTTCTCACTTTAGATGTCAAAGAAGATCATCAAGAACATTCAGGAGCAGGTTAGCCAGATCAACTGGAATGACCTGGAGATCGAGCTGGAGAGACAGGATAGGCAGGCCGGCAGCTACTATGGTGGTGACGACCTTAGCACGGTCGATGTCATTGACAAGGCGACCAAGTTGCACGACGAAGAGAATAAATAGGGGCCCAATGATCGAATTTGTCATTTACATAGCTGTACAATACACATTGTTTTCTGAGCGTCAGTCCGATTTTGCAACTGGTTGGATTGGAGAAAGAATTTTTCCACCGGATGGAATAGATATTCAAATCTCCTTTTGTCTGGAATCCCTTATGGCCTGCCGTTATCAAGGGGCTTGAAGCTCTTTTGCTTGCTCGAAAGAGTTGAAACAACAACGGGAGGGATGGTCACTTCCGAGTCGGGTCAGGGGAGCAGACGGTGATCGCCGAGGTTGTTATGAGCTGCTGAAACCGTAACGTCACAGTTTCTTGCTCTCCCCCCCGCTCTTATCATGGCCTTTGCGTTCTCGGAAACTTGGCTCTCTATTTTTTGACCTCTTCAAGAGATTTTGACCAGAGATCTAGCGCTATATCTTATTAAAATGTTCCCCAGTCTGCAGCGACAACGGAGTGCTTTCCTAACCAGACTAAGGCCCTCATGAGTCATGACCAGCCTGCAATGCGTGAACGTTCTCATCGAATACGGTGCCAGCTATCGCCGGCGCCTATATCGGGAATGTGCTGTGGTTCGCACATCTGCTCCAATCCACACGTCAAGCCCCAAATTTCAATGAATTAACGGAAGCGAAGATGCTGCTTGCCACTTTACTAAACACAATGGAGTGGATCTCAAGTATCCGTCCAAGCGAATCGCGGATTCTTCATCGATTGCTTGTCGAATGGAAATGCACCCCATTTCACGGATTGCTGATCAGGTGGACCAGTGCAGTGGGATTTCTTTCCCCTTCTCGCCTGTCCAGGACTAATTAAAAGTGCAGGTTCACGCCCTTGGCTATCCTAGCCCCATCTCCTGCTCTTCGTCATGGGAAACACGTCGTCCATCTTCTATCCCGACAATCCAAAACGTCTCAACCGTGCTCAGCAGCTTGCTGATGACTGCAAGTATGCCAAGGATCAGTACGAGTCTGCTCATGCGAGGCTCGAGCGTGAGCTTGGCCCGTACAAGGAGAAACTCGACAACGTTCTCCGCGCCTTTGGGTGCAACACTATCGCGGACTTCGATCGTCTGGTTCGTCAGAACGCGACTGGCGCAGCTCTCGATCGCTGGAACGCAACCCGGCAGGCTTACGATGATAGTCTAATGTAAGGTCCCTTCGTCAAGGTTGTCTAATGCATCTGATTCACCATTTGGCAGTGTCGACCAAATAATCATGGTGGCTGAAGGAGTGTTCGTTGATTTTCCAGTGTATGCCTTCCTCCCGTTCTCTGACGCATGCATACCACACAGGGTTGCCATTGCAGGGTTTATTATTAGCGCAGTCGGGGCGCTGGCCGGCGGTATTGGTTTTTTTGCCGGTATTACCTGTCATTCGAATCGCAGGTCATCCAAGGTGTTAACATACTTACGCTTATAGGTCTCGGTATTACAGCCGACATCCTGCTAGTCCTGGGTCTTATCGGTGCTATCTATGATATAATTAATGGTGCCGTTCAGCGCGAAAAGCTTCGGGACGCCATCAACGAGGCTCGTACTACACTCTCGTCGCCTAATGTTATCTGTCATACTGACACGTTCACGCCTTGTTTAGCTTGTCCCCACTCGACTCAAAGCGAAATATGCTCAGATGCATATGGAGCAACTCCTGGTCTCTCTTCCTGGTATCAAGGAGCTGTACGAGGCATTCGAAAGTGTCGGATACGACAAGGACAAGATTCTTGAAAAAATCAAACACGGGGGGTACATGGATACGACGAAAGAGGTTGTCGACAAACTCACCTATGTAGCGGCTGGAAACCTTCTGGCCAGTATGGATCACGCTCGAGGAGCCTGGACAAACGAGGACCCCGATTGGTATTCCATCGCGAGAGCACTGGACTACAGCGGCACCTTCGCTATGGCTGTGGAAAAAACAGCTACGGTAGTGAGCACCCTACTTCTGGTCTCAACACTGCATCGCTGACATATCTGCAGGTCCCGCAAGCTACAGAGGATCGATACCTCCAGGTCCGATTCCCAGCTGACTCCGATTCCGCAGCCCTTGCCGAGAAGAGCTTCCGCGTTGAACTCATCGATTTGGAAGGAGAGGATTCAGCGCGCGTATGTCTTAAGTGAGTGGTTCTACTAGTAGCGCCCTTTGCACTGCTGACGGACTCTGAACACAGGACGGAAGGCAACCGACTTTTGATCTCCAAACCGGATGCGCAAGTGGCCGATCTGGCCACGGTGGACACCGACGGTTCCGACCTTGCTCAGGTGAAACCCTTCCCTGTATTGCCGTGTCACCGGTACTGATAGTGCACTCGTTCCAGTGGATCGTGAGCTTGGAGAAGCCCAACAACACCCTTACTCTCGAGTCACTGGGCGATCTCACACCTGCCGAGGTCTATATCAAGGCTGCGCACTCCAACATGTTCCTTACCAAAGGAGGTACCCTCCAACAGCAACCCGTCCCGGTTCTTGCAAACCTGTTTGTGTGAAATAGTGTGAAAGAGGGTAGGAATTAGAATGCTTTTCGGTGGCTTCGAATGTCACTTGTATCAATCGATAAGGCTCGCAATGTACATGTTACTATGATCAGCGCTTGGTACGCTATACAGGACACGTGTGCAGTAAAGAGAAGAGGGTTCTGAACTGGGCTTCTTCAATAGGGAGTGAAAGCACAAAGGAAGTTGGCGATGACGGCAGGGATGGAGTATGCCCTGATTCGTTGTACGAGGTCCCCGCTCGCGCGACCTGACCGAATTCAAGCCCTAGACGAACCCTAGATTTAAAGGCCCCTGTCATGAAACCTCCGTTTGCTTTGGAATATAGCAATGGTGAAGGATGGTCGATGAAGCGAAGAGGAGGAGGAGGTCGGGCTCAGGCGAATGCAACAGAATCAGGAGAAAATACACCGAGTTAAGATTCTTATTCCAATCTACAATACCGAGGTATACCAGTAATCACGCAGACTGCTCGTGCTCCATTTGCCTCGCTTGGCGAATAACATCTTCGAAATGCAAATCATTGGCCCCATAGAACGAGGCATCCTTAACGTCTGAGTTGCGCAACTTCGTTTCCAGCTGTCTCCAGTCGATCTCGAAATCGGCTTTCTGGAGTTCTTCGAGGATCTTCTTACGATACTATGGGTCGGATACGGTCCATATTAGTGCCCATCGCTCAATCTTGCTGTCGTGGATCCAAAACAGACTCACCAGCTCGGCGGCTGCCTTCGCATCTGGGTCTTCCTTCGAGGAACTTAGTGCCTCAAGATACTGGCGGATGAGCTCGGTACGCTGTGTAATGTTCTCGGCTTCGGCTTTGAAGTACGCAACGCATAGTCGAGCTGGCTGGCATTTGTGGATTCCATCGATCAACTTCGTCTTCCTACAAGGTCAAACGTTGGCGAAATGTAGCACTCAATCGACAAGTTCTTACTGTTGCGCGCCTTCGACTGCCTCCATGATCATCATGACAGCCGTGATGCAGAAGCCGACAGCTGTGATAACTCGAAGCCCAGCAGCAAGTTTGCTGACTGACTTCGCTGCCTGTGCAGCTTCCTCGGCGGCAGCAGCAGCGCCTTCGGTGCCTGCTTTGGCAGCGGCGGACGCAGCTTCTGTATGGGATGGGGAGATGTTACCAACGGCATTGCCGGTCGATGAGCAAATGGAAATACTTGCCTTTAATCGCCTCGGACGTCTCTTCGGTCAGCTTGGAGAGCGCCTCCGCCGCCGCTGAAGATGTGGTGTTAGCTAAAACTCCCGGGTGCGTGGCGGTTTCTTACTCTGGGCAGCCTTTTCTCCCTGTGCGGCCGATTTGAAGAAAGTACCAAGAGAGTCGATTAACGCAGTCCTCACAATGAACCGACCCGCACTAGCAACCGCTGTAAATAAAAGCCAAAGTCAATGTCAAATGAACACCCTTCAGGCTGTACCTCTTGACTTACGCGTTGCACCTGCCCCAAGAGTGAACGGCAATAGAAGTCCGGTGGTTAGGGTGGTTACATCCAGTTTCTGAAACCATGGTTTATGAGTAAGTCCTTCCTGAACCTTGGGCGGTACCACGTAAAACACTTACGGTGCTCTTTTTGGCTGCGTCGACGAGCTAGTAGGTGCAAAGAAGAGTCAAGACGAGATTAGTGGTGTATACTCCAAAATTTAAACGCGATACACACTGCTCGGAAGGTTGCGATGTCACTTTCTGGGAGAACAGAAGACGCCTTGTTATACAAATCATCAAGGGTGTCGATTCCTTCTTGTTTGAAAATCTTGTCGATTTCGGACTGCATCGACTTGGTTTGCTTCTTCAACTGGTCGCCGCTGTACTGGATGTCGGTTTGCATGTTAACGGTGCTGTTAACAAGCTGTTCGAGTCGTCGGGCACGGCCCTGGTTGTCTGGGTAGAATACCATTCTGAAAGAGCTGGGTGAAAGATGGGATGCGTGGAGGGAATCGTTGGGTTGATCAACGAACTGTGGTCAATGGGCAACTGTCACTATTCCCTCTTTAATACGACTTTGAGGCAGGTTTTTGGGGTGCATTTAATAAATCGGTAAAGGAAGAAATCGATATGGATCAGAAGTTCATTAGATCTGCCAAGAGGGGGCGCACCGGACGTTGGGGCTATGGTTCACGCCTTGAGTATGCGGAGCTGAATGGCACACCCGAACTAAAGACGCAAGGAATAGCGCAGATCTGACATTCCAATGGAACGGCGACGTTCAGTGATCACAGATAGTCTGTCCTCGTGCACTGGTGCTGTCATCTATAGGCCAATTCAGGCAAAGTGTACATCCTCCGATGGAATGTGACGGGTGTTACCCAGTCGCTTGCAGAAGAAAACAATCATTCTGGCGATGAATCGATGAGGCTGGTGATCATTGACAGGGTGTCGTTGATCCCTCTGAGGCGAAGTTTGACATTGTTTGGAGGGTGTGGGCCGAACCGGCCAGAACAGTTTGGCGGTGACATCTGGAATACCTCTCCGTGCATTCACGCGAGACAGAAAAAGGAATTACAAAGACCTCTATAATTCAGGAACAATGTCATCAGAAGCGAAGAGGGCCGGGGTCGGGTGAATGCAACGAAACCAAAACCAGAGTATACAATGAACATTTTACAAAAACTTACAATGCATACTGTAGAGAGCCACAACAGTAATCACGCGGACTGCTTGCGCTCCATCTCCCTTGCTTTGCGAATGACCTCTTCGAAGCTCAAATTATCATCCGAATAGTATGACCCGTCTTTAGCGTCTGCGCTGCGTAACTTCCAGTCGATCTCCGAATCGGCTTTCTGGAGTCCATCGACGAGCTTCTTGTCTGTACTGTGGTTAGCGCCCATCATCGGTGATAGACGAAAACAAACCCACCCTCTCGGCGCCTGCGTTAGCACCTGGATCTTGATTTGCAGAGATTAGCGCCTCGAGGCACTGGCGGATGACTTCACCCCTGTTATAGCCTCTTCTGCGATAATTGGTCCTCATGTATCGGTGCTGTCATACCACCGGACGATTCAGACAAAGGGTACACCGGTGATCAGTTATCCCCGGTTCCTCGATAAAGATCATCGTCTCTTGAGCCGTCGGGGGCAGATCGTGTATATCGGGACTTGTGTGTACTGTCTCCCTTATGGGTCACTTGCTCCAGACTTGGAAGCACGACATTTCATTTCCAGGTTCATCTGATACTTGTTCGTGGCGGATAGACCTGCGAATGGAAGAAGTTAAACCACTCAGCCACTCAGGACGGTGACGATGGTATCTGTACCGTGGTCACTGGTTCATTGACCGATGTGACGGGGCCAACAAAAGGATTCCCACACCATCCGATTCGGATTGAGCCCCTAACGCCGGTTGTTCCAGACTTCGCAGCGGATTTGTCGAAGAAGGGAGATTACTGTGTCAGCTAGAACATCAAACATCACCTTGGAAGAAAAAGGCCGGAAGACATTCGATATCAGACCGAACGGGCGGAGAAAGGGAAAGAAAGCATGGATTCAAGACTGTACAAGAAGGCAGAGCACGGATGTTATACGTGCACAGAACAATCAATAATGATTATCTACACTCGTAGCTACCTGGACCAAATTGGCGAAGAAGCCAAGTAGTTAAAGAAGGTCAAAAAAAAAAGGGGGGGGGGAACTCAGAAGAAGGGTTGGAGATAAATGGAGATACAGAACGCGAAAGGAACAGGAGTAAATGCATGTCAACGCGGTCACCGCCTGGCCTGGCGGACAGCCTATCGAGATCGCTCTCCCTGGCGTATCATAGTGCCTTCGAAAGGTGACCGCTTCACATCGTCCGTCGCGACAGCTATCCGACTTGATGTAGGCTGACATAGAGCGAGTCGGCGTCGGCGGCGATGAAGCCTAAAGATACGAGATCGGATACGAAAGGACGTTGTCGATGTGCGGACGGGGGGTAGGCGTCGATTCAGAGACAGGCCCGTTCAGCACACTCCTCGTCGTCCGTATTCTCGGGTGATTCGTCCCCAGAACTGCTGTCGCTTGAGAGCGGTATCGCGATTGGTTCTGACGTTGGGAATGTCCTCCTCGTCGGTGTTTTCGGAATCGGAATGGTGATAGCCACCAGGTGCACGGGGCCTAGTCGGGCGCCTGAGAGGTTTTCGGAGGGCAGTCATAGCTGAGAGGAAGGTCCAGGTCAGCATCCATGGACGAATGAACCCAATGGAATGTACACACCCTGTTTCTCATCATCAGACTCCGATTCTGGGAGTGTGTGGGCACTTTGTCTCATCGACCGCGAATTCTTAGACTCGGAAGCCTTGCGCAAGGCGGGCGGCTGGGGGGAAGGAGAAGTTGCTGCTTCAACTTCGTCGTCTTCCTCGATGGTGTGTAGATGAGGCGATGGCCGCTTCGAAACGATCGATCTGGCTTCGCCTTCGACGGGTGTAACGATGTACTCTCCGTTGACCTCAAACATGTCGACCTTCGTCCTGCGTAGAGGATTGGGGGTAGTGGACGTCAACTTAAAGGCGTGTTTGACGCCGTTGGGGTCGGTGAAGGTCATCGTTGCTCGATAAACGGTGCACGTCATGTTGGTTTGGGCGGTTCAAAAAATTGATTTGATTGCGATGACGGTGGTGGTTGGAACTTTGGAGGGGTTTCAACCGATGCTGCTTCCAAGGCGAAAAAGGCGGGTTATTTATGCATTTCTGGAGGGAGGGGTTCAGTGTGACGGTGTGACATGGTCACACTCAGACTGCCTGCGTCGAACACGCGTAGACAGTTCACAGGAGCCACCACTCCCTAGACGAGTGGCATCGAACGGTGTTGGAGGGGTAAGGGCGACCGTTGATTGGCTGCATCGAGTGGGACCTGAGTAGAACACGGCGACACCGGTGAGTCGGAAGGAGATGGAGAGACCATGACGCGGTTCACCACAACCAGGATAGGAGAAGTTACTTTGAAACACACCAGAGACGCGTCGAGGGCGCGCGGGGACTGAACGGGCTGTGGATGACGTCACGCGTCTGGCCTCGAGGTCAGGCACGGTCGACGCTGGGCGAAGGTTGGGTAGAGAGTAGAAAAAAGCAGCTCGGGCGATAAAGAGCCCCAAACCCATTACGGAAGATTGAAGAGAGTATTCAAAAAAGTGGACACAATAGGGATCGGACTCAAGTCCTGCCAAATCATAACCTGCTCGTTGAAGGGCAAAATGCGGATGCATTGAATAGCAGGTGCACGTATGATGGAGGAGCAAAGAAAGGCCTTCCAGACATGCACCTTCCCTGGATAATATTCATAGAGAAGACAAAACACAACGGGAAAAGACGCACCCCAACATCCGATCCAGATCTTCGACTCTTTAAACACCAGCCTTCATCGCACTACCGCCCGGCATCAAAGACAGTAGAAACGAGCCGCGCACGAACGAGGAGAGCCTTCGAAAAGCTTACAGCTCTTTGGGTTATATCCAAGGACATTCCTCAAACGAAGCCTCCTAAGGGTACCTGTGCATAGAAGATCGGGACTTCCATGGGGTCTCCAAGGTCTGATGCGATGTCGCGAATCTGAGTCGGCGGTGGTGGCAGATGAAGAAGAGACGGAGAGACAAAGGGAGAACAATCCTTTGAAGAGCGCGCAGGATATGGAGTACTTGTCAGTGGAATCAAGTCCCAGTGTCGGTCAAGTCGAATCCTAGAGAAAGCCTGAAGAATGAACGAAGGAGAAAGAGAAGAGAGTCAACGCGCCTATCTGAATCACGTTCAGCATCAATACCGAGACCCATCAAGGCAGTCTTCTCCCACAGTTCTTGGCACCGTTCTTGTCCTCCGCGTCGACGTTGGACCATCGTTCAGCCCCTAAGGTCCCTCAATTCCCAGTCATTATTCCTGAATTCAAATCAAAAACAATCAAAACAAGGAAAACACAAACATGAATGAAACTTTGATTAGTGCGTCTTTTTGCATTACTTTTCCTTTCACAACCACCACTCTCGTCGTCTGTTCCTACAACAACACCTTGGGTATTGAATATTGGATCATCGCAATATTCTGCTGGTCATTTGGAATCTGGAAAAAATCAAATACTGACATCCTCAAATGGCGAACTGGATAGACCCCTTCACGTACAACACCCTCTCCCACCCGACCACCGTCCAAACCACAATCCACGCCCAAGCCGTCTTCTCCAAGTTCGACACAACGGGACGGTTCATCGCAACAGCTACAGCGCGTCCACAGGAAGGCCTAGCCGTCGTATGGGATCTCCAAACTCGCAATTCGATTCGCTTCCTGGATGGACATGTTAAACCTGTTACGAGCATCGAGTGCGTTCAAATATCGTGCTTGTTTGTTATCCCTGGAAGTTCTGGAACTCATGTGCTTGCTGGGTGGATAGTTGGTCTAGGAATTCGAGATATGTCTTGACGTCGTCGAAGGACTGGAATGTTATTGTATGGGATTTGGCCTCGTCTTGCGACCCTCCACAGCGGCACCGTACGCTACGGTTCGACGCTCCCGTAGTCTCAGCATCTTTCCACCCAAAGAACAGGTGCGCGCCCTTTCTTTCGATCCTAATTAACTTGGCCTCATCGTATCCTTACAGTCGAATCATACTGGTGCTTCTAACAACGGGTGAAGCCTTCCTCTGCGACACACGCAAGGAAACGCGGTCGAGAACGCCATTGAAGGAAGTTACGGTGGATGATAGCGACGATGATGAAGACGAGCCGTCCTCGCGTGCAAGGTGTGTCCATCTATCCATTCCACTTGACATCAGAAGCAATAACGGTGCACCTCAGGTCCTACATGACAGTCGCTCGCTTCAACCCCTCCGGCAAACACATCTTCATCGGAACGTCCACGGGGACACTACTCGTATTCCGTACAAGAACCAAGACGGTGCGTACACCCCCGGCCCTCTGTATATTCCTCCAAAACAGCACCTAACAAGAATACCCATCCAGATGATAGCCCGCCACAAAATCGCCGGCGCAAACGTGATCAAAGGTCTCGAATTCAGAAAAAACGGACGGTGAAGAACGGGTTCTTACTCTCCTTCCACTTCTCCTTTTCTTACCACTCATTTCTTTCCTTCTCGCTCCTTTCCACGCTGTCCTCTCCAACCCAACAGAGAACTAGTGACCAACTCCTCCGACCGTACACTCCGACAATTCATCGTACCCACCTACCCCTCCGACGACTCCGAGCCCTCCAACCCATCAACGTCCACACCCTCCTCCAGCACCTCCCCCTCCACGCCCACACCCACGCCCACCAAGATCATCGAACAAGACCTAGAACCAACACACCGCTTCCACGACCCTATCAACAAGACCGCCTGGCACGCCATGGCCTGCAGCGGGGACGGCGACTGGTTGGCTGGTGGTGCGGCGGATCCTGCTGCCCATAAGATTTATGTATGGGATTTGTCGAATGATGGGCAGTATACTGCTACGTTGGATGGTGGGAGGGAGCCGTTGACGCATTTACATGTGAGTCCCTCTTCTTGTTTCTTGGTCTTGCTTTTTGGTTGTGCGTAGGAGGGGAACTGACGAAAATGAATGGCGGTGTTGTTGTTGTTGTTGGTGGTGGTGGTGGTCTGTAGTGGCACCCGAAGAAATCGATCATAGCATCCACGACGAATATCGGGAACGTGCTCATTTGGCACTCGCCTCATCCGGAGCGGTGGGGCGCGTTTGCGGGAGGATTCGAAGAAGTGGACGAGAACGTCGAGTATGAGGAACGGGAGGACGAATTTGATATCGTGCGTGCTTGGCCGCATGTCTCTCTCTCTCTTCCTACCCGTTTCTGACCCTTGGCCCCAACAGGAAGACGAAGAAACCATCCTCGAACGTAAAATGAAAGCTGAAGAAGACAAAGTGGATATCGAAACGATGATCATCTCGCCTCCTACGAGTGGGGATATAGCCGGGTCCATGATAGCCGCTGCCGCGGCTACTGGGGATGCCAATGGGAATGGGACCATCGCACAGAGGATTATGGGTGGTGGTGGTGGATCGAACAACGGAAACGGGGAAAGCAGCGGGAAGACGACGGCCTCGAACGAAGGAGGCACGTCGAAACCGCCTAATGGCGACCCGACCACTTCCACCACCAGTACCTCTGAGCTTAGGCCGACCTCTGTCCCGCCACAGCAGCAAGCGGAGGTTGACCCTGATACGCTTTGGGCCATGGAAGACCCAGACGATGATATACCCAGTTTGTGGAGGATGAAGATTATCATGGAGGATGACGAGGGTGATGAATAGGCGTTCCAACGTCGGAATGCAAGTGCTAGGCTGCTGTATTTTATACCTTACTTACATACCTCCTGGTCACGGCGCTGGATGCTGATTGACTTCAAATCTCGCCTCGTGAATGCATTCGATTGAAGTTTTGCTCACTATTCCAACAACTAAAGGACAAAACTCGGAACGACTAGTACTTGTTTATCGAATCGTGTTCAACGAAGAAAACGAAAACCATAACCCGACCTCCAAATTGAACCGAAAACAATCAGAACAAATCCTCGAGCGTCATTTGCTTGACGATATCCTACCCACACAAAAAACGTCAGTTTTATTCCATTCTATCCCGTTCACTTCCCAATATACCGCCCCCAAACTCTAAATGGGCAGATAAGATAAAAATAAAAAAGACTCACCGTATTCGAAACAGTCTGCGCAAACTCTTCAAAACTCAACTTTCCATCCCCGTCCAAATCCGCTTCCATAATCGTCTTGTCCACGATTTGCTGTAGTTGTTGGTCTTTGAGGTTGTTGCCGACCATCATCTTGAGGACGAGGAAGAGCTCGCCGTTGGAGATGTAGCCGTCCCGGTCGACGTCATAGACTTTGAATGCGACTGTCGTGGTGGAGTGGTAGTAGTAGAAGTAGAGTGGGGGTGAAAGTTGTAGAGTGGGTTGGTGGGAGGGAGAGTGGAGAGTGGATGGGGGTGTAGCGGGATGGGGAAAAGGGAGGAGGAGAGAGGAGGAACAAAATCCCATCAGTCAAGAGAGCAGACAAAAAGAAGGGTAACGCACATTTAAGTTTCTCCTCCCTTCCACCCCGGCTACTGAAAGCGCTCAAACCGCCAACGAATTCTTGGAAATCGACTGTGCCTCCACCACTATTTTTGCAGATCACCGTGGTGAATTACCATAGGGCGGCGCGTATGTGAGGTTGGAAGAGGGCGTGCGAGAGGAAGGTGTGTGCGATGGCCGGAAACCACAGTGTCAGAAATGGTTGGAGAGTCAGAATTGGTTGGCAGCGCGAGGGTCAACGGTTTGTCAATCCAGAGACAAGCATCGCAGTGGAGGGTGGGTCAACATCGCAGGGGAAGTGTCGACGTCAAAGGGAAAACCGGCAAGACGAAACGATATAAAGTGCAATCATCAGCACCCGCCCAGCTTTAACTATCCAAAAGCAAATAAAAACGCACTCTTCATCGAAGATCGCGATCATCCGTGAGGCCAGCGGGTTAGTCGCGATCTGGGGTATTGAGAGGAACTCGTCTCGGTCGATGGATCCTGAGCCGTCGCTGTCGTCGTTGAACCACGTCCGCGCAGTGTAGTGTAGTGTAGTGGATCAGTGCATTAGTGGACATGTCAGTCCCGTTCGTATTCGTCGGTGTCGAGTTGGTCAGGTCCAGATGTGAAGGGTGTGAGCGATGAAGGTCATGGTGGACGTCAATCGCAATGTGGTAAGGTTGAAACGATGAGGAGTGTAGATAGTATGATAAATGCAGGCCAGGAGTGAGCAGATGGAAAAAGGACGGGCAGGGTAAGACGCACCTGTCGAGTTTCATGAACCGCTTCTTCAACCGTTCCAACTCTGCCTGCGTGACTGTTGGGTCGAATCGTAGGACCGCATCGCCAGTTTAGTTTCGTTCGCAGTAGACGTCGGGTGTCGAGTTTACAGTAGAAGAGCAGTTGAAGAGGGCGGGGAAAGGTCAAGGTGAATCCAAGAAGACCCATCATCAGTCAGACACTCGATGAACAGCTGGACGGAATCCAAAGACGACGTACAGTTGGACCTCTTCTCCATGTCCTCCATAAACTGTGACGCTGTAGGGATAGTAAAGGTTCGTTAGTCTCTGTATTTCTCTCGCTTTTGAATCCTAGAGTCGCCATGTAGAACCACCCCATCCCCGACCACGACCACGACGCCATCTCCCCAGCCTCGTTGCACCATCCATCGCAGTTGCTGGGTCCGTCCAGTCTTCGTTCCTTGTTCCGGGTCCCACTATAGTGCAACACAATCATAATCTAACCCAACCCAGTCTCTTCCCATCCACATCTGGTCTTCCCGCATCCGATCCCCTCTCACTCTACACCATCTTCCTTTGGACCAGGACCACGATTGACCATATGGTCACTGCGCCGGCGGCCACCGAGCGCAGAGGGGTAAGCTCCAACTCCATTTACCCAACAGGGATAGAGCTAATGCGAACGGGAAGGGCAAAGGGGCTACACCCCATCCAAAGACCACAGCGCAGAAACAAGCAGCACCTACGTGATTGACCCATTTTTGCTAGACTCTTGGTTTATCCGTGTATTTCTAGTTCGTTATCGTCTTGAATGTATGCGTAGCGTCTGCCGTGGGGACGAGAGAGAGAAAGAGAGAGCAGTTAAGTTGGAGAAAGAGAGATGATGATGATGAGTCTGGATTGACTGAAGCAGTGGCCGACGCGCGGGGGTTGCGATCAATCGTGCCCAATGCACCGTGTGAGATCCGGTTATACTTCAAGTCGCCGGGACCCCTATCCCCTCCCCATGTGCGAAGCAAATCGTATTTCATCCAACAAACTACTTATTCAATGTTTTATATACGCATACGAAATATGAAATTCAACTCTGCCTCCTCCTCTTCCCCTCCTTCGCACCATCCACATCCATCCCTCTATCTTCCCCATCCTCCTCTTCATCCTCGTCTAAATCCCGTTTACGCCAGTTAAACGTGTGTCCGGGAGTTTCGTTATCCTGACCAGCCCCAGGGGAAACTACCATATCTTCATCCTCGTTATCACTCTCCTCGTCCTCGTCCTCCCCATCGACATCCATCCCCGAATCCGACTGGGACTCCCACACCGTTTCGTCCTTCCACAGCCGCAGCTTGGAGTCCTCGCCGCCGGTGACGACCACCCCGTTCTCCTCGTCGTAGAAGAGCGAGCGGACGACGCCGACGTGCCCGTGTGTCCAGGTTGAGTGGAGGGTCCATGGTGCAGGTGCGGGTTTTTGTTGGGAGGCCTTCGAGGAAGACGAAGAGGGCGCGGCATTGCGCTTTTTGGACTTGGGTTTTGGGAGGGGGTTTTTAGTTGAGATTAGGGATACGTCGCCTCTGTTGGGTGATTCAGATACCGGTTAGTGACTGAAATGTTATACAGGAGGGGTGTGTGGTAAAACGCACTCGTTAGACCCCACGAACACGCTCAAGAGCGGTTTCTTCTTCGCTTGTGACCCCGAGTCGCTTCTCGAACGTGCGGTAACGATATAATCCGTCACCCAGGTCGTCTCCCCATGTACACCCGGTTCACGGATATTGAAATTCAACCTTGGCTCCAGCTATACCCGAAACGAGGATTAGAAAAACGCGCGGTAGGAAAACCCAAATGGTAATTGACGCACCTCACAACTCCAAGTACTAAACGTCTCCATATCACTCGCAGCCCACACACCCTTCGTCCCGACCCACCCCGCCTGGGCAATACTACAACCCCAATTCCCAGTGAGAAGCATAGCTTCCTCCTCATCGTCCTCATTCGCATTCGATAAACTCAACAACCCATCCGAGGACGCTGAAAGCAGGAACAGCGGATTCGAAAGCGAGCCCGACGGGGTGGGGTGGGGTGAAGAGGAGGGCGAAGAAGCGGTTGGGAGTTTGGGTGAAACGCCTGGAGGTGCGAAGGAGAGGACTGTGATGTCGTCCGAGTGGGTTGCGGTGTGTGTGCGGAGGGGTGTGTTGGGGTTTCTGGGATCCCTGGAGAGTCGTAATGAGGGATGTTGATAGTAAGTTTCGTGGATAGGCAGGAAGGACGCACCAATAGACAAGGATCGCGTCGTCGCCTTGCAACTCGGTTCCACCGACAATCGTCCTCCCATCCGGCGAGATGTCGCAACTGAGGAGAGATCTAAAGCGGGACCCAATGGAGGGTGCGTACACTGGAAATAGATCAGTCAGTTGAGAAAGATAGGCGGACAAGAAACATAGAAAAGATGAGAAAGAAACTCACTCTTAACACCTCCATCAATAGCTCTATCATCCCACACCACGACCCTCCCATCCTTCCCCGAACTCAACAATCCACTCTTGCGTTCACCCAAGAAGTAATCGAACGATTTGAGATTCGTGATTCCGCCTTCGTGGGCTTGTATTTGGCTTTCCCCTCCCCCTCCTGCGCTCGCATGTACACCACCCTTATTCCTCCCCTTCCCACCCTTCCCCGTTGAACCACCATCTCCCACCGGAATACTCCCCAAATCCTGCACAAACCCTAACGTTTTCTTATCGATCACCCGAATCCCATTCGCAGGCGACGAAGTGGCGATGGCGTAGTGCGTTGGGAGCGAGACGATGTTCAGGACGTAGGGTGCCGTATTTGCGCTGTTTGGATTGGTGTGGGAGGATGATGAAGAGGTGGATGGGGAGGTGGACGAAGAAGCTAGAGGTGATGATGTGATCCGGTATGAAGAGGATGGGAGGAGCGTTGGTGCTGGATGAGCCATTTTTGATCGCTAGTCTCGAACTCTCCTTCGAGGACACTGCACTATTTTTGAGTTCCCCTTTTTCTGGTACAGCAACGAGAAGTTCAGACCAAGCACAGAAGTATCCCCAGACAGAGAAATCAGCAGAAACAACGCAAGCAGTTCGAGAAACCCAGGTGAGAAACGAGAACGAAACCCTTGAGATTTCGATTTTGTGCAAAAGTTGAAATCAGTGATGAGGTGATTTGATGCGCCCCGTCGCGCGCCTCCCGCCTGAATCGGGGGGGGGGTTCGGGCGTCGGGTCTACCGTGTCGGTAATATGCTTGGCATTTCTATCGGGCATCAGCGGGAGGACCCAGGCTGATTCGCAGGACAACTTGCTCTTCCACCACCACCACAGCGACTGTACGACCTATGTACCTGACTTGACTCGAGCCCCCCAAGGTCGAAGTGGTCTCGTTATTCTGGTCTCTATACTCTTGGCACCTCTTCGAGCTTTGATGACTCGGACTGGATCTCCTCGGCCAGCTTGACTCTCTGGATTTCGAACCCTGACCAGCGCTGTGACGATTTTTCTATGCGTTGAATGACTCCTCGTAATAATCTCAAACGATACCTTCAGACTCGGCTTCAGGGAACTCGCGCCAATACGACCTTAAGCTTACGAGTTTTCTAGGGGCCCGCCGTAACCCGTTCAGATTTTCTTGCAATTAATGCCTTGGACAATGGACGATACTCCTCTTTCTCTCCCCGACAATGGTGATATTCCATTTATGTATATCGGGCATAAATCCTCGTTCCCGTGTGGCAACTTTATGGCCGTGCGTGGCAAAGCAGCATTGTCCAACAATGGGCCATGGCGCCGTGACACGTCAAAGCGTGGTCCACAGCCTGGGTATATAAGCGCCTGGAGAATCGACGCAGTTCTTGATGCGCACTACAGTCCTCTAGTCCAACCATCCACAAGCTACCGAACAAATCAAACGATCACCTCGATGATGCCAAAGTCGACAAGCAAAAAGGCTCCCGTCTCCTTCTCCTCCCTCCCCCTACAGCTAATCGGCGCCATCCTCTCCGCCGGTGAGTTCGACCTCCTCCAAGTAATCCAACTCCTGCGCATCTCGCGCAGAATCAGACGCGCCGCCCTCTCCACACCCGCCATCTGGCAAAACATCACTACAACCGTCAGCGCCGCGTCCAGGGGACAAGTCATCAAAGCCCTAGCCCACGCCGTCAAACTCTCCGGCGGCCTCCCCCTCTCCCTCAACTTGAAGCTCAAGCAGGGATTGAGTGTCAATGGGGACATATCCTATCTTGCTTGGGCGATCTTCGAGACAGGTGAGCGGTGGGAGAGTCTCACTTTCGAGTACCTGTGGACGGACTGGCCGGGCGACTTCCTATCCGAACACCTCTTCCAGTCTTTGGAATTCTTCACGGCCATCGGCGCAGCAGGCGCACCGGGCAAAAGCCCCTTCACCCACCTCTCCACATTCAAAGTCGCGCACACTGGCGTGCTGGGGCACTTTGCCCCGCAGCTGTGGGGTATCTCGACTGTCTTTCCCCATTTGAGGCATTTGAGTTTGAGCACGGAGTGGGGTGAGGTACGTGGTACTGATGGGTTTGTGCGCCAGTTTGCGGGTATGAGGAGGCTGGAGAGTGTGCATCTTGAGGCGTTGGTGTTTTTAGATGTGAAGTATACCCTCCTTGAGGATATCCTGCTTGGCGTTCCGACGCTCAAGAATCTCAGTATCGTTACTTCTGAGGGATTTGTCTTCAATGACGACGAGATTAACCCTGAGGATCCTGAAGCGATACGGAGGGTGGAGGAGGAGCGGGAGAAGGCGAGTGCCCAGGAATTGTCTAGCGCGCAAGTACTCATTCGAGCACCGAGGCATGTTATTGTGAGCGACGGGAAAGACTTGTATCGTTTTTGCACTGCGCTCAGGGAAGAGTGCATGACATTCTGCATTGATGAGGTCGCTAGCTCGGATGACGAGGACAGCGATTCGGACGACGATGGCAGTGATTCGGATGATGACTATGTGATCGTGATTTTGTAGTTCTGCTTGACGCATTTTCTATATCAATAACATCATAATGGTTTCCTTTAATTCAAAATGTTTATCAGAATCCAGTCAAATACGAGTTTTATGTTGGCTTCTGCGTGACATTCTGGTGTAAGAAAAGGTTCGCGTCCTGACCGGATCGAACCTAGAGCCAAGTGCGGGCAAACTCTCCTGCGCGATAAGGGCCCTGGCCATTTGCCCAGATCATCTGCTCCTTGGTCTTCCTCCTCCGCCGACAGCAACACGGAGACTATCCTCGGCACCGTGCTAGAATTCTCCAGAATTCCAAGGACGACAACGTACACGCTGAATGCACTCTATGTTCTCAATAAGTCGGCGAGGTTGCGCTTGCCTGTCCGTCTGGGTTCAGCTGGGTTCGCCTTTTGCCTTGCTGAAGAGGGTGGCGACACCCATGTGCATTATTAGATACTTACCCAGGGGAACGATGGGTAGCATGGGACAGCCTCAAAGGCGCTCCTATGTACCCAGGAAATGCTCGCAACTGTTGACTCACATCTTCACAGGAATCACAGCCTTTCAATCAGAATAAATACATGCCTTCGACTTGTGACTTTGTCCCATCACTCCTTGGCTCTCAGAACAATAGTTGTCAGATGGATACTTGAATGGGCCCGAAAAGAAAAACGTGACTTTCATGTCCGAATAAAATCCCTGTCACTGCGTCTTCTCTCTCTTGCACTTTATCCCCCCACAAATACCAGTCCCTGTCGCGTTCCACTATGGATCAAAACCCTTCTTCCCATCTTCTTGCTCTCCCCGTAGAACTCGTCGCGCTCATCGTCTCGGATGCAGGCCAGCTCGACCCTCTCAAGCTGTTGAGGATCACACACATCTCACGCCGATTTCGCGATATGATGGGCTCAACGCCAACTTTCTGGAATCGTATTGACGCTACGATCGACTACGATGCCAGGCTTTCCTTCGATAAGGTTCTAAATAGCATCTCGCACGCGATCCAATACTCAGGAACCCTTCCTCTCAACCTCACACTGACCTTGAAAAACGACATCGATGTGTCGAACGACGAGCTCCCCCGCCTCGCCAGGCTGCTCTTTGCAAACGGGCATCGATGGACGAAGATCCACATCGTCTTCGCCTATGAGGTTCCCAACTCAATCATTCCCCACGCCTTGATCCAGCATCTCGATCGTTTGCGCTCGAGGGGTGGTGGTACTACTCCGTTCACCTCTCTGACTGCGGTCGAGGTGACGGCTCTAGGCTCACATTATGGAGTAGGGTTCCCGAGGGCGAGGGCGCTGTCGAGATTGTTTCCTAACCTGCGTGAATTGAGCTGGGTCAACCGGGGGAGTTACGCCAGCGCGTATTCGTTCCCCAGTGAACTCTCTTCCCCAAAACTTGAGAAACTAACTCTTGAAGGGCACTTTCTCTCGGCGATGAGGTTCTTGGACAGTGATGTTTTGGCTCGTCTTCCAGTTCTGAAGGATCTTACCATTGTTTCCTCTGGGTTTTACTTTGATTGCGCCCCTCGGAGTCCTACTTTGATTGAGGTTCATGCGTCTCTGGAGAGTGTGGTTGTTTGTGCTCCTGATGTCGGTTTAAGCTTGGTTCAGTCGCGAGTTGATGCATTGTCAGAGTTCTGTCCTTCTCTTCGAGCTGTGGAGATAGTGTTAATTGCTCAGAACTAGTTGCAGAATGACTCATCCTTAATCCTAACTTGTTCTAGACTCTAGATGTTAAGTTGCACTGCTCTATGTCTCGTCTGGTCTCTGTCTCCTTTAATACTCTCTTGAGCTACTTGAACGAAAAGTGATTCAAGAAATTTATGTTGTGCTGAGAGAAATCCTTGCCTGAGTTCCACGCCCGGTCTTCGTTAAGTATGCCGTGGAAAGAAAGGTTTGCGCCCTAACTGAATCGAACCGGCAGCCACGCTCGTGGGAAGGCTTGCAGCTCCTAGACGGTGTTCGCCGCCGCTGTGACCTGTCTGTTGGTGTCTCCCTCTTTCACCATTGACGATTCAGATTCCCCACATTCTGCCAGACTTATCTCAATCGGTTTTGTCACGTTTATGAGACGCTTATGAGCTTCTACGCCATACATTTCTATGATTTTCCCTTCAAGATTCTGTTCTGGAAGCTGGGTTGTGTACATGCTTCGGAATCCCAGTGGGCACACTGATACTTTGCCATCGCAGTTGACCTTGGCCGTGTGTCGACGGTGTGCGACCCTACGCGTGACGTCACCGATTATGGGCTCAGCGCTGACACCTCTATCGCTCGCATTGGGGAGCACTCGACACGTCTGTGGTGTGTTTCAGCCAATTTCTCCTATCCTTGCTGCGGTGAACCCCATCTCTACCTGCTCGTGTCGCCGGTGTCGCCGTGTTCTACTCAGGTCCCACTCGATGCAGCCAATGAACGGTCGCCCTTACCCCTCCAACACCGTTCGATGCCACTCGTCTAGGGAGTGGTGGCTCCTGTGAACTGTCTACGCGTGTTCGACGCAGGCAGTCTGAGTGTGACCATGTCACACCGTCACACTGAACCCCTCCCTCCAGAAATGCATAAATAACCCGCCTTTTTCGCCTTGGAAGCAGCATCGGTTGAAACCCCTCCAAAGTTCCAACCACCACCGTCATCGCAATCAAATCAATTTTTTGAACCACCCAAACCAACATGACGTGCACCGTTTATCGAGCAACGATGACCTTCACCGACCCCAACGGCGTCAAACACGCCCTTAAGTTGACGTCTTCTACCCCCAATCCTCTACGCAGGACGAAGGTCGACATGTTTGAGGTCAACGGAGAGTACATCGTTGCACCCGTCGAAGGCGAAGCCAGATCGATCGTTTCGAAGCGGCCATCGCCTCATCTACACACCATCGAGGAAGAAGACGAAGTTGAAGCAGCAACTTCTCCTTCCCCCCAGCCGCCCGCCTTGCGCAAGGCTTCCGAGTCTAAGAATTCGCGGTCGATGAGACAAAGTGCCCACACACTCCCAGAATCGGAGTCTGATGATGAGAAACAGGGTGTGTACATTCCATTGGGTTCATTCGTCCATGGATGCTGACCTGGACCTTCCTCTCAGCTATGACTGCCCTCCGAAAACCTCTCAGGCGCCCGACTAGGCTCCGTGCACCTGGTGGCTATCACCATTCCGATTCCGAAAACACCGATGAGGAGGATACTCCCAAAATCAGTCGAGATACAGCTCTCAAGCGACAGCAGTTCTGGGGACGAATCACCCGAGAGTACGCAAGACGAGGAGCCTGTTAAACAGGCCGGTCTTTTCACTTGCGACCAGCTCCCCTCCTAGGCTATGCACCAGCATCCTTCCGTATCAAAGCGATATCACAGCCTTCGTCATCGAAGGCGACTAGCTTCATACTGGACACGAGACAACGACTCACATTCAGCACACCGTCGGGTAACTGTCGCGACGTCGGATGCCAGTATGCGATATGTTACGAAGGCACCATGGCACGCCCGGAGAGTGTAGCTCTGTAGTCTGTTCACCAGGCCAGGTGGTAATGGTGTCGATATGAATCTCCAAATCCCACCTGTTCTTTTTCTATTATGCACCTCACTTTATTTCCTCAGATATCTTCTTCCAATCACCCTAATTTCTTCTCTCATCTCTCACCCCTAACGTATTCGCCAACCTGGTCCACGTTGATACGAGTGTTCCTCCCCCTCTTTACCGTAGTACATTACCCAGATGAATTCATTTGTTCCATTGCTCCCATCATTATGTCGTCTCCGAAAACAACATGCTGGGGTGGCGGATTCTCGGGGCGTTGTGGTACGTTTTGACTCTCAAGGCGTGCTGGTGGGTCGAAGTTTTTGCGTGGCCCTGGCGGTTCGACTTCATGCGCGGTCTGTTGTCCTTGCAGACACGACATGTGTAGGGCTGTCCGGTTGTTTTGCCTCTACGAGATCCCAATCTACGAGACCCGTCAGCCCAGGATACTGCGCAAACGGTTATGATTGACCTACGGCTTTTGTCAACGATTACCTTGACCATCTGGACGTTATACATGAGGACATACAGTTGGTCGTTGGCAGAAATGGGCTGTTAAACACCATTTTGCCATTGACCTGAAAATCGTAGTCGATCGTGATCGAGCGCGGCGAAATGTTGCTCCTGGTGACTGGAATTAGAATCTCTCTTTCCGCTTTTGACGCATTTTAAACCCGCTATACATTCCCAACAACCTCTTCCGCATCTCGTGTGGTCCTAGGGGCCTACCAGGGCGCTGAAGTTGGGTGTCGCCGAAGAATTGGGAGAACGTCCGACCCACCGTTCCTGAGCCAGGTCGGTACCGTTAAGGGAAGCTTGGTCTATACCTGATAGGATGTATATACATACTGGGTCCATACACCACAATGACGAGAGGCGGCGGGTCGAGCCTTGAATAAGAAATCCTACCTTTGAAGCTTTTTGAAGCTTACCGTCCGCTCAATATGCACATCAGGTTTTGATTTGTATGAGTACAGATTGCAGTATACAGGTACAAGATACATGGTAATCGCACAATGATACAAATCGAGGAACGTTTTATGGGTGGTTAGGACAGGGGTAGCGGTAGGAGGCGTAGTAGGTCAGGGACACATCACAAGGGTAAAGGCAGCGCGGGGGTAGTACAAACACGAGGCTGGAAATGGAAACCTCTGAGGACATCCGAGGTTCCAGGTACAAGAAAGGGAAAATCAAGGGAAAATCAGGGAAAATCAAGGTGCGGAAAACCAGAGGGGTAAAAAGAAGCGAGCCGAAGCCCGGATGGGTGAAATGTCCGAGTCAGTCGTATGACGATCGTAAGAAAAGGAAGGAAATGAGTAAAGTAGTGTGGTTTTTAGTGGGTTTAAACTTTAGTAAGTATAGAAACAGAGGGATAGTAGCGTAGGGGAATGATACAATGATGAGAATTGGAATGTAAGCGTATGAAACAGATGGTGAAGCGAGATGATAGCGATACAGATGAGAAAGCGCAAAAGCAACTACCGGTCAGATCCTTGGACCCAACTCTAAGCGATGCTCGAAGGTGTGTCTCCGTTGGAGATAAGAATGCGAGAGCTCGAAAGCCCGAAAGCGATGCGCGAGAAAAAGCAATGCGAGATGATAACTTGTGCTGAATAATGATAAAAATGAATATGAAATGCGGGAATGTCCATGCGGGAAGAGTCCGCTGTATGTGTATCGATCATGACAGTTGTCGTCCAAGAGTCGTTGGAAGTCTTGCTGCAACAGGTCCATGCGCAGCATGGCATGAAGCAGACTGATGGAGTCGTTCAGTTCTCCAACAAACACAGTCGATGTTCCTGGCAATGAGAGTGAGATGATAGATCACACTTGTAAGAAGTGAGCAGAGAGACGAAGAGATTACCATCAACTTGTGCGGAACTCTACGCCCCAAACATGTTGCCCAAGGCGATGAAAAGCCCATCACCGCTCAGGTCTACGGTAGAGGTATCCGGGTTGTTGAATTCGTCCTCGAGCTGATAAGTTGTGGTAGCGGGGTTGGATGGTTGCTCGGTCGCGTCACGCTCGTCATCGTTGATGTTGACAGCAGCGGGAATGGAATCGAGGGGTGTCGCGCGGCCACTGTCGGCGTCCAAGCTGGCAGTAGGTGGTGGCGGGGTCGGGGTGGATGGTGTGGTCCAATCTTCAGCGTGCGGTGGGACAACACTGGCGATGGTGGTCCGAGAAGCAGGAGCTGGTTGAGAGAAGCCAGTAGTGGTAGGGGCGGCCGCATCCAGGGAAGCGGGAGTTGCAACCTGGAGAGCGTGGGCCAGATCAGGAGGGGACATGGCCGGAGCGGCAACCATTGCATTAGAACCCGAGACCAACACCTCGGGTAGAGGGTAAGCAGGGATGGGGGCTGGAAAGGCCTTCTTCCCGCTTCGACGCTTCTTGGGAGCGGGATCAGAATCGTTCTCCTTCTCCATCGCTCTCTGTCTTTTCTTCCCCTGCGCTTTCGGTTCCTTCTCCTTTCTTTCCTTCTCCAATTGCTTCTGCTCTGCCTTCTCCTTCGCCAATCGCTTCTGTTCCTCCTTCTTCAGCTTCCTCTGCAACCTCATCTCCTCCTTCCGCTTTTTCTCAATAGCCATCGCCGCCTCCCAATTGTCAGAGGTGAAATATTGAACTTCTCCCGATGAATCGCAAACAATACTGGTATCGGCAAGGGGACCGTGGGGAGCACTCGCGGTAGTCGGGGCGACGATGGTCGCGGGAGATTGCTCTTGCTCTTTGCTTTGGCTAGCGGCCGGGATAGGTAGGGATGTCGCAAGCTGTGAGTTGGATCGGGAGGTGGACTGCGAGGCAGACGAGTAGCCAGAGTCACTCGCAGGGGTGGCCGGTCGCGATCCAGCATTGGAACTGAGAGGAGTGCTGCCTCCGGAAGACCCCTCGCTAGTAACCGATTGAGAACGGCGGTGGGGATTCGATCCGTGATTCGGTTGGTTTGCGAGAGATGGAGCCACACGAGGAGCAGTCGAGTAGATGCCAACTGCTGTGGCGACATCGCGCGGCTGATAGGGGGCTGTGCCCAGCGAGGGACTATACGACCAAGTCCCAGAGGCATATGTGTTTGCTCCGGGGGTGACCAAATGTAGACGTAATACAACAACACAATCCAGTCGTATCCTGACGCCAGTGACCACCCACAGGTGTCCGTGACACTCGCTGGGAGGCAAGGCGTTGGCCATGCCACACATGACTGTTGCGCCCGCCTTTGTCCCGATTAGGAAAGACCCGACAGGGAAAATTTGTAGTTGGTCCTTGACGGCCACGCATTGACGAGCTGGCGGCACCGACGTTGAATGGGGGAGCAGACACAAATCACAGCAATTTCTGGTTCTCCTGGCGAAGCAAAGGCCAGGCTTAACAGTGCCAAGGCTCCCGTGCCATATCAGCGCAGAATCGCATGAGAGAGGTGCCGCCGCCAAATCCGAGAGCACTAGCAGATACAGGCAGATACAGACACGGGCATGTCGTCTGGGCGGTTAAATCGCGAACAGAGGTCCTGGAGTCGACGACGCCCGTGTCTTTGGATTGCCGCTGGTAGTCGAGGAGTTCAGAGATGGGGGAGCAGTTCTGGTAGGCCGTCCCTGTTCGCAACTTAAGGCGCTGAGGGGTTATTTTGAAGTTTTCAGTGACGTTCTGAGGTGAAAACGATAGGGGAAAAAAATCCAGAAAATGGAGGAGAGTGGTTGGAAAGACGTTCAACAGACATTTCTTCGAGGCAACTTCGAGGCCTGTTTTCCCAGCCCCAATTTGGCAACTCGTCACGCGTCCAACCAAGATGGCGGTCCGAAGTTCGAACGCGCTCGGAGACCCCTATCAGCGCCTTCCTGTTCTGCGCTAGTACGCTACCCTTAAGAGACGGCGGTGCCCAACGTTTGCGTTAACACCAGCGCGATACCATAGGCTTATCATGGTCTTTGCCAGTTGCTCGTCTCTTATCCAAGAGGATGGGAAGGGCCAAACATTTGAATTCCACAACTCACACCACCAGGGCATATCCCTCCAGGCTGCGCTGAACTAGACGCAGCCCACTGGGACAGATGTGTAAACAGTCTCCATTGCAGACTCATGACTTAGCAAATCACAATGTTCACGCCTGTTTATTCGATGCCATTATCTGCCGATCTGCTAAGTTTGGTGTGGACGGTCTCAATGGAAAGGCGACGGTGAACTTGGTAGACAATGGCTTAACGCCGTACATCTGCGAGATCGGTCCAAAGTGCCAATTTTAGACAATAGACTTACACAAACCCTTCGAGGGACAATGGACCACTGAGGACGCTTGGACTGGGCGCTTTGACGGGATGTGAGCCACTCCGGATGATCCCTCCTGGAATAAATACCCCACCCTCCATGCTCGAGTTCTTTCCCCCCTCATCTACATCAATCCTGCAGTTCAACCCGTTCCAGAAAAATGCACTCCCCATTGGAGTCACTTCCATCCGAGCTTATTGTGCGGATTCTGTCGGCCGGCGAGCACCATGCTATCCGTCTGCTTGAGTTGGCCATGGTCTCCGACCGCTTCAGAACCGTAATTACTGGTACACCATCCCTATGGACCAACATTGTGTTGTTCATCAGCCCTGAGAACTTGGACGTGATGCTTGCCGTCTTGGATTTAGCCCTCATCTGCTCCGGCCCCGTCCTTCTGCTCGACTTGACAATGGAGATCGACCTCAACACTACCTCGTTCCAATTTAACCAGATCTTGCTACGTGTCTATGAAATGGCACCCCGGTTGAGAACCATCGAAATTCTGTTTGATACCCAGGCCAACAGTGACATGGATTTCGTTCGCAAACTTCATTGGATGGTTGAAGACTCTGGGCAAGACACACCTTTCGTGAACCTGGAAAAGCTAGTCCTCATAGTCGGAAACGACAGGGTTGTGGATTTCGCAGACTATCCCGTATCGGTGCTCTTCCCCAATCTCAAGATTCTTTCCCTGGTTGGTATCACCATCCGGTCTGCGCACCACATTCCTGCCCGGCTCGCTCTCCCCCACCTCGAACGATTGGACATGCTCGTATCCTTCGATTCGACCTCTCCCTTCATTCTGCGCGATCTCTTGGCTTCAGTTCCGGCACTTAGAACGCTCGTGTTTGCGATGACCACTGACCTCCCTTCCACTGTCACATTCACGCATGGTACACGAGAGGCAACATCGCCTATGGTCCATCAATCTCTTCAAACGTTGAAGATTCAAGGCCGGTTGGAGGACTTGCACGGGCAATTGCCTACCTTGTGCCTTCCTTCCCTCCAATCTCTTCATCTGTCGGATCTGTATGCCCAACTTGGTGGTGCGTACGTCGCCTATCGTGGCGGTCGACTGGTCGACAACGTCTTGGAGATGCTAGCACAATCCAAATGCGAGCTGAAGGAATTTGCTTTTGAAAATTGCTGGCTCAAGAATGAGGATCTACTCAGGCTCCTGCTCACCTTCCAGCATCTGACTAGCTTCACTCTCAGCCTGCGAAACGTGGTCAGCCTCCATGACGACTCTCTCTTCGGAATGCTTTTCGAGAGATCTCAGTTTGAACGTGTCCTTCCCTCTCTTCGAAAGCTTGTCGTCTCCACGGACTGGATATCAGCGTACGGTTTTGACCGCGGGCTGACCAGGTTTCTCCAGGATTCTCGAAGAATGCCTGGAGGCACTTACGCTAATCTAGAGGTTGTTGTTGCAACATTGGGGGAAAGAATTATAATCCCGAAGTGGAAGAAGAGGGTACTGGACGCACTATGCGTGACGGTCCCGTTGGTTGCTGTCTTCTTGAAATATTTGATTTTCCAATAGGTTAGAAGCCCCTGTCTTCCTCTTGCATGTCTTGGATATGAATGAATACCTAAGAATATATTATATTGGCAATGTTACCAGCGACTCTGTTTCAGGGTACTGAATGAGAACGCGAGTATTGTTTGTCAGGGGTGATTTCGCTTGTTTTGGCTGTCCGCCTTGTCTGCCTCCCGCCACCACGGATCCAACTCAGATCCTCAATCTTCGCGAGATGCCAGAAGTCAGCACTCTGCTCACTTTGAAGGGAGCTCACACGACTGTCCGGAGCTCGATGTAATTGTCGCAAGGCGCCCAATGGTCCGCACTGAAGCCTACTATTGGATATAACCCGCCAATTTGCTTGTGGTCGTCTGGCATATTCCCGCACTTCTCTTCGACGTTTGCCTCTTGGTGAAATCCAGGCTAATCAGAGATCGCTGTACCGTCAATCATCAACGCTGCCCAACTCTATGCAAAGCTGCATCTCGCTCGGAAGCGGGGCGATACACCGCCGTGGTGGACATCGTAGCTCCTCAGGCCTCAGGGATGGCAAGCCTTTGCAACATTGAATCTTCCTTGGCAGCACGATACCCATGGCATCACAGGTATGCGCTCCAATTGCTCCACCAACACCGATTATCCCCTCCGCAATGGAGGTCGTTCGCGCGCGTTTCACCAGAACCTCTCCTATTCTGAATGTGGTGAACGCCGTCAGGGGCTCGACGTCTGTGCATGTGTCTCCGGTGTCGCCGTGTTGGTCTCAGGTCCCACTCGATGCAGCCAATCAATGGTCTTCCTCGACTCCTCAACACCGCTCGACGCAACTCGTCTAAGGAGCGGTGGCTACTGTGAACTGTCTTCGCGTGTTCGACGCAGTCAGTCTTACTCACACTGAACCCCTCCCTCCAGAAATGCATAAATAGCCAGCCATTTTCGCCTTGGAAGCATCGGCTGAAACGCCTCCAGTTCCAACCACCACCGTCATCGCAATCAAATCGATTTATTGAATCGCCCAAACCAACATGACTTACACCGTTTATCGAGCAACGATGACCTTTACCGACCCCAACGGCGTCCAAACACGCCCTTAAGTTGACGTCTTCTACCCCCAATGCTCTACGCAGGACGAAGGTCGACATGTTTGAGGTCAATGGAGAGTACATGGTTACACCCGTCGAAGGCGAAGCGAAATCGATCATTTCGAGACCCCCGTCGCCCCAGCTGCATACCATCGAAGAAGAGGACGAGGTTGAACCAACAGCTCCACTACCTCAGCCACCCGTTTTGCTCAAGGCCACCGAGTCGAATAGCTCGAGGTCGATGAGCCACGGTTTCTCTACGCTCCCAGAGAGTGAAGAATCCGATTCTGATGACGAGGAACAAGGTGTGTGCTTTTCATAACGGTCGTTCGTTCACGGATACTGACCTGAATGCTCCATCCAGCCATGGCTGTCCTCCGGAAACGTCTCAGGCGTGCGGCCAAACCCCGTGCACCTCGCGACTACTACTATTCCGACTCCGAAGACATGGACAAGGATACGCCATCCTTCTGGGACACTCCAAAAACCAAACGAAAACGCACACTGTCGGCAGCTGTTCGAGATACCGTTCTAAAGCGACTCCACAAAGAGGTGCTTGGCCCCGACTACAGTTCCGGTGACGAGTCACCCGAGAATACGGACGACGAGGAATATGCTGAATGGCTTAAACGCCCACCTTTTGGAACTCGCAGGCTTCTAGATCAAACCTTCTATTCCCTCCCCTTCCGATGCACGAATCAAATCATACCCTAATACCAAGTCTACCTGATGCAACTCCCCTATCACCGATGTCGATTAGTTTTCCAAGTTCGATGCCAATCAGCGTCCAGTCTGAAGGCTGCCCCGATGGCCGACGACGAAAGGATACCTTCCTTACGTCCGGGGGGTTTCCCAGCGGGCCAGGTAATGGCGCCTGTATTTTCCATGTCCTTTTAATTACTGTCTTTGTCCCTATCACTTTCGATTATTCCTCCTCTGTCAGTAGTATTGTCTTGAATCCATATTTCCGTTCTATGTCCTATCATATGTGTCTATCTGGGCCAATTCCACCCCTCCCGGTTTTGTTTTTCAAGGGATGTTTGGACTAGACTTCTCTGAAAGGCCGGTCTCGATCAAGGTGGTCAGAGCTGAGAGCCAAGGATCCCTGAAACATCCCTGAAACAATGCTGGAACGGGTCCCAGCAGGTCCCAGCGCACCCCTTGCTTCCAAATTAAGCGCTGGCAGAGGCGGGACAATTGAAGGCCCGCATCCGAACGCCGATCGACCTCAAAGGCATCGTATATCCGTCCATCCTGATTTCTCAGTAGCTCCACCTCACAAAAAGGCGATAATAGTGCCCCGTCTTTGCCTATTGTCCGTTCTTGTATGAGATCGGGTGAGCACGAAAATCGACGACAGGTGCATGGGCCCTCCGAAAGGTATAAAACCCAGCGCGGACTCTCCTGATTTCCTCACTGTTCCACAGTACCAAACACACATCAGCAATGGACTCCTTCACCACCATCAACATCCCCACCAACTTCGAGACTGGCGGCGGCTCCGGCAACGGTGCCTACTGCGTCATCGCCTAAATGGTGTCCCTACCCTGCGCTGCTTATGTGCAGCGTACGGTCTCCGTTGCTTGATGAATAGGTATGTTTCTTGCTTATAGTATATTCGGATTTGTTCTGACAGTCACGGTTGTAGGAATGCTCGTGCCTTTTCGTCGCAATCGCCGAGGCCTCTTCCAGCCCTGTTCCCCAACTTCTCTAAACCTATGTGTTCAAGTTGGAAATAGGCTACATAATAAATCTTTTTGCGCGCAAACATATTCTGGTGTCAATCGTGACTTGAGCGAAGTGTAAGCATCTCATAGAAAAGCTGCATCGGGTGCTTATAGCTTGCTCTTTAACTGAACTTCGGATCGAACGTATAACGGTAAGCTGTCGATGGTTATTAAATAATTCATTCATCTCAACTTCTAAGTCTAAGGTAGATCTAGCTTTGGATTTGATACAGGATATACGGGAAAGGTCTATGCGTTGCGACTGTAAATTGTATATGGAGAGCCGCCACCCTCATTGCATCGCAAGAGAACTTTCTCCAAGCGTGCGTAGGCACCCCCGCTCAGCCTCCTACAGTCATCCACGAGGTGATAAAAATCCTCAACTCGGAGCCACCTCCTTGGAGGAGCTTCACAACCCAGAGGAGACTGAACGCAGACGTCCAGAGACTCCAAGGAAGGGAGGACCGGTTCCGCCGACGTATCAGATATCTCGGCGAGTTCAGAGATAAACCATGGGTCGTCTGAATCGCTGTTAGGGTTCCATTCGAGACCGATCCGCAGGTTAGTGAGACTAGGCAAGCCTACCAGCAAGTCGGCGACCATCTGGCTTTCAAGTCTGCACCCCTTGAAGGAAAGGTTCTTGATGGCGCACCTGGACCGGTCGGTCATCCTCTGGATATCAAGGACAACAGAATTGCTTTGTTGCGTGCAGGTCTCGTCAGTCAAACTCAGAGAGGCCAGCGACGGGCAATTCAAGTTTCCCAATAGGTAAGATAGTAACCCGATAGCACCGTTTATCGTAAGGCTCTCCAGGGATTGATGTGGTGGGAGTTTAGCGAAGGGCTCTCCAGCGTCGTCCCGAGTAGAGCACATCGGTAGCCTAAAAGTCAAGTCCAACGATTTGAGCTGTGGAGCGCGACAGATTAGCTCCTGCAGAAATGTAGCTCTCGGTTCGACCTCCAAGATAACACCAGTCACTTCCAAGTTCATACGCTTCAAACTCGGGGTGCACCACTCGATCACCTGTGTGATGTTGTCAGTTGCGCCAAAGGTGACAGCTAGAGACTCGACGTTGGGGAAGACAGTCGAAAGCGGCCAAGAACGAGGTTGAAGCAGTCCATAGTTGCAATCGATCACGAGTTTCTTCAAGTTGGTGAACGGTCTGCAAGAGACCTGTTGGATATTCCCGAGCGCTTCAGTGAGAAAAGAGTTGAGCCAGAACTCCCTGGCGTGCCCGAAGCCAGCACTAGAATGATCCTCAGCAAACCGGAACGTAAGCTCTTCCCAGCGCTCAGCGCGAGCGAGGAGGAACTTTGTCAGTGCTGGCATGCCAATCGGGTAATTCGCCTGGATGTCGACACAGAGCTTCAGAGGAAGAGCACCGTCCACTTTCATGGTATCTTCAACAACCTCGATAATCTCGTTCATGTCATAGAGGGAGCATGCGTCGGCAGAGATTTGGAGGGATGACCAGAGCCTAGGATCGTTATGGATGATTGTATGGAACCGCTCGGAAACGGAAGCGAGAGCCATCAATTCAGCAAAGTTTGCGAATCCACCGACGGCGAATCGGAAAGTTGCGCAAAGGACCTCAGGTGGGAGGGTCGAGAGAGTCGTCGGACAAGCGATTTTCGGCATTGCAATGCAGAGTCGAGACTATTGGGCAGTGCTTGGTGGTTAACAGAGTGGGTTGAGAGAGAGAGAAATCTAATTGTTCATTCAGTGTGTCATCGAGCACCAGTTATATACCTTCCAGGGCAGCATCAAAGCTCCTTTCAAAATGTCAAAGCGTTGGTTTAGGCATCGTGTGGGGAATCCGACATACCGTACCTCCGCCATCCTCCGGCCCGCCACGAGTGTTCGTACGCTTTGACACCCCGAGAAGGCCCAACCTCGAAATACCCGCGACTCGCAGATCGACTCCTCGAAAGAACAAAAAACAATTAGCAACAAGTAAAATACAAATCAACTTGAATAAAATACGAATAAAAAACTTACAGGTTCACGCTTGCATTACTTCAACAAATCCAATCCTTCCCCCGAGTAAAGGTTTGCTTCGTCTTTGGCACTTGTGGTCCCTCCGGTATGGCCCTCGGCTTGTGTGTGATCACGAAACGCGGCTGCTGAGGTGGGATATTCTGCTCCTCGAACCAGAGAGTTCCTTTAGCTTCTGCCGCATTGACCTGTTCATCCGTTTTCCCGTGGATTCTGCAGAGACCAATGCCAGTAAGGGGTACAGGACGAAAGAAGACAGGAGAAAAGAACGCACGTTTTCAAATGCTCCTTCATCTCATCCTCAGTCATAAGACCATGCTCGTCCTTTCCTCCCCAACACAAAAGGCACTTGACGTCCCGCCTGGAGGGAACCTCAACATCCCTGATAAGGTGCTCCAACCACTCCCTACGCTTGACAGTTTTCTCATCTTCATCCGAGATGCGCTCCCACTGCACGGAACGAGGGTCCAAATGCGCAGCTAACGCGTGATTGACCTAACAAAAAGCAGGCCGCTTGAGTTGAAGACTGGAGAAGAGATAGAAAGGACACATACCGCGTTCCTCCAAGTATACACTTTGAAGCTCCTCTCCCCATCGCATCTATTCCCAAACGAACACTTCAAGCATACCACCCTCGGATTCTCCTTGTCCATCATCGACGTCGTGGTATCAGCCCAATGGAACCCACAAGCCGTCAAAATATTCTTCACCACCATCGATGCCGCTTTGCTAAACATCATCGACTCTAGGTTGAACGGAGTCCTCTTCAGTTTCCTGCGTTCATGAACCGCATACCCCGTCGGTTGTTGAGAGGGCGTAAGGTCCGGCCCAGAAAAGATATGGGGAGTAAAGAGATGCTCATCCCACCGAACCTTCTTCTCGTCGTATGTCTGTTTTCCGAACCGGGCACACCCATGCTCGAGGATATCGGGGAACCAAAGACACGTATGGCGGTTCTTCTTGTCAGAGTAAAACTGCTCCATTCGCAGATCCGGGTCATGAGCATGCGCAAAGTAGAAGTGTCGGTCGCTATAGGTGTGTTTGCACTCGAAGACGCAGATGGCGAGCGAGATGCAGTGGACCTGGGTGTCGATATTCATTCTGTACAATCCGAACAGGTCATCGAATGGACTTATTTCGAGGAACTTCGTGACGAGTCCAAGTTGCCAAGAACCAATACTGGAGCGGAGTGCTTGAAGCTTGTTCTTGTCCTCGAAAAAAGTCGGCAGAGGGTCCTCGCTGGGTCTCCAATTGCTGTAAAAGGTATCTGCAATGGACCTGAACGGGCCATCCCATTCCTCTTTCTCCTCCTCGGTAGGGGGGGTCCAGTCGATTACCTCCTCCACACACGACATCTCCAAGACGTCTGCGATGCTTGGTGATAGACTGACACCAGGGCGATACCTTTTGACAATTTCAGGCGAAGTCCTCCATTGGAGCCATTTCTCTGCGAACTGGCGGCGTCGTTCGGCTTTTTGGAGGCTTCGGTCGTTGGCCTCACGGTGGGGCCGAATTCCCTCCATGTACTTGACCATGACAGCTTTCACCCGGTTGTTCCAGACTGGAGGGCCCGTCAGCGTAAGCACTTCAAAAATGATCACAGGAGCGCACTCACCTCGTTCACTGAGAGGTTTCGAAATCTTGATTTCAGGATGCCAGTTGAACCTCAAGACCGAATGTGGAATTGGGGCAGCAAGCTTCCCCGGCGTCATATTTTCCAATGCGAACAGAAACTCGAACTCTTGTTCGAAGCCTAGTTCCTTCAGCTTTTCCATGATACTAGTAGAGCGCCCCCGTTTAGAACAGCTCGAGGGTTGGGAGGAGTAAGAAACTTACAAGTCTTTCCGGTCTAGGTGCACCTTGTTAAGCTCGACTCGTCGTATTTTCTCTTGTTTCGCTGTCCACCGAGCGCAGAGGCTGGCGTGCTATCGTAGATTGCGTTGAGTAAACCGGGCCGTACTGTGAACAAACAACGCCCACCTTGCGCAATTCCTTCACCTCCTGCTTTCGCTGCTCCACGAACGCGTCCCTGTCTCCTTCCATCGCTTCCAGCTCTTTCACAAACGCATTCTTTGCAGAGATGAGGCACCATTTTCCCACTGTAGAAAGAGGGTCCACAGATCAGACAAAAACATGTTAGAGATGGACGTGGGAACGTACTTTTGCGGAATTGGAAAGGAACACAGACTCTGATCAGTTTGTCGATCTTCTTCTCAAGGTCTAGTTGGTCCTCGTTCATGAGTCTATACCTAATCAATTTACCATTCCAAATGTCATGAGACAGACGAAGGAGGACTCACAAAACCTTGGCGCATTTATCGCATAACCTCGTCCTCAGCATCCACTCCACACTTCGAACGTTCTTCGTCTTACAGTTCTGTCGAAAGTACGGATCAATATTTACTCAATAAAACGCATATATCCAGTGCGCAGACTTACATGACAATACGCTTCGTATACCAATGAAGCCCAGGCCGGCGGAGACATATCACCAGGACACGGCGGGACCTCATTCTCCTCTTCCTGCACTTCAAGTACACGTTTCCATACACCAACCGCGTTCTTAGAAAGGATCCTCCGTCGGATATCTTTCGTCGTTCGCGAGAGGTGGAGGAGGTCTTGGGGCGTCAGGTGGCTGAATATCTAGAAGAGCCAAGGTAATTAGCGTTTGAGTAAGCGAGCGCGCCTTTCGACGGATTTGAGAGAGGAGAAAGGTGCGCACCTCGTAGATAACGTCCAAGGGCAAATCCACCAAACCCGCCAACTTGCCCATCCTCCTACGCGGTTTAGCGACGCGTCCCGACGCGTCGGTAACGCCCTCCTTAACGACTTTCTCCCCGCCCTTCTTCTTATCTCCATTATCATCGCCATCCTCCTTTTTGACGCGTCTCGCACTTGTATTCGATTTTCCGCTTCGACTCAAACGCGAACCCGAAGCGGTGGACCCGCCCATCCGAACACGCTGCAGCGCCTCCCGCCCATTGCATGCCGTAATTTTCAGCTTCTTTTTAGGCGGTTCGTCGGTGTCGGCGTCGGTCCTATCCAGATTTTGCGCGTTTTGTGAGACTACGTCGGAGTGGCTCAAACTGACGGGCGGGGTGGTCTCGCTGACTGTGGTTACGGGACCGCTCGGCGCGTCCGATGAGGACTCGACGGCGGGCGTGTCGGGTCCAACGGCGGACTCGTTCGAACTGGGAAATGGGGAGGAGGACGAAGAGTTGAAATCGCCCTCTGAATTAGATTGCGATTGTGTCGACATGATGTTCCAAATGACGGTCTACAAGATAGTTAGCTGCGCGTCACGCCTGGATAATAATACATATTAGAAACGCGTTGTAAGTCGTGTGTCCAGGCAAGGACGTACCTCTAGTCGCTTTAATTAGCTTTTCCGTAAAAGTCCTGCAAGAGTGAGATGGCAAAATCGAGTTCAGAGCTTCTGGCGTCGCGTCGTGTCAGGTTGCGCTGCAAGAAAAAAGAATCAGATGGAACTTTGGTCGCCTGCGTACCTTGGCGGGGAGATCCCCGTGATGCTATGTATCCCGCCGGTTCCTGATCATCCGAACCCCTATTTACTACCTACTTACCAGGCCTACGTAGCTGCAAGTGCGATTGGGGGCGAGAGAAATACGGAGAAAGGAATATGGAGAGAGAAACTTGATTCTATTTCTACGTGTACACAGGACTGTAAAGAAAAAACCATTCGATCGACATCTTTGAGAACCAGAAGAAAAAAGAGAAGGAAAGGAAAACGCGATAGCGAGAACGTAAAAAACAACAAAACCAAGAAGCTGTCTGGGGAAGGTGGGACAAGAAAGTCGGACGGAAAGAAAGGAAGGAAAAAGAAAGGGGCACCGGAAAAAAGGAAGTAGAGAGGTAGAGAAGTAGAGCGTAGAAAGTACATACATAGAGTAAGAGTAAGTAAAAAGTAACTAAAGTTCATTACGACTGCGTAACCATAGGACAGCAGGAACGTGCAGCCCTGCCTTGAACAAGTACAGTTGAATAGTCCGATTGCAGTGAGGTCTGCAGTAACGAGGAAAAAGGGAAGAAAAGGGAGAGTGAGAGGAGAAACGGAGCATCTATGTAGGAAGGAGGCTGTTACACTAATTATACTTGAATTGCTGAACTGGAATAACCGATCCGCGCGTCTGCTTTGCTTCAAGTTCTTTATCCTGTATCTTCGTTGCTATATTCTGATCATTGTCGTGAAAACACATGCATGCATGAAGGAGGTTGTTCGTGGTGCAAAAGAAAGGAAAACTCCAGTGGAAAGTGGAAAACTGAACTGTAGGGCGGACGAGGAACTGAAAATCAAAAAAAGAGGGCGAAAGGAACTGGTAAGGGCGAGCAAGGTCCATCAAGTAGACATTGAAGGGGGCTGGAGTTATGGACTAGAAGGATCCACGTCCATACCCACATCCCGATCTTCCGAACGTCGACCAACTTCCGGTGTCCTCTCGTTTCCCCTTTCTCTCCCTTCTCCCTCTCCCCCACCACTCCCCTCTCCCTCTCCCCGGACTTCACTCCCTCCAACACCCCCTTCCTCATCCCCACCACCCATCATACTCCCCATACTCTCCCTCCTCCCCCTCACATACGCCTTCCTAGGTCTCACAGTAGGCTCATCACTCGTCGTACTCCCACTCGCATCCGTCTCACCCGCATCCGTCTCCCCCTCCGTTTCCGTCTCCGTCTCGGTCCCAGTATCAAACCCACTCCCACTCTCAGTCCCAGTTTCAAACCCACGCTCAGAATACGAGTGGTCGTCGTCTTCGTCGTCGGAAGAAGCGTCGTAGTGGGAGAACTCGCCTTGGCGTTGGTGATGTTGGAATGAGTGGGGATGGTGACCGTTCGTAAGGGTCGGACGGTGGGCTTGTGCTCCAAACTTGGGGGTTTGCACTCCCTTCGGCTGTGCTAGACTTGAACTCGAGGAGGGCTGATGGGACGAGGATGACGCGGGTGGAGGAGGAAGCGGAACGTGCGTATGTCTGCTCTCCACTACCCCGTCCTGACTACCCCTCGCCATAGACGGTGGCTGAGGCTGCGTTACAAATACCGGATTCGACGACGTCGAGGCAACGGCAGCATTTCTTCCACCTGCATAAGAATACTGATGGGACTGCGAACTCGTCGAACTCGAATGCGATGGATGGTGGTGGGAATGGGTACCATTCAAACGTTTCTCTTTGTTGCCATCCTTCTCTCCTTTCCCATCTCTAGACACTGTGCTCCCACTGCTCCCCGAACGTTTGTGATAAGAGGATCCGTTCAAACTACCTGCCTCCCCTAAACTCCTCTCCATCCGGAGGACGATAGGATTTGACTGGCTTTTAGAGAATAGGATGAGCTGCTCGGCGTATCTGTTGGAGTCCCAGCGTCAGATATGGACGGAGCAAAGCAGAAAGGTTCAAGGGGCGCATTACTCACCTCTGCATCTCAGCTCCACTAATCACAAGCCTGAAGTCATTAAGGAGTAGGAACTGCAATTCAAGTTGGTTAAGCTCATGAAGAGGCAAACCTCCAACCTAAACAGCAAAAGAGGATTTGTAAGCTTCCCGAACGATAAACCAAGTGCTGGGAGTAGAAAAAACGTACCTTTGCATATCGTCCATTGGTGTAAAACACGTCACTGAAAAACTTGCTCGCAACCGTTACACCAGCAATGACAAGCCGATGAATGTTGTAGCTGTCGATCACAAAGGAGCGCTGGGGTCTTCTCCTCTTCGCTCGTTTCCTGGGAGGCGCAACAGCAGACGCAGAGAGGTCCGTATCCACATCCATCTTCGTCGATGAATCTCCAGTCACTGAGCCGCCTCTCATCTCAACATCCCTGTCCCCTTCATCCCCAATCCCATGTGTCCCCACAGACCCAAACTCATCCTCTGCATCTTCGTCTATATCCCCTTCAATCTCCCCACTCAGTCTCGCCATTCTGTCAAAGTATACGAGCAAGCTGAGGAACACATGGTTAGTCGTTGGACAGTACTTGAGTATCCGTAGGAGGTAGGCTTCTAGGGAGATGGAGGGGATGTTTCGGGCGTGGAAAGTTAGTGTTGAGGTGGGTGTTGAGAGGGCGGTGCGGGAGGCTGTTGTTAGGGTGTACCAGATGGGAGGATGCTGACGCTGGTTGTGGTGGGTCGCAGACGAAGACGACGGCGTTGAAGGGTGTGAGGAGGACGAAGAGTGCGGGAACGAAGAGGAGCGGGGAGAGCGGTTCGTTGATGGCGGATGTGGAGAGGTTGGGGAGGATGAAGACGAGGAGGACGAGGAGGACGTGAGAGCATCGTTTGTGGCTGCTATCTGTGTCAGCAACGAAGCCAGTAACTTTAACAAATCAGTTGAGGAGTAAGCTGAGATGTCGTAAGATGTTGAGGAGCTCGAGGGGGTGGGCGACGGAGAGGGTGCGGGTGGGCCAGCCGACGTTGTAGACGATGAAGAAGAGACATTTGACGTTGTTGCCGATGATGAAGACGCATGTGCCGGCGCTTGATTTTGGATGGGATCACTGTGTCTTGAAGACGAGGTCGAAGCTCGCGACGACGGTGGGCCCGGGTAGGCGAACTGGACGGCTGGCCTGTGTCTTGATGTTGTGGATGATGATGGTGAATGGCCGGTTGACGTTGAGGCCGATGGGGTGGAGGATGAGGAAGAGTAGGCGGGTGTGTGCATGGAAGTCGAGGAAGAAGAGCGGAAAGCACCGCCGGATGATGGTTTTCGATGGACTATCGGTAAATGCTTGGCACCGTTCATCGCGGCCGACGCGGCGGAAGACGATGACGACGTTGCAGACGACGACGAGGACGGACTATGCGCACTGCTGCCTGACGGATGCACAAACGCAAGCATCGTACTGCGGGCCAACTACTATTTCAAAAATTCTCTTTTTTTCTGCTGGATAATGTGGTCTTTAAATTGTGGACATGGAACAAGACCGCTGTGGCAACGATGCAAAAGCGGTTATTTGAAGTTGGTTTTGTCGGGCAGCGCAGAAAAAGGAAGAGAAGAGGAAAGAAGAGAAAGAAACAGGCTACGAGGTTATCGCCAGAATTAATCGTTGCCGCTTTGCGATCTCCACGCCGAGCCAAGAGTAAACAATAGTTACGTAACTTGTGCACACGTGAGCTGCCCGCCCAATGACGTCGCTCCAACATCCCCGTCGCCGATTCGGATGGGGCTCCATCCAATCCAGCTTGAACGTTGTGCAACCCAGTCTCCCTCGTTCCTCTGTTCTCCTAAACGTTGCTTCCTGACGCGACTGTTGGATCTTTGCATACTCGGCTCTTTGCTGCACTTTATCTCCGCTCCTCGAAAACTCGACAACCAGACCGCAAATCGAACAACGACGACGAACGCATCCCGGACAAGTCACACCTGGCGCAGAGTATTTGAAACCGTGGAACGTGGCTGACTGTGGTCACTGCCCAATAGCTGTTGCGGAAACGTGCGTGGGTCGCCGGGCATGCCAGCCATTTGTACGTTAATGATTGGGTCCAAATATATCACCTCACAATTCGGCTGCCCAAGTTGAAATTACTGATAGCATTTTGGCTCTGCGCCGTAACGGGCTTGTATTCATGCGCACTGTCGTGATGAAGTCTGCCAAAGCCTGCGTCTGGGTGGCCGTACCCAATAATACAGGCTGTCGTACTTCTCTATACATCAGGGGGAAACCACCTTCATTATCGGACTATCAGTGCGCACGTTCGTCTATTCTCTCGTTCTCTAACATCCTGCTTTCACTTTATCGCTCACCCAAGATGCCCCTCAAATAGCGCTTTAGCACCCCTCGGCTCACGCACGTTCCCAACGCTCGAGTTCCCGGTCGTGTGACGGTTCATCTTGGAGAACAGAAGGGCAGAAGCAGAGCTATCGGCGACTTCTTTGCTTCCGTATGGCGTGGCTTTGCGGCATTAGCGTTCCACCGTAACCGCAACCCTATCGTCTCGTATCGTCTGAGCATTTAGGTAGAAGAGCTCAGGTCAACTTCCCCTTCCCTCCTCCAGGCTTCGCCATCTGGAACCGTGACCGCAACACCTGCGGCCTACCACCGACGTTCTTCATAGAGGCAAATTTGCAGCCGCTTCTCGCTCCCAGTTACATCCTTAATCAAGTGGCTCTTCCTCGCCCGACCCTCCTTAGGTTTGTACTCGTGTCTAAACCAATGCTCTTCGCCTGTCGGGTTTCTCCCTGGTCTAACTTCTGGTTGCTCTTTATTTCCGAGCTTGTTTGCCGGACGACTGCGGTAGAAGCTCACTCTGATTCCGCTCATGTTACTTCCACAACCACAAGCTTGCTCTTCCTACGCACGTTCCTCCTGCTCTTGGGTTGCCGTTTAGCTGGTCGTGTGACTAGCCGGTTCTTCCGTCGATGTTTTATATGATAAAGCTGATACCTTGACTATTCAGTAACCGTCTTCTTCACTACGCTCTCTAACCCTGCACTCTGGCTGTTGAAGCTGGCCGGATGGCGCACAACAGTCCCCGACCCCCTTATCTGCTGTTTCCTTCACAGCTGTCACTCCTTGGATTCCTATCGACTTCCATCCATCGATCCAACCTCCGCCCGAATCTTATCTCGGAATTTCGGACTTGTAAAGTCTTACTCGACGATCGATTGGCTCGACACTATCTTCCATGAAAGTTGCTTATCTTCGCTCGAACTTTCATTTTGGTGAATTGGCGCCAACGTTCAACATTCAACGTACAGTACTCTATCCGATAGGGGTGTACTGTGAATGATCTACTCGTTATCGATTTAGTTTGTAGAAGGAGATGACCGTGCCGAGTTGCTGATGTGCCGTTTCCTGTGATGTTCACTGGGGTGTCGCGAGCGCCTTGGATTAAGCGCCCTGATCATGATCTTGGCCACCCGTGGGCATCGACGTCGGTGTTAGCGCTCAGTCTCGTGGAACCACGTGCTCTACACGCATAGATCTAGAAGAGATTCTTGTCAGATACCTTGTAAGTACGTGGCCTCCATTATTTGCTTCTTATCTCCATCATGTCCCGATCTATTCCTTCCTTTGACATCGATAAATCGCAAACCCGGGTTTACAAGGAAATGGATGAATATTTGCAGGATGCAAGGTCGAGCGATATGGTGATTCCGTGAGTTCCTGTGTCGTGGAGAGAGTGGGCGGCTGTTTAATGATAAACATAATGAAGCTTTGTCGTAGGCCCCAAGACTGCCAGTGAGATGCATGAAGTTAGTCGCTGAATGCACCCCGCTCCCCGAGCTTCAATTTCAACTGTTTCAGCACTAACTCGTTGTGCGGAACAGACACCTCTGTTGTCTCTCTTATGCTCAGAGAAGATAACTGAACCATTTCCGGCATTGATTATCGGAGCGATAAGAAGCCTAGGGCAGTGGAGTGATGAAGGGAGAAGAATTATCATCGTCCCAGTTGTTACTCAAGCCAAGTGGAGAACTGGTGTTATCCCGACATTGCTAGAGTTCCTTGACAAGTCGTGAGCAAACTGTCCACTACGTCGATACCTGAAGCTCACTGAACCCTGGACTGTACGACAGCTCGGGTATAGGCTTTCCGGAACAGTCCCTCAGAGCCATATACCTCGACAGATTCTTGCACCGTACTAGTCCTATATGGGAGGCGTCTGCTCTCAATAGGGTTCAAAGAGCAGTGATTCCTATCGACACATGGGGCGATGAATATGGACAAACCTACGACAACAGAGTGCTAGAAAAAAAGGTAGAGGGAACCAAGCAGCACCTGATGAAGTGCGGGTTGGGGGAGATGATGGTGAAACCGGGGTGGCATGTTGCGTCTCTGTATCCATTAACGTCGGAGAAGGCGTGGCAGATTATTGAGTTTGTTTTGAGCGACAAGGACTACGTCTGGGATCCCATCTTCAGATTTCCTCGCGGCTATGTATGGAAGGAGGGAGACGACCTGTCGTTCAAATAGCTGTACCTATTACCCTCTTTCCTCGTAGTACTTCCCTGCGCCTGTGTTCCGGCCTTTACATCTCTGGTCAGTATCCTCCGAGCTGTACATGGATTTCTTCAATACTTGAAACGTTAACGACGCAGCCTCCCATGCGTGAGAGAATATCTTTGTCTGTCACGCAACCACTGTCACCGTGCTCACCGCGTCCAAACAGCGTGTAACCTTTCACTTTGTTTCTTCTCGTCGCTGTCGTCGCCCACGTCCCAGTCACACCTTGGAAACTCAACATATCCTCGAGTTCCGCCGGACTCTCCGACGCATGACCCAACCCAACTTCGTGTTGTCCGTTTCGAAAGCAACTCTGGGCGCTAACTCCAGAGTGGAACGTGCCTGGCAAAGATTGATAATAAGTACCAACCGCCGCGCTCCGAGTCTCTTCCGAGCTCATTGTTGTGCGCCGTGAAACCCGACGCCTAAGTGCCTGTGACGACTTTGTTCACGACGCCGCCCTCGGCAAGCGCAATCCAATGTGGTTTTTTGGCGGCTTTTCGGCCCCCATCGACTAAACTCGGTGTCCCGTCGCACGCTCTTTCGCGGCGGGGCCAAAGACCAAGTTCTGATGGTGTTTGAAACGTCCTAAAGCGTAAAGGCGGGTCCTCCAACCGAGGTTTTCCGGGACGATTGTGGTCTGATCGTATGTACTGTCGTGCGATCCTCTGTAAGGATGGGGATTGGGATTTTCGGCTGTAATTCGGAAGCCCCTAGATCCGAAATGGACAAGGATGAAACGAGTCTAAGCGCCCGGCGCCCATCACTGAACGCTAAGGTGTACATGCGAGGGTGAGACGGAGGCTCGCTACGAGGCCCGTTGGAACTCTCCTCCAAGGATCCAAACACTCGCCAATAAGCTATAAAGGCGCGAGAGGAAAAGCGAGTTAGTGCTCCAGAAGCCTGACTTCCTCATCCCTCTTTTCTTCACGTTCAGGGTTTTCCATCATGCTCGTCTCTTCGCTAGTTTTTGCCGCTTTGTCGCTGCTCCAGGGCGTGCACGGCGCTGCGGTTGCCGCTGAGCCAGAGCCGGAGATTCTGACGATCGACCTCGGCGAGAAGATTGCGAGCATGAACATGACTGCGTTCGAGGAATCTATCGTGAGTGTGATCTCCAATTTATTTCCAATCGACGTCGCTGAACTTTTGATATGTAGGCGCTTGAGTATGGCGAATCAGAGAACACCCTCGAGAAGCGCGCTGAAGTCGTCACCTGCTACAACGTCGGCACGAAGATCGACCGCAAGTATGCCATTATGGCGATTAACGACTTTTGCAACGTCGTGATGGGGAAATACTATTCCAACAACCAGGAATTTGCGGTAAGTCACTACATTATCATTTTGCTTTGTTTGCTAAGTTCTGTATTCTGACATGTTTATACCTCGTAGATCCGATACACATTCGGAAACGAGGTCCCGCAGAGTTTCTTGACGAGTCTCAAACCTATCAGTGCGCATTCTCTGACTGTGCCGTAATTACCAGTGCTCACAAGGATTTCAGATAACTGTGGTGGCTTTACTGTTGATCACAACTGTGGCCGTTTGCTTCGATTGCCTGTCGATCAATGCAACACCGGTGGCGAGAACGGCAAGCAAGGCGGATACATGACCGATCCCTGCGGCACCTGGCGTTCCGACCCTGGCAGATGGCAAAGCGATTGCCCCTGGGTACGCTTTCTCTGCCCCTCCAGACCCGTAATTGTAAGAAAGCTAATAAAGTGTGCGCGTTTTGTAGTGCCGAAACCAGTTCTACCGAGACCTTTCTCGGCCCTGCTCTGTTTTGCCACCTATAGCAGCGGAGACGTGCTATGCCACTGCGATGATCAACGCCCGACAGGCGTGCATTGACAACGGACAGTGCTGCCTTGGATCTGGGCTTGGACCTGAGCACAACAACTGCAACACTGGACCCAACGATTATTGAGAGGGAGGTGGTGTGTGTCGCGAAACTTTGACGATGGATTCCGAGTCGGCGTAACCTGAAATAAGGTCTCGCACCAGTGACCATTTTTTCCCTCGTCATTTGCTTCGGATTTTGTGTATCTTTTGTATGCAATCGTTAATCAACTTTGTATGGTTCGAGTTCTCTGGTTGATTGGGGCAGGGAGGTCTGGGAGAAGGTTCCGACTTCAGCGTTTCATTGTAACGGTTCTTGAATCTTATTTGGATGTCTGCCATTTGTCGCCCGTACGACTCAGGGACACTATCCAAGATCTAAGATTGGCACAAAATGCATACATTGTATAGAAATACAAAGGCTAAACAAGGAACGCTGATCAAACACCGCGTAGTAGGATACAATCAAGGACGATGATGCCCACTCTGGACTTGGAGGCCAAGTTACACATCAAGATCCACGACATACTACTAATAACACCATCTCCGAGGAAGAACTCAATTATCGTGGAATCCAATGTTGCAATTGTCACGGTGAGGACCAAGCCCTGAACCGAGGCAGCAGTATCCATTATCAATGCACGCCTGTTGGGCATTGATGAACGCGATCTGTAAGCATGACTCGACTGCTCCAGACGGCATGCTCCAACAGGGGCGAGCGAGATCTCGATAGAACGTGTCTCTGCACTGTAAATGGCACACAACCGGGTCACCGGTCACTTCGTTAGCTCTCTTCGAGAAAGGTTTACAACAGGGTTTGGAAATTGAACGCACCCAGTTGCAGTCGCTTTGCCAGGTACCTGGGTCGGAACGCCAGGTGCCGCAGGGATCGGTCATGTAGCCGCCCTGCTTGCCGTTCTCGCCGCTGGTGTTGCATGAGAGCATCCGAGTTTTGGAAAGTCCCCGGGACTGCGGGACTCCCGGGGACTCACGTGCTACATCACATAGGCGCTAAGCCGATAATCGACGCGTCGCTCATCGTTGTATACTAGGGCGGGAGAGGCTAGACTGTCCGGGGGCCGGTCCAGGGCCGGTCCGGGCACTTTTTGATGGCCCTGGCCCTGGCCCTGCTTACGAGGGCCGGGGCCGGTCCAGGGTCGGGCCAGGGCCGGGCCGGGTCGGACCCGGTCCACCTAATGTATTTTCCCAGGGTCGCGTTATATTGATTTTTTAGTACAAATCAACTTAAGTCAAAAGAATTCTACGCATTATATACTTTACGAAGCATAGTTTGTGTCAAATTTCGATTTGTGTCACTCTACTAGATACTTGTAACTGGTGCATTCAATGACTAATACAATTCCAGAAGTCAATAAGAGTGTGGTTTCATCCGTAATATGTACTTTTTCTCATTCTGAGATTACTCTAAACTGTTTCTAGAGATCATACCCCCGAAAAGTACTGGAAATAGCATCAAAATATGAAATATTTACAACAGGGCCGGCCCGGGGCCGGCCTGGGTCCGGACCTAGGGCCAGGGCCAACCATCTGCTGGCCCTGGCCCTCTCAAATGAGGGCCGGGGCCGGTCCGTCAACATTTCGGACCTGGCCCCAGAGGGCCGGGCCAGGGCCGACCCCTGGACAGTCTAGGAGAGGCAGGTTTTAGAGTATTTAAAAGGCTATATAACATTCGATAGAGACTGCTACGGCAATATCAACCACTTCATTGTCCAAGCAGAGTCGGTGGCATCCACGCCCAGCGCTGAATCGACGTGATAGGGCGCTCGACAGAAGTGAACTTTAAGGGTTTACAGGATGGTGTCGGCGTCATCACATGCGGTGCGGGCGAGTTTGTGAGCGAGGGCAGGCGGGCCATAGAGGGCGAGGTCTTGCAGTTGGGGATGGTAATCCTGTGTGTTCTGGACACTCTGAATTAGACTTCAGGAACTATTTGTGAATGGAGAGCTACGGTTACAGAAGGGCGCCGTCCTCGACGCCATAGGTGTTGGCGCGAGAGGCGGCGGGGTAGTTCCCTAGTCGATGTTGGCGGGGTGTTGCGAGTTTCTTGTTCGAGGGTGGTGTGCAATCCTCCCGGTCGTGAGGTAGATACGATGAGCGTCCTCGTCCTTGCACCAGCGCGGTGGGCCAGGTTGAGGGAGGTGCAGGGCAGGCGAGATGATGGTATTGCAAACAGCAATCACCCATGGGACCATCGATGGTCACGCCCGCCACCGTCTAGTCTGTCGTCGTCGTCGTTGCTCATTGCTCGACGCGTTGGTGACTCGAGGGAGTTTGGTGGGTCACGCTCAAGTCACGGTGTTTGCTTTCATGTGACTGTCCCGCTCCCGCAGTCTCCCATCATCCCCGGGACTTGGCGGATGTCGTATGTTCTGTGTTGCATTGGTCGACGGGCATGCGAAGAAGACGACCACAGTTGTGATCAACGGTGAAGCCACCGCAGTTATCTGCGATTGCGATCGTTGTGAGCACCGGTAACCGTCCACAGAGTCAGAGAGCACATACTGATAGGTTTGAGACTGGTCAAGAAACTCTGCGGGACTTGGTTGCCGAACGTATAACGGATCTACTCGGAGGCCGATCATAGTAGAGTAGTACTCGTCAGAATACTATCCTCAGCTTGTTACTGAAGTGCAATGAAGTTGGCTTACCGCAAATTCCTGGTTATTGGCATAGTACTTCCCCATGACGACATTGCAGAAACTAGTGGGATGCGGGCCGTTAAACGGCATTTACCGTTGTCCGACTCGCCATTGTCCGATGACTCCTTTCCCGTACGCCCAACCTCCCCTGCCTCCTCCTCCCTCTCAAACTCTACTCGTAGAAGGTCGTACGACCCCTCGGTCAGGGTCCCGGCGTATCCACTGAGTAAATGCCTTCGTAATCATTGTCATTTTGTGTCAGTTCGTCATGCTACCCCCCTTCGAAAAATCCTGCGCACCAAGTCACCGCTGCACAGACAAACGGTATCTCGTATTCTGAGGCGTGCACTGGCATTCGGGTTGTTCGGAACACTACCACAACGCAAGGTCCCTGCATCGCCAACGCCCGAACGTTGTCGTGTCCCATGATACGGAGGAAAGAAGCATTTCCGCCCTGCGGTCGGGGCCAATTAACAGACTTTCTCAACATCCTCGAATCACGGACGTTAAAGTTCCCTGCATGCCTTAATACGAATCCGTGTGTTGCTAAGCGAGGATAGTGTGCCCCACAGCAAGACTTTACCGTGTCACATTCGTTTAAACCGCCCTCCTGACTGATCGACGCTTGACCTGGTATCCCGCCAATCCGGAGCCGATGCGATGACTACCAAGTACGTACCTCACTTCACACAGTGAAATTATTACCCTCGATTCCCAACTCCCTGAAATCGCTGGAGGCCGATTTGTAGCAAATGGAAAAGCGCCCCTACGATTTCACAAACCCCTTGAATGTCCTGCATTGGTTCTGACTAAGCAATGGTTAATTGATCGGAATTATCGGCCGCGAAAAAACCAAATCCGTTTCGATTCTTGTTCCAACCCACTGCGATGACATTGAACTACTCCTATTCACAGTCTGCGGAAAAGTAACGCTACGTTCGATTTACTGTTACAGCGAGAATTGCAGCAAACCGACTTCAAAATCAGCTTGAAAGCGCTGCGATCCAGCAGGCATCCCGCCCTGAGCAATTCCGCTGCCCGAACATTGGTCTCTGACCATGGTCCTCCACGACGACGACGACTGCGACGACCACGATTATCATCTTCGCTGCCCAACTGTCCTTTCCCATCGCTTACATACCACCCATCACCCCATCCACTCGTTTCCGCCCACTCTTCCGCCTCCTTAATCAACGCCCTTTCCCTTTCACCGTTCCAATAAAAAACTCCTATACCCTCTCCTTCTCGGCCCTTTCTAGGAAAGATGGGACAGGCCTTCCCGCATGGAAACGGCCACGACTCGTTGTATTTGTGTACAACTGGAACCGACTTGACTCGTGTGCCTCGCTCCCAACCCCAGCTACCAGTTAACGCCAAATTCGCATGCACGAGCTTAGCGAACAGCAAATATATCCTTGTCGATGTCACGACTATCATGTCCCTGGTGGAATCTGATCCCCCTACCACTTGAAGAACGTGCCCTGTACTTTCCAAAATGCGGAAATAAACCTGCGCCGGATTTCAATCTTCGTTTCAGCATTTGAGAGCTAAACACATACCAAGCGTTTTAACCTCTCCCTGCGCTTCACCCTTCCTTGGATAGTGTAATCGTTCCCTCGCTCCTCTGGGGTCTCCGGCTCTGGAACCATCTCCAGGACCTCCTCGTCAGTCAGGAAGTCGAAATCGGTCTGAACACTGGCTTCCACGACCTTGGAAATCGTCTCCCGAGACTGCCACCCGATGGGCCTCTCCGTCCAAATCCACGAAGGCTTGTTCAGCAGCGCGGTGAACACCTGCAGCTGGCCCTGCGGGACCACTACCGTGAGACGAGGCATCCTGGCGTACTCGTCCTCGTATTCCGTCCCCATGTACATGACCCTTAACGCCGTACTGCCAATAAACCCCCCTTCGCACTTGTCCAAGGCCTTCATGAATGTGTGGAACGTCAAGTCTTGAGCTTTCAAGATAGGGTCCATGGCCATCTTGATCCTCTTCTCGGCTTCGAGTTGAGCGATACAGCGGAGCAAGGAGCTGGAGGCCCCCAGGGTAGGTAAGTGTTTCCATGGTAAAAAGGAGGCGATGTGGTGGAGTAATTCGTGGCATTCGAGGATACGCGCTGTAGCCGTACCTGCCCCGGTCTGGATTGCTTGGTTGTCGGTCATGGGGATTAGCTGGTAACAAAGGTCAGTAAGTGCTACACGCCGTAACCTACTGCCCAGGCATACCTGAAACGTTTTCCAATGCAGAACTCGCCAGGGGAAGATGAAGATTGGGTAGTTTCACCCGAATACTTTATATTCCAAACCCAATGCAGGTAAGTCAACGTTTGCCGTTAATATTTTACAACGGTTTCTGATTCACACCGTGTTCCAATGCTTCCGTCGTTACAATACGGTCCGCGAGCTTGAGATCATGTTCGCTCCATATCCGACACATATCCCCCAGAAATCCTCCTTACAAACGACTGCGTTTCCGATAAAGTCTTTGCCTCCGGCCCCACCGATCCGCCTCACGAGGCTGTTCGTGCGCTGTCTTGAGCCGTACTCGTCCTGGAAGATACTTCATCAACGTTTCAATCTCAATCCAGGAACACTTGGCACTGACCGATCTGGAGAAGAAGACTCGATAGCGATCTTTGTGGTTTAGCGCGGTTCCTCGAGGGAACTCCGAAACCAACACAGATGACTTGTCTAAACAAAACACCTGCCGCCCCTCCGAACCTCGCTTGTGAAGGTAACTGCCGGGGTTCAAGTCGATAGCTTTTGGCCGCTCGCACCCCCGGTCAACCACCACGGGTACAAACATCGGGTCATCTCCGTAGACCGTGTAGACCAAGCACATAACGTAACGGAGGTCGTGTTCCTGCCTCCAACTTTAGCCCGACGACCCTACTTTCGCATTGGTAGAAAGGCATACCGAAGCTAGCTTCAACACCCGTTCCACCATCGCTCTTGTTTCCTGCGTATTTTCTGGCGCGCTCGGTATCAGCATCGTCTCAGTCTTCGGATGGTGTTCTCCTGGAAAACCTGTCATTCCTTTCTGCGATTATAACCCAATGCTAGTTTCCTGAGTCAGTGCACTCGACCGGTGTCCCGAGATGCGATGAAGCGGGCGTGCCTGATAGTCGCTTCTGTTCGCTTCGTATGACTTGGCTAGCGCTCCGCTGACCGGATCTTATAGACGTCATTAGCTGCCCCGCCTCATTTGCGTTCCACGGGCGCTTAATCCAACTTTTCCCAGCTGGGCCTGCAACACATTGATTTGTCGCCCCGCAGGCCTACATTCGAATCAACTATGTATCAACTATTCATCCCTCTCGCTCAAATCATCGTCTGAACCAACGCATTCGGAGTCATCCGACCTGTAAATGATGACATCGTTGAGCTCATCCTCAATAACCCCCTTCGCTTTGTCGCAAACTTCTTTGGCCGCTTCGACGATTTCGGATAGACTTCGCAGGTTATCGTCTACCTCCTTCAGCCTCTCGGTCATGTGCCTCAACCGATCGCGCAAGTTGTTCCTCTCTGCAACAACATCAGACTTTTGCCAACTTGTATTTCGGAAAACCTACTGCGCTTGCCATTCACTTTCGCTGGCATAAGTCTTAGTATCAAGGATTTCTGATTCTTGGGATTAACGTACCCACTCTAGCTTTATTGAGCTTCTTCTGCAACCGGGACAACGCGCGCTTATCGTCTTTGCGCTTGGCTAGGAGCGCTAAACGTAAACCCTGGTCAATCTTTTCAGAGTGACAAGTCTGACATCTACATACCGCGTCCTCCACGAAGAGTCTGGGAGTGTATACTTTCGTCCTCGCTCTCTTCTTTCTTGACACCCGAGCCGAGCTGACTGGCCGACGCCTCTTGAGCACGCGCTATGGAGGTGATTGGATTTCGCTGACATTCGAAGCATGGATCGACTTACTGGCACTCCTTGTGTGCGGCGACATTTGTTCGGAAAGAATGGTGCGAGGTTTGCGGACTTCAAACGATTATCTTAATGCGACTTGATTCATCCAAGTTCATCCTTTTTCTACCTGAATTGGTCTCGTGTCATCATTTGTACATCACCATCGTCGCCTCTCGGTTCCCCGCCTTCCACCACCAGTTTGAGTCGGTTTGACTTACATTCGCCTCCCACCTCGAATTTGGCCCTTCCATGCCGTCATGAAAGAAGACATCCCCAGTGTCAGAAACCACCCTAGCAACAAAATGACCTTGGCCGTGGTAAATCACGCCGAATATCCTAAATTGCTCCCCGGAAGGGATAGTGACGATCCGCTGTATCGTGACTCGACCAACCCCATTAATTTGCATGCACCATATAGATCCCATCGTCCGTTTGTATCTCACTTCTGTTCCACAATTAGGGCATAACCCCTGTGGTCCCGACCGCCGCTCGATTTCCGATTGAATGTTCGGTTCAACCTGGTCGTGCAGAACCATAAATGGAGAGAGGCCCAACTCACCCCGAACTTCTGTCCAGTAATCACAAGAAATGCATTCCAGCGTCGAGCTTCTGACAACACCGCCCAGACCCCAAAGTATTCTTGATAGTGAGCAGATGTCAGATCCCAACGGACCTCGTGGAAAGGCACTAGGGTCATACGCAGAGTCCCAAATCAGATTCCGCCAACGGTCCCTCACACGATTGATGTCTCTATCCGGTTCCGTTGACAATCGAGTCCCCGGGAATTCCGACGATAATAATCTAAATGATCTGCTCAAGGGTGTTAGTTGGTCAGCCCACCGATAGCTGTCCCAGGACCACAGTTGGAATAGGACAAACAGCCATGAGTCAAAGGCACAGCTCCAATTACCGCCGTCCCAAGTGGGTCCCAGGGGGGTCTGGTCTTCGGACCCCCAATAGCGATGTTGATCGGTCCTAGGGCGCTTCCCATCATCCTTTGTGAGCACCCCGGTGGCCTTCCGCTTTTCAGACGACTTCTTCGCAGCAGGTAACAGTTGAGAGTCGCGCACAGGCCTCTGCCATTCATCCTTCCGAGGTTCTGAACGTAAGACTGGATGCCAGTCGGCTTCGACATTGTCTTTTGACCATTTCTTGTACGCGTCGATAGTAGCCCATCTGGTAGGCTTTACGACCTCATCGGGTAACGCCCTTTCATAGCGCAACTCCGTTATTTTATCTAGATAGTTTAACTCCCGGAACTCCCTGCCTCAACCACCCAAATATTCCTCCCTGCATCATGTGTGACGGGAAATCCCGTACTATAATTGTGTCGGCCGCACTTTTACCTCTAGACAAGCACGTATAAATCGCCTGGTGTGACCGACACATGGTAAGGTCGACAACATTGACAGACCTTGTCTTCCCCTGTGACGCATAATCCGTCATTGAGAAGTTTGGAAGAACTGGTATTTGTCTTCTTGATATCTTTGGCGTCTCGCCGTTGGGCAGCTTTGCAGTGACTTGTTGAGTAGTCTTGGTGAGAGGAACCACCATTTCAGGCAGGCCAGGAATTTTTATTCGCTTAGGAGGATTGACAAGGCGAACGAAGAGGGTGTCTAGACTGTTATGTCGAGGGAATCCCTTAATAGGTGTAGACTTCCAGCCCACTACTATGGCTTCCTGGCCTCGCGTTATGCACAGCTCTGTGGCCTCGTTGCTACGCACCATCACGGGCATACCGATACAAAGGGATAACCTGGCTGGTACTTGTTCACTAGTAGAAGGCACTTGATCCCATAATATCACCTGAAGGCGGGGGTCGACTTTGCTCGATCCTACCTCGTCCGATTGAAACTCATCATTCGATTGAGTTTGGCACAGGCTATCCACACTGTAAAAATCGTGTAATTCTTTTCCTGCTTCCTCAGCGAAACGGTGCGTGTTGTGGAAGTTGTATGTATCCTTTTGCACATTTCTGGACGTTATAATGGATACGAACCGAAATTTGGGATCGTCGAGGCTGATATTTGCGTTGTAAGCCGGAATTCTAGTTTTCAGGAAGGCAATATCGTCATTGGTGCATGCCCTGTATCTCAGGTTTTCAAGCGCCATGCGGAACTTCATGTCATCTTCGGTTCCCTCGCGTTGTCTCATGTTTTTCTTCAAAATGACACAGCAGGTGAATTTGCACCAAATAGACTTGCCAATCGTCTCCTGTTGGTCCTCCACTTTTTGTCTGGGGGATTGCTTCAAAGAAACATCGCCGCTGTACAGTGCATGTCCCTTTGTCGGCGGTAGCTGAGCAAAATCTCCCGCGAATATGACATTCAGGCCCCCGAAAGGCTTCTCATGTACGTTCATCGCGTCACAAAGTCTTTCACTGATTCTGCAAACGTCAAGGCAAGACAACATCGAGACTTCGTCAATGAAAATGTAACTCACACCCAGCAATCGCTCTCGCACCTCTTCAACCGCTCGCAGCTCTCCTCGGTTAGACCCCCACTTTCCCGACACGATGGATAGGAAGGAATGGTATGTTGTCCCGCCGATCAATGCAGCTGATGTTCCTGTTGGACCTAGCAACACCAGACGATATGGCTCTCCCCGAGCTTTGAAAAAAGCGATCAATGACTTCAAAACTTGGGTTTTTCCAGTCCCAGCCATGCCCCCCAGGTATTTAAGTAACTGATCCGGTTCAATTAGTGTAGCGTGATTGGCTACAATCCGAAAGCTTCTACTTTGTTCCGCGTTTAAAGAATACGTCAACTCGATGTCCCCCATTACGTCGGACCAGCGGGGGTTATTAGGTTGAAAGGATCTTGAATAATACGGCCCATACACAATCTTGACTTCATTGTGAACGAGGTTGTTCGTCTCGTTTCCCTTGACTTCTTGGTCCTCATCACGTTGTGCCGTTATTCTGGTAAAGCGCTCCTTCCACACATCGAGCCTTCTCCCGTTTGATTAAATCCGACCAATACGCCCCGTTCATAGCACTCCCGATCGATACTGGTTCAACCTCCACCCTTTTGTAAAGTCCCATCTTCCCCTGTTTCCACCCTGCGCCCTGCAGAGCATCTTCAGCTTCACGCCACCTTTTCTCTTGCTCCTTGGTCCACCTACCTTTCACGGCTTTTAGTAAGCCAATACTTCTCATCTTTCACGGTGTTTAACTCTATATCTGCCATGTCAACATCGGATCCTTCAGCTTCTACCTCGTCAACGTCGTCACTCTCCCCGCTGTCGGCTCTTCTCTGCGCATGAAAGTCATCTCTTGCATCATAGCACTCAAATCGCACTCTGAAATTCCTCATTATCTCTCTTTGCCTTTCTGAGAACTTGTGCGATTCGAATGCTTCTGCCCAACTGTCGTTCGCTGTCTTGAGATCGATGCCGGTTCTCCAAGGCTTAAACAGGGCTAACATTGTCATGCAGTACTCCTCTCTATCCACATCCCCGTCGTCTCTGGGAAGTGGTGGGCCAATAAAATTGGGTACCACATAGTTTCGTCTTTCAGGGTCACAGGCGACCTTCTGCTTCGTAGCCATTGGATGGTCATTAAGATAAGTGAAAAATCTGATTCCGCCTTCGAACGTCGTTAGATTTTTCTCTAACCGAGCATTGCACCCATTCGTACACCGATACGTCCTCCAGCTGCTTCGGTCTATATAAGTAATCATCCACACTGGAACGACTAATGAAATAACCGGCGCTCCGCCTTACCCATAACTGGCTCGTTATCTTCAATGGAGAAGGTGTTGCCTTCCGCTTCTCTTTCCCTCTCGTCGTACATGCACACATTCTCCGTCTCCTCGCGAGCACCATCATCTTCCTCGTCCATCTCCATTCTATCGAGCAGCTTGTCCCATTCCCGGCGCACGTAATTGACATAGTTCTTCCAGTAGAAATTGACAAACTCGTGGCTGCTATACTTGTCAGGGTTGCCCAACAAGTACAACGCTGCCATAGGTGCGCCTATCTCTGTTTTCGCACCCAATGAGTTCACGATTTTAATGATCATCTTTCTAGCGCTGTCTACAGTCTTGGTGTCTTCGGCGAACAGCGAGTTACTATGTCTCTCGAATGCATCGTACATAGTGCTGAATATTTGATGGGTTTTCAGGGACATTTTGGTCAGGTAATCGCAGACATACCCTACGGTTGCCTTTATTCCGGTTCCTGATTGAAGTGAAGTTGTATCCGTGTTTGCAACAGCTAGTGTAAGTGACCGCAGGAGTGATACTATTCAATGAACTCTCCAGTTTTTTCAACGAGATATGTCCATCAATTGGGTCGACATGCGATTCCTGTACCACCTTTCGCGGAAATCGCGCGGCACACTTCCCGTCTCTACCAATACATCCTTTTCCCGTCGGATGCTGTGCAACAGCCCCATTGACTCCCTTCTTTCCACTACAAACATGAACATTTGTGCGGTACATTATATCGTCCACTATCTTCTTGAAGTCAACGTACCAGTCCTCGATATCGAGGCAATTATCGCATCCGCAAAGCTGATCCTCTGGACATACGATCTGGGGCGGGGGTTCCGGGAAGTTCAAGGTAGGATCCCTGTAATTGGGATCATGAGTAAGTTGTCCTTCTTCTTCATGTAAAATTGTATGAATTCCTTTCTTTTTTGGCAAAGTATCTTTTGGGATTCGCTTTCGCACCTCCTCTTTTGTCCCAGTCAAGAAATCTCCGGTCTGTACACTTTCTAAGTATGCTATGAGTTTCCGTTCGAACTCTTTATCTCCATTGATTAATTTTTCTCTGATATCCTTCGGAGAAAGAGCACCTTTTACAAAAAGTAAGATATGCAAATGCAATGTCATCCGCCCTTGTTGCTCAACCGTTCCATAGTACGCCGCCGGTTCTCCAAATACTCCTCTGTGTTCTTCACCCCATCCGAGTATGTGAGTTAGAAATAACTCTACGACGAAATGGAAAAATTTGGCGCAAGCTACAGGATTGCTTGTTATTCTGCGTTCGCGCTCTGAGGAATTGAGGATCTCTGGTTTATATGTAAGAGATTTCCCCCCGCCCAAAAAATACACAGGGGATGTCGGTTATCGCATGGTGATATCGTGACGAACCAACTTGGGGCCCCCTGAAAACTAATCAACGACCATAGCTCGCTCCTCATATACTTCCTCCGCGCCATAGACCCATCCACGTGTCCTCCTACGTACTCGATATGCTCAAGGAGACGGTAACATTTCTTCTCCTCGTCGGTAGCAGGGGAAAATCGTATTCCTTCCTTCAATTTTCGCGAGATGTTGGCCAAGACCCCAGGGTTAATTTCCCTTATAGTTCTAGCCACCTCCTCGAAGTTCCCTCTCTTAACCATGACGAAGCTGCCCTCAGAGCTGTCCTTTATCTGCTGGTGATTGAATGCTGTAATGAGGAACTGGCTATCCATCTGGAAGCGCTTGTCATGGTAATTTAACAACCACTGTCGGTGTCGCGATTCTGAGATCTTGCGAAATAGATCAGCGGTGCCAACAGAACCTCTACCGTATGGAAAGAGCCAAGGAAACATCCTCGGATACAAGGTTGGGTTATCGTAGATGGATTCAGGTTTTTCGCCGTGGCCCACTGCCAGCGCTCCACCGCCGTCATTAAGGTGTTGGACTACAGCTATCTTCCTTGAATTGGAAGTCATCGTACTGAATTTGGTGGTTGTAAGACCATGCACCGTGAATGGACATGGTCCTTCCTCAGCTCCCCGCTCTTCCCCGTCGTCAAATACCGCTTTCGCGGTGCTCAGCACATTGCCCTCTCCATCGGACAACTGTCGGTGCAGAATGCCAACTGGGACACCCTCTTCGGGATAAGATTCGAGTGCTTCTTGATCTATTTCCAGGTCATAGTAGTCGCAATGGTTAAGCTTCAGCCACTCGAGTGCGCGTAGAACCTTCAGTCGACGGACTAGCACTGGTGTTCTCTTCAAGTCGTCGTCCGTTGGGGGAGAAACTCCTGTAAAGATAACTGCCAATACGTCGTCAAGTTCGGAGCAATGGGGCGGAAGCTTCTCATACACCTTTATGGTTGGATTGGGGAATGCGATAACGTTAGCAATCATTTTGTAGTGTCCACTGGAGACACGTACAAGCGTTCTGTTACGCCGGACTCTGGCAATGAGTGCCCTTTCCCCCAATGTCAAATCCTTCAACTCGATCGGAACATCGCCGATCCAAAGACCGTTGGCGAGGGCTAGAAGCGGCATTTTCCCTTGGCATAGACTGGCATGACATGGCTTGCAGATGTTGTTGGAGCCCTTGACCACGATAGGACCTCGCAGCGGTTCAATAGCGTCGCGAGAAGACGTGCGTTCTCTCACGGCGACTGAAGGTTGCTCCAGTATCGAGAATGAATGGTTTCCCCTGTTAAAGTGCAATGCTTCAGGTGACCTTACTAATTGACCGCAACAGGCACAAGCGACTTCCTCGATATTCTCTATTTTTAGCGCGTCAGTATATTTTCCTACGCACCTAGCAACATCCTTCTTGTTTATGGGCTTTGGCGGGTACTCTTCACCCACCATTGGCTTGTATTCATCCCAGTGGAAAGGGCTGTCATCGTCGGGGGGCAATGCCTTTGGGTCTTTTTGGCGTTGGAGCACAAACCCAGGCAACACCTCGCTGCAATTCGAGTGGCATTGGTGGTCACGCAGTTCCTGAAGGCCTTGGGATCTCGTTCGTCGTGAAGGTATGTCTAGACCGTGAAAACGGCCAATCTCTTGAATACCTGCCTTGGTTAGCTTCGTCAGCAAAGACGTCCAGGGCATCTTTACAAAGATGAAGCCGGGCTCAATGAAACCCTTCTGAACGTGATCCACCTGCCTCGTGAGCTTGACCAATGTGAGTGCTGTCTTGTCCGGACCTTTTCAAGACTTCCTCATCGTCTACCCATTCCCGTATATCGCCCAAAGTGAAAGCCTTCGCTATTGGTTTCCCTTGACCGTCGCCAGGACCGCTGTCGTCAATAGGGGTAAATAAGGTGACGTGCTGGCCGCAACCTGGGCTGCATTCGTGTTCGATCAGCTTTTCCCGAAGGGAGGCCTTAACATCAGCTCGGTTAGCTTGGATATTGTGTCTCTTGCACATCTCGCGCATCTCACCGACAAGCAATGCCCGGACCAGAGCACCAGGTGGTAGAGAGCAAACCAAGATGGATTCATCCTCCGCCATTTCTTCTTCAAGGCGTTCCAAGCGAGTGTAGCCAGTAAAACGCAGTTTAGTGAAAGCATTCAGATTATCAACGTTGCCGGCGATGACGAAGTCTCGCACTTCGTCAAGAGACCAAGTAGCTTGCCCAGGTCGCACCCCGAAGACACCTGCCTGACGATGCTCCTGTCCTTGAGAATTTAAAGGTTCTAGCCCATTAAGCACGCTGCCTGAAGCAGAAGAGTGACTTGTGTGTTTCGCCGTCAAAGGAACGGAGTAGAATGTCATATTATTGCGCTGTTGTTCAACAGAGGGTGGGCTTTGATTGTTGAATGTGGTGACGGTACGAGGGAAAGACGCTGTGCGTTGATCGAAATGTGAAACCGTGGGAATTCCTCTCTTAATTTTTAATGCCCGAACTAGCCATGAGTCCGAAGTACTATCATCTACGCCTCAACTCTCTACTCCCGGTCTCCGGTCAAGCATTCGTGAGTCCAACTCCAAAGACAATCCGAGCCTCTTCTCATTCGATTTCAATCCACTAATTTTCGAGCCAAGTTCTCATAAGGAAGGTATATTATCAGTCACAAAAATTGTAAATATATGCGGAACGAGGAATATGTAGATTTAATCAGTGCTCCGTGGTTTCGGCAGGACTACCTATTATAATGGCCCAGCGAATGTTACAGCTAAGAGTCCAATTGCCCGTTGTTAGCCTTGTATACGCTAGCAGTGTAACCAACAACAACGAAAGAACCGAATGGGATTTCTCCCTCAGAAAGAAGAGGTAATTTGGATGCGAGAGATGGGAGATCCATTGAAAGGTTGAAGTCAACAGCGTCGCGAGCGTCGTAAATAGGCACTGTATTTTGGAATAAGTTATGTTGGTTACTGGGCGATGTAGTCGTCATGGCGTACCGTCATTCCTGGAATCCAGGGCAAAGTGGTCGATGAGAAGGCGATTTTGCAACTGCTCTCTTCGTTGAAGGGCTGGGATTGTTGCTGAACATGCCAGGCGCCTGGTCTAAACGTTCTGGGTGAGTGTGAGTAACGAAAGGACATATGAGAGACGTACTCTGAGCAGCGGATCCATCGCGACTGACAGGACGAGTAACAAAATGCATAGAGTCACGGGACAGATTGGCGTGCAATTCCGGAATTCCAAAGCTCATACACAAAAAACCCACGAGTCGCTCGAATTCTTGGGTATGTAATTTGCCTTGTAGCATGTTCTGAGGCAGTCCAAAGCTTGTGAGACTTCGTAGACAGCACGATTCTGAGTAGATTGATGACACGCATACAGCAGGTTGACCCTTTAAGTAGGCGTGAAGTCGGAAGCTGTGTGAATGCAGGCCACTAGTGATCTCCTTGACTTCCAGGTCGGCTGGGGAAGCCCGTGACGGGTTAATGAATTGCTGACAAGTCTGGAAACGTATGGCTTCGTACGCCTTGCTATTTCGAATGTAAGCGGAAGGGTTCGGGACGGGAGAATAATGAACGTACGCTGGGTCCATCGATGGAGTCTGTTCCTTCCAAGCACTAAATCGAACAAGGCCTCTCCCGGGAGCATTGGACCACGGTACGAAAATTCCTCGGCTATAAAATTGTCAACGAACATCGGATAACAATGAGTACAACAGCTTACCGCAGTGGTACTAGAGAAGCATAATCTGCTGCAAGTAGGGTATCGTGCAGCTTGGGATCGGTGACTTCACACTCTTGCGGGAACGAGAATCGGAGTCTTCTTGGTTGTCCCCCGTTGACAGGATTTTGCGTGTTAGGGCCAGACCCCCACTGGCCCGAAGGAGTTGTTGGAGTACGGGGAATAGCTCGCGGTACAGCGTTGGAGGAGTCAGGCGGTGTAATGGTCTGTCCGGCGATTCCAGGGCCAGGAGCGGGGGTATAGGGGGGGAGAGGAGAGCTGTAAATGGAATCGTAGCTTGGAGGCGGACGTCTGGAATCCCCTCCTCGTGCACCAGGAGTCGATGGCGAAGCTTGTGTTATAGCGGCGGCAGCGGCTCTAGCGTTTCGTTCCTCGGCTAGACGGCGCTCGTGTGCTTGGCGACTACGGCGTATGGCTTCCCCTGAAATGCACGTCAACAAAGATGGAATCTCAAAGAGATTACACATACCTAAATTGGGCCCGATAAAACTTAACGCCGAATCTGAGGGAGTATGTGAGCATCAAACCAAAGCCCAAATTGAAAAGGCTTACTCGTCTTCGCTTGAACTCATTTCATGGTCTTCTCTCTCCTTAGAAACAGCGGACTGAGAAGCACGTTTGGGGCTTGTTTGAGTGGTAGTTTCATGCTTGCTCGTCGCTGACGCCCCACTACCACTGCCCTGTTCCATAGCCGAATGCACCATAGCGTCGTGCCGAGTCATCGCACGGGCAATGCACCGGTCTTCGTCGATTTGCTTCGCTCTTTCTTGGCTAGCCTGGCGAGCGAAATCCTCCAATCTACGGTCAAGGTCAGCAATTAAACAAACGAACAATGTATATTGTCTCACTCGAGGCCGGGGAATGGCGCGTCTGCATCCGCAGTGCCATCCTCCTTGCCAACATCTGAGTCGTCTCTGTCCGGAGTAGGTCAAGATAACGTTCGACATAGTGACTGGAGTACGAACATGAAAGGGTCCGAAAGATCGTATCCTTCGCCTTCCTCTGAGGGGTCCTCATCCTCTTCTGCTTCCAGATCCAAGAAGTTGTTGCGCCAACGCTTGCTGGATCTAAACAGACCGTTGATTTTCTTCAAAAGTTTCGCCCTGGATTCCTTGCACTTCTTTCCACCCTTCACAAGTTTGCCTAACTCTGTGGAGATACTCAGGCGGTAGGGTTGGGAACCACACAAAGTTGTCGCTTACCACTTGCAGAGAATATCTCGGAGAACTCGCTCGAGTCTGATAATTCTATGGGGTCGTCGATGTCGTTGCGCTTAGACGGCCTTAGGGAACAATTAGATACCATACAATAGATATACACGGCCTACGTACCTTGGATTATCAGAGCCGCTTTCGCGAGAGCTCCTCGTGCGTTTGGACCTTGCCTTCCCCTTGTTCTTGGGTGTCCTACTGTCTCGACGGGGGAGGGGTGACGAATCGAGTGGTGGCCGGGGCTGTGTCAGAGGCGGGTCAACAGGCGTCCTCTGAGATGACTGGGGCTCGTCGCTAGTTTCTTCCGAGGACATAACTATGGGCTTGGACTTGGCTGTCTTCTTCGCACGTCGAGTCCTTGCAAAATTTAGCTTTGGATATGATCATCGCAACAAGGGAGACCTACTTCTTCGGCCTCTCCGTGACCTCAGCATCCTCGGTGACAATGTCATCTTTGGTTGGTGCGCTGTGGAACGTAAATATTAAGGCAGATTTGTGGCCTACAATGAAATAAACATACTTGTTTGAAGTTGAGCTTGCATTTGTCGTTTTGCTGTGTGGAATGTGAGAAAGATTGCCGGGGGTTAGTACGTGGGCCGTGTCAGGCGATGGGCGTGAGTGAAGAGGAGTGAGGCGAAGTCTGAGATGGAGAGGAGACTTCGGGGTCGGAGGTTAGCCTTGGTCTCACGTTATAAGAACCGTGTACCCTTCGTCAAGGTTCCTATGGCTGGCTAGGCCGACGGACCGGACGGACGCCTTGCGGCGAGAGCGCGACGTAGAGAGACGACTGGAGCTAAAGGCTCAACGGTCGAAGACGTGGAGAGAGTTAAGTTAGACTTAGGGGTTCGGACAGAGGATTCGATGAGGGGAAAGTCCTAGTCGATGGAGGAGAGGGGATTGAGTCCTAGTCGATGCAGAAGGGAGGATGGAGATCCTAGTCGAGATTCCGGATGAGGTATCTACTACAAAACCATACAGTACTTATAGAGGACACGTCTAGAGAATCTTCGACAAGAGAAGTGCGGAGAAACGATGGAGAAACATGGAGGCGAGACTAAGATGTATGAATGAGAAATACAAACGACATGAAGGCGAATCGATCCAAGAACAACACAAGAGAGTCGAAGAAGCTATCTACGAACCAATCACAACATGATAAGAAAGTCTAGAGCAAAGACATGAAGTAGAAAGGTCGAAGACAAGTCTTGAGCAAAGAACATGTGATGAGGAAAGATAAGCCGAAGAAAAGAAAGATAATAACATCGATAAATCAGGAAAGTCGAGATATGACGTACGAGGGAACTTCGGACAACAACAAAGAACGAATACGTCTAAAAAGGGAACATACTTCCAAAGAACAATACAGAGTCGAAGGCTTCGAAATACCAAGCGCGCGCCTAAAGTCCACTAGACTTCCGGAGGATCCGAGATCACGGAAGGAGCCGAGTCGCGCGTCTTGCCTGATCCGGTGAAGTCTAGATCAGTAGACATTGACACGACCGGAGTCTAGGTGGCGGTGCGGCTGAAGACGTTGGGGAAGTCGAGGGTTCGAGTATGGCTGGAAGCGAAAGTCGAGACGTCGGGATGTGAAGTCGAAGTGTCGAAGTCTAAGCCGAGTCTAGGGAAGGCGCGAGTGTATATCAGAGTTCTGCTAAGTGCACGAGCCCTGACAGTACCCCCCTGTTACGGCCGAGCCCTCGAGGCCAAAGGTGAAGTCGATGTCGAAGAGAAATTGAAGCATAGGAATGTGAAAGAAAAGAAAATGAAGTCAAAGGAAAAAATGAGAAGTCGAGACAACAAGGCGAAGGCGGACGGGTCACCACTCGGGTCCAGGCTTGTCGGGATATCGACGATGGAAGTCTTCGACTAACTCCCTGGCATGGCTCAACTCGGTAGCAAGGAGCCAGGAGCGTTCTTCGTCTGTGTTCTCGTAGCCTAACCAGCGTACTTCATAGAGAAGCTTGCAGGCGCGTCTACGACGATCCACTTTCGAGTCTAGGATTTCGGCAATCTCATACTCCAATTCGCCGTCTACCTCTACCGGAGGTGGAGGAGGCTCGTGACGAAGAGGAATCTGAGACTCGTGATGGGGTTCGAGCATCGAGACGTGGAAGACGGGGTGAACGGAACGCATGGAGTCTGGAAGTCGAAGGGTGAAGGAGTGGGTGCCAAACCTGAGCAATAATCTCGTAAGGACCGAGATATCGTTCAGACAACTTCTTGGTAGGTCGGGTGGTTCGGAAGAAGGCAGCTTTGACGAAGACGCGATCACCGACTTTGAAGTCTGGGGGTGCTAGACGTTTGCGATCGGCGTATAGCTGGTAAGACTTCTGTGCGGCGGTGATAGATTCCCGAAGGTACTCGTGCAACGAGGCGAGGTCGACTGCAAATTCTTGCGCGGCGGAACTGGCTAAGTCGCGTTCAGGGTGGATGTTAAGACTTGGATGGTAACCCTTGTTTGCGAAGAAAGGCGAGACACCAGTGGTAGCTGAAGGCGCGTTGTTGTAAGCGAATTCGGCGAGGGGAAGGAGTCGATGCCAATCATCCTGCTGGTAAGAACAATACGCCCGAAGGTACTGCTCCAAGGTCTGGTTAACTCGTTCGGTCTGTCCGTCGCCTTCAGGGGTGATAACCTGAGGTGAAGTGAAGCTTCATGTCCAAGGCTTCGCCCAAAGCACGGAAAAAGTGGGAGACGAACTCTGAACCACGATCAGACGTCACGTTCGAAGGGACGCCGTGCTTGGAGAAGACGTGGATGACGAAAAGGCGTGCAAGCTCCGCAGACGTGAGATGTTGGTCTGTGGGGATGAAGATAGCTTGCTTGGACAGGCGATCAACGATCGACGAGGATGTCTGTGAAACCACCAGAGGAAGGAAGTTGCTCGACGAGATCCATGGAGATGGATTCCCAAGGACGGAGGGGAATGGGTAGCTGCTTCAAGAGACCATAAGGCTTGTGGCGAGGAGTCTTCGTACGGCGACAAGTCGTGCAAGAATTGACATAGTCTGCGACAAACGAACGCAGTTTAGGCCAAACATAGTCACGTCTAACCAATTCGATCGTTTTGTTGCGACCGAAGTGACCAGCGAGAGGGTGATCATGCTTGAGCTGCAAGACTCGAAGACGTAAGCCGGGACTATCTGGAACGTAGATACGCCCATCAAGTCTAAGAAGACCGTCGGATGGAAGCTCCCAACGAGGGTCAGAAGGAGTGGGAAGTTGTGAAGAGGCGAGGGGGTCCGAAGAATAAGAAGCCTTGATATCAGAATGAAGACTAGCAGAGTCGACAACCAGCGAGGCTCGGAGGGCAGGGATGTAGATAGTCGAAGCCCTCAATGACGAAGCCAGCTGCTCAGACGCGAAGATTGGACGAAGGTTGACCGGATTTACGCTGGCGAAGTCACTACCCCCCTGTTTAAGGTAGACGTCCCATCGTCGTGTTAGCGCATCAGGCTTGGTGCCCAATTTGCCAGGACGGAAACGGACGACGAGGTTAAACTGGGAAAGGTATTCAGACCACCGCGCCTGACGGCGAGTGAGAACCTTGGTAGTCGAGAAGTACTCGAGGTTCTTATGGTCTGTGACGACGTTGACCGGGTCGCCTGCGCCTTCCAAGTAGTGACGCCAGACTTTGAACGCCTCGAAGATGGCAAGGAGTTCTTTGTCATGGACGTCGTAGTTGAGTTCGGCGGCTTGGAAGTGCGGGAGTGAAGGCGACTGGGTGGATCTCTGAGTAAGTAAGTGTTATTAGTGCATAGAGCGAGGACCGGTGATGGATAGGAGATTTGTGCGTTGATGTAAACTTATTGGCCCCCACGATCGGAAACGAGAAATAAAAAATAAGCGACAAGATTAACGTACGACATGAGCCGCAGCCCTCTCATGGTACAGGGAAATTATTTGGCCCACGGCTCGTTCAGCTGATATGGTGCGATCCACGACAACGTGTTGGAGAATGTTGGCGATGTCGCGAAGCATCGCAAGTTGAGCATTGGAATGGGCAGCATTCGCAGCGCGATCTGGAAAATAAATGGTGAGACAAGGCGAGCGCAGAATAATAACCGCCAGCATACTCACCGCATGCGGCCAAAAAGATAGACTGGCGGAGTTTGAGAACGAGATAGGGTGGAGGTTGAGACTTCGTTTCTGCATCGGACGATTTTAGGTACTTCTCCAGAACAGAGACATCTAGACGATTGAGTTTAGCGACGTAATGGGAGAGGCGAGGGGTAACACAACGTACAGTGAAAGAGAGGGGAAATCCCCCCGTAGTTCTTGTCACGGGTGGCGAGTAATTTGTCTCTGTGGTTGTTAACAATGCGCAAGAACTGACGAGCACGCTCGGCATCGATGTTCATCTTCTGCGCGAGGGCGAGGGTGAGGCATGTCTCAAGGTGAGAACAAACAAGACCAAGGCGTACACAAGTGGTGCAGCCGAATTCATCAGAAAGTACGCATTTGACCTTATCGGAGCTACATTGCAGGGCGGTACACTGGCCCAGATACGGATTTGATGCCACAAAAGCCTTCCAACCGGTGGGATCCAAGTAGAAGCGGACAATTCGGGGAATCCACACGGATGCGTAAAAGCGATCGAAGGCGTCGTCACGTTCGTTGCGTTCGTTGCGCGCATTAACAGAAGAAGCATTGTCGGGCGATGAGGTATGGTCGGTGGACATGACTGGGTTGGATGGCGCTCGGGCAAGGGGAGAGATGGAGGGTGGGGGTAAAGAAGACAGGGGGGGATCAGGCGACGTCGCCTGTGTCTGTAAGTGAGAGGGCACCCGTTGGGGAGATGTATTGTCGTCAAGCGGAGGTGTAGCGCACGTGGCCGACGGGGTGGAATGAGTTGAAACAGGCGAAGGGGTAAATGAAGGCGGGTCTTGAAGCGGATGGGTCATGGACATGGGCGACAGGTTAGGTTCAGTTGAAACAGGGGAAGGCGTAAAGGGAAAGAATGGGTCGAAGGTGTAGAAAGCAGCAGGTGTGTGAGGAAGGTGGGTGGGGATTGTTGAGTGCAAGGACGGATCCGCCATAGGGGCAGGGGCGTTGGTCATGGCATCGTTGACACAGGCAAGATCGGCCCATATAGCGTCATCGTCGGCGATGACAGGGTGTTGGAATGAAGACGACTCGACTGTTGACTTCGTGACGTTGTTTCCATAAGAAGAGGAGAGAGGAGGGCCGAGAGCGGCGGCCAAGGAAAAGGTAGAGAAATTCATGGGCAGGGGGAAGAACGTGTTTTGGGATTGGTGACACAGAGCAAGTTAAATGCAGACAGCGCATCGGTACGGGGTAGCAGTCCAAAGCAGATTGTGACGAGATCGCCGCCCGAGTCATTCGGCACAGGTAACAAGATGTCGTCCAGGAACATTTGCAATGAAGGACATATATTGAGAAGCGCCCAGCGACAGCGGCCAAGGAAGCAGATCGGGGATAGGCGCTTGAGGTCGGTTTTGTGGTGCAAAATCACTGATAAGCGAGAGTGGATGGTAGGACTGATACGGTGGATGGGCGCTGTAGATACACCTCAGGGATCAGGGAGAATATGTAGACATTGTTAAGGAATTACAGAGTAGGGCAGCAAATATTGCATTGGACACAACGGGGAGGGGGAAGGACGAAGAATAGAGGTCATAGACAGCGCGAGTAAGGCAACGCGTGCCATATGGCAGGCGTGCCGGACTGCCGAGCGGGGACTGTACAGTTTACGCATAATTTGATGGTATACTCCACAGTTTGATTTGTGGCAGATTTAGGTTTTCGGCGATTCAGAAGCGGCATGGGACAAGGAAGAGGGTAATTTGAATGCGGAAAGCATGGAAGATGGAAAGATAGGGAAGTGGAAAGGAGGGCACGGGGAAGTCACGGAACACGTAGTGAGAAATGGATTTATGGGAAGGAAGTGTAGAGGAGAGTCGTTCGGGGAGGCGGTGATCATTAGCATGACAGAAAGGGAAGGACCCTGAGAAGGACCGATTGGGTTCGTCGTGGGATTCCGTTTGTGACGATCATGAGCGCCATGGCCGCTCACACACAGAGGCGATTATATTGGGGCGGGGGGCGGACTACTAAGGACGGACTGATGAACATCGGGCCGGGGCGCAGAGTCGTACGATGGCGTGGAAGACAGTGGATCATGTTGCAGGAGGGAGGGGGAGGGAATGCAAAGAACAAAAGAAAGAACGAGATAAGGAGTGCATGGGGAAAAGAGAAGGATCGAAATTAGAGGGACGTTGTTTGGGCGAGAAATTGGGGGGGGTAAAGAAGGTCGGAAGTCAATAGTCATAGGTATATGGTTATAGGTATAGGAAAGTATGGAGAAAGAAAATAAAAGAGACGGAAAGGAATCGAACGCAGGACGTCAGCAAACATCACGTGGCTTTCGAGCGTCGCGTCTTGGCGCAACGTTTTTCCGTGATAAAGAAACCGAGTCCCGACAGGCCTCGGAATCGTTGATGGCCAGAATGGCGTACTTGCGGTCGATCTTGGTGCCGTGGTTGTAGCAGGTGACGACTTCAGCGCGCTTCTCAAGGGTGTTGTCCGATTCACCGTATTCAAGCGCCTACATATGAAATGTCACGGTCAAGGATTAGGGTACTGTTAGCGGCTAGTACGGGAATAATGTTGGGCGTATACGCATATATTGTACTCACGATGGACTCTTCGAATGCGGTCATGTTCATGTTCGCGATCATCTCTCCGAGGTCTATCGTCAAGATCTCGGGCTGGGGCTCAGGCTCAGCGCCAATCGCGGCACCGCGTGCGCCATGGAGCAGAGACAACGCAGCGAGAACGAGGGAGGAGACGAGCATTGTTGGATTCTGGAAGACGCAGAGGGTGTGTTACTAGAGAGAAGGGAAGAAGACAGGACCCTGGGGCTGCTGGAGTATGTACTATCAACTCGATTTCTCTCTTGGATTTTATAGCTTTTAGACGAGGGCTTCGGTACTTGCAGACGCCCCGTCTCGAGCGAGTTCGGCAGCTCTTGGCCCATTGCACACCGAAGCCGCCGACGATGGGCGCTGGGCGCTTAGGCCTTCATCGCGGTTGCGTGGGAGCCCGTTTCAGGCCACCGGTCTTCCTATGGAAGTTACTAAGTATGCGCAGATCTATGGTCGCGACACAGTGCGCATATGCGAGATGGATTTGCTGATTGGAGCCCCCCGAGAATCCCACGACGAGATCACAATGTCCCCTTTTTCGGACGGTTCAAACACCATCAGAGTCTGGTCTGAGGACCTTGGCCACCTTGGCCTTTGAGCACCCTTACTTGCTTCTGGTCAAGTCCGCGCTCCGGACGTTTCAAACTCCATCAGCGTAGGCTGGTCTAAGGACCTTGGCCCCTAGTAAACACCGTTACAGGATACATCTGGTCACGGTCCGCGCCCAGGGAACTCGTGTGATGGAACACCGAATTCTGATAGCTTTCAAATGTCTGGCTGTCTTCTGGCGCAGAGAGTCACGTTGGTTTGTGCCTGCCTAAGGGCGCACCCTGAACGGAGCTGAAAGCACGGACACCCTCGATTTTGACTGAACAAGTGCACACTAGGTTGGCTCCAGGTTACTCTCGATGGCAGTTCCCACCGTACGGTAGGCGGGACGTGCGAGGATGGATTTCACGCGCGCGTGATGCCATCATACCAGGCAAAGGTATGATACTGTCGCAGAGAAAGGCTCTTCCACTACGTGTTTGTCAGTCCTAAGGGCTGAGGGTAAGAATATAACTCCCTATGCACCTTCTCAAATAGATAATAAATTAAAAAGGAGAGGCTGGTACCCCATAGAAGCAGAACAGAAGCCTACAGGTACCTGCACAAGATCTGACCTGCCCTAAACCCACCTTTATTGACGATGCCCAACACCTGGAACACGGTGAGCGAATCACTGTGAAGGTTCTTCTCGGATATTACCTGAAGGACGCCACTCTCGAGGGGAAACCGATACTTCTACCTCACCACGACTGGCACTAGTAGTGTTGTATGGCAATGCTCAGAAAATAATACAGTGATCTCTTCTACTGGATGTTCATTCCACTCATTCATGGCATGTACCTGAGTATACCATGATGAATGATGAATCCTGCTAGCTCCTCATCCGCATTCCCCAGAAAACCGTTGATGATTATCCAGCTTATCTCACCGAGAAGGTCTATTGACGTCCTACATGCTGTTTTCACTCAGACTAGCTGGCATGAATTGGTAAATGTTTTTCTTTCTCTTTCGGTGGGTGTCCGAGTCGACCCTGCCGCCCCGCGTCGGTGGCTATGCTGATCGCGGCAGGGTCAATGCTCCCCTTTAACCTGTTCGGTGTCCTCGAGGTTCATTTTTGAATTTACATCTGCTTTCGCAGCTATATTTGGGTCTAGCTTTACAATCTCAGCCCTAAGGACCGACGAACGGGGTAGTAGAGAGCCCTTCTCTGCGAGGGTAGCACGTCCTCAACCGGGTTGATGCCATCAAAGTTGAGGACGCGCGACCAATCCTGTGCGAAATCCATCCTCGCACGTCCCGCCTACCGTACCCACCGAGTTCCAGCTCGGTGGACCCTGTCGCCTCTTTGATCAAATTGGGCAATAAGTTGTTCGCGGTGGCCCGGCCGCAGTCACGGGCGCCTTCGATTAAGCGCCCGTCCATCAGGGACTCGTGACCAGCACCGGGAATCTCGACATTCGAACACCAACGCCCTGAAACAACTCTGGAAGCTATTTCATCCAAAACTTACGATATACCATGTCTTCTCGAAAACTCGACCTGCCTTCGAATTCCGGTGCCATCGGGTATTTGTTGCCATCCCTTAGAGCAGATTTCTATCTATAGCAATCGGAAGTAAGTAGCACCAACTAAAGTGAAAGCTCCAGCAAATAGTAGTAGCAAATGTGCAGAAAAAAAGAAAAGAAGAGAAACCATAAGCCACATCCAAACCTCCACTTACATCCTCTCACTAGCAGTCTCAAACTCCAAAGGCCTACTCTCCTCCTCCCTCATCTTCTCCACCAACAAATCACACTTCTCCACCAACGCCCTCCCCTCATCCTGATACTTCAGCCACGATCTAACAGGGGAAATCCCTACCCTCTCATTGCCCCATCTATCCGTTTCGGCGCCATAGCGCACTGGGGGTGCAGTGGGTTGGGAGAGGTACGCGAGGTAGACGAGCGGGACCAAGGCGAGGTGGGTGGTGGCGATGGCGGCTTTGTACGGCTGGATGGGGTGGTGCGGCGACCCGAGGAAGCGCACGATGTAGAAGACGAGGAGTTTGAGGAAGTTGGTGATCGGACCGACGAGCGCTGCTGAGACGTTTGTGTGGGATACGGCGGGGTGGGAGATGAAGTGCCGCACGGGTAGTTTTCCTGAGGGTGTTATTGATGAGGGCTGGGAGGTGGATGACGAGGAGGTGGAGGAGGAAGAGGAGAGGGCGATACGGTCGAGTGTGGTTGCGACCAGGTCGATTTGGTATTTGACGCTGCTGTAGGAGTGGTCGGTGGAGCGGAGTTGCCAGTCGGAGGAGTCGTAGTGGGTTGGGTTTGCTTCGAGGGAAGAACACCAGATCATGCGGCCGCCCAGGGGGGATGCTGCAAGATGGGATTCAAGTTCACGGAACTGTTGATGGAGACGTGTTAGCAAAGTCTTGGGAGGTTGTAAAGGAGAACGCACCAGGGTATAGTGTCCGAATAGGTTACACTGCCATACCCAACCTAGACCGTCTACACTGAGCTCTCCAGCGTGTTGGGTATAATAGTTAGGAGAAGTCATAGCGCCCATGGGATCGGTGAAGAGTTGTTTCATAGCTCCAATCCAATCTATCGACTTGAAGCTCGCCAGACCAGCATTAGCAGCAATATGCGAGACGTAGGGGTACCTGGACCCACAAAACCCATCGTCAGCGCTCTGCACGAACCCATCCCATCTACCTCAATTAACTCACCTCTCCTTCACAGTCTTGGCAAACTCAAACACGGTCTTAACCGAAGCCAAGTCCAGCGGTACAACATCCACCACCAAGTTCCTCTGCACCTCCTCCGCTCTGCCTGTATACCCCGTCTGCCTCCGCCTCTGCTTCACATGCTGATCAAACCAGGCCAGCAACTCGTCTTTGGCCTTTTCTGCACGTTTGACGCTGCGGCAGGCCATGATGAGGGTGAGGCCGGGGTAGAAGGAGGCTTTTGGGAGAGGCTCGCCGTCTTGTTGGGGGATGTCGGAGAAGGCTTGGGGGAGGCTGTCGGGGGGTGACTCCTCGGACAGCTGGACGAGCAGGCGTTGGCAGATGCCATACCCTACACCACTTTTATGGTTATGTTTTTTCGTTAATTGGGTTGGGGAGTGAGTGAGAGGCTACGAACCCGTTTGCGCCTGTGACGATGATTATGGGCTTGTGTGCGTCGGACATGGTGGTTGGTTGAATTATCGCGTTTGGCAGTGAGGGCGTCGTACCATCTGTCTTGCCACTGCGAGTTGCACTCGGCGCTGTGATGATGGCCTTGATCCATCATCACGTCGTTTTCCCCGCTCCTTCCGGCCTCTTTGGTTCTCTACCACGACGTCAACGCCTACACCGCGGTACGCTTTGGTATATTCTTGTTAAGAAAGCTAATAACAACCTCGAATAATTCTATACAGGTAGCTATGAACGCGTTTACTGCGTTCCGCTCAGCTGCAAAGTCGGTCCTGCGACCACCACGACCACCTCCAGCGGTGAACCTCGGAACGAGGTGTTCAGCAGCGAGGTTCCATACCACTCCCATCGTCTTCAAGAAGAAAAATGACCTCGACTTGGAGGCACTCGGCACCGACAAGAGGAAGCAGCGAATGCAAGTTCCTAAACACAACCCGACACCCAAGAAACGGCGGAACGAGAAAATCGGTTTACCCTTCGTCCAACTACTGGATACGCAGACCAATACGCCGGGGCCTATGCGACCTCTCCAAGAAATCCTCGATTCCCTGAACCTAGAGGAGTACTATGTCGAGTTGGTGAGCGAGACCCCGCCGGTGGTGAGGATTGTCGACATCAAAGAAGCGCGCGCTGGTACACTCGCCGAACGCCAAAAATCCAAACGTGGGGCAGGGCAGAAGGATATGCACAAAGAAGCCCAGCTAACGTGGTCCATGGCTGAAGCAGACGAGGCGCACAAGCTCTCCAAAGTGCGTGAAGACCTCGAGAAGGGCTACCGCGTGGATATCGTGTTTTCGCCTAAACCCCGGGCGCGTGCGCCTGCTCAGATGGAGATGCGGTTCAAGTTGGAGGAGGTGCGGAAGAAGTTTGACGATGTGGCGAAGGAGTGGAAGGCGATGAGTGTGGATAAGAGGATGGGCGTATTGTATTTGCAGAGCAAAGTCAAGGTCACAGCTAAAGTGGACCGGGAGGTGTTGAAGGAGTCGATACCCAAGTCGGTGTTGGAGAAGAGGGAGAGGATAGAGAGGGAGCAGAAGCATTTGGCTATGAAGCAACAGCAGGCGCAGAAGGATTTGGAGTCATCTTACCAGAATTTGTGGGGCGTATAGAGGCTTCACGAGTATCTCATTCCTATAGACGGGTTTAGATTAACTCTATTATTACTACCTAGGTGCTCTAATACGATACATGGTGCCATGCCCCCCTCCTCTGCCTACTACCCCTCTGCCTCCACATGCTCAGCTTCGTCTGTCGACTACACCTCTTCCTCCCCATCCCGGGCTTCGTTCGCCTACTACGCCTCTGCCTCTCCATCAACAGCTTCGTCTTCATAACAGGCAGCCTAAACACAGACATGTTCTTCCAGAGAAACTCGTCGTCCTTGGAAGCCATCTTGACCGTAGGCAGGCGTCCAATGCAAAATGGTCTCCAAGCAGGGGGAATAGGGTATCCCTTCTTCGCCATGCTTCCGAGGACCTCCATTAACCCACGGTTGGCCTTCCTCGGCCGCGTCTTGGTCAACCTGTACCATTCAACCGCTTTGCGTGTGTAGCGCCGCGCTTTGCTGAGCCGTGGCGTCGAGCTCTTGGGCCTGGGGAACTTCCTACCAACCCGACTCACCGCGGACAACGCAGCGTTGAAGAAAAGAGCATCCGCAGCGAGTGGTTTATGGTCTCGGTGGAACTTGCGAGACCTGGGTTTGCGACCCGCGAACTTTTTAGCGTCCTTGATGGCAGTTTTGAAGACGAGACGCGCTGCTCGGTGGAAAGCTTTAGCTTCGTCCAGGTTTTGCTCTGCTCGTCGTCGAGTCCGGGTGGAACCATACGTCGAAAACGCCTTTGCTCGGACCAAGTATCGTCGGATTTGGCCTTCGCACACCCACAGCATAATGGTGTAGGCTTCGATAGGGAGCACCCAAGCTGGGATTCTACGATCCTCCCAGCTCAGCAACTCGGCCTTCTTCCCCCATAGGAAAACCTTTTCCGCCGTAGCAAAACGCCCAGCCTTCATCAACGCGTTGAGAGCAGAGACGAATAACCGTGGACCATGCTGGGCTGCGCGCTTCAGGTTCTTGATACGCACTTTCTGATCTACACTCTCCGCTGGTTTGTCAACCGAGTTGGACCCTGGGAGGTAGGACAGGAAGTAGCGAGCGGCAAGCTTTGGAGCACCGGAAGACACGAGGAAGTCGATCTTGGTGACGAATTCGTTGGTGCTTTGGTTGCGTACCCTGAGTGTCGCAGCGTATTCTTCCAACAAGGATTCCGGGTTGGACTGTTTGGGCTTGGAAATTCCAGAGAAGTGGGAAGCGTGTGCCCAGAGCTCTGGGTCTTTGAGATTGGCGGCCGCTTGTTGGTAGATGTTCACAGTGTATCGGTCGGGCTTGAGCGGTGGCGAGCGTTGGTGGACCATATGTTCCCAGATCGTCCCTGAGAGCTGTTTCCAATCCCGGTGCTCGAACGCGAACCGTAGGAGACGGTTGTAGCTCGGGAGGTCCAGTGCGGGCATGTGTCCGCCATTCTGTTTGATCGGCGGGCGGAAGGACGCGTGTTCGACTTCGACACTGGGCAGGTCTTGTATGAGGCGGGTTAGGACCTGGCTAAAGTAGAGCGACGCTCTGACTTTGCGGGTCGGTCCTCCCGGTTCGTCTGGGACTTCCACGAAACCTGCGAGCTGCGTCCCGCGTGAAAGCAGTCGTATGAGCTCGCTCAGGGATGCGAATGGTATGAGGCGATGGTCTAAAAGGACTCCGAGATTGGCCAAGGCCTGCAAGGAATCGTCGTAGTAGCCCCAAACGCCTTCGCCTTTGTACGATAACCCGGTATTAATGGACTCGAGGATCTCGTCCAACCGACTCTCTGAAGGCCACGCCGTCACCCTATACTTGATCGCCTGGCGAATAGTCAAACCCTCCGTCTCAGGCACATTGTTCTGCGCCATATCCGCCTCGACTTGTTTATTCCAGTGCCTCACGAGGAGCCCGAAAATCAAGGAAGCAGCGATAATTTCGCCGTTGATGACGCAAAGTGTGATGAGGGTTTTGAACATGTTGCGGGTGCGTCTGTGGCCGGACTGGCGCGCGATGTCGAGGAGGCGGAGGGCGAAGGCGCCGCCTGCGTGTTGGATGCGCGTGTGGGAGGGGGTGGCGGAGAGGATGTTGGATGTGAAGGGTTGGATTGGAGGTGGGAGGGTTTTGAACGTGGACTTGGGGTTTGTTAGGGCTGCGAAGACGAGGTCGAGGGATTTGCTGTGGACGCGGATGCCTTGTTGCATGAGTTGCTCGGCGAGGCGCGCGGCTTGGTCGTGGTGTCCATGACGGAGGAGAGAGTGAAGTAGGGAATGGGAGACGAGGCGGATGGGTGTGCCTTCTTGGAACGGTATTGCGGATTGTTTGAATGCGGAAAATGGGACAAGGCCGCTTAGTTTGTCGATAAGGAGGGTGGTGGTGGACTTGTTGTTTGCATGGTGAATGGAGTTGAGGACGAGAAAGGCTTCGGGGAGTTCGCCTGAAGCGACTGAGAACCGCACTGCCTGAGCTGCTGCAGACGCAATTCGGGCTGGGGGAAGAGGTGAATCACTCTCCTCTTGTGCGTGTTCCCGCCCTGCCCGACGTAGGGTTTGGTGTAAACCAGCGTCTAGAGGTGGATGGGAAGAGGTAGCCTGTTGGGCATGTGCTACAGCATGGATACTTCTGAAATGTTGGTGGTGGAAAAGCGATAATTTGGTTCGTTTCAGGCAAAAATTAGACGGGCGAAAGCAGGTCGTTTGCCATTTGGACACTGTCTCTCTGGCTAGTCGTCGCCAGGAGGATTGCATCAGCTTCACATAACTGTATCATACAGTTCAGTTTACACAAATTTCTCTAATATTGAACGACATACCGGGTACCCGTTACTCGTTGTGCGCGCTGTGACCGAGCTGACCGTCGTCGACGTTGCGGATGAAAATTCGGACGGCACGTCCAGGGTCTCGGGCACTGACGGCGCGAACTCCGCGGCTCGGCAAGTCGCGACCCCTTCCTTTTCGGGACTCCAGCATCAAATCGGTCACGTGAAAGGAGACCATGTGACTTCTGCATTCAGAGCATCGTTCGTCGTTGTCGGCGTTCTTGACGTCGTCCACGACAGTCCACGACGCCCAAGCTATAAAACTCTGGTTAAACGTATTGAGCTCCCAACTTTGAAATTCTCAAAATGAGCTACGAGAGACGAGGTCATTATGGTGGTCGAAGACGGTACAGAGGTATGGAAACTTGAACTTAGTGGTTTATTTGAGGATGGATTTTGAATTGAATTCTCTCTCTCTGCTAGATGATTGGAATAACCAGCGGCATGAACCGGTGGAGACTCCGGACGATAAACTGAAGTCTGCCATTATCAAGTTTGGTGAAGTGGTGCGTTTGAATGTATATATTCTTGGGAATATTGGAAGTCTAACGCGTTTACTTTCAGGACGCCAACGAAGAGCTGGTGAGGTTAGAAACTCAAATCCGGGACCATGTTCCACGGAATATCCCCCTTTTGTCGGAAGCCTTTAGGATTAGGTGCGTATTGCCTAAATATTACAGCACAGAGTTTAATTGGCCTGAACGGAATGCAGCGTCACCGAACAACCTTACAAAATCCCCCACTATGCAACGCTTCTCCGTGTTCTCCACAACAAGGGCGACACGCCGACAGAAGACGAAGTCCCTTTGGGCCGTTTGATTTTAGAGGATTTCTGGAAAGGATTCCAAGGTTATGTGGATAAACTTGCATGGAGGGAAGTGCGCCTATGTGTGCGTATCCGTATCCGGCGCCTAACTCGTGTTCAACTGAGAATCTGACGTTTTTGGCTTTTAGATACATTTCTTTGCGCATCTCACAGTTGCGAAACTTATTTCTGCTGATTCTATGTTGGCTTTGTTGCAATCCTTTACCGCGGTGTTGGACGAATTTGGTGTTTCAAATGGAAGGGCGAAGCGGGCGGCTTTGTGTGCGGGAGAGGGTCTTCTCATTGTGAGTCTTTATATATTCGTGAGGAATGTGTCTGACGGCTTTATAGGGAGGACCTGCTTTGAAAGCGCACTCTGCAATCTCTTCGACAGAAATCATCAATTCCATTCAGCAGTACAACGACACCCTTTCTTCTGAGAAATGGCTCGTGTCGCCCACGTTCACCCAGTCAGTGGAGAGTCCCCCTTTAGAAGGCTCTATCGAGGTGAGTAGTCCCCGGCAGTTATCACCTCCCCGCCGCTGACAGCTTCCAGTTTCTCGACATGCTTTTGACCACCCTGAGGGCGCTCGACGAGACCAACTTCGAAGAGACCAAAAACTGCCTCCCTCGACCATACGAAATCTATCCTCCCTTTGACCCCTCTGTTCTCCGACCCTACGACCTTCCGATTGTGCTGGTTCCACCCGAAGCCATCGAACTCGATGCCATGTCGCCCGATACTTCCGAGGGCGAAACCCTCGTCAAGAAAGATGAATGGCCCGAGTACTTCATCCGATTGTTCCCCAGCGACGTTTCTCCCGACTACACCAATCCCATCGGTTATATGATTCGAACGGCCATTTTGGATATTGTGGATATCTTTGAAGTCAACAGGAAGGAATGTGCGCGTTTGCTTTTGGAGTACCCCAAGTGGAACCTTCCGGGAACGTTCAAGCCCAGGCCTGGTTCCACCGTCGCTGTTGAACCAGCTCCCGGGAAGGATTGGCAGTTGGAGAGTACGATCATTGAGGTTGGTCTCTTCTAACTCGAACTGAATGCAATGGCTGACTTTGCTTTTTAGACCATCCTATCCACGTACCTCCTACTCCCCGAGTCTAACCGCAAATCCATCTACTATATCAGTTTGATCACCGAAATCTGCAAACTATCCCCGTCGACGGTAGGACCGGCTGTTGGAAAGTCCATACGCCGCCTGTACCACAACCTCGCGGAGGGACTGGACGTTGAAGCCGCCCGCAAGTTTGCGGAGTGGTTCGCGGTCCACATGAGCAACTTTGGTTTCCAATGGGTTTGGAAGGAATGGTATGGTTCTCTTTTGATCCTTGATTCAGTCGATGCTAGAAGTGGGCTAATGCTGGCGATAGGATACCCGACTTGGAGCTCACTGTTCAGCACCCCAAGCGTGCGTTTATGAGGAGAGCTATTGAGTTTGAGATTCGGTTGGCGTATCATGAGCGCATCTTCAAGACTCTCCCTGAACCGATGCAGGGTCCGGATGCGTATGTTATCCCAGCTGAGGGCCCCAGTCCTGCCTTCGAGTATGATGCCTGTAGGTTTAGTCTTCTTTTAGGCATAGGGTAGCTTCTGACTGTCTTTCAGCTCACCCTCACCATGATGCGGCCGAAGCTATCCTCAACCTATTCCGAGGCAGGGCCAAAGCAGAAGACGTCATCTCCCATCTCGACGAACTGCGAACCAAGCTCGAGTCGTCCGAAGAAGGTCACGTCAACGTCGACACGCTCGTACGTTCCATCGCCGTCCAATCACTCCTTCAAATCGGATCGCGGTCGTTCTCACATTTGCTGAACGCAATCGAGCGCTACCTCCCCCTCCTCCGCAACCTCGCGGGTGCGAGCGCCCCTGGAGCGACCACCACAGGCGCGACTGCTACCGCAGGCTCGAATCCTGAAGCGCGGACTGAGATCCTCTCCGCTGCTGCTGCGTTCTGGAAACATAACCGCCAAATGGTCGGGATCGTGTTTGACAAGCTTATGCAGTACCAGATCGTCGATCCTACCGATATCGTGGCTTGGACGTTCCTCAATGGTGCCTCAGTAGGCCAGTTGAGTGAGCTTGGAGGACCGATGAATCTTAGTGCGTTTGAGTGGGATTTGTTGCGGGCTGCCATTGATAAAGCAAATGGACGGGTTGTTGCTGCCAGGCGGAGGGTTATGCAGTTGAGGAAGGAGGCGGATGAGAGGAGGGCGTTGAGTAAGGCTAAGGCGGAGAATGGAAATGATATGGACATGGACGTCGAGAATAAAGAAGGTTCGTCTTTTTCTCGACTCAGGGATTTACGACATAATCGTTCTGATATATCTGTGTAGAGGAGAAGGATGACGATCCACAGCTCGTCACGGCCCTCAAGGCTTATTCGAGTCTCACAAAAGAGCAGAGAATGGTTCTGTCGAGGACTTTGGAAGGGTTTGTGGAGAGTTTGGCTCCCGCACCTACCGCTCGTAATCCGAACCCTCATGCCCGCACTGTCATCGACGAGGCTGCTTGGGAGAACCGAGCCTCATGGGGCAGGGACGAGTGGAACGCATGGGAGACCTGGGGTTGGTACAAGCAATTCTGCCGGGCGGTGAGTCTTCCGCGGATTCTTTGTGTCGACTTGCGGTGACTGATATTTGATTTTTCTTTTTCTTTTCTGATTTCTAGTACGCCCCATACCTCCGGACATATGTCAACACACTCTACACGGTTTCACTTGCCAAATTTGAGGGTGCGAAGGATCCTGGCGCTGATATGTTGAAGAAGATCTGGAACGTCGCGACTGGACAAGAAGCCTAGTTTTTTTCTGTGGTTCCTTTTGCTTTGTTAATCATGTTCTTTGTATCGTGCTAGTGTCATTTCTTTCTCGTGTCTCATTCCCTCTAGGTAAGCGGCGTGACTTTTTTGGTGTGTTGGTATCCAGAAGCTGACTGGAAATCCTTCTATTGCAGTATCTTAACAATCAAAATAACGCGATTTTGATTATTGCATGAATCGAACGGTCGTTGCGAGAAGACTAAGCTGTGTTTCGATTGCTCCAGTACCGATATTCTCCCTGGCGATGCAAGACGATCCCGGCATTGCAGCAAGTTCTCAACTTTCGCTCAATTGCCCCTGTCTGAGCTGTGCAATGGATTCTGATCCGTGACCAATGAAACGACTAGATGCGTTGTCTAATATTGTAACAACTTTCTTTCTCTAGGCTTTTGTGGCAAAAGGCGTTCGGGGATCGTCTTTCACGCTCTGAAGAGAAAACTATTTTGGCTCCAGACCTTTTTGGCTAACGCCATGACACGCTCCGACCAACGCGCGAGCTTGGAGGATAGGTCAATTCACTTTAACGCCCTTGTGCATTTGAGAGGCTGATTGTTGTGCTTTGGATATATAAAACTGTACCGTGATGGCCTGTCTAGTTTTTATCTATTGTCGCTGCAAGTGTGGAGCGAGGCATCACATCATACACGGGCAGTCCGAGTGCGATGGGAGAATGCCTAGATGACCACCTCCGTTACGGCCAGGTCGAACCATGTTCAAACCCGGGAAGGCCAGACAAGCAACAGCGCTTTTCCATGTCCACAATCGAGGTGGGAACTCGGCATGTACTTCGGGAGGAGATAGCTCGCCAAGATGGACATGACAAACTCGTGCCTCGGGCACGGCGACCAATCTTAACTGGTGACATCTCTTTTTTCCCTCTTCCGGCCTGTTCTTTAGGATCTAACGTCATTTGACAGAGGCATCCTATTGTTCCTTTCTCACAGGCGGCATCGAACCTGGACCGGCCTTTGAAGCTGTTCCTTGAGGCTCGGTCAGGGTTTGGAGCTTTGGCGGGTTCAGGTTGATCACTACCACCCCAATTCCACTGCCTCAGAGGACAAGGGAACGATCAGGTCTGTCTGCCGACGGGAATAGAGCTAGATAAGAGGTCATGCGCACCGTTGTAATGGCCGGTGCTGTAACCTGTTGGATTCTTTGGCAACCATCGGAGAATAACATTCAGCGTAGGCGTTTGCGTGTATCGCTTCTGGCCTTCTCCCTTCCGCCTACCTTTTACTGACCACGACACGCAAGGTCACCTGCCCAACTTCTAGCTGCCTGTTCATCCATAGAAACACAACAGCCGCTGCATGCGAAATGAAAATCCTGTGCAGGGCGGCCCTCGGTGAGCCTCAAAGCTTGAACTTCTTTGGAGAGAGCATGCTCCAAGGGTTAGTAAGTCTTTGAAGACTGTATGTTAGATTAACTTGCCTTCCATTGACCTATACTAATCTTGTTTGACTTTAGCTAGCCCACCTTGGTCCCTCCTCCATCCAGACCCCGGCTTACCCTGTCGGAACGGATCACGCAACCTGAAGGGCTGAACTTCAACTTCAACTCTACTGGACTCAATCCGTAACTCAAGGTTGACCGGGGGAGCGGAAAAGTCGAGGAAATATTCGCTAAGAACGTGCACCTGCCAAAGAAAGGAAGGCGGAAATGATCCCGGCCGAAGATCCCCACTGACCTTCAGGGTCGCGAAGTGTTCTGCTCACAGCTCGAAATAGAACCCTGACGATATCGATCGCGTGCCATTGGTGGGTCACATAGGTGGCATTTTACATGATACGTCGTCGCCCCTGTTTTTCTTGGATGATGATATCTCCAGGTATCTCGGATGAATGGATAGATGGGTGGATCTCCACCGGTAGGGCGAGTGTGATCTATCCTACTGCCTTCGTGGGGCTATTTAATCTCTGTCATTTCTGGGTGGTCTGACATTCTCTATCCCCCTCGAACTTCTTCTCTCAGTGATATCGCGCATTAGCGGTCCATTCCCCTTCCTCCCATCTCGTCCGCACATCCTACTCATTTGTACTCCATGCTTCCGGAGAAGAAACTCATCTTGGTCGTTGGCGCTACCGGCGCTCAAGGCATGCACGTTTGTGCGTCCTTATTGGCGCCTAGCCCGGATGGCACACCCTCCCCGTTCGCCGTCCGCGCTCTGACCCGTGATCCCAATAACAAGAGAGCAAAGGCGCTTGCAGCCATGGGTGCTGAAATTTATCAAGGTCGGCCCCGTCACCTTCCCCGCTATTCTTTCTGCGACTTATCGGACAATCCTGTATCCAGGCTCGTTCTATGACATGCAGGCTGCCAAACACTTCATGGACGGGTGCTACGGCGCTTTTATCAACACCGATACCTATACTGTCGGCGAAGAAAAGGAAATCTGGGCGGCTATTAAGCTTTACGAAACTGCACGTCGAACACACACTATGCGACATTGGGTGTTCAGTAATCTCGACTATGGAAGCAAGCTAGGGAACTATAACCCCACATACAAGTCTGAGCACCATGATGCCAAGGGCATTGTGAACGACTGGCTGAAAGCCCAACCTTCGTTTACGGATGATGGGATGAGCTGGACGTCGTTGACGACGTCTGTGTACATGGAGATGTTGCAATATGTATGTCTTGCGCAGTCCACCCCTTCCATTCAGCACTAATCGCTCCTTTCACAGCCTCTCTGTGGACCACTAAACATCCGTGAAGACGGTACCTACGTCTTCGCAAGCCCGATACAAGATGGGCACATCCCTATGATCGCTCTATCGGACCTAGGCTGGTGGGCACGATACGTCTTCGAACACCGCTCAGAAACCTCCGGACGCGAGCTCTTCGTCGCCAGCGACTGGGTCTCCTGGGACTACCTTGTCGATACCTTCCAAAAAGTGACCGGGAAGCGTGCGATCCACCGCCGTCTCTCCCTCGACCAATGGTTCGCCTGCCTTTCAGGCCACGAACGCCCCGTTGCGAACGAGAAGAACTTAGGTGATGGGTCAACGACAATTAGAGAAAGCTTTACAGGGTTTTGGTCGTTGTGGAGGGATGATGTTGTCAAGAGGGATTTCGACTGGATCCGCAGTGTGCATCCTGGGACGCTGTCTCTCGAGGATTGGATGAGGAGGACGGGGTACAACGGTATCGTCGGCACGACGACGTTGAAGAACGCAGAAGATGGCAAGGGGCGGATAATCAGAGATATGGTCGTGTCATCTTTGCTATAGCATAAGGCAGTAGGAGTGTGTTATTTAAGTTCTGGATCGCAGTAATGCGGATGAGTGGGGTTAATTATATATATCGCGAGACAATATACTACTTATTCGAAGAACCTTGAGTTGGCCCCTCATGAGAGACGGTGGCCATAAGCCCGATGATCTGTTAAGCTGAAATCTTCCAATAAACCACGCTACTTCCGTACCCTGTCGCCACTCTCTGCTCAACATTCACACCAGTCTTCCACGTCTTCCCATGCAGATCCTTAACCTCCTTCGCCTTCCTCTTCATTAACATCAGGCGTTCACCAACCGGAACTTCGAGCCTAGTTGGAGACGAGATGCTAGATTTTTTGCCGTTTCCGAGCTCAGAATCAAAGTTGCGGCCCCATACGAGGACGTCGCTTCCACCAACCCCGCCTGAGTCGGCTGAAGAGTTGAGCGCGAGGAGGACGTGGCCAGTGGGAGAAATGGAAATGTCGTTGGGTTTGATAGCGTCGAGTTGTTTGGTGCGGTCGTTGTCTGGATCTCGGTGAGACTCAGGATGTGAGATGTGAAAAGAATGAACCTTACATTGATGAAGGCCAGACACCGCCTTAACTCGCAGCGGACTGCTCTGAGCGGTGCTGAACGTGTTGTTTCCCAGGCCGCCGTATTGGCCGTTGCCAGCCATGAGCAATTCCGTGTATTCAGGTTCTCGTTCGCTATCCCGATCGACAATGAAACCAGTCAAGTCTCCTCCTGTGAGATCATTGAGTAAGGGCCAGCAGTACCGGATTGATAACATGACTTACCAGCTGCAACAGCCCTGCAGGAGGACTTCACATTTCCAGGCGTCAATCGCCACAGAACAACTTCAGTGGGGACAGTGATGGTGTCCAAAGCGACATTGCTTCCCAGTCCAATTTGCCTGTGACACGAGGCTCAGCTAAGTTACGGGTGCATAAACCCCGACGGAAAACGTACCCAAACTCGTTGGCGCCCCATCCCAACACCCGACCAGTAGTCGTTCTGACAAAGCTACTTCTCGAACCTGCTGTAATTTGCGCAACGTCCACTCCTTTAAGCACCGGCAATTCGTAAATGAAGGGGCAGAACCGAATTGGGGAATCGTCGATGTTTGCGAGGTCATCTTCGTAAGGTGGAACCTCTGACTTGACACGCACAGCTCGCGAAGCCTTGCCGTACGGGTCAGCCAGAGATTTGGGTGTGAGTTCGACGTGAAGGTGCGAATCCTGTCCTGTGATCTGGGCACTCGGGTCAGGGATGGCGAATTTACGGAATCCTAGTTGACCATGGCGGTTCGCTTTCTTATTGATTGGATGTGCAAAGGTGCGGCCTTTGGAAGTGAGGGCGAGGAGGTGGTTGTTACCTGCTGCGAGGGACGTGAATCTATGGGCGTTGAGCATGACTTCATAGATGGAGGAGGAAACAGAAACGTACTTCTCTCCCCAGTCCAGCTTTTCATTCGACTCCAACTTCACGAAGTCAATAGTTTGGTCTTCACCCCAGAGCCATCCTGTTCCCCACCAACCGTCACTACTGGGCGTAGGTCTCCCCGGCGCCAATGTTTGTTTCTCTGCTTTAGCGGCGAGCACATAAATATGTCCCGATGCGCTCAAAGCATAGACCTTGTCTTCTGTCAATTGCAGCTGGGTGATATTCTTGCCCTTAAGCGTCAATTTGGGCCCATGGTGTTTCCCGGTTGAAGAGGCTTGTCCGGCAAGTAGGTCACCAAAGAATCCATCGCCCCACTGATAGACGTCGCCTCTAGCATCAACGCAGGCTCCGTAACGTTCGTGGAGTTGGAGATCGCGAAGAGCAACGCCATCCAACCAAAGTGCGACTGCAGGAGCGCGAATGGAGTCGTCGTATGTACTTTGTGGTGACAAGATTTTTGACCTGGTTCATTCGAGAGTATTAGTGGAAGCTCTGTAGTCAAGATTAAATCACGAACCTATTGGATCCCCAGACGAGTGACCTCAGGGTTTCCTGGTCCTTGACGAGGGCGCCATCGGCCAGTCCGGCGTGAAGTTTCCATTGCGGGTCACCATTCTGCACATCGTTGTGCACCAGGTTTCCCTTTGCGCTCACCGAGTACAAGACAGACGTGCCTATTACGGCCGCAGCGATAACGGCCGCAGACCGCCTCGTAGTCCTCCACTGCTGGAAACCCTCTCTGCCGCCGCTGGTCCTCGTATGGATTTGTCGAACTCGTGGAGCATTCCGGAACCCATTCACCACAGTTCGTCGTAGCATTGTCGCCTATTCTTTTTCCAACCAGAGCTTAGCTTCGGAAGACAAATTAAGGGGAGAACATGAAGGTAAGACACAAAATCGTAAAACCGTGACCGTGACGTTACCGCGCAGAACTGCTTCCGTTCCGGGCGCGCGTCGGGAACTAGTCACGTGGGACTCACGACCTGACGCTGGGGGGAGGCGCGCCCATTAAGCGCTGGAATGCCACTCGGGTCTTTAGCCTGAGGGATCTCACGATTAGAGAAACGTTGCTCTCTTAGACTCGTATTCCTTAGATCCTAAGAGTATGTTCTCTCTGACAATTGGAATAGCCCCCGGGACGGGCCATATTGGGCAGGGTAGGTGAATCAACTGGGCCCAGTCGTCCGAGTGAGGATCGTTCAATGTTGACCAACATAGGAAGAGACATATTCCACTCTCCATATGCAGGATAAATTGACAATGGTAATTTTCCCAACCATTACCATTCCTGCAAAACGACACAATGGTACTTTTCCTGCTCTCTGGCACGCTCAGTTTACCCATTGTCAGTGACACTTTCAAGAGAAAGAAGTGGCACCCCATTGTTATCTGGAGCTACCATCAGATTCACCGAAATTATATATAAAGGCCAGCACTCTCAGATACATCCCCACCAGAAACCTTCAGAAGTTCCCCATTCGACCTTCATAATGTCTTCCAAGCAGGCTCTTGTCAACAAACCTACGCTTATCGAGTCTCTGCCTGCAGAGCTTGTCGCACGTATTATCTCCTCCAGGCCCTTCAGCATTTACGAGCTCATCAAGCTGATGGGAGTCTCTCGCCAATTCTTCTATGCTATCCTCGGTGACCCCACTCTTTGGACCACAGTAAACCTGCAGGTTGGCGGCCTGGAGAGGTGTCTGCCGTCATATTATGCACTCCTCGATCTGGCGCTCGAGCGTTCAGGAACCAGAACTTTACGCTTTGGAGTCTCTATGACACCGGAATGCTCTCCCACTATGATACGGAAAATTGCAGCTCGTGTTGTGTTATCGGCCGACCGTTTTAGCACCCTGGAGATATATGCCAGAGGTATTGACCCCCAAAAAGTCGTCCAAACTTGGGTCCACGAGCTCTGCAGTCTGGCCCTCCGGGAGGAGACCTCGCCCTTTACTGCTGTGAACAACTTTTTCGTTTTTCCCATTCTGGATGGTGTGAGCCGATTCACCGCACTCGATATGGAAAACTACAATCTATCTCGGGTCTTCCCAAGGCTCCAACGTCTGAACTTGATCCAACTGACGTTTCATGCACGACACCTGATCAATGGACTGGCCAATAGCCCCAACACTCTAGAATCACTTTACGTTCACGGGAGCGCCTATTCGGCCCCAGCACTGATGGCGGGAGGTATCCTGAAGCATGCACCTCGTCTAAAGAGATTGGGACTCATTACCCATACTATTGTACCCGATCCGGAGTCTAGATTCGAAACACCCATAATCACTCGTCAGTCGTCCTTGGAGTTACTGGGGCTGGCCGGACCCTTGTCTTTCTTGCGCGACGAGCTTCAATCCCTCCGCCTTCCAAGTCTACACAACCTCGCTCTTTTCAGGCATCGCGGCTCCCCAAGCGGAGGCTCCTTGGTCGACGATATCTTGAGATTGGTAGACGAGTCCGGATCCAAGCTCACTTCCCTCACTCTCAAGAATTTCTCATTTTCCAACGAGAACTTGGTCAGACTGCTGGTGGCTTTGCCTCATTTGGTCAACCTGCATTTGACATTTCCAGCTGGAGGCACCGATCACCACCTCTTCCGCATGCTTTTTGACAGATCCCAGACGGGTACGGTCTTACCCAAACTGAAAGAGATCGTCGTAGAAACGTGTCCCGATTACGAAGGCAAAGTATACGAGTTCCCCAAAGACACTTGGGAAGAGTTCGTTAACGACCCGAGGCGCCAGCCCGGTGGGAATTTGGGTACCCTCACTTATGCTCACTTATCCTTTGGACAAAGCTCCAGGTCGACATATTTACACTATTGCTTGCCATGGCCATTGAATTAGATGCATCATCACAGCTTTTAAGCTGCCTAAGTATTTATCGTTATACTTTCTCGTTCTTATGAATTTGATGTACATCGTGCCTTGTGCACACACTATGTTCTTACATAATACGTGTTTTTCTAATGGAATTCCTGTGATCTTGTAAATATCTGCAAATTCAATGCACCGAATCAAAAGTCAGACCACATTCCGATCAGGCAAGTCGTATTCCAAAAACGGTAATGCTATGCGTTCATCATTTGGGCTTAGCCATGGCGAGAAAAGGAGTGGGACTGGGACAGAATATTGGGATCACGCCATCGTCCCACTCTTTTGCTCGCGCCTCCTCCCCCTCGATTGCCCCGCCGCCCTCGGCGGCTGTTAGAGTTGGGTTGGTCGCGGCGCGTAGCGCAACTGTTAGGGTCTGGGGATGCAAGATTCGGGTCCCTTGTAGCCCTCGCGTCGTCGAATCTCCCTCTCGAAAAGGGTTTGGGCGTTGCTCAACTTTGTCTCATGCTCGCGGCCTTGATCTTTATGGGTCTCACGCGAGCTTCGCCAACCTCGATGCGAGAGTGGGGGAAGCGCCACCTTAGTCTAGATCTCAGTGGCGACTGGACGGGCACGGCGATTCTGACGCCTTGGACGCCGTCTGACCACTTTGGGCTGGAGTATGGAGATCAGTGGCTAGGAGGGCGCTATGCACACTGTGCTGCTTCGTCTGGTTCTGGTGCATTCAGCCAAGCATCAACGAACTCTCCAGCAGCTTTTTGAACTCCGTATTCTCGGTCATCAAGACCTGCCAGTGGCCCAGTGCCACGATGAGAGGGTTTGAAGTTGGACGGATTTCATACACTAAAACTGAAGGGTGCCACAGTCGAATTTCAATCCCACTCTTGGGCGCGCTGCAGCATCCCCATCGCTTGTTCAAGTGACTGACCAAGACAAACCTCCCCAACCAACAAAAAACAATCTCACACCTCACTAGCATAGAGCCAAAAAGTCTACTAACAACGGGATAGTAGATAAAGAAGAGGTAGTGATAGTAAAAGAAAAGGTCGGAGGTGTACATATGCATCATAAAAATAATAATCCAATAATGATACCTAGGATAGGTTGAAAAAGAGGAGTCGGAGAGAATGGAATAGTAGAACAAGTTCGTGTCGATAGTAGGTTCGTAGGGTAGATAGTACAAATTGGGACTTGTCGATAGGACTGAAGCGTCGTGCATAATGGTAGGGGATGTAGCAGGTAGCAAATAGGTACAAGTGAAACAAAAAAGAGGAGGATGATAAAACGACACCATACATCTCGTATCTGGCATCGAATCCGTGTGTGGGAGGTGAATATAGCAACAGAAATAGGCGGAAGGAGTGAAGAAGTGAAGGATACAAATGCAATGAAGGAAGAGGGAACTTGTGTATGCGAAGAAGTCTGTAAAATAAAGGGGTCATTTAAAAGACCAAAGACTTCCTCGAAAAAGCCATAAAACGGATTATACACCGTCAATCCCAAGCATCGAAAAAGGAATTAAGCTGAATACGCAGGGAAGGGTGGGGCCGTGACATAAGAAGAGAAAAATGAATGGACAGATAACTAGAGACTGGCTGTAATGACAGGATGGGAAATAAGAAAGGCTGGAGCGGCCAAAAAAGAGAGATGGAAATGAAAGATCTCGTCATCTGGGCGTGCGAAGTGTAGCCACATCTTCGTCACCATATCGGCGGCTTGTCATCGCTTCAATTCAACTGTGTCGGAGCAGTGGGTGCTTGCCCTTGCGTGGTCTTTAATCCACCCCACATCCGGGTCAAGAAGTTTCCCGTAGAACGACCAGAGCTCGAAAGCCCCGAGTTCGAGCTCTCAGAAGCATCAACCCCATGCCCACCATCCATCTTGGCCAAGAGAGGGTTCGTCATCGTCCCAGAACGACTTCGTCCAACAGGTCGACGGGTCGGCGTATCGCCATAGACCTTCTCTGCTGTCGACGACGAAATAGAGGAAGAAAGCCCTTGAGAACCACTGAGCAGGTTGGTGGTAGAGGAACCCGACGTGCCAGAGCCCTGTGACAACAGCGAGGCGCTCGAACTAGCCGAAAGCTGGGGCATCGTAAAGCTGGTATTCAAACTCGAAGGTCCTTTGTCGCTGTAGGTCGACCCTTTGGATATCGAAGCAAAAGTAGGATTGTTGGAGTCTCGACAAGGAGGTCCACGTCGTTTGAGAGGTGTCTTCTGAGCCTCATTTAAACTCGCGATGAGGGTGACTTTGGGAGGTTGCACAGATGGATCGCTGGCCTTCCTCGGATGACGCATGCCCTTCTTCGCGGAAGGAGCAGAAGTGATCGTTCCATTCCTATTAAGCCAAGTCTTGGCCGAAGGATCCTTGAGACTACCAGACAAGATGATACGCTCCTTCTCGTCCTCGATAGCCTGCAGAGCGGCAGTCGTCTCCTCTCCGAACCTCGAAGCAATCCCGGTGCCAGAGTTGGACGAAGCGACACGTACAGAAACGTCAGGCATCCTCTCGTCGCGTTCCTCGTCACTGGTCCACCCTTCAGATGAGCTCGAGGAGGAGTCGGTGTTGTCTGAAAGCAGAGAGGTCATGTCGGTGGAGGTGGTAACAGAGCTGGCCTGTGAAGCAAGCTCCACAGACGAACTCGAGGCAGTGGGGTTGGTGGAAGAGGTGGACACAGGCTGGTACTTGTACATCACCGGAGGTTGAACCAAGGTATTCGCAGAGGGGACAGGAGGCGCCGCCGATGAAGATGACGAGGACGATGAAAGATGGGCAGTGCTCAGTCGGCGCGCAATAGTTCGAACACCGTTGATAATAGCCGAAGCAGTCGAAGCAGCCGCATTCTGTGTCGTGGAAGTGACAGAAGTAGGTGGGAGTGAGATCGTAGGCACGGGAGGTTGAACAGGTTTCGTAATTTCGACAGCAGCAGCTTTGGCATCCGTCGCAGAGGAGACCAATAGCAACGGCCGCCTCTCGCCCTCGCGTTCCACAGCCTTGAGAGAAGCCTGTGCTTGCGCTTGGGCACGGGCCCTACTAGCTCTCGCCACACGATCGACAGCTTCAGCCCTAGTCGCACCAGCGTTCTCCGGGACAGGAGTAAGGAAAGGTTTGAACGTCCTCAAGACCTCAGCTTCGTCAAAACGGAGGTCATAATCCAACAAGAAAAGAAGCTGCTTCTCCATGAGGTTGACTTCCGCAACATCGAACAAGACAGCATACGTCGCCCAGTGGACGTTCTTGGGAGACGAGTCGTTGAGGTACTTGGCCGTCACGATCAGCGTTGCGAGAAACACCCGATGACGGGTACACGCCATGCCTGAAACCAAAACCAGAGTCAGAAACCTTTTCAATCGAGACTTTCGGGAACGCCACAGCAAAGGAGATCGGGAGGACCAAGAAGGCGATCTACTCACCCTTGGCGACGTTACCAAGTTTCGTCCGTAGGCGTTCGAGATAAACGAGTGTCGTTAGCAAGGTTCCAACTTGCACGTTGGACTGTTTGACCAAGCCAAGAATGAAGTTGTTCAGCGTGATGAGAGGTGGGTTTCCCGATGACGATGGAACTGAGTTGGTCGATGATGGCGATGAAGAAGCTGGGCCCTTCCCGCCCTCCACTCTCGCCTGATGAGGTTGAGCGTCCTTGAAAGTGACCCTTGGCTTGACAGGAATGCTCGACGAGCTTGACTCTGTAGACGAGGAGGAGGAAGGGGACGAAGAGTCTGATTTAGGCTCAGAGTGACCGTTGGTGGTCGAGTTGTCACCACCAGCTCCGTCAACGCCATGTGTCTCCTGATCGCCGTCCACTTTGATAACGTTCAACGTCTTTCGAGCGATATACTCGATCATCTCCATCGTCACCCGCTTGCCCATTAGATGGACAAGCTGGGGATTATGGAACGAGATGGGTAAAAGCGAGGCGGGATGGCGGCGTTCAAAGGGGAGTGGAGGGGGTGCAGGTTTCGATATGTTCGAGGTCGATTTACTGCCATTGGCTTTGGCGTTGGATGAGGGTGCGGATGTGCAGGGAGACGAGGAGCTGGCGTTCCCGCTGGAAGAGGCGGAAGAAGAGGAAGAAGAAGACGTGGATGCAAGCGATGACTGGATTACCGTAGGCGAGTCGGAAGTAGAGGTGCCATTGGACATCTCCGTGGTAGGGACCATTCAATCGTAAAGAGCGGGTCGAAAAATGTAATCCGCCTCGGTTGGTTTGTTTAATGCGAAAGGATGGATGGGGTAATAGGAGGGTGGAGAAAAGCGGTGTGGTAGATTGTTGTGTTGTTCGTTGAGCGTGAAGCAAAGCAGCAGATATAGGGAACCTGGTGAGCTCTAGGGCGTGGGTCTCGAGGGGGGTAACGCTCGAAAGAGGGGAGGTTTCTTTGATTACTCGCCGGGGTTCAGACGAGTCGTAGGACAAGTAGTAGTAGTAGAAGTACTATCCAAGCACGACCGTGGCGAAAGAGACCTGGAGCAGGGAGGGAAAGGGGGAGGAGAGAGAGAGGAGGGCAACTGGAACTAGCCTATGCCCTTTGGCAAAGAGGAGAAAAGATATTCAAGTTCAGCCTACCGGGCGTGGTTTTTGGGCGTGTTGGGTTCGATCGAGTGTTTTGAAAGGGCCAACATGATGATGACATCCTAGAACAAACAAGTTTCGATCGATACGCCTGAAGGAAAAAGCTCTCGGCTTTGAGATGACCAGGTGTGTTTGTACCAGGTGGTTGGTGTTGTATCACGCCCAAGGCATGGATAAGATTAGTACAGGCCCTTCAGTGGATTTTATCAATGCGGTTCAGAGGAAACGAGGCAGATTGATGAGAGCGGAACCAGACCCAAAAATAGAAGGATACCCATCAGTTGGCTCACGTGGCTTAATTGATTGGCGACGTGTTTGGCAGCCAGGCCCGCGCTAGGCTCGCCTCGCGTTTCTTGTTTCTGAACATATAAACCCTGGACCATGTCCTTTACCCAGCCATCGATTTGAACGACTCGCAGCCATGCTCTCGCTTCTGTCCTCCTGGGCGACAACACTTTCCCTCGTGTTTGGGGGGTGTTGTGCCAATGCACTCACTCTGGAGCAACTGACACTGACCTATCCCAACTTTGGTTCTCTGATTACTTTTCTGCAGTTTGCGATTATTTCGTTGCATGGGCTGCAGAGGCATGTTACTTGGACACGGTATGGACCCCGGTTCAAGCCTCGTAGGATCCCCCTTCTTCCGTATCTGGGTCAAGTTTCGTTGTTTTACATCCTCTCGCTCTTAAACAACGCGGCGTTTGCGTATAGGATCCCCATGCCTGTACATATCATCTTCCGTAGTGGAGGATTAGTTGTTAGCATGCTCCTGGGCATAGTTATCTCCAAGAAGAGGTGCGTCGTCAAACTGTTCTATCAAAATGCTTGCTTGACCGTTTGGAACCCCAGGTACAACTTTACCCAAGTCTTCGCGGTCCTGCTCGTCACGGCAGGCGTGATCCTCACCACCCTCTCTGCGTCCCAGCCCAATAAACCCTCTACATCCTCGGCTCCTGCAGACCCTTACGCCTACCTCACTGGAATCAGCCTACTCTCCCTTGCCCTCTTGTTCGGAGGATTCCTTGGGCTCCTCCAAGATTGGACCTACACTAAATACGGGAGGCCAGCGCCCAACCCCCCTGCACCTAAGCAGAAGGGGAACGGCAAAGCCCAGAAGGCGTCTAGCCCTCCAGTAACATCGACATGGCAAGAATCCATGTTCTACCTCCACTTCCTGGGACTGCCTATGTTCCTCCCGCTTTTTGGAGACATCAAACAACAGCTCTCGACGATTAACTACGACACTCCTCGAGCATTATTCACCGTCCCCGTACCCTTCATCTCCTCTCTTCTTAGTTTCTTCCCGTCTTCGAATGGGGACAAGACATCGATTCCACCTCCGTACAGCCTACCATCGCTCGACTTCCTCGTTCCAGCTGTGGTGAAGAACAACACCTTTATTTATCCCAGCTCAACGTCGTTATCGACTCCCGACGCATTAACCCTATCGCTCCCCAAACCATACGGCCCACTTCTCCTCAACACCCTCACCCAACTCTTGTGCGTAGCGGGTGTAAACCGCCTCACGACTCGCGTGAGTTCACTCACCGTCACGCTCATCCTCGTTGTGCGCAAGGCCGTCAGTCTGGTCATCAGCCTTAAAGGACGCGTTATCGTGGACTGGCTTGTCAAGAAGTTTGGTGGGCTACATTCTGGACCGGCGGAGGGTGTGTTTGGCGCGATTGTGGGCGTTGTGAAAGCGATGCTTGGGTTGGATGTTGAGCCTGGAAAGGCGAAGAAACCCGTTGATGTGGATGAAACAATGTTGTGGACAGGAGCGTTGTTGGTACTGTTGGGTACTATTGCATACTCGATTGGAACTGGGTGGGCGAAGAAGGCGCAGGTGAAGAAGGGAAAGACGGAGTAGATCTCGTCATATCGCCAACTTGCTTTTCTCTCGGGGTCCCAGTGGTCGCGGTCATCCAACTCTAATGTATTACTGATAGGCTAATGTGTCTAGGTAGCATGATATGTATGTATATAAATAGACAAAGCATAATGCTTAGATCTTGCCAATAAGGAGGTTGTAGAACATCTCCCGAGCCGTGACGACCGCGGTCTGCCAGAAGGTGCCAAAGTCGAGAGTGGAGGTGAGGGTATCGGCGAAACCGAAGGGAAGCATAGGTGGGATCCAGCCTGCGACACCAATGTGTCAATATTTTGACGCGAACGAATGGAAGTAGAGAGAAAAAAACGCACCTCGAGCATACTCAAGAGCAAAGCATCCCTTGTGCATTTTGTATTGCTTAACGTGGCCTCGGGGAAGGTGGTGCACGCTTCCGGGAGGGTACCTCTCCATCTCCAGAGCACCGGGGTAGAACGCCCACTGTTCACCAGTCAAAATGTTGAAGTAGTCGTCGGCGGTGTGCACTCCAGTGTGTCCCTCCGTGCCCAGGGGGGTACCAAAGATGATGAGGTACTCGGTGATGCTGGCATGGATGATGTACATGGCACCCATCGCGCCTCCGGCATTGTTGAACACCCACTCGTTCACGTCCTGGTTGATGCGGATTTTGTTGGAGGGGTAGGTCGCGGTGAGGTTGGCGGTGATGTACTTGATCATGCCTGCTGTGTCGTTGGGGTGGGCAGCGATGGCTGCTTGCGACAGCTGGTGCAGGCTTTCAGGGTCGAAGATGTACCACCGGTGCTGGACAACAGCGTCAATAGGAAGGTTGTGGACGTGTTGGAGAAGAACGTACCTTGATGGAATCCAAGAAGGTGTAGAGGGTGTAGATGACGCCCAACATTGAAAGTCGTGTCACCCATTTCATGACCCAAGCCGAGAAGTTGCTCTCATTTACCGCAGCCTTTGGCTTTGAAGACGACGACTTTTTGGGTGAAGACATAATGACCAGACCGGAGGGGGAGGAGGAAGTGGAGGAAGGGAGGTAAGGAAAGTGGGTTTGACTGGTGTATGTTTTTGAATTGTGTGGAATGATCAGCGCACTCGTACGATACTCGCGCCCAAATGGGATTTTTCAATTTGTTCGGCGCCATAACAGACGCGACAGCGAGCAGCATCACGTGCAGACACTTTTGTTTGATGGCTTGGGTTGCTTGTCCGCGACAGCCGAGTGCCGGAGGGGACGATGAGAGAGACGATATTACGCTGAGCTACGGGTTATAAAGCCGTAGAATTGCTGGATAGTGCGAGAGTCGACCCACTTTACAGAATCGCAATTGGCGCAACAGCGAGCTTCGTGACGGCCTTAAAGGAGTTTGGCGAGGCTGGTTACCCCATTTCATTATTTGTGAAAGTAGTAAAAACCTGGTGTTGGCTCAATGTGCTCTTGTCACGGCGCAACGTGCAAAGTAGGCGTACCGGCGCTTGCGCAGTCCCCAAAAACGAGCGTACGAGCGCCTTCGCTGATTTACGTCCAACGGACGCCTAATTCTGATGTCAAGGCTTTGGGCTCAGATGGATTCACCAACGGGGTCATGCATCACTTAAAGGAGGTCTATTCGAAAGCGTAGCATGCGATGACAAGTGTAAAGCAGCTTTCGGCGCAGAGGCATTCCCGTTCGGCGCGTCGCATCACGTCCCGCGCGCGGCTGCCCCTATTTCCAGTGACCTCCCAGCAGTTTCTGTGAAACGACGTCAAAAGGCCTTTGAAGTTTGACTATTGGCGGCGCTTGATTTAAGGTGCTCCAATTGATACAGAACTCACGCCTGAAAGCGTGGAGTAAGTCAATTTTTTCAGTGTAGAAAGACAACCTGGAATAAAAGCCTGATAGAAAAGCTAAGTATTATACAGTACGCAATGGTACTATTTCCCTAGACACAGATCCTAAACATATGGAAGGGCTGCTCTGGCTTCTATCATATGTGTAGGGTAGAAAGCTCCTTACTTCGAAACGAAACTGTTCGCTGAAAAGACGAACTTCAACTTTCGACGGGCGGCGAAGTCGTGAAATTCACTGAGGGCGCCTTCATTACCGAGCTTAAGGCGGCTTAAAGCCAACACGACGAGTCTTTGCAGGTTAGGAGCAATCTCGGGGCTCTTCATCAGTCGTTGGAAGAGGGAGCCATTGAAATTGTATCGGACGACGAGCTCCAGAGATTCGATATCGGGCAAGGTGGATAGTAGTGCCCCAATTGCCTCGTCGCTGAGTTTAACGTTTCTGAGCGTAAGATGGCGAAGCTGGCAGTTGGAATCCTGTACAAACTGGGCAATCAGGGGGACTGTTTCTTGGCATTCGAGTTCCAACCAAGTGAGGGTAGGGAGCCTGATCATCGACAGTTGAAGAGCCGTATCCCAGAGGCCGTGATCTTTGAGCTTTAGTTTGGTCAGCCTGGAGCGGCGGGCGGGGATATCGGATACAACTCTTGGCACGCATAGGAAGTCGACGACATCAAGCAGCAGTACTTCGCGAGCAGTGGCGATCCATGACAAATGCGGTGAAGTGTAGGCACTTGAGATCACTCAAGGGTGTGACCTGGCGTCTGAGAAAGTTCGAACCGTCGTCTATTGGCCCGAGAGTGTTGATGATGAACGTCTCCAGACCAGGGAAAGCTCGAGGGATAACGTTGTCCTCGAACGTGAGTTGGGGAGTAATGCGGCCCGTCGGAAAGCTCAGCTCGAAATGGCGCACACCATGGAGAGATGCTCCGTGTGGACCGCTAGCAAACTTGTGCAACCACGAGAGGATCCACGTATGGTAGTTCTCATCCGAGTTCAACTCGAAAACGAGTTTCCACCAGTGATTCGTGCTGAGGATGGCGTGCATTATGCGGTTGCTCTGCTTTTTGCTGATTCGGCCTGCCGATGGTTCAACAGTGAGGTGGAAAGACATCTCCATGTTCCGGGATAGTTTCGCATGTCGTAGGATCTTCTTTCGCAGCGAGGACCAGCCTTCGGGGGAGGTAATGGGCGAATGGACGTTCACCCACGCGCTGGGCGTGGAGAGGACGAGGCAATAGGTTGCCCATGACACTAGCGCTAGTCCTCGGAGGTCAACAATACCCCCGTTTTCACCGACGAGGATCTAGATGATACGTTGCTTGATCTCTACAGGGAGTTCGAGGAAAGTTGGCCGTCGCTGCGAGGCTGGCATATGCCATAGAATGCTCGTCGGGTTAGGACGCGATGTCGAGGCCCAAATATCGCGTCTGGAGGGTGTGGGATGAAGCGTATTTGCCACTATCTTGACATTCTTGGACCATATTTATAGCGCCGGACACACCGTATTAGTGAATGGCAAACATGAAAGGATGAAAGGCGTCTGTCAATATTGTGGTTGGTTGAGAGTCGAAAAGGAGACTTGGCACAGTATCAATTTTGATCGGACTTGCCCGGAATCCCTTTGCAAAGCCAATTGAGGAGGACGAGACGAGAGATTGGACAGAAAAATATGCGGTGAAGGTTGTTATAACGACCGAAATACAGGACTCAAAGGGATGAACGAAAAGCAATAATTGATCCTAGAAAGAGTTGCAAAAGGCAGCAGAAACAAAGCATTGCATAGCACCGCAAAGAGGATGACAGAATCCGAAACTCAGAAAGCGAAAATGGCGAGAAAAAAAATACAATGAAGTCCCGAGTCAAATCCCCAGAGTTCAGATACGAGGCCTGGTAAAGATGGACCGAAAGATCTCCTCGACGTTTGTTGAACTGTAGCCTTCAATATCCGCTTCACTGTGGTTCCATCTACTGGGGACAGGTTCGTTCTCCGAGCTGGCATCAGCATATGCATCCTCATCCCCCGTTCCAGTCTCCACAGATTCAGGTACGTCCGTAGGTGTAGACCGTGTCTCCAGAAGGTACGACCCAGTGGTAGCAGGAGGTCGAGTTGTTTCGTAGATAAGGGCGTCCGACTCTGGCGCTGATGAGTTGCAGCTAGTGTCTGGATCCGTTCCAGGTCCCGAGGAGAGGGGGAAACTGAGCCGCTTCTCTGACCCTCTTTCATTGAGGTGTGGCCGGGGAGTTGAAATTGGGGTGGAGATGGTCGATTCCAATACAGCTGTCCAATGGGGTACCTCCTCCGCTTGCACGGGGCTCTCCCCTCCTCCCTCGTCGTGATCATCCCTGGAGTCGTCAGGACCTCCCGGTTTCAAGTCTTCCTTTCCCCCGCTCCTCGCCTTCGTCTTCGACTTGGGACTGGGAGGTAGAGGGAACAGCTCGGATTCAGATTCAAATCGATCCCGGTTGAGAGAGGGTCGCTTCGTAGGTTTCCTACCGCGAAGAGGGTCTGTCGCACCATCGATGCTGCCAGTGCGTATACTGCTCTTTGAACTGCTTCCTCCGCTTCCGCTGCCCCCACCGACAACCCACTTCGATCTCGGACTTGGACTCGGGTTCGATCCAGATCCCGGGTGGTCGTACTCTCCTATAGGCCCGTACTCCTCGGTCTGCAAAGGGGATGCGGGTGTGATGGCAATAGCTGCATCGATTCGGGCGAGCATAGTTCGTATGTCTTCGTCCGAAGTAGAAGAGCGAAATAGAGCTGGTTTGCGTCTCGTTGATTTCCCGGATAGCAACTCTGGAGGTGGATCATCCGGCGTAGCTGTCGAAGTGGGAGCATGTTTGCATTTACGCTTAAGTGCGTGTCGTGAAGTGGTTTTGGAGAGGTTCAGTGAGGGGTGGAGGAAGGAAGTAGGGATGGTCGGAAGGCTCTTTCCCGTGGTTACAGTCGTGGTCATTACGGATTGGTTGGAATCGGCGGGGAGTGACAGGGCGAGTAACGAGTGGGTGTGCAGGGTACGACGGATAGGGAACCCATAAGCCAAGTCAACCGTCATTAATATGGTCGGAGAGATGTCTAAGTCATATAGGAGAACCAGAGTCAAAATGAGGTGAATCAAGTTTTGGTCAGAAGCTCCTCGAGTTGTGCCGAGATCGTCAAAGTTCCAGACAAAGCAGACATCCATTTTCGCTGGCCAAGTCTTGAATCGAACTCTGTACCCAAAAGACACAGAGCGAGTGCAGCTTGCAAAGCTAGCCAGAGCTGTCCGGAACAGGAACCACGTATCAACCATAGCCGCGTGAAATGGTATGAATAGAACAGGAATGGAGTATTCCAGGTTGCGAAACGTGTTTTAGAACTTTTGGTTCAAGGCGAAGTCATGCCTGAGCAGGTGAGTTGAACGTAGGTTAGGGTTTACCAAAAGCGGACAGTCATTTTGATGGCTTGATCGAAATTTCTGAGCGTGTTCCTCGACGTTCCCCTTCAACTCTCAAACACACATATTCCCTATTTCTGTATACCCCAATGAGATCCACATCTCCAGAAGAAAAGAGTGAACAGCCAGAAGCTGGATCGTCAAAACAGCCCGTGGAGGAGGCTGGTACGCAATCCCGGGAGGAATTGAGCGGAGAGGAGGATGGGAACGAGGGGATGGATGAGGACTCTGGGCTGGGCTTCGGGATGGATCCTGAAGGGTTTGCCGGGGAGAAGGTCGTGAAGCCTCTGACGCCTGAGGCTCTGGCTGCCTTCAAAGCTGCTCAAGAACGTGCCGGCGTCATCTACATCTCGCGGATACCACCTGGAATGCGTCCAGCCAAGGTCCGCCATCTCATGAGTGCATACGGGGAAGTTGGTCGGGTTTATCTGCAACAAGAGGGTGAGTGCTGTCTTGATTGACCGGAACTAGTTGCTGAAGTCGTCGATGCTAGATCCTAAACGAGCTTATCTGAGGCGTAAATTCACGTCGACGAAGAAACCTCACTTTACGGAAGGTTGGGTCGAGTTCAAGGACAAGAAGGTTGCACGTAGTGTTGCTGAGATGCTGAATGCGCAACCTATTGGCGGGAAGAAGGGGTCCCGATGGAGAGATGACATCTGGACGATGAAATATCTTCCCAAGTTCAAGTGGAATATGCTCACCGAACAAGTTGGTGAGTAACCTTCATTTTTCATTGTTGTGCGCCTTCATTCTTACTGACTCATGATGTAGCCCATGAAGCCGCCGTACACACCGCCAAACTCCGAGTGGAATTGTCGCAATCTCGTGCTGAGCAACAGGAATATCTTCGCAATGTCGAGACTGCTCGGGTGTTGGAGAAGCGGGCGGAAAAGAAGCGGGAAAAGGGGGAGGAATTCGAGCTCAAGCCTGTTAACGTCAAGAAGCGACCCCGTGGCGAGGCTGCTGGCGGCGAGCAAAAGAAGAAAAAGGCCAAATCTGATGTCCCATTAGATTCTGTACTGAGCAGTGTATTCTGAGTTACAGTAGCCCGTAGCCGTAAGGAGTGTTGCTTAGTCATCGTGTTGAAACTCCGCGTGAAATGGTGATGAGGTAGTCTGTGCCGTTGGTCGTTGTCGTCTTCATCGCGAACAACGTTGAGCGTCTTGACGAGCAGCGTCAGAAACAGCGCCAAAAGTTGTGTGTCGCGATCTCAAGAGGTCTGTCTTCACTATGCTCGACCTCCACCTGGCAGGCTCTGACCAGCCCTCTCTTCTTTCACCTTTCTCGACTTTCAACTCTTCAGTTCCTTTCTGCCGATTTTAAAGCGAAATGTCCTCTTGGTCTTCTTCCTATCCACCACGACGCTCTCGCTCCCGCTCGCCCTCAAGAGGCCCGTACCCCCCAAGAGGGTACTCAGACTACCCCGACTCGTATAGGATGGACTACGATTCCTACGACAGGGACCGCGGCTACCCTTATGAACGAGACCGACCACCGTACGACTACGGACGACGTGGAAGGAGTCGAAGCCCACACCCAGACGAACGTGCGTATCCAACCCGCTTGTCAAACAGTCTCTTCTGACCCTGTTTGCGTTTACAGCTGGCAGAAAGCGCCGACGTTCGCTCTCTCCTTACGAGCGGGACCGCTATGAACCACGGCCCAGGCACAATGACGATTATGGTTTGCCTTGTTTTGCCGACAAATGTTGATGTCAAAGTTAATTGCTATTTCAGATACCCATTCTCGTGGTTATGGGGGGTACTCACCCAGACGCGGCCATGCTCCGCCTTACCCGCCACCCCGACGGGCCCCACCGGACCCTCATACCTTCGATTACCCAGCCACTCTCAAGCAATACGCCGAGTGGTTCCGCTTCTTCTTCCCTCAACAAGCGCAAGAGGAAGACAGCGCGGACAAGGCTGCCGAGCAAGAGGCAGGTGACGGTTCGAAACCGCGCAATGGCATCAAAACTCGTTGGGAGAAGTACAAGAAGGAATTCGCCGCGAACCAGGTCAGCTTCAGCTTTTCATTTCCCCTTCTGTTCCATCCGTTGTCGTTGTTGTGTATTATCACCAACCGCTCTATCGTCATTCTGGAAACTTGTGATGAATCCCATGTGCTGAAACTCTTATGTACTGTAGCTGCAAGTGATGTTCGACCATCACAAAAAGTCTCCGTGGTTTGCAGAGAAGTACGATCCCAGTCCGGAGTATGTTGCTTTGCGAACGCGAGTTAGGAAGGAAGGGTGGAAAGGACGCCTTAATAACTTTCTTCTTGATCTTGAGGCTGGCAAATTTGACCCAGATCTGAACGAACCCCGCGAGGAACCCGCCTCTCCGATCAAAGAAAGTGCAAATGGCGAAGGTGCAGACATGAACGGCAATGCACCTGCCTCTGCCGACGACTATTTGGATGGAGATGAAGAGCATGGTGACCACGACGGTGGACGACCCGAAGCCAACGGGAAAGGATCATCCAAGAAGAAGGACGATAATCGGGGAGACGAAATTGCTGTGCCTGCTGAAGGAAATCAAGTCATGATTCGAACGATCCCTCCAGACATTGGGCGTGTAAAGCTGGAAGAGGTTCGTTCCCGGTCCCTCGTTTCATCAGTTGCAAATCATCTAAACTTTGTGTTATCCCCATAGGCTTGCTCTAAGATCCCTGGGTATGTCTACCTCGCACTTGGCGATCCACTCCAGAAGAGAAATTTTTATCGAGCTGGCTGGATACGTTTCCGCGACGATGCGGACATGAGCGCTGTCATGGCCGAATTAACTGAGAAAAAGGTGAGCGTCTCCACAGTCGGTGTCGATTCAACACCTAACGCCCTAGTTTTCCCTCTAGATCGATGGCTTTAAACTCCATGTCACTCATAATTTGAAACCTTTTGTGAATCGAATTCGATATACACCTGAGGTTGCCTCCCGGCCAGAGAGACTGGAGAAAGACCTTGCTAACGCAAAAAAGCTTGCATCTATTCTTGAAGAGGAAGCAGCTAAACTTCGAGCAGCCACAGTTTCCACCAAAACGGCCAACGGCGAAGCTCAGCAAGATCAACAAGGCGATCAGCCTATGTCGTCTGCGGTTGAGGGCGAGGGCGAAGAGGAAGACCCTGAGCCGAAGGAGTCTGGCGGTGAAGCGGTCGAACGACGGATCGAGAAAGTCATGGCCGAATTGCGCGACCGTGGACTTGTGGATGCGAACGACGAACAGGCGTACGAGGCCAAGAAGGTAAGTTGTCTCGTGCTCTTGTTTATCGAGATTCGAATTGAATTGTTTGCTTACTTGTCGATTCATTTCACGTAGACGGTCGTATCACTGGACCTTTACCTCGCCTACCTTCGTGCCGCGTTCCACACATGTTATTATTGCGCCGTGACTACGGACCATGTAGAGGAATTGCACCGCAAGTGTGTGAAGCATCTGAGGAAGACGCCTGTCGACACGTCCTCGGAGCGCGCGAAAGGTGTGGAAGGGGAGGGTGGCGAGAAGGAGCAAGGCAAAGGCGATTCGAAGGATGATGGTGGAGACAGGAAGGATAGCAAGTCCAGTGGGCCTGCATCTGACAAGAAAGAGGGCCGCAATGGTGAGCGCCTCCAGCCGACCTCGTTCCTGATCGGAGGGTTTAACTCTGTTATATAGATGATCGTTGGCTAGAATGGCTAGATTCAAAGGTGGCCTTGCTGATAGATCGAGGGGGTGTAGACCCTCGCGACTATGGCGGCAAGTCATATGAAGAGTAAGAACCCTGTTTTTCTGTTGCTTAACGCCGTCGTGGTTTAAAATTAATCAAACGTTTTCAGGGAATTGTCTAAAGCTGTCGAACCGTACATCAAACAGGAAGATGAGGGCAAGTTTAGGTGCAAAACGTGTCAGAAGTTGTTCAAGGCTACGACTTTTGTCGAGAAGCATATCGCGAATAAGCACCCCGAACTTGTCAAGTCGCTCGAGGAGGTGTGTTGTCTGTGTGATCCTGGTTCATGGCGTCGGATTTGACATGTATTCTGGCAGATTCCGTACTTCAATAATTTTGCATTGGATCCTCACCGCATCCAACCCTTCGCACATCCGCCACCGAATGCCGGTACCGGGAACAACCAGCCTCCACCACAGGCGTTCGGCATTCAAGGACCATCATATCAAGATCCTCGAAGCTACTACCCACCCTATGGGCCAGGGCCATACCCCCCACCCTATGGCGGAGGACCATGGGACTACACGTACCCACCATTCGGCATGCCAGTCATGTACCCACCGCAAGCCCAACCGCGCCAGGGTGACGGGCAAGGGAGGAGACTCGGTGACAGGATCGGAGGGTTCGCGTCTGATTCATCGCTACCGGCTGCTGTTGGACTTCCTCCCAAACCCACGCCTGCCGCGCTTGACCAAGCTCTCAGTAGCGGGAATGGTGGAGGAGCGCGGAGGAGCACTGGTGGAGGTGGGCGCAGTACTGGTGGGCCACCGCCTCCACCACCGCCTGATGCTAAAGAAGATCCTCGGGCTGCTGCGGGCAAGCGAGTTAGTTATCATGATATGGATTTGGTCGCAGAGGTAAGGCGTTTCTTGGTATTATTTCTTGTAGTGGAGTTGCTGATTTTGTATTTCTTTCTTTGAATAGGGCGATGTGGAGCTTTCTTACTGATCGCTTGCTGAAGATGCTGGAATTCATTTTCTGTTGAAGCTTCGTTTCGGTTACTGCACGTACTGAGATTCTGTGTTTTTAATTATTGTTGGAGAGAGTATTTTGTTTTTCTGAACTGGCAATGTGTATATGTTCTACTTCTGATGATACATTCGAATTCTCCATTTCAGAGTCGGGCCAAGTAAGAGAGGGCTCATGTCAGTCAATGATCGCGATGGAATGCAAAGTGCTGCATGCTACCTTCTGGGTCAGTCACAAAGAAGACTTCAACCCCCTGCGAATCGTTTAGACCATCTCACGGAGAGTGCATACTGAATACAGTCTAGGGCGTTGAGTCACAACCAAAAGGTCCAGGATAAGTATGGAAGACAGGGATTAAGATGATCCCCCAAGTAGTACATGGTCAATGTGGTTTGTTTTCTGAAACCGAGGACACGCAGGGGCAAAAATTTAAACTATAGGACGAGGTTCTGAAACACAGATGCTTCCGCTCATGAAGAGATCTCGCGTTCCAAGATTGGACGATGTTTGTCCGAGTTATTGATGGGATGCCTGAGATGGTAAGCGCCAATGGCAACAGCCTTGGACCTTGACCTTCACCGACTCGACTTGTTGGCTCAAGGTGCCGTGAAATCCTTCTGTTTTTTCAAGGAAACAGGGTTCTGAATCTTGAATCTGAACGCGCTTTACAGTCGTATAAAAGGCTCGTTCGTTGTGAAGCCTGGGGTGACGTGCGGTTTCTAGACGTAGCAATCGAGGTATGTAAAGGGCGTCGTTTCGTGTCGTAATTTCCCAGAAGATTACAACCCCCGTTGTCTAGCTCTAACCTCAAGCGACACCCCAAAACGTGTGTGTTCTGACGGTACAATACGGTCGACTGCGAGAGAAATGGCCACCGCGGTTTCGGGCCTCCCGAAACTACCTGCCCTGCTCATGACGGCAGAGGGAGGAATGGTGATTCAAGACCAAGTTCCACTCGATCTGGCCACCAACAGTCCCTTCAGTCCTCAAGGAAGAAGCAAAAGCCCACAATCGACCTCGGAATACTCAGACACTGGCGAACCAACGATACAAAGCACAAGTCCGTCCACGACGCGCTCAGAGCTCCCGCCTTCTGGAACCAAGGATTCCTTCCTGGACCTGCCGCGGTTCTCGAGGTCAGCGTCCATGCCTTTGCCCTCACAGCTCAGCCAGCTGCAGCACCCGCACAAACAACCCAGCGATGGATCGCCTACTTCAGCAACCTCCACTTCCCTCACTCCGGCATCATCTAACAACACGTCGTCGTCTCCCCTCAATGAACTATCGTTCGAGCTGGCGGATTCGATCCAGATGGTCGTCCAAACCCTTCTCCAAGTCTCCCCGCCCCAAGTTCTCGATATAACAAAGGAACAGTTTTCCGCTTGTTCGCTTTCCGTACCGACTTCTTCCATGTCGGCTATGTTCACTGTTATGAAGAACATCAATTACTTGTCCGCCAATATGCCGACCTATTTTGACGAGATGTCCGCACCAGACAGCAAACTCCCGGGGAAACGACCAGCACAATCGGCGGATACCTATACGGAGTTCGATATTGGGGAGATGTTGCAGTGTATAGGAGACTCGCTAGGAGGGACTGCCGCTCAGGTCGGGGTGGACATGGTTATCTTCCACGGAGATGTCAGCTTGAAGCATGTGAACGTTGTGGGGGATGAAGCTGCGCTGTCCTATGCTATCTCCCATGTGCGTCCATATTTGTCCGTTCCTAACAAGGGGCTCATCGTTTTCCTTTAGGTTATCAGACAGGTCCTCAACATCGCAGAACGGGGTGATACCGTCGAATTAGGCTTGTTGCTCACGCCCACGCTGCAAACCCAAGCGGAATCTTCGAGTTCTATGCCAGACATTCCGCTCCAGTGCACCATTCGCGTTTCACACAAATTCGCCTTCCCAGAACGCTTACCAAACGATCCATACGGTCCAGAACCTCAACAGGTCCGCCAACATCCCAACTTCTCCTCGCTTCTTCTGCGCCGGATACTTCGCCACACCTCTGGATCAATCAAGGGGGACCTTCCTCCTCCCGAAAACTTTTCGACTGGACGAACAGTGGAATTGGCTTTTCCCCTTCGCCGACCCCGATCGACGCAAGCCAAAACCCCTAATGAACGGGCAAACTCCGAAGAACCGCAATTCGCTCATGACCCTACTCTTCGACAACTCGTTTCTTTTGCAGAAACCTTGAAGGGAAAGAAGGTCACGCTGCATGCCAGCCCCAAGGCATGTTTCGCCCAGCATCTCACAAGCTATCTCACTGCGTGGGGGATGGACGTGACCCATGTTTCACCAGACGGGGATACAGATGGAACGAGCACTGCAGAGCAGACCCCCGCTGCTGATGGAGCCCCTGCGACGGGAGAAGGGCCAAATAACCCTGATCCTGTTTCCTTCGTCTTCATCGACGACGATGTGGATGTTCTCAAGGAACGTCTTCTGGCACAGCGGTCGGGGTTCAATCCTTTTACAGGGTCCCAAGCTCTTTCCAAAAAGCGCCCAACCCTAGCAAACCTGCACCGCCCACGATCCACGGTCAATGTACCCCACAACACGGGCATAACCAAGCCTGCTAACGGTTCGAACGTGATCATGCACTTTACGAGCCTCGCCAACTACAAACATCTCAAGGATGTTGTGCAGTCTATGATGGCTGGTTTCTCTGCGGCCACGATACCATTACCCGAGGTCATGATCATTCCCAAGCCAGCAGGGCCTCGCCGTTTCCTCACAGCACTTCATACCGCGGCCACCAAGCCGAGCGTCGACTTGCCATTCATTCCAATCGCCACATCACCCCTGAGCCCTGGACTGGCGACAGGGACCTTTTTTGGGTCTTATTCTGGCAACACCGAACAACAACCCCATTCTAAAATTAACGCTTCTCAGCCGGTATCTCCCACAAAGCCGCTTCGTCCAACAGGCTCTCGCACCAATTCAGAACGGTCCCTGACCTCGAGTCGAGAATCAGAATCAAGCCTTTCGCAGGTGACGCCCTCACCACTGTCACTCCCCGAGAATGTTGAATATTTCGATAAAGCCGCTGCTTCAAAGTTGGGATCAAACCCTTCGTCTGGTATTGTGGTGAAGAGTCCAGACGGTCAGACTGGTATTCTCTTCCGACCAAAGACTAAGGTTCCGCGGTCGCCTCAAGAACGGGACAAAGGGCAACTGGTTGTTCCTTCTCGGCGGTCTTCCCGTTCATCACCGAATGGCAATGCAGAGGGCTTACCTTCTTTTGGCACAATGTATAGTGCTACTCAGTCCGCAGCTTCGTCCCCCGTTACCAAGCCTAAAGGCCAAAATGGGGCTGCTTCTGAATCGTCGCTTTTACACCCCTTAGACAAGGATAGGATTGCGGCTGCAACTCTTGCGGGACATCCACCACCACCTTTGTCTGCACCGTTGGGAACACCTGTATCAACTGTTGCGACCCCTGTGAAGAGCTCTGACAGCAAAACGCCCGCGTCGAAAGGAACATCGCCTACAGGTTCGCCTCGACCCCAGGAAGCCGCTGCGGCTATGCGCCGTCGACAACATCTGCGCAAGGCGAGTTCTGACAAGGATGCAACCACCACCACCACCACTCCTCTCGGCAAGAAGGGAAAAGCGCCCGACAACAGTATTATTCCTCCCATCAGTGTGCTCATCGTTGACGGTATGTCTTTGCTGGTGCAGACATTGTTACCGATATCTAACATGAGCCTGTAGACAACCCTATCAATCAAACGATCTTGTCGACGTTTATGAAGAGGAAGAGAATTAGCTATGACATTGCCAATAACGGTGAAGAGGCAGTCACGAAGTGGCGGGTTGGTAACTTCCATCTCATCTTGGTATGTGGTCTTTTCCTCGAGACAAGCGTGTGGTTTCAATTTACACATTCTTAACCTATAGATGGATATTCAGATGCCTATCATGGATGGCATCCAAGCCACTAAAGAGATCAGGCGAATGGAGAAGGCCAATGCATTGGCTGGCTACCCTCCCCTGACGCCCAACGGCGAAGGCCAGCGTACACCCTCTGACACATCCTCTGTCGCCTCCCGGGCAACTGCCTCACCCTACCGATCATCCGTTATCATCGTCGCCTTGACCGCCTCGTCCCTCCAAAGTGATCGAGACGCGGCACTCGCAGCCGGCTGCAACGACTTCCTCACCAAGCCTGTCTCCCTCCTCTGGTTGAACAACAAGATCATCGAGTGGGGTTCGATCAAGGCGTTGCAAGTCTGGGCGGACCTGCGACCGGATGTGAACAGGATGAATACGGGTCAAGCAGCGCAGGCGAGAGCTGTAGCGGATCGGTTGCAGGTACCCAAGAAGAAGACGGCGTCGCCCCCGCCTAGGAGGAGTTCGAGTTTGAACAAGGAAGAGGGGGCTGCGGCGTTGGCGCTTGCGTCCCCTGCGGGTGTGCCACTGAAGGAAAGTGCTCTTGGCCAGTTCACGTCTGAACCCAAGTCTCTCCTGGCGAAGATAGAAGGTGGGAAGGAGATTTCTCCCAGTAGGACCCCTTCGGGAGATCGGACTTCGTCTTCGACCGAGACGCGACCTTCGCGAACCAGCTCGGTTGATTCCACTACCGATGATGAATGTGCGTAACGATTTTCTTTGCAATTGGCGTTTTCTCTAACAACCACTCCTCTTCCAGCAATAAATGGTATGTCGATCTCAGTATGATACAGCCGCTTCCTTCTGATCCACTTTTTAGAGAGCAACACAAGTCGTTCACCAACAGATGACGAGCCTCCACGGAACCCATTGACGGAGCCACCGCTCGAGGACGACATGAACCCAGCGATCCCGACCGAACCACCTGATACAAGCGATCTTCCGACTCCCAAAAGGTTGGAGACTATCGACGAAGATCCGATTCCTCCAATAGTGGCCAACGTTGCGACCGCCGGCCAACACGAATCCTCGCTGACCCCGACTCTCAATGATCCTCGATGCCATAGGGAAGATTATGTCAAAGCCAAGCGCAAAGACGATCATGGACGCAATGGCCAAACTCCAGCAACAGCGTCCGAAGACGCAGCGACAGAACCTCCCCCCTCTGATTCTGCGACCAATCCCACATCCACATCCGACACTGAATCCGATCCCTCTCCTCCGACTCCCGCTCCATCCGACCCTGCTCCTCCGTTAGCCGAAACGGACCCTGACCGGTGACGTTTTTGGGCAGCTTGGAGCATTTTAGGATGGTTGGTCGCTTTCCTATACACGTACCAAAGCAACAACCCGACTGGGGCTCTGCCGTCCGGCGCAGAGTCTGTTCCCTCCCCCACGCCCTAAGCTGCCGTGTACCTTGATATCGTCGTCGTCATTTGTACTGACGCTGGATCTTCGTAGGATCCAAGAACCCCATCGCGCAAAAGCGCATGTCATTGTTTCACTTTTTCATCCGTTTTTCCGACACTCCTGCACCCACATCACTCATACGCCACACTCCACTCGCTTTCATTTTGACCCAGTGCCCAATGTTACACACTCCCTAACTCGTTTTCGCTCGCTCGCTGGCCCACTCACTCCCTCGCTCTCGTTCATTTTCTTCCTGTACAAGTATCTAGATCAGATCCCGCGTTCTCATGTGTCGCTGTGTCCCAAACCGCGCTGTCTTCCATCATCATCATCGTCGTCGTTGTTGCCGCGTCCTGTATGTATTCTATTTTACGTCCCTGCGATTGGTTATTCCTTCTTTTTCCTCTTCGGTTATCTGTCCGGGTGTTCATGTTCCAGGTCAAGTAGGGGGAATCGTTTTACTATATACTACGTATTTCAGGTTTGAACTTTCTGGTTTTCCCGTCTTTTCCGATTCGCAGGTTCTCGCTCTCTTTCGGCTATCCATCTCCATCTCTTTCTTCTTCCTTTGAACTTTCTGTCTTCATCCCGGTGTTGATCGTCGTGTAGCACTGGTCGCTCCCTCTCTTTCCTACTATGCTTATGGCTCACATTTCATTTTCTCGCCTTACATGCGCTCACGTTTCTCTTCCATGTACTTTCCTTTCCCTCGCTCTTCTTTGGTTACTCTGCTCGGGGTTACTGGTTGGTTCCGTTTTCTTTCTTTCCTTTCTCTTCTCGCAGATCATACACGAATATCATTGGACTCTTTTGGGGCTTTTTGGGTCGGACGCTTGGTATTAGCACAGCACGTTTTGTATCCTTTCTCTCAATTCCAATATATTTTTCCTCTAGCTCACGCTCCCGATGCACTTAGGGCCTCACGTCTCACAAAGTAAGGGAAAGGAATTGCCATGGGTGCATATGTTCATAGAAAAGGGCCATACAAAACACAAATTTGTTTAATGGATGCGTGTGGGTCTCGTAACATGCGGTCGAGGGAAAAAATCGTGCCCATAGTGTATGCAGTATACCAATACACGTCGAATGAGTATGTACCAGTACGGCACAACAAAAAGCTGGATGCAAGGAAGAAGAAAATCGTGGATTGTGTTTTATGTGATTTACACTTCCTTGACCTTGACGGTACCGCGCAGCAGACCAGTTCTGCGGGCAGCGATGAGACCGACTTTTTGACCGGGGACGGAGGAGCGGGCCATGGTGGAGGCCTTTCCGATGTGCTGGTGGTTACCACCACCGTGAGGATGGTCAACGGGGTTCATAGCAACACCACGAGTGCGAGGCCAGCTGATAAGCGAGGGTCAGCAATTAATTCTTTTGATAAGATAAACGAAGTAAACGCACTTGTAGCGCTTGGCCTTGTATTTGTGGTAAGCACGGCCGGCCTTGAGCAAAGGCTTGTCGATACGTCCACCACCAGCGACGATACCGATGGTAGCACGAGCATGGCCGGAAACGGTCTTCTTGGCACCAGAGGGGAGACGGATACGGGTCTTGTTGTCCTCGGGGTTGTGGCCGATGACGGTAGCGTAGTTTCCAGAGGTGCGGGCGAGAGCGCCTCGGTCGCCAACCTTCTCCTCGATGTTGCAGACGATGGTACCCTCAGGGCACTGGGAGATGGGGAGGACGTTTCCGACGTTGAGGGTGGCCTTCTTGCCGCAGTAGACGAAGGCGCCGGTGTGGAGGCCCTCAGTGGCGATGAAAGTCTCTTTTCGGAGCTTGTAGCGGTAGGGGTCCCGGAAGACGACGACGGCGAGGGGAGCACCACTGTAACGGTTTAGGTTGGCTGCTTTTTTGGAGAAATTTGGCAGAGTTCCTCACCGGCCAGCGTCGTGGATGATCTCCTTCACAACACCGCGAATGTAGCCATTTCGCTCGGCAAAGTCGAGGTTGCGGAGTCGGGCAGGGTTTTTGTTGTGGTGGGTGTGCGATTTGAACTGCGAAGAGTCAATATATATTGGTGGAATTTTCTGCGAGTTGGGGAGCGACGTACGATCGCGTGCGAGCGTCTCTGTGCCCTAATAACCCGACCCATGGCTAACTAGCTGTGGAGGAGAAAGAGTCGTCAGAAATGCGTTCCAGAGTTGGAGAATGCGAATTTTGGCGGGCGGTCGACATCCAGAGGTTCATCGGTGCCATCCAACGCGAAATTGGTCGTTTCTTCGCTCTTTTTCGCAGGGAACGGCAGTATGACCCTCGAAGACGTCGTCTGCACCAAATCGCATAGCGGACGGGCGTACTCACTCTTCTTGACGGTCTTGATGAGGTCGATGGTCGTCGTGCGTTTTCTGTGTACACTGAAGCTACTGTATGCGGGTGTGTGGCTTGACCCTCCGTGATGGTCGGAAATCGGCACAGCCACAACTGGGGAGGGAAGGGGAGGAAAATGAAACCCAAGTCTCGTAGGGCTCTTCACGTCATTTTTGGGGTCGTTTTTGGAGGGAACTAGACCGCCAGGATGGTGTTTCTGAACGGGAAGTATGATATTGGTTTCAAGTCTGTGAGGGACGGGATAGAGTTGCAGGGAAGGCCGGAACTCGGAAAGAGTATTGAAGATGTATGTTAGTTATCTAGAAACGATGTAGCGATAAGGAGAATGTGAGGGGAAGGGACGGATGGGAAGTGATCTAGGGGGAAATCAGTGGGCTGACCTTTTCCTTGGCCCTGGACAGAAATCGAGATCCAGTGATTCCACAACTTTGTCCAGAATATATAATCGCATGTATATTCCGCTTCGCAATTCCCGCTCCCGTCCTTCCCTTGTCCCCCAAATATTACCGTCGAGCTCGCTGTGCCCAACGATGAGCAACTCAGGTTTCCCTGACTTTGAGACTCCGCTTGCCAGGAACGGTCACACGGCTGCCCTCTTACTGCCCGCTTTGAACGTTCCCTCATCGGCGCTTCAGGTTCACGCCTTGGAATGCGCTAGTTCCCTCAACAAATATCTCAATTTCTATTCCTAAATTCTTTTTACAGACTTTGCATCTCTTTGCGGCCACGATTTCACGCCAGCCTCGACTACGACGACCACCGCCGGCATCCGCATCATCAGCTGGCACCAAAACACAAATCTCACCCAAAAAGCCACCCTTTTTGAACCGCACACCGACGGACAGCATCGACAACACGAGTAGCATAGTACAATACGTTCTGTACCCTAATCGCCGTCTCTGTAGTTGGCCGACTGTCGGGTTCGCGTCGTCGTCGTCGTGTAGGATTGGCGCCTCGTTCCCATAAGCCCTTGCAACGACACTCTAAATGATCCATCTCGACCCAAATCACCACATGTCGCCCCTTTCACCCAAGCAAGATCTCCTTCTGTCCCAAGATCCCCATAAAATCCTCCCTTGGCCCTCGTTAGGCCCCGACGATGGCGATTTCAACCCCGACCAGTACCTCAACGATGTCGACGATGGGAGTGGCGGAATGTTCATATCACCAGGCGATATCCTCGCTAACGGAACTTCCGAACCTCAACTATCACCTTTTCAAGGCGGCGCCGACTCCAACGCAGAGCCAATCCAACCCCCTTCCGCCAGTACCGCCACCACCCAACCCGGACCAGTGACACCCGCCGACGGCGCCGAACAACCCTCCCAAACAAACCAGTTGTCCCCTGCAAGTGCAACAGACCCTGCAAACCCGCCGTCGCCGACGCAGCAAGGACCTGACAGGAGCTCGTCATTGTCGCCTGTTCCCGAGCCTGATCAACCACCAGCAGAACAGCAACCGCAGGCCAACGGCGGAGCGGAACAACAGCCGCAGCGGGAGGAGGAGGAGGAGGAAGAGGCAGCACCGAACCATACCGCTACCAACGACCTTTTATCACGGCCCATGACGCCTCTGAGCCCACTGTCGCCTCCACCGCAAGAGGAGGAAGAGGAGGAGGCTGCAACGGGCCCAAGCTCGAACCAGGCCAACACTTCATCTGAGCAGAAAAGTGGCGGCGAGGGACAACGGCAGGGCGAGTAGTCAACAATTCTATACGTCTGTTCTATCTCTTATACTTGTTTTCTAGGCCAGGGACAAGACGGGTCACAGGCGAATGATGGCTCCAGATCATTGACCGCATCTTCTTCGACAAACACAAATATGCCAATGGGCCTTGGGAACGCGGCCACTGAATCCAGTGCTAACGGCGTCGAAGGCGGCCAACATCAACCTCAGCAGCAGCAGCAGTTCGCAGACGGCGTCGGCAAGGGTGGTCTTGCCGCTTCAGGGTCAGAGTCCAGCGCTGCTGTCGCAGGGGCAAGCAACGTGTCTTCTTCTCTCATGCAACCATCGGGCCTCTCGACCTCACCATCGGCCTCATCTAATCCAGCTTCATCATCTCAACCTCAGAACTCGACAGCGCCTGGCACATCCTCTGGGCCAGTTTCTACTACGTCGGGGTTAGAGGGCACCGACCCCAAAGCAGCACTCATCCTGGAGCTCAACTCTGAACTCCTCAAGTGCGCACACTTTTATTTACCTCTCCGTAAAGTTCCACTCACCTTTTACTTGTAGGATCTGTATGATGTTCCAAGCCAAGAGTGTGCCACCCAGCGACCCCATCGCGCGACAGTAAGCTTTCCACAACGTGCTTTGATCTCGCATCTCGTGCTCAACCGAACCTTTCAATCAAGATACGCCAGTCGGCTACAAATGAACCTCGCCTGGGGCGCCGCTGCAGTCGACCAGACCGCCGTCAGTGTCATCCAATGTTTTTATCATTGTCTTCAATTGAACTCAACCACTACTTAGAATCAAAACGTGTCAGATCCACCTCTCGAGCCTCCCCCACCCCTGGATTTTGCACCCACCGACAGGATACGACAGCTCTACGCCGAGCTCGCGGCCCTCTTTGCCAAGGATCAAGCTCGTCGACAACAGCAGCAGCAGCTCACCTTGAACATGAACAACCTCAACCCTGTCGGTGGTCCAGGTATGATGGCCCCCGGTGGTATGCACAAAGGAAACACCCCCATCTCCAATCTCAAGCGCGAGCGTCCAGACGAGCACGGAGTCGACAATATTGGTAACATTAGCAAGCGACAAAATACCGGCGAGAACAAGATGATGCCTCCTCCGTCCATACCTATGAATCCTGGCCAGCCGAACCCTCAGAACATGCCCAACCAACCCACGCCCAACAACGGTGCTTCAGCGATGTCTCCTGGTGGTGCTGGTGGTGCAATGAACGGTGTCAATCCTGCTCAACAGCAGCAACCGCAACAAGCACAACAGCAACACCAGCCGCCACAAATGAACGCACCCCAAGCCTCCAACCCTGTCCACCCTCAAAACATCTCTATGCAAGCGCAGTCACCACAACAACAGCCACATCAGCAACTTGGAAATCCACAGTCGAGACCACCAAGTCAGCAGAGCGTCACGCGGCAGAGCCCAGCACAGCAGGATCCAGCAGCGTCGCCGTCGTCGATGATGAACCTGAATGTGGCAGAGGCGGCGATGGCTTCTTCGCAGCGCGCGAAGCAGCTAAGTATACGCTCGGCACAGCAGCAAGCTCAGCAACAGGGTGGTGTTGGTGTTGGGCCTGGTGGAAGGCCGATGTCGAATCAGGGTATGCCAGTTGGACCTCAGGGTAACGTTCAAGGAGGTGGTATGCAAGGAGCTGGAGGACAGAGTCTGAATCCTGCGAATCTACCGCCTCAGATGCAAGCCGCCTTCCAGATACTGCAGACCCCGAATCATCCCGTTGTCCAGACTCTGCTTACCAGAATTCCCGGCTTTAGGACGATGAGTGTTCCTATGCAACTTCAGAAGATTGTGCAGTACCAGGTGAGTTGTTCTAGATCGCGTGGGTGGTTAAGAGTGGGAGAGTGACATGTGGTTGGTGTGTAGATGTATATGGCGCAACAACAGAAGCAGGCTCAGGCTCAGCAGGCTCAAGGAGGGCAGGTCGCAGCGGCAGGTGGGAATCCAATGCAGCAAGGCAACATGGGCGCAGGAAATATGCAAGGCGGGATGGGTGGAGGAGCAGGAGGGTTCGCGACGCCTTCGTCCCCTATCTCGCAGCAAGGCGGCAACATGTTCCCAGCTGGCGGTGCAGGTGGTATGGGCGGTGGAGGAGGAGGAACCATGGATCCTCGTATGCTCATGGGCGGATCGATACAAGCCGGACCTAGCAACATGAACTTCCCGCCGAACATGAACATGTCAAATTTGTCACCTCAGCAACGGCAGCTGCTTCTGCTCCAACAACAAGGTCAGCGGATGGGCGCTGGAGGTGCTGGGATGGGCGGGGGAGGTGTTAATCCTGGCGGTATGAACGCTGGTGGGATGGGCATGAACCAGAATATGGCGATGCTTCAGCAACAGCAGCAGCAACAACAAGAAAGGATGCGGCAGTTGCAGGAACAGCAGCGGTTGCAGCAGCAGCAAGCGCAGATGCAGTCCATGGCGTCAATGGGATCTCCGAATCACATCAATGCGACGATGAATCCTCAGAATATGATGGGCGGAATGGGCGGTGGAGGCGGAAGTGGTAATGTTGGTGTGGGTGATTTCCCACCTGCGCTTCGATCGAATCCACAAGTGCAGGGTATCGCACGGAACGCGTGGTCTCCTGTAGGCGATGGAGGCGCGTCGAGTCCTTCACCGATGACGCCTCGTATGGGCGGAGTTGGCGTTGGAGGGCCAGGTGGTGGAGTCAATGCGGTTGGGAATGTTAACCCCCAGATGAGAGTGTCGCAGGAAGATTATCAGCGGATGATGTTGCAGCAACAGCAGATGCAGGCTGCGAGGGCGATGAACTCTAGTCCGGCGTTTGGGGGGCAAGGGATGAATAAGTGGCAGCAGGGTGGACAGCCGGGTGGAGGACAGCAGCAGCAGCAACAGGGAGGGCAGGGGCAAGGAGGGATGGGTATGGGTATGGGAGTGGGCGGGATGGGTATGGGTGGTGGAATGCCACAGCAGGGCTCCAGTTATGGAATGTCGCCGCCTGGAAGTGCGGGTGGTATGTCTGCTGGTGGGGGATCAGGTGTGGCGCCTTCCCCTCCTGGTGGCCAGCAGAATTGGGGCGCTGCCAACGCTGGTGCTGGTGGTGTTTCTGGTGGATATCCATTCGCTGGTTCGCCGCAGGGTATGGACCCGATGCGACATATGTCTGGTACTCCTGGTCCACAACAGCAGCAACCGCAACAGCAAAGTGGAATCGTGGGTGGAGGGCCTGGTCCTATGATGAACATGGGGGATGGTGGTGGTTCAATAGGAAGCGAGTTTGATCTCTTTAATTGGACTGGCTGATCCATGATCGTTACCGGATGGGCTGTCCGTTGTGCTGTACGGGGGTTGGAAGGGTTTTGGGTGACGGTGTTTGTTGGAAGTGTTGCTCTCCGGGCGTGCTTCCCATCTACATCAACCGCCTAATTCCTCGATGATCCACATGCGGTATCTTGTAACGTGTCAGCTGTTCGACGGCCTTGTCTTTCGATTCGATGATGGCGTACTCCGTTCCACCACGCCCAGCGTGCTTCTCCGGCTTTTCGCTTATCTTTTTTCCCTTGTTTCCGACCGCTGGTGTTCTTCTCTGCTTCTTGGTCCTGTTGTTTGCTATATTTTATTTGCTTGTTATTTCTGCCTTCTTTCCTTTGCCGTTTTTTCTCTGTAGCCATCCTTCGTCTATCCGATATTCTTGTTGCTTTTTCTCCCTTTTTTTTTTCTTGGTCGTGATCTATGCTGTAAAAATGGATCGTCGTCAAAGATATATGTCGTCTTTCTTTTCCTTTTGTCCACGTCGTGACAGCCTACATACTATTCTGTGCCCACTCTCTCTCTCTCTCTCTCCTCTTCGATGTCTCTCTGGCTGGCTATAACGGATGTTCTTACCTCTCCCCTTTTTTTTGTACACGTATTGTATAGTCGCTCGCATTTATACGCGCTAGTTGTTGGTGAAATTGAAGTCTTTCTTTCCCTCTTGAGCCTGGAGCGTAAATGACTGTTATAGTCGCCGCTCAGAAGCAATCAGACTCACGGCGCGCAGTCATCATCGTCCTTCTTCTTTCGGCGATTCATGCATCGACATCATCGCAATCACTATTGCATCTCAGACCAATATACCCACCTTCACCGATCTTAGGAAATGCCGTTTGCGAATCTCTCTGTGAGGGAGAAAGATGCGTTCTTTGGGTTGTTAGATGAGTACGTTCTGGGGTATAGTCTTTGGGATTTGCAGAGTACTGACCTTGGATGTGTGGATCTTCTTGAATCTACCACCGTTCGCCCCTGTCGCGGTCGTTGTTCGTGTCTTTGGTTTGTCGGCGGTGAATCTAGATACTTCCAATCTCGACCTGAGATCTTCCAGGCGCAAAGGGGTGCTGGTGGTGCTGGTGGTGGGCAGTGGGACGGGACGGCAACGTCGGCGATGAAGCAGGCGATGGCTTCCAATCCGGAGGCCACGGCCAAAGTGTTCAGCGCTGGATTGAGACATGCTGCTAAGAGCATGTCACCGCCGCCTTCGAGGAGCGTGGCTGGTGCCAGTCGGGACGAGGATCAGGTGCGTTCTGGGTGTCTGTGTCGATTGTCCGTGGTGTTGATGGAAGGGTTTTGTGTTGCAGGATAGTGGACCTGCGACGTCTGTCGCTGGACGGATAGCTGCACTTTCTGGGCGTGGACCTGCTGCTGGTGGATCTGGTCCTTCGTCGCCTTCTTCGAGTTTCGCTCGCGTGAGTTCTACGTCTTCGTTCTGGTCTGTACCACTGGAAATCTCATGAATCGAATCCAGAAATTCAACGATGTCGATACTTCGTCAGCTAAAGGATTTATGAATTCTTTGAAACAAGCGAACAAGCCACCCACTGCATCACCATCTCCCGCAGCGAGCAGCTTCACGCCTCCTCGTCGAACGGCGTTCTCTGCTGCTGTGCAACCTCGGACGGATGAGCCTGAAGAGGAACCTGCGCCCGCACCGCCGCCTGCACCTGCACCTCCTCCAGCCCGTAAACCGTTCGTGAAAGAAGAACCGAAGGGAGAGTGGGCCGAGGCGTTATACGACTACGAATCTTCGGTGCGTTTCTCGTTTGGCGTCGTTTATTATATATACTTCCCGGGTCGTGGTTCCGTCGTCCGTACCCCCGTGGATTCCGAATGCATGCGACCCTTTTCCTCCGTTGTGATCGTTTGGATTTCCTTGTTTTCCGAACCATGTTGCACGCAGCACGTCATATTTCTGCCTTTCTCTCCTGTTCTGAGAGGCTTATCTTTATCTTCATTCTTCGACCTTCGGTTCTCCCTGCGCGACGTTCGAGGTTCTTCTAGTGCTTTGCGTCATTGGATACTTCTATGCCTCCTGTCGGTTTTGAGTTGCGTTAGAACTGACGAGGTTTTCAGGAGCCTGGTGATTTGAATATCAAGGAGGGAGAGCGGGTTCTTGTGACGGAGAGGTCGTCGGATGATTGGTGAGTGTGACATCTTGCTTTCGTCTGTGAAGCTTGGGTTGGGTATCTACAGAGGGGGTTGTTTCGATTACTCTCAATTCCCTGGACCCTTGGCCTTTTTATACCTTTCCAACATTCCATTTGCCCGTTTATGGCTCATGGGATTGGAGGATCGGATTCAATCGCGATCTTGGAAAGCAAATTAAACAGGGTCGATGGATTGGGGGTGACTGACGGGCACGCTTATCATGATTCGTGACATGACGTTCTCTGCTTCCCTTTTTGCTTCTGGCTGTTACTCCTCCCCCACGTTCGATATGTTTAGCGTTGGGGACGGTTGACGTTTGGACGTGATATATGTTTTGTTTTTTCTCGGAAAGCGTTTATACCGGACGAGCGATGCGGTGTGCTCGCCATGTCGTTATCCGGTCGTTCCATTCGCTTCCCGCGGCGAGCTAATACTTTGGGTTTGGCTCCGAGTCGTTACATTCCTATCGGCGTGTCGCTGCACGAATTTAGGTTCAGAATGCTAACTGGGAATTCATTACTAGGTGGACTGGAGAAGTGAATGGCAAGTCTGGGTTGTTCCCGGCTGCGTATGTGAAGCTGCTGTAAAAAGGCTAGTTGGATTGAAACTGGACATATTGCGACTCGAGTCGTCCATGGTTTGCGGAGAATGGACTTGGAGTTTTGGGATGTTGGAAGGTTATTTTGTACGACGGTAACGTAGCCTAGGGCACGTGTAGTGTGTCTAAGTTTATCTTTGGAATGCTCATTCACCTTTTGTGCTGAAACAGTTACCAGTGTCAGGTCGTTTAAACTTGCCGATTTGGACGTTGGATTGGTAGGAATCACTGACTCGTACAGGAATGGGCTTTTACATATTGTACAAGGTATTTATTTGGAATGGGTGAACATATGTGATCCTCGCTCGCCTACTGCATTCTTTTAATTCTCCGGCTAGTAAGTCAATGGACCAGGAGGGGTGGAGGAGCGCATCATCCGGCTCCTCAGAAGACTGGCTCAGAGATGGGTGGCCGTCGGTACGGGAACTTGGATTGGACAGAGGGTCGAAGTGCATGGGCACTCTTCTGGGGGGCCACATGGCGGACATGGCGTCGCACCAGGTCGACAGGGTGCGCAAGGGAAAGGTACGCACGGGGAACAGAGCACGCATGGCGTTTGGGTGGGACCGGGCCAGGTGTAGGATGAAGTAGGGGGGAGTGTGAATGTCGGTGGTGTGGTGGTGGTGTGGGGTGTAGCGGTGACTGAGGTTGGGGTTGGTCCCACTGTTGGCCTCGAGGGTTTGCACGTGGTGGTGATGCACGGTGGGCATGGTTCAGGGACGGGACAGGGAGGACAGATGTCCCCGAGACATGGTGGGCACATCGGGGGTGCTGGACAGCTGGGACAGATGACGCAGAGGTGGGGTGGTGGAAGCGGTATGGGCACAGAAGTTCCAGTGACCTCTGGAGCTGGGACTGCATTCACTGCGTACAGCACCCCGATGATTACTGCCAGCCTTTGAAAAGTGGACATGATTGGGTACCGCGACGACGTGAGTGTGGATTACAGAATGTGGGGGCTCAATCCTGGGGTTTGGCCATGGATGGCGAACCTTTTTATACTCGTAGCCAGTTCCGACGGAATTTTAAGAATGTCATAGGTCTGTCATGGGGGCATTATGTTGATCCAATTATCCCTACCTTCCTCCGAAAGTTTTGATTTTTGAACACGGCAAGGGGAGGTGGGCGATAGTCATCGTATTCAACAGAAGACACGGGTGTGGTTCTGACCACGGCAAAGAGCTCCGGGTCACAAATTTTCGGATATTGTCTTTGCAGAAGCCTTGAATGAAGACAGGTTGTGTGAAAGGAGAAGAGATTTATATTGTTGTCACGACTTCCTGGATTTCATGTACAATGTATATCTCCGGAAGGGAGTTAACAAAGGTGAAACATGTTCGGCGACGGAAATCACATCGTTCCTCGGATAGGGAAGACAATGTACTCGATTAAGGCAATGGGTTGGGAGGAGCCATGGTTGGAGGAGGAGGGGGAAGGCACCCTCCAGGTCCACACGGAACCGGCTCGACAGGGTTAGTTGCTGTCGGCGGCGGACGGATTGGGCAGAGTGTGGTGATGCACTGGCATGGCCTTGGAAGGCATGGCGGACACTCTGCTCCAGGTGGGCAGGGCGGGCAGAGCGGTGGAGGGATAGGCGCGCATGGAGGGCAGATCACGCATGTTTGGCTGGAAGTGGGAGTGGGTTTAGGCGGGGTTGTCACAGGGGGAGGTGTAAGTGTTGGTGTGATGGTTGGAGGGAGGGGTGTAGCGGTTACGGTGGTTAGTGTTGCTGTCGGCCTCGGCGGGTTGCACGTGCGGGTGATGCACGGTGGGCAAGGTGGAGGAGGAGGACAGGGGGTACAGACGATCCCGTCGCAGGGTGGGCAAGGTGGGGGAGGCAGGCAACCTGGGCAGACCACACAGAGAACGGGTGTGGTTGTAATTGGGGTGGGAGTAACGACGGTGGTCGTTGGCTTTGTGGTGATGGACGGGCAGGAAGTTACGCAAGGCCCAATGGGGAGTGGGCCGGTGCTGGGTGGGCAGAGGAGGGTGCAGGTACCGTCTATCGGTGAGACTGGCGCTGGAATGGCATTCACAGCGTGGAGTACCCCGAGGACCACCACTAGGCCTCGGAACATGGACATGGTTGGGTTCCACGAGGGCATGAGTACGGGTTGTAGACCGTGGGGCTAAGTCCTGGGTTGATTAACATGTATGACGATCCTTTATACCAATCGTCAATCCCGACGGACATTCGGGAATTTCGCCTGGCGGAAGAAGGCCAGTCACGGGGGTATCCATTGATGCCATTTTGCCTACCTTCCTCCGAGTACTTTGATTTTGAATTAGAGAAGGGGAGGGGTGATAGCTATCGCATTGAACATAGGATTCGCGTGCAGTCTTTTAGCATGGCGAAGATCTTCTGGATGATCAGGGTCAACGATGTCGGGTATCGTTTCTCAGAAGCCTCGAATGAAGACATGTTGTGTGAACAACCAATCCTTGGAGATTGCAAGTACTGAACCTCTCGACCGCAAGAGATTTCACGTGTCATCTGTTTAAGTTAATATGCCTAGTAGTTCGGGAGAGACATACCGATTGGTCTTGGGATGCCACATCTTTACCGACGTTCGAAGATGGAGGAACGGCTTCGACGTCTGGGATTCGGGGACTCTGTTCCTTTGTTTGGAATGGACGGCAATGGAAAGCAACACATGTCGCGATGTCATTGATCGGCGGCTATTTATGGGGTAACACTGCCTTACCAAACTGCGGTTGCCGAGAGTCTCAGGTTAATCGATAGCTTCAACCAGTTCTCTACCCTCGATTCAATGGCCACGACTTTGACTCAGTCGTCCCACAACCCATTTCGCTCGCCAAATAATGTTTCACCAAACTTGACCGGTTCTCTCAACAGCAGTTCAGCCCAGCCGACGAACAATAATCAATCGGGCTCAGGACAAACTGGGTCGGCCAGCTCTGCTGCGCCTACAGCTCCGGAAACCAACTCAGAATCGACACAAATGACCTCGACAGCCTCCAACGTTCCACACAGGACATTGCCGGTGGAGGATGAGGAACTTCCTCCGGCGTATACCCCAGCTCCTGACGTGCAGCAGGGCGAAAGCACTCTCGAATATGGTCCTTCCAGACCCCACCAACGTCCTCCTCCGCGACCTGCACCTGCACCCATTCCTGTACCGACACCTCCTGCTTCCACGCATCCTGTCTCCCCGCACTCAACAGGTAGCAGCACGCAACGATTAGGCTCATTGTGGGATCAACTGACAGGGCAACTACAAGAATTCGCCAATATCGCAAACGACCGCGTCGGGCGAATGAGTTCGCCTCATCGCTATGGAAGCAGTTATCCAACCCCTGGAGGTTGGTCGTCTTATCCCGGTGCCCATGCCCAAGCTTCACCGTATTCTTCACCCCAAGGGCCTCCTCCGTTTCCACCGCGGGCCGCGGGTGGTGCTGGTAGGCCCGCGCCCCCTCCGCAGCATCCTGCATCGCATGGACACTCGCAGTCGGCTTCGAATTTGTCACAGCCTCGACGGGAGGCTGAGAACAGGCGTGCATCGTCCGACTTTGTGCGGGATTTCTACGCTGCTGGGGATTCGGTCCCTCCAGAGTTGATGTCGTCCGGCGAGAATCGTGGAGCGGGGCCTAGTTCTAATCCTAATGTGCCAGGAAAGCCTACTACGGAGCCTACCCCGGGTCATCCTTTACTCAGGGATGGAAAGCTTCTTGTGTATCCTAAAGGATATGAATGCGAAAAATGTGCGTTTGCTCCTTATCTTTCTGAGTGCGAGCTGCAGCTGACACGTGCGGTGCTGCTGCATACCTGCAGGTCATAACATTGGGTACAAACTCCCATCGATGAAGCCTTGTAAACGGTGTTGGCCCAAGTACGGGAAACCGTTTTCGGGTCCACTTGCTTACTCGTTTGGGGATCCCAACGCGTCGAATGCGACGAACTTCCAACGGCCTCTTCCTCCAAGACAACGGCCACCGCCTCCTCCACGCCCCTCGTATGGCAGCTCGAGTTTCCCTTCGTCAGTCTTCCGAGCACCGCTCGTTTCGCCCTCGTATCGTCCGCAAACTGTTGTGATTCCGGGACATGGACATGGATATCCTCATGCGGCGGCTCCTGGACGACCACCTGCAGGCTCGGTCGTGTATAATGCTGGCGACCCACGTATTGGAGGGAATCGCTGCTGGAGGTGTCATGGAAGTGGGACGATTAGTTTGTTGATCATAGATCGAGAACAGTGTCCGGTATGTGGTGGGATTGGAAGGACATTTACATAGTGGGACACGTATGTACGATTTCTGTCTTTTGCATTTGCACCTGTTTCTTTGATATTCTTTCATCTGTACTAATAGCCTGAATGGACGGACGATCAGACCCGGGATCGGAAGGAAAGCACTAAAGACACTGGAGAAAGTAGATTCCTGAGTGCAACAGTGGTAACTGGGAAGGTCGATGGTGGAACAGACCTGGTGGTAGTATGAATTCCCAACTTGGCACATGGATGGCGGAGCGCAATTGGTGGGTCCTGTCCATCCGATGCTATAGCAGCGACCAGGTGAGATACTTGAGGTGAAAGTAAGAGAGCAACAGCTTACCCTCCACATTGTCCATAGCGTGTTTGCTGTGGCCCTGCAGGCGCAGCTGGCGAACTTGGCAGAGGAGATCCAGGTGTAGTAGGCGCCTCAGGAACCGGAGGCGCACCAACAGGGGCGGTAGGAACTGTCCTGGGAAGGGTATCGGTGTTGACAGTCGCCGTGTATGTGTACGGGGTTGTGATGACTGGGGGAGCTGTGTATCCGTAAGGGCGCGGTCCTGGGAATAGACGCGGTGAAGGAGTTAAATGAAGGGATCCCTCTACTGTCGACGAAAACAGGGTTTACCGATATATTCGGATACAGCTCCGGATTCAACGCTCTTCACGTCGAAGAAGATGCCAGGGTCCTGGGCGTGGTAAGCACCTGGAAGGGATTGGTGGTTAGATGTAATGAACGAGGAAATGGGAGGTAGTATTGTTATTTCGGACCTGGGATTTTGACGGTGGGCGGCCTTGCGGTACCGTTTCCGCCGACTTCAAGCTGGAAGCATCCAGGGAAGACCCTAAACGACATGTTTATCAGATGCCGTGTCAGGTCTGAATGGACAAGAAGAAAGCGTACTGAGCCCCTCCATTTGGTCCTGTGTCAGTGGCGAAATGCAACGCTGTCCCACAATGGGTATTAGAGGATTAGTCGATTGAAAGTGTTAGCGGAATGTTTACCGATGACTTCCCCTCGGATGAGATACTGTCCAGGAGCGATGTCTGGAACGGTGAAGGTGAGACGACCACAGTTGTCCTAGATGTCGATGACGCGATGAGCTCCGAGTCTCCAGAGCCTCTCCGGAAAGAAAGGGTCGACCTACCCTTCCAATGTCATCAGCCCACAGCGGCTTAGGCTTTGTCGCGACGAGACCCAGCTCCCAGACTTTAAACCAGTCAGCATTGGCACCTAGAGCAGTTTTGGCGTCTGTAACTTTGGCCATGTAGATTGATACGGGCCCTGGGTGGTCTCGGACGAAGGAGTTACTAAAGGTGCAGGTCCGAGGGACTAGGTGGTACTCGAGGGTGACCTCGTCTCCGGCTATAGTGGTGGTTCAAAAGCCTGTTGGTCCAAGGCAGGTGGTAAATAGAGCGTACGTTTTACCGCGCAGAGGTTCTGTGCGGGTTTGGAAACTTGGTCCTTGCAGGCGAGGTCCTAGGGGCCGCTGGTGAGCAGGGATGAAGGGCAAATGATAAGAGTAGAGTGTGCATACCGGATCGTCCCAGTATCTGTAATCGACATTCGTTCCATCGCGAACGCAGTAGGATCCAAAGTCGATGTCGTTGACCCACATTGCACGCCATCGCCCATGGGCGAGGACAGTGCTGGCCAGCGATGCTGCCGATAGGAAGTACCAAAGAGACTTGAACATGCTTAGAACTGGTGGTATAGCTCTAGTGCCAGGGAGCAGGCGCAAAAGTGGACGGGGCTTTATAGGACACTACAGGATAAATCGAAGTCATGACAGTGAATTGGAGTCAGTCAGAATGTGTCTTCTATCGCCTTCCACTCTCATGGTGGACAGAGAAGAAGGAGAGGAAGAGCTGCATGGCTGGTATTTAAGACTTCTTCAAGCGATGCTGCCTCGACCCGGTTTTTCCGTCGGTTAGAAACAGCCGGTGTCGTTTGTGGAGATTGTACACGAAGCCGCTCGCTGCGGCCTGCTCCAGTCACTGGAAAGGTAACTTGGAACCAATGGCCATAGCCTGTGGGAAATAATAGGGACAAGTATGTCGGGATGCGCCTGTTGTTGGCCGGAGGTAAAGGGCGTTGCGCGCTGATCGTCCGGGAAGAAGAACATTGTCGGCCATCACGGAGTTTGCCCTGCGCCAAGTCTTCCCGTCACGCGACGCTGGCCCGCCGAGTCCTCACTTGCCCACATTTCTCCAGGATACGCTGCCGGTTAGATCTCAAGTCAATCTCTTTCAGCCTACTGTAGGCATTCTTTCACGGTTCCCAATTCGAAAGGGCAAGAATAACGCGAAATCGGTAACTCGAGAACGCGAGGGACGTGGCACGTAGCGCAATGGCTTCACCCGTTTCTTCACCTTCTTCGACGCCTCCTTTGACGCGACAGAACACACAAGACGATTCGTGTCTCTCGTCCTTCTCCTCCTCGTCTTTCTCAGGCCCCAGTACCCCCTCGTCTAGCCAACAGCTCCCCGACGACGTGACCAAGGTGGTCGTACCTACGCAAAGTTCCAGCTTCAACAACTCTGATGGGGACGGTGTAATCGAAACTGCAAACAGCTCGCAAGACCATGCTGATAACGAAGACAACCCTGAGCCTCCCAAGAAGAAGTTGAAGATTACTGCATGGAACGGGTGGGAGGCCCTCCGACGCGTCAAGAGCGAGAGCCAGTTGTCCAAGAAAAGAACACCGAAGGGCGCGTCCCAGAGGACAAGAGGGGTAAAGAAGGAAGGAAGCGAGAAAGCCGAGGTCGAAGGCGCGTCGGGACGCGTAAAGACGCGTAGAAAGGCTGGGAAATTGGCGGGACTCGTCTCACTACCTTTGGACGTGCTTTACGAAGTACGTCTCCATCTAGTTCTTGCTCAAGTGAAGCCTCGTCTGACCTCTCGACCTTCAGGTGTTTAGTCATTTGAGCCCACATGACCTCTTGCACTTGTCTCGGACGACGAAGTCTATTCGAAGAACGATCCTGTCGAAGAACGCAATTTCGCTATGGAAGGATGTGTTCGCACAGCAAGACGACCTTCCACCATGTCCTGATGACATGTCCCTGCCAGCATGGGCCTCGCTGGTATTCGAAGCTCATTGCCATGTGTGTCGAACTCTTCCCTCTTGTATTGCGCTCGAGCCTAACCTACCTCCTCACCAGCATTGCTTGACGAAGAACGTCCGTAACGTAGAATGGATGTTGAGGATGCGACTATGTGAGAAATGTGCGAAGGCCCTGTGAGTTCTTATTCTCAATTTGTTTTGAAGCGACCGCTAATCTTACTGTGACCGCTTAGCTTATTCTGCGAAGACCAGCTCCGTTGTGATGACAAAAAGCTGGACAGGCTCATCAGAGCGTGCGTTCCTTTCCAGAAGCGCAAAGGTCGGTGGATTCAATCGCTCGTGTTGTCAACTTCGCTGACCTTTCTGTAAAGGCAAGCTGTATTGCCTTACTTCTGCTAAGGACGCATTTATTCGCGAGTTGGACAGCATGGAAGGAGATCGCAACGCATTTGTTGAGGAACGCCAGAAGGAGATGAAACGTCGACGAGAGGTGCGTTCAGCCGATCATTACCAGTAACTCTGGATGGATGGCTAACAGAGGCCGATGATACAGCATGCCCAGGAATGCGCAATGTGGTCTGAGGACCAAGAAATTGAGAGAGAGGCAGAGCTACTCAGAATGCATCGCGATCGCAAGGAATTGTGAGTTCGCGTTTGTTCGCTAACCTTGTGTTTTCTGATATCGCTTCAGCATCATGGAACGCCTGGAAGCGTTGGGCTATGGCGAAGAAATCGAGTTCCTGGTCGACTTGGAGGAGGAGACTCCAGGGCAGCTTGCCTTGCCCATCCCCACTTGGGACGATTTTGTGCCATTCGAAGAACATCCCGAAGTGAGACCGTGCAAACCACTCACTGAGCGAGGTAACGTTTTCCGGCTTCATCAGCTCGCTTCTTTGGTCTCAATTTTTTTTCCAGTGTGGAATAATCGTGTCAAAAATGTTATGCTCGAGTATATGGAGAAGGTCCGGCGGTACCGCAAGGACAACGACCGCAATCTTGAGTTGGAAGATCGACGCTGGAAGCTCGCAGAACGATGGCTCGAATGGAGACGCCTCCCCGAAGTGCTCGAAGCCTTTCCTCCCTCTGAATTTATGCCCAGCGTTGCAGACTTCCTCGAGATGGACATCACCAAGAAGGTTATCGAGTGGACGCCCCCTACTCAAGAGGAACTAGCGACACCCAATCCATTGACCTTGCGCCCCGTGTCTGGAAAAGATCCCTTACCGACGTTCTTTGCAACCGAGGGCAACGGAGGGAAGGGCACCCCCTTGGCCCAAGCCATTGACGAATGGCGGGCAGCACAGACGTTCAAGGTGTACGCCCTGACGCCCTTTGCCTGGCACCAGCCTTTCGACCCCATCCCAGCCAATATCGAATCCATGCAACGATTCCTCCAGCTCGCAATCTGTGTTTTAGAATGCGAACACGTCGACTCGGATCCACACTTCTGTTTCGTCCAAGCTCAGAACCCGAGCATGACTTGGGGCAAGTTCTACTCGGAGGAAAAGAACCAGTATTCGTGCATGTGGTATCCCGAGTTTCTTGAGCACCAGTGCAACCGACTTGACGAGAGGCATTGGAACGAGAGGAAGCTTGACTGGAACCCGTATCTTTGGGTTGAGGAAATCCTCGCTGGTCCTCCGTCGCCGGCGCCGGTCTCCCAATCGCATGGGTTATTCGGAGTGAATCCGCGAAGGAATTTGAAGCGGATTCCGTTCCGGCCGGATGGGATGGGTTTCCATTTTACTGCGTCGTTGGTGGTGAAGAATATTCTGGCGGCTTGCGGGTACCACTGGGCGAATACGACTGCTGCGATGATGGATGAGGTCGATCCCAGGGTCGTCTGTTTGAAATGCTCGTTTGGAAACCGGTGTGACGGGGAGAGGATTTTCTCCGTTCACACTTGGAGGAATGCGGTAAGTCGATTACCTCCTTTGGAGCTGGATGAAGGGTAGTGATCTGGGATTGTGCAGGTGAAACATGCGTTGTACGCTCACAGCATTGAGCCGAAGTTGGTCGAGTGGGAGCGTATCTCCGACGAGGACGCTGCAAAGGCTCGAGAGTTGGAAAAGTTGGAACCGGCCAGGAGGGGTGTGCAGGTTGAGCCTCGTCGGGATGTCAAGTGCTTCGTTTGCTGGGGTGGCAGCGATGAACATGCGCTCATGACGCTCGAAGAGACGAGACAACACTTGAAAAAGTACGCCTCCCTTGATGCATACCCGTGGTTCTCCTTGTCTTAACGAAACTTGGTTCCTTAGGGTCCACCGGAAGACGGATGAAGATCTCACTGCTCCTGATGCCGAAGGATCGCTGTGGTTCAGGGCCACTTATCTCCCCTCGAAACAACCCTTGACGATTAGACTCATCCCCAAACCGGTGGAGAAACGGGAAGTCACTCGACCAGCAATCATCGGATTCCTGAGACCTTGCCACGAATGGATTTTCTAATTTTTTGGAACATCCGTTGTAGATCTTACTTGTATATTCTAGCCTTATTTCCAACTTATTTCTTTATATTGTTAAATAGTTGTTTACTACATAGAAAGCGAGGATCTCAGCGATCAATTGTAGATAGTGCGCAAAGAAGACAATGAAGAGCCAGGCGGCGAGCTTTGTACATTCAGAATTGGACTTTTGAGTCGGTAGTGGAATGGCGTCGTGTTCTTCCGCCGCTTCATTCGAGGGTTCGAGCTGCGGTTTTCCCCATCGGAATTCGCGCGATGTGAAAGAGCTAGAAACAAGAGCCCACTCTTGTGTTCTCGGTGTCGGTCTCGGGGTGTTCCAGCCTTCCATTGGACCAAACACAGGAGATTCTAAGGGCACCCTAAATCGCATGTGGCTTAACGCCATTTCTTGCACGGAGCGGGGAGGCGGTTTTTGTGCTTTAAATCTGCGGGAGAAAGTGCTTTATAACGGTTTCCACGTTCCCGCTTTGATCAGTAGTGTGGCACGCGTAACTACAGCAATTACTCGACAAAGGAGTGGATGTGCTTTGATGTGGCGTAATGCCCAGACTCATTCTCATTCTTTGTATCCCAGCGGCTAACTCTTGCGCTTGGAACGAGTATGTTCAAGCGCACGATGTTTTTTCGAGGTGAGGAAATACCCAAGGCAAGACAGTGCTCTTAAGGAAGAGCAAGTTATTACGAGGGCCAAGGTCCGGCATCACCACGAAGTTCCGCACAAGTGCTGGCGCTTAGTCCCAGGGTGAGGAGCCAGTTGACACAGATGGCAAAGATAAGGTCGGGAATCGATACCACAAGTGAGCTGATAGCAAGCAGGACTAGAGCCCGAAGCGAAACGTATATGGTCAAGCCACCAGCGTACACACGGCCGCTGCTCACTGTAGACTCAGAGGGCCTGCCTCGTCGCCCTTCAAGGCGGGTACAAGTAGTCGCCGGTTCCGAGATCCAAGTTTATCAAGCTCTCCGGTTGCTCGAGGCGTCGAGTCAATGTGGAGAGCATTCCTTGCTCATTGGTACGACGTCATCGCGATGGCTAATTGGAGAATGACGAGGCGAGGCCGCTGGGAGAAATTTGTCCATGGGAGGATGGACAGCATGACGGGACGGGACTACGGTTTCGAGATCCTCGACATCCGCTCATATAGTGGACCACGGACCGAAGAGAAGAGGACGCCGTCAGACGACTCGGACGGTGGCGGCTTCGTTAGATAACGACATCGGGGTGCAAGAGTGCGCCAGCGAGTGGCGCCCGAGCCCTTCGTTCAGTTGCCAGGTCCCAGAGTTTCCCAAGCAGGAGAGGCGCCAGTGAGAGATAAGGTCATGATCAACGTCGAGTCGAACCCCACAGTTGTTGCCACTGTCTCGAAGTCATTTAAGGAGTCGGAAATCCTAATTCAGTCGTCCAACGGTAAAGTGCTCGAGCAAGGTACGTGGATGTTTGGTTCGGGCTGCGAAGATGGTCATTGGATCCTATCCATATTTTATCCTGGTTACCTGCGTTGTGCTACTTGCAACTGGAATTGAAATTCGCTTCTACTTCGCTGAAACTTGGATCACGATGAGCAACGCGTTCAATCGGATTTCGATTTCAAATTGAGGTCATGCAACCAGCAACCGACTCACCTGAGACTAACAACCATATGTGCGAAGTGGTCACAAGATTTGCTATGGACGGCAACACGGTAGTTTCTTCAAAAACATCGAGTTCGCGCGTAGAATTGCCCAGTTGAGAGAAAGCATTTCAGACGGTCGTTCTCTGCTGGCCTTCTCCCTGTCTCGACAAAAAACAAAAGGAAAAAAAGAAACGGAGTCCATCGCCCCAAGCCCCAGGTTTCGACTACCGGTACACCGGCTATACCAGCGATTATCAGGCGGGGGCCACCAAAGGCGGAGGAACCATGAGGAAGTGGGGAGGAGAAAGAAAACCCAGCCAAGGCCAATTTACCGCGTTGCGCGTCGCGCGAAGCCGGCGGCCAGGGGCGTGATTGACCCGTACTTTCCCGATTTAGGCCCCTTGTTGGACATTGTGTGCACCGCGTGTTCTCGGCGCTCGCGGCGCTCGGGAGTCGGTGATCGAGGCTGACGTTTTTGATGGCTGCCTGCTGATCGGACGATGAGGTCACTTGGGCGATGTCATTGTCATTGCGAATGCGGGGAAGTGCTGTGCTGTGAAGAGGTACGAGGAGGAAAAGGAGGGTTGGGATTTGGTGTTGGACTTTTGGGAGCGCGTTCATGGACCTAGGGCTTTCTGAACAACTGGACATACATCAGGGACTGTGTAGTAAATGGTGGGCTGTGGAGAATAAGCGGGGGTACGATTTCATCAAAATGCCTCTTTCACCGAAGCATCCTCTCTTTGGAAGGAGGAACGGCGAACATGGGGTTGCGCAATGTGACCGGTCAGCGGTGTCTTGAAGTGCGCAGAAGTGACTCTATCTGGCAAGTACGTACCGTGTCGCTTATTTCGTCTCCACACCGCGGGCGCTCTTTGACAGGGATCTTGAGGGGTAATGCGGGGTAGGATGACAACGTGTAGGGGTGACGAGATGTGTGATGGATGGAAGAGGGCGAGTCTCCTCGAGCGGTCGGACCGTGGTAGAGTGTCACGGAGCCAGGGAATTGAATTGGATGAGCCTGCGGCGCCGACCAGTGCATTGTGTTATGTATGTCCATGGATATGGAAGGAACAAAGACCAACATATCATACGAGAAGCTGCAGAATGCACAGCGCTAATTACAGACTTTTTCTTATCATCACAAACTTGGAGAGATTCTAGTGGTAAGTATATTATCAAACATGAAAGCAGGGAAGATGATCAGCTGTGCGCACTCCTGGTTCGCAAAGGCGATGCATCCCAAAGATAGAAGCAGTTCGTCCTTCGGTTACTCTGGATACTGAAGTTATATTGAGAAGTGGAAATTACACCTCGGGAGAACACTACTAATTCTGGTTAGACAGTAAGCTAACTGAGCAAAGGGGTGTTTGGTAGGGAGACCGAGGAACATTCTCCCAGGTTCTTTTTTCCCTCTGTCAGTTACTTACGAGTGGTGGTACGGCACAGTTGCGACGGCGTTCTCTCCATTCTAAAAGCCTGGGATTGGGTCACACAGGTCAAGTGCTACTTGAGAATATTGAGGCGCTTGCGCTGGGACAGTAGTGGATTGCGCAGATGTTCCGTTCGTAGCCAGTGTGACCTGGACCTGGAATGACTTGTTGTGCCTGTCAACATTCATCCTCACCCCTTGAAACGAGAGCAGCGATACTGCCCCTCGCTTCCGTAACCAGTAGTGCCAGAGATCTCACAGGACGCCTCTCGGAACCGCCAAGAAGCCCATCTAGGTCCGGGAAGCTAGTACAATCCCCTCGCAGCCATGTTCCTCGGACTTTCATGCAGGACGGCGAGTATGTGTATACCTTCCTCGACGTTACTGCGAGCGGAGGTAGAGAGCAAACCGCTGGAACTGAGGCTGAAGTCAGGGTTGACAAGACAGCGGGCGTCAAGACCTGCACCGAAGCAGACGAATGTATTGAAAGATGATACCATGAGATGTTGGTTTGAGGAAAGAAGGACTCGTGTCACAAAGGTTGGCAAGTTGGCCCATGAAGAAGCTGAAGGATGTTCTCATAACCGAGATGTGTGCTCGCCGCTCCACCAGCGGGCACCACGGCGCTTATTGGCGATGTTCTGCTTTGTGCGACGTTTACTTGTCTTTCTGATCATCTTCCTACGTAAGTACATATGTGGGGTTACCGGAGCTTCTCTATGACCCATTCTTTCGAGGGATGATACATTCTTTGTATACCCCAACCTAAGATAGCGTAGTACACAGCCGTTTTGTATTGTCTAATGATGCATCCAGGGGACAGGAAAGCGCTCACTTGATTGACAGATCGTCCGAGACGTGAATAGCGAAGTCGTTCCGTTCACCGTCGATTGAATGGATCACATCTTTCGTTCAATCACAGTGGGGTAGGAACGAGGAGGTGAAGGGCAGATCATCGCGATGGTGATCATATCAATGACAACACCATCTCCCCTTTGAATTTCGAATTCACCGCATCTCCAGTCAACTGTAACCAAAGATGGATTGGCTGGAAGAGTTAATGGAAATCTGGGGTAGGGGCATGGCAACCTGTGATCACCTTTCGGTGAAGGCTAATGCGTGTGTTGAGGACCCTAAAACAAGTCTTTAAAGGCCTTGTGACCGTGCAGCGAGGCCGGGTCAGAAGTGGCGGCGAAAGGTGGGGGATGCAATATGCGTTAATGCGAGCGTAGTGGGTTAGACTACTTACTACGACCAAAGCTTGAAAGCTTGAAACTTTGATTCAATCACTAGGAATTCGAGGAAGGGAATTCCCTTTCGACTTTAGGTGTAATCGAGACCTTGGCCGTTGAGACCCAGGCAATCAAGTATCCTGGCATCCCTTCCTCACTGGTACGGCCGGTACGAGGATGGGCTGGAGATGGTATGAATTGCAGGTCCAACGTGCGATAAGCGATTTGATATGTCGGGTCGTCGTCCCGAACGTCGACTAGGAATGAACCTGAGCATTGCTGCTTTCAGGGAACGAACGCCGCCTGCATCATTCTGGATATTCAACGGGGAAACGGGGAACTCGCTGAACATTGAGGCTCTTGGATGTTCCGAGCAGTTGCAAACGGAAGATAAGAAGTGGTCGACGAGGAGGGTCTTTGGTCTCTAGATTGCACCTAGTCCAAGGCATTCAAAGTCTTCGCGACGAGCGATATGTTATCCTGGTCGGACCGGAGGGAAAGGCCCAGCAGTGTGATTTTCCGAAATCTCGGGACGATGGATCTGGCCGGAGATCTGAGATTCTTTCATCCGCGGCAATGGGGCTAATTATCGACGTGTTCACGTGTTTCCCATGCCTTTAACGCCTGTCTTCTTTATATGGCGGTCGACTTTTTGATGCTGGGCCTGTTCCTATATATTCCACCAACAATCTGCCCCATCCTTATCGCTTTTCCCCACCCCCGTAACAAAGTTCCCGCCTTTACAGTCCTCCTCGCCGCCTAGGACGACGACGACGACCCAAACAACAGCGATAACTGCAAAAGACTCTATCGAGCTCACTACCAACCTCTTCGACGCCAGCGTCTCACCGCCAGTGCCACGCCCACTATGAGCATTTCCGTCGACGACCTCATTTCCTCATTCTCGTCCTCCCACATCGGCCAGGAGGCCATGGACCTCGCCCAACTCCAAGTAAGTTTAACCTCTTAGGCGTTGCGCGAACATCGACGCCGCTTTTTTTCCTATACGAAAGAGCCCGTGCTTATCGTCGTTCTTACTCTTAGGCTCAGCTTAGTGAAAGTCTGTTTGGAGCCAACATGCCTTCCTCATCGCGACGAGGACGCGACTATCAGCCATGTAACACCCCCACCGCGCGCACTCCGACGTCATCAAGCTTCAACTGGGAATCGCTAGACGCCAAGTTCGCAGGCCAGTCAAGATCGCGGTCATCCTCGATCTCTGGTCGAATGGAAGACATGGAAGATGAACTTATGGTTGAGGAGCTCCTCATGCCCACCCCTTCATCGTCTTCTGTCTTTGAAAATGGAAACCACAACACGTACTCGAGCTTCTCCAGCTCGGGATCGTTTGTCCAACCCTCATCATCATACTCCTCTTCCTCGTTCCACCAATCCCAATCATCATCATCAAGCCGAACCTTCTCTGAAGGTCTCCCATCATCCCCCTCACAATCCCTATTCGCCTCGACAGACCCTTTCTTCCTCCAAGCACAAGCTAACGCCCAGTCGTACTTCTGCAACAACTCCAACATCACGCAGCGTGGTAGGCCGAGCCAAAGCTCGCCGTTCGTTCAGGCATCCGCATTCCACAACCATTCATACCACCACAACCACTTTGCGGCAACCGCTGCTGCATTCTAGATGTTCAATGGGAACATTGAACCCCGCGATCGCCTGCAACCCCAACTCTCAATTCATCGCTCTAACACTTTCCCATGCCCCACAACCAAACACTTCTTGAGACAACTCAACGTAATCTTACTCCAGCAACAATACCTGTATTTCATAGACGACCGATACGAACCACCTCCCATTTGGCACGCTTTCTTTGCATTGACTTTTCACTACTTGGCAACGCTTTTCTATGTTTGAGCATGATGGACTTGCGTTTCGTTAGAACTATTTCAAGTCTTTTTTTCATTAGCTTATTGGGTCCATTCAGCTTTCCGGTGTAGTCCTTAATTACTGTCCAGTTGGCAATTGTACATACTTGCGCCACCCTCCTCACTCGCGCTTCCTCGAATGCGATATTACCCCGCTCGGAGAGACACGAACGTCGAAGTTCTTTTCTTCTCAACATGGGCAACCGAAGGGTTATTTTTGGAAACACACTCCGTGGTCGTTGGATCTGTTGAGATTTTGAAGTTTGAGTTGCTTGTATGGGCAACCGTGTACGTGTACCAGTGTGCTTGCCTTCCACAACTTTTCCGAGAAGTGTTCAATGATTGTGTATCTCCGTCGTCAGTGGGGCTATCCCTTGTGCATCAAGTCTTGCCCACACTAGTCCATAACGAGGATTCCCCCAAGTCTCCATGTAGTATCGTTTCCCTGCGTTTTTCCATCAGAGCGGCGTGCTGGGCGTTAGTAGGCCGGCTTCTTAATCTCCTCCTCGAAGTGAACCTAACAAGGCAAGGAACGTGTTTCTTGAGCTCGATTCAGAGGCTAACAGAAAAGCGGGGTCCTCATTTCTGAGGTTCTTTAATTAGTCCCTGACTTCTAACCATTAACTGGATTCTCGGTTCCCTCCTACTTGATGGAGGTAAAACTTCGGGACGGAGAGCTTGGGGGGTTGCGCTGCTTCCAGGCGCTTCGAAGTGTAGGAAGCCTGGCTGGCTTCCGACGTGCATCGTGATTGTTGAGAACTATGTAGCAGATGACAACTTCCCCCGAATCGAATCCCTGCGCTTAAAAAACCAGGGACCCTTTTTGTGCGGACCTTGCAGTTGAGGGCAACTTGAGCGAATATGCGTGTTTTCGGAATGGGGAGGGAAAGATTTGGAAGGAGATTTCCGAGGTTGTGGATATTGGGGGACTTTTTGCGCGTCTTGCGAAGGGAGCTATAATTAGGAAGTGGTAGATAGATAGAATGGAAGTGAAGTGACGGTGTCTTGGTTGCTGCAGAAGCTGCTCGTCTCGATCGTGACTGCGTGAGCACTGGTTCTTTGTTCATTTAGATACACTAAAGCAGGGGCGTCAGGTGGTCGTCTACTTCTGCTAATGAATGAAAGCCTCGAGGTGCGCAAAGATTGGGTAGGTACGATGCGGGGAAGATTGAGGATGATGAACGCGGTCACCTCGAGGTGATCGATCCATGGGGCGAGGATCGTCAAGCCCTTTGTCTCCTGCCTTCGAGTTCTGTGATTCCGGATGAAAGGCGAGCCACACGCTGCAACTCCTTCATCGCTGGGAGAATGTGTGTCGCGGGAAAACGTCGCGCCTGTCTCACCTCTGAATGCTCTCAAGCTTCAGCCGCTTGGCACCTTCGAACATTCCCTGGGCGGCACGACGACAAGTATAGCACGCTTGAACACGGTGACTCGCAAACCAACCACGCTTGTTAATACGTATGATAGCGTATGATACTAATCTCCGAGCCATGCCAAGGTTCGTCCGGGAGGCCATTTTGTCGGTTGGGTGCATGCGTGGACTTGTGTTCTGCACATCATCGGCGACCGGGCTGGAAGGGCTCGCTCGAGACTTCACGATTATCGGAAGCGCTCGCTATGACACGCCATTCTGATGAGGATGAGTGCGTTCTGAATCCGAGTCGACGTGTTCAGATCAGCTTCGAATACCCTTTGCTTATCGCGTCACCTTGGGAGCTATCGCGTTCTCGCCTTTGTGTTTCCCCTTGGGTGCGGGGAACCCCTCGACTTCCGGTTTTTCCTTGGTACATACGATGGCCAGGATATGGAGTTGTTTTTGCTTGGATGTCTTGGTAGATGGACTCGGATCGGGTTGCCTTTGCTGACCTCGTCGGTTGTCGGGCTACGACAGCCCAACGCACGTCTAAGAGTTCTTGCTGGTTCTTTTGGAAGCTATCATTTAAACTTTTTGTGAGTAACGAGTCGATGACATAGTCCAGGGCTCGTTGGACTGCGTTCTAGGGTGCTCGCGCTTCCTTTCTGGACTCGAAGCTGCTTGAGCTCAGGTTCCTCGTTCATCCTGACAGGTTCTTAGATTTCTTGTGTTGCATTAGCTTCTTTTTCGAACGCCTTTTTTCTTGGTGGAAGAAGCGGATATGTTTCTTTCCATCTGTGTTCTGTTCTGCTAGTGCTCTAAGTATGGCGAGCGAGGGCGAGGTCAGTTTTTTCAAAGGCTTTGGGTAATCACACTGGATAGTCCATGGGATATTCTCAGTCTGCGTTTTGGGGCACCATCCTTTTCAACACGAGACGAACGCACTGGCACTATCGATCGCGATGCGCATGGGCAAGGTACCCATACAGCCCCATACTCGACGAACGTGTGTAACTGATTCGAGTCTCCTCCCCAAACTGTTCTCCGCCGGCAAGTCTCGGGATGAAATCTGTCCTTCGTTCTGTCAGATTTCTTGATTCTCTTTCACAAATTGGGATCGCTGGGTTGGGGCCGTGTCTAGACTTGCAACCCAGCGAGATGGATGGCTCAGAGTCTCACGGAACGACTACTGCGTGAATAATGCTCGGACTCCGCGACGAGATGAGGACTTTCGGTCTCAGGCTGAGGCCTCCGAATCACAGCTATTCACCCTCACAGTCACCAAGCGCCCATAGCGATCGACTTCACAGTCTCTCCTTCACATTCTTTCACACCATCACACCGAGCGGAACGCAAGCTCGAGGTTACTCCGAGCCTCCGAGCCGTCCTCGCGCTTCGGTATCTCCAGCAAGCTCGGAGTACTTTGAAGTTGGAATTGGGCAGAGGAATGCAAGGGGAAACTATTGTCGGCGTTTCCGTCGATTGTAATGCCCGTTGCCCAGGATGACGTTCCCACCCAACCCGCTCGAAACGCGACGTTATCTGTTATTTCTTCTTATCGTCTCAATCCCAGGACCCAACTTCATCCATGAAACTGGTGCGCCGATCCCGAAATGTACGAGCCCCTATTCTACGTACTTATGTGCATATCTCATCTTATTCGCGATAACAGGAGTCGTCATCGTGCGCTACTTGTACGTTCCAGATGACATACACAAAGTATGTACGTGCTTTTGTTTCTCGGAAGCTTCAGAATCGTATTCCGCAGTGGTTCTGGGCAACCGCCAGATTGTTGGGCTTATCTGTTCCTTTCCTTTCTTTCCTTTCTTCCGCGTTCAACTGACTTGCCCCTGGATATGTAGCTAAGTGACTATGTATAACACCCCGGGCCCGATCGCCGCCCACAGACCAGCACGAATACGAGACTGTTGGTCAAGCTAGGTACTTGAACCGTTGGAAGGTACCCACTGTGTCACCGACGAGCTCGCAAAGTTGTGCTCTGCGTTGATTAATATTGGATTGACCACGGAGTGATAGGATTGTTGGTTACTTGTTGATCAGGGGAGGAAAAGGCTAAGTCGTTCGCGGTCTCGCTGAATTGGTGGGCGAATAAGGTATGGTATGGATTAGTTGTGGATTAGTGAATCATGAATGATAGGGAATGCGTGATGCTGGAGATGACGATGATGCTTGAGCGCTCGAAGAATCAGGAGCTATGAACGCGGGGCTCAGGGCACCTCTTTAGTGGGGCTCTCGTAGACTTTCGGCGGAGATGGTACTATGGGTTGTATGGTACACAAATCGCGTCATTGGGGACATCATGATGGATATTAAGAACGAGGTTTCTTTAGTCACGGCTACGCACGGCGTCCCTATTGACAGAAGCTAGAGAGTTTCCATTACAGCGCAATTTTATTGTCACCTTTCTGTCAGCACACGACTATTAGCGTCCCCATGCTCGCCTTGTGTTACAAGGTTCAATTTTGGATCCGCGGGCGCTAATTTGACGGAGCATCAGAAAGTCCTTGTCAAGAGTCGAAAGTACTATCTTTGAGTAACTTCCAACTCTCGTCATCATTCCTGCTAGCTCCAATCAAGTGCCCAACCACTGTACTTGATTTGAGAACGGTACGAAGGTAGGGTGCCTAACCCTAAGTAGAACGGTCGGAAAGAAAACACATTAAGCCCTGTATCAAGGAGAGAAGAAGGTTTTGGTGAAGTGAGATGAGGTGAGATTGGAGTTCGTTGCTGCCCTCCACCAAAATAACGTTCGTTGATCCGGGGATGTCCCTTTGAGAGATGAGATAACGGTTTTTGGTGCCTCCGTTATGTTGAAAATGTACTAAGGAATGGAAGATAGGGTGTTCGACTTGTGCTTGAAGTGCGTCAAGTGCGACGAGGTCGGTGGACCGCATGCGCATTTCAGCCATCCTATCACAGCTCAATGAGTCCTAAGTACATACTCCTTGCCCAGAGTATCCGTTGCCCTGGCTTTCCTATACTCTCTTATCTCATGCCATTGCACAGCGTCAAATAAAGGTGGCTGACTACCATCTTCTTGTTCTAAAAATACGCCTTGCGCTGGAATCCTGTGCCAAGGCGCAAATCGCCGTAGAGGCAGGAAACAAGAGAAAAGGCGACCTCTTCTTCAATTCTTCAATGGAGCACCCACTCTACTAAAGGACCTTAATGGCCATACTATGTTCTGGAAACCCAAAAGCTCAAACTGCTCCGTTAGGGGGGCATGGGAGGCAATGGTGCCGTACATACCAGAGGTGGTACTTAATTATCCTCCGACATGCGCTTGAGACCCTCCTGTGGTGACTGGCTTCACTTTACCTCACCCCAGCTTCTCCCGATGTCTTGTTGTCTTCGCTTTATCCGCAAGGCAGGCGCTTCTCTTGACTTAATGAATGGACGAGCACGTAGATGTATCATGCGTGGGTACATGCGCGGCGCTTTGCGGTTTCAAGTCGGACGCCTGACGAGCGCTTAATTAGTTTTTACTCACGGTTCCGAGTCCGATGCTTGAATACAGTGGCCGGTGGAAGTCAAACGAATGCAATTGGTACTGTATCTCCAATTCCGCTTCGATACCGAGCAGCTCAAAACGCGACATAGAATTGATACGGGGACGAATATCACTGACATACGCCGAATTCAAAGCTCCCCGCTCAATTCATTCCATCTCCACCTTATCCAAGTCTTCCATAGTATTCCATATTTCGAAGAAGATGAAAGATGTCGACTTTCAAATGCCTGGTAATCCAGACGGAAGCTGCGATAAACATATCGCGTAGTAGTAATATGTAGTACCCAAGGCCCCGCTCCACAGTTCTCCTGCGGATGACAGCCTGTGACAACATACCGAACCAAAGGGCTAAATGGAGAGTGAAACAAGTTCAGAGTGAAGCACATTGTCCGAGGAACTGCCTTTTAAGCGCCCCCAGGGCTTTACCACGATAAACTTTTTGATTTTGCCGAGGGAACGACACTTGTATGTGACAGAATACAGGCCGTAGGCCCTCGGAGCGCTCTGGGCCCCTCAACTGGGCTCCCAGAGACCCCTTCTCGACAATGTACTTCTATCCAAACTCGTGTTGACAGACAAGGCAGCCCCAGGTAATGTATACTTACCACTCTTCAGAAGGAACTTAGTACCCCGACGTCAGAACTCGGAAGAAGTGCGCAAGTCTGGAATGATTCGACGATGTTACTCTATACTGGTACAGACCGCGATTGTAATCTCTTTCCACTCGGAAGCCTGCACGGCAGTGGAAGTAGAGAGAAGCTACCCGGATATGGTTACGATCATGATAAGCGCTGTTTAAACAGCAACTCGAATTTAGTATGTAACAGGTGCAAAGTGGAGCCTTGTCCAGGTTCTTTCTTCTTCTTTCCTTCTTGTCAGATAAGTGTAGGGAAGCTCAAACTCAGACATATGATTAACAAGTTTAGTTCACCGAGCCGCAGAATCTCCTGGAATCGGGAAGAAGTTGTTGAATCATCCTACTTAGTTGGTTTTTTGGGGTTGTGATGATTCACGGAATGCCTACGGTCGGAGGTTTTTTGTCGGGCAGGTCGTACCCTAGAAGTCTATAATAAGCTCTTAGGGGCAGAGTGTGGAATGACGAGATGTTGAAATGATTGCTCATTCCAAGAGTCACCCAGCGTGGACCTCGAGTTTGCAAAGAGTTACTGTAATGAGTGACAGGGGTTGCGGCGCGTTCCGAGACAGCTGTTCTATTTGCGGTTCGTCCGAAGTGGATGATGTTACGTCGTGCATGAACCGACATATGACCTGACCACAAGGCCGCGGCAGGGCGACCAGTATGTCACGCGCCTTACCGGATCAGGAGCGACACATACCAATTAAAGTAACATCTAGAGTAAGCAACCCTACCGCTTCCGCCTCTTCTTCTTCGGCCTCGTACTTTCGCAATCCCCAGCCTCTTCTCCACCAACTACATCTCCCTCCCCCGCACCAGAAAGTAATCGCAAAGACTTTTCAACCGCACCCCTCCGAATCTTCTCTGGTACTTTCTGCCAGTACATCTCTTCTCGTTTTCCGCGCACGATTTCAATCGCGATAGGTTTCAAATCAGGGTTCTTAGAGGTGGATTCGGAGGATGGAGAGCCTTGGTCGTCCAATCCGCTTGTTTGGATGATCGGCGAGTTGTTGAAATGAGAGGCGAGCTTTTCGGCTTGCTGAGGTGTGCTCAGACGGAGGTGACACTGTGGTCCCAAATCAGTCAGATTGGTTAGCCCGCCAAACGAAGCTGACGACTACGCACTGTGTCCATTCCCTTGTTGAAATCGACATAATCAAGGCCCGACTCCGGGCTTGTGGGGTTAACCCCTGCAGGAACGAGAGCTCGACCAAAGAGTGTTTTGAGAGTCGTTTTGTTCGTCTCGGTGTGGATGTTCTTGATGAAGACGAGGCAGCCGTAAGGGTAGGGCGAGCTGTTGGTTATGGAAGAGTTGGACTCGTCTGTGGCTGGTGGTGGAACAGCCTCTTGAGTCTTCGTTACTGGAGCTGTCGGTTGAGGCTTCGAATCGGGAGGTGGTCGAACCGCGTCGGTTCGCGTTGGGGCCACACTAGTTGGCTTGGGCTTCGTCTGGAAAGCGCTGATTTCCGAGACCAACGTTTGACGATACGCTTGGTATTCTTGTCGTAGCGCGTCCCATTTCTTCTTGCTCAGAGTCCTGAATCCATATTGCAAAGCCTTCTGCGACGCTTCGGCACCCTCTTTCGACAGTTCGCTAGAAACCTCAGGGTTTGAAGATGGAGCTGATTCATCGGGCATCCATGGATATGCTCGAAGAAAGTGTTGGGCGTCGTCCAGGTGAAGGAAGGTTATGAGTGCGAATCCTTTGAATGACGGGATTTCGCTTGGTTTGGCTTGGTGGTGTGGTGGGAGATGGACGTGTTGAACGCGCTGGAGGGAGTTTAGAAGTGGTGATGACGCGTCCTTCTTACTGTGACCTTCTGGCAGCAGGGATAGAATGAACTTGACGAGACTGGGAACCGTGCGGTGTTCTATGGGGACGTGTTCCTACATATCACGCCGATTAACAAGTCGCTTCCAGCGAGCAAGAATTGAATAGAGACGTACAATGTATATTGTGCGTTCCTCCCAATCGTTCTTGGTGTATCCCAAGTCAGACCACTCCTTCCTCCTGATTTCGTACCCGCTAGGCCCAGAGGAGCTGCTTGACGAAGCAGCATAGCCGTGTCGGTTGAACCATGGCTGAGGTTCCGAGACTATGAGCTGTACATCGAAAAGGTTGGGTGTTTGGGATCGCAGGAGTTTGATCAAGGGAGTTTGAGATGTCCCAACAAGTTTCTTCAAGGGCGATAGGATTGGTGAATGGTTCAACAGGAATTTGAGCGAAATGTCTGTTTAAAGTGGTTAGAAAATGAATGAGGGCTGGAAAAGTCCTGTTTCGTACATCCATCGTTGCCAGTGGGATTGAACATGGATACATCTGTATCAACAACGTCCTCCGCTGTCCCAGCAGTCCGTGTTAACCTCCTCCTCAGCTCTCCATCCGACCAAAGCGCGTAGTCCGACAACGCCAACCAAACCAGAACCGCGTCTCCTTCATCCACCAGCGGTTTACTAGGCGCTGCCTTGGCTTTCCTGCCTTCTCTATCGTCGTCTACACCCTTCCCAACACGTTGCGGTGCCCCGTCGTTGGAGCCAGGAAGACCATCGCCGACAGTCGTCGCCTTTTCTTTGCCTTTAGATGATGTAGCCGACGTGGGCTGTTGTGAGGACGACGCTGAACCTTGTGCTCCTAATGGATCTTTTACCTTGCTTTCTGTCTTTTTGGGCTTTGCGACTTTACGCGGTATGAAGGCGAATGAAGACGACATGGAACGTGAGGCGAAAGGTCAGAGCTGAGAGTTCTGAGTAACGGAGTCGAGTCTTGTAGAGACTGATTCAAGGGAGCAAAAGGGTATATTGCTACATGCTGAATGTAAAATTACATGCCCCATGGCTGAGTTGGTTACAGCGTCCGACTGTTAGCGACTTTGGTTGCAGACTATCGGAAGGTCGTGAGTTCGAGCCTCACTGGGGCAGCTGTGTTTAATCCATGCTTTTTTTCCTTCACCTCATCTTTGGAACACCGGGACCGACCACCCCATAACCGAAGCAGACCCTTGCTTTTTCAAGGACACCGATAGTTGTTTATTTATTCTAATGGTACAAGAAACACGAGCCCTTTTAGGTTTTCCTCTGCTGCTACAACGGCAGGAAGTTCACTCTGTTGCAAAGGCTTTGGCTCAATCACGGCTATCATCCAAGGAATGCAAATTACTGACCTCTTTGAGCGAAGGACAGGCTGAAACAAGATCGCGACATGCTTCTTGTAACAGCGCCTTCAGCTCCTCCAGTCCTTCATCGATGCCTGGAGGTTGTCCTCCTCCGTCCTTGTTCTCCGAACCTGAGGAGACATCGACAAGCAATTTCGCTCTGTCTACGATCACTGAAACCCAGCACCGCACCAGGGCGTTCAGGATAGTTAGTCTCCAGTTGTACATCCGCGGTGCGCAGACGTTGATCAATGGTATGAGGAGTTTGAGGGATGAGAGTTGGATTGTGAGGTGTAAGGGGTCGATCGGTGGGAGGCCGGGTATTGGAGGGGACTGGGAGGGGAGGAGGAGGGGCTGGGTTAGTTGGGGGATGAACATCTTTGAACAGGAACGCGGTTTAGTACAGGTGCGATTGGGAAGAGACGGGAGATTAACGTACCTTTAGGAACCGCGTGCATCCGACATCGAGTTCTCTAACGACATCTGGGAGCGCGTCGAGCGTCGCTCGTACGACCGCGGGTTTGTCGAACGCGTATGTCCAAATATCCGAGATGATGTTTTCGCCTACGAGCGTGCATAGGGCGTCGAATCGGTCTTTTGAACCGCGTTGGGTTGTGAGCAGGATTAGCTTGAGAGACTGCGAAATGGCTAGTCGGAGGATTGGAGGTGCTATTTCAGAGTCTTGGTGTGCCAGTGCTTTGCCAAAAGACTTGTTGGGGGGTCGAGTTAGTCGGTGGATACGCGAAGAGACAGGGTAGCTTACGGATCGAATCAATCCGTCGATTCCAGTTTTGCGTAGGAGAGTGGAAGGAACGCGTTGGAGCATTGCGCGGACGATGTATAGACCCCATAACTTATACGGCGGTTGGTAGTCATCCAAGAAGGTCATGAGAGGCGGAATGACCAGATGCCATACGTCCTCATACGCGCTTGCCTGTATTCAATCCAATGTATACTCAGTTAACCCAGGACCTAGTGTCATTTGGACGTACCTCGAGGTTCGAAACACACCAATAAAGAATCCCCCCAAGTCCAACCCAGCCTTTCCACCTCTGCCCCTCAGATTCATAAAAATCCTGCGTCACACTCGCGAACCCTCCTTGTTGCGGGGGTCTCCCCACCTGACTAGGCGGAAGACTTTTTCCAGTTTGGAGGTTTAGATGGGGATGGGGGTTGGAGGCTTTGAAAATGGGTTTGATCGTGTGTGAAAGGAGGTGGCGGAGTGTTTGTTGGGGTACGTGTGGTGGTTGTGGGGGAGAGGTAGGAGACTGCGAGGTGGATGGGTAGAGGAGGTCGAGGATGTCTGTGGGTGAGTTAATGGATCTTGGTACTGTAGATGGGTTACCTGCTGAGTCTCACCTTGCGCGATTTCTTGGGACTCGGGTAGGATCCATACACACAGGAGAGACCGTAAGACGTTCGTTTCCTCTACATATCTTTCTCCACCGCCAATCTCGTTGTTGAGCTGCACCAAGTCCACGGCAAACGGTGTCGTAGCAGCTATAATAGCCACTGATTCGTCCAATGAAAAGCCCGCGCCATTGTCCTGACCAGAAGACCCCAGAGACGGTTCGCCACCAACATGTTGCCGGATAAGATCTCGCAGTTCTCTCAGCCTCGCCACAGAGCCGTTCTTCCATTTCTCCAGCCTCGCATGCGTTTCGGCGTCTGCGTTTTCATAGCGATTGAACTCTACGGGAGGTTTTAGCGATTCACAGAGAGAGCCTAGAGAACTAGACGGTGGTGGTGGTTGAGAAGAAAGAGACATCGCGGTATCGGAGTTCGAATCACACTGTTCGTCGATGTTCCTCGAAACGACGCGTCGCCAATTAGGGGCGTGGATTGCTTCTTCCGGAAAGATGGGATTGTAGCGACAGAAATCTCAAATTCAGGCAGATAAATAAGCGGTGAGTTGTGAGAGATAGCGAGAACGTACACTAATAGCAGGTGAGATAACTATGGTACATACATATCAGCATGGGGGTAGATCCGCGGTAGGCCTATAGTAGCCTACTTATCCAATAAATCAACATCAAAATCTAGAGCTAAATGTGTGGGAGGGTACACTCCATGAGGAGAGTACAAAAGAAAGTATGCACAGAGAGGGCTGTGAAAGGTTAACCCTGTCTGAGAAAAGCATCCAATTCGTCGTCCAGCTCTTGCTGCGTTTTCTTCGGCCGAGGTTCAGTCCTGCCTCCACCTCTCCTTCTCTCGCTGTCTCCTCTCCTTGGCCGTGGGCTGTCGTTTCGGTCGCGGTCTCCGCCACCACCGCGGCGTCGTTTGCGGTCGGGTGCTCCAGGGCTATTGCCTCGTTCCCAACGACCGGACGCAGAGCCTTGTAACCGTTCGCTGAGACTCAAGCCATGGCTAGGCTCGATGTCCATATCATCATCTCCTCCGCGCCTTCTCCCTCTCCCTCCTCGCGACCGCCTGCCCGAGCTCCCGCCACCCCTCGACCACATCCCACCAGAAGCACTCGACCCTCTCTTCTGGATCACCGTCCGACCATCATCAGCGATATAGTCGGAGCGCATTTTGGAAGGCGGTGAATCTGGAACTGCCGCATCCCCCTCGTCTTCTGGATTCGAAGCGGATTCCTTCCCTGCACGGCCATCTTCAGAATCAGGCTCTTCCGCGAGGAATTCATCGAGCTCTCGATCCAACCGCGCTCGTATAGCATCATCGTCCTCCTCCATCTCGTCTCGCCTGCGTTTACGGTTGGCTGCTCCAGGGAGAGTGGGTATATCCCTTCCGTTGATGAGTTCCTTCCCCGCAAGTCGCCCATGCTTCTTGTAGAACTCGCTCTCCTTCCGCGCACCTTTCTTCTTCACATCGTCCTTGGTCGCCCAGCGCATCCGGAGCGGGGCCGCAAGACCCTGCTTCCTCTTCTCCCTCTCCTCATTCCCAGTTGCCTCTGCGTCACCTTCCTTTCCGTTTAAAGCGATCCCTAGCGTCCGCGTTATCCTCTCCTCGGGTGGCCAGAGCGCGACTGGGATAGACTTTGCGGTGACACAGCCGTCCTCGACGCTGGTTTCCTCCCCGGGTGTCTTTTGGAGCGCTGCGTAAGCCCGTTTGGCTTCTGCTTTTGACGAGAAGACGAGGACGCAGGTTGTGTCCGAGACCCACTCCAAGCCTAGTGGGTGCGCTTCAAAGTGCGTTGCGTAGGCGAAGATGCGGGTGGTTGGGAGGTATGCAATTGGTTGGCCTGTGAAGAATAGAGCGTTCGGTCGGATGTTTGGGTCTAGAATAAATGAAAGAGGGCAGGTGGAGGTGGGGTCGGTGGATTAGGTCGCGGAGTTCTGAAGAGGTGAGCTAATGGCAAGAACCTTGAAAGAATGGATCGTCGTCGTCCATCATGTCTTCGTCGGCATCCTGCACTTCTGAAGTTGCTCTTCGCTGTTCAGATGTAATACGAATGAGTATGGATTGGCCTTTTGAGTTTTGGATACATTACCTTTACTGAAGAACTTCCTGCAGCTTCAGAAAGAAGATAGATCTTCCCTTTGCCTATACGGTTTGCCAAACTTGAGGGGTCATTCTCCGGTTGTATTTGCTCTTCGTATGGGACCGTCTCGTCGTACGAGAGTAGCGTCGGTTCAGGCTCTGTGGCGAATCCCGTGGTTGGTGCAATTGTATCAGCGTCAATATCCATAGCGTTGAACTGGTTTCCGGTGAAACGAGGTAGATAGAAAAGCAAGAAAGGTGTCGGACGTTTCAATCCTTGTTGACGCGGCAAGGAACGAGGAGGACGCGATGACGGCGGTGGTGAAGAAAGCTCAATGAGCGGCGTTGGTGCCAGTGCACAAAGCCCAACAACGTCGATCAATAACATATTATGTAATGTATCATTTCCTTGTTTCGCCGCGACGAAAACCAATTTCAGAACTATGTAGATGTGCTCGTTAAAAGATGCTCTGAACACGCTGCCCTCGGCGGAGACGGTATTTCTGCACACACAGGGAAGACCTAGACCATATGTGGGGACGCGAACCAGTGGACGACCGTATTCTTTTTCTCAGCCGGCGTGGTTCTGGAGTGACTCGGACTTGGTGGAGGGATTCTTCTTCCTTACTCATGAGTTTCAACACCGGTCTAACAGCCTTCGCGAGGATGACTTCCCTCTTCTGACCGACCTTTGCGGAGGACAAGGTCTAGCAAGAAGCTCCACTCTGTAGACTAGAAGACTATGAAATCACCCTTCCTGATGTCAATTCCCTGACCGGAGAACAGAGATTGTGTGTTTGTGCAGCCTCAGATCCACGCGGAAGCCTGCCATCCGAACATTTTTTCGGTTCGTCGTTCATTCATATCAGGATTACATCTAATTAGAGACACGGGTGTTATTTCTGTGATATAGTAGCAACTCATAAAGTTGCGAGGTTCCCCCTGCCCAGGCCAGTGGATCTTGGTTCTTCCGAGCCCCTCTCTTTTTTCGCTGCGTTCACAGGGCTTTCTTTCTCCTCTGTGTCTTCGTCCTTGTCACTACCGACGTTGACCAACGCCTGCCCTTCCTCCTCCTCGTCTCCTTGACTCTTACGGATACCCAGAAAATCAGGACGTACGAGATGCTCGCCGACTCGAGGACTTGGCTCGCGCTCCCCCTCTTCCTGGCCGCAGCGACGCATGCTTTCCCCTCAAATTTTGACTTGCCCCTGGACGACATTTTCGCCATCGAGAAACGCCAAACTGCGAATGTGCCAACTGTCTGCAGGGAGATATGCCAACCGATAAATGCTCTCGCTGCTGGGGTGCGTCGATCTGTCTGTTCAAGAAAGAGAGATTTCCAAGGGGCTGACGTGCGTTGTGTCGGCTGGTGGAATTATAATGTCGCCTATAGGGATGCAGACCGTCTGAATGCTGCAACCAGCAGTTCTTGGATGGTTATGTGAATTGTTACATCTGTACCGCGTCGCGGCACGGTGTCACGGCACACACTGGTGCACAGAATATTGTTCGAAGTACGTCTCTCAATCTCCTTCTTCTAATTTCCTCTTCCCATGGAATGACACTGATCTATCCTCTTTACTTTACCTCCCTCTCATTGACAGACATCGCACGCCAATGCGCAGTACGGGGCTTCGAACTCGAAATACCACCTCTACCCTCATCCGGTCCCCTCACCTGGGCTCCTCCAGGCTCGACACCTATCATACCCTCCTCAACTATTTCAGGGAACTTCAAGGCCAACTGAAAGTTCAGATTCGATTTCACCGCCACTGTCCTCGATTTCCCCGACGTCCGATATCTCGACCCCGACTGCGCTACTTCCTACCTCGGAGGTCGAACCTTCGAGGTCGACTATTAGACCTAGTGTGGAGTCGCCATTGCCATCGCCAAGTGACGTTGGAGACGGGGAGGAAGACGGGCAGACGGAAGACGGTGCAGCTGCGTCGACCCGAGTTTCGTTCCTAGCTGCTGGAGTTGTGGGTTTGTTCGCTTGGTTGCTCTAACGAAAATACCTCGATGTATGTTACATACTATACCTTGTAAGCTTTGTTACGCGGTTATGACCGTCCAGTTTATATCGCTGTCCATCCCTATGCATTCCCTCGATACGACACTCCCATCCAGTACCCGTTGATTTTTGGTTCCTAACAGTAGTAATTATAATGTGAATTTGAATAAATATACATGATACATGAGTGAACGCTGGGCGTCTAGAGACGAGCGTTCTTGGGCATCTTCTTGATAGCCTGGCGGACACCGAGGTCTCCCAAGACATCTTCAGCACCGGCGAGGATAGCGTCGAAACCTGACGTGCGGTGGAACTGGACATGGGATAGGATGTTAATTTTGTGCAGTGGAGGCATCTAGAGGAGGTTGGGACTGACGTTTTCGATGAGTTTACCCATACCGGTCACCGTCAAGGCGCGACCACCGAATACTTGAGTGGCATCTTCAGCAGTTTCTCGTCCAGATCGCGAGATGAACCTAGAATATGTTAGAACTCATAGTTCGGGAGGACAGAGGTGTTTGGACGTACTGTTTGAGCAAGCCGATAGGACCAGCAAGTCGGTCAGACTGCTCAGCATAGTTCATCTATAAATAAGAAATACATTCAGTCAAGGGTACTTGAAGGATACAACTGAACGGATGCGGCGTACGTTGTTCATCTGGTAAGTGATCGTCTCGAGCCAATTTTGGCCAGCTTCGACTTTTGAGATCATCGCCGCCAACTTGGCTCGGATGACGGCAAGGTTGGTAAGAGGCTTGCCAAAGACGATACGTTGCGTCGACCACCTGTTCACAACCAGCATGAGTGAACATTCTCCCTGGTAGAGGAGAAACGTACTTGAGGCACTCCTCGACGATGAGTCGCTGAGCGGAAACAGCGGTGCAGCACACCATCCATCGTTCGTGGTTGAAGTTGCTCAGGATGACGGACATACCCTTGCCCACCGGTCCCAGGGTGTTCGCCACCGGCACGCGAACCTTGTCAAAGGTCACATACGCCGTACCCGCCACACTCGAGTAGGCGGTCTTGATCTGCTTGGTCTCCACTCCCGGTCCCCGAGGGATGAGGATGACGGTGAACCCGTTCTCCGTGCGGCATCCAGTGGTGAAGTAGTCGGCGAAAGTACCGTTGGTAATCCACTTCTTGGTACCGGTGATGACCCACTCGTCGCCGTCGCGCACAGCGGTGGTTTGGAGACCGCTCACGTCGCTGCCTGCGAACGCCTCGGTAATCGCGAGTGCGACATACTTTTTACCCGCCAAGGCCTGTTATGGTGATGTTCGAATGTCAAGGTATCGCAGGATGTGAAAAGGCGTGAATGTGATTGGTCGGTGGGAAGGAAGAAGACGGCGGGTCAGTTATATATGGAGATAGAATGTTAAATGGAGACACACGACGCACATCAGGAACGACCTTGTTGTAGAGCTCCTCCGAACCAAAGTTGAGGACTGGGGGAAGACCAATGACGAGACCAGCGAGGAGACCGTCGACGACGGCTCTGCTGCTCACACGGGCGAGTTCCTGGTGGACAATGCCCTCGTAGAAGTAGTCAAACTCCTCCGGCTGGACGATTCCGCCCATCAGCGTCCGTCCCTTGAGGTGCTTGCCCGGACCCAACCGCATGGCAATAATGTTGAGCTCCGCCATCTTGTCGACGACCTCCTGCGAAATCTTCTTCCCGCTCGCCTCGCATCGGTCGGATTCGGGCTGGACGACGGTGACGAAGAATTCGCGCACGGCGCGCTGGAATTTGCGGTGCTTGTCAGTGTAGTAGGGTGTGTAGTAGCCCTTGGTGAGCCAGGAGGATTCGGCGTAGGGGACTTTGGAGAGATCGCCTGGGGCGAAAGGCTTGATTTGTTCTTTTTGGCCTTTAACGGTGCCGATTTGGAGGCGCTGGAATTGGGGTCGGAGCAGGACTTCGTGACGGTGCAGACCGAAGAAGGGCTGCGTTGCGTCCTTGCCGGCTGGGGGATTCAGGTGTTTTAAGATATGGTTCGTTGTTTGTTGCTGAGCTGGACGCTGAACTCACCTACACCCTCGGCATAGAGGACGTTGGCACCACCAGGATGCATGTTGGCGAACCTGGAGACATCGTAGATTTTAGCGTCGACGATAATCCACTGGCAACTTCCATGAGACCGCAGTTACGGCGAGCAGCAACACAATTTGCACGTACCACATCGCCCTCCTTGTTGTGCTATACCATGGGCGTCTACAGTCAGAATGCCCTGTTTCAAATACACAGACGTCCATTCCATACCTGGGCAACCTCTTCGAGTGTGTATTCCTTGAGTTCCTTGGACATGGTTACAGGTTCGGATTCGTCAAAGACAAGGGGGGAAGGGTGAACAGAGAAACGGCCGGTGCTTGCATTTTAGAGCGGTACAGCGGTGTAGCGGCTTAGGGGCACCAAGCACTTCCGGAATCACATGCAGCATCCCACAATCCGGGGCAAGGTCGGATAGCAAACGGGCATAGATAAGATGCTATAGTTATCAGATAAGCGACCACCGTATATACACTATTGACCAACAAGTAGATGGTAGTAACTAAGAGCAAATGTATTAAAGCTGCAGGAGGAACGGTCAGAACGAGCCCCAAGCATGACCGACTACGACTCACCCTGAATAAGAAGCCAAGCTGCCGGTACCGGGTCAATAAGAGGGATAAACGGATAGTGTTCGGGATCAGTAACTCACATCCTCTGGGGTTAAACGACCCATCGCCTGGAACGAATGTCATGTCAAACGCCTCATCACCCCGAGAAAGCAAGAAAGAACATACAGAATCATCAGTTGAAAGTGTAGCGTCAATCATAGCACTCTTCTTTTCTTGTAACTGGACGATACGACTCTCAATGCTGTCCTCAACGACAAGTTTGATAGCTTCGACTGGTCGCCGCTGCCCGAGACGGTGGATACGATCCATAGCCTCTGTTAAATGCAAACAGTGAGGACATGTGAAGACCTGGAAGCCATCAAGGTACGCACGGAATTCAACAGCAGGATTCCACCAGCTATCCATCAAGTACACACGTGAAGCCTCAGTCAAGTTCAAAGCGACACCACCGGCTTTCAAACTGACGAGGAACACGGTAACCTCGACATTGTTCACTTGATTAGAGGTCTTAGCAATGGCCGACCAAAATCCGCTGTGCAACTTACTGAAATGCTTGATAGTCGCGTCTCGAGCCTGAGGCGACATCGTGCCCTCAAGTCGGCACACCACAAAACCAGCCCTTTGCAACCGGTATGCGATGAGATCCAAAAAGTTGACGAATTGGCTGAAGACGATGCTCTTGGTGGTGGCGTCCTTTTGTCGGAGGTTGCTGAGCTCTTCGACCAATGCTTCAATCTTGGAAGACGAACGCCATTTGTCGAGGTTAAGGCGACCCAGGATACCCTGGCGTGCTGTGACGACACTTTCCTCGACTTCAAGAGCCGGTCCTTCGAGATCAATTGTCAACGGAAGGTGGCAGACTGGGCAGTCGGGCTAGTGGGAGGCCTGTGAATTTCAAGGCATAATCGACGAGTCGTGTGACGAACCTGTGTCTCGAGAGCAGCTTCGAGGTATTGTTTGATACACTCTCGGTCGAAGACGTGGTGGCATTTCGATTGAATTGCATCTTCTGCAAATTCGTTGCAGAGGCGACAGACCATGCCTTCGCCTGCCTCGTCCGGGACAAAGGTGCTGGCATTGGCTTTGCTACGGATAACCAAGTCCGGATGGCAAGCCATTTGCCTCATGCGGGTCAATCTGTCGCCAGTTAGTCGTGACATTCTGCCAGTGTTACGTGGGACTCACAAACTAAAGATGTTAGAATAATCTACAGTGGGTGTCAGACGCGTTGCTATGAGCGTGGGCCAAAAGCTTACTGTTCAAAACAGTTCCCTGGTCAAGGTATGTCGCGAATTGTCGTTTAGCATCCGAGAAGAGGGACAAATATAATTCCTTTTCTTCAGGACTGAAATAGTCCCGTCGCACTATGACGGTACGAGGAGGCAAACCCAGATCATCAGCACGTTGAAGCTATATGGGGCGTTGTAGTATGTTCAGCATGAATCACATTCCATTCAAAGGCTAAAACGGACCTTGGTTCGGCGCAACATCATCTTATCGAGCAACACTCGCAGCTTCTTGAACGCCAGTGCTCCCGCTCCCCTCATTCCTGATTTCTGAATAGGTGATAGGATTTCGTTGTTCCAGAAGCATGTCTATGCCAGGGATTAGGAAAGGAATTTCATGGCATGAGGGCAATGGACTCACATGGTTCATCGGGGTGTGACCGCAATCTACATGGGTTCAGTCAACCTCCACCAACGCCATGATCGAAGGAGCTTACCGTCGCAAGAGCGTTTGTCGGAGAACTTCCAGTGCAACGACTTGCAATCGCAAAGCTTGCAGAAGTAGTATGCGTAGGGGTCACCACCGAGGAATCGGATGATGCTGTACAGTTCGCCCACTCGGTTTTGGAGTGGAGTACCGGACAAACACCATCGGAAGTCGCTCTTCAGTTCGAAGGCGGCTTTAGCAGTATTAGTGGAGCGCTCTTTGATATTATGAGCTTCATCGAGCTGAGGGTTCATGTGAGGATGCAGCGATAGATTTGTGTGAAAACTGGAAACTCACAACGACACGTTTCCAATGGACGGCGTGGACGGGTGATTGCTCTTTGACGATCATACCCTTGCGCTTGAAACCACTATGTTGCTTCCGGAAACAGCTGCACGGAGCGTTAGGCTTAGCCTGTGCAGAACCAGGTGAATTCCGCACCTTTCTAAGACAGCATAGGTGGTCAAGACCACGTCAAACTTCTTCAACTGGGCTGCATCTGACTCCCTGGAGGCACCGTGCCAGACGAGTACCTTCACACCTTCAGTGTGCGCGGCAATTTCGTTCCTCCATTGCATAATGGCGACGGTGGGTCTAGAAGGAGTGTGAGCTGCTGATAAAATCCCGCAGAGGAAGAGTGGCATACGCAACGACCAAGTTGGGTTTTTGCTTTGACGAAACCAGCAAGGAGATGATTTGAATGGTCTTCCCCATTCTGTCATAGCACCGGTCAGAAACGAGTCTATAGGTCTCATGGTACTTAGCTTACCCCATCTCATCCTAAACAACATGAACGCATGAATATATGGGTTTTTGATGATGTAGATAGACATACCGCAAGAATACCGCCTTTCCATGTCGTCTTCTCCTGCTCACGCATCCAATGTAAACTTTCTCGCTGGAAAGGCAGGAGAGTAGCCTTGAGGTTAGCAGGTTGTTCAGCCTTCGTGGGCACTGGCGCCGGGATAGGTTTGTCGAGATCTCCCCAGATATCGACGAGCTCGGGGTGATGCACTTGAAGAGCCAAGCTTGTCTTCTCAGACTGTTGAAACAAGCGTAAGCGTAAGAGAGTGCCATAACTTTTGAGTTGTCATAGTCAACAGACGCACATGAACCAATGGACGCCCGAGCTCGTTCATAAGAGCTTGCTCCCTTAGGCGCTGGGCACGTTTCACTTTGCGCTTAAGTGCCTGCTCCTCCCGTCGGGCTCGTCTCATGTTGGCAAATGTCATGATCTTCTTGACAGATTCTTCAGTCGCACCCCAAGAGGCAGAAACTGTCTTCTCCTTGGCCTTCGCCTTGCCCTTTCCTTTACCTTTGTTCTTTGCAAGAGGTGCGTCGGATTCGGATTCGGAGGCAGAGAAATCGTCCTCTTCGCTGTCGAGCTCGCTAGGTTCCATGTCCAAGTCGAGGTCGGCTGCATCCACAGTCATGGTCTTGCCTCGCTTCGCGATGCGACGCTCGGCCGCAGCCGCGGTCAACGCTGCCAGGGAACTGGGAGCCCTTCGGGAAGCAGATGAAGATGACTCGCCATTCCTACCGTTCGCGGTTTGGAGAGATTGTCGAATGCTTTCCTCGAGCATGATTTCTTCGGCTGCTTCCTCATCCTCAGAATTCATAACCGCATCCGACTCGTCGTCGGACATGGCAAACTCTGAACCGCTATCGCTTGACTCCACTATCTCCTCAGGTTCAGAAAGAGATTCTTCGTCTTCAGATGGTGGTGGGGCGGCTTTGGCCTTGCCCTTGCCTTTAGAGCCCCCTCGCGGTGCAGGTGTCGGTTTCTATGGGTGCCAGCAAGTCTCAGATCGCCGTTCCCTGAATCGACTGCGCAGTATTCACCTTCTCTGCCTTGACGCTGCTTGATCGACTGGGGACCTCAACATACACCTTGTTGGCTACCGCCCGCCGTTTGGAGGCGCGCGTTGCTGTTGTCGCCGGCGTTGTTGAACGTTCAGACGCTTCGTCATCACTTCCACCCTCATTTGCGGCTTCACGCTGTCGCTTCAGACTTGTTACCCTCTTCGAAGCTCTTGGAGCGGGCTTGAGTGACAACTCGTCTTCTTGGTCTGAAGTTGCGGGGGTGTCGGTATCTCCCTTGGTTGAGGTCTGTGCACTGTTGATAGGCGATGGGTTGGTCGTCGGTGTCGCTGACGACGCTGGGGTTGAAACAGCTCTTCTGGCTGACGAGCGCGTTGTGCGCACCATTTCACGCTCAGGGAGGTATAAAGAATAAAATAACGGGTATTTGTGAACAAAGAGAAATTTTTAGAGCGGTGCGCTGGGACCTTGGTTACTCGATCTCGTTAATGAGGTGGCACGCGATGTCACACTTCACGTGGCCGTGTGACGCTGTCACGCTCTGACTCGTACACAGTGCTACTCTCGCGTTCGGCACTGCTTATTGTTGTCCTCTCATCCCGTTCTCGACGAGGAAATTGGCTAGGGTCTTTCATTGAAATATTATTGAGGGCCTCTGTTTTATTCCTCAAATGTAACCTCCGTAGTGCGTATGCGCTATCCAACGCAACGCCCTCATCCTTCATCCAGACCTGCTGGCTTGGTAATCCACGGTAGATGGATCTGGCACTGGTTTCCATTGGCGCCTACCGTCGGCAGGACGTGCTATTTCTTTGAGTAGACATTATCAGGGGCATCAGGGCACGATTATGTCTATTACTATGTGAACTGGACTTGCGCGCGGAAACAGTACATTTGTCGTCTGGATCCAATCTGGATCCACCCTGGGGCAAATTGCGGCACAGATCTTCTAAACAATCTCCTGGAATTGTTGAAAGATTTGAGATCACTGGGCCTCATCGGTATTGGGGATATGTGCTGTGAGGAACAACTTTTCAAAGAGCTTCATCAAATGTCCCAGGAGCAAAGAGTGTTGCCTTTATTGCGCAGACTCTGCCTGAACAACCCGGTCGGCCACCCGGTCACATACGCCATTTTTTTTGCAATTTACTGAAGATCCCAGGCCCATCCCGATTTTTTAGGACCGATCTCTGATGCATACTCACATCTGAGCACAGTGAGGTATGTTCGTGGAAACACCCAGGAGCTGTACGAGAGAGCTCCTGGTCATCCCACCTTGCGGTACTGATAGGAATGAAAGGTTCTACAAAGTCGATCCGGAATCACAAATCTATCTAGACAGGATCATGTAACCGATACCCACCATTACCCTTCTTGTCCCTAAACGCCGACCAGTACGACAGATGAGCGCCTATTTCTTAGAGGTCCAAAATTGGCACGATGGTCCCACGCTCGGAAATTTCCCAATTGGCCACTGCCGCTGCGCGGGTTCGAGCCTCGGCATTGTTCACTTTCTTCTCCGACCAATATCTCGTATTTTCGCCCATCCACAATCAACAAAGTAGACTTCTTTCCAAGGGGCGAGATATCATAAACGATGGCAGAAACGACAGAGGCACCAAAAGAGAAAGGGAAAAATAAGGCGCATCGCAAAGACAAACGTGAGTTCGATACAGGTCCTGTTCTAGTTCCTTTGCTGAAGGAAATATCGGTTTTCTAGCATGGGATACAGATGATATTGACCAGTGAGTCTCATTTAAAGCATTTCCTGGGTAATTACTAACGCACCTTTAGTGTAGGTTTCTTTTTAAGCTCGACTGTCGCACCTTCTGAACAGTGTCCAGTGGAAAATCGAACCCTTCAAACCAGAAGACAACAAGGGTGGAACATTCGCTGAAGAGTCCTCATTTGCAACGCTTTTCCCAAAGTATCGTGAAAAGTATCTGCGAGAAGTATGGAGTGCGGTCACCAAGGCTCTGGAAGTTCATGTACGTTTGCCAAACAGCTAGGGACCTAACAGACTGAACGAACATCGGGTCTCATTTACTAGGGAGTGGCGTGTACATTGGATCTGGTCCACGGTTCTATGTCTGTACGGACAACGAGGAAGACCTATGACCCGTATATTATCCTCAAAGCTCGCGATATGATCAAACTCATGGCCCGTGGTGTTGCTCTGAACCAGGCGGTGAAAATCCTTCAAGACGACATGGCCTGCGATATTATCAAGATTGGGAACCTCGTACGGAATAAGGAGCGCTTTGTTAAGCGGAGACAACGTATCATTGGACCTGACGGGAGCACGCTGAAGGTGTGTTTGTTGGCCAGTGTGCGAGGAGCAAATCTAATGTTGTATTCTAGGCCATCGAGCTGCTCACCAACTGCTACGTCCTGGTCCAGGGAAGCACAGTGAGCGTGATGGGTCCCTTTAAATCTCTAAAAGAAGTGCGGAGAATAGTTCTCGATTGCATGAAAAACATCCACCCTATTTATCGAATCAAAGTGAGTTCCATTCCCATTCAGGCCCATGCTCCCAACCCTTACATCGACCTTTAGGAACTCATGATCCGTCGTGAACTCGCCAAAGATCCAAAACTTGCAACCGAGTCCTGGGACCGCTTCCTGCCTCAATTCCGCAAGCGCCACCTCAAAACGTCAGAAAAGACGGCCAAAAAGAACGAAAAGCTCAAGGAGAAGGAGGAGGCCAGAAAGGCCGCCGGGCTGGATCCTGCAGAGGCAAGCAAGACGGAGAAGAAGAAGAAAGTCTACACTCCATTCCCTCCTCCGCAGCTTCCCAGAAAGGTGCGTTTAGCGTAAAGAGCTGTGCCAGACGTGTGACTCATTGCTCCTGTCCAGGTCGATCTACAATTGGAGTCCGGAGAGTACTTCCTCAAGGCGTCCGAGAAGGCCGCGAAGGAGGCGGAGAAACGGAAACAAAAGGTGCGTAACGCCGCGCACTATATCGACTATCTTTGCTCATCCAACGTTCCTTTTAAATTCGCTTATCGTACCTGCAGCAAATGGAAGTCACGGAACAACGCAAGGCCGAACGTGCAGAGGCATTTGTCGCCCCCGCCGAGCAGGCTGCACCGACTGTCGAGGAAAAGAAGAAGAGGAAACGCGCAGCGGCCGAGATGGAGAAAGAGATGGATGCAGAGGAGGTCGAAGGCTCCGAGAAGAAAAAGAAACGCAAAAAGGAGAAGGAGAAGCGGCGGAAGGAAGATTCCTAAGGGTTATGGGGATTGACCTGCTACGATCTTTTTCTGTATCTTGGTTCACCCTAATGGTTCAGTATCTTCGTACTTTCAGCCGCTCATGGAAGTATGCACGAAGTCGTCTGGTGCGGAATCAATCTCGGCGTTTGCAGGCTAGGATGACAGGTGCACTGACTCGATATGGTTTCGCAATCTATGGAACGTCTGGTTTGGGACAACGGCTAGAGTTTTCATATCTCTCTGAAGGGCTTGTCCCCCTCTAGCTACCCTGTCCTTGTTCATGCGACCATCGCGGAAAGTACAGCTCCGTGGCACATCTACGCCGCTCACTACCCGAGAAAGAGCGAGGTGCCTTTTTGAAGCTTGGCGTCACCCTCGAGGCCTGTGGCTCGATCGCTCATGGACATACCGCACAGGCCTGTGTACGAAACTGGAACTACCGGTGTGTAGGGTGATATCGGGTTCCAGTGACCGTTCCAGAAGAATGAATGTTTGCGGCGTGCTAACAATACCACGTTGGCAAGTGGCTATTTAGTCACCTCCTGAGGGGACGTAGTCACCCCGACCCAATGTCGCGTAGGGAGCTGCAGAATATTCTCATTCCTCCTGGGCTTGAAGCCCGTGCGGAGGATGGGCACGATTCCCCTTCCAGCTCTCGCTCTTCCAGCCCTTCTTACTATTCTCCTCATGTGTGGCCAACTGATACCCGCTATGAACCAGCGCAGATTCCTGTGATCCCCCTCTCAACTCAGTCAGCCTCGATGGGCGGCGCGATGAGACGCGGCCCGTCGTAGGACCTACGCCCATTCAACAGTATTCTAGATTCACAAACTCGTCCTCCCATGATGAAAACCGCTCACCAGACGACTTTGACCCCTATCTCCTCGTCGCCAGTAGACGCCCATCTCCTCATGTCGAAGACGTCCTCCCCTCACGCTCTCCCGATCCGGTTGCCAATGAGACCTTCGTTATCGACTTCGATGCCCGCGAAGGTCAAGGGCGACAGCATACACGCGACCTTTCAAACACTTCCACGCAACCTGACACTCCTTTCGGCACCTCTCGTCCGTACAGAGACCGTTTTCCATCCGACTGGGAGACAAGGCCTATCAAGCTACCCCGCTCACGTTCGCCCAGTCTTTCGAGCTCTTCGAGCACCCCTTCGAGGAAAGGTGTCCGGAAGTTCTTACTCCGGCCCTCCCTCGCCTCGCTTTCCTCAAGGGACGGCCCTAGACATTTCGAACGTCCCCAATACAAACGGTTCATCATTCACCTCGCACTATGTGGTGCGATCTACCCAGCCCTCCTGGTTGCAACTATCCTCGCCCATGGCAAAACAATCTTTTGGGCTCGATTTATTACGGCTGCTTTTACTCTGGCGGCTGGCCTGGCTTTAGCGTCGAGCCTAGTTGAAATGGCGAAGAGGATAGCTGAAGCAGCTGGTGAGTGGTTTTGCAATGCCCACAATAAGCTGGGGGCGATACTGATGATCGATGACGCTTGTATTTGTATGAAGTATGGGCGACAATCATACATCAGACGAAGTTCGAGGGGAGCCCTGGTATCCGAATGAAGGACTTGGTTGGGTATGCGCGGAGTATGGGTAGTGCGTGGTCTGGTCTGTGTCTGCTGTGGGACAGACATGCGTACCCGGGCGCAGATAGGGATACCAGGAAACGATATGAGTGAGTTGTGTTGTGACTTTGGGCAAGCCTTTCGTCCTACTAATCGACCTTGCTTTTTTTCCAGCTCTCGTCACTGGCCGCTCTACATCTGGTTTTATGTCCTAGTGACTACTTTCAGTCTGATCCTACCCTTCTTACTCGGTCGTGCTGTGGACATCGATGTCGAGGCTGTTGTAGGTGTTTGCAAACGATTTGGAGAAGCACGCCACTAATGGGGCCCTCGTGACGCAGGAAGCGCTGAAACCCTTCAATGTTGCCGTTTCTAACGGGGACCTTTCAGATCTCGATGTCGAACGCCTGCGGTCGCAAGGTGCTATGTTGTCGGTGGATTCGGCTTTACGGTGGACCCTATTTACACCTCAAGGCGATCCACTGCCAGTAGCCCTTCAGTCGGCCAACCATACTGTCTATTTTTCTCCACCGGACACTCTTGAAATAGATGGACTTGTACCAAAACCCATAGAGTCAGGTCTGTTGCGGTAGGTTAAGCCTCGTCACGGTTTCGCCTTTAGCTGAAGAAGACTGATACATTTTCCATGAGGGTTCCACGCTGGGGCATACGAATTAACTGTGTGCCCCTTTCCAACGGGAAAGTGAACGTGTATGTCCACAAATGCTATCTGCTCACAGTGATCATTCTGACGCATGCGTTCCCTCCTGGATAGCGTTCCGAGAGCGGAATCGGGTGCAGCATATGTCTTCACGACACGCGAAGACCTGCAGGCCATGTTCCCCGAGCTCAGTATCCCAGTGCCGGAGCACCGTTCCAGGCCGTTGATCTACTCGTCCGTTATGGCTCCTAATGATAGTTTACCTGCTGGTATGGATTTGGAAAGCATCGTACTTGGAGGTAAGATCCTGTCCATTCTATTCTGTGGGTCACTGCTGAGAGGATGTAGCCCGATTCAATGATACGGGCGAATCATTGTCTGTTGCACAAATGTTTCCTTACCATGCCAGTAGGTGTCAATGATGCTTGGTGGGCGTCATAGTAAGCTGACGTTCGGTTGAAAAGGCGAAAGGTTTCTCGCATTCAGCACCACGCTAATCCGGCTAAATACCGCATTCGCTCCGAACGGCGATTTCAGTCATTCTATCAGTATTTCCTCCGGCGAAGTTGGCTACGATGCGGTCAATTGCCTTCAGGTATACGAGCCATGGTTGGTTGAAATTCACTACGCCAATAATCTGCCACCGAAAATGACTAGAATATTGGAGAAAAAGCCGTTGGTAAGTGGTTATCATAGGTGGGTCTCCAATTAGAAACCCTTACGTTTCTGTGGTTGCAGGGTGATGCGAAGGGTGATATCCCGGATGGTGTTGCCAGAAGCCTTGATTCGCGAAGAATGAGTAACGTGTTAGTGGCTTGTCATGGTTTCGAGCTTTGTTGGTGCAACGCTTTATTGATTCCATTTACCCAGGTTCGATATCTTACAGCAAAATGGGATCAACGGGATGTTGAAGGTTGGTATACCACCAATAGACCGTGTCGCTACTTAGTGGTTAATCTTTGGTTTGGTCAACAGGATTATAACGTGGCTGGTTCATCGCGTTATGCCCCGTCGCCTTCGGTGAGTATACTGGTGGCTCGGATATTTCGAGAGCGGCGGAAATGACGGATGTTCAAACCAGATTATCTCATTGACGGATGGCGAGCTGCAACCCCTGGGATATACTCAACTCGATGCAACGAGATACGCGCATCAGAAAGCACAGTCAGACGCGAAATACGTCCTATCGCATCTCTCTGGAGCGGAGCCGCTGGCAGCCCAGTGGTATCCTTATGAAAATCTGGCCACGGCTTCAATCAACGCAATCTGGTTCAGCGTCACGCTCGGTATAAGCATAGCTCTAGGAACCGTCGCCGCCTTTTGCACGCCGACACTTCCACTATCCCATCCTAGACGTGGTTTGGATCTGTATTCGGTCTTCTCTGCCCTGTACACTCGAGAGCTGCTGAGCACGAGGACCGGGAGGCTGCGGAGACAGATGGAACTGGAAGAGATCGAGGAGATATTGAGAGATAGTAGAGTCCGTTTTGTCAACTAATTGCTGGAATATTATAGACACCAAGAAAAGACCAGGGGTACCTTCCGATTGCCCGACTGTTGCCCATCTGAGGGCTACTCTTCCAGCGATTGCCTTATCTAGAAATACCTGTGCTAAATTCGGTTATTGACTAGTCAGCGAGACAAGATGCCAGTCGTCAGCCAGGTGTGGAATTCGCTGAGATAGTGCCACCCCATGTGAGGAGAAAATGGAAAATGCGACTTTTCCCATAAGTGTTTTGTCGGCTAAGATTGCGTTTCACTCAAACCTAGCTTCTGTCAGATGGGCATAGCTATGTACAGGAAACCTTGCATTAACCAGATGACTATCCTTTGTTTATAAGTTGAGACAGCACATCTGTCGATTGAGAAGATCATCCCGCTTGTTTGAAAGCAGCTCTGGTGATGAGTTCTGAGCAGGGTTTTCGACTCTGTTTCGAATCTTATCCCGTCCAAGGCCCACCCATGCCCTCACACCTTCTGTTTCAAGATTCAAAGGTATTGTATCGACTCAGAGACTACTGGCCCTCTCACTTGGGCTGGGTTTTTCGAAAGAATTTCAAGGTCTGGTATGTTCGTCCAGTCTCAGAGGCGTATGACCGTAATATCGGAGGTAGTGGACGACTTGGTAACGAGCGTAGTGATGGAAGATTGAAGCTGCTGGAACATCGAGGCAGCATGGCAACCTCGCCCTGAGTTCTGATTGGTTCGAAAACAAATGATCCCGGAAGGCATCATTGATCGTGGACCTCGGCCAAGAGACAACGGAGGAGCCAAGTATAATCTTGTTCTCTAAAGGCAACCTTTTCCTGGTCGACTGACATGACTCTTGGTGAAAAATAAAGGTGAGAATTCAACTCAACAGGGCGCTCAAGGTGTTGATCCAGCTTGATAGGAACATGTGAACATAGGATTATCTTGACGCATACGACGGTCGTGCAAACGACCAACTGATCGAAGAGAGGGCGACTTACAGACCCCGTCGTCTCACCCACTCCGTGGCCACAAAGAGTGCGCTCCTCTGCGCATCGTAGCATGTTAAGCTCGAAAAATGCTTGGTATCACGACGAGTTGGGTCAAACGATGAGGTGAATTGACAGGATCACCATAGAAATGGCCAGAGTTTGTTCAGTCCAGTGAGGCGCTGTCCAATCAGGAGTCACTCCGGGATCAAATGTCGTCCCAATGCCTCCCAAGGAAAACATGATGGCCCATTGCCTTGGGTTCTTTCCCATGAATTGGGCAATCAGTACAAATACCTGATGGTCGTTGCGACCGCCATTTGGTATCCTTCCCTTCCCTCCTTCCTCCCCATTTTTATTTTTTGTGAGTTGCCGCTGTCCTCGACGTCCAGAACATCTCTAACTCTTCCGCTAGCTGTTCCTTTTCTTTGGGCTTGCCCGGTTGCATCCCCCTGTTCATCGCTGGTTGCACCACTTTCAGTCACTTCACACATTCCTTCATTCAAGCAGGCTTAATCCTCTGGCAGCTTTCCTCTCCTTTACCAGTCTTTAAAAATGCACTTCTTCACGTCAACCTTGCTCGCTCTCGCAGCATCAGTCCCTCATTTGGTATCGGCTGCCCCAGCCATTGCATCCCCCGCCGTTCGAAAGCGTGCTGAATCCGACATCCTCGTGTTTAGTGAGTTTTTACCCCTTGGCAACCAGCGACATTCACCCTGACATCTGCCCCGCAGAGTTCGCTGATGTCCTTGAACAATTGGAGTCTGCGTTCTATGAACAGGCTATTGCCAAATTCCAGGAAGCCGATTTCATTGCCGCTGGATTCCCCTCTGCCAGCATTCCCGTTGAGCAATTCCTCAACATCCAGAAGGATGAGGCAACCCACTCTGTCGTCCTCCAGGTGAGTAGTTGCTATGTCAATCCAGTGTATCCTCTTCTCACAAATCATCTCCCATCTTTCGTTCGCATCTTCCCATCTCCCGACACTCACTGGACGTTTCCCATCATCGCCTGATGATATCTGCTCGAACAGGCCGCTTTGAGGTCTTTCGGTGAAGAGCCTATCACGAACTGCCGATTCAACTTCGATGCTGCTCTCACCGATGTCGCCACGATGGCCGCCACCGCCCGTGTTGTTGAGAACGTTGGCGTCAGCGCCTACCTCGGTGGTGCCACCCTCCTTACCGACCCCGTTCTCCTCACTGCCGCTGGATCCATCCTCACCGTCGAGGCCCGCCACCAGACCGTTCTGAACATCCTGTCCGGAACCGGTACCTCCGTGCCCAACCCCTTCGACTTCGCTCTTACTCCCAGTGAAATCTTGGCTCTTGCTGGGCCCTTCTTCGACGGGCCTTGCGACCTTGGTATCCCCGCCAACCCTGCCCTCAGCGTCACCAACACTGGCGCTATCGGCCCTGGTACCAGGTTGACCTTTGAGTCTCCTGCCATCACCCGCGGTGAAGATCAACAGGTACGTTTAAAATATGTATACCTCTTGTGTTCCGCTGTTTCTAATATCTTCTCTCCAGAACCTCTTCTGCCAGATGCTCGTTGGAGGCAAGGGCACCGCCATCCCCTTCCCCATCGACGACTGCGTTGTTCCCGACGACATCAACGGCCCCGTCGCCATCTTCGTCACCTCCGACGGCCAGCCCCTCGTCAACAACGTCCGCGACCGCGCCACCACCCAGCTCGTCGCTGGCCCCGCGCTCGCCTTCATCGATATTGCCCCTCAGACCATCGGCGCCATCGCCCGAGGCGGTAACGGGCAAGTCGTTTCCACTGCAACTACTACCGTCTCCCCCGCTGAAGCGACTGCTATCATCCTTAGCGCATCTGGCACTGTCCCTGCTCCCCAGCCCACTGGAACCGCCGCTGTCACGATCAGCGAGAGCGCCAACTTGGAGACTGGCCCCTCTGCTGACGGTGCTATCACCGTTAACGGCTGGGAACTGTTGTAGACTCATTCATCCCGCGGACGTTGTTCATATACACTCATCTTCATGGACATGAAACGAAACCCCCCCCCCCCCCCCACTTTCATCGCGATGATGGACTCGTTTTTTAATGTTAATGAATAGACAGGGGTTATCGATCATCCAATTGCTCTTCGAATCACGGATGGACTTGCTTTCTTTTCCCTAGATACCATTTTATTGCTTACTGTTTTCCTTTGTGGCTTTATGGACTGCGTCTTCTTCCCCTTCTTGACGAAGATCGTGCATTTTTTTTTCTCAAACTAAAGAGTAGTTTAGCTGCATCTTCATCGAGTCTTTTAGCTTGCTTTTTTTTCTTACTGTTGTCCACTTTCGTTCTGACACACCTGGGGAGGTGTTACTCTTATTTTCTACTCCGAGTCTTCTTGTAGTATGGTACCTTGTTTGCTGCAACCTGACGCAGTAGAAATAGGATAACATAAATCGCATCTACTGGATTCCAGCTCCTGAGACGGGTGAAAAGAGGTGACGGAGAATCGTCGATGCTCAGGAAGGAACTGGTATCATTAAGAAAGTTCGCTATGTATCATTTGGAACACTTCAACGAACAGGTATTTAAATAGTACAGCCTATGGATATTAAAGAGATCCGTGCTCCGTGAAAAAGTAATCTAATGAAGGGCTCGTCGAAGAAAAACGTGTTAGCTACTTTCCCCCTAAACCCAGCCTACCTGCCTTTCCTTACTCTATTCTGAATCAGAATCATCACTGTCCGAGGTATCGTCATCACTATCCACGTTCATTCCTCCACCTCCCGCGAGCGCATTCAACGAGATGGGTCCATCATTGTCGGCGTCGGGATATACTTCCTCCATGTCGTCGTCTTCATCGTCATCGCTTGGAGGGAAAACACCACCCATGTCCCCGCCCAGCTCCTCCTCCAGCGCTTCCTCCAGCTCACCTGCCAGGTCATCAACCGCCTGGTCTGGCATATCATGGAAGATCTCGTCCTCCAACATGGAGAGGTCTTCCTGGTTGGGCGCTGTCACTGGTGGTGGAACTGGAGCTGGAGCGGTGTTGGTTGGCACTTCGTCCCAATCATCTTCGTCCTCCGAATCCGCCATGGCATGGATGGCTGCCGCTGCCGCTGCTGCAGTAGGTGGTGGGGGCGGAGGTTCAACAACTGGAGGAGGCACGATTGCTGCTGCGGCAGCAGCCTTTGCCCTTTCTTTGGTCTGGCGCATTATTGCATTGGTAGAAGGAAGCGTGGGAGGGGGTGGTGGGGGTGCGAGTGCTGGAGCAGACTTGCCAGGTAGTGCCAAAGCTGGCGGTGCGGGTGCAGGTGGCGGAGGGGCAGGGTTGGCGGTAGCCTTTCCTTTGGCAGGCTTCGAGGGACGAGTGTTTGTGATGGAAGGAAATTCTTCCACGTCCTCTAGCAGTGCCCCTTCGAGGAAGTCGAAATCGTCTTGTTGTGATGACGCTGGCGCGGACGGACGCTTGGCCTTCGATGCAGCTGCTGCAGGTTTGGGGCGCGGAGGAAGGGATGCGGGAGGGGGCGGAAGGGATTTGGATTGTGTGGGAGCTGGGGCTGGGGGAGTAGCCCTGGACGAGGATGCTGCTGCAGTCACCTTCTTCTTTGGTATACTTTTCACGGGCCTCTTGCTTTCCGTTCCCTTGTTCGTCACAAAGTATCGCGGCTGGTGTTGCTTTTGCTGCTGCTGTTGGTGCATCAACTGCTGTTGGAGAAGAGGCAAGTCGTCTTCCTCGTCTTCCTCTTCCTCCTCTTTCTGGTATCGAGGCGCCTTTTGAGAAGACGACGTCGAGGGTTTGGGATCCGGCATTAGTTTTGCAATTTCATCGTCGATGTCGTCAATGTCATTGCTCGGTTCTTCATACTTGGTCCTCTTTGATGAAGAACTTGGTTGACTCCAGCTTGGGGGAGTCGCTGCTGCTGCTGTTCCTGAAGGAGCAGGAGAAGCTATTGGACGAAGACGTTGAGAATCTATGAAAGTAGGTGACGGGAATGACATACGAGTAGATTGATTAGCCATGATGGATTGTAGGCTTCGGTCGTATGTTAATAGAACACAACCATCAAGCTTCTCCAACGTGAAAGTCTGCCGAAACTGTCAGTATTCCATCCACTGTCCAGAACTCGAATTCCATACAGCCGTGTCTTCATCGTAAATGAGAACACAATCAAAGTTGTTCTTCGAGGGTATCATCTCATGGCCACGGAACATGACAGATTCATTCGGCTATGCAGTAATGTTAATTTAGATTCGCAGCACCAGGCGTTGTGGCGCACCTGCACACTAGCCTGCTCGACGATGACCGTCGTTTGCTCCTTCGTCGTTGAACCCCTGGGTGATTCCTTGGTCGTAAACTGAATCATCCCAGCCTTCGTCTGGTCGACAGACGACGGCTTATGGTTGTCTGGAGCAGGGGAATGTCAACATCATTTCCCCAGGTCAAAACCTCGGAACGTGAACATACATCTGAGCGAGTAGAAGTCCCTATCGGGTGGTTTGGACTTTCTCGTCCTGCCAGCAGCTTCGACTGGTGCTGGCGACGGCGCCCCAGATTCCCTCTCTGCCTTCCTGGCCTTCAAAGCTCTTCCCAACGAAGAGCCGACGTCGACCCGGTAGCGGCCTGGAGCTGGCATCCAGGAGTTCGAGCCGTTGGTGGTCGCCATTGGATATCAAAAGTGGTGCTCGACGTTCAAGATTGAGAGAAACCAGTGCAGCAACGGCGGCGGCGACTACAAGAACGACGAGAACAATACCAACGACCCCCTCCCAGGCTCGAAGACGTCCTGGTCCAAGTTATGGAACTTGTCCCAAGCCCGAGATCGGCACCTTTCCCCTGATGATGGGTCCATCATTCGGGGTTGCCTATGTAATCACTCCCTAATTTCTCTTCACAAAAACACAGGCCCTGGCTGTAGCACAATAGATCGTGAAGAATGTAGAGGTATGGCCATTTAGTAGACTCCTTGTCACAACAGACTGGAGGTCTACCATAAACCGCAGTGCGCTGAACACCGTCGGCGCCGAAAATCCATCGCCGTGACCGTCGGACTAGGACCGTATTCACTCACAGCTTTACTGTACTCCAGGCGGGATTTTCTACTCCGTTGGTCCACTGGCCGCTTTAATAAGTGGGTCCTTGGAACCAGTCAACATCTCCAGGGCTCGCCCTGAACCCTTTCATAGCGATAGGGGCTAAAGGCCTTAAAGCGGAACCAAATCGGAGTCCAAGATTGCCGTCCTTGCCGCCCGTTCTCGAAAATCCAATTTCTCTCCTTGTCAGCCATGCAACCTGCCCTCGACGAACGAGATCGTCATCTAAAATGGATGAAAGAGGCCATGAACATGGTATGCGTACTTACTAAAGAATAGAGAAAGGCCTAGATTGGATTCATAATTACTCCCCCAACAGGCCGAAGAAGCTCTGGCGGCGGGTGAAGTCCCCGTTGGATGCGTGTTTGTCAGAGACGAAAAGATTATCGCAAAGGCTCGGAATCGGACGAACGAGTTGAGAAATGTAAAGGACAATCTTCTCTTGTCTTCCTCTAAACTTCTTTCATTTATGATTCGATTCATGGACATTTGAACTCTAAACCCAACTGATCATGTCGTCACACAGGCTACACGGCATGCTGAGTTGGAAGCCATCGATTGCATCCTCAGCGATAACGAGTTGACACCCCAAAAGGGCGAGCCCTATCCCCTCTCCACGACCACCCTCTATGTCACAGTAGAGCCGTGCATCATGTGCGCATCGGCTCTGCGTCAGCTGGGCATTAAAGAAGTCTTTTACGGCTGTGGCAATGAACGATTCGGGGGGTGCGGAAGTGTGCTTGGTGTGAACCAAGAGTGAGGATCTATAACCACTTTCAAAAAAGGGTAGTTAAGACTGATTGTGAACCTGTCGTAGACTTCCCCATCCGCAACACCCACCATACAAAGCAACAGCAGGGTACTGCCGGGAAGAGGCAATCATGATTCTCCGTCGGTTTTATATCACCGAGAACACGAACGGTACGTTCGGCCTTGCGCTGTGTACAGCGGACGACGTACTCACCTCCCCCGTCAAGCGCCCAATCCGAGATCGAAAGCAAACAGGGTCCTTAAAACGCACATAGAGCCTATGGCGTCATGACCCCTGGTTATCGAAACCGAAGAGAAATGGTATCATTAGCCCCTAGTATCCAATCTCCGTAGTATACCTTCCAAAGTCCATTTGCGTATATCCGAAAAAAGCGAGCAGCATTAAAAGATCCTTTCACAGTTTGGTAGCCGTGTCCTTCCACTCCAGTCCAAGCGTCTTCGCGACGAAGCCCCACTTGTCCGCAGCTTCTTGCATCCTAGAACAAGATTTAGAAACGGCCATGGTACAGGTCACATAAACGCACCTCTTGGTAGTAGATTTACCAGCTCCATGCCCTGCCTTCTTGTCGACACGGAGGAGGATCGGGTTCGGGTTGTCAGCACGGAGATGCTGCAGCGTAGCAGCTAGCTTAAAAGAGTGGCTCGGAACCACGCGGTCATCGTCTGCATAGAGTCAGATAAAGGGGGAACGATGGAGCGGAAAGAACGCACGGTCAGCAGTGATCAGCATGAACGGCGGCAGTATCTTGGTGGGGGAGACGTTGTGCAATGGGGATATGGGGTGGATAAAGTCAAAGTCCTTGGGGTCATCTGGGTCTCCGTAGTCACTGATCCAAGCCCGCCCTGTAACCCGAAAGGTATCAGCCACAGACCGGGTTCAGCAACCCCAACTATTCTTACCGATGGTGAATTTGTGGAACTATTTTCGGAGCACCGGGGTCAGATGAAGTGCACTGGGAATGGAACAAAACGCGGACTCACCCGAAGCAGATCGTGTACTCCGACTTCTGCGACCGCGGCTCCAAAGGTCCCTTCAGGAGCTCTGTTCACACAGGCGGACACCAAGAGGCCTGCGAGCAGCGTCACTACCATCGCGCAAACAGCGGTGTAAGAACCAATATACCTCCGTTAGAACCACCGTTGATCGTGACCTTGCCTGGAGCGGCGATTTTATTCTTGTGGAGGTACTCGCTGAGTCCATTCGTTAGCATGAACAAGGAAAGAGCACGGTAATCAAACGTCACTCACGTTGCAGCAATAAAGTCGTCGAAGCAGTTGTGCTGGGAATCAGGGGATGTTTTTAGACGGTCCCTATCGCGGTCATTTTAGATGGTGCGTACCTTTTTGTCTCTGTACCCGCCTTCATGCCATTCCTCTCCAAACTCTCCTCCTCCTCGGATATTAGCGATCGCATAGACACCGCCGTAGGTCTTCAGGAAGGTGAGAATAGTGGGGCTGAAAGATGGGTTGATGGAGATGCTGAAGCCGCCGTATCCTGGGGAAGGGGGTGTGTTAGCTGAAACTATAGGTTACCAACCACCATATACTGACCGTATTGAATTGCAGGAGCAGTGCCATCAATAGGAGTGGATTTGTGGCGAACGATAAACATGGGAATCTTGGTTCCATCCTTGCTCTCGTACCAGACCTGAGAGAACAGTCAGCAAACAAGTGGGAACACGTCAACCTGGAAAGTACCTGTTCAGCCGAGAACTCCTCGGGATTGAGACCCTTGACCTTGGTCTGGCTGTAGATACTCCATCGCTGCCCTTCAGGCGCTGTGAAGTCATAACGTCCAAGAGTACCGGGTGTAGTGAAACCAACAGCGTTGATGAAGAACCAGCTGTCGCGATAGCGGGCAGTGATCGTCAAAGCACCAATGAAGTCTGGAAGGAGTCGCTCGAGCTCCTTGCCCTCTTTCGAGTATACGTATGCCTCGTCTTTGACCTACGAACGTCGGCATCACTATGACTGAACGCACAATTCTGAAGAATGGACGTACGTTGCGCTTGTAAGAAACGACAAAGTTTTCGCCCTTGTTGACGGCATCGATGCTGTTCAAGAAGCCGTCGGTTTCGGGAACGAAGTCTTTCCTTTCGTTGCCCTTCGAAATGTCGATCGTGATAGCCTTGTACTTGGGAGCCTTGTCATTAGTTCGGACGACGAACACGGGACCGTAGTTCGTGACACTTTTGAAGGTGGTAAGATTCGTGCATCTGGTTTAGGGCTAAGGCACCCACTATTCGTATTCTGCCTCGTATTCGTTGACGACCTTGTTCCATTTGAATCCCTTTTCGATGGAATCCTCTTTGAGCTCCGCGATCCAGAAGAGGTTTTTCTGAGAAGGGACCGATCAATGGGGATGACCGCAATCATAGAGAAGAACCGGTGACATACCCTCGAAGTGTCGGCCACGACGGTAAGGACAGCGTATTTGTCGTCATCGGTGATCTCAATACCGTACATCCACTCCGGTTCATCCTTATTATGGTAGACCAAGACATCTTCCGCTGAACACGAGATACACACTGGGTTAGTGCTCTGCCGGGGACCAGGAATCTGGATACTCACATTGGGGTGTATTGACGCGGTGGTAGTAGAGCATAGCATCTCTGTCTCCTCCAGTCTCGATACCAGATCCGTTGACCTTCTCGCCTTTGCTGCGGTCTGGCATTCTCTGCAGGGCAATTAATATTCAGAAAAGGCGAGGAAAACGAATTAGGAAAGCACGACGAAATGAAATGGAGTAAGCATCGCAGAGAGAGAATTGCAAAGGCTGAAGTAACTTACCTGGTAGAAAAATCCCTTCGAGTCCGGCGTCCATTTCAAAGAGGAGAACTTGACAAACTTGAGGACCTCCGGGAGTCGTCCGTTATCATTTGCTGCCTGCTCCTTGCTAGCAAGGGGGGAGTCCGTTCGCCTGACATAGACCGTCGTAAAGTCACTTCCCTACGGATTCCGTACGGTTAGGACCGATGGGGCCGGTGAAATGGTGACAAAGCTCACAGAGTAGGAGATACCGTAAGCGTAGTATTCACCGGAATCGGAGAATGCGTGGGTGCTAATAGAAGCAGTTCCGTCGTCTGAGAGCAGATTTTGCTGTTCACAATGATTAGCTTTATTTATATATGGCGATTCAAATAACAGTCTTACATCCAAGAAGACTTCTCCGTTATCAGCCCCCTTTGACCGGTCAGGTAGCTGGCTATCCTTGGATCTGAACATGACTACAAACGTTGGTCAGTCATCATGGCGCCGCTCCACGACGAAGCTGCGCACCATCCTGCGGTTGGAGGCCTGTGTTGTGGAACCAGTACCACCGTTTGTCGTCTCGAAGGATAGGAGCACCCGCCTAAGCCAGAATTCAGTTAAAACGTCCATGAAGAAGGTAGAAGACGCGCGTCGTACCCTTGCATAGTCCTGGCTGGCCAAAAAGGCATCCTCTAAGCGCTTACGGTGGGGATATTCGTCGATATAGGCCCGAGTATAGGCTTCCTGCGCTGTAGTCCATTTGTCTGTTTCTTCTGTGTATTCCTCCATCCACCGATAGGGATCTGGGACCTTGACCTCGCCCTTGGAGGCGCTCTTGTATGTGTCGACATGATCGCTCCGTCGCGCTGGAGGATACGTGTTGGGCGTCCAAGCTTTGGCCGCCATTGTTCTGCAATACGGTCGTAGACGATCTCGAAGCTGCCAGACGCGTCTAGCAGCAAGAGTTTGGGGGAAGAGTCGGACGAGCATCGTCCATGGACCAGGTTTTATATAAGATGCGCAACGGACCGGAAGCGGAAAGACGCTTGGGTTCCGTGGGCAAACCGGTAAGCACAGCTTGTCTTCGAACCGCGACCATCTCAGGACGCTATCGATAAATCTTTCCCCCAGCTGACACAAACCGGTGTTTCTTTAGGGGCTCCGAGTATTGTTACAGGGAAATGAACGCCATTCTCGTCTTCCTAAATCGCGTCTCACACGCCAGGCACGGCCTCTGTGGGTTCGAAATCGAAACCTTGACAGCTTTTTGCTTGCACACGAATGTTGGACCCCAAGGCCCCCTGACACAGGCCCATACATCGGGCTCTCTCTGACTGTTTCCAACTCGAGGGGAGAAACGTAATTATCAATCCTACGAGCGCCGAACTATACGAACTGGGTCGCCTTCATTTCAACCGGCGAAACCTCGAGACGGTATCACCAGTGAAGATATTTCCAACATTAAATTCCCAATCTTGGTCTCATCTCGGAAGCAACGAGGTCAAAAGGGACCCTCAAATAACGACACACTGTTTTTGAAGAAATCGGACCGCGTGACCCCTTGGAGGAATAAAGCTGTCTCATTCCAGGGTTCGTTCTAACCGGAATTTCAGAATAGGGCACCTTGGGACACCCTCATGGAAGCACGGAGCCAGCACCCTCTTTGGGGTTGAACACGGTCTGTAGTGGCTAACGCCGCTCGAATGGAAGGTACACTGGAAACCATCGAACCCACAAACTGGCTGTGACTTGCCGTAGGGACAGCGGGACAGGGAACATCACGGAGCATAAGTTGCAGCCGCAGCTTTGGCTGCTATCTTTGTCACTGTTGGCACTCTCTCGTTGCCCGGTCGGAATGTCGGCATGGAGCCTTTATGGTCGGGTTCCTGTCGAGGTCAAGTTGAGAGTGATTCCGCGGTCGTTAATGCATTGCGTTTCCAAATCGCACACATTTAAATCACCGTCATTCGGAGAGCCACCAACAGACTTTGAGGGGTTCCCATGTGGCAGGGGATTGAAATTCCCTCCTTACCCGTCTCTCGACCTTCTTTCGATTCAAAGCAAACCTGACATTTGCCGCTCCGCATTGGATTGATCAAAGACCCGCCGCCACGCTGTGCGGTCATGTTGGAGATACACTGCTTACCGGTTCTTCGACGGATACAGTATCTTGGCTACAAAGCCCCAAAGCTGTGGTAAGTAACCTTGAGCATACTGGGCGCTTCTTGGAACGCGGCGCTTCTCCAACCAACACTGCCATGTTCCACGTTGCCGATCTATCGATGACTAGGAATGAACCCTCATTTCTTATGTTTCGACGACTTCCATATATGCTCTATGTTTTTGGGAAATTGGTTGACACATGATCTCATTCGTTCGAAGATGCGGTGGGGTTTAGGGCGTAATGGTAATACAGATAGCCCATATCTTTTCATCGATAACAGAAGTGGAAATCTCAATGACGAACTCAACCTAGCACTTTTACGCCTGTGCTCATTAGACCAATGACAGGAATGAGATCATCTTCATAAGACGGTGTTTCATTCGCGCTCAAATGGCTCACAGGACAGGATCCCAACTTTGCAGCTTGGTCACAAAGGCCCCCTTCAGTCCACTATTCTAAAATCTACATCGACGTCTTTATTGCGTCCCTTTGTCCTACTTCTCTAGAGCTCGCCATTTTCCGTGGCAATGGGAAATTCGTTTGTTCGACAGGCAAGTCGGTCACCGGTCACCAGTGCCAGCCTATGACTGGGAAGGTGACAGGGAGAGCCAAGCTTGAAATGGCGGTCGGAACGGCTAAGTACTACGTTTACGTGTTTCGTTTGTCATGTTCTGTAATTCATGTTTTTGTCGGGGAATTCACAATTAAAACGCGGCAAATTGTTTGGAGGCATCGATTATCTGATGGTAGGCGCCAAAAAAGAAGTTTGGAACTGTCACGAACCGATTCCCTCGGGTAAAAACACAATGCCTGGTTGTTCCCTTGGTACCTCTCAGTCGTAACCATGCCCCTCCCGTCCTGATGCTAATCCCTGCGGTTTTCATGGATGATCCTCATTCTGAGGCCCTTGGGCGCTTAAGCCCGTTGATCCTTTACCCGATGCGGATAACAAGCGCGAAGACTACCGCATCGGCGGTCGAACTCGTTGACTTGGAGTCTTTTCTAGTATCATGTTTCGGGATCCACATAACGGACTCTGATAAGGTTCAAGGCGGTATACATAGGTGGGTGGCGGGCCCGGGGGTCCCGTGAACACACCATTTATACCTCGCTAAGGAAGTATACAGTGTGTACTGCCCTCGAGTCAAGTTGAGTGCACAATGTCAATGTGATCAAGTCTGATGATCTTTTCTGTCCTAGTGTGTAGTCAGAAGAAGCGCCAGTGACTGAAACATTGCGACTTTGACGGAGGTTTGGTTTCGAAGGTCAGTACGCATACACTTCGCGTCGAGACGCTGTCAATTCTGGTATCTACATCTGGGCAAAAGTATTGGATCCTTTTAGCAATGAAAGTCGGCGTTTCATCTACAGCAACGTCAAGGTCAGGCTGGTCGCCCTCAACCCAATGGAAGGTGTCCGTGACGAGAAGGAGCAGAGAAGGTTTGGAAGAAAACACGAGTTTTCAAGGATGCTTCAAACGCTCTCACAGCAGACCATGCGGTGTAAGACTACCTGTCTCTTTCCAGCGAAGTGAACCACATAGGGGCTGACGCGAGGCGACGGGACTTGTAGCACAACGGAAAATCCTTGGATAGGGGCTCTCGGACCGCTTTAGGCTTTTCCGTTCTTGGCGCGCAACAGCCATGCGGTGGCGATGCCTTTGCCCCTTGCCTGATCTGGAGCATCGCCGCTTCGAGTTTCCGTTGAGTCAATATTCTTTCTTGTCTTTTTCTCTCATCTTCACCCAAAACCGGTACTCAGAGTACTGGTTCTGAAGCCCCTAGAACACAGAAAACCTAGGGAATGCCACCAAAGCCTTGTGCGCTCTGCCAAAAGGCAAGGGCGATGGTCAAACGGCCCAAGACAGGACAACAAATCTGTCGAGATTGTTTCTTCTACGTTTTCGAAACTGAGGTTCACCAGACGATAACCGAGGCGAAACTTTTCAAACCTGGGGATAGGGTTGCAATAGGTGCATCTGGAGGCAAAGGTAAGTACCGGGGGATTACAGTGTTACTGGAATCCCAGGTCCAGCTATTCTGGATTCTGATTGAGCGAACGGATTCTGATTCCTCGCTCTCTATGATCACAGATTCAACGGTCTTGGCATATGTTATGAAAACTTTGAACGAGCGATATCAGTACGGTTTAGAGCTCTTTCTTCTTTCCATAGACGAAGGAATTACGGGATATCGCGACGATTCCTTGGAGGTGAGTCTATCAAATCGTCTCCCAGACCTTATCTCGGGAATGGTCTCGTATTGAAAGGATCTGACTGGTACCTCTCCGTCTAGACTGTGAAACGCAACCAACAGCAATATGATATGCCCCTCAAGATCCTCTCATATGACGAGTTGTACGGCTGGACCATGGACGCGATCGTCAGCCAAGTTGGCCGGAAGAATAACTGTACTTTCTGCGGGGTGTTCCGCCGACAGGCTCTAGATAGAGGGGCTGCAATGCTGAACGTGGATCATATCGTCACTGGCCACAATGCAGATGATATTGCGGAGACTGTACTCATGAACAGTAAGTTGCAACTTCGCATTCTTGTTCCTTCCTTCCAAGGTTCTGACTATTGTTCCAACAGTCATGCGCGGCGACATCGCACGGCTGGGGCGCTGTACGTCGATATGCACCGAAGGTGAAGATACAATCAGGCGATCAAAGCCTTTCAAATACGCCTACGAGAAGGAGATCGTGATGTAAGTGGCTGGTCTCCTCACTTACATACTTTACCCCTCAAATGACCTAATCCACGCAGGTACGCATACTTCAAAAAGCTTGATTACTTTTCAACGGAATGCATCTATTCACCGGATGCCTATCGTGGACATGCACGCGCTTTCCTGAAGGACCTCGAAGCTGCACGACCCAGCGCTATCATCGATATAATCCATTCCGGGGAGGCTTTTGAAGTCAAAGAAGAAATCAAGGCGACCCAGAAAGTCCAACGTGAGTCTCGACTATGCGGTCACTGGTTCAATGGATCAAAGATCGTGGCTATTTTATCTCGAAACGAGGGGAACGTCCCACCATATCTAATCATATCACTGACTACAACCTGCTTCTTCCCCTTCTTTAGAGACGTGTCAGAGGTGTGGTTACATGTCCAGTAATGCGTTGTGCAAAGCATGTACCTTGCTCGAAGGCCTGGAACGTGGGATGGCAAACGCCGGTATCGTGAGTGACAATCTGCTTCATTTTACTTCATCTCCGTTTCGATTAGCTCTCGCCGTTCCTTTCTGTATTGCCGACATTCTCTGATATATTGCTTTTCATGTACTCATCCTATTGTTTCCATGTAGACGGATCGAGGGCAAAAGCAGTTGCTCCAAGCTCAAGCCGAAGGGCCTGCCCCAGAAACGCTTCGTAAAATACCCTTCTTCGAATTCAAACCAAGCAATGATTCCCCGGTGGTTATCGAACCTACTCCGTGATGGGAAAGGAAATCCTATCGCCGCGAGACCATCTCGCCACTTTTTCCTTCTCGTACCACTCATCGAGAACAAAACACCTCTTTCAGGACTTAGCTGACCTGCCTCTCTCACATATTAACCTTCGGGAGCCTTTGCTTGCAGAGCCTCGTGGTATTCTCGTGTACAACAATAGAATCTGTATCATACATGTATCTATATCATCGTAGATAGGTTTGTCTCTAGCATATCGTGAACTACATACATAATACAGCACTGACAGTGACAATACTCGGGAGAGCGAGAAACGAAAATGTACATATCCAATACAGAGGTATCAAGTTAACCAAGAGAGTCCGCAATCTCCCAGTGAGTAGAAACGAGGCATCATACGCCCGCGTCCTTCGCGAGTGAGAATTAAGTCATCTGTCCAACCATCACCACCTCACCCCGCAACCTTCGCAACCATCGTTCCGCCATTGCACAGGGGTCCATCTCCGTCAACGAAAATCTCCGGAGTACGCTCAAATGGAATCACTCCTCCTTTCCAAGTATACATCGCGGTCGACTCGCCTCCAACCGAGATACGCGGAACTATAGGCCTGATGCCATGTTCCACTGCCAGACGCAGCACGTTCGTAAGCGTCTCTGGAATGTCCTCCCCTTCCCAGTCGACATCCTGGGTTACGCTAATCCACGCGTATCCCACTTTGCTTCGGGTTTCTTCGCTGGGGGTAGCTGTTGCCCCAGCTTCGGACTGGGGGCTGCCTCCGCCAGTCCCAAACTTGAGGGACCTCAGCCCGGCTCTGAAGTTGTCCGCCGCTGTGGGTATCGTGCGTTCAGGGACATCCCCAACAAGTGTGGTGAATTGCCCAGCACCGGTCTTCTTCGCTCCTTTGCCTGTCGGATCCTCCTCGCCATCATCTCTTCCAACCGACCTCAGCAGTCTTTCCGCTGCTTCCCTGACCTCCTTTCCACCTATTGTGTCTAGAACCGCGTCGAACACATCTCCGTCCTCCCTCAGCCACTCAAGCACGCGCACAGCCGCACCCCGTCCCTCGTCCCACCAAGGATCGGCAGTGTTTCCTCCATCGTCGAATACCACTTCTTCTCCGCCGAGGTGGAGCACACGTGCCTCTGACTCGAGCATGTAACGTTGTACGTCCTCCTGGTCTTGAGGACCTGGGATAGGCACATGGACAGAGACGCGCCATCCTCTAAGAGCCAGCATTTGCACGACCATTGCTCCGACCCCGTCATGCCCTCGTAGTACCAGTGCTCTTCGTTTTCGATGAGGTTCATGATCGGCATGTAGATGATGATGGCCTCCCAGGAACGTCCCATTGCTCATGGCCGATGCGAAAGTGGGATAGTCGTAAGCTCTTGGACTGAGCGGCATGTTCGCCAAGCCAGAGAACGCTCGCATGAAGGTCCGAACCGCTCGATATGCAGGTAGACCGCAAAGTGGAAGCAAGGCTAGTTCTTCCAAGGTTAATGACGATTGAGGCATACGAGGTGGCTTAGTGGTTGAACCGGAGGAGAAAGAGTTGAATGAGGTCGTGGTAGCTGTCCCTGACGCAGCTTCTTCTCCGGGTACTGAAGCCGGATGTGGGACTCGCTTGATGCGACGGCGATCCACAACGATGAATTCGGTCAACGCGCCGCTCTGTCATTGAATCAATCAACTGCTGCGTCAAAATGGGGGCTGTGAGTTCCTACCTTTTTTGGTTCAAGCAATCCGACCACCCATTCACCCTTGCGAATTACTTCCTCCTTTACCTCCCAGCCGCATTCCAAAACTCGCCCAACAAAGCTCCTGCCAGGAATGAATCCAACCTCCGGCTGCAGTATAGGTGGCGGTGGAAGTGCCTTGTCCTTTTCGGCATCCTTCCGTCTTCCTCTCAGCGTGTTCTTCCTCTTCAAAACTGTCGGTCCAGAGCCCTCATTATCGGTACCTGTGGCGTCTTGCTCCCTCTCCTTTTCCTTCTTTCGAGTCTTCCGTCGCGAGAGTGACCCCAACCTCTCCCTCAAACTCATCTTCCTCCCTAGACCACTGCCTCTCCTCGTCCGTCCCATATCCTCTCGCTCAGTCTCTTCGCAACTCAGTTTGCTCTCCTCGCCACCTTTCTTCATCCTCTGGTTCATCCACCAATGGTGCACCTTCCAGAACCTGCTGGTCCTCCTTCCGCGGCTTCGCAGTTCCCAACCTCAGCCCGACAAGCTTTCCATCCACTCCGTCCACGGCCACAGCCCATACCTGCACCAGCACACTCCCGCTGGGGACGTGAGTTGGCGGTCTCCTATAGCCCGTAAACCCAAGTACTCTCTCAGCCGATATCGTCGCCATAGCCTGCTCACGAGGGTCCTCAGCCATGGACCCAATCGAGAGCTTCCCTGCCCGCATCGTGCCGTAGATATCCTCACTCCGCTTCCTCAGCCTCCCACTAAAGCTCAATCCCCTACCCAGAACACCCTTCTTCTGTCGATCGAGAATTTCCTGTGCCTCACCTTCGGGGACTGTCCTCCGCCTCCGAGGTTGCTCAACATGCCCTTAAAGCCATTCTTGTTGGAGCGGCCACGGACTCCGACGCCAGCTATTCCGCGCACAACTTCAACGCTTGTCATCGTCGTGTGAGCGATCCCACCGCGAGTTAGATCAACCTTGCCGCTAAGGGGGCTTGCGCCTTGTTGCATAGGGGGGATCATCGTTTGCGGATGACCGGAGTTGTTGGATAAGAGGCTCTTCCAGCCTGGGCTGTCTTTGGCAAAGATGCTTTGCGGGGCGCGAGGAAGGTGTAGAGAAGTGAACCCTGGCGTGCCATGCGAAGGCAGCTCTCCATTGGAGACTGGGATGGCGTTGTGGTATGCGAAGCTGCTTTGACTCGTCGAGGGATTGGAGAGGTAGCTTGAGGTATACGCTGAGCTGGGGCTGAGGTTGCCTTTCCCGGCCTTGGTTCGAGCCAGGATGGACTTGTAGTCATCCGCCCACGAAACCACCGACGTCTGTCGCGGGAGTTCCTCTTCTTGAATCTGGGCGTCGGGCTTCTCGACGATGACCATCGAATTCTCGAAGTCGGCGTCACCTATTGACCTAGACTTGCGTCTTTTGATGCCGTCGGGTTTGGTTCCTGAGCTCTTGGTAGCGATGGAGTTTCTGACGGGGGTGAGGTTTCCGTTAGGTAGTTTCGGTGTGAGGGGCTCTTCCTCTCCTTCGAGTACGACGCTTAATCTGTTGTCTCGTAAACCGAGACCCTCTTCTTCCTCCAGGACTGGACCAAGCTGATAGGGTAGTTGGATAGGATGGGCGCTCGAACTTCCAACAGCAGCACCATTCCCTTGGAAATCCGAAGGTGGAGGTGGCCTTGGCATGCCATTCGTCGCTGTGTAGTAGACGACATCTCGTTCAACTTTCCCGCTTTTCCTTTTCTTCTTCTTGCCATCAGCGTCGTCCTTCCCGTCGTCTTCCCTCGCCTTGCCTTTCCCTTTATCTACACTACCTTCCTCATCTTTGGCTTTGGACTTTCCGGTGAGACTCAAGGGCCGTCCAAGTCCCAGAGAGCTTCGTTCCGACTCTCTCTTGCTCGTAGAACTCCCGCTTCTCTTCAGGTCTGTCTTCCCGTTCGGCATCGCACTCCCATTGACGTTTTCCGAGGATCCGGTTACGATGGAGCCCACCAACCACTTGACATCCTTCGCCCAGTCATCCTCGGTATACGAGTAATCCCGCTGCGGTAGCTCAGGCGCGTTGCTGGCACTGTTAGCCCTCCTATGCTGGGGTTGCACAGTAGCACCGCTGAACGTGTGGTAACTCGCAGGTAACCTCGTCGACCTAGTCGCCTTGGATTTGGAAGACTTTCCTTTGTGGCCTCTCCCATCGGAGTTGACGGGCGATGTCATAGCGGTCGAATCGGTCAATCCTTCCTCACTCCCGCGCCCGGAAGCAGTGAAAATGTCAGAGTGATTCTCAAGCGAGGTAGAGCTGAGGGAAAAATTGGAGGGGGCGGTCGAGGTTATACGTGTGGGGTTAGGGTGGGGTTTGGTGATTGGCACGGAGTCTGGATGATGGAGGAGGGGAGGCTGGGGCGTTCGGGAGGATGAGCCGGAGGGTGGCTTTTGGTTGAGCGACGAAGCGCGAGATAAGGACGCAGAGGTGCTAGGAGTGGAAGCGCCCTTGATATTTGTGGCTGCACTTGGGGTGCGTGAGTGTGTACGTGTAGAGCTACCGGTAGAATTAGCTAGCTGTTGTTGTTGTGCTGTAAGCTGGTCCAATTGGGTAGGTGTTGTTGTCGTCGAGGGAACTGAAGGCTTCCGCTGCTGACTCTGGGTCTGAGGGGGTGCAGAAGGGATCGAGGGTCTTCTCTGTCGCTGTAGAGGTGCGTCTGGTCCTGACGCTCTCCTCTGGTGGGATGAAGGGTAAACGCCGGAGCTGGGGATTGGGTTGGAAACCTTTCGATTCACACTGGCTACTCTTTGATGCTGTTGCTGCAACAACGCAGAAGCACTAGCGCTAGAGCCGAGCGGCTGCTGCTTTGGCAGATGTTGATCCACCCGTGGCTGATTCTGAGCGTGATTCTGAGCCTGCGCTGGGGGCTGGGACGGCTGGGACTGCACCACATGGCCGTTTTGAATACCCCCCGGGATAGAAGGGCTATTAGAATTCGTGGGTGTGATTTGGGTGGGGGTCGGGCTACGTAAGCTCTTTCTGCTCGCCTTCCTGGGTTGCAGGCTGGAGCCGACGCTTCCCCTCTTGCTAGGAAAAGCAATTGAACTGCTCGCCATGGATGTACGGGGCGTTTGGTTAGGGGTGAAGAAAATGTCGAACTCGTCATCCCCTGATGAATCGAAACCGTCCAGGTCATCCGAGTCATCGTCGCTGATGATGAGTTGTCGCTGGCGTGAGTTCCGCTGAGACTGGGATGAATGTCGCTTCGGATTTTGCTGGAGCTGTGGGGCCCGTGGTTGGGTTGAACGGCCTCCAGGGCCGCTGCTAGACGTTCTGGCTGTGACCACAGAGGATATGGAGGGCGGCGAGGTCATTTTAGTCGCTCCAAGCCCTGCTCTTGAGCGAGGCGGCAGTGAATCCCGCTGCCTGCCGCTGCTGGATGTCGAAGCGGGGTGCCCATTAGCAGTCGGGGCTTTGGACGTCGTCCCAGACGTCGTCGCCATTGTTGCCTAGACGGTTTGTGAGTTTTAATAAGATTTTGGATATCGTACAAGGTTTACTTACCTTTTTATGAATCCTGAGCGTAAAATCTGAAGACAAGGCTATGGGTCGCCTCGTGTCATCGACAAGGGACGGTGACGGTGGGTCTCCGAGGTGGCTGTGGGTCCGAATCTGCTCCGTTTGAAATGCCTCCGAAGCAGCTATGCGGCGCATCGACCCCGCACTCGAGAAATAATCTTTCCGCTGCCTTTGCGGCAAGTCTGCATATTTCTGAGATGGCTGGTTGAGCAGGCGCTGGATCAGTGTGGGTTTTGACATCGCATCGTCCGTGAAAGTCTGTTCTAGAGATATAATTTCATGTGTTGTCCTAGACACGAGGCAATAGTCCCGCCGGACGAAACAATCCGTCTCTGATGTCATTCATTCTTCGATCTTGTCGCCTTTAGAGTCCGTTCAGCACGTTTTTCGATCTCTACAAACAACCTCAACGGGGTTAAGTCTGGTAGTAAGGACGACGAATTCGGGAGCGTCAAAGGACTGTCTGATACACTGACTGGATGGCGTGAATTAGCAGGTGCCTCGACAAATGATTTACCCCACAAGCTCCGTGGAAACAGGTAAGAAGTTGTCAAAAGAAGTTAGGCGGAACGGGGTCATTCCAGGGTTCCCAAAATCCTGAATTAGACTGCATTTTCGATGGTCTTCGAATCGGCAGACAGTGCAGCAGGACCCAATACTGGCCAAGCATTCATAGCAATCACCATGAAAATACGCCCCTTTAACGACCACGATTCGGGTTTCAGTACTTGCTCAGTCGATGTCGAAGGTAGTTTTAAACCTTCAAATTGCGGTTACGTTGGGAAACCAGGCCAATTCGACGTCCGCACATGGTCCAGCGGATCAAACTCGATCGCTTAAGCGCGGCCCCTATCTCACAATACTACATTCTTTGAAGGTGAAATCCAGAAAGCTTTCTCGATCCTTGAGGCTCGTCGCGCTGGAGATACAAAGTGATGGTACAAGGAAGGACAGAAGGGGAAAATACAAAGCAGGCTACGGCACAAACATAGGAATTTTCATCTCGTCTCTCATCCTCTTTACCTCCCGTGGGCTGAGACCCATGCTAAATGCAATCGTTCGCCTATCCACCGACAACGCAACTTTGTTCAGCGGGCGTGATGCATAGGCTGTGAACCTGTCGAATCCCTTTCTGTCAAAGTCGACAACCTCCCGCGGGGGGAGATAGTGGACCTTATGTCCAACGATGACCTCGTAAAACTCGTAATGGACGCATGCCACGAACAGCTCTTCCAACAGCGGTAAAACGGGCTGGGTTCGGGCTAGGTCTTGAAGGCGTCCGAAGAATTTGCCATCGGCGTTGGCCCACACGACGAGCTTGAAGCTGACGAGACTATGGAGATCGGAAAGGAGGCCCTCGACAGCGTCGTCGTCGATTCTGCTATCGATTAAAGCGAGATGCTCGAGCTCCCATTTGCTCCGCTCCTTGAAGGCGAGGATGCTTATTGCGATAACGTGGTGGCTGCCGCGACTTTGGTCTGCCACGCTTCGGTGGTTCTCGAGGCGGAGTGCTCGAAGCTTGGGGCAGGTAAGTCTGGGAAGAACATACGTGGATATGAAGACCATGCAACCGGTCAAGGTCAAGTCGGTAAGGGAGTTGTGGGTGACGTTCAAAGGCGCAGGGGAGTTGGGACCTAAGAGCGACGGTTCTGTATATTTTCCCCTCGGCACGATGGCAAGGTCCAGCACCTGGATGTCAGGCAGCTGGACGAGAAGTTTGTGCAATAGGTCCAAGACTTCGTCGTGGTGATTCGCGGGAATGGGTATCCGAATTCTAAGTTCTCGGAGGTTGGCTGAGGTGAGTTGGACTGGCCACCTGATGTATGGCCCGTCGTCGTTGACGACGGTGTAGAGATTGTCGCATACAATCTCCAGAGTCTCCGCACTCGGAAAGAGTTTTGGGAGGGTTCGGTGCCCGCGCAGGGCTATAACCCCGTTGACGCCGAGTCTGACCGTCTTCATACCAGCAAAGCGTGACCGTGCCCCATCTGCAGCTGGGAGGGATGCATCAAGGAACTTCCCAATCCATTCAGCACCCAAGAGTGCCGCTTCCCGCAACGAGATGCTGAGACCCTCGAGCAGGCGAGTGTCGTCGGAAAAGAGGAAGGCGTGAAGCAGCTCCATTTGACGGGGCAGCAAGTAGTCGCAGCAAACGAATCTTGCTGTGACTGGTAGCTCTTTGGCGCGCTTGAACCAGTACTTCAGGCACTCTAAAAGGTCACGCATGTCGGTGTCCCGCTCGAGGTTAACGTTGAAGTCGGTCCACAATGTGGCCATTCCGTATACAGTATCGCGGAAGGCTCTGCAGACAAGCATGAAATCAAAGAAATCGATGAACCTGGTGCCGTCATTTGCGAATGTGAATATCTTCTCGAGTAATTCGGGAGGAAAGGGGATGTCGCTTGTTTGGGAAGGTGCCATTTGCCTGTTGTCGATGGCCTGTGTCACATCGGAACGCGAAACGTTCGAACCACGAGCTCCTGCGTTGCGAACCATCGCGCAGGAAAGGGAGGTTTGTACGTTGAAACTGATACTCAAGCATAATATATCTCAGATACTGAAACTTAAGTTATTGTTTTGAAGCTTTGACCGTTGACGCTTTGACGCTCGCGGCCTTTCTCAAACGTCTTCATTTCTTCGCGTGGCAAGTCCATCCTGGCCTTGAGGAATGCATCTCTTTTACTTACAAGCATCGAGCATCATTTGCAGTTCAAGGTTGGCTAGGGTATACAGTTCCATTCTCGCAAAGCCATTAATGTAGTAAATACAGTACATGTCATCCCAGTAGTCCTGGGGGAATTAGATATTCTACACATTTAAGTGACAAATTTCCAGGGGAAGAAAATCGATCGGTTAGATGGTCCTAAGTTGGTCCTAAGGCTTGGGAGGCTAAAAATTGAAAGGGAAGCACAGGTCATCGGATTCGCCCGCATCTGGATTCACGGGTCCAAGGACCCTTCGCACTTCTATCGTATAATCCCAGCGGCGAGTTACGATAGTGAGGCTAACCAACGATAGAAGAGAGTGTACCAATTCCTCAATTTCCTCCTCGCTCAGCATGATGTGAACCAAGACGATATCCTCCAGTTGACACTTGCTCGCCTCGGCCAACTTTATAATAGTGGATGCGATAGATCGCTCCAAATTTCCGTCGCCGTATGAGCACTCTATGATATTTAGACTATTGAATCTCTCAAGTCGAAGCGAGCGCAGGCCTGGTAAGATTACCGTCGAAAGCTGGCAGATCATACCCTTTAACGTGCCCTTCAAGCCCAGCCGCCCGAGTTGCTTGTGAGTCAGAGTTGGTGGAGGTGGAGTGCGAGGGCCTGGACTCAGATAAACATTGAGAGATTGTAATTCTGGAGCCTGTGACAGGATGGAGGGCAAGAGGACTGTCGGTGTGGAACTTGAAATTGAGCCCATCACTGGAAATAAAACATTGAGCTTCTGAAGTCCCGTCAGATCGACCGTCGGCCATTCGTTGGAAACCACCAGTCCCTCCACTGGATCCGTTTGATAGAAATCGAGGGCACGGAGGTCGAGGCGTTTGAGATTCGGAAAGCCCTTCTGAAAGGTGTCTGGCTGGATTCGAAGTGGGCCGGAATGGGAATGAAGGCGGAGCGTGCTGAGAGATTCAAAGGGCTTTGTGCCTGCCATGCCCAAGAAGTCGCTCATCCAATCAGTGTTTGACCCCATAAGCTCGAGAAGTGTGAAGGATACTGCCTCGTATGAGACCGACAAAGCGAGACTCTCCACACGCGGTGGAAGCTCATCCACAAGAAATCCGGTGAGCAAGTCCATCCTGGAGTGAAGCTTGGGGCCATCGTGATGAAGACTCAGTTGAACAGGGAGATTTTTAGACCGCTCGAAAAGAGTTTTGAGTTGGGTACTGAGCTTCCCCAGAGGAGTCTTCTCGCCGTACACCACTGAGAGGTTGGTCCAGAGCGCCGGGGTGGTAAAGAGAACGTCGCGAAACTCTTTGCAAACCAGTGCCAGATCGATGAAGTCTTCAATCTCGTAGCCCGCAGTTGCGAACGTGAAGATGAGCCCGAGAAGCTCTGCGGGTAATGGTAGCGATGCTCTCTTCGTAGGTGTGACGTCGGACATCGGAAAGTAGCACGAGTGGGGGGTAAAAAGCAGGTAACTGGAATCAAGTTTTCGGATGGTGGGCGTTAGAGATGAGGACGTGAGGTTGACGAGTATGGTCTTTATATACCCTTCCTAACTGTGGCCGCCATTGTCAACCCATTGTCCCCCGTTCAAAAAACTCGTTTTCCGCATTCGGCAATTAACGCCAACCGCGGACAATGCGAGTCAAAGCGCGAAAGAAAACTCACTAATAATGAAGCTTGAAGGCCACCCGTGGCCCAACTATATTGCCAAAATTATCTTCGTGGTATCAGTCATCGCGCCTATTGATTGGGTGTGGCATAAATGATGGTGTTCATTTTCTGTACTCCCAGAATCACAGGGTCAGCGGAGACGGGCGCCTACTGGGAACCCAGGTTTTGCAGGCCTGTAGCGTACCATAGGACGGAAATTCACCATCAACACCACACTTATACATGACGCTTTTAAGCCCATCCCATGGAGTTTGTACACCCCCTTCATTCACGAACTTTGACGGATTGGGACTTGGTAGGCCCATCCGATGGAGCTTGTCTAGACCGCCTTCATTCATGAATTTTTGACTGATCGGGATGTGGGGGTACTATGTGTACAATGGGCATAATGCTACAACAACAATGAGGATGACAACACTCTCCAGGAAGGTAACTGGGTACACAAGTAAGTTTAGAACACATTGAAACAATAAACTACGTGCTGTAAAGTAACAGAATGTTGTACGTGTTTCCAAAAAAAAGTCTTCACGACGAGGGGATCAGGATGGGGTATCAGGAAACAGGTTTCTGGAAAAAGGTCGTAATGGCGTTGGGTAGTGGTAGAACTTCGTGTGTTACTATGCGCAAGTCGGATACCTTTACTCAAAGTCAAAGTCTAAAGAAGCCCCTTGTCAGTTCGTCACTCCAGCACAAAAGATGGTGATAAACACATACCTCCACCTCCACAATCGCCGTCGAAGGCGTCGTCAATAGCATCTGCGACGAGCAAACCACCGATCAAGCCCGCACCTCCAGCAGCAACCATACCCGCTTTACCCATCCCTCCCGACTTGTTTGGTTTAACGTAGGTGGTGTGGGCAGGTGCGTGGTACCCATGTTGGGGATTGTAGTACCCGTTACTGGAGTATTTGCCAGCCCCTCCCAGCGATCCGAGCAATCCACCTCCGTTCCCGAGTCCGCCGCCGCTACTTCCGCTCCCAACTCCGAATTTCTTGGTGAATAACGAACTCAAGCCGCTGCCCTTGGATGATTGGACGGGAGCTGGACCTGGGCTTGGCCCGCCGTGCATGGGTGGAGGGGGTGCTCCGCCGTATCCGCCGTAATGATTCGGGCCTTGAGGGGGCTGGGGGCCTGGGTACCCACCTGCACCGTGGGGTGCACCATATCCGCCATATGCGCCTTGTGGGTTGTTGTAGCCGTAGGGGTTGTGGCTGCCTCCGGGTTGAGGACCTGGTGTAGATGGTCCGCCTGGGTATGTCGAGGCTTGAGGGAAACCGGGTGCACCACCTGCTGGACTCGAGACAGGGGGTGGACCAGCAGGGGGGCTATAGGCCGGGGGAGCGGGAGGAGGAGGCCCTAGAGGGTGTTCCCAGGTCACCTGTGGCGGAGTTGCTTTGGTGTTCACGTAGAACCAAGTGTTGTAGCTGCAAAGAAAAGGGTCAGTACGCTGGGTAGATAAGATAAGCCAATAACCTACTTTGGGTCGTACTGGGTAATCCAGCCGTCAGGTAATGCCCTGGTATCAGGGTTGGATTGACTTATGTGAGACATGTCGAGAGGGAAGGAGAAGGATGTGGTCGAAGGAGAAGCCTAAAAAGCGGCCCACCGGGTCTTTATATAGGCTTTTTATCGCGCAGCCATGGCGATGCGGACTCTCAGTCAGCTGCGCTTGTATTTCTCTTGGGAGTACACAGCATTTGGAACCCACTGAGGCTCGCAGCTTTTAGTCCGACTATTCACCACAAAGGTGAACTGTCGCCATTGAGATGTGCAACGATGTGGTTACACTGAACTTTGTTGAGGATGGCCACGCACAGAAGGACGTCCGATCATTGCTCGGGAATTTGAGGAAGGTGGTCCGTTTGGAAAAGTAACCCCTGAGGACCATGGAGTTGTTTTTGACCTAGTAATCGATGGCAGTGCCGGTTCCACGGAAATGAGAGCTTGCTCTGGGCGCCTAATTGTCGTCGAAGCTTCTCAACGGTTCTCGGGCGCCAGTTATGGCCGCAGGGAACTCAGATGAAACTAGCATTTGTGACATAATCGACACCACAATAAGTATTCATGGGGGAAGAGAGTTCAATATATTTAACAAAAGCATGGCTCTTAGAGCGTACCTCGTACACGAAACAATTGTTTCCAATGGTATTCTAACAACAGGTGGATCACCACTACAGGTCAATTAAAACATTAGGCAGTAATCGGAGGGAAGAAAGTATGCAACAAATCAATGCAACAATCAAAGATGGACTCAAAAAGGAGAAGCGAGGGGGAGAGATTGGAGAGTCAGTCACGCAGAAGAGGACGAGTGCATATCCGTGAGTGCAGCAATAAGTGGGTGAGTAAGTACGACTACGCAGCCAAATTATAACCAAAGGCTAGAATAACTAAAGGGAAGAAACCAAACAGTAACGAGCGTTGTCATCATCAATCTTCTTTAACGGACACATCATCATAAAAACGGTTCGGGAAAAAGTGCCAGGTGATATCAACGAGCCCTCTCATGCATGAGAATTGGGATGAAGGGCAGCGAAGGGGCAGTGCATGGCGAACGGACGGTGCAGCAGCGCGGACAGACAAAGCTCAACTGAGCTGGGGTAGCCATGAGGATCATGCCTTGGACTTCTTGGAGGACTTCTTTGAGGATTTGTCGGATTCAGCGCGACGCTTTTTTGGTGCAGGTTCGGATTCAGCTTCGCTGGAGTCGCTTTCTTCGCTCGAGGACTGTTGTTTGCTGGGTTTGGACTCTTCTTCTTCATCGTCGTCTTCACTTTCCTCTTCGTCAGACTCTTCTTCTGGCTCCACCTCACGCGCTGGGGGCGGTGGTGCGGCAGGAGCAGATTCTTTATTTGATTTGCCTCGTGCACCCTTGTTTGCCTTTTTGGACTGGGGGTTTCGTAAGAACGCGTCACGGATTGACATGACGGACCAAGAGAACATACCGCTGCTGCTTCCGCGGCTGCCCTGTTCGCAGCTTCGACTTCCTCTGGAGAACGGTTATCATAGGCGTTCTTCGCCTGGGAGTACTCCTCCTTGGCCTTGAGCATTTGCTGATTGTAGGTCTACAGAGTGTGGGGCTTGTCATGAAGGGAACGGTAGAGTAGCGACGCGTCGAACACGTACCTCCTTCTGTTCATCCGTCATGTTCTTCCACTTCTCCGAAATCAAAGTCAAGAGTTCGGGGTTGGTCAGGTTGGGATTCTGTCTCTTGAGCTCGTTGCGGACTTCGTTCTGGAAGAGGATATAGGAAGACGCGGGGCGTTTGGGTGCGTTGGGATCCTTGGGCTTTGCGGCACGTTTCCGCTTCTTGCCCCCGTCCCCGTCCTCGAGGCCATGATCCTTGTGTTTACCCTTTTCGCCTACAAAACGAACGTAAACGCGTGTCAAACGATGGCAGGCCTTGACAGATGTAACGGGGACGCGAAAGTTGAAAACAACACGCACCGTCGAGACCTCCGAGAATTTTGGCAAAGTCCTCCGCGATTTGGGCAGTATTCCTGAGCTGCTCGGCACATGCGATGAGCCCGGAGGCGAGCTGAAAAAAATAGGGTTTTTAGGGTCAGAAAAACCCTAGAAAATACCGAAATAAAAGACCTTTGCCCGCTGCTGGTCGAATTCGCTGATATCGATTTTAGGCATGGGGGAAGAGGAAGAATGGTTTGTTACAAGTTTGTTACTTGAATCCCATTCAAAAGTTCAATTTTCTTTGAATGTTTCAGTGATCACGGGGACCACTACAAGCGGAGTCAGAGTCTGAGTTTGAAAATGGAGGCCAAGGGACTGTGGTGGACCGGGCAACCGTGAGCACATTTCTGTGTTTTTTTATTCCGCATCCAGGACGACGTCGAGCAGCCTTTTTGCAGGCGAGGCGTGCTGAAACTAAGGGCTTAAGCCTGCCCCTGTGTTTTCCCAGTATTCTACGTGATTTGTGTCAGAAAAAAATCCAAAAAAGTCTGTTCCCAAACGCAGAAAAAGGGCGATGGACAACATGTTTGCGTGGCCAGGCTTGCTTGCTGCAGAACAGCAGCAGCCTTCCTCGACAAACCGCAATGTCCATCAACAACTCGACCACCAGTCGCCCTCGTCGACAGCGATGGTCATCGAAGACTGGACGACGCCCGCGACGACAAAGGATCGCCCTGCCCCACCGTTGACCGCCGCCAGTCAGTCGACAACTACAGTTGCCGGTTCAAACTCACCGACAGCGCCCACCGTCTCCGCAACGACATCCACCATAGAACTCTCCGATTTCCCCACTCTCGATGATTTTGCTGGTGAGTACCGTCCGCCTTATTCATCACCAGCCTGTGCACGGTCCAGCCGCCTGTTTTGGCAGTTTGAAATAGTCGCTGACGACCACCTTGCCAGGAGCGACGAACAACAACTCGATGATTTCTCCCCCGTTTTACCCCGGATACAATTATTATTCGATGCCATACCCGTATTGGGGTGCGCCACAGTCGACAACGGTCCCCGTATCCAATTACTCGACCCTAAACGGCGCGACCAATCCCACTGGCCCAACCACAAGCCAGCCTCAGGGACAGCACCAACCGGCACGGCAAACGACAATAGAAACGGCGGATCTACAATCCCACTCATCCCACTCCCAATCCTCCACACCTCAAACCCAAGGGCAGCCACAGCAGCAACCACAACATCCGGGTGGCTCCCAGTCAATGTCTGTCGAGTCTGTGTCCTTCCGTGGCCACTCGGTGCAACCCACTGACCCTCTTTATAGTTCTTCTCATCATGCCACAATGTCGATGAATGGGTCGTCATCAAACGGAGCCCAATATAATAACCCTCCAACCGTCCCGTCGAATTTTCCCCAACACTCATCATCACATCATACCCCCTACGGCTACGCTCATCTCCAGCCATACGCGACCACTACTCCTTATTACCGACCGCCACAGACATCTGTTCAGCAAGGCACACTCTCCCCCCAGGTCCTCCTGAACACCAGTTCGTTGGCCGGGGGAATCCCACCATCGTCGTTCTACGGACACCCCGTAGCACCCTCCCCCAGTACTTCCACTTCTTCCGGCCCACAAACTCCCCAGCCACAACAGCAAGCCCAGCATCCTCAGGTCTCCGTGATGCAGCAACAACAGGAACAGCAACGGAAAGAGCAAGAAGCGCTGGAACGCAAGGAGAAGTTTCAAACCAATGTCCGATCATTGCTTCAGACTTTCTCTGGTGGCGGATCGGTCAATGCTCTCGTCAAGTTGATCAACGACTACGGTGTCACAGAGGTGGATGCACCTATGCGACTGGAAATTCTGAACAAGATGCGCGATAACGCTGGTAACCACTATTTTCGGGCTTGGTCCGAAAAGCCAGCTGCAGTAGAGATCACAAGAGAATGGTTGAAGGCTGCAGCCAAAGGCGAGAAACCCAATCTTGAAGAGACAATCATGCCTCTGTTACACGTAAGTTTGTTTTTGACTAACTTGTCACGGTTGATGAATTGGGGTATATAGGTTATCGATCGGCTTCCGTTCACGTTAGAAACTCTTACTGCGTCGAAGATAGGCAAGGTTGTTCGTTATATTAACAAAGAGACAGCCTTTTCACCAGGTGAGTTTGACGCTCCATTTTTCACACTCTTTGCTGTCCAGACAAATTGGCGGGAACGGGTAAAATTAGTATGGATCTTGTCGACTACGGCTATGGTTCACACTAACTCGCTTGAGATTGAGAAATGTGGATTGTCTGGCCCATTTCGAACTGAGTTGGTCCGGGAATTTTCCCTACAGCCCCTATTCTTTTCCATTACGTTAAAATTGCTTCACCCATCTGATGGGAAGCGAACGAAGACGCAATGGAAAACTTACCCTTCTTTCTCTGGACAATCGAGCGTAATAGTAAACCATGTATCTAACTTTTTTGTTCTCTCCCCCTCTTTCCTATGCTTTCCAAATCCATCCGCGCCCGAATCCATGAAAATCCGAAACGAAACGAAACAACGAACCCGCAGCCATCAAGGATATGGCCTCCAACCTGGAAAGCAGATGGCGGCAAATGTTGACCAAGGCAGGCCCGGACTCCAAGGCGCCGCCTGACAGTGCGGAAGGTGCGTAATGTTACTCGTTCCTATGTAAATGTCTATACTTATCGTAACATTTCAATTAGATCCGAAATCCAAGAAGCGGAAACTCAATGACATCGCCGCCTCCAAGGGGACTGCAGCACCATCTGGTGCTTCCGCTGGCGCACCTCCGGCGAAGAAGCCTGCAGTCGGAACTGCAACGTCCTCAAAACCCGTAGTGAAAAAGGAGGGAACGACATCCGTCAAGCCTCCATCTACAACCAATGGTCCTAAAGACGCGAAAACCGACACCTCTTTCTTCTCCGCCCCTAAAGCTAAACCGAAAACGAAACTTCCTTCATTCAAAAAGGCGCCTCTTCCCGCAGGAGCGACTGTGAAGAAGGAAGAGCCCAATCCCAATGTGGCGCAACCATCGGCGGTTGATCCTTTCCAGGAATTACTCAAGTCGATGAAGCCGAGGAAGGATTCTCCAGCCATTGGAACGCCGCCGGCAGTAGCAGCGACGCCTCCTGGTCAGGGTCAGGTGGGACAGCCTGGAATTGGTAAGAACGGAAAGCCGAAGAAGGTGGTGAAGTGGGCACCGGATGAGCAACTGGAGGCCATTCGCTGGATTGAGCGTGCGGTGTATGATGACGATCCCCTTCATGTGAGTGTAACGTGGTATGTGGCGGTAGAGGTGGATGGAAGGCTAATGGTGTTTCCATAGGGAACACGGACGGCGCATAACTTCCGTGATTTGGATAGGGGAGAAGGTGCAGCGTTGCATACAGCAGTCTTTGAAGAATTGGTGGATTGGTCTGAGCCTCAACGTACGTTGATCAGAAATGATGGAAGGATTGGTATTCATGGTCCTATAGCTCTTGAACTTGAACCCGACGTCGACCATCCTCGTGGTCTGCAAAGCGAAGAAGCTGCGATTCAAGAGAAGCGAGAGCAAACGGCGCTCAGCGCCCTTTACATGTCAGCCGCCCTGATCCCAGAAACACCTGGAGAACCTGCTTCGGTGCTATCTGAAGAAGAGGTTGACGCCAATGTTACGCATATGACGGCTGGCCCGGTGAACGATTCTGAATTTTGGGTTCAAGAAGTTGGATACATGCAACATCAGGCAACAGTGCCCTCAGCAACATCGGTTACGCCAACGCCAGGAGCGACAGCCAATAATCCCAATGTGGCTCTGCTCATCCAACAGCTAGCGATGGGAGGGAATGCGTTAGGTGGTGTATTATCCAATGATATGCAACAACAATCACGACATTCTGCAGAACAACAAACTGCCACGATTAATTCAGCGGTTGCAGCGATGCCATCCGACCAACTTGCACACCTGTTGAGTCAACTGCAAGGGAATGCCGGGATGACAACCCAATATGGGCAAGCACCATATGGGGATGATCAGAATCCGGCGTGGTCGGCGACACCGAACCACTTCCCACCGCCGGCCGAATACGGACAAGGCTATCACGACGACTCGGAGCAAGGCCGACATCAATGGCGGGGTGGGCGAGGGAGGGGACGAGGGCGTGGAGGTCGAGGAGGATTCGGCAGCGAGGACTTTAGAATGAATAAAAGAAAACCTTGCAGTTTCTTTGCACAAGGAAGGCGAGCATCAAATGTTCCATTAAACTTCAAAATGAGACGGAGACTGATAATTGCCTCCGGAATTAACAGATGCAAATTCGGCGATCAATGTGACTTTGCCCATGAGATAGGCTACAGTTAACGGGATTGAGTGCTCGACCTCACGACGACGACGACAACGACGACAACGACAACGACTCCTGCCAAGCTCCACCGTCAAATTCTCGACTCTCGCTACTCTACCACCCTATTTGCTGGACAATAGATCGCTATTCAGATGATATATGTATACCGAGGTTAATTTAGGGGCCTTTGTCAGGTAGGGCGCCCGAACGTTCGTAGTAGTAAACTTCTTTCCATCCTTCGACCTTCCACATCGTTTTCGATTCTCATTCTCATACATTCTCTTCTTCACTCATCCATGTACAAACATCAACACAATGCTCATATAGCCGGGTTTAGTCATGCAATCACGAGTTGCTTGCGTCTGAGAAAAGGAAGGCAGGAGCTTCCCGATGGTGCGGTGTGGTTCCCAGGCTGGAGTAGATGCGTCACTTTGGCGATAAGCAAGTTCCGACGTGGTCACTTGTTGACATTCATCCCGTCTGGCGGTGGGTCTCGTGTGTTGATTACGAAAGAACCATATGAGGAAAAATAAGCGCCCGTGACGAAACTCATGGTCATTCGATTAACCTTGTTTTGAGCTCACCTTCTTTTCAGATTAACAAAGCGTGTTCACTATCTAGATCTGTGAGGCTATGATTGCACGCCACAGCTTTAAGGACGAGGTCGCCCGCCCATTGTCAAGGGCTGGTTAACCTGACAAATATGGATATTGGATTTTCACGGACACTTCTCCTTCGAACGATGAACAATGGATACCTTCCCCTACAAAGGACGCATGCGACGGTGACAGTGGGAAACTAAAGCGAAGGGTATATATATAAGGGCCTCGCGCTCCACTTTGGTGGACTCTTCCCTCAAACGCCCATCTCCGCCCCCAGTGATTTATTCCCGCATCAACTTCAGCACCTACAGTTTTCATGACTCCCTCGCGCTTTGCAGGGGCAACAAGGATGAACATTCTCTCCTTCCCGGCGGAGATATTCGGGCTTGTCTTCGCATTCGCCACCGCGGGATGCGAGATCGAGGACTTGGTCAACTTGGCTCTCGTTTGCACCCAGTTTCGTGACATAATTTTTGTCACACCTGAGCTATGGACAGACTTGATCGTCACGTACACCGATAAGACCGACTTGTCAAAGCTCATTGACCAGCTCAAGACGTCGCTCATGCGCTCTGGCGATCTGCCAGTCCAACTGACTCTGCGCTGCCAAAGCGTCGATCTGCCCCCAAAGGTGGAGCTGCTCACAGATTTTCTACTTTCCGGACTGGTCAGACGTGTGGAAGGTCTTAATCTCTCCGCTCCCCTTTGCAATCCAGCAGACGCCCTTCTGGACGTGATGGTGATGGGTACGGACTGGCTGAGCGAGATCCTCGGGAATGCAGCAAACGATACGAAGCCGTTCCAAAACGTGAAGTTTCTCTCTCTCTCTTTCCCTGGCAAGCCTATTCGACTTCGCTCGAAAACCTTTGACAAAGGATTTCCCAATCTCAAAGTTCTGGATCTGGACTGTTCTCCGTTCTACCGGTGGGACACAAGTGGTACCTTTTCGATGTCCAGCGATTGGCCTTGCCTCCAACTCCGGGGCCTCCAGAAGCTGACAGTCAAGGCATGCATCTCTGCCGTGCGCTCCGCTCGGACCAGCCCTTTGCACACCATTCTTTTACAAGGTCCCGATCTTCAGTCCCTCGACCTTTCTGTTGGTCCACTCTACGTGCGCCTGGGCACCCTTGCAACCACTCCACTGATCCACGAAACCCTCTCTGAGCTAACCCTGAAGGGTAGGTTTGAGGCCCTGGCACGTCAACTCCTCACTGTGGTCCTTCCGAACTTGCGCTCTCTCAGGCTCGAGGGCAAGGGAAGTTCTGACACTTGCAATACTGTTATACATCCAGATGCATGCATCGTGACTAATGTCAGGATCCTCATCCGGGAGAGTGGGTGTGAGCTCGAGGATCTGGTGTTCGTGAACACTATTCTAACCGACGACCAGCTTTCGGATTTGCGCTCTTGTCTGGGGTTGGCCAGGGTCACCGTCGTCTAACCTGGACAGGCCAGAGAAGCATGGTCATTCGACTCTTTGTTTACCTTTCCCTTTTGTACTTTATAAACCGCCAAATATGTATAGCCCATATACACATCTCTACCTCTTTCGTATATGGTTGTCAGCATGTCATTTTACGCACTTGTTATACAATACCGTTGGTATCGATGTACTCACCTCGTCCAAATTGAATGAACGATGGGTTTTGATGAATGGCCATATGTGCTCGAGGATGGCTTGAACGTTGAACTGTGTAATATCGTCGTTCCACTGGCAGCCCGGCTCTTGAAGCTTGAGGTCTAGTCGAGGACTGTCAGGTGCCTGAGAGGCTCGCGCTTGTAATTTCCGCGAATACAACACCGTCGAGCTATTTTGACGGTCCAAACTGTGAAAGCCACTCGTCGCTAGACTATAGAGTCGAACTTCTTGGAAGTCAATCAGACGCGGCTGCCTGAGGCACGAGCAGTGCATTGACCGATATAAATGGGCACCTGGAACACAAGTACTGGCATCCCCATCTCCAGCTCCGCCGTGCAGCCTCCAAATCCTCCACACCCAGCCCCAGTAAATTACAGCCAATCACCGGGACTAGACCGTCACTATGTCTCTTGCAACTCGTCCACAAGCAGCGGTTAGGCGCTTAAACTTGATGTCCCTCCCCAATGAACTCCTCAGCATCATCCTTACATTCGCCACTTCCGAATACAGTGTCCAGGAGATCTTTACTTTGGCGACGGTCTGCTCTCTCTTCAGAGACGTGCTCTTGAAAACACCTAGTGTATGGGCTGACCTGAAAGTTACTTTCTACCGGGGCACGGACATGGCGAACCTGGTGCAACTCATCAAGAAATGGTCCAAACGATCCTGCGCGTTGCCAACGACGGCCTTGACACTGTCCCACGACACTGGTTTCTCTCTGTTTGCCCCTTTGCCTGATGGAATGTCCTCGCTCGCCGACTTTATTCTCTCTGGTGCTGATCCTCGTACGAAGCATATCACGCTCTCCTTCCATGGACTATCCCTTGAATCGGTCACTTGGATGAAGGAACTCTTCACTAAGGCGCTTGGAAACAAGGACCTCAAGCCATTCGAAAATATCCGGTCTCTTAAACTCCGTGCCCCTTGTTTTGCAATGCCCGACGACGTGACTACCTTCTCGCAACTTTTCCCCAACCTCGATTACCTGCACGTGTCGTTCCTTCGAATTCGGAATGGGCCCATCAGTCCGAGCGCTGACTGGTTCAAGCACTTTGCCCTGCCAACGGTTCGCCGTATGACGGTTTATATCCACATATACCAGGATATCTGTAGGAGACACCTTCTCCCACTCATTCTCTCGCAGAACCCGGAGCTCGAGATCCTCTACCTAGACATTTCGACTTGGTACCCACACCTCCTGACGATATTTAGGCCCGTCACTCAGAAACGTATCCATACGTTGCACCTGAGTGGTCATATGGACGCCGTGGCACGTCAACTCGCGCTGGTAACCTGCCCAAGGTTGACGAGCTTGACTATCCTTGACGCCCCATTCATGAACCCGCTACACAATGGAGGGAACCTCGGCGTAGTCCCAAACATCCTCAAAATGGTCAACCAAAGCGGATGCAAATTACGAGTGTTGGATCTGTCCAAGTCCTTACTGAGCGACCGGCAGCTCTTCGACCTCCTTAGAGCGCTGCCATCTTTGCGTCGGGTTTCGATCTCGGTACGGGGTAACTGCGACGGCAGTGTATTCGATATGCTTCACGAGCGGAGCAAGACTGAGCGGGTGCTGCCTGCTCTAAAGTATATAGTCGTGACTGTTGAAGCTTCCTATCAACGTTTGGTGGTGAAGAAGTCTGGTCCCCGTGTTGCACATGGAAGGAGAAAGACAGGGAAGGATGTCTTGATGACCCGCATCTTCCACGATGCTCCGTTTTGGCGATTTGTACAAGATCCAAGGAGACAGGGGAGTGCTCGTAGAACGGGTTTTGCTGTCCTGAAGTCTGCAACGTTCAAGGTTGAGCGGAAGCTTGCTCAAGCTGCCGGCAAAACCTGACTGCAGTAGTTGGCCTTTTCAAGTTACATTTTCCCTTCAGTGATGTTTACAGTTATAACAGTAATTCAGTCTCTTTATCATAATAAAACCAATTGAATAAAATTTGGAAACGTACAAGAAGTTGTGAATGAACGAATTTTGGTCGCCCACCCAGCCGATTATCCGAAGCCTGGGATCAGCGTCATTCGACGACCTTGCACCGAATGGGCCTACCAATCCGGGCGTACATACAAGTTACTAATCTGTGGTTTCCGACCGCTATAGCCGTGTCTTATCCGGGAGAGGCGAAGCATATAGTGATGTACATCCGAGATTATATTAAACAGGAACAAAAAGCTAGAACACAAAAAAAAAGACACAAAGAGGAAAACAAATACACCTTGCTACGCCACCCACCCACTATGACGACTCGGTCTTCTTCTTCTTCTTTTTCGGTGACTCCGAACCAGCCTCAGCAGCGGCAGCCTTTTCAGCCTTTTTGGCCTTCTTCCTCGCCTTTCTCTCCTCTTCAGTCTCCGCCTTGACAGGCTCGTCGACATCCATCCTGTCACTTTCTCGCCTCTTCCTCTTCTTTTCCTTCTTCTCCTTCTTTGACGATTTGTCTTCATCCTCACTCTCGCTCTCCTTGGCCTTCTCCTTCTCAGCCTTCTTCTTTGCCTTCTTTGCCTCCTTCTCCTTCTTCTTCTGCTCCTTCACGTCCAAAACGGCCTTCACAGCGTTCTCGACAGCAGCGGTCTCACGTTGCGTGGGCACGAGGTCCTCAGCATCACCCATAACCACATCCGCACTGGTGTTGTAAGTCTTGGTCTGACCCTTCATCTCGAATTTCTGCTGTCGCTTGGCACCACCGTCAGCGAATCGTCGTACAGTACCAAACTCGGCTTCGTGCTCCAAGTCGCGGAGTCGCTTCTCGAGCTTGGTGCGATTTTCGACACCAATGGCAGAAGCGGCATCCTCGGACTTGCCGTCTGCGTCGGTGAGAGCATCCACACGGATCGACAGTGCAGCCTTGGTGGCAACCATACGGGCCATCTGTCGAGCGGAACGATTAGTGGTGCCCGTTTACAAGTTCAGGGAATTGGCTTACCTTGCCCTTCAACTTCGGTGGCGCCTGGCCAATCAATGAAGCATGGTAAATCAATCCGTACTTGGGCGTGTCGTGTTTCGTCTTGAGCGCTCGGAACAGAGCCTTCTCAGCTCCCAAGATCTGTACCGTACTTGCGGGGTACTTGGCCAAGCTCAACAAGCTACCAGCATGGCTGATAAGACGAGCTCCAACCAACTCGCCTACCAGGGCGGTCAAGTTGGGTGCGATGGCGTTCATGCGGTTGCGGAGGTATTCGGCGAGTTGGGCACGGTATTGGGATATTGAGATGACTTGGTCGCAGAGCTGGTGGATGTGGGCAATGTCAGAGTCGGAGATTTCGGTACCCATGGAAATTTCGGCAGCGGCCTTGAGGGTTAGTTCGAGGTCTTCGGGAAGGATGTGTTCGAAGGAGGTGCTGGAGGCGTTTGTTCGGAAGCCTGATAGGATTGATATATGAGCACAATGCCAGGGATGGTCAGCTACGCGTCAACTTACCCATATGTCGGATGACTTTGGCGTAGGCAACGTTGTCGGAGATGATCTTGGCCATCTCAGGGAAATGCCAGCCGTACCATTCCTGAACACGGCGACAAGCTCAGCAAAGTGAAAAGAGACAAGAATGGAAAAAGGCTAACCTTGACACGCATGGCATAGATGTTGATTTCCTTGTCGAGGTCATCGAGCAAAGCAATGGCCTGTACGACCATAGTGTCCACCTTGTCAGGTGAGAATTTGAGTTTGAATCTAGCCGACGAGATTAGATTCATTCTGGCAACACAAAGATATCGAAACGACGTACCGAGCTAATGAGTGGCTGAGACCCAAGCTCATGGTAGCAAGATCTTTGGGGTCAAGGCCCTCCAAAAGGGCGGCGAGTTGTTCACGGATACCTCTCCAGAGGTCAGCGTTCACAGTCTCCTCAGCAATTTTAATCGAGAGCTTCTTTGCTATTGAGCGACCTGTTTGTTAAAAAGGTTAAAACCCGAGCAATGTTTAGAAGACAGAAAAAAAAAAAACACGAACCGAGCTTGGGGTCAACGACAACCATCGACTCTTTTCCTTTGCCCTTCTCCAAGACTTCCTCGGTGAGGAACTTTTTGAGGCCCTTGCCGAGCTTGCCCTCCTGCATGGCAGTGATATCTTCAACAGCAGTTGCCGTTGACGTGAAGCGGTGGATGGCTTTGAGCTTCAAACTGAGCGGTCGCGATTACATTTCGAGAAGATGAGAAAAGGGCTAGAGCAAAAACAGACGGCGACGTACAGCTTGCTCGCCTTTTCAGGACTCTCGAACTCCCTCCACAGGTCCCCACTCTCCAACTTGGCTTCATTTGAGACTTTGAACAGGCAGTAGCCCAAGGCGGTTTCGTAGAGAACGAGCATGGCGGACGTATGCTGTGGTCGCGGGGATGAAAAAACGTTGTCTGATGAAGTGTATCTAGGGTCTTGATGATTCAAATGCTATACAATCGTCTGTAGTCTTCGTCGTCGTCCTGTGTGTCGCGAATAACTGGAATTCAGACCAAAATCCAGCGTCAGCTTCACCGATTCTCAAACTTGTCAGAAAAAAGCCGTTGAAACTCACATTGAGACACCCAGAAGATTGTACCAAGTGATTGGTAGAAAAGAAAAGAAATATAAGGGATCTAGAGGCCGAAACCTTGCAGATTCAACTGCGTTTTTTGTGGAGGACGATATCGCTTCCAACAACAGTATAATCACAAATTTCTCTCATGCTTTCCCACGCACACTCAGCGTGGAAAACCTCGGTGATGCCCACCGTGGGCGCTTGTCTGCCGCCAGGCCGAGACTACACGCCTGCCAAGCCATTCAAAGAAACCTCCAAAGTCATTAACGCAATTAGTAGGTCAATACTCTCTACATAGTGTAAGATCTCTAGGTTGAGTGTGCTTTTAGAGGGGTTGGAAGTCCAGTTTGCCCTGGCAAGCCCCTTCGATATCTTTAATCTGTCACATTCGTCAGCCTTGAGAAGAGTGGGATAAAGGTGCGCAAGTACTGACCTCCTTTGGTGCATTCGAAGACAGAACGACGGGATGCCTCTTGCCGACCAAAACCTCGTCCTGTAGAATCGAGTTAGGCAACAGATGACGGGCTTTGTGGCTTGCGCCTACCTCGATGCGGATCCCAATATTATGGTAATGCTTAGGGAAGTTAGCAGTCGGCGGCACATAGATGCCTGAGGAGAGAGATTAGACGGGGTAGACAGTTTCAATCCGAATACCATACCTGGCTCAATCGTAATCACATTCCCCTCCTTTAACCTGAGTATAGATCATTAGTTATCCCTCCATAGAACTTGAAAGGCGCATACGGAGCATTGCGGTCAAAGTATGTCGATTCATGAAGGTCTACTGGCGTTGAGCAAACATTCACCGAAGGGTGGTACGACTGACGTACCAATTCCAATGGGATGGCTGAGATAATGGGGGTACAGGACACGCTCCAGGTCTGAAGCACTCGTGCCGTGAAGTTGGAACCCAATCTGGTTGAGCTCTTCTTTAAGCATCTGCGCAGAGAGTCTGTGGAGCTCTTGCATGCTGACGTTCGCTTCCTCGAAGCAGTAGCTGACGAGTTTCCTCTGAACGTTCAGGACAGCAGTGTAGATGTCCTTTTGCGGCTCGGTAAAGGATCCAGAGGCGGGGAAGGTGCGAGTGATATCGGAGGCGTATCCGCTGTAACAAAAGTCAGAATCTCCAGAGGCGGATGTGACCACGGAAAACTTACTTGTATTCGCATCCGGCGTCGATTAGGACAAGCTCGTTCTCTCCGATAATTTGGTTGTTTGAAGTGTAGTGGATGATTAACGCATTCGGACCAGACGCAACAACCGGCACATAAGCAGGCCTTTGCGAACCGTTCAAAGCGCACATGTACTCAAAGTGAGCTGCCAGGTGGCTTTCGCACTTGCCGGGCTCCGCAAATCGCATCGTTTTGGCATGGGCTCGCGCGCTGATTGTTGCAGCTTCGTGCATAATCTTCCGCTCCGCGTCGCTTTTGATATGTCGGAGTTTTGCGACCTCTGGGGCCAGAGGGAGTCGCTTTGAAACTGGGATGTCATTGAGGGACGTCGTGCCGCGTAAAGAGGCTGTAAGAGTTTTGAGGATAGAATTCGTGGTGGAGCGGCGAGTGGAATTTGGCACGTCGACGTAGACATTGGAGTAGGAACCGAGAATGGAACGTAGTCTGGACGAAAAGCTGGATATCGGCGCTGCATCATGGGCACCAAAAATCTTCTCCAGGTCTTGGAATGAAGTTCTACATGATATTTAGATCATATAAACGCAAATTGAAATGGGACATACCTCGCTCCGTCCCATTTCTCTTTGGCAAGGTCTTTTCCTGCCGAGAACAGGGTCATTCTATAGCCCTTGGACGTCGAGGTCTTCTCTAAGGAGAGATCAGAGGCATTCCATTATACAAGTTCAGAATTAAACGCACCCATGATCAAAGCTGAATCAGGTTCCTCGAACCCGGTGAGGTACCAAAAATCCGAGGCCTGTCGATACTTGTAGCTGCATTTTGAGTTAAGAATGGCTCTGTTCGATTCGAGATTGTGCGTACAAGATATCTGCGGGCGTTCGGGTCAGAGATAAACATATTTGGATACTTCAAGAACTGACTGTTGCTCATGTATTTCACCGGTGTTGCCACGGATATAACAACGCTGGCCTCTGGCAGCATGTCCATCAGTTTCTTCCTCCGTGCATCGTATTCAGCAGCTGATATTCCTGGAGTCACATCTTTCTCAGAGACTGTATTGTGACCATGTCAGCTAAACGCCAGTTCCTTGAAAGAAGAGCACGGACTCAAATGAGGATGCGAAGCGACGAACGGCTGGCCGTGTTGAGCTGGTTTCGCGACTGTGGCCAAACTTCTGCGGCTCTGGGCTCGGAGTTGCCTTAACAAGGCATTGTTGGTTGCTTGCATTCACGACGACGAGCTCGGCGATGGCTACGCTGTTGGAGACGGCGGCGGCGACGACAAGGATGGTGACCGTGACGAGCCAGGCGCGGTCGCTGCCGGCGCCAAATTCGAAATTCCCGTCATAACCTTAACCCCAGAATAGGGTTACATCGCTCGCTATCACATGGACCGCATGGTAAGTAACGCCCTTTTGGTTTGGACTTGTACAAATCCGAATCCAATCTTTGGGGAATGCAGTTTCTTTCTTCTTCTTAACTCTCATGCATGGCTCGAAATTGGGACAAGTATAGCAGACAGGGGCTCGACATCGCGCTCGCTGCCTCCTCGATTGGGTTTCAAGCTGCAAAGTTGGGCACACGAGTAGGGGTACGCAGCTCTTGTACAAAACCAAGTCGACGACGACGGCTGACGGCTTTATCTAGTTCTCATTAGCTCGAGGGATATGCACGACGGCAGCCAGCGTTAGCACAGTCGCCGTTGACTTTGCCCTCTTTGGTGGAAACGGCGTAACGAAACCAGTGGTCACAGGAGCCGTTTCGACTGCCTTCACACTTGCAGAACGGATTACATTGGCGCCAATTCACTTGGGTGAATACATCACCAATACATCCCTACTGGCAGCCCACAGCTCGATCAATGTCCTCTCTGTATTCTTCCCTGGAAGCAGTGAAGCCTCTTTTTCATTGGCATCCTTCATTGACCTCGTACGACGGGAATGGAAGGATCCCCCAGGGCACGACAACCTCCCTCAGAAGCAGTACGGCCTAACTCAGGTGGCTCGGGCTATTGTGGGGTGGGTCGCGTTACAGGGAGTCACTCAGGAGTGGCAGGAGAAACGGTGGTTCAAGTACCTCAAGGAGCACGATGTCAAGGACGCCTCCAAGCATCACCATGAACATCGAACCATTAAGTAAGTCTAGATTCGGTATATTCAGATGCAGTGCTGACGCAAACCTCAGACACTCTCGCGTTCGAGTCACTTCCGATGTCATATTCCCTGGAAAGGGCGGTTCGCAAATTATCACTGCCAACATCGGAGAGGAACCGACACAGGCGGAGAAGCTGAGGCTCAGACGAAGCCGGTCCAAGCTTTCCATGCGGCAGCCATCTTTTGCAAGTCTCATCGACCGGGACGTCCCAGAAGACACAGTGCCACTAGCGGAGCTAAAGGCCACTCTTCGACGACTTTCCAAAATGGTCTTGGCCGGTTATGGAGGCGCGAGCTTGCTCTTCTTTGGAGTTTCTCCCCACTCCGAGTCAGTACCCAAGGCTACTCAGGAGACGAAAGGCTGGGAGGAGGCAAAGCTCGCTACTGCTATCGACGCCTCAGAAGCAGAGGCTGCTGGTCAGCCTACAGACGCATGTCACTCGGGCACTACTCCTGACATTTTCCAGCAATATTCCTGGTGGGACATCTTGCTGGGTAAACATGATCAAGAGATCTTTGAAAGCTCTTTGGGTCACCATGACGAACAGTCGACAAGGCAACGTCTGAACAACATCAAGGAGCAGCTGAAGTCGAGAGCGGTAGGTACCACCATGCTGCTTGGATTAGTTTGCTCTAATATTCTCTGCAGGTTATTGGAAATGAGCACCTTATGCCCCGCTTCTGGGTCCTCACAGACTACAGCCGGGAACAAGTTGTCCTTGTCATTAGAGGAACGATGTCAATAAACGAGATCGCCGCTGACCTGACCTGTGAGCCAGAATGGTTCCAACCCGCTGAAACGCCCCCTCCAACCGAGGACGAGATACACCATATGCCGGGCAAGTTCGCTTTCCCAACTATGACTTCAAGCGGTTCAACCAAACGACGAGGAAGGGCTGCATCCGTAGACTCTACGCCGAGATACCACGTCCATGGTGGGATGCTTCGGATGGCTCAGGCTATGGGTGGAATAGGCAAACCAGTACAGTTGGCTGTGATGGAGGCGCTTCACGCCAACCCTGACTTCGGTGAGTCCTTAGGGCTTGGTGAACATATCCCTGGGTTTATATACATGTGCAGAGCTCGTTCTGTGTGGTCACAGTCTCGGCGCTGGAGTTGCTGCGCTATTGGGAATGGTACGCCGTCTGTCTCCCTCTCTTGTCAATGGCACTCATCCCCCTGTGATAGATCTGGGCAGACCCTAGAACATGCTTAACGGTACCATCGAGCGGACTCCCCGTAGGACGGCGCGTACAAGTATACTGCTTCGCCCCTCCGTAGGTTATCCCGCTTGACCTCGAGTTTTCGCGCACGCTGACCACCGATGGACAGAGCATTGACGGATGCCGCACTCTCTCGACTCGCCAGCAAACTTATCGTCTCTTTTGTTTACTCTCATGACGTCGTTTCGCGTCTATCCCTTGGTTCCATCCGTGACATCCGCAATGCTGCCATGTGGTTGTGCGAAGCTAACGACTCGCCGCACGAGAAGGATAAACGGGAAGGATATTCCGCTGTTACCGCCAAAGCGAGGGAGTGGCAAGCAGGCAAGAGATCTCCCGGTGAGATGGAATGGGTGAGTAGAATAGCTGATATTCAGCCAATGCTCGATGTCTGATGGAACTCCTCTAGTTTATCGCAACCCGCAAAACACTCGAAGCATGTATGCAGAATTGCGACATGTACCCGCCGGGAAGAGTGCTCTGGGCGGTCCGTGACAAAGACCTTCATTTATCACACCAACGCTGGCCAGATAGTTCGAAAGACAAGCTCAGATTGTTCGACGTTCTAGACGTGGAACGAGTGTTCTCGCAACTCGTTTTTGCGAAGAACATGTTGACGTGAGTGTACAAATGGCAACCTCTTTCGCTGCATAGTTTCGAACTGACTATCTTTCAGTGCTCACATGCCGCACCAATACGATAAAGCCCTACATGAACTACTTTAATATTTAATTCCGCTTTATATAGTAATCTCAACTGTATCATAATTCTACTGCATTCAACCCTGTTAATTCTCGAATGACTGACATTTCTAGGATCAGCTGGGCTCTTTCTTGTGAAGACATACTTGTTCTCATGAGTGACAGAGTCATTGACGGTCAGTGCTCGAGCCTCGCTATTTGTCGGATCGTGAGGCAGGTAGATGTGTGTGCCGACGACAGGCTGCCGGGCGAGGCTCCCACAGATGTATGTACTGTTCAAGGAACCATTCACTTGATTGAGGGACTCGCAGTGGCGCCTTCTGTGAAAGTTGTCGATGGGACTTTAAACGCAGGAACAAAATGGGAGTTCTCTACCATGGTTCCTACGGCTCTTAACCCCACTCAGCGAATGGATGTCTTCGCGGGAATGCAGTTATTGAACAGCATCCAGTGATCATGATCAATTCCCTGTCTCCAGGGCGAAGATTCAAACGGATCCATCTCCAGGTTCTTCAGGCTTGGTTCTTCTCTACATGTCTGTATATTTGCCATTGGAACAGGGCAACATTCGCGGTGCGGCTCCGATTAGCTTTGCAACAAGCTTAAATTGGCGCGTCGCGCCTGCGCCTTCAAGACAGCCCTCGACGTGGTCTTTGCAATTGCAGATTCTGAAGAGGATCCTTTCGCAAATGGGTCGGCTCTAACGACACAATAACATGGTCCAGATCGCTAAGATAGACAAATCTCTCCTGATATCGGTGTACACTTAACGTTATGTATTATTGCCTCCTTTTTGCTCACCGCACTTCACGGTTTGGCCTGTGTTTTCCCATGCGTTCTGAGCCCTGCACCAGATCCCTTCACCTCATCTCAAATCTTTAACGTTACACCTTAGATTAAAGGCGTCGATGTCATGGGCCATGGTAGATAGGCTGCTTGCATTAGGTACTAGTCATTTAGTTTATGGCCTCGGCGCGGCGGTTCTTCCTGGAGTTTGGCGTTTAGCTTTTGTCGCGACGGCTTTGTCGGTTTCTCACTGTTATCTTACAGGCACCCACTACTCGGAACTTGGAAACTATGCGGATTCTCGAGGCACAGAAGACGTTAGTGTACTCTGGGTTAATGAACCATATGTGCAGTTTTCGCGGGGACCGCCGATGATTGTAGAGAAGGTTGGGGCGAGTGAGTAGCTAAAGGGGATCGAGAAGAGGAGGAAACGGGGGATGGCGTTGAATGATGATGCGGGGGAAGTGAAGGAAGTGAGAAATGTTGTTATTTGTGGAAGATTTTCCGATGTATTTCTCCATGGAATAAGATACCGATCTGGAGTCGGGATTTCGATTACTGGAGTGTAGGATTCGACAGTCTGAAAATGAGGTTGAGAAGGGGAATTGCGGTACCAACTCAGATGTAGGTGTGCACTGGATCTCTGTCCCACTCCTAGTCAAGGCTGGTCCCTCGAGCCGAATATCAGACAAACGTTGGTACTTTTACGAGTTGTCGAGATCGTCATTCCCGGAAAGAGCCCGCCCATCGCGTCTGGAGAAAATCAGCGACACGCGTATGGTTGTTTTCTTAGAGACGTAGATCCAGAAGAACTGCGGGAATGTCGTTTAATGTCGTTCAAAGGCAAGTAGCCTCTGGGTTTCGCGAACTGTTGGGCGCTCCTTCGAGCTTCGAGTCCACCGGTTACTATTACCTTCCACCTGTTGGGAACGTCGACTCGCAATGCTAAGCTTCCTTATGCACATGTCATGATTTTCGCTTGCAGAAGGTGGAGTGTCTACCTAGGTCCCTTTTATCAGAAGCGAGAAATCAATAGGTGTGCTAATAGTACGAGTTCCATGCGAAGTTTGTTAACGGTCACTTTTCCTTGATTAGGCGATACTCCCCAGGCACCAGCCAGTGCAGTGGTTCTAGTTTGCCTGGATACCGGAAGGCAGATGCTTGTCTCAGTGGACAACTGATGGAAGACGAGAAAGTATGCATTGGAACTGTATAGTTCCCACTGACTTTCATGCATCATGTTTGGCGGGCCGAAATTCTTATGGGTTTGTTTGATTTGAAGTTTGACCACAATGAGCCTCCCGAACCCTCGCTTGAACGAGTTCAAATTCGAGTAATTTAAAGCGCAAACTCTCAACCCAAGAGAGTTGCTTACTCGACGCGTAGACCTTCCGCGTTCCTGGCGGGAAAATCCAACGCTCTCGACTTTTCGAGAGCGGACATGGGTAATCTCCGCGCCATCGCAATTTCAGGGTTGCTCCGAGTCGGAGAGAACCAGTACCTCCTCCTCCACTGACAGAAGTGCGCGGGTCGCTTCTCGACTTCTGGCAGCTGCCCCATTATTCTAAATCATCCGAGCTTAAGCTAAATTCTTCTGGTCTCCCAAGACATGACAGTGGGAGCTCACGAATTGCTTTTCGACTCCCAACGGTTGGTTTGCTGCGACCCGGTGAATGCCGCATCATTCAAGGAGACTAATGGCTACGATTCTAGACGTGGAAAACGCATTTGTTTTGACCTTGTCAGTAAGGTTTAATCAGTTCTGAGGAGCGTGTTAGCGAGCTGTCCTGCCGAATGTTGAAACCCATTTACAGGACAATGATCGGTGACCACCCATTCTCGACCCTCGGATTCCAGCCTTCCCGCTTTGAACAGGCACCCGCCGGCAGCTCGAAGTCGACATTCCGACATATGCTTCACGACATTTAGGTTCCGCTGGCCTATTGCTAAATTTGCACTTCTAGTCGGTGTCGAGGGCTACCCTGCATCGCACTGTGCCGACCACACGCGATGGGGACAGATGTGCCAGTCAGGATGTCTCGCTGCTATCAGTGTCGATGGTGGTGCTGGAATGTTACCCGGGTCTCGAATTGGGGAGCCGCCGGCTTTAGCCTTTGGTTCTGTGTGAACCTACAGGAATCCGGAGTTGCTCGACTGGTGGAATCCGGGTTCTTCGTTTGATTATTTGCTATGTTTGGACCGAGTGCTGACGGCGCGAAATTGGGGCGGTGGCGATCAGGCCATATCGCGGAGCGCACACGTTTTGGTTGGGGTGGTCTACATTGAATTCAATTCAAGACTGACGCGACTTCACCTGCCATCCGCCGAGTGTGATGGCCACTCCTTTATTAAAATCTTCCATGCACCCGAACATGTTAGACTCCGAGTCTGAGGCCACTAGGACCGCATTTCCCGATAGTTCAAGGACTTCCCAGCAGTTATCCGCGAGGGGTATCGCTGAATTGACGCATTCGACTTTTAAACCCTCACAGACAGTCCCAGTTCCAGTAGACCCACGGCCTATTTCTCAGCCTCTTTGGATCGGTGTGCAGGTATATGGGTTCTTGGGTCTAGGGATTGTAGGATGCGTCATAGTGGTTACCTTTTCGTGGTATCTGTACTCGGTGGTATGGCAGAGGAGGATGCAGGATATGCCTGATGACTTGGAAAGAGATGTACGTCTAAGCCTCATTTATCGGTCGATCGTTCTGATTTTGAGTGTAGATAGACTTTCAAATGGCATCCCAAAATCTTCCTCGGCGTCGAGTTTACACTGTACAGGCATATTCGGGCAAGAAGGCTCATAGGAACGACTTCAAACGGGAGGGGGAGCAGTCCTTAACGCCCGGTCGAAACTCCGAGCTTAGCTGGGACAAGCAGAGGGTCAGCTGGGCGTCTTCTATTGCCACCGTGCAGAACGAGAAGTCCCAGGGAACACCTCCAGGTCTGAAACGTCGTCCCTCGTTGTTTCCTCCCTCCGGTTCTTCGGATAAACCTCTCAAGGGTATTCTTCGGCATTCGACAGGGGATAGCGAGGCAAAGGAGATAGATGGTCTACTAGGAGAGGCGACACCTGCGACACCTTCTATTGCTGTTGTGCCAAGGGCCTATACCGAGCCGCCAAGGCACGAGACGCACATCGAGAATCGGGCGCTTATTGGGAATGACCTCATTGGGACGACGACACCTGCTGACACGGCGCGTTGGGCTCGTCCAAGCAATGCGGAGGACGAAGATGGACATCAAGATCACATAGACGGCACGAGTATCTACTTTGGAAATAGATTTGGATAGGGTTAAGTCGAAGAGAGTAAGAGTTATTCCTGAAACTCGTCAGCCGCCGTCAGTAAGTCCATTTAAGAGTGATCGGCAAGGTGTTTAGCGTATTGACGTTCATAGTATAGGAAGTTGAACCCCAAGCTTCAAGTCCTGTGCAAGACGGCATACTGTGACAACTCGGTCCCGATGCCAAGACGAGCCTATTAGACACGAAGAGGGCGCGTTCACAGAAGGCGTCTCGTCACCACATTTCGAGCGGGAGGGCGGGTTTAGCGTTTAATCAAGTCGACATAGCGGAATTACGTATGTAGATGCATCGTTACTTGTTGTCGACCCCGTTATCGCGATCGGGATGTCACTTCGAATATGTAAAACCCAGGATACCTCTGAATGTTACGGAATGTCGAGTGGTTACGAGAAACAGTTGATAATCCTAGGGAAAAGTGATTAACGAAACTCAGCACCGCGGCTTTCCCATAGAGCTCAAAGGTGTTACGATAGTCGAAGTCTGCCTCTCGGAGTTTGGGCATACAACGTGGTAGAGGAAGAAGAGGAGTGACGGTAGGTTGAAGTTGCACGAGAATGATACACCTACCTAAATTTAGAACGCGGGCGCCTGTTTCCCTTATCTGATATGTAAGAATGCCGTTCGTATCTTATCAACCTGGATCCGAGTCCGTCACTTTAGGCTGAAGAGAGATAGATTAACCAAGCATAGGGAATAGTCACAAATTACAACATGCGGAGTAGATGTGCGAACGGGTAAATCATAAAGGTATAGCAAACAGGACGAATCCGAAATTCAAACATGAGACGAGAGGAATCGAAATCGTGATTTTGGTTGGCTTAAGATGAAACGGAACTGTTGCTATCAACAGCGTTGGCGGTCTCGAAGATTTCGAGGACCTGTTCCCGGCTGAGCCACTTGTCTTCGGGGGTGAAGTACCAGGCGGTGATACCGAGAATGGTCGAGGTACCGAAGATGACACAAGCCTACGGACAGTGTCATTAGATGAGGGCATCAAGCGACGATTGATAGGGAGGTACTCACAAAATTGAAGACTTCTGCGGTGACGGGGAAGAAGAAAGGCGACAACATGACGCAGACGATGAGACCATTCCAGACAACAGCGACGGCATAAAATGGCTTCCTGAAACCCTTGAGGTAGAAGTAGGATCCCTTGAAAGCGTCGGGCGTCATCGTGAGTCGGAGGAGGGCGATCAGGCCGTATGCTGCGATGGTGGGGACACCTCCAGCCGAGATGAGGGAATAGAAGGCGACTTCGCTGGGCAGGATGGTGCAGAGGACGATGGCACCGAAGATGTAGATGACGGTGACGGCGTTCTTGGGTTGGCCTTGAGAATCGACTGCACCGACCCATTTCGAGCCTGGGAGGATACCGTCACGGGCGACAGCGAAGACAAGGCGGGATGCTGCAACGACGGCAACACTGGTATTCTGCAGAAATGAAGTTAGTCCGGTTTTGGGATTCCTGGAAGACTATCGGCGTACCAAGATGAGACCGAATGCGGCGAGGGCGGTCATGAACGCGCTTCCCTTCTTTCCGAGCGCCATGGCGTAGAGTTGGACGAATGGCTGTGGAGCATTGAGGGAGAACAAGACGTCCAAGTCGGGAGTGCAGAACAGCAGGAGGATGGTGAGGACGAAACCGCAAAGGCCAGTTGCGAGAGCGCTACTGATGATACCCTTTCCAGCCACGACTCTGAAAGATGCAATTGAGTTTGGGCCAACGGTAACAGGTGGACACGCTACGTACCGAGCATTCTTCGTCTCTTCCGCAATGTGACCAGAGGCGTCGAAGCCCGTCATGCAACCAGCAGTGAAGAGGAAAGAAAGAATCCAATTCCACCCTGCAGGTGCGCCGGTTCCATTGTATGTCATGGTGAAGACATCCTTCGCGGACCGGAATCCATAGGTGTTGGAAACACCAATGGGCAACCAGATGACGACCAACAGGAAGTCGACAAGCATGAGACCCATCGAAACCCGGAAGATCATCGAGTAGAGGCGAGGAGGCAGGTAGTTGATGGCAATGGCAATGATCAGGATGATTTCAGCGCATGCCCAAGTGAGAGCACGGAACTTGATGTTGTCGGACGTGACGCCACCGGGAAAGTCGACCTCCCATACCGAGAGTTGCGACAGGATATAGTTGGCAGTCGTCTGATAGACATTAGCGATCGGTAGCCTGTGTTTGTGACGGAAGGCCTTACCTGGCAATTTCCAGCAGCGAATGTCATCCAAGCCGTCGATGACCAGAAGGCGACGATGAAGCCAACGAAGCGAGCGTACTTTGGACCGGCGCTTTCAGCTGCCCAGATGTAAATGGAGCCGCTCAAAGGAAGGGCAGAGCAGATTTCGGCCAAAATGAAGGCTGTGATCATCATGAAGAAGATGGTAACAATGTACGAAGACCTGGAACGACATGGGTCAGTGAGAATTGTCGAAAGTGGGACAAACGTGGGTCACTGACCATATGGCAGCTGGACCGCCAGCGAGCAAGCCCAGGAAGAGGCCAGTTCGGACACCACCGATGAAGTTGAGCGCGCAGAAACTTGCAGCAAAGCTCTCGACGATGTTCCATGTACGATGAAGTTGCTACAAACGCGTCAGAACCGATTCAATGTGATTCGCAAGTACTAGTTGAACTTACCTGCTTGTAGCCAAGTTTTTGCTAAGAATCAAAGTAAGCATGGTTAGTTGGGTTCACAATGAGATACAGTAAGAGACGATAACTCTGGAGGCTTCCCTACGCAGGTATCAGCGCTGATCAGGTTCAAGCGGTGTAATCTCAATCCTTCTGTACGTCAGTCCATAGGGACATGAGGTGCAGACAGGATACCCGCAGCCGTTCCAGATTATGCCTTTTAGAACGTTACCAGATTTCGCAACACAAGCGCAGTTAAACGAGGAAAGAAGTCCACCGAGTGCTACGCCTCGTAAGCTTGCGTTTACCAATTGAAGTTCATCCTCGTCGATGGAACGAGCGTCCCTAACGCCCTCGACGTCTGGATTGGAGGTTTTCGAGTGAGTCGACATTGGAGAAAGAATACTTTTGTCCAATGCGAAGGAGATGGCAAGCAAGACGATGTCCTCAAATTACAGCGCTAAAATTGACTATTTATATGGGAAAGAACCCTAACCCTAAATCGTCCACAGTTCCTGGCAATCAACATGACGCCATGATTAAGGCACGCCCAACGAGAAATCGGTCCGAAAATCCTCTCAGGGAATTCCAAAGCGCTGAAAAATAGGGGTAAGTACACCAGAAAAGCGACGGCACAAGGAGAAGGACATACTGGCTTCAAGGCTCGGATGAGCAGCCATTCCTCGTTGGAAACTTCAGACTTGAAGTTGTTCTATAGAAAAAAAGAGCATTCAGTCAGACATCAGATACCAGTGGAGCAGAAGAAAAAAAGTTCGGAGCTAACCTTGAGGACATCAATACTCTGCCGGGAAATGTGACTCAAAATCTCGTCCTTGTCGTCGAAGTGCCGCCCGAACATCTTGGCAGACTGATAAACGGCATGCTCAATCTTGACAGCCACGCCTCCTCCTGCCTGGTTTTTCTTCACAATCTGTTTTGATTATTTCGGTGGTCAGTTGTCCTGGTCTTGTGAGCACATGAGATGACGCTAATACGTACATCGTAGTTCTTGTGATTGATCTCCAGTGAGGTGCTAAAGGAAATGTCAATGAGCGGCGTAAGAAAAAAAATTGATGGGATGTGCGCCTACATCTTGCCCAATTCGATGATTTGCTTAGTACCCGTGCTGGGGTCGATTTTGACGACAGCCAGGGGTGTTCCAACCCGAAGCGAACCATCCAGGATATCGACACCGAGGATGATAGGGTCACGCTTGCAGAAAGCTGCGATGATCCTGAGGCGGCAAGGCCAGACTGCCTTGGGTGCAGCGTCTGCTCGCTTGGCCTCCATGATCTGAGCATTGTAGGCGGTGAATGAGTCGAAGAGATGATAGATAATGTTGGCTATAGTGCGATGTAAGGCAGAATTCAAGAAGATGTAAGGAGAGGTAGTCACCTGTGAAGATCCTGATACCCATTTCTTCCGCCAACCTTTCAGCATCTTTGTCGACGGGCACATCGAAAGCGAGAATGACGGCCAGTTCCTTTGCTTTCTCAAGCATAGTACCGGCTCGCATGACATCACGCTTGTGCACAGGACCGATGTTGATTCCAGAGACAGGGATCTTGCTGTCCTTCAAGAAGTCGAGGAGAGCTTCAAGCGAACCCAGAGTCGACGCTTGGACACAGACTCCACGACCGGACTTGTCGATGCTGTTGAGGAGGGACGTCAGGTCAGACATGACTTCGTCCTTGAGCTCCTCTTCATCGTCATCTGGGCCAACGACAAGCAGGCGGGATCCGGCTATAGCCTTCTCCAAGTCGGGCGCTGCGATCTTGACACCGAGAGCCGCCTTGACTTCTTTGTGGTGCACGTAAGCGGACTAGGAATAGTAAAAAGAAAAAGTAAGAGAAAACGAGTGGTAAGTATAAAGTTTGCTATGGCTCGGGCATAGAAAACATGCTCACCTTGATTCGGAGTTCTCGAAGGGGCTGCGGAGTCAGGAGTGCACGAACTTGGGTAACGATTGGTCCATTCAGACCACAAACCACAATCCGATCGCCTTCTCGCATGTATCCGTTGGAAAGGATAACATCTATGGTGGTTCCCAAACCTTCGATGACCTTGACTTCCAAAACGGTACATTCAAGTTCGGAAATGTACATGAGTCGGTCGCTCATTCGTTGCTGGGTGAGGTTGACGAGGAGCATGATCATGTCGGGGACACCCTCTCCAGTGATGGCAGAAGTGGGTACGAGAGAGACATTTCGCGAGAAGTTCTTGTTCTCGTAGTAGAGGCAGGCGTTGAGACCCTCCTCAGCGAAGGCAACGATCGTCTTTGTCACGCGATCTTCGAACTCGCGTTGTACGTGACGGCTCTGCTTTGCAAGGGAATCCCTGAACGAGTTATTCGGCGTGGCCTCCCACCCGTAGATACGGTCGATCTAATGCGTTATGAAATTCAGCGGAGGGGAAAAAGAGGTTAAGTTCCATCTCGGTCTTACCTTGTTAAGAGCGACAATGAACGGCGTCTTCTTGTCTCGCAACATCCGCAGGGATTCCAAGGTTTGTTGTTCAAGTCCGTGCATGATATCGACGACGAGAATGGCAATGTTACAGAGTGAACTTCCTCGGCTACGCAAGTTGGAGAACGACTCGTGACCAGGAGTGTCGATGATGAGCAATCCGGGGATCTTGTATTCTTGGGTACCATCCTGTAGAACGACGTTAACCGGCATTCTAGAAATTCAACTCTACACTATACCTTGTTCATGACCGCCGTCTTTTGCTTGATGGCCTCCACAGGGAAGTAGGTCGCACCAATCTGTTGGGTGATACCACCAGCTTCGCCTTCTTGAACATTGGTTTGACGGATCTATGGAATATTCGTTGAACCGAATAACAACCCACTATTTTAGGCAAAAGACTAACCTTGTCCAACAATTTCGTTTTACCAGTGTCGACGTGGCCGAGAATACAACAAATTGGACTGCGAAGGTCGTCTTTGCTCCTTGCAGCCAGAGCCTCTTCGCGAGCCTTGGCCCTTCGAGCAGCGGCTTCGGCCTTTTTCTGAGCGGCCAACTGCTGCGTCTTGGTCAATTCCTCATCAGACGAGGCGTCAGAGTCGTCGGAATCTGAGCCAGAACCAGAGCTTGAGTCCTCATCTGAGTCGGTCTCGTCCGAGTCGGATTCGCTCTCAGATTCAGATTCGGGCTCGGGCTCGGGTTTGGCGGGCGCAGCCTTGCCTGCGGGTTTCTTGGCCTGAGCAGCAGCTTGAGGTTTCGCTGGTGCTGCTTTCGCGGCTGGAGCTGCCTTAGCAGCTGGAGCGGCTACGAATCGTATTGAGTTTGGGAATGTCACCAAAATTATATGGAAATACCCTACCCATTTGAGCCGGTTTCTCGGGGGCCTTGGGAGCAGCCTTTGGAGTGGGAGCAGCTTTGGGCGCTGGCGCGGGAGGTTGCTCGGCCTCTTCTTCTGAAGAGGAGTCGTCCCACGAGTCCTTGACGGCAGGTTTGGTGGGGGCAGTGGGTTTGGTCTCTTCCTCCTCTTCGGAGGATGCCTCCCAGTCGTCCTTGGCAGGTTTTGCTTCTGGAGCGGGTGAAGGCGATGCAGGAGGGGGAGTGGGTTCAGGAGATCGAGGTCTTGACTCAGGCGCAGGGGATGCAGCTTTGGCAGCAGGACCCTTCTTCTTGCGGTTCCCATACACTACCTTCTTACCCGCCGGCGGTGCACTGCCAGAAGCCTGCAGGCCCTCGATTTGTACCCCAGATGCAAGAAGAGCCTGTTTTCGTATTTCGGCCATTTGTCGTTCTTCCTTCTGCTTCTTAGTCAGAAGCTTTCCTTCTTTCCTGAGCTGCTCGCGTTTCGCCTGGACGGAGTCGAGTTTCAATTTCACTATTCGTTGAATTAGAGACAAGTTGACGTACTTTTTCTTTCTCCTTCTTGCGCTGCTTCTCCTCCTCCTTCCTCTTTCGCTCCTCCTCTTCCTTACGTTCCTCTTCCTCGATACGTCTCCTCTCCTCCTCCTCGAGCCTTCGAGCCTCCTCCTCCAGTCGCTTCTTCTCCTCCAACATAGCTCGAAGACCGCTAATTGCGCCACCCTTCTTCTTAGTTGGTGCGGGGGCGGGCTCCTCTTCCTTATCCTTCTTCGCCTTCTTCTTTTTCTTCTTCTTGTCAGATTTGCCTGGAGCTTCATCTGCCTCTTCTTCATCTTCTTCAGCCTGGGGTTTGGCTTCAGCTGCAGGTGCGGCTTCAGGGGCTGGACTCTCCTCCTTCTTCTCATTAGCCTGAGCTGCCTTTTTGGCAGCAGCCTGGGCCTTTTTCTTTGCCTGGATTGTGAAACCGGGGAGTTAACTCACGATCTTATCTCATTATTAAATTAAACGCACCTTTTCCCTCTCCTTCTTGAGTCGCTCCTTCTCTTTCTTGGAGAGAATTTTAGGCCCGCCCTCATCAGCTTCGCCAGCCTCGCCTGGTTCAACAGACTTTTCACGAGGTGTTGAAACACCTGTATCTGCTGTATTGAGGTTCAGAATTGATTATCACAAGAGGGTGTAGTAAACAAACCGTACCCTTCAAACCATCTTCGTCTGGTTTCTCGTCCTCGTCGTCTGCCTTAGCCTTTTTGTTCTTGCCCTTCTTGTCCTTCTTCTTTTTGTCTTTAACAGGGCCCCACTCGTCGTCCATAAGATCATCAGCAGTGACTTCCACAGGTGCTTTGGAAACGGCGGGTGCTTCATCCTCGTCTTCTTCAGGAGGAGGAGTTGCAGCTTTGGCTTTCTTCTTCTTCTCCTTCTTCTTGTCTTTGGTGGATGAAGCCTTGATTGCAGACTGAAGCCAAGATGGTTAATATCCGTCCTTATGAATGTATGGTCTTCGGCACATACCATCAAACCGCCAAAGTCTTCTTCATCGTCATCGCCAGCACCGCCGCCTTCCTCGTTGAGGAGGGCGAATGCGGATGGCTTGGCCTTTGGTTTCTCGAAAACGATGTCGTCGTCGTCTTCAGGGGGCGGGGCGGCCGCGAGATTGGGGGCAATGGGCTCTCCGGCGTCGTCCCTGGAAGATAATCTGATTGATTAAGGCCATTCGAAATCGCTATCGAGTCTGGTGAGACGCACCAGTAGTCGTCGTGGGCTTTCTTTCCCTTCTTTCCCTTGTTTTTTGGCGGCATTGTGAGTTCGTTGGACGATGTAGAACGACAAGAACGAAATGTAAATTTGTTGTTTTGTTGTGGTCGCCGCTTGAGTCAATGGTCCCTTGGGTTCCGGCGACTCCGATCAGATCAATTGGCGGTGACGCGGACGACCGCGACTCGTTGCTCATTATCCACAACGACCATCTCGACGCGACTGACGACGAGCACGATGGGTTTATTATCTATTATACGGAAGAATCGACAAAAGGAAAGGGAAATGCGCATTCTCTTTCTGTGAGTGCAGCACTTGGCCTCGATAAACCAGCAGTCTCGACTCTCAAACTGAACAGTGGCCTAGATAACGCCGGGAAGACCACGATCCTCAAAAAGCTCAACAACGAGGACATCAGTGGGATTAGTCCAACTTTGGGCTTCAATATCAAGACCTTTGTTCATAGAGCGTACGCGATTATGCTTTGTTTCTCGAAGAACTTGGCGTTGACGGTGAACTATACAGCTACACCCTCAATATCTGTGTGCATCGACTTCTCTCGCGATCCGTTGAGCTTATGTCTGATTTCGTTGCGGCGTAGGGGATGTTGGAGGCCAGACAACGCTTCGCCCGTACTGGCGAAACTATTTTGAACAAACAGATGCGCTGGTCTGGGTCGTCGACTCGAGCGATCGCATGAGAATGCATGACTGCAAACGCGAGTTGCATAGTTTATTGACTGAAGACGTGAGGCAGCCATTTCCTTCCTTTTCTCCTGACTTCTCCCTTTCTCAATACAACTGACCCCTTCCTCTCTCTTGTCCTAGCGTCTCGCGGGTGCTTCCCTTTTGGTTTTCGCGAACAAGCAAGATCTACCTGGTTCGATGGATGACTCTGAAATCTCAAACGTAAGTCTTCTGGTAGCTGCTGGTATTCCTTTCTCGTCACCCGTCACCGGCATTCTTGTCAAGTATAGTATGCTCATAAACACACAACAGGCATTGGACCTACCCTCGATCAAATCGCACCACTGGACGATCTGGCCGTGCAGCGCTGTTACCGGTCAGAACCTGGTATCCGGATTAGATTGGGTTGTCAACGATGTTGCGAACAGATTGTACTACAGCTCCACGACTGCGCATCCGACCAACGAGAATATTGGAGGTGCGCCACAGCCTGTGGAACCGATATCATGAATGTTACGAGCCTTGTTTTGATCTTGCCGTTTGCATCCACTTGGAAGAGCTTCGATCGTTCCCCGTCCAAGTCGACTAACTCTTCGCTTAAGTCGCCTTGACTGATCGCTTGTCCCGGGCCTCGACGTTCCTCCTCGAACAGATTGAGCACTAATCCTATCCTTTCACAGTCTCTTTGACCCCGACTAATGTATGAAGACTGGGCTTCACATGGCTCCTTTCGGCCAGAGCTGAACATCAAGCCCGGAAGGTAAGCGCTCGGTCTTTTGCGAAATCGAAAGTATATCCCTCTTTTACCTTTCCTTCCTCCACCAACGATCCGATTCTCTATTCGCAGTAAGTGTTCAAGTTCCTGCGATTTGCCGCCATAACCACTGCAACCTATCGAACAAGAGGTATCCGCCGCTCGGGAAATTTCTGTTCTTCTCGGAATGCGAAAACATCACGTTGTCAGGGCTATTGTTAGACCACGATGGCGAGGTGAGTGTATGCCGTTGATATACCGTAAGGTACAATCCATCTGTCAGCTGGAGGTGCAGAGGTGTCCGATGTCCCCCTAATCCTGAAAATACCTGCAGATTTGTGTTGGATCTTATCCTCGAGCAAGTTTAAACTGACAGTGGGGTGTAGATTGAAGAGGAACAGGTTCCGTTGAATGGCCTATTCCAAGTGCGAGCAGGGACGACTACAGCGGTGCACTTTGTATGGATATATTTCTGGACAACGTGTTGTGTTGGTATGTGATCATGTAAGTACTTTCAAGATCCCCGTGTCTCGTGTAACTGACTGCATTAGCCTCTTCGCCACTCCACCCTTTTTGTGGGAAACAGGGTGCCTTCTATTTTCTTCATTTCATCCGAAGAGCAAAAATAGGCGCTACGACTAATAGTGGCTGTTCCCTCGAGATCATTTACTTTCGATGAAAAGGCATTGAACTCTTTGGAGGGCCGCTGGCTTGACAGCTTGTTGGGTTTAATGGGTAGGTTGACTGTTATATTGAATAAGGCGCTCCTTCGATGGATCGAACCCAAGTTCCCGAAAACTCAGGCTTTGCAGAGCTCTTTGGACGACAGAACCTGTACGATATACTCATAGTTTTTCCTTGCTACCTTCGACTTCCCCGATCGATGAAGCACGACTATGCACGAGCCAGGCCAGTAAACTCAGCTCCAGCCGCAGGTGTTCCTATTCCTAATTATTTGATATCGGTTCATTCGCAGACTTTCTTGTCGGTTGAATGACAGAATCTCGATGCCCCTCGAGCGGCGACATGCTCCATCCTTGTCTAAAGTCACTAACAGGGTGAGATCTCGACGGGGTCCGGAACTGGGGTCCGTAAAGCTGTTAAGGATGTGAGTCCATTCGACCTGTTCACTTTTCGTCTGACAACTTTGAGATTTTGACGAGAACGCCTTACTGATGGGTGGTTATTTACGGGCGGCAATCTCCCCATAGGGTCGAAGACGATCGTGGCCCGAAAAAGTAGGCATTCCCACCCGCTTCTGCGCATCGGAGTCGGGTAACAGCTCGTCGTTGGGCGCTCATTCTTTCTTGTTGTAAATGATTGGATGTGGTCTGAGATGTTGCTCGAGCTCCTCGGAGCTCTCATGGTTCAACAAGTGACGCGACGAAAAAATGCACTCGGCTTCTATCAGTGCGAGAGAAACTGTCAACAAACAAAGACATATCTATCGGATGTATGTCTGCATTCACTGACGGATTGTGGATGGGCGCGTACCGAGATTCGAAGGATGGGTAGCGATCAAGAGAAAAAGTCAACCGGAGGCGATTGGTCTCGAAAACCCCTCGGCGATACTGATGTCGACTGGCGTTGATGGCAGGGAGGGACGGGTAAACTGGAATGTTTTGGGGTTCTATACTGCACGACATTCGAGTAACCGCGTTGAACATCTGCTCCACGCGTACATCAGGTCGTGAGTACGGATTTGTTGGGCAATATGGATGGGAAATATCTAATTCAAGTCGGGTCGGTAGAAGCCCCTGCAGCTAACGGGCGTCGGTGAAGGTTAATAGGATAAAGTGCCGATTAGGCGCTGGGATTCGGTCGAGCGAAGGCTGGGATTGCCCGAATCCCATGAAGGGAAGAAACCCGGCATGGGAGCCACGTGGTGGGATTTCGACGGAGGATCCTGAGATTGTAGCAGCCCTTGGCGGCACTGGTTGTGTCAGGTAAGGTTCCCTTTTCGAAAGCTTAATCTATTACGCCATGCTGTCGGAAAGGTCAAGAGGATCTGGAAAAGCAGGCATTCTTGGGAGTTGTTTGATGAGATCAAGCTTCTTTCGTGTGGAAGCCTTCCGGAGTTGCCTGTGAGTAGCTCCATCGAGGGAGGGGACGATATTCCATATCGAGTTTGAAGACACGACCCTGGAGGATAACCAAAGCGCGCGATGCACACGCCTTTTGCTCCTACGCGATCTATTTGCCCCCTTCGCGAATCCGTGACTTTTCATAGATCGCGTCCTGTTATTTTTGCCGATCTTCACCCACCACATCTGCCCAACCACGGGAAATTTCGAATTCAATCTCCCATATCGCTGTCGAGAATAAAAAGGGCTATGCTTTCGAGAGATTCATTCTCCAGCTCTCACCTTCCCCTCTTCCAGCCTTCTCTTGCTTAACTCTCTCTCTGCCCTCTTGACTTGCAGATGCCGGCCCACCACCACCCTTCGTCTTCTGCACCCTGCGTGTCGTTCCCCTCATCGTCCAAGGCTCTGCAGTCCTCTTCATTGCTCTCTGCCTTGAGCCCCAGGTCTTGGACTATTTCGTTCGGTAAAGTCAACCCCACGGCATCATACACCGATGTCGCTCTGACTTACCTTCCATTAGCCCGCAACTCAATCCTGGCTGTTCTCGAGGACGCCATTACCGTCGGGCGCCTCACCATTTCCGATTCAGAAGGAGATCATCAATACGGGGAACGTCAACCCGGATGCAACGATGTGCGCCTTCGCATCGTCAATGACAACTTTTGGATGCGAATTCTCCTGTGAGTCCTATCTTTGCTTCTCTAATATTGACGACATGGTCTCATGTTGACTGTCGACTTTCTCCTACAGCTCCGGTGATGTAGGCTGTAAGTCTATCCCGCTATTTTGGTACCCATAACGTCAATCATTAACGCAATCATGCATCCATTGTAGTCAGTGAAGCGTATATGATTGGAGATTGCGAGGTTCAGACTGGTCTCAAGGGTGCTATGGATGTGCGTCATATTGTGCTCTCGTTTTGCCTTTTGCTTTAGCTGACCCTGTTTCTTCTTTGTAGCTATGGCTTGATAATCAGTCGGGCATGGAGATGACCCTATCGTCTACTGTTGCACGGATATCATCCGCTATGACTGCTCTCTACAACAGTTTCCTTGGGCAGACAAAGTCGCAGGCTCGACTCAATGCCATTGCCAGTTACGACCAATCGAACGAGTTGTTCAAGGTATGAACTCCTTTCGAGCTCAAGTACGGGCAATCAACGCTAAAACTTTGCTCTTCTTCAGGCCTTCTTGAGCAAGGAGATGATGTACTCCTGTGCATTGTGGGGTGAAAATGAAGGCGGCGTTCGAGGAGACCTAGAGTTGGGACCCACCCCTGGAGATCTAGAAGCTGCTCAACTTCGCAAACTTCACCATGTTCTACGGGCTGCACGGGTCAAGCCTGGCGATCGAATCCTCGAATTTGGCAGCGGCTGGGGAGGTCTCGCTATCGAAGTAAGTGGATCATTCAGCCTGTTGATTTGGCTTCAGGGGATCTGATTTCGGGTTTCCCCAGGCTGCTCGCACTTTCGGTTGCGAGGTCGATACTTTGACCCTTTCGATTGAACAAAAGACTCTCGCTGAGGAGCGCATTGCGGAGGCCGGTTTGGAGGGTGTTATTCGAGTTCATCTCATGGACTACCGCGAGATCCCCGCAGAATGGGAACACGCCTTCGACGCTTTCATCAGCATCGAGATGATCGAGGTTTGTCTTCATTCCATGGCCTGTTGCACGCCTTTGCTCATCGGCCTATTACAGCATGTCGGCCCCAAGTACTACAACACCTACTTCAAACTCGTCGATTTTGCCCTCAAGCCACAAAAGGCCGCCGCTGTCATCACCTCCTCTACTTTCCCCGAATCAAGATACTCGAGTTACCAGTAAGTAGCTACAGTATCCATGGTTGTCTTGCCCGACTAACGCTTGCCTCTAGAGCTGAAGATTTCATGCGCAAATACATGTGGCCCAATTCGAGCCTGCCCAGCGCAACAGCCCTCATCACTGCTGCACACACCGCCTCACAAGGTCGCTTCACTCTGCAAGGAGTCGAAAACCACGCCGCACGTACGTGCTCCATCCACTCACGCGTCTTTGGAATATGGGGCTAACATGAAACGCGTCTTTCTTTAGATTATCCCCGAACACTGCGAGAGTGGGGTCGTCGACTAGAGCGAAACTTGACCCAAGAACTCGTTGCAAGAGATTACCCTTCACTGAAAGACAACGCCGATTACGAGTCGTTCAAGCGCAAGTGGCAATACCTCTTCGCTTACGCTGGTGCTGGCTTCTCGAAGGGTTATATCACTTGCCATATGTTGACTTTCATTCGAGAGGTAAGATTCGCTTCATTGTGCCTCGATACCTGCGCTAGATGCTGATGCAAATCCTTTCTCATTCCAGAACGACATCCCTGAACGTTGCGACTGAATCCTCGACCCTCTTGTTCGACTTCCTTCATTAAGGAGTTCGAGCGCCAAAAATCAAAACGATGCTTCACGACCACGCAACGACCCTTTCACTCATTCGAACACTCTCGCACTATCCTGTGACTTCAGTCAACCTACCAAGTGTTTACACGGCGGCCTCGGCGCTAGAACGCATAGATTATTTTAGGAGGGACAGTATCTTTTCCAGCATCAATTAGAACTTCGCATGTACATCTGTATTATAGTTCATTATTCCTGCATTTATTTTGGCACTTGCAAATTGATTAGCTTTTATCTATCATGTCGTCATCTAAACGCCTTGGCCTTCCGCGTGTGATCTACTCGGGTACCAACTGTGTAGAGCGTGAGCTCAGCGAATGGGTAGCAAAGGACCGGGATGGATGCCGTCGGACGCTTCAAGATTAGATCCTTTTGCGTGCCCTAACGCGATGGTTATCGACCCCAAAATCAATAGCAACGTTCAGTCAAGCTCCGAAACAAAGCCTCCCACTCTTTCAAAAGCACGAGCTTCACATTATTTAGTAGAGAGCGGCGGTCGACGTCGACATGTTGCTCTTCATGTAACGGTTCTCCCAGAAGCTTGCGCAAATCTATTAATCGAAATTTCATCTCCAAAGATAAGGATCATCTCGGAACACATCGTAGGCTGCAACGAATCTGTCAGAAGTATATCTTAGGTGACAGTGGAAGAGATGCGGTCCCTTCTGCAATGATCATGGGGATTGGAATTTGAGTTAAGCTTTCTCTGTCATGAAACTGGGGGCTCATAGACCGACGTCATATTGCTAAGTCTGCTTCATGTCTGCAGCATGGTCTACCGCACAAACAGCCGGCTCCCAGAATGGAAGGTATCCTGTCTTTTTTAGGATGCCCAGTTGCCCAAATGTCAGACTGCCTTAAGCTAAGGGGAATTGTCCGAAGGCAAGGGACAGGGTCCGCGATAGCTCAGGATCCGTAGGTCCCGTGGTTCATTTGTGTTATCAATGTCAATCTGAGTGCATGAAGGCAGATACATCTGACACAGTGCATTACTTTTACTATGTTATTACAACTCTTTCTACTAGTGAACCCGGACGAAGTGCGAAGAAAACAACCGACAGGAAGGGCTTTGATTACAGGATATAATAGAGATGAGCAACGCCCCGAACGTAATGAAGGGTATTGTTGAAACTGTGTAGTAGATATCTGGTATAAAAATGAACGTGTACATAGCGATCAGAGCAAAACATCTAAAACGACAAAGGACTTAACGGTGAAATATTGATAGATGCAATTAGGATTTAGAAGATGTAAAGACCGGAGAAAAAACTGCAGTTAAGTCGAAGGCAGACGTGTAGGGTCAAGTTTCGTGACCCAGGAGAGCATCTCCTTTTGATTGGGGGCGGCAAGGCCGTGGGAGTTCGAGGATGTGAACAGCATGAACGAGAATGGTTTCTGTAGAGGAGGCTTGAGCAAATGTAGCAGGAAACGAATCAATGCGAAACTCACCCCCAAGAGCGATTCCTTCAGAGGGTCGCTCTCAACGTTGACACCACTCAAGGTAATAATGCCAACCTCCTCGACCTCATTGGAGTGGGCGTACATGTGCAAGTAGGGCCTAACGATGTAAACAATAAGTCATGCCATTGCCGTTGTCATGATATGAGGAACCTACCGTTTCAACACGAACCACCGTCTCTCCCAAAGACCTTGGCCAGCGTCAGTCAAGATCATGAGATGCCCCTTCTTCGTGGCACTATCACTGTAACCCAGAGTTGAGGCTCGATTGCAGAGAAGATGGCACCATTATACGAACCTTCTGGAAATCAACTTCGTCTCCGATATGAACTTGAGAGTTTCCAAAGGCGATTCCCGTTTGCGCTTTGGAGAGGTGACAGTCTCCACAGGCTCTTCAGGTTCCTGACTCAAGACGATCTGTAACACGAAAGGTCAGCGTCCCAAAGAATAATAGAGAACTCTGTGGAAGATCTAAGCGTCGTGTACGTACTTTGCCTTTGTGACCAAACTGCTTCTGCCACAGATGCAACGACCGCTTAACCAGATCATCAGCCCTCCAAGCAAGCGTTTCTTGAGGTAATGGCTTAGGGGGTGAATTAGCCAGGATAACGCGGATGGCCTGAACATCTGCGGCCCGCCTTTCAGTGGTGATGAGGCGGTTGTAATCTTCGACTACGGAGATTCCTCGAGGTTTCCAAGTTGCAAGCGTCTCTTCTCCTCGTACGTATTTCTCTGAAGTGTCCAATCGCCAGAGATCCTTCGCTGAACGGGTAAGGGGTGGCGAGAGCTTCACCGAGAACAGGGTGCTGGTTTTTGAAAGAATCTTGCTGGAGCCGAAGAATGAGAGCAGCTTCGATGGGGGACTGGCATCGCGAGAGTGCATCGTGATGGCCAGGTCCATGCTGAATTGTACAGGATCAGCACAAGTATCCACTGCAACAGAGAACTGTAATTGCAGGAGGATTCGCTGATTCGATGCGGTGACCCTGTTCAACAGCACTGAATTATGGACACTCGAATCCCAGAGGGCTTCCGCTGCGAGTGCTCCACTTCCATCAGGTTTGAATTCGAGTGTCTGCTCTTTCAATAGGGGGAGGGTGACCAGAGCTTTAGACGTTGAGTCGTGGATACGGCCGTGCGGATCGAGTAGGCGGACGTTGCCTATCCTGATCTTCGTAAATTCTGTCCAGGGCAATTGTTGACCGGAGTTCGAAGACAGTGAAATTGAAATACGTCTTTGAAGGCCTTGATGCAACGAAAAGACGCCGGGATCAAGACTTCCTTGGGATATAACGGGGACAGGGACGTAAGAACCGTCAGGTCCCAATTCGCAGACCTGCAGCCAGGCGACGACGTCATGTACCTGTTCGACGACAAAATCGGTCTCCGATCGGCGCATCGGGGGCAGGGTTGCGCTTGCTGGTCGGCTTTCGGGTTGAGGGGAAGGGGAAGATGGGCTGGGACGGTACTGTTTCTGCTCGCGCATTTCGTCCCATCGTTCCATCCGTTCTAAATATGTAGGTTTGAGAGCAGCGAAAAATTCTATGGGTGCGTATCCTTGTCGTATATGGTTGAGAACCTTTGAAGTCGTGGCGATCGTAAAATTTCGGCGGAATTTGACCTCGGAGAGGGACGAGTCGTCTATGTTGATGGCACTGGAAGGGAACACTTCTTCCGCTGCTACCGTCGGTCCAACGAAAGATGAAAGTCGGACTTGAAGGTGGACGGCAGAAAAGTCGTAGGAAGATAGACCCTTTACGGAATCTATCGTCAAGGAGAAGCTGAGCTTGCTGCCTGGTGGCACAGCACCTGGAGCTGGGGAACTTGATCGCGTTGAGGGCGAGGAACCATTCAAGTATTTGGCGGGGAGGACGACATTCATCACTTTGATGTCAATGCGGCAAGAACCAATGGCCTCGGCGGTGTACCGACAGAAGATGGGTACGGTCGATGACGACGATAACCTTCGTGACAGCGGGGCGAGTGAGATCAACGCGTTTCCAATAAAGGAATACTCGGGAGGCGGGGATTCGAAGAAAGGCTCATCAGACGAAAAGTGTTGGGTGTAGGATGGTCGGTCGATGTAGGTTGTGAGATTGCGCATCCGCTGGAGTTGCTGTTGCATTCGGTCTAGCGACCAGACGTAGATGGCGTTGTTACGTTTGTCGATGACCTTCACCGCCGCTGAGGGTTGAGTTGCTGAGGTGAGGATTGGATCCGCCACATCCCCAAACTGGTCCAGTCCTGCTATTGTGTCAACGGCGGAACTTGGCGCAGCGAGGGATCCACCAGAGGCAATCGTGAAGTTGTAGGTCACTTGCTTGCCCAATTCCTTGCTAGAATTAAAGTCAGTCCCGACGACGAGACACCGGAAACAAAAGGTGCGCACCAGATGACATTGGCCTCTTTCATGGCCACTGCATTTATCAAAATCTGTTCAGCCATAGAAAAGGAGCGATGGGCCCTCCATCTATCCAGAACCTTCCTAATGAGTCGGAGCTGCTTTCCGGTGTAGATTACAGGCTCGAACTGCATTGCCTCTGTGTCAGTTTCGCCCCGGGCCCGAGCGTCGATCAACCGCCGCATCTGAGCCTTTACGAGCCGCAGCTGATGTTCCATATGCTCCTTTTCGACCCTCAGATCTTCAGCCACTTCCTCTTCAGCGCTAGATTCATCCAACTCATGCAACCTTGTCTCCAAAGTCGTCTGAGTTTCCTTCAACGGCTCGTCCGTGAACGGACTCCCCCAAGGAGCGGCATAGAGCGACGTATCATCCGTGGTCGCATCGCTAGGCAGCGGCCTCCCCGTTTCACTCCAAACATCATCTCCTGCGTGGCTCAAACTGCTCTCTGGCCGAGATTTCAAGTTGTGGTCACGCATCGTCTTCACCTTGGTGATCTTCTCGAATAGTTTGTTGAGGTCCTCATCTGGGAGACTGTCCAACGCGGGATCGAGTCCCAACCGTGCCAACGCCGCTTCCCGTTTGGCAAACGTCCAGTCGACATGATCCAATTCCCCAGCCGATGACGTTGGAGAATCAGGCCTTGGTGACTCGCTCGCTGCCTCTAGGTCTGCTGCGGAGATGCTGTTCTGCAAATTGGATTTCATCGTTGCACGATCCCGCTGCTTGCGAACTTCCTCCGGGTTATTAAACCGGAAGACGTGATGATCCCCTGTAGAAAAGGAGTTCCAGAATCAGGGACTGGAAGGTTTCTCTCAAGTAAAATTAGTATCGCCATACCAAGAATAAGTCGGTACCCGGATCGCAATCTGCGGGGCTAGGATTAGTGAAGTTGGGGCATTAGCTCCTGTCCCATCTCAGCGCAGTGACATAATCAATAGAGACGTACTTCATCGGGAGGTAATTGTTTGCCATTCAGGAACTGTATTTTTGGGTCAGAACATTCATTTGGAGGACACGTAAGGAGCATAAAAGAACTTACTGTAACACTGTCAGGGAAAGCCGTCAGCGTCACTTTGCCCTCATTGTTTTCGAAGCAGCAGTGTTCTGGGAGGATGTTCTCTCCGCTGAGCCGTATGGCAGCCGGAACGTCACTGTCTAAGCGGCCAACCTGATGGTTTCGGGAGGTTCAGGTTTCATAGAAGTTCCAAAGAAGTGGAGTTGAGTATCACATACGATGGTTTTCCCTGGCTTGAGTTGATAAATTAAGCATTCGCTCATAAGGGGATCTAGAAGGTTGTTCGAGTTTAGCTATCGGGCCGAAAAAGCCTCAAGGCACAAAGCAAACCAATTAATTACCTTCGTTCTAATGATGGCGAGGCGAGAGATAAAGAAAAATAAGGATGCTTAGGTTTTGCTCTCTGCTTCTCCAGGCTGCATGCACCGCTCACCAAGTTAACAAGATGAGGCATCTAATCACAAAATAACCAAGTCAGTAAGTAGAGCCTCAAGAAGCTGTCGCTGGCAGCAAGTTTTACCTTTTTAGGGGTATGGACACCGACGAGGTTCTTCTCGACCGTAATACCGAGCTCTTCAAGCGCCTTCTCCCGTTCCCTCTGGACCTCTTGAGTTTTCGCCAGCTTTTGCTCCCATGTTTCGTTCAGGCCCTGCATAAGCTTCTCGCTCGCCTCCAATTGATCCTGGAGCTCTGCTTTCGTGACAGTTTTGATGCGGCCATCCTTGGTCTGGTAAGTAACCTTTTGCTTTTCTGGAGGAACTTTAGGGTCAAAGGTATCTTCTCCGCTGGCAGCTTGGACGCGCGCTGATGGTAATCGACGCATGAGCATTATGATCCAATAGACGCCTTGAAACGCAACAAAAACGACCAAAGTGCGATTTCAACGTACCTCGCAACATCTCCAATTCTTCCTTGAGCTCTCGCACGAGCTTCGCATTGGGATCCTCGTTGACCACCGCTTTATTCTTAATCTTCTTAGCCTGATCGGCATAACGCAGAGTACTCAGTGTTTCTTCGTAATCGGCTGGTGAGATAGCGGCAATCATGGCGGTCTTGGAATTTCCACCCAAGCTGTCCTTGAGGAGCCAGGTGAGGACCTGGAGACCATCGAATTCGCGGGACGGGTAATGTCGTTCAGAGAAATGTGTCAGGAGACAGAGGCGCGCAGAGATACGTAAGAAGCGGAGGTAAGTGTGGGGGCAACAACAGGAAGAAAACCTGCGACAATCACGCACGGAGTCACGATAAGGAATGAATTCCTCGCCCTTCCCCTTCTTCCCCTTCTTTCCATCAGACTGACTGGTTATGGCGAGCTGCGAGATAACCTTGCCAAGCGTTGTGAGCGACTTGTTGATGTTGGCACCTTCTTTCAACCTCTGGCCGGTCGCGCCTGTGGAGTTGGCGCGTTCAGATCCTGCAAGATCGACCAAGCTGGCGGGGCGGGATGGTAAGTCGCCAGTTAAATTCGAAGAGGGGTCCCTGTGAGAGTGCGTGTGCGCCCCACTGCGGAAAGTGGGACGAGAAACGCCCCCCGCGCTCGCGACTCACCTAATTCTCGACACTTTCTCGGTGTCCATCTTAGTTTCTACATCGTGTCGCTTCATTGTCAGAAGGAGGGTGAAGACGGCATGAGAACGTGAAGACCTGTTAAAGTGATATGAAATTGGTCAGTTGAAAATGCGGCACCAAACGTAAACACAGAGCGAAGGAGAAGGAGAATCTGCATACGTTTCGTTCATGTTGGTGGCTGCGACTGTACGCGCTTTGTTTCCTTCGTCCATGAGGTTCATCATTTCTTCGTAGGTGCTGACTACGAGTTTGGAGAGATCCTCGACATACGGTCCGTAGATGGGATGTTCACGGACCCTGAGATTCCCCGTGTTCTTGGGATTCAAGAGGTCGCGTACTTTCTCGTTGTAAATCTGAGGAGTTTGATTTAGACTTGCGGGCCAGTGCAGGAGGGTGGCTGATCATACTTCAATATAGGAGACTTCGACGGTAAACGTGAGGTTGGGATCTTCTGCTGTCTTCTGTGCGACTCGGGCGAACAACTCTGAACATGTCAGGGGAATGATACCCTTGTCGGGTCCGTCTGAACAAGGCGTCGGTTGTAAGCCACATGATTTGGGATTGCGGAGAACCAAAAGCGATACGAACAGCCCATCATACTATGTAGAAACCGAGTCAGGATTTGCATGCTCCAATCTATTGGAAATGGGGTGGGTATGCTCACCTATAAGATTTGCCGGAACCTGAATAACAAGGGAAGATAAATCTTGAATTGAGACAACTTCATCATAAGCCACTCGTACCAGTTTGACCATCTGTTGATTGGGGGTTCGGGTTCTAGCAGTCAGCCATGGGTTGCCTAGTAAATCGGGAGATTTGGTGGTTGTGTGGGTACTGACAAGCAAGAATACAGGCGTTGAATCCTGCGAATCCGTGATCCAGCAGCTCCTTTCCTAGGTCGTCGAATAGGGTTTGCTGTGAACAGTACCCCGGTTCGTCCCTTGGGCCGGCTGACCAGTAACTCTTGTCAAAGCTGAATGCCATTGTCTTGCGTTCTGTAGCTCGTTTGGTGTCCTGGGACGATCCTGGCTCTGGGGGGTCCAGGAACGTCTGGTTGCCCTGCATTCGGATGAGGGGCTTTGCGCCGCGCGCCAACTCTGTATGTGTTCCAATAAGTGTCCCATAGCTTTACGGAGACCCAGATAGGTTGTATGGGTCCACAATGAGTATGGCAGCCCACGCACCTCTCGAGTTGAGCGGCCGACATCGCACGACGACCTTGATGTTTCCTTCACCAGCCTCCGGCGCCATTTCGGATTCGTGGTCTTCGTGATTATCGTCGTATTAGGAGAAGAGGAATATAAAGTTGTTCCAGCGCTGCACGAGGCCAGGCGCCTTGAGCAAAGACAACAATGAGGAAAAAAAAAAGAAAACTCGTTGCTGCTGAAAGTTGGTCGTCGCCCGGTGTATGTCGTGGTTCTTGTTCAAAAGTCTCCAGACGCGTGCTGATCGCTGCCGTGTACCACTTGACAACCGCGTTTGGCTCCCATCAATTCCCTCCCACTCGAGAATGTGAAAATGTTCACATCGTCGCATTTTGGACGGGCCTTGGGTTTCAGCTTAATAGCAATACGGCTAGTTTAGCCAAACCAGTGAGGAAACTAATCGCACCAAACCAGAGCAAGCCATTTTAATTGCGCTTTATGTGAAGAGGCGAGACTGTACAGATTACACAGCAAAAACAGCAGAAAGAACGGGAAAACAGCCAGCAAAGAATAGATAATGTAGCACAAAGTAAACTACTAGATCTGAAGAAGAAAACATAGTAATCAGATGGTTCTCCAACAAGCAGTCGATCGTCTCGTTAGCAAGGGCATCAGACGTAGAGAGAACATGGCAAGAAGGTAAGAAGGGTAGAAAGGAAGCAAGATAAAAAAACGGCGGAAGATACAGTACAGGTCTATGAATCGCAGACTTGGAGACGAGGTTGACACAACAGCGTATGGGAGTAAAGAAAGGGCCAAGACATGAGAGGCAGGCGCAGAAAAATTCAAGCAAGGAGTACATGTCCGAAGAAAACCCGCGACAACGAAAGATACACGAAAATACGTCGAACTGAAGAACCGAAACAGAGCGCTGGAGGAGAAGGGTATCAAGTCCAGCTTAACCCGCTCCCCCCGTTGTACCCGTCCGCCCACGTTTCCTCGCCGATCGTTTCGCAGGCGGTCCCTCAGCATTCGACATCGCCGGCGACGACGTATCCGAAGTCTGTTTCCGCTTTAGCGAAGAATGTGACAGAGGAGGTGTGTTCGTATCAGCGGTCGATACTGCCGGGGACGCTGCCGATCCCATCCCATCCGAACCCCCGGACGTCCCAGCTTGATTTTGCTGTGGAACAGAACGATGTTCTTTTTGTGGTGAATTGGGCATTGTCCGTGGTGAACCTGCGAGCGTGGCTTTAGGAGGTGGCGGGATCGTTTGGGAGGCGTTGTGTTGAGGGGTGGTAATGGAAGGAGGGGCACTCGAGTTTAACGTGATCATTTGAGGTTGAGGCTGAGATTGATTATGACTGTTGTTGGTGTTGTTATTGAGGTTTGGGTTTAAGAAAACCTGGTTGGCTCCCATCGTAGGAGGTAACAGGGTTGCCCCATTGTCGCGAAGCCGTTGTGCAAACTTGGCTAGCGCATCTAATGGATCTGAATTAAAAAGTGAGGTCGATTTGTTTTCAGCGATCAGTAAATACCTAATGGTCCCAGCTTCGTCTCGTTTGCAAACGTAATCAGGTCCGCCATAGATCCTACACTTTCCGCCAACTGGCGGTATGAACATTAGTTTAAGGTGATAGGCGGGGCTTTTAAGTTCGGATTTAAAAGACTGACCTCTAAACATCGCATAGTCGCTTGGGGAATACCGAATGCGTTGACTGGCTCGCCGGGAATGCTCGCCTGGTCAATCAACACTCGTGGTTCCTCCAGCTGCCGCTGTTGTTCCTCTGACTGAGCCTCCGCCGAAGAGTTGGTTAACTGCCGTCCATGGCTGGGATCGGCCATCCGAGAGCCTGTGATAGCGTCTAGCGAGATATACTTGTCGTGGTGTAGAGCGTCGAATTCGAACTCTTCGAATTTGAGCATGTAACTGCCTTGGTTGGGCGCCTGAGGGTTTGGCGGGTTCGTTGCAGTGACGACGACATGGGCAGTTAAGGGCCCCCGTAACGTGACCGTATATCCATTGGTATACTTGTATGTCCACACAGCAGCGACGCATTCCACAATGGCGTGACCTTGGGCGTAGATCCGCTCCCGAGCGCCGTCGAGCGCTAGGGTCATTGACTTGACGCCGGATTGCGTCGTTACGAGGAAGAACCGAGGAAGGATGGGTAGGTTGATTTCTACCAATATGGGATCAAGTATCAATATCCTGAAGGACTATCCAGGGACGTACCGAATGGTTTCGCTTCGTTCTTTTGGTTGTCTTTCCAGAGCGTAAACCTCATGACGGCTTTTGGCGTGAAGTATTCCTTTACAAGATCGTTCCACCACGACAATTGAAGTTTCTAACCATCGGGATTAGTCAGATTCCCCCGTGAGGTTGCCGCATACGTACGTTTTTGTTCTCGCTGGAGAGTATCCCGCTGAACTGAAGCAAGCGTATTAGGCCTTGTCCACTTCCAATGACAGACGAGTATCTATCAAGCTGATTAGATCCCCACGATTTGAACTTTATGAAACATGTACTCACTGGTTCCTCGAAGGGGGTTGGGGTTGCAGAGGCATCGGGGCAGGTGCGGGCATGTTCTGGATACCCTGTGGCGGGAGCGGAATGTTTCCTGGCGGAGGCTGTCGAACAACCATGCCACCAGGTTGCGGCTGTTGCTGCTGAGAAGGCGGGGGTGGTGGTGGACCAGCAACCATGCCCGGCTGTGGTTGATGCTGGGGTTGCTGCTGCTGCCCACCACCCGTCAGCTGCGGCTGCAACATGCCTTGAGGAGGTTGAGGTCCATGTCCGCCAGCTGATACGGGCGTCTGTTGTCGAGGGTGAGGTCCAGCACCGGGAGGAGGCGGTATCCGAACGCCTTGTTGTAATGAGGGCGGTTGGCCAGGCATTCCCGGAGCATTCGGAGGTAAGGAAGGGTGCGCGGATCGTGGCGTCTGTGTACGTGAAGGGGTGCTTTGAGGGGGCATTTGCGGGTTGGAGTGGTGTTGAGGCTGCGATTGTGGTCGCGATTGTGGCCTGGAGGGGTGTGCGAGTTGGTCGGCAGGATTTGACGGAAGGGGTGACGCATGTGAAGCAGGAGTACCGGCCGTTTGTGGAGGTTGAGGTACTGGCTGAGGTTGATGCTGCGGAGGAGCCAACTGAGGGCCCATTGGGTGAGTGTTCATACCGTGGTTAGTATGTTGAGAGGGCGGTCGCGGAGGGACGGAGGAAGGAGGCGCCATAGGAAAGTTATGGCCGCTGAATGGGTCCGTATTCGTCGAATTCATGGCATTAGCGTTGTTCATCTGTAGTTGCTGGGCAGGTGTAGGTTGGAATCCGGGACGCGGTTGAGAATTCGGTGTCCCTTGGTTCATAAGGTTCATGGATGTGTCACTGGCTTCCGGCGTCGAAGGTTGAAAAGGAAATTGGTTGCCTTGAGGAGGTACGCGGGGGCCCATACCATTGTTAGGGAATTGGGATCCAGGGTAACTCACAAAGCCCATCGCGCTGGAGTTGTCTGGGGTCATAGACGCTCGGTTGACGGGAATTTGAGGACCTGAGGAACCCATGCCCAGCGCATTTGGCGGAAGAGAGTTTGGTCGCGGTGATGCTGCTAGCTGAGATGGCTGGTTTGGGACTCCATTCGGGAACATAGGGTGCGGCTGAGGTCCCATCGATCCTGGTTGCTGCAGACTATTCATCACTGGCCCTTGACCCACTCCTCCCCCTCCCATCCCTGGATTCATCATCTGACTCCCTCCACCCATCTGTCGAGCGGCTGCTGCTGCCATTTGCTGTCGTTGTTGCTGTTGCTGGTGTTGAAGGCGCATTTGGTTCGCTTGATGCTGCATCGGTGGCGGGACGCCTTGCGGGATACCCATACCCCCCGACACGACAGGGTTCATATTTGGCGGGACCATATGGCTTTGAGAAGGGACTCGTCGGATATGGTTTCCGGGCATTTGTTGGTTTGACATCCCCTGGGTGGGGAAACCCACGTTTTGAACCTGAGGGTTGAGACCAGCCATATGAGGACCCCCAGCGGCATTCGGGGCGGGGATCATCTGCTGAGGGCCTTGACCTGGTCGAATCATATTAGGGCGCCCTGGCTGCTGGCCGTGCTGCAGTTGCTGCTGAGGACCACCCTGCATAAGGAATCGTTGGTTTGGTTGCTGGAGCGACATGTTCGACGCCGGCAGCATGCCCATTGCTGGATTGGGGTTGATGCCCCCCGACATGTTCATTGGGGCCTGGCCGAGCTGCTGTTGGCCCAAGTCGCCCTGGTTTTGTAGGAAAGGGCCACTGCCCATTCCGAGCATCGCCTGGGACTGTGACATGTGGTTCCGGAGGAGGTTAGTGTTCATATTCATCTTGAAGCTGTCAATACGAGTTCATTGAGGTTGAAGACGAGAAAAGGCGGTACCTGAGCCCATGAACAAGCGGTTGAACCGTCGAAAAGAGGTTAAGCGACGCTAAATTCGCCGGACAGGTCGCACGAAGATCGAGCGAGATGGTTTCTCGGAGAATTAAGGCGACGATGGCGACACGTCGAAGGGTGATGCTCGCTGCCGGCGACGACGACTAAGGGAAAATGGGGGGAGTTGGGCGTCGTGAACGACGAGGAGGAAGGAAGAAATTGTTGGCCGGGGATAATTCCTGGGCAAGCGACGGGGGAGCCCCAGCGAAGAGGCGTGTTGATAGTTTGTAAACAAACCACCATCATCAATGCGCCAACTCAAATACCACGAAAAAAAGCTTTTAAAGAAGGTCGATTTTCTCAATGTAAGTCTTGCTCTGTAGATTCTAGATATTCCTCTAATACTCTTTCAAAGTGGAAAAATGACGCCAATCTGCGAGAAATCAAGGTTATGCGCAGGTATCATATCCAAGACCGGGAAGACTACCACAAGTATGTCTGTTTTTTACTCACTGACATTCACCTGAAAATAATGTGTGCAGATACAACAAACTCTGTGGACAACTGAGGTCTTTTGCCCATCGAATCTCGCTTCTCCCAGCCCAGGACCCGTTCAGAACAAAGATGGAGGGCCAGCTCCTCTCAAAACTCTACGATATGGGAATTCTAAACACAGCAGCCAAACTAAGCGATGTGGAAAACAAAGTCACTGTCGCTGCCTTCTGTCGACGGCGTTTGGCCGTTTTTATGTGCATGTCAAAAATGGCGGAGACAGTTAGTGCGGTATGTCTCTTCCAAATGCTCCACTGTCTTCTAGCCTGAACGAAACGGGATTCCAGGCAGTGAAATTTATTGAGCAGGGTCATGTCCGCGTCGGTCCCGACACCATAACCGACCCCGCTTTCCTGGTGAACAGGTTTGAATCTGCAGAAATCTTCCATTGTTTCCTTCGTTTATCGACGCTCTTTCCCCAGACACATGGAAGATTACGTTACTTGGGTTGACACTTCAAAACTCAAGCGCACCATCATGGAATACAATGACGAGGTTTGTCAGGTTCTGGGGATCGGGGTAGGACTGTTCACTGAAGATTGTGTCCCCTCTAGCTCGACGACTTCGATCTGCTTTAATTTGGCAGTATCCATAACGATGCAACCTTTGACGGTTGCTGCTAGCCCACTTGAACATATCAGATGGCTCCCAGGAGGAAATGACCATGGATCTTGCCCTCTTCCCGCCGCGAGACCGCGAGGGATTTGCGTTCTATCTGTGGCACAAACGTCCGTTTGGATGTACCAGTCCTCCAACAGCCAGTCGGAGCTGCGACGGTCACTTTGGCCTCTCGATGTCCAATCAACTACACATACGATTTCGCCCAAGTTTGTACCCGAGGTTGGACTTTATCGGTTTCTTTTGTCAATAAAGTGACTGCATCTTCGCCAGTTCTGGCCTCGGCGCATCGATCCCGAAATTGAATGTCCGATGAGGCTGTCTTTGATCCGCTACGGCGGCTTGAAATACGCGCTCCGTTGGGTCTGAAGGCCTTGAACCTCCAGCCTTTCGAATTCCTCAGGTATACTTAGCTCAAGAGTGAAGGTCGTACTGACTGTTTGCCCTCCAGCTCGTTCTCCTCGGGGACGACGCGCTCACCTCGTTCACTGCAGGTCCAGTTTGTGGATGAGGGTAGGTGCTCTCTGCCGTGAAAGAGTGGGTAATCCGTGACTTTCTGACAGATAGTAAACGGTGTCGAGACTGAAACTCCATCTTCTATGATCTACCTTGATTTATCGGACAGAAAATGATCTCTGTGAGGTAAAACTTCATGCGATAAGTGTTCCAAAGTGTTTCTCGACCCACAATGGCACTAATATCGCCCACAAAACCTCAATCCGCGCTGGTCAAGACGTGACTTAGGGAACAAGACACGCTTTATCGCGTAGTAATATCAGAAGCTGTGGAAACTGCCGGCGCTCTTATTCTTGGGACACACACTCTCTCGGTGGGACTGGCGGGAAGGAAATGGTGAAGCTGGTACATAAAGATGTGTGCCCTCGGTGGGGCTGCCCCACTGTAAGTTATCGGGTGCCATGGCTTCCCAGGCCGAGTTCGAGCAGCTTGTCAGCTTTCTTAAGATCGCACAGGAGGGAAATTATTCCACAGGTAAGTTGAATGCCTGCATCGTGGTTTGGACATGGAAGCTAATTGCGGCTGGGCTAATCTAGCTGCTGGGTTGTCACTGCTCACTTTTGATGTCTTTTCGACGTTTCAAGATGAGGTGTGTTGTTGCGTGCTGAGAAGGCGTTGGCTTTCCGACGACCTAAACTTATTGCTGTTTACCAGGTCCGGTATATATGGCGGTATGTCGTCTGGCTATAGGCCGCTGGCGGTCTTCAGGTTTTTGAGGATAAACGATCTTCTTGACTCCAGGTCGAGATGGAGTGTAGCCAAAGTTGCGTACTTGCTGGCGAGATACTGGGCGTTGGTATTCATGATGTGAGTGTCGGCTTCCCCTCGGTTATATGCAAGACAGGTGCCTGACCACGCTTCTAGTGTTATTTTGGCTGGTAGATTTGCTTCCAACTCCGATGAGAGGCGTAGGTCTGACGAAATCGATATAACCCAGCGGCGACGAGCAAACATAGTGTCAAGGTATGCCAGCTGTATAATCACATCTTCCTTCGATCCTGACATTGAAGTAGTAGTATGTGTCGGCACGCTATGAAGAGTTCCCGTCGACCTAAGACTTAACTCCCTAGCTGCCAAGGGTACTTCATCTTTCACAATTTGTAAGGTTCTTCTCTTGTGGCTGCAACGGACTGCCCGCTGACCTGATGCTGATGACTCTGATTTTGCAGCTTTGGGGATTTGTTCTGTATGACAATTGTGTCTGTTATATCAATTCTGCGAGTGTATGCGTTGTATGGGAATAGCCTCAAAGGTGCGGATGTTCCTATCGGTCGCAAATTCACAGGCGCTTAACCAAATCCAGTTCTGATATTCACCATCTTGGCTTGCTCTTGTAAGGTTTTTTGTTGTCCGATGGGTTGAATTAAACGCTTAACACTACCTTTGTTGATGACCCATAGGTGCCTTTGCGGTAGGTCATATATGTCTGTCCTCTGCAAGCTCTGCCTCGACGATTTGGTTATCAGATGGAGTTTTATGCTGCCTGGGCAGCCACGAGCATTTCACTTCCACTGGTCTTTGTCATATCAATTCCCCAATTCACTGGATGCCTCGCCCGAATGCCAGCTAGCGCCGTCAAGAATACGCTTTTTGCATGGTATTGATGCTCTCTTACACCATCACCGTCTCACGAGGTCCTCACGCAGTGCACACAGGGTTCCATCGATCGCTATTGCACGTGAGATCCGCACCAATACCTACCATGGGCTTGACAGGCTTCTCATATGCTAACATGGACGTTCTAACCTCTGTACAGTGCTGTTTTTCGTGCTCACATTGGCAAGATTCCGCCAGGCCTTGCGTGATCATTATGGGAAGGCAGGGCGCGACCATGCAATAACTGAGAAGGTCTCGAGTCTTTCGCCACTTTTCCTGATTATAGTCCGCGATGGAGCGCTGTTTTTCTTTCTGTAAGTGTGAAATTCAATCCTTAAATCCTGAAAGTAGGTTTGCAGTTCTCTGAACAATTGGCGCGTTTGGCTAGGATCCTTGGTGAGACTGCCTTCTTGATTTAAAACGAGAGACGACATTGAATGATTCTCGCCCACGTATAGTGACGACCTCCATTTTGACGATGAATGTGTTTTATAAGGAGGGGATGTATCATCGGATCGTTGCACCGTGGGTCTCGCCATTTAACTACTGAGGCTGGACGCTGACGACTGCATAGCTGGCTTCACGTTAGCTTTTCTTGCGTCGTAAGTCCTTCACTCGTGAACCCTTCCTCCCGGCAGAGAAACATATATAATGTTCTTTATAGGCAGCCAGACTGGTCATCAATCTGCACAGTACCGCTCGTAGGAAAATGCAGAGGCCGATGATCGACTCAAATGACCCTGCGGTTGAACACTCGCCAGGCCGGCCTATTCCACTTCGACCCATTATCTTCAATAGAAGAGCGGAACTGGAGACAGGGATATCTGTGAACGTGGAGGTGGAAGAGAGGGCTGATTACGGGGGACTTGGAGATTCGAAGAGCTATTGGAAGGCATAGTGGGAGCTCGGGCCGCATGCAGGAGTGATTTATGTCGAAATACGGTAGTCCATAGACAATCTACGGGCTTTGCACTGACGACTAATGACTTCCCGGGCTACTTGCTGGTGTAAAATCAGGCCTCTCGCGCGAATTGAACCTTGCTCTGAAACTTCCAACCAATCAACGTTTTCACAACGGCCATCAACGGCACGCAAACACTCTGTCACTCTGACATCGGACACTATAATTGGGCGTCTAACCATTTCTTTCTCTTCTTGTTTTGGTGCCTCTCCTCAGGGCCTCAGGGTCTTTGACAACTGCCGGAATCTCATGACCAACGGAAAACCCCCTTCAAGCGACCATCGACGGGCTCAGAGACCTAGCTGGTCAATTAACCACGGGAAAAGCCCGTCGATTATGCCGGGGAGGACAATAAATTCAGGGTAACCGGGCTGTACGTCAAATACTGATAGGGACATCTCCAGGACTTACAAGCGATAGATACTTAGGATGGAGCATCACATAAGCCCTCGGTGCCTGGCCTTTGGTTCCCATCTTTCCGCCAAATTCCGGTTTGTTGGATAACAAGGGACACTTATGGACACTGCGGTGCGAGGGTGATTTCCCTCCCCCGCCAACAGCCCCCCGCTCATTGAACACCTTCCACTTTGGACTATGGAGCCCCAACCCGTAAACCCAGACAGCAGGCCATTGCCTGAAGGTTGGTTCCAGCATTATGATGCATCGTGCGTCCTATCTTTCAGTAGCACGTTATGAAGTGTTCTGACGGTTTGCGTGAATTATCTGCAGGCAGAAGATCTGGTAGGTTTGACCTCCCCCGCTTTCGTTCCTAGTTTGCTAATGTCCTTCAGGTACTACGTACAAACCAATGTGATGCCTCCAAAGATCAGTTTGACGCATCCTGCAGGAGATAGTCCGAAAGGGCCACCGCCCGTCCAGAATGCATGCACATCCTCCATTGAAGCGGAACCTACGCCCCCCTACACACCGATTCCTCAAGCCTCCCCGCCTGCCGCGTCTAATTCACCTTCTACGCCTCCTGCGCCCCCTCCATTTGATTCAATTAAAGCGGAGGCTTCGCCTGCCTACATGCCCATTGCATCTCCGGCCTCCCCACCTGCCATGTCCCCTTCGCCTTCGACGTCATTTACCCCCGCTGCAGCCCCTCCCCCTGGCGCACGCGCTTCACCCGCATCACCTAGTCTACCTTCATCTCCATCCTCACCGGCACCCGCCCACAGCAAACTCTCTGCTGCTCAACTCCTCTACGCCAGCGCGGCTCAGAAGGACACGGGTTTTAGCGACCCCCTAATCCGAAACCCCGCGATCTTGGGCGGGGGAGGCGTTGCTCCTACCCAGCGACCGACGACCTTGGGCGGCCGAGCCCTCCCTGCGGTTCCCTCGAACATGAACCAAGCACCTATCCTTACTACCATGAACAGAAACTCGGTAGTCGCTGGGGTACAGTCCAGATCGGGTAGCTTACTCGAGGGAGGAGCACCGCAAATGGTTCAGAACGGTGCAATATCGGTTGAGTATCTCACCGGTCCAAAAGCTCCGTACGAGCATGGGCAACCCCAAACCCCCCAAATGACGGCTGCACGCCTCCTCGCAGCTCGAGCTCAAACGCTGCCTCCCAATCCCACCCCTCCTCCAAAGACCGACCCTTCTCAAGCTCACACGAGGCGAACTTCGATGTACAGTACAGTTTCCCTTGCTGGGAGCGTGGCCAACACACAAAGCTCTGGGGGTCCATCGGTCCCCCACATCGTTACCACTTTACAACAGCCTTCAACTCAGCCAATGGGAAGTGCTACGTCCAGCTTTCTGACTCAGGTCGCTGCCCCCAAGCCCATTCCCGCTGTCTCTAACCCCCTTCCGCCTCCTCTCCCACCCAAGCCGGCCCCGCCGCCGGCAAGCACGCTGGCCCAGCCAAACGCCACAGGGAATATGAGCATCCATTCTCTCATGTACAGGCAACTTCCAGGTGTGGGAGTAGGACCACAAGCCGCACTTAGCCCTAGCCCGCTGCAACCCAACCCAGGGCCGCAACTGGACCAACCTTTCACTTCCCGACCGCCCATTCCTCCTCCGAAACACATTTCTCAGATCATTCCCGCCTCAGTACCCACATTCACGCCCCTTCAAGCAAAACAACTTGCCCAACTCACTGCTCAGCAAAACCAGTCCCAAGCGGTTCAACTCTCCGCCCAGTCCACAGCGCGAGCTATCAAGCAGGCCTCTAAGGCTCTCGGGAAAGCAACAAAGAAGGCAGCGTCTGCCACTTTGAATAGGCTCGCCCTCGGTGTCGAGTTCGTCAGTGCATTAACAACCGCCCTGGTCGATCCCCGAACGGGCCAGGGAGTACTCGAGGACTCCAAGCTGCAAGCCGTGCTGCAAGGGGATGTGAACGCGGACTATCAGGGGGTGATAAATGCATTGTTGCAGCAGCAACAGAAAAAGCCAGGACAGGCTGCACAGTATCAGGTCTTGATTGGGCAGGTTCAGGCGTTGCAAGCTCATGCCATGTTGAAGCGGATTCAACTGCAGCAACAGGGCCAGGCGTCGCAGTTGACATTGCAAGCTCAGACGACCGGTACGTCTAGTCTTCCGGCCGGAGCGAATCATCAATCGAATGCGCTACCAACACAAGCGACCGGCCAAGCGCAAGCGCCCCAGATACTATCGCAGCCGGGTCTTTGGAATGTGCCTCCTCCTCCACCCCTTGCAAGTGGCCAACAGGCGCTTGGTTCTCCTCCAGCTACGCAAGTGGCGGGCGTGAACGGCCAAGCCCTGCCTTTGTATTCCAATACAGCACCTCCAGACCAGTCCAACGCTCCCTCGAGTCCTCCTCCGTTTAATCAACTTGAACAGCCATTGCAATCTCCTTCTGCGACTCCAACCTCACCTCCCCCTGCGTTTGCTCCCCAGGAAGGGCCACAGGGCCAGCCATCTGCTCCGGCGCCTTCTGACTCCGACCCTGCCCCCTCGGGCGATGCCTTCTCAGGACAGTCTCACCAAGACCTCCAGCAACTCGTCGCTCAGCTCCTCGAGCAACAACAGCGACAAGAGCAAGAGAAGCAACAACTCCTTAGACAGCTCCAAGAACAACAGGCTCTGCAGCAGCAGCAATTGTTGCAACAGCTTCAGGAACGACAGGCGGCGCAGCAGCAGCATCAGGAACAGCTTATGGCGCAACTTCAAGCGTCTCGGGCTCTGAATGCCCCTGCCCAGCAGCAAATCGACTTCCAGAATATCGCCGCCCAACAAATGCAAGCAGGATCTGACCTATTCAACGCCCAGCTTCAGCATCAGCTGGCGGCCCAAAGTCAGCAAACAGACACACTTGCCCAGTCGATTGCACAACAAGCGGATGCAACGGCGCAATCGATCACAGACGCCGCGCTTCAGCAGGGCCAGGATGCCGCCAACGCTATTTTGAGTGGACTGCTTGGGGGTGGTGTAGGTCAACAACAATCGGCAGGACTTGGGAATTTGGTCTCTTCGCTTCTTGGGGGTGGTCAAGCCGGAGGGAATGAAGAAGCGTCTTCTTTGTCGCAACTCTTGGGTGGTGGCGGAGAAGGCGAAGGAGTATCCTCTGCCTTGTCTCCGCTCCTGGGTGGAGGGGAAGACACGTCGGGACTTTCTTCTGCTTTCTCCCAGCTGCTTCTAGGAGGCGGAGCCGGAGCGGCTGGTGAAGGTCAAAGTTCAGGTCTATCCCAACTTCTCTCTGGAGCAGGGGGCGGAAACGCAACTGAAGCCGGCGTGATGGACGCATATGCCGCTCTCCAAGCGAACCACCTATCCAACCTCTTCGAGATGCAAGGGCTCAGGAACGCTGCTTCCCTTGTTTCGGGTGACCAGTACGTTACGACAACCGCGTATGAATCTGTGTTCTCGCCGATGGATACGGCGCTAGCGAATAGTCTTTCGTATATCTAGGTTGAAGTTGGGACTCTGTACAACTTACGGCTTTTTGATGTACACTAGGGCGATCCTCTTTTTTGATTTGTTGTATTCCTTCTATACCCCACGGACGAACTTGAACTACCGACTACTTTGACAAACACATACACGCACAGCTCTAGCTAGAATACACGGATTTTGAATGCGCAATGCGAGCCAAAAACGAAAAGACAGCGGATAAATATGAAATAGAAAGCTCGTGATACAATCGTAACCCATAACGAATAGCATGGCGAATCATGTGAATGCACTTTCGAAAACGAGTTTCCTCGGTTTCTTCACGACCGGTGTTGTCGAGAGTAGGGCGGGCCTATCGAAGAGGAGACAAACCAGTCAGCACCTTGATGGCTCCAGAAAGGAATGGAGGAAACGTACATGGAGGTACCACACATCGCTGCAGGATTACCCATGATAATACTCTCTGACACACCAGCGATGCTATCCGTCTTGCCGTATGCTGATGCATCGAACAGATGATCGGTGGTCTTCTCGAAGGAGGCCAACATGAGCACGCTATCCTTCATCTTGGCCACACCGAATCGCGTAATACCCAATACTTCACCCTATACGTCGAGTATGATTAGATAGCGGGTCCGTGGCTAGCTATTGAGGGACTCACCTTGTAAGTCATGACATCTCCCAGCAACATGACGTGTCGAGGATCGATATTCATGTCGTGCGACTTCATTGTATACTGGATTTCGTTGATGATCGTCCTTCGAGCCGCTTCGATACCCAAAACTTGGGCTACTTCGATGACATGGTTCGAGGTTGTGAACTCTCCGACGACACCTGTGAACAGCCATCAGTCCACGTTCCGGGACCGTCTTTGAACGAGTGGTGGATAGGAGTCGAACGCACCTTCTGTGATCATGCACTTCTGCAGGCCGTACCCTTCGACGAGGAGCTCCTTGTCGCCTTTCTTCCCCCGGTCATCGTCCTTGTCTTTGATGTTGATGATAGCACGTTGGATCGTTGGAAGGCCTTTGACGACGACGTCTGCCAGACCTCGCCGCAATTCACGGATGCGGTAGAACTTGTCTTCGCCGTCGACGTAGATGCGGAGACGGTTCTTGCGGGGAATGATGGTGATAGACTAAGTGAGAGGGTCAGCTTGACGAAAATGAATGTGAAGAGTGGGGTTCCCGTACCTCTTGTTTGATCTTGAGTTTCTTTGCCGCGACGATGGCCCATTTGATGTCGTCCAGTGTCAACTCGAGCTGAAAACTGCCGCGTTAGACTATGCATGGAATAAATAATGAGACGAAAACGCACCTGGAGCTTCTGGATAGCATCGACATCGACGATAATACCGATGTAGGTATAATCCGGAGCCCAAGCTTCTTCCAAAACACTGACAACCTATTCGCAATAATAATTAGCATCTCAAATCATCGCAGACCAAAAAGGACAAGCGTACATCTCCCAGCAAAGTCTTCTCCAACCGGCCCTTGACAATACGCGCCGAGGGCTCGCTATCGGGTGTGACGAGCTTACAACTGATAATGGGTGTGCTGATAGCTTTGGCGGCGTTGATAATTTCTTTGATACGAGGGACACCGAGGGTGACGTTCATGGATGCGACACCGGCAAAGTGGAAGGTTTTGAGCGTCATCTGGGTACCGGGTTCACCGATGGATTGTGCGCCGACAGCTCCCACCGTTGAGCCTGGGGCGTGGATTAGTACAGAGGTAGGGGGTTAACAGGGAAATGTACGCACCAGGTTCAATCCGAGCTTTAACATATCTCTCCCAACAGATATCCAAAAAGATCCTAAGATGGCTCTCCGTCACCTTCGCTTTATTATCCACCACCCTCTTACACGCCTCGCTCGCTCCCAAAGTCAAGTCCATCTCCTCATCCCACTCCTCCGGCTTCTCCAGCGCATCAAACATATCATGCTTAGCGCGCACACTCGCCACACGGCTCGCCACCTTCTTGACGATGAAGTCGCGGACGGCGTCGCAGTAGGCGGGGAGGCAGGACTGGGTGAAGCGGGGGGAGGCGAGGGTGGTTTCGACGATTTGGATGATTTCAAAGGGGAGGAGGCCGCGGGTCTTGCGGTTGCTGCGGGCTTGGGCGTGTCGCCAGGAACGGTCCATGTCGAGGGGCTGGGCGTCGCCTTCGAGACACGCGGGGTCCAGGCCGTCGTCTCCGTATTGGAATTGCACGACGCCGCCGGTGGAGTTGCGCACGGAGAGGTCGTATTGCGTTGTGAGATCCTCGAGGGCTTTCATGAGACGCCGCTGCATGTAGCCTGTTTCGGCGGTTTTGACGGCTGTGTCGACTAGACCTTCTCGTCCTGAGATGGCGTGGAAGAGGAATTCGGTGGCGACGAGGCCCGAGTAGAAGGAGTTGCGGACGAAACCTTTGGACGGGGGTGTTTTGGATTTCTTGGGGAAGTGAGGGAGGGAGCGGTCTTGGAAGCCGTTGGGGACACGGTGGCCTGCGATAATTTGTTGACCGACACAGGCAACCATCTGGGAGACGTTGATAACGGAACCTGCGCACCACAGTTAGCATTTGGGCAACCACCTCTTCGTGAAGAAACACGCACCTTTGGAACCACAGGTAGCCATGATAAGTGGTGCATTATGTCTGCTCAACTCTTTCATACAGATTTGACCGACCTCTTCTCGGACTTTGGAGAGGACGGAAGAGATCATAGCTTCGAGGGTTTGTTCCTGGTTACAACCGGGCTTGTTCTCGAGTTTACCCTTTTTGGCGAGGGCGATGAGGTCTTCGCAGTCTGCGTAGGCTTTCTCGACGAGAACGTCCTTTTGAGAGGAGAGAACGGGACCGGGGATGACGTCGTTGATTCCGAGCGAGAAACCATAGTTGGCTGGACAAGAATGAGTTGTTGGAATGGGCAAGGTAGAAGGTGGGAGGGTCGTACCTAGGTATCGAGCGCATAGTTTGGCTAGACGACCCATGGCGATAGCTGCTTCATGTGGTCCATAGTCACGGAGAATAACACCGAATATCGATTTCTTCTTCCCGCTACCGACCGTAGCCTTATCCATCACACCACACATGATCTCGCTGTTCACCACGACTAGCCATCCGTCGTTAGGTGACAAGTCTGGTTGGAGCGTTATCCTGGGAGGGAAGTTCTGCGGCTTAGCTTCCTCCCATTTCTGGCATTTCGATTCGACGTTGATGAAGATCTTGGATTGTTTGTTGGGTCTCATCAGGACGTTGAAGATCTGTTTTCCTGTCCATAGCTGGACTGGTTTCCAAATCGTCGGTGGAGGGATGTCGATATGTAGATCTGCGTCACCGAGGTAGCAGCATATCTGCGTAAACTCTCGTCTGTCGAAGAATCGGTCTTTGCGGGAGATGAGGAAGGAGGCGGTGATGAAATCCTGGATGGCAGAGATGACGGGTTCGCCGTTTCGGGGAGTGACGAGGTTGTGTTTGACGGACATGAGTTCGAGGGCTTCTGTGCGGGCTTCTTCGGTTTGGGGGACGTGCAGGTTCATTTCGTCTCCGTCGAAATCTGCGTTGTAGGGTCCGCAGACACATTCGTTTAGACGGAAGGTTCGCCATGGTCGGATTTTGGCGCGGTGACACATGATGGAGAGCTAAGAAGGGTGTTTTGTTAGAGGGATTTAGGGGAGTTGATGGAAAATGGGAACTCACTTTGTGGAGACTGGGTTGACGGTTGAAGAGGACGATGTCGCCGTCGATGACGTGCCTCTCGACTATGTCCCCGATTGCGAGATTGTCTGCGATAGCTTGCCTGTTTCCAAACTTGAGAAATTTCTTGGTTTCTCCTCGCGCGACGTAGTTGGCTCCTGGGTGGACGTCAGGTCCATTCCGAATAGCCTGTCGGAGCGTCTCGATGTTGTGCATGGTGACTCGTTCAGGGTAGGTTAGGATCTTCGCTACCCGCTCTGGAACGGCTACTTCGTCGATGCGGAGGTTGGGGTCTGGAGAGATGACGGTTCGACCGGAGAAGTCTACTCGTTTTCCGGAGAGGTTTCCTCGGAAACGGCCTTGCTTGCCTTTTAGGCGCTGGACGAAGCCGCGGATGGGCTTTTGGCCCATTTGGGAGGGTACACCTGGGAGTTCGGAGTTGATGTACATTGCTACGGAGAGTTGGAGGAATTCCCATTGTTCCTGGCATGCGAATGAGGATCTAAAGGTGCTCTGCAGGAGGGATGTGTGCGTACCATGAATTGAGGTGTAGGTGCACCTTTGCTGAGGCCTTGTTTGATGAGAGCGTTGGTGAAGACAATTTCTGTGAGTTTGACTGTGATGTCGTCTTCGTTGGATGCGCCGTCTTGGGCTACTGAGGGACGGATGCAGACAGGTGGGACGGAGAGGTATTGCCAGATGAATTGTTCTGGTCTTCCCCATTCTGGTCGAAGACCGAGGAGTTCGCAGTCCTAGTACCCCTTTAGCATGCGATGTTGGAAGAACAAGAGGTTACACACTTCGTCTGATATCCTCCGGAACAAATCCAGAACCTTTAGAGGGTTCAGATCCTCCACCACCGCCTTGTTCAAATACATCCCCAGCTCTTTCTGAGCCTCGACAGCCGCGACAAATGTCTTCTTCCACTTTTCGAGTTCGTCGGCTGTTTTCTTTGCGCGGAATTTGTCGTGGATGATTTTGAGTGCGCCTGCTGTTTTGACTGCGCCGTTTGTTGCGGAGCAGTAGGGGCAGTAGACGACTTTGCGGGCCATGGAGTTTACGGCTTTGAAGAGTGCTTGGCGGTGGATGTTTTCGAGGTTGGGGCGGCGGAAGCGTTTGAGGTAGGTGCGCCTATCTGGTTCTTCGAGCAGGACGCGTGCGCAGGACTATAGTTGGATTTAGTTGGGGTGTATATGAGGACTAGGGTGGTGAATACCTTGCATATTGACTGGAGGATTCCGATTGTGTGTTTAAAGTAACCGATGTGGAAGACTGGGACGCATAGTTTGATATAGGCGTAGTGCCCCACGCAGTTTACGGACGATTGACCACAGGTTTCGCAGAACGCGCTTTTTTCTGTTGTTCCCTGGTGTTTTTATCAGCCAAAGTTGTTTATATGAAAGCTGGTTTACTCACCAGACGCCTGTCGAGGACACCATGTTTTACGGGTAGCCGTTCTGTAGGAGTGTAGAGATCTCGGTGCGTGACCTCAAACTCTGATATTTTTACCGTATCTTGGGCATTTAGAAGGCTGAATTGGAGCTTTTTGCTGTAAATTCCAGTTAGAGGTTGAGATATCTGGTTGTGTAGGTATTTCGTACATTACTTTAGGCGCCTGGTGAGAAACGGCCTCCTTCATGGCTGCTTGGACATGGGCGATTCAAGTCAAGAATCAACAGGCGCGCATAATCAATCTTGACTCGTCGGTATCGGCCCGAGTTTGATCCGTCTGGATCTTGGGTCCCCGTGATCACTGGAGACTTGCGCGTCGTCGAGAGCTGCGTCGCGCCAATTATTGTTGCTTATACCACAATCCAAATGTCGCGGACGTCTTATGATAGGTACGGGGTTTCTGGTATACTGATAAGAGAGGGAACTGATAGAGAATAGGTACCTGACGGTCTTCTCGCCTGAGGGACGGTTATATCAAGTCGGTGAGTGCGTTTAGTGGCTTTGGAGACGTGCGATGCTAATGAAGGAACAGAATATGCGTTCAAGGCTATCTCTGGGAGCGCGCATACCTCGATCTCTGTCCGTGGAAAGGATACCGCGGTGGTGATTACCCAGAAGAAGATCCCTGTGCGTTCTACCCTTTTCGTGTAGAACGAATCCTGATTGTGTTTGGGATATAGGACAAGCTCCTCGATGCATCTACTGTTACTCATTTGTTCAGTATTACCCCTACGATTGGGTGTGTTGTTACTGGGCTGATTGGTGCGTCCGCTTTACCTTATATTGGGAACTGAGAGCTGACGTTCTTACTTATTCATTCCGCTCTTTGACTACGATATGTCGACGCGATAAACGAAACTCGACATCCGATGAAAACAGCCGACGCACGAGCCCAAGTCCTACGCGCACGCTCTGAAGCAGCCGAGTTCAGATACAAGTTTGGATACGAGATTACGCCCGACGCCCTTGCTAGGAGGATTGCGAATATCAATCAGGTCTATACCCAGCGTGCTGCTATGAGGCCTTTGGGAATTGGTGCGTGTTCTCAGTTCAGCTTTGACCTCACTGGGCTCAGGTCGTTCTGTCCATGCCTATTCATCATCCTCGCAAACGCTGCACTACATTTGTACCTACAGCCATGATCCTGATTGGCATCGATCCCGAATTCGGACCTCAAGTTTTCAAGTTGGACCCTGCGGGGTACTTTGTGGGCTTCCATGCGACTGCTGCGGGACAGAAGCAACAAGAGGCTATGAATCATTTGGAGAAGAAGTGGAAGAAGTTGGAGGGTGGGAGGGGAGGTGAGGATGCGGGTGAGGCGGGCAGGAGGTTGCAGAGGGATCAGGTTATTGAGGTGCGTAGTTTTGATGTTATGTTGTCGCTGTTTGAGATTGACGACTTGGGTGTTTTGTAGATGGCGATTGAGGCGATGTCGGTTGTGCATGCTACGGATTATAAGCCCGGGGAGATTGAGATTGGGATTGTGTCGAGTAGTGAGGATGAGCCTGAGAAGACTAGAGGGTTGTGGAGGACTATGGACGAGGCTGAGGTCGAGAGGCATTTGCTGGCGTATGCTGAGAAGGATTAGAACTGTATCAATTCTTGTTGTAATATACCTCGTGTCTTCGAGTTCCCTTTTCGAATTTCGTTTGAGCATCGATGAGGACAGGGCCTTGAGGCACCCCTTGAGGGAGATTAATTAAGTTAAATTATAGGTAAATATGTTGGTTCTTTCTAGTCGACACAGTTCGTTCATAGTGATGGTTGTTTCTACCAAGTTGATGAAGCTCCTCCGCTCTAAAACACACGCAAGTGCCTCTATTAGTTGACTGCACAAAACAGCCAGGATGAAGTGAACGCACCATGATAGCGTCCATTTCTCTATCCTCGAGGGTGTTAACTCGGGACTTCCAGTACTTGGACGGTGCCTCCCAGAAGTGGGTGTACACGGGGACGTCACTGTCGGATCCTGACGACGGCGATGATGAGCTTGGGGAACTTGAGGTGCTGGCGCTGGAGCCTTGAGGAGCAGGAGTGAATACTCGTTGGAACTCGGGAGGAGCGTATGGGTGTGGTTGTGCGGCGTGTCGCGCTGTATGGGTTGGTTAGTTAGTTACATATTTATTGGAACTTGTGTATACGAACTGGAAGGTAAGGAGCGTTTTCCGATAAAGTGAATTGAAGGTTTGCGGAGTTGGGCGAAGAGCGTTGGTGAAGGCTTCATGGTTGTTTGATAGTCGAGCGTGAATGGATGGTTTGGGATTTGGGATTTCTGGAGGAAAGCGGGGTGAAGCAGTTTGCCGGCACTGATTTGTTCCGGGTTTGATGCCGATACCCACGGTCAGTCAGTCCTTCTGATTAGATATCTCTGAGCCTTTACCCGGTCCTCTCAGCCATTGGATAACGACAACGACGACGACGATGGCGACAGAGACTAAACAACCAAGGACGTTCGTGGTTGCAGCGCGCAACTCCCAGCTGGCCCAAGTCCAAGCCAACTCTGTCCTCGCTCAACTGGAGCAACTCTATGCCTCTTCCGATGATCCTTCAAAACCAAAGTTCACGACCTCGTTCATGTCGACGGCAGGGGACAAGAATCAATCCCAAGCTTTGTACTTGATGGGCGGGAAGGCGCTGTGGACGAAGGAATTGGAGGTGGCGTTGAAGGATAAGGAAGTGGATATGCTTGTGCATAGTTTGAAGGATGTGCCTACGACTTTGCCGGAGGGCTGTCTTCTTGGTGCGATCTTGGAGAGGGAGGATCCGGTGGATGCCCTTGTTGTGAAGAAGGGGAAGGAGGGCGTTTGGAAGAGTTTGGAGGATTTGCCGGAAGGGAGTGTGGTTGGTACTAGTAGTGTGAGGAGGGTTGCCCAGTTGAAGAGGAAGTTTCCCGGGTTGAGGTTTTTGGATGTGGTGAGTTCCTTGGAGTGCATTTGAAGTGGGTTTTTGCTCATTAGGATCGTCGGTTTAGAGAGGGAATTTGTGAGTATTTTTGATTTTTATACAGCACATGATTGATCTTTGTATTCTAGGAACACCCGACTTGCAAAACTTGATGCGGAAGATGGTCCTTACGCCGCTCTCATCCTTGCCAAAGCAGGTCTGGTCAGACTCGGATGGGGAGACCGCATAACTGCTGACCTCAACCCTCCGACTCTCTACCACGCCGTTTCTCAAGGCGCTTTGGCAGTAGAGATCAGAGATGATGATCTCGAGTCTCTAGAGATTTTGCAGAAGCTCACCCATAGAGGGACGGATTGGAAGTGTCGTGCTGAGCGCGCGTTGCTGAGGGTGTTGGAGGGAGGGTGTAGTGTCCCTGTGGGTGTTTACACCACGCTAACCAAAGAGGGAGGAGATGAATTGTTGGAGATTACGGGGTGCGTGACATCGCTTGATGGAAGTGAGCATGTGGAGGAGAGTTTGAAGGAAAAGGTCACGAGTGTGGAGGAGGCAGAGGCCGTCGGTGTCAAGTTGGCGAAGGTGCTGATGGAGAAGGGGGCTACTAGGATCCTAGACGAGATTAATAAGGATCGGGAGCACAGGATCGAGTTGGCCAAGGTCGCAGATGCTAAGGGTGGCCCGTAGATGAAGGAGTAGATTAAAAGGACGATGAGTAATTGCTCTAGCTTAATCAGTTTTGACGGTGGTTCCGGAATCCCGGATGTGCGGTTGATGGTACTGTGAGGGCGCAGCCAGATTTGGCACTTCCACGATCAAGACGAGATCGCGACAGCCTCGACGAAAGTCTATGCAAACCCGGGTATTATTATAACGTGTACGCAAGGATGCAGGTAGCATCCATAAACATAGATCTAAACGGATCGAACGAATCAAAAATTATTAAGGAAAAATCGAAACCAAGAAGAATATACGAATTATGTTTACGCAGCCGCAGCCGCAGGCGCCTCCCCTTCCTTCTTCTCTTCACCCTCCTTCTCTTCCGTCTGTCCATTGACCAGCTTCTCGAAAGCGGCCAAGACATCGTCCACGTTCTGATCATTCCAGGGACCAGCATCAGACAGCGAACAACCACCTGGGCAATCGCAGAGTCCGCCGAATTCCTTGGGAAGGTTCTCAATTGGGATTTGCTTGAGCAGCTCGTCCCTATATGAGCTTCCAAGGATCTGGATCTTGGCGACGGTGACGGGGTCCAACCACGGCTTGATCACAGCCCACACCATCGTAAACGCCCAGGGCGCATTGATAATGTAGAATTTACCCATCGTTTCAGGGTACCTGTTCTGACCGATTGATGCTGCTTGAGACACGAAATCGCGTACGCGGGCAAAGCTGGCAAGGGATACGCCACCGAGATCGAGGATTGTGCAAAAGGTTTCGACGGGGTGTTTGGCGGTGTAGGAGCATACTTTGACGCGAGTTGAGAGGGATTTTTCGTACTCGTAGACTAGACGTTGGATTTGCCGTTCGGGGGTTGTGATTTTGTAGAGCGCGTTGATGTCGAGTTTGCCGAGTTGCTCGATATAGATTGGGCGGCCGTCCTACGTGGTGTTTTGTTAATAAAGAGATCGGGCCACGAGGAAAAGGAGCGGCATACCTTGTCTGTCTTGTGATAGTATTGAGGATAGTACTTGTTGACCTCTTCCTTCTCCTTAAAGTCAAAGTTCCTAGGGGTTTATTCCTCGTTGGTTAGGAGGTGATTGTTCCGATGATGGGGAGTGAGGTGGCAAGGAGTTTGGAGCTCACTTTGTAAGCTCGTCGACGCCAAAGTCCTTCCTCCACTGCTCGAAATCGAGAAGCATCGTCTTGACGGCGGGGTAATCAAACTTGCGAGCCCTGCAGAATCTGTGGTTTCGTGAAGCAAATGTGTTTAGATCGCGTGTTTTGGTTGGATCGATGGCTGGAGGGATGTACCTGAGAAGCGTAGGATCGTCCATCCTCTCCTCGACGAATTTTCCTTCCTCCTTGAGTTCCTTCTTGAGCTTGTCCAGGCAGTGCAGTTGGGTCATCGTGAGGTTGCCCAAGGTGCCTGGTGGGGGCTGGTAGTTCTTGTCTGCGATCCATGCTGGCAACGGCGAGGCGGATGCTTGTTGGGGAGCTGCCGATGCCATTGTCCGATGTGTACGATGAGTGTGATTGGGGATTTGGAGAGGAACAACGGGGGATGTGGCGACGATGGATTGGGACGACGCCAGATGTGATCGATGCTCTTGCCAAGCATGTGCAAACACTCGGCACGTATAGTCAGTAAATTGGTTCTCTCTTTAGACGACTTGGATGGAGTGAATATGAAGGTATGTTTCAATCTCATTCTCATTTATGATAAGATAGACTGTGGCTGGAGATTCACAACCGAGACCTATATGTCCCCTGCCTAAATCGAGGAAAATGCAGCAAAACAACAGAATGGTGGATTAAATCCACATACGCCCATCCAACCAGTTGCAAACCCCTCCATGTTGCCTGTTCAAGCGCAGGTCGCCAAAGGCCCGAATCAGAGAAAGCTGTATGTTATTTTGGAACAGGCGTGCTTGGAAGCCTACAAGGTTTCGTCGGGTGGGAAGGGGAGGAATGGCAAGGGGGATGGAGAGGCAAAGTACACCCTTTTGAATTGCGATGATCATCAGGGAATTTTGGCAAAAACAGGGAGGGATATTGCGGATGCTAGGCCAGATATTACGCATCAGGTGGGTGGTGCATGTTTATGGCTTCGAATTCATCATTGATTAGGGTTTTAGTGTCTTTTGACGCTGCTTGATTCACCGTTGAATAAGGCGGGGCTGTTGCAAGTTTATATTCATACAGCAAAGGGTGTTCTTATTGAGGTGAACCCTCATGTGAGAATACCGAGGACTTTTAAGCGCTTCAGTGGGCTTATGGGTATGCTTCGTCTTCGTTGGTTTCGTCCTATGGCTAATGGCATTTAGTGAAAAGCAGGGGTACGGCAGACCCTGCGGGTTTCGGGTAGGGGTATGGGTGGGTCCGGGTCCGGGTATGCATTTTCTTACCCGCGATCTTCAAAAAGAGCCCCTACACGTCCAAATCGGCCATGAAATGGTCGAGTTACGCTTGATTTAAGCAATTCAGGCATAACTCGCCCATTTCTGGGTCGTTTTGGACGAAATAAAGCTCAAACCCTGCGGAAAACCCGCAGGGTTGCGGGTAGGGTTTTGGCAGGGTCCGGGTCCGGGTCCTAGCTTTCAGACCCTGGGGTTTAACCCGTGGTGAACACTAATGGCATTTAGTTCAACTGTTGCACAAGCTCTCGATTAGAGGTGTCAATGGACCCGAAAAATTGCTCAAGGTTATCAAGGTGCGTCCGTGCCATCGTTCCCTTGGAATGTCGAACTAATTATTTCGTAGAACCCAGTTGTCGACCATCTTCCACCGAATACTATTCCTGCTACTACCCAGTAGTAGTAGGTTTTCAATACGCTCCAGTTGTCATGTCGTCTCTATATTCTCCCACGATGCACCTTCCATATATGCACCTCCTAAGCTGCCAGGCGGTCCAGACCTGTTTCAGAATCAATGGTCCCGTCATCAAGCAGTGTCTTCACTTGTGGTTTCTTACCTTGGTCCTTGGCTGCTCTGCAGCAGCCTCTTTAGCTTTTGGCCGACCTGTCAGCCTTCGAGCGGCTATACCTGCTGCTTCCTCGCATGTACAGGGGCGCTGTATGACTGCATATGTTCCTATTGTTGAAGTACAGTCGCGCTCACGGTCAACCCCAGGTTGGTCCGGGCTACCTCATATCTCGCCGAAACGCAGCGCGTAGGAAGCTACCCCTATCGACCAACTACCAACGTGTTTGGCTTGATTCTGCCGATGGTATATAATGACTGAAAGCACTCGTCCTATTATCATCGACCGGTGTGCCGAATGATGTCTCACAAATGCCGGAGGCTCGTAGCTATTGCTTGTCGTCCGGTCGAACAGACGGAGCGCAACGTTCACGGATTGGCTCTTGAAATCCACAGTCTTTGAAGTTTGGTTTGGTCATTGGACACGGGGATGTTGGGTGTAGGATGGGCTTTAGTAAAATGTCTGATGTCAGATTTATTTCAATGTGTAATATCTGACCACTTGTAGTGTTCACCACGGGTAAACCCCGGGTCTGAAAGCCAGGACCCGGACCCGGACCCTGCCAAAACCCTACCCGCAACCCTGCGGGTTTTCCGCAGGGTTTGAGCTTTATTTCGTCCAAAACGACCCAGAAATGGGCGAGTTATGCCTGAATTGCTTAAATCAAGCGTAACTCGACCATTTCATGGCCGATTTGGACGTGTAGGGGCTCTTTTTGAAGATCGCGGGTAAGAAAATGCACTTGGCTTCGGGGTTATTAGCAAAACGAAGTAACAGGGTAATATCTCGGTAACCGTTGGACGGATTTCCGTCCCTCGGGTACCGTTCGAAAAAGCGTGAAAAGACGGTTCGAATGATACCAAACACGGAAGGAATCGACCAAGTGGAAGTGCCAAAGTCACGAATTCTAACACACGGCCTATGTGTTTGTGTAGAAGGACCAGCGCAAATCGCTTCAGCCGCACGCGCAAAAGTGCATCTTTGTAGGTTATCCACCTGGCTACAAGGGCTTGCACTTCTACAACCCCACCACCAAGAAGTTCGTCATCTCAGAACGAGCCATCTTCGACGACTGCTACTTCCCTGGCCTCTCCAGAGCCTCCCCATCGACGTCCCCGCCTGCTGATCCTCCCTCACCTCCGCCTGTGGTGCGAGTTCCTCTCGCCCTCGGTGATGAGGAACTGGGGGAGTGTGACGCTCCACCAGTGGCCCCTGCTGTCCCTGCGCCTGCGCCTGCACCTCTGCCTGCTTCTCCTGAACCAGAGACCCCTCCTCAAACGCCGCCTCCTCCACCTCAGGCGCCACTCCCTGAACCAACTCCGCCGCCTCCTACGCCTCCCCTCGCTCAGCGTCGTGCACCACGCATCCGACGTCCCCCAGGCGAGTGGTGGAAGGTCAGAGAGCCCACACCGGCCATTCCGAGCGACGACGAAGAGGATGATGAAGACGAAGCTGCTGGATGGGTCACAATCGAGTTTGCAGGTCTTGTCTCAGGCGATCCGCGCAATTGGGTGCATGCTATGTCTCCTAACGCAGACAAGTGGCGGAAGGCCGCGCATCGAGGAGATACAGACTCTGCTAGCCAACGGCACTTGGACTACAACGGATTTGCCTCCAGGAGTCAAGGCCTTGCCCTGTGGATGGGTATTCAAGATCAAGTTCAACCCCGATGGCACCATTGAGCGCTACAAGGCTCGTCTCGTCGCCAAAGGCTACTCCCAGCGTCCTGGCATCGACTTCACCGAGGTATTCGCCCCCACTTACCGTCCTGCCGCCCTGCGACTCGTTCTTGCTCTTGCTGCAGCTGAGGACATGCATCTGCGCTCTGTGGACATCTCCTCTGCGTTCACCTACGGCGATCTGGATGAGGACATCTACATGGCTCAGCCAGAGGGCTTCAACTTCGGTGCTGGCAAGGTTCTCAAGCTCAACAAGTCGCTCTATGGCCTACAAGCAAGCTGCGAGGCAATGGAACAAGAAGCTCCACACCGTCCTGGGCTCCATGGGCTTCAAGCTCGCAGCCCGAAAATGCGATGGAAAAGACCAATAGATTCGAGGATGGTAGGTGGTCACTAGTACAGGATGGGTGGAAAGTAAGGAAGATAGATAAAGTTCCCGTAAAATCCAGCTCTTTAACCATAATCGAAACAGCACCAGAAATAAGAAGCTGAAGTAAAGCAGGAACAAACAGTCAGGGCAAGGGTAGCAGGTGTCAAGAAGAAAGAAATTGGAGACGTAAAACCCCGTTGCTGGAACGCGTCTCGAGCCCCGCTTAGGCTAGACGTGTTCCCCACAATGTCTCAAACAGATTTTTGGCGACCCATTGTCAGGGCTCGCGCACACCTTCACTTGCACCTTCCCTGACTTGACACCATTATCTGCCGGTCCGACTTTCGACTCCAGCCATATTCGAACTCCCAACTTCACATTCCCACCGCCGCCAGTTTCCCTTTCCGCCAGACGCGCCTGCCGCCTGATGATCTGGCACCGTCAGATTAGGAAGGTGACATGAGATGCGTGACTTGGCCACAACTCCGTGATTTTGGATCCGCCGGGAACTCCTATGGACTTTAGGCATGCACTTGGTATTTTCGAAGTCATTGATTCTGCATTGTTGATTAGAAGTATGTCTTGATTCAGCCTTTTCTTTTGTGTTCTTGTCTGGCGGTCCCCTCCACGTCATTTCCTTTATTTCTTAATCTAGAAATCTTATTATCTTTTACTTTTCCGCGGCATATCTTTCCTTGTCATGTGTCCGCTGGTCGAGTCTTGGACTTATTCTCTACTTCATGTTTGAGCTCTAAATTTGTCTGCCGGGCTATGATTGGGAACCACTGGTACAAACCTTACTTTATTTTTCATTTTTACCTCAACACTGGTACGAACCCTCAACCTTGCCCGCCGGCCACCGTACACCCAGTTATCCAACCCGCCAGGGCACCCACCAGGTTCTAGAAGCACACCTGATACCCCCACCTAAAGCCCCTTTTCATTGCTCTCTAGAAGTCTTCTTTCCTTTGAGACATTACCCTGCCCATGGACTCTTTCACTTGACACTGGACAGGGTATACCTGTACCCATACTCGTGTTATGCCTTAGCGATGAGCGATGTTGAGCAGCAAATAATGTCTATAGGACAAGTTAAACAGTGGGATCAAGCTACAGAAACAGTCCATCATACCTATAGAACAAGAGGTCAAGCTAAGCAAAACCTATCCTATACCTGCGGGTACAGGTATGGCTCTTGAACATCACAGGTACCCACCAAACAGGTGCAGGTACACCCGTACCCATACTTGTGTTATGCCTTCCTCATCGCGCCTTAAGATTTCCTGCCGGTTCTGGTTCTAGTTGTGGTTTTGGTTTAGTGTTCACTCTTCGCGACAGATGAGGTACCCGGTTGAGCTTTCCTCCAGGATGGTGAGGGCCTTTGGCATAATCATTTGCAGTCCTATAACACAACTAATCAGCTTTGAAACACACACAGGACCGAGGAAAAGTTAAAACACAGCACAAATGATGGAGATACCAATATTACTTCAGAATGGCAGTGGTTCGAGGTGTGAAAGTTAAGCCTACTATGACACTAATTATGACCTTTAACGCCAGCCCAAAACCAAGGGAGACACACTATTAATGTCCAAGATATGAATGATGCTCTCTCCTCCCCCAGCCCAGGCACCTGGTTGGGTACTTCTTCAGAACAGCAGCAGTTTGAGGCGCAAAGATTGGCCGTCTTATAGCACCAATTATTAGCTTGAATACGCTCAAGACCAAGGGAAACACACAATTAATATATGAGATATAGTCTATAGATGGTCCTCCTCGTTCTGGAATCCCCAGCCTCATGTACCCAGATCTCCTCCACAACAGCGGTGTTGTGCAAAATAAAATTTTAGTGTCTCATATCACCAAGCCCAAAATCAAAGAAAACGCACCAAAGATGAAGGATCAGTAGTTGTCTTCTTTCCCCCTCAACTCCAGGTACCGGTGGAGCATTAGCTTGGCATTGGCTTGGCTGATGCAATAAGCGGAACTGATTGAGTCCCAGTTCCACTTATTGCGTCATTGGGGTGTTTCAAACTCCAACGCAACCGCGGCAATGTGTTTTTGCAGCTACAAGTTTTTATAACCCCTTTTTTATTTTTATTTTTATTTTTTTCTGTTAATGTTACTTAGAGTATTCTATATGACAGGAGAGAGGGAGTTTGACATGAATATACCGAAAGATATCCAGGAAGTAAGTGAAAGTGAAAGCGGAGACTGAATAAATCTACAATATACTATATAAGATAATAAGTTCCCAGTTGACTGATGAAAGGGAACAAAATGCTCGCGCACGCTCGCGTTAAATTACACTCAACTTATTTAAGCCAAGTAATCTGTGTCTGGGCTTTTCTTCTCTCATTTTCATCTTTGCTCAGCTCATCCTCCAAGTTCCCTTCATATTCCACTAACTTCTAACTAATTGTACCAACCACCTTAATCCTACCATCCTCCCTCATTGCTAATGATTTCCTGTCTCCCTTTGACTGCCCCTTCTGTTAGATTGTGAATATGTCACTCTGTTGACTGCACTTTCTAGTCATGGTCAGGGTCCCTGAACATGTGGAATAGCCCTCTTGTGGCACAGCCCCTTCAAACACATCGAGGTTATACTTCCTCCTACTCCTGCTTTGAACAAGACCATATAGCTCAGTGGTTAGTGTGTTGCTCATGTGTAGAGGAGGTCTCTGGTTCAAATCCGGATGTGGTCACTTTTCCCTTTTAACATAAGGATCCAGCTACAGTTGGTAGTTCATCGCCAACAGCCCTTCATTACATCAATGAGATGATCGAAGAAATGAGTGAGATATGGATGAAATACTGGTGGAGGAGAAGGATGACATCACACTAATTAAGATAAGATTGGCTTTTGATGATGGAAGTCAATCAATGACATCAATGATTGACATCATCAGGCACCATGATGTCACAACAATCAGGAACAGGAACAAATGATGTCATACTCATTGTCAATCAGAATTTGATTTGATCATCTATGTTTATTGTTTCTGGAAAATGGTACTATTTTGGAGCTTCCAGGTTGGCTTCCCATCAATTTTGGAGTGCATCACATTTGATGACTGGAATGGAATTGGAAGTGGATACCCTTTGTTTGGTCCACAGGAAGTTCCAAGGTGGAAGTGGAAGCTGGAAGTAGATTGGTGGTGGAATTTCCTGGATTTTTTTTGGGATGGGGAGAGGCTGGAAGCTTCCTGGGAAGGGGGGTCACATGACCCTGGCTTGTTTAATGACAAATTGCTCCGAGGAATTGTCCTAGAGCAGGCCCACAAGATTCTTGGTCATGTTGGAACGGACGTCAGGACTACGTCAGACGATGGTATTGGTGGCCTAAAATCTTTGTTGACACCCAGAAGTTCTGTAGGATGTGTCAGACTTGCATGATGTTGAAAGGAGAGAATAAATGACCCCAGGGACTGCTCCATACGTTACCCGTACCAACCAAGCCATGGCAATTGATTGGTATGGACTTCATCGGTCCATTCCCAGAGGTAAACAGCAAGAACTACCTCTGGGTGATAATTTGTCGCCTCACCTCAATGGTGCACCTAATTCCTGTCCACACGACAAACAAAGCGTCAGAATTATCCGAAATCTATGTCTGAGAGATAGTGAGACTCCATGGCTTACCAGAGTCAATTGTATCGGACAGAGACTCAAAGTTTACGTTGAAATGGTGGCGAGAGATCCATTGGTTATTGGGAAACGAAACTCCTAATGTCTGCATTGTTCCACCCTCAGACAGACAGAGTCACAGAGTGTGTAAATCAAAGTATCACACAGATTCTTCGAGGTGCAGTACAACCGGACCAGAAGGACTGGATCTCGCGTTGCCCTCTGGTAGAGTTTGCTATCAACTCGAGTGTTAGCGCTACAACTGGATTTGCGCCATTCGGACTCACCTATGGGTATATGCCATCGATGTTGAAGGCATTCCCGGAAACCGAGACCAGATTACCGCCAGGAATCACTGCATACGCCAACCAGGCACTCCACTACATAGCAGACGCCCATGATGCCATAATCGCAGCTTGGGTATTCCAGAGGAAGCATGCAAATGATAAACGACGTGAAGAACCGCCAATTAATGTTGGAGATCTGGTGTACTTGTCCACCCAGAACCTAAAAATCTCACAAGGGAGAGCTTCAAAGCTTGTTCCAAAGTTTATTGGGCCCTACAAAGTCATGAAAGTGTGGCCCAAAACATCAACATACGAGCTAGACTTACCTGAACAGTTGAAGTCGAGGAGAATCCATCCCAAGTTCCATGTGGGATTGTTGAGACCACACTACCCAAGTGACGACATGCTATTCCTGAATCCGTCAAAGCCCGAACCTTACAATTTTGGCACCCCAGATGATACGGAATGGTATGTCGAAGAGATAATCGACCATCGGGGAAGTGGAAAAGCGATGGAATTCCTAGTACGATGGACTGTGTGTGAGCCCACTTGGGAACCGTTACTGAACTGCAATAAATTAGCAGCACTTGATAACTACCTTCAGCTTCAGGGGGTGAAGCAGGTTCGAGACCTCAAGGTCAAGGACAAGTCAACCCCTAAACACGGGCGCATGTTGCGTGCTTGATAAATCTGACTTTAACATTTCGAACTCAGCTTTATCTACAGTTTCATTAATTACACACCTCGTGCTCATGTTCGACATCCCTTCCCCATTCACCACATCGCTTATAACTACCTATTCCACTCTATTCCCCTTCTCTCTCATCGTTTTTACTTTCTTTCCCATTTACATTAGAGTGGAGGGCTCACCACAAAGAGATCCTCATCACTCACAATCTCAAGAGCTGCAACAAATGCTGCTACTTTGCAGAGCACAGCAAGACGTTGGACCTTGGAGGGGATAGAAAGAGGGTGGAGGATGTGATAGCCGCAAGGTTTTCAAGTGAGATTGCAGCGGAGAGGGATATGTTGAAGAGGAGTCTGGAGCAGGTGACGAAGGAGAGGGATGAGGCCAGGAACCACGCAAATCGTGCAGACGACGAGGCCTACTTGCTCCAAGTGCAGCTTCGCGAGTCTGACATCATTATCCAGGCCAGAGACGAGCGAATCTGGGCTTTGGAACAGCAGATCACGCACCAGGAGCAACTCGACCAACGTCATCGTAAACAACCTCGAAACTCGCAGTACAACACCAATAACTTGTTGCCAAACCCGCCAAATCGACCCAACACGACTACCAACCATCTCCCCAACAAATATCCCCACCCCAAACCGTCTGACAGCATCGACAAATGGGCAGAGTACGCATACTACAACGGAGCACCACGAGGTGTCCTTGAGGACCCCAAGAACGGTGTCAGTATCCGATGCATCTGAGGGAGGGACATCGCCCACCAACTTGGGCCTGCTCGGGGTCCTAAGGCGTGGACCCAGAACTTTGCATTCTCCATCGCCTTCTGCAAGATGGCTGGATGCAAGGGTCTCTACGATCGGGTACTCAAGACCATGGTCCTCAATGTCACCCCCAACCGATCGATCACCCCATATGACGCCTCCAAACCACTTACAACTGCTAATATCATCGCTTGGTGCGCCGGCGTTGGCCTTACAACTCGCGATATCGACAACTGTGCGCTGTTTGCGCAGGTATTCCTTCGGCAAGTTATCGACTCCACCCAGTTCATCTCGGACACCCACCCGGCAGTCCAGGCAGCCATTTGGGCTCACCAATGGATGGCTTGTGTTGTTGGCAAGCCAATCGACAACACAGAGTGGTATTGCCCCAAGGAGATTGTCAACATGTACGACAAGGTGAGGACGGCACGATTCGAAGGGAAACCAGCCCAGACACCCATCTACACCAGCAGCAATGGTGTCGAGGTTCTTCCCAGCGCGCTCTTACCCAAGGAATGCCCGACAGTTGAGGAAGTGATCAAGTCTCACGTCGACGACATGTTCCTTGCATCGATTGAACCTACCATGGACGTCGACGCCCCCAACGCTCAATAGACGAGCCCCACCAACAACACCTCACCTCCCAGACCACTCCCCCACCCCCCATGAGAACCATCTCAATTCCCTTGTGTTTTCCTCCGTACTTTACCTCATTAAACATTTTAATCTTTGTTTGCTTCCTTCGCTATCAATACACACTTTCAAACATTCGATTACTCATACACGACTTACCAACCTTCGTAACTTCTGTACCTGCCTTCATTCACCCCAGCTCCGCTTTCTAGCTTCGCTTTCTTGCTTTCATAAGTAACTATTAGCCACTTAATTCCTGCTTTCATTGCTTATTTAAGACTGGACTATTGTAGACAGGCCTTACTGTACATAGTGGGCTGCATGGCAGGCCCAGAGGGGGAGAATGTAAGGAGGACGTACCGTACTGTAGCACCGTAGATTAGAGTGGCCTGTTTGGTATTGTTAGTATCAGACACGCTCACCCTTACGGCCAGTGCTCGCGCGTTCTCAGCTTTTCCCTTAGCCTCATCGTACCTCATCCTGTTCATTCACGTAGATACCTGACTTCCAATATTACTTGGTCGTGCATAGTCTGCGTGTGGTGAACTGAGGGCAAGGCTATTATACCACACACCCCTTACAATGATATCATGTAGATCAGGTACAGGAGCTATGATGTCATATTATTCAGGAACAAATTATGATGACATATGACCCAACTTGGCATTGATGATCATATCATTTGACTTCCATCCCCTTCCAACTTCCATGAGAAGTGGAAGTTGAAGACAGTTTTTATTGGTGTTCGACTTCCAACAGAAGTTCCAGGAAGTTGACGGAAACATTTGAGTTCCCCAGTTCCACTTTCAAAAGAAGTCAATAACACTTGATTGTTACAGAGTTCCACTTTCTAAAGAAACTTGGGAAGTTGTTTAACAATGCTACATTAGTATTTGGAGAACATAATATGGCAATTTAGAAAATGCTCTTAAACATGGTCTATATCTGCATGTAAGTATTACATTGGTATTAGAGATTGTACAGAGCAAACATCTAGCATGACCCAAACTCTGAATTTGGGTGTAACAGCTTCAAGCACTGAAAGTGGAAAATAGAGTTTTACTTCAATGGTAGTGATAAAAGAGTTGTGGATATAGTCTGTTAATAACAGAAATGCATGTACAGAAGGGTCTGGATATAAATGTAATACCACTTGGACAGAGAGAGCTTGACTTCCATGGAAGGACCCCAGACACCCCACCAAGATGGATTTTTAGATGCCATCAACAACGGAATTGGAAGGCCAAAGCTGGATGCTAAGAGGAGCTAAAGAAGCCCAGAGGAGGTGGAAGGACTTCTGAAGTAGAGGGGGGCCAGTCCTCCCAGCTTACACTTCCAGAGGGTCTATTAGACCCCTTGAAGTCAGAAATTGAAGGGTCTAATAGACCCGACTTTCTAGGTGACTTAAGTGGATTATCTCAGGGTTTTGTAAGGATATACACCCAGATTCTTTCGTTGAAAGTGGATGCTGCGTGTGCAGCACACTCGCAAAGGTAAGCACTCTTAAGGAAATAAAAGAGACAGAGTTAGACCTTGAGGAGGTCGCTGACCTTCTAACAGCAAAGGGTGGTTACTCGACTTGAGAGACAGAAAGAATCTGATCCAATACAAGAGGTAACAGTGTCAGGGCTTGTGCACCTGCCGGGTCCTGATATGCACAACTACACCCTTTCTATACCCTCAATACTACTTGATATTATTATTCATACTTCCTTTTATACGTTTTATTTGTTATACCCACTTCATTTCAGCCTGTCGGGTCCTCTCTTGACTTTGATGCGCGATGTCCTCGGAGCATGGGAAAAGTCACGAGAATTTGAGCCAAAAACCGTCTAGTTTCTCGTGACCTCATGATCACGTGACCTGGCGTGCGTACGCGGCCTCGCAGCTGTGCTGGAGCCCCTCAGATCTGCCGGATAATTCTGTGGACTTTAGGCGCGCACTTGGCAAGCTGTCAAATGGGTTTTATTATTGTGTATTCGAAGTACGTCTTTATTCTGTCATTCTTCTATTCCTTATTCCGTCGTGTCGTTATTCTTCTCGCTTCTATTTCTCTACACTTGATTTCTAGTTTGCTCAGATGACCTTTTCGTACGAACGTTCTTGCTTGGATTTTGTCCGCCGGGTTACGATTGGACGTTGTAGTTGTTCTCGAGTACTCTAGATGTTCTTGTGTATGATCTCGTCTCTCTTGTTTTGGTTTTTCGACTTATTCTTTTTCTCTTGTACTTCGTCATTGTGTTTAGATTCTTCCGTAGTTTTCCCCGCCGGTATCTTTCTATAAGTACTGTCTCAATTTGTAGTAGATACCTCATCCAGAATCTCGACTAGGTTCATATGCCTCAAATCTCTCAGTCTAAGTTCCCCAGTAAAACTCTCTCTATCGCCTTCGACCGTTGAGCCTTAGCTTCAGTCGTCCCACACTCTCGTCCCTCCGCCGTAAGGCATCTCCGTCTGGTCCTTTGGCCTAGCCAGCCTTTGGAGCTGTGACGAAGGGTACACACTCTTACAACGTGAGACCAAGGCTATCCCTTCTCTTTTCTCTCGCTGTATCTGACCCTGACAAACAGGTCCTATCTTTGATAGAAAATGGACTAAGGTATGTCCCTCATGTTACACAGCATTGAAGAAAGGCAGGTGTCCTCTATTATCTTTGGCAAATGGTTTAGGGATTGGGGACGTACCTAAAGAGCTCCAAAATCTTACATTCGTGGAACAGATGTTGATTGCCCGCGTAAGACATAACTACTGCCTAGTTAGAGTTACCACCAGTGGAGGACAGTGTCGTGAACAGCGGGTACGAGCCCCTATTTTTCCATTATCTTATCTTATCACTTTCATCTCCCTTATCGTTCCCTCCTTTATTCTCATTTCTACCTTTATTCTCAATACGGACTCTTTCTCTCATGGAACACTGCCTCGATGTACCCTCTGCCCTATTTCTTATTGTTCTTCCTTCTCGCACTGCCTCGTGACTCCCTTCTATTGTCTTCTCCTTGTTCTTCGCGCAGCCCCGCGCAGCCTTGTGACCCTCTTTATTGTTCTTCTGTGTTTCACCACCCTTTCGTCATTTTGACTCATCGCGGCTATGTAGACTGTAGAATAGGTATATAAGCTAGGTAGATTCCTCTGTATTTCCTCAGCTTGACCTCTTCGTCAATACACCGCTTCAGTATTCATCTGCATCCATCACTCATCGCTCTCATCTCGTCCTCCGCTCTTATCCGCTCCGCACATCTGGTCTTAAGTTTGGTTTAGTGTCCGCTCTTCGCGACAGACAGATAGGAAGAGCAAAAATGATAGCTAATATCATCATGTTTGCAAACCCTACAGTTGAAGTTTATAACAAACCTCCTCCTAGCCGCAAAGAGCTAAGTGAAGTACTGGCATTCACCTTTATGGGTTCTTCAAGTCCGACACCTGAGGATTTTAAATGTACTCCAATGCTTGTAAGACGCAACAAGGTAGCTTTAGCGTTAGAATGGCTAAAGTTAAATCACCAGGACTATGCAGATCTTACTATTGATAGGGAAAATTTAGCATCATATAATGAAAGTGGTGTACCTGTATTCTGTGATTACAAGCCATTACCTGTAAATATGGCAGGTAATGTATTGCCTTCTGAAATGAGTAAGCACGAGGTAAAGGTAGAGCACGGAACCTCTGATGGGCCATGCTGTTTTACTGTCCATAGTCTAACAGGGGTTGAATACGAGAATATGACCATTGATGCTCTTAAAGCCAAAGCTTTACGTCATCTAGAAGATGGAGGTAAAGCTCTTGGTATTGGTCACTCAGATACACCAGAGACAATCTATGACAACCCTCAGCTTTATCCGCAAATGTTCCCATGGCTTTTCCCCTATGGAAAAGGTGGAATTGGGCAAACACATCTTAAAAAGAAACTTCACCATAAAAACTGCAAGAAGCATCTTCTTAACTATGCTGATAAGTGTTTCCAAACAGATCTTTATTTTCCTATAGTTGCGTTTAATCATGAACAGTTAAAAAGCAGCATTACAGGGAGTTTCCTGATGGCCAAGCGACAGAATTTTGAAGTTATCACACAAAAGATCCTAGGGCTTAACAAAGAGGTTTTGAAGGATATTGCTGATCGAATGGCAAATGGAGGACGTGTCAGGCCCAAAACAGATGAAGAGAAAGAGTGCTTTCAGTTGCTCAATATGCTTGATCATGTTGGTGGGCATGTCAAGGGCTCTTTAACTAATCGAAAGTACATGCAGAACGAGATTTGGTCACTGCTAGCTTTTAAAGGGGCACCAAGTTGGTTCATTACTTTTGCAACAGCTGACAACTGCTATCTATTGAGTTTTTACTCCGCCTCAGATAATTTGGAGTTCAAGCCCAAAATCTTGACTTTCAAACAGAGGGAAAAACTTTATCTAAGTAACCCTATAGCAGCTGCAAAATTCTTCAATGTTCTTGTAGAATTGTTTATCAAACATGAGCTAGGTGTTGGTACTGACCATGATGGCTTATATGGCAAGACAAATGCCTATTATGGGACAGTAGAGCAACAAGGTCCGCTGACTCTTCACTTACATATGATGATTTGGATTGCAGGTGCTTTATCTCCATAAGAAGTTTGAGATTGGTTAATGAATGTAGAATACATGGAGGGTGTTCACCAGGGAGAATTTATTACTGGGTCAATAGAAGAGGTCAAGGCAAGGGTCCCGTATGATCCTGATGAGGAGGATGAGGGCTTTCATGGAATTGAAAAGGAAGGATCCTCAAAAGTAACTCCTCCGAGCTATGTTGACCCTACTTTGACTTTACATGAAGAGCCTCCAGAATGGTGTGAGAAAACTCACAATTCCTTTGAAGCATGTCAGAAATGTGCAGCGATTGCAGCATGGAAGTACAAATTCAACCATACTGTAGATGATATTGTTCTAAGAACACATTTCCACAAATGCCGTGCAAAGAAAGCACCGATGAAAGACAAGAAATCTAATGCAGATGATGTTCAAGTCAAGTTGATGATGTCTGGTGCTCCAAAAGGCTGTCTCATAAAAGAAGGGATATGCACAGTGCGGTTCCCAAGAGAGATTGTACAGGAAACAACAGTTACTCGGCTTAAATAAGCTGAGTGTTTACTCGGCTTAAATAAGCTGAGTGTAATTTAACGCGAGCGCGCGCGAGCATTTTGTTCCCTTTCATCAGTCAACTGGGAACTTATTACCTTATATGGTACATTGCAGATTTATTCAGTCTCCGCTTTCACTTTCACTTACTTCCTGGATATTTTTCGGTATATTCATGTCAAACTCCCTCTCTCCTGTCATATAGAATACTCTAAGTAACATTAACAGAAAAATAATAAAAAAAAATAAAAAAAGGGGTTTTATAAAAACCTGTAGCTGCAAAAACATGTTGCCGTGGTTGCGTCGGAGTTTGAAACACCGCAATGACGCAATAAGCGGAACTGATTGAGTCCCAGTTCCGCTTATTGCATCAGCCAAGCCAATGCCAAGCTAATGCTCCACCGGTACCTGGAGTTGAGGGAGGAGAAGAAGACAACTACTGATATCTCCTTCATCTTTGGTGTGTTTTCTTGGATTTTGGGCTCGTTTTGAAGCTAATAATTGGTGTTATGAGACGCTAAAATTTTATCCCGCACAATGCCGCCGTTGTGGAGGAGATTGCGGCCGGGTACATGAGGCTGGGGATTCCGGAACGAGAAGGATCATTAGTGAAAAGCAAGGGTCGGCTGACCCCTGCAGGTTTTCGGGTCAACCCTGCGATGGGTCGGGTACGGGTCGCCATTTTCAGACCCGAGATCTTTAAAACGAGCCACAGATCATCAGAAACGGATGGGAAATGGCTGAGATACGGTCAAATTATTATTTTAACCATATCTCAGTCATTTCTTATCCGTTTTCGATGATCTAAGACCCAACCCGTGCGGAAAACCCGTCGGGTTACGGGTGGGGTTAAGCCAGGGGTCGGGTCTATTAAACATGTAAGACAATGTACCACTGCAAGTGGGGAAGAGTTTGATGATATTACTCAGCTTAAATAAGCTGAGTGTAATTTAATGCGTGCGCGCACACGCAAAATGGCCACTCCCATCAGTCAACTGGTAACTTGTTTCTTAATCTGGAATGGAGTTCGAAATTGCCCTTCACGTCTTTCCTCGTTCTCTACTTCCCCTTCAACTGACCATATACTGTCGTGTTCCAACTTGTTTTTGTTGACCTTTGTAGAAACATATATTTAGTGGTCATAAAATAATTATGTAAAACCCGTTTTCAACCTCACCTTTCCATTGAAACAATTTGCCCAGCCCTCTGTCGGAGTTTCAAAATTCAAATGGTTCCTCGACGGCAACCGATTCCTTCCCTGTTCGTCGTATACTACTTACCCGACTTCTTCTCTTGTATACTTACCCGGGGTCTAATACTTAACTTGGTTGTGTATTACTGGGTGAACTGTAATAATAGTAACTAGTCTTCTTTTCTCTGTTCAGCGTGCACTTACCCGAAATCTTCGATGAGAACTGTATCCTAGCTCTGATTTGGTCAATTTCGTTGTGTATTTCGTTAGTGAGCTAACTAGAGTAATTAGGGATGGTCAAGGGGTTTTAAAACCCCCAGGGTAGAGGCCAGGGGTAGAGCGGGGGTAGGGGTAAGGGTAGGTCTCCGGCTACCCTTGGCCAAACCCCTACCCCCAGTCGGGGGTAAGGGTTTTGATAAAAATCAATGAAAACCCATTTATTTCAACATCTATGCATAGTTTCTACTAAATAACTGCTGTATATGCAATAAAACACATAAAAATATCCATATAGACAACTGTAAGTAATGGTTAGTACCAAAATGATTAAAACCCTTGGTCAAAACCCCCAGGGTTGGGGGGTAAGGGTTTTGGGGGGTGGGGGTAAGGGTAGGTGTCCGGCTACCCGGGGGTTACCCCTGTCCTTCCCTAAGAGTAATACTACTCTTTTGTTACATTTTCTAAATACATCAGTAAAGGTGATTACGGCGGAGCCTTATTTAAGCCGAGTCTCCGCCATGCATGTGCATTGGCCCGTATACTAGTAGACAAGGAAGACAGAAGACTGACAATGAAGAAACTTGAAGTGTTTATAAATACATTTACTTCAGCCTTAACATATCTAATCCGTTGCAACTCTGATGTTTCCACCTTACCTCAGGGACTTTAATAAAAGCTATCATTTCATATGTGACAGATTACGTTACAAAACCAACTCTGAAGACACATCAAATCTTTTCATGTAAGGAGGATTGATTAGATTAGACCCACGATATTTGTCGATGTTTATTTTAGAAGGCCTCGCCCTCCTACAGAGGGCTCGCCCGTTCGTAGATACCTTTCCTTTAGCCTTACCTCACATTACTCATACTGCACTTTCTGTATTTCCAGCAATATAGCTTGGTCTTGCGTCCGTGCAGCGTGAGTTGAGGACACATCGCTACCCGCCTTATACTTTTTTACGCAACCAACATCCCAAACCGTTTCTTTTTTCGTTGCCACTCAACTCGGGACCACCCCAAACACTAAAAATCTATTAGATCTCTTTTGAACTCGTACAAACCCAACTCAATCAACGACCGCGCACTCTACAACCAACCACAGCCCCACAGTAGACTGCGACACTCGATGCACGACGAAACAGGCGACGACAACGGCGTCACGGGTGCACCTCCAGAACAGCCACCCAATACGACGACCCAGGAGGCATCGAGGTTCGACGATGCTCCCGAGACATTCGGGCACGAAGAGGCGGCGAGGGAAGCAGGAGATACAGGGAATGCCCCGTGAAAGGATGAGGAGCACCACCCTCATCCATATACGGATGTTCCAGTACAAGCCGTCAGAACGACAGCACAGAGCGATGTGTCGCGACGCTCGAGGACTTCGGAGGTGGTAGACCAAGTCAGGGAGGCCCTGCAGGGTGGTGAGGTTTCGAAGGAGGAAGCACTGGAGGTGCTTCTCGCTAACCTCGGACTCCAACAACTCGCACCGGGAGGTACGTCTGGGGTCAAACAACTGATCCAGACCCAGAGGAGCAGTAGCCCGGACCCCGGCAGTGACGAGGCATTGAGCTACGCATCCCTTAGACTGACGCCGCCTGCGTCTGGATTCGGAGACCCGAATCTGACCAACGCTGCTGAACAGGTATGTCGGGAACGACAGCCCGATGAAACCTCCGACGACTATCGCAAACGCTCGAACGTGGCCAAGCGTTTAGTTTCCGGAGGGATGGTCCCTGCGGGAGGGAACGATGGAAACAAGGGGATCGCGAAGTCGGAGGAGCAAAAGCCGGTGCCCTTGACCGGGGGCGAGTATAGAAGGGGAGCACCTGGCGGTCGCTCGCAGAAGGACGCCCCGCCGCATATGTTTGGCGGACTCACTACCAGATGGGGAACACGTACTGCCTGGGGGGGTGGATTTAGTAATAGATTAACGGCTGGAAACGATAGACAGCATTCCGGTAATAAAATTCCCGTTTATTCGACGTCCACTCCCATTAAGCATGAGCAAGATGGAAGCCGTCATGGGAACCATGAAGAAGGTGAGGAGGATGACCTTCACTTTACTCATGGCTACCTCTTAGAGGGAAAGTCAACATATCCGAGCCCGTCCAAGATTGGATATCAAGTCAGCCGTGAGAGAGGAAGAAAGGAAGGATACCGACAGGAACCTTACAATCATGGATTGAAAGGGGCAGAGGAGAAGAAGCTTCAAGAACCGGAACTTGGTTTACAGGGAGAGGAAGCAGTGGTATACCCTCGAACACCAGTCTCGGGACTGAGACAGGACCAATTCGGACGACAGTGTGACGTTATAGACAACGCACATGAGACTCACCAAAGACAAACCATGGGGAGCATGCGGAACCGAACTCCATCAGCACAACCAAGTTCAATTCAGCGTAACCTCACGCCGGCACAAGGATTTGAGGGTGTAAATGATTTATTTCATAAGTATCGTCGCGAGAGCGAAGAACGAGAACTGAAGACATATTCTAGTCTTCAAAGGCAATTCAATGCCCTCGATATACCTGAAGACTCGCCTTTTCTGGATGAAGAAAAGGATCGTATCATCGCCATTATTGAGGAGTATTTGGGCAGAGAGAGAAGCTTACCTCGGGCAATTGACGACCGCTCCAACCCGATAAAGATACCCAACCCGGGCAAATACAATGGTGAGCGAAGTATGGAAAAATTTGATACGTTTCTGTACTTGTTCTGCTCATGGGCTCGAGCAAAGGGCCTGGGAGGGCCCAACAATGAATTCTATTTGGTGGAGATCATCGGTCATTACTTACAGGACAAGGCTCAGTCTTGGTATATTGAGAACGTCGCTAGCATCAATCGGCGACAAGTATCATGGTCACTCTCTGAAGTAATGACTGGACTGTACGCTCGATTTGTGTTCGAGGCGGTATCGCGTGAGCCAACTGATAAGTACAACGTGGTACGGTACACTGAAGAGGGAGGAATTCAGACCCTGATCTCCGAACTTCGTACATATGCTAAACGCATGCCTCAGAAGCCTTCACCTATTGCGTTCATGCAGCGAATTCTGCAGGAGCTTCCACCTCGGATGAAACTCATTGATGATAGCAAGACACCCGAGGATGGTGCTGAGATCCAAGACATCCAACGTGCCGGGATCAAGTATGAAAATGCCCAACGGTTGGCTAAGTTGTATAACCAAGACAGTGGTTCTGGATCTAGAACCTCGAGCTCAAGGGCCGACAATCAAGATTCATGGCGACCTGGGTACCAAAGGGAGCGCGACACAGGCAGATTGGTGAAGGAAGATAATCCTACTGTATGGAAGAGGGATTCTGATGCCCCTCGAAACCGAACTGAGAAGCCTAGTTCAACTGCTGCCACAGCAGGGACGAGTAAGCGTGGTGGTGAAGAGAAGAACAAGCCTTCAGGTGGCAGTGGTGGATCGCGAAACAAGATTTGCCATGCATGTGGGCAAGTGGGTCACTTTGCAGCTGACAAAGTATGTCCAAAGTACGGGAAAGGGAAGAGTCGAGAGCAGTTGCGTGCGATTCATGAGACTGATGAATCGGAAAGGGATACATCGGATGCGGATTCGAATGGTGGATATGGAGAAGAGTACCAATCCGAGTCTGAGGGTGAATACGAACATATCTCAGACTTCGAGTCCGAGAATGAGTTGAGGGAGCCTAGGGATCAGCTTACCCGTATGGCCGAATTGGACAATGAGTTCGAGTCCGATTACGAGTTCCTGAGGGCAATGGGCACCATAGAGGGGGAGTCTGGCGCTCAAAGGGATAAAGAACGAAATCCCCGAAAGGCGTACAAGATCTCATCACGTACAATTGACCGTCCCATCCGTACCTGGAAGGAGAAACATGCATTAATTGCAGAAGTGCAGTTCAATGGTAAAAAGGCGATCACCATGTTCGATAGCGGAAGTAGCACTGATTCACTTTCGCCGGCATTTGCGCGAGTGAATGAAATAAAGGTTCATCCCTTATCTACTGAACTTGCACTCCAACTGGGGACAGTTGGAAGCAGATCCAGTATCAAGTATGGTACCATCGTGAACATCGATTTTGGACCTTTGAAAAACATCTGTGACTATGTAGATGTTGTCAACCTTGATCGGTATGATGCTATACTCGGAACCGTATTCATGAGGAAGCATAAAATTATGCTTGATCTTGCAAACGATCAGATTTTTGTGGATGGGAAGCCATATCCAGCCCTATCCGAGACTGAGGAGCGGAAACTGATGGCTCGAAGGAGTGCCATGCGCAAGATGGCGCACCCTCAATCTGAATGAATAGCCGAAAATAGTCCAATTCTACCTAGAGTGACGATGGAGGAATTGGATGATCGTGAGGGAGTCCAAGTGAATGAAGGACTTCAACCGGATTTACCATTGCTGATGACCGTGGAAGAATTTGAGGAATTTGAACGATTGAAGAGGGAAGATCCAAATAAAACACGACGAAGACGTGAGAGGGATCACGGAAGGAGTTATACTGAAAGACAGATGCGAAAGGAGGAATGCGACCAAGCAATTCCTGTCATAGTTGAGGATAGTGGGGGAGTACCACAAGTTGAGAAGGATGGAGATCCGCGATACAGGGAATATGTGCAAGAATTCACTCACACATGGTTCCCAGATAAGCAGATCAGAGAGGAGTTGAAGAAGAAGCACGTACCATTGCCAGAGGTAAACAAAGCGACTCAGGTATTCCGGAAGGTGGTGTCAAAACATCTTCAAGATGTAGAGAAGATGGGGAAATTTACCAAGGAGGATATACCCCGATTGCGAGAGAATTGGATTAAGAATTGTGAGTCGATGATGAAGGGACCTCCAGCTAAACTACCACCACTTCGGGAGATCAATCATTGTATACCTCTCAAAGATGAATCGAAGCAGTACAATTACCACATGCCTCGATGTCCGGATGCATTGAAACCGCAATTAATGGAGAAGGTTCAACGATATACAGAGGCTGGGTGGTGGGTACCAAAACAAGCTGGACAGGCGGCCCCGATGCTATGCATCCCAAAGAAAGATGGGAAACTCCGCACAGTAGTCGACTGTCGGAAGCGAAACCAGAACACTGTAAGGGATGTGACTTCGTTTCCTGATCAAGACCAAATCCGCCTTGAGGTTGCACGAGCAAAGTATCGGTCGAAAATCGACTTGTCTGATGCGTACGAACAGATCCGTGAGGAGCCGGAAGATGTACCAAAGACCGCATTTGCAACGGTATACGGAACATTTTTCAGTCAGGTAATGCAACAGGGGGACTGCAACGCACCTTCGACGTTCCAGTGTTCAATGACACTGATATTCCGAGATTTCATTGGAATTTTTGTCCATGTGTATCTTGATGATGTCTTCGTGTACAGCGACACAATCGAAGATCACGAGAAACACTTAGGAGCAGTCTTTGAGAAGCTCAAAGAGGCAAAATTCTACCTGAAAGCGCAAAAGTGCAACTTGTATGCGGAACGAGTGGACTGTCTAGGTCACATCATCGACGAAAAGGGACTTCACGCTGATGCAGATAAGATGGCTCGCATTCGGGATTGGCGAACACCGAGGAATTACAATGACGTCGAACGATTCCTGGGACTGGTTCAATATCTGGCTCAATTCCTACCCGATATATCAGCATACACGTCGCCATTGGCAGCCATATGCAAAAATGGGCAATCATTTCGCTGGAATCCAATTCACGAGACCTGTTTCCAACGGATAAAGCAGATATGCTGCTCGACTCCAATCCTAAAACCCATAGACCCCAGAAAAGACGAACCAATTTGGGTCATATGCAATGCCTCAATCAATGGAGTCGGTGCAATGTACGGACAAGGCCCTACCTGGCAAACGTGCAGACCAGCTGGTATAATGTCTAAGAAGTTCACTGATGCGCAAATGAACTATCGAGTGTTCGAACAGGAGACACTGGCAATACTTGAGGCTCTACTCAAGTGGGAGGACAAGTTAATGGGCTATCGAATTCACGTGGTCACTGACCACAAGGCTCTGGAGTTCTTCGATCGCCAAAAGTGCTTATCCGGGCGTCAAACACGGTGGATGGAGTATCTGTCTCGGTTTGACTTCGATATCCAGTACATTGAAGGGAAAGTCAATAAAGTAGCTGACGCACTTTCTCGGTATTTCGAAAATGACGTCTGGGACGATGCACACGACGTGTCAGAGTATTCCAATGCTGACTACCGGTTGGACAAGGACATGGACGACTTACCAAACGAAAGGATGCTCGAAATCACGCATAATGCGGTGGAACTTCGCGCTATGACGCTGGAAACACCTCGAAGATCTGCCAGACTTCAACACCAAATCCAGGAGCATTCAGAGATGCGAGACATTGAAGCTCAGAGACTCGTCGAAGGCCAGGAAGTCGAGCAAGGGCCTCCTGCTGAGAAGGAGCACTCTCAACCGAGTAGAGACGAGCAAGACGACGATCTGACAGTGTTCGAGTCGCGAAGTCGAGGGGAGAAGGTAGTGGAAACAATGGAGCGACAGAATGAACTAGAGACAGCTATTCTGACCGCTTATAGCGATGATCCATTGTTTTCCAAGGTAATCAAAACCCCAGAGATGCATAAGGACTTCGAAGTCGACCAAGGCTTCGTGTACACTCGAAACAAGGGAGGCGAACGTGTGTTATGCGTTCCACAAGGCCGATTTGACGAGAAGACCATCAGAGGAGCAATAATCGAGCGAGAGCACGAGATATGGGGACATTTCGGACCACAGAGAACGTCGGACTACATTCGGAGGTGGTACTGGTGGCCTAGGATATTTGTAGACACGCAAATCTTCTGCAGAACTTGTCAGATTTGCATGACTACGAAGGGGGAGAATAGACAGCCACAGGGACTCTTACATATTGCCATTACCCACCAAACCGTGGCAATCCATTGGAATGGATTTCATCGGTCCATTTCCAGAAGTGGATGGCAAGAATTACCTGTGGGTAATAATCTGCCGACTCACGTCAATGGTTCACCTCATTCCGGTCCATACAACCACCAAGGCGTCCGAACTGTCCGAGATTTACGTTCGAGAAGTCGTTAGACTTCACGGCCTTCCTGAATCAATTGTGTCAGATCGAGATTCAAAGTTCACATCGAAATGGTGGAAGGAAATTCACCGATTACTTGGGACAAAACTGCTTATGTCCACTTCATTCCACCCGCAAACGGACGGTATCACTGAGCGCGTTAATCGAAGTATCACCCAGATTCTTCGAGGAGCTGTAAAGCCGAACCAAAAGGATTAGTTAGCACGATGCCCACTGGTAGAGTTTGCAATCAATTCGAGCATTAATGTATCAACTGGGTTCTCACCTTTCGAACTCAATTACGGATTCATGCCGGGTATGATTAAGGTGTTTCCTCATTCTGAGGAACGGTTCCCGCCCGGAATTACCGTGTACGCAAATCAAGCCATCCACTACATGGCAGACACGCATGACTCAATCATTGCTGCTCGCGTATTTCAATGAAAGCATGCTAATGATAAGCGCCGACCTGAAGCAGATATCAAGTCAGGGGATATGGTTTATCTGTCAACACAGAACCTCAACATACCGAAGGGACGAGCATCCAAACTGGTACCTAAATTCATAGGACCATACCGAGTGATCAATGCATACCCAGAGACCTCAAACTACGAATTGGACTTACCCGATTCATTGAAAGCTCGTCGAATTCACCCCAGATTCCACGTAAATCTGCTTCGACCCCATTTCCCCAGCGACAATCTGCATTTCCCCAATCGGGAGAAACCCGAACCTTACGACTTCGGTGCCCCTGATGATACCGAATGGTATGTCGAAGAAATCATGGATCATAAAGGGCAGGGAAAGTCAGCTCAGTTTCTCGTCAAGTGGACTGTTGGAGAACCTACTTAGGAACCACTGTCCAATTGCAACAAATTGGCTGCTCTGGACGACTACCTTCGACTGCAAGGCGTAAGCAAGGTATCGGATCTTAGGCCAAAGCGAACGGACGTACCTAAAGCCAAGCGCGCATGAATTGGTAACAACGCCCGAACGCGGAAGTAACCGACCACCGTCGACTTTCCTTTGTTTCAAAACCTTTTAATTAATTCTCGCCATTTACAACTATGCCCCATCGCTTTTCTACTTTTCTGAAAACACATCCTTACTTTTCATTTTCTTTTAATCTGTTACCTCTACTACCAATCGACCTACACCAATGGACAACAGTCAGCACGACACTTGGGCGCCCCTCGAACGCGAGCACTGCATCACTCACTTCCCAATTTCGACGTGTCCGGATGGCACCTGTCAGAAGTTCCTTCGACACTACTCGAAGGATGCCTGGCAAGACCATAGACGACAACCCGAGAAGGACATTGGAAACCTGTTCTCCTACGGAAACAGGAGAACAGTAAACACTCACAGAACTTGTAGCTGCGTATGAATCGAGTCTATAGGACAAGTTCGACGTGTACACGTACAACGAGGTGGAAGTCTAGTTGTAAGATGATAGTGGATCGTCTGGCGTGGTGAATGAGGTTGGCCCACGTGATCGTGTAAGGGCCATCCTTACAGACACGTCAAACCTCGACGACCGAGCACCCGCCCCCAAAGTTAGTGACCCGATCGATAGGTGGTTCATCCACTTTTACCGATTCGGCACGGCCAAAGGGGTACTCGCCGACGAAACGCACGGAATATCGTCCAAGTGCGCCCGTGGACGATACTTTGTACGCAGCATCACACCCGAGAAGACACTGACCGCCAACTACTCCCATTTCAACACCACCCTTCACAAATTGCTAGCATGCGACGGATTGTACTGGATGATCGTTGTCGACGCGAACCTCTCGGTGAACACAAACCGAAACTTCGCACCATGGACTGGGCAGACGGATCCGTCGTTGTTGGAGGTGGTGGAATGGTTGGCTGGGATGGGGGTGACGCCAGAGGATGTCGAAGACTGCGTGCTGTATGCACAGGTTTGGATTAGGGAAGGGTTAGACGCCAGGGAAGAGCTAGATCACTCACAGAGGTTGGTACAGGCTGCGCAGTGGGTCGCGAACTGGATAAAGCACATGGCACCAAACCCCATCGATGCCGAGTGGTGGAAACCGTCACCCAACTCCCGAGATGATCGAAGATCGAAAAATTCGCGTTCGGCCATACAGTACCTTCTACTCGACATCCGCCCCAGTCGATATCGTTCCCGAGACTGTCAAACTCGAACCCCTAGAGCTCGGCGAGATGATGCGTCTATACGTCCATGATCAAGTCGGTCGAGAAG